CCCCCCCCCAGCAGAGAGGGCCCCAAGTGACATCCCCCGTCAATCAATTGCCTGTCAACGTCAACCGTCAAATGTTATTGTTATTTGTGTGGAAGTGGTATGTGCTGTTTATGGGGCCTGGAGCAGTCTGTGCGGGACTTGGCCCAGAACCACATAGTTCGCCTGGCGTGTCTGGTCTCGAACAAAAGCATCTAAAAACAATAAAAAAAATGGGAAAAGGTAACGTCTGTCTGGACTCTGCATGACCAAAATATGGCTGGGTCCTCTGCCGACGGCTAGACCGGGCTCGTTCTCTGACTTGATGACCTTCACATCCGGACAGTCCAGTGGAACTCGGCTTGTAGCGCATAGCATTGAGAAAGGAGACTGTCTGGGGATCCTGGTGATGGACGAGGCATGCCGCACATGATACCATCAAATGTCTGTCTTGCAGAAGGCAATGAAAACCTGCAAGCAAAGACCGAACCTGTTTTCCGAAAGAATCTTGCAAACATGATTATCATTGTCGTAACATGTCATCCGGACCGCCATAAAACATCCAGCACCATCAGAGAGCGCTTACATTTGGTATCTTAGTGAAAAAAGGCCCGAAACCGACGATGAGCTCATCTCATCCTCGTGTCCATAACACAACCGAACTGACGATCGTAACTCATGTAGCTGTTGGTCCTGTCGCAGCCCACCAGCGCCGCAACCCATACGCCACCGCAAATCTTTGGACCAGGATCTCTCCGAACAAAAGTCGTAACAAGGGTCATCAACCACATAACACACAACAATCCTAGAGAACCAACTCCAATATCTCATAGGATGACCTCTCCTATCTTCTAATCCATCAGCAAAATCGTGTCGTGCCATATCATACCAAAAGCACACCTATCCGCCTTGGGGCGGGAGTCGGACACATCTCACTCGACCTCAGGCAACCTGTACTTGCATCTACTGGTGCAAAAGTCATGTTGACAATCCAGACACTTTTTGTTGAGTTCCCAGCTTGCCGTGCACTTGCATTGGCAGCATTTGACTATGAGGTTGCGTCGCAGTTGTGTTTCCGAGTCATCACGTCCTTGACTTCCTGTGCTCCAACCAACACCATGGTTGTCGATTGAGTCGTCAGACTGAACCTGGTGCTGACCACTAAAAAGCATCATATGGTCAGCCAAGGTCATCGCCGTGGGTTGAAGATGATCGAAGGCAAACTGCTGCTGGAGACCACTTGATTCGAGCATCGCAGATGACGATGGCGAGAAGCTCATCTGCTCATCTAGCGACAATTCACTTTGTGGGTACGATGACGCGGTACTGTCCGACTCTAGTCGAGGCTGATCGGTTGTGCCGTCTTCTTCTTCCTCATCTTGGGCCGCGTCAGGAGGGGACTCGCCGCACTCTTCGACTCGCTTCCCTTTCGTCCTCCCCTTCCCGCCGACCTCGATCCAACTTTTGATGTTGTTCTTCTCTTTCATGAAATGGTCCGAGATATGATTGAACCTTAAGGTGATTGCCTCGACGCCCTGCAGGTTATGGACGATGATTTGGTTGCAGAAGCCACACCAGAACCGTCCTTGATAGTTCCTGGCGATTCTTCGCTCTGGAGGGGCATAAGCAGTAGTCTCCACTGGGTCGATCGAGTGAACTTGGCTCACATGACTGACGTAGTGGCTTTGATCGTGATAGAAGACTTCCTGACATTTGAGACAACGCCAGCATTCTTGTTGTTCGTGCTGACCCAACTCATGTCTCTTCCAGTCGTTCTTGCTTCCAAAGATCTTGTTGCATCCATCAAAAGTACAGCCAAAGGGTTTCGCATGACGCTGCATGTGCTTCTTTAGGTCACTAGCGCGAGACTTTATCTTTCCGCATTCTTGACATATGTAGTATGTCTGATTCGTGGCGGGACATTTCTTGACAGCAGTTGTCTCAGAATCTTCTTCGCCAGTGACAAGGCTCAGGGAAGAGCTTTCAACACTGCCCACAGACGATCGCAAGCTGGATCTGAAACGAAGCAGAAGTTCTTCTTCAGAGAAGGATGACCCAGCTTTGCCTGACAATGTCTTATGTTCGCTCAGGATGTTTGCCACTTCATCCACAAGACGTTTGGTCAGTCTTGTAGTACTGGGTAATCTTTCACCTTCCGGTGGGATGACCTTGACTTGAGGGCACGGAACAGACGATATTGGAGTCACGGCCTCGGCAGTCGTTCCTCCATCGGCATTCATGATGATGTCTTCTTGTTGGCCCCTCAACTCGTGCAGCATGGATGGCTGTACTTGTCGAGGAGATGATACCTCTTCCATTCTGTTTGTGTCCAAGAACGGGTTGGCAACGGTATACGGGGCCCTAACCTTCGTAATTTGATCGTTCTCCCAGGTGTACTTGCTAGGATAGTCCATTTTCACGCCCGAAAACGGGTGCTGAAGATCAGGCCAAGATTGATCAGGAACCGATACGAAGCCAATGAATGGGTTGGCGTGGTTGGATGCCTGTGTATCATCAATATGATGGCTGCGACCGACTTGCGATCGTGTCCTTGATAATGCCGTTCTGGGCGGCACAAGGCTCTGCCTGTCGGTGCGAGGAGGTTGTGGCTGTCGTCGGAGGTCTGATGGATTTTCCGGGGTCGATACACGTCGCCGTTGAATCCTGTGACTTAGAGCGCCGAGGTGTAGTGAATGGGACAGCCCCGGATCGGGATTGGGCGGATCGGAGCTTTGCGTGCGTGTCATTGGATTCTCGAACGGCGACCCTGAGATGTAGGATTGACTGGAGTCTGTATAGTTGTATGTTGCAAATTGATGTGCAGGCATAGTGGGAAAATCCATGGCCATGTCTTCTGTCGCATCCTGAGACTGTGTTTCCTCTTCCGGCAGTCCTTCGGCCTGCGGCTGTTGCCCGTGCCGTTCGTACCATTGCTCTGACCTGTCATAGAAGTCAGTATTCAGCCACGAATTGGCTAGGAGCGACGTACAAGATCATGAGACGGTCTACATCATCGCCCCTGTGCATTTTGACAAGATGTTGTCTGAAGTTGTCCTGCCTCGGCCACAATTTCGAGGCTTTTGTACAACCCTGGGCAAAGCACTTGTGGTATTTAGTCTTTCGATTGTTCACATTGTGAACGGATTTCAAATGTCGGTCGAGGTCATTGCTGGTAGCAAAACCCTTTCTCTGGCGAGAACACCCTGTGAAACGACATTTGTATTTCCTCTCGTGTCGAGCGTTATGTTTCCTGGACCTGTCAGAGGTTTTCTAGAGCACCCTTCATGGAGGGTACTGACTTCAAGTCCGATCTTGTCTTCCCAGTGTATCGACACTCCTCACAGTATAGATCCGAGCTGTCTTCATGGCGGTGCTCACCTTGGGAAGTTGCCGCAGGCTGAGTGCTCATTGGAGGTATTGGATCGCCGGCGTACATGGCCGGTGTAACAGTGCTTGATGAACGAGAAGATGAATACGTTCCCGCCTGCGCAGGGTCGTAAAGAGGGAGAGGATGATTTTGGCTGCCTTGTTCCATTTGTTCCTCGGTAGATTCTGTCACAGAGTCGACTTCATGGTACGACTTGGCTCCGGTCCAGTAAGCCGAGTCTCTGAAGGAACCCTCTCCACTGGCAGTCGAACGTGGCCGTCCTCGAGTAGGAGTAGTCAGATGCTGGGGGTTGATTGGTAAATCAGTTCGGAAGCCCTCCGGTAATGGAGAGATTCGCCCTTGAGTAGCAGCTAGATGAGTCCAAGGCGTTGTTTCTGGGCCTCGTGAGCTTGTTGGGTGACTGGTTGCACCGGGAATTTCACCGGACGAAGTCTCCACGTCCTGGTAATGAGATGGAGTGAAATCAGGGCCAGAAGGACAATATTGTGCGTTGCCGTGTAGAGTATCATCAGAAGAGAAAGTCATGAAAGTGGCAGAAGAATGGGCAGGATGGTATTCTGATGGCGAGAAGGAGAACCTGGATGATTCATCACTGGCGAAATCCATTCCGGATAGAGGGGACTGGAGCCCGGTCAAATCTGTCTCTGCATCGAGGGCTGTGTTGAGCGCAGCAGCTCCGCCAGCATGGGATAGAGCGATTGAGGCCTGGCAAGACGAGTCAGAGTTGGAGGGTATCGACAAGGGAAAGAGGCAGTGCGGATAGCTACATTTGACCTGGCTGCTCGAAGCCTTCGAGATCCAGAGAAATACATTTGAGGTGAATAAGGGCGTGTGAATGGTAAAGTATGCCTGCCACGCTTCGATTAGCGATATGCTTTTAGCTAGAATCCCAAGAAGGTGTCCTTGCAGGGAAAGTGAGGCAAGTAGTTTCTTAACAGCCAGGGCTCTTACCGATCAACCGGTCTCAGGTGGGCTAAGCAAGTACGGCGGTGTCAGGTGTGGTAAGCGAGTAATGTCGTTGGAGGGCAAGGTTGGCAAAGATGCCTTGCAGAAGGCGCTCGGTACTTTGGGTACTCAGCCTCTGATCAATCAGTCTTGGATATGCCTATGGCGTTGCTCCAATGACTAAGTCTGCGGCCGGCATAAGCAGCCTGGCTTTGCCCGAAAATGAGGCAAGGCTGGAAGTTAATTGTTAGGAAGGAAGTGAGAAAAGAGACAAGAAGGGAGGAGAAGAGACGGTCGAGATCGAGGATTGAGGTTGAGAGTAGAGTCGGGTTGAAAACTTTGGGGCTGTGTAGACAAGGGAGGACTCACGATGATTTTGAGCTTGACAGAGCCTCAAGTCCGCTGTCGGCTCTCAGCGGACTGGGATTTTGGCCAGTAGGGTCATTTTTCCGTTCGAAAAGACCAGGAGCACCAGGTCGACAAGTCGCTGAGACAGAAAGTGGACGTTTGGGCGAGTGTGGGATGGAGATGGGCACAATTGTGATGAAGTCGTGGTCAAACCGGTGAAGCAGGCACCCAGACAGGAATTGTTGGTTGGGTCGTCACGAGGTTGAGTCCATCCTCGCTAACACGGCACCCAGGCACGCCACGCTAGTAGGCCTACTACGTACATAGTACCATGTAAAGTATAGTGCGCCAGGTCAACGATACGAGTATCGCCAGCGTCATACTGCAAGTTTGCCTGGCCTAATCGCTTCTCAGTCTAGCGTCGTTGCCTGATACGGTTCGAAAACAGCATTACCGGAAAAGTTACACGCATCCCCGTGCCCCTCGCCCCTCGAGCATCCGTCCGGCCTGTATCAGATTGTATTGTTCGATCATTCATGGTACCGACATGTATGCACAGAACTTCTGTAGTCCGGCGTGTCTGGGTACCTGACTTCAAAGTTCCTTTTTGTCCTGCAGCTAACTGAGCGCCATGTTGCTGGATTCCTTGCTGGGCATGGTCGGAACGCCCTGCGAGATACAACTCTGTAGGAGCTTGTGAAGTGGAATCACATGTTGCAATTCGGAATCTCAAATTATCTGTGCATTCGTAAATGTCAGTCATTCATCTTGACCATGGCGACATACACCAGGTCGCTTAGCCTGGGTATCATCTATACAATCGTAAATATCAAAACGTGATCAAGCGATAAGTAACCTCCTCGTCAAAAAACCGTCCCTCCGACTTGAGATCCACCGAAATGTTTCTACCACCCTCTTCTCACATTGGGTGCGCCTGGCCCAAAATTCGCCTCACTTGACCCCCTGACCAAACTCTACCGCTTCGGATCACCGTTCTGGTGGGAAGTGCATGTTCGCTGCCCCTTGTCCATTCCCTGGGACACCATATCCGTAGTCTTGATCCATGGCGTTGAGTCCAAGCCCTGCTCTACCGTTCATTGCAATTGGTGACCGGTTCGAAGGTCCATGCACCATTGATGGGCCATATTGTGGCAGATAGCCCGGCATGGACGGCGCGTTGGTAAACATTGATTGCATTGGTGCCTGGCTGTAGTCGGCCCCCGCTGATTCAAAAGCTGGATTGCCATAGTTTGATGCAATGGATTGCGACCGAGGCATTGCAATCTGACCTTGCGGAGACAGGTGATATTCATGCTGTCCTGACATGCCGCTCGGTGGAATATACTCCACACCGCCCATGTACCCACGGGCCTGCTGGGGAAAGGCTCCTGCAACGCCGTACGTACCACCAAGGGTTTGACCTTGCGTCGCGGCTGGCATTGTATGCGGACTGTAGTAGCCCTGCTCATAATCGAACCCTCCGTTCTGCATGCGACTTTGCATCGACACTGGCGATTGTCCTGCCGAGGAAGTTTGGTAGGCTGAAGCCGCGCTTGCAGGGTACGGCGATAAGTTGCTCATATCGACGTTGCTTACAGTTGCTGGGAATGTTGCAAACGAGGACGGCATCGCTATTGGCTGCTCAACGGGACTGATGATTGTATCAGCCGACACTTGACGCATGCGCACCAGTTCCAGGACGGGCATGGCGATCTGTTCCATGTGCTTGCCCATATGCACCGAGAGCTTCTTGAAACTCGAGCAGACGTTTCCGCAAAACCGGCATTGTTCGTCCCTAGGCTTGCTCTGAGTCTCGTGATGGCACAACTCCACCAGACGCCAGACTTCGTGGTCCTCTTGCCCAGCCTGCCATAATGTAGGGTTGGCGGGCTTCATTTTGCTGCTACCAGAGCCTCGGCCTTTGATCTTCGGTTCTGTCATCTTGTGCTCTCTCACGAGGTGCTGTACGAAATTGTCCTTGCGATAACATACGTGAACACATTCGGCGACGCTACATTTCCACCATTCCAGATGACGGTGGCGTTCGTTCTCATGGCGTACCCAGTCGGCTTTTCGTTTGAAGGACTTCGATTCTGGACAGGTGGGAAAGGTGCAGGAGAAGGGCTGAATATCCTCGTGCACATGTTTGGTCCAATCCGACGGCTTCTGAAATTTCTTCACTTTGAAGCAGAGCTGACATTCAAATTCTGCAGGAAGCCGCTTGACTGGCGGCAGAGGGATGCCGGCAGGAAACAAGGCAGGTGTAACAACACCATCAGCAAGCGCGGATTCGTCGATGTCGTTATCAGTAGGGTTGTTGATTTGAAATTGAGTCAGAGTTGACTCGGGGTCTTTGCTACTCGGACGAGGCGCCAACAGCGTGGCCTCGCCACCAAGTTCAAAGCAGAATTTCCCCGAAGTGCATTTCTTGGTTACCTGGACAGAGCGAGTATGCTTGATCTTGGATTCAACCAGCTTCTTGTATCTCCGGATTTGTTCTTGGCCAATGCGGTCAATCATGTATGGCTCGAGTCTTGGATTCAATCTGCGAGCATGGTCTTTGAATCCTTCGACCGTGGGCACGATGTCCTCGGCCCGTATGGTCAGGTCCATTCGGATTGCAACCTCATCCGTCTGGTCGTCTTCATCATCGTCCGCTTGAGCATCTTCGTTGTCGATGACTTGAGCAGCTAGTATCGACTCTCGTTCGAACATGGGAGATGCCAGAGTCGGAACGGGCGGACCCCCATGTCTTGTCATAAGCTCAGCTAATCCTGGAGTAGAAGACTTTGCCTGCTTGGACACATCACTCTTGCTGCGTTGCTTCTTCAGAGACGTTCGAGAAGGTCTCGGCTGCTCGTTGTCCTGCTTTCCCGTACTGCCCCGCCCAACAGCTGCAAGTTGGCCAGTCATCGCCATGAGAGCACTGCCAGTGTCCGACGGTGGTGACATTGGCTTGCTGAAGCTCGGCATTCTCTGAGAAGGTCTTACAGTACCGATAGAGCTTCGGTGCGTATGAGTTTTGTCTGCGGAGCCATTAGGGGTGGATGGCTCAGCCTTGATGTTGCTGCTACTACGACGAGGCAACAAACCTCGAGCCTTGTTCAATATACTACTACCGCGCTCGCGGCCTCGCTTTGAAAGGGAGAGATGTCGCACCTGGCTCCCTTCCACGATCGAGTTGATCTCGCTGTCGCTGAGTCGGCGTCGTGTTCCCCAAGTAGCGGCCCTTGATGCAGTCTCCCATTTAGCCGCTTCCTGGTTGAATTTATAAGCGGCGGCATTTGATGTGCTTGGTTGATCTTTTGCATTGCTGACTGGACCTCGGACAGCGTCTTGCCAGGGCCCCCGCCGATAGAATTGATGAGGAAGAGGTTCCTGCTGTTCAGGTGCAATTTCCTCTTCCAAAGTTGGGAAGGCGGTGTTTTCGGATGATTCTCGAGCTTCGAGAGCATCGGGGGACATACGAGGCGAGCCAGCCTGGTGATAGTCGTTGATGATCTGCTCTGTAATAGACTCGTCCTCGAAATACTCGTCGTCACTGTCGACCTCAACAAGCACGCCAGGTCCCGGTATGTTCTTGTCCGAGTACACACGGCCAACAGCATCAAATGGCGCCCCAGTGGTGTGGGCACGGCGCCTGCTACCTTGGGCCAGACGGTGGGAGACTGGTTCATGGGAGTCCTCTCCAGCCTCGCTGCCAGCATCGCTTGTTGCGAGCCATGTTTGCACCTCGGCATTCTTCTCCTCCAACTGCCGCTGTTCTTCGAGATCCTTAACCGAAAGAATCACATCGTCAGTTCTTTTGTCTGGCTCTTGGCCGACCCTTTGCAAGAAGCTGGTGTCATTGGCGTCAGGCGGCATCAGATATGGGAATGTGTCGACATTTCTGATCTCGGAAGTTGCACCGTTTTCACCATCTGATTCGTCGTCGGAGCTTGCGCTCTGACGGTTGCGCTTGCTGGAACTCTGGACGATGTTTGCTTGGGTCGAGTGCTCGGGGCCGGCAGCTTCATAGCTCGACACCATCACGACAGGGCTTGGAGCGCGCATGCCCGACGTAGTTCGTTGCCACTTGTCCACTTTATTACTTGGAGATGGCGTGGGCTGCGGGTTGGTGTCCACTCTGAGGTTTTGAGAACCTGACCTCTTGTGATTATCGGCTGACATGGGAGAATCTTTCATGTTTTGATTTGAAGCTTGGATGAGAGCCTCACTGGCCATCAACGGCTGGAAAAAAGGAGTTGCGGTGGTGTTCAAGGACTGGCCTCTTAGCTCTTCACCCGGAGCAGATTTTGGGAGCTTCCCATCTGCAGCCTGGAAAATGCTTTGAGTTCCCAACGATTGAGAGACACCCGGAGTGGGATCGTAAGCACCAGCAGAGTAAGGATCGAGGATATGTAGTTCGGCGGAGTCATGGGCCAGGAACTGTTGCTCCCAAATAAACTCCTGGGGTGTCGTTTCTTCACTTAGATGATTTTCGGAGGAGCCCTCTGTCGAGAAGAGATCATCGAAGGACGAGTCGTGATGTGAGGTATCTTCTTCAAAATTGTAGATGTCTGTTGATGGCTGGAAAGAAGCCGGACTTGTGGCCGTGAGCAGATTTGACGACTGGTCTAGATATCGAGAATTGTCGTCACTGTTGTAATGCGCTGGTTCTTGGAGGATTTGCGCGGGGTTTGATGTCACGCTCACGTTGCGGTGGTGACCATAAGTCTTGGGGATAATGAATGGAGCGCCGGATTGACTCTGCGCCTGTCGCCCTCGAAGCACTGCTGCTGTAGACTGTGAAGGAGAGTGCTGCCCAGGTCTTGGATGGGTTGGTAGATGCGATGTTGCAGGAGACATTTTTGGCGGGATATGACCACAGAAGATGTCGGAGCGAATGTACCCTCCTATGTTCGTGTCCTCGGGCGGAACAATTCAGTAGGGGCCAAATCGTCGAGGCGTCGGGGCATGGCCAGCGGATGCTTCGCCTGTCGAGAGGCTGTGTAATCTGGCAAAGTAGGCAAGTAAAAATCGGTCCGTAGAAGGTCGCGCAACGGGTTTCAAAACGTGCTTTGTTCTGCTCTGCTCTGCTCTGCTCTTGAAACAGGCAAAGATGAGCCGCAGCAAATCTCTTGTGATGTCAAGTTGGTGGAGACTTGTTACGAATCAACGGCGACGAGATGTCAGAGGATATCAATAGAGACGTCAATCGAGGACGTCAGTAGCGCTAGAAGGAAGGAGGAACAGTCGAGAAGGACTACCGCATCAGTGGCACCAGCCAGTTGTGTCGAGTTGAACAGGCCCTGGAGGTTTGTGACTGGTCGCAATGTGACGAAGAGGGCGCAGAGGCTTTAGCAGCAGCAAAGGCGGTCAGGGCAATGGTGATGCGGGACGTAGGGCTGATCTCGGGCTGATTCGACTTGAATCAAGGTTCTGATATCGAACAAGATCCTTCCGCCCTGGTGTCGAGGACTGGGTGAGTGGGAAGACAGCCTGATAAGTTGAGCAAACAACAAACTACTGTCGGCAGATGGCAGATGTCGCAGATTCGGAAGGAGGACTTGGAAGGTAATAACACGAGATGCTGGCACTGACAATTCGAGCGAGAGATGGAAGATGTTAGTGATTGTGGCGGAGGAGCAGATGGTTCGCTTGTGGCACGCGGAGCAACAAGCAGCAGGAGGTGAGCGAGTTGGAGTTGCTGCTGTCAAGTGGAACACAGCCGCCGCAGTTCGGTTAAGGAGCACCGCTCGTTGGATGATTCCACCTCAGCTCCTCCACTAAGTTAAGTTACCTAGGTATGATGGGGGATATCGAGCTGCAGGGATGCTCCAGGCTGTCTGCGGGCGCTCCAAGCTTAAAAGCCACCCAGATGCAAGGGAAAATCTCCATACCTATGACCTAATTCCGCCGGGAGCGACGCTAGATCTACCTTGGCGACGACGAACCTTGGAGCTGCTATTTAACCGGTGAGTGATGGTCTGGGAGCTCAAGCATTATTGGCAACACTACGACGGCCGAGATAGACTGCTAACGATACACATTATCCATTCGCCAGTCGCTACGATGCAAGGTGTGAAATTTGAGAGGCGCAAACTCACAATGCGGACACTTGAAACAAGAGCTCTTCTTGACGCTGAATGTTGACGCTGCACAGCCCCGAATCAGCCTTACAGCAGGAAGCGAACCAGCACAGCCCGTCCACTTCCGTCCTTTCCAGTTTGACCTGCATTTGGGGGCCCAAAAACTCCCGTCATGTTGAGTGTGATTAGCCGCGGCGGAATCGTGGCAGATTCCATGCGATCCACCGATCCTTCCTCCCTCCAATTGCCAGCGACTCGTATAGACTGCATTTCGAAAGGATCACGAAACCCGAATCAAAAGAACAATAATCTTCACGTTCCGTGATCTACATGTCACAGTGTCCTCTCGTGATGTCGCTTGTTCATCTCCCCATCACACTCCGGGCTTGTTGCCGGGCCCAGTGAAGAGTCTTGATGTAGAGCTGTCCCCTGGAGCAAGACACACGAGCCCCGACTCGGGCCGTATGCTTCTGTACCATCCTCCTTACCGAAACCTAGCTCGTCCATCAGTCCTTCTCGGGTAATATGTGGTCTCACCCACAATATGACATCAGTAGGGCTGCCGCTGCTTCCTGCAGCGGGCGCCAGAGGCATACTCGAACCGACCGAGTCCAACTCGAGACGGGCTCTGCGCCAGATCTGTACCGCTGCTTTGGCCACCAAGCGGACACCGTACAACAGTGCTGAATGAGATTCGACGGCAGTGTTAGCCTGAATGGCTTGCATAATCTCGTTGGTGACAGAAAATGCAGTGGCAGCGGCAGCTTTGCGACCGTACGCACTGGCATAAATGGTCTGCATCGTGAGACTTCTCCAGATCGCTTCTCGCCGCAGACTCTTCCGCCTTATCATCCAAGCTACGACCGCCAGGCTCTTGCCCAATCCGAGCCGCTCTAGAGCGCCATATTCGGAAATGAATAGGAATGGTTCAAATATACGTCGTTGGAGAACCATCCATATTCGACTTTGCACAACAAGGCCTCGTAGGTCTTGTGTTACAGCTGTGCTGCCCTCGACACCTAAGATGCCAATTCTCGTACATTGTGCTCCAAATCCATGTGCGTCATCTGGATAGATGTTGACAAAATGCTTCGCAAGCTCCTCTACTAGCGACGCCAGCTGTTCGAAAGCTTCTACACTGAAGCCCACCGTCAGCGGCTTGTGTTTCGACCAGGCATGGCAAAATGAAAACATGGCGTATGTTCATGTCAAGCCGGAAGACACTCACAAGAACTGGTCTCCCTTGCCGCGGGTCTTGGGCGAACTAATCTGACCAAGACTTTGCAAAATCCGATCCATCCTTTCGCTTTCTCGCTGCCATTCAGCTTGTTTGCTTCTCAAACTGAGCATTGACTCGGCAAGCTCAGCATGATGTTTGTTAGCAGCTTCGTGATCCGCTTTTAGGACATCATGTGCCTCTCTTTCGGCAGTAAGCTCAGCTTCCACGCCTCTATGAGCATCACGTTCTTTGTCAAGCTCGCGTCTCAGTTCTTCCATGGCGGCTTGAGCAGCATCTAGCTCAATTTGTAACTGCGTTTCGCAACGCTCGAATGTCCCCGTCAATTTCGATCGCTCCTCGTTGGCCGCTTTCTGAAATTGGTCGATCTCTTTCTGATGAGAACCTTTGAGTGCATCAACTTCGACCTTGTGTTCCGTGATGATCCTTGCCATTCTCTCGGTGGACAGTAGAATTTCTTGCCTGTGCTGCTCAGCTTCCTCTTCGCTTGCTCTCTCTGCATCTCCCAGCTCTTTCCTGCGAAGATCCACTGCATCGTTCAATTCTTTACTTTTCGCAGCCACCGATTTTTCAAGCTCCGAAATGACTGATCGTGCAGAATCAAGCTCCTTCTTCTGCTGCGTGTGCTTTGTGATCATCCCAGCCAGGTCGAGTTGAATCTTCGACAGATTGGCTTTTTGCTCATTGAGTGCTTTAGTATGATTCTCTTCCTTCTCTGCGAGCCGCTTTTCCTGCTTTTCCTTTAAGCCTTCAACCAGTCTCTGGTGCTCAGTATGGTCGCTCGCGGCCTGTTTCTTCAAGTTTTCAATCTCAGCTTCCAGTTCGTGCTTTTGCGTCTTCAACTCCTCATTGTGAGCCCTGCAAGCCTCCAGCTCTTTGTTCAAAGACTCGCTTTTGCTCTGCGTGTCGGCAAGTTCCTCCTTTAATCCATCCAGAACTGAGATTCTTTTGGCTTGTTCACTCATATGGCTTTTGAGCCTGAGGTTCTCGGTTGCTTGCTCTCCTATGATTCTTTCGTACTCCTCCTTTGTGACGATCAGTTCGATGCGCATCTTGTTCATCGCCTCCTCGTGCTGGGTTTCAGCTTGCTTGACAAGATGGTCTTTTTCACTTAAAAGTCCCTGGCTTTCTTGATAATAGTGTAAGAGACGATTAATATCGGGAAGCACACTAGACACCTTTTCGAGCAGCATCTTACGCTCGTCTTCCGTCCCAGCTGGGCCAGATCTTACAATCGCTTCTGGCAGGACAAAGGGCGCGGTAGGAGAAGTGAAAGGCGGGGGATAGAAGGCATGTTGATAAGGTGAATTGCTCATCAGAGGCGGGTAAGGATAAGGGTATACGGCTGGTTGCGAGGGCGGACGGCTGGTACGACAATGAAACATGGGTGACTGTGGCGGTGATGCCAATGGAGTGCGCGCCTTGGAGCCCACAGCTCCTGTTTCCGGAGGAGGGCTGGAACTGATAAGTACTGGACTTTCCGGCTCGTTAGCATCTGTCATATTTATGAAAGGTATTGAGGCTTTTGGAGCCGGCGCAACCAGAGGACCTTGTGGTGGTAGCGAGGTTACTGTAGTTGCCTCCGCAGACGTCAAGTCGTCCAGCGAAAGTTTCGGAGCAATGGGATCGGATACTGGAAAAGCACCTGGAGGGACAGGCTCAGGATGGATAGCCGGTGATGTCGCCACCTTTGGAGAGGTTGTTGGAAAGACTGTCGTAGATTTCGTGGGGGAAACGGGTATCAAATGTGTGGTTTTCAATTCCTCGAACTCTTCGGCGACAGTTGGCTGCATTGAGTGAGCAGGACGTGAGCTGGGTGGCTGAGCTGGCTCTATGCTACTTTTCTCTTCTTCAATTGATGTCGGGCTCGTCACAGCTGGCGGCTGTCCAGCACCATCCGGAGAGACAATGGATGGCTGACCCCTAACATCGGAGGAATTCGTGATTATCGGCTTTTCTTTGACGAGCGTTTCTGGAAGTTTGGTCTTCTTATCCTCGAACACAGAGACTATGTTCCTGCTGGACCGGGCAGGCCCTGCGGAGTGTCTTGATGAGCTCAAAAGCGTATCCGACTGCCTAGGATCATGGGTTCGTGGTCGGTAAATGTAAGTGGCAGGCGAAGTCGGCCTGCTGTTCCTTGGGACAGACACTTCGTCTAGAGTCCTGGATAGGGTCTTTGACAGCTTCAAGGAAGCTGAGCTGGATGCCCTGCTACCTGAATGTCGCTCGGAACTTTCGCCCAAGCTACCGCGACGACCCCTGGGTTTAGCGCTGGTCTGATATGCCGTTGTCGACATTGTGCTGTCATCTAAGGGTCAATGGCCCGGTTGGTCAATGTAAGAGGTGCCTGACGCAGCAGAGAAAGCAGGAGAACTCGAAGTAATGCGTACAATAGTGCAGCAAAAAAGAACAAATTTTTGAGGGTTTACGCTATAGTACAGATTAGTGTTACAGCTCAAGGGCAAGGTAGTTGTAACAAGAACGGAAGCTTCTGCAGGAGGAGAAAAAGACTGCGCATGAACTATAAGCCCTGAAATTGACAAGGCACAGGCAAAGGCAAAAGAACAGTCATATTGGGCTTGGTGTCCATCGGTAGACTGGTTTTGACGACACATGGCGAGAGCTTTGCTGCCCAACCATAACCCTATCACGACCCTCTCTGGGGTGGCCTTGACAAACGCCCGTTGTGTCTGTGCAGAACAACATCAGTAATTGCTGTTCATGATCACCTGCGTGTGCCTGGAAATTGGTAGTACATCAGTTCAGGGACAGTTTCGTGGCGGTCGGTGATTGGTTTGTAGCGTGCTTGAGAGGAATATATCCTTCACGATCCTGTCAAGGCAGATGAGAATTCGCATTGGACTAAAATGGCTTAGCTCCTTGGCATCCATCCGGGGGACTTCACCTTCAACGTCAGTGCCGGCCGGACATTGCTACCTGCGCCCACCAAAGACCTTGCCTGCAGCTCATACAACCATGTCCTTTGTCTCAAGAGGGGCGAGGGCTGCAGCTCGTCCCTTACGACGCTCATTACAGCACCAATCGCGCCGAAATGCCGGGCATGAAGCTGGCCATGGCCACGGCCACGGTCATGAAGGAGCACGAGAGAGTGCCATGCACGTCGAAGCTGGGTCGGGCACCGAGTCGCTAAGCGTAGGTTGATAACAAGGCCCAGGGATTGCCTCATTGACTGATGTTTGACACAGCGAGGCTTCTATATCAGCGTAGCACTCGTACCTTTCGCGTATCTCGTTTATTCGATCGCAAGTTCTCCTGGCGACAACGCTGTCTCACGCATGGTGAAGAGTTATGAAGACAACAAGAGAGCTGACGAGACGAAAAACGTCATCCACACAACAATGCTAGAACAAGCTGCTTGGGATCGCCAGCTGTTTAGTGCAAACGCCCGAGATGAGAGTGGCCCGAGCCTTAGAAATCCAGAGTGAGTCTTCGGCTCTGCGACCAATATTGGCTTGAGATTCAGACGCTGATGTCCATCTTTTCAGGTCCTTCAACTTCGGTTCTCCGTACAACGTTTCAGCTGGCAGAGACACTGCAGATCTCTCTGCTCTCGCCAAATTCTATCAGGATGAGAAGGAAGAGGCCGAACAACAGAGAATAGAGAGACTGAAGAGAAATAAAGGTCGTTCGGTATACGACTAGGCGAGCAGTTATGCCGAAGCGTTGCAAGTGCCTATTGTACATATGACAATTTGATAAAATGAGAAAGAAACAACTATGACGGTCGGAACATCCGCAGTTGGCTTGACCCCAGTTTCAAGCTGGCTTTCGCGGTGCAGCCTTTTCTGAGTAAAGCCTTTGGCATCCCGGCCTCGGCAAATTCTGAATGATGATGCTTTTGGAAATGGCTATCACCTCATGACGTGTTTCCGTGCGTCGATTGCGTGTCAATACTTCACATCTCATGCATAGCGCAAAGTATGCTCCAACTACAAGTGAACCGACTCAAAGTCCTCGTCTGTACATCTATGCCGGCCGTCTCCCTGACTCAGTTGTTCAGAGCTTGGGCAGCTCTTCCGGCTCTCCAATGAGTGTAAGAAATGAGTCATGCACCTCATCAGTGAGATCACTGGCTTGCAGACTTCTCTGCCGCTTCGCAAAAGCACGGCGCGAGCACTCTCTCGTGATAGCACTGCCTCCAAATGCCACAGCTAAGAGAGTCTCCTCCCGACTCATTTTCTCGGGGCCGACGTCCCACAGTCCCTCATGGTAGAGTTCTCGCCATCCAAGGAAGGTACCCAATGAGCCAGTCAGAGTATCACCTTGACCACCAGATCGCTTCAGACCACCCTGGAAGTCCGAGATGGTGGTGTCGATACCCTGAGAAATGTAGTCCACCGCACCCTTCTGAATGATGCATACGCCGCCCAAGGCTTTGGAGAGATTCTGGCACGCTCTTGCTGGATCGCTGTTGTCTTCGCCCGTGCCTACTGCCTTTGCAAGTCGGCCAAATTCAACGACATTGGGTGTGAGGATACATTCTTTGTGACCCTTGACAAGATCCGGGTCTGTCTGCACAAGCCATAGAGCGTCCGCATCCAAAACCATTGGTACAGGCGGATCATGCTTTCGTGCTGCCGTGATCACGGCTTTTACCTGCTTCTGCGTGATGATGTCTCTTCCCAGTCCGGGCCCGATGACGAGCACATGCAGACGTGGCAGCATGTCTAGGATTGGCTTGGCCAACTCTTCACCAGTCGGCTCCTTCTCTTTCTGTGCCTGGGATATCGAAGCAGTAGATCGGAGGATTGGGGACACCATGAGGTTGGGTGAATAAGACTTGATGGTCTGCGCCGCAGAGGGTTCGCAAAAGACGTAGGATAGATCACAGCCCAGTCGTGCCGACGCCATGGCCGAGAAGTACGGTGCTCCTGTATAATCGGCGCTGCCGCCAATGACAGCAACTCGGCCTAGCTGTCCCTTGTGGAATTTCTCCAGCATGGGAGGTACGAGTTTGCGGACCTTGCCCAGCATGGCGCGCGAGGCGGCGGACATGTTGATCTCGTTGGAGCTGGAGTCTGGACTCATTGAATTTTTGAAAGAGTTTTGCGGATAGTAAAGTTTCTAGAAGCTAAGAGGGTAAGCGAGACAATCAATGAGATCTGGGAGCTAATTGAGCAGGACGAGGAGCAGGTTGAGAAGCATGTTCTTTGCAGGTCGGCCAAAGTGATGTCAGAGGTAGATCTGGTCGCGTCACAATGCAGACGGGAGACTCGAGGATTGAGGGACGATGGAGCTATCCTGGAAGGACTGGACAAAATCAATTGGTGGACTTGCGAGCCGAGGTCGAGTCTTTATCAGTACGAGAAGCCTGCTGCAGGAAAGGGACAGTGGTGATGGTGTCTTGCTGTATCTCAATAACAATTGCGTTGTGCATTTTCTCGATGGCGCTGCGCTTGCGAGCTGAAACGTGCTCCGGGTCAAGCCTCCGCCGATCCAGCTGGTCTCTCCGCCTGCAAACAACAACATTTAGGACGTTCGAACCCAACACGAGATGTATTAAGTGCTATGGACACAAGTCTACCTACGTAAAGTTCTGCTGATTTGATGCCTTTGGCCATGCTGTGTGGCTTTAATACGCAAGCCCGGCATAATATCCAGCAAGGTTGACAATCTGGTCTTCCAAGCTCTTGAACTTGATGCCAAAGACTTCCTCGGTCTTGCTCGCGTCGAATGCCACTGCAATTGACTTATTGGAGCCACCAAGCGGGAAGATACCTTGCTCCACTTCACTGGGAAAGTGCTTCTTGACAATGTCGATAGCATCGTCCCACTGAACTGGTGCTTCTCCGACATAGTTGACGCCGAAATTTTGGTTCCCTTTGATCTCAGGCTTCAGGGATGCGATATGGACCAAGGCAACATCGTCCACATGGCACGTAATCGCCGGAGTTCCAGCAGGGTTCTGCATACCCAGAATGGGAATCATGGCAATGGCGTTGGAACCGGCGTTGACGGCTTCGCGAGTCGTTGCAAGCTCGTTCTTTCCAATGACAAACGTCGGCATGATGTTGATAATGTCAAAGTTGGGCTTCTCTTGGGCAATGAAATCTCTCGAACGGTTGTGCGCCAATTTCTTGCTTGCACTATATGCCGCAAAAGTGTTGTCAAATGGTCCTTGGGGATCTGGCTCGACATTGTCTGCGGTGAAGGCCTTCGGTTCAGAAGGCGCGACAGCTGTTACCGAAGAGGTAATAACAACTTTCTTGATGCAGGGCTCCTTGAGTGCAGAGTAGAGAATACTCAAGGTGCCACGGATAGCCGGTTGGATGATGTTCGCCTCGTTGTCATTAGATGGCTTAGGCAGGGGGGAAGCTAGATGCACAATGTAGTCGACGCCCTTGACTGCTGAATCGAAGGCACCTTCCTTCTCAATATTGGGAACGGTGATGAAGGTAAGCTGTTTCAGATATGGCTGCGTGGACTTGGCCGCCTTGACCTCTGCAGCTTTGGCTTCTGACCGCACGGCAGCTCGGACATTGTAGCCCTGGGAGAGTGCCTCGATGAGAGTGCGATAGCCAATGTGCCCGGTACTTCCCGTCAGAAGAACAAGCTCGCCAGCCATGTCGATGGGGTCAAGGAACGAGTAAAGCTCAGAAATATGTCGGAAACAGGATTGGCTGATTGATGTGTGCTATAAGGCTTGAATGGAGAACAGGAGGGTGATACAAGGAGCAGTTTTGGGTTTAAATATACTCATGATCAAAGCATAACTTCACCTATCTATAACAACGTCGCTTGTTCTCTCTGGGAATTTGCACCAGATCAACCCAGAAGTCACTGCGAAAGGTTCATGATTCGGCCGAGAAGCTGACCAATATACTCATGTTCCCAGCAAAAAAAGGTGTCGAACATGCAACATATCCTCTGCCGTGGTTTAATCAGTTCGTGTTTACTCACTGTTACTCATCGCCGCGTTATGTGCATCGTGGTGCATGTACCTTAGGCTGGAGTGGCTGATTGAATTTGGAGGCCACTAGGCAAAGTCTTGGCAGCAGCGGGTGTCGTTCAGCCTTTTTCAGTGGGTGGGATTACATACGTGTTCATTAATCACAAATACACAATCCAAGTACCTGATCGAGGAGCTGCCTCGGTATCTTGGAGTCTGGTTAAGGCAATTGACGACTGTCCTATGCAGTGTACTAGTTAGAGCTCCCACTGGGTCGGAGACCACACGCCATGCTTAACCCGGCCGAGATAGACAGTTTGAAGCAGTTCCACACCGCGCATTTCCCGAACCAGCCAGTGCCGAAGTTCAGCAACACTTCGTGGCATCGAGGAGCAGCCATGTCTCAGCCAGCTCCTCAAGAAGCTGATGATGGACTTGGATACTATGGGGATGGAGTGAAAAGAACTTTGACTGACGAGCAGATCAGAATGTTCCGGCATTCCGAAATTCAGCGCTTGATGAGCGAAAGACGCGCCGCGAAGGAGGCGGAAGAAAAGCAGCAGAAACGCCAGCAAGCTGACTACGGCCGCACCAGACTCCCTCAAAAGGGACGTGGCCACTTCGACGATCAACCAGAAGACAAACAAAAGATTGTCGACACCTTGATATATGATGATCAGCCGGAGCATGACACGAATGCGGAACCAACACCGAGGACTTTCCTTTGGCCAAAACTGGGTGAAGCTTGAGAAAGATTGTCGTATCTTGCTAGGGATGTTTGACAATCTACAATCGGTCGAAGCCTCGACGGTCGCCCTCAGCTTCGTGGAGATGCCGCATGCAGGACTCAAGGAAGAGAACGGTCGTCGACTGAAAATGTAAGCACAAATTTTGTCTACCCGACCTTTCCTATGATGAGCTCTTGTATCATCCTTAGCCTGAAGTGGAGATGGCAGCAGCCTCGAGCTCGCTCTGACGATTGCTTCGCCTACAGCCTCCCATTGTGTTGAATTTTATCTTCTCTCTGAATCCATGATATCCCCCAATCTTTATCACGTGAACAGATTGAAGGGATGATGACTAATCGACCCTGCAGCTCATCAAGCAGATTTCACCTGCTATGTCACGGCTGGGACCTCTGTCGAGCAAAGACTCGCCAGAAGTATGGACACCTTGTTTCTGGGTCATATCCTTCCGGGTAATACTTGTCTGCGCCGCCGCGTCATCTTCCTTGGGTGGCGGCATTTTCCCTTCATGGCCTCCGGTCGACTTATCACAGTCGATGTCTATATCGATTGCCACCGCGTCTGTCTGGTCCGGCTCCATCTCTGATAGATAGCAGTTCTGCACAAGCTGTTCATTCTGCGCAGCATCTTCATCTTCATCTATGCCGGTCGTGGCCTGGTCGGCCGGGTCTCCCTCGATATCGAGGTCGGCCTCACTTCTTCCCGACTCCAAACATGCTGCTTGCCATCGATCAGTGAGGAAATGATCCGGAGGAATGTATTCAAGCTTACCATTTGACCATCCCTCCTCATTCTCATTGCTCGGCCTGTTAAGACTGTTGAGATGACGAGTTGAGGAAGCCATGTCCGCATCGCAGCTCGGTTCACTCTTGATTGCTTCCCAAAAAGCTGCGTCCTTTCTGAAGCACGCCTACTTTGACTCCTGGGCAGTGATCCAGCTGTTGCTGAAGCCCTACTTATGTTTCAGGTTGTTACCGATCTCCTCCTCCATCCGGCCCGTTCAGTTCGACCATTCCACAGATTGGACAGCCTGGCAGTCATCTCTTTCGGACCCACTCCGAGACTAATAATTTCAACGCTCTCTGCAAGGCCAAAGGTGAAGCATCGGACCGCCTCATTAGTATCATCATTGAAGAAATGGAAAAAGTCAGTAAGGTTTACGAAATCAGAGAATAGAAGAAGGCTACTGCACACTCAAAAGAGGAGGCGCCGTGCTCCCAGCCTATGAGACTCGCCGGGTCTGGCAAGATCCAGCCCTACTCATGCAAGAAGATCAAATGATCTTCAGACCTCAAGATGGTCTCGGCATGAATCCTGTACAGGGGCCACGCTGGGGATCTGAGGTCGACAAAATCGAGAGCAAATACTATGCGGACGGTGAAGATACGTACGCGATGAAGTTGGACCGAGGCAACTTGCAGACCAAAGATGTGCGGGAAGAAGAGGACAAGGATAAGGGCGGTGCAGTTGGTTCATTATGCAAGGATGGTGAGGAGGACCCCGTAAATGGCGAGAATGGCAAGAAGGAGAAGATGGTCAAAGTCAAGGTCGGTCGAGGGCTGGGTGTCGGTGATTTGGGGGAGAGGAATGTCGCTTGACCCAGAAGCCATTTTTCATATACACTGTGACAATCCATCTCCAATCTCCCTCCTAAGGGATGGGATCGGCGCTCTCAAAGCAAAGCTTTCCAATCCATTTCTGCAACCGCCTGCTTGACTCCTACAAAATGGGCATCTCCGATGCCCAGATCTTCCTTTACCAAGATACCTTCTTCACCGGACCAAGCTCGCTCGCGCAATTCGTCCCACATCTTCATCATGCTACCCATCTCCTGACCCCAGCCTGGCCAAATCTTACTGAAAGAGTCCAAGCTGACCTCCACGTACTCGGAAGGCTTGCCAGTAGCCGCACTCCAATCTTGAAGAAGCTTCTCAGTGGTTGTGTCTTCAACGTGAGCACACACAAATCTTCCAGGGAGCGTGATGTGGGGTTGTTTCAGGATCGCCAGAGCGAAGATGCCTATATTGCCGCTGGGACTGCCAATGGTCTTGATAGGCAAATCAGCTGCTGCAGAGGAGAGTTGCACGTATTTCCCCGAGGTTTTCTGCACGAGATGTTAGAAGCGATCTGTTGTCTAAAACACACGATTTACGTACCAACAGGTTTGGCGTGAAGATCGGGTACTGGAAATTGTTTGCATAAAAGGTTATCCAGAAAAAGGTGGTCTTCGCAAGCAGGGATTTATCTTGCTTGATGAAATCGTCAACGATATTCTTGGCCACGAAGTGAGGAATCCTCCATTTGCCGTTGGTCAGCTTCTCTCCGTTGGGAAGTGTGCTCCAGATGTAATGTTTGAGTGTTAGGGTCTTTGAAGCTGCTCGCGCCAAATTCTTGCCCTGCGTTGCCTCGATCTCAATGGCTTTCTCGTATCCATGCACAACGAACGGCTCGAAGAAGTCCGTCATGCCGAAAATTGCCGTAGAACCCTAGCAAGTTTCATGTCAATGCCGACTCGTGAAATAGGACAAACTATTGAGACTTACTTCAAACGCTTTGAGAAGGGATGCTTCATCGTTGATGTCTGCTTGGACAATATCCACACCTCTGCCGGCGAGCTCTTTTGCTTTGCGTGGTAGGACTTCGAGTAACGGCTCGTATTTTGTAGCTGCCGTCCTCAAGAGCTGCATTGATTAGCGACAGGCCTTGTGTTCCTGTACCGCCCACCACGGTCAACAGGTTCGAATTCGGCATGACGGGTGTTGAGCCAGTGCTTGCTGGAAGCAGATTCGGATATATAAGAGCGCAGGAAAGGGTCAAAAGATGAATTTGGGACGAGAATGTCGAATTCAAAAGTCCCGAGGTGTTAATATACCAATAAGTCTCAAGGTGAAGTTGAAAGTCAAGCAACAGAACATCGTCAGAGAACAACGTGGTATTCTTCGTGCTCCATATAATAGCCAGCGCCAGCGTGAAATGATTACACACCTTGCACATCCTCGAACAGTAAGCATGCAGTAACGAGGGGAAAGCTCCGGCTCCAGGGATTAGGGACTCACCCCGCCGTGAATGTCCTAAACAGGCAGGGAAATTACTATATCGGTATTAGGACAGGTTTTATCTTGTAAGCAGGTGCTATATAGAGCGTCAGTGAGAAAATCCGTCGACTCCTATAGCCGCTCGTTTACATAATAGGAAAGCCGCTTGCCGGAGCCCCGTTCCCGGGGCGTCTCACGAATGGATGTCAGGGTCCATACCGACCGAGCCAGTGTTCCACTGCTAGCGTGAATGATGCTGAGGCCTTCCAGATCAATGGTCAAACTACGAAGGCTGCAGGCTGGACTGGTCTTACCTCGCTTTGACATTGGAGTCTCCCGGAGAGGGATAGCTTGGGCATTGCTTGTTCAATTGTCTGTGGCTTTACCGGTGGGAGAAGGCTCCACTGAACGAGGCTCAATTTCACCTATATGCCAATGATGATGTTTGCGGCTTCTTGCAGCTTGGAACACTCATCGTCGCAGCATGGGCCCCTTTGAGAATCAAGTTGTTTTGCACCTTGGGCAGCAGCGAATGATGCGGTAGCCGTGGCTAATAGGAATGGGAAGTTCTTGGCAAGCCCAATTAGGCATTTCTTGGCATTGTGGAAAGGTGACTAAGAATTACATATCAACGCAGGTTGCAGCATATGGAGAAAATATGGTGCTCTTATGCCCAGGTCCGTTCATCATCAAAGCTGACCAGTTTCAAGCGCGGTGATCCACGAGCGCAGTTCTCTGTTCACCTTGATCGGGTCTTCTCGCCAAAGCCAGTGGCCCGCATTGGGCAGTGTAACTATCCGAACAGACTGATGGAACCACTTGTAAAGCCATCCGGCATCTTGTCTGAAAAATACGGCTCTTGCATACCCCAAATGACAATGGATGGCATTTTGTAATGCATGTTCGAGGTGTCGACATTTTGCCCGTAAGGAGGACCAGGGAAGTTTTTTCGGAAAAAGTAGAACATCCCACCCTCTGGCGACTGTTGCAGGTATTGTTTGATTTTGGCCCGATATTCTACGTCTGGAATTCTTCGCACGACAAAGTCGATATCGTACGCATCTCCAGGATTATGTTTTATGTACTTCAGCGAGTACTGGGAGAGTCGTTGCTGGTCCTTATCATGATGAATCAAGTGCATCATAGTGCCCAAAATGGGAGTGTTGAAAATGACCAAGCCGCTGAACCGCTCAGGATGAAGGAAGGCCAACTTTGGGACAAGAATCCCTCCGACATCGCCTCCTGCAAATATGGCCTTCTCTACGCCGAGATGGTCAATCAACGCAAGAAGATCTCCAGCCATCACATTTCCGTCGTAGGCATTTTCGTCAGGCGGTACATCGCTTGGTGGATATCCTCGAACCGTAGGTAGCACGACTGTATGGTCTCTTGCAAATTCATCGATTTGATACTCAAATCTCATCTCATTGTCAGGATGGCCGTGGACAAACACCAGGATAGGGCCGCTGCCATAAATGCGATAGTGAATTCCAACACCGTTGTTCTTAAAAAATCGAGATTCTTTTGCCAGTGGCATGCTGGCGAAAACGGGATTGAGGTTTGCTTCTCTCCGGTAAGTCTACACGCTAACTGAGGATTGCGAACGTCGTCAGAAGGGCCTCGGATATTTATATTGTTCAAGCCTATATGATGATCGTTTCTCAGCCACCCACCCCTGGTAGGGCTTTCACCCCTTCAATCCTTCGGTCTGGGCAAGCCTGAAAACAATAAACCCGCTTATTTCTGCTTCAACGAATTTCCTACTTAGCAATAGTGTTTGCCTGGGCCCGACGACATCCGCCTGGATGTAATGACTTCACCGTAACGCTAAGTTTTCTCCGCGGAAGTAGGATTGCAAGCCGGTGAGGTAGGCGAACCTTCTGACGCTCGGTCTCCGTATACCAAAACACTAAATCTCTACAGGGTTGTAGTATTCACCGTTCTCATGCACCTGAACCTTTATGATCGTGTTTGTCAGCAATGATGCTCTCAGGTTTATCGGAGTGAGAAAGTCCACATGTTTAGTTAGAAAGCACACCTCAAAAGGAAAACAACTTCTCCCCGGACAGCATCGATGAGGATGGAGATCCTGGCAAAAGAAGTCAAAGATTTTGGCTAGGCCAGTTTGGCTAGGATATACCATGGCTGAAAATTATATAAAGACGTGTGCACTGCCAAATGTCCAGCTGATATTAAATCATAAACCAAAACGCTCTGGCTGACAAAATCTACGACAATTCACTTTGAAAACACCTCCCCATCACAATCATGGCCAAGACCATTCTCGTCACAGGCGCATCGGGCTACATTGGTGGCTCACATTGTTGACGCTTTGCTCCAAAGTGGCTACAATGGGCGTGGAACTGTTCGATCGGAACCCACTGCCGCCAAAGTAAAACAGACGCATTCCAAGTATCAAGCCCAGCTATCTTTTGCTATTGTCACAGATATTGGAGTTGCCGATGCTTTCGACGAGGCAGTTAAAGGAGTTGATGGAGTGAGTGGAATCTTGTCACCTCACAAATCTCAAAGCTGACTTCTGTAGATCATTCACACCGCCTCACCTTTTGTTTTGAATGCCTCGGATTTTGAGAACGACCTGTTCCGTCCTGCTATTAACGGAGTAGTTTCGGTTCTTCGAGGTGCTCAAAAGAACAATCCTGGCGTCAAGCGCATTGTCATCACCTCTTCATTTGCTGCTCACCTGGATCCTGACAAGGGTATTCGCCCGGGATACACGTACAGCGAAAGTGACTGGAATCCCGTCACCAGGGAGGCTGCAGATCGCGGCGACGGGGTTGTCGCTTACCTTGCATCCAAGACTTTAGCCGAACAAGCTGCATGGGACTATGTTAGAAGCCAGAAGGTATGGACTATTCTTGTGTCATTTCTGGAGGGCGATCCGAACTAAAGCTTCTTGAACAGCTGCAATTCTCCATCGTTACTCTCTCTCCCCCCATGGTCTACGGTCCCTTGATCCATAACGTCGAAAAAATGAGTGATCTGAACACTTCTGCCGCTGATATATATCGCTTGATCGACGGGTCACAGCAGGAAGTCCCTCAAACAGGGTTTTGGGCCTTTGCGGATGTTCGTGACGGTAAAGGAACACTGTCTCCCTGTATGACGAATATTCTGGCACATTTGCTAAGTGATGCTCATTCACAGTCGCTAAAGCTCATGTTCTCGCATTCGAAAAGCCGCAAGCTGCAGGACAACGATATCTTATCTCCTCCTCAGCATACAGCTACCAACAGATCTGCGATATCATAAGGGAGAAGTTTCCCAACCTCCGTGGCTTGACTCCGAAGGGAAGTCCCGGTGAACCGCTCCCATCTGTATACAAGTTGGATACCTCCAAGGCTGTCGAACAATTGGGCATGACTTTCAGACCTCTCGAAAAGACAGTCACCGACATGGCCAATAGTCTCCTGGAGTTACAGAAGAAGCTAAACGGAAATCAGGGCGGGGCTGTCAATGGTACAGTTTAGTGGATGACGAAGGCTGCCCAGGCCAATGTCAAGGGTACCGGGTGAATACGTTTGGCATTCACAGGCTCTAAAAGGCCACGAGAATCTTGTGTACCTGAGGTTATGATGATTAAAAGAAGCGACTCCCAATGTTCTCCGTAGAGAGACATCTACGTATACCTTGCTGGAGATATCGATGACCTGTCGGCTCTGCTTTTACTCGCATCCCCTATAAACCCAAACATTCGACTCTCTTTTTGTAGTGCAGAGTATAGCTTTCGGACCCTTTTCAGATCGACATAAATTCGAGCGTGGTGCCATGCCCACTTTCAGGGACTCGTGAGCTGCGCGGGATAGTCTGCTTGAGGTGCCTCGTGAGTTGCAGCATGCGGGTAAGGTTGCGGAGTCACAACGGCACATGCCACCTCCTACACGCGCTTAACGTATCCAAGATCACGAGTCTTCGACAGTTTGGAGTTTAGTCGCAACAAAATGCTTCTTTACTGGAATCTCGATCCTGTTGACGGATTTCCTATTTGGGGTGATGGAAACTTTCCGAATGAAGCTAGTGCTAAACGCATCAAATCACCCACAACGAATTCAAGCGTCATAAGCACCACAGAGTATCTCCATGAACGAAGGTGGCACGAAGCACAGGACCAAGGTGCAAAGGCTGAGTCGATACGATAAGCGGCAACTAATCGGAAGTCATTGAGTGATTTTAGATGATTGCTTCTGCCTCTCACGGGAAACCAAATTCGGGATGTGCTCATTGCGTGTGCTCCTCGCGAGACAGACCCTTGTCCATCTCGACCACTACCTCTGTGTGGTCATGCGACCATGTGTTTGAGCATCTTTCCAAAATTCCCAAGCAGCCAAAGTGAGGACAGACTCTGACCACAACACTTCAGATAAACAATCTCTTACCTGAACCCAGGTCGATACATGAGCAGACGAGGAAAAGTGGATAAAACGAGCCAAAAACCAGCTCCGTGCCTTGTCTGTCATCTCATCATCGTCATCAGCTTGGAGGCCACCCAAAACTAGTGCCCATAGGAACAGTTGCTTGTATTCTCTCAGATACACCATCCTCCGAGGCTCGTCTGCACATCGAGTGAGCGCATCTTTTAGAGTCAGTGTCAGGATCTTAGCGGTACCCCCAGCTGGATTCATTGGAAACACCACGAGATTGCTGAAGATTCTGAGGGAGAGACGAGCGACTTCAAATAGACGGTGCTCAGCTCCCCCCGGGGCCAGACGCTGGTCCCTCAGTGCATGGCTCAAGGCTCAGCAGTAAATATTGCGCATCGTTGCGTGCGTTGACAATTTGTGAAAATTCTATGTTTGGGTTGGGTCCATGAAGATATCGCTCGAGGGCTTCGCTTACAACGGATAGCACTTGGACAGCCTCGACAAGGGGCTGTCGCAGATCGGATGCTATTGAGAGCAGCTCCCACATCTTCAGTGGAGAACCAGGAACTACCATTCTCAGGGTTCGCAGACTCGTCAGTCCTGGTGGGTCCATTCTTAAGATGTGTAGTGGCGAACTCGTCTGGGAAGCATGAACAAGGTCGCACCTTTTTGAATCAGTAACAGCCAGAAGCATCAAGACACGATGGGGGTTAAAAGTGGGGAGACTGACAATGCACCCACGCTGGCAACCCCTGGCAATGTGATCTTCGAGAATCCACCTTTCATGATCACGAGGCGTACCAGGGCTTCTGTGTGGGGGCTTCGGAAAGGCCTTACACTATAGACGTGGATAAACTGCGCGGTCCTCAGTGAAGATCTGAAGCGAGATGCATTTGCGCTGTCAAGGGACGCAATCCTGGCTTCACCGGAGAACATGACATAATTCGCTGCGAGCACCACGATGGCGCCCAGTAGATGGTCAGACAGTGAATCGCCACTAGACTAGATTTCCTGATTGATGAGCTCAATCATCTTAATGCGGTAGGACAAGCATAGCTGCGAAAACCCCTTGATCCTAGAGCTGACGCCGCCAAGTAACTCGTAGTTCTCGGCGGTGCCTACCATATATGCATAGAAGGCAAGCGGTGCTTGTCGAATCGCCTCAAGATAGGCAGTGACCGCAGGATTTTCGGGATCAGGCATATTTCCAGGACTTAATCCTGGCCAGAAATGATGTACAGCTAAGGTTCGAAGTGAGTATATAGACCTAGTTGTGGGGGTTTTGGCTCGCTAGTACGGAGTACCATGATCTATTATCTCATGCACTAGATCGGGTATATCGAACACGGCAAAGGCCGCAAATGGATCTTTCCTTCCTTGACCGAGCACATCAAAGGGTTGAGGGGTTGTTCGACGCTTAGGGGCTATGGATACTGGTTGGTGTCGCCGATTCGTAAGCACCGAATCCTGTCCGTGCCTCCACTGTACAAAGGTATGATTACTCTGGCCTGCACTTGAAGTGTTGCGCCCTCCGCGTCGTTGTCGCCGCAGCTTGGCCGCATGGGAAGCAATGGCATAGCGAGTTCGCTCGCTTACCATGTCCTCCAAATTTGAGATATTGATAAAGATCTCAGGCTGCATCTTGAAACAGGAGATGGTTACATAGCAAATGGCACTGCGGCTTCCGGCATCTCCTGGGTAAGTTTACGCACACCTTAAAAAGGTTTCTGCAGACCCCGTTTTGAATGTTACCGGTCTCCCTGTGCAGAAGGTTGGCCGAATGCCCCTAGAATGCGGAGTTGAACTTCTCAGCCGTACATTCATTAGAGGCATCCGAGATGCACGCCTGGGGATGCTGAGTGGCTCGGGCTCACTAGGCCTCGTAACGGCTTACAAATGGCGCAAGGCGGGCACGTTAGGGAGTCCCAGGCTTACACGCAGCGTTTAGGCTCAACTTCCGCCAATGCATGGAGGCAGAGAGTTGAAAGTTCGTCTCAGGGGGTTTCAAGCTACTCCAGCGTAAAGCATATGTAAGTGGCTCGGGACATTCGGATGCGACTTACAATTCGCTTCAGGTTCGTGATGCAGGCCTATCTTCCCCGACACGACTAGAGCATGCGCTGACTCCTCCGATTACTCCTCAATGTTCTGCTTGAAAAGCCAGTGAAGAAGGTCGTTACCGTCCACTCCCTCTGAGTAGAACGCTATCGACTCGCTAGCAGCTTCCTGGTTGCGAACCGCCCACCCATAGCCTCCCGCCGTGTGCATGAGCTGAATCCCATGATTTGGCCACTAGTGGTTTCGATGCGTTGGTGCTTTCGGTATATCTAGATTCAGCTTTTTCAAGCGTTTCTCTTCTTCCCGGGCTTCATACGCAGCGCGAGCCTCATGTGCTTCTTCGTCCGTTATGGCGACGGAGTAGCCTGGATTCTCCCAAGATCCGACAGGAGGGTTAGGGTTACCAGGCTTACTGATGGAATGTTTGCGTAGAGCTGTCAAAAGCGCCCAAAGGAATTTGTTGCGACGAGTAGTACGCAGAGTCTCGTTGGACCAGTTCGACTAATAGCAGTGTGAGCGCTGTCGCAAGTAGGAAGTGCGCGGTGGTATTTCATACCTTGTGACAGACTCTTACTCTCAGAACAAGCTCCCTCAAATTTCCAATAGAGGTCAATTGGACATCGACTTGGGGTTGGAAATCGCGTTTGTTATCGCGAACGAAACTTTCGAGCTCAACTTTTAGGTTCTCGATGGCGTCGTATTTGGTTTTGGCATAGATGGCAAAGTCGTATATCTCTGGCATGGCCTTGCTTCGAGAAATGTTCTTAATCCACTGGCCGTTGTTGATAATATTGGGGATCTGAATGCTGGCTTCGCTATCGACTTGGCGAAAGATGGTGTACATTAGAGATATATGCTCGACCACCAACGGGACGTTGTTAATGTCAACCCGATCGCCAACATCGTATGGGTGTTTGATGAAGATGAAAACACAAGAGCCGAGGAATTCCTGGACAGTGCCTGCGACGGCGAAGGACAATGCAGCAATGCTACCCCACAACGTTGTTGCCCGAGAGGCGAGGGATGCGTTGAAAAATGAGGCTGGACGCGATTAGTGAGAACGGGAACCAGGAGTAAAACATACCATAGACAAGGGCCGTCAGCACCGCCACCAAAAAGGAGAGTATATTGTCAAGACTCGTAATAACCTCACCAATATCATGCATATTCTGATCGATATATTTTCGGTCCTGGCAGATCTGCAGACAGAGTAAGAGCATTTCGTCACGGCTAACACCACCGTTGCAATCTTCGTCTAATGCCTTGAGTATCTCTTTTGCTTCCTCTTTACCTCCAGGACCGAAAACATGGGCGATGTCATCCTCATATAGTTCTTCTTTGCCTTCTCCGGCAAAAGACATCCAAAGACGTCGAGCCAGAGCCGCAGAGGCTTCAGGAGAGGTGAGTGCTTGTAAAACAATGGACTGAGCAGATCCCGGTCTGAGAATTTCCTTTCCAGTGAATCTATTGGCAGCACTGCTCATCACCGCCGAGACTGTGCTTTTAATACGGCTGAATGAGCTGGCTCCTGAGTCTTTCCGAAGAATTGAAGGAGCATTTCTGGAACCGGCAATTTTGGAGTCCTCCGCAGCGAACTCCCGACAGTATATCGGAAAGAGCTTCCTAGATTTCTCGTACATGCGGCCAAGGATCTTTATAATTCTTTTACTCTCGTTAAGCTTTACCTTGAACTGCTTGCGATGGTAGCTGACACTGAGCAAGTGGACCATCAGTTTCTCCACGAAGAACATGCCGGTCACCGCGACAGTCGCAAGCAGAGCTTTGCGGAGAACCAAGATCCACTGATCATCGCAGTCAAGGTTGCGGTCTGTCTTCATGTCGAAAACACAGATAACCGGTGTGGCTGCCCGTGAGATCAGAGCCCACATAAAGACGGACACAGGTAGCCTCACTGCTTGTAGCAGTTGAGCGTATTTTCGACTTCCTGAGCTGATGAATCCGCCGAAGAACTGGAAGAGGAGCGGTAAAATATTTGAGATGAGTATCGCCAGCCATACGTTCAGCCAAACCAACTCGATCCAGATAAAGAGGCCTATAAGGCGGATATCTCCAATTGCGGCCTTTTTGAACGCAGTAGCCGTAAGGACTATGGGTATGACCAAGACAACTGCAACAGGTATTACGTATAAGGCAAACCGGGTGACGGCAGAAAATCCGATCATCTTCTGAATGAATGTGGCATTTGGAGGGCCCTTAGGTTCGTCCTCACCCTCACTTTCTTCACCTGTGAGGGCAGAGTAGGCGCCTGTCCGGTCCAAAAACTTTGTCATGCTGCGGCCTGTGGCTTTTATCGTTCGAACACGTTGCGAGGTTTTCGGCCCTGATTCTTGGTCCAAGATAGGCAAATCTGTGTCAAAGACGGGCGTGAAAGCGACGCTCGGGATGTCCCTGTCACGGAGGAGAATGCTCTCAGTCACGCCCTCGTAAGACATTCTACAATTGGTATTAACGTGGTTCAAAAAGTGCGTGGATAAGATTTCTTGATCGATCTGGGCTGTGACACCACATATGAAGACTTGTAGGCAGACAAAGCGATCGATCGGATCCTCTGCAGGGGCCATGACTATTCCGAAAATACGCGCAGGCCACACCTGGTCCATTGGGAGACGTTCTGGTCGGCCGCTTCCATATCATTGGTGGTGCTGGCTTGTGTTAGCCGATATAGCTGAGGATCATGAAGCTTGTCGTGTCTAGACTTCGCCATCTGCCCCTTGGGGGGGTTATTTTCGTATGGCTGGCTGCAATGGAGAAAGGCGTTCACATAAGCCGATAAATCACTGGCGGAAGCACATGGCATGAAGGGGGAGCATTAATAGATGTGGCGCGGCTGAAACGAGCATCTCCTATGACATGACCGCTGTTAGTGCTCCTCGGTCGCCGGTGTACGCCGAAAAAGGAAAGAATCGAAATCTGTTCAACATGCGATCTTGTTGGTACAGCTAACGGTTGATAATGCTCTGACGCTTGCTTCATAAAGGACATTCACATCCTCGAATTATTTGTATGGGTATCCCTAAACCAAGGGTTGTAAAGGTCGCTCAGTCGTTTTCGTTTGGCTTGCTGGGAGAAGGTTTCTCGATTGTCGAGGGACGGACTTGCCAACCGCTGCGGCTGCACGCCAACAAATTGCATATGCCTGATGCCGCTCCACAAAACCGTCTTTCGGTTCCGTGTTACAAATGGAGAAAGACAGCTCGATGCAGCATCCTCCACCATTTCCTGTCCCGGCTCTGAAGAGCTGTTACCGTCTAGTACTAGCGATTAGTCGAGATTCAGCCTTGAGATTTCGCTCTGTCGGTCAAGCAGTAGTGTCGTCTTCTTGTGCCCAGCTTACACGAGGCCGCTCGTATCTGCAACTCTAGTCATGTTGAAGTATAGCCGCTCGCATACACTTGTGTCCTATCAACGAGCTCTCGCACGTCCTCCCGATGCAGACTCCACTTCCGATGCCTTGCTTACCCCTTTGAGCCAGACTGGACTGAGCAAGCTACCTTCTAAACGTCTTCGTAAGTGAGGACAGCAAGTACTGCTTTGACTCTTCCTTACTCATTAGAAAAGGCACGACGAGAGCTTACAGAAAGGGTGGCCAACGAGATCTGCCTATTTGACCTACTTGCCTACTATACGGGTTCTACTTTCAGAGAACAGCATCAAGGGCATGAAGATCGAAGGGAAAGAATCCTATGGCTGACAGGAAAGTAAGTTCAATCAGGCTCAAGGACGGAGCGCAACGTACACAAAGTGCTCGAAGCATTACTATTCGGGCTTCATACTTTGGTTTCCCTTCCCACGGGCATCTAAAGTATATCCTCCAAACATGGATAGGAAACAAACGACCCTCCCATCCTGCCTGAAGCACTTCTGAAAGGACTCTTCTCCCAGCACGAAAGCAACCCAATACAGTTCTTGGATACGAGTTGAACACCACCTCACCACTTCACCACCTCCGAGCCCTTTCGAACTATTTCTGAAACGACCCAAAGACGTAGTAGGTACAACAGAGAAGGAGCAAAGACAACAAAAAAAAGTCATTGCCACCATCACGCGGAATCGAACCGCGAGCTATCGTGTTCTACTGTACTATTTAGTACTGTGAGAGACGATCATGTTAGCCGTTACACCATGATGGTCAATTGAAGCATGTTCACCAGCCATCTGGCTTGTTTTGTTGGACAGAACTGGGGATCAATGGCATATAACATCTGAAATTCACCTTCACTAAAGTGAGAGTCTAGTGAAGATGATGGCTGCTGGGCAACCAGAGACATCAGATTTTGCTACAACAAATGGCCACTACAGTTCAGGCTCAATGCTTGCTTCATCTCGTATAGCACCTCTTACTATGGTACACAGCGCACTGGAAATATAACACTCGCAGCTGCAGGATAACGTCAACGCCAGGCTGATTCCTCCTTGAACTCCTCCAGCGTATCATCACCTTCGTCGATCGAGCCGCCCTCACTCACGATACTGGATGAGATTCAGTCCCATCCCTGCAAAGGCGCGAGCTACAGACCTACTTTCCTTCCTTGTGCGTTGTTCACATTCATCGTTGTACACGTCGACGAAGACCCGGCTGCATCTGTCATGCAGGTGTCTAGAAGAGAAGACACATGGGATGTCGTTGACAAAGGGAAACACGAGGCTAGAGCCAAAAGACACAAGCTCGGAGTCATTTCGCGAACGTTTTTCAAGGCATATCCTATTCCCTCGCCAACTATGTCAAAGATTGAAGTGCGGCCAGCATCCAAGCTACCCTCTTCAGCGGTCAAGAAAGACAACCCCTGCGTTCTCCGGATGCCTCATGTTCACGGTCACTCTGGTCAGGGAGTCATACATAACATCAATCAAGGCTTGCTTGGCCTGCTCTTCGGTCTTCATCTTCTCTTCAATCACCAAAGGCTTGAGCCGATATGAGCGGAGTAACATGGCGATCACCGCCACGAATTCAACTTGACTGAATTTCTTCCCCGGGCATACTCTAGGGCCAACAGCCCAGGGTATGTACGCGGCACCAGACGGTGGTGGAGCGAGGGTTTCCTTTCCGGTCTCCGGATCGAGCATGATCCATCTCCGAGGCTTCCATTCGAGACAGTCCGGGCCCCACCACCGAGGATCGCTGTGGAGGCCATATAAGTTGGTCATAACAAATGTCCCCGCTGGGACGACAATGTCACGGTCACCTATACGGAGAACTTGAGATTCTCCAGCCGGCCAACGTGCATTGCTAGAAATGGGTCCAAAGATACGAAGTGTTTCATGCTGATCATTTGGTCAATGACATGCCATAAGAATGTCGAATACAACTCACCATCACAGCCAGACATCTGACAAGCGAAGGGAAAACACTCTCGTAATCGAGATCCTGCACAGCCTTATCCTGAAGTACCGAGTCGACTTCCTCTCCAACCCAGTTCTGTACGTCATTATTTGCAGCCAGAAATGGGACAGTGTACGTCAAGGTGTTTGAAGTCGTCTCAAACCCTGCAAGATTGAACAAGAATAGATTCCCGTACATTTCGTCGTCCGTTAGGTGCGTCGGCTTTGCGCGAGCTCCTAGTCCGGGTTTCTTTTCTTCACGCTTCGCTGCCTCGTCTGCTTCAACCAAGGCACTCACCATATCGGCGTTTTGTCCACCACCTCCGCCTTGGGTGGTTGCTCGATTGTAAGCCACCATCTCCCTGAGATACAAGCTGAAGTCTTCCACAGTGTCTTTAAGGTCTTGAATGAAGTTTGGCATCAGGAACTTTGGAAGTCGAACATTCTTGAACACAACCACCCTCAACAGGTTCGTGAGCAAAAACATCAGTGAATCAGGAAAGCTTTTGATGTGGCCTGGTGGTGTGTCGCGCAATCCGCTCGAAAAATCGTGGATCTGACCGAAGCCTGCGCCGGAGAGAACGTGTAGGGCTATCAGCACCATATCTTTGCGAACGTCAAGCATCGTGGCGCTTCTGTTCGATTGCGCTTGTCGCCCGTCCAGCCACTGCTGAGCCTGCCTCAGAGATTCCTCCCAGACAAGCCTATAGTTCTGCTCGCGGAACGCAGGATTGACTATCCTTCTCTGGCGTTGCCAGTCTTCTCCACTGTTCTCGCTGTCAGCACCGACAAGCTACTTCAACAGCCTTCCAGCAACACTGTTCACAGTTTCTCGGTAAGACTTACTTGTCGGCAATGAGGTTGTTGCCTAGAGTGGTAAATATTTCATATACGGGCTCTGGTTTGGTCCAGATTTTATAATGTGACTGTACTTCCAGGCTGGTTTTGGGATCGTTGAGCATGATATAGTTGGCTGAGGGTGAGACGACGACATACACGTCGCCGTACTTCTGATGCGGAAGATGCCGTTGACGCTGGGCAAACGAAAAGAGACTGATTTCGTACCACCCGGAAAACGGGAAATTTCTGATCCATCTAAATCTATCGGCGAACAATCCCCAGATGGTATCATGCCAGGAGACGGGCGTAATTACGATAGGGATGCCCAGTTTGCGTGCTTCGAAGTAGTTACGCAGGAGTCCCCAGGATCGAAAGGCCGTCAAAACAACGAGTGGAAGAAGAATGAGTGACGTCCAGAATGCCATGTTGACGGATTGCGTGCGGGAAGAACAATGGCGAGAGTTTGAAGAGTGTACGTCAGGTATTGCCTTAAATCAGAATCGATGTTTCCGCCCATGTACTCGTAGTTCTCCTGCTGACCTGCCGAGTGCTGCCTGAATCCTTTGAGCAGGGGGCCATCATAGGGGCTTTCTGGTTTGATGGGAGGCCTGAACCGAGCGCATCTCGTACCTCGTATTTGCTGCCTATTCGAGAGAAAACGACACTTACCAATGCCGGCATAGACAGCATGCCCAGAGGTTAGGCCTAGTTGAGTCTCAAGTTTGAGGTCATCTCTATGATGTAGTTTCATCTTGAAAGCCACAACTCTGCCGGGCGCGTATCCGTACTTGGCCAGAGGTCTCCCATCTCGACGACGTTTCCCTCTGCCTGTCCTTCTTCCGACTACTCCTATTATCAAAGACCCATCCATGCCGTTTTCGCAATACAATCCACCCCTGGTTTTCTCTTGCTCTGCCTGATAAGACCCAGATGCCGCAATTCGGCGAGGCAGCGGTAGAACAAAGCCAGAAGTGTTCGCTCGTTGGTTTCGTCGATGCCTTCACCCTCGCCTCCCTCTCCGTCCTTTTCGTCGTTCCTACCTGCACCTCCCATCTCGCTTTCAAGCGCCGGAGCGATCATGTCACGGAACGCATCCCAGAGATCTCTGACATTGATAACTGACCCAGCCTCGTTGAGCATACTAAGCAGAAGGCTGGTCGGGGGAAGAGTCGACTTGTCGAGCATGACGCCGTCTTCTGGCACGCAGCAGTCGCAACCTAGATAGTCTGAAGGCCGGGTCAGGGCCCGTTCAAGAGCGTAGCGAGCTCGCGGATGAACGATCGCGGAGAGTGGGGATTGGAGGTTGAATGTGTAGGACTCGGACATGAGACTTGCCCATGGCGAAAGAGATGAGCTTGTTGAGGAATGGGTGGTTTTTGAGGCTAAGTATCCGGTTAGGAGGTCTAGGAAGGATTCGGTGATCAGGGAGATGCTAGGCCTGGTGTGGTCAGAATCGAGTGCCTCTTGTATGGCGGCGAGGGTGAGGACTTCTTGATCAGAGCCATCGCCCTTAGCGGACGGCATGAAAGACTTGAGGTCCTGAAGCTCTTCTGATATGCCGCTAAGGAAGACGTGAAAGTCGTCGACAGTGATCATCTCCTTAAGGACTGTTTCTGTAGCTACGAAGATCTCAGAGTGGGTTATGTCGGGCAAAGAGGCCAGAAGTTGAGTCTGAGCTTCTAGAGGCGCGATGGCCGCGGGACCAAGAAGCTGTTGGTAAATCTGTTGTAAGGTCCAGATCGCCGCTAAGCTGGACCGTATGCGCTCCTGGCCAGAGCGGACAGCTTCAAGGACCTCTTTCTCGAGCGCTGCATCGGAGGTAAGTAGATTGCGAGAATGTTGCCACTGTGTTTTGGTGCCCTTTGCCAGGGATTCGCAATGTGATCGGAAACCAACGGTGTTACGAATCGCCTGAGCTGTGAACGGATCCCGGGGGAGATTGAGTCCTGCGCCTGGGATAGCCAGGAAGGATAGCGGATTTGCAAAGAAATGAGACATGAAAACATATTTGATGGCGCGCAAGAAAGTCTCCACCGTAGTGCCCTGATCTTGCGCCAGTTCTGCAAGCACAGTAACTGTAGAAGGTCCCAGGAAAAGCTCGGCATCAGGGCCTTGGACAGCCGAGTAAACGTCGAAGAGGGGGTCATGCTGCCCTCCAGCTTGGAATGGTTCGAAAACTCGAGCATCGAGAAGACCGATGATCGACCTGGGAAGTCTCGACTCCAATAGTGCTATTGTCGTAGATATCCCAGTCAACAGTACGAAGGGTATTCGGTCGGACCAAGAGCTGATTATCGAGATCAACTCGCAGAGGATACCGGTATCGAACGCCTCCACGTCAGGGAGAGACACCAGCACTCTCGATATACCCTTTTTGTCGGCATAGCGTTGGAGCAATTCCAGGTCGAAATTCATTGGGATCATGGCTTTATTGGCAGCAAGGAAATTCGTGTACTCCTCCGGTCCTGTTTTCTGGGACAGTGCCAGTCTGACAACATTCTTCAATGCAATTTGGATGTTGGGAGCCTGGCTAGGTTGGATTTGGATGAGTATCTCTTCTGAGTGCGCCGAATGTCGCTGCTCCCAGACTTGAACGAGGTCTTTTTGGGCGTCCCTGCCTGGGGTAGAAACGAGTAGTGCTGTCTTGATTCTGCCATGTGGCCTATCCTGCTGTTCGGCGCGCACATAGTCCAGAATGTTATCCACGAATCTCTCGTCCACTTTGTTTATCACAGCATCGATTTTGTCCTGATGTCGAGTCCATGTTGTTTCGAACACTTGCTGTCGCCGTCGGATGGCCTCAGCGGGCTCTTGACCTCCAAGGAGACTGGGCCACAGGTCTCCTTCCTCTCCGATCCTCTCGCGGCTTCTGGTACTCGGGTTTTCGACCTTTCTCCTTTTCTTGGGTCGCTGGTCTATGCCTTCTTCTTGGTCGATTTGGGCTGGTTTGAAGATGTAGCACCCCTGCATTCAGTCAGTGCATGCGGGCCAGCAAGATGCTTATGACTGACTGTGTGCGCATTGTCGCCAACATAGACATCTTCTGCATCCATGTCGCCTTTGATATTGGCGCGAGACGGCGATGAATGGTGCCTTTTATAAGTCGAGGTGGACGACGCGGTCTGTTAATTGAGTCGCGTTCTCCGCATTTTTCCAGATGCGTTGCGGCGAAACAATTCACTCGCTGAACTTTTTTCTTTCCTGCACAGTCTTCTTGCACGTTCATTGAACATCACTCATCATCACGGCTAGAAATTAAACATATTCATGCGCAGCATCTGTCAGCTGTCGAGGAGATGGCACCAACAGTTCTATCTGTCTCCCAGCTTCGCCGGGCACCAGAATTGCCTACAATTTCTCCAGCCTATCCGTCATTATAGGCAACCACCTCGATCCCGCCCTCCACGCCCTCAACAAACCCAGCGTCCTTTGCCGGCTCGGCCTCTCGGGCAAGTCACGGTCAACGAATATGAACAACGTGGCAATGATGCCTCCACAAGGGTGCCTGTTCGCGATTACATGGAGTTGGAAGGCCAACAAGTTCGTTCAGAGTTGGACCAATTGGATCGGGAATTGGCCGTCTTGAAAGAGGGACCGTTTGGACCCAACAGCGAGTTTATGCGTTCATTCCCGCCCGATGAAAGAGAGGCACTCTTGAAGGCTCTAGAAGAGGAAGGAGTCATGCCTCCTGGGACCGACGATCTCATTAGCGATGAAGAACTTGAAGAACTGGCGAGGGGTGAGGAAGAGACGAAACGGCTAGCAGAGTCCAAGTCTTCAATGAAGGTCACTTTGAGCATTCCGGCCACGGACAAAATATACGTCAAGCGGTTTAACAAGGCCCTGCAGGAAGCCGAGAAGGCTGAGGCTGACGACAAGGCTTATTTTGCTTTGTGGAAATGGTACCTCAAGTGTCAGCAGCATGTGTCGAGTTTTGCCGTCCTTCTTCCCGAGGATGTCTGGCATTTCCTGTGGAAAACTCAAAGCACCAAGTACTACAGACCCAAGCACCTTCAAATGCTGGCCAAGGACATGATGAAGGTGGATGTTTCACTCGAGGACAAAGAATGGGTGCAATATATCGATGGTCTTCAAGCCGTTGGAGACATTGCTGCCGCGGCAGAGACTTGGGAGGCACAGAAAAGCCGACTTGGAACCAAGGACGACCTCGCGGAGACATTCTGGATGACGGGTATCCGAATTTATGTTGATCTCGGAAAGCCTCAAAAGGCCCAAAACCTTGCATTCGAATGTTATAATCACACTACAATGGTCGACCCCGAGGTTCTGGTCATGGTCATATCAGCTTGGGCCAAAAGTCAAAGTGGGTCTGCACCAGCCAAAACTTGGTGGTGCTACATGGAACTGCGTCGGATACTGGAGCAGAAGGAAGAAGACCAACAAAAGACATTGGACTTGCTGGGCCGAATCAGTAGCACGTTGCTCGAAGCTGGCCGTGTGGATCTTGCACTTGCAGTCTTCAAAGACATGTACCTGTTCAAGTACAAGAACGCCAGTGACTCTTGGAATTTTTTTCAGGGCATGGTCAAAACTCTACAGGACTCACAGCTGCCCGGCGAGGACATCATCAACAAGGTCGGTCTCGCGTCCTTTGTCTTTCTTCCACGATATTATCAGAACAAATTCTTCTTTGGATCGTGGCTCAAATGGCTCCTTGGAGAAGGCAGAGTTGAGGATGCTTCGCTAGTGGTTGAGCTTATGTATGAGCGTGGCGTCCGACCAGATGCTGGGCACATCAACGGCCTGATAGCGGCCTACCTACGAGAAGGATCGCCCAAAGCCCGCCAGACCGCAGAAAGTACTGCCTGGGCCATGATACAGGCTCGGATCGATATGGTTCAGAAGCGACTTGCGCAGCAAGCTGAAGGAAAGTCAACAACCCCCCTTGAACCACCACTCGAGACGAGGCGAGTGCCATTCTTTCTGCGCCGAGGGGCGCCACCTGCAACGATCGAGACATTTTCGATCCTGCTGCAATACTACACACGTCGGTCGGATTTGGCTAAAGCCGGTGAGCTCACCGATGTATTGATTGGTTCGGCAGATATCAAGCCAAATTCATTCATTATGAATCACTGGCTATATGCGTCTCTCCGATCCGGGCAAGCCCATGAAGTGTGGAGTAAATACTTGACGTTGACACAGACGATCCAGCCGGACCTGGAAACCTTCGCGGCACTCTGGGATACTGCGAAGGCTTGTTATACCTCTGGTGCTACAGGCGACAAAGGGTTTCCTGATGCACGAACCGTATTCGCCGAGATGCTAGGGTGGATGAATGCAATCACCCCGAAGAAGAGGGAGGCGGTCCAGGCCGATTTCTCTCATGATTTATACGAACAAATCATTCGCTGTTTCTGCCTTGCTTCCGACCCTAAAGGCACTCTCTGTGCACTATACGGGTTGCGCAAGTCGTTTGGTATACTGCCACATGAAGAAGCCATGCGCTTGATCATCATCTCAGTTGCGCGCGCGTTCAGTTCAGACTTTGCTGGACCTCCACAACCTCGGGATAGGAGACTGCGAGCACTAAGAAAAACACAGTATCAAAGCGCTCTGAACACCCTGACCAACATTTTCGTGACGATGATGGACAGGAAAATGACTGAAGCAGACGTTGATCCCGAGCTGCTGCGGGACGTTGAAAGTCAGCCAGCTCAGGAGTTCAGGCTGGACGTGCTATCGTCATTCCTCTGCATGGTGATCGAAAGAAGAATGGAGAGGGGCAGCAATCTTTCTGAAGAGATATCGCAGGTGGCTGAAGAACTGAACACCTCTGTGCCACAGGATGTTCTCAACCGTCGTGACTGGCCCAGCGCATTGTGATGGTATTTTGATATAGCAGAGTTGGAAATGTCAGTGGTGCGATGCCGCATTGTTCAAATGGTTGTATAGCATCTGTATCATAGCACATGAATGCATAGAAGCTCCGCCTCCGTTGATATACGCCAGATGCAAATTTTCGCTATGCGCGCTCATAAACCCTACCATGGAAAAGCAGTCTTCTGTTCATACAGTATCGGAATCGCTCATTTCTTTCCCTTTTTCTTCTTGCCCTTCCCACCACCACCGCCCCCGCCGGCGGCGGCCGCAGCAGCAGCGGGCACCTCCGCAGCAGGAGGTTCGACAATAACCCCGTCTTCATCACTACTTCCGGCCTTGATTGTCTTTTCCGCGGCTGGCGCTTCTACGGCTTGTGTCTTTACACGGCTCACGCTTTCCCCCTCCAATTCACGTCTGGCCTTCTCTCTCTGCGCATCCCAAGCCTCCTTCTCTGCCGGCAACGTCGCCTTGATGGCGTCCAACTTGTCCCTCAGCATCTTGTTATTGACCATCTCATTCGCACTCTGGAAGATATGGGTCCCCCAATTCGGGGCGAGCGCGTTAGCCTCGTTGACCACGTCTTTGATTTCGAGCTCGAGTTCCTGCTCCGCGCGCTGGAGGCGCTGGAAGATCTCGTCGCCCACGACGCCGCGCTGGAGAAGTTGGGCCAGCGGAGGTTTCCGTGTGCGCACTTCCATGACACGCTGGACGTCCTCGACGGCGCGGGACAAGAGGGCGGCACGCAGGACGCTGTCGGGCACCTTGACGTCCGGGTTCGAGTCCGACATGTGCAGTAGAGAGAGGTAGATGTTCCGGCTTGCGTGGGCGGGGAAGTATGGTGCCAGACGCAGTTTGGAGTTGATTTGGCGTTGGCGATACAGGTGTGAGAACGTGGCCATGCTGCCGATCAGGATGCCCAGGTAGGCTATGGGCCCCAGGAGCGAAAGGAACTGCATCTTGTCTCGCGCACAGAAAGTGTTGTTGGTGGAATTAGGTTGTGCTCATCAGGTCCCACGGTGTGCGTGTGGGGAGATGAGTCAAGAGTTCGTTCAGGTCAATGCAAATTCGACTCGGAGAATTGCAGCCAAGCGAGGGAGCGCCGCAGTCGAGATGTCGCCAAATGTAACGTAGAAAGAGGAGCGAGCGTCAAATGGGGAGAAATCTGATGTCGAAGTCAGGGAAGGAAAGTCGTAGCATGCGGGAAAGTTGAAAGAGGACACTGGGTACAAAAAGCCACAAAAGGGTGTTGCGCTAAATCGCTTATCGTTATCGGAGGCCAGTTCCCACTAAGCGTGTCATTTCTTAAAGCAGCCGGAAGACGGGTAAGGCTGCGATGTATTCGACGCTGTCAACGCTTGCTGCGAGCGTATGTCTGAATACAGGAACCATTTTCGGAGCAGAGTTCCATGTGTTCGATGGCTACGATGAGAAAGAAGTCTATACCTCGCCTCAGCCAGATCTCATGCAGTTCTGAAAGATTGAATACGATGAATCTTATGTCCTCTGGGTCCTCTACACAAAGTTACAATATCAAGTAAAATGCCAATCATCAAGGTACATTTACACAGCGTATCACAATCACAATCCTAAAAGACCCAAGCCCTCAGTAAGCCCTGGAAGTCTGGTCTAGCCCTTTTTATCATGACCTGTGATTCCCTGCACGCTCCAGTAACGCCCTTGTTGTGAATCGTGCTCTTACAGCACACGTTCCTCCAGCTCGTCAATGGTAAGTCCTACTGTGTCTTCTTCCCCCAGCTCCCCGACGACGCCATCTCCTGTCCTGCCTCGGCCATATCGTCCAGAACCCAGTTGAATGCCTTCGTAAGGTCCTCCAGCACCTTCCCACGATCCCACTCCCCACGCGTCCGCCACAGCTCGTCCATCAACACTGAATTGACCTGCTCCAACTGCTCGACCGACAGCTTACTGGTCTTGTCCGTGATCTCGGCGTGGAAGCTATCCAAACTTCGCTCTTCCACCTGTACCAAGTTCGGTCGGGTATGCCGATTGTTGGCAGTCGGTGCGATCATAGGGGAGTCGGATGGGTTCAACAATTCCTGCATGTCCGCAGGTCCATTTGACCTCGACGATCGCCGCCGGTCGCGGTCTGCAGCATCAAACGGCGGGACACGCGGTTGGGAAAAGGGCTCCTGTCCTTGCCCTTCCGAAGACGAAGGCCGAGCATGGCCAGCACCAGTGCTGGTGCCAGACAAAGGGTCTACCAGATCTTGAGAGGCGGGCATATTTCCTGCATTGATGGCATTTAGCCAACATGGTTCGGAAGCGTCCCTGATATCAGACGAACGAGAATGGCGAGCAGAATTGGGTCTGGGATGAGAAGGAGGGCCTTTAGAAGACTTGCACGTACCTTGGGTCGAAGGGATCTGACTGCCTCCTGCAGATCGCCTCTCGTCTAGCAAAAAAAGATTCGGGCCTGAATCTTGCTGGTTGTTCTGGTCCATGTCGCCAGACGATGTCTTCTTTTCAGTGGGTGTTTCAGTGGTGCTTGCGTCGTTCTGAAATTCTGCGGGGTGACTACCCTGCGGCATAGGCGTGAACGGTCCTGTTTGCGAGCGCGGAGCAGACATGCCAGACTCCTTAAGCAAGTGCTGCGACGGGGCTGTCCACGAATGAAGCGGTCTCGGCTGTGCCGATTCACGATTGCCAAAGGAAGCAGTTGTATGGGTCTTTTGCGTATCGTTGGCCTTGTCATTCGATGTAGGATGTGACTCGACGCCGCCCATGGGCGTATCGCCTTCCACATCTTCTTGATAGCCGTTTGAAGGGCCCCCGTTGGTCAAATCAGACTGAGCAAGATCGTCGTGGCTCGGGTGTATGCCATTTGTAACCACGGAAGCAGACTCGATGGCATCGCCTGCAGTTGGAGCGAGACGCTGGACGAAATCACGACGTCGCTGCATTGGCTCGCCCAGAAGGACTGGTCCGGTGGAATCAGTGGTCGTCGACGGTCCTGAAGCATTGCCATGAGGCACGTTAGACATTACCTGCGGTGGAGGCATGTCTCTGCTTTGCTCGTTCCCGGCTTTCGCCTTTTCCAAAACCTCTTTTTCTCTAGCAAGTTCCCGCTCATAGACACGCTCGCATTCAGCATTCAGGGCTGGTTCGCCCATCTCGATGGCGGCAATATCGACCTCAACATTGGCGAGCAGCTCATTTGCCTTCAGTAATCGGTCCTCATCACCAATCGCCTTTGCATCTTTGGCCAAGCGCTTAATATCTGCGAGGAAATCCTTCGGCCGCTTATAGTACCCATTGCTCAGACGCTTCTCGATCGTCACAGAATCAAGATTGTAGTAAAAGTTGTTGTTCCCCTGATCGACCAGACCTAATACACCGTGAGCATCTTTTCCAATTTCGAATGGTCTGTAGGACGCGTGAGCCAGAACTTCTGCCTGCAGGTCGGAAGTGACTGTCTGTGGGTCAGCTTCATCGTAGAGATAACGAATCTGGCCTTCGTCGATAACTCCTGTCCGGAATTTCTTGTACTTGGTTCGAATTTGATCCATGATAGGCTGTAAACGAAGCTTGAGCATGTTGAGCGTGAGTCGATCCTTCTTCTTTTGTGCTTTCAGCTCCTCTTTGGTCATTGATGGCGGCCGTCTTTCCATCTCAGGCGGTGCTACCTGCAGTCTCTCAAGTTCGCGCTTTTTGCGATTTGCAGGATCCGGGAAATCGTCAGGCGCTGTTCTTATGTAATCTTTGAGGCCACGGAAGAATTCGTAACGTTCATCGCGGTCAGGAGCTTTCAACTCAAATTGGTTCTTCAGCGAGTAACCAAACAGTACACGTCGCATATCTTCATCGATTTCGTCGGGGTTGCCTTCTGTAAAACCAAGCAGCAATACTGGATCAGTGGGCTTGATGGATCTCAACATGCCCAAGAAGAGCGCGTGCACAGTCTCGCCGACCCTATCCCACCATTGTTGCACATTTGGAATGTATATTACACTCGGCTTGTGCATCTTGACCTCTGAAAACAGCCTTGTAAGCGTTGACTCGGCCGAGCTTGTAGTGTCGCTCAACAAAGTAGGGAGATCAAATGCTTGCACGTGAAGGCCTTCAAAGTGATTGAGCAGAGCAGCGGCGAGATATTGCTGGCCCATGCCCACTTTGCCTCGTATGAGCAGGCGTGGACGAAAGACCCTGGAGGTTTCAAATGCTTGCTGCATTTTTTCCCTGCCGAAACTCTGTCCATCAGCAGCGTCTTCATATCGAGCTTCTTCAAGTGCAGTCAGCCGCTTCTTCTGTGGCAGGGCGTCCGCTAGAATTTTCTGCACAGCATCAAGCTGGTTTCGCAGCAAGGACGCAACACTAGCTGGTAACGGAGAAGCTCCAGATGAGGTTGATCGTTCTGAAGAGGGCGTCATCTTCTTGACGGAAATCATAAAGTCTTTGGGAGTCACCTCGATTGTCTTGGGGTCGATGAGCAGTTTCTCTGTAGAGCTGTAGATTTGCGGATAGCGTCTCTGTACAGCATTCAAAGCAGCTTCAGTGCACAATGCCCGCAAATCGGCTCCACCATACCCCTTTGTCATCTCGGCGAGCTCCTTCTTGATGGGCTCCGGCAGTGGAGGATCCCAACCTCTGGTGTGGATGTCGATGATGGCCTTTCTAGCCTCGGTGTTGGGGAGAGGGAAGTAGAACTCTCGATCGAATCGCCCAGGTCTTCTCAGAGCAGGGTCGATTGAATCAGGTCGGTTAGTTGCACCGATGACGATGACTTGACCTCTTCCATCCATGCCATCCATCAAGGCCAGCAGAGTTGAAACGATCGAAGCATGGATTTGCTCTTGCTTACTCGATCGGACAGGAGCAAGACCATCGATTTCGTCAAAAAAGATGATACTAGGTTGGTTCTTTCGAGCCTCTTCGAAGAGCAGACGTAGTTGTCTTTCGGCTTCGCCAACCCACTTACTCAAGGCATCTGCACCTTTCCGCATATAAAAGGTGACTTTTCGGCCTTGCGAGCTAACACTCGTCGCCAAGGCTCGAGCGAGAAGCGTCTTTCCCGTTCCAGGAGGACCATGGAACAAGACACCGCGAGGCGGAGTGATTTTGAAGCGCATGAAGATCTCTGGGTAAAGCAGAGGCAAAGCGACCATCTCTTTCAACTGGTCAATGTGGCCCTGAAGGCCACCGACACTGTCAAAATTGACATTCTGATCGACTCCAAGCGGGTCCGCATCTGCCAGAGCCTGCTTGTCTTTAAGCTTGCCCAAGTTGGCAGGAGTGCCAGCAGCAGCTTGTGCAGGGTCTGCGTTCAGGGTCTGGGGAAACAAGTTGAAACCACCTCCTGCAGTCGTAGGGGTCATTCCTACTGTGCCGCCCACAGCTTTCGGTCGCTTCATGACTTCGTCATCACTGGAGTCCGAGTCCACGTCACCTTGGGCTCGGGGAGGGCCACCTCCAAGAACTGGTGCAGCACCACCACCTCCGCCGAACGGACCATACGTGTTGAAGAGACTTCTTTGCCAGCCACCACCTCCTGTTCTACGAGGTCGTTGTGAAGGGGATGGCGCAGGCTCTTCCTCGTCTTCAATAGGTGCCAGGTTTCGCAGCAGATCATAGTTGGGTTTCTTGACACCTCGTCGTTGGCGCGGTTCGAAGACGACCTCCTCTCTTTCACGTCGTTTCTTCTTCTCATCTCGCTTGAGCTCCTCAACCTCCGCAGCAAGCTCGTCAGCGTCGCTGGCTTCAGACCTCTGGCGAGAGGCTGCTTTACTTCGAAGGCGTGTCGATCTCCGACCGTTGTTACTGCTGTCGTACTCATCGTGCTTTTGGGGGGACGCTTCTGAGGCACCGCTGCTGCTAGACATATCCTCCTGAGCAGCTTGTTCTCCTTCTGGGTCGAAATCGCTGCTTTCGTCTTGCGCTTTCCGCCGACGACTTCGAGAAGCAGCTTGTTTTGCTCCGCTTCTCAAGCCGCGTCCACGTAGGCGCTTTGGCGACTGCTCTGGTTCAAACTCAGGTGACTCTGCCTGCCGCTTTGCAGCACCGCGGGTCACTCGCCCTCGCTGGGGGACGTCATCGTCATCGTCGTCCTCTGCCTCTGCCCCGGCCGCCGCTTCTTCTTGGGTGGCAGGGGCTTGTTCGGCCGCAAAGTGAGCGTCGCCGTCACTTTCAGCTTCGGCATGTTCGAAGAGGTCTGAGATCAATTTTGGCGGCGGATGGTCGGCTTCCTCTTCCGCAACCTGAGGGTCACTCTCAAGCAGTTCGTATTGGGAGGCTTTGATTTCAAGTTCCCCTTCATCCACAACTTCGGCTTCCTCTTCTTTGGCCATGGATTGAGATTCTTCATCTATTGTGCTCTTTGATGGATATTTGATGCTTTTCCCACCTCTTGTTGCTCGCGGGGGAATGTCGTCAGGATCTCGTGAACCGGCTCGCACAACCTCGGCGTGATGACCCGAGTCAGTCAAAGCGACAAGAGGGTCCTCCGGGTCGTGAGACAAGCGACTACTTCTCCTCCTAGGAAGTTCAGGTGCTTGTGCTGAAGAACTGGAAGGTTGTTTCGCGCCGTAACTCCCGCGTCTCAAATTACGGGTCGCCCGCGGAGTGTTGCCGGTTCTAAGCGTGACAATGAGCTTTTTGGAGGAATTCCTGGGGGGTGGAGTCAGAGGCTCAATTGAGGGCGACTTCGACAACTCGTCCTCCGAACCGTCGGACTCTTCATATGTCACTCTCTTCTTCGCAGTCTTCCGCACTGGCCTGCCCCTCTCATTCGTTTCCACCTCCTCATCTTCCGACTCTTCCTCATCGAAAGATTCGTCGTTGGACGATACTTGTTCATCATCGCTATCGATCTCCGAACCTCGGTACCCACGTCTCTGCTTCTTGCGCGCTGGGGGGCCACTTCGTCTGGATTTGGTAGTACGGGCCTTTGATGGCCCGGAAGCATGATCATCGTAATCATCATCGTCAGGATCTTCGGCTTGAACAAGCTCTTCAAGACTGCGCTTGTTTGCGCTGCGATAGCTTGGCATGCTGGAGAAGTCGATGGGATGTGGAATGTCGGTTGGGGAAAGACGCACGGGGTAATCGGTCACTTAGGGCCTCGAAATCATCACTGAAAGAGCTTTCGGCATGTCATTTCAGTGTGCAGAATTGGGCTGAATGGAGTGAGGACGGTTCGAAGCTGCTATTCGACAGTGGGTGGTCTCGAACGAGTTGGTGACGGCGCGTCTCGTCAGGGAAATCGGTGGTTGTGAATCAAACGGGAGGACCAGAGTTCGGCAGTGCTCAGTGGATCACGATGCACGACACCAAAGAGAAACTATGCACAGCTTGGTACAGTGACTCGAGCACAGGAAGTGATGGTCTGTTGATGGTGATTCAGTCGCCTTGAAGGTTCTTTGGGGGAGGCGGCGTGTGTCTGAATCTCTCAAGGCGCAGGCGCAGCGCCAAGACCAGATACAATCCCACTTTTTAACGACCACCACCAATGAGGTCCAACGAAGCTGCAGACCCCAACAGGCAACAGATTCAATCTCAAGCAGCACTTTTAAAGCATTAAATATCAACATAGCTCAACAACCACCATGTCGAATGTTTTCGGTCTCGATTATGTGCGGATGTGCTACCGGAGTCACACGCGACAATACTTTTTAGGCTTGTAGAACTTCAAGGCATCAAGACAAGCCAAACCACTGCAATAAAGAATTGTAGAAACGTTGGACTTGCAAAGACAATGCCGCGAAGATCGACGTCAGATCTCGGTTGCGCCTCGCCAGAACCTTATCGTCGGCGCAGGGGGGAGCCGCCCTAGATAATGTACTTTTGATAATCACGTGACATTCCTCGTCGACGACACGAAGAGTCTGGCTGCAGGGAGATGCAAACCCTCCTACCACCTCTCCCGCTCTCTCTCAAAACTACCAGGTAGGGTCATTCAGGATACCATACTATGCTGCAATCGCGCTAATTGACTATTGATTTGTACTAATGATACGCCCTTCCGATCCTGCAATGCCGTCACTCTTCATGCTCCCCATAGCTGTCGTCCTCAGCTTCTTCGGGCGTGTCAATCACATCATCCTCCCCTTCAGTATGCCCGTCGTCCTGCCAGAATACTGACGCCTGCCGTGTAAGTTCTTTGAGAATGCTACTTTGCCTACGCGCAGTTCGCTCCACGTACTCATCGTCATGTATGCTCTCTGCTGTTGGCAAGCCGGCACTCGGTTGTCTTCTAGCGCGAAGAAGCGCTTCTTCGGCCTGTTGTTCTTGAACAGGATTGGGAACGCGTTGGCCATCGTCAATTGGTCCACCTCTCCGCAGCCCTTCGAGAATGACCCTTTCTACTTTCATACGATTGGAGATGAATCTGATTTTCGGCCAGCAGCTGCGTTGGCCCACCCGGATCATCCGATCGAGCCGTTGCGGACTCGGATCGCTGAGGATGTTCCAGAAGTCACTGGCCGTAGTCTTCGGCCAGATGGTGACGGTACCGGAAAAGCGTTGTAGCCATATTTCGCTCCAGTCCTGGCCCATCGGTCTCGGCAGCAACTCGAGATGTCGCAGGATCTTGAGATATTTCTGCAGATCGAGCTTGACCGAGGTTTCAATCGTCGACCCCAGAAAGCCACCCCGCCAACCCCGGCCCTTGCGATGGGTGACTGGTCTGCCAGGGGACCCTCTTGGAGAGAAGAAAAACAGATTGATGTGGGGATTGACTTGGGACACAATGGAGAAGTTGACGTTGAAGTGGAGGTTGAGGGCCTTCAGAGGAATGTCGGTACGCAAACTGCCATCTTTCCACTTGTTGCCGAACGAGTAGGGTACCAACTTGCCGTCTCGCGTCTTGCGCATGAGCACGATGGGATTGAGAATGCCAGGGACTGCGGCTGAAGCAAGCACAGCGGACCAGATGACGCAATCTGGACTTGTGATATGGTTGTTCAAAATGGTTGGCGAGTGAGGGTCGGAGGGAACACACGAGACGTTCAAGATACGGCCCGTCCTCTCAAATGCCTCTTTGAAAGTCAGTGATCCGCGGCAAAACCAGCTGCATTGCTTGGCCCAGTCAATGGAATCGAATCGAGCACCGGTGCGCCACCACCGGCGAATCCATGTCGTGAAGCCTTCATGGCAAGCTCGGATGCGGTATGCGAGTGCTGGCACCAATAGTTGTTTCAACTCCTCATTCGTCCTGGTCGCCACCAATGCCGCTACAAGAGCGCCACCAGAAGTACCAGTGATAATTTCAGGGAGCTCTCCAGCGTCTAGAAGCGCCTTGATGACACCGAAGTGGTAATAACTCAAAGTCGCCCCACCTGAAAGGCACAAGGCCGTGCGTCCATAGTTGAGCTCGAGATGCCGGAAGAAGACAGCTTTGTCCTTGTCAGTCATACGATCGCAATCGAGCACCACTTTCAAGCTCTTCTGCACTTGATCAACAAAGGACTGAATCAGGACCTTGGTACCGATGTACGTCTCGCTATATAGGCGAGGGTTCTCGATCCCCACGAAATTGTTCTTGACGCAACTTTCAAGTAGAGACTTGAGCTCATCCAAGGCAGTGAGTCCACCAATCCCGTCTCGGCCTTTGTCGATTTCTGCTTCGGCCTTCTGTCGAAGCTCAATCAATTGAGCTGTGACCTTTCTGACCGTTTGGTGGTTGTAATAGGAGTACTGTTCGTGTTGCTTCCATTCCTCGTTGCCCAGATATTCGTCGAGTTGCTGGGCAGCAGTTTGCCACTCCTCATAACTGTTTGCATTTTGCAGCTGTCGTCGAAGGGTTTCTCGTCGGCCGGTCCAAGTAAATAGGTGTTCGTAGGCATAGATATAGAACCGAGTCAAGTTGTACACGATGAACAGAAACACGATCCAGCCGCAGACGATGAAGAGCAGAGGATAGTACAACAGCGTGTACACAAAGCCCTCCCTCGTCTCGTCCTTGGATCTTCTAGGCGCTCTGCGTCGAATTCGATTTCTCTTCACTCTTTGCCGGATGGGACCCCAGTCGTTGAGCGCCGTTACGGGCTCTGTAGTAGGTGCTGTTAGGGCATTTGCAAAAGCCGCGAGGTCCGCGCGGTCGATAAAGTCATTGTCGAAGTCAGGTAGGGCATATGGATCATATGATCCAATTTCAGACGCCCGCGGGTGCTCCTTGTAACCGTTCATGACAATCAGGACGTCATGTCTGAATGCGGCCGATGAGACGAAGTTTTATGGTGTGCAAAATTCATTCTTCGTCCAAGCAGGAATTGGAGCGGCGTGGTGGAATGCTAAGCTACAGACGCAATGATGGACAATGACATCGGTCAACCTTGAACGTCGCAGTCACACTTGGCACTGCGCCACTCCGTGAAACGCCACATGATGCCACCAACATCAAGCCACATTCCTCCCCAGCCACGCCAGCTAAACAACCCCGGACTCCGGGATGCTTCTCCTTACTGCTTCTGCATCCCCTGGGTGGCTTCTGTTGCATACCCATCAGTCGTTCCGTTCTACAAGGAAGGTCGGACCTGGGGTCATGATGACCGTGCTTCCGTGGCACGTCGTTCACTGTGCGAAGACTTGAGCCAGGCAAGGTGTCACGGTTTTCTTCAACTACGGGAATATGTTGGGCGGGAAATTGACGAGGTGGTGGCATTTCCGACTATTAGGTTGACCCGCTGCCGCCCTTGTCGCGTCCGCCTGTACGGATGCGCATACAGAGAAAACGTAGCATATGTCCACCGTGATAGCTTGTATATGTCAAAGTCAGGCAGGTGGTCTCCGGACTTTAGGATGACTGCTGGCTCAAGTTTAGCCTGTTCATGTATCGTCGACGTGACGCACGGAGATCTGCGGAAGAAGATGTTCTACGAGCGGCCCGGCTAGATACATGTCGAATCGGTCCGCATGTTCATTACAGTTCTGCGGTTCTAAAAGCGAATGAGACCCAGAGACAAAATCCTCTGCGACCTTGGCCATCTACGACCACCCCACCAGTTGCTCGGCGAGGATCAAAAGTGCAGTAGGGATTTGCATGATCTTCGCGCGTCGTGGAGATGATCGCGACCTGCATGAATACAATGAGACTGCTCATTTGTCAAGAGCTTCGCATAGAATAGGCAGTTTTCTGCTAATTGTATGCTGATACTGTGGGGGTTAACTTTGCTTGATGCCGCATCGGATCTTAGAGTGATGCAGTCTGATGCGAAGCATGCAACCTCAATCCCACCAAACCTCTGCACCTAAGCCTGACATACATACCTAGCATCAAACGAGCGAGCTCTGACGAGTCAAAATTGCTCTTGGAACGGGGCTCTTTTCCAGGTCGTCCGAAGAATCACCAGAGAAACCTTTGAAGGGTGAAGCCATTGCTGCCATCAAGCGCTGGCACGCTATTGCACTTTTTCCACCGAAGATCTTTCACAATATGAAACACGAAGATCTGTCGGAACCTAGCAGTCACTCCATTTCCGTAGACAATCCTTTAGACGCAATCACACCGCTTCCAAACGTACTTGGGTTGAATGCCGAAAGGTGGCCGGGATTTCCTCACAGGATCTTGTCGATGAGGAGTTTACGAGCATGTGAAAATGCGTCTAGATTCATACTCGTAGTTAGCCTGCTCGGCCGTCCTTGTTGCTGCTTCCAGAGTGGTTAGTTGCTCGCTTCACTTCGTGGCCACGAGACTTTCCTCCGCCGCAAGTATGGGTTAGCAGCTCTACTGCAGCGTCATCGGTAGAGCTGTACGCACTACCGCTCATCATGCATGATCGAAGCAGAACATCTCCAGCTAGCTCCAGCAGCAGGTAAAGAACAACATCACCCATCGCCCAGTGGTCGGAGGATTCGCCATGACTTGACGAGCTTTCGTGTAGTATGGATCGCTCGCGAGCAGCCAATAGCCAAACATCCCGATGCTGTGATCATTTTGTAACACAACAGTAGGCTGGAATAGCCGTGCTGTGCTCGGAGCATAGTATCCGCCATGTCCAGCTGGGCCTCGTTGGCTGCGCACACTTTCTCGTGTGGGTGTCCCACGTTGAGAGTTCGCCCCTTGCTTGTAGAACTCAGCAGCTATATCCATACGTACCAAGAGGGTCTTCAGCAGTGAAGGGTTCTTGGTTTCCGTCCACAAGCAGTGGAGCAACCCCATCCCCACCAGAAGTAAGAAGATTTAGCACAGTACGTTGAAAGTCAGCCTGATCATGCGGTCTGTCGGACATGCAGCTAATTTGCCCACCGCGCGAAGCGGCCAAATGGGCTGGTACTACTGTGCTACACGTACATCTTTCCTCTTGGCGGATCTTGCGCACCGAATCCACAGGTGACGATATACTTGCAAATGGTGAAACGATTGTTGCGTGTCCGTGCGGCATAGAAGTAGAGCGTTGTGTCAACTGATCGAGACCGACATGCCCTCTGGGTGGCCTTGAGAAAAGAGTAGCGGTCAAAAGCCTGGCCAGTCAATCGACTCAGCACAGACTTTCGGACGTTGACATTAGCGCCATCTGTCAAGCGCTCGATCTTTACGACCTATCGTTTTGCACTGGACATGGAATGAAGTAGATTGAGAACATTTGCAATACACAAGCAGTAGGCAACGTGACGTTGGGCTGGACGTTACGGACATTCGGCTCGTTTGGTCGACTCGTCGTTGGTCGATGGCCACGATTGCTTGAGTTGATGCTGAAATCTTGCTGTCTAAGGCGTGGTTGGGCTTCCGCAACCTTGGACTCGCAGTGTTGGGTCCTCAGTGTCTGTCGGCTCGCACGCGACTCTGCGTGGTCCATCAAAGGAGTAGAGTGAGCTGCTGATTTGACTGACTGTTCGAATGAGCAATTGTCAGGGTAGGATGTCCATTTTTTTGAAGATTCAGGATGCATGAGAGCGCACTACTTGTATGCAAGATGACCACACCGGGGAGGCGAGCTCGTCCATTGGATATGCGGTTTGTTGGTGGCGTGGGTCATGCTTAAAATGCATCACAGCCCATGGTCCTACCTGACTGCTAGGCTTCGTGAATTTGACAAGTGATCTTGGAGAGCACAGACTTGTCGAGCCTGCGAGGCCCGCTTTGCTCGCTAGAGGAGGGGCATGAGGGGCATACCGGTGCCTCTGTTTTGCAAAGAATTCTGTTTTTTGAGGTCATCAAGCAGCAGCACAATCTTTCTGATGATATCGAGCCACAAAGGGCCGAGCCAGCCTACGGCTCGGTCAGGCTCGTGTGATGACTCTGACAGCTGGATGATAATTGACGAAATCAGGGACGTATCGAGCCTTGACGGGGAAAATGGTGTGCAGACGCGCCAAAGAGGGTGTGAAGCACTCGGATTTCTGACGGCTAGAATGGAAAGGGTCAGAGCATTTGATTTGAAGGTGGCCAGACTCCCTTCTCAGCGGCGTCGACCTCATCTAGCAAAGTGCAGAAGATTGTGTAATAGTGATGTAGCGGCATTGGCACCATTGACTCGGTCTGTGAGGCTGGTAGTCGTTCTCGTAGAGACTGGACGCTCGACGGCGATCCTGAATCCTGATAACTCGTCGGAGCCTTTGGCAGAGGGATCCCGGGCTCCCTAACTCCTTCGACTGTAGCATCAAAGTATGTCAGGTGCCGGTCACAAAAGAGTGGATAGCTGGGCTATCAGTGGCGCTTCGTGGGTTTGGTGTTTAGCAGCGAACCCTGGCGCTATCAGGAGAGACTCGAGGTGGTGTTTTTATGATATGCTTCCCGCCGCCCATTGAACCCGGGGCCCTCCAATCTAACTTGATAGCAAAACTCTCCACGCTCCAACCCGCCGCCCGGGCTAATAGTACTACATAATAGGTACCTACTTACACCCTTTGCTGTTGTTGCTACTCCTTCCAACCCTCCATCTCGCCCTTGCGCTGATTGCTATACACACCCTCTTCTCCAATATACCCCTCCAGGTGCCTGAGGCTTACCACAGTGCTGACGGTCAGGCTACCGCCTGTTGTTGTCACGCAGCCTCTTTTGCTTACAGTGCAGCTGGAGCCACCTTGGGCCTGATCAATTCATATACACAGCATTCTGCTTAATCTCCCGGGTGGGTTATTGTCGTACCAGTGGATCTCGCAAGAAGAACATCGCCCACGCGCTCTTCACGGCTACAAGCCTCACTCAGCCTGGTGGCCTTTCGCCCCGCCGTGCAGGCAGATTTTGCACCCTCTCGATGCCATCATGCCCTCTTTACACAGTCTTGGTGTGTCTCAGCTCTGCCAGATCCGCCAATTGGCTCCTGACTAACCATGCGAACAGGCTTCGGATCGCGCAACCTGATCTCTCACACCCCTTACCGATAAACATATCTGTTACAACTTCCGCGAGTTCTGTGACCGGCACGTCTGCGTGGAACGCTGAGGTTCGCCCAAGCAAGAGATGGAACACCAGCAAACCGAGGATGGACACCACTTCATTCGCGTGAGTACTACAACCTACACGTCGCCCCGCAAATGTCATTCACAGAGGGCGTAGAAACGTGCACGGGCGTGCCGTTCCAGAATCAGGAATTCTAGAGCATTTGACTAATTGGAAACATGGTGCATAGTCCCTGGCACAGTTCATCCGCCAACACGAGAAGGCACTTGCAAACAGCTTGCAAATGTCTGTCCACAGACGGCAGTCCTCCCTGAATATCAAATCCTCTACTGCTTCGAGCGTTACCTCCGGTACCTCCTCCACGAGCACGAATACCTCCTCGGGCGCGTTGGCTGCCGCGTTTTCCTTTGCTGGGCTGAATTTCAGGTCTCACGCAGCAAAAGCGGCCTTGTTGACATTAACACCGCATCACCTTTTCTATCTCCTGTCTCAAATGGAAGAGTTGGACATACTCGTGGGACCCATGAATATCCGTCTGGAAAACCTGAATACTGATCCCTCACCGTCGAACTACGTGTCTTTTCTACAGTCACACAAGCCACCGAAAGGGCGCAGCGACAAAGACTCCATTCACTCCGTGTCCAGCATGCGTAGTGTCATGTCCGGAATGAGTACATTTTGGTCGTCACTAGGACTGGGAGGCAGCACGTCCAAAAATGAGAAAGCGAAGGCACTCATCCAGGCGGATTTGACGTACCTGTATTCCGCGTTCACCAAACTCCCTTCGCTGCGTTTGACCACCGATCATCGCGCTAGGCTTATCAAGGGGTATGAGGAGTTTCCGTTCGATACCGCTGTACCTCTCTTTGCATTCAAGAACCTTCAACAGCTGGATATAGTCGATCTTGACTTCCGCCAGTTTTATGGCTGGGATCGGCTGGCTGAGCAGCTGACTCTGTTGACTGTCAAACGGGCCAATCTTGATGATCCCGCAGAGCTCCTGACTAACATTGTCCTAGACGACGCTGAAAAGCGTCGAAGGCGTTCAACAAAGGGTGGCCGGGGCTCACCAACTCCGACCAATTCTTGGACAGTCCCCTCTACTCCACGAGTAGGATATGCACAGTCACATTCAGATCCAGGCTCACCTGCAGAGGACAGCCTTGAACACGATGATCATGCCGAGTTCGTGTCCAAGGACAAGCAAATGTCGGGAAGTGTCTCCCCGAAACGACCCAGCCCACCACGGCCAGCCAGCTCATATAGGCACGTCCGCTCCTATTCTTCCAAGGTGAAAAGGTCCGGTTCTGGCAGTTCGAACTCGAGCGAGTACTCGGTCCAGCCGCATCGTAGCGACAGTTCTTCCAGCCTGCTTAGCTTGAACATCCTTCCTCCAGCGAAATGGCAGAGACTAAAGTATTTGTCCTTTGCAGACAATTCCTTGACCACCATATCAGCCAGGAGTCTTGGGCCGGTAGCGGCCACGCTTCGCTCCCTAAACCTCTCGTCAAACCTGTTCACGGAGATTCCAGACAGTCTCGCTTCGCTGACTAGACTTGTTTCCCTTGATTTGTCCAACTGTATGATCAGATCTCTTCAATCACTGGCCAGATACCCTCTTCCAGCAGTATTGACAGTCAACTTGAAAGCAAATCGTCTCCGATCTCTCGCGGGTATCGAGAAGCTTCTGTCACTGGAACAACTGAACATTCAGGATAATCAGCTCTCGGATCCTATGGAGATGGCAAGGCTCACATGCATCCCTAACCTAAAGCGTATCTGGGTCAAGCGGAACCCGTTCACCAAAACCCACTCTGATTACCGGGTACTTAGTTTCAATCTCTTCAGGAAGACGCCCGGTTACGTGGACGATATTGTGATCGATGAGACTGGCCCTGGCTATTCTGAACGCAAGCAACTGGTGGAACGAGTCCCAGAGGTGGAGAGGCAGATTGCACCGCCGTCAATACGAATTGCTGAATCACCCCTGATCTTTCAACCTTCTGAGCAGACACAGCTGAGTCCGAGCCAGCAAACGGAAGCCATAATTAATACGACACGCCGCAAAAAGGTGCCTAGGAGGCGCATTGTTGATCTGGCAAAGGACGAGAACTTCGCGCGTGTGCCAGATGAGGACATTGCTGCTACCATAATCGAAGAATCCCCTACTGTTGACCAGAGACCCCAATCAGGTGCCCGAGATTCGCCAGTACCAGCCTCAACGCAGGGAGACCCTATAGATGAAGATCTGTACGATGGATCCACTCAAGCCGCGTCCCTCGGTTCCAGCCATCAAGCAAACCAAGAGGATGATTACCGAGCCAAAGTCGAAGCTTTGCGACAGGAATTCGGCAACAATTGGCTGAGTGTTCTGGGAGACCAGAATTGGCATAATAGCCATCACCTGGAAGTGACTCAGGGACAAGCACTAGGGCATCATTCCCTACACCGTCCCGGCCATCCAGTTATTGTCAGCGGCGGCCGAACTCTGGGCTGAGTGTCGCAACCAGTGTCGGTCGTCTGCGTTTTCGCCCTTGCATTTTGCGCTTTCTAGACCGGGATGTTTTCTTTATGAGCAACGGAGTTTTCACGACCGCAGTCTTATACCCATTCGTTTGTGAGGTTACTGCAAGACCAAGGAGGCATTGCAAGGATTTATGGTCTGGGTATGATGTCTGCTTTTTATGCGGCCCTGTTGCAAAGATTTATGTTTAATGCATAGCGACGGTGATCTGATTGACTTGGTTGTTTGATCCCGCTTTGTTGCATTGCTTGATACATCAGACATGAAGCATGAGGTATGAATTGATGGGCGAGGGCGGAAGAAACTCCTTTCTTTAATGATATATTCTGGCGTACACCGGAGAATATAAACCCCTTCCTCTTAGCATTTTCCAACTATTGAATTCTTGACAGTCCTAGCCGTTCGACAGCTCCACCTTGGGCGTCCCGGGCTCAATGAACACCAGTAACAACAAAGTTCTGACACCGCTCCATGGGGGAATTCAGAGTCAGGGGTAAGGGTGAAAATGCTATCATAAGGACGTTCCAGCGTCTGCACAGGTGCTGCAATAATATCGGCCACCAGTTGAGGATAGTTCCCCAGAATTTCTTGGAATCAAGAATACCATCAGTTCGCGGCACATCCGACTCGTTGAGTTGGCGACAGCGAGCAGCGAAATTCGCTGGGCATGGGATGGGTATGGGCGCAACGCGATGGCGCTAGCGGAAGCTGTCGCGATTAGCCTACATTCCTCTGGCTGCTGGGGTGGCCCAGTCGCCGCCACAACATCAGCAATGGCGAGCAGATGCCATTCGGTTCTCGACTCCATGAAAGATCTCACGTTAGCGAACTGGGTGCGAAAGGTGACGACGAGGCTGATGCTGACTCAATGGACGGATCCCGACGTTCGTATGATTTTGAGACACAATGTCGCAGTGGGACAGGAGAGTAAATGTGGTAAAGAAAAAGGTGTCAGGTAGAGTAGGTTTAATTTTGGTGGCAGAAAGGCCCCTCCCATAGTCTTCAAAGTTGCGTCTCCTCCTGCTTTGCTCCTCTGCTCCTCTTTGTCGCCAGCGCCAAGACCAACACCGCCTGCCAGGATTGAAAATAGCAAATCCGCCATCCTCATCCCGCGGTTCAACACCTGCTCTACGGTTCCAATTTCACGTTACTCGTACCCCAGACCATCTGCATTGCGGCATCACTACATCTCGACGGGCCTGGCTTCATAGTTGATGAGAGAAGAAGTGACCCTGCCGCTTCAACCGCCCTCCTGCGCCGCAGACAACCCCCTCAGCCTGTCTGTTCCACACGCTCCCGACGCGATAACAACACTCTAGCCGGTACCAACTCGCCATCTTGCGCCCATCCCTTCGTCGAGCCTCAAGTCCCAGTAGGACCTTCTCGCTGAGCCGTCTACAGGCTACCTCAGAGGACCTAACCCGTACTTGGTACGTTTCGCCTTGACAAGCCTGTGACTTGCGTCAGCTTCCCCTCCTTGAGGTTGAAATTTTATCTAAAATCGATCCTAATTGCCTTCCAACAGACCACTGCGCTTCTCACAAGATCCTTCGCACATCGATCTCTCGTTCCTCACCCCTCCCGACCCTATCTGGTCGGCGCCCTCCTCCTTCCACCCTGCCCCGCCCGCGGCGATAGCATCATGGCAGACCAGCATGAGGTGGATCTAGATTCTGTCATTGACCGACTCCTGGAGGTCAGAGGAAGCAGACCAGGAAAACAAGTGCAGCTGCTGGAAGCCGAGATTCGGTACTTGTGCACAAAGGCCCGGGAAATCTTCATCTCCCAACCTATACTGCTTGAATTGGAAGCCCCAATCAAGGTACGGGTCTCGCGGATCCAATGTCGAACTCATAGGAGGATGTCGCACTGACTTTACTCTCCTAGATTTGTGGCGATATTCACGGTCAATATTACGATCTCCTCCGATTGTTCGAATACGGCGGATTCCCCCCAGAAGCGAACTACCTATTCCTCGGCGACTACGTGGATCGTGGTAAACAGTCCCTGGAGACCATCTGTCTGCTCCTTGCATACAAGATCAAATATCCCGAGAATTTCTTCGTCCTGCGAGGGAATCACGAATGTGCCTCGATCAATCGTATCTATGGCTTCTACGATGAATGCAAACGACGATACAACATCAAGCTGTGGAAGACATTTACTGATTGTTTCAACTGCTTGCCCATCGCCGCGATCATCGATGAGAAGATCTTCACCATGCATGGAGGATTGAGCCCGGATCTTAACTCAATGGAACAAATACGCCGCGTCATGCGCCCAACAGATGTAAGCCAATCGTTCCCTTCAGGTTGCACAAAGATGGCCCATGCAACATTACGCCATCTATGCCATTCATATCCATCACATCGACCGTAACGCATACTGACAAGACACAGATCCCTGACTGCGGTCTTCTCTGCGACTTGCTTTGGTCAGATCCAGACAAGGATATCACTGGCTGGAGCGAGAACGATCGTGGAGTCTCCTTCACATTCGGCCCCGATGTTGTATCGAGGTTCCTGCAAAAGCATGACATGGACTTGATCTGCCGTGCCCATCAAGTAGTCGAAGACGGTTACGAGTTCTTTTCCAAACGGCAACTCGTTACGCTCTTCAGCGCGCCTAATTACTGTGGCGAATTCGATAACGCTGGAGCCATGATGAGCGTCGATGAGAGTCTATTGTGCTCGTTTCAGGTACGGCAATGTCCGCCGACCTATAAATCGTTTTTGCTGACGTACCTGTACCAGATTCTCAAGCCAGCCGAAAAGAAACAAAAGTATGTCTATAGCTCGAAGAGCTCAAGCAGGCCCACTACTCCGCCCCGCAAGTCCAAAACCTAGTCTCCCGGCTTGGGCTGATTCGATATCGTGATAGCAGGTTTGGAAGAAGATAGGATCGCTTTCTACCTTCCCCGACGAAACGGTAACCGTTGTCCTGTTTCCTCCGGTTCGGAAGCACGCAACAGAACGCCCACCTTTTCCTGGACCTCAATTTTGGACCTGTAGACGAAATTCGCCAGCTCTAGCCTCATCGCCTCCATACGTTGACAAATTCCCTCTGACCGAGTGGGCTTCTTGGCAACATCTTACTCAATGAACAACATCAACAGGAAAATATGTATCCGTAAACCGATGTCTTCTTTTCAAGGCGACAAGCCAGGGTCGAGCCGATACCAAATGGGGACTCCTCGTGTTTTCAACCGTCAAATGGCAAATGGGTGGCGGGACTTTGTGCGATCCATAGCTGTGGGACGGGAGACGCGGCACTGCTTTTTTGGCCATGGTGGTACTAATTCAACTGCAAACCTCCTTTTCGCTGTGTTAAAGAGTGTGAGAAAACGAAAGAGAACGAGATGAGAGATGATGCGACCAGGTGTCGGTGTGCACATTCTCCATTCTCCTGTAACATGCAAGATGGTTTTTTCATGCTTGACGAGTCATCAGACTTTGACGACGATGCATGCGATTCATTCAGCACAGCAATGCCAGAGAGATATGACTATGTCGAGTTGTCAAGAATAGTAGAGACGCATTCACGCACTACCCTGATGATCATGAGTTTCTTTCCAGTCTCGGCCTGTCCATAGCCACGCAAACCTCCTCTCGACCCTTCGCATATCGCAGATACCCTGTCTGCGCATTGCTCACCGACTCTGCAAACAGGTGCCCAACCATGTCTGTTTGCTGTTCTCTTTTTTGTATGACCAAATTAGGATTTCTGGACGAGACTGCTCTTCCATGTCCAAATCCACATGCTGTTATGGGAAGGACATAACAGACAAGGGCATGAAATTTGGTACAGTCAGTATCTGAAGAGAATACACTTGCTAGTCGTCGCCCAACACAGCAAGGCGGCTCTCGCCCCGCCAAACGATGGCCAAAGATTCAGCTATTATACCCCGGAACGAATGGTCATCGGAAACGGTGCAGTATACGCTGACGTCCTTCTGAAGTGACTTGATCGGCGAACGCAAGCGGTGCTTGTTATTGTTGTTGTTGCTGCTGCTGCTCCTGTCGTTGTTGCTGGGGTTGGAAAGGGGCCGGGGGGGAGCGTGGGTGCTGGGGACTGATTGACCCAGTGCGGCGAAAGACTGAATTCTGCAATCAAACGGATACCAGGATCCTATTGAAAATTGAAGTAAACAAGGTACAGGTGTGCTTGTAAAGGTGATCTACCTCGGACGACGAGACAGCCATGGATTGGCCAGCAAAAAAAAAGAGAGAGATCTCAATTGCTGCACAAGCTTAAGAATCTGTGAAGAAAGAGCTTCTAATGTGGATTTCATGATCTGACATTACTTGGTCTCCAACGTGGGATGTCTCGCTTGGTGGTAGAGAAGCTGACTTTCCCCATGGTATATGGCCCGTTCAGGCTTGTGCAAACCTTGAGGGGGATCTTGAATGGCTTGTTCATAGTATTGATGTCTCAAGGTGTTCCCTTGATATTGACCGGACGAAGACCGGGAGGCTGGACTTGGATCGCCATGCGGCCTGTCTATGTGCAAGGCTTACACATACTGCGCGAGCCATCGGATGCCCTCGCCGTAACCTGCGATAACCCTGTGTCAGTGTTGCTGGTATATGATATATCCACATGGATCTTGATATGGGCTTCAACGACTCACCTTGCCTCATGACAACACTGCACATAAACACTTCGATTGGTCTGATCCCTTCCAACGGCACCCGACCCTTTCCTGTGGTCTGATACAGGCCCAGCTGATGTCTCAACTCGTCTTCCGACACGGCATCAGGATGATCGATTTTGTTTCCGAGAATCAGGAAGGGAGTTTTTGCAAGGTCTTCCATGGCAAGAAGGGCGTCAAGTTCGGCTTTGGCTTCCGGGAGACGTTCGTGGTCCTTGGCATCCACAAGGAAGACGATGCCAGAGACTTCAGGGAAATAATCACGCCAGAGGCGGCGGGCTGTAGAAGAACGAGAATGAGAAAGACATTTCGCAATGCGGATAAGTCTGTGCATGTGTTCGTACCTTGTTGATGACCACCCAAATCGAAAGTTGTAAATCTGTTGTTGCCAATTGCTAGTTCCTCAGAGGCTGTCACAGAATAGATCAGGAATGCTGCTCAAAGACGACCCAGGATGGAGGGCATACTAGGATGTAATGTAGGTTGCAGGATTGCAACACGATCATTCTAATAAGCCCATCATCATCATCAGCCTCTTGTTCACTGTCCTCATGTGCTGATTGTGCTTCTCTTGAGAGGTCTGTATCTGCCAGGCCTCTTCTGCGCTCAAATCTACGGATTCGGCCGTACCTTCAACATGTGTAGTAATGTCGTCTTGCCCGCATTGTCCAATCCGAGGAAGAGGAGTTTGGCATGTTTGTTGAGAAGGCCTAGTGAGGCAAGAATATCGTAAACTGCGCAACAAGCATGTCAGCATCCGTACCCATGCACAAGAGCATTAGCATCACATACACCAGTTGATGATCCACATGATGCGGTCAGTATGAAGTGCAGTTCGGTAAAGGAAAAAAGAAGCAAAGGCCTCGGTAATCGCAAAAGCTGGGAGCTGATGATGAAAAGCCAACGACAAATACGCTCGAAAGTCGTTCTCTTGTTTAGTGGGAGGCAATGGACAACGGGCCAGATGTCATGTCACGATGTTGGGCCACCTTGAGGACCTATGGACGATTTCCGAAGCCGTCAACCGCATCTGGACAAAGGGTGCCAAGCGGCAAGATCGGCACGTGACCTTGACCGTTGAACGTGGCAGCTCGGCAGACATCGAAGCCAGCCTCGAGGACACAGAACGGTGGGCGTCATCTACATCTGGACTCTTGTTCACGAGCACATTCAGGCAATGAACTGGATGGGAATGCGATAGGAGAACACACGTAAACCAAGGATAAAAGATCTGATGTTGTTTTCAATTTGTGCATTCAGGCTCATCGATCGAGTCGATTGCTCGAGACTAGCGCTGTATCCGAGGACCATGCTGATGGTCATATGTATCTACAATGCCAATTGCATCAAGACGCCACAGCTATGCTGAAAAAGAGAGTGCCTGCTCAACGGAATAATGCCGAGCCACGGCAAACGACGGACTTCGAAAGGTCCGTCTCTGGTGAAAGGTCATCATGCCCCGGCATATAAGAACATACCAAGACAGTGCAAAAAGGGCCCGAACTGGCGCCCACAGGTAGAAGTCGTACAAATAAAATGGATATATGTGCAGAAGGCGGCTCGATGGCCACGCTTTGGTCGTCATAAGACCTCACAGCGAAATCACCAGCTGCGTCTGTTGGCCAATGCCGTAACCCTTCATGCGTTCGGCACACTCAAGACCAAGCTCCCTCATCCTTTCGGCACCACGGCCACGGAGGGGTTTTCTTTCTGCTTGCTCCCTAGCTGCCTTACGACAATGTTGGCGCCAAAATTTCTCCTTTCGTTTCTGACGTTTCTTCTCCAGACCGATGACGATGTCGACAGGTCCACGGACATGCATGTCCGCACGTGGAGGTTCCTCCATAGAAGGCGTGACTGCTCCAGAGGCAATGTTGGAGATGCATGTACTTCCAATCTTGAAATTCTTGAAGAATGGATTGGGAGTGTCAGGGAGAGATGCGGTCCGTTCCATATTGGGACGTTGAGCAAGACCCCTCATATTGGCTTGAGGAGTCTTAACTCCGGTGGGCGAGCCTCGTGGCGACCTTAATCGAGCTGGCGGAGGTGGAGACCTCATTCTCGTTGGAGAATGCCCGAAGAGCTTTCTTGGAGGAGGCGAGCGTGCGACATGTTTCGGGGCCGGTGACCGATGCAACCCTCGACGAGCAGGATGAAGAATTCGTGGAGAGTGATTTTGCGGCGATGGCATTAATGCTTTTGGCCGTCCACGCAGGTCCTCGAGGGCTCCAAATTGTTCTGTGAGCCAGCGAGGCCCATCAGAACTATGCTGCGACTCTTCGACATCATCCACCTCGTCTTCCTCTTCTTCGGGGTCAGTCGTGGGGAAGCTGGGGTCAATGTCTTGAGGAATGGGAATATGCTTTTCACGCTTCCTCAATTCCCGACAAGAGATATATGCTGCTTCCAGAGGACGGTCTTCGTCAAGAGTACCGCAGACGAAATCAGTGCTATCTGGTAGCTCGGGCGTTCCAGGTCTCATCTTGGAGATTCTGTGGGCATTACCACGACGATTCTCAAGTTGCCTCCTCATTGAAAGCATGGCAGGAATTCCAGCGCGACCCTCGGACTCGATTGAGCTTGCATCAGATTGGCGGCGGGAGCTGAAATGGGTCATGTGCATATTCTCGACGCTTGTTGCCCGCGTGGTGGTTCTGGAAGGTGCCCAGAACTGGTAGTCCGAGCCGGCATCACTTTCATCGTCAGAACTGGCAAACCCGCCCTCATCGTCAGACTCGTTTCCGCCATCTGACTCCTCTTCAGACGGAGCAAAGTCGTCAACATGAGCATCTTTGAACTCCAACTCCTCCTCGAATTCTTCCTGTTCGCGTTCCTCCTCTTCTGCCTCCTCTTCAGCTTCTTTGCCAATTTGGCGGATTTCATTTTCCTTCCTCATGCAATCATCGAGCGTGAGCTTTTCTTGGTGTTGGCTAGGCCGATCAATCCAAGCGTCGGTCTCATCGTGTGAGCTACCGAACTCATGAAAAGTCGGCTGAGGGGAGGGCAGGCTGGGCTTGCTTTGGCCAGTAGGACTCTGCTTCGCGGTCTCGGCTGATCGCCCGGTAAGGTCAACAGATTCCACACTCGATTTGCGCCTTGACGGAGGTGCCGGTGATGGAAGACGAGGAGACTTCTGCTCGACACGTAATTTCGATGCCGAGGGATTCTTCTCGGTGGAGCTCGTCCGGGTTGGGCACGCAAAGGTGAGCATGCATTTCCGCTTGGGCACTTCTGGTTCAGCAACAGTCTTTTTTGGCGCCGACACGTCGTCCTTGCTCTTCTCAGATTCAGTCCCCCCACAAGCGAACATAATACACCGTTTTCGGCCAAGGGTTTTCTCAACAGCAGCTTCGCCGAGATCGGCCACGCTTGGCTTGTCATCCCTGGTGACGGGGGCAATAACTACTTTCGAAGGAGACGGTCTCTTGCCGCTCAGCAGCTGAGCGAAGCGACCAGGAAGAGGAGGTGGGCTCGGAGTAGCGGAGCGTGATGGGCTGGTGATGTCGGCATCGCTTGTCAATTCGGCAGTAGACGCGGTACTGTGCGAAGAGGTCGTCGAGAGACCGCGACTGGCAGACGAGGTTGGAGAGTGTTCGTCGTGCTTGGACTCGGCCCTAATAGCGCGAGTCAAAAGGGACTCGCGGCGAGGGTTCGAAGGTGCCATGGCTCGGCTGTACACAGTGTGCCGTTGTGGCTGTTCTCTGAGAGGTCTGAGACGATTATCCGGGGGTTCGTCCGCTTCAGAACTGATCTCCTCATCGGCGAGAGCGACGGTGGGAGCGGTTGACAGATTGAACATCTTCAATAAGCTCTGCACGGCTGAACTTCCTCTTCGCTCATCTGTGTGATGTTTTTGATGGTGTGCCATTTAGGCTGGAAAGGGGGAAATGTAGAATGTGGACTCGAAGGATATCGTAAATACTGTAGCAGGGTCCTTCAGGCAGGGAAATTAACACGAAGTCCGGCGAGGACTTCTGTGTTGGTGAGTACGGTTGGCCCAAGGGACCGCCGTGGTTATAAATTGGGTTCCGACATGGTTTCTAAGGTTGAAACTGAGGGGACTCGACTGAACAGCGACCACACCGTAGAAAGGAAAACGAGGAGAGGAGAGTAGGCGACCGAAGATTCCTGTGGTCGCTAAAAGAGTCGGGCTGCGTCAGGTGGCGTTGTGATGTGCGGACTGCGACGGCGTCGGGAAGCGTAGGGCGGACAAAACAACGCTCCTAGGACTAGGAACGGCAAATATAATGATTCAGACAGGAGATCGCTTACGCGAATCCAGCTGAAACGGAGAGAAGGGAATAGATGCGAGGAGCAGTAGGAGGAGGACGGAAGGAGAGGAGGAAGAAGGAGGGTGGGTGGTGTGGTAGGTTGAAGGGTTGCAGAGGAGAGATCGGGATGGGTGCTGTTTCGATGAGGGAAAAAGTGCGGGCAGCCGCGAAAAAAGAGTTGGAGATTTGTGAGCAAGTCGGCAGTGCCTGTACCAGCGAGAGAGCGAGAGAGGGAGGGAGAGGCGGCCAGTAGAAATTGACCGTGCAAGCAGGGTTTTTGGCTTGGACAGTGTCGGTGGGATGACTTCTGACTGACGAGCGAAAACAGGATTTTTCTGTGTGTGGTGGGTTCTCTTCCAGGGGCGCGGCCGACTTTTAGGAGGGATTTGCCGTGCTTGCAAAGGCAAAGAACCTTTTCACTCTTAGTTATTCCTTTTGTCAGACAGCGGCATTTGCACCGTCCATGTGGCCGCTCTCAAGGTTCGCTTTTTAGCTGATCTTTTGTGTCTGCCAACACGGCTCCCTGCACTAGGTCTCAAATGGCAGCCGACAAAGAGGCTTTGGCGGTGATCATTCCTTTCCAGCGTCAGCGTCAGAGGCGCCTGAACTAGCTGCTTCCTCTCGATGTAATTAGCTTGACCACCAACCGATACGCCCCTAGACTTTAGCCCTCCAAAAACAACAATCCACCGGCCAACCCTGCGATGTTCTCACGGATCCAGTCGGACTGAGGGACCCAAATTACAACGGCTTTCCATCGGTGAACAAACCATACTGGAAATTATGTCCAGACAAGCACATGTATTGCTAAACCATTCACGACCATCCTTACATCTTCAGAAGCAAATCAACTGTGAAACCGTCTGACAAACAAATCTAATTACGGGCGATACTGCTCAGCCTTTGGGCTGTATCGCCCCGGGCGTTTTCCTTGTCCTGTGCTAAATTTGTAGCATTGTTGTCCGAATCTCAAAGCTCCGCTGATCCTGTCAACAAAGATTGTCCACGTTTCACCTGGATCTTGTTTCGATGATGTACGGATACCGTGCCAGGCAACGTGCCGGTCTTTCTGCTGCTGATCAGGGTTTTCGCAACAGTTACCGTGGGTCAGACAATGACATTGACATCTACACAGTAGGAAGTCATCAACCAATATCAGACCTCAGGGTCTATGTCAACACTTCTCCAGCAACCATACCTAGGTAGCTTCGGGAAGGCGGCAACGTTGACCTGAATGTATGACCTCAACCTTTGTGAATCCTGAATATGGCTTCCCGACTGTCCGATACAAAGAGATCTGCCGCCACATCTATGTTTGCTCCTGACAACGACCTCTCCGGGGTCGTATTACGTTGGCGAATATGGTGCCTTAGCCTCCGTATCGACCCGTTCGTCAAGCCGCTTCTCTAATCATCCAATTGTCGAAAAGCAACTGCCTTTTCCCAGCCTAAACGATCGCGGAGTCTGCGTAATGCCCAAGACTTGACACGACTCCGGACGACAATACTTGCGTCAAGAGAACAAGCCAGAAGATGTGTCCCTTGTACCTGGTTCGGGGCACCAGGCACCCTTAAACTGGTATACACGCGTCATACTGCCCACACCCTGCAGGCATGACACCGGATTCCATGTGTCTTTTCTATACTGCGGTACCACCCTCCAAGACCTGAAAGAAGCTTGTAGGGAGCTCGATCTGTGAGTGGATGATGACGTCGATAATTCCGCACTCCATTTAATCACTGATGGAGACCACTATTGCTCTCGACAACACCTCAATTGAGGCCAGTGCGCTAATTGCTCTTTTACTTCGCGTCATGACCGGCTGACCACTATCCATCTAGATACCGTACAGCTGTTCCTGCACGGGCCGCGCGGTGCAGGCACGACGGCCGTATACGAGGTCGAGATGCTTCAGTCAGGGGGGATCTGACGCCAAATGTGACAAAAGTCTTCCCCATTGATAAAGTCATCCTGCACCTGACCCTGGATGCTGTGCAGGGTGCATGCATACTCATCTCAGCTTTGGCGAGCCCACAAGCCAACTTGCACGCGCTATCTCGAAACGCGCCCAGAGTCTGACCCAAGGGATGAGTTCAGTAGCTCTCCACAACACCAACGAGAACCCACAGCGGCCCGTGTCTCGAGGTGTCAAAGCACTTCGAGGTCCATACGAGTATCTCGGACTGGAACGCTGCAAATGGCGGTCAACAGAGTCAGTGCTCGGACTCGCCAGTGTTTCCGGAAATTCTGTTGTTTCTGGAATGCCGTTTGTCGGCCAGAACGAACACTCGGACAGCTGACACCATGAGGTTTCCGCTACTAACAGAAGACATTGGAGCTTCATGCGGTTCGCATGCGCAAAGAGCTTGCGTAGCGGCATCGACTATATGCGAGCTACAAACAGCTGGTCCTTTTTCTTGTGCGGAGGCATGAATGCAGGCTGCATCCACCTTTCTGCTTGGACGAGGTGTGGTATTTCTTTCTTGCATCCAGTATGATGGCGATGCGTGGTGGGTTCTGGCCTTCGCAAAAAGACCGTGAATGGGTATCCCAATTCCCAAGAACAAGGGCCCAGGTGGTCCAGCCCCACGGCAGGTCGAGATTTACTATGAGGCATTTTTCGAAAGCCAATCACAGGCTCCAGAAAATCTAAGCCTAATGCAACGCTTCTGCATCACTTCACCCCACGCTTGATACTCGCACCGACTTGTGACTTTGTGACTTGTAAAGGCCCTTTGCCTTTCTGCCAAATCCTCCGGAGGCCTTGTTCTTACCGCGAGTCATGTTCTTCGTAATGCAAACGCAAATCGTTGCAGCGCTGCCGACGTCGCGTTCCTGATTTGCTGAGACTTGTCATGCAGACAATTGCCGACGGACTCTCCAGCCAGACGCTTTCCCAGAGCAGAATGACCGTATTGGGATGATGATTTGCCGTTTTCAGAGTTGTTTCGAAATTTCGTCCACCAACACGGCCGTAAAGCTACCAAAAGACCAATGCCCTGCCTGTACAAAAGCCAAGCCTGAATATAGGCACTCGGCCATACTAGGAAGCTGTCCGACCCCTCAGCGGCACGTACATGCAGGGCAATTCTATGCTTCTATCGTGTGGGCGCGTACCATAGTATTCACTGCCTTACAACCCACCGCATCGTAGTATGGTACTCTAGTCCACCCCATGACCTGAAATGTCATGCCCGTTCCTGTTTCAGGGTCGGCAGCGAGCCGAGTATCCTGGTGGGGTACCCATCTGATCTCCTGCTCATTCATGCTTAGACGTGCCTCACATGACGACCCCGTTCTCTCACCGTAGTTTCTCCTGGAGTTCGCATACTTTAGGTAGGGACAGAAGGGAGACACGCATGGACGCGTACGACGTCTCTAGGTTGGATCAAGCTGAAATATGGTGGAGCTCTAGTATGTGATTTTCGTCGTAGTGTGAGGGTTCGGGTATAATGGGGTTCAAACATCACTCTCGCTTGACGGGCTCCATCACTTGTATCAGATTCAGGAGCTGCCGATCTTGCGCACAAGCGAAGAGTAGAGTGAGCTTAAATCTACATAGTACTCTGGACGTCCTGTGTACCTATAAGCTTCGAAGCTGGGGATATCAAATAGATCCATCTTGTCATCTCCATTGTAGAGAAGTTCCGTGTCGTCCTCACCATCTTCATGTTCAACCTGTGCTCATCTCCCAGTACCAGGTAATCTTAAGTACAGCCAAGAGCGTCGCTGTCACTGCCAAGCAACGGCCGACCGCTATGCTCCCGGCTGTACCACAAGAACGTCTGATCCTGCTATGCTCCTACCACGATCTTCAACCGTGAAAAAAATCAGATAGCATGTATCTTTGCAGGTGGGTTTCATTCATCAACGCGAGATTGCCAAACTGCCTTGGCGCCGTGGACCGAGGCCAAGAGTCTTGGAAATGACAGCCATCAGGTTATCAAATCTCGACCATGAGAAAAAACAACAAGGCTCCAAGGCAGCCTTGACTTGAAGACCTTCTTTGCACCTCCAAAGTCATCACTGTGATCGTTTTGCGCATATTTCTTCCATGTTCAAGGCTTTTTTGACAAATGCGACGGCGTTCGTAGCCACCCTCGACCTCGTGCTCATTTTCGCTGTCCTTACCCACTAATCAATGCCTCATCAAGCACCCTTACACAAGCAACCGGCGATGCACTTTCTGTGAACCCTTTGAGCACCTCGCCTCTCAATCTCATCAGCCTCCTCAATAAAGCATATGGTTACGCCCATACTGGTTTGGTCCCTGGCGTCTCATCCACAATGTCATCGACCGCTGTTGCACAAACTCCACTATCCGGGCCCGACGAAGAACCCACCATCGAGCCAGATCTGTATCGGTACATTACATCTCTCAACGAAGTACCAGCCTGTTACACCCGTTTCTTTGACGCCCTTTTGATCCAAAGAGATTCTCGGGCTCAGTTTTTCTATGACCTGAAAACGTTCCGCGAACAACCAATCATTATCAGCCTTCTTGAACCTGGGACCAAAGAAGGCTATCAGGCCTGCACGCGGAACTTCGTTGCCTCGCGCTTCGCCCACCCTTGGTGCCGGATCAATAGCGATTTCAAGTCTGGATGGACCCGGGCAACCTGGGTTGGTAGGACCAAAAAGGAGAGCAACGACGACAAGAAAGAAAGGGAGCGTCTCCATCGCCTTCTTGTCCCCATTTGGATTGCATTCCGGAGACGAATGTTTCCAGACAAGGAGGTGTTGGAGACTTGGATTGCAGAGGACGATGAGCGGCAAAGAAAGAGGGCCGCGAAGGAGCAGGCCGAGGCCCAGCTAGGAGCTAAATCACGGAACTCCTTTACTGGAGTTGCAAATGATCCAACGTCGCCGTCAACGACAACATACCCCGAACTCGGCTTTAGGTTGGCTGACAACAAGCCATCACAGGAACGACCACCGGCTTCTGAGCCACCGGCGTCTGGAGCAGTGACTGCCTCACAAGTGTTCCTCGGAGCTGCTATCAGTGGATTTGTGATGAGTGACAAACGAGTCATGAAATATGTGAAGAAAAAGTTCAAGAACAAATGAATGCGAGTGCTGGCGGTAACGGAGCAATGAGCACACAGATAAAGATCTCATACCATATCTAACCCACCAATCGACCGAGCATGTCTTGTCTTGCACTGCAGTGAGGGGGTTCCACAGACCGAGATCAATCTTTGGAAGTCACACTCCAGTGCTTCGGTATTCATCTAGGACTCACAACTGATGGGGAAATCAACCTGGGGCAGGCGATGGAACTTGCCCTTGAGCATCTCCCCAGGCGAAGCTGGAACTGCGCTCTCTTTTGACCCCAGGGATCTCGACTTTCTACGTATCAGCACCAGCCTGGGGGGCATGGAAAGAGCTGCTACAGTTGACTGGTATCACCAACGGGATGTTGAGAAATTAATCACAACTCGCCGCAGATCATTCACGCCCCCGTCCCGAAATGTCATTCAGTGTCCCAAATATCGTCAAATAACCTCTAACAATACGAGAAATCACAAGGAGGACTGGTTAACTGAACAATCTTTGAGGGCAGCGTAGTGTCGCTTCTTCCACGAATGTCCACGTGGAAACGTCTCTGGCACTCCAATAGCGTATCAATATGACCGATCGGGATAAAGAATGAAGCAGCTCCCCTTTGCCAGTGAGGTTATCGTTTCCTGATCAAAGGTTGCTTTCTCGTTGCCAGATACACCTCGACTTCCCCAAGAGTATGCACATGACTATTGCTGCTCGTATGTAGTTGCTGCGGCGGAAGGCAAGCTCCAAGCATATTACTCCTGATCTTTTGCTTCGTTTTCACAGCGAGTGTAGCTTGGCCGGTTCCCAGCCAGACGCTTGCTTCCACCTAGAAATCAGTTTCGAGAAACAGCTTTGCTGCACGAACACGCCGTGGCCATTTCTGCGATATAGCCCCATTCCTCCGAAGACTCATGAGTCTCAGGGGAGGCTGCTGGGCAACCCACCATGCTGATGCAGCATACAGCGCAGTATTGTTCTTCCTTCTTGCTACTACACTACGCTACACTGAGCGCTCACTTACAATCATCACACCCCTCCTTCCCATGGCTGTTACCCTCTCCACCATCGATCTGCTGATTTGCAGCACCACTAGCCCCCTCTTCAATATTTCTTGATTCCGCCTCGTTCTTCATATACGGCTCCTTGACCTTCTTCAGACTCCGATCAATATGGCCCAGATCTCGACCAGGCTCAATAATGTTTCTCACACGGTTCTTGAGTTCTTTCGTCTCAGGAAACCCACCGTCCGTTTTGCGGTCCCATATCAGCGTCTCTGTCACGCTTCCCGTGGCTTGCTTTTGTGGGTCTGGAGTTGAACCGGATGTCGGTGTGGATGTCGACGGTGTTGTGGTGGCAGCATGTGTCATGGTAACCGTGAATATTCCACCCGTCACAGGGATCAAGGCGATTTCTCCGATGGAAGTGCTGAACGTTTGAAGAAGTTCTTGGGCGTACTGTGCTTGAGTCAGACACTTCTTGACTATGCGACTGGCTGGGGCCGTGAGCTCGAACGTTTGCACCGCAAAAGAGAGTGAAGACCATTGACCGTCAACCTTGCATATTTGTCGATGTGTTGGGCTTTCGGAGTCTTACAAAAATGCACCTTCCAAGCCAGGATCGCCATCTCGACGGGGTAAAATGACAGCATCCAATGGGCCAGGAAAGAAGAGCAAAGCAACTCACATAGGCAGCACGTAGGTTCCATTTACATTGTGTGCAGAATTTGATGGCTATTCGAGGGATGTTGACGGTCGACAATGCCTGACTCGTTGTTATATCATCTGTCTGGGTGGCCATTTCGTCCGCAAGAAGTCTCTCTTGCTCGTTTGAATATGGAGACGATTTCAAGTCCGTCGTGGTCAGCCCCTGATGCTATTCTCTGGTGCTGATAATAAATGTGGTGACGTCTGTTCTTTCAGCGATCAGCTGTCTGATGATATGGGCGTCGTGAGGTGCCTACAAGGCGTTACTTAGTCAAGAGCAATCTGTTCGGATTCAAAGTGTCCAGCCAGCGCAGCTCTATTAATCAAAAACCTCTATCAAGCACTGGCGTTTTACGTTGGAGGACATCACCAGCCTAATGATGTCTCAACATAGCTACTGTAAACGGCACTCGGAGAATTTGGTAGAGGCCCACCCCAATCGACGCCCACGGCTTGCTTGAGAGGCGCCCACAAACAGATTCCCCCTGCTCCACTAAGATTTCACTTTTCTCAAGTCTTGAAACTTCCAACGGGCGTGCACGGGCATTCCTGGGGTCGAATGAATCTACTGTGGTACTGTCTGCGAGAGTTTGTATGCAGTACTAGTTCTTGATGGGACCCCGATGTATTGTTTGCGGATATTCTGTTCTGTTCTGTTCACAGTCTGTTGAATTATGATACTGGCAGGCTCTGAGTCCGGGTGAATGGGCACCGCTGGCAAGATGTGCTGTTTATTTATCCCATAGGATCGACGTGTGCTCCCAATTCGTCATCCCGTCTACGCCCATGGCCTTTAGTGAGGTTGCAACGATCAGTACAGGAGGGGAGTCATTTCCCACAAAGGGGCGTGGTTCATACATGGCTTGCTTCGTGCCGTTACTCTGGTAAACTTCAATGCTCATCGCAGAATAGCCGTGGTACCCCACCACTCTGAGTGAAGTGTCAGAAGCGTCTGCGGCAATACGGCATAGATGGATTACCCATGGATCAATTAGGAAGACGCAGTCCCCAAACAGGGACTGGTATGAGAATCTTCCAGATTTTGGATTCTGAATTTTGAGGTACACTATCATCCCTAGGCCCTATCTGCGGGTGCTATCGAAAGTGAACAGGAATGAAGAAGCCGGCTAGTTGTCAACTGAGTACAAGCACAGCATAGTGCTGTCTGTGACATGAAAACCTGTCGCTCTTGAGATGTCCAACAAACGCCGTATGCGCCGCATGCTTTTTTGAATCACGATTGCTGTCCATCAATAATCTCTTCATCTTCTTCTGACTCCCATTAGACTCCATTACATGACTGAACAACAACCGTCGCTCCCTCCACTTTGCGGGTTGTACGGATCTTCTTTTCGGTCGACGTGTCCCCAGACAGAAGGCACCATGTAATCTCGCGTTTGATTACAGTAGTTGATGAGGCTATATTTCAATCATCAGTCAGTGGACCTGCGCCTCTGACGAACTGTCAGAACGTACCTCATTGATGCTTCTGCGACTTTGACACGAGGCCTTTCAAGATCTTCCTTCAGCCTTGAGTTGAGTTCTTGAAGCCGTCGGAGCTTAAGATCTGCCATGCTTTGTTTTTTCGTTTTGGCATCACCCCCATCCCGCACCGCATATGCTGCTGGCATGTTGGGTTACCGCAAGGAAAGAGTTCGTAACGTTCGTAGAGGAAGGAGTGGTAATCGAGGATGTTGGCAACTTGGAAGTCACGGTCGTATGTAGCAGGCGGAGGGAGATTACCGACTCGGCGGAGGGGTGGGGGAGGGATTGATTGACGTCTTGCGCGTGCCTTGTCTGCAACGTAGCAAGCTTTGTAAGTCTTAGCGACAGAGTGTTTGTAGTAATAGTAAGGTGCGAGCTTGAGTTGGTCAGGGTGAATGCCCAGATAGATCAACTCTTTGGTGTCTGTTCGATTTTGGGTTAGCGAGGAGAGGGTTGCAGACGAACACAATTGGAAATCAGGGGAGCGAGGCAGGGACTTGTCGTACATGGATCCATACTGAAGGGTCGGGTTGGGCTGGCAATCACCGTTGCGACGCTAACGATGTTGGGATTAGCGCGCTAACGTGATTTGAGACGGGAGTGAGTTGGGAAAACCTCGGGAAGATGAGAAACTGTGTCACGTGCCGTGTTTGCAACTCACTAAACCCGATTCACCGTGAATTCGTTGCCAGTCCGCCAAGACACCACAAACTGCACCCAACTCCGCAGAGCCATCGACAGCACAGTAGCCATCAACGGACAATCTTTGTCAGTGCATCTCTAGGACAGGCTATAATCAGAGTCTCGAGAGGTCATCTAGTTGATCATCTCTCGTATCTCTGGCCTCACGCAGACGACTGTCAAGATGCCTCCACCACCCCATATCCGGCCTGAGAATGTGCTCAGAGTGAGTCGATGATTCCTTCAATCCTCAATTCTGTCTGCGCAGTATGACTGACGAACGTTCTTTCAGCGAGCACAAGAGCTCATTGCCGTCGACCAAACACAAGCCGCACTCAATGTCCTTCACGAACATGTCACCTCAAAGCGATCCCGAAACAGCCCCATCGCCTCCTTGGAGCCGGTTATGCTCCTTTTCGTCGAGTTATGCGTCGATTTGCGAAAAGGGAAAGCTGCAAAGGACGGACTCTACCAATACAAGAACATCGCGCAAAACACTAATGTCGGAACGATTGAGGTATGATTATGATCGAAATTTTGGGTGAATGCATGCTGACGCCAATTTTTGTAGTTGGTTTTGAAGAAATTTATCGAACTCGCCGAACAAAAAGTACAAGACGCGCAGGCGAAGGCCGATCAGGTTCAGTCCAGCCTTGAGAATACCGCAACTTCTACAAACCTCAACATTGAAGATCTCGAGGCCACCGAAACCCCTGAAACTATCCTCCTTGCCACTGTATCTGGAGAACAGTCCAAAGATCGGACAGACCGCGCCATCGTCACGCCATGGCTCAAGTTCTTGTGGGAAACGTATCGCACTGTCTTGGAAATATTGAAGAACAACGCTCGCTTGGAAGTCATGTACCAGAGTACCGCTCATCAAGCCTTCGATTTCTGCCTCAAATACACTCGAAAGACCGAATTCCGCCGTCTTTGCGAACTCCTTCGAAATCACGTCCAGAATGCGGCAAAATACTCTTCTCAGATGCACGCCATCAACCTTAACGAGCCCGATACTCTCCAGCGCCATCTTGAAACACGTTTTCGGCAATTGAACGTAGCGGATGAACTCGAATTATGGCAAGAGGCCTTCCGAAGTGTCGAGGACATCCACATGCTGTTGACCTTGTCTAAGCGGCCTGCAAAGAATGTCATGATGGCAAACTACTATGAGAAGCTCACCAAGATCTTCCTTGTCAGCGACAACTTCCTCTTCCATGCTGCTGCCTGGAACAAGTACTTCAACCTCCTTCGACAATCTTCGACAGCGATGGCCTCAGGACAGGCTGTCAAGCGTGACAACCCTGTTGTCACCGATGAATCCTTGACAAAGGCTGCTTCTTTTGTACTGCTCTCTGCTCTTGCGATCCCAGTCATTAGCACTTCACGCTCACGCGGCGCTCTTGTCGATGTGGATGAGGCACGAAAGAACAAGAACAACAGATTGACAAATCTTCTTAGTATGCCTTTTGCTCCGACAAGAGCTGCTCTTTTCAGAGATGCTTTGAGCAAGGGCTTACTCAAGAGAGTCCGGCCGGAGATCAGAGACCTCTATAATATTCTAGAGGTTGATTTCCACCCCTTGTCAATCTGCAAGAAGATATCCCCCATCCTCTCGAAGATTGGCGCTGATCCCGAGATGGAGAAATATGTGCTTCCTTTGCAACAAGTCATCCTTACCCGACTTTTCCAACAACTTTCACAGGTGTACGAGTCCGTAGAGTTGAGCTTCGTCAATCAGCTCGCTCAATTCCCTGCACCATTCGAAGTCACCCCTGCCATGATTGAGAAGTTCATCATGAATGGTTGCAAGAAGGGCGACTTGTCCATCCGTCTTGACCACGTCTCCGGTATTCTAGCATTCGATTCTGATGTCTTCTCTTCCGCAAAGGCACTCCACGCCGGCAGCGCAGCTGGATCCGCAGAAAGTGAGACTGGGTCCGTCCAGCGACTGCAGAATACCCCTGCTGAAATTGCTCGATCGCAACTGACACGTCTTGCAAAGACGTTGCACATCACGTGCATGTATGTCGATCCCTCATACAATCAAGCTCGTCTGGCTGCGCGGGAATCTGCCCTGGCTCGTGCCGAGGCTGGCGCACAAGAAGAGCACGAAGCAACCCTGGAGAGACGCGTCATAATTGAGAAGAGGAAAGAAGAGGCCTCCGAGGCGTTCTCAAAGAAGCAGCGAGAAGAAGAAACCCGACGCCGAATCCGCGCACAGCAGCAGGCCGAGGCAGAAGCACAGCGACTTCGCGAAGAAACAAAGGCACGTGAGCTTAAGCGCGTTAAGGACGAGCAGGCTCGCATTCGCCGACAAGAAATAGAGAAGCAGTTGCAAGAGCTCAAGACCGGTATGGATATCGACCTCGAAGGTGTCGACATTGACAACCTGGACTCAAACCGTATCCGAATGATGAAGCTGGAGCAGCTGGAGCAGAAGAAAACCGACAAGGACAAGCGTATTGCGATTACTGCCAAGCGCATTGACCATCTCGAGCGTGCATTCCGTCGCGAAGAACTGAAATATCAAGCTCAAGACTATGAGAAGCAGCGGGAAGAGGACTTGAAGATCTACGAGCAGACCAAAGAAGAGACTCTGAAAGAAGCTCAAGAAAAGCACAAACAAGGCTTGGCATTGAAGCATCGTCTCGCTCGGCTCGTCAAGCACTACGACTCGTTCAAGGGTCAGATCACCGAGCGTCGTTCCGCCGAATTCGAAAGACTGCGTAAGAAGGCCGAGCGCGAATTTGAGGAAGAGAAGCGGAAGCGTATCAGGGCTGTCCAGGAGAGGAAGATCCAAGAGCGACAGGAGCAAGAAGAAGAAGAGCGCCGCATCCGCGAGGAAGAAGAACGCAGAGAGCGTGAAGAAGAGGAGAAGGCGAAGGTCGAAGAAGAGAAGAAGAGAGTCGCTGCCGAACGACGAGCCAGGCTTGAGGCTGACCGTCTGGAGCGTGAAGAAGCTGCACGCAAACAAATGCAACGAGAGGAAGAAGCTGCCGCCAGGCGAGCGGCGCGCAAAGGTCCCGAGGCCGAGAAACCTGCGCCTTTCGCTCGTCCACGGGAAGCTGTTCCCCCGGAGACCCCAACAGAGTCGCAAGAAGTTCGCGCTGCTCCTCCTCGGCTCAACCTTGCAGGCAAGGCCGGTGGCAGCTGGCGCGAGCGAGAAGCAGCCAAGCAAGCGGCCGCGGCCGCTGGTCAAGCACCACCTGCGGAATCTGCTCAAGTGCCAACTCCGGAACCTGCGCCAGCCCAACCAGCCCGAAGTGGCTATGTGCCTCCTCACCTGCGTCGAGGCGGTGCTCCCCCGAGCGGCGAACAGCCACCCGCCCGCGATCTGCCTATGCGCGGTTCATCATCCTCGCCCGCCAACGGGCCCCCCGAGCGCAAGTATGTCCCTACCCATATGAGAGAAGGCGGACGCAGCCTGTCTCGAGAAGGCACTGGATCTCCTACACATGCGAACAGCGAAGAATCTCCTGCTACCGCGCCCAGGAAGCCGGCCACTGGTGGAAGGTACGTGCCTCCGAGCATGCGAAACCGTCAGTAAATGCGCTGGACCTTGTCAGGTGCCGGGGAAGGTAGCTTGGGATCTTTCGCTCTCTTGCAGAAAACGATCATGTGTATTTTAGTCTCACAAAAATTTGTTGCGCTGTCCTTAGTATCAGATTGCCAATGGCATAGCGGAGCACAATGGCGCATGGCCAAAGTCAATAGAATGAATGGGCGTAAAGACAAAACTTCCTTCCTGTGGAAAAGTCCTGTATCGTGCTCAATCTTTTCAAGGGGTAGGGCAGGATCACCCGCAGATCCAGACTCGTCAGCCGCGGACAGCTTCAAGGTTGGCTCGGTGTCCATTCCATGTAGCTGTAGCTCGTACATCATACAGTAATCTCCAAGACGACCCTCCCGACGCCGGTGTCTTTCGTCTCCAGCAGAGTTGTACTCTTCGCTCGGTGCCTTCCAATCTCGATCAGAAAATCATCAACCCCTCCCCCAACGCCAAAGTACACTTTCTTCGCAGCGACCCAAGCCTTTGCCATCCCCCGTGGATATCGCCGGAGTAGATTAACCAGCGTTTCCGCAAAGACCTTTGTCGACGCAGGAGAGTATATCGTCTCCGAGGCAAGAATCAGGATGCTCTCGGGGCCATCCGCGTCACTCTTGAGGGGCACAAGGTCGAGAAACGAACCACCCCAGCCTCCGGATATGAAGTCGAACGAGATGTTCCGTGATCGTAGGTCGTGGACAGTATCGGCGACGAAAGTATCGCCGAGCTCTTCAATGTCGAGGTCGCCTTCTAGTTCTTCTTGTTCTTCCTCGTCGGGAGACGCGCTCATGAGCCGACGGGACTCTACTAGCACGCGGTGATGATAATGATAATAATTCAGTAACACATTCGGCGCCGTGCATAATCTCAGGACGTCTTCGTTGTAGTCGCAGAGCGTGAACCGCAGGCTTCCCCTGCTTCGCTGTCGTTGGTGCTTGCTTGTCGAAAATGAGCTTTGGAGGAGTGCTAGACTGGGCACCGCGCTGCCGGCCCCTAGTTCGAGGACGTGCCAATTTTGGGCGAAGTCGAGGTCTGTGACAAGCGAGGCTAGATCCAGAGAGCATTCCCACGTTTTGAAGCCGCCTTCATAGATGCCCGACGTCAGATCGCCGTTTTCCAGGCCAGACAGGAGAGTGGCCGCGTCGTCGTGGGTTTCGGGATTCGCTTCGGCCATGAGTTGGGCCCGGATATCGAACAGTGAGCGCCGTTGGATGGCGCTGGGAGTGATTTGAGCCTCTTCAGAAGACGATGATCTTTCCCGATTGCTGGACGATGGTGGGCGGGCGGGGACTGTGAGGGTGTTGTATGAGATCTGAGAGGGGAGCGACGATAGCTAGAAGGGATTGTCAGAAGCGGGCTATGGGAGTAGATGATGGCGAGCAACAGAGATTTTCCCCATAATTGCACAACGGCAACGCCTTGATGTGGGCTGTTGATACCTATGCCAGGGGGGCTTGGTATCGAACTCTTCGGCACCCCTGCACAGCGGCAAGAGGATAGAACACGAGTCCCTCATGGGGAAAAATAGGTGGACCTACCAATTCTTCGAGAGAATGCCTCTGCGGCGGTAACGTCGCTGTGTGTTTACCTTCCGCATCGGAAATCGTGTAGTCGGAGATTTGCCCTACAAGAGCATCTTGTTCTTCGGGATTTTCGTCATCTTCGATATCGTCACCATTGAAGCCGAAACTAAACGACATCACAAAGCAAGTCAAGGGTTCCCCACTTGAAAAGAAACACAGGCCTCGACCGGAGCTGGACGTAGACAGATTTTGACACGGTGCGGAAGGCGAGGTATGATAATGAATGGTTTGAAATGTGGTGTAGACAGTAGACAATGAGCAAATTTCACGCTCCCAACTGCCCAGCCAAATCGTATCGATAGGGGCATACATGACTAAGCAAGGCTGAGGTCATTTACGTGCATTGACAAGGAACATCTTCCTATATCTTTTACGCAGGTCAAAGATCTGTCCCGAGCTGTCAAGATTATTGAGGTACCCTCGGTGCAATGCGGGACTACATACCCCTTTGGTGCCGACGAAATGCTCGTGGTACTGCAAGCATGGTGGAGTATCAGGCCTGAGAATGTCCCTGGACACGCAAAGGAGAATCTGGCCAGCTGTGCGGGTAATTAGACCTCTGTCAATATCATTTTTTACGTCTGGACTAAATCCCACACGACAGTTCGTCTGAGTCAGCCAGATAACATAGCTGCTATGCCAGTATCCACACCGACAAGGTCTGAAAAGAGGTCCAAATTCGTATCCGTCCAGTAGTGAGGCATATTCATGTCGAACACGGTGAAAGGGTCGTCCGCAGGCATCGCTGTGGTGCCCATTGCATCAATGGGAACAACAGGTCCATCCAGCCCAGCCGCATCCTGCATTGGCATCCCGGATTCATGCTGCATTCGCAGTTGAGAAGCATCCAGCGGCTGCTGGTGAGAGGATAGAGTCGACAAGATCGTGGGTCCATACTCAGGGCTGAACTGTGCTAGCGTCAAGCAGATCTGCACCAGTTTCACCAAGGTCCTCCTGATCCTTTTCGAAGACCTCGTGCCTTCTCCGAACCGCTGCAACGTGTCTGCAGCACTTCGAAGCCGAGCAATCATCTCGATGACCTTGTCGCAATCGATTGAGGGTGCTGACGTGATGGTAGCTCCACCTTGGCTCCATTTGTTGACAGTGGTCATCTCGATTAAGGTGCAGGCGAATATGACGAGTGCGGCATTGAATGCTAGAGGGGCGGGTTAGGTATGTAGTGTCGGACCAGAACAAGCAACAAGCAACACATCTTACTGTAGTATGTGGAAAACCACCAAGCCCCCAGCAGGGTAGGCGGCGCACTCGTCTTGTGTACAATCTGTACAATTTCCATGGCTGACTGTGCGCAGATTTTCAGGCTTTTTTCTGCAAGGTCCTGGAAATAGGGGTCTTCTTCATCCGATTGCACTCCAAGGGATCTATAGCACGCTCTCTTTCGCAGGAACGCACTAAGCATAGGCCTGTGAAGTAATATTCGGGTGTTGAGATACCTCAGGGTGATGATCACACTCAGTCTGTCAAAGACCGGATCCCAGGCGGATGCCCAGACCGAATCTGGATCAAGAGTGTCCCAGGGGCGCCTCTGAAGCTGAGGAAACAGGTTTCTCCTCCAAGCTGATAATCTTTGCTCAAGACTGAGCGTTCTTTCGAGCAAAGTAGGGATGGAAAGGTTTGGATCGGAGTCAACATTGGAACCGTAGAGCTGCGTGATGATATCACCCAGAATGTAGTAGAGTTGTCTGCGTCGTGTCAGCGACTGCGGATCAGTGTCTAGCTTGTTGGGCTTACATTGTAGCAATATAAAGACAGACTGTATCAGGGGGATCAAGGCACTCATTGGGGGCTGACATGGACCCCGTCGTCGTCATGACAAGCTTCTCGAGTTTCTGGTTGATTGGCAGATCCAGTTTCACGTATTCATTCGGAATGGTTGAGGGTCGACCAAAGGTCATGCACAAAGTTCTGCGGATGATTAGAACCCAAGCTTGATGTCATGGGCTAGGTTACCGACCTATCCAGGACGAAGCAAGCGAACCACACCCGCTTACGGACCTCGGCCTCGAGTAACGAACAATCTGCAGACGCTGCTTGCGAATGCAAACCTAGCTGGAGAGCTGCTCGGACTGCAAGGCCGTGCAGATTCCAAGCTTGATCAGACCTTTGAGTGCCCTGCCGGTACTGGGCCATCAAGAGCAGACATTGAACTGGAAGCGATTAGTGATCGGTTTGCACAGTCTTAGAAGCAGCATTTCGATCAGGGCAGGAAGCTGGCACAGCATGCGGCCGGATGCAAGCCAAGTAGGCTCATGATGCGTACTTACCCGTCTCAAGGCTAGCGGATTTCGAGTCAATCTCGGACGCCAAAGCCTGTGCCCTCTCGATGAAGATTTCCGACCCGGCAGCATTTTGTTCTGCCGTCTGATCCGGCCTGGCACTGAGATACGTCGCAAACGCAAATATGACGTTAAGGAGGCAAAGCCAGGACCTGCTGACTGCCGTGAATCGATTTCGCCTGACAGCTGCGAACGTCCCGAGAACGGCTGTCTCATGGACGTATGGAAACAGCATTCCAGTATCCAAGAAGAATAGTTTTATCAAGTGAAGAGCTCTTTTCTCGGGAGGGAGAGACCGAATGTTGATACCCTGTCGTGCAGAAGGGCTAGTTTCTTGGGGTAGAGTCGTGACCGGAGAGACCGCCCTCGACACGATCGTCTGACTTAAACCATTCTCTGCATGTCTGGACTGTCCTATGGCTTTCAGTGAGGCCGAAGTAGCGTCCGATATCTCGCGCAGAAGCGCTATGTTTGAGGATGGACCGTAGAATCTTGACCCTTTCTCTTCCGGGTCGGTTATAGCGGCCATACCATCCACCGAGTCGTCTCCCGCATCTTGTCGGTCCCCAGAGGCATCATCGTCAAGTATTGCAACATCTTCCCCGTCGCTCGGAGCATGTGGAAGGCCTTGGGTGCCGGCACGTTGTGGCACTCCGAGCCCAATGCCGTGGCTGGATGGTTCGGACTCTTCGGGTGACGGTTCTTTCTGCTGGACTAGCCGTCGCAAAGTATCTTCGATCGCGGAAAGACGCTCATCATACCCTGATGACCCTTGGGAGGGTCTCGTGTTACCTGCAGCTGGTTGTTGGTAGACGCACTCGAAACCGAGCTCCACACATAGACTGCAGGAGGGCTTAGACCCGTTGCAGCGAGATTTCCGGTTCCTGCAGGAGGTGCACGCCAGCGCAATCCGACGTCGTTTGTAGGATGGCGGCGGGGAGGTCGACTCATGCAGGTCGCCCTGTGAGGCAGGCCGGGTGTGAGCTGCCGGCATGCTAATTAATTGTCTTTGGACTGCTCAGATTACTGCCGGTCGTATGATACGTCACGTGTCGGAATCCATTCTTCGGATCTCAATCTTCAATGTGGGAAGAAAGGTGTAACAATAAGGGTATATCGGGGAGGACCACAGAGTAGGGCTGACAACAATATAGAAATGGAGAGCAATCCGACTCAATCGTTGAACGGCTTTAGGAGAGCGGGGCCAAGACTGAAATTACGCCCGTGCTTTCGACTCGCAGATGGCTACAACAATGACTGGTGCCGCATTTCCTTTCGTCTCTGACTGTATGTATGAGGTCTGCCCAGCAGCAAGGAGGAAGTGATCCAAGGTCCAAGCCTACCGTAGGTGGAATACCTGGAAGCAGGTGGCCTGGCAAGCCGGGTAAGCATCGGGAACCCCTTGAGGCTAATGACTGCCCCACCTTGTTAGGCAGACTGTGTAGAGAAATCGACGTCTATGGTTGACATGCTCAGGATTTTCAGGACAAGAAGAAGATTTTAGAGACCAATACTCAAGATGAAAGTGCCCTGGACAAGGTTAATCCGCTTCACCACTGCCGATGGCCGTGTTCTGCGCGGCGAACCAATATTGCCCAGCGAAGACTTTGATCTTGGTAAAGTGACCGAGGCCGACCAGTTGAAAGTGAAGGTTATTGTTGGTGATGATCCCTTCGACACCACTGGCAAAACGATTGTGAGCGATGAGGTTGCCACGGTGAAGAAGTTGCTGGGCCCATTAGCAAAGGAGGAGGTGCCGATTCTGCGATGCGTGGGTCTCAATTATGCGAAGCATAGTAAGTCGAGGACCCCTGGTCATGCCCTCGAGAAGCGAGAGTCTTCTTGAGTCGAGGTATACAAGCACTGCAGGACCCCATGTTGACTTGTGTGGTCGTGTAAAGTCAAAGAAGCCGGGCGACAGCCACCACCGTTCCCTTTCATCTTCTTCAAGCCCAACACGACGGTAACCGACCATGATGCTCCGGTCACAATACCGAAGATCGCACAGGATGATCAAGCAGACTATGAGGGAGAACTCGTAAGTACTTCTTGGGGTGGAAAATGCATTTCCTGCTAACTCCCCCAGTGTATGGTCATCGGTCGCGATGCAAAGGACGTCTCCAAGGAGGACGCCCTTAGCTACGTAGCAGCCTACACTGCTGGGAACGATGTATCGTCTCGCAAACTCCAACGTGACCCGAACCTAGCTGGACGTGTTCCACAATGGGGCTTCTCGAAGGGCTTTGATACCTTTGCTCCATTGGGTCCTTGTCTCGTGTCCTCCGAGCTCATTGGCGATCCTGCCAAGCTGCATTTGAAGACCATCATCGACGGAGAGACCAGGCAGGATGAGAGTGTCTCGGACTTGCTGTTCGATTGCGCCTACTTGATTTCGTACTTGAGCCAAGGCACAACTTTACAGAAGGGAAGCGTCATCATGACGGGGACCCCTGGAGGTAAGTACTTGCCATGGGACCTCTAGCTAAATATGAGCCCTTTCACAAGGGCGTGGCTTACGATGACTGACTGACTGACTGGTGTTATGCAGGTGTCGGAGCAGGCTTCAATCCACCGAAGTATTTGATGCCTGGGACGACGATGGAGGTTGAGATATCCAAGATCGGCACTCTGAGAAATACCGTGGAATTTGCCTAGATTTGCTATCAAGGGACACAATCAAAGTTCAAACAAGACGAGATAGATCAAGAAGTGCCATTCGAGATGCAACAATAAAGATGCCTGAAACGACACATCGAAGGTCATGACAATCGTGACTTCCCTTTCCAGTCTCACTTACGAGTACGCAGGCGGCTCCTCTGGCTGCTGAGCAGCGCTTTCTCCTTCACCAACCCTCTGGCTCGGCTTCATAGCTCTCCTCATTCTCACGCTTTCCAGCCTGGTCTGTAATTCCCTCCTCTGGTCGTCCGTAGCGTCGCTTTCTTCCATGGCGGCCTTGAGCTCTGCCTCCTCCTGATCAAGCAATCTCCAGCGAAGGGCTTCTTGTTCCCAGAAGAACAACATTCCCACGACTTTGCGCTGGCCAGCAACGCTAATGAATGCAAGCTGATGGGCAAATTTTGGAGTGATGCGGGTGGTATCAATGCCCAGAGGACTCTGCGGATCGAGGATGCCATTGTTGACCAATGCCTTGTGGATACGGGCAGAAAGTTTCTCGGACGCTATCAAGATCAGTCAGTTGACGTCGGTGATTGTGACCAACATTCGCCAGTCTGGACAGAAAAGATGGCATTCCCTGATTGCGGCAGCCGTGCCTCATGATATAGTCTCCGTGCATTCATGGTGGGACTTTTCTGAGACGTGATAAGGGGGCTTGTTGGGAGCATGGACGATTTGTGTGACATCAAGCAGCAAGATCACGCTTGTAGATATCTTGTTCCTCTAGAAACAATCTTGAGCGAGTAGAGGAGTTGATTTCCGCTTGGGGCAGACCGTAACAGGCGCAGAACGCAGAATGCTGGAAAACAGCTCGAAAATGTTGGACCACGATGGAGCAAGATGCGCACTTTGAAGGCAGACTTACTGGTGACACCAGCTCTCAGAGCGCTCTCAGCATCCAGCGTCATTGGCGGTCTTCCGCAGGCGTCGGCTCCTACCACTTGGTGCATCCATAGACCATCTTGTTCAGTGGCTGTCAGGTCGGCATCTTGCTCGCTATTGTCATTTGCAAAATTGGGGAATGCATTGGTGACTAGGCGGCCGAAGGAGAAGCCTGTACCGCCAGATGGCTTCCGATACATTCTGAAGTCGCCGAGACGGGCTCGTCAAAGTTGGCAGCCGTGGCCGTCAAGTCGAGAGAGAGAGAGAGAGAGAGAAGTCGGAGCTGCCCAAACAAGGGTGCTGAGAGGATATTGCAAGTGCCTTGTCCGACTAGCGATATCGTTCTTACTTTTGAGAGAGCTGCCGTTGCCCTGCACTGCCCCCCTTGGCGCGGAGGAATGTACTGAAATGGAACGCCTCTGGTGTTGCAAACCACTCGAGAAGGACACCGACGACCCTCGTCAATGTCCAGGAGCACCAACCTTCGTGTTCGACTGCGAATAGGTCATTTTTGAACTCTTTGCGAGTCTATTGCCTGGCTCAGCGCCGGACGTCATCCTGTGCAAGATCTGGAAAGATGGGGATCCCCATTACTGGTGGGTGAATGGCCTGGTGCACGATCAACCTACCCACGTGCTCAGAAGCAAAAGGAGTCCCATTGGTCGGTCTCCCATTTCGTAAGTGAACAAGCACATCAAGCCTCTGCTCAAGCGTTTGGAAATTAGCCGCGGCTGGCTTACAAACAATTGTGCGGTTGAGTGCGTGAAGAGCTTACTGTAGGGACTGGAGTCTGGGGGTTTGCACAGTCTCGCGGCCACCTCAACACTTTGGAATTAATGTTCGGAAGAAAATAAACGACCGGTTGTCCATATGCTCAACACTACCAGGGCTTGCAGGTAAGTGGTAGAGACACGTCTGCCTGACAATAAAATCTGGAGCAGCTCGATTCATAGCCAAGTCCGCCGACCACGGATCCGAAAAGCCAAAAGCCGAGGTGAATGTCACTGCTATCTCGTTATTCACCTCGATGGACATGTTTTCATCACTCGAAGAGCTTTCATCAAGCCATTGTCCGAGGCATATCAAACGACAGCTTGGCATACTCAGTGATCAGCCCGTTCATATGCGCAAATACCCGCTCGTCATCCCTTCGTCCCTTCATTCCCGATATTCCAATCTTGTTTCTAGCTTATCGTACGGGGTACATACAACAAACATGCCATAAGCTAGGGTAATGCCGACACCAATGTGCAGATCCCTGCATGAAGTTTCCCGGAGGAGGCGTACATTCCCCGAACACGGGAGCACTCAAACGCTGCATCCATGTGCTGGACGAGCGTAAGATGTCACGAATGCCTTTGCACTCCGAGATGGCTTTCATAATGCCGAAAGCAGGATGCGTTTTTGCTCCTTCCTCCAAAAGCTCTTTAAACCCAGCAAGGCTCTGGAGGACCGCTGAGAGCGGCTTACCGGGCTTGAAGGCTGGCATACTGCCCGCATGTTGCTCCTCAAAACGTTCAGGCCAAGGGCAGCTCACCCTTGCTTCGTCAGATGCAGCCATGCAGTATCCCAGCGCTCTTATGTCGTAGATGCTTCGACTACCCCAAGTGTAGGTGTCTTCAGCGCATTGTCGACCCAAGGGTTGCTGACAATCCCATAAAGAGTGATGATGAGCACTTTCACATTCCCATCAGCAGCAAATGTTTCGAGACATACAAGATGGGCTCACCGCCACTCTCCCTCGAGACTACGAAGAAGGAGCTGAAGGATTTGTACAGACATATGTGGAGGATCAGGTATATTGTCCTACCACAGGCTCGCGAGGGACAAGAAGAGTGCTCACGGTCGACTTAGACATATGGAAATGGCCATCAACCGTCTTTACCTCCAACGCAAAGTCCGCGGCTTCTGTCACTTGTCGATTGGTCAAGAGGCTGTAGCCGTGGGTGTCGAGCACGGGATCACGAGGGACGACAAATTGATCACCGCGTACCGATGCCACGGGAACGTCCTAATGCGAGGAGCCACACCCAGAGAAGTCATAGGCGAAGTTCTCGGTAGGCGGGAAGGTGTTGCCCGTGGAAAAGGAGGCTCGGTCCACATGTACTACAAGAACTTCTACGGTGGTAATGGTATCGTTGGCGCACAAGTGCCGATCGGTGCAGGCCTGGCCTTCGCACAGCAATACATGGGCACGAACAACATCACCATCAGTCTCTACGGAGATGGAGCGGCGAACCAGGGGCAGGTGTTTGAGGCGTTCAATATGGCTAAGTTGTGGAATCTGCCGGTGATTTTCGGCTGCGAAAGTAAGTCCATGGGCGAACGTATTTCGCGCTGGCTGTCTGACCAATATGCGCAGATAATCTGTTCGCCATGGGCACGTCGGCCGCCAGGGGATCTGCGTCCGTCGACTACTACAAGCGCGGCCAGTACATTCCCGGCTTGAAGATTGATGCAATGGATGTCGTCGCTGTCCTTGCCGCCGTCAGATACGGCAAGGAGTACGTCATGTCGAATGGTCCACTGGTCTATGAATTTGCGACCTATCGGTACTTTGGACATTCCGTTTCTGACCCGGGAACGACGTATCGTACACGAGACGACGTCCAAGCCATCCGGAAGTCGCAAGATCCGATCAACAACTTTCACGAGAAACTGATTGCTTTGGGTGTCGCCGACCAAGAAGAGCTAAAGCAGATTGACAGAGATGAAAAAGCGATGATCGAAGACGAAGTCGTCGAGGCCGAAAAGATGGAATTTCCAGATGCTACCGCTCGTATCTTATTCGAGGACAGTTATTTTCGCGGCAGCGAACCTCAATGGGTCAGAGGGAGGACTCCCGATGAGACCTTCTATTTTGAATAGCTTGCTTTCACGGGTATGTGTGGGCTCTCTGGTGGTTCTCTGGGATTCTCCATGAAGATACTGTTGGACCACTGTTCACAATACCCCTTCACATTGTCCCTCCTTGCCTAAGCCGATGCACATGGTTGGCTTTGCTGGGCCCCTCAGAGCTAACTGATGCTGGACACTCGGTGTCCCCGTCCAACGACTATGCGAAAACAGGTACTCAATGGCCATTCACTGGAGAGAACGTCTTTCCAGCAAAAGCCTTCTTTACCTCCCATTCTGCATCATAGCCATAAGTCCACCGCTGCGTTGTCGGGTCACTCCATTGATTTGGACTCGTGACGAACTCACGCCCCTCGACTTCAGGCCTCATTGCCTCATCTCGAGCCTGCTGCAATGGGCCGTCAGCGAAATGCCACAGCTTGCCATTGATCAGACTGGCTTCCTGCATCTTGTCGGCTCGATCTTTGCGAACAGCTTCCCAGACGCGTAAGGCCCGCGGCAAACCCGAGATGTCTTCGACTTGATGAATGGCTTCGGCAAGGGCAGCTCCATCTTCCACCGCCATTGCCGCACCTTGACTCATGTAGGGAACCATGGCATGTGCCGCATCTCCCATTATAAGGAGCTTGCTGGACGCTGATACCCATCTTAGTAGAGGCGAGCCACTCATAAGCGGCCATTTCAACGTCGTGTCAATCATACCAATAATCTTGGTGAGCGTGGGGTCCCAGCCTTTGAAATGATCACGCATGCCAGACAAGATCCTCTCAGGAGTCTGTGAGCTCCAGGTACTTGGATCCGAACGGTCTGGATGTGACAAAACCATATTGAACGACTTCCCACCGGCAATCATGTACGTCATAACGTGCCTCATATCTCCGACCCTAGGTTGCGAAAGCGTTAGCAGCGTTGGTAAGCACTCTTACGTGGATTCGGAGCATACTAACCATAGGTTCAGGTTGGGTTTGGCACACACCTCTGCAGTGTCGGGATATGCTTTCATCTTCTCGACATCGACGGTGGCTCGATAGGCTGCAAAACCTGTTCTTCTAGGTGCCTGGTCAACACCACCTAGCACCTTCGTCCTGGCGTATGATTTCAAGCCTTTGACGGTTAGCTGGCGTACGCAGAGATATCGCAGCTCGACCCACCATCGGATGCAACAATCAAGTCTGCGGAGTGGGATCCTCCATTTTCGAGCGTGATCGAGGGCGCGTCCTCGTCATAATCAAGGACTTTGGAGTTGATCCTGATCTCGATGCCCAGTTGCAAGGCTAACTGATACATGGCGTCGTGGAAGTGAGCGCGGTGCACGACATAGTAAGGGGCGTCGAATTCTCTCTCGAATTGCGGAATGAGCTTGGTGAGTCCAATCGTCTTGCCGTCTTCCCATCTCCGGAAGGCAATGTTGCCTGGCTTGACTATCTTGCCTGCAAGGAAGGGTTCGAGTCCCCATTTGATGAGTAACCTAGTCGAGTTGGACGGGATTTGTATACCAGCCCCGACCTACCGCCCATTACATTTAGCCATGGCGGTTGTTAGAATTATCGAGCAAGGACACCTCTCACCTCACCAAGTTCCGGTGCCTGCTCGAAGACGGTGACCTTATGGCCTCTCCTGGACAGGGCAATAGCAGCAGCAAGACCCCCAAGACCAGCGCCGACGATGATGATGTTGAGCTTTAGCCTCGACAAATCTTCACCGTTGACTAATGACGAGGCTCGCATTGCTTTCTGCCGTTTCTCTTCGTCTTTCTGCAACTTTACGAGAAAATCCAGACTGCCCGTGGGATAGGAGGCGGACTGTACAAACGTAAGTCTAACGCCTGGTCTTCCCAAAGACAGCAACCTACCTCTGGTATATGAATGAAGTCCTCCTCCATGGCAGTCAAGCCGTTGGATAATTGGGGCATATTGTTGGCTTGAGTGGTTCTTGTTGCCGGTTGACGACCTCAGATGGATCCCCTCTAGAGGTTCAGGTATGGCGACTTAGGTATGTTGCTTTGTAGAGCCATCAAATCGCCGGACATCAGTGCTGAAAGCCAGACACGATCCGATCCGATATTAACCCATTTCGCACTCCCACTACTTAGAGCCGGAAGTTCCAGTCTTTTCATAGACATGTTGAATGGTTTGGGAAACGCAGCGGGGATTGTGCTGGTCTGTCTCCGCCGGGTGTGTGTCGGGAACACTCCCCCTCGCTCACCTCGCACCTCGAACGCCTCTCCAGTGTTGATCCGAGGATGAGATCAGCATGGGGGTTTTCACGCCTTGCCTTATTTAGGACGCGCTTCATCTCATCGTCGTGATGCATTTTCCCCGGCGAGAGAAGGTACATTTAGAAATCATCCTCAAGCACTGGAATTCAAATCCTCGACTCTGAGAGACATCATCATGGCCACTACCACCCAGACAACGACGCAGATGAACGGTTCGAAGGATCCTGCACAAGAGCTCGTCGAGAATGCTCTCAAGGTGAACACGAAACCGCTCTGGACGCAAATGGCTAAGTTGAACCCACCGGAACCGAATCCCCAGTGCGTCCCCTACATCTGGCGATACGACGAAGTCAGACCGAGCCTCCTACGGGCAGGGGAGATCATCACCGAGCAGCAAGCCGAAAGACGAGTGCTGATGCTGGTCAATCCTGCTAGAGGTATGCCACCACCACCACCACCACCACCATCAACTTCGTATGAAAGGCGGCTAACAGCATAGTTCAGATGCCCCGTACACCACTGACACGTTATACGCCGGTCTCCAGCTGGTGATGCCCAACGAGACCGCCCGGGCACATCGACACACAGCCTTCGCCATGCGCTTCATCATCGAAGGTCAAGGGGGCTTTACTGCCGTCCACGGTCGACGCATCTCCATGCAGCGAGGGGATGTCATTCTCACTCCAACCTGGAACTGGCACGACCACGGCAAGGACGGCTCTGGGCCGATGATCTGGCTGGATGGTCTCGATCTACCCAATTTCAGACACTTCCCTGTCCACTTCGTCGAGCATTATCAACAGCCCAGATACCCTGCGGAAGACGTCGACTCCAATGACTCACCCATCGTCTTCCCTTGGAAGGTGATGCAACAGAGACTGGACGAGAAGCAGGGCGACTGGACGTCGGAAGATTACTTGAAGAAAGATGGTAGACCTGGTATGACCCTCAACACCATGCCTGGCCTCAATAATTCAAGGCCACAATGGGCTGACTTCTTCTTTCTTGACTCTTAGTTTCCAAAATCCTTGGTGGTTCTGCCGAGCGTCTGAACGCGGGATGCACCTCTCCAGCTGTTCGTGAGACGGCTTCGTCAGTCTACCATGTCGTAACCGGCAAAGGATACAGCGAGATCCAGGGCCAACGCATCCAGTGGAAGCAGGGTGATACCTTTTGCATCCCTGCCTGGAACAAGTATCGACACACCGCTGAAGGAGACGAGACGGTGTATCTGTACAGATTCCACGACAAGCCGATGCTGACAGCGCTCGGCTTCTACAGAGTCGAGGGCTGTGACGTCGAGACCTTGGTGTCTGATTAACACCGGAACAAGGGATGTGAACAGTCCAATTCTGCTGCGAATCGGATGGCATATGCTGCCTCCATGTCCAGCAGGGACAAGACGAGCTTGTAGGACAGGAACGAGAGGGTCCGGCCTGGCGTGGCAGTTACTACTACCAATAGTACTTGATCAGGTTGTCTTCAGGCTGCGAAGTATGGTTCATATCCCCTATATGATCTGTAAGTGCTGCCGTCGTTGTCAAGTCCAAAATGATAAATGCCTTGTATTTCTGACGCCTGAGTGACTAAATCTCTTCGCTATGCAAACCCCGCCAACACCGATGCTAAAATATCAGAAGCGATACCAAAGTCAGAACCGTTGATACAGATGGTGACTACTACTTCCGCTTGTTAGCCATGGCAAGCAGTCTCTTTTTTCGCTCTTCCTTTTCCTTTTTCAGACTGTTCTCCAGAGCCAATTCCCGGGCATCCTCTTCCTTTGCAGCTCTCAGAGCCTTGGTCTCTTCTTCGTCGAGCTCAAATGCTCCGGCTTCCATGTCAGATGAAACGTCAGACGCATAGTTTTCTTCCTCGTCCACTCCGTCGCTGCCTTCGTCCGAATTGTCTTCCTCGTCCGTCGCGAGATATTCATCGTATTTGTTCCGCTTGCGCTGAGCTTGCTTTTGTGATCTGTTCGAAGTGAGGCCCATTGTGCCCTTGTAGGATGCTGCGGGAGCATGAAGAGGCGGCCGTGGCGCCTTGGCAACTCGAGGTTGGTCTCCTTTCTTCGCGGGACTAAGGCTGCGGGACATGTCGCGTTTCGTCATGAGAGGACGTTCACCAGGTTTAGCCTTTGCAGCTTTCGCCTTCTCTTCCTCCTGACGTCTTCTCTCAGCCACTTTGGACACTTTCTCTCTGTTGGTTGCCTGATGCTTGATCATGCCCACCTGGCTCTGCATTCTCGCCTCCTGCGCTTGTTTGGCTCTGGCCATGATGTCGGCATAGGAGCCCTTCGCCGGAACTTTTGCAGTAGCACTGATTGGTGTTCCAGGGGGCGTAGAGCCGGCCTTGATAGCGCTGATAGCAGCGTCGATTTTCGGTCTGGACACTGGGGCTTCTTTTCCATTTGATGCTTTCGGCGCATTGAGAGGAGGGGCAGCTGGACGTCTGGCGACACTGCTAGTCAAGCCAGGTGTAGGATTCGGTCTGATGTGCTTGCCAGCCAATTTTGTAGACTGATCTTCAGCTTTCCGCTTTACACCGTTGAGTGGCGAAGGGGCAGCTGGGAGCCCAGAGCGCGACCCGAGCTTTCCATCAGCGGGAGAGCGATGTGAGTTCGTACTGATCGGTCGCACTGGAGGCTTGGGCGGCGCTGGAGCCTTTTCGCTGCCAATAGAATTGACAATGTCGCCCAGGAAACTCATCTTGAGCGCGGAGGATTGGGATATAGTTTGGGGAGGCTATCAGGAAGATGTTATGTTAGGAAGATGTCGCGAGAAGGTATGCATATTTGCTGGCCCGCGTAGCAGTTCGGCCAAATGTCATATAGAGAATCAAATGAAAATGAAGAAGGAGCTATACAGGCAGTGCATGGCAAGAGCAGCGAAAGACAAACAGGAGAGACTGAAAGTGAAAGAACAACGGAAGTCATGAATTGCCCCCCGCAATCACCGCGAGCAAGAAAATCGTAATGTCCATAAAGAGCTTAGTGCAACCTCGGACTCGGCGAACTTGCCCCGATAAGTTTCCCAAAATTCAGTGTGCGCACAACTTCCATCGCATTTGCTGGTCGCTCGTGTCCCTTTCTCAATCACGAACATCTTCAGAACTTGACGTGCCAGTCTCCGCTCAATTCGCGGTTAAATCGATTGTCTCTCCTGTTCGACCATCTTCAAAATCAGTATGTGACCGAGAGCGCCGGCTACATAACCATTGCTAAATTCTATCGCAGCCAAAACCCTCCAAAATGAAGCACCTCGCAGCTTATCTCCTCCTTGGCCTCGGCGGCAACAGCGACCCATCTGCGGACGACATCAAGGGCGTCCTTTCCTCCGTCGGCATTGACGCCGATGATGAGCGTCTTGACAAGCTGATCGAAGAGTTGAAGGGCAAGGACATCAATGAGGTATGACCGTCTGGCACTACGATTTATGGGGATAGAATTAACAATATGCAGTTGATCTCTGAAGGTTCTTCCAAACTCGCCTCGGTCCCATCTGGTGGTGCCGGTGGTGCCGCCCCTGCTGCCGGCGGTGCTCCAGCTGCTGGTGGTGCTGCTGCCGCTGAAGAAGAGAAGCCTGCCGAGAAGGAGGAAGAGAAGGAGGAGTCTGATGAGGATATGGGCTTCGGTCTATTCGACTAAGCGGTGGATTTTGCAGACCGTCAAGTCGAGATTATCTCTCTGTCCGATGGTATGCACCACGGTCGGAACGCGATGGACTACTCATGACTGCTGAAGACGGGGACGCGGCAGACTGATTTATTTCAACTGCATGGTGAATGAGCTCAGAGTCTAGAGTCTACTCGCGCAAATTTTGATACCCAAATCATGGCTATCAATGACAATATCAAACCGAAGTCCCATCGCAATATCGTCTTTCCCAAGCATAAGTTTTTCTTTGCATATCGATGCATTTCAACTGGGAGCCGGAAGAGCGCCTTGTTGCATTCCAGTTCCATCATATGAGTCAGGCTGTCAATGACGGGATCCAGGTCTCTTTCGCCGTAAATTATTTGCCAGTTGCCCAAGTCTATTCCGTACTGTTACAGGCATCTGGCCTGCGGCGTGGGTTATATGCCAAGATTTTAGATCACGTGGATCTGGTGGACTCCCACAATCTTGAATTTACGCAGGTACGCCAAGGCTCTCAGAGAACTGAATCTCTACGGAGGCACTCACTGCAAACCGTCGACACTGACCGACCAGCAACTGCACCATCATCCACCTCCTCGCTTTTCGACCGTCACCTCGAAGTGCGAACGCGCAGTCCAACCGCAATCATGGCTGACACCGAATACGTATGTTCCCAAAACCCAACATGCAGCGACTCATCCACTAATTGATTCGACTCCAGAATGCCGAAGAGGCCGCTGAGCTCAAGAAGAGAAGAACATTCCGAAAGTTTTCATACAGAGGCATTGATCTCGATCAGTACGTTTCGGCCACATCGATCGTGGCGATGGACACGAATTGACCGTGAAATCTGCAGACTGCTCGATATCCCATCCAACGAACTCATCAACATCCTCCATGCTCGCGCCCGCCGTCGATTCAACCGAGGCCTCAAGCGCCGCCCGATGGGTCTGATCAAGAAACTGCGCAAGGCCAAGCAGAACGCGAAGCCCAACGAGAAGCCCGACCTCGTCAAGACACACCTTCGAGACATGATCATTGTGCCAGAGATGATTGGCAGCGTCATCGGCATCTACAGCGGCAAGGAATTCAACCAGGTCGAAATCAAGCCTGAGATGGTCGGTCACTATCTCGGTGAATTCTCCATCTCATACAAGCCCGTCAAGCACGGTAGACCCGGTATTGGTGCCACCCACTCTTCGCGATTTATTCCATTGAAGTAGAGGGAAGAAGAGACGATCAGTGGAGTTGTTGTTGTATGTAGCCATCTTGCAAGGTTGCAGGCAGAGGAAAAGGCATCATATGATTGCATGATGCATGAGATTCGGGTTCATGGGCGCTGTTCACGAGGCTAAAATGCAATGGACCTAGAATGCGGCCATGACTATCTGCTGAGGACAGTCGGAAGCTGTAAATCAAAATCAATATTCAGGACGACGCCATGCTGAGTGCGCACTTCCTGTGGTGCAATTTGACCCTGACCTCATCCATTTACAACAAGGAATAAGTCCAGCCTTGCCCAGCCTTAGTCCTGAAAACGCCTCGCTTTGTGTAATCCCATGATGAAGTCAAAAAGCCGTCGCTGTTACAGTGAAGCCAGATGTTGTACGTTCCCGTCCTGTTCTCGACTGCGGTGACCAACATCTCCGCAGATCGAGCATTCACCCGGCTCATATTGACAGACTGTATCGACCCGGACATCATGCATCTTCCACAGGTGCACTTTCGAGATCTTCTCTCGAACGATGACTGCCATGTTCCGAAGCCGTGTTCTCATACTCCCGACCATTGTCAGAAAGACCCAACAGCCCATTCAAATCGCCCTCGACCTCACTCACGCCACGCATAGGCCGGACATCCATGCTATCTCCACGCTGCAGGATGTTTTCTCTTCTCAAAGGCGCACCACGCTCCGCGACGACAATAGCCTCACGATGTCGCCGCCGTAGATGTTCCTCTTCTTGACTTCGTTCCACAGACCGCTGCGTTACCGCCGGCACCGTCTCCTCCCACACTGTAACATCATCCCTGACCTGACCGGCCGTAGCCTCGCCTCCTGTCATGGCCACATCGTTGTCACTATCATCGCTTTCCCACCGCTCGGCCGTCCAGCCCGTGTTCCACGAATTCGGATCCACGTTCTCCCTGTAACTGCTCGCCTGCAAGCCCGCCTCGCGCATCTGTTTCCGCCCCAGCGGATGATGCACGACCTGGAAGATGATCCCCGCCATAAGATGGTCGTCCGTCTTCCAGGCCATGCGCTCAAACAGCCGCGCGACGTCGGATCGTTTGAAATTGTACCCCTGATTCTCCGGCAGCGCGCACGGGAACGGATACCGGGCCAGCCATTTAGTGACCAGGCCGGCCTTGAGCGCGGCAATGACCGGTGGCTCTATGATCACGCTCCTTCTGAGAGGCTCTTCGGTGAGCATATAATTCAGAATGACTAGAAGTGACTCCTCCTGCGCAGGACGAGTGACCGGCAGGATCGGTGACGGCGGTAGTCCCCCCTTTTGTTCGTGTCCATGGTCTGCGTGCATTGGTAAGACGTTGATCAGCGCCCGCACGGTCGCCTTGACCCGTTTGGCAAGATTGAATTCCGCACCCAGGTTCTGATACCTGTCGTGGAGACTCTGGTGGCGCAACATCATCAACAGTCCGTTGATGGCATTGTCGCGCCGCTCGTAGTCCCTACTGGCGAGGTCGCGGAGTAGTAAGTCCTTAGAACGGGAGCGAACGGTCCGGCTCGTGACGATTTTGACGGCAGAGTTGCGGAGTTCGTAGCTATACCCATCCGCAAGAGTACGTAGTGTGTCGATTTTCAGCGAATTCTCCGAGTCTTTTTGCAGCCGTTTGCGTGGCGGTGGGGGTTCAGGTTCTGGTGCCCGGGCGGCATCTTTGACCTGTTGCAGAATACTGGGTATAGAGTAGCACGCTGTACCGAGGCCTACGATGAGGAGCACTGCCAAGAACCGGTTAGACGAAAAGAACGACATGATTGGGAAGGCATGGTAGGATCCTTTGGTGTTGATGAAGACCTAAAAGGTGGTGGTGGAAGAAATCAGGCTGAAGCCTGGACCAAACTGACGGCAAGGCTGAACGAGGCTGAGCCCAGGATCTATGGAATTTCTCAAGGATCACAATTACAAAATGGAATCCCCTTGTACGGAGTAAGAATCTTGTTTAAACCGACTTTGATGGTGATTACGATGATACCTGTTCCGTGCTTCAATCATGATCCTCCTCGGTCAAGCCAGGACAACCTTCCATCTCTTTGTCCGGGTACTGATACTTGCACCAGAAGCAGTAATGCCACCTCTCTCGCAGATAGGCCACCAACCTAGTCAGTTTCTCCGCTACCTCCAGCGCTTCAAACTCGTCGAGCTCCTCGTCTTCCTCGTCGAGATCTACATCGACCTCCTCAGTCTCAGCCTTCTTGCCTAGAGCCATCTTATCTTCTTTCTCTTCCTCGGGGTCATCGTAGTCCGGACGCCTTGACAACGACTGATGCAGGTCGTATCTCATCCTCCGATCTCGCTCGTTGATAGCTCTCTGCTTGACAAGATTCCGCCACAGGACATTGACACTCTTGAGGGGCTTCGTCCTCCGTCGCTTCACAGAATCCGGACCGCCGTCGGCGGTATCTTTAGCCTCTTCATCTTCCTCCTCAAGCCTCTCGCAGACCTTCATCGCTCCCCACATCTGCCCTTCCATCTTCTTTTCCTCTCGCTCTTTCTGCTGTCGTTCTCTGAAGTCGCCAGTCTCGACCTTGCGCTTCTTCTCAACTTCTGCCTGCGCCTCCATCTCTACGCGAAATTTGCGTTTCTTCTCTGCATCCGCGCCCACGCCGCTCCGCGTGTCCCTCATCTCAAGTCCTATAGGCTCGAGTAATCTGTCATCTTTGTCTGCGCTTGCTCCCGGCCTGGAAACACCCAACGCTGTTCCGGGCTTGTACCCGAGCGCCGCCATCATCTTGAAACCCTTGTTGCTAGTGTCCAACGTGGTAGAGTTTAGCGCAAGCTCTCTCTTCTTGCGCTCTTCTTCTGCCAGCTCTGCCTTCGACTTTGGTCGTGCTTTGATTTCGGCCTCTCTTGCGAGTCGTTTCTTTCGTTGTGTGAGGGTTTCGGTCTTTTTGGAGGCTTCTGGATCTTCAAAGGTCATGTTCATGTAGTCATCATCCTCTTCTCCAGCAGCTACAGCATCCGCAGGAGAAGCCATATTGGTACGTTGCAAATGAGGAGGCGAGATCGACAATTGCTCGGCAAAATTATATGAGTTGGTAAACCTCTAACATACTTCAGTAATGAGGTTTTCGAGTTATGGTTGGTAAACGAAAAACGGAAGCAATTGCTGGACGAAGCGTTCAAACAGTCCTTACCGTCACTAGGATAGCATGATTTCAAGCGAACAGATCCTTTCCTTCTTCAAGGGAGTGTGCTACCTTTCAAAACATCATCAACACGTTACTTGTTGAGTAAAAGAGATATTGCCGTTAGAAAGAAAAAGGTATGAACGTCATACTGGATTCCTGGTTCCTCGATAACCTATAAGGTCCGCATATCGGCGGCAAACAAGCCAAGAATCGGGCCTCGATTGGCTCCAATTTCTGGAAGATTGATCATTTAAACTATGCTAAATTATGGTCAAAATTCATGCACATAACGTCGCTGGTAATTAGATGTAAGTTTTCGTGAGAAAACCTGCAATAGAATATTTGCGGGAGGCTAACGACTGAACCAGCCTGTGACGCAGTCGGTTTAGCGTGTCGTTCTTATATTGTATGCTTGCATGCATTATGCCTCTTATATGAGTAATGCGAAAGTCGCGAGTTCAAGTCTCGCCAGGATCATTTTTGCGCCTGAGGACATTGTACGGGCCAACCTGAGTTTTTTTGGGAGCTATACAGAAGTACGTGTATTTTGAGTTGGATTGAGTGAGAAGTAGTCACATCAATGGAGTCCGCTTCGGACAGCGCAGGCTGAGGCTAGCATGGTCGCATCATTTCCTTTTTGCTTCTCTATTGCGGCCTACGGTATATGAGCGTATCTATTCTCGACATAGTGGATGGTCCGTTTCTATACACGTTTTCAAGACGCTGGAGCCTTTTATTTGCTTCAGTGTAGTGGTGACAACTGATCACAAGTTGATCTCTCAGATGTCTTACTTATCTCCTCCGCAGATGAATGCTTGACCTTCGGTTCGCACATTGAGTGCTGTCGCTGGAAGCGCAGGACGAAAGAGAATACATAGAAGTGGTAGGAACCCACTAGGCAGGCGAGAACTGGGATCGAAGAGAGCCTTGTTAGCATGAGCCTTGCGAAATATGTACGGCATCGTAGCACTCGATGGCAGGATGGCGGCTCGCAGCTTTGACAGCATCACATACGTGACTGCTTACCACCATAGTTGATTGTAGAAGCTCGACGGTTTGCACCCCAAGCACCAGCGTATCATTAGGAGACGAACCCGGCGTGCCCGGTTAATAACCATATCCCAAGCCGCTAGTCTTGCAATTGGCCCAACCGGCCCTGAACTTCTTGTGCCCCCACGGCCAATTTCATGCGGGGAAATGATCCCGCGTTTTCCTTTCACTGGCACGCACCTGTGGCACGCACTGGGTGACTGGGTGATCTTCCACCGGCCCATCAAGCTATCAAACTCTGGCCATGTTGCCCATCCGTTGAGATAGCAAGTCAGGACCATCAGTCCTTCGACCTTCGTACTTTTTGCTGTTGGTCCGGAGACCCTGCCGAATGCCAGCTCTCCCAGCAGCAATAGCCGACAATGACCGACACCAGGGACTACGCAAATCAGTCCCAACCTCCACCCCAATCAAGTCCATCGTTGCTCAATCATTCCGCCCGTCAACCATCATGGACCGGTTCCGCTGACGGCGCGGCGGGCAATAATGCATCGCCTCTCCACAGCAGAAAGCGCTCCGCCGACCATCTTCCCGCCGAACCACATATCTCACGCAAAGGCCGAGCATGTCTGGCATGTCGCAAACTGAAAGTCAAATGCGACAGTCTCGAGCGCGGCGACGCTGGGTGCTCACGATGTCAACGTCTGGGACTCGACTGTGTCACTTTCAAACGTATGCGCCTGAGCATAGACGATGAAGATGGCCATCCTCCACCTTCCGTGGCCCGCCTGGACCGAGCCGTTGAGGACATCCTCGCACACCTCAAGATGCCTCCGCTCGAGTCGTACTCCACGACGGGTCCTCGTTCACATTCTCAATCTATGTCTGTGCTGCCCGAGTCCCAATCCCAGATGATCCAAAGTCAAACCCAACTACCGCAACCGTCGGTAATGGGACAAGGACAACAGTTCCTCGCAGCACCAGAACCCACATCGCAAAGTCAGACGACGCGTGAAAACTCCCGCGAGCCAGGCACGGTGGGCGACGAGAACCCGTCTTCAGAAATGGCCCCGGCCCCGATGGGCTCTCTCTACGAAGTCACGCAACTCAACACTCTCCGCAGCCGGCTCAAGTACGGCGATCCCGCCCGGCGCAACTCGAAGAAGAACTTGAACATGGAACAAGACCTCGTGTCGCTGGGTCTGATCACCCTCGCCGAAGCCGAAGACCTCTTCTCGCTCTTCAAAACGACTCTGTCACGCTACCTGTTCGACGCCACGATCCAGGAATCCCGCACACTCCTCTCCGTCCGCGAATCGTCCACCTTGTTCTTCACGGCCATCATCACGGTGACCAGTCTACACATCCCAGGCCGCGAGAAAACCTACGCCCTCGCGCACAAGCACCTACGCGACTTGATCGCCACGAGCTTCTTCGACCGCTTCCACACGCTCGACGACGTCCGCGCCCTCTGCATCGCCGCGTTTTGGTTGCCCGACCTCTCGTGGAAACTGTCGGGCCACTGCGTGCGCATGGCCACCGAACTCAATCTACACCAGGCCTTTTATAAGGCCTTTTACTCACCACTGGGCACCAAGACTACGGCGTCCAAACTCGAGCATCTCGAGCGTGCACGGCTCTGGTATTTGTTGTATGTGCTGGATCACCACTTCAGCATCGCATACGGTCGACCGCCCGTGACAGCCGAGCTGCAGGCGATTAAGGAGTATGATGTGTTTCTCAATGCGCCGGAGTGCACGCCGAGCGATCGTCGTGTTCTGTCGCAGGTCACGCTGTTTATAATCCTGAGTCGCGCATACAATCATTTCGGCCTCGAAGCCGAGAGGCTGATGGACGGCGACGACGGCACGTTGACGACGCACGCGCGGTTCATGGAGGAATTGGACCGTTGGCGGTATCAGTTCCGGCATGCGTTGAATCGAGATGCACACATTGGGGATTATCCTGCTGTTGGTAAGACACGCTCCTTTTCTTCCTCTCCCAACACTACCACGATTATTGCTTCGTTGAGGGACATGACATTGTACAGTATAATTTGCCCTGAATCCTAAAGGAGATCTCAGCATAGCATTGGCATAGGGATGATGAGACACAGCTGACAACATTGACGTCTAGGTGTCGATTTACATTATTACTTTGCCTCGATGATGCTCAACTCCCTCGCGCTAAGAGGCCGATCGCTGTTCACCATCTCATCGACCTCAACGCTGCCGAGCAGTCTTCGCCCATTGGCCTCTCAGGCTATCAACTCAGCGCATCAGATCCTTATCACTGTGCTCGACGAACCTTCGATACGAGACTCCATGGTTGGTGTGCCGTTATACCTACATACCGTCATCGCATTTGCCGTGGTCTTCCTCATCAAGATGTCGTCCCGATGGGCTGGCATTGGCGTTTCCATCAATCCCGAGCAGAAGACAAAGCCGTTGATCGAAGCGGTAATCTCTTTATTCCGGAGCTGTAGAGCTGGCAAGAATCACATTCTGTATGCCATGGCCGACGGCTTTGAGAGATTGCTCCGCAGCAATATGGGACAGGTTGCAACCGTAAAAGCAGAGAATGGCAATGCTTACGGACAGAGTCCCGCGAGTACACGGCCCAACAGCCAACAAGCTGGGGGCTTTGCCCATCCTGCACAACCAATAGCTCAACAACCTCCTTCAGACATGTATAGCGCAAACACACCAACCATCCTTGCTCCGCAGCACAATACCATGTCTCCGAATGCATATACACCGCAATCTCAGTCCCACCCAAATGCTGGCGGTAGTTATGATGCCTATCTCTCGCCTAATAGCCAACCCACTTCGACTGGGACGTTCGGCGGCTGGCAGACTGAAGATGATATGCTCTGGAGTATGGGCATGGGTTATGATCTGCTTGCCACGGCGCCTGATGTCAATGCCCAAGGGTTTCTGGGGTGGCCTGGTAGCGGATCCGGCGATGTAAGCGGACTCGGATATGGTGGACTTTGAGAGGATGCATCTTTAACCAGTAAGGTCGACAACGAAAATTTCTGTTGTGGTCGTTGAGTGTGATACCCAAGAAAGCCGTAAATCCCTCAGAGGTCTGATTATGCTAGAGATGGACAGTAGGGATAAAAATGATGATTCCTTCGAGTGTTACATTCCATTCCAATAGGGGTTGGTAGAAAGCGCTCAAAATCAGGTGTCGTCCAATGGTGTACACTTTCATACTGGCAATTCTGCGTTCCTTCTTCCAGAGGATATCTTTTGCAGCAACATTTGTATATATGGGCCCACAATAGGGATATTGCCTGCGAAGGATGCGATGGTTGCGAAGAAATCTCCAAAGAGGACAAATATACCATAGAGCTCGATCAGAAATCCTGTTAGGGGCCAGCGGATCAGGATGAGGAGGATGCCACCCATGAAAGCAGCTGTTCCTTTGAGCTTTTGTCGTCTTGCGAAGAAGACGAAGGTCTTCTGAATGCCGATAATAAGGGTCAAACCGATCAGGAAAAGGATCTGGCGGAGACTCAGCAGGGCCGGTCGTAGGAGATAGAGACGGTACATACATTGCCCATCGCTAGCCTGCGCAAGGTGTCAGTAGTCGCCAATCTCTTCGGCGCAGAGCACATACATCGAACGGTCGAAGAACATAAGGACACCACCAGTCAAGAACAGTCCACCTGCTGCTGTCAATTGTTGCCGCTCACTCCAGGGTTTAAGTGCTGCGCATTACCTCCTGAGCAGAAAGCCACGCCAATCTCTGTATGTTCGTCAGCCTGCACCTTTCGAAAATTATGGCGCAGCGTCTGCCGCGACCGCCTTATGGCCAGAGGGCATACTCTGCATATCTGTGAGCCACATGCTGGGCATTTTGAGGGTTAAGGTGAGGCTTGAATGATGCGCAAGTTGTCGTTCTGTTTGTGGCGTGGTTTGCGAGATGACGAGGTGTCGGGGATGAAGGACTGGAGATGTATGACTTATGGTGTTCACAATCTACACTGGACAGATAGTCCTTGTTCCATATGGCTGAACTGGCCTCAATCGAGAGAAACGCAGGGGTGGAACGGGGAACAGAAAATGGAGATCCAATACGCGTCTCGTGTCTTCTTTCCTCCGATTTGCCGGTGACTGACAGGCGCATCTCAAATTCACAGTGACAGGAATGACGCAGCCTGCCACCTTCAGTTCATCTTCTGTGCGTCCATCTCGACCCTCGACTTCCGAATTCATTTGGCTCGCTCGACTCGACTATGATCGCGGGCACTTGGACTACGACACTCCGGTAGCAGGATCTCCCAATGCTTGTAAGGCTAGAATTTAGGTCGAGTGGTCCGCAAAAATGAGGAAAGCTAGCATGTCATGGCTCTGGAAGGTGAGCAGAGTACGAGGCTCGAAATTGGTGGATTTTGTGCTGACTGCTTCAGGGAGATGCAAACTCTCCAGCATCCTTCGAGAAGGCCCTCTCCAAGCTGTCCAGTCAGGTCACCGCCGCGAGCCTTGCTCTTGACACCACAAGAAGTCGAGCCCGCCGAGCGAAAGCGTTGTGGACGCTTTACACGACCCTAACCTACCTTCTCTACACTCTTGTCGTGGTCCTTGTCCTCGGTCCAGATGCTTGGTCCTGGTACCATTATGCGGGACTTGCGGGAGGACCAGTCACCATCTACGCCGTGAGGAAACTGCTCTCTACTTTCTTTGACTGGCGGGTCAGTCGACAACAATTACACCTGGACCACTTACAAAAGCAAAGAGAAGCGAAGATTGCGGATTTGAAGAAGGCTACAAGATATGATAGTACACAAGAGCTGCTGCAGAAATATGGTGGTGCTCCGCCAACAAAGGCACCCTCCAGACAACCACACCAAGGATCGAAACGAAAAGCAGAACCGGCGTCAGAGCGACCGACACCACAAAGAACGGGAATCCCACCCCCACCGACAGCGAATATTCCAGGCAGAAACATGAACATCCCTCCCACTCCAAGACCGCATGTCGAGACCAGCCCAATGTCCACGGCGCATGGCCAACCGCCGCTGGCAGCACAAATGATGGCCCACAGTCCGGCAGACATGAGTCCTGATGCTCCAGGATTTGCTCCAAACGCCTTCACCAATGTGCCACCACCAAGCACTGCATACGAACATACCCACCATTGGTATGATCGTATCCTCGATGTCATGCTCGGTGAGGACGAGACAGCCGCCAAGAACAGGCTGGTATTACTCTGTTCGAATTGTCGACTAGTCAATGGACAGGCTCCTCCAGGAGTCAAGACATTGGAAGAATTGGGACGGTGGAGGTGCAGTGGTTGCGGAGCTTGGAATGGGGTGGAAAGTGAAGGTGCAAAAGTGGTCAAAGAGGTAACAGCAGCCTCAAATATGCACAATGGCGAAGACTGGGAGAAAGTGCCTCGAGCGACGAGAAGCAGTGTAGATCTAGAAGAGGTCCATGATGAGTCAAGTCTTGGTGATGCAGGTGAATCTGTACAGGGCACCACAGGTCGAGAAGGTGAGGACGACAGCGGGATCACCAAGCGGACGACTCGAAGTGCGGGCAAAAAGCCATCTTTTGATTCACTGGAATGAAGTACATTGGTAGCCAGGATCACCAACCTGCCCTTTTACCATTATATCCATGGATATTTCTAACGCTGGTTTCATTCTTATACCTGTATGGCAAAAATGCACTTGTCTGTCTAGAATGAATGCCTGCTGAGTTGGACTTCCAACGTGGGGTCGCTTTTGTCAGACATGGCTATTTTATTTTCGTGCTGCATCATGATTCGCCAAGCCCAGTACATGGTCCTGAGATTTTCCCTCCATCTCCAGTGTAGAAAACACCTTCCACGTAAGTTGTCGATGCCGTTCTGTGTTCCTTCGGACCGAATGGAGCCACTTCAAGATGTCGAGCTTCATCGTCCGTCCTACAAATTCGGACAAAGACGCTTTTCGCGTCAGGTTGACCGCGGTATCCATGTTGTCATTGAAACTGAAGGCCGGTGACATTTGTGAATTGCGTACATTGGACGAGCCCGACACAGACAGGAAGAAATTAGCAATAGCCTGGGAAGCGTCCGGCGCTGGAATGAAGGACACCATCGTTCAGACCTCAAAGCTGCTGCAAGAAGTGTATGGTTTCAAACTAGGGGACAAGGTCACGATCACCAGGTCATCCAGACCTCTACAGGACGCGACCAGGATTAGTTTGCAACGCCTTGGAGGTCCGCTTGGTGACGAGGATGCTGAATTCTACGCAAAGTATGCGAGAGTCGCTCTTCCTGGTGCGGACGGATTTCTGGTGCTCGACCAGAAAATACAGTTCAAACTTGGTGCTGAGGTGAACGAGTTCGTGGTCAAAGACATCGGAGTTGTTGACACTATGATTGTACGAGTCACGCGGAATACACAGTTTCGGATAGGCAACGGCGAGGACTCACTTCCTGCAGTCAACATCGATTTCCAGCCCACAAATCTGGGCGGGTTAGACGCACAATCACGCAAAGTTCAAGGTATTGTCAACAGGTTATGTACCCCGAACGAGAAGCAGCTCTGGCCATCCTACAGACCAGTCCAGGGGATATTACTGTATGGAGCAAAAGGTACTGGTAAGACTGCATTTATTACCGCACTGTCAAACTCCGGTTGGCCTACGGTCACCCAATGGGAACCCAAAACAGTAGTGAGGCCACCAACAGAGCCGCAATTGATCATTGTTCAGTCGTCCTATCTATCGCGGGATTCTGCGGGTGCGTCTAGCTTGGCGCAAGGGCTTAATAGCTTGTTCGAACAGATCAAAGGCGGCCCAATACTTGTGGTCGGCGAGACTGGTCACCCAAATGACATTCACCAGACACTACGGGGGAGGGGAAAGTTCGGAGTTGAGATCGAACTCCCTATACCTTCAGCTCAGCAGAGAAAGGAAATACTGCTGGCATTACGCGGCGGAGGAACCCTTCCCGACCATAATATCCTCCAAGAAATGGCAGAGAGGACGCACGGTTACGTGGGTGGTGACCTGGAAGACCTTTACGGAAGAACCGTCGAGTTTGCTGTTGACAGACTGAGGCTCGCTGCCACTCATGATGTCGCAGTAGTCGATGGCGATACCGCGGATTACAAATCAACCCCTACCAATGGCAAGAACACATTCGATGTGACGGCCGAAGAATCTTCAACCTTGAATATTATCCTTGATGATCTCAACAAAGCACTTCAGGAAATCCGCCCCTCCGCCCTCCAGGAGATATTTCTCGAAACTCCCAACGTCCATTGGTCCGACATTGGCGGCCAACACTCCATCAAACGCCAACTGCACAATGCCGTCGAGCGCCCGTTGAAACACGCAGACCGGATGGCTCAACTCGGTCTACGGCCAAAGAAAGGTGTTCTCCTCTACGGCCCGCCAGGCTGCTCAAAGACTCTGCTCGTCCGCGCCCTCGCCACCGAAGCAGGCACGAATTTCCTCGCCGTCAAAGGGGCCGAGCTGATTTCCATGTACGTTGGCGAGAGCGAGCGCGCGACACGCGAAGTCTTCCGCAAAGCCCGCGCTGCAAGTCCTAGTATCATCTTCTTCGATGAGATCGATGCAATTGCCTCGCGCGGCCGAAGCGGCAGTGATCTGAACGTGCTGACCACCTTGCTCAATGAGATGGACGGGTTCGAAGAGCTTAGGAATGTCTTTGTGGTTGGTGCAACAAACAAGCCGCAGAACGTCGATCCAGCACTCATGCGTCCTGGGCGGTTCGACAACGTGGTGTACATTGGGCCGCCAGACTTCGAAGCTAGAAGGGAGATCTTCCAGAAACGATTGGGCGAGCTACGGTACCAGCCTGATGTCAGCCTGGCCGAAGATATCGAGGAGTTCTCACGAGCCACAGAAGGGTTTTCAGGGGCAGAGATTGTGGCGATCTGTCAGACGGCTGGGGAATGTGCCTTCGACGCGGATCGAGACTTGATTGTCGCGGATGATATCAGGAAGGCAATTCAGAGTACACCAAAGAGTATCACACGGGACATGCTGGACGACTACGAGAGCTGGAATGCTGCGAGAATGCGGTAAGAATGAGGGCAAGCTGCACACCACCACGCGTCAAAGGTGTCATCCTCTTTCTGTACACCACAAGAGACACCAGCACCATCAAATATACTAATGAGGCTATGTTCTGACGCTACCAAGGGTGTCATGTCAGTGCATAGCCTCACCTTTTCCGGCATTGACAAAGTGTCAAGTTGAGCTTTGCGAAAACGACCGGATATCATGGTAGAAGCGCTTCCTGTTGAGAACTTCACTGGCTCGCAAATCGGCCTATTGGAGCATTAGGCGCCGGAAAACACCTAAGGTCTGCCTTGAATTTGTACGTGGTTGCAATTGAGATGTCAACCCCTTGTCAGTCTGCACCTGCAGGCCCTTGACGCAACGAGCCCTGCTTATACCAGCCAGTCACACCAATGCAACTGCCTGCAAGGCGCAAAGAAGGGCTTGGCAGGCCAGCATGCCACTTGGGCTGAGCTGAATGAACTTGTGATACAAACATGTCCGAAGTCCTAAAAACATCATCTGCGGTCATACTATTGCTTTGCGTGGTGGATCCAGATGGAGTCTTGACTTCGGCTTCACCAGCTTGTTTATACCAAAGTACGTTCGATCTCTTAGGGCCGTACCTCTGCCGGCAACGTACCTACAAGCTTGACCTTCTTGCGCAAGCTGTCTTTCTCTAACGGCCGAAGAGACCTCCATTTTCGTCCCAGACTCTCAAAGTCACCGAGCCAAAGCCTTACCTTGCTTCATATAGCACAAGGCTGAAACCACAATATAAGAAGATTCGTTGCGAATGCTACCAGTAGCAATAGCAAACCATGGCTGATCCCCTCTCCATTGCCGCCAGTGTCGCTGGACTGGTTTCCCTCGGCCTCGATGTTACCGGGGCACTCATCGATTACTATCAAGATTACAAACACCAAGATTCGGACGTTGCTGCCATGATGTGCCATATCAAGAGCGTCCACAGGTATTTTGAGCAGCTATCCCAAGTCATTGCCGAACGGACGTTTCAGGGCGACGAGAGCCTTACAGGGAACGTTGAGTCGTCAGTCACGAAGTGCGACAGCCTTTTGCAAAAACTGCAGAAAAGATACAGCAAATTTGAGAAGCCCTCAGGCGATCTCCGCACGAGACTTGAAGCGGCATGCTCCCGAGCTCGTTATCCTTTCAGAAAGTCCACACTGGAAAAAATCAAAGAGAATGCTGAGGAAATCCGGGACAACATCTCCCCCGTGTTGCAGCTATTGCAACTAAAAGATAATAAGAGAATCCACGACAGAACTACTGAGATCAAAACCTTGGTCGAGTTTGTCACAGCCCGTCAAATAGCGTCCAATCTCCGTACGTGGTTGAATGCGCCTGATGCCACTAGCAATCACTATGCAGCTTGTACGAAGAGCCATCTAGGCACTGGCAGCTGGCTCCTCCAGTCTGCATCTTTCAAGTCCTGGTTGGACAGCCCAAACTCTTTTCTGTGGATGAATGGCTTTGCAGGCTGTGGGAAATCCGTTCTGCTTTCGACAGTTATTCAATATACATTTCATGACCGACAACACCGCCGTGATACAGAATCGGTTTCTTCTACTTCACATTCAGCGACGAATCGAAGCAGAATACTTCGGCAATGTTGAAGGCTCTGTTGTTGCAATTATCGAGCCAGCATTCCTCTGGTGAGAATATTCTGAGCAGGCTTCATGACAAGTACGGACCTGGCACGCTGCCTGTATACGCCCTGGAAGATGCTCTTGGAGAGTTACTGTCTCTGTTCGCAAACGTCTTCGTCTTCGTGGACGCTCTTGACGAGAGCCCATGGCAGACAGCTCGCGGTGAAGTCCTGGACACTTTGAATCGTTTCCGCGACTGGAACGTGCCCGGTTTGCACCTTCTGGTCACCAGTCGAGACTTGCACGACATTCGTGATGACATTCAACCTTTGCCGGAAGAGGACATTGCAATGATCAAGAACGAGGGAGTGGATCAAGATATTGCATCTTACATCGCCGGTCGACTGGACACCGACAGACGTCTAGCGAAATGGAAACCGTTTCGGTCCAAGATCGAGGACGGCCTTACGCTACGTGCTCGAGGAGTGTGAGTTTTCCGTTGACGATATTGACGGCGCTAATTGATTCAGGTTTCGGTGGGTGGATTGTCAATTCACGTTGCTTCAATCCTGTCCCCGCACCGAAAGCCATCTCGAAGAGCGATTGCAATCACTTCCAGCAGACCTGGACGAAACTTACGAGCGCATGCTCCTGGAAGTGCAGAGGCGCGGCCTCGCCTTCGACCTGTGGCGAGTTCTGTTGCAACTTTGCTACGCTCATCGGCCTATGATGATCGCAGAGGTGATTGACGGCCTGGCAGTAGATGTTGGTGATCAGGCTGGTCTGAATCTTAATCGTCAGCTCCAGGACGAAGATGATGTTCTCCAGATATGTTCGGGCTTTGTTGAAGTCGATATCCAAGTCGTGGCAGACCACCTCTGGTCCAAGATATTCACCAAATTCAAGGTTCTTCGGATTGCGCATTTCACAGTGCAGGAATACCTGGAATCAGACAGACTACCAAAACAAGTCGGTGACAATTTTGGTCTAAATGCTGCAGTTGGTCATCAGGAGATCACCAAAATATGTCTAACATATCTATCGCATCCAGGATTATCTGTAGATCCACTTGCAGAAAATTCCTTCGAGGCTACCATCGGGGATTACCCTTTGGCCTACTACGCAGCAAGACTTTGGCACGAGCACTATAAGCGAGCAAGCAGCCATGGTGATAATCTTGATGTCTTGGTGCTTCCAATTTTTACGGATCCTCAGATCTACGCCAATTGGGCAATAACATTGGGATCGCTATACAACCGGCGAGGGACAGACATTCCCGGACTATTGTATTTTCCGGCACTTTGGGGGCTGGAAAATATATGCCTAGGACTTCTTCAACTGAAAGCGCCCAATCATATCCAGGAACTTGTGAATGCGGAAGGTAGCGTGTACGGCACTGCCTTGCACGCAGCCTGTGTCGAAGGCCATACCAAAATAGCGAAACTGCTGCTGGAGCACGGCACCGACGTCAACATCCAAGCTGGTTCTCGTGGAACTGCCCTTCAAGCGGCCGCCGCGCGCCGTTTTACCGAAGCCATGGAAATACTGCTGAAGCACGGCGCCGACGCAAACATCCAAGGTGGTTATTATGAGACTGCCCTTCAAGCGGCCGCTTGGCAGTACAAGCAGAGTAAAAACTGCTCGGAGCTCACGTGGACGCTCACCCAGACCCTGCCGCTTTTAATACTGCCTTCTCGCGACTCACCCTCCACACCTCTACTTACCTTTTGAACTTACCCTTAACTTACCCTCGCCCTGACGGTTCTATTTCATCCTATAGTTCAATGCAGCAGTAAACGTCCACGAGGGCAAAAGGTCTTAGCCATACTCGGGATGGGGTTCCGACCAGACGGAGAAAAGAGGCCGAGTGGCGTCCCAAGGATTGAGTATATGTGGGCGTGTCCCCGTGAGAAGAGGCATTGGCCGAGGTTTACATCAGCCCATACCCTTTATTTCCACGGGCACAAGTCTACTCGCATTGGCCAAATAGTGACTCACCGATAATTCAAGATCGTCAACCATATTTTCAATTTTTAATTTGTGCTCATCTAGAACGGCAAATACTAAACCTATAGAAAGTGCTCTCGCGTTTCGAGTGAACTCAAGAAGAGCTGTCTTATTTCAATGGTAGCTAACAGTACGGACAGGTAGTCCAAAACTACCTTCTCATCATCCTATTGGTATTATTTTGGCTTCGGCAATAACGTCGTAGTCCCAAATAACGTCATTAGTAGACTCCTCGTGCGAATCCTTTTCTTTCCACCGTGCCACGTTGCGTCGTCCGCTATCCCGCACCTCTGTAGTCCTGGGTCTTCGTAGGTCTTCGTACGCTTTAACAGCAGCCTCGATCTGGGATTTGTGTTCGATTCTAGACAAAATCTCGGCAAAAGCCGCAGCGTCTTCAATCGCCATAGCTGCACCTTGTGAAGAGGAAGGCAAGACAGCATGAGCTGCATCTCCAAGTAGCGTTATCTTTCCACCAGGCAGTGCCCAGTTATCCATGGGTTCTAGGTCGCAGAGCTTCCATTCCAGGCACTTCTCGGGGAGATGCTTCAAAATCTTCAGAAGACGCGGATCCCAGTCTGCAAATTCGTTCATCACAACCGAAGAATCTATGTTGACGACATAGTCACTCCCTTTGGTATGGATAGCTGGTTGTGTGGAGACGAAGTTATAATACTCTCCTTGACGGACTGGATATGCCACAATGAAACGAGTGCCTCCGACCCTAATTACAGCCAGTTAGTACGTAACGTCGATATCTGAAGTAATATAATACCATGCATAGCAGCTCTGATCCTTCCAGTTGATCAATGGAAATAAGTCGTCATCTTGAAGGAGACTGCAGGGAATAAGAGCCCTGAAAGCCGAATTGCCACTGAAGAGTGGTTCGTCTATACGCCCCTTCAGCGCCGAACGAGCGCGGGAGCGGTAGCCTGTGCTCAAATCTAACGTTAGCGAACTGTTCAACTTCTCGTGGGGCAGCGTCAACACTTGCCATCTCCGCATACAATAACATCAGCCTCCAACTGGCTCCCATCCTTGAGCGTTACGCTTGGACCCGCGCCGTCGAACTTCTCAACCAGCTGACCCATCCGTATATCAATGTCGAGTTCCCGCGCCTTTGCAAGGATACAGTCGTGCAGGTCACCACGATGGATCATCCAAGTAGGAAAACCATACTCCTTTTCTGCATCCTCATAAAGCTTTTCGGCAATTTGATTCCCCTCTATATCGTGGAAGCGAACTCTTTTCAAAGGTGCTCCAACCTTGTCAAGACGTTCACGCATGCCACTAAAGCCAAGAAGAACGCGAGTGCAATTGGACGAGATTTGAAGTCCAGCGCCGATCTAATACTGAGCATCAGCCAAGAAGACTGGAGATAGAACCATTGAATCTCCATATGCGTCCGTTTTCAACATAAGTGTGAACACTGTCAAACTTACATGAGTGAATTTCTCAGTGGCTTCCAGAACTGTGACTGTGAAACCCTTTTCCTTGCAAGCAACGGCGGCCGTCAAGCCACCAATCCCTGCTCCTACCACAATTACACGGAGCTTGGAGGGATCAGCCAGTAAGCTGTCCGACGTCCCATTGCTGTTCTTTTGCGTCATGGTGAGCGAGATACGTGTTTGGATGCAAATCTATTTCTGACGTCCTAGTAGAGATAGATGTCGGATTTTATGTCGTTAAAGACCTGGAAAAATGATTGCATTATGAGAGCCTAGCCTCGGCGGGGTCTTCGGTCTCAAAGTTGGGAGATTTGGGAATGTGGGCAATGTGGGGGAGGAAGTTTGTCCCGTTGTGATTTGATCGACGCCCACACTTGTAAAGACGAGAAGCCAAGGCTTTTAGTGCTTCGAAGCCTGTACCTTAGCGGTCCACACCAGGCTTGCCGGACGGTTACAAGACCGTAAGAGACTATGTACGGTCATTAGACGGTAAACGACGGATTCACAGTAAACGCCGGCTTACCGTAAATAAAATCTTATCGTAAACGCCGGCGAATACTCTTATATACCTAGCTTTGCTAGAGTGGAAGTGGTGCGCCTTGGTGCCCCGTAAGTCACATGATGCTTGTGTGCGTGCTTGTGCGCCTAGTGGTTCCCGTCACAGGTGAGGCCTCCCCACGGTCGCGCGAGCCGGGGGTGAGCACAGGGCGGCATCACCCTCGACCCCGAACGGGGTGAGTCGCGAGCAGATTGTCCACACCTTGGCACGGCTGCAAATTTTTCGAAGTGGGCGTGGCATGTTCGGAGAGAATTTCGTAGCAAAGAAACATCAAAGTCACCGATCTCTTCATAATTACAAGACCATTTAGACCAGATATCCTCTTCACGAAGTCGAGGGACCGCTTATATCTTTACTTTGTCCTGCCTGCCGCTCCTCCCGATTCGCCTCTTCCGCTAGGATCATCCCACCACTTCACAGTCACGATGACCGAATCCGTCACACCTGGTGTCAAAAGAAAGCGTTCGAGTATGTCCACCTATCTACCACGAGCCTCAAAGCCTACAAGAACAACGAATAATCTCTTGACGACTTTGTCATGAACACTGTTGACACTTTGTGCTCTGAATTTGTAGGAACGCAGTCTCTCCCCCCACCCGAACTTCCTCGTCTTGTCGCTGAACAGCACGTCCCGATCTCGGTGAATGACAAAGACACGAAACGGCTGATTGTCGTGCTGTCCAATGCAAGCCTTGAAACATACAAAGCTGCCCATAGCGGAAAACCTGGCAAAGAAGAGAAGTATTCGCTGTTGAACAGCGACGAACATATTGGCGTGATGCGCAAAATGGGCCGAGACATTAGTGATGCAAGACCCGATATCACACATCAGGTGGCTATATATCCCACTCTGATGGTAGTGGCGAGCTGACTTCAACATTCAGTGCCTGCTCACGCTCCTGGATTCACCCATCAACAAGGCCGGGAGGTTGCAAATATTCATCCACACTGCGAAGGGCGTTCTGATCGAGGTCAACCCCAGTGTGCGAATCCCGAGAACATTCAAGCGCTTCGCCGGTTTGATGGTCCAACTCTTGCATCGGCTGTCCATTCGATCAGTAAACTCGCAGGAAAAGCTGCTCAAGGTCATCAAGAACCCTATCACGGATCATTTACCGCCAAACTGCAGAAAGGTCACGTTGAGTTTCGACGCCGATGTTGTACGAGTCCGAGATTACGTCGACAAACTTGGGCCCACGGAAAGCATCTGCGTCTTCGTTGGTGCCATGGCCAAAGGCAAGGACGACTTCGCCGACGCTTTCAAGGACGAATCTATCAGTATCAGCAATTACAGCCTTAGCGCAAGTGTGACTTGTAGCAAATTCTGCCACGCTTGCGAAGACTCGTGGAACGTCCTCTGAGGTCTCAAAGGTATGACAAACTAATATCTTGTTTACCAGATTTCTTTTTCAAGTGGCAATTCTGCAAAGGCTAGATCACAACATCCAAGCCATCTTGCACGAATCAATGCCTGCTCTGCATTGGGGGAGTTGGATCTGGCGTTTGTTTTCATAACAAGACATAACATGGTTCAACAAACCTCAAGGCGGTTTCTTTCGTCTGTGGAACCGTAGGTGCAGTCAACCTGCCCTACATCTGGAAACCATACCGTTGGGAATCTGGGAGCTGATGGAGCCTCCTCATATGTGGACAGCTGCACGCACGTATCGAATGATTGATGGGATGATCTTGTTCAGAGTCAGGCTCCGTGTCGCTTTATTACGAGGCCACGAAGCAAGGGAGATGTCATGGTTGGTTCATTTACCAATCGATTTACTGCACGCCTCATAAGTATGACATGGCACTCCAGGGGGCAATTACGACAGAAAGAACTGTGCCACAGTTGCACGAATATGACAGAATCCTAATGACTACATGCAGCGTCCTTCAGGACCAACCCACGCTTCCGAAATGTCTCTTTCACCGTCCATATTGATTATGAAGGGACTGGAAGGTGAGCATCACTTTGCGCTGACGGGTAGGGCGCCGCTCTCATGCATTCGCGCCCGACCCGATTCGCGACGGGCAGTAGGCGGCCAACCACCGACGATCTTATATCTCCGCGCCCACCTGAGTTCCGCTTCTTCAACAGCCTCATTCCAATCAGCCCTGGAGCAAACAAGCCAATTCGCTGACTGGCCACCCAAGTTTTGGACTATGTCGACTATTTCTGCGACCCATTCTCACTCCAACGTGGCACTTCACTTGCGGCTCTTCGTGAAATTTTCTTATTCGCCGCCACCAATTATATCTGGAGGATCTTCACGCCTTACCAAATGCTTCGACATCACGCCTTGTCCCTTGATGTCTTTCCGAGACTTCATTCCGCATTAGCGCTGGCCCGCGGATAAATCCTGGACAGTCGTTACCAGTCGCCTCGAGGTATTCGTTCAATGGCGTTTGTGCAGGTACAGCTTCAGCGATTTCGCTTCGACCACGTCCATGACATTCTGACTGGAAATTGTGCCGGTGCCTGCCAATCAATGCTATCATCAGCACAACAGTCGAGCCGAATGAGATTTCGATACGAGGAGACCATCTTGATCCCGGTGGCGATCCCTCATTTCCTATGACACTAACTCGTTCCAGAATATTCTGCTTATATACGTCAGTCTAGTGTCCTGGCCGGTGATCCTACTTCGATCTTCCACGAAACAGGCCCCTGTGCTACGTACCCTAGTTCATCTTTTACCTGCGATCTCGCAGAGCAAATCTGCACGGTGTACAGTCCGAGATACTTGGTTGAGGTCTAGATTGCGAGGAACCGTCTGCCGTGTCCAGTCCAGCTTTCTACCAGATTTCGGCTCACGCCGTCGTATAAGACGTGCCATTACACTACAGTTCTTCTGAGCGCCAGACTCAACATACAGCCACCATCGAGCACATAAGCCAGCAACACCCGACCTGCAGGTCTGACACCAGTGCGAAGCCCTTCTCGCCTACCTCCCGACCTCGTCGAACCCTGCAATGCCCTCGTCAATCACCCTGACCGTCAGCCACCTCCCCACGTCGACGTCCTTCTTCCTTTCCGCCCTCCAACCGCTAAACTACGTGTTCCGCGGCCGACAAGAACAAACCATTGGGTTTGGTCCTCAAAATCCGCCAAATGCAGTCCCAGATTTCTGGATCACGCAAGAAATCCCTGGTGTCCCTGCAGGCGCAGCTCACGTCGCCTTCCCAGCGTCCTCTCGTGCCCAAGTTCAAGGGTTCTTCCTGGCGGCTCTCAAAGCTGGCGGCAAGATCCACGGAGAACCCTGTCAACGCGACGCTTCGGGGTATTACTCGGCCGCCGTGATCGATTTTGACGGGAACTCAATCGAGGCCGTGTACCGCCCAGACTTTGGGGACGATGCGAACAAGGAGAATGAAGATGTGCGAACGAGTGTATCGCGAAAGACATCTTCCGTCAAAGCACCCTCGCAGGCCGCACCAGCCAAGAGCGTCGTCTCTACAAAAGCACCCACCATCGTCTCACAAGCTCAAAGCAAAACACCTACCGTTGTGTCGCAGCCTCGAAGCAAAGTGGCGTCCCAAGTCCGAAGCGTGACTGCGCCCACCCATATTTCAGCCGCGACAGCGAAGCCAGATGGACAACCGAAGTCCAAGCAAGGCGACGTCCTAGATACTCTCATGCAAGAAGCCCGAAACGCCGCCAGCGTCGCCAGGGATCTGGTTAACAGCGTCCGGCCCAATCTCCACAACGGCTCATCCTCAGACCAGGCTCCGGGAAATTTGGCAACCGGCTCCGGCGCGGGCGAAGCTATCGTCGGCGCCACTCTGCTCGGCGTTGCGGCTGGCGCAGCACTGCACTATGCATTCAGTAACCGGTCCAAGGAGAGCCAGGCGAGCAATGACGAAGGTAGATCTCGCCGTCCGTCCGTTGTGGGCCGCAGTTTTACGGAGCCCGCTGCACTGATGATGGGTCCACAATATGAGTACTCCAGCGTCGGGAGCGCGGCGTATTACGGCCCAAATGGGAGGGTTGTCAGTGTGTATCGCGCCATCGAACCGGCGCCTGCTCCTGCAATGTCGGCGTATAGTGAAGGCCTGGGACATGGATTGATTGAGATGCACGATAATGAGCGCTCACAGTTGACTTTACCGGCGCCATCAAAAGTAGGGTCACGGGCAGGGTCGGATCATGCATCAACAGTCCGACCCGCAAGTCGAGGCAGGAGGATGAGTATTGACTCGGGCTTTGGGCCTGGGCCAAGGGATGTGGAGAAGGGCAAGGACGCAGTGTCGCATGTATCGAGTAGAGCGTCGACAAAGATGACAAGACAGTCGAACAAGAGTGGGGCGCCGCCGCCGACGAGTTATCGCGCACCGACGGTACTAACGACGGCAGATACTCAGGCCAAGTCACGACAGTCGTCACGATCGCGGACTCGGTCGGGCAGTGTGAGCAGGATCATGAGTCGCATCGGCGGGAGCGAGGGTGGTGCTGGGAACGACAAGGAGAGGGAGAGGGGGAGGAGTCAGTGTAGGTCGAGAGTGAGTCGGCGGGACGAATTTGAGAACGGCGAGGGTGATAATGACAGTGCGAAGACGGTGTTTCATGTCACGGAGTCTTTGAAGAGGGTGGTCAGTCGCACGCATTCAGTGAGTAGAGAGAAAGAAGACGGTGGTGCTGGGTCGCGAGTGCTGTCACGGTCGACTTCGAAGTCTCGCCAGCCTCAAGAGTACCCGCTTCCTCCTTCGAGGGCGGCGACTTGGACGGGCGGGAGTGAGGCCGGTGGGAGTTTTGTGTCGGCAAAATCGAAGCCCAGTCCAGGACGCGTGGTGAGTGCGCCGAGGACGATTATTGGCAAGTTGAATCCGATGCGTGTGCGGACGGTTGTGGATCGAGATTTTGCTGCGGACAATGGGGCCGAGAAGGAGGCAGATGGTGATAGTGTGTCGGTGATTTCGAAGCAGAAGGATCTGGCACGGTTGGATGTTTCGGACAGGGAGGTCAGGCCGGAGGATAGTGTGAGTCAGATCAGTGTGCAGAGTGCGAGGACTAGGAGGACTGAGAAGGCTGGGAGTAGGGCTGGGAGCCGGAGGGGGTAAGGGATGCTGACATACTGTATCTCAGGTTCAGAGAGCAGCGATGCCCAAGTGCCAGTACAATAGGGAATGTGGGAATACCACGGAGTAACAATCGTTATGGTTCCATGTAGGGCCGTAGAGGGTGCTGCTTTAGCAACGCATGCCAGCCGAATTAACTTAGTCAGGGCACCACAGGAACCAAGCACAAACTAGTGGGATTCCAAAGGCTTTGTGTCGCTTGTGCCTGGATCGATAGGCCCCAGGCGCTGGTTGCGGCGCCCGGAGAAGGTTTCACTATGGTCCGCGCCGGCACCGAGACAGTCTAGTGTGCCCACAGCCGCCGCTTGTAAACTTTACCCCAGACTTTCCTTTAAGCCTCCTTGACTTTCATGATAGCGCTTGACTCGACCTGCACACTCATTTGTCTCTCATTTCTTTATCCTCGAGCCTTTTACCTGCGTCCCAAGATGGCTGGTCCTCCGGGCATGAGTGGTGGAAGGTGTCTTTCACGGTGGATAATATCGTTCGCTCTCTTTATGACAACGCTCCTTCTTTTTCGACCCTTCGCATCGTATATCCTTCCCTTGGGCATCAGCAAGTCCCTTCCAATTGTCATTCGACCAAGCAGTTTCAATTGGACATCACTGACGCCTCATCATGCTACGCCTCCACACACGTACCTGCCTACAAGTCGCGTCCAGGTGCCATCTATTCAACATGCCTTCGAGCCTGAAGGCCGATCCGATGCTGCGAGGAGGATACCGCGTCAGAAGGCAGTCCTGGCTGCGTTCCAAAGATGCTGGCAGAATTACAAAGCCCACGCTTGGCTGAAAGACGAGCTGGAACCTCTCACTGGGACGGGAAAGAATACGTACGGCGGCTGGGCCGCAACACTGATAGACTCTCTTGACACTCTTTGGATTATGGGCCTCAAGGCAGAGTTCCTCGACGCGGTGAGAGCCGTGGCTGTCCTTGACTGGGCAAATACCACGGGCACCGCCTGCAATATGTTCGAGACAAACATCCGCCATCTTGGAGGCCTGCTGGCTGCCTATGATTTGAGTCAAGAGCAGGCTCTCTTGACCAAAGCCGTGGAGTTGGGGGACATGCTATACGCCGGCTTCGACACTCCGAATCGGATACCGCCCTTTTGGCTTAACTTCGAGCAAGCCAAACATGGGAATCTAATCGCAGAAACGCATCAGATCTCGGCCTCGGTGGGATCTTTTTCACTAGAATTTACCAGACTGTCCCAGATCACTGAGGAACCCAAATATTACTCAGCAGTGGCACATCTAGTTTCCGTCTTCGAAGAGCATCAGAATTCGACGGCCTTGCCGGGCATGTGGCCTACTTTCATTGACGCACGCAATACCAAGTTCGAGGAGAACAGTTTCACTCTGGGAGCACTGGCGGACTCTCTTTACGAGTATCTGCCCAAGATGTACTCACTTCTCGGCGGGCAAGAGGCCATCTACAAAAAGATGTACATGGATGCCATGGACGCTGTCGGGAAGCACCTCCTCTTTCGCCCCATGCTTCCCGACAATAATGATATCTTGTTCTCAGGGACGGCCACCGTCAGCAAAGGCATCGTCACGCTCAATCCTGAGGGACAGCATCTCAGCTGCTTCGCGGGCGGCATGTTCATTCTCGGCGGAAAACTGTTCTCACGTCAAGAACATCTCGACATTGGCACTAAACTCACACGTGGCTGTGCTTACGCCTACGACGCTTTTCCAACCGGGATCATGCCGGAGATCTTCGACATGCTGACTTGTCCATCGTTGACCGGGTGCAATTGGGACGAAGAGCGATGGCGCCGTCACGGCAATAAAAACCTGCCCAAGGGGTTTCCAAGAGTACATGTGCCGTCCTACATCTTACGTCCCGAGGCGATTGAGAGTGTCTTTATCCTGTATCGCACGACAGGCGACGAGGCCCTACAAGACTTGGCCTGGCGGATGTTTCAAGCCATCCAGAAAGCCACGGAAACACCGTACGGCAATGCTGGCATCGACGACGTGACGGCCATTAGCGGCCAAGCGAAGCAGAAAAACTCAATGGAGGTAAGTACAAATCATCGTTTCTTGTGCACTATAATACATGATGGCTGACCGCTGCGCAGAGTTTCTGGCTTGCCGAGACCTTGAAGTATTTCTATCTGATCTTCTCTCCGCCCGACCTCATTAGCTTGGACGAGTATGTCCTGAACACGGAGGCGCATCCGTTGAGACGACCATCATGAAAAGATTCTTTAGCTTGACTGTACATAATATACCACATTGCGAAAGTCGGTGCGTTCACACCCGAAGCTTGCGCTCGATGACGATGAGATGCTGCGATTCAAAAACCGCACCGTACGCCTTGTGCATGCCCATAGAGTTCTGGATCAGCCTGTATGCATCCATTGGGACAGTGATGGCCATAGAATAACATAGCACCGGATCATGGTTCACAGGGGCTTCTGCACCACCGGATTCCTTCTCTAGATCACCGACTCCGATTCTTTGCGAGTAAGCTCTCCGTACTACTCGACACCATCTCGCTCGCAGCAGCCGGTATAATCGAAGGAATGGATGCCGTGCGCTCACTCAGCGTAATGGGCAGGCGCTTGGAGATGGTTTCTGCGCCAAAAGCGTCATCCTTGGCTGTCCCTCCTGCGTAGACAATTCCACCTTTCCAGGCCGCGATGACAACGCTAGTCAAATCCATGAGTTCTAGCCGCGGCATGTCGCGCCAGAACCGAGTTCGCAGCGCTTCGGCAACGTAGACCAGGCACACGACCATGTTCAACGCGAGGATGCCGCAGATGTACTTGGTCTCGCCGAGCGTGACGGCGGCTACGGCGACGCGCGCTTGCACCGGACTGGTCGCATTAGACGCGACCAGGCGTGCTGAGGATAGGGCTACCAAGACATTGTCGACGCAAGAGATCAGATAGTCCGAGACGCCGCGCAGAGTCATGGCGTCGCTGAAGTCGCCCGTGGAATTCTGCAACTGGTTGACATTGAGACGTAGCGTGCGGCCGAGGTACGAGCCGCCGAAAGAGCTGTCGACGTAGGAGAAGACCCAGAGCCAGTTTGTGGCTTTATCGATGACGGCGTTGGCGTAGGCTGGCCAGGGAATTTCGGCTTCCGGCGTCACGGAGATGAGGTTGTGTTGTTGGTGTAATTGACCACGACGCCGTACGTCCTCGCGCGGAAGTCGATTTGGCATTGGATATTCTTGAAGTCGTTGAACGACCAGGCGTCGGCGGACGGCGAGGCTCCCGTTGCCAGCGCGACGTATGACTTCCGCGTGGCGTTGGAGTACACGGCGCCCCAGGAGAAAATGTCCTGAGGGGAGTAGCCGACGTAGACCCAGCCGCCTGTGGACGCGCCGGTCGGGTACGAGCCTGCGGCTTGGTAGATGCTCAGTGACCAGCCTGAGGGGACCTGGAGTTTGTCGATGCGATAGGCGCTCGAGGCGTTGTAGATGCATGAGACTTCGGAGTGGAAGGCCGGTTCCGAGTACGAGATCCATCGCGGAGAATTTGAGCCTGGGACGTCGACGAGGCGCCCGAACCGACGCCGTAACTCCGATTGAGGTAGAGAAAGCCTGTCTTGTCGAGTTTTTGGTGCAGATAACCTGACACGTTGGTCGACGAGGCATCGCTTGCCGAATTGAGTATCAGGCTGCGCAGCGCGCTCGGGTCGAAGGAGAAGAGACCATCGTCGGTGAGCCACTGGCCGAGACTCCCCGATCCCGAGGTGGATGTTGAGGTGTTTCCTTCCCATAGCGATGATAGATTGTTTGTTTGGAATGTCGGCATCATCGTTGTTTGGGTTGTAGTTCTTTCTGAGATGATCGGGGTCATGGCACCAGACCACAGAGCGGCAGGCAGGAAGGATAACACGACGAGCGTCGTCAGGGGTACACATAGGAACCATGGCAAGGAGAACGACACTCTGGGGATAGATGCGGCGTGGACCAATTGGAGCGTATTAAGCGAGAACTTCCGCGAAGCGAGCGACGCTGTAAAGGAGATTTTAATAACGGTACCTGCCATCGAGGCGTCTGTAAATATTGATTTTGCTGGTCTTTTGATGATCCGGCGGAGCTGGGGGAGGGGAGCTTGACTTACACAGAGCCTGGACTTGGATGAGACCGAGAATGTGGGAGATTATTTGGATGGCGATTGCCACTGTCGTGCGGTCGTCCGTGATAAAATTGGCGAAGTTCTCTGAGCCCTTCCATCCGTTCACTTTCAAGCCAAGAAGCGTGAAAGCCACAGTCGAAGTCAAGAGAAGGCCAGGTATAGGAAGAGCTCGGTCGAGCGAAGCGGAAAGAGAACTGGAGGGAGAATGCAGGTTCTCTTGTTTCTTCATGGTCAAGTGAGAGCCAACTGCAGCCGAGATCTTGTTGCAGTCGTCAAGTCTGTCTCGAGCTGTAGAGGGTGCAAGGAAGTGGTGTAAAGGAGTTGTAATTGCCGGTGGTTTTTCGTAGCATATCACAACATCTCTGGGTTGCAAGGAATGGGAAAGTATGTATACACAAAGTATATACGCCCGATAGCAGGAGCCTACCTTTTGGATGAATGTGAGTCTGCCTTGCAGCATCTCATCCGTCTTGACGCCCATGGCGCATCTAGTTTCGGGGCCAGCAGGCCTCGAAGGGGACATGGCTGCTGGCCAGATACCACGGACTAAGTATATTAGACTCACACAGTGGCACTTGTTGCGGACTGCATCTCTCTCAGAGTCAGACATGGTCGGCAGGTTGCATGTGCCAGTGAAGTTTCAAAACATGTCCAAAGACTACTGGCGCTTTGATGACTATGGTAAGGATAAGGCCTTGCGGATCGGATGGTGAAACACCTCTCATGAATTGCAAAGCGCCAGCCTCGGGCCGCCAGCTGTTGACAAGGCGTTTCGGTGGATATGTCTGATGGCACCAGCGTCCATCACCCGGTATTGAGAACCATCATGTCAGAGCTCAACATCGCAGCGCGGTTCGAGCTGTAGAGATTCAGAAGCTGCTGGCTTCATCGAGGAAGGAGTGTGTTTGTGAGTCCAGCCTGATCGTTGCCGTGCTGCAAAACCACATGTCTCATCACTCACCGTCGATCGATGCCTAGTCGAAAGCATCACGGCACAGTACAGTCCATTGCTTACAAGGCCGCAGAATGAATCCAGTGAACAGGCGAGATGATGGAAATGAGATCTCGGATCTCAATCCGAACTGTTGGTCTTCGATGACGCGCACGCGGGTCGAATAGTCGAGATCATCGCGTGTCCACCAAAAATATTTTTTGAGATCGTCATACGGCTCACTGCTGCGTTCACTTCTCTCATTAACCACCAACACCTGAGTGTGAGCATTCGATGAAAGCGGCCACTGCGCGACACCTCAGCGCACACACTCCAAGCCGCTGCTGCTTGCCTCGGACCCTGTCGTTCAGAGCTCAGCCGCCATCGCCGCCGCGGCCGTCAACATGGCTACTCGCTACTCTGCTTCGAGACAACTCAACCTCCGCCCGTCGATCCCCTCGCTCTCTCCTTGACCAGACAACTCCCAACCCAGCGACCACACACTACGAGCCCTCGCCGAGCTACCCGTCCATTTCACTGAAACCCTACCCGTCCAATGTCCAGGCCAGCATCAATCGGGACCTGTCAAGCACCCGTCCCCCACCACTCGAAACACCTCCACCTCTAAAACGCACCGACTACGATGACGGCGAGATCCCCTTGCGCGATAAAGCACAACGGCTCTTCCGAGTCGGCAAGGCTTATCTGACATTCTACAAGACGGGCTTCAAGAGCATCTGGAGCAATTATAAAGAGCTTCGAGCCATCCACGCCCGACTCGGGACCAGCAAGCTCGAGAACATTATCAAATATGGCAGTGCAGATGCAGTCACTGATCAGAAGAATGAAACCCGCAAGTCTGAGGCTGATGTCAAGCGTGCCACTTCGCAAGCAGGCGACAGGAACGGCCATTCAACGCCGACGGTAACCCGACGAGACTACCAACTCGCCCTACGTACCCGCCACGACCTGTATAAACTGGTCCCCTTCTCCCTGATATTTGCCATCTGCGGTGAGTTCACGCCACTGGTCATCCTGGCCATCGGATCCGCCGCGGTCCCATATCCATGCCGCATTCCAGCACAAGAACAGCAAGATTTCCTGCGACCGGTGAAGATCCAGCCACGGGTCGATGAAGCTGCCAAACGCATACCCGAGTCCAACTCCAACTCAAATACCGAGCAGGTAGAGTGGAAGCAAGAATTCATAGACGCCCACCGCCTGCATCTGAACCCATTGCTCACCCCCATCCCGGTGATCGGTCCTCTCTGGCACAGACTCTACTCTGGGCCCCGATTACGCCGGCATTGCGACGAAGTCCTATGCGACACGATCCTGATTCGACGCGAAGGCGGCTTCGACAAACTTTCTCCGCGCGAAGTGTTCCAGTGGAGTCTGAAGTATGGCCTACGCACGCTGACAGAGTACATGGACGACTTAAAGCGCCAGGGGAAGCCCCTTGACCCGGACTCGCCAGAGCTGAAGAAGATACTGCTTCCGCTAGTAGAGGCGGAGGCGGATTACATTCTCAATGTCGATTGGAGGCGGGTCAAGCCCGAGGATCAGTGGCGGGCTGTGTTCAGACCTCAAGGACCGGCTAAAGTTGTAACGCCTGACGATCGACATCTTATGAGTCGATGATGCGAGTCGTGTCTTCGGGCCGCGATATGTATCTGATATGAAGACTCATTGTAGTGTACACACTAAAGAACTGTATTCTAGCTGGGCCTTTGAACTTCTGTCAGGCAAAGAGCTTTCCTGTCCCTCTGTTGCCATTGAATAGCTCGCCGTTCCAATAGCAGCTTTACGACGGCCTTTCTGTCCGCTGGTCTCTTCGCCTTTGTCCTTTTCAACCCGGAAAAGTTGAAGAGAAAACGCCGCTTGTCTTCTTCGTCCACAGGTCTCGACGCCGCCTCAAGCGGAGTGCCAAATTTGCTTCGCGCATTTATGTCCGTCCTGCCTTCTGCCAGGAGGATCGTGACCATTTCTGTATAGCCAGCTTCGCACGCATGACGGAGTGCAGTTTTCCCGTCTTTGCCACAGGCGTTTGGATCTGCCCCATGACCGAGAAGCAATCTCGCGACGTCTGCGTACCCGGCCTTGGCTGTTGCTAGCAGTGGTGTGGCATCATCCCAGCTCCGGGTGTCAATGTCCGCCCCATTCTCCAACAGGAGCCTCACTGCAGCCACCCTGCCAGATCCTGCTGCTCCATGCAGCGCAGTCTGCCACTGTCGATCGCCGGTATTGACATCTGCTTTGTTGGCAATCAATAAGCGCATTACGTCCATCTTACCTCTGGCGGACGAAGATATCAAGGCTGTCCCAAAGTGTTTAGGGGTAGGATTGATTTCAGCGCCGTGCTTTAGCAGTATCTCCACGATTTCAACTGAGCCGTGCCAAGGCTGTGGCCGGTGCTTTGTACGGACATGTGCATAAGCAAGTTATTCCCAGGACTCTTTTACCACAGTGATAAAATGTCGATGTCTATAGACGACAAGCACGACAGGGCCGAGAAAGCTGGAAGTATTGTTCAAGGACTTGTTCTGATGTGGGAAGGAAGCAAGGTGTCTCTTCCTGCACTACTGCCAAACGATTCCCCAATGTTTAAGATCCGTATTACTTGTAGAAGGACATTCGTACTACCTTCTCTTCCTGTACTGGTTCTATCCCAGAATATAGTCCTGCTTGTTGGCCAGTCGGGCTGGTGACTTCGTTCCTTGGACCGGCATGTCTGAACCTGACATTTCCACATGAGAAAGAAAAGCCCGCCTGAGGATGCGGGCAACATGTTCACTCAACATTGAAGGAAAACGTCCTATCCACCTGGACGAAGAGTGTCCTTCGCCTTCATAGCCCCCATAAAAATAAATAATACATGGCACAATTCCTTTGACCTGACCCGAACCAGGGTCACCGAGAGCGCTGTGGGACGTCATATCGAGATGCTTCTGTTGAGCCAAAGATGTCTGACAAAGCCTGGGTGGTGGCGCTGATACACAGCCCTTCACGCTGATGCACATTCAAGGATCGGGGCCGAGATGCTCATGCATGGACTTCATAAGACTCTCACTGAAAGGGGACTGAGGTTGTATCAGATCGCTGGCAATGCGAGGAGGTTTCTGGTATGCATTGACGCTTCCGTCTTGTTTTGCTGTCTCGGCCTGAAGTACAGGCGCAAAGTCAACTCCCTGTGCACTTGATACACTGGTGTCATCTGCCATGTCTGTTGCAGTGTCTACCGTCGATGGTGAGACTTTGCGTAGCCCAGGGACAGAGCGGTCCATGGGAGCGGGCGAGGCGGAGAGGTGATGCTCATACTCGGGGCCCTCGTCCGGAGGACTCAAAGCACGTTTCTCGCTTTGTTCTCCATTCTCACCGGCTTCAGAAACCACCGGTAAGAAGGTACCTCGAGGCTCTTCTGTGGTTCGCAATATTCGATCAGGCTTTTCCTCTTCACTTCCTCTTCGACCTTTCTCCGACGAGGTGGATTTATCCGTTTGCTTCTGCGCTTTACGCATTGTCTTTTCCACTGCTGGGCTCATTGGTGGCGACTGCATGGAAGAATCTCTTATCGTCCCTTGCCCATCTTCGGGTAGTGGCCGTTGACTTTCCATGGACAGCCCAGGAGCCTGCACCCCAGACCGACGGCTCTCCTCGGTTTTCCGCCGCTCAGCCTCCTCTCGAGTCATGGTAGTCCCGGTGATGAAGTTGATGAATCGTTCCCCATACGCTTGAGGTGGGATTGGCGAGATCTGCGTCCTATTCGCTGAAAGGCCTTTCCAAAAATGTTCAATGCGTTTGACAATGCCGTACTATTCGATGGTTAGTCTCGGATGACACAACACGACGGGATAACTTACATGGGTCAAGCAGTCAATGACACCGAGGTAATAAATCGATTCACCCCCATGGCCATCTTCGTGTGTAGCTCGGATACCGCCATCATAGCTGTAGAAGATTCGATCATGTCTCTCATCTCCCGAAGCCATCTCTGACGGCATCTTTGTCTGGACCATGCCCATAGGCACAGGTTTCTGACTCTTGAGTGTCAATCTCAATTCTCGCGCCTTGCGTGCATTTTCAAGTCGCGACGGCGTCCTAATCAACTTGGCCGAAGTATGTTCGTCTTCCTCCCCACCAGGCTGAAATACCTGTAGTGTGTTTTCACGCAAGTTCTCCTCATTCCCTTTAGCAAGATCGTGGATGCCCACAAGGAGTGAGTAGTCCATGATCTGAAGTCTTTGCAGAAGAGCAACGTCTCTCCTCAGCTGCTCAAGGAAAATCTGCCGTATATGGGCATCAAACTCAAGATGCATGTCTCGTCTGAGCCAATTCAAGTCTTTCAAGGTCGCTCGGGGGTTGTTGGCCAATTCCTCTTCACTCAAGTCCCTGCCGACGGTTGAGCCTTTCAGGTCGAACGTCTGATGGATGTCCCGGTGAGGTGGAAACAGATTGTTCATCACAACGAAATGAATTTTGCGACCATAAGGAATCTTCACTCTGTGCAGACCATAGAATTGGCTGATCAACGTGTTCGGATTCTCCACCACATGTCGATAGTAATCCCGAAGTATCCTCCTTAACAGTTTATGTTCGGCGTGATGGATCGTCTTGATGATGTATTTATAGTCGCGGGAGAAGTAGAAGAAAGATCCCGACTTCCCGGGGCTGCCCAGTTCGGACAGAATATACTTGCTGGTCAAACTGACGAGGTAGTCGGCGGGGTCAAGGCCAAAAATGGCTCGGAGATGGCGAAAGACCCAGGGCGCGTAATCCTTGAACTTGAAATCGTACTTTGCACTGGGGGTCAATTCGTTTCCGGTGATATCGAAGCTGAATTTGTGCTTTGCGTCGAAATCGGCATCGGTCAGCTCGCGATCCATCTTCGCATTAGTTCTCGACACAGTAAATCGGATTCCAGTGAGCATATTGTAAGCCGTGACCCAGTTGACGTGGCCTTCCTCCACCTTCTTCCCCACGACAACACGATCGTCATCTTCCTCCTCTCTCTTTTTCCGCTTGCTCGCCCGTTTCTGCCTGATCAATTCTGTCCAACGTGCCGCGTCGTCATCAGGGGGCACTTCATCCAAGTGAGCATCAGACTGCATTGACCGGGTCGTTCTACGAACGAGGCCCAGTGATGCTCTCCTATGCCTTGTGACCGCAGAATCGTATTGATCTCGGGTCGGTGAGAAGCGGCCAGTGGTGGACAAGGCTTCTTCGGAGGGGCCCGCGGCGAAAGAGAAGTCTCGCGAATTGCGGCCAACTACGAGATTGGACTTCGGAACTTGGAGAGTGTGACGATGCGTGAGCTTTGGTGCTTCGGAAGCTGGCATTAGGTCAGGATAACGGTCTTGCACTGATGCGCCTGGAGACATGGCAGGCGGGGAAGAGAAGCGAGCAAGTGTCGGCCCAGCACCCCGTGGTGGTAGAAGAGATAATGACTGGCCATCGGATCGCGCAGTATCGGGTACCGTCGAGGCTGTAACCATGTGATATGGATCGTAGTCTGGCTTAGCAGGAGGAAGGTTTGTTTTCAACTTGCCCAGCTCGGGCGTTTGTCCGCCTGTCTGCACCAGTGCGCCATTAATTCGCTCATCGGATGTTATTTCTACGCTGGAGAGTCTGCTCAATTCGTCTGCAGAAGCCGGGCTCTTCGACGTAATTTCTGCGTTTCTCCCTGCCGCGCTCCCTATTGAGTGTGTACTGCTAGCCTTGGATTGTGATCTGTCCCTAGGCGCCTTGACGTTGCCATTTGGAACTCCATTGGAAAGTGAGTTATGGCTGTTGTTCCTGAAGCTCTTGAGCTGATCCAGCCTGTGATCTGGGTAACCAGTGTCCCCGTCTGTCGCGTTTGTGTATGTGAAGACACCGCCAATTGTTTTTTCGTTGGACTTTCGGGAAGGACCATCCACGGGAGAAGCGTTGGCGCTATTGGAGACGTGGGAGAGAGGAGATTCGAGGGCACCTGGAGGCATCTCCAGCGCAGCGCAAGGTCTATGAAAGGAGCGTGAGGGTTCGCATTGGTCTCGGGGTTATTGACAAGCAGGCGGACGGATGTGCATGTTTCGAGGTTGGTCGGGGTAGAGTGACCGGTAAGACGGTGTGGAACGCAGCGCAGTTATGGCTGAGGATGCAGCAGGTCTAGCGTATGCACTGATGGTGTATAGACAGAGGTGTTGGTATGATGTCGTGACTGGATACAGAGAGAGTCATCCTCGATTGATGTGAAGATCACAATGAATCAAGGTCGCTGCTGGTCGGGCCGCAGCCAGATCCAGGGCCGACGGCGCCAAGCCATCAACCGGGACTAGCACCAACGCTCAAATCTCGATGCCATGGCCACCATGGTGTATCGTCTGCTCCTCTCCCAGCCACTCAAACCCAACTTTGAATCAGCTGAATATACCCTGTAAATGCTGCGTGGTACAGCCTCTCTAATCTTAGAGTCTTTGCCTAAGCCTCATCTCCTGGCTTCTCTGATCTGGGCTGAAAAGCCTGAAATGGGATCAACATTAGCCAGGTCTCAGCCTTATCAAGCCACTGGGATTCGGACTGCTCTTTTCGCGACTTATGGGCGGCGATAGGAGCTCCATGGGGCCGACTATTCGCAGTCACGTCAATATTTCTCAGTCTGTATGCCGGCTGGCCCGGAAAGCTGAGGACAGAACAATGTAGGTTAGGAGACGTCGTCCCGTACAGCTCTGCAAAGCTTTCCACCCGCAACAAATCAGGGGTCTTAACCACGGCTACTCGAGGTGCACACCAGCTTTCTTGATCTACTATAGAAGGACAATCTCTCATGGTCACCTGCACTCAACATTGACTCTTCAGCTATCCTCCAAATCGCCAACACACCAGAATGTTATTCCCTGGTCAAGACCGACGAGTCTCCAGCCTACCTGTCATGCAGCCTGGGTCGAATTCGAGTCGAGATTGTTCTTCTCGGCCCTGCTCTACCGGGCCCATATCCATCCGCATTCGGCTCCATGATCGACGCAATGGCAAATGCAGCCTGATCAGGGTGAGAGCTTTACAGTCACGACAGCCACTGGCAAGCCACAACCAGCGTCTTCAGTGAGAAGTTAGCTACGTACATATTTCGAGGGTGCTCCCAACTCCGAACCATCCCGCAGTCCTGGCGGTAGCGATAATACTCCGGCCTTTCCCCGACATGTGCTCTTCGCAACGTGCCAATACGAAGGAGCTCCGGCCGTTCGCTGGGAGCTTAGCGATGCAGATGGTCAAACATAGGGTCGAAAGGCCGCACAACGGGAGTCTCTCGTTTGGCAAACTTTCTACTTCCTTAACGGGAATTACACTTGCACCCCGGCGGTTATTGAGCTACTGTCACCTCATCGCCGGACACTCAAGATGTGTAGACTAACGATGGCCCTAGGAAACCGTCACCGACGACGAGATCGAACATTAATGTACATGATTGGTCCAGCACACTTCAACTTTTGTGCGTAAGTTTCTAGTCATCTGTTGACCGTGGATTATTTTGTTCATCTAGGCTATCAGGGCACTACTCCGAACAAGATGTAGCCCTGCAGGAGGGGCCTCCTTACCACCGGGAGCCCGGCGGGCAGTCGAACCTTTTCACTCGCTGGTGGCGCGGATGGCTGGTGGACAGACTTATTGCACCTTCGACGTCTACCCTCACAGCGGCGCGCGACACACCCAATCCTGACATCTTTTTTTTTTGCATGATCGAGCAAAGGCTATCGTATCACACTATGTGGCATTCTCAACGCCTGACACCCTGGAGCCCGAAGGGCCTCCTCGCTTTCTTTGTGCTGGAAACCGTCGAACAAATCTCTTTCGCTCCATTCCACCGATCCACCGGACACGTGAAGCAGCTACCCTGTACAACCTAAGCGCGAATTGCCTAGGGGAGGCGACTATGCTTCTCAACGATTCAGTATTTCCTTTGCACTACGGAGTACAGTATACTATCAATTGAATGTCGGCTTTCTGGCCTTACATGTAGTTAGCATGAGCGCTCATATGCTTCAATCGCTGGACGGCCCGCTCTAGCCTCCTCTATCATCCTCGCTGTTACGTCCTACCAATTGCATTCTCGCTCCTACCAACGAGCATGGCAGGCTTGTACTACGTCTCATGGGTAAATCGTGTAACGAAACTCGCTTAACCGGAGTGCAAAAAAGCTGTCGCTTGAATCGTCGAAGCAACATTTAGCACCGCATTTAATAGGAGGCCGTCCTCGCTGCTGTTTGTCGTCGAATGGCACCCTTAGCGCCAAAGTACACGATCTACCCATGAGACCGTAGTAGTATGCCTTGGGCATATAGCTCTTCGGTTTGCTAAGCCCTTGCTCCTACAACACCGCCAGGTCTACGAGTACTGCAACATATAAGCTCGGGATATGGATCCGACGTCAGGTAAAGTATTCTGGCCGTTCGCCGAACACTATAGAGAGCGGTGTGATTGCTCCGATATAAAACGCCCAAGCACAGTACATAGAGATCAAGCAGCAAAGCAACCCGCTTAGACCGATCAAGCGATGCGTTTAATATATCCTTGATCTATTACGGAGAACTCCCAAGATTGCTTTAGTCTATCGAAACCTATCCAGAACGCTATAACAAAGAAGCTGAAGCACGTCGTATGGAGTTCAAGCAGTAAAGCAGACACGCTCTAATCGATGGAGCAAACTCAAACAGTATATACTCGACTAGTTGTCGAAGCTTTTGCGATGGTGGTGTTGATGCTTGGGTCTGGAAGGCTGAATGTCTCCTTACGCTGTTACCCGAAAGAAGCTCAAGCGCATCACAGAGAGCTCAAGCAGCCAAACAACACACTTCAGACCGATCAAGCGATGCATTTGATATTTGTCTTCATCAACTCTTCGGCAGTTTTGAGTGGATGTTGTCGTTCTTGGGCTCTATATACAACCCGCTAAATCCCCAGGTCACTCATTCGGCTCAAGTGTGAACCACACTTCTTTAGCAGACGAACAAATGAAGCCAAGTTGATTGAGAATATGCGAAATATAATTCTGGAGAAAGGAATTGATCTGCCTGAAAGCGCGTCGCTGTGCTTGACTTAATAAGTACCATTCTTGGGGTACCTAGGGGCCCCCCGGGTCCCAAGTACGCAGCCACACCGCTCAATCAGGCTATTGAATAGGCCCAGTTGATCGAGACTATACGTCCTGGAGAAACGACATGTCTTGCTTGAGATCCTATTGCCCTACTTGGGCACTATCGGTACCATTTTGATTAGTGGGGGCCTTTCTTCGCCGAAATGCATACTGTGCTTGAGTGCTGCACCCGTCCTTCTGGTACCTAGCAAGGCCCCCAGGACACAAGCTTGCGCAACACTGCCCAAGCAAGCTAACCAATGGTCGGGTTCATCAAGCAGGGTATTTGTTGTGTTCCTGGAGAAAGGGATACATCTGCTTGAGACTGTCTCGCTGTGCTAGTGGTGAGGTTCGCGGGGACCCAAGCACGCGCCACATTACTGAAGCAAGCTAATTAAAGGCCCCAAATCGATCGAGGCGGTGTTCACTGCCACCCTGGAGAGAGCTGTACAACTGCTTGAGACCGTATCTATGTATTTGAGCAATATCGTTCCGGTTCTTGTCAACAGGCGAGATATCGGAACTCAAGCTGGCACGCACGCGACTCAAGCAAGCTTGTAAATGCCAGAAACGATTAAGAGAGTGTCCATGGTCATCCTAGGGAATTGTTTATATCTACTTGAGACTGTATCGTTCTGCTTGAGTAGTCCTAGATCCTAAGCAATAGTACCGGCCCATGAAGGTTCTCGGACTATAGGCGAGCAATACACGACTCAAGCAAGTTAATAGACTACTAGGAATGATTAAAACGGTGTCTATCATCATCCTAGGGAAACGTCTCAATCTACTTAAGCCTATATCGTAGTACTCCAGTAATATCGTATAATACTACTATACCATAGCTGACAACCCCACGACTCAAACAAGTTTATAAACGACCGCAAATAATCAAGTGAGACTCTATCGTTATCCTAGATAAAGGCCAAACCTCTACTTAAGCCTATATCGTGGTACTTGAGTAATATCGTACTCTCTATACCAGCGTAAGGTTCAAGTTCTTTGGGTTCTTAAGTAGACAACCCCACGACTCAAGCAAGCTCATAAACGATCGGAAATGACCAAGGGGGCCTCTATCGTCATCTAGGCGAAGGCTAAACCTCTGCTTGAGGCTATATCGTTCTACTTGAGTAAATTAGTACTATCGTAGTAGTACTACCGTGAGGCTCTTAGGTTCAAGTACGGCCAACAGTATATGTTTTCGAGAAATTGTTTAATTAAGAACGATAATATAATCGCGAGCTCTACTTAAATTGGCTTTAGTCTACTTAAGACATACTAGGACTATAAAGTATATCGGCTTGCACCCCTCTAGACTCTAGCGTTCGAATGGACTGCTCAAACTTAATCCTACAGTCTTCCTCCATAGTCTTTAGATACTAAATTTCTTCTGGAGAATGTGTAGCCTTCTGCTTGAGACTTTTGTTATATTGAGTGTACTTTATCCGCAAAATCTCGAGATTACGTGCGAACTGCGGATGGCTGCCGCTATACCAAACTCGTTCCTAGGTCATTTTCTAGGCGTGATAGGTTCCAGGGGCAAGCGCCTAGACTTCCACCCATCGAATATTATCAACTCACCTTCGACACGACTTCAACTTACTGGGTACTTCTCAATCCGTCGAAAAGACTCTTTGCGGGCCTCCGACGTGCTTAATGCTGAGAAGATCTTAACGAAATCTCGAAGTTTCAAGCCTCACGATTTACCTGAGACCTTTTCGACTGTGTCCACGATCCCCTCGACCTCAAAATGCAGCAGAGAAACAGCAGGATGAAGTCTAGCCAAATGCCACGAACAAGGATTATCGGGTCCGTGCAGGTGGAAAACCCCCCAAGAAGTGCCGCGCGACCAGTCAAAAGGCCCACCTTCGTGTCGAGCGTGTGGAGAAAATCCGACAAAATGATTGATGTCGGATAGACGGGACAGGCCTGAGCAGTCAAGAGAGCGGTCGAAACCTGCTTCACTGTCCAGCTGAAAACACCCGGACGTGTGTTTTTGTTTTTCGATCGTGCGAGATCAACTCAAGCAACAACCGTGGTTCTGGGTATCTCAGCTCTTGGGGACATCTGCATGGGCGTCCGCAACCAGCATACATGATCTCGCAATCGCAACAGCAAAGGTTTGGTCTGTAGACATTAGGTTTGGAAGTAAATGGTTTACTCATGGCTTCGACTCGAAGGGCTGCGACACCGGCAGAAACCCCTCTCGTACTGGGAACACGATCGATCCCCCTGCGGACCTCGAAAATCGATCCCAAGCATCGATCACCGGATTGAAGCGTTGACGTACACACGGTCGCACATGCATTGACAAGTCGAAGGATGATTGCCACCCAAAAGCCCATCGACGAATATCACAAAGCAGTGGGAGAAGCTACCGACAGTGGATGAAGAGAGAGGGAAACAGACCAGCAACAAAGAGCAGACAATCTACCGTTCAGAGACGGGTCTGCGAGTACTACTCCCAAAAAGGGTAGTGAGTTCGTCGCTAGGGTTGTCCACAACTATTGAACTTCAGTTGTCCTCTTCCTCGCTGTAATGATGACATCAACTTCGACCTCCAACTGCTCGCTGCATCGAACGACAGCAGCGTAATCTAGCCTTACTGGCGAAAAGGCTAGATTATTGAGAGCCCATGATACGACAAAATGAGCTCGTTAACTTGAAGTTAAGTAACTTAGACAAGAAGACCTCGACCGTGACACTGCTAAATTCGACAACTTCAAACTTGAAGAAGTCCAACCTGCACGGTTCCACCCGTCTCGACGAGACTCATTGATTGCTTCGCAGTTAACCTGAGTGAAGAATCGAGAAACCGGTCGTCGGCTACTTACAGCCAACCTAAATACGTCGAGTCGCACGATCATGTCACGACTCCTCACAACGAAACCGCAAAAAGGAAACTTATTTCATCCCTCCTAATCCTCGACAGCCATCTCGAGAACCTCACCTCATCGCTATCGGAGATGGTAAGCCCTTCCTTCAATCCCTGATAGCAATCACCATGCGCTAACAGTCGCACCAAGGGCCTCGTCAAGATGCCAACATCGAAAAGACTGGAAGTACTAGTTCATAGTTCAAGTCATGCTGGAATGGCAGCCTTCCAATTTTCGGCTGTGAAAAGGCTTCCCTCCGGCAAGGTGGTTTCATATCCCTTCTCACAATGTGTTGTCCAACGATATCGGACGAATACCGGAGCAGGCATGATGATCATTGATTACCTACTTACAAATACTGAGTACTACTACTAGTATCTCTCATTCTACTCGATACCTCTCCGCAGGCCCTACCTACTACTAATCATGCCTGGTCCTCAGAAGCGTCATAGCAGCAGCAACTACAGGGACCACGCTGACAATCTCCCCGAGACCGGCGTAAGCTGGGGGAATGCGCACCTTGACAAAGACGCCAGCTGCGAGAAAGGTCGCGAGCACATTATAGACAGCCGACCAGGCGAAGTTGAAGGCGATTCTGCGAAACGATCGCCGTGACAAGTCGAGAAGAGCAGGCAAACCGTCAAGGCCACCAAGCAGGACAACATCCGCCGTGGCTCTGGTGACATCCGATGCAGCTCCCATCTGAACACCAATGTCGGCTTGTGCAACAGCAACAGCATCATTGGTCCCATCACCACAGAAGAGCACGACCTTTTTGGCCGACATGAGAGTCTGCACGTACTTCTGCTTGTCTGCGGGAGACTGGCGTGACGCTATCTTGGAGAAAGGTATGCCGACGGCTTGTGCGATATCCTCCACGACTTTCGGGTGGTCGCCGCTCACGATGTGACAAACGAGACCGCGACGTTGGAGATCTGCAATGGTTTTAGTAGCTTCTTCGCGAAGGGTACTCTTCAGCCCGAACACCGCTATAGGGTTCGATTCTATGGTGACACAAAAGAGTGTCATGCGGTGATTGATCAATCCAGAAATTTCGGGACGATGCTCAATGCCGAGCCAGAAAGGATTTCCACCCAGGACTTCTTGTCCCTTCCATGTGCATCGGATTCCAGCGCCAGGAACAGATTCCAAATTCTCCACTTCTGCACTCTGCGCTTGTCTCCTCCGTAGCTCGAAGGAAACGGCCAGGGAAACAGGGTGTTGGTTGTCTTTGGTGGCGGCCCTGGCGACAGAGAGGATCTCGTCCTCGGAGAGGACTCCCAGAGGGAAGACCTGTAGGTGAGTAACCGCAAGATTTCCAGTGGTGATGGTACCTGTCTTGTCAAGGATAACGTCAGTGACCTTGTAGCCTCTTTCGATTGCATCAGCTTGCTTGATGATTATTCCACGTCGAGCCGCGATACCACTAGCTATGACAAGTACCATGGGGACTGCTAGACCAAGGGCGCATGGACAGGACACGGCCATGACTGCAATCCCATAGGTAAGTGCCAGGCCCACGGCTCCTCCACCGTCCTCTCCGCGGACTTTGAGAGCGACTGCAATCCAGACAGCAAACACAATCAGAGATATGGTGATCACGGCGGGAATGAAGTAGCTGGCGATCTTGTCTGCGAGGTCTTGGATACGAGGTTTCGATCCCAGGGCAGTCTGGACTAGGCCAGCGATATCCGTTATACTGTTCTTGCCTGGCAGGCGTGTCAGACGGACCATCAAGGCCCTTGCTCCATTGATGGTTCCTGCAATCAGCTGATCCCCAGGAGATTTGGGTACTGGAAGACTTTCACCAGTCAACATGGATTCGTCAACAGAGCTGGAGCCACGAAGGATGACCCCATCTGTGACGATATTGCTGTGCGGTGGAACTAGGAACACATCTCCCAGTTGCAGGAGCCTTGCGTCCATCTCTGTAGTGTCTCCGCTCGACACATCGAACAAAAAGGCTTTTTCTGCCTGCAGCGATCGTATGGACACCGCAGAGATAGCCCGGACCTTTGCGATAGCGGCAATGAGCCTTCCAAGAAGGACCATTGTAATCAAGAGGGAGCTTGTTTCGAAGAATGCCTCTTCCGCCAATGTGTACCCGGCACACGTCAGTGCAAAGGCCACGACTGAGTAGCCATATGCAGCTGTGATGCTGATAACCACAAGCATGTCCATCTCAAGAACTCTGCTATAGATCAGAGACCTAATGGCGCCCGCATAGAATTCGGGAACCGCCACAGCTTGGACAACAGTGGCAAGTACACATTCAATCACGGAACTTGCAGTGTAGGGCAGTTGGTTATTGGACCATGCCAGCACGACAACTGGAATGGTGAAGATTGCTGCCAAAGTGGTTCTCCAGGCCATGCGGATAAGTTTGCGGCGTCCCTCCGCCTGTTTGACATCATTCCCTGCTGGCGCGAGCCGAACTCCTGGAAGACTGGAGAGGATCGATCTGACCCCAATGGCTGCAGGGTCAAAGCTGACGCGGTAAGTAGTCTTGTTGACTTTCTCCACCGATTCGCACATATCGCGCAGCCGCCCAAGTACGTGTTGGGCGGCCGAAGACTCAACCACAAGGTCCAGGTCCTGATGCTTACTCTCAATCTGGAAGAATTTGAATCCAGTTTCCTTCTCGGTGCGTGAAACGACCTGCGGAAGGCTGCCGACCTTTTGGTCGAGGTCGAATTCAGCTATGCCTGTTACAAACGTGACTTTGATGCCAGAGACACCGTTGACATGGTTTAGAACATTGGTGACCTTCCTCACGCAGCCAGTACAAGTCATGCCAGAGACCCCGAGGATGACATGTTCGCGAGCAGCGTCACCCTCAATGTCTACTCCTTTTGCGCCTGCCAACGGTAATTTCGGAGGAGCAGAGGAGCTCATACGGGGCTGCACCAGGCAACATGATGATGGGTCAGAGGACCTCCGTACTTTGCCTCGAGAAATTTTCCCGTCACAGCAAGGCTCTCGGCAAGACTTCCCCGTGATTGCACGAAGACCGGACATTGATTGAGTTGCAACAGAGCTGGAATGACCCGAAGGCTTTGTAGGATTCGAGGTAGCTGGCTGTTTGATCGCCGGGTTACCACAGCAGCCGTCGAGTCGACTGAGGACACTCCTGCAAATGCATCGGCCAGTTTCGAGATAGCGTGCGTACTGATCAAAGGCTCGTTGGAGATGACTTTCACATGCTCCGTAGGCGCGAGGATGCTTTTGGCTGCCGATTGAGGGCGCGGAATGTGGTACTCGAGGAGCACTGTCTTGACCAACGTCAGGGACGATCTCCTTTGCAGTGCAATAAACGTCCTTGACATGGCCGGCGCCGGTTTCTTGCTGATCGCTGCAGCAAGTGTGATGCTTAGTGTTGATACAGGACACCATCTCGTCCGCACGGTTCGGATTCGTGTCAGCAGGGCAGTCGACCTTCTTGTTCTTTGCGGTACAGCATTCGTCCTTCTTCAGACAGTGGTCGCCTTCCCCATCAGTGTGGCAGTCGTTTTTCTCAATGACACAGCGCATGTCTTTTTCAACGCTCTTCAGGGGAGGTGTCTTTTCGACACAGCGATCTGATTCCTGGAGGGGTTCGCCGCCCAAGTCGCTGGCGTCTAGCATGCGTGGAATGGTACGACTGATCTGATCTTTGTGAGCGCAGCATGGCTCAGCGTAGTCATGGACGGGCGTAGCGGGCTCTTCGTAGGGACCGCAGCTTCTGCGACAATCTCCGGCGGCAATGGCTTGGATGCAGGTCTCTATTTATATGGCATTAGAGGTGTAGAGCCGGCCGATGGTGGGACGATTGTACCGTCGCACGATCTGTGGCCACTGCCACAATCAACGCAACAACCTTGAGCGACAGTGGCTGACCCGTCTCCATGTTGGAACTTGCTACTTGTTGGCTGACAAGGGCTGTAATTGCTCATCATCTTGAGGGGAAATGCGCTGTCGACAGACTCTCGTCCAGATCTCAGGAACAGATACGCGGGGCTGGTAAACGGCTGGCAACGGCTGGCGGTGGAATTACACGGGTACAGTCACTCATCGCAATGCTTGGCGTCACGTGCCTATGCCTATCTTTGGTTGTAGCGGCGGAAGAGATTGATTAACTAACTAATCTAAGAGGGAAAGACTGGCCGCTATATGTAGTCACTCGTAACTGAGTGCAAGGAGCGGGGAGTACTAGACTAGGCAAGTATCCCGACGCTAATACCCCATATCGACAATCGCCTATCTTGCCCCCTCGTCTCGCTCCTCGTATCGAGTCTCGACTAGTATCGCTCAAGGCCCGCAAGGCGCCCCTGACCAACCGACAAAATGCAAACGGACAAGTACTCGAAGGTCTGGAAGACACAAATTACCGGCGGCTCTTTCATCCACTGTCGATAGAAGGATTCCAATTAACCCCCGCTTTGGTCATCATACTCTTATCGGCAGCGGATTGCGTGATATTGCGCAAGATGTACGTGCTTGTGCCGAGCCGATTCACCCAGCCGACCGCGTGTACCCAGAGCAAGGTATCTGATCCCTTTAGGACAATTCTACGGGCTCGGTAGACATATAAGGTCCAAGCAACATGCCTACCAAAGGGACCTACTCTCGGAGGACAACATCTCTTACCATCCTCAGCGACCTTTATTTGCCCATTTCCGACCGCCCAAATCCTGTACAGCCTAAGCAAGCATGGCGCCGACCGCGACGTTGCCCGTCAACTCACACTCACCAGTCACTGACGGCTTCATTGATGATTCCACGATCAAAAGCCAGAACTCTGAACCACTGAAAAAGAGTGGTGCGCTGGACAACGTCTTCGATTTTGACGAGGTGAGTCCAGCCATTGGGCGAGAGTACCCAACGACCAACATTGTCGACGACTTGTTGAACGCTCCCAATGCCGACGACCTGCTCCGCGATCTGGCTATCACCATCAGCCAGAGAGGCGTCGTCTTCTTTCGGAAGCAAGACAATCTGACCAACGAGCTGCAAAAGACGTTCATCCAGCGGCTGGGAGAATTAAGTGGAAAGCCTTCGACATCCACTCTACACGTTCATCCCATATTGAATAATAGCAACGAGTTTGGCGTCGGTGACGACGAAGTCAGTACCATTTCCTCGCTGCAGCGTAAGAAGTTGTTTGGAAACGAGGCTGTGAACAAGCGAAGATACGACTCGGCGAAGTGGCACAGTGACATTCAATTCGAGACGTGTCCGGCCGATTACACGAGTCTGAGGTTGGTACAGCTGCCCAAGACGGGAGGCGATACTCTGTGGGCGTCAGGATATGACGTATATGACCGGTTTAGCAAGCCTTACCAGCAATTCTTCGAAGGGCTCACAGCCACTTTTGTTGGCGATGGGTTCATCAAACTTGCGAACGCCGGGAAAGCCACGTTGTACGATAAGCCGAGAGGCTCGCCGGCCAACGTGGGAGGGAATCTGTCCACTGTTCACCCTGTCGTGAGGACGAACCCGGTGACAGGATGGAAGAGCATCTATGCCATTGGGTCATTTCCGAAATACATCAATGAGCTTGGTAGTGAAGAGAGCGACGATTTGTTGAAGAAGTTTTATGACACTATTATTAGCAACCATGACTTGCAAGTCCGGTTCAAATGGAGGAATCCGAACGATATAGGTGAGTTTTGGTGTACCTCGGCGCCTCTTCAAGCACAAAAGGGTCTATGAGTCGCGTACTGACCCTAGGCTGATAGCTATATGGGACAATCGCTCCGTGTTCCACTCCGCAACTTTCGACTATGACGGTCTCGGCGAACGCTCTGGAAATCGTGTCGTTGGTATCGGAGAGAGGCCGTTCTTCGATCCAGGTAGCAAATCGAAGGCTGAAGCACTTGCTGCAGAAGATGATGGCGTGCTCTGAAGATGGTGAATGGCAACGTTGTGCTGCTGAAGAATAGTTGAGGCCGCTGCAGCAGAAGGCGTGTGTCTGGCCAGTGTCGCCAGTCGTGGACGCCTTTGGAGACCAACAGGTCAGGACCGGGGCGCGAATCGCCTCGGATCGGTGGCGGACTTTGTAGTTCGAGCAACATGTAGGGCGCTCTATCCCTCGAGCTTGCATAGACGGATAGGATGATCTCTGTCCTCTTTCTGAACGGCAGTCATGTCCTTCGATAGACCGTGTGCATTGATGCGACGTAGCAGTAAGTGATGTTCATTCACTACTACTAAGTCATCGACGTGTTGCGTCCGTCAACTCGAGCTGCATTTGCACACGACTGCGCAAGGCGTCAAGCATATTAGCATGCCCAACTAGAACACGCAGTCTCTGGTCCGGACTCTTCGCCTCTTGCATTAACTTCGAATGAGCCTGATGGGCCAGGAAGATGGCCTCACCAAAGTCCGCCAGGGACAACGCTGGATGTTGTTCTTCGACTGTTGTTTGAGCTTTTTCTTCTGTCATGTGATGGTGGGATAGCAGATGGATCATGATTCCATTCGAAACTTGAGGTGCGTTTTGGGCTTTTGCATGCGATATGGTATGGTGGTAGCTTTTCCACACGCAAGGGCCCCGTCATATAGACGGCATCTTGAAGTTCGAGGTCCTCGAACAATTGTCAGCAGCTGACCGATAGAAAGGCGGCAGAGCTTAGGAAAGAGGTAGAAGTGCCGGAAGCTCTAGGGAAAGCCATGTGGTTGCTGCGTGGGTCGTTTCTTCCACGTTGGTCGAGACAGCCTCGAGCTTTCGGCGTTTGACAAATTGCACCAGAGGCTTTCAAGAAGACTCGCCCGTTCAATCGGGTACTAGCATCACAAGACCAGTGAGCCAATTGCATTCGACCACTTATTGCCCGAGAAGAGCTTGCTTTGAGCGCCCTCGCGAGAGGTAAATAGCTCTGCATTGCATGGAGTGACGTTCGAAATCAGATCCCGGTACGGAGTAGCACCATTCAGTTCGCATAATCACCATTGCATGGGGACTGTCGTCAGCAGGTCCAACTTGCTTAGACTTTAAGCGCCAAACCCACGGGGACCATTCCTCGAGCGATGAGGGCGGCCACACGCATGTCAGAACTCGGTGTTCAGCAGACGCCTCCAATATCTATCTCAGCATGTTCAGGACCACTTCCCAGCGAGCCATATCAGACTTGTCTAGGCCGACGTACGATAGAATGAGGACAAGCCAAGGAGGAGAGAGCGTATCGAGAGGGCCCTGTACATACTATCCGAAGGTGTGGAACAGATAAGCGAGAATTTTTGGAGATCCCACGAGCGAAATGTCAGGATGAGGCAGAGGAACACTGTCACCACATGCTCCAAGTCAGGCACCGGCGAACTGTAGCGGCATCCTCTCGCGTCTTCTGTCTGAGCCTACGAAGCTCGAACTTGAGTGGATGATCCTCATCTTCAAGTCATCGGGGTTCTCGCGTAACCTTCTGTAAGCAGGGGCCCTACAGGAAGTGATCCGCCCCCTATTACTGATAGCCTTGGCTTTGAAGGGCACCGATGAGAATGTTCCCCGAGAGGATCAGTGTTTCTCGTACGAGCGAGGATTTCCAGTCTCACCAGGTCTAAGGGATACAAGGATTTCTCTCTCGAAGCTTTTGCGCAGTTCCAACCCTGTCGAAGCGCCGGATATGACAGCCAAACTCTTCCCTCGTGTCTTTATCGAGACTGCTATTTGTAGCAGTATGTCCTTCTCGGACTGGCCGCTCAATCCAGCATGTTCCCGGTCTCCATCCTGAAATCTCCTATACGTACTCGAGCCTGCGCAGCGACAGAACCCTCAGAAATGGAATGGCACAAATCCGCCTATGCTATATTCACAACACTAGAGCCACGCCTAGTAGGACGATGCCCATGATGCTAGACATGAACAATGTCAGTCTCGACACCATAGGAGCAGCACTGGAACCAGAAGTTGGCGTTGCTGTTTCTGATGGCAACGGCGTCTGAGCCGTCGTCTGAGCCGGAGCCGCAATGATAGTAGCGGTCTTCGTTGTTGACACCGCGCTGATGCTGCCATCCGATGCTGTAGTCGTCAATACTTGGGTCGTCGTCGTCCAACCTGAGGTTTGCGACGCCGTGCCCGTGACAGTATACCAGCCATTATCGTGTCCGCCGTCCCAACCAGCGGTGCATGGGCCCCAAAAGCCCCAAGCTCCGCAGGTACTTGGCTGGTCTTGGTTCTGGACGCCAGACCAGCACCTGGAATACATGGAGCACATTGAAGACTGAAGGCTCACAATGGTCTGGTGTACTGACTCCGCATCCGAGCATGAGCTGGCTATGCAGCGTGATACTGCAGTTGGTGTTACGCATGCATGATGCCAGCTGGTCGAGTCTGATGGGTATGCAGATGTGAAACAAGATACCTGGAATCAATAGTCAATACCAGTGGTTTCATCGCTCAAGTGAGGAACAAATGTACTGCACAGTCCTCCGCATCATCGCCCTGTCCTCCATGATGGCCACCCATCATCCCACCCATATTGTCCCAGTCCATCATTCCATGCTGATCCCACCACTGCCCGTTGGCGAGTGTGATGAGGAAAATAAAGATGGTGGTCAAGGCAAAGAGTTGCATATTGGTCCAACACAGGGAATTTAGAATTGATGGCTCAAGTCATAGCAAGTAAGGCTAACATTATACATGGCACACGAGGGAAAGATCCTCAAGCTTGTATGGCCAAGCGTTAAGTACGAGAAGTATCTCCAGACATAGTTGGAAAAGGTGTCCGTCACGCCACAACCGTCTGATTTGTTCAGGCGTTCAGGTCCCTAATCCGGGTGTGTATATTTGATGGCCCGGAAGGAGCCTCAATTTGTCACTGCAGAGCCATATGGTCGCTGCTTTATCCTCTTTATCCTCTACTGGTTTATAAACCCGCCTACAACTGTCTGCAGCGGCACCAGAGATTCTCAAACAAACTCAGGAACACTGCAGATAGATCCAGAACTAAAAGGGCACGAGACTACCCATCAGAAAGCCTTCCATCCACAACACTCCCCACATAGGTTGCCGTAGAGCTCTCAGAATTGCTGGACCGGGACAGCTACCTGAAGCGCCCCAAGCAAGCCCAAACAGGACAGCGCCTATCAAGAAACGCAAAGTGACGCTGCTGAGTGACGTTGTCGAGAGTTCGTAACGGGCGTTGTACCTTGGAGGCTTGCCACAGTCGGCGCTAGGCGGCTCTGAGCACAAGACATTCCACCAGATGATGTTCGGGATGATGGCAAAGATGCCCACAAATCCAAGGGAAGGATCCCAGCGGGTGATCGAGAGAGGTCCAAAAGAGATGGAGAAGAACGACAAGACTTTGGCGGGATCGGCGAATCCGGACACCAGGAGCCCCAGTCCGAACGCGAATCCCACGAGCGCTCGAGTGGTAAAACCAGCCATGTCTTTGTTCTTGGTGACCTGAAAGATGACGGTTGGAAGCATGTGAAGGGCAGATATTGTCGCTGCGACCATGAGCCCGATATTGACCGCCGTATCGGATTTTGGGTAGACCGGCTTGTAGCATTCAACGCCCGCGGGACAATTGATTGATTCAGTGGAAGGCTCCAGGAAATGGTGCGTCGTGAAGGCGGTGATCATGAAAATAAGTGTAGCAATCAGAGACCGTGCTGAAAGACGGCTGATACCGCACAACATATGACCGGAAGTGCAGCCATTGCAGTTCTATTTGTGCCCACTTGTGAGTACCACTACTACAAGAAGATCCCAAGGGCTCAACGCAACAAATTTTGGCACTTACTTTGGTCCCATAACCCGTTAAGACACCGGCTCCGACAATCCACAAGGAGTCATGCCAATTCTGCTGCACATCTGGATATTCGGGGATGAAAGTTGGAAACAGTGTCTTCACGATGAAGAGGCTCAATGCCATGCCCAAGACGAAGGCTATGTTCCTAAACGATGGGCCGGTCAACAGCCCCCGGAGTTGACCGGATGCGCCTAGAATGCAGCCATTGTTGAAGAGAAGAGTAGTTGACGCCTGCTGGAGGAGAAGTGCTCCCAGGGCAGATTCCACCGGGGTAAACATTGCCGATAAGACGAGGGACAGGACGGTGGGAGGGGGTCGACGATGTCGAACATGCTAGTTTCAAAGACATCGTGTGTGGCACGCCATCTAGGATCTCTTATATATCGGGGAGTGATGGGAAGGCTCCTCGGGCTCCATCGAAAAATTTTAGTGGCCGAGGCAGGACCGGAACCCCTGACGTGCCCTTGAATAGTGACGTTAGAGGGGCTCTTGAGGGCGGACATGGGCAACGGTGGGCAACGGTGGGCGTATCGGATACATGACAGGTCGAGTGGGTACCGGGTTGCCTTGGGTCGGAAGTTGATAGGTCTCGTGAGCCTCTTGGGTGCCTCCTCCGGGCTGGTGAGGCTCAGCAGGAGGGCTTGGCCAGTGTAGACCTACCTGTTCTGCACAACGCAGACTCATCCTTTTCATTTCCATAGTAGAGGTCTTCCATACAGCTTTGCACCATGAGATGTGGTGCAATGACAGCTGCTTCCACATCGTCGAAGCATCCGCCTGACTATGGCGATGGATGCACGATGGTGCCAGAATCACTCCACCATCCTCGTGCGCGAAAAGGATGAACTGAGCTTTGGAAGGACCATACAACGACCATGAATGATCGCCGAAGACATGCTCATACGCCGAGCCAACTCACAATGGCAATATATTGCCTGGATACCTCATCTCGGGCGTTGGAAGAACAATTGGTTTCCAGGTTCAAAAGTACACTTACTATCATGTCTTGCAAATCTAACTTGAACTTGGTCATTGTCGGCGGCGTGGCAGGCGGAATGTCTGCAGCCACCCGTGCACGCCGCCTGTCAGAGACTGCTTCCATCACCGTTTTCGAGATGGGGCCCTATGTGGGCTACGCAAATTGTGGGATTCCGTATGCCTTGGGGCAGGTCATCCAGAACGAAGAAGCGCTGGTCCTGAACACTGCCAAATCTTTCAAGGACCGATTCAACCTCGACGTCCATCTTGGTTCCGAGGTCGTCAAAGTCGACCGCGAACGACGAACTGTCGAGGTCTCATCTGGAGGAGGAGACATACGCCAATTCCCTTACGACAAACTCATTCTGGCACAAGGTGCTAAATCATTCGTCCCGCCAATAAAGGGGATCGATCTGCCCCATGTTTCTACGCTCCAGACCATTCCTGACCTGCAAAAGGTCAGAGCCGCTCTCCAGAAACCCAACGCAAAGCATGCGGCTATTATCGGAGGCGGATTTATTGGTCTTGAAGCCGCAGACAACCTGAGAGCTTTGGGGCTGGAAGTCTCAATCATCGAGATGGCACCACAGGTTTTCCTGCCAGTGGATCGCGACATGGCTGAACACATTCATACCGAACTCCGCCAGAAGGGTGTCCGTCTTTACCTTGAGGCCAAGATTACCGAAATCGTTGCTGCGAAGGGAGACCAAGCTGCATGCGTTCTCCTGCAGGATGGTGAGGCCGTGCCCGCAGATGTTGTCATTGCGGCGGTAGGGGTCCGACCGAGGGTGTCGCTGGCACAACAAGCCGGCCTGGAAATTGGCAAATCGGGCTTTTTGAGGGTCAACGAATTCATGCAGACTTCGGATCCGGACATCTATGCAGTGGGCGATATGGTCGAAACCGAGCACAGGCTTGTCGGTCACCCGCTTCCTCTTGCGCTTGCCGGGCCTGCTGCCAGACAAGGCCGTGTGGCGGTCGACCATATCTTTACCGGCATCGAATCAGGATACCGCGGCAACGTCGGAACGTCTGCGTGCAAGGTCTTTGACCTCACGGTCGCAAGCGCCGGTCTCTCGCTTCAAAGTCTGCGTCAAATGAAGAGGGAGCCACTATATGTGACTGTCCACCCCCCTTCGCACGCCGGATACTATCCAGGCTCGCAGAGACTGACGGTCAGGGTGATATTCGAGCAGGGGACTGGACAGCTCCTTGGAGCCCAAGTCGTAGGAAAGGACATGGTCGACAAACAGATTGATGTTCTCTCGACAGCCATTCAAGCCAACATGACCGTGTTTGATCTGGAGCACTTGGAATTGGCATATGCACCTCCATATGGCTCGGCCAAGAGTCCCGTCAACATGGCTGGCTTCGTGGCCTCGAATCTACTTCGTGGCCAAACCAAGATCACGCACCCAGAGGACCTTTTCTCCTGCAACGGTCTGGAAAGCTCGGTTCAGCTTGTTGATGTACGGTCCCCCGCCGAGTACAATCGTGGCCACATCCCTTTCGCCCTCAACTTACCTCTCAACGACCTGAGAAAGGACATGAAGAAGCTAGATAAGAACAGACCGGTCATCGTCTACTGTGCCGTGGGCTACCGTGGCTATTTAGCCTACAGGATCCTGTGCCAGCATGGCTTTAAAGTCACCAACCTCGACGGTGGTTACGAGCTGTTCATCGGAGGTGGCTTTGGCCATCGGATGAATTGATGCAGTTCGAGGTGTTAGTTGATGGCTGGCAAGTTACTAGTCATGGTCTGGGTAAAAACAAGAGGTAGGGACACTGTTGCTTTTGGCCGGACGTGGCGTTGTGCTTCATCTAGGGTTGCCTACCTCCACCTTGCAGCTATGATGAGGCTACGAGCTATGTTTACTAGTTCAAGGTCGTATTGGCGAGTATCGGGTCATTGACATATTGTCAAATCCAAGGTGTGAGAAAGGCTTTTGGGTGCCCTGAATGAATTTAGCCGATTATTCAAATACATTATCTTGATCTTGCCGTCCTTGATCAAAACTGTGCAGCACCGAGATGGATTTACCAGCAAGTACTCCATATTCCAGTACGCAAACAAGACGTTGATGGCCGACCGCATGTGACTACTAGGAACCCTGTCCATCATTCCCCGCAAAAAGACGTGGCAAAGGACTCGGATCACACCACCAGGGCCGTACGGGGAATGCGCGGCTTCCATGTTCCATTTCGTACTATGATGGTGTTCTGATACGGGATCCAGAGAACTGCCCACGCAGCCAAACACGAATTCAACACGTCATACCTGGATCGCCATGTCCCGAGGGTTTCCCATTGGAGCTTTCCCAGGCCCTAGAACAAACGTATGATATATACCTTCTGGGGGTGCTGTGCTGCAGACCACGCTCCTCGTCAGGATATACTAGATAAGTACCTACCTTGGGAAATCAACGCATTAATGCCCTCGGACGACTGACTAAGCCAATAAACTGTCCACCCAGCTGTCAAATAACATTATCGAGACCATCAAGATGAACCACCCTGCTCACATCCTCGTCACAAACTCCCAGTCCAGTGGTGCACAGGCACTGTACAACCATAACAACAAACAAACCTCCAGCAATGGCACCGGCACCGGCAATCAGAACCAGAACCACACAAACACTTTCCAGACACCATGTTTCGACATCCAAGAATCCGAACTCGCCTACTTCCTCGAAGGCGAGTTCCCAGGCCTGGCCGACAAGCAAGCCATCAGCCTCAAACAAGTCGGCCCGCAGACACTCATGATCGAAGCGCGGATCGACAGGTTCGACCCGGACGCATACTGGGCTCTTTGCGGTCCTCCCGTGCCTTCTTTGCCAGGAGCGGAAGCAGTCAAACGAGGATCCGAGTACGAGAAGTCGGACACGGACCTGACACATTGGATCTTGGCCGATGACAATGTCCAGGCCGAGCCGGGTTGCTATCCGATAATCTACAGAAATAGAAACAGTAACAAGACGTTCTTCAAGGCTCGCGTGGACGAGATCATCTCGGAGCGACGGTTAGGTCGACTACAGCGGTCATTCACCTTCACAGACCCCGTAGACTTTGACCAAATGAAGGCGAACTTTGCCCACGGCCTGCTCAGGATCATGTTGAAGAAAAGCCAGAAGACTCTTGAGGAGGACCGACAGTTTGTGATAGGGGACAACGTGTTGAAGCCCCTGGAGGCTCAGTCATGCTTCGAAGGATGCGAGGAGTGGTGACGAGCTAGAGGCAGTGGAGCGGGACGTGAAAAGCCGAAAGGCTCGTGGTCGACAGAATGTTACTGTTTATTTGTGCAATTCAGGGTTTCCGGGCGACGACGACACGGCGAGGTGTTCATGTAAGTGGTATCGTAACCAGCGTTCGTTCATCTGAGGAGGCCGTGTTTGGTGCCCCCGGTCATTTGCTTCTTCACCGGTTTTATAGCCGAAAACCATCGAAGCACCTTGTCTGTACTCTTCAGCCATGCATGCGTCTATCGCAAACCTCACTGCAGGTTCCTACCTTATCCCGCCATGTGACTCGCTTGATAACGCCACATGCACTCTGGCGGCTTGTGGAGAGGCTCTTTCAGCTGGAGCGCCGTGAGCGTCGTCCTTCTTTTCTGCGTCTTGTGGGGAGGTTCTTTTAGCTAAAACGCCTTGCTCCTTTTCCGGCGTATGAAATCAAGAAGGTTGTGCCGATTGAGGCAGACCTCGGGTTGATCCCACCCACGCGGGCCACGAACTAGGATAAGCATGCTGAAGCATTTCAGGCGATATGCGGGGTTGAGGTCTTGGTTCTTTCGATTCGTGCAAAGCTGCCGGAGGACTCAGCTCTTCCAAGTGCGGGACGGCATACCACGGCGTGTCCCAGAGACCGGGCTATCCTATCATTCTCTTTTCGAACCAGATACAAGCAGCGACGGTACTCCGTACTCTGCGCGCGGAAAACGTCCCACTCGACATCTTGTTGCTTACCTTCTCACCATGATAATTCGTGGGCAAAAGCAGCAACGGTCCCGCGCCCACAAACATCCCCAGACTACACGGCTCAAAGCCTACGTGGTAGGGCTGTGCCAGGCAGATCAGATTCTGCCTCGCCTTGGTACTCGCAGTTGTGGTTCGCGAGCGACAGGCTTTTTGAGCGTCCCACCATCAGTATTAATCAACATACATACCAGCCTTGACAACCTCAGTGACTTCGACATGTCCAGCGTGCACAATCACCCAGGCTCTTCCACTTACTGGAAAGATCATGTCGTACTCAACTTACTTTGCTTACCTGGGCATATCTCTTGCTTGCGTCTACTTGGCCATTTCAGTGCAAGTGGCCTTGACAAAGGGTCTGCGACGAGTACCGGGTCCTTTAGTCGCTCGATTCTCCGGACTGTACCGCTTGTTCCTCGTCCTGGGAGGGAAAGCGCCTGAAGAATATCGAAAAGTGCATGACAAGTATGGCCCAATTGTCAGAGTTGGACCGAATCACGTCTCGGTGTCAGACCCCTCGACGATTCCGGTGATATATGGCATCAGTAGCAAATTTTTGAAGGCAAGTGGTGATATGGCAACGCCTTGGACATGGCCCGCTCACAGGCATAGACACCATTCTACTCCACCATGAGTCCGCATTACCAAGGCACGGTTATGCACAGCTTGTTCTCTGCTCGCGACCCAGAGTACCACAGAAACCTCAAGAGGCCTGTCGGACAAATGTTCTCAATGGCAAACATGCGCAAATACGAAGCTTACGCAGATGAATGTTCTGCCATCTTCATCAAACGCATGCGTGAGCTGGAGGGTCAGCAAGTGGATCTCTCGACCTGGCTTCAGTGGTACGCCTTTGATGTGATTGCGTGCATCACGTTCCAGCGTCGCTTTGGATTCATGGAAGAAGGCCGAGATGTCAACCATATGATAGAAAGTCTCGACGGGATATTCCAGTACGTCAAGATCGTGGGCCAATATCCCGGTCTCCATCCGTACTTGATGGGGAGTGAGACCTTTGCTCGCATCGTGATGAAGATTTTCCCAAACTTTCCAGATCCTGTCCGTTCCTTTTTGCAGGTGAGGGTCCTTGGGGGAAGGGGATGATGGCGGCAATTGACATTCATCCAGATAACGGAAGACGAGATCGTCAGGTATGACACAGATGAAAAGAAGCAGGCAGGAAGGACCGACTTCCTCGCACAGCTCAGAGAGAAGGAAGCTGAGGGCGGACAAATGACTCATAGAGACATGATGAATCACTTGTCTAACAACCTGTGAGTACATTCCGGCTCTTCAGACGTCGATTTCTCCAGGATGGGAAGACATGGTTGTTACTGATGCTGGACAGTCTCGCTGGCTCTGACACGACAGCAATCTCACTTCGTGCCTGCTTCTACTACCTCATCAAGAATCCAAAGACATACCAGAATCTCGTAGCAGAGATCGATAACGCCGACAAGAGAGGTCAGCTATCGACGTATGTCACGTACGAAGAGTGTCTGAGACTTCCGTATCTGTAAGTGCCTAATGCTATTGACGGATCCGTAGCCTGAATGATTCGATAGTCAAGCGGTGATGAAAGAAGCCCTGCGAATGCATCCTGGCGTCGGCTTCCCTCTGGAGCGATATGTCCCGCACGAAGGCGCCACAATCTGTGACATCGACATACCGGCCGGCACGATCGTCAGCATGAGTGCCAACGTGATCCATATGGACAAGGAAGTATTCGGCGAAGACGCGGATCAATTCAGACCAGAGAGGTGGTTGGACGTTTCATCCGAGCAGCTGAAACTCATGGACCGCAGCTTTCTCGCGGTAGGAGTCCTAGTGCTGTGCTCGTTCGTCGGCGCTGACTATTGCAGTTTGGCCATGGAACACGGACATGCATTGGCAAGAATATCTCCATCTTGGAGATGGGCAAATTCATCCCCCAAATCCTCAGGCACTTTGACCTCGAGTGGGCGTCGACAGAGCCGGAGTGGAAGACCGAAGCTGCATGGTTCTGGAAGCAGTGGGGTATGATAGTGAGATTCAGATGGCGAGGCAAAGATTGAGGCTGCTCTTCGGATTCGACGTAAGAGTATTATCTGTGGCTCCAACCCGCAACGAGACAGTGAAGCTTGATTGGCATCTTGTACCGCAGAATTTGATCGGTGGTCGTTGGGCAAATAGCAGATTTTTGTAGCTTGGTACGCCGAAGGTGGCGGAAGAAGGCATCCATCAACGCCTCTTGAACACTCAATCGTCTCTGGTTGAATCCGTGTCAACCGAATATGCTCTGCATGGCTTGACATCACAGATGCAGTTGGATGCGGACACCAGAATATTCACCACGGCATGACTGCTGGTGGAAATCCGTACGACTTCGTCAACAAGCTTCCCTCGAGACCCTAGGATACTGGTCGGGAGCTGAAGGAATTGGTCTTCGTGCAAGGCCTAAGCTCAGTCCAAATCGTGAAGGACCCCACGAAACTTCTTGCCACTTGGTGGAGAATAGATTGATCGGTCCCAAGCCGACTTCGATGACATCGATACCTCATGCGCAGGACCTGTCATGATGAAAGGTCCACTTCGGCGGGATTGCAGATTGAAACAGTGGCTTCTGACAAACTGGGTCGCGTATGTGGTGCTGGAACAAGAGGTTACGGAGTACCTCACTATGGCATGTCGATACGAGACACCATTTGTCGTGCTACTTACTACGTAGTAGCTGAAGTGTCATGGCGCCAGCCATTCACAACCAGGCTTCTTCTCACAAAAAAGATGCTCGACCTCCAGCCCCTCTTCTCCAGCACGGGGTCACTAACGAGAAAGCACCCGGGTGTCGAACTTGTTTCCTGCAAGGCGAGGCTTGTGAGTGGCAAGGTCCGTCTCATAGGTACGTAGTATGGACCTACCGATGCATGCTGGATGAACGGGCAGCCACAGAAATTACATGTGGACTACCTCCATACATCCTGAAAAAGCCATTGCTCGTGCCCGCCATCAACGCCCTAGCCAAGCAAAAGAACTGTTTTCCATGTGTACTGTGTCCCACTGCTGGGCAGTACTCACTCCCACTGCTGGGCAGTACTCACTCCCACTGCTGGGCAGTACTCACTCCCACTGCTGGGCAGTACTCACTCCCACTGCCCAGGGCCCGAATTCGCCTGTCAAGGTATTGTCACCTAGGCTCCACCCAGGTGATGCTTTGGCCAGACAAGTCACAAAAGGCGTTGTTGCGACAGTTCTTCGAGCGCCGGACGAACTGAGCAAGTCAAAGTCTTTGGGAGATTTCACCGGATTTAGCTAGGCCCTTCATCCCACGGCCTTAGCTGCAGGGCATCGAACAAAACCGTAGTAGACTTCCCGCCTGCAACTACGGGGCCACGGGCTCAGGCATGGTCGATGTTTCTTCAGGCTAATCTCGGCGCTAGAAGATGCCCTATTATTCCGGAGACTTTGGACGACAGTACGTAAATCATGGTGCAAATGGTGTCGCTAACAATGAACAGTGCGGAAGAGGCGCAAGGGAAAAAGCAGGAAAACGAGGTCGAGGGAATCTCCCATCGTACCATACAAGCGAGATGGGTCTCCCACGAGCGACTTGCCCAGGGTCCTTCCCATAAGGATCTCTGGTGCCAGTGGACGTCGCACACCAATACGCAATCAGTACCTCGTCTCTGCTGATCAGTGTCACACCCAAAGCATCAGCAACAGCTAGGCTGGAAAGAAGCCTTGTTCTGCCCCCCCGGGTTCTGGAACGTCCCTCGCTCACATGGCCAAACTTTTATTCCCATTCGGATAGATCCCCTACACGTGGAAGTTGATCGAGACTTCAATTACGGAGTGGCCCCTCTGGACCTTGATGTGCAGGTGGAAAAGACAGCCTCTCAGTGCTTTCTGGACTCTGGACTTGGACTCTACGGCCCACAAAGGAGGATTAGTCCGAAACACAAGCCCAGCTTTTATGGGTAGGCTGCTCTGTCGAAGGTTGTCATATTGGCGGTGGGGACTCGCTTGACAACATTGACAGATGATTTGCGACCAGGATTTAGTCCATGGGGCGATCTTGACTGCCCTCGCGATAGCTGAAGAAAATTCGTCGCAGCGAAGCTCCAAGCTACTCGTGGCTACTGTAAAGTCAGGGGGAGGTGGAGTTGCAGAAATCCGGCGACTCCCCCGATTTGGGCATGTTCAAGGTCCAACAGACTGGTGGCAGGCTACGATTTGACGATCCTCGCGTGCTGGACACAAGGCCCACATGTCTTTGTCCTACGCTATTCCCCCAGAGCCAGCCTCAAACTTACCGCGTACAGAGTACTTCGATGATGCTCATAGCCCATGATTGTTTCCTATTGGGCTTTGTTGCTGCATTGGCCCGGCCGGGCAATTAATCAAGGCCTAAATGGATATTCATGCGTTGCGATCCAGGGATGTACCTGGGAAGCTGGTCCAGATTGACCTCGAAACACCAATCGAACGTCTAGAGCCCAGCTTCGACTAGTGATGGACGACGGGTGGAATTGGAATGCCTCGATAGCACAGTGAACACGGCTCGTTTGGCCAGGTCGAGATGCCTTGCGACCTCCAGCGCTTCATCTGGCCGTGCGTTATTGTGTCTTTGACCGGGCCCAACCGTCGAAGCCGCCTGCCATTCGGGCAGGGTTATTCCCGTCAGGAACAGAACATGGTCGATACTTTCCTTTGTCCCAAGCCACCAGGGTGCGGGTTCGCAGGATGAGCCGGGCAAATTTGAGTATGGTCTGCCGGACCGAGGGCAGTGATAAAAATAATGTCTCCCCGTTCGACATCCGTCTCATTTTCGAGACAGATCCTCTTGCTCTTCCCGCCCTTCTCTCGCCCGGTTGCGACTCCCTCATTGTGCGACAAGTAAATCTCTTCACGTGCCAGCAGGAGCACGCGGACAACCTCTCCTCCCGCCTCTCACTGCATACTGACCACCATCATGGCGCCGAGGAAGGGCAAGGAGACACTTATCGAGCTCTGCACTCAAGCGACCCATGTCGGAAACAGTATCTCGGTGCGCATGCTCGAGTACCTGGGGACTGTCAAGCACCAACCCCATGGCTTCAGAGAACTCGCCTGCGACTTCCTGGACATCTCTCGCATTCTTTGGTCCATCGAAGCAGGCCTGACAGAAGCAGCGCGCTCCCACACCAAGTTCCCCCAGGACATGAATCAAGAGCTCGACAAGAAGTTCCGCCAGACCAACGATGACTTCATCGTTCTCAATCAGATGCTCTCAAAGTATCTGGAGTACGAGAAGAAAGGACGTCTGGGCAGATTCCAGAGAGGCTGGCACAATATGTTCTCCGACGACGAGATCCATAAGATCCGTGAGTCGCTGGGCAGGAGCCGGGACGCCTTGAGAATGAGCGCCCTCGTCTTCAGATGGTCACTGGGAGATGCAAAAGCCGATGCCTCTGTCGGGATCGGTTATACGGGTCTGGCAGCTGTTCTCGAGCGCATAAACCCTGGTAGGGCGTCAGCAGTAACATCCCCAGCATCAGTCCAACAACCCATCCAATCTGCGTCAGCACCAGCTTCAGAAGTTCCTGACCGCCTGCCACCGCTACCACCCATCTCGACCGTCAGTGAGAAGCATGCAAATTACTCGCTCTTCCCACGTCTCGACGAAGAGCTCAACGCATTGACCGGCCACCCGATTGAGCCGCATAATGGTTCCGTCGACCATCGCAATGGTGATGCACACAGCATCCACCGTGTTGGCGATTCAAACAGCATCAAGGCTCTTCCTAGCATCCGGTCTAGCAAGTACACCGCCACCTCAACTGCAAGAGATCTTGGGCTGCATTCAAGTACGGAAACCGCAGCGACCGACGTCACCCTTGAAGACCACCTCTCCGTCAAGACCGCCGACTCCTTCACCCAGATCGAGGACATGATCTCGGAAATCGAGTTCAACGACAAGCAATCGCAGAAAGTCGTCCGCATCAAGGCCGATCCCGCCACAGTTCCGCGATGGACGCCCAAGCAGAACACCGGCGCCACCTCCGCCGCTCTGAAGACGGCTCTGATCAGTGCCATCCAGCAGCGAAAGCACAAGATGATCGAACAATTGCTCGACTGCGGTGTTCCCCCGGACAGCGGGACGGAGGTGAACGTTCTACGCGAAGCTGTCCTCAATCGCGATGCCGAAAGCGTTCGCCTTCTCTTGCTCTTCGGGGCCAATCCCAACAGCCTTGACAAATCCGGCTCTACAGCGCTCCTGGCAGCGATCGAAGTCACGTTCCTCGAAGGCACGAAGCTCCTGATGAAGTACGGCGCCGACGCCAACTTACCGGCCGGCCCCAACAACGAGAGCGCCCTTGCAACTGCCGTCAGCGAGATGAAGGTCGACCTGGTGCAACTGTTGCTCACTTACGGAGGAAACGCCAACATAACCACCTCCGATGGCAACACCCTCCTCGACATTGCCGTCACAAAGACCTCGCCCAAGAGACTGGTCGAGCTCCTGCTAAACTACGGCTCCGACCCCAACGGCAAGAGCAACCGAGGAGAAACACCACTCTTTGTCGCCATCCAAGCCGGCAGAATCGACATCATGCAGCTCCTCTTCGAACACGGCGCAGACCCCAACCTCCCCGGCCCCAAACACCCCCTGTGGCCTGCCACGTACCAGCCCAAGGCACTCCAAGTCCTCCTTGCGCGCGGCGCCAACTTCAAGAAATGCCCCGGCATTCTCGAACTCGCCACCTCGCTCAACAACATCGAGTCCGTGACGACGCTGATCAAAGCCGGCGTCGACATCAACGCCAAAAAGGACGGCACATACACGCCTCTCTGCTCCGCGATCCGCGACAACCGCACCGAGCTCGTGTCACTCCTGCTCGCGTCGGGCGCCGACCCCAACGAACCGGCATCCGAGTATCCCGCATTCAAATGCGTCACGCACCACCGCACGCATCTGCTCCCTCAAATCGTCGCCGCGGGCTCGGACCTGCACAACCCCAAGGGCATCATCGAAGCCGCCGTCGCTCACAACAACAGGGACGCCCTGGTGTACCTGCTCGAGCAGGCCGTCAACCCGAACGACCGCTCGCCCGAAGGCCACACGGCGCTCACCACCGCGATCCGCGACAACCGCGTCGAATACGTCGATCTGCTACTCGCCAACGGCGCCGACCCGGCCATCCGCGGCCAAGACTGGCCCATCTGCATGGCCGTCAAGCAGCCCGCCATCCTGAAGAAGCTGCTGCCCAAGGTGCACAACACGCGCGCCGTCAAGGGCGTCATGGAAATGGCCGTCGTGGCCAACGAGCTCGAGAGCATCAAGCTGCTTCTCGCCGCCGGCGTCAGCGTCGAGGACAAGAACGGCGGCGTCTTCAGCCCTCTCACCACCGCCATCCGCGAGGGCCGCAAGGAGATCGTCAGGTACCTCCTCGACGAGGCCGGCGCCGACGTCAACGCCCCCGGTGAGCATTTGCCCATCATCAAGGCCATTCGCCGGTTTAGGGGTGACACCGAGATCATTGAGATGCTGCTCGCCCGTGGCGCGGATATCAATCTGATGTACCGCGGCTGGAACGCCGTCTTGCAGGCCGTCGAGAACGGCGACGCGACTTTGTTGAAACTGCTCGTCGATCGAGGCAGTCCCGTCGACCTTGACGCCCGCGATGAGTCCGGCAGGACAGTCATGGAGATCGTCGAGGATCGCGGCTGGGATGAGGCCGTGACCATCCTGCTCGGTGACGCTGCTCACAAGAAGTACTAGTAGTATCAGTGCTCGTGCTGATACATTGTGGTTCCCTTTTCGTGTTATTGCTGGGCGGGTTTTGTGTGTTATAGATGATGTTGTGGGTGGCCCATCCTGAGATTTATTTGTATCATTACCTATATTCATGACATTTCTTGCCTAATGACTTTGCAAAGATTGAGCAATTGCTTTTTGATATACCGGTCCGCGATTGCTGTTTGAAAGGCGACCATAGGTCAACAGATACAACAATCACGAGCAAATTCGAGAAAAACACCCTTTGATCATCTTGCTAAGCACAGCATCCAGGAGTCCGCTCCGACCACTCGTGGAATAGTATTCGACATATCAGAACAATTCGGCAACCCACCACAGCTCTCAACAATACATGGGGTTTGTAGTGCTCAGATGGCCTAAAGCGCAAAGAGCCCCTGCTTCTTTCCCATACAACAATCTCATAAATGCCACATCACCGCCTTGAACGACTTGAATTTTTGCTCCATCCCGATCACGTTAAGTTTCATCATCAAAGCACTCTGTCCCAAATGGAATCAGACTCGACCTATCGACGTCCGTCCTTTGGCAACCATGTTGCAACCGATGAAAATGACATCGAAATACTGCTCCTGCAATCAATCGGTCACATTGCTCAGGTTGCACCAGAATTTGACTTGCCACGCTTCGTCCATTCCGGAATGTCGACAAATATAGCAGCATACGAATACTCGCAATCCACGTTCGGCTCGTTGCTGGCGTATGACAGATAGGTTCTGTGGGGCTCTTTGTGCTTTGGTCGGTTCAGCCAGACAACGCCATACTCGTGATCCCACATGCTGTCAAAGCGCTATTCATGTCAGAAGCTTTCATGGAGAGGGGTCACGTTCATCTCTTGCCTCCGCGTCACCATCATACATGATATCATAGTTGAACTCGGTCGGGTTGAAGGATGTAGCTGACCTGGCTATAGCGACCTTCTTGTCTTTCGCATTACTTGAATGGAATCAGCGACTGCTATCAACACTCGAAAGAGAGCTCACCCATTCACACGCAAAAGGGTTCTTTCCCGCTTGATGCGTTTGAGTCTGTCGTGGAAGCATGTGGCTAGCACAGGTCAGTAATGATGAAACAATTAGCTAAGTAGTCCGCAAGAGAAGGCCGTACCTTTGCTCTTAGTCTTCCAGTCGCCTCCATCATAGTCGTACTTCAAGACAACCTCGTCCGACACTGAAGGACTATTCTCGTCGTGTAAGAGACGACGCTGGTCATAGTAGCCTTCTTCGTCACCCGTGAGCGCATCATCGGAAGCAACCTCGGAATCACTGTTGCACATGTATTCATCGTACCATTCCATCTCCTTGGGATCTCGGACAGGGCGAGTGTAAATGTTCAGTCCAAGCTCCTGACAAGCCATGAAGAACGCCATATCCACACCCTTAAGAGATCGGGGCATGTCAACCTCCTTCGACTTTCTGTTGTGAATATAAGAGTGCGTACAGTAGAGACCGAGTGTGCCGCCCTTGGGCAGAAAACTCCCGAGACTCATTATTTTCCGGAGTTCACCGTAAAGGGGTAGCGAGGCGACGGTGGCTGGTGACGGCAAGGATTCAGTTGACTGGAGAGATTCACGCCAGAATAGACTGTAGGTCAGCGTGACTCGATGGCCGCTTTTGACTTCTTCAACCTCGTGCTCCAGATGACTGTAGAATGCCGCCCATTCAATGGACATCGAATCTTCCCAGGTGAAGGTGACATTCCTGTCCTGATGACGAACGATCAGATTTCCACCTTCGTGCTTGGAAGGGAGGCAGATGACAAGAGTGCCCACTTGGTTTGGAGTCTTTGGAGTGTCAACGTGTGACTTGAACTTGCCGCTGGGCCCAGTGTAGACATTCAAGTTGCGGAGCTCGGCTCGAAGCTTGTTGGATGGCCGAACGCAAGCATCAGCAGTGCCGTCTAGGGGCAACAACGTCTTTGACACACTGTCCAGGATGCCGAGATTGTATGGGTCAAGGTTTGTACTGAACTGTGTGGCATCCAGTTTCACCGCATTTCTGAATTCTTGGTTGTGCACTTCTCTGCTGCCAACGCCGAATGTGGCTGGCTGGCATTGCTGCACGAGGTAGTTGACACCAAACAGAGCCGGACCTGCATTGCCACTGAAGGTTACTTTGTGCGTTCCCCCAGTGGCCGTGTCGAAGCGTACAATAACAGGCGGGCTATTGTTGACCGAAGTGTTGCCTGTACCGTCTGCTATGACAATGGGTATGCAGCCTCCACAGCAGAAAGCTGCGTTAGCCTCGGCCCCGCCTATCACCTCTTTCAACCGTTCCACAACGATTTGTGTTCCAAAATCCGCAAAGCGCCGGTCTGGACTGTGGAAAGACCACTTGATGATATCGCCGAAGGTGCCAGGGCTTTCTGGCGTGGTGGTAACTTCATCACTCTCATCCGTTGTACCAATCGAAGCGTCTTCGATTGTATCCGATTGAACGGTGCAGTTAGTGTCTGTCGCTTTTCCGGTGTCGCCATCGACCTGTGATCCCTCCTCCTGGTCATCTTCCTCCTCGTCCGAATCGGATTTTTCTCCGATTGAATCCAACATTAGACGGGCATATTGCAGTATGGCTTCGATATACTCTTCAACAACTTCCCGTACATCTCGAGACTGCTCGACAGGAGCCCGACCAATGCCCGTCTCAGGATCATAACTTGTAAGGTTCTGCACGAAGCCCTTGAGGAACGGCTGCAGAGGGTCGAGGGGAGCATCTGGCGGAGGACATAGACCGTAATCCCAGCTGAAATGCACAGTCTGGTTGAAACCAGCACTATGCTTTGTCTTGACGACTTCTGGCTTGAACGCACGTACGAAGAGGCCAAGGAGGTCATTCTTGTAGAGTTCGATGAAGAGGTGTTCAACGGCCGCTTCGATGATGCAGTCTTTGACGAATGCTTCCTTGAGACCCTGACGATATGATTGATCAGGGAAATTTGAGTCATGCTGGACCGTCAAAGCCATGACTGGAGATGCAGATAACTGAAGTGGCAGGTACTGGACACGGGGAAGGATGTGAAGAGGACAGTTGATGTGGTGGGAGGATTTTGTCAGTAGTAGGAAAACTGAAAATGAAGGAGGAAAATCTTCTTGAAGTGACTTACTCTTGCCCCCAGCCACTGCCATGTTTGCTCAGACAATGATTGAAGGCAGCATCTTTTCATCCTACTGTTCCACTGACAATGCTCGAACTCGAATGAGCTCTTGCTATTATCCGCCACACTTGGTACCTACCGAGCAATTGTTCTGACCTCCCTTTTGGACATGAAGAACGGCAAATCATCCCAGATCCATCCTTATTGACTTTGCTCTCTCCGTCCTTCGTCACTAACCTGAGTGCAGGTATCAGTGCAGTCCGCTTCTACCCTCACATACATTGTTTCTCCTTCAAGTCAGACTGGACTCTGACGGATCGCCCCAATGGAGAAACGGTTGGTTGACAGCGAACCCATGACGAACGACATGAAGGACGCCGGCATAAAGAGGAAGAGGAATGAAAAGAAGCGAAAGAGAAAGAAGCTTCCCAGCTGAGAAGAATAACATCGCCTGGCTTAAATTGTGACAGGTGGCCACTGCACACGCTAAGATCTGACGCACAGGCACCCCAGGAACCAATCTCCTGCGCATCTTGCAGGGGTCTCAGGCACGATCTGGGGATTGGTGGAACGCCTCTTGCGACCGGGTGAGCATCGCCGGAGTCTGACTTCAGACATGATGCAACGACGTACGAGTGATGACGATGCCAACGAGATCGATCACGAAGTCCTTGCTTCTATGCGCGAATGCTTAAAGTCATTGGACTGATGATATTCTGGTCATCGGTAAGTCTGCAAAACTAGACTATAGCTCAAAAATCAACGACAGTATTCGAAATGCAGCCGATATCAGCACTCCGTCGCGTTCCCGCCTCGCAGGCATGCAAATCTGCCCGGACACAACAGCTCTTTGTTCAAGCAAGGAGATCATACGGAGACAAAGCTGCCCCTTCAAGACCAGAAGCTCAAAGTCAGAATAGCAGATTACCACTGTAAGTCAGCGGCAACCTCGGGCGGGATGTTGCAACCAATTCTGACACTTCTGGCCTAGATATGCACTAGGCTTCGCTGTCTGCTGGGTCCCATTCTACTACTTCTTCCACTCCAACAAGCCACCCAGATCCGAACAGGCGAAGATCGAGGCTGCAAGGCGAGAACGTGGTACAGAAAACGAAACACGAGATCCGAGAGATAGCGAGATAAAGACCTTGGAACAGAAAAAGGCCATGGAGAACAAGAATAAATGAGCTCGAGCATTTGTCATGAGATGTGCCCTGGCGATTGAGGAAGCCACTGGCCAAAATCGGCATTTTGCATCTGGCAGGGTGGTATTGTACATATTGTAGCATCGGCATGAGCATTGTCAACGCTAGCAAGCCTCAGTCACCAGGAGTGTCTTCAAAAGCAGCACGCAGCCACCGTTGCGGCCGTTATCATCAGCCACAAAGCAGTACTCATCCCAATGCTTGCGGCACTGTTGTCAGTGTTCCCTCCAGAACCGCTTCCGCTGCCACTATCGTTGCCACCCCCACCATTCCCGCCTGCGCCATTGTTACCTGTGCCGTTCGTTAGACCTGGGAACTGGTTCATCGTATAATTGTCGACAAGTATGTAGTCCGAGATCAATGCCGAACCATCGATAATGCTATGGAGCTGTTCATCCGTACAGGACGACGTTGGAGCAAGTGAATAGCAAATATGATCCCGGCTGATGTGAGAAACATCTCTCACGGACCAAGTATCCGGAAGACCTGTCGTTGCAAAGCTTGCGTTTTTCGCCGTTTCCTTCTTGCCGGTAGCAATGTCCAAATTGAAGAGCGCACGGCGAAAGATCTCATAAGCCGTTTCGGGCTGGTAAGCTGGGACCTCATGTCCTGCCTGGAAGACGCGAGAAAAGCTGAAATTACCGTACTGCCTGACCAGACCACCGACGTAGCTGGAATTGACGCTGATATTGGCATATCCTGCTGCCGCAAAGTCAAAGGTATGAGAGTAGTTGACAGCAAGGGACACCGCTTCCCCTCCGATCCAATTGCACGCATAGTCTCGGTCTCCGTAGACCATTGCCACTTTAATCCCGTTGTCGATGAGATATGACAGGTCCTGCAGATATCCTCCACGTGGATAGTCCCCGGTATCTTGGAATGCGTAGTACGCGGAGTTTCCACCTGGGTTTGTGTAGTTGATAGGAACTCCGAGCGCGGCTTGTACATGAGGCTGATTGAGGTAGCCAATATAGTAGTTTGGTGGGAAAGGATCAGGATCGACTGCTGCTATGTCGTAGTAATTTCGGCCTGAGTTGGCGACGTAAGGACCTTCAACGTACCAAGTAGCATCGTTTGCGAACGAGCAAGCGTCGTTGACTGTTGCGTTATTGCCCTGGTTCTCGGGGTCTCCCTCAGCTGCAAGTGCTCGGCACGTCTCAATGAGATATCGTACGCCACCCGGCTTGGTGAAACTGTTCATTGCTGCGTCATAGACAGTACGATTGATCGCTTCGATACCGTAGGTGTTGTTGTAGGCCATTTCGGGATAGCTTGGTTCTTGAACAAGGACGTCGATGCAGCCGTTGATGATGCCAAGGGTATCAAGGTGAATATCATAGGTTTCTCCAGCGTCAGTCCAGGTACCATTGGCGATCTTCTGATTTTGTTCTTCGAAGAAAGCGGCAAATGCTGGACCGTAATGGCCGCCATAGCTCTCGGTCCAGATGCTGATTCGGTTGTCATTAGGCTTGTAGTCAGGAAATGTCTGAAACCAGACTTGAGCAAAATGCCAAAGAGCTCTGGCTGCGTTGGTCGTTCCGTTCGCACTCGAGTTGAGTAGTTGTGTTGGGAATGTCCCGACGAGGAAGGTGTTATTCTGCTTGGGAATATCTGAGGAGAAGTCGTCGATGACAACGTCACCGCTTGGGTCTAAAAGATCCTGTGTGCCGTTCGCCAGGGTATCATAACTCAGGCCTACTTGGTTCGGTTGATCGATGTAGAGCCTGGTCACGCGATCAGCGTTCGAAGTGCGGACAGGGATTATCAACCCACATGTTGACCTCGTTGTTCCAGGACCAAGTATTGAGCGTTGTGGAGTTGGAGTCGTATTTGATGTTGCATGGTCCTGAATAGCACGTTAGCTGGGGCTTTGCGTGGACTGGAGGCTCCTGCCAACGTACCGTTCTCTTGCAAAAGACCGATCATGGATGAGCTTCCAGGGCCACCGTTGAACCATATTGAAAGCGGCGCATTCGAAGGATCTTTCCTCGATTCGAAGAACCAGAAGAAGGTGTTTATAGTATAATTCTGGTAGACACCCAGGTCATCCACGACGCCTGGCGGCAGATGGACGTATCCAGCATATGATTTGACTCCAGGCGTGGTTTCGCAAATGCCAGGCTAGAAATTGCGATGTCAGCCTGGGTCCCGAAAGACGGGGAAAGCCAGTTACCTCTTTGAAGGAGATCGAGACACCCTCCTGAAGCTTTGAGTTGACCCTGGTCACATTCTTTGGTGCTGGTGGGAAGTACTGGGTGGCGGCCAGCTCCAGCCAGATGAAAAGCAGAGGGACAAAGAGGGACCACATATCGGCCGCCGTAGAAGTTGCAATATGGGAGGAATGTCAGAAGTGCTCGAATCCCAGCAGCATATTGAGTATTTGTGCAACCTTATCTCGACTTTGCTTGTTTAGAGATCCTGGGGTCAATTAAGACGGCGCGTTGGATAAACAACGATCCTACCTTCTGTTGCTCCACAGCAAATCGCGTTTATCACACTGGTTGCCGAATCCCAGCATGATCCAAGCTAGTCCCTGGCCAGTCAATTGACGTTTAGTGGTCCCATGAAGACGACCAAAAACCCAGCTTCTTGCTCTCTACTGGTCAAGAACGGTTCCCCTAGAACATGAACATTCCGCATTTGAGGCAGGATAGTCGATGGGGACGCCCTCAGCAAAGCAAAGAAAGAAGAGACTTGAGTGTTGTCACGTAGAATCGATGCGAGAACCGATTCATTCTTGTAAGGGTGAGTCTGGCAGTGATCCGATCAAGAGAAGAAGGTGGTATTGGGCAAAAGCTTGAATCCAACAATGCCAACCACCTAACTCGTATTTGGCTTAGCTCGGAGCTGATGTCATGCCTCTTAGCCAGTTTGCATTGTTTGCTCAGAATCGACATTCGTACCTCCATATCTGGTGACACTTCGCATCGTCAGAACCAGGTATTCTTTCGTGGCCAGCAAGACCAGCGGTGCCGCAGTTTGCGGCGAATATAATCAATCAGGGCGTGAACAACGAAATATTCCTTGAGAATCAGCAAGAATGACTTGAGCATATGTTCGGTCCGACTGACCGGCAACTTCGGCAGATGAGTCTGACAACGTTGGACGATTGAACGAGAAATTCCAGTCATACAAATAAGGAACCGCCTGCTTGGGAGAGAGCTATAAGCAGAAGTGCTTCACATGGCCTAAACCCGGAATGACGGCGATTTGGAGACTCCCCGGTCATCTGAGGTCAGATTTATTGCAGCAGAATGATCATCCTCGCATTCCAGGACTTGCGGCAGGGTGCCGATCGTTCTCACTTCATGGCGTGGTGCATGACGGTGAACAAGCAGTCGTACGGCCATGTCTGGATGAAAACGACAGTCTGGTACTCAGCTCTGCTTGTCCTGTCTTCTTGACTTGCTGTTGATGGCCTGTCTTTATCCACAACCCAGTGATGCAGTGGTAGCTTGTCAACTCTGGACATGAGGTTTTGACCTGAAATCCGTCCAAGAAGCTGCTTCTAGGGCTGTGAGTGAAACTACTACGCGATTTTGCAACACGGGACTACGGTCATTCAAGCCATCCCCAAGTCATGCTAAAAATCCTGCAACATTTAGACAGGTCAATCCCTCAGCCAAATATGACGGCACACTGTCCAAGGAGAAGTCCCTTCATGAGGTAAGTCTCTAAGAGTCTAAGCTTCGTGTCAGCATAGGTAAGAACGATTTCCCTGAAGCGGGCGAGTGCGCCTCCAAAACATGATTCGTCAGGCGGTCAGCATATACCGCACTTGCCGAATTTGTGTCGTGTCAGCATAGATCATGGACGAGCATATTACATGAGGTATCGACCATGTTATAGGCGTAACTCGACTTTCCGCGAAGATGCTCTGTACTCATATCACGCTGCAGACATGCCATTCTCAACAGTTGCTCTCTACTCTGTCCCTTTCGGTGCTCTGGTCTTTGTGTTATTTAGGTATCTAAAGATACCATCCATTCCAGGACCATTCCTCGCGTCAATCACAGACCTGTGGAGGGCATATCAGGTTGAATATGCCAGCTTCCACGAAAACATCGGTCATGTACACGCCAAATATGGGCCGATTGTCCGGGTCGGTCCCAACACAGTGTACACCTCCGACCCATTGGCTGTGAGCACAATCTACTCGACGCACGGAGACTTCAAGAAGGTACGGCATCAAAATTCCTTCTGCTGCATCTACTGACCTCGATCGCGCCAAGGCGGACTCTTACCATGCCCTAAGGACTCTCGTTAACAAGAAGATAATCGGCAGTGTCATTGACATGCAGGACGAGTCTGAGAACGCCGCGCTGAAACGTGCTGTTGGACACGCATTTGCAACCAAGAACCTTCTCGACTACGAACCAGACGTGGACTATACCGCCGACATGCTGGTCCAGACTCTTCGCCAGGTACGAAGCGCCGATGTCTTCACCAGTATGCAGCAATTCCAGGTTGACTTCTTGATGAAAGCTGCATTCAACAGGGACACAAACTACCTCGCAGCTAGGAAATCCACAAGGGACATCTCAGGCGAGCAACGTCTGCACCATTGGACTAAATGGCAAGCCTTGCCGTCCCTGGAAAAGCTGTTGTACAAATCTCCCTTCTGCCTCGCATGGTATCAAAGCTCTGGAAGCCCGCCTGTCTGGACCACAATGGCCAAAGAAGAACTAGCTGCCCGTCAAGCACAGGGACCCGGAAAGATGGTCAAAAACGGCGCAAAGCCGGACCTTTTATCGAAATACATTGACGGAGCCACCCGCCACAAGGACATATCGACGGAGCTCTTGATGCGAATGATATCTTCAACGATTTCGGCCGGCTTCGACACCTCAGCATTCACCATGAGCACAATCATTTACTTCCTCCTGAAGAACCCAGGTGCAATGAAGAAGCTTCGGGCGGAACTTGATGCGGCAGTAAGTGCGGGCGAGCTTTCGAATCCACCCAGATATATCGAGGCCGATAGGATCAAGTACCTCGGCGCTGTCATCAAAGAATCCATGCGCCTCTACCACTTCCTCTCACAGCCATTGGAACGGGTCGTCCCTGCAGGAGGCGCACAAATATCTGGCCACTGGCTGCCGGGCGGGACTACAGTCGCTGTGCCGGTGCCTGTTGTGCATCGGGATGTCAAAGTGTTCGGACAGGATGCCGACGACTTCCGGCCAGACCGGTGGCTGGAAACCGACGAACATCAGCGCATCGCCATGGAGAGGACGATGCTGGCTTTTGGTGCAGGAAAACGAGTCTGTCTCGGTAGACATATTGCGGAATTGGAGATGAAGAAAGTCATTCCCAGATTATTGTTAGAATTTGACGTGAGCGCAACTGCCACTGGGCTCCATGGAAGTCGATGCTAACACGGCATAGATGACTCTCGACGATCCGGGTTACCTCCTCGAACCAAAAGACAACTATAGCCGGTTCATGAAGCCGTTCTCGGTGACTTTCAGTGACAAAACTTGATTGCAGCTCGCCAGTATGCATCGGCGCCGTGTGTCCACTTGGATACAGCACTGACCATGAGTGAGCCGAGTCATACAGCTCATTGATCCAGCATTGAACTGCCGCTTGTGGTCGGAGTAGTGGTTTTCGACAACCTTTTTCGGAGATGCTACTACCTGTGTGCACAGGATGATGGCATTCATGAATTCGCCAGTCTATGCAGAGCATGATTACAACAAGCGAGATGCAGGCCCATAATACAAAACTGCAAAGCTGTTTGGCTTCTAGACCCCAAGATCAAAGGCCAAACAGAATGAGATGCACGGGTAGGCGCATGCGCAAGACAACACAAGGACAGAGCAAGCATCAAACCTCTACACGATGCCTGAATTAGCTTGCTTTAACAATGCAAACATGACGTCCTCGCAAAGACCCAAGAGAAAGCGTGCAGATAACGACAATTGACCCTTTGGCATTAATCAACACCAAAGCAGCGAAGGCAAACATACAACAATCAATAACCACGGACAGAATTCTCTCCAGTGCTTTAAGTACCCTCACTGAGCATCATTATGACATTCTTCTCTTCTTCGCACAAACCCCATTCGAAGAACACCCAAAAGCACAGAAGCACAGGTCTCATCCGAGGCCACACTGCACAACGGCACAACCACTATCAGCCGCAAACACATCAGCCATCACGCAACCAAGACCATCCACAATGGACTCCCGACTCGAAGAATTGGTGCTCAAGAACGTCAAAGACGGCTACCAAACCGAACGCATCATGCGCGAAATCATCAGTGGCGGCAACCTCAAAGAAATCAGCAGCGCCCTCGACATTCCCATGTGGCAATTGTCCCTGCGCATTGCCAACTTCGGCCTGCACTGCTTCCAACTTGCTGTACTTCGCGGGGAAGACCCATACGGTCCTGCCTGTGAGCATCACTGCCCCGATCATGTCGAAGCCTTCAACGAGGAACAGAGCAAGGTTGTTGTCATCGAGGCCATGGCGCACATGATGGCAGGCACCCCACCAGTTCCAGCACTGCTCATGGCCGAATGTCTGCAAGCGAGGATGATCGCCAAAGAATATGAAGACCAAGCTGAAATGGGTGGTTCGGAGGACGACAGTTGGTGGGGTTGTTTCTCTGAATCTGAAGGAGAGGCATTTGATGGCAAAGGAAAGGGGGAGAAGAATGGTCCAAAGGCAGGGAAGACAGCGCCAGATGGAGGAAAGGTTGCCATCGGAGCTGGAAAGACCACTGCTAAGGGACAGGCGAGTGTTGCGAATGGTGCAAAGGTGGCAGAGAAGGCAGGAAAGACCACCGTGCAAAGTGAGAAGGCCGTGCAGAGTGACAAGACTGCTGTTGGCGAACAAAAGAGCCTCGCAAGGGGAGACAAGCCGCTTGCAAAGCCGGAGAAGACAACTGCAGATGGCAAGGCCACCACGATCAAGCGGGTCGGCGCATGATCGGCCAGTCTCGCTGTGAATGAGCTGAGTTGAAGGAATGAGGTCTTTTTGGGGTGTGTTTACCTATCTTTCTTGTTCCCGGCCTGGTGCCAGATTTCATGTACTTGGTCCAGAGGGACTTCTCGATCTTCTGTGCTATTGCGCAAAGACTGCAGATTTGTTTGCTGCCATTCTCGGGATTGTCTTATTTGCGTTTCGTTTGCACAAGGAATGTCCGATGGCTTGCCGGTCAAGATCGGTGATGTCGAAGAGACTCAGATGGACACTTAACTACCTTGCTTTTCTATACAATCAAAAAGATCCGGAAAAACTCTCCTGTGTTGGCACTTCTCGACGTCTGATGAGTCGATTCCGCTGCATGTAAGGTAGATTGCAACGTGGTATTATGAGAAGTCCGACGACAAGACATTCTGCGAGGGAGCCTCTCCAGAATCACCGACTGATGGCTTCAGCACCTCGTACCTTTGTCGTTGACGTTGCTAGAGTATAAGAAGGACCGTGGCTGAATCGAACGCATGGTGTCAATTACCATGGCAAGGCCATGACATGGAAAAGATGAAAGCCAGGTTATCCGCCATCGAATTATTTGTGTATGTGTATCCCATGTACCTTTTCCATCATAAGTCGTATCCAGCAAACATGCCTTCTAATGAATGCGTACAGATCTTGCATGCCCGATGTATAAAACCCTGCCATGCATTTTTTACATTGTTCCCACGACAATTGACATCGACAAATCTCACATCGTGGACTTCCGCCGACTGAACACTTTTTTCAACCTGTTCGCTGTGTTCTCCTTGTCCGCTTGCTCAGTGACCTGACTTGGCTGTCCATCATGAGCCGTGCCCACTTGGGCCACTGTGGCTCTTCTGGATGTAGGAATCTTGCCTCCTTGATTGTTCAAAATTTCGTCGACGGTCTTTTGGCCATAGAAGCCGCGTAGCTGCTCAGTAGGATGGTAGTACATCTTTTCTTCGGCCCATGCTCGTAGGGCCTCAAGGTAGGCTTGTCGGGACGGAAAGCCTCGATAGCTTTGGTCTCCAACGAGGGTATCGATTGAGGCCGCCGAGAAGACGCTCGGGGAACGAGTCGTGCGAGGTGGTTGGATGGCTTTGACTTGGGACATCTTGTACGGGTAGAGGAGCGGTGATACAACTAGTCTGCGCTTGCCAAAGGCTTGTCAAAATAGCGAGGCGTACTCTGATATGCCTAGGATGAATCTGGTCAGGGCGGTGTCAGCACAGAAGTGTATGTGATCAACGCTCGACAGAGGCAAGTCATTCGTATCTACATGTACCGGTCGACAGCCTGTGGCGAATGATGAATGCTGGCCGGTGTACCGGATAACGAGGCAAGGGATCGTGCCAGTGACTTTCCTGCTGCCAAGCACGTGGTGAGGAGTGATGATGAAACGTGGGGCGGTCGTCGTAAGTAAAGGCCTTGGTGCATATGGTGAGATGTATGCTTCACAGTACCCATACTGCAGACAAACCGAAAGATACATGCAACGGCTGCCAACGACACCGGCGACTGCTACTCCGAGAATGAGAGTACTTCTACCGGTCAAAGCATACCTTAGATAGATGGCGGCATAGCATGAACTGGTCGGGAAGACTACTGTTGTTTGCACCTTACCCAAAAAGGAACAGCAACAGAGAGATTGAGCTCTTTCGTTATCATAGACGTGACCGCAGGATCTTTGCGTTGTATCTGAGCGCACTGTGCTTCCTGATCAGACGCAGCGAGTGGCGTGAGCTCAACATCGAGAGCTATGTCGAATGATTTAGGTAAAGATTCCTTTCAAGCGAAAGCGAATTCTCTTGATAAGTCGTGTGTTTGGTGTACAGTAGAGCTTGCGGAAGAACGATGATGCGGCTCCGCGTGTAGTCTTGGCATATTTGTCTTGTTTGACTCATCATGTGATCATCTCGTTATCTCGGATGCAGGCGGCTCCAGCTCCATGCCAGGCACATTCAGCACGCCACTGGTCAGTCCACCGATCGAGTCGTGGATAGCGCTCGGATCTTCAGTTTTGAAGCCTTTCTCGCGAGTCGCGACCCCTTGAGGCCGAGTGATGCCACCACTTCTCAATCCAATAAAAGCTTCCCATCAAACCCACCTCCAATCAAAGAAAAGTTCCCGACCGTTTACCGCATCTTGATTTATTCTTTCCTTTTATTCCCTACAGACTGCTCTCGACCTCGACCAGGAGCCTTGTGTGCCTTTTCGTTCGTTTTGTCAAATCGTCCAAGCACCCTTGGGCACCTTGTTGTCACTCTTCAGCCAAAATGTATGTAGAAGAAAGTCTTCTCGCGTTCCCTTGGGCTAACGTCGGTCTCCAGGAATTCCACCTACGCCGCCCCCGTAACCTACAGCGACCACTTCAACGACATCGCCCAATACAATGTCCACCTCAACGTTTTCGAAAAGGCTTGGGCGGCTTGGTATGCCTACATGCAGAATGATGTCCTCGCCACGGGCATCATGTCATTTGTCATGCATGAGGTGGTCTATTTTGGCCGCTGCTTGCCGTTCATGATCATGGACAAAATCCCGTACTTCCGCAAGTACAAGATCCAAGGTGTATGTATTTACCACACACCTGGTCGGGCCTCAGCTAACACTGAACCAGCAAAAAATGCCGACCCTAGCTGAACAATGGGCATGCGCGAAACTTGTCCTCCTCTCTCACTTCACTGTCGAACTCCCCCAGATCTGGCTCTTCCATCCTATGGCTCAATACTTCGGCTTGGCGACAACCGTTCCTTTCCCTCCATGGACCAAGATGGCATGGCAAATCGCTTTGTTTTTTGTCCTCGAAGACACATGGCATTATTGGTTTCACCGACTGCTCCATACACCTCGCCTGTACAAGATGATTCACAAGCTGCACCATCAGTACAGCGCGCCTTTCGGCCTTGCTGCTGAATACGCTTCGCCAATCGAGACCATGATCCTCGCCTTCGGTGCCGTCGGTATCCCTATCGTCTTCTGCGCCTTCACCAAAGATCTCCATATCTTGACAATGTACTTGTGGATTATCGGGCGCTTGTTCCAGGCCATCGATGCTCACTCCGGGTACGAATTTCCTTGGAGCTTGCATCACTTCCTCCCTTTTTGGGCCGGTGCTGATCACCACGATGTCCACCACGAAAAATTCCTCGGAAACTACTCCAGCTCTTTCCGATGGTGGGATGCGGTGATGGATACCGAAGCTGGAAGTGTTACGGCTCAAAAGAAGAGGGAGAAAAAGACCGCCGCCACCAAGAAGGTGGAATAAACTGTCAAAATTATCTGTGCATGATAATTCCAGGACGAAGCCTCGGCCAACTTCGTTGTACATATTTGGTCGAACATGAAAATTTCTCAGAGCATGGAATGGCGCATGAGCGGGCGTTGATTTGCAGGTTATAGACCGGACTTGGTGATGGCACAGAGTTTGAATAGTCTCGCGACAGCCGTAATGATGAATATTGTTATCGTCCCAGACCGACCTCATGACTTTGCAATCTCGCAGCCGCAGCTTTCGAGAGCTTCCAAGATCTTTTGCCGATTCAAGTCGATACTTTGTTTACGTCTCGCCCTGATCTGCTCTTGTAATCGTGACATGTCTTGGTCGGCCCCCGCTGCTTTGAGTGGCCACGCAACCTCGACGCCTGCTAGGAGTTCGTTGATCTTTGTAGCCAGTCTTGTATCTCGACCACTGAGACCTCGCGGACTGTGCGTAGTGCATGTGATGGTAAGGCAGGTTGGCTTGTCATCGAGGTCACGGACTCGGGCAATATGTGGGTGGTGGTTCATCGTTTCAGCTTCTTCCATGATCGACTTTTCGATCTTGTCGCATTCCTCCGGCGATGATAGAGCAACATGCCTGTGGACGGCATCGCCCAAGGGATCGAGTTCCCACTGGAGAGTGCCGAATGATGAAGTCTCGGTCGCAGGATCCAGGTCTGGAGCCGAAAGCAAAGAAGCAAGTGTTGCGGCGAGCTTTTCGCTCTTCACCTTTGGCGTAGGATAGAATGGCTGTGTGACCTCACTTCCATCTTCGAAACGAATTGTGATCTTCTGGCGATCATTCGAGATGGTGATTGGGTCGACCGCGGACAAGGAAGAGTATCGATTGAATGTGCCACGCATGTTGCTTCGACTGGCAAAAGCACCGACCTCTCCTACATTGACCAGAGCCGGGAGCAATCGACTATACTTGCCGACGCTGCTCCTCCCTATGTGAAAGCGTAGCATTGCCGGCTCACACGGTCAACAGGGAAGTTTTTGTAAGATTTCGAGTCCATGTCAACATGACGTGTGAAGCTCCTGCTGGTCGAGCTGATCCGCTTGGCAGCGATCCTTCAGCAATCCCACCGACGACGGCGTCTTGGGGGCTATTTCTATGCTGACAGCTCGGAGCTTCATCATTCATTTCTTCTCCAGAGTCTATCCCATTTTCTCGCTGTTTCTTCTAGACTTCCTATCGAGGTATCATCACGAGATTTGACTGGCCTGCTGCATTATCGTCCCCGAATATTCTAGCTTCCAGCTTCATTCGCCGCACGGAAAAAACACCTGCTTCCGCACGTTTCAACATGTGAAGCCCGAGGAAAACGAGTGGCTATACTGCTTCAGACCAACAACTTCCAGGGAATAGCGAATCGGAATGCTATATCCACGTGCCGGCACGGCTCCGGGCTCGATGAGGCTTCGCAAATCCTGCCAACGAACATGTTCTGCCTTGCCTTAAATACTTGAAACGTCAACCGTCTGAAGCTCATATGTATCGCGTCTACTCAGCCCCATGAAAGGATTGCCCCGCCTATTCAAGCCACTGGTAAGCCTGATATGCAAGGTACCGACTCGCCGACCAATTGAGGATTACTTGAACAATATGTACAGCTCTGTGCTCTTGGTGTTGAGAACTCGTTTGTTGACATCCATTCTACGACGCCAGTTCATGCATGGCCCGTTGTGGGTGCTGCTGTCCTTTTTGCTTGTGTCTATTGCCTTTTGAGCGTTCTTTTCATTTGGCGATTACATCTCAATTGCTCGAACAGGTACCGGCCTCAACAAACATCGAACAGTGGCCATACCTGAAGATGCTCCCGATTGAAGTCATGTTACTTGTCTCTCTGACCCCGTTGACCATACATGCAACCCCTCTAAAACCTCGAGATCTTCCCCTACCAAACCCTCTCAGTTCCTTGAAAAGCGTGGCTAGCGGGATCCTTAGCATCGCGACCGCTACAGACGGGTTCTTTACTGCAGGTCCTGGGACAACGACGATTTCGTCAGGGCACGATCCACTGGTAGCCACGACGTCGTCTTCGGCAACACAGACAGGCGGCTCGAAAACGACAGGTACAGAGAATGGGTCAACAGCTACGGTAACTGGAACGAATGGAGGAGGTACACAAACTGGAGCAGCGTCTGGGACAGCCACGCAATCAGCCTCAAGCAGTGCTCCGGACTCCGACAATTCGTCAACGTCGGGGAGTCTCAACACCATCAGCACAGGCTCGGGCTCAGTTGGATCACCAAGCACTTCAGCAGTATCAGGCACAGGCTCAGGGTCAAGCGCCACCGCGAATTCAGTCGTGCCTACGACGACCGGAGGAGGTGGCTCGTCTGGGTCAGGTAATGGCGCCGGCTCATCTTCCGGCTCAGATCCAGATCCAGATCCATCCGACCCCAACAGCGGTTCCGGTCCGTCAACGTCTCAAAAGTCAACCAATTTATCTCCCGGCGAAGTTGCTGCGGCCGTAATCCTCCCTGTATTCGCTCTGCTCCTCGTACTCTTCCTGCTATTCCGCTTCTGCCAGCCACTACGCAAAAAGTACACGACCTGGCGCCAGACACGCCTCGAGCGCTCTGCGTATCGCCGCGCGCTCGATGACCCAGTCATGTCATTCACCTCGCACCGGCACTCGCGCGGCAGGCTGGGAATGATACCCCGGCCATTGAGTTTTGGCTTCTCGAGGCCCGCGGCAGAGCGGATTGAGCGGAAACCTCTGAATTGGGATGCGGGTCGGATCGGGGAGAATGGGATCTTGGGGATTGGGGTTGCTGTGCCGCTGGGAGCGCACCAGCGAGAACATAGTCACAGTCGCGCGCTCAGTCATGCGAGGACGATGAGCAGTATATCAGAGGAGAGCGAACCGAGGAGCAGATACGAGGATGCAAGGTCGGACTAGGGTAACGAGCGGTCGTGAACCTAGAGGTCTGGGTTTCTGGAGTTTGATCATGAACGCTTTTCTTGAGCGAGCGAGTGCGTTCTGGCGCGAAACTCGATTATACCCTTTTTGATTTAGCGAGCACTGCCTGGTTGGTGAACATGAGTGGCACCTTAAATATTCTTTGCATATTGGCTCCCTGATCGATTCTATATTTCCTTTCTGTCTGAGAACAACATGATAAGCTTGTGTTTGCGGAAATGCGTGGCTTCGTCTCGGCGTATGATTCGACCGAATAGAAACATCAGACCCGATGCAGTCAGTCATCATACTGTATTTTTTTAATCTTATGTCAACAACAAATTGAACCGACTCCAAAGGTTATAGCTATCATCCTGCAATACTAAGGGGCCCCGGACTTTAGGTATATCGACACGAGGTTGGGCGACAGGATTCTGCGACCTTTCTACAACGATTTAACCACCTTTCTCAACTTCCTTTGGCCTCGAAAATCAACGATCTGAGGAACTAGAGCAGATAGAAGGGCCACCAAGCACATCCCTACTACATACCGAAAATGTCGACCTTCGCAGGGGATATTGACCTCGGCCTGCTGCGCGACCGGCTCGTCGCCATCGCCCTCCGCGCCGGACGTATGATTACATCGGCCAAACCGACAACCACCTCATCAGGCACGAAAAAGAACAGCGCCGACCTCGTGACCGAGACCGACCAGGCCGTCGAAGCCTACATCTCCAGCGAACTCGGCACTTTGTACCCGGACTTTGCCTTCATGGGCGAAGAGACGTACGTGCCGGGCCAGAAACTGGGCAACGAGCCTACGTTTGTGGTGGACCCGATCGACGGGACGACGAACTTTGTGCATCGGTTCCCTTATGTTAGTGTGTCGTTGGGCTTTGCGGTGAACAAGGTGCCGACGGTGGGTGTCGTGTACAATCCGTTCACGGGCAGACTCTACTCGGGCATCAAGGGGAGGGGCAGTTTTGTTTTTGACATTGACAAGCAGCAGCCGCTCGACGAAAAAACACGAACAGACACAACGGACGGCCAGGTGCAGGTGCCGAGAGAAGACGAGGGCACGAAACTTCCGGTCAAAGAGCTCGCTCCGCTGGGCGGCTTGGACGAATGTGTCGTGGCGATCGAGTTTGGCAGCGACCGGGGCGGACAGAATTGGAAGACGAAGACGGATACGTGGGCGCGACTGGGCAGGAGGAAAGAGGACGGCGGGGCGATGGTGCACAGCGCGCGGGCGCTGGGGAGCGCGGCGTTGAATCTGTGCGGTGTGGCTGAGGGGGTGCTGGATTTGTACTGGGAAGGAGGGTGTTGGGCGTGGGATGTTTGTGCCGGTTGGGTGATACTGACTGAGGCTGGGGGGCTTGTGGTCGATGGGAATCCCAGCGGTGTGTGGGAGATACCGGTTGATCATAGGAAGTATCTTGCTGTGAAGGGGGCGAAGGACGGGGAAGGCCAAAAGGAGTTGGTGAATGAGTTTTGGGGTTATATCGAGGGAGAGATGATCTACGAGCATTGATCGAGCGAGGAAACCGAGTCACCATGCATGGGCAGGCATTCTAATTCTCGTGTCGTGATGGGACGTCATACGAGAAAGAAAGCATGCACACATCGAATGAGATGGAGCAAGAGTCACAGACACATCTGATGGTTCGAAATTCCGGGGCGAGGGAGGTTCTTTTTCCTCCTTCGAGGCAGGCTTGATGACAAAAATCATAGACGTAGACTTTAGACGAAATGGTAGAAAAAAGAGCATCACAGAACAGGAAGAACTTTCGACCCTTGAACAGCTGTATTGTATTCCTCTTCAGACGTCAATCCTTGCTGTCGCCCTGATGGTATTACATTTTGTCGCTATGCAGGAACAAAATTGACAAGGAGATAGACCCCAAATGGTCTACTTCCATAACTTGCCCAAGGACACTTCCTTGTCATCATGCTTGTTGAGCACTTTGGCGGTCGCCAGGTCGAAATCTTCCTGAGTGACGTGGATTCTTCGTTCTCGCAAAGCGAACATGCCGGCTTCGGTGCATACACCTTTGAGCTCGGCACCAGAGCAGCCATTCATCTTCTCGGCAATCTTCTTCAAATCGATTCCTCTGGTCAGATTCATGCTCCGAGAATGGATTCTTAAAATGTCGGCTCTGGCCTCGACAGTTGGCGGAGGGAACTCGATTTTTCGGTCAATTCGTCCAGGTCGAAGCAGCTAGAAGGGTTGTCAGCATATACAGGGCTAAAGACGTCACCTCACTTACTGCTGGGTCCAAGATGTCAAGTCTGTTGGTGGCCATGATGACTTTGATGTTCTTTGTAGGCTCGAACCCATCTAATTGATTGAGCAACTCCAACATCGTTCGCTGCACTTCTGAATCACCGCCGCTGCTTCCCTCGACACGGCTCGAACCTATACTGTCGATTTCGTCCATAAAGATGATACTGGGAGCTTGTTCTCTTGCCATGACGAAAAGTTCTCGGACCATTCGACTGCCTTCACCAATGTACTTTTGTACCAGCTCTGATCCTGACACCCTGATGAATTTGCAGTTGGAATGATGAGCGACAGCACGAGCTAGCAGAGTCTTTCCCGTTCCAGGAGGCCCATAGAGAAGGACACCTTTGGGTTGAGCAATACCCAAGGATTCGAAGAGTTCTGGATGATTCAAACCGAGTTCAATAACTTCTTTGATTTCTTTGATTTGCTGATCGAGACCACCGATCATGTCGTATGTGCTGTCCGGTACTTTTTCGACCATCATCAGAGACACCAACGGATCGACGGATGAGGGTAGCATTTTCTCGAGCTTGTAGGAATCGGATAGAAGAGAGACACGTTTGCCGACGGTCAGTTTCGAAATGTCAACAGTATCCGCGACATCGACGACTGGATATGTGTCAGCGCGAGGGATTGTTGAGAATCCACCAATGCTCACCATATTTGCCTTCAGGATGTACTTTGACAAGCACTTTCTTTGTGCCCATCACTTTCACCACCTCACCAACATATGATCCGGGTTGTTGTAGCAGTCCCAGCTCTTCCCGTAGTAATCGTACTCTTGAGTTGTAGTCATTTCGTTGAGCTTCTAGCCGACGGAGCACTGCTTGACCTTGAATGATCTCAAGCTTGAGGGATTCAATCTTGTTGTGATAGAAGTTGTCGAGGGCCATGACGAATTAAGGTCAATCTGGAACAGCGACCTGTGTGTCTGGTTGACGAGGATGTAGGCAAGGGAGCGGTAGCGAGGTGATTGCGGTTGTTGATGGCAAGTGGTTGACGCAAGTGATAGAAGGGACTGGTGCAGGCCGCGCTTTGGAGACGCAGCCTTGAGACTCGCCGCAGGCTGGCTTCAAAATGCGCCTAAAATGACTTACATAAGCGCCTAGAAGCCAAGAGGTCAGTTGGTCAGTCCATGTTGGCTCGGGCGGACGACTCCGGAACAGACCGTACTCTTAGCGAGGACGGGCTCACTAGGCATGATGGGGCCCTATGAATGCTTGTGCTTTGGATCTCTTTCTGGGGATGGTCTCCGCCTAAGATTCATCTATAGGCAAACCCGGAAAGAACGCTATCAGCGCCCATTAGCTTAACCATAAGTCCTTGTACATCCAGCTTCAGTTTGCAAGAAAAGTGACACGTAGGACAACTGTTCCACCGGGTTGTAACGACGCTGAGAATCAAGCAGCACTATGTTCGAAGGAGGTCTTACCTTGAGATACTTCCCCCTCCTGGCTGTCAAGAACAGGATTGTGAATCTCATACTCTGTACTACGTAGTTGGAATAAAGCCCACTTTTTCCTTCTGCAGTAGCCAGGCATATTCCCCAGTCCATTTTCAGGTGGGCCGAAAGCTCCAGCTTTTTGTGTACAGTTGTGCATCATCTGCCATTTTGACTTGCTGATCTCTTTCGCACGTGCCTCGATTGACATGTTGTCGCTGGCCGCTTGCCGTCCTTCCAGTTCTGCTCAACTTCTTTCCTGTCCACCTGCTGTCTACATCAACAGTTAATCGACCACATCCCCAAAGTCCATCTGATGCGCTGCAGGCTTGTCCCAGGCCCTGCCGTTGCCAGGACATCGCGCCCTGTCTACTGCCGCCCTCAGCGTATCCTGTAAAACACCTACACAACCAGCATGTCCGGCAGTAATACACCCTTGAGGAGCCCTGCTCTCAAGCCCGGCCCGGACGCGCAGTCCGATTCTGCAAGTGCATCCGGTGCTCATGATCCCATTAGAAGAGACTACGGTAGGCATTTGTACAATCCATGGAAGTCAACTCTGACACTAAGCTAGGCACACTCGGCCATAACCAGGCTTCGACTGGCCACAGACCTACCAGCTCCCGAATTGACGATGGCTCCGACATGCCTCCCCCTTCACCTCAGATAGCAAGACCTAGGAAGCCGCCTACAATGCGAAGGACGTCCACGCGGACGGGAAGATTACTACCACATCGCGGCGCACAATTCTCCGTTGATGATGATCCGTCAGAGGTGGTGGAAGAAGAAGCCAGTGGTGTGCAAGCAGCCCCCAACCTGTCCCGACAGCAGTCGACCCTCCGCCGAAGAACCCTTCCTGCCACACTGCCGCGCGTCGATTCTGCAGAAGAAGAAGAAGAAGCCGGAGAAAATATCCCAGACGAACCAGCCGAAGCGCTGGCCGAAGAGAGTACAAATGATGACGAAGCCAACTTAGGAGACGGTGAAGAGGAAGATCTGAGCGACGCTGAGAGCTTCACCTTGAGAGACCGACAGCTCGCTATCAACCAAACTCATCCGTTCGGCATCAGAATCTGGAAGCCTGCCCTGTACAAGAAAGGCAGGTCGGTCGAGAAGGCAGCAGAAGAAGACATTCATTCCTCGCCCAGTGAGATTGTTAGTCGTTGGTTATGGTGTTTCAATTGCCTCTGGACCGTCTTCTTCGGTTGGTGGTTGGCCATTTCCGCAGCCATTGGGGCTCTCGCCTGCTTCATATTTGCTTTTGACCCTAGTGCGGCCGCATATGGCAGAGTGTTCTTGGGGTTGTCCGGCTATCTTTTCTGGCCGTTTGGCAAGTTTGTTAAACTCGTGCAAGATGAGAACTACGTCGAGGAGGACGAAGGTGAGGGTCGAAGCATCAGTGAATACGAGCGGTGGCAGAGCGGAGATCTCGAGTATGGTCGATTAATGTTCGGACCAACCCTCACTCATACAGGCTCGATCATAGGTCGACATCGCAATAGTATCGACTCTGCCAGTGAGACCGACAGCCTCCTTGCGCGGAGCGGGAGAAGCGACCGACAAGATACCACCATGTCCAACAAAAAGCGTCGGCTTTTTGGCCGTGGCCAATGGACCTTGGGCAGAGTCATATTCTTCATCTTTTATTATTTCAACGTGGCCCCTCTCATGCTGTTGGTCTCGGGCATTTGCTGGTTGATGGTCTTCTGGATTCCCATGGGCCGAGTCACTCTCATCTTGTTCTCTAACCTACGCAAACGACCGCTCGCGCTCACGTTCCATCGCGATGTCTCGGCCGCTAGAAGCTCAACCAAACCATCGTCGATACTTCTTTGCACTTACCGCGCGGTCGGCATCAAATACTGGAAATACACGATCGACGGCACCAACATCTTCCTTATCAACTTCTTGGCCGTCGTTGTCTTCGTCATCTTCGACTACTTTGTGCTGAAGGTGGCCCTGGGGCTGAACTTCTGGCTCACGACTCCGGCACTAATGTTCACGCTGGCGCTGATCTCTATTATACCTTTGGCTTACTTTATTGGCCAAGCAGTGGCCTCGATTTCCGCACAGTCATCAATGGGGATGGGAGCAGCAGTCAATGCTTTCTTTTCAACCATTGTCGAAGTATATCTATACTGCATTGCCCTCAACGAAGGAAAGGCACCTCTGGTGGAAGGCAGCGTCATTGGCAGTATCTTCGCTGGTATCCTGCTCTTGCCTGGCCTCTCAATGTGCTTTGGTGCCATCAAACGAAAGACTCAACGTTTCAATGTCAAGTCTGCCGGCGCCACGTCTACGATGCTACTGTTTGCAACGATTGCGGCCTTCGGGCCGACATTGTTCTACAAGATCTATGGCAGCCACGAATTGATTTGCAGGGCATGCACGGCCGATGATCTGGATGACCCCCGGGATTGCCGGCAATGTTATTTCCGCCAACTTCCTGCCATCGCAGACGAGTTCTATGTCAAAGCAGTCAGACCATACTGTTGGCTTGCAGCTATTTTGCTGTTTTCTTCATACATCATCGGACTGCTTTTCACTCTGAGGACGCATGCTGCCATCATCTGGAGCACTGACACTGACGAGAAGAGACCCGCACCAGGACAGACAGCAGACATCAGTCCGATGGATACTCGACATCACAGTGTGGTCAACTCACAGATCCTGCACAACTCCAATGGGTACGTTCCAAGAACAGCAATCAGAGACTCTCAACTGTACAAGCGAATATTGGGCCAATCTTTACGCTCGGCTGGGCTTCTAGCTGATGGTGATGTACACGCTGAACGTGATCCGCCAGTGACGCCCAAGACAGCGCCAGAGGTGGATGGCGTCGACATCCAGAACAAAGGTGATCTGCCTCACCTTGTACCGCCCAAATCCAGCCATGGATCAGAAGGCGCTATGAGTTCCGAAGTATATCCAATTGTACCAGGCTTATCTGAAGAAGACAACAATAATCTGGTCCGGCAGGTCGCCGAGATGGCGGCTACTGCTGCCACTGTTGCTGCAAGAGACGCAGTGAACCATCCACGCACTGCAGCGTATCAATCAACACATTCTTACAAAGGAGATACTGTCAGGATCCAGAGACCTTCGGCTAGCCGCAAGGGTACCTTCACTGAGCAAGACGCGTTTGCTAACCCTGCTGTTGAGCAAGCTGTTCATCAGGGCGGAGCTGAAGCTGGCGGCCATGATGCGCCGAACTGGAGCCGGACGAAATCATCAGTCATCCTCCTGACGGCTACTGTGGCATACGCGGTCGTTGCCGAGATCCTGGTCGATACGGTGGATGTCGTTCTTGAATCTGTCGACATCGATGAGAAATTTCTCGGTATCACTTTGTTTGCACTGGTGCCCAACACGACAGAGTTTCTGAACGGTATCTCATTCGCCATGAACGGCAATATTGCCCTGAGTATGGAAATTGGCTCAGCGTATGCCTTGCAAGTCTGCCTGCTCCAAATCCCGGCATTGGTCCTCTTCTCAGCTGTCCATGGACGATTCATTGACCCTGGCGATCTGATTGATCATACGTTCAACCTCATCTTTCCCCAATGGGACATGGTCACCGTCATCCTATGTGTTTTCCTGTTGAGCTACATGTCAGGGGAGGGCAAGAGCAACTACTTCAAGGGTAGCATCTTGGTCATGACCTACATCGTGGTGGTAATGGGATACTATTTCAGTGGATTCACTGCGCTCACCATTATGGAAGCAAATGCCTGGCAGCGCGGCGGCGTTGGCACCGTCAGGTCATCCAGCAATGGAAACGGGCGCGAGCTGTGAATAGACGCCCTAGACAGAAGGTGCAAGGTAACCTGGGGCGTTCGAGGTCTAGAACTGGACGATTTTTCGATTCAACTCACAGGCATGGAGCGTGGGCGTTTTGCAGGCGTTTCTGGTGCTTTGCAAGGGTGAGCCTAGGACATATTTTGTGACCGTGGCAGGCATCATGGCCTTCCTAGCATACATTACCATACACTACCTTACGTGTTAATGCATCTTTTGCTGAATCTCGATGTCGTGGCATGTTGTCAATGGACAGACATTCTATTCTCGACAGACCAAAGAGGCTTAGTGGGACTTTGCACCACCGTACGTGATGCATTTGTCTCAATGAGGTATAGCGCTTCGAAGGGAAATGTCCCAATAAGATATAGTGTAATCATGGCACTTTGAGGGGACTATCCCAATGAGGAATAGTCAATATGTTAGTATTCACCGCCTGGTCCTATGCCACGTCAACATTTATCATCCTGCACCCCATCGTTTCATCCATCTCAACGACCGACCTTTGTTAGTTCTTCTAGCAAGTATCAAGTGCTTCATAGCGCAGAGCTGGACTCATATTTCAGGTACTATCATCGTCGAGGGATGAGAAACGGTGCTACTAGTACTGAAATCGTCTCCAGAAATCATGTCCGAAGCGGAGTCAGCCTCGCCATCCCCACTACCAGCATCTCTGCTCAAAGCCTTCTCCAACACTCTCATACTTGAGAACATTATACCGTATCTGCCGCTCCCGACGATAGTCTCTTTATGCAGCGCTTCCAAGAGTCTCAGGGATGTACTCCTTCACGAGCCCAGCGTATTCCGCTACGTCGACCTATCAAAATGTCGAGGAGCTTATGTCTCGCCCAATCTATTGACCGGAATAGACATAGGAGGCAACTCCTGGCGTGCGGAAAGAATGGACGAGAATTTGACCGAGGACGAATTCTATGCCGGTCCCTTGCGCGGCGTACTATCGAAGTTGCAACGATTGAAAGTCCTGCAAAACGTGCAGACTCTTGTCCTGGACGGCCTGGCTTCCGTCACCGCCGATCTTCTCCACGACATCTTGACCGGGCCCGAATATAATGTGCGACTCCTGAGTATACGAAAATGCCACAATGTGAACGAGCACAAGTTACAACAATTGCTACGGTACCTCTGTCGGCCAAACAGGCCCGAAGGCACGCCACGATTGCAAGGGCTGTACGTCTTCCCCCCTCTTGAGCATGTAGAACAGGACGCCCGTGCATTCGAAGGCTGCCACACGCTAAAGGTAGATACAACCGATTATTCCAGTCCCAATCACGATCCCTGGTACACTGCCAGGGGACAGGTCATAGCGCAGGGCCACGCACAACGCAGCTCTTGGGAAGAAACACTTCTCGTCTGCGCCGGGATCATCAGCTTCGACGCCGTGCTCTGCACGCATATGCACGAGGACATGGATCTCGTCTTGACTACCAGTTCGCGATCCTTCCTGCAGGAGAGTGACTTCGCTGTCCCTCCTATGGCGACCCTGGCACTCGGCCCAGATGGATGTGCGGACTGTGGCCGCACTGCCCTTGGCGCACCGGTCTGGGGCCAAAGCGATATTCGTGAGTTCCCACTATTATGGCCGCCGCCAGCGACGGGCAATCTCATCGACGCCGTGCGGCCACCGCCTCGGACTGGACCGGACGGGACGCTGGGGAGCCTTCCTCAACGACTCATCGTCTCTTGCACATGGTGCTTGTCGGACCGATACTGCGAGAAATGTCGCCGCTGGTGGTGCGCCGAATGTTACAACGCCGGCACGTTCAAGAAGCCGAGCGACCTGGAGAAGTTGGCGGCGGAGAAAGGATTCGGCGAGACTCTGAGACGCAATGAATCAAATCCATATTCCAGAAATAGTGGCAATCATTCAAAGGTATTTGGTGGCCTTTGCATTGTCAATTGCCTCGGTGTCGTGTGGGCGGCCAGGTCGAGCGGTATCCGTCGTCGGCCGGGATGAAAAAAAGCAGAAAAGAAGACAAAACCAACCTCTCCGCCCCCGAGAAAAACAAGGGGGGGGGGATGAGAATGAAAAGAAAAGGAAAAGAAGACCAGAGCGCAAATCCTTGCCGTGGGCTTGCTGCTTGCCTGGGCAAATTCTTTTGGATCAAAAAATGGTGAGATGACCACCAAAAGCCAAATACTGCTACTGCTACTGCTACCGCCACTGGACGAACCCCCCTCACCCCCCTCCGAACCATCCTTGTCCTGCGTTTTACTTTTGGTGCATTGGAGTTTGGCTGACGCTCAATCCTTCGTTTTCCTTTCCACAGCAACCACGCCATCTCAAACTCCTCCCCGGCCAAGCGGCGGTGACGCGCGACTGCTTCGAATGCGGGCGAGTCTGCAGCTTATGTGCACCATTGGCGGCGCGGACGTGCAAGCGGTGCAGGAGCGCATATTGTATACTACATAATACAGGCTGCGATGAGATGACGGTATGTCAGGCACTCCACGTCCTTTAATTATGGCGCTGCGCATAGTCGAGTCAAAAAATTGTGTGTGTGTGTGTGTGTGTGTGTGTGTGTGTGTGTGTGTGTGTGTGTGTGTGTGTGTGTGTGTGTGTGTGTGTGTGTGTGTGTGTGTGTGTGGCAGAGAGAGCGCTAACATTGACGAAACCACAGTGCGACTGGTGCATGTACCGAGGCGGACGGGGCACGAGGGAGCTATACTAGTGATTACAAGAGCAAACAGCATCGGCATTGGGCGTTGACTAAGACCATCACCTGAAGATCTCAAGGGAGGAAGCCTGCCTGCTTGAACAGGACTATCAAGTGTTTTCTATTGCTCGTTACTCGCGTCCATACTCATAACAATTCATATCGTAATTCGAATGCTTTTGCATACACCCCAACATCCCTTGTCAGTGCTGTCGACGCCTCAAGTCTCCGGGTCCATCGAAGAAATAGCATCACACTCGTTCTCCGCCCAGAGAGCACCATTCTCCTTGAAGAGTCTTCATCAAAAGGTTGTAAACATCTATTGCCTCTTCTTCTCGTTCCCTCCACTCAAATCCATCAAGTCGATCATACCAACACCGACCTTCTCAGACTCCGCCCAGCTACGCTGGTGATGCCAGAAGCGATCCGCAGGTGTTGCGCTCGTGAGACTATCACGTCTTGCATCTTCCTCCAGACTTTCTCGGGTAATATTGGCGAACGCTTGCTCACCTGAAGCTGTCTTCAAAGGGCTGTTTGGTGAGGCAGCAACGGGCTTGATTGCATCGGCCAAACCAGCATCTTCAAGGAACTTCTTGCGCACCATGAACCGCTCACTGCGCTCCTTGCGCATCGCTGCACTGTCAAATTTGCTGATAGCGTAGCGCACGAGAACCCGAACGACGAGGAAGATGTGCTCGGAGAGGAAGACGCTAAGGAGAAGTGCCCACAGGCAGATAGCGTGAGGTCGCCCATCCGGACCATCTCCGCCGCTAAACATGTAGACCAGGGCCGCAGTAGTAATGCTACCCAACCAAGCAAGAAATTCCAGGCTGTCGATCCATGGCCCAAGAGTATCAGTACGTGCAGGGTTTGGTCGTCGACTTTCGACCGTTAGCTTGAACGTATCCCCTCGAAGCTCGATCCAATTATTGATGAAATACGACACTGGTGTCAAAGGCCAAATGACAGAGAACAATGCCAGATAGCCGAACTGAATAACCATCTCTCGGAGGTCGCTGGTGACGTCGTACTCTGGCAGGGCAGCTTCCTCGCGAACTCGGGTCAGGAATTCCTTCTCCTCAGGGGCGTCGTCTGCAGCTACGGTCGGGGTCGCTCCGCCCTGTTTCTCAGCTCGAGCGGACTGCATCTCCTTGTACTTTTTGGTGCCATGCTGGGTCAGGAGAGGCACCACGGTTTCCATTGCGAAATTGACAATCTGAGCTGTCACGGCAAAGTATATCATTTGGTTTCGAATCCTGTTAGGATTGATGGTGAATTGTGCAGGTGATGGTGTCTGCATTTGTTTCTCATTCTCGGCAAATGGCTTGACAGTCAGACTGAACACGTCGAGATACGGTACCAGCAATGAAGCGAATGGAACGTACACAAACGACGTCAAAAAGATCGCCGTGTACGAAGTGATGAAGTTGATAACAAAGACCTTTGAGATCATAGCCTTGTCATGAGCATCTTGAGTTTCGTAGTTCTCGAAATAGGTCAGTCGTTCCGCAAATTGAGTCAGGTAGTTGGTGGCGGTAGGGACTGCCAGCGTAAGGATGATAGTAGGAAGGAAAACCAGGATAGACTTGAGCGGGCCATCATACACCTCGGAGATGAAGATCTCGATGGCATAGCAAGTGCAAATGATCGCACCAAGCGCCACCACGCAGAGGATGGCCAAGGGGATCTGCAGCAGTTGTCGTTGTAGCCGTTTCTTTGACGGGAAATAGGCCATCTTCTCGCCAGTGACCGAATCAGTGATGAATTTCTCGGGCACAAATTCCCTCCTTTTGTCTTCAATTGCAGACACGTTTTTAACGCCCCATCTGATGGCCAATTCCTGCTCTTGACGCTTCCAGTACTCGACGAACACAACGCACCATAGGCCATTGACGATGGCGTAGATTGCTGAGAAATTGCCGAGCAAGACCCAGCACGAAAATCCGAAAGCAGCTGGGAAGACGAGGAAGGTAAAGTACGACTGGAGGAAAGCGTAGTAATAACCAATCTGTACGAGTCAGCCCGAGTCTGCACGAAAATCCATTGCGGAGTGATCACTAACCTTTTCGCCCATAATATTCCTGACCTCGTCTAGATCTTCGGGCGTGAGAAATGTCTTGCGGCTGAACTCGGCCAGCCACTTCTTGTTCTTGACATGGTCGTGCAATGGGAAGATAGCCTCGACAGCTTTCCATTCACCGTGTTTAGGTGTGATTCCAGCTCCTCCTTCTTCTTGTGGACAGCATATCATATGATGGATCATCCGGTATCGTTCAGCTTGCGTCAGCTGTTCTGAGGCAAGAGTCTCGGCGGTATCTTTGGTGGGCTGGATCTGTCGAATGCCATATAGCCAGTCTTTGATCCTTGATCTGAAAACAACGTTTGCAAAGACCTGTTCATCGGCAGCTCTCACGAAAACGAGTAAGGATGTCTCGTCTCCGCGTCGGACTTCGGTGGTGAGGCCTGTTTCGGCGAGGGCACGCACGAGCTTCTGGAATTGCGCTATTCCGGCTTGTTTGTCTGCTGCCACTTAGTTCATATATCTTGGGAAGGGTCAGTTAAACTACCATTGTCGGGGACTCTAAAGACAATGACATAGTCAACGTCGAAATTGTCCTGTAGCACCTTGTGGGCCATATTGAGGGAGCTGTGTCGAGGAAGCGGGAAGAGTAGCAGAAGAAGGACACTGAGGCCCGGGAATAGATCTCGTTCGGAAAATGGCCTTTACCAATACGCTGGAACAAGTGAACGAGGTCAAGAAACAAGGAACCTGGAAATAATCTGATCGTGGAACTTGACATGATCAAGTCCAAATCCAGATTGAAGCTCGACGTCATCGTCGCGTAGGTCATTCAGATTTGCACTAGTCCTAGTATGGCTAGTGGAATACTCGCTTACATCATCCCCATAAGTCGCTAATCGGCCAATCAGAAGGTTGGAAACATACGGATCTTCAACCTCGACAACCTCGGCTTCCCGGTGCTGCTGTTAAACTTGGCTACTCCGTGATGTCCTCTTGTCCCTACAGAGCTTGAAACCTTGCGCGATCCTGGGTCGCTGCTACAGCTGCGTACCCTTTGTGTTGCTCCTGTCACTCAAGTCGCTGCTAAGGACCAGACACTATGACGACCAAGACCAACCCTGAGGAATGGAACCAACCATACACCGAGCCAGACCGAAACGCTTACTCCGCGTACCAGCGAGAAGTCTACTCTTCTCTCCGCGCTCCCATCTTCTCCACCAAACCGCTAGAATGGGAAGCTCTGGCGCGGTCCAAAGTGCCTGCCCCGAACTTCGGCTATGTCTACGGATCCGCGAGCAGCGGGAAGACCCATGAGGCCAATCTTGCAGCCTTTGACAGATATCGTCTCCGACCGAGCATGCTGGTCAATGCCACCCGCCGAGACATGAGTATCGACCTGTTTGGCACTAAGTACACGAGCCCACTCCTTGTGGCGCCGGTAGGCGTGCAGAACATCATGCATCGCGATGCCGAAGAGGCCACGGCCAAAGCATGTCGCAACGTCGGCGTACCCATGATCCTGTCCTCTGCTGCGACCACGACGATCGAGAAAGTTGCCGCAGCGAATGGCAACGGCGACCGCTGGTACCAGCTATACTGGCCGAGACCGCAGTGGGAGGATGTCACCGTCAGTCTGCTCAAACGGGCCCAGGCAAATGGATATAAAGTCCTCGTCGTGACGTTGGATACGTTCAATCTCGCTTGGAGGCCGACTGATCTGGACACGGCATATCTACCGTTCATCTGGGGCGATGGGTGCCAGATCGGACATTCCGATCCCGTCTTCACCCGGCGATACGAAGAGATACAACAGCAGGATACACGAAGCTACGGCGAGAAACTGGCCGAGCTGTGGACCATGCTCAAGCGGCCTGGATCCGCATATGGCGCCGTCCGTGTTCTGACCAACATCCACGTTCTACAGAGGTCGCGGGCGTGGCTCGATGTGTTGAATTCCGGAACGTATCGTGAATGGAAACATCTCGAGATCTTGAAGAAGCTATGGGACGGGCCTATCGTCCTCAAGGGCATTCAGACGGTCGGGGATGCTCATAAGGCTATCGAATATGGCATGGACGGTATCATCGTCTCCAACCACGGTGGCCGACAGTGTGACGGGGCTATAGCCTCGCTCGATGCTCTGGCCGAGATCGCTGCAGATGAGACGGTCCAGAGGTCGAATTTGACATTGCTCTTCGACAGTGGTGTCCGCACAGGCAGCGACGCACTAAAGGCGCTTGCTCTGGGTGCCAAGGCAGTATGCATCGGACGCCCTTACATGTACGGTTTAGCTATCCGAGGACAAGAAGGCGTCGAGCATGTTCTCAAGTGTTTGTTAGCGGACACCGACAACATGCTCGGCAATATGGGCAAGAAGAGTCTCCGGGATCTGAGCAGGCATGACCTACAGATTCGCTCAGAGTCGAAACTCTAGAGACAGTGGGAAAGGTGGTCACCGGACTAGGAGAATATACTTATTAGTCTATGTACACCAAAAGACACCTTTGGACAGGACGTGTCCTTCGTTCTCATCAATCCTCTGCATCTTTGTGATCGAGGCCAGTCACTTCAGGGATAGAAAGCACTCTAGGACGTCGGGCGGCCTCCTGAATCATGTTCTCATAGCCTTGTTTTGCCTGTCGGAAGGTATAACAGAAATCAGGGCTTGACAGCTTGCATGAATGGCAGAGCCAAGTCAGTCAAGAAGGTTGTCTTCCCCGTCGCCGTGGTTGCATTACCGAAACATGTGGTCCCGAAGTTTCCGGCCGCCTGTTGCTTCTGCGCCACAATTTGGGCATACTGTGCAAGAGGGCACGATCTTCCGGGTCCGGACTCACAGCCCACCACCGGGTAGACGGCGTCGTTCAGCAGCACGCGCACGTACTGCTCACCCGAACAGGTCAGCCGCTCAAACGATACAGTCCCGCGCATGGTCACGTAGTGGGACGCGATGAATTTCTGCTCCGCTGGGATGTACGTGGCTGGCAGAGGCGCCTGGTCATCAAAAACACCAATCACTCCGGCGAGCTGGTTGACCTGGCCGTCGTTGGTGAATGCCGCGATCAATGGGGGCGGCGTGAAGCTGCTGCCATCGCTCGAGACGTAGGTCTCATTCGGTCCATCCTGGAAGCGCTCGATGATCGCCTGGAGAAAGGGGAGCATGAAGGTACCGTTCTTGGCCGCGCCCGGACCGGCGCCGTAGTAGTACCGTATGTCTTGCGCATATTCGTATTGCTTGAGCTCAGACTCGGTCAAGACCGAGCACCACGGGCTTGTTTTGCCAGTGATCTGAGTCTCGAATCCGCAAAGGTACCCGAACAATGCCACATCGCTGGCGGTGAAGTTGACGGCTCCTGGCGGCGTCGTGAGCTTGTTGATTCTCTTGACGATGGGTGGCAGATAGGTGTTGGCCCAGGTCGTGGCGTTCACGCCACCACCAGTGTCATTGTACGTCGGGCAAAGGTCTGAGACGGCCAGCGAATTGCCCAAGCTGGCGGGATCCGAGTTGTTCAGCACATATATCGTACCGACGGTTGTGGCGTTGGGTCCAATAAACCCTCGGGCGAACAGTCGTGCCGAGTCAATCACACGAGGCTGGTATGCTTGGTAGCGATTGGCCCAGACAATGAAAGGGTTGTTATCCGCATAGAGATGGGAGTATCTCCAGCGGTAAGTGGTCCCCATGTCGTAAAGTTCCCGATACCCTCCAACGGAGATTTGGGAGACCTCTGCCGTGGGATGCTGCAGAACCGGCTCCCAATCTTTGATGAATGCGAGAGGACCGTGGGCCTCGAATGATGAGTTTTGGATCTTGGATTGGAGTGTCGTCCATGTTGAGTATGAACCTGGATCTGGGTAGCGAGATCCGTGTCTGCTCACGAACGCGGCCATGTCCACGGTGCACTGGTCTGGCACATCAGGCGAGATGTTGTTGACGTTGGGACCAGCGAACCAGGGGGAGTTCCCACCGAGGTAAGGCGGAAAGGCTGCATTTCCTATTGCTGGCCACCCGCTGACGGGACGATCTGCGCTGACTCCCTCGAGGAGGACTGATGCTAGCGCAATGAGACCCAACATCCTTGCTGGGTGGTAATGGCCAAATAGCAATCAAGGCTGAGGTTGCGAATGCTAGCAAGTGTTCGCAGAACATTGGAAAGTGGTCTTTACTTATCCGAATGCATCTGCTCACCAGTTGTTCCTAGTCGCTCATCATTTGCGCTGGAAGTCTGCTTCGTTCAAGTCCACGTGCTGAGATGCCTGGTGTAGAACCAATATGCTTGCGGATCACCGCGCTCCACTTTCCAAGGACTAGATATAAACGAGTCCACTGTTATGGGCCCTGGATATCTCCTAAGCTCACCACTATACCAAGTCGTTGACTTGACCACCGGTAGTTGAAAATTCTGCCCTCGAGCGACTCACCATATGCGACTTTGGACTTTCTGCGCCAGGGTCGAGTATCGCCAACATTTATGAACGGGCAGACCGGTCGAAAATAGCTGGAGGGACATTCCGCTCATTTTCTGCAACGTAGTCCCCTGATTGAGCTTCATGATGGGTTTTCGAGGTCGAAAAGCAATTGCGCAGATCATAACATCGACCACGTGCTTCTTTTACATATGCGTCGACCGTTCCTGAGGCCGTCACTGAGTGGATGCTATCGGGTACCACGGTGGTCTTTCCGCCCGCTAAGGCTTCTAGATAACCATGTTCGGGATATGGTCGGCGATAATTGACATTGAAGTATTCTGGGACCAGAATTTCCAGAACGTTGGGTCAGTTTTCGGTTTCCTTTTTCGTCTTTGTATACGCAAAACTTTGAGAAAAGTGACTAGTGGAACCGGTTATTTAGCATAAGCCCGAATCTCCCACCTTGGAGTGAATACTTGGGAGACTGACTCCATCAGCTTCAGCCCTCTTCCCGAGAAGCTCGATTGTCTTCTGATATCGATGGTACGTTACAGGATCCTTGGCAAATTCCGGTGTACCTTACCTTCACTGGAAAAGTTATTCCTTGCAAGTTAGTGTCCCTGGCCTGTCCGCTAGCGTAAACGTGGACAGAAATGCTCTTGTCAATGGCCAGGCAAGAGTGTTCTATACATCTTTGGCGGAACGACAATGGGTTCCAATGGATATCTTCCTGATTCTGAGGGAGCACCGAGTCCTAGATATGGATCGCGATACTTCGGTGGTGCAAATGGCTGGATGCAGTGGACTCGTGGACTCTTGTCTCTACCAAGCCGTGTTTCAGAGGGTAGAACGGGTTTCGATTTCTGGGTCCGTGGGCAGTTTGATGCCGGCACCTCGCAGAGTACTCGATTTCTCGGCCATGAGGCTGCCAATCCCGATACTTCGTGCGCATGGCATGTACACCGTTACGCTGGAAGATTCCGTTGGACGCAATCGCCAGCTAGGCGAAATTAGTCTTGTGGCAAGGTAGCCGCACCAAGGATGCTGGCACTCTGCCAATGACGGCCGTTTCGACAACGGCATATAACAGCAACTCGTCGACGACTGACAAAACTTGTGCTCACTCGACTTGGGAGAAGACCAGACAAACGCAGACTGCACCGTGACAACACTCGACAGCGGCGTCATCAGACACCGCTACCAATGCCAAACAGCATGCTCGTCGCTCGAGCCGGGATAAGATATCGAGCGGGCATGTGGAAAGAAAACCGGGTCCTCAAGCACTCCGGCTCGTGGATGTGTGAAAGTGGTGTTACGAGCACAACTGATGACAGCCTCGAACTCGGACCCTGAGCATACGCTTCTTGACAAGCAAGGACAAAGGATCGAGACATGGTCCCCAAGACCTGGGCTCCTTGTCCCTTGGCCAAGACATCCATTGTGGTCGAAGATTTGTCTTTGTCTGAACAAATCATTATTTGCACTGCCCGACTTCAACCGCCTTCTGACCAGGCTTCCTTGTGCACGTCGTGCTTGAAAATCTACTGTTTTGTGTGCTCTCATAGGGTTTGGACATCTCACCGTTATCACCCTGTTCTGACCTTCGACGCAGGTAAGTATTTCACCCTAGTATTCAGTCGAGATGGGTCAGATCTTGTCGAACGTATTCCGCTCGACTACGGCACCGGCGATACACAATCAGGACAGTTCTATTCCGACGGCGAGCCCCAATCCTCCGGTTTGGAGAGGGCACGCCCGTGAACTGCAGCTTGGTCCAACATTGGACCACAATCATGCGTTCGGAGGTAAGTATTCGTCTGGATCCGCAATCTCGAGACAGCTGCTACTTATTCAGTTCCCCAAGCCGAAGAATGCCCAACTCAGAGTCATCATCCAATTGTTCATCGAAGTGGCGGTCAGGGAGAGGAAGAGATGCACCATCAAACCTAAGCGCATGTAGGTCCAGGGGCTGGGAGAACTCCAATGCAGGATATTGATGAAGCGAGGTTGATTTTCTTTGCGAAGAATATTGCAGTCTTAGAGTCGATCAAGATTCGTGGAGGCATCAAGCGTGCATTTGAAGAATGGATTGCCAATGAAGAGGCTGACGACAGCGAGGAAGATATTGATTTGCCGTTTCTTTCGCCAGCGAAAGATATCCGCTTGAGGGTGCAGGAACTGCTCGATGATTTTACGAACAGTCCTGTACCGGACATGGCTGATTTGCTGGCGATGGCCACCTGAGGCGACCTGGAACATGTACCTTAGTGAGAGATGTCTTAGCAGATAATACCTCGTATTAATGCTACGGTGCACAGTACGGATCACGAGTAGAAAGAATAAATGAATTGCCGTCTTGTCAAATGACGTCATTTTCCGACAACGCGTTCGGCGCGTCTTTTCGCGTTCAATGATTAATCCAATGTACTGTGACTGTGTTACCAGACTCAGGCCCAGACCCGATGAACCATTAACACCACACCCAGCTATATTGCCCAATCTTTCTCGTCGAGCTCCGAACATGGCTCCTTCTGCCATTGCTACAGAACCCCTACCTGCGCCCGGCGACTCAATAGGCTTCATCAAGGAAAATGCGAAGAACCTGCAAAATGGCTCGAACAGAGAATCACCCGTCACAACAGGCACTTCCACTCCGATACCCACGAATCCCACCTCCTCACCACCAAACCCAAACCACGCAGAATACCAATATCTCAACCTGATCCGCGACATCCTCTTGCGCGGTGAACACCGCCCCGATCGCACCGGCACCGGCACACTCTCCCTCTTCGCCCCTCCCCAACTGCGGTTCAGCTTGTCCAAACCATCCTCTTCGTCCACCTCTGGCTCCGACCGCATCTCCGTCCTCCCTCTCCTAACCACGAAACGCGTCTTCCTTCGCGCCGTAACCACCGAGCTCCTCTGGTTCATATCGGGCTGCACATCCTCACGGCCGCTCTCGGAAGCGGGCATCCACATCTGGGACGGCAACGGCTCGCGCGCGTTCCTGGACATTCTGGGCTTCTCACACCGCGAGGAAGGCGACCTCGGCCCTGTCTATGGTTTCCAATGGCGGCATTTCGGTGCTGCGTACGAAGACTGCCACTCCGACTACACGGACAAAGGGGTCGACCAGATCGCTGAGATTGTGCGCAAACTCAAAACCAACCCCTACGATCGGAGAATCATCCTGAGCGCCTGGAACGTCGCGGACCTGAAACTCATGGCTCTCCCGCCCTGCCATATGTTTGCGCAGTTTTATGTTAGTTTCCCTGATGCGGTCAGGGGCGAGGCTGCACTCGGGCAGCACGACGATGGCAAAAATGGCGAGAAAGCAGAGCGCAAGGCGAAGGGCCACCTCTCGTGCGTCCTCTACCAACGCTCCTGCGACATGGGCCTGGGTGTGCCGTTCAACATCGCCAGCTACGCGCTGCTGACACACATGCTTGCGCACGCGTGCGATCTGGTGCCCGGCGAACTCATCCACACAATGGGTGATGCGCATGTGTACTTGGACCACATCGACGCTCTGAAGGAGCAATTGCTTCGTGAGCCAAGGGACTTTCCGACGCTGAATATCAAGCGTGACGATAGAGGGAGTGGGAACATGGACGGCTGGAAGGTCGAGGAACTTGAAGTTGTTGGCTATAAGCCGCATGGGGGAATCAAAATGAAGATGAGCGTCTGATCTGATGTTGTGTGCTGCGTTTTGCCTGTGAGACACGGTTGGGGGCTCTGTGGCAATGGTAAGATGGTCATACGAGCATTGATATACCAGTAGACAAAATTGATGTCAGGGCAAATGGAGTATTGAATGCTTTTATTAATATACCACCTTTCCAGTGAAGATATCCGCCTTCAGATTCCTCCAGCCGAGCTACCAGAAGAGAATGTCGCGATCCAAACGCCAGCAATGCTCGCTCGCTAAAAAAAACACATTCCCATATTTCCTCCTTTCTCATCCTTCCTCAGTCAATCTTCACACCCAACGCATTACACACAAGTATCACAAGCCACTTGTCCCCCGTGTAGTTCGCGCAAGCTTGCTTCATACTGCTCAATCCCAGACTATCCGCCAGGCTTTCCACCGCGTTATTCTCGACCTTGATGTTCGAACTCGTCCCGCTCACACCCACACCTGTATTGACACGTCCTTGATCATTCTGCCCCAGCGGCCTGCCCGTCAACTTCCATCCCTCCACGCTGGCACTGGCATTGGCAGGGGGCACTTGCGGCCCCAAGGTCCCATTCCTCCACGCGCCACTGATACTAGTCGGATGTCCAGTACTCCCCTGGACGCAATACTTGGAATTGAACTGCGTCCCCTTCCTCTCGGTGAAGGCCATATTCGCGACCCTTTCCCACAAGAACACCGGGTCATACAGCATCTCCCTGGTCCACCACATCCGACAGTCCGCCGCCTCATATACAAACTGCAACGGCGTCTCGCTCTCGTCCCCGAAACGAAAGTGATTCCGGCCGTTTACGCTGCCGCCTGTACCAGCGCCCGTGACTACAACCTGACTGCGCAAGATCGGGTCTAGTGTGAAATTGTCCCAAATTGTCCCGTTCGCCAAGCCGAGCAGGTTGTTCTCTGGACTCTCCCAGAGGTCAAGCCACTGGTACAAATTCGGTACGAATTGGAACACCTGCGTGCCCTTGACGCCGCCGATGGCTTGCATCGGCCCACTCTGCGGCCGGCCGCCAAGCGCAATGAATTGCACGCCCGCAAACGATTTCAGATACTCACTCACGACGGTGCACGTGCTGGCACAATACCCGTCGTATATCACCACGATGTCCTGCGCGGCGAAGGGCTGTCGGAAATCGGTGCGGTTGTTCGTGCCCGTGACAATGATGCCAGTGCCTTCAAAGTCGGAGGCCGAGGCGTCGGTGTAGTTATTCTGGAAAAAGGACGAGAAGTTGCCGCCGTAAAGCTCATTCGGTCCATAGTAAGAGTTGAAGTCGGAAAAGTCCTTTAGGTCGTCGGTCACGACGGACTGGTAGGATAATGGCATGTAAGTGAGTTCGGAGACGAGTTCGTCTTCGCCGCCGTCGGGGGTCTTGGTTGCAGCGGTGACGTTGGACGAAGCTACGTTGCCCAGGATCCAGAAGCCCAGGTGGTCACGCATATTGGACTTCGAGTTCGGCGGGATAGAGGGGAAGAGCTGCGCAAATAGGTCTGTGCCAAGATCGACATGGCCGCCTGCAACCAGAGTTAGTGCATTTGCTGGAGGAGAAAATTTGAGCAAGGTGGGAGAAGTACCTGGATTGCCCTGAAGATCAATGATGAGCTTCCTCTTGCCTGTCTTCACGGCGGCATAAAGAAACTTCTGGACCACGGCCTGGAACTCCATCGAGTAGGTCAACGGGTCTTCGTCTGCGGCTTCGAAATCTCGGACTTGCAGAACTGCAACGTCAGTGTAGCCGGTGTCATTAAGGTAGTATCCCGCCACGGAGTTGGCGCTGTGTTTGATCGCAGGGTACGGATATAGAGGGATGGTTGGAGAGCTTGGGGGTGATTCAGTCGAGCTTGGTATCGCTGTTGACCAGGCAGCACTGCTGGCTGCCGCGGTGGCACTCGCTGACGCCGACGCCAAAGCTCTAGGACAAAACACGGCGTAAGCTTCTTCTCCAGTCGAGATGCCGTCAAGAGGGAAATTCACTCGTGCGACATTCGTGATCTGGTGCGTACTCCCGTTGCTGAAAGTCACATTTGTCATGGGTCCCGGATAGTATTTCGGAGCCACAAAGTTACGAGTGCCACGATTGCCGAGTTGGAAGAAATTTTGGTTCCATAACGCGTCGGGGTCCTGAGATAGGCCGACCATCGACTGCTTCAACAGGAAAGTGACAACGTCCATGCCATCGATGCTCTCCACGGGCGACGGTGTGAAACCGGTCACCGGCTGTACTTTTGTGAGCCCAGCATTGTTAGCAACCAGGTCACCTGTCACCTGTCAGCGCCGTCTGTCAAAGCGTAATTTTCTTGGGAAGTGCATACTGGCAAGATACACCTGCGGCGACTCGATGCCGTCTGCAGAGACGGATACCAGACCTAGGTTGCTGACACCACCTCGCAGAAAAGTGAAAGCCCCCATCAGATCAGCTTGCCAGGATAAATGACCATCACGGGCTGCGTTGAGCAACGCCGTGATGTCCAGTTGCATGTCATACTCGCTTTCGTACTGTCCACCCGCGACTTTCTCTTTTATCTTATCCAATTCTCCGTACAGGTCCACCGCAGGAAAGAGGAATCCTGAGGGCGGGTCCTGTAAGTATTCGACGGTACTTTGAAATTCAAGGTATGTCCGCAACGAGTCGATCAGGCAAACGGCGGGTTCTGGGTAGTTAGGCACAGATTTCAAGCATTTGTATGCAAGGTCTGCTGGTATTTCGGCAGCAGTTGCTGTCACAGTCAGTCTCAATGCCTAGGCATCCATATAGGTGTGTACTTGCCTGAAGGATGCGACGATAGGTAAGACTTGGAAGCGCTTGAAGCCCAACCACAAGCGATATTCGTCGATGTCGGCGTCGCCCGAGGCTCGAGAGCATTGGGAGGAGCTGTGATAGTAGATCCCGCTCCAAGGTGAGCAAAGCACAGGGCTGCAAGCGCACATGCATGGCCCAGGGCGCTCACCATGGCGTTGGGGGATTGAATGGTAGAGAATATGTCACTCTTCACGAGGAATCAACATGCGCAGACGGAGGATATGGATGTACTGAACGTTGACGATACCCAATCCGTGTATATGTGTACTTGGTACTCCGTAAACGAGTGACTGGTCGTGCAAAAGAGTGCGGCAGAATAGCAAATCTCACGTATTTGATGGATGTGCCTTCTCAGCCGAAGGATTGAGGAATATCAATCAAGGAAACGCTACCGCCCGTTATAGAGCAGGCAGGCGGGCCATGATACTCAACGGTAAGGTACATGGCCAGACTCGTACCTACTCTGCATTGTGGTCAGCATTACGGGGCAGCCTTTGCCTGCGGCGGTTTGGATCCTGAGACTGCGGCTGAGGCTTGGACCCAAATTTAGGATAAGCCTTGCTTGAGCGTCGCTTACTCCTCCCACGCCACACGTTTCGTCTCCCTCCGGCGCGCGTGATGAGCGTAGCCTCTTTGGGAATCGAAATCATTGGCGGAGAGCATCTTCAGGGATCTGGGGAAGTTCAAGCGATCTGTGGCAAGCTGCTCGGTACTCGATCAACACCGTGAGCGGTACAATGAACATCCGCGTTTCATAGCACAGCAGGTGCTGCCACTGCGGCCGACAGAAGCAAGCGCACATTGTACAGAGCATGGCGAGGCGTTGCTGTGTAAGATCAGGGCAAATGTTGTGTCATCAGCACAATGCCGGCGTCACAAGGAGTCTTCGTCTTCTTTGCTTTGTAAGGTGACACGATGGAAATGCAGTATTGTTCGCGTCGCTAATAATTGTGCTAAGTACCTAACGTAGATTTCCAGTGAAGCAAGAATCCGCCTTGAGAATCATCCTTTGCAGAGCCATACATATCCATAATGCGCTTTTCAGTAATTCTACAAAGTAACCTGCTCCAAGCCGCCAACATACCGATCAGCCGTCCCCGTCCTCTGCGACGAATGTGACGACCCCTTCCATACCATACAGATCCTTGATAGTGAGAAGCTCTTTCGCTCAATGTACACTTTTTCAGTCTTCGACGCCCCGCCGCACGCGTCTTCTTGACCGCTGACTTGCTTTGATCGCCTCTTCTGTAAGAACGTCATTGGGCAACTGGAACTCTTTTTCCTCGAATTCAGGCACAGCGTGGCCGAATGCCAGTATGTTCCGTCCACGTTGCCGCCCCGAGACTGCCGCATCCCGAAGATGCCGTTTGTCGAAAAACGAGACAAACGGTTTGGGAGGAGGCGGCTCTGGCAGAGGCAGAGGCAAGGGCATTGCCTTCCTGCGTTTGCTCGCGTTCTTCGTTTCGTCAATAAGCTGTTGCGATGCGAGTGCGTCGATCTCGCTCGAGTTCGCTGCATGTGTAGATGCAGATGCTATACTTCCTTCGTCCTCCTCAGACGACGCAGCTTCCATGCTCTCTGCTTCTTCCAGAGCCTCCTCCAGCAGAGCTTGTTCTCTTTCCAGCTTCCGGCGTTTTTCTTCCTCTTTCCAACGTTTGAATTTGTCAATCAATCCCTGGGTCTCACGAATGAACAGCAATCGTTTGGGTTCGTATCGCTTCTTCTCCGTTTCTGTAATTCCAGATATTCCCAACGTCTTTAGCCAGTCTGGTCCACGAAGATCATCCAGCAGCTTTTCAAGTTGATATTTCTCATGCTGGGCTCTTTCTCGATCACCATTCTTGATCTGTTTCTCATGTCTTTCGGCTTTCGCGTGTATCTTGAGGTAGACGTCTTCGTTCAAGGGATCTTCAGCAGTGGCATCTGTAGAGACACCCCTCTGGCTGAGCTGGATGATCTCCACGTTGTGTAGAGCTTTGTTCACCCCAAAAGGATCTGTTCTGGGAGGCGGAGGCTTGAAGTCGGGAGTGTCGTCAACAAGAATGATTTTGGTTTGCACGGTCAAGGCTCCTATCCTGTGTCAGCTGCGGTTAAATGGAGTAGTTTGTGAGGCAGACCTGGATCTAAAGGCCTCAGACTGAGCATCTCCTCGAATTCAGGAAAGTATTGTGCAAGCTCTGTCTTCGCTCGTGACCCTCCGTCTTCAGATCGTAGTTTTCGCCTCTCCTCCTGCGATTCCAACGGCCCACCTTCTTGTATTGAGGCTCTCGCCCTCTCTTCAATAATCTTGATCTGGTCATATTGTGGTTTGCCGCTCGGTGAGTCAAGGGGCTTTCCAATATTGGGCGAATTTGCCTGGAGCTTTGGTGCAGCTGCATTTTGGGTGACAGCCGCTGGCGGTGCTGAGATGACTTTAGGCAGGCCCCCACGGCTTCGTAACGGTATGCGTAATTGTGGTATCTCGCTCTTGCTGGTCGATAATCGACGTCTTTTCAGGGTTTGTTGATCTCCGGTAATGGTAGAGGTACGGAGGCGCTTGATTCGCGTTACATTGGTGCCGTTCCCGGATTGCGGAAGTAGAGGTGGCGTGTTCTCGATCAATGGACTGCTGGACGTGGGTGAATTGTGACCTCTTAACGTAGGACGCCTCAACGACGACCTAGAGCCGGCCACCATGGTATATACTGTGTTCTAGGGGTCATGATGCTCCGGTCGAGGTCTTCTGAGGATGGTCTATGCGTGGCTAGAAAGAAAGACCGATTCTGAAGGCAGCCGAATCTGCTGCAATTGAAGAGCAAACTTCAGGGTGCGTGCCTCCAAGATTACATGTAATTACCGCCCAGCAGCCACAACAAGGTAAATCTATCAGGAAACAACAGCTCGTATTAACATATCACGACTCCGAGTACGAATTGGGACCGCTTCAATACTATTCACAAACCAGACAAGCAGATCGTGCAAGGATTGGCAGGAGGAAGGATTCAATGATATGCGTTTCGTAACAATACATCGTACTGTACATCTTTTTCATGCCAAACGCCTAACTGCAATATGATGCCTTACTTTTCCCTCTCTGCAGGGCTGTCGCCCCTCGAGCCTGTGCTGGTGTCGTTACTAGGTGTATCTTGATATGTATCTTCCTCACTGTAGAGATCATCATCACTTTCACCCGCAAATGCATCGTAAAGCTCCCCTCCTCGACGAGCCCTGCCTTTGCCGCGCCCACCGCGAGAATTCAGGCCTTGCTGTTCGTCATCGTCCGCATCTCCCACCATTTCGAACTCATAAGCATCCCTTGGGTTATTCCGAAGTCGTTTTCTTCGCTGGACCACGAAATAGACCCCGAGGCCGGCGCAGAAGACTATAATCAAACCTATGGAGCCGTAAATCCAAATCTGAGTTCGCTTGGAGACACCAAATGTAGGGAAGAAGGAGGGAAGGAAGCTGTCAGAGTAGGCATGTGTAGGTTCTGCCACCACAGTCGTCGTGGCCGCTGGTACCAAGATTGTGCTTGTAGCGGTGACGGTAGCTGTGGTATCAGGATCATCAGAATCCTCGCTAGGCTTCGGCTTCGTTGGTCGGTCAATATGGTCGGTAGGTTTTGCTGGCAGCGAAGTCGGTGGGGGTGCTGCATCCACGCTTGTCGTACTGACTATTGCCGTCGCGGTTTCATGGTCATCATCGTGCTCATCCGGCAGTGGATGTAGGCCTTGGATCTGATCGTTGATACATTCACCCCAGAGATTGAGACGCCAGTCAATGAATGTGCCGTTGAACTCGTTCTGATTGGTGTCCTTGACGATAACGGTCCATTTGCCAACTCCATGCTCTCCCCTGTTGCTGCGTCAGTAAGCGAAAAGCAGATGATAGGCAACCCTCAGGCCGAACTTACCAGTGAGCAACAGACATGAATGTCCAGTCTTCATAACCGGTATCGGCACTATCTGGGCGGCGAGTTGTTGCAAGGTGGCTGACTACCCCATCAGGACTGATCAGGTCGGCACTCAAGTCTCCTCTTCTGCCATGCTCGACATTCATGGTGACTGTCACATGCTCAAGCCTTTCTAGATTGGCATCCCTTAGCATGTCTTCGGTGACATTGAAACTCGCAGCAAGCCCCTTGTCACCCTCGGGAATCTGGTGCTGAACACTGAGCCAAGGTGAGTGAAACCAAGCTTGCGGTTTTACAGGTACGAATGCCTTCGCAGCCTCGACGAAACGGTATGCGTCGACCTTGCCATAGCCGTAAATGTGACTGAACCTTTTACCGATCGTGGTGTTCTGCCAGCCGCCATCGTCCAAATGTATTGGGATTGCCGTTTCCACACACAGATATTGAAGATCTCTCCAGCTGAGGTCTGGTCTGGCACTAAGGGCGAGGGCAACAGTGCCTACCACTAGTGGGCCGGCAGCCGATGTACCACCATGGCCGGTGTAGCATTTGTCGACGCCGACATCAGTTGTATGGATAGCATCCTGGTGGCCAGAGCTATATGTCACAACCAGCTGCGCCGAGCAAGCCTCGGAGTAATATGGATGATTGCCAGCTCTGTCAATGCCTCCGACTGTAATACTGTAGATGCTGTTTGTGTATCCATCAAAGTTGCAATTGTCTTCGCTGGCTGCTCCGTTTCCCGCTGCGAATACGAACACAGACCCCAGGCCGCCTCTGCCACTCTGGATGCCATTGACCATGGCTCTTTGAATGAGGAGTCCAGGAGCCTCCATCGTTGCCCCATCATCGGGCGGACCCCATGAGCACGAATAGATGTCGTTCTCCTGGTAGTGGTAGTTGATAGCTGTTGCCTCGTCTTCATCACTTATGGGTTTAGACAGAATTCGGATGCCAGCAACCTTGCTGTCATACGCCATGCCTACTCCGCAAACGTTGTTCCTGACCGCGGCAATCTCTCCAGCACAGCGCGTACCATGTTTGTCGTCAAACAGCCGGGGTTTTGGTTCAGGAGACTTCTCGTTGAAATCATATGACCCTTCAGCATAATAGTTTGCTTTTAGATCATCGCTGTACATATCAAGACCGTCGTCAATAACAGCAGAGATAGTACCGTTGCCTGTGATGCCTTCCAGCCATACACCAGTCACATTCAAGTCATGCCCTAGCTGCAACGGATTAAACAGGTGCCATTGCTCTTTGAATATAGGATCTTGAATGTCCAGCGTTTCCGCAATGCTGTTCAGGCGTTGAATAGCTTCCTGCTGCGCAGAGTCCGGCTCTTCATTGGCTTTCGAGTCTGCCTGTTCCCGCCTCGATCCAAGGTTTGGGGATGTCGGTGGTGGGATTCGCTTGACATGACGATGCCGTAACTGTTGTTTTTCTGCCCATAGAATGCCACCCAATTCTGCAGATAGATCTCTCCAGGACGGCTGACGTTCTTGCAGGTCCACCGCCCTCCGCCGTCTTGTTTTTCGCAGTTTTAATTCGTGCAAGGAAGTCTCGAAGTCTTGACAGGAGCCTTTGGGGCAAGAGAAGGTGTGATGTCTGCTCAATTCCCCGATTTGCCCTTCATGCAGGACCCCGAAACGACGAACCACCTCTTGAGGATCCGCTGCTGGAGCAAGATGGGCGGCAAAATAGTCATTCTTGTCGTACTCCCGCCGACCAGCTATCACATTTCCAGCCAGAAGCAGCAGCGAAAGCCATGATGGCAGACGCATGATAATGTCACAAGGAAAGGCTAGTGGAGAATGCAAGGCATTCCTTCGAGACGTAGTGATGGAAGTCCGTTGAGGTAGGATCGATTAGACGGGCGCCTTTTCGAGGGAGTCGATTTGTGACACGATTCTCGAGGGTACAGACTCTGCGTGGCCAAATTTATGACTTCTGTCGGAAACGAGAGGATTGTGAAACGTGAGTAGTTATGACGGTCCGCTGATTTGTCGAGTGTCGCAGATGAGCCCGTTCCAAGCAGCACACAAAGGGATCAAAAAGGAATGTCAGAACCGAGAGCGACCGCGCTATTCGCCGTAGGAAAAAGGTCGAGTCAAAGAAGGATAATATGGCACTGCGGTTCTTGGTCAATACGAATATCGGATTTTTGTGAAGCCCAGCCGTAGGCTCGCAGTTCGGGGCAAACTGCAGGCGGACACCTTTTCCCATGATGGCACTGGAGAATTGTGACTTGCGGGTTGAGATACTGCTAACCAGGGACCAGTCCTTCTAGCCGCCGTAACCCGCCATCTTCAATAGCACCGATTGGGCATGCTTCTGCTTAAAAGCCGCCTAACGCGCTCGCACTCCAGCGGGCCGGAAGCCCATCAGCGTGACGAATGAGTCCCCAGAAAACTGCCCCGTCGTGCCCGTCAGAGGCTTGACGCAACTTGATTTGGCGTCCGCCAGCTGCACGATTTCGTCCAGTTTTGTCTCCCTCCACGGTGGTCATCGACTTTACCAGCCACGCGGAACATGGGTACCTCATCTACGTACAGCGCTCTTCAGATGTCTTCTGCTGCGTTAAGCATTCCCTTCTTGATTTCTTCCTGTACATACTTTCAACATGACATAGCTCCATACCGATTACTTTTGTCCGATAGTTGTGTCACATCGTCCCCCCGTCCTCGGTCTCGCAGCCCGACCGCATCTACTCCATCCACATCAGTCTTTCAATCGCGCCTCCAGCCAAGAGCCTCGTTCGTCTTCCTCGAGCACCTGAATACCCTGCCTATGGCTGTCCTCAATGATTGTGAAAGACCCTGAACTCGTCCCTTCCGCTGCTGGATCTCCCCAGAGTTTATCCTCTGTTGCCAGAATGGCTACCTCGATGAACCCTCTCGACCTCTACCATGACCCTGCGCTTGATGCTCTGGTTCTTCAGAACAAAACACGGACAAAAGCTAACAACGGTGGGAGTCGCCGGCATAGTATGGGTCAGTCCAAGCGGACGTACACTGAAGACACAGATGCTGCCCAGCTCCCTCCTCCAGCGGCGCCCGAAGTTCCTCGAGGACCGCCAATTTCTTATCGAACCTCGGGGCAAGGCGAGCCCGCCGTTCACAGATCATTCTCGCAAAGAGCTAAGGGGAGGCCATTCCACAGAGAAGCATTTGCAGACATGAACGAGGGCCATCCGGATGAGAACAACAACCCTAAGCCGAGCGCAATGTCGGACACAGATCACGAGGACGTCGCTCCGATCATTCCTAGAAAACCTGTCCAGGCGGATGGCCTGCGCATAAGAACTACAGATCTCAACAGCACGAGTCCGGTTACCATGCCACGGCGCGACATTCAGTCTGCGTCCGGACCGAGATCAGATCAGGCCAGAAGCACTCAAAAGTCTCGCCGTACCTCTGATATACCGCGGTATACCGAGGAACCCATCTCGGCAGTGAGCAGATCGAGTGCGCTCCGGGAGGACGCTCACCGTCGCGATTGGGCTCCAGATCGATCTCCACTTCAAAAGCTGGAGGTCACGCTCAACGACATCAACAAAGAAGCAAAGCGTGCCAGGGCACAGGAAGCGGAGATGCTCTTGCGAGAACGCAACGCATCAAAATTGGCCGGCGAGGTCGAATCGCCTCGGCAAGCCCCTCCTGCCCATAAAATAGCCGCTTCGTCCAGACGGTCCGCATCAAACCGTGACCTGCCAGATGAGCCAGAAGTGCCGAGCTTGGAAGACGCAGGATTTGTCCGAAATCTTAGCACAACTCACCGCCAGCGATTGCAGCACAGCACAACACTCGACAACCGTCGGCCGGATGTGAGGACTCTATCTGGTGAAGGACCTCCTGGCTTTGATTACACAATATCAAGTCCTCTCCAGACCAGCAATGAAAGTCAGCCTCGTCGAGCAAGCGCCAAATATGGCTGGGATGAGACGCGTACCGATGAGCCAGTAAGAGTACTGTCTCAGGTACCCGTTGAAGTGGCCAAGGGGCAAGCAGAGAGACTTCAAGCCAAAAATCGTCAAAATGTCAGACCAGCCGACGAACAGTCATTATCTTCTGATGGATTGTCGAGAGCACCTCTCGTCCCTGAGACTCAAATCAGGCGCACGTCTGGACGAGGAAGCTTTATAGAACGACAAAACGCCTCCCACAAAGCAGCCTTGGAGAAATTGACAGGAGTATCTGCACCCAATCGTCTTACAAGAGAAGGATCTCGCAAGCTCCAAAAGACTCGGCCAGCATCCGTAGAACGACGCGTACCTTCTGACCCACACCCAAGTCGAATTCCAGTGCCAACTACCACAGCAAGCATGAGAGCTCAGAAGCCTGAAGCGCACGATCAGACTGCTGGTGCCCTTGCGTCAAATTCGCCTGCTAACCAACGTCGTCTGCCGCAAACACCTCCTCTAGCCTCTCAAGGTCTTCAGCCTTCACCGCACCCCAGCAGTCCCAGGTCGCCACCCGAAAAGGTTGCTGATGTGATACGGCAAAGGCAGCGGAAATCAAGCGTCTCTTTCAAAGAGCCTATGAACCGGCGGCCCGTGGATGAGTGGAAAGAGGCTGGAACAGCGAGGCTGACTTCAGACCATTTCTCCACCGAGGTAGCTGCACCAATTGACAAGAGCAAGCCCTGGTGGGAACAGTCGGCAGCACCTTCTGGTCGACGACGGAGTAGGTCAAACTCAGTATCTCATCAATCGGGCTTAGACGCTCCCATCGACGATAAGACGGCGGAGTTCAGGCCAAGGCTTTACCTACGCTGTGGGCCTTTGCTTCGATATACGGGGATGAAGAGGATCAAGGTCGAGAAGGGCGAAGATCGAGAAGTATGGCGAGGAAGCGTTTTGATCGTAACCCAGGACTCGCATTCCTCCTACGAAGAGCCGCCGACGCTGCGCCTGTTCTCTCAGCCCCAGAGATTACTTCCTCCACCGCCTCATGAAGTAGTTGAAGATGGCCTAAGTCCTGAGTACATTGACCCTATCGCTGGCTTGACAAAGCTTTCAAGAACAGGTCGCGCACTATATGTTCGGCCCATTGATCATATTGAAGAGGGCAAAGATCTGTCACAAATGGAGAACAATGACGGTCTGTTCGAAGACTCGCCTAGTCCGACGGATCTAGATGGACTTCACCATGCAAATCCAAGCAGAAAGTCTTCTGAAGCTGACGGCGAGCGGCTGGGAAGATATTCCGAAGTCAAAGGTGCAAGGTTGTATGCCGACCCCGACAGGGACGTGACATTCTGGCGGTTCAATCTCGAGATCGAACTTGCGGAGGAGCAACAGCATATTGCATACCGAATCAACAGAAGTGCTTCTGTTGGTTTTTGGGTTCCTGGTCGCGGCCAGACCATGAACATGATGTTTCACAGCTGCAATGGATTTAGCCTATCGGTGAATCCAAACAATTTCGGTGGACCAGACCCATTGTGGAGAGATGTTCTGAATACTCATCAGACTCGACCCTTCCATGTCATGATTGGTGGCGGCGATCAAATCTACAATGACAGAGTCATGCTTGACACACAGCATTTCGGCGAATGGACCCGAATGCGGAACCCTGCCCACAAACACCATGCTCCCTTCACACACGAAATGAAAGAAGAGCTCGAGAGTTTCTATCTCAACAGGTACGCGATGTGGTTTTCTCAAGGTCTGTTCAGTATGGGCGCTAGTCAGATCCCGATGGTCAATATTTGGGACGATCATGACATTATCGACGGGTTTGGATCATATCCCCATCATTTCATGGAAACTCCAGTATTCTCCGGGATAGGAAGCGTTGCTTTCAAGTACTACATGCTTTTCCAACACCAGAGTGTCTCAGAGGAGACGACTGCTCACGAGCCCAGTTGGGTCCTGGGCAGGGAACCCGGGCCTTACATCAAACAAGTCAGCAGGAGCGTATTTATGCACATGGGCAAGCATGTTGCATTCCTAGGCCTGGACTGTAGGACAGAACGCATGCGCAACGAGGTCCTCAGCGTTGACACCCTTGATATTGTACTCGAGCGGTGCCGCAAAGAACTCATCGAGGGCGAAACAAAACATTTACTCGTGTTGCTGGGAGTTCCGATCGCCTACCCTCGACTGGTATGGTTGGAGAATGTGTTGACGAGTCGTCTTATGGACCCTGTGAAAGCTTTGGGAAGAGCTGGATTTATGAAAGGCGGCTTCCTCAATAAGTTTGACGGCGGAGTGGAAATCCTCGATGATCTAGACGATCACTGGACTGCGAGAAACCACAAACATGAACGCAACGACTTGGTCAAAGATTTGCAAGATCTCGCAGCTGAGAAGTCCTGCCGCATCACAATCCTCAGCGGAGATGTTCATCTTGCGGCAATTGGCCAGTTCCATTCCAACCCAAAACTCAAGATCCCGAAGGATCGAGATCATCGCTACATGCCGAACATAATATCTTCGGCCATCGTCAACACACCACCTTCCGACATGTTGGCTGACATCCTGAACAAACGTAACAAGACTCATCACTTGGACATGTACACCGACGAGAATATGATCCCGATGTTTACGCACGACGTGGACAACAAGAGACGAAACAATAAGCAGCTGCTGCCCCGACGAAACTGGTGTTCGATCCAAGAATATAGTCCTGGGTCGACCCCTCCACCATCTCTAACAGAGACGCACTCAATGTCGGAGGCTGCAGACGAAGAAGAGGAGCAAGTGACTCCGGAACCACGTCGCCGCCACTTTTCATTTAGCAAAGAAGATGTCAATCCTCGGACTCTTTTCCGTCGATTGAGCTCGCGAGGTGCACCTCCGACTTCCTATCGTGACACAATGTATGATCAGGGCCGATCTGCGTCTCATGATGGCACGACTCAGCAGAATGGACGTCCTGTCAGCCATGACAGGAACGCCTCAGGCTCAAGACAATCTTCTGGCGACTTCCAAGCCGTGCCTCAGCGGCGCGCCTCCTCATTCGATCATACTTCATCAGACGCACCTGTTCGTCCCAACACCTTTCAGCGCCGGCCAACCAATATGTCCGAAAAAGCAGTCAGGAAAGGAAATGTTCCTGCCGTCGACGCTGAAGGTAACGAAATCGACGTCAACGACCGTATCAATCTAGAAGGGGGGCTTGACATCGTTTTGAACGTCGAAGTCAATCAGAAGCAGCCGGCTGGTATCACGATACCCTATCGGCTGCTCGTTCCCGCCCTCTGGTATGACGGCAGTTCGGATCGGGAGAAGCTCGATGAGAATACTGGGGTGCACAGGAAACCCACTCTTCTGAACAGATTCGGCATTGGTGAGAGACGAAGCCACAAAGCGGTCGGTGCTCCAAAGGGTAACTGGGGCCAAGAACAAAGCGACGATGAGAGTTACAGTGAGGGCGAAGCGTATTCCAAGGCAGCCGCTCCGCGTCGTCGGTTTAGCCTGTTCGGCAGCCGTAAGCCACTGAAGAAAGATTTCAGTGACGACGAATCAGACCATGATGGCCAGCCACATATTGGCATCCCGGGACGGCAATCACAGCCATGGCAGCAGGGAAGCGTCAATCAGCAGCCATCTCAGCCCAGGGAGACAAACTACGCCCCGGTTAACCACGATGTTCTCTACGACACTGAAAGTCGCCCACCAGCAAACCACAGTCTCGAACCTGCTAAGCACCCCAGTGTTCGACGCTCGTTGACCATAGGGTCCTCGGTAAACAACCGCGCGACGCCGTCCGCCACCCGAAATGTTAGCGACTCTTATGCTACACGACCTCCGCCGTCCAGCTTCGGCGGCGGCCAACCTGCTATGACAAATACTGGCGCGAGCGCGCCTGGAAACCATCCGCAACGTCGTCTGAGCAAGCAGGAGCGTATTCTTGGTATCTCGCCGTCTGACCCGCAGCCTCACAACCCGCCGGACAAGCTGAGAGGAGATGGGATCATTGGCAACCACCTCCACCCTGATGAGTCGCCGAAAGGATATTCAGGCATCGAGGCGTACAAGGACCCAAAGCCGCAGAGGACATTCAGCCTTAAGAAGGCTAGGGACTGGTTGGACGGCAGAAACAAAGACGAGTTCGACTGAGTGACGGCGCTTCCACCGTGACCTTGCGCGTGCAGAAACGGCTGACCAGGCCAAGGGTGATGTGGACGCAAACAATCTTTGGTGTACAGGCACAAAGGGTGTCTGCTCGAATTGGCCTTGTCATCATCACCCTTTTCGGGTTGCAACCAGTCGAGTCAGATTGTTCCATGATTTCGGCTTCTGCGTTGAGGACAAAGTTGGACGAATTTTCTCCTGGATATCTATTGCATCGAGCTTGGCCGAGTTTTGTCACTTCCTTTTTGGGCTAGGAGCTACCTGCTTTTTTGAGCGATTCCTGAGCTGGTCATTGGACATTTTCTTCTCTTCGGGGCAATCATGCACATTTTCACACTTCTTTCCATGTAATTCATTTCCACGTCTGACGAACAATTTGAACGGTCTCATATCTCATTCCTGCGTGTTTTGTTTCGCTGAGACTGTGCCAGTGACAGTGATACTAGGCTTTTTTTACTTAAAAGTGTCTTGTCTTCCCCTATCTCTACCAGTCTACCGCCTTGTCCACTGAACAGGCCTCAAGATCTGCACAAAACTTGACATCCTCATTCTCTCCGTTCTCGGATATTGTGGACAGTCTCGCCGGCCATATCTCATGCTGGGCATCTTTCTCCAGTTGGCGATGCTCCATGACGGCTTCACGTAGGAGTTTCTGGAAATGTAGCACGCCCCTCTCCTGGCTTGGATGGAGTTTGCCGGTCGAGTAAGTGCCCGTGTTGAGATTTGTCTGAGCGGCGTCGTTGAGGGCCTTGTCTTCGGCTTCGACTTGTTTGAAGAAGGCGTCCATGTGCGTGAACGAGGCGTCGTCGGAGGTCGGGCAAAGCCGACTGTTACGGTAGACTTCGTACTGCATTCTATATGGTGATAGTTTGATGGTCAGACAATTGCTGACGCAGAGAACAAAAGAGGAAGGGAGTGAAGGGAGAGGTTCAGGGGGGGGACAGGATACTTACATCGTTGTTGTAGGCCCGGTCGGGACGATGCGCATCAGATACCAGTACGGTGCGCTGAAGGAGCGTTAGCATTAGCATTGCAGCCGGAGACGGTCAGCGCGAAGACGAGTGCTGGGGATCGTTGGGGGAGGCGAGTGCGAGCGCCGCGAAGCAAAGTAAGGAAGGGGGTACTCGCGAACAAGGCTCTTCAAGAAGTGTCCAGGTAGCATCCACGATGGGACGGGAAGTACGTACGTCATGCTCACGGTCGCATTGGGGAAGAAGAAACTCGGCGCATACGAGTTCGTGCTCTTGCCCGGCTTATCCTTGATGTAGTGGACGACTTCGCCCCCGTGGGCCTCGACGCGGTAGACGGAGAGGTCGCAGTTGTCGACAAATAAGGGGTGCGTGGTTGGGCAATGGTAGCACTACAACACATCCCACAGAAACCGGGAGTCAGCTTTGATCACCATGAGGCTTCCACCATAAGTATCTTCTGCTTCTTGTTCCCCCTTCGATTCGATTCGATTCGAAGGCAAGGCGCCACGGAAGGAAAAGAACAGCAAAGCACTAGTAGCTGACTGCGTAGGGGTGCGGCACACATACCTCGTTATAATTATCCACGCAGGCCTTCCAATTATACTTACCCTCCATCGACCACGCATGGTCAAAGACGTACTCGTCCATATTGAACTCGGCAAGGCGGTCGCGCGTGTCGGACCCGGCGAAGCGAGATTCCCAGCTCACGCTCGGTGTCTCCGAGGATTCAAGGTTGACCCAGACGAAGCCGCGGGCGTCGATGTGCACATGGATCGGGAAGAGGCCGTTCTTGGTCTTGTCGAGCCCTTCGACGTCGTCGAAGCGTGGGGCTTTGGCCAAGCGGCCATCCAGGCCATACGACCAGCCTGTGATATGATCAACACATCTCCTCGACTCGGGACGGGCCCTGCCTTTGACGAAGGGAAGTAAAGTGAGAGAGAAGAGGCTGTAATATGTAACACCTACCATGGTAGTAGCAGGCCAGGATACTTTTTGTCCCTGTATCTTCAGCCTCGGGACGGATGACGGGATATGCGCGGTGACGGCAGACGTTGTGGAAGCCGCGGATGTTCTTTGATCGGTCCATGATCAGGAAGAAGGGCAGGTTCGCGACATTGTAGCGGACGTAGTCCCCTGGCTTGGTGAAGCGATTCTTGTGCGTGATGAACATCCATTCCTTCGAAAAGACGGCACGGCGCTCGAGTTCGTACAGTGCTGGGGTGCGGTACCATGAAGAAGGAAGGGCAGTCCCGGCAGTCTTGTCGTCGGCCGCAGCGGGCTCGGTTGCTGGGTTTGACATGATCATGCTGGGCGTGAGCGTATGAAAGGACTACCACAGAGTACTGCAAGGATAGTAATGGGAGTCCCTAGGACAGGTTTTCCTGGCGTTTCGCAACCTAACGTACGGGGGGCCGCTGGAGGCCTCCAACCGGAGATATATAGAACTGCCATCTGTGCACACCCCACCTCCCAATGTGGAAAAGAAATCCCATGCGATGGACGATCGACGTGAGGAGCATCATGGATGAAGGTGGTGATAAGAAAAGCCGGTTTACCAATCAAGCGGACATGATCGGAGATGCCTTTGTTAGGCCACAGCCTTTTACCGTTTACCCTCGTTGGGTTGATATTGAAGCAATCTTGATTGGACAACGATGGATGTCACCTCTAGCAAGCCGCCTCAGCTTCAGCCTCCCTCTTGGCAAGTATTCATGGCATCGGATCAATGTAAGTGTGCCCATAGCCGCATCGAGGTTGAAATTCCGCAGGAGGAGTGGATGTGACCAGTCACAAGCTCTGTTGGTGGAGCGCTGTATATAACTTCCGGTGCCATTCGAGGAAGAGAAAGATACAGATGGTGTGTCTGGACCTTTCTGTCAGCGAACCAAGACATCAGAAAGCAGGAAAACCAAACCCAGACAAAGACTTACGGTCCGAGACGGAGAAAGCTGGGCAGCCATCCTCGGAAAACCCAAGCAGGGCCCTCCGTTCGCGAAAGGTCCTTGACCAACCGCCAAACCCCTTGTTTCCCCCTGGACGCCATCACCTTCGTCTTGATGACATCGATCGGGTTCGTCACTGTCGCAGCCGTCACACCCGCCAGACACGACGCGGTCAAGTGTGTCGACAACGTATCCTCCATGGGCGTGTAGTCCAGCAACATCCGCTTCACGGCATCATAACTCGCCAGCTGGCTTGCCGTCTGCACGGCCGCACGACTGCTGTTCGGCAGCCAGCCTGTGAAGTAGCTCAGCATGCCTTCTTCTCTCGCCATGCGTATCATTCCGTCCACCGCATGCTTGTAGTCCCTGCGATCTTGCACGGGCAGCGCGGCGTCGCGCTGCATACGGACGTTGAGCACGTCTGCGAAGTTCCCTGCTATGCCGCCCAAGAAGCCCGAGAACGAAGCCATTGCAAGAAGCACGGGGAAGCTAGGGTCCGGACCCCAACGCCGCTTCATGTCTTCATATACCCCAAAGCGCACCGTTGAGTATGTTGCCTGCCGGAGAACGGAGGCGGATATGCCGCTATAAAAACCGAGTATGCCTTCGGATTCGAGGATCTGTGCGACGGTGACGCTCATGCTCTTGGGCGCGTTGGCCGTTCGGGTTTGTAGTCGAACCTGTGTCGTGCATCAGCATCTCGACACATGTTAGACATCGCAGATTGATAGTAGTATACCTTGACTATAAGGGCATGTCAGTGTGTCTCTAGGCTTGGAAGGTATCTCGACATACCTACATCCAGAGGGTGAGTGACACACGCGGCCACGCTAGCTGCGCTGCCTCCAAACCAGAAGGGATACTGGATCTTGCTGGCTTTCAACCGCTGCTCCTTTTTGTCTGCAGACGCCGCGGAGAGATGCATGGCGTTGGCCGGTACCTCCGTCATGGTGCTCATGCCGGTTGTGGTCGCTTCTGCAGATTGAGCAAGAACCTCTTATGGGAACAAATCTGTAGGTTCCGGATGCTCAACGATCCAAGAACTTCCGTGACCAGCCGAAGCACCCTCAGCGTGTAAGATGATGTAAGCTAAACATATTGCGGTCATTCAGGGCCAGTGGGAGAAGATAGAGCTGTTTGAGGTAACCTGGTGCCCTGGCCTGGCCATGGATGATTATCGTGCAATCCCAGGCCATAGCCCCGATGCTGGATTGAGTCGGGCTCTCGACTGCTCACCACACGCTTGTAGTAGTTCTCTAGTATCTTCACGTCCATCGTGAATGACCCTATCAAAGCCGCCGGAATGCTTCAAGAGGACGATGGACAAGGTCGAACGAAGGAAAAGCTTTGATCTGCCCAAGCGATAGTTGGTGGGATTCATGGATCCCTCGGCGTAGCCTCACGGGGTGGAACTACTAGTAGTTGGAAAGGACATGCTCTTACCCGTTGCAGGCAACACTGGTGATTGAAGTTGCCGATCTGGCCAACGCAGGAAGCCCAACGGGTACGAGTAAGGTGTAACTTAGAAGCCCGCGTGGCAACATTGATCCGGGGTTTTCGGGAATTACTATTGGAGTTGTATGATGACAACAGGGGTCAGGGGTGGAGGGTGGGTCACCGTTCTTCCGTACCTCTGGCGAATGCAAGTCGGCGACCAAAGCTTTGCACGAGGATCAGGAGATACAAGGTCTGATCGCTTCGCTGCTGTGCCGTAGTATACAGTAGCGCTCCGTATTGAATGGTCAACCTCATACCGGGTGCAATCACTGCAACGACTTACCGCCTATGCCAGATCTACCGGTATACACTGAGCAGGATAGCAAGGTCAATAGGATGAGAATACTTAACATCTGAATATGTAATGCAATTTCGAGGTTCGCTTCCATGATAGCTTTTGTCCCAACAATGCAACGAGAAGTCTATAATACAGTGCTTGTCTATGGCTTCCAGCCTTTCGGCCCATGCCAAGTACCTTTGACATGCGACTTTTGGTAAATCCAGGGGAAGAAGTCCTTTTTCAAATGGTAAAATGCTCGTCGAGGGGTTGCCTGGTCGATGCCTAGCATATTGCCAAAGGTCTCCTTGGGCACTCCTCCATACTTGAACTCTGCAAGCATGACTTTTCCGTATTCCGTCAAAAGTGGACACGACGTGTACCCGTCGTACTTCGCTTCAGGCTCCTTGCCCTCCATAGAGGCCACCAAGTTCTGCACCAGAACTGGCGCTTGAGAAGTGATGGCCGCCACGGTCTTGGATGTGGGTAGACTAGAAGCATCGCCAGCGGACCATACGTTCGGATACTTCTTCTGTTGGAGAGTGTTCTCGTCCACATCGACATAGCCAGCCTCGTTCGTCAGACCGCTCTTCTTCACAAACGCGTGAGGTCCCATTTTCGGCACGGCATGCAAGAGATCAAACTTTTTCGTGACTTGTTCCTTCGTGTCGACGCGGTTGAAAGTGGCGGTATCGCCGTCGATTGCAACAAGGTCGTGCTGGAACAGCCCTTCGACTGCCCTTTCCTCCCGCATCTCGTTGAGCTTCTCGCTGTACTTGGCCACACCAAACATCACCGGAAGGCCAGTGGCGAAACTGACCTGAATGGCCGAGCCCGAAGGATTGCTGGGATCGAACAGACCTGCCCGTTTCCAGAGATCCACCGCGAGCCACATGATCTTCTGCGGAGCCCCAGCACATTTGATGACGCCTGCAGGCTGAGTGAACAAGGCAGCACCTTTCCGGAGCTTGTCGATGGTGCCGAAGACTTTGTTGCAAGTGTCATAGCCATAGATTGACGATACCAGTGAATTCTGATCAGCAAGAGCCTCCGGTAGGCCCTTGATGCTGTTGTAGTCGATCTTGATACCGGGTGTTACCACAAGCTGCTCGTAGCTGACCTTGTCGCCGTTGCCGAGCGTGATGAAGTTGTCTTTGGGCGAGAAGGCGTTCACGCTTTCGTTGTAGAATTGGAGCTTGGGATCGATCAAGTCCTTCATCGGTTGCCGCAGCTCCTCCTTGGTCTTGAGACCGCCACCGACCAAAGTCCATCCGGGCTGGTAGTCATGCGAGGTTGCCGGATCGACCACAGCAATGTCTCGAGGAGCAAACTTGCCAGAACGCAACAGCTGATGACTGATGGCCAAACCGGCGCTCCCACCGCCAATCACCACCACCTTGTGACTTCGTGTGGCTGGATGGACCGGTGATACTGTTGCAAGATTTCGAGTTGTCGAAGAAACATTGTGTGCGTTGAGCACGGATCGTCCCGCGTTGCAAGCGGCTGAGGTTACGCGGCTGTTGAACATTTTTCCTTCCGCCCTAAGAGAGAATGAGATGAGAATCACACGACAGCAACGAAAGGAGGAAGGAAGAGTTTGGGAATGGGAAAGGAATGGAATGCGTGGATTGATCGGGGAATGGGCAAGTAACCCTCAAAATATTGAAACCACGCCACGCCGTTGAAATTTATAGCTTGCTCGCTTGTCGGCGAGTCTTGACCCACAAGTCCCCGAAACTTTCACCGGATCTGACAGGGACAGGGACAGGGACATCGATGGGGAGTGGAACTCAGCCTTGCGTGACCTGATTACCCCGTAGATCCCTATGAGTAGATCCTGAAGGGCATCTTCAACGGCTTTAATACTTTCGTCGACTTCGGCTGCTTCACTTGTTTCCTGTGATCCATAGCAATCTTAAGCCACAATGAAGACGTTTTTGCCTCATAATAGTGTCAGCAACAGTCGGCAGACGACCATTGGCCTGCTTCTTGGGTCTCATGTAACAGTCCCGGCGTCGATACGTGCGAACTCCAGCAAGAAACTCCGTCCTTTGGGGCAAAAGGTCTTGGGGAACGCGCCATACAGTACCACGGCACAGAGGCCCTTTGCTATCACCGCACTTCGTCAAGCGTGCTCAAAGCAAGGGACTTGTGGACGGACATGCTCGCACCATAACTCGCCAGGCGCAAAGTTCATTGTCTCTAGAGCTGGGAGTCGAGCTGAGTACGCCACCGAAGCCACCGTTGTCACCGGAGAACCTGAAATCCACCCTGTCTTCCAAAATCAGACCGGTACATGGCAATATGTGGTCGCTGACCCAACCACTTCGACTGCTGTCATCATCGACCCAGCCTTGGACTATGATCCGGCCACACAGACCGCTAGCACTCAATCGGCCGACTCATTGCTCGCACTAGTCAAGGAGAAGGGCTACAAGGTCGACATGATTCTCGAAACGCACGCTCATGCGGACCACCTCACCGCAGCATCATATCTTCGCAAGCGGCTCGCTCAGGAGCAAGGTCAAGCACCGCACATCAGCATAGGGAAGCGCATTGGACAGGTGCAGACATTGTTCGGCCAGAGGTACGGCGTCACCGCCGAAGAGTATGAGCGCGTATTCGACAAGCTCTTTGACGACGACGAGACGTTTAGCATTGGCGAGATGAAAGCGCAGGCTATCCACCTTCCTGGTCACACTCCTGACCATCTGGGTTACAAGATTGGAGGTAAGATTGCCTCGATCCCCCAGGCCCCCCCCGGGTTAAGTGTGCTGGCTGACATAGTGCCTTTCAGATAATGTGTTTTGCGGTGACTCAATTTTCCATGCGGACATTGGCACAGCACGTTGTGATTTCCCAGGCGGTAGTGCGCAAGACCTTTACAACTCGTGCCAGAAGCTCCTTGGTCTTGGAGACGACGTAAAGATCTGGACAGGTCATGACTATCCACCTGAAGGCCGTGAGGCCCCAATACCATGGATGTCGGTCCGACAGCACAAGGAGTTGAACAAGCATATCAAGGATGGTGTGACCAAAGAGGAGTTTGTGGCTCTACGGCAAGAGCGTGATGCGAAGCTAGGAGAGCCGAAGCTCCTTCACCAATCTTTGCAGATGAATATTCGGGCGGGACACCTTCCCAAACCAACCGTGTTTGGGCAGCGGTTGCTTCATCTTCCACTGAAGCTGAAGAGCAAGGAATGGTAGACAAGGTGGACGCCTTGCACGGACCCCACAATCGATAGAGAGAACGGCTTCTCTGAGAACCAAAACTGGATCGTGAGTGCCATGGCGTGACGAGGCGCAGGGGCAGCTGTCTTCCGACCTGATGGGTGCGACTCGCTCCATGACCTCCAATTCGGGTGAAAGACGATCCTTTGAGTTGACGAGGGCGTTATCAAGGGATCCGAGGTGCAGTCTGGAGTCATTGACGGCATGACATGTGAGACTAGTTAGTTACCAGGTGTCTTGAGTGTAGAGTATCATCAAAGGGACATCCGGCAAAGCGGCAAGGCTGGTCTGCAGTGCTTGAGACTTCTCCCAAGCCGCAATATGAACGAATTTATGAACAAGCCCAAGGAGATCGAAAGCATATCGTCGCATCAAAAACCTACACTGGCGTGACTGGTCGAAGGCTCTACGAACAAACACGATCAGACTTCTTTGTCCACTGTGTTGCTCGATTGTTCTTAAGTATACCATTGTCGACGCTTTCTCTCCGTTGCCTGCTCATTGTAGCAATGATTCCCTGTAACAACGTCAGGCTGATGATTCTTTGTTTGGCAAAACAATGAGCAGCCACTTAGACACATACTGTACCACTGTCTCCGACTCGCCCTGCCGCCACGACCTCCTGGTTCCTTACCGTCGCTAGCACGACTCGGAGTCCATCCTATCTTGTCTCATGGTACCACACCAGGTAAGTCTTGATTTTGTTACCCAAACGCCCCGAACTCGTACAGAAGAAGAACAAGAAACAACCTAATCAAAATGCTGTTTTCACTATTTCTCGGCGCGACATTGGCGATAGCAACAACAGCCCCGGCCTTCCCATACAACCAGACGCAGAATAACAGCACCACCGGCTTCAAACAGAAGAACCACCACACACACCCTTCCCTCCACCACTCCCGAGACACCAACATCGAAACCGACCCAGTCTCCCAACTCCTCCTCATCGCCCCATCATCCATCTCCTGCACCGGAGCCCCCAACCCGGACGAATGCACCCCCTCCAGCCCTGCGCTCGTCCAGCTCCTCGTCGCCTCCTTCCAGCGGTACAACGTGACCACCCCGGCCGAGCAGGCCGCTCTCCTCTCGTGGATGGCGTATGAAAGTCTCAGCTTCCGGTACAATCGCAACCACTTCCCGTCCCCGGGCCGCCCAGGCCAAGGCACGCGAGTCATGCTCATGCCCAACTTTGTGGCCGAGTTCGCCGCCACGTTTCCCGAGTTGCAGAGTCGCCTAGCACAGGCACAGAGACAAACCCCGGGTAATAAGGATCCGGCCAAAGTGCTGGACCTGGTGCTGGATGACACCTACAGTTTCGCGGCGGCGGGCTGGTTTTATAGTTCCAAGTGCAGCGCCCACCAAAAGGAAGCGCTGCGTACGGGCAGCCAGGAGGGTTGGGAAGAGTTTGTAACGGCTTGCGTGGGGACCACTGTCGACAAGGGGAGGCAGGAGTATTGGGAGAGAGCGTGTCTGGCTTTGAAGGTTGTCGAGGGATAGGTGCTGTAAGTTGAGTTAATACGGCAGAGGGGTTGACGCGGCGTGAAGGTTGGCTTAGGAGAGAAAGGAAAACAATAGAATAATTATTGATTAATACTGTAAGTGAGCATGTAGTATCAACCGCCATGTTCTGACCAACAGTCACGTACGGTAAAGGGGCTTTCAACTCCTTTCCGAGACAAGTCTCCCTCCCACCCAGACCCTGTTGACGTTCTGATTATTACCATTCCACACCCACTTGCTCACCCTCTCATTCCACGTCTCCCAACCGAAGATATCGACGGGGCCCGTCTTGTCGAGGACAATCTCTTGCACATCCCAGAGCATGCCCGCTTCGAACCCGCCGAGCTTTCCATCCATGCTGACAACCTTTGCGCCTCCCATGGTACCAAGGTACAATGCCATGGTTGTGGGGACATCTAACGAGCGGTTGTCGTTGTCCAGGTAGCTGAGAGTTCGGCCAACGAGGAAAGCCTGACGGACCGTCTCCAAGATACTTGGCGAGTAGCCTCCGGCGGTGTCTGTGCCAAGACCGACGACAATGCCCTTGGACATCATCTTGCGCACCTGCGCGAGGCCCGAACCCAGCGCGCTGTTACTGGCAGGACAATGCGCGACCTTTGCTTCTCGAGCTGCGACCAAGTCCATCTCCTCATCCGTCAGATGGACCGCATGGCCAAGGATAGAACGATTGGTCAGCAGGCCATGATCGTCGTAGACGCCCGCATAAGACTTTGACTCGGGATACATCTCGGCAACCAGGGCGACTTCCTTCACATTCTCGTCCATATGCATCTGAAGCCGCAGGCCGGTTTCATTAGCAATCTTCCCCAGCTCGGTCAACGACTCGTTGGTGCACGAAGGCGCGAAACGAGGGGTGACAATCGGCGCCACGAGTTCACCACTGGGGTCGAGGTTCTGGATGTACTTGATTGAAGCCCAGGTCTTGTTGATGGCGTCCTCGGTCGACTCGTCCTTGTAGTATGAAGGGTTATATTCTTGGTTGTCCTGGCAGGTTCGGCCAACATATGCACGCTGTCCAATGGAGTAGGCCAACTGCGCGAGCAAGTTCGTGGTCTCGACGTCGATGGTGGCGTAGTACGATGCAGTCGTGGTGCCGTAGGAAAGTGTGGTCTTGATGACACCGGTGTAGACCTCCAGTGCGCGTGCATAAGGGTCCGGAGGTGTGGTGGCATTGGCGTACATGGGCGATTCCGTCGTGCTTAACGAGGATTCCATTGGGAAGGTATACTTCTCCAGCCACTCAAGTAAGGTGCCTTCAAACAGGCCGAGGTTGGGATACTGAGGGGCATGAATATGGGCGTCGATGAAGCCTGGAAAAAAGAACCCATCATCTGCAGCCTGGACGACCGGTACCTCGCTTGAGACACCGAGCTGTGAGGTGGCAGACTGGACATCCTGGACGTCCCAAACGGCAGCCTCGATTGTTCCTCTGCCGTCGCTGCTCGTTACCAGCACGGCGCCAGTCTTGATAGACAATTCATTTGGGCCTGGGGCGGAAATGAATCGACCGAAGAAGACTTGCTGAGTCTTGTCGTTGGAACTGCTATTAGAGCCGGAGGAAGGGGGGAATGCTGGCCAAGACGAGGCTTCGGGATGCCATGGATGGGCAGTGGCGGCTGCAGCAAGGAGGACAACTGCAGTCAAGAACATCATCGTGATCCCGGTATTGTCGCTGGGGGAGGAAGTTCTGAGTGGAGGACGGCATCCCGACAGAAGGGCACCTCGTTCACCTCATTATATGGTTCAAAACGAGCTTGTCCGTATCTGGCACGGGTTCTTGACGACTATTTTCGATGGTCCTAGTCTTCAGCCGGAGTTTTCAGCCTCTTTCGCCTGGCCTTGCCGACTGCGACTAGGTTCCTGATCTCTAGAGGGCTGCATTGAGCATGTTCAGACTCAGGGTTTTTGATCCAGTCCTCTGCACGGACAGCGGGCGGGTCCAAGCGTGTCCTTGGTGGCCACATACTGAACCTTCTTCTTGGAGTTGCGGAGAAGTGACAGAGTCAACCAGTTAGGCATCGCCCCCACCGCCGTCGTGATAGCACATGGCTGTGATCCATAGTCGCTGGTGCGACGTTACCGAGTCTATTGGGTCCGAGACGTCCTGCTCCTGCTCACGTGACCGAGCCGCATTCGAGCCTGGCACTGTCCATCTCGTATTCGTCGTTTGTTTATTGCCATCGGAAATCCAATAGTCTCATATACAGCGGCTGAGTAGCCTCTCTTCAGGCGCAATTGCAACGCTTCCCAGGCGATTCGCTGCTGGAAGCTTGCAAGGTTCGTTGCTGTCGAGAAATGAGGTTCAGATGTGTCATAGTGATCGTGCTCGATACATCTGGTCAGCCACCTTCGAAGTTGAGCTGGCAGAGACTTTCAGGAGATCGAGGGATGCAACGTTGGAGACGGATACAATCGCATGTCCGACTTGAAGAGCGGGCAGAGTGAGTGAATGTAGTGGGAAGTGAGAAGGATGGCATCAACGGGCAGTGTTTTATTGGCAGCCAAGTCAGTCACACGTGATCAGGGAAACATTTGATTACTAAGCCTGGTTCCAGCCCAGACCGAGCGATACCTACATGATGCTACTCTACATCTTGAAGTGTAGTAGCAAATCTTCAAGACAGGACGGTCGATGGCAGCGACGTTTGTGGAAGACAGGTACTAGTATGAGCGAACAATGTTTCTTTGCTCTTTTGAAGTTCCAGTACTATATAGGGTATCAATTACATCCCGACATCATGATAGATGCCTCATTATGCCAAAGCCGCTTGTTCCATTCCAGTCCATTCCATCCGGTAACACCAGTGCAGAATTCAACACTTCATGATTCCTGATTGCGTTTCGACTGCGACGTGCAATGATCCCGACGCCTATCACTCATCGCTCTCGGCATCAGCATCAGCATCATCATCGGCATCGGCGTCGGCATCCTGCTCATCTTCATCTTCACCGCTCTCGCTATCCTTGTCCGCCTCTTCCTCCGTCTTTGTCGGGGTAGAAGTATGCTTGACTTCCATACTATCTGCCTCACTACTGCTCTCCTCCTCTTCTGCTTCCTCCATCATTTCCCTCCGTTCGGCGACCCGGCCGCTCCGTCTTCGCCCAGGCGGAGTCCCTGGCCGCTCAACAGGCTCCAGCCCAGCGAGCCAGAACTCACCCTTCCTCCTGCCGGCCCGGACAACCCCCTGGGTCAGCGCCCAAGCCTTCAACCCCTCATCGACATCCTCATCCTTTGCGCGGGCTGCATCTCTCTCAAAATGCCGCCCGACATGCTCCATGCGTTTGTCCCATGCACTGACACTCACCACGCCGTCCTCCACCTGCCCCTCGACGAACTTCTTCCCACAGAACCCGCACTTGCTCCGTTCCGGCGCCTTCCTGGAATCAACCCAGCACCGCGCACGAATGGCGTCAAGCTCCTTCTCGAAAGCATCTTTTTCTTTCTTCGTGACGCCCTCCTCACCATGGGTCGTCCCAACCCAAGGCGCATGCATCCGGCGGCAATGCTGAGTGAACAAGTCTTTGCGGTTGAAGTCATTGAATCCTTTGTGTTGGGTGCGGGCAATCTGCGGCGAGCACGAGCCCATATCGCACCGGAAAAACCCGAGCTGGAGATGCTGCGACGAGACATGGCGCTTCCACTCGTTCTTGCTGGCAAAGGTGCCGCCGCAGCCATAGTGATGGAAGGTGCAGGGAAAGAACTTAGAGCCATTGTTTTTCTTCTTGCGCGGGACCTTCTTGGCCTTGGGCCTGGAAGGGCCGACTGTAGCTGTATTGTTTTGAGTGTTTTTGTGCACTCGAGAACGAGGGTCAATGATAGCCTTTGGGGCATGTTGTCGTGGGGAACGTAGAGACTGGCGAGAGTTTGCAAGACCACGACGGACCGACGCAGAAGTGGGTATGAATTCAGAGTTGTTGTCGCTGTCATATGCGCCGGAGAATTCTTCTGCGTCTTGCATTGACGCGTCGTCATCGATGGAGGAGGCAAGTGTCGAGGCAGGGGGACTGACGAACTGTTCTGATAGTTCGAGCTCTTCGGGAAGATTGATCTTTCCATGAATGGTGTCTTTGTCGTCAACGAGGTCGTCCTCGATCTTGGGATCTGGTGTAACCTGGAGATCCCGCATGCTTAAAGCGAGGTTACCTGTTGGGGTCGTCATGGTAGGTAGGACGCCAGGCGAATGATGTGTCCACAGATGTTGCGATGCAGCTGGCATACCAAGCGAGGCATGGGTGGAAACAGGGCTTTCGAAAGTGAAGGAAAACTCTTGAGTGGTCCTGACTGCATCTGGAGTGAAAGCATAATCGCTGACAGAGGATTCGGTGCTAGACAAGGTGTTGGTTGATGGGGAAAGGTAACGGATTTGACGGTATTCGTCAATGTCTCCAGTCCATGTTCCGGATAGATTGAGTTGGTAGAGTGTGCTCCCATAATCGCACCTGTAAGACTGGTTGAAACCTTGTGCGGTGGGGTTGTAAGATGAAAAGCAACGTCGTGTATCGATTTGTTGTTGGTCGTGAAGCCTGAGATAAGGATAGTCGTGCTGAAGAGATCGCAGCTCAGGGTCAATACAGGATAGATCGTCTCGGTCATACCAAGAGGACTGGAATTGATCGATTTCATAGGCTCCGCGGGAGTAGTCAGCGTCCACAGTTGCCACGAAGTCCTGGTTGTGTATATGAGGATGCATGATTTGTTCACCTCCAATGTTTATGCCTGCAATAAAGAATGGAGGTGGAAGGGGAGGATCAGGATGTGCTGTTTGTTCCACACGAGGTTGGGAGCAAAAATGTCAGAGGAGCGTTTTCAAGTGCACAAACGAACGAGCATCCGAATATATGAGCCAGACATCTGGATGGTGGGTCGGCTTTTGACAAGCATCAAGCGATTTCGAAAGACAAGCAGCTTTCAAAAGATAACAAAAAGGGGCCAGAATACTCCAGCAAGAGCCACCGATTTGGGTGTGGAAGTATAGCAGTATCTCTCAATGCTTGCAGGACACTGCTGGGGGCATCTTCTCGCTAGGGGAGGATGAGTGCCCAATCATCACAAGAAGAAATGCTGGCAGAGCCGCACTAAACTGAAAACGCCTACCGCAAAAGAACGCAAAAGAAAAGCATTGTGGACCTGCAACTTGCTAGCGTGCCGCCCCGAGCGGGCGACCTTGACCATGGAGAAGAAGGTGTCGCCTGTGTGTATCACAACTGCGATGTTGATGAATGAGTGGTGGAGTGATAAGCACACTTACCGGAATGCTGGTCATTGGATTGGTCGGGACCAGACCGGTCGATGCGAATCCTTGTCGAGGGGCTGCGCATTCTGCCTTAGGAGGTTGCCCTTTCGACGCCTAGTGAGCCTGGCGATGCCCGACCTCAAAACGCCATACTCCACTGCCACCAGATGCTCTGGAGAGGGACGAGATCTTCTGTGGCTTTCGAGCTGTCTGTCAACCGCATTAATGTCAGCCCAGCCCCTGCATGGCCGCAGCATGGCAACATCCCAACACGAAGTACGAAGAGTACTAGTATTTTGAAAAGATTCCTCGTTACGAAATCTCGTGGTCAAGATTCATTCAGCTAGGAAGGAGCATGAAGGGAGTCCGCTTCAGGTAATAGCTTTAGAGTCCAGAACCACAATCGTCGAGCAAGTCGCCAAAACAGGAGGGCTTCCCCAGAAACAGGCATGGGGAACCGAAGCTGGATGGTGATGGAAACTAGTGCGATCGGCGAGACAGTGTCGAGAGTGGACGAGGACTCGAGGAGGGTCTTAGTTTGTCCAGGTCATGGCCATCCGTAACAAAGAGACTGGCAAGACTGGCTGTTTGTACTGGTGGAGTTTCGCTTGAAGTTGGCGAGCTGGGGAAGGAGGGGTCGGATCGTGACATCCAAAAGAGCTTGTCGACCCTGGCTCACGAAGCACTATGCTAGTTAGTTCGAGCACTTCGAGCTTTGAACAGCCCCCACAGCGTAGAGGCTGCAGGGGCGCGGCCAGGGATACTCGTACTAAGAATAATCAAAAACGATGTCTGGCATTGCCTCCTGGAACACGAGGAAAGGCGGACCATGGGTGACGTCTCATAGGCTTCTGTAGCCGGCAGATACCGGTGGCTGGAAAACAAATCGATTGTCTTGCTTCACACCTCCTTATGCTCTTTTCCCCAGGGGAAATTGCGTCTACCATTGCGTGTCAGAATAATTGCTGGTGGTTGGTAGTGTGTCCCTGGCGAGGGCACTTCGCAACGTGCCAACGGGCAAGAAAAGGCAACAGCCAAGCGTGGATCAGCGAACCTGGCCACGAGCCGGGGTACGACTGGCTGATCGTGAACTTGTAGGCGAATTGAAAGCACTAGGTTAGCATAGTTAGTGGAGTGATATTTTGGCCCATCTAACGAATACTCGGATCGCTTGGGGTGTAGAAAAAGGCACAGATCGTCATGACAGCGCATCATGATCCTCGAACAAGCCGACGCATCGGAATTTTTGATTGGGAACATGCCCTGGCGTGCCTGGTCAAGTGTGGGTGGTGATGGCGGGCTGTTTCATGGTCGCAGAAGTCGTCACATTTGCGGTGAAGCGTGTGTGGAAGCCAGGCGGTTCCAGACTTCAACGGAATCTGCCAGTTTCAGTTCCATGCCCATGTCAATCCGAGTTACCGGGAGAGTCTCTGCCAGATGTTTACCACAGTAGGCCCTAAAAGGAAAGCGTTGTGGACAAGGTCGATGGAGTATCAAAGAAAAGAGCAACAGAGATGAGCAAGTGTCAACTCACTTGACGCTTGTGGAGAAGAGGAGGAAGGAAAGTCTGTGCTTAGGCGCCGCTAAAAGGCTCACTAGTAGGCCTAGTGAGCCCCGGAACTGCAAAGTTCTCGGGCGGCACCTGGCATCTGCCCGCCCGAGACGGGCCTTCGGCTTCTTGCCTGGACACGATGTGGGAATGATACGAAAGTACCTAGGTACCTAGGTACTGTGGTACTATGGTCGCCTCCGTACGGAGTATGGCTCGATGGCTGCCTTTGAGGGCCCGGATCCGCCTCACTAGCCGTCACATACGCTCCATCATGGCTCCAAAGGTAATCTGGACGTTGTCACATACATGGTTGTAAACCTGAACTTTTGTTGACCCATGACGGAAATGGCAACTGGAGATACGAGGCGAGCACCGGCATCTTGGGCTCAGTCACGACACCATGGGCAGCATTATTGCCTCCACTCATCTTCGGATCGTGCATCTCTCCTGCATTCGTTAGGGCCGGCGTTATTAGCGGGTTGCCTATTGGCATCCTTTGTTCAGCTCCCTTCCCTTGCCATCGAAGTCGCACCCATGCGTGCTCCCATTTCCGTGGTGTTTTCCTCAAACGATTCTGTGCGCTTCCGATAAGTCCACTAGAGTCGTGGTTGCCCCCTCTGCAATCATCATGCCATTATCATTCGGTGATGATTTACCTCGTGCATTGACCTCCAGCCCGTGTGCTTCACTGACTGGTTCTCGAGCCCTGCTCTTCATCCAAAAGCCTGGCGAGAACCTTGTATGTCTCTCCATCAAACCAGTCGTAACGCCACCAAGCTACCGCTTCCGTTGGCACAGATGTTTGGCTTCGTCCAAATTCACGGACCCAGCTAGCCTAGATCTCGTCTTTCCCACGTGCTCCCCCTGCAAGGATGAAGCCTCCGTCTGATCCCATCTCCACAGTGCTAGGGCCACCAACCGAAGTCTGAAAGCCCCCCTCGAATAGCCTAGAGCTTTACGTTAAGCACCGCGAAGCACAATGCTTTCGCCAATAACCCTCGTCAAGCACATCCTTGTCTGCGATTCAGCTCTCGCAGCCCCTGATGATTTTAGCAGACATCATTCACGGATATCGAAGGCTTGTTCCGCATGTTTGAGCCAGTATCCGAAAGCGAGAACCTCTTCTTGGTAGTTGCTTCTTTGTTGATTTCGTCCAGACCTCCAGGCTCCCAGCCACCCGGTAGAACCTGCCCGCGCGGTGGTATAGTCGATTATGGTGGTTTCCACGAAGCAACATGTCAGACCACCATTTCGCTGCTGAGCCCCTGCGCATTGCAGACGTTGCTGGGTGCTCGACAACCCTGCCACCCATCAAGTAGTCACAGCAAGAGTCTGCACTCCGCGTCGTGACAGCTGTCACTATGCACCATCAAAACTCGCGTACCCGGACTCTCATCCCTTCGCTATCATACTGCTCATATTCCTCAGGAGTGGGTCGATCTGCGTGCCTCTCAATGAGCGTGAATGCATCTCCGGGGCTTATCATGCTTGACTCGCCCATTTCGCGGGCTGTCGGTCGAGATCTCGATCGCCGGCGTCGTACCTTCCCAAGAGAGACATCGTGGCGCAAGCCACCACCCACATCAGGCCCTTCCAAAGACCCGAGCGAAGACGAACGAATTGGTGGTGGGCGCGGCGCATGCACCCATCCATGGTCGTGCTGTTCTGGACTGGTCTTCCTATGTCTTCGGCCACGTTCGTCCGGATGTGGTATCACAGCTGTACTATGACAAGTCCCCTCTTCTATGTTTTGTTGCCTTGAATTGGATCGCGATCGCATACGTCTGTAAGAGCGTCCGTGGTCTCCGTCGTCGTCATCGAATTCTCCATCATATCCAGGACGTCGATAAGCCTGAAAGTGTGCATGGTTAGTTGGCCCTTGTTGTGGAGAGTATGGTCGTGGGTTAGGTTGATATGGGGCATGTCGAACGTGATGCTCCTCTTCACCAGCATATGTCGTGGGCTGAGCTGCTGGAAAGTCCGTGCGGGCATGTTCTCGACGGCGCTGGCGCATGCTCTGCGGCAGAGGCCTTGATGAAGCTCGTACACTACAATGGTCAGAATTTGCATACGCATCAGTCCTTCGATTGATATTGCTTACCCTCTTGGACTTTCGTGCTCTTCGTCGTCACTGTAAAAGTCTGCATCCCTGACTCGTCTTCTTGAACGGTCATCGTCGTAAATAATGAGTTGTTCCACTGGAGAGAGCCTTAGTCGGCGCGTGTGCCGCGCCAGGTCTCTATGGCTTAATTCTGAACATTGACTGCGTCTGTCTCTGTCCCTGTAGTGCCCCTCCGAAGAAGTAGATGAAGCAGAGTCGGTGTCTGATGTGTCCCCATATCGACGCCGCCGATTGTCAGTCACTCTTGAACGCTCACCTGACCGAGCTCTCCTCCGGGAGTTGTGTCTCTTTTGCCGGTGTCTGGATCGATTTCTGGATCTTCGTCCATGTGACCGGTATCGTCGTTTGGGTGATTGCGAGCTGGAGCTGCTCTCGTCCTCAGAATCAGTAGCTCGTTCTCGACACTTCCGACAGACAGTCTTGGTAGGGAGTTGACCCGGTCGAATGGGGTGCTTGTAGTGGTATCTCGTTGACCGAAATCGGCCGCAAACTTCGCATTTGTACCTCAAATCTGATGGATTGGGAAATGTGGCAAATCGTTGTTCAGGAACCTCTAGCGGGACTACGCTAGGAGGCCCAGCATGAGGTGGATGAAACGGCGCCGGCTGCATAGGGAACGGCATCGGCTGTTGAAACGGCGGCCCCGGAAAAGCTGGCGGTATATGTGGAGGCAAGAGATGCATAGGAGGGGGCACATATGGCATGAATGGTGGTTGAAAGGGAGGGCGGTTTTGATTTGCAGCATTGCTGTTCTGGACGTAGGAGCTTGGTGGTTCTGGGTTCTGCTGCTGCGGTGGCACCAAGTACATGTTGACAGGTTGTGGCTGGCCTTGTGAAGTAGGAGCCATTTGCGGAGGGCTAGGTGTTGGCGGACGATCGGATGTCTGCGGAGATTGAGGACTATTGGAGGCGGGCGCAGGCAGCTCGGGCGGCTTTCCGCCAGGATGGTACTGGATATGATGGTTTTGACGCGAATCCCTGAGAGAAAACAATGAGCGCTCTTTCCAGGAAAGCAATGCCTGAACCAAGAGTTGACGGGTCGAAAGCCGTCTGGGTTTGCTTCGAACGAAGTACGGACGGCCGTGGGAGTCTCGTTCAATCCAGGTCGAGCGGGAAGTCATGGTGGTGAAGTGCTGTCATTGTGTTGGCCGAACGTTGGGCATGAGGTGAAGAGGTGAAGAGATGAAGCGAGGAGAGCGAAAGTACTAACCTGGTATCAGACTGGTTCTGGTCTCGAAATCCGAAATAGGCGTCATATGAAGGATAATATGTGCGCCCATTCGCAGTGATCGGTGCGTAGCCTTGTGATGGTGCTTGCCACATGTTGAGATAGCAATAGCAACGTTGGACTAGGCAACTGCGTTCAGTGAAGTGAAGTTCCAGAACGGCTATCACTCCCACGCGAACGACCACTGATTCTGCTTTGCTATGTCAACACATCGTATCTGCTATCAACCCAGGATCGGGTACTGTAGCCATCACGCTTCTCGAGTATGAAGAGTATAGCATCATGAAGCGGGAAGGCAGACGTGTTTGGGACGTTTCACAGTCAATTCGAGAGGAGACGCGGCGATAGTTCCTCGGAGCCTCTTCCCGTCGTTGGGAGAGTTATTCACCTTTCCAACGTTCTGTCTTCGTTTTATTAAGGCAGAAGGAAGGGGGAATTCGTCAGGGTGTTCTTCATGCCTTACTGTCCTAATTCTGGACTTCATCACTACCGCCGGGCGAGTTACGAGTGACCTCAGCAGCGAACTCATTAAATCAATTGCTCACCTTCTGACGGTGTCTCCCTCTACGAAAGAAATGCTGCTGTGCCTTTCTATCGCAGACCGTGAGAGGTGGTCGTTGCTAACAGCTTCATGAGCTTACGAAAGGTGGCTTGTTCGTCCCTTGGCTTATATCATCTTCCCGTTCCGCCTCCGATTGGAGCTTCGATGGCTGCGTAACTACTACGTACAACTTTTTGCAACTCCAAAAAATTGGCGGGTAACGCGTATGTACAGTGGCTTGGATTAACCTACCAGGCGAGCAGGATATTCTGTACTCATATCGAGGCTGAGGAAATATATCTTGACAGTGAATATGTGTTGCCAATCGTGACTACCAGAATGCCACTGTCGAGTCGGAGCACACTTCACCATCTACAGTCACTGCTCCTATCTTCACATTTCTCACCTCCAGCCCTGTACTCAGAATGCCACCCTTCAGTGCCTCTGACACCAGTCTCTACCGCAAAGATGTTGCATCCGGTGGTCGTACACTCACTCCAGCAGAGCGAGAAAAGCTCCTTCAACAATACCTCCCACCACCACCTTCAGACTCTCCCAGGATGGACACCCGCTCCTCGACAACAACTCCCCGACAGAAACTGAGGGGCCATAAGAGACGGGTCCGTCCCTTCCTAAAAACCAAGCTTCACTTCCTCATCTTCTTCCTCATCCAACTCGTCTTCGGCATCTACATTCGTCTGCGCCAGATCTACCATGCCACACTCGACCGGCTACTAGCCATCCGACACTACCACCACCGCACGCCCGAATACATTCAACGCGACGTCAAGAACCTCGATCGAATACCCGAACACCTCAGCGTCGTACTGAAATTCAAATCTGAGGAGGAGGGCGGCCTTGAAGCGCTCACGGACGAGGTGGCAGAATTGAGTGCTTGGTCTGCGTCCGCAGGAATACCATTGCTGAGTGTATACGAAAAATCGGGCATCCTGAAAACATACATGGCGTCTCTACAAGCACTGGTTAACCAAAAACTCGCTGCTTACTTCGGTCCTGCCCCGGCCGCACCAAGTCTGAGAGTTTTTGCGCCAAATCTCCCATCTACGAGCCCCTCGCCATCTCCTTCACCTCGGATACCAGCTCAGACAGAGAATGGTTCTACCAGTCCCCAACGACAGCACCTCGATCTGCTGCTTCTTTCTGCTACGGATGGCAGAGACACGCTTGTCGACTTGACAAGGACTCTAGCCGAGATGGCACAATCGCACAAGATCAGGCCGAAGGACATTACATCGAATCTCATAAACACTGAGATTAGAGCGACGACTGCCATCACAGGCACGAGGCACCCCACAGCCCCGGCAGTGCGGAAAGAAGTCGAAGCTGGAGAACCAGACCTTGTCATAGTCTTCGGACCCTACGTCAAGCTTGACGGCTATCCACCCTGGCAGATACGCTTGAGTGAGATTTTCTGTGTCGGAGATTCAGGCGGCGATGTGTCGGGCAGTGCAAGTACCAGAGTCGAGTACCAGGCCTTCCTGAGAGGGCTCTGGAAATACGCCGGTGCTGAAATGAGATTTGGCAGATGAGACCGGACGTCTCATCCATTAGGACAGATACCCCGTATGCCGTCCCGGCAAGCTGATAAGACAGTGTACAGTTGAATCAAAGATATACGATTCAAGATGAAGTCATGAAATTCCCAAGCGGAAATGACCTCCTAAGCGCTTTCTCGCTGTCATCCCTCCCGGCTTCGTATGACAGGACCAAACAGGCTGCATCCACCAGGAATGGTGGCGACCCGGTTATAGGCGCCGCGGTTCAGAACTCACAAATCCCGTTCAAAGGATAAACGAGAAGGTCGTCCCCGGCAGCCACACTCAAACAACAAGTCTATCAGCCTTGCCCAAATGGAAAAGACCCGCATAGACCACCAACAAACTTCCGTCCCTGTCTGTCATACTTAGCCATTAGAACGTCTCTTGAATCAACAGCTTTCGATTCGATGTTGTTCATGAACGGGACGGGGGAACACTCACGTCTTGTCTCGGAGTTGCTAGGTGTAGTCTTCGTGACTTGCTACCGCCCGTCCCGTACTAAGCTGATTAAGCTGGGAGAGCATAACTAGGTATCAAGTCGAGAAAGCTCGTCTGCTGCACCTGCGCTAGCTTGCATGCCGTGACAAAGTACTGCGCTGTAAAGTAAATTGCAATTGGGAAACTCCTTAAAGCCCAAAGTCCCAGCTAACGCCTGCTAAGACTCAGTCATCAGAATCGTCATCGTCATAAGGATTGTATATCTCCCACAGTTCATCGTCGTGCTCGGTGTTTATGAGTGCATGCAGAACTCGTTCGTATGTCCACATCGTTACTGCAGAGGCTGGAGCGGCCTATTTTTAGGTCAATCTTGGCTAACGTTCGGACATGTATCGATTCATACCTTGATCAAACTGACAGTCAACCCACGGTACCAGCCTCGGTACCCTTCTCGTCTCCAAATTGCTGCAAGGCCCCGAAACACGCCTTTGTACTCGGGAATATTGGTGTGGATGTATCTCGTCCTAGTCGGGCCTTGGACTTGCAGTCTCTTTCTCACCAGGTCAAGCGGGAACACCGCGGTTTTCGCGAAGATGCTGGCAAAGACGCCGGCAGTAGCATCTCCAGAGCCAAATGGGAGTGTCTTGCCACCAATATATTGATGCAAAAACTCATAGCTCATGAAGAAAAGACCCATATACGGCACAATCTGCCCGACCGCGGCGCTCAGGCCTCGGAAGAACCCCGTTGGGCCTTCATGATGGGTGATGTCGCGTACGGCGCCAAACAATCCTTGATAAATCCGCTCTGATCCTTGTGCCGCAAACCTGGTCCGTAGGAGATCGAGAGGATATGTGGCTGTAGTCGCAGCGGCTCCTGCACCTGCGCCGCTGATGAACGATTCTACTGATGGTGGCGGGCGGGTTGGTAGTAGACTCTGAGCCTGAGTGATGGAACGGTACGCGACGAATTGAATACCACCGTAGCAGACGTACATCAACTCAGCTGGAACGTTCCCCTTCCATAGGCCCTGGATACCCTCCTGCCGTACGATGGCCCGGACTGTGGAAAAGGCGCCTTTGTAGATGGGGCCTTTGATGCCATCGCACGATAAAGGATCTGATAGTGAGTGTGGTTGAAGCTGCAACCTGATCTTGACAACGTCAAGAGGCGCGATACAGAATCTGGACACGAGTCCTGCAACACCGCCCGCTAGAATGACCTGCTGTCTCGTGCCCTGGGATCGTGATAAGCAAGGGAATTCCCCGGTGTTGACGACCAACTTACCTCATCTTTGAGTCGCTCTACCTCCGCCGACATACGCCCTAGCTCGTGTTTATAGCTGCGGCGCAGCGGTAGCAGCGGAGGACGGCGACTGAAGCGTAGTATCAGACAAGTGTCGACGGGGAGCTGTCATGGTCTTTATTAAGTTGGATGAATGGTTGCAAGATCTACGTAAGAATTGGCGATGACATCGAAGGCTATCCACGTGATCTCGCGTTTCGAGGCGTGTGAGCCTTCAGCCTTGTTCTTTTATGCACGGAAAGTTGGCAAGGCCTTGATATCAATGTGATCGCTCAATGTGATCGCTCAACGTTGAGCTTCTCAAAATTAGGCTGCGCACATCAAGCTAGAGTGTCACCGCTTTGGATCATGGTTCAAGCCCAAGGAGACTGGCCACCAGCAAAGATGAGTCCATTCTCCGAAATGTCTGGTATAGTTACGAATCTATAAACATGACGCCGAGAAAGATAAAGTTGCTGCGCACTGCGTCGAAGAGTCCGGAGACCGGATCTCATTGTCTTCTGGTACAGTTCCTACCATTTTCTGTCGATATCTGGGTTCTGGTAGAGAGCAAGCTCGACGCTACCACATCGACCAGTAGTACTATCCTCCGCGTTATACTAAGCTCTCTGGAAGGAGCCCAACCATGACAGTACCTAGGTAGTCAAGACAACACGCGTCTAAGTACATCGATTAAATCTGTGGCAGGTTCTGCACCGTACACGGAGTGTTGGATGGCGAACGAAAGGACAGGCAAACCATAGGCGTAGCACTGCCCATCTTACTTAATGGACCTTTACCAGAGGAGTCGTGCTTGGTCTCGGCATTGGCCCTGAAAACCAATTAACGCCCGTGACGCTTTAACTTACTGCGCGTCATGGAGCGTCAAACCCATCCACTTCAATTCTAGAGCGCAACCTTTCTCTTTTCCTTGTGCCAAATCTACACTTCACTCACGGAGTACCGGTGCAGACAATCCCTTTGTCGAATGCAATGATGCTTCACATGGGGCACCTACAGCTATGTTCAGGAATCCTCGAGAAAACGCCACTGTAGACCCTTCCAAAGCCCTTTTACCCTCGACCGGCCGTCCGCCCACTCCACCTGCGACTGGGAGCAGCAAGCATATCACCTCCTCCCCGTACTTCGCCTCCACAACAACGAAAGCCTCGTCAATGTCCAAGACTCCGGTCCTAGGCCGCCAGCCTGCCACCAAAATCCCCAGCTCAAAGAAGGGTGCATTTCGACAGAACCAGAGCATCCTCCAGTTCTTCGGCAAGGCGGACAAGAACGATCACAATGGCGTTGAAAAGGCTGGCGTTCCTTTGTTCTTCAAAGATGCACATCAGCCTATCGAAGAACCAGACGCAGTGGACTGGGTGCCCAGTAGGAATAGTCGTAACGAGCAGGGCCGGTACAACGAAGATGAAACTCCGGTAAAGAGGAGGCGCACGAGCCAGGACGGCGACTTCATTGTTAGGACACCTTCTCCTGAACGCGCGCGCTCACTTCCAGAAGTTGAGGCAAAAGTTCAGGTGCAGAACTATGTCAAGGCTGAGAAATCGAAAAAGCAGCGCGGCGGGTTTTTGGATGATTCAAGCGACGAGGAAGATGAGGGTTGGGCAGCAACCGTTGACGAAGTTGCCGAGCAGTCCAGACTTCCGGACAGACCAGGAGAAGCTGGGATGGATGTGACGGACGACATCGACACTGAGACCGCATCCACGACTACCAGGGTTCCTCTGAAGCCTCCGGATTTCAGCTTTGGTGAGAACGCAGGTCATGATCGGCACAAGCGTACCAAGGCTGTCGAGACTGTACCGGAACTAGCTCATGAGGAGACCAGCATGTTCAACCCTGGAGATTTTGGAGAGGAAGAATTCGACGACGACGAATTCTACGAAGGCGGAGAAGAATTTATGGAACGACGTTGGATGGAGGAGCAACGAGAAATGGGTCTGGACTTTGACGAGGATTCGAAGTCGGATAGCGGAGCTGACAGCGTGCGGACGCCGCACAGCAATGTCGAAGATGACATGCAACTCGATGTAGAGCAGCAGAGCGACGGCGTGTCTCGTTGCCCCCTCTGTAGCGGCAGCATGGAAGGCCTGTCCGAGATCCAGGCATCTTCCCATGTCAATGCTTGCCTCGATGGCACAGCTGAATCTCTGCCGAAAGAGCGCGAGCTCAAAGCCCCTCAGAAGCCGAAGCCGAATGTCGTTATGGCTCCCGAAGGATCAGGTCCGAAGCGCTTCCAACGTGCTGCACTCCCGCGCCCCGCGCAATCCAACCCATTTTCTGTTGGCAGCGACTTTAAAGGTGGCTCAGCTTTCACTCGGCTGATGTCTGGACACGCTGAGGACGCGGCGTGGGCAGAGGCAGCGGCCCATGAAGTACAATCTCGTGGCAAGCCGGCATACCAACGAACTTGCCCCTTCTACAAGATCATGCCCGGCTTCTACATCTGCGTTGATGCTTTCCGCTATGGCAAAGTTGAAGGTCAGAATGCTTACTTCCTCAGCCATTTTCATAGCGACCATTATATCGGCCTCACATCGTCATGGTGCCACGGTCCGATATATGCCAGCAAAGTCACCTGCAATCTCATGCTACAGCAACTGAAGGTCGATCCCAAATGGGTGGTGCCACTTGAATTTGAGAAGAAGGTTGAAGTCCCCAACACAAAGGGCGTCTTCGTTACCATGATCCCGGCAAACCACTGCCCAGGCTCTTCATTGTATCTGTTTGAGAAGGTCACCGGCAAGAACAGGGACGGCTCACAGAAAACAACGAGAATCCTCCACTGTGGTGACTTCCGCGCCTGTCCAGCTCACGTCAGTCATCCGCTCTTACGACCAGATGTCATGTGCAGTATCACAGGCCAAGTCAAACAGCAGGTCATTGACACTTGCTATCTAGACACGACTTACCTGACGCCAAAGTACGCCTTTCCCAGCCAGCACGACGTCATTGACGCATGTGCCCAGATGTGTGTTAGCTTGTCGAAAGAGATTGTCGATGTGGACGACAACTGGGAACGAACGAAAGCAGATCGGGCTGGCAGTACCATGAAGAAGTTTCTCGAACAAGGGGAGACTAATCTGCCCAAACAGGAGGACGACGAAGTGGACAAAAAACCGAAAAAGCGAGGACGCCTGTTGGTCGTCATTGGGACTTATTCGATCGGCAAAGAACGGATTTGTCTAGGCATTGCGAAAGCATTGAACTCAAAAATATATGCACCACCCTCAAAGATGCGCATATGCAAGTGTCTTGAAGATGATGAGCTGAACGCCCGACTTACGCCGCACCCGCTTGAAGCTCAAGTTCACATGCAGACGTTGATGGAAATCCGCGCAGAAACTTTGCACGAGTACATGACGAGCTATGGTGGCCATTTTGCACGTGTCGTTGGGTTCAGGCCGACGGGTTGGTCTTACCGTCCGCCTACGAGCCGGTTCACGGAGAATCCGGCCGTGAACACAGTGCTGACCTCCGAAGCCTGGAAGAGCAGGTTTACCATGCGCGATCTTGCTCCACAGCGAGGGAGTACGCGCGAATCTAATTGTTTTGGGGTGCCGTATTCGGAGCACAGCTCGTTTAGGGAGTTGACCATGTTTTGCTGCGCGTTGAGGATCAATCGCATCGTGCCGACGGTCAATGTGGGTAGTGCGAGGAGCAGGGAGAAGATGAAGAGCTGGATTGAGAAGTGGGATGCCGAGAAGAGGAAGAACGGGCTCTTCCAAGTCGAGGTAGGCGCCGAGGGATGGGGAAGCGGTGATGGAAAGTTACGATATGGAGTGTAGTGGCGTAGACCTTGGACTATACCCTTCAGAACTCTGTACTGATCAAACACCACGATAGAAATTGATTGGAACCATGATCCTGTGGTATTGACGATGGGACGTCAAAGCTACGGCATTTCCTTCCATGCTCGGCTGCCTGTTTCGGATAAGGCACCACGGCAGCAGGCACTCTTATGCCCATGCTGCAAGCATTGAGAACTGGGTTTTCGCTCCACTCGCTCAGGCGCAGATGGTGGACATTCCAGGGTCTGGAGTCCTCCATCACGACGCAAATATCGAATCGCCCAACGACGTCCCACTGCATTTCTTCGCTGACACCAATTGCTCCATACAGCCTCTGCCTGGCCGGACAATCTTGGTATCTTGAAATATGCCTGCTCGCGACAGCGAGCCATCTCGAAAAGGGCGACCAATATAGCCTGTTCAGATTCTGACTTCCCGTTACGATCTCTGGTTTGGAGATAACATTGCTCTTCTCAGGCATACAACCAATCCGCCCACGCCGTCAAGGACTTGAACCGAGCAGCGAACCAGCGGAGAACAAGTCCTCTTCCTTTCCATATAAATACCGAAATTGGTCCAACTGTTTACCCTTCACGCGCCCTTCCCTCGCTGCGCCATTGCCTCTCTTCGACATGCATCCTCGAGCAGACCCCTGTCGACTTTGTCGGGCGGCAGATGGACGTACCGGACCACGGAACCTCGGATGAAGATGTTCTTCACGGAGCTGAGATGCGGGTACTTGAGTTCATCTAGGACGGTAATGTCGTCGAGTTTGATGTTGAGGTACTGGTCGACGGACTTGAGGGTGCCGCGAATGGAGATGTCGTTCTTGAGCTCGACGGTGACGGTCTGTTGGGTCAGCGTTTTGAAAAAGCTGGCAGACACAAGATTAGTTGGTACCGAGCCGATGGTGGGGGAAGAGTAGGAAGCTACCTGAAGAATAGCATCTTGACGAAAGTGGCGACGGGGCGGATTACTGGGCGTGTGGAGGGCGGATAAAGGTAGAGAGCGTAGATTGTGAAAGGTACAATGGACAATGGTCAGTGTACAGGGTGAAGTGACTTGTGTCTGCGGGTTCAAAAGCACACTTTGGGATGGACGTCACGCTGCTTCTAAGTGGCTCGAGGAAGGCACGTGAGCTATCAAAAGCGGCGTCGCCAGATTTCTTCTGGCTTCAAAAAGTCCTACCGTAGTACTTACTGGGGTAGGCGTGCTTGCCATCCGAAGCCATCCAAAGCCATTATCCTCTTCTTCCATGACTACTCTCGCAGACATGTCCACAACCTGTCTCATTGACCGCAGCCTTAACCAACCCATTTCGAGAATTTTCCGCCGTCGCTCGTAGTCGCCTAAACGATTCAAGGCTGGAAGCGAGCATATGCTGTCGTCATTCGTTCGGTAGGTCACTTCCAAACGTGGCGCAGTGATGCTTGTGGTTCGAAGACTTCTGATTGGCATCGCTTGTCGGCTATGATGTCGTCTTCGGGCTCGATTTGAACAGGGAACAACAATTAAACGTCGATTCCAGGGTCTTTGCATCTGTCTTTCAGCTGCAATGGTTCGTTCATCTACTTCAAAAAGATCAACAGGTTCCACATGCTGACACGGCCCAAAATATTTCCAACCACTCTGGTGAGCTGCGCAAGATTGCCTGGAATGTCCACACTTGGTACGAGTAGCAGCATGTGCCTTTTCTTGCTTGAGAGTCGCTTTGCCGCATTTCTTCCGTTTTAATCACTCTTTATACGTGATATTACCAGCGTCTCGTTCTTCCTATACCTGATACCCATGTGTCTATCCTGTTAACAGCATTTGCGCTTGTCTCCAGTGCCCTGGGTTTTCGGTCATCCAGTCTATGACATCGGACTATCAACAAATCCGCAAACAGAGGGCCTGCAAGTTCTTCTCCACATACCTATGTCGCAGACCCAGCTACGAACTCGCGCCCGCGCTTCTGTGGAATACGAGCACCAAGCTGAGAAACTATCACTCGACCCAAATTGCAGTGTCCACGGCGACGACGCGAATGGCGTCGCTGTCAAAGCTACCTTCGTCACACCGTTAGACCCTGTCATCGTGACCAATGATGGCAACAGGTTACCTTCGGTCCCTGTGCAGGAGGCTCACAAAATAAACATACTCAAGGCAAGGGCTGAAGGCCGGCCTCATCGACCCAAAGTTCCTCGACCCCGAGGGCTCAGCAGGTTTGATGTACAGAATGTGGAAAAGAACGACGTCAATAGGGAAGAGTTGTTGCGAGACGATCGGGAAAGCGAGACAAGTCGTCTAGACGAGGCACTACCTCCGTCGCATACACATCCACTTTTCCCTCCATTACCTCTGTACGGACCTCCAACCTTACTCCGCAACTTACAATGCTTGACCTTTCGAGCCACCTCTGCTTTCCTGTCGACCGCATTTCTGCTCGTCATCGTTCTCGGAGCGCTGTTTACATCTATACCACACTTGGTGAAGCACGCATGGCTGTGGCTGACATTTCGAGATCCGAACGGGAAAAGGATTTTCCATGAAGAAGAGAAGCGAAGGGCAGAGAGACGGAAAAAGGAAGAAACAGAATGGTTGAGGAGGAAGCGGGAGCTCAGTCTGGAAAACCGCCATCAACAGAACTCTTCGTCTTCCACAACCAATCCGTACGAGCCTCTCGAGGGTGGCCCTGACAAGCTTGTCTGTGATATAAGATATTATGCACGACGAGTCGGCTTGGATGCAGAAGAATTCCGAGTGCAGACTGAAGATGGTTTCATCATCACTCTGTGGCACATCTACAACCCAACCGAATACAAGCCTTCTCCTGCGGTCGACCGAAGAGCAAAATCTCCTCAGGTCTTCACAGATCAGAAGGATCTCAATCAGCAAGTCCAAAAACGATACACCAACGGTAATAGAAGATATCCTGTGCTGCTAGTCCACGGTCTGTTGCAGAGCGCCGGTGCATACTGTGCGAATGACGACGACAGCCTAGCATTTTTCTTGTGCAAATCTGGCTATGATGTGTGGCTGGGAAATAACAGATGTGGATTCGAGCCTGAACACAGCCTCCTTCAATACTCAGATCCGCGAATGTGGGCTTGGAACATCCGACAAATGGGCGTAATGGATCTTCCTGCACTGATATCCAGGGTGCTCGAAGAGACTGGATTCGAGAAGCTAGGTCTTGTGTGCCACAGCCAAGGTACCACAGAGACGTTTGTGGCTCTCGCGAAAGAACAGCGACCTGATATCGGGGACAAGATCAGCGTGTTCTGCGCGTTGGCTCCAGCAGTCTACGCTGGACCACTGATTGACAAAATGTACCTCAAGTTCATGAGGATTATATCGCCGAAGATGTTTCGCGTGTTCTTTGGCATACACAGTTTCATTCCTCTCATGATGATCATGCATCGAATGTTGCCCGGCAAAGTCTACGGCTTCATGGGCTATCTGGTGTTCTCGTTTCTCTTCAACTGGACCGACACCCGGTGGGACAGAGGTATTCGAGATCGGCTGTTTCAATTTTCTCCAGTCTATGTCAGTGCAGAGAGTATGAGATGGTGGCTAGGACGTGAATGTTTCACGAAACAAAGGTGCATCCTGGCCACTAGAGAGTCGGCGCAGCAGGAGGACGTTGAAGACGAATCGGAGGAAGAGAGACGCGAAGATGCAATGTCCGACCCTGCCGATCGAGGTAGAACGGCGTGGTATGACGAGCACGTCCCTCCAATCGCTCTATGGGTGGCTGGAAGTGATGACTTAGTTGATGGTCGAAGACTGCTGCGCAGGTTTGAAAGAGGACGTGAACCACACGTCAATGTGGTCCATAGCAAGGTGATTGAAGAATATGAACACCTCGATGTCCTCTGGGCGATGGACGCAGTCGAGCAGGTGGGAAAGGAGGTTCGAGACGTTTTGTGGAAAACGATGCCCGAGGACGCCAGAAGCATATGCAGGGAAATTTCTGGCGTCGTTGGGAGTTCGGAAGAGGGACAAGCGACCGACACAGCAAACGGTCTCGGGACTGGAGAAGCTTGAGAGTCCTTTCCCGTTGTACAGAAGCAATATACATGATGATAGTAGATAATAACCGAATAGTACACAAGATACCCTCCAAGTTTGGCAGAAGCAATGGAGAAATAATGTGTTAAGCTGCATCAGGAAAGAACAGGCGATTTCAGAGTGTCTTGGTCCAGATGCTGGCGGTACGGAGTAGAGCACTTGAAACAATGCCATGCTATCCGAGATCCGGCGACGAGGATGATGGTGAATAACAATGGTGGTAAGTTGCCACCGAGATATGCCACAGGAGTTGTTGATAAGGACAAACACTAATGTGTAAATCGTGCTCCATAGAAAGACGTATATCACTGTCGTTGGCTTCTCTTGCTTGTATCTGCACGCCCAGTTCATCTTTTGAAAAACAGCTTCCATATTGTGTGTGTTGGATATACTTTGGTGAACCCCGGTATTGTGTGCTGCGAATGCTTGGATCCCCTCGTGGCCAGGAGCCGAGTGATGTTGAATTGGCACTGGCAGCATAAACTCCAGGGGGGTTGATAAGCGATTCTAGTGGTTAACGTGGAAGTAGTGAGGCCTAGTGAGCCTGTGGGAGGTGCCGGGGGCGGCCGTTCTTGGTTGACGCGGCGCCTAGTCTCCCTCGTGTCCCTTGGCGGCTCTTATTCCACGCTGCCCCCAGACCCACCACTTCGTTCCCTTATCTTTGCACTGACTCTCGTAGGAGCACTCCTCGACTCCTCCTTCAGCCATTGACCACTCAGCAATCGTCGATATTCCCTTCATCAATGGCTTCTCGTGCACACTATGACACTATGCTTGCGGGTGCTCGCCAGTGTCGCCCCTCTCCGATAACCAGAGCATCAACTTTCCTCATCAAGCTTTAGCTGATTCCATGCTTGGTCGCCTCCAAGGTCCCTGCACATCAACTAGCCTGTGACAATGGTCAGTTGCCGTGCTCATCATTTGCGTACTTATTAGCGACGGCTTGCTTCCTATTGTTTGTCACTCTTCATCGTTCTGTTCCAAAACGGCCAGGTTACCATTTCTGCTGTACTTGTCGTCGCGTGCTTCGCTGGGCAAGGTATTCGAACTTGTGGTGCTGCTATCGTTTACCTCGGCTGTTTTCGAGCATCCCACCCAGATCCATATCGACTTGGTCCAAGAGTCGCGAGACCAGTCCATGCATACGTACCACAGTCTATCACCAGGAAAGCAAGCATCAACGATACGGCCGCCACCATGAGCGCAGACCGCAATCCTAGCACCGCGTCTGGCATGCACCGCAAGTCGGTTGCAGAAGAGCCCGTTACTTCAGTCCTTGCTGCCGGCGAAGTCCCCATCTTCGACCGAGAGCTTACTGCCGATGAGGAAGTCCTCGCCGCCCTGGGTTACAAGTATGAACTATGCCTTTTCTTGCCAAAAGAAATCACTGACTGAATAACAGACCCGAATTCAAGCGTGAGTTCTCGCTATGGACGTCGTTTTGTGTATCTTTTGCCGTCCTTGGATTGCTACCATCGTTCGCCTCCACTCTCTACTATGGCATGGGCTATGCGGGTACACCTGGTATGGTTTGGGGCTGGTTGATTGCTATGGCTTTCATCCAGTGTATCGCCATGGGCATGGGTAAGACTGTTCCTGTGAATGCGCCGTCGTTTCGTGGCTAACTCAAACCAGCTGAACTATGCTCGTCCATGCCTACTTCTGGCGGTCTCTACTATGCCTCTGCGGTTCTGGCACCTCCAGGATATGGCCCGCTTGCTGCATGGATCACTGGCTGGTCCAACTGGCTTGCTCAAGTCACCGGCGCACCTTCAGTCGACTATGCGTTGGCTTCCATGATTCTCGCTGCAGGATCTATCAACAACCCTGATTATGTCCCCCAAAATTATCAGGTCTTCCTCCTTACCGCCCTCATTATGGTTATTCACGCCATGATCTCTTCAATGCCGACTCGGTGGATCGCCACGTTCAACTCATATGGCAGCACATTTAACATCATTGCGCTGGTTATTGTGATCATCGCCATTCCCGCTGCTACAACCCGTCAAGACCAAGGTCTACCTCGATTTGCTAAAAGCAGCACGGTGTGGGGGAATTTCTACGAAGGGACCGACTTCCCCAGCGGAGTCGCTATACTCATGTCCTTCATTGCCGTCATCTGGACTATGTCTGGATATGATGCACCATTCCACTTGGCAGAGGAATGTAGCAATGCCAACCTTGCCAGCCCACGAGCTATCGTAATGACGTCCGGCTTTGGTGGAATCATGGGATGGTTCTTGCAGCTGGTCGTGGCGTACACAGTCATTGATATCGATGCGGTCCTCGGTTCCGATCTTGGTCAGCCCTGGGCATCTTACCTCATCGAAGTTCTGCCCAAGAACACGGCCATGGCGTTACTCGCCCTAACCATTATCTGCGGATTCTCCATGGGTCAAGGTTGCATGATCGCTGCTTCGAGAGTCACTTTCGCCTATGCCCGTGATGGCTGCTTCCCTGGCTCAAGGTGGTGGAAGCAAGTCAACCCCTACACCAAAACACCCGTCAATGCTGTCTGGTTCAACTGCGTCATCGGTATTTGCTTGACATTGCTCCTATTCGGAGGCGAAGCATCGATCGGTGCCATCTTTAGCGTTGGAGCAATTGGCGCGTTTGTGGCCTTCACGATCCCTATCACCATTCGAACCTTCTTCGTCGGCAACCGTTTTCGGCGTGGACCATGGCACCTTGGGAAATATTCTTACCCCATTGGTGTTGCGTCAACTTGCTTCACCTCCCTGATGATCCCTATCCTCTGCCTGCCGAGTGTCACCGGTTCCGATCTGGATGCGTCTGGAATGAACTGGACTTGTCTGGTGTGGGGTGGTCCAATGTTTTTGATCTTGGTTTGGTGGGTCGTCGATGCTCATAAATGGTTCACCGGACCAAAGGTCAACATTCAGCACCAGATGCTTGGGAGAGAGGGGAACGTCCTGGAAGGAAAAGAGGGGGGTTCCGAATCAGATCAGGGCACAACTATCGCTGCTAAGGATGTTGATAAGGTAGCTGAAGTGTGAGGCGCCTGTTGCGAGCAGCGCGCTTTTCCTAGTTCTCTGTTCGTTCGATGAGAGTATATACCCTTTTGCTTGGAAGTCTGGAACACGGTCAGGCAAGTCAAGGTCATGTGCGCTACATATGCGTCGTAGTCGTGACCTTGAGATAATGGGCAGTTTTGAAATGCAGAATGTAATTGCTATTAATCTTTGAGCTCAACTTTTGTCAAGGCTGCTCCTCGTTTAATGGGACCTCGTGACATCGCGTTCCGCGACGCGATTCCTTGGCTTACTCGTGCCTAGGCACTGTATTCCATGGATGTCGTGGATGTCCCCGCAATGACATTGACATGTACAGTTCGACGCTCCACGATTCACCGTTTCTCGACAACGCTCGCCCCCTAAACAATGGGCTGAGCCAGCCCGAATGGCCCTTGTACCTCGATCGCCTTCCATGCACAGCCGATTAATGGGCACTCGTATTCCTCATCCTGCCTCGACTCGATTCAACGAGAGCGACGAGTTTCCCTCCCCGCCCTCGAAGCGAGTTAAGACGACCACGTCGAATGGCGCAAGTAGCCCAAAGCGAGACTCACCCAGGAAACCACTGCCGAAGCGAGCCAGTCGAAATGAGATCCCCGACTCAGAAGATGAGGAACAAGACATGGACGAAGGCGGGGTGGAACTCCCAAGCGTGCCTCAAGCCACTCAATTGGAGGCTACACTACCACCTGTCCAGACAGACGAGGAAGCGATTGAAGCCTATGAGGCTTACAAGGCGGGTGAACATGTGCGAGAAGGCAAACCAGATGAGGGCACAACGCTGTCTCGATTGGAATCAAGGTCCTGGATAAGAGGGCGAAGTTCGATATATGTCGATGCGTTCAACCTTTCCCTTGACACTGTTCTGGAGGAAGAAGGGCACCTTTTCAACGAGGCGGAACACAGCCTCTTCAAAATATGGCGAGATCTGGCCTACGAAGCACAATATCTCTATGTCAGACTATTCCTGAGAAAAACCAATAAATGGTTTCGAGTCAAGGACTTGCAGTACTACAGCGATGTAGCAGATATCGATGCGGCAGTGGCAGAACTGCAAAAGGAAAGAGCCCTTCCCACGGTCGAAGCTGAACCTGAGATCCATCCTGGGGAGTTGGAACCACCCGAAGGGACTGTGCTGGGCGAAAGTGTTGCCCTCGCGGAGTGCTCGTCGGAGCATATCACGAGTTTGGACGAAGCAAGCAGTCTTCTACTTCTCGACGAGCTGAAGACACTAGCAAAGGAAGCGAAAGTACAGGGGAAGAACAAGCGTGAGCTATTGCAGAACTTTCGTCGAACCAGTGGCAGACAGAGAGGACTCGGGTTCAAGGATTTGAAACGGGCAGACACGCAAGATACCACATCTGCAATGTCCGAAGACGGCACCTCTGTCTGCGAGGACGAAGACGACGAAAGTTCTGGATCTAGAACTCCGATACTCAATAATCGAGATGCACACTTCACCAAGAAAATCCTCGATCACACGGGGCGCTGCATTCGATTATCCCTGACGCCATTAAAACTGTTCGAACGAGTTCATCTTGTCTTCTACCGCAGCACCGAGTGGACCGAGAAGAGCCTGACCACCTTGATACTAGCGAAAATCTCGCGGCGAAATTTCCCCGAGTATCTAGTCAGCCGGTCAACCACAATTTTCGAGTCAAGATCTCTGCTTCTCGAATTCGAAGCAAGTCTCCGCACACAGTTCAAGGTCGACAACATCCTCGAGTTCAATGGCACTCCAGGCCGCAAGTCCCTCGAAGAAGTCAAAGAGATATTTGAAGCTGTCTACCCACGCTGGAAGGTCCTTCTGGCCGAAGAACAAAGCAAAGAAGAACGCGTCTACGAGAGTGGCGAAGGTGCTTACCTACGCCGCTTCAGTCCCGCGTGGGTGTACACCCGGATCGTGCACAAAGGTCTTCAACCACTAGCGAGGTTCAAGGAGCATCTACGCGAACACGAAATTCTGACAGAATTGCTCAACCAGCGCCTCTTCCACGCTTCTCGGCGTGGGGCATGGTACCAGCGCAAAGCACTCCTACAGGAACACTACATGCACGCTCTCACTCCGGCCGAGGGTCGAAGTCAGGAAGCGAGCAAGAAGCACTGGAAGCGAGTAGCACTGGCGACATGCGAGCAGGGCCTGCAGGACAAGGAATGCCACGTGATATACCACTACGATCTGCAAAAACGTATCAAGAAACTGGAAAAACAACTCCGTGTGCCAGTCCGCGAACAGCACGACTTCGGCCACGTCAGACTCGCGAAACCTTTTGAGCGCGACGTCGTGGGTATCAAGATCGAGAAGGACCGAGACGATACACCATCATCACGCAGTCTCAGTCTCAGTCGGATGAACAGCGTCAACAATAAACAACCACTCCCCAGCACCAACACTGGAGATACGAACGGCACCAGCCACCCAGCCGGCACGGCTAAAGTGCCACCAACCCTACAACACCAACCCAGCACCTCCGGTGGTGGTCCTGGGTCCAAGACCATCTGGCTCGACACGCTCGACACGAATGAACACGTCAGCGTCGAGGCGATGTGCTTGTCCCATTACCGCCACGTACTAGGGTACAAGGGCTATCACAGCGAAGGCGGGATCCTGCGCACGATATTCGGCCTCCTTTTCTACGACATACTCTTCTTCAACCCGTACATTCCAAATGTGTTCCAGACCGCGTACCAGACGTGTCCGCTGGACCTGCACACGGATAGTTTCTTCTCGAGCCGGATGCCCGAGATCTTGGGGCGTGTGAACCAGATCTCGAACGGCGAAGCCGTGGAGATTGCTCGCCGAGTGTGGGATGAGAACTGCGAGAGGAAGACGTGCATCGTCGGCGTGCGCTGGGATGCGTTCGACAGAGATGATCTGCTCGAGTTGGTTGGGTGCTGGGACGGGCAGGCTTTGGGTGTGGTGATGCTGGTCATGGCGCAGGAGTATCAGAGTAGAGGTGGCGGTGTGCCAGATTTGGTGCTTTGGAAGACCTTTCCGGGGTTCCCCGAAAGCAGTGAACAACGAGGCGATGATGACGACCAGAATCGTGGCGTGAAGCAAGACCATGCACATCAAAGGAATGATGCCAGCGGAGAGGGCAATGGGCATGGGCGTGGCCGTGGCAGGGGGGATGAGAATGGCAATGGAAATGCCAGAGGAGAAGTTGTCTTTGTGGAAGTCAAGTCCGCGAATGACCGGCTGAGTGATACTCAACGACTTTGGATTTCGGTGCTCCTGGGCGCAGGCGTGAAAGTCGAGCTATGCCATGCTGTTGCCGGTGAGATACGGACTGTGTAAGCAGGCCCCTCGCATGTCGGGTTTGGAGTGTGGTGTGGCGTGGCGTGGCATAGTGTGGTGTATGTGGTAACTGCGTACTCTGTCGCGAAGTACGTTAGTGTACATAACTGATACATACCAATCGTCCTCTCCTTCCACCCAGTCCAAGAACACTGTTGAATACTAGTACTCCGTAAGCCATGATCATCATCATCATCATCATCTAAAACCAAGCGGCAGGCCCAATCTCCGATCATCTTGCGATTCAGGTAGCTGTAGCTTCTATCGCTCTACCGCTCTATCGACATCTAACATCTTTGCTCAAAGTACTCACATCACAATGACAATAGCAACGCTATGACCCAAGCCGCAATCCCCAGTCTTAAGCCCAGAGCCCAAAGTCCAAGCCCAAGCCCAGCCCAGCGCTGGGAAGCCCACCGACCTTTGAATATGCATGGGTGGAAGAAGAAAACGCCAGCCAGCTGAGGAGGCACTCATATGCTATGACCAACGTCCATGTCATGATCCACATGACCATATTATGTGCAACAACACAAAACACTTCATCTTCATCTTCATCCCCTTCTCCTTCTCATTTTGTCTCATCTTGTCTCTTCTTGACCTCACCGTGCTGTGCTCACTTCGTCCTCTCTCAGCCAGGAAAAGAAGTTCTCATCTCTTCTTTCCATGAGACGTCACCGCAGCCTCGTGGCATTGTCGCTCGGTTCATGAAGCAGGCTTTCCGAACCACCTGACTCCCTCCGGCATACGTCCCGGCACTCTGACCGAGCCAAAATTATTATCCAAATCCAGCAAGATCTTCAAGGCATTCCGACTCCTCAAATACGGCAACGGAGCCTTGGCCTCTCTGAGACCAACCCCCGGCTCCATCTTGCCCGCCGTGCCCTTGTGTCCCTCGGCCTCTTCTACACTACCGGGGAAGGGCAAGAGTTTGCTCAACACCTCATACGCGGCCAAAGTGAAACCGAATTGGGGCGAACTTCTCAGGATTCTTGCTGGGCCACCTTTGAAAAACGCCTTGAACCCTTCATCGCGCCAGATCTTCCGCGCGCAATCCACGAGCCCGTTGTACGTGACATCGCCCTTGCGCGCCTCGACCTGCAGTCTCGTCTTGATAACATCGCACGGAGTTGTGAGGTACGCGGCCGGCATACCGGCAATGGCGCCTGCCGTCAAGAGCTGCAGAACACCGAGTCTCTTGGTCTGTGACTCGCCGAACATGTCGCGCTTCAAGTGGCTGTACGTGGGGAAGTAGATCATAGAGAAAGGCACGTCACGTAACAGACACGCCGAAGCACCCTTGTACAGGCCCATCAGACCCAAGTTGCGGACGATCCACATTGCCGAACGCTTAGGTACGTCGGTCTTCTTGGCCAGTTCGCCTTGGACTTGCAGTCGGATCTTGACGATCTCGAGCGGGTTCGTGAAAACCTGTGACCTGTTATCAGCCTAAATGAAACGAAGGGAGCAACGAAAAACGCGTACCACTTGGCAACCCCCGGCCGAACCACCGGCAAGAATCTCAGCAGAGAGCGGGATATGACCGGTCTGCTTGTCTGTGAATCGTCCTCGAACGAGGTCGTTGACAGTGAGTTTGATGGCCTTTTCCGGAGCGACACCGACAAGTTGCGGCAGGACACCGGAGTACAAGCCACGCGGGCCTTCGTTTTTGATGACCTTGCGCGCACAGTCTAATGAGTTCTCGTACAGACGTTCGCCCACACGGGAACTTCTCTGATTCTGCATTCGCGTCTTGACGAGATCGATCGGGTATACCATGAACGCACCGAAGGCGCCAGCGATACTGCCGAGACCGAAGTGGTGAGCGGATTCAAGCAAACTGGAGAGGAATTGTTGCGACTTCGATACCACCCGGTCAGCTGCATCTGTAACTGCGCCGCTTATCTTCGCACCCTGAGTCTGCCAGCTTGCGTCCAGGACCTTGGCAAAATCGTCGAGAGCGAGACGGCCACCAGGCTGGTCGAGACTGGCGAAGTGGAACAGGATATCTGCTTCCATGGGGGTGTAGAGAGAAAACCGTGTCAGACGTGCCGCTTCGTTGAGGAAATCTTGCCGGTCGATTCGGCCGTCCGTTGACTTGGCGGTAGCATTGCGGATGATCAAATCGAGCAGGTCCATCTCGCGAATGACGTTTTGGAAAGCTCTAACGTTGGCATAGGAGATCTTTGTTCCTGTTGAGATGTTGCAGAGCGTGGGCAGGTTCTCCAGTAGATGGTCTGACAGCTTGTGGCCCGAAGTGGCTCGAATAATGCGCTCAAACTCTTCAGGATCAATGTATCCATCCTTGTCTTTGTCAAACATGTGGAAAGCCTGTCGTATCCGTTCGCCCTGGAGACCACGCATCATCTGTGCAAACTGCGGGTATGTCATTTCATGTCTCTTGGTCTTGCCGCCAATGTATAACGAGGCCCATTCTGAATTGAAGTCAAAGGGGATACTGTCTTGACCACGGTTTTGCTCGTAGATCTTCTGGAAGACTTCCGACTTGATGGAACCGGTTCCTTCGACATCGAAGAGTCTGAAGGCGATCTCGTACTCTGCGTCGGATTTGGAGAGGAGGTTGTCGAAAGCGGCCCATTCGCTCAGGGAGATGTGGCCGCGTTTGTGGCGATCGGCGACACCAAAGAGGATGCCATATTGTTCTCGCTTGATTTTGTGCTGCACCATGACCGGTCAGTCTGTGGATGGACCAGTTGAATTCGACACGACTCACATAATCTTCTTCCGGCGGTGCAATCGCATCAATAAAGTCTTCCTCGTTCATGTACAGCTCTCCATCTTCAGCCGGTCTGGAATGTTTGAGAAACGTGGCTCTTGCTTCACCTGACAAAGAGTCCGGAACTGTAGTCCCCAAGAGGGATTCTTTCACGGCTTCTGTGACGGTCGCCATGGTCTAAGGAGGACGCGCGGTGATGTCGTTATGAAGATAAGGAGGGTCACGATTTAAGATCGATAGGGCGTCGACAACTGCGCGATCCTGGGCGAAAAGGGACGAAACGAACTAAAACGGAGATGAACGAAAGTGAACGATGGAAAACCCGACCCGCTGTACGCAGAATTGAAGAGGTTGAGCAATTTCTGGGGAAATGGGATGGGTTGCTTTCTGACAGTCTGGAGTAGAGTCGAGATTGCTGGCACAGGAGAGTTCCAACTCTTGGTTTTACCGTGTCTCTCGGATGTCAGTCATTTCTGCCTCTGTTGGACCTCAAGACATGATGGGACCACTACCTCTCCGTAGGCATGGCACAAAAAATTATTCCACGCTAAACATGCACTCGCTAAAGGATTTAGCCGCACACTAACGGTTCTAGGCAATCCGACAGGTACTGTACGCCCACAGTAATACCGCTAGTCTAGGTATGGTTTAGTGGTCGGTGTATCAATCCCGTTAACTGCGGGTGAACTGTAGCAGCACCGCCAGCCGCCATCCGATACCGCCGGCATAACAGGCCTTGGAAGCCCCGGTGGTCCCCCTATCAATCTCGGATTAAGGGATAAAGAAACAAGACAAACAACAGACTTTCCCATGTACCGTCCTCGTCCTCTGCCTGTCATCCAGACATGTCGCCATACCGATCTAAGTACTCGGGACCCTTTGATCCATGAACACCTTGTTGTACAGTAACAGTTTTCACAAATGCATCCCTCCGTAGCGCCATACACCATAAACTCCGCCCATTGTCGTATCGTCATGAGTGTCTAGTGTCCAGTGTCCTTGTGTCCAAACCAGTCACTGGGTGCCTTCCCCATTGTACGAAGCATAGGTATACTGAGTTTGGTTGTCCTCCCCCAGAAGATATTCCACGCCAGGGAGGCTCTGTTGTCGAGTCACCACGATTTCACTCGTTCGTCGACTGTGTCCAGGGTGTCCCAGGCTGATCCCGCTATCATCTGTGTTGTCATGATCATCTGGTGATGGCATCTGCTCCCACTCACTCAGTCCGGCCTGACCAGAGCTCGCTCGAGATCTGTTCCTCGCATGTTGACGAGGCCGAGTCCTCAACCCCCGACAGCCTTGTTGGAGAATCTGTGGGCAATTGCCAATCAGCAGGTAACTCAGTTGGGCTCGTGGATAGTACTGTGTATCTCCCACGATCTCCCGAGGTAGGTAGATCGTGGTAGATACACCAGCGTTGGAGTAGGACCCACCACTCTTTCCACGTCCTCCCACTTTTCTCCAACCTGTTCAGCAATGCCACGCCAAACTTGGTCTCGTACTCGATTGTACCGTGCGACCACTTTCTGTGTTCGGGCTTCATCCCACGTCGGATCTCTTGCTTTGATCAACAACCTGTCATGCCTCTTCCGACATGCATTTCCCGTCTTGTTGGGAAAGAATTGTTTGTGGATTTCTTCCCAGGCCAAGCCTTGACCCTTGGCTTTGATGAGAATGTCATCTTCCTCCGGTGTCCAGGGCCCACTCTGCGAGGGTCGGGGTTGCATCTCCTGGGGAAGTTGGTGGTTGGTCATTGATGGTTGACGGACTGGCTGCATGTAAGTCTGCATCATAGTCTGATGAGGATACTGCATATGATGGTCTTGCAGTGAGTGGTCTGCCCAGCCCATGGTTGACGGCTGTTGAGGTTGCGGCCACGCTGCCATGGTAGGTGTCATTGTGGTGGTCATCGGGGTCGCCATACTGCCTGAGTCCCGCAGGCTGTATGGGACGGGCCGATCTAGTCGACGAGGTACACTGCGTTGAGGTGGCATTCCTGGTCGTGGGATTATGGTCATAGTCATGAGGAACTCGGCCCTGGTCGAGGATCGGGTTGCTCAAGACGAAAAGGACCGATATTATGATTATTGAGGCCGATGGCGAACGAGCGTGCGCGAGAATAAACCCAAAGCAACTGAACAGATCCTGGCAAATGCGGACGACTGGACGAAATCAGAATTGAGTGCCTGAGTAACTTGAGCCTGACCACTTTCTTATGAAAGAACGACATCCAGCACAAACATACCTCGCAAGAGTTTCGAAACATGCGGGCGTCAATTTCAGAGTGAGAAGAGGCCCCAAACTCGACTCTTCAGATCCGGTTTCGAAGGTTTCTAAGACCATCAGAAACTCCGGCAACCTCGCAACGGCGCATCGAGCAACTGCGGCATATGTTCGCCGACTAGAAAGCACGCAGGATCATCATTGGAAGAAGCTGTCATCCAGCTCCAGATGAAACTGGAGAACTCGAGCCTTGCCAGCGGTGCGCAAACCGGTGGGGCCCGACAACTGTGGTTTTGCGTATATTTGGTAGCAGACACCTACCTGAAGTCTGAAGCGAGCCATTCGGAGTACGTCTCTGAGCGGCTGTCGATGAGGCGAATTTCGATAGCCGCTGGAAGCAGGGATGGCTGGTAAGGAGCTGGTGTGTCCTTGCAATGCCTAGTAAAGTTTTTTTAAGCCATGCTCAAGGGAAACTCGACGTTGGTGCGACTCCATATGCCACGAAGATCAGACAGAGACCTCCATTACGCCTTCGGTATTGGCTGCTTTGCCTCAATAACGTGCCGCATCTCTGCCATGCTGTATCTGACTTTGCTGTTGTCCACCCACTAGAGTATAGGATTTCCACGACATCCTTCCCACACAGTAAGTAATACATCGGTCTCAGTGCTGCTGCTCTCGATAGTTGCCATTGGCACGCTTTGAGTCATACTCATGATTTTGAGGCTGCTCGAACCCATCATGGAAAGCAAGATGAAACCTTGTCGTCTATCAGGCGGTTAGAAGCTAAATTTAGCCCGGGAGGCTTCGAAATTCCCCATTGGAGCGCCAAAACCGCCTCGTAAACCCGGCACAGATGGATAAACACTCCAACACCGAAGATGGTAATTGGTATCTTCTGACGTGAGGTAGGAGATGCTGATCTTTGGACGACACCATGTTCATCAGAGACCGAATATGCAAAAGACTCGAAGATTTCGCCAAAAACCGAGCCATCTTGTTGGTTGTTGGATACGCCGCTAGGATCGGAAGGGAAAGCATAAGCAAGCATGGTCATCCAAGAGTCTCACATTCTGGAACTTGACATTCTCATAGCGTAGTCTCGAAATGGTGCCAGCAGAGCACAGATGACGAGGGAGAGACAAAGAGACAGAGAGATAGGGAGCGATGTGCATTGCCTATTCTAAGGTGCCAGGTCGACAAGAATGTCTACCTGAATCTATCTAGTATCTCTGCGTCACCCCCAGTCCCTGGCGGGAAGAGAGTGGCGGATTGGCTCAATTCGTATATCGTCAAAGTTCATCATTATCCGACAGCCAGTACGCTGCTAGGGACATCATGTCATGGTATCAAAACAAAAGTATTCCACAAAAGGCTCTGTCAAAGTGTTAGCACTGAACATGCACAAAGGCTTAGCCAAAATATCACCGTCGATTTTTCTCATTTGCGTGACCACCTCCGCTCTTCCTTGGACATCTTGCGGTATTGGCCATAGTACTCGTCGTCCTCGATCGGGGTGATGCAGTGCACGACTGGTGTTTCCGAAAAGGACAACTGTCTTCTTGCTGCCGCGGATGGTTTGCTGCTCTTCTTCAGAATGCTCCTCGACGAACTCGAGTTGACATATGCGTAGGACGGTTGTTGCAGAGTGGAGTATCCTCTCTGGTTCAACCTGGTGTTACGTGCCGTCGGGCTGATGGGTGAAGGAGAGACTGGCGACCTCAAGGGTGTCAGAGGTGACTTGAGAGACAGTGAAGGTCTTCCGGGTTGAGGAGTCGACGTTGAGATGTTCAAGGACAACTTGGGCTTTGCAACTCTTGAGGCAAGCATGTTGACTGTTGTGGTAACTTTTTTTGATGGTCTTGTCAGATATGATTTGCTGTGGAGTCTGCGATTTCTCAGACAACAGACTCAAGGTGGCTTCCGGAGCTTTGATATTATCGATAAAGGAGATTGAACGACGTTGAGGTATTAGCAGATGTTGATGTTGGCAAGAATCGCAGTATGATGCAATGGGACAGGGCAATTGGACCAGCCAATTTTAGAAACGCGGAGTATAGAATGAATGAAAATAGAGACGCAGTGAAAGTCCAGACAATCAATGCATGGAGGGAAGAAAAGAAGAAGGTCGTCCTTGGAGCGGCCGATGGGCGCGTATCTATATATCTTCGAAACGTGGGGAGAGTCCAAGGTCGAGAAGTTGAAGAGTGTGAGCCTCTCTATTCGCTTCTCGTCACACCTGTTGGTCCGAGCGTCGGTTGGCATGCAGCCAATGACAACACCTCATGAGGCGCTCACCTTGTGATACTTCTCGGTCCTGCCTGCATCCATCCAATCGACAGTGCAGAGGGATTCCGCTATCTGCAATGCATGGTTTGTGATAGATTCAATGCGGCAGGAAAAGCACCGGTATCAACAGTCGGTCGGTCCAGCCACGAGAGTTGAAGGGCATGCTGATAGGCTTGCAGCCATTTCAATTGTCTGTTTTCGGGTTTGCTGCAGCAGTCCATTGTGCGCTATTGAATTCTTGCGCATTTCGCTTGATCACTCGTACCACTTGTGTGACAACTCTGTGAAGAGGAAAGTCGATTGGAAACATGGTGTTGGGGAGACTATCACCTTGGAAACATAGTAATCTAGCTCTGCCATCACATCGACCGCTAGCTCGTGTGAAGAGTCGTCGTTCGCAGTGCAAAGAGATGCGAGCTGATTCCTGAGGACTTTGGTCTGGGTGAATTGAGCAGGAACGTACGGAGTATCCTCGCCGAGAAGCATCTCTCACCGATGATCCCTGCTGTTTGCTCAAAACGGCAACAATGTGGTGTAGGTCATGATGCCATCACTTCTGCCCACAAACTAGGGTACAGGGACACAGACCTCCGATGTACCTTGTCGCAAAGGATCGTGCCACGGCATTCAAGGCCGGTCAGGGAACAGCAACTCACCGCGTCAAGACCGAAGCCTTTTTTTGAATGTCATTTGGAGCTTTGAGCTACGGAGCGGCTGGTTTTCAGCAGACGTGGATGGACACTCGGAGTATGCGTTGGTTCAACTGCAGACACTTTTGCAGATTGACATGTAAGGCATACGCGCATGACGCCGAACAGTTGCTGGCGATGGAAGATGAAATCATAGCCAGCAGGTCTAGTCTTAAGAGACTGGGCTCAATGGCCTTGTGCCATGACCTGCAATTGGCGATACGAACTCTGAACGTGATGGCAAGGTGATCGATGGCCGCGAATACACCTGGCAGTGCTATACAACCTTCACCAGAAGATTTCCATGGGACAGAGCGCTCCCTGTCAGGTATCGGGAGATACTGCTTCCAAAGTCAATAAGACCCTCCATTGTTTCAGTACTCACCTCGGGCATAGCTTTGCATTTCGTTGTGTCGCAATTTTGACAGCCAAATTCACATGTCGGATTGCTGTCACTCTGGCAGGCGAAGAACGTCTGTGACTCAGGGCGCCCATGCCACGGCATCTGTGGCATCATACCGGCGACCTGGCAGGATGGGTTGACAAGAGGCGACTTAGTGTGCCGTGAGTGGAACTACTGGAGGGTGGCATATGGCGTATACGGCGAGTCATTTTGTTTTGTTATTTTTGGATTGCAATCTGTGCGTAAGGCAACATGAGTCGAGCTCGACGTCGATTCTTGAGCGAGAAGGCGAACTATCGAGGCTGAAGCAAGGCGCTGAATGAAAGTGTGCTGCTGACTGCCGCAAGAGAAGACTCAAGATGATTTCAGTCGAGGAAAAGAGAGGCCCAGCCGATACCTCGTTGTGATACATGTCGACAACCAATGTCGTCAATCAGGGATTTTTGCCGACTTTCTTGCCGTCGCCTGTGCCATGAACCGTATCCTGCCGCGCCGCAGCTCGGACCACAATTTCTCTGTGTCTCGAAATAACAAAGTGCTTTTGTCGCCATAGCTGGGATAGGGAATTGTGGAAATACATGGAGGGAAATCGAAATCAAAGGTCTTGAATGCCGAAACCCCCACAACGGAAGAAAGACGTGCTCAAGGCAGCCCTTTGCTGTCAGCTTACCGGCTGGCGTAGCGGTCTTCACGGTTGTAGTCTCGACCACCAGCATACTCACGAGGAGCTGCTTCTTCACGTGCAGGAGGAGGGTAACCGCGATCGTCACTGCGGTCATAGTAGCCACGTCGTTCGCCGCCAGAAGCGCTGCCACCACCGCCGCCACCACGTCCGCCGTAGGTATCGTCACGTCTGCTCTCGTAGCGATCGATATTGCGGCCGCCATAGCTGTCGTCTCTATCACGTCTGCCGCCGCCGCCGCCGCCACCACCACCACCATAGCCACGGCGCTCGTAATCTTCACCGTAGCCGCGACGCTCATAGTCGTCATAGCGAGAACCGCCACGATAGTCGTCACGACGGGGTGGGTAACCTCCTCGTCGGTCGTCGTAGCGCTCACGGTAGCCACCACCTCGTGGTGGGCCACGTCCGAATGTCCCTCCTTTCTCGGTTAGCAATGACTCTACAAACTCGATGGGTGACGTACCACGTTTGGGTGGGCCGAAGTATTTGCCTGGTGTGGGGCTACGAGGCCGCGCGCGTCGAGCCTTCTCGATGCTGAGAGTGCGGCCTTCGATAACCTCACCCTGCAAGCCTTCCTTGGCAGCCTCAGCCTGATCGGTTGTGACCATCTTGACGAATCCAAACCCACGAGACTCTTTAGTGTGAGGGTCAAGCATGATAGAGCAGTTCTCGACCTCGCCGTATTTCTCGAAGAGGCGAGAAACATCACTTTCGGTTAGACGAGGGTGAATTCCGGTGACGAAGAGGTTGGAGCCAGTGTTCTGTGCGCCTTCTTCGTCGATATCTTTCATTCGGGTGTCGGAAGGAGGTGGTGGCCTAGACTCATGTCAGAAGAAGAGTGATTTGTAGAAATTGTAGGATGCTTACACTCTGTCACGACCATTGGGAGATCGGCTGCGGTTGCGATCATCTCGATCACCACGTGGTGAAGCTGATCGGTCGCGACGCTCATATCCACGATCGTCTAGAAAAGAAGTGTTAGGGCGCGAGCTCATGGCTAATATGGTGAGGGGGTTGTTTACCTTCATAACGAGCAGCTGAGTCCTCGAAGTCTGCCATTGTTGATGGTGACGAAAGCGTGGATCAAGGGGCTGTAAGATTGGAGGCAGTACGACTCTGGTCCTGGCTCACGGCAAATAGCGCGAACGATAGACGGTCGAAGGAGCTTTCAGTGGGATGAGAGCTTCCAGGATACCAGATCTCAGCCGAAAGTGAGATGGCTAGGAATGATGATTGTTTGTGAATGAGGCTGCGAGGTGTTGATGAATGCAAGGCGAAAATTAGAAGGACACGCGCACTAAAGGAAGGCTAGCGCCATTCCGGAACCGGCGAACTATTGTTCCGGCGAATCCGGCCAGATTCACTTCTCGCTAAGCCCTGCTGCATTACAGATTACAGATACATACTGGGGTAAACGCCAGACTATAAATCGCATGGGTCTGGATCAGAGTAGTCAATGTGCATCTGCTCAGATGGATTTCACGGAGCCCGGTTTGGGTACATGCACCCAGTCCTGCATTGGTCGGATATCATGCTTACTCAAAAATAGGTATATGACTAGAATACACAATCATACAAATAGTCCAACCGTCGAAGCATCATCTGCGAAGCCGGAAAGACCTAGTCCCCCATTCAGAGGCCCGACCGCGTCTCCCGCCTCTTCGAGACATCTTCTTCTTGATACTCGAATCGGCAATACTGGGATCAAGGTCTTTTCCAATTGAGGCTTCGTCACCATCATCAGCCAGGTCATCTTGGGGACCCAGACCCAGGAGCTCATCTTCGTCCATCTCGCTCAATTCCTCGCTCATCTCCCGTAGGACTTCTGGACCTGTCCATCTTTCCTCAAACACAGTGAGGCCGTCGGGGTCAAATTGCGCCACATACCAAGGGATGCCGCCTTCAGTTGGAAGACCCTGTGAATGGCCTTCGAGGCTCATTGGCGGAGTTGGCGGCTCAACCTGCTGTACTTGCACGGGCGGCATTTCTTCAGTGTTGTTCTGCTCATGCTTGAAGCCATTAGTGGATGCCGGTGGTGTCTCGACCGAGGCCGCTCCAGCTTCCAAATGGAGGGTTTCATGTTTGAAAGGCTCTGCCAAGCACCGGCTGGTCTCAGTTGTGTCGAGTTCCGGCACCATTTCAATCGTGTGAGCTGTCGCATCGACCATAACAACATCACCATCATCCGGGCTTGCAATGCCGGTTTCGTGCTTGGTCTCCACAGAGTCAAGGATCGGCATGTCCATTGATCCAGCCAGCGAGCCCCGCCTTGAAAGGAGAGCTTCATCCATTTCTCGTATCTGCTGTGCATACGGCCGTCCATTCATTTCAGCCTCTTTCCTTGCAGCGTCTTCAATCATGGGCTCAATGGCCTTCACAATTCGCCGTGTCAAGGTCCGTCGTTCACGTTCCTCATATTCCATATCTTCGGCCCTGCCACTGACAAGCGCGATCAGTTCGGAGATGGTCGCTGAACTATTGCCAAACTGAGAGTTGATCACTTGTAGGACGTCGTGGGAGAAAGTTGCCACCGATGTGTGCTCCCTTCTCGAGACCCGGGCGCGGAGTTCCAGTAGCTCACTTCGGAAGAGCCCACGATCCAGCCTAGAACCTTGTCAGCGTGCCCTCTACCTTTCACGACGGTACAAACTTACTTGAGCGCTTTATCGACAATTGGCTCCAGCAGATGAGGTATGGGAAAGTAGACCGTGTCGACAACATCCTTCAGCAAGGCCGCTTCTTGCAGTTTGAATGCTTCTCGTTGCTTGATCAAGTCACAAATCTGCACAATCCGCTCCATGTCTTTGGCAAGCTTCTCCGCGAACTCGATTCGACGGTCTAGCCTGGCTCTTCCAGCCGCTCCTTGTGCTTTATAATCGCGGCGAGTAACTTCGAACGAACTGAAAGTATCCATCTGCAGTTGCAGTCGCTTCAGCAAAGCAGCGCCTCTACGGGCCTCGCGCTTCAGCGTCCAGTATTTGCAGATTTCAGAGACATATTCCTTCTTTCTTTGCACTGTAAATCTAATCAGGGATTCTTCAATTGACTTGAGAATGACCTCTGGAATAACAGGGGCTCCTGAAGGAAGTCGCCAGATCGTTTTCTGCTTTTGGCCTCTCTTGTTTGTCAAGGTGACCTTCAGAGGGCCTTTGTCAGTGCTAGGCACGTCATGCACCTCGTTTATTGCCAAGGCCGATGAGCGACTGTCGGCCCATATCTGGCCTCGGAAGTGGTCCTTGAAGTATTTTTGAGCTTCCTCGAATGATTTGTCAGTGTGGTGTTCAAGCTTCCAGTCAGTGGGCGAATGCTTGTGGCAGAATGCTCGGAGTTGCGACGATTCCATGAGGGTGTTCTGTCCACCTCCTGTCTTCATCCGCACATACAACCCTGCTTGACGAGCGCACGTCAGGTGGAAGGGCTCATAACAGCGGCCATCGCTGCATTGGATGCATGCACCCATCTCCTGCTTGCATATGTAGCATAGAAGCTTCCATCTACTCGGGGGAACCTTTTCAACGTCCGTAATGGGTTCCATGAGAGATGGATTGCCAATGGAAACCTCCGGTATCCAGGTTGCACAGAAAAGATGTGCCCATTTTGAATTGTTAGTCTGTTTGAACGCCCCTCCCTCGTTCGGACAGAAAATGCAGCTTGGGCGAGAATTTCCCACCAGCTGGCATTTCCGACAGAGCCATTGCCCCTCTGGGATGTATGGGACGCCATAACATTCCTGGTGCACCGCCAAATCGCAACCATCACAGAAAACAATGGCATTGGCGTTTTCGCAGTCGCCATCGTCGCATATGGCACACTTGCTATCAGGCTCCTCTCCTGCAGGCTCGCCGTTAACAGCTGCAGCGCTGCTTGACCGCGGTCGCTGTGTCTGAGGCGCCTTAGGATTTGGCTTGGGTATTCTTTTCTCTAGGGCATGCCATTCTTTCTCGATTTTTGTCATGGTGATTTCGAAAATCGCAGGCTTGATGGTCTGGACCCCGTCTTTTGCTCGCCCTCTGTTGAATGCCTCGAGCCACTTGACGTCCTGCTCGTCCATATCATACTCCACACGACCCACTCCGCTGCTCCCAATGGCCGAATTTTCCCCATTCGTGATCAGATCAGGACTTAAGTCCAGATCTTCCTCCGCAGAGCCTTCCATTTGCCGAATGAGTGTCCGCTCAGGCCGTAAGAATACCTCGCTCTCTTGATATCCGACATTGGCCATCGACTTGTCAACAAAGTCAACCTGCGCGATGTCTTTCTGCTCGTAGGACAAGAAGGGGTCAAGTTCTCGATATGAAGGCCTCGGTAGTGTGAGTCGTTCCCGAGGGTTGGGACCAGGAAGCGGCACGAATTTGGGCTCTTCCGGCGTCAGGAGGGCATTTACCATTGAGTTCTGCGTGCGATAAGGTCTCCCCGGCCTTCGTTTTGGTGGTGTCTGCATACCAGCATTGATGGTATCGCCTGCTTCCGAGCCTGAACCACCAACAGCAGCATCCATTAATTTGGTTCTTATGAGTCCGTCCACCTCTTCAGAAGTTATGATGGCAAAATCGGCTTCAAGATCTAGATCAGCATGAAATTCCTCCCACCCCCGCTCTTCTCGAGGTTTGTAGCCATCTCCGTGTGCCACGGCTGCAGATGCTGCCGCTGCTGTGCTGTATCGCGGACGAGTACCGCCACGGGTCCTACTCCTGGCCGAATACCTAGGTGTATCTGCCATTGTCTGTCTTTGATCTCGGCTAGGTCTGGGGCGCGTTTGGGGGACCATGTAGTCGTCGTTTGCGCGGGATAGTTTCGTACTGGAGGGGCTGCTCTCGTTATCGACATGTCTTCCCCCACCTCCACGTCCGCCAGGAACCCATTTCGGGGTTGTCTGCATCCTGCGAGAGGTTCGAATGCGTTTGGAGGGGGGTTCCTCGTCCTGGAAATCTGCGTACTCGTCGCGATCGTAATCCTCAAAAAGATTAGGAGCCTTCGTAATTTCTCTGCGGGGTCGGCCCCTGGGCTGTCCGCTTCTCAAGGGTGCCATAGTGTCAGTGCTGCGCGAAAATCGACGCGCTTGGTGGTTGAGCCCCTCGACTAGAATGCGCAGTTGAGCCTGGGGTCGGGTTCTTGTATGAAAAGTTCCATTAAGCCTGATGAAAGCGAAGGTAGAAACACCACGGCTTCGATTTATATGCAAGAATAGCGGATTAAAGTGGTGGTAGAGCGTTGACAAGAGTCAACGTTGCCGTTGTATCTGCAGGACGTCCCTTCAAGACGTACTCTCGACTCGGAGAGGCAAGCGCGATCTCGGTCTTGGCAGAGAAACCGAAGCGACGAGGCGACCATCTGCACCGACTCCAAGGCTCACGTGGCGCTAACCCAAATGATGCCGCTTTAAAACCCACCCGCTCGCAACTCATCCCTACCTAGGTACACAACCATCTCTCTCGCACAGTCGACTAGGAGGGCCGTACAAGAACCCTAGCTGGAATGCAGGTGAGAGATAAGAATTTGCATGTTACGCAGAATTTTATTCACTTGACTGCTCTTGCAATTTCCTTGCATGCTTGATAATGTCCTGATTCTGGAACACCTTTTGCTCACTCCCTCGTACCGCCAGGTCAATCATCGTGGCTCCAAGCTCATCGATTCTGACAGATATGGAGTCCCCGAAGACACACCTCTGGAGGATACCTTTGTCCTTGGGCACCACCCCTCCCGGTTTGACGACGTAAACTGTAAATCCACTGTGGGAGCCGTCTGCTGCGGATTCTAGGACTCGCGCCTCTGTGGCACCTCTAACACGACGTCCATGAGCAAAGAACCACAAGGACCGTTCTTTCTGGCCCTCCTTTGGAGGCGGTTCCGTAAAGGCTCCACCCAGCTGGACATATCGAAAGGTCGATCCGGGAGGCCGCGTCTTGATAGTGTTAATAAATGTGAGAGGATAATCTATATCGACTCTCTTATCGCCAGTGTATGTACCCAAGCACCAAATGGCGGCATCAGCTGTTTTCACCTCATTGATGGTATGTTCGTCGTATGAGGTAAAGTCTTTCACGATGATCACTTTGGCTTTGGGATGCTCGGCCAACGGTCCGGGTTCGCGACGGGTAAGGATGAGGACAGAAGTAATGGACGGGTGATTCAGGCATTGGGTCAGCACTTCCTTCCCAATGTACCCTGTACCGCCAGATAGAACAACTTTCATGTTGGGTTGAAATAGATGGCAACAAGCTGACAGTCCTTGCTAAAGTGACCTGATGCGTGACAACGGAAACGAGGAATGATGAGACTGATGAGTTCAAGGTCGAAATCTAAGGTACTTGTAGGGTTAGAGATGCTACTGACCGGACGCGACGTTGACGGCTGCCTACCTAGTAGATACCTGGTAAAGGTGGACGCAGTGCCGAATCCCGGGCCGCGTGGCACCCAGCCTGGTCGGAATTCAGCACTCATTCGAAACGCACATTGATAGTCGCCGCTTTACGCCTACAATTCTCAAAATGCCTTGTGGGATGTAGGGGCCTCGAGAGGCCCTGTTATTACTGGTTTTCTTCGCCTACTGCGTCTCCCCCTGTGATCACCGTGCAGCGAAAATCGGTTACTGCTTGTCCTTTTGACGAGAGTTGATCACACCACTAACTGTGATTTACCGCGATCCCCGTACCGGCAAGGCTACTCGTAAGTGTTTCGTGGAGGCACTTGCTTCCACAAGCAGTATCGGTAGACGATCTCAGTGGTGCAGATGTCTTCATATCCCAACAATCTCTCAAAATCTGAAATTGGCGCCACCTGCCGAGAAGCATATGCGATCAGGCGTACGGACAAGTTTCAAAATAGCTTGTGCTCGAGATCTTTGATGGCATCCGGCAGATCGAATATGCGCCCCGCCCGAACGTCGTCCTTGGTCAACCCGTTCAGCACGATACGCGAATAGGCGTCGCAATCAGTTGCGTAGTAGGGAATGAATGGGTCCCAGATTCCAATCTTGCGCCAGGCTGGGACATTTACGAGAGTCAGCCAGTCGTAAGTAAAGTACTTGATGGCCCATTTGTCGCCGTTCGGGATGTCCACATTGAGGGCGGAGATGCGAAGGTCGGTCAGGATCTCGAGCACGCGGGTATAAAATGATTTGTAGGGCTTTGCGTCCTCGTCACTAAGGATAGCGACATCCATATGAGACCAGAAGAAGTAGCGCCAGCCGTGCGCCATGCTAACCCGCAAGTAAAAGTTCATGAGCTGCGCGAAGGACAGAAGCGTCGGGGTCTGCAGGATCGAGACACCATACCGCAGGCGGAAAAGTTCATAGTCCAGGAAGAACGGGTTTTTGGAGGTGAGGAGGCCCAAAGAGTTTGCGTCCATCGTGCCGCTGTTGTCTACAACGATGATGTCCTCACGAGGCCAGCCCGCCGCTATGTAGCTCAGGACGGTTTGCTGCAGCATGGCAGTGTTGCGGGTAAACGCAATGAACAGAGGCGTTCGAGGTCGCTTTGAGATGGATGGCGGAAGATTATATGGTGCAACACCAGGTTGGAATGGAGTTTCAGTCCGGGGTGGAGGGAACCATAGCTTTGTTGCGTCCTCGTCCGGGCCAAGAAGTAAGGAAGAGTTGATGGAGGCTGTTGCGACAGAGAAGTAGAGTCTTGCTGAGTGTCTAGGCGGGGTGTCTGATCGCGAGAAAGAAAATGTAGTATCGTCAGGATACCAAATATCGCGAGCAGCACGGAGAACCAGCGCTTAGGGAGACGCCAGCCTGACCCCGTACACGGTTGGTTTGGATGACTTGCTGAAGACGAGTCTTCACGACTCCACAAGGGAAAATACATCGAAGTCATACTTGATTATATCTTGCAAATGTTCTCGGGTTGCCCATCGGCGCGGTGGGCGTCTGTACATTCGGAATAATCTGGATAGATTGAGGCAACGTTGGGAGTCGAAAGCGCCCTCGGCGTTCCCGCAGCCAATCAGGCTGAAAAGGAGTTCAAGTTGCGGGTGAGCGATCAACCCGGCTCATGCGGGCCGTGGGTGAGCACAGGGCGGCATTACCATCTTTCCCTAACGGGGTAAGCCGCGAGTAGATTTACTATACCTAGACCTTGGCACCGGCGCTGCGTCTCCGCCTGCATGCTAAAGTCGTCGTGAATTGCGCAGTTACGATCCGCATCATTTCTGCCGCACTCTTTCACAGATGAACAACGCTGACGAGTAAGTCCTCCCTCTCATGCTCCTTCATACGCCATAGCAACATTCTGTCCACATCTGTTATCAGAAATATTCGAAATAATTTCCGTGCTTACAATATGCCATCGTCTAGGAATCGTGGCGGTCGCAAAGGACCGGAACCCCGAGGTGCTAACCAGCAACGTCAGTCTGGAGGCTCTCGAGATGGGACACCTGGCCCTTCGCAGAGTAGAAGAGGTGGGAAGGCAGGCTCGTCTATGAACAGAAATACCGACGCTACCCAGAACGGTTCTTCTTGCCAGACCATGATTTCGCCGCCCAACGACCATGTTCCCATGACTGGGTACAACGCAGACGCTGTGGAGGCGATGCTGAAGCAAGGCTGCGAAGCTAGAGCACCATTGTACAGATCAGAGGTCAAGTCGCAGAGTACCAAAACAGAGAGTCCATGGGGTGTAAAGCGTGAGTAGGATGCCATTGTTTTAGGATGAACGAGACTGACTCGCGGTCAAAGCGGGAGCCATGGCCAGTGGCAAGGACTTCTGGATTGATCTGCGAAAGCAAGTTGCAGCTTTGCAACAGTCTGGTGGCACTAGTCGAGGCGGCTGATCCTTCTTGGTGGTCGGGAAAGACTCGACTCTCTTCAGCGGCATTTATGGGGGGCGTTTGCCTGGTTCTACAAGATACCCACGGGGACGGCGCATTTTCAGCATGCAGGTGGCTTAACTTGGACAATTTCTTGTGACGACGAACTTGGCGGTCCACTGCCTTGGAAGTACATATGTTGCGGCTCATGTTCACGGTTCCAGCCCATCTTGAGTCCATCAGGACATTGGAGGGACTTGTACAATTCGTTATCTCTTGAGTTTGTTATTACATTGGCATCTTGTGTTCAATCAGACCTCTACCTTTAGGCTGTTGTGAGACACTCACTGATTTTGTAGTGCTTGACTCTTTTCCCCTGTTGTCTTTTCTCCAGTTAGTACCAAAGCCCTACGAAAGGCGACGATCGATTCAGCTCCAGGCGGTTCAAGAAAATAAGCGAGCGGAGGTCTCGCGCAGGCAAGGAGAAAGACCTGGCTTCTGTCGAAACGACAGATCTTGTAGTAATTGTTTGCTCAGACCAGACTATCTCCTGTCACAATACTTTCTGATTGACTTTGAGTCGATAGCGACGCACTCATCCCTATCATGGGTATCTGCATGCTATTTAATACTTCGTAACGCCCTCCTCACTCTCCTCCCCAGTCCCCATGATCTGTTGGCCATACGGCATTTTTCAAAGGACCAGTGTCACTTTCCGGATAATATGATAGAAGCTTTATGCGACCATGGTGCTTGCAGTGGCGCTCTCGTACTTCCAGTTGGGTTGCAGAACACCGACAGTCTTGTAGTATCTGCTGAGACGGTGGATTCTGGACTCGATGAGAATAAGGCGGAATTTGGAGTCCTTGTCCTTTCGGTTGCGCTCGAGGTGCTTGCGGACAGCGACGGCCTGGCGGAAGAAGTCAGCGGCCTAGTTCGGCTCATCCCAAGGTGTTACGCATACCTTCTTGATCAACATGTAGAGGTCTTCTGGAACTTCTGGGGCGAGACCTGTGTCACTCTGTCAGTCTTATGGACCAATGCAGAGGCTCTGCTGTCACATCTCCCATAGAGAGATGGATATAGGACAATTGGAGCAAACGCTCATCTTCTAATTCTTTTTCAAGGTGGAGCGGATTGAGGCCTGCGCATACCATTTGACTTGAGGATTCTCAGGATCTTGTTACCTGCGACACAATAGTCAGCAAGTTGTCAACAGAACACAATGCCTACATCATCCTTACCAGTAACGACTTTGACTTGGGCAACGCCATGGCTGTCTCGGAGGACGACACCAATTTGAGAAGGAGTCGCACCCTTTCTGGCGAGTTTGCAGATGTTCTCGACGACGGTCTCTGGTGTGCTCTTGAACCAGGTAGGCACAGATCGCGAGTATGGGATGGCCGAGGCGCTGATGCCCTTTCCTTTGCTGTGAAGACGGCCCATGGTTGCGGTAGTCGGTGGTCGGTTGTCGAGAAATCTGGTGTTCTTGTCTGATTCTCCGCAAGAAAAAGTGCGGCTTCGAGATTCGTGCCGAGCGCCAAGCCCACCAGTCTTGGCAGGTAGCGCGAGTCCGAGCCGGCGAGCGAACTTATTTTCTGAATGTGACTTCTTCTCATTAAAGAACTTTCATACAACCACCACATTCATGAAGCAGGGTGTCTGCTCCTACAGCAATACTACAGCCAGTGTGACGATGCACTCGTGCCTAAGGTACTGATGTTTCGAGCATACTACAAAATTCGCGATCCGTGGGCCCGTCGCCTATTTTGATATCAGTGTCGGTACGTGAGCAGATTTCTTCTTTATGTTCTCCCACATCTCTCTCTCTCTCATATGATGACATACAACACTTAATATACAATATTTCTGGTACCTCTTATGTCAGAAGGGATTGGCTGCAAAGCTGGTTTCTTCGATGATCTAAATGGACTTCTGAATTTCCGTCCTCAACCGCAGTCTACAAACATCTGTCCGGAGCACATCGCTAACTTTTGACAGATAGGGTGTTGTAAGTAGCAAGGGCTTTAGGCTGCGAAGTGAAGCGAAGAAAAAGCAAGGAAATGGTGGAATCGTTCCTGGATTATTTCTGGAAGCCATAGTTCTTTAAGTCTGCACCTATGTCGACCTTCTTTCACAGAAATGTCGAAACCGTAGTCGTACCTGTTCGTCCACCCATGGGTATCAACTTTGACTCTTTTATACAAATCCTTCTCGCGGCCCACCAAACGCCTCCGCTATGCATGCATTCAAAATCACATTTTCCTTCTTCATGATGTGCCACCCATTTCGGTATCTCCATCTCTGGGAACTTCTTCTGCCTTGGTCTCGGCAGTCTCCGACACGCCGTTGGTCACAGGCGCATCGGGTGTCGATGCCATCGGCTGCTCAGGCTCTAGAGGAGCTGTAGAAGTAGCCGCACTCGCCTGAGGTTCTTCATTTACTGTGCTTTCTAGCTGCTGCTGCTGAGCAGGCTCTTCTGGTGGCGCAACATCTGACGGAGCTGAAGCAGGCGCTGGCGGAGGCTGCTGCGCCGCTTGCTCTGAGGGCTTTGGATTCTCGAACTTGTAAAGGAAGTGATCGCGGATGTTCGTTCGGTCAGGATTCCCTTCGTACAGAATTGATTGATGGATCAGACATTCTCCCAGCCATTGCAGCGGAAATTCAGCTCTGTTAAGACATGAGAGATTAGCGCCAGGCCTTTACGGTCGCCTCGGTGCGAAATAATCAGATTGACTCATATTTCCACATACTCTGCACCCAGGCTTTCAGTAATAGCCTGCTTCAGGAACGGCGCAACTCGGGCATTCAGATAGTCTCTCAGTGGCACTTGTTGCCTGTTGTTTTGAGCATTGACGACCACAGAGGGTGCATGAGGAGCAGACTGCGACATTTCCTCAGTTTCAGGTAGATGAATTTCTCAGCGCATCCTGTCGAGGAGAGAAGTGAGTGTATTAACATACAGTGTTTACTCTGGGATTGGGCACTTCAGCGGGAAAGTTTGCCGGTGATTCCACGTGACCGTTATAGATCCACGGCGACGAGATGCTTTGTGTCAGTCTTATCGAAACAGTTTCTGGAAAGGCGAGCAATATCCTCTCATCTCCGACGATGAGTAGTAGGACTTCATCACTAACGAGGCTGACGCTCCAGGAGCAAATCCTTCCTTTGTAGTGGTATTATATTGAGCATTCACGGACCTTCCAGCCTGACGATAGTGTAAGGACAACAGAGAACATTCTCGCAAATGCATTTGAGGATGTAATCACCAGCCATGTGGCTGTCCTCTCGTCACTTGTGTGAGGTCTCATCAGATCACGACGTTTTGAGACAGCCAGCTGGGTTTGCTCCTTCCCTGAGCCTCCGGACTCTGACTGCACCGGCTGTTGTTCGACATCACATATCTTCATGGGTCTGGGTGGTCTGGCTTCTCCGTTCGTCTCTCGTCTTGCTCCAATGAGTGTATCCTCCAGCAGCGACAGGCTCGTGATTATTCTTCTGTTCACCATCCCCGTCCCCGCTAACATTTTTCACCACTATTTGCCAGCGTGGCATTTCCTGAAGTCTCCTTGTCCTTGAACACTTACAGAAGATGCCATCTTTCCCTCTTGCTCGTTCAAGCAGCTGTGCTTGTCTAGTCACGATATCAGGGGCGATTCTCTCTCATGCAAGGACCTCTGGTCAAAGGGGCCAGGACATTCTGATGGACTCAGGGGCGCCGGCTCCTCTATAAGAGACTGCGACAATGAGCCCACAAAACGACGCCACGTGTCAAGATGAGACTGGTGGCGAGGTGTGGACTTGACTTTCGTGAAAGCAGATCTCGGAAAAGGCGACTGGTTCAGCTCGAGAGGCGGCTGTTAGACATTCGGCACCTGACTGCGACAAGATGCGGTATTGCGGTCAGTGAGCAGACTTAGCGCGTCTATAAGGTCGTGTCAATGATTGCTAGAGTGAAGCGAATACTTTTTAGCTTCCGCTCTTGAAGATGTGAAGGCCGTGTAGGGCGCAACGTGGTCCTGCACGACTGCCCGATATCGTCATCGGGATGCGCTGGCGCGCATTGGCATAGCCGAAAACCCACGGCAAGGAGCGGTCAGAGCGTGGTGGTGTCTATATAAACTGGATGGCTGGCCATGTCTTAATCGATGCTTTGGTCGGAAGAAGGGTGGAGGAGGAAGAGGAGGAAGAGGCGGAAGATGAACGACCACGTACTTTCACACGAACGATTGCGTTATCGCCTTCGGAACTGTGCAATCATGGAGAATTGGAGCATGGCATCGTGACAAGACGAACTGGTCGCTCCGCCGTCAACAACCACATGTTGTTCCGTCAATGACTGTGCCATCGTTATAGACAAGGCTGAGACGCAAGACGGGATCCATTGGCAGAGGAAAACTGTTGGCCGCCAGGCAACGAGGCAGTTGTGATTGAGATGGTGATGGATGCATGGGTGGGTGAGGGATGGACACGATGGAGAAGAGATCACAGCTGGGTCTCTGAAGCTTGGGCGCGGTTTGGGCTCTGATTTGGCGGCGGGGTAAAGCCCAAACACGCATCTCAAGCATCCCATTCGACCCTCGACTCCCTCGACGGGTTGCGCCGTTATTGGAAGAACAACTTCCCCCCGAACCCACTCTCCTCTATCAAAATCAATTGCGACAATACGCGAGCCGCTCACGAGGGAGTGTCGGCTTCTTTCTTCTGCATGATATGCGAAGGAACAATCTCTGCAATCTGCGCGTGCTGCAGGGGGAACCGGAGCTGTGCTGGCCTGCTCGAATCGTCGACGCGTATGATCATGACGCTCCATTTAATCTTGCGCAGCATGAACCAGCAGCACCAAGACCTGGCCAGCTAAGCCTGAAAGACACTGGGACGCTGCAGGAGACAGGATTTTGGCCATTCACCACAGCTTGCAGCTCCATTCCAACCACTACCATCTCGACGCCCGCATCCACCACCCGCTCTAGCTTTGTATGCTGCAGCTGCGCACGCCGAACAACTCGTGAGTGAATCTCCCATGACCCAGAATCAACCTGCACGCTGCTGCCTCCGGACGGAACCTTACCTCAGACATCCCTCAGATCCCAAACCCTCCTCCATGGCCGCAACCGGCCACTCACAGCGCGCCGTTGCATGTCTTGCAGCTGCGGCCTACGTTGGCCTATCCGCACCTCCTGATCATCTGCCAGTGTCCTGTGCTCAGTGGCTCTTCGTAAATGGCTGATCGGTTCTTCTGCGCCTCGAACGAGCAAGGCCAGGAATTTTTGTTCTCACTTCTTGCGCTGAGAGCGACCAATCTGTCGCTCAGAAGAGCCCCCCAGAAGACAATATCCGGCCGACTCTCTACCTTTCTTTTTCGTCCAAGACGTCGAGTCTACCATATAATTCGCGGGTCCCCCCGCTACTGGTGAACGAACCTGCTGGTGCCATATGCCGGCCGCTACTCGCTTGATCTCAGTCACATGCAGCCCGTCCACTTCAACAGCCGGTTTGCGCTGCTCGATCTCCTCTCCCGATGTCAAATTTGTTTGATGCGCAATGGTCAAATACGGAGAAAATCACTTTGTTGACCAATATCCTTGAAGGCGCAGGGTGGGACGTTCCTGGGTATTTGCTTCAGAGCATAATTGGCAACCATATACAACCGCGATGGAACGATATCGCTCTGCCGTCAGGTATGTTCTACTGTGGCACAAGTCCTTGCGCGTATTTAGGGATGTTGTTGTTCCCCCCTACGATGCGTGTCGACGCCATAATTACACGCAGTTGCACTAGTATAGCGCTGGCTAACCGTCGAGTAGGTCGCTCGCTGAATGCTTGCCAAAAGATCTACGAGGACATGTTGCGCGGTTCCCGAGCTCGATCCTTTCCGTCTGGCATGGGTCTTCCGACCTATACCCCTCAATTGTTCGAACCTCACATAGCACAAGGAAGAGCGGTATCTGCACAAGAACCCCAGCCACCGATTCATCGCAACATCCAACCTCGTCCTCCGCGGTCTACAGAATCGCCCATGCCTCCTACCACAAACGGCGACGGATTCACCATTCTGCGGCCCTTTGCGCCTGAGATCCCAATGGAGCGGCGCAGGAAGCGCGGTCGCCCGACGAAGGAAGAGGCCGAAGAACGCGACAGGAGACTTGCAGCTGTCGGCCAGACTTACGAGCCGAAAAAGCGCCCGGCAAAGAAGCCTCGACCCTCTGAAACTCCCGGTTCCCTATCAGAGCCACTTCTAGGGACGTCACCGAGTCTGCAGACTCCCATCGCGCAGCGTGTCGAGGCCAAAGACGAGTCATCTAGCGGCAAGCGAAGGTCAAGACGTCGAGGCGAAGAACCGTCTTCTTCTCAGCACCCGCCGCCTAGATCATCTCCTGAGGATTCTGGTGGCGAACGAAGCACCGATGCTGCCCAGAGTCCTTCGGATAGATTGCTGCTGCAAAGGTCAGGCGAACGCGCCCAGGCCCTATCCGCTATGGCTCGCGACATTCAGCAAGAGCAAAGTCCAGGTCTTGAGCAACAGTCAGGACCGCAACCGGAAGGTCCGCACTCTAGACCACCGTCGCTCTGACTGCGACTTGGAACCAGGCTGCGACTCCGTCCCCCATACCAGAAGCTCAATGCATTCCTCCGCCTTTAGCGCAACGATTCCCTCTACGAGCTACGACTATAGAAAACAACATAACTACACGATACCCATAGTTACGACCGACACAGACCAACGGGTGGCTGATAATCTATGGCGTCTTGCAATTTGTCTTCATTTCTGTCGCAGATGGAGTTAACAACTACTCATGAACGACTTAATCGCATAATGGCAGCCTCGGCCAAGCACATGAGCACCAAAATCTCTATTATTATATGTATGTATTTCTAATTTCTGGATCGAGACGAGCCATGAACTGCAGGCCAGAGCAGGTCTCTCGATCATTGAATCTACTACTGGGAAAAGGACGGTTGTTTTTGCACGGCGCAGCTTAGGGGGGACGACGAAGTATACGAGGCACCGTCGTTGGCTTGTTGATCTTCATTTGTGGGAGGATCATATCAAAAAGCAGGAAACGACACCAAGGATATGATATTTTGCCACTGGTGACGGCGTTCTATTTCGACACAATCCTAGATGCAAGGCCGGGCCTAGGGGATAATTGCTGGTTGTTACGACTTCTTCCACCCTTTTCAACTTGTGGCATACTAGAGATGATCCGACTGGATCACGATTTGACCGAAGCAGTACTTACTCCGTGAAGGCTTGAGGAAGATACACATGTCCTCTACCTACTACTAGTGTTTGGGTATACAAATTCACTTGTTACAGGCGCGTCTCGAGGGACGACTGCCACATTATTCTAAATCACGACGGAGTATTGTGTCTTCTGCTTCCCGTTCCAATTTGTGGGGAGCGATCTTTGATCGCTGTGGGATTGTCTGCACACTGGTGAATGCTGCTTTCGACCACGCCCAAAGCTTTTGAGAAACCATGGTCACTCCTCCATCCCAGCCCTCGGGACCAAATTGCACGCTGTGGCTTAAAAGTCTTTCCTTTTTTCCTCCGGCGTGGCCGTCTGGTTTTCCTCCTTCCAAGGAACATGAAATAAGGATATTGCGCCATCCCTTAGCTTACTACGTACAGTCGCGCAAGAGATTGTGAAACTGCATGAGACCACTCGTATTTACTGCGTTATTATTGCCATAGCAGATCTCCGTACGGAGTACGCCAGTCCTGTATTGCGTTTTCCCCGACAAGCGAGATGTGTTCGACGGGCTGGACGCAGTAGTGGACACTGGCATTACTGGACAGGGTACGGACTACCGTGACAAAAAAAACGTGCAGTGATTGATCTGAAACCCGAGTTCCATATGCAATCTCGATTCTGCAATCTCGTTTCTGCATGGATGCAGGTAGTAGCTTTCCGGTTGACTTGACTTCCTTTGTACGGAGTACAAGTAAAGTTTGTACGAAGTACTACGGAGTATGGTACCACGATATGTTTTTCTCCTGAGATTCGCATAAGGCCGGGTGCGGGCTGCGAGCCGCGGATGCGGCTGCAGCGAGGATTGGGCATTGGGGGTTGTCTGCCTGTGGTGGTTAGAGACGACCTTCCGAACAGCAACAGACAAAAACTGGGATGGAGGGTCCGTATGAGTTCCAAGTACATCTACTTGTGTGGTGAGGGAGAAATGTCAAGAGTCGAGAGGGAAGAGTCAAGACCAGGTTTTGATGGAGTGCCAAAAGGGAGGCGTCATGAGAGACGAAGGATATGGATCTAGAGTACTTGGTAGAGCAGGCCCTGGCTGGTGCGGGTGAAGAGCACAGAAACTCCAGGTAGCCCTTAGAGCGACAGGCAAGGCAGGGCAATTCCATCTCATCCGGTATCCGTACGGTATAATCAAATACTTTTCCCCCTCTCAGAGGCCTGCGATCATGAGGCGACTAAATATCATGACATGTCAGAATCTCAAAAGCATCTCCCGCTCCCCCATCGCGAGCATTGCATAGCCTAGGTCACAAGACACATGACCAAAATTGTGACATGACGATCTTCATATGTGTGCAGACAATCGTAGCTGTTCAAGCCCATCAACATTGCCCACCCCGGTCCTGAGGTGCCCTCAATCATCATAAAGACCCTCATCATCGTCCTCGACATCGTCGAAGAAGCCATCTGCCGCGTCAGCGGGCGGCGTTCTTTCTTTCACTTTTCCTTTTCCCTTCCCGCTGCTGATGCCATTGGTAGCTGCCCCGTTGAGATGCGACATGCTCACGCCATAGTCATCATCCGCATCCGCATCCGAGGAATTGCCCGAGTCAGGATTGCCGATTCTGGCTGCTTGCTTGTATGTCTGCGTGCTCGCTGGGTATGCGCTAATGTTCGATGCCGTATTTTGTCTTTGCTTGCCTTTGCCTCTGTTCTGTACCATGAGCGCAGGCTGCTCGGTGGTCTCTTGTTGATCTTCCGGCAGGGACACGGGAGGAGGTGCATTGTGAGCAGCCGGATGCATGGGTAATTTCGCTTGTTCGGCCTTTTTGGCCCCTGCGGAAACGCCATTGCTCTTAATGCCTTCTTGAGAACCAACAGTAATGTCTTGCTCCTCGAACAGATTCCGTATTCTCTCAAAATGCTCCAACTCTTTCTTGCTGACACTGCCGACGAGTTCATTCTGTGCCGCAGTAAAGTCCTCTTCGCTAACGACGACCTGCACATCTTCCTCGGTTGCCAGGTGGTCGAAGAAGTACCCGGTGCTGATCTCCTCTCCACGTGTCTTGCTGATCTGTTGCACTTTGTCGTCAACCGCTCGCGTCTTCCGGGTGATCGCTTTGAGCATGGCATCGCTGCAAAGTGCGTACAAGTCGGCACCGGTATAGGTAAAAGGGAGCCGACTGGCGACACGCATGAGGTCCACATCCGCAGCGAGCGTGAACTTGCGTGTAAGAGCCTTGAGGATCGTAAGTTGCTGGTCATGCGTGTCCGCGACTCCGAGATAGAGCATCTTGTCAAACCGGCCCGGTCGAAGCAAGGCTGGGTCAAGGAGATCGGGTCTGTTCGTCGCACCAATAACAAAGACTCCTCCAGCATTCGACGAGGTCTTGCCATCCGAGTCCTCGCCACCATCACCACCACTTGACATGCCATCCAGTTCGGCAAGAAGCTGGGACACAATACGATCCATGACCCCACCACTATCGCCCTGATTTCCGCGTTTGGGTGCGACCGAGTCCAGCTCGTCGAAGAAGACGACACATGGACGGGCATCACGAGCACGCTGGAACACACGACGAACATTGGCTTCAGACTCACCGATATACATGTTGAGCAATTCAGGGCCTTTGACGCTGAAGAAGTTGAGGCTGAATTCTGTGGCGATCGCCTTAGCGAGCAATGTCTTTCCAGTTCCTGGGGGACCATAGAACAAGATTCCAGACCGCTTCCGGATGCCGTTCGCAAATAGTTCTGGGTGCGTGAGAGGTAAGGATATGGTTTCCATGATAGCATCTTTTTGCGACGAAAGCCCACCAACATCTTGCCACGTGACCGTTGGGATCTTTGGTGCACCAATCGCGTCGGAAAACGTAGATCGAGCCGCTGAAATTGCACGACTAAAGTCGCTGGCAAGGAGATGCGCAGCAGCTTCGCCTCCGGATATGTATATGTCGGACAAACCACAAGATTGAGATTCAGCTAGGGACAGAAGCCGCGATTGTCGCGCAAGTGAAGCGCGGTTGACAACATCGAGCAGATCGCCAGCAACTAGGGCAGCAGTCTGTAGCGCCACAGATTTGAGATTGACAGTGCTCGAAAGAGGCGTCGAGGTTGAGACACATGCATTCCGCAGGATAATCTCTCTTGCAGCCTCGTCTGGTGCGGACACCTCAAACTCGTGCGAGAAGAGGCTTCGGATGCCTTGCGGTATATCGTCGATCTTGGACGTTGTCGCGATCAGCACGCGAGACCAAGAGACGATCTCCTGTAATGTAGGCACCATTCTATCTGCGGTCAACGCATCAATATGCTGGATCAGTATGGCAGTCTGCTGAGAGCCTCCGGACAGAGCTCTTTCGGCCCGAGTTCTCAACAATGCTTCCGTTTTTACATCACCACCACCAGTCGTCGAAGCATTCTCTGATAACAGGTCGTGGACAGAGATAGGGAAGGTATGGACCCCAGCCACCGAGCAAGCTGAACCGGCAATGTAAGACTTCCCAACCTGTCGCTGGCTTGAATGAAGAAGTATAACAAGAGGAGGTAGACCAAGGCTTGCTGCGCGAATGCTCACGGCAGCTGAGATCAGACTGGATAACCTCTTCTCGAGTGGGAGCCTTTCCAGAGCTGGAATGTCTGCAGCAGTAGCGATGTGATCAACTTTGTGCATGCCTCCTCTTCCCAGCTTCTGGATGCCAAACCAATAACGACTCCAGGTCTCTGTCAAATGTGACACAGACTGGACGCTGCTACCGCTTTGCGATACGCGAGCCTGTGAGCTGTCGAGAGTGGCTACACCGCCCCATGTATTTTCTTCTCGCTGGTTGCCTCCGTCTGGCTGTTCGGCTTCGATGTGTTCAACGGAGAACCAAGCCAACGCAAATCTGCGAGAGCCCGCTGAGCCCGGAGTATTGAGCTTTGTTATGGTTTCCTCGTCGCCTGCATTTTCGTCCGAGCTTGTTGACGAGAGGGCTTTTCCTAGTTCCTGGTCCACTGGTACTGCGATCAGATCTCCTTTCTTTAACTTGCGCTTTCTGCTTTCCAAGTAATGCTTGAGGGATAAGAAAAGCGTAGACTGTAAGGACGGGTTGGTCGTCGTCGGATCAGCAATCTTGGAAAATTGCACTTCTCGAGCCAATGGTGGAGATTTGGGAATGCCGGATCGTGGTACTTGTGATGTCTTGGGCGGCGTTGGCAGGGCGCCCACTTTGACAAATTGAGCATTATTCAAGTTCGCAAGCAGGATGGGCGAAAGGTAGATAGCCGGCGAGAATGGCATCATCAAATCTCTCTGGGAGAGACTCGGCCGTCTGTCACCCTTTTTGTCGACGGCGTACCGGGGCTGCTGGTTCGATAAGCCTGAGATGCCAAACACCTTGACCGTTCGCCAATCTGCTTCCTCCTCATTCGCAAGTCCGTTAAGAGACCTCATCACAGAAGGTGCGAAGCCATGAGCGCTGACATTTCTGGCGACCTCGATCCGTACCCAGTCACCAGAAAAGCAACCTATCTTTGCCAAAGAGCTGGTGTCAATGAAAACAAAGGACTCATCGTCCTCATCAGAGCCGGGCTTGGGGTGCATCAATTCTATCGGTACCTTGCGCAGCAGAGCCTCGGTTCGGAAGACTTTTCCTGGCCGGTTGCCAGCCCTCGCCGTGGTCGAAGTGAAGCTCGAATACAGTGATCCTGGAGTATGCATACCAGTGGCTCTCTTCCCTCCAGGTCTCGGTGTTGCGGCCGTCATGGCGGAGAGCGTGCCTGCCTGCTGTGGCGGTAAGCCTGGAGCGCTCAACGAAATCATGTCGTCCATAGAGTCAGAATCCTCGTCGCTTTGGTCCTGTGCGGCACCATCGCTATCAGAATGCTCGTCAGACATGTCATCACCATCAGACCCTGTTTCAGCTTGTCCGTCCTCGGCTGCGGAGAAGAATTGGTCATTGGAGGTGTCCTCTGCAGTGTCTTCTAGAGACTCCTCGATTATTGGTTGCACTGGGGCCAGTCTTTTCAAGGCCTTCTCCTGCGACGAGCCCGTCTGAATCAAGACTATCTTGGTCTTCTCCGAGATTTGTCCCTGAGACACAGGCTCACATTCCACAACAATAGCAGGAGCTGGCCGGACATGGGTAATTGGATGGGCAGGAAGTGGTAAGGGAAACACGTCTCCTGAGTGAACAATCGGAATCCGACAGAGTGCTTCCCGTACCAAAGTAGTCAATCGGGACATATACGCAGGTACATTTTGCAGGACTCCGTTCGCCAGATTGGCTTTCTTTGAATTCTTTCCATGTTGAAAGCCACCACCGAACTTGGCTTGGATGTCATCCACCTTTGCTAGCAAATTCTTCTCGACTGACACGTAGATGGTCTCTAGAGAAAGAGGTTTCGCGTGGATGGCTCGAATCTCGATGGACTTTGGGACATGGCCTGGATGACGGTCTCGATCTATGGCTGAGTATGTCTTGAGAAGGGACTGGCAAGCAAAGGAGGACGGTGATAGCTTGATCACATCGGACTGCTCGTGAGGCTCGGGTGTGGAATGAATATCTTGCGGCTGAGCAGGGAGAAGTGTCCATATCGATTCCTGCAGCTCAGCGTGTAGAGGAGACCATGGCGTGAGGGCTATGAATGTCGGCGGTTGATTGTCTGCGCATGGGATGTCAGCACGGTGTCAGAAAGACGATTCGTGTTGGGAGTCATTTCGTACCCAGTTCTGTGCCTGCGAGGCTCGTCCAGAGTTTGCGAGGAACAAGCGCAGCGTTGCCCTGGACGGTATCATCAAAGGCCAGACGAGCCGACAGTGGCATTCGCGAAATCTCACGCCTGCGCCGCTTCTTTGGGTGCTCGAGCTCGTGTTCGAGACTGGCCATATTGATTGACTCAGCAAGCCGCCAGAAGCGTCGGCATGCTCGGGCGGCCTATTGAGTTATATGCAGAGGATCACCTTAAAGATCTCTGATATACTTTGTTACCGAAGATTTGCAGACGTTGTTCGGCTGTGTTGGACTTTTGGACTTTGGGCTTGATCGGCTGCGAGCAATGAAATGCCGAGGCTCAAAATTTACTTAGAAACTCCAACCTAATCAGTACTCCGTATGCTCGAGCCGACAGGAAGGTTTCCTCCTCAAATCACTGAACCTCTCACTGAACCTCTTCGAATGGGCGGCTTCAGGTTCTGCGGTAAGAATAATGAGCGCTAGAAGAGATTCAAAGCCTACGCCCTTTGCCCCGAAAGGCTGTAGGCATGGTTGGTCAAGGAGAAACACCAAATCAATGACTAGTCAGGCTTCTCTGCTTCTTCTTCCTCGTATCCTTTGGCTTTGCGGAGGTGGAGGTCAAGGTGTGTCGCCATATGGTCGGCTCGAATTCCTGCTGGGTGCCTGTCACATTCGGTCATTGGACATCCCGCACGCTTTCTTGGTTGGCGGCAGGCGTACGCCTCATGCACGTTGCTGAGGGCATGACGGGCATCTACCAAAGTCGATGCGGTGGCCCATGTAGTCATACCGAACACGAAAGGCGAGGGCGAATCGTGTTCCTCATTGTCTGGAAAGACGACGAACTACCTTACCCAGTACTATGGAAGCTGTTGACAGATATTCGTGTGTCTCCAGTATTATCAACCACTCACAGCACTGTCTTCGGCTGTCTATGCCAGGACGATGCTTTGCACAAGGTTCTAAAGCCTTCAGCTATGGACTTCTGCTATGAGAGCTAGAGATATCATTTCAATGCCCATTGAGGCTCAGGTCTTTTCCAAAAATGGAGTCCACAAGTTCTCCCCCCCTTGTCGACACGATTGAAAGCAATGAATCAGAGAGTCCGTGAGTGCCTTCATTACAGCCCTGCAACCAAATGCCCATTCCTTCGTCGACCGTTTGCGGATCCAGCTTCAGCCCATAGTCTCGTCCAGGTTGCCAATGACCGTTTCGGTTTGCGTTGATGCTTTGACAGTCTCGAAGCATATCGATATGTGCGTCTCGCCGATAGCCGGTCGCCAATATGAGTGCGTCGACACCCAGTTTTTCGGTCGCTCTGTCGCTGAGTGGTTCCAAATTGGTCAAGGTGAGTACCAAGCCTCCCGTTGACTTGTCATCCGTCACTTCAGTGATATCCCTCGACGAAAGGATCTGGTGTTGCCATTGTGTCCGGTCAGGTTGCTTGATGCCCTGCAGATAAAGGTCGTCATACAACTTCTCAATCAACTCAAGCCTGACGACGCTATAATTGGTGGCCTTGTTCTTCTTCAGGGTGTCGAAACGGAAATCGTCAGGCTGCTCAAAAAAGGTGTCCACAGCCTCGGGATTGAATACTTCATTCACGAAAGGCGAGTCATCGCTCGGTCGCAAGGCTGTGTCTCGGAATATCATTCTCGTAGTGGCATTCGGGTAACGGGCATGCAGATCATTGAACACTTCTGCGGCACTCTGTCCACCACCCATCACGGCTATGCGGTACGGCTTGTCCTTGTCTGGCAAGACTCGTTCAATCCTGGTATTGTATTCTGACGAGTGCAGAATCCTGTCGTGAAAGGCGGGAAACTGTGGAGGCCGGGACGGTCGCCCACCTGCTGCAATGACGACGTTCCGAGTGAAGAAAGTGCTTGACCTTCCCGACGAGAGATTGCGCGAGACGACTTCGAAACAGTCATACTTGTCTGTGCCGGCCAATTTCCGTGGATGGATCGATTCGACATCCTGACTGTACTGGACGACATCATGAAAATGTGACGCGGCCCATTGGAGATAGTCATCGAATTCCAGCCGCGAGGGCAGGAATGTACCAAGGTTGGAGAATTGGACAAGTCGATCATGCTGTTTGAGATAATTGAGAAAGGTGAAATAGCTGCAGGGATCTCGAAGGGTGGCAAGGTCCTTGATGAAGGAGATTTGCATCCTCGCTCCTGGTAGCAGCATGCCAGCATGCCATTTGAACGTATTTTGCCGTTCCAGAAAGCGCACCTTGGGACTGATGATGGCGTCCCTCATGTTGGTTTGTGCCTCCAACAGATCGTTAAGCGCGACCGCAATGGCAAGTGAGGCAGGCCCGAAGCCGACGCAGACAAGGTCGTGGACTTCATCTAAGCTTGTCGAGTACAGATGGACTGGAGCGCGCAGTAGCCGGCCATTGCCTGTGCTGATTGACGCTGGATGCCAGACATTGGCGCCAGTGCTGTGGCTTATCGACTGGTCGCCATGTCTGGCAATGCCATCGTCAGCTACGACGCCTGGAGCCATGGAGAGGAAGGCACTTGAACACTACTCCGTAGTGCGTCTCGAAAAGTCGGGAGTGAAGTGTCTACGAAGGAAGTCGGGCTTTGAGAATCAGAAAGAGCCACAGAGCCACATGAGCATCATGACCTGGTTAAGAGCAATGCAGGAAGGGTGGAGGGTGGTGAGAGGGTCAACGAATCATGAAGCGGATGCTTTCGCCGTTTGCTTAGCCGGAAATGATCACCTTCGTAAGTTCTCCCACCTGGCTAGGAATCGGACCATCACTCAAAGACATCAGCCCACACACTCAATGATCGGGAGGGATGAGACTCGACATTGACTTACACCATTGGAGGGTAAAGGTCCGGTGAGAATGCAGGACGAGATGCTGGCGATCCATTTCTGTCGCCGATGAACGGAGTGACACACCAAGCAAGACACCCGCTCGACACCTTTGCTGGAGCTGCCAAGCCGAGCGATTATCTGATAATAAAAAATTTGCATCTGATAATCTGCTAATCTGATAATCTCCATGATCTTTGGCCAATCAATGTGCTTGTGCATGCTTCTGCCACCCCACTGCCTTTAGTGGCGTGGATCTCCTTCCTGCGCCAAAGGTGCGGCGTGGGTTTCAGCTCGCGTCAAACTGTCGACGCCAAACGAATCTCGGTCGAAACAAAATTTCCTCAGCCCATGTGCCCGGTTGAACCGATGTGTTGTCTTCCTAGCAGGTTCTTGCCAGGTACAAACGAATCCTAAAACCGACGCAAGACGATCCACAATGCCGACAGCATCGTCGTGTCATGATCTGTCACTGTGCTGGTGAGTGGGAGAAAGGAACTGAATGGAACGAAAGCAAACGGCCATCTTCATCATCAAGTCGCCATGAGGATAACCGCTGCAGCCCTTTCATCACCGATAGAGCCGAGCAATTCCCAGGTGCCTCAATACCACTGGCCTCCGTAACATCCAACTCTCGACTCCGGGAGAAGATCACGGATTTTGTCAATCTCGGGCTTTGTTCCTCCATTATTATCGTCAAATGATTGCAGTGTCTATGACGTGCAAGAACTACCATTTTTTATACACATATCATTCTACACCAATCAATACCTTTAGCTGGTATTGATACTCCTATCCAACCTGAAAAGCCGCCAGCTAGCCTTTCATCGTTGGTTGGCCACTTTGACCTTTCTTTTGTGCAGACATGGCACAATCACCAACCAACGGACTTCAGTATCCACGTGATCTGGCAATACTCAATCAACATCGTGAAACCCTTCCGGGGCCACGATTGCTCCATGAATTGATCGCCAGCGATTCGGAGGAGGAGTTCCTCCTCGATTTCCTCACATCTGCTGGGGACAGGATACAGCTTACCTACCAGGAATTTCACCAACTCACAGATCTACTCGCACAAGACATCCGGGACCACTTCCACAGTGCACTACACCCATGGTCAATTATTCCAGTGGTTATACCACAATGCCCAGAGCTCTACGTGGCTTGGGTAGCGGTTCTCAAGGCTGGGGCAGGCTTCTGTCCCGTAGCCCAGGACGTACCCCGGGAAAGATTGAAGTTCATCGTCCAAGATGTCGAAGCATCGTTCATGCTGACCACCTCCAAGGTGTTGGATTATGTCCAGCATACAGTCAGCGATGTGGAGTGCATGTCGATATCACTCGAAGCCTTGCGCGGCAGACTGGGCTCCTGCAGAACTACGTCTTCAACTACAAGGCCCCAATTCTACACAGACCCTGAAGGACCCGCGTATGTGATGTACACTTCAGGCTCTACAGGCCTACCAAAAGGGGTCGTGGTCTCGCATTTCTCGGTAACACAGTCATTACTAGCGCATGATCAGCATATACCCCATTTCAAGCGATTTCTCCAATTTGCCTCACCAACCTTCGATGTTTCAATATTCGAGGTTTTCTTCCCTTTCTTTCGGGGTGCAACATTGGTCGGCTGTGAGCGTGAGCGCATGTTGAGCGACCTTCCGGCTACAATTCGATGCCTTGAAGCGGATGCTGCTGAGCTTACTCCTACGGTAGCAGGAACGTTACTGAGGACGAGGGAAGCCGCACCTTGTCTGAAAACGCTCCTGACGATCGGGGAAATGCTCACCTCAAAGGTAGTGTCGGTATTTGGTGGCGATTTCGAAAGACCGAGCATGCTGTACGCAATGTACGGGCCGACGGAGGCTTCAATTCATTGTACGCTTGCCACCAAACTAGCTTCTTCTGCTCCAGTTCGAAGTATTGGCCGCCCTTTGAGAACTGTGACGGCTTTTATACTAAAGGATACTGATCATCTTGATATTGCTTCGGTTGGCGAAGTGGGTGAACTTGCCATTGCAGGCCAACTGGCCAATGGATATTTGAACAGGCCGGATCAGAACAAAGAGGCCTTCATTGACCTTCCTGGCTACGGCCATATATACAAGACCGGAGATCGCGCCATCTGTCTGCAAGATGGAAACCTCGAGATTCTCGGGCGCATGAGCTCCGGGCAAGTGAAAATCAGGGGCCAAAGAGTTGAGCTTGGCGAGATTGAAGAAGTGGCCTTGAAAACGCAAGGAGTTCAATTGGCTGTTGCAAGTGTCATTGAGGATGTTCTTATACTATTCTGCGCAGCACAGGAAGAAGTCAAGGATGCAGACGTGTCCGCCATATGCAAATCTTGGTTACCGCCCTACATGCGCCCGGGAAAAGTCCTCTTAAAAGGAGACCTGCCAAGACTGCCATCCGGCAAGGTCGACCGCAAGACCCTTGAGCTCGAGTTCCGACAGTCAATCAAAACAGCTCAGACAACGCAAGAGTTCGAAGATCAGCTCGAGAGAGACATCGCGGAGATATTGCAGCGGGAAATGGGTCACAATATTGCGAGATCAACATCATTCTGGTCTCTCGGACTTGATTCTCTGCGGGCCATCAAGGTCGCATCTCGTTTACGGCAAACCTACAGGCAGCTCAACGCCGGAATGTTAGCGGAGGTTGACAATGTCGTCGAGCTGGCGGCAATTATTAGAAGCCAGGAACATTGTCCGAATTCCCAAGACCTCGAACAACCTTATGAAGAGTCTCAAGAATGGAAGGATATTGAAAAGACGTTGCTGGGCAGTCCACATGCTTTGGACCTCGATTCATCATGGGAGAAACTCCTTCCTTGCAGTTCAATGCAACTGGCAATGTTGGTCGAGACTGCCGCAGCCGAAGAATTGAACTTCAACAAAATTTGGCTCAGCCTCTCTTCCGAGATACGCTTCGAGGATGTGTTCGACGCATTCAAAGTAATAGCAAGACGCAATGAGATTTTGAGGTCAGGATTTATCTCCACCGGCTACTCAGACATGCCGTTCACACAGGTCGTATGGAAGGATCTCACAGACAGTGAACTAACACTCCTCCACCCACTACAGCTAGTGCGGCCTGCTGATGACGAGAGTCAAGTCCTTGTACAAATACACCATGCTCTCTATGACGGCTGGTCCTGGGACCTAATAATCGAAGACCTGAACAGGGTCTTATATTCAGAGGCCTTGCCGGACAGGGCACAATTTTCACAACTGATCTCACATGAGCGCTCACAATCTCTTGCTCCTGAAGCTGTTGCCTATTGGAGTGGCTTGTTTCAAGATTTCGTCCCTTCCGACTTTCCGTATCTGTCGGCCTCAACATCTCAAAACTCACAAAGAACATCAGTCACTCTACCCTTGTCGATATCTTACTCTCAGCTCTCCGCAACAGCCATGGCTCTCCGATGTGGTCGAGAGGCTATTTTGGAATCGGCATGGGCTTTCTTGCTGTCGTCTTACGTCGATAATCCTGACGTAGCCATTGGGGTCGTGTCTGCTGGCCGACTTCTTCCAATACTAGGCATTGAGTCTATGATCGGCCCTTGCTTATCAACATTCCCTGTACGCCTCGACATGAATGCTGTGAGGACGGTGCAAGATGTAGTCAACCACATCCAGCAACAACGTTCTCACCATCAGGCATACGGGGCTCTCGCCCTCCGAGACATCAATCTGGCGGCCCGGGTGTCACCTGGAAGTCGGCTGTTTGACACCTTGTTTGTATGGCAACAGAATTACGAGGATGGTGATGCACGCAATTTCAAGGTGCAGACTGCGAAAACCCAGGATGCCTTAGCCTACGCCACTGTGCTAGAGCTTGAACCTTGCAACGAAGCGGTCCACCTGAAGATATCTTTCGATACAACTCGAATCCCGGAGGCCCATGCCGAATTGTTGGCTGGTCAACTAGGCGAAATTACGCATCGAATGATACAGAATCCAGGCCAGGAGCTGCGTCGCCTGTGGGCAAGCTGTGAGCCACGTCTTATGTCGCTTGTCAACAGCGAATACGAAAGATTCGAATCGAGGTTTGACCTAATGACTCCCATTGAGGACGTGGCGCGAAACGACCCTGATAGACTAGCAGTCGAATTTGTGCGGAATTTTGACTCAGAAGCTGGCCGGATGGAAAAGGAGACACTCACATACCAGGAGCTACATATGCAGGCTTCGATCGTGGCTTCAGCATTACGCAGCTCATATGATGTCCAGCCAAACAATGTCGTATCCGTGGTTGCTGCCCGATCATTGGATCTTTATGTTGCTATCTTGGGCATCGTTATGGCCGGTGCTGGCTATCTGTGCATTGACCCTCAGACTCCGCGAGAAAGGATCAAGCAGATTCTGGAGATATCGAACAGCAGGCTGGTGCTGTTCGGTGGTGGCTTCGATCCTGGCACAATAGGACACTTCCCATTGCTAGAAATACGCGCAATGCTCGGCCAGCCTGTCCAGGCTGGAGGAGACGTTGTTGCCGATGCCACTGGGGATCACCTTGCTTATGCAGTCTTCACTTCTGGCAGCACGGGCGTTCCCAAAGGTGTCCTTATCACGCGCAAGAACCTTTTAAGCAACCTCGAGCAACTGTCACGTATCTATCCATGTGTACCTGGGACAGATCGACTCTTACAGTCCTGCTCTCCAGCATTTGACGTATCTGTTTTCGAGATTTTCTGGACATGGCACGTGGGGATGACTTTGTGCACCGCCTCGAACGATGTCCTCTTCAGGGACCTTGCACATTTCATTGATACCTTATCTGTAACTCATCTCAGCATGACTCCTTCAGTGGCTGCGCTGGTCCACCCTGACAGCGTTCCAAAAGTGAAAATGCTAGTGACTGCTGGAGAACCCATGAACTCGAAGGTCTTTGGTGATTGGGCTGACCGAGGCCTCTATCAGGGATATGGCCCCAGCGAAACGACGAATATTTGTAATGTTCGGCCGAAAGTGTCCAGCTCGACTGTTTCAACTAATGTTGGACCTGCACTTCCCAACACCTCCATCTTTATCTGTCAGAGACAAGCGTCGACATCTACAGATATCCCGAAGGGCACAGACAGCAAGGCACATCCAATGTTCGAGACAGTGCCCAGGGGCGCAGTTGGTGAGATCTGGATCGGTGGAGAGCAGGTTGGCCGTGGGTACGTTGACCCCGAACTCACGGTGCGTAGCTTCTTGGAACATCCGACATACGGCAGGCTCTATCGTTCTGGGGATATTGGAAGGCTTCTTGCCGACAATTCCTTGAACATTCTCGGCCGTGAAGACGACCAGATCAAGCTACGAGGCCAGCGGATTGAACTGGGCGATATTAATTCCTCTTTGCTGAGGGATCGCGAAGTCCGAGATGCCGTCTCCATGATCATCACTAAAGAGGGAGAGAATGCTAGGCTTGTCACTTTCTGGACACCTCGCAAGCCAACGATAGCAAACAATGTTCCACAGATGACACGGTCTCTTTTTGAGCAGTTGGCAAGCACACTCCCGGGCTATATGGTACCCGATGTACTCCTTTACCTTGATGATATACCCTTGACTAGGCAAGGCAAAGTTGACCGTAAGGCAATGGTTTACAAGTACTCAGAGCTGACTCCCGAGGAATTGCAACAGGTGTACAGGGACAGTGCTGGTCCTGAGGACACAAATGATCTCTCTGAGTCTGAACGCTGCGTTGCCGAAGCATTATCTGAATCACTCCGTGTGCCTCTTGCACCTATCCGACGCAATACTTCTTTTTATGGCCTCGGACTGGATTCAATAAGCGCGATCAAAGTAGCTCACGGTATCAGAGCCCATTTTCCGGCTGTGGAGATCTCTACGATTTTGCGGAATCCATCAATTGGTCAATTAATGGCACACCTCGTGGTTGGAGATGAAAACAATTCGAGAAGGCGGACAAGAAAAGACCTTGAGCAACTCTTTGACGAGCAAACGAAGTCAAGTATCATCGACATTTATTCCAAGGAAGAGTTGGATGTGGAAAAAATCCTCCCTTGTACACCACTTCAAGAATCAATGGCGATAAGTTCGCTGGCACCATCCTCCAATGCTTACCATAATTCATTGCGTTTTCAAGTCCATGGAGACTTGGCAAAGCTCAAAGACGTATGGGCACAGGCCCAAATCAGACATCAGACCCTCAGAACAGGCTTCATTGCGCTGGATTCTGCTGAGATTCCTTTCGCGCAGGTAGTCTTGAAGAACTTTCCTCTTCCATGGCGGGATAAAGATGGCCAGCTACCTCCCTCTCACGACTCTCAGCCACTAAGGTACCCACCCTGGAGTTTACAAGTCCGACAGAGCGAACACTATGGCTCTGAACTGGTATTGATGATCCATCATTGTCTATACGACGCGGAGGCCATGTCAATACTTCTAGCAGAAGTCCAAGCCATCTACCACGGCTTGGAGTTGCCACTTTCCATTGCTTTCGACAGATACCTTGAATACATGGAAAGCTCAAAATCCAATGCCACAGACCAGTTCTGGCATGATAAGCTTCAACATACTTCGAGTTGTAAGCTGGGTGATCTTGTTAAGGGAGGAGACAAGGTCGAAAGGGGCGTCGGCACCTCCATAGCGAGCCGTGTTGCGACCCTCAAACTAAGAGAATTCCAAGAATGTGTTCGACGTGTTTCGTCCACGTCTCTTGCGCTATTTCAAGCTGCCTGGACCCGATTGCTCATGTGCATGTTTCAGAGAGAGGATGTCTTATTTGGCAATGTCCTTAGCGGCCGCAATCTACCTATCGAAGGCGTCGACAGAATCGTCGCACCGTGCTTCAACACCATTCCTGTGCGGGTCCAACTCAAACCAGGGGAAACCAATTCCGACTTGACTCGAAATCTACAGCAAATGAATATTGCAATGCTGCCATATCAGCCTAGCTCACTTCGCCGCATCCAGAGACAGAATGCTCCAAATGGCGGGGCGCTCTTCGATGCATTGCTGTTGCTGCAGCAGGAAGACTTGCAGCTCGATGATCAGATTTGGTCTTTGATCGAGGAGTCTGGAGACATGTCATTCCCTTTCATCCTGGAGATTGTCATAAACGCAGACACTGATGCGATATGCCTTAGGTTGCATTCCGAGATTGCCGGTGAACATTTCCTGGGACAAGTGCTAGCAAGCCTTGACGTGCTTCTTTCGCATACTGCAATTTATCCTCAGTCACGAGCGCTAGACTTTTCCACTGTCGCTAGAGAATTGCCAGAAACGAACCCAGTCGAAAACGCAGAATATGAAGCAAGGGCTTCTGCAACAACTCAGGTGAATGGGTATCACAATGTTGACGAGCAGCTATCGACTGTGGAGGTCTTGATAGCAGATATCCTGATGCAACTCAAGCCTGAAGCGTCCATCCGGATCCACAGAGACACAACCATCTTTCAGCTAGGCCTCGACAGCATCAACGCCGTTCAGATCGCAGCGAGGCTCCGGAAAAAGGGGTACAATATCTCGAGCGCCGACATTCTGGAAGCCGCCAGCGTTGACCAAATTGCAGCAGTCTGCGAGTCAAACAGCCAGAAGCCAGAAGTAGCGGTAGCCTTCGATCTTGAAGCATTTGACTATAAGTATCGCAAGTCACTTTGCTCAGCTAACGCTATTGACGAAGAAACGGTTGAGGCAGTGCGGCCGTGCACACCAACACAGTCAGGGATTCTCTCACAATTCCTGCGCTCGGACCGTCGGATGTATTTCAACTCTATGCATTTTGCCATTGAGAATGGTGTTGACTTTCGGAGGTTGAAAGAGGCTTGGGCTACTGTGCAAAAGATGCATGAGATGTTGAGAACTGGATTTGTCGAGACCGATGATTCACAGATTCCATTTGTCATGATCACATACCGCCCTGATGCTGTTCGGCTCCCCTGGAACAGTGTGCACTTCCTGGCCCAATCTCATACTCCAGGGGTCTCGCAGGACCAGCTTGACCTCTCCAAGCCACCTTGGAGGATAGCGGTGTCTTTAGCGAACAACACGATGACACTCGAGCTCTCTATGCTGCATGCTCTGTACGACGCCCACTCTTTGGAGAACATGACGCAAGACGTGGCTGCATTGCTTCGGGAGGAGGAGCCATCTCGAGCCATTACGCCATCTCAGGTCATCTCAAAAATCCTAGCGATGAGCAGGAGCGAGGAATCCCGGAAATTCTGGAACGGGCTTGCGTCGGATCTCTGTCCAACCCGTTTCCCGGACATGAGAGTTTATTTCAATGACAGTGAGGAATATCATGTGATTTCGAGGCGCTGTAGTTTACCTCGCCGAGAGCTCGAGAAGGCATGTGCAGATGCTGGAGTAAGTATACAAGTTTTATGTGCTACCGGCTGGTCCCGCATACTTTCAGCCTATACTGCACAGGACCATGTCACATTTGGCATTATCTTATCAGGGCGAGACTTCGAGCAAGAGGAAGAGAATGAAGTTGCCTTTCCTTGCATCAACACTGTGCCGTTCGCGATAGAAGTGTCGCAGGATTCAAAAGCGCTTCTGCGGCGAGTTTCCACACGTTGTGCTGCACTGATGAGGCACCAACATACTCCCCTCAGCTCGATCAAGCGCTGGGCTGGGATTGAAGACGAACTGTTCGACAGTGTCATCGTTGTGCAGAAGTACGGCTCTGCACATGGAATCAAAAGTCCATGGAAGCTTGTTAAGGACGAGTCCTTTGCTGAGTACGCCGTCTCGCTGGAGATCATTCCCGGGGAAAAGGAGGTCGACTTCCAGCTCACGTTCCGCGAGAATGTTCTTCCCACCGAGCAAGCAGGCTATATACTTCAAGAAGTTGATGCATTGATGAAAGATATTCTGGCTTCGGCAGTTGGAAATGAAGCAGAGCTGCCCAAGTCATTATTGTCAGTTGTTCCTTCGAAAGATGAGCACATTGAAACCGGCGTACGATACCTTCATGAATTTGTCGAAGTGACAGCCAAAAGGAGACCTGACAAAGTGGCGCTTGAATTTGTCACTAGCATGCAGGGGACTGCCTGTCAGAAACAGAACTGGACATACTCTCAGCTGGACGCAATGGGCAACGAAATTGCTCACATGCTGCAGAAGAACGGAGTTCGGGTTGGAGAGCTGGTAGCCGTCTGCTTTGACAAATGTCCAGAAGCTTCATTCGCTATTCTGGGCATTCAGAAGGCAGGCTGTGGCTATCTTGCGATAGATCCGGGCGCTCCAAAGGCTAGAAAGGAATTCATCCTTCGCGACGCTGGCTGCAAGAACGTACTCACCACGAGGAACAAGGCTGCGTACTTTTCCGCAGCTCAGGATGTTACCATAATACCGGTCGATGTCCACAATTGGCACAGCCTCTCAGGCGAAAAGCCTACATTGTCTCGGGAACTGGTTCCGCAGGACATATGCTATTGTCTTTATACCTCTGGCACAACGGGTACACCAAAGGGCTGTCTGATTAGCCATGACAGCGCTGTCCAGGCCATGCTAGCTTTTCAGCGCATTTTCAAGGGCCGGTGGAATGATTCCTCTCGGTGGCTCCAGTTTGCCTCTTTTCATTTCGATGTCAGCGTTCTCGAGCAATACTGGAGCTGGAGCGTCGGCATCTGCGTCACCTCTGCACCCAGAGATCTGCTATTCGAAGATTTACCAGGTACCATCAGGGCACTTAAGATCACCCATCTTGATCTCACTCCGAGTCTTGCTCGATTGCTGACTCCGGACGACGTTCCAAGCTTGTGTCGAGGTGTCTTCATTGTCGGTGGGGAGCAAGTTACGCGAGACATTCTGCTGACTTGGGGTGATACTGGGTGTCTGTACAACTTTTATGGACCAAGTGAAGTCACCATTGGCTGTACAGTCCATCAAAACGTTCCCAAGGAAGCCAAACCCACCAATATCGGTCAACAATGGGACAATGTGGGATCATTCGTGCTTGAACCAAAGTCACAGAAGCCAGTGCTTCGAGGGGCCGTGGGTGAACTTTGCTTGTCAGGGCCGTTAGTCGGAAAGGGCTATCTCAACCGGCCTGAACTCACGGCAGAAAGATTTGTGACCCTTAACGACTTCCAGACCAGAATATACCGGACAGGCGATCTTGTCCGTCTTCTGCATGACAATAGCTTTGAGTTCTTGGGCAGAATCGACGACCAAGTCAAGCTTCGAGGACAGAGGTTGGAGATTGGTGAGATCAACCACGTCGCTAAGAGTGCAGATCCCGACATCAAGGATGTGGCCACCATAGTCGCGAAGCACCCAACTCAGCAAAGGGAACAGCTTGTGACAATCTTCTCTATCGGACAGCGACGCTCAAAGAACGAAAAGCCAAATGTCGTTAAGAGCGACGAGGCTACCGCGTTGGCTGGACGGATCCAGGAAAGTTGTTCCCACAGACTTCCGGCGTACATGGTTCCTTCTCATTTTGTGGGAGTTGACTTCCTACCTCTCTCTGTGAACAACAAAATTGATAATAAAGCGCTGAGAGTTCTGTACGAAAATAGCGTATCGCAGGTAGAGCTCGCATCATCAGCTGGAGAAGACCAGTCAAACCCGGAAGATCCTACCCTCCTTGGTGAGGTGGTGGAGATACTCGCCAGTTTCATGCGGATCCCAGCCTCGAGTATCAGGCCAAATTCAACGCTGTTCGAGCTCGGTCTGGACTCCGTTTCCGCCATTGGCCTCTCACGAGCGTTCAAGAGGAGAGGGTTCCAAAACACGGATGTGGCCACAATCCTCCGGCACCCAATCGTTGGGGAGCTTGCTCGAACTATCAATCAGAAGTCGATGACTGACCAGAACAAGGCAGTATCGGCGTCAATGAAGCGTATTGAGGCCTTTGCACAAACTCATCGATCAACAATATGCCAAGCGCTCAATGTTAAGGCTGAGGACATTGAATCCGTCGCGCCCTGTACTCCGCTACAAGAAGGCATGATATCCAAATCCATGCAGACAGACCTCGACGACACCACCTACTTCACAAGCATGCGATTCGAACTCGAGCCTGAAATTAACATTCCGCGATTAAGGCAAGCATGGCGTTCGGCAGTGCGGTCAGTCTCCATTTTGAGAACATATTTTGTTTCTACCATGGACGGATTTGCACAGGTTATCCTCCGGGCAAGTCCCAACTGCCACGTCTTGGAGTTTGGCGATTCGTCATTCGAACAATGGGTAGCATCCACTAAATCTTTCTTGACCTCCTTGCCATGGAAGGTTGAACTTGGCCAGAGGCGACAAATGGTCCTGTACATCTTCCATGGGCTTTACGATGGCATTAGTCTTTCACTGCTCCTGGCCCATATCAAAAGGCTATATTATCACCCCAACGAAAAGCCAAAGATCGCCAAGCAGTTTTACGAAGCACTGGCCTACGGCCCTCTTTGTGTACTGGCCGACGAGGGAAAATTCTGGTCATCAAGGCTGTCTAGCCTTAAGCCACTCAGACTCTCCCAAGCTCATCCGGAAAGTAGCACGTCAGAGCGGCCAATTATTGTAGACGATTATCTCAGCAATGCTTGGGTTGACATCCAAGACCTATCCCGAAAACTTGAAGTCACCCCTCCGGCAATCTTTCAGGCTTCATGGTTGTACACCCTGGAAAGGATGTTCAAGGCCACGCCTTCCATGGGAGTGGTACTATCGGGGAGGTCAACGGCCAATGGCAGCTTCGAAGACGTGATCGGTCCAATGTTCAATACTATTCCCTTTGCTGTCACTAACCTCCCAAGGGGTTCGAAGTTGGAAGACCTCGTCAGAGCTTGTCACCAGTTCAGCATGGACGTGATCCAGTACCAGCATACACCCTTGCGCACTATTTCACGATACCTCGGACATGATACAAATTCCGCCTTGTTTGATAATCTGTTTGTCTTCCAGAAACCTCGGGCCGATGATCCAGACACCTACCCATGGTGGGGGATATCTTCAGACAGCACCGCAGACTACCCTCTGAATGTCGAAGTGGAACAAAAAGGCTCCACCTTTACCATCACCATTCTGGTGAAACCTGAATATTTGGACGAGACGGACGCCAAGCAGCTGCTCAGGACGTTCGTCGGAGCCGTGCAAAGTCTAGAAACGGAGCGGCTTCCTCTCTCCGATAGTTTCTGGGTCCCCGAACCAAGAGCTGCTGTCAATGGAATCCACGAAAAGGGTCAAGAATCGCGAGAGTTCTTTTTCGAAGCAGAAGACGAACAATGGACCAAAACCGAATTGGCCGTTCGAGACCAAATCGCCGAAATGGCTTTGGTGGACAAAAGTAGCATTCATTTGAGCAGGCCATCCGTCTTCGAACTAGGACTTGACAGCATCGAAGCCATGAAACTCGCAGCTCGTTTGAGGAACGTGGGATTCCAGGTTGCTGTGAGCTCCATCATGAAGCATCCGACAGTGGCAGGCATAGCCAAGCAGATCCAATACGGAACACAAGCACGTACCGACGCAGCCTCGGACAGGCCAGTCCGATTTTCGGTAGCGGAGCAGCAAGATCAATACCGGCATGTTTTGCAAGCTCAAGGAATCGATCTGAAGAAAGTGGAAACGATCATGCCGGTCATGCCAATGCAGGAAGGGTTGCTCGCAGAGTCGAATAAATACCTCAATGTGCTGGCTTTCAAAGTCAGATCTCAGATCGATGTCAAGCGATTGGCCGCAGCATGGGATAAGGTATCACAAGAGCAGCCAATCTTGAGGATCCGATTTGCAGTGGATGAGACGGCGGAGAACGAAGCTGCCTTCCTCCAGTATGTGTTGAAGCAGGGAACCTCTGTGGAGGTGATCAAGGATAAGCAGCTATCAGAAGTGATCCGAACCTTGACGGAAGATGCTGCAACTCAAGATGTGGGCGGGCAGTGCTTCAAAGTCCGCATCTTTGTCAAGAACGAGAATGAGGCTTTCTTGCTGTTGGCAATGCCACATGCAATGTATGATGCGTGGTCGTTGCATCTTCTGCACAAGGAAGTCGCAGATACGTATCACTCTCTGAAGTCAGACCGAAAGCCTCCACCAGCTCTCCAACACCATCTGGAAGAGGTTTTGAGTCGCTCATGCAGCCAGGAATCAACAAATTTCTGGCACAGTCAGTTGTCGCAAATGCGACCCAGCCTCTTCCGACCGACTCTCAGCATTCAGGATCGAGCCGCCCCAAGCTTCTTGCTTCACCAAACATCAAGCATCTGTCTGCCCGATGCCATACGCTTCTGTAAACAACAAGGCATTACACTTCAATCTCTTGCCCTCACCTGCTGGACGGTTGCTCTTGTACATCATACTCGCATGTTGGATGTATGCTTTGGCCTGGTGCTTTCTGGCCGCACGACTGAATATTCGGATCGTCTCATCTTTCCCACGTTCAACACTGTGATCTTCCGTCCCAAAATAGAAAAGGGTGCCACGAGGACTCAATTTTTGAGGAGGGTGCATGACCTGTCTGTGCAGATTTCCGAGTATCAGCACTTCCCCTTGCGCAAGGCTGTGCAATATGCCAGACAGCAGGGAGCGGGCGCGGAAGTGTTCGACACGCTATTCACCTTTCAGAAGCTGCCGAACGTCGAAAATGCGCACCAGGAACTGTACGACGCAATAACACAGGACGACGCCCCAATCAACCCACCTTATGCTGTCAACGTTGAACTAGAGGGTCAAGGCCAGGCTCTCTCATGGACTATAGCCTTCCAAGCAGCGATGACCGGCAAGAGATCTGGAGAGGATCTTCTGAAAGAGCTTGACTCTATATTGTCGTCTTTTATCGCGGGCCCCGAGCAGCCTATGCTGGAAGAACGTGGCGACGCTGTGTCAATCTGTGGACTACCCGAGATACAGATCTCGACTGCAAGCCAAGATAACAAGGGTATGATCCAGGAGGCGAGGGACCAGGAGCAGGCCGCCAATGAAGCGAGCTGGAGCCCAATTGAAGCGACCATCCGGGATGTACTGGCCAAAGTCTCGAACACCGACATCGCACAAATCACGAAGGCACGCGGTATCTTCCATCTGGGTCTGGACAGTGTCAGCGCAATCAAATTCTCTAGCCTTTTGAAAAAAGAGGGTGTCAGGCTGCCAGTCAGCGAAATCATCAAAGTCCAAACGATTGAAAAGATGGCAGCGGCGGTCCAACGCTCGAAGACTACAGCTCCGCCGTCTGGATCAGCAATGACTAGCACATTCCTGGGAGACACAATATCTCGAGCCGTGGGTGATGCGATCTCGATTCCCAAGGATAATGTCGAAATGGTCATGCCATGCACTGCGGGACAGATCTACATGCTCGATATGTGGACTGCGAGCGAAGGACGGTTGTTCTATCCCACGTTCTGGCTCGAGGTCTCTGGCGTCAACATAGAAACACTACAGATCGCGATGAAAAGCCTCACAAACCGCATTCCGATCTTGAGGACCACCTTTGTCAACTATAACTCCGACGGGCACGCAAGGACTTGGCAGGTCGTCGTCAAAGAAGAGTCCGTTCCCAAGTACCATTTCCCGTGGTCGTTCCGCATCACGGAGTGGGCGGGTGGATTGCTGCTTACTCTTCGCATCCACCATGCCCTGTACGATGCTGTGAGTTTCCAGCTTATGATGACTGAGATTGAGAAGCTTTGCCGGGACGACTCCTCAGGTTTCCAAATAAATACCAGGATGGATCAGCTCCTCGACAAAACCTGCAATGTTCAGAAAGAAGCGCAGAACTTCTGGACTTCGTATCTCAGCCTGGCTCATGATTCCTACGGCACCTTGGGGAGAGGTTCATTTACAAGGAAGCGAATTGAAAGATTCAACCCATCTGTCGTGCCAGTCGCTCAGTTGACCGAGAAGATCAAGCAACATGGTCTCAGCATTCAAGCACTGTTCTTCGCCGCATATGCCAAGATATACTCAGCACTGTCCGGGAGGTGTCGCGGACCAGGGCAGAGCAGTGCGCCTCCGACAGATGTGGTTATCGGCATCTACCTCGCCAACAGATCCCTTGACATTGAAGGACTTACCGAGCTTGTCGCGCCCACATTCAACATTGTCCCTGTGAAAGTCAAACTCGGGTCGAAGACACTTGTTGAGAGTGCGCAGCAGGTACAAGAAGATCTCGGCGAGATCACCAAGGCTGAGAACGGCGGTATAAGCCTGAGGGAGATCTACGACTGGACAGGCGTGAAGGTGGATACTTTTGTAAATTTCCTCTCCCTTCCCGGCTCGATGGACGATGATTCAGGGAAGGCGACCGGTGGATCAAATCATGAGAGTCAGAAAGGCCGAGTGACGCATGCGAACATCGACCAGGGAGTGAAGAGTCACCACACAGTTGTTGAAGCCCCTTCGCCTTTCTTGGGTGGTCAGAGTGGTTCGACACAGGCAAATAAGTGGTGCTCGGTAAGTCTACCTCATAATGTTTGAGGCGTTACGTACTGACATGTCATACTCAGCCGGCTATCGATATCGAAGCGAAAGTTGCAGATGGGTTCCTCGGTGTCGGTGTCTTTGCTCCTGAGGATATGTTGTCTGAAGATCAGGCTGACGGTATCATGGAGGGCATGAGAAGATTGATGATTGGTTTTGACGAGGTCTGATCCGTTTGATTCGTGATTTTCTTTTCATGTGTTGAAGCATCGAAGTCCTTCCGGATATTTTAATATTTCAGGTAGAATCTCGTTTGTTACATAAGCTGTTCGTCACCTGCTCGTTGCTCGTACTTCGTATTTCTTCTAGTTTTCCATCTCCTTCCAGAGAATTGGAAGCTGGCCGATGGAACGTGAACACGATTACGGAGTAGCGCCTATCTAACTTGTTTGCTAAATATCCTTTTGGATATTGATTACCCGACCTAGTAATCAGCCAACAACGTCGCAGGCAGCGGCTTGCTACCCTAGCGTCGGTGGCCTTGGGTAAGCAAATGCTACAGTACTACCACCATAGCAGGAGGTTCCTGGTTTCTGGCGGGAACGGCGGACACGTTCCACATTCTCCCTTTCTTGCCCGGAGAGACTTTTGTACGGTTTGTTACGGAGTATATCCATTGTGTTATTTCCCTTGATCCAGCCTCCTTTGGTTCCATCTGGCATTGCTTGTTTGAGAGAGACGATTACAATGACCGTGGTAGGCGGGACGACGACGACCTCCTCCTCCTCCTCCTTCTCCTCGTATGACTATGACCAGGAACCTGTCATCGCCGGGCCATACTCACTCTTCGATGGGTCATTTATCCTTGAATTTCTCAAACCGAGACCCTCGAGAAATGCATCGTCAGTTATACCGTATCCTTGCGTGTCCCCCCCATTTTCTTCTCATTTGTGAAGGGTGCCACCCTTCATGCAAGACACGCACGGGACCTCCCCGAAGAGTCAGAAAGAGGAAAACAAAGCGCCCAACATCGAGACTCCTCATAAGACAACTGTAGGACCTGGGGCCCCGTTGAACTCGTCGACAATACTTACTAGTATCAAACCACGACCAAGCACCTGGTGCAAGAACTCATTACTTCCGGACCTCAGCTTCTGTTAGAGGTCTCAAAGCCGCAGCCTTGCACCCCTGAGGCTCCCCCCCCCAGAGGGGTTCATGTAGCAGCTACGGAGCACAGTGCTAGTAACTAATCGCCCTTCCTTGCCAGAGTCCTCATGCGCGCCACATACAAGCACGACCATCCTCTCTGCAAGCGCGGCAAAAGCCATGCCCAAGTAAGTCTGACTTCACTCCCCTTCCCCCTTCCCCCCTCTCCGCCACACACACACACGTTCGGAGTAGTAATTCGACGCATCGAGTCAAACTGACCTCCAGCCGTACAGGCCCCTCCACTGCACATCCACTTCCAGCAATCCGAGACTTTCTACGTGCTCCGCGGCTCCGTGGGCACGACGACGACATACGCGGCCATCGACACAATCCACACACCCAGCACCACGGGCGAGGCCAAGCCACATGAGATTGTCCCATGGATGCCGCACAATTTCTGGCCCGACCCGAACGCGAGCGAGGACATCACGATCCTGGTCTGGGCGCATCCGGACCCGGACGACATGGACGAGAAGATGGACCGGCTGTTCTTCCAGAATCTGTTGATGTATGTCAGTGACGTGGCGGAAGGGAAGGAGAAGTTGAGTGTTTTGCAGGTCATGCTTACTCAGTACGTTTCGCGCCGTGTTTCTTTTCTCTTTCTCCTTTCTCATTTTTCCCCCTTGAAATTCTTCCACTCCCCAAAAGACCTGCACGATGAAGAGCGTTTTGGGTTCAGGAGGCCGTTGTGTGGCCATTGATAGGGTGGGAGGGGAGCAGGAGTAGAAGACGCAATGCGCAAGGCCAAAAAAGCTAATCCGCCCACCTGTGGTACAGACACGTCTCGGCAACAGCATTGGTGTGGTTTCCTAGGGCATGGTGTCTTGGACCATTGCGGTGGTGGATACCGTATCAATTCCAGGCTCTGTGTGCGCTGATGGCGAGGTGGTCTGGCATGAAGCCGTTGATCAAGAAGTATATGTCTGAGGAGGAGTGGGAGGAGGTACAGGAACGACTGAACAATGGAGGCAAGGTGAAGGCAAAGTCTGCATGATTCGAACACGAGGTCCATCCGGTGGGCAGTGCATTCATCCACCGTCCCCCAGCATATGTTCTGATCGGAGCAGCGGAAAAAGAACAAGGTCGATGCTTCCGCCTGAAAACGTCGAGAACATCCGGAAGGAAGCGAATCTGTTCCGGTCGATGGCCCTGTGCTTTTCCATCATCATCATCATCAACGGGGCGTCTTTGTTCAGATTTGGAAAGAACTGTGATTGCAAGATATCATTGTGGTTGGCAGGATCATTGCGATCAGCTTTGCCAGAGACCATACAATCTGGTACACGTGACCATATCACGTGGGCGTCGGCATGGGCATAGTGACCATACCTGCTTGTTCAACAGGACATAATCAGAACCATGTTATCATCAACTTTCTTCTCATCCCACTCCCATCAGCGTTTCGCAGATACTTTGACAGTCGTAGCGCTCATCTGTTGTCTTCATCAGAGGTATTCGCGTGCCATGACCATTACCAAGATCTGAGCTCATCTAAGCGTGCCAGCGTACCACGGCGTTACCAGTCATGTCTTTTCTCTCTCACCCCTCTCTCTCCCTTCTCCCCAAACCCTGACCTCATGTCATGTCGTGCCTCACAGGCTGTATATAAATTCGGGATTCTCTTTATCCGTCAAGTCGAGCCACCTGTTCCAAAAAGGACCACAATCAGTACACCGAACCGGCAGGGAAATCGAGGGGGCCCACTTACTCCTGGTTCTCCAGCTTGACATAACCCGGTTCTGCCCTGATCTGAGCCTTGACCCTATTCTGGCGTTTACAATACCACCAGATGAACGCCAAATCGATCAAACAAAGTCCCCAACAGACAATGATTGTAATCTCGGCGGACACATAGCGCGGAGCGTCCGAAGGCCTGAATGTCTGAGGTCCGATGATGTTGCCAACACAATATCCGATCAGATACAGCGCTGCAACACTGGTCTTTCGAGTGTATCCGGCGACGTTGGTTGAAATCAGACTTAGCAAGGCGACGAACGGTGTTGGTGAGGCTTGCGTCAAGTAGTAACCGGCCAGACGACCGGAATTGTTATCCAAAGGCAGCGCAACGATGAGGATCATCCCGAGCAGCGCGATCGTCAGACCTCCCATCGAGACCAAGATACGTTGACCGAGCCGGTCACCCAGCCAGCCGGAGAACATCAAGGCTACGACTTCGACCGCCCCGCCGGGGGTGCCGTACAGTAGCGATTCTTCGGCCGTGTAACCGAACGATACGATCTGCAACGCAACGCTCAGCGCGTCAACGACAGGGAACATCATCCGAAACCTCATCAAACAACAAAAGGGAAAAAAATTTACAAAGGTCAGGTCGTACTCACCAATTGCGAGAAGAAATTACTGATCCCACCATTCGGAATGTCGGCCGTCAGCGCATAGAAGACAAAAGCCCAGGTCAACGGGTCCAGCAGTGCTTCCTTCAACTGATACATCTTGAAATGCTTGTTGCCGATACCCTGCTGATTCACGCGGACCCGTTCGACGGCCAGCACGCGATCTCTCGGCTTTAGCCAGCGTGCGTTGAGCTGGTTATCCGGCATGACGAAGAAGAAGACAACCCCCAAGCAGGCGGTCAAGCAGCCGTTGACCAAAAACACGATTTTCCAAGGCGCAATGGCCGTGCCGTGCTTCCGGGCGCCGACCGCGATACCGTATGCCACGAGCCCGCCGAAGATCTGGCCGAAGCCGTTGAAGCTGAACCAGAAGCCTGTGCGGGTCCCTTGTTCTTTGACCGTGTACCACTGAGATGTGAACAGAGCAAAGCCAGGTGTGACTGCGGCCTCGAAGACGCCGAGAAAGACTGTGGGTTTTTATGTTAAGTTAGCCATCAGCATCAGCGCTAGAGAGAGAGAGACAGAGAACTCACATCGTATAGCGACGGCTCCTCCAAAGTTCGACACGGTGGCGAACAAAGCCAGCACCGTACCCCAAGCCACGACACAAAAGGCCGAATACTTGGCCAGTGGCAGCCTCTGAAGAAGTCGATTTGTCGGGTACTCCCACGCCAGGTAGCCGAAATAAAACATACTCGACAACCATTGGTAGTCGTCACCCTCGAGATTGATGTCCGTCTTGATGCCCATGATGCTGGCGTACGAGAGCGTCGTCTTGTCGAGGTAATTCAGGCCGTAGATGAGGCACAGCAGCGGCATCAAGTGCCAATCGATGATCCGGAGAAGGCGTTTGTTGGTGGCCTCGTCGATCTCGACGACTTCCCCAGATGTGAATGCTTTCATGGCTTCGTCGGCATCATTACTGTGGGCAAGGATTTTCTGGGCCGCGGCCGTCGCGGACAGTGAGCCTCGCTTCTCGCCCATGTCGACTGGAGATACGGAGCGACGGCCAGGAAGGTTCTGGACGGGGACGGTTTTGATATCTTCATCCATCTCGGCCATCTTGTCGGGAGGGTGGAAGCACGTCAGATGCCTCGGTGGTGGTAGTAGTTGATAGCGGCACGAGTACGGCCAAAGAAAACAAAGCTATTGCGAACAGCAGAGTAGGGTATAATGCAGTACTTCGGGCATGAAAAGAAGAAACACCTGAAGCCTCGAAATAGCCTGTCGACAGTTACTCGTCCAAGGGGAGATAAAAACAGAAGCACCGCGGAAGATTGAAAGACGGAGACATTGCCGCATTGTTATCTCAAAACACCAGTGACACCACTCTGCATATCATTATCATGAGGTGCATGATGTATCTCGTAGGATTGATTGTCTGGCGTTGCATCAGGGAAATGCCAGGGTAAGGATAAGCACTTCTGGCATGCTTCATGGGGGACGAAGCAAATCGCCGCAATCAGAGAGCGCAGGCTCCGCAGGCTCCTCGGCTCGTACGAGTAGAATAGGCAGGTCGGCAACTGACCAAGGCAACCCATCCACAAGGTGGCACGACAAAAAAGCGTGGAGATGCGCGGCGGTGATCGTGTGCAGAGAAGAATTGGACGATCAATCCCCAAGATGGTTGTGATAGCTGGCGAGCCGGTAACCAACGTCAAAAGGCCAAGAGTTGATCTTCACTCCACGACGCATTGGGAAGGTCCTTATACTCGTATCACAAAGGGCCAATGGAGTTGAGGTTTTCACTCGTAAGAGATTGTTTTGATTTTTGATGTGACGAGACCGTCCGCCGTTGGACCCGGAAACTGCTTCGGCTTTGGGTATCCACGGAAGCAGTGCATCTATCTAAGCGAGAGTCCAGATCACGTTTACGAGTGTATTCCCGGATAGTGGCACGACGAGCTCCTGTACTTGCGGCACTCCGGACATCTCTCCTCTCTTACATGGACCGCTTGCCGTAGGGCTCGAAGGGCATAATAATCGCCACGATTGCCTGGCCAGATATAATCAGCATCCATCAAAGTATTTCACAGCGCTTGATCCTCTTTTGGTGAGAGGAGCAGCATGCTGGGTCACTTACCATAGCGATATAAAGCGTCGCACAGATATAAATCGGCGCCGAAGTTGCAGTGTTCGCGTACGTGGCCACGAATGCGCTGATCAAACCCATGACCCTATTGCAACCGACGGCGATACCGTTACCTGTGGCTCGATGCGCGGAGGGCAGACTCTGAGAGAAAGAAATCAGCTTGAAACGTCCTCTCTCACTCTTTCACCAGGGGAAAAGATTCAAAGGCTTACCTCAGGCGTGTACGCATACAGCGTGCCGTAATAGATATTCACCGTAAAGTAGATGGCGCAGGTGAACCCGAGGTTCTGTGATGCCGTCCGCACCGCGGAATATGCAAAGAAGAAGGCCATGGACAACAGCGCACCAATGACCATGGTGTACCTCCGGCCGAGGAACTTCCAATTGCACATGAACCCAGCCAGGACCGGACCGAAGATTCCGACAACGTTGGTGATCATATAGTTCCGCCAGGTGTAATACGGGCTGCTTTCACCAGTATTCGCACCTCGACTGGCCAGGAAATCGGGCAGGAAGACGTAGAACAGTGGATATGCAAGACCTGTACACTATGTCAGTGCCGGGAAGCCACAATAAATCTCCTTCAAGAGACCTTGTGAATCATACCAATCAAGGTCCAGGACAACCAGATTAGGAACGTCGAGAAACCGAGCTTCCTCGTCGCAAACAGGCCCCGAAGATGCGCCACAAACTCCGATAGCCCATATCTTGTCTTACCGTAGGTTGACTTGATCGGTCCGCACGCATCGAGCTGCTCCAAAGTAAGCGAGCAAGGTCGGTTGTACTTGGTCGCAATGGAGTGAAAAGTATCGACCACTGCTTGATCTTGCCCCTTCGCAAGCAAGTACTTGGGCGTCTCTTTGAGTCTGATGACCGTGACTCGCAGGACGCTCATCACAAGAACCAATACTCCGTTCGAGTACCAGACATATCGCCAGCCCTACATAGACAGGCTCTGTCAGTACAGTACCCTGTCGCATATTTCTTCTTCAAGTACTACCCCATGTTCATGTTTTCCTCTCCCACGTCCATAGGCCATCAGGCCACCAGGTACAGCAAACGGGATAGAACTCAGACAGACATATGATGACCACCTCCGCCGGAGAGAAGACTCAAAAGACTCACCTTGTTGTTGTCATAAGTGCAGGTCGCAGCATCCGTACAATAATAGCGAGGAATCGACAAGAAAGGCCACGCAAACGCCGCCGCCACGACCGGTGCAAGACCCCACCAGCACGCCATGAGCGTGAGCAACCACTGCTTGTCACCGGGCAGAAACTCCAGGAACACAGTTGTGTCGAGGATCAAATTGCCTCCGGACCCGAACGCCGCCAGGGACGTGAACAAGCCCAGGACAATCCAGTTCGGCGACGCTCCCGCGCAGATGGCGAAGACCGAACATATAAAGAGCGAAACGTTGAACGCGATGCGCCGTCCGATCACATCAGCTCCTGGAATACTGTGAGTCAGCTAATCACAACCCTTTCATGCTCAAAAGGGCGGAAGATGGGTGGTGAGTGTGGTGGACCTACCCAACCCCCAAAACAGGGCTCCAACGAGCATGCCCGTGTACGCGGCGACAGTCAATCCCTTCGCAAAGCTAGGCTGGAACTCGAGCGCCGCTTGGCCCGCGGTGACGGATTGCAAGAGCAGGATCAACGAGTCCGCCGCATACCCAAACCCGTTCAAGAAAAACAGCTTGAGATGCATGCCCGTCCAGCCGATTTCGTCGATTGCCTATTTGTCCCCACCCAGTTAGCACATCTCAACCTGGTCGGGCCTCAAGGAAGAGTTGTTCGCCCTCACATTGTTAACAAGCCTCATCTTCGCATCGAGCGCGGGATCGATATCGTTCATCGAAAAGATCTGGCCTTCTTTCGTGTCCTCGTCGATGGACTGGACCGAGATGCTATTGCGCACTCGCGATGCGAGGCCATGATGCTCGAGGTCATGTTTGGCTGCGCCCCCGGTATAGCCATCCCCGGCTTCCGCATCGTCGGCTACAATCTTCTTCGGATCCTCAGACATATTGGCTGCCTCTTTTCTCGTCTTTATCTTGGTCGTTGGAAATGCCCTTCCTTAGTCGCTTCCAGATCAGGATTCCAAGCAAGCAATCGAGAGGAGCTGGTCTCGTAGAAGCAGATGATGCAGGCGTGAATTCCTACCGCGCGAACTGTCGACCCGCAAGAATCAGGCGAGATAAGAAGAAAAAGTCAAAAAGTAAAGGGCATCGACCAGGGTACATCAGCTTTATCAACACCTCCCCAAAGCACACCGAGTCCCCAGTAGTAGTGGACATGGGTCCTTCGCTGCCCCCATATTTTGACAGAAAGCGTACCCGGGTAACTGTGGTCCCATTGTTATGTCCAAGGCGACTGGTCCTTGCGCAACGCCCGAGCTAGCAAGGCAACATGCCCAAGAGTGCGTAGTACAGTAGATCGCCCAGTTGACATCAGTGGCCCTCAAAGAAACCATGATTTCGGGTGCAGATTCCCAGACGGCACGCGCACGCGACAAGCACACGGGGCCAATTGCCCAGGTATGGCGAGTGTAACGCTACAGATCTCATTTGCTAGTGATACTGCTTGTCAAGGACCGAATCTGGATCGTCGAAACAGGCAAGGCGGAGGATTGAAATCAGCTGCAAAGTATTGGCCTCCGAGGTCCAGCGCCTGCGAGCCGTGGGGAGCTTCTTCCACCCATCATGGGCTGAGGTTTTCCTCTGACAGACCAATCCAGGTTGTTCTTGTTAGCCAACAAGAGGAGTGCAAGGTTAAGGGAGTGGGCGAATCTACAGTGCCCACGGCGAAACTGCTAGTTCGTAGGCCTAGGGCAACACCAATCGAGGCTCAAGTGTAGGCACGTGCCTCGCTGCCGACATCATCTCTTTTGGCCCATCGTTGCCCAATTGTTGTCTCAACACCTCTTGCAAGAAGACTTGATGGCAAATCTATCCGAAAGCCGAATCCGTGTCGATCCAGCGACAGAGAGACTGATAAGAAGCTGCTGACACCTCGGTCATAGTCTAGCACGCCTAGCAAGCTGGGTCACTTGGCCACGCATATGCCTTGTGCAATGCTACCCTTTGATATGTCAACGGCCTCGAATTGGCCCAGTGCAATCAGCTATCTCACGGCATAGACCGTACTAAACTTCCGGTCCCTTAATTGGTTACAGATCCTCAAACCCCTGACACCTTCGCTGGTTTTGTTGTAAATATACTGAGCACCTCAAGTCTGGCCACCGCCAAATTCGACCAATATATCCTTCCGAAGCACTTGGCTGAACTTAGCTCACACCTCATAGTAATAGTCTTCGTCCAGTCCTTCCCTGCTAGGAATTGTAGGACCATCCATTCCATCCATGCCTTCCACAATACCCTCCTCATCGTTGAAGCGGACATTCAGCAGTCGCACCTTGATACCATAATCACTCATCATGTGTATCAGTCTGTTGGTCTCCGCCGTGATCGGTTGTTGGTCAAGCAGCATCAAAAGGCCATCCAGCCATTCAGACGCCGCAGCATGACTGTTAGGCTGGAACGTGAGTAGTACCGATTCCTTGGGTGCACTTCTGGCCGATGAGGTTTTGGACGACGCTCGAGAATGTCCTCCGCGCGACTTCGGCAGGTATCCGTGGATCGTGATTTTTGTTGTCGTGAACTTGTCGTGCGTCAGTTCCTTCAGCGTGGAATCCGACGCAATCGACGACCGGTCGTTTGCTGTCACGTTGGAGACAACCGACGAGACGATCGACAAGTCGATCTTGTCTTGCAGACTCGAGATCGCTGGTGACTGTTCTTCTTTCTCGTCAAAATCGCCCCAATGCAAGTATTTCCGATTTTCCGACAGCCTGATAAAGCGATACCCGTGGGATGAACTCTGAAGAAGGGTGTCTTCTGTGACCGGGCCGCCAGTTTCCTGGTCGGAATAAGTGCCGCCATGAGGGAACCATGCTCCAGCAAGCAGACAACGTATCCTTTGCTCTTTGACAAACTGCAGAGCCTCGGTCTGCAGCTCTTCTTTCACACCACGGAGATGCTGGCCCCAGACATCTTCATAGGTCAGCTCTAACAGCTCCATCTGGAGTTCTCGGAGCTTGCGATACTCGAACGCAGCCATCTCCTTCTCGATCTCCTCGACCCCTTTCGTGCGATCTGCCCCACCGACGACACTTTCAACCAATATCCGAACCAATTCCACAATCTTGAGGAAGTCGTCGGTCTCTGCGCCCGTGGCCTTCCATAGCCTTAGAAAGGCATGCATCCCAGCAACATGCAGCCTGCTCCAATGCAGCAGCAGAGGTTTGAAAACCTTTTCAAAATTTGTTCGACTCTCGAGCGCCAGATAGCTCTTTGAATCTTCTAGATCCATCTTATCCACTTCAAAATGTTCAAACAATATAGCCGTGAGTATCAAGCTCGCTCGAGCTAGCGGACATCTCTTCTGCTCCGGGGTAACTGCCTGCTCCAGAAGAATATTCTGGAATTCATCTTGATGTTTGCGCACGTAATCTGAAAGGTCCATCATGCCCAAGAATCCCATGTCAATGAAATCTGGTTCGGGATTTTCACTCGTGAATCCCAACCGCCTCCATTTGTACGGATTGTGCTTGGGCTTGGACTCCCCATTGCGTCCCTCATCCTCTGCTGGCTTCTCAGGATTGCTTGACAGGTGGATGGCTTTGATCGTCCGTCTATGCTCCGGCTTGACAAGGTCGACGGGTACATCCCTCCACCGTCGGAGGAGTATCTTGGTCAACGCTTGGAACTCCAACAGGGGGTGCGCCAGATCCTGCAGCGCAGAGCTCTGCATCAACACGTAGACTGCCTTGATGACTCCAAGGTCTTGAATGCGCTTTATAAACTTCGGCCACTCCGTCTCGTTGTCATTCGTGATAGCGTCGCGCATGAGTGAATTGATCAACTGCAGTGCATTCGCACATAGTGCGTGGTCCGCAGAAGACAGTCGCGTCACAAGCATTTCGAGGAACTGCGGATATAGCGCAATGGCAGGCTTAAGGGCTTGGAACCCGCCGGCATTGTTCGAGGTGTTGATTTGTGAAGACCGATCCGCATGGTATGGCCGCGACACAATCGACACGAGTATAGCCATGGCTCCTCGAAGAATATTGACCAACGGCTGACATACGACAAGTTCCACCACCTGTTGCGGTCAGCACTTGATGGTCTCACCAACACCAGATCTTTCTTGCCTTTTCAACCACTTGCTCATTGACCGCCTCCCACCCTTGGTCCACCTCCAACAGTCTCGCGAAACTGGCTAGACTGTAAGCCAGAGTATTCCCGCTACTTTCGAGGATCAGAGTGCGCAGTCGAGGCAGGCCGCCGGCAAGGACAAAGTGCTCGGCAAAAGAAGGGTCGTTGATCAGCGACTGCAGCTTGAAAGCTGCCATCTTGCGATTCGCATCTTCACGGCTGGACAGGCTCGTGAGGAGGTCCGACAGATTGGGACTCTGGGTCGGATTGTTAGGGTCCATTCTGGCTCGTTCAGGCCATACATGGGCGTGAGGAAGCAGGCGGGTGCAGGTCAGCGCAGGAGGAGGCAGCAGGTAGATTTGTGATATCTCTTGAGCATGGCCATGTCGATTCGTCGGAGGGTTGTTTGGTCGTTCACATCGAGGGGAGTGTCGATCAGCCGGATGAGCAGTAGCAAAAGTGCGTATTTGAGTTTGGCTGCTTTGTGACGAAGACAAGTCAGGGAGCGTGTCAGGAACCGGTGGCAGGGGTCTAAGGTGGTTGCGGGCTCTGTTGTTAGAGGCACCAGAGGCACCTTCAACGCTGAATTCGGGCGCCTCAGGCGTGGCTGAAACCCCAAAGAGCCCACTCGGTTGTTGTTGGCGTGGAGTCGAACTGTTGGACCTGCGTGATCCTCGCCGCAGCAACTTCTTTGAATATGACGTCAACCACGAATATCTCTTGACCGTTGACGGCAATGAATCAATTTGAGATGAGTTGCTGCTGTATGAAACCCAGTCATCGTCGTCCGAGTGAGCATCCTCTTGTGCAGACATTATGACATAGATTGTCGGGAAATTGTGACGGCTGATATGTGTTTCTGAAGAGGGACGAACATACAGCTTGACTTCGACATGAATTGGAATGAAGCCAGTGACAAGTAAACGTGTGTACAATTCTGCCGTCTCAATGTCCGTGAACATGCACCTCCTGAGCCTCCCCAGCGAGGTGTGGTAGAAAGACCAGGACCAGCACAGGCTCGCGTACTCTCCATCTCACGCTCAACTGGCACTCTTTTTCTTCGTCTCATCCTTCATATCGATGTTGTCCTCTGGAATCTCAGGATACTTCTCCGTCAACCAGTCATACAAATCATCACTCACATCGCCCTGCACCGTAATCTCTTCCCCTCCACTCGCCGTCTTGGTAACACTGCTCCCCGTCGCGAACTTCTTCCCCAGTTCTTTGGCCACCTTCTTCAGTTCAAGTCCATGCTCCTCCAGGCCCGACACCACCGTGACATATTTTCTCTTGTTCCGCTCGACCCGTTTGATCAGAATCACGGCCTCGGCCTTCCTCTCCGCCTCGCGCTGCTCCGCCGCCTCAGCTTTGGCAGTCTTCTTCGCCGCGTCTTTCTCCGCTCGTTTTTGTGCTTCGACCGACAGTGCTGATAGATTCGCACTTAGGGCTTCTTCACCAGGTTTGTCAGCACGTTGTAGCCTTCTTGCGGACATTGGCCACTCACCGGCCGAGTACAACTTCTGGTGCATATCAGGGTGATGTTTCAGCAGCCATTCTTCGCACTTCTTGACCGTCCCACCGAATTCGCAGTACTATCCAGCCTCCGTGTCAGTCTCTGTGCACATGGCATCCTTGGGACAAAAGGTTGGGGCCTCTACCTCTGGCGGTAAGCTGCAAACTGCACAGATACCACATCAGCAACCCACACATCTTCACATGCACTCCGAGACATGGCATACCTCCGCAATATACGACCTGCCGTGCCGGTGGTCCAGACGGTTGCTCTGCGACTTCTGCCGACATTGCTGTGAAATTTAGGCCGAACCCACGAACCGTCTCAAGTAACACCCCTAGAGAGTGCTAAACCGCGTATAGAGTGTTGTCTCATGTGGCTGTCGTGAGGCGATCGGCGCAGTTTCGTCTCCGCGCACAACAGCGGCATAATGCGAGTGTTCGCCGCTCAAGGTGCAGGGATCGGGATCCGCCAAGCCCCTGATCCATCTCCTCACCCTCTGGCGGTAAAACGTCGCATAAATGCAGACTTCCAGTGACCTCTTCTCCTCTTGCGTTCGCTTCCGACACTTCTTCGAACCCTGACTTGATATATTTGACTTGCATATATTCACGCGCAAATATGCAAACAACAGTACATACTCGTATCCGTACATGACTCGTATTAAGACGAAGGAACGTTTTCCGGAATCAGTGACGAAATCTTTAATGTCAACAGGGAAGGATAGAGGCAAGGGGTATCCCAGTATGCTACTCCGTATGTGGTCGACAGTCGCCCGCAACTTCTCTTCAAGGCCGATACTGTTTCTCTCAGAGCACGACTCAAAATCGTATCGCATATTATTCTTTCACAAGGCTAGTCCCTGCCGTCCTGATGACTCTTATCCAGCAATGCGTTGCATATCTGCACTTATCTGGCCATCACTGCATTTCCCTGTCGGGCAGGACGTGGGATATCCCAAGCCTCACTTGCCACCCTACCTATACATATCCGAACACGAACTTGCTGCATAAGCATGGAGCACATGCACGGAGAATTCCGGAGAGAATCTGGCCATCACGTCTTTGGCAGCAGATCCTCAATCGCTCAAGGAAGGTCGCTTGGCTCCATCGAGGCCCCAGACGTGCATTATATCACGCAAGAATGAAGATCCTTCGATTGTGACAACACATCAACCAACCAAACGACGCAGCATGTGAAAGATTTCGAGCGTATCAGCTTCTCTCAGTACTATCCAGGAGTAGAAGCTGTATGAAATCGGAGCCAAGACCTCAGTAACTGTTGACAGGCACTAGAAGCGGGAATGTCACGTTTGGCTCGCGGGCAGTGCCTTTCTGAGGCTCTCTACCTCTCCAGAATCCGCACCGACAATCGAGCCTGGGGGTAGGTCTGGAGAAGACCTGGACGCTTACGCGAGGATTACGAAGAAGCCGGCCGCCACTTGGCACGAACTTTGTTTCCCCATGTGAGTCTCTGGTAATGACACTTGCACGGCTGCCGCTTGGATCGCTTCCTGATTGTTGCCACATCATGGCAACCACATCAGTCACGCAAGTCCAGCTTATGGCCATGACGGATGTTTCACAGAACGACACCGAAGGCCGACAGTCCCACGCAATCCGTTGCCGATGCTCATAGAAGACTGCCTGTTGCACTGTAGGCCTTCTCCTCCGGTGGACAAAGAAGTAAGTAACGGTGTTGCAGGTCCATAGGTGACACAGAGGCTCCAGTTATATCCCCACACCTCAACGTCTGTGCTGCGCCCAGTCGAGGAGTGAGCTTGAGTCCCTGACGAGCGCATGTCTTGTTACACAGAGACTGCATATCATCCGACATCGGCATATTTTGTGCAATGATGGCTCAAGTGGCTCGCCACTGCTGTGCGAGCCGGCCTGATTAAAGCACTCTTCATAGAGAGAGAATTGACCTGAAGGGAGGGTAGACCATCGCCATGCACAGCAAGAGGGTTTCCTACACGAGTCATGCCCGCGACGTTTGCCTGATACTGTTGCGGTACAAGAAACCACTAGTCCAAGTCTGGTGCCGCATCGAGTCCACAGTCGAGGCCGCCCATTTGCATCCAGAAGACGAGCGGAAACTGGGAGTTCAATTCCGAAGATAGGCTGTAGGTGTGTGTAGCCAGAGCACAACTTTTGTGGACTTTGGGCTGAGCTCATTGATGAAGCTAGAATGCCTGCTAGTCGTAAGCGAAAGCGGCGTATCGCAAGGTTGGAAGCACTATATTCAGCAAGGCCAGCATCGCACTGGAGAATGCTTCGTCGTCACATATCCGGTGGTAAGTTCGACCTGGCGTTGTGGCTGGCCGCTAGCCCTGTGCATATGTACGAGGACTTGGTTCAAAGCATAAGACTGCTTGATCCTTTCCGCATCATCTCAAGTCCGTCTAGCCGCACCCGGGGCTAATGAAAGACTATCCAAAGTGTCAGAGGCCTAACTTCAAGATGCGATAAAGCAGATTGTCAGCCGCTGTTTGATGGCGACGAGTAAGTTCTCGATGCCTGTATTGGTTCAACGGAAGGATATGCAGGGACAGCTGCTGGTACTGTGTCCATGGGAGCGTTGATCTCCCGCTCACGATAAAAAAGGAAAGCCTTATCAGCGGGGCACATTTTGACTCTATGCCAACGCCAGCATGTGCTGTGCTCGAGTTTTGGTGGATAATAAGTCGTCATCCGCAAGGGTATAAGATAAAGGATCAAGGTCTGTGACCGGGCATAGACGCGAGCGGTGTCGTTGACTGAGCAGCTGCTAAGCGTTCCTGCTGGCTCGATCGTTCTCAAAACACAAAAATTGCCTGATAGCACGGGGTGCTTTTGGTCGGCTGTCGACAGCCAGACCTACAGTAGCACCGTGAACATCGCGGCCAATGGGCCTTTGAATTGAGCACGTTGTTCAAAACCCGTGGCGCGATGGAGCTGACGTTCAGGGTGCCGCATGAATCGAAACTCAAACAAGACCTACGTGAGTAGGTTAACGATGCCATACACAGACTTTGACCAAGTTCTGAGCCAGAAATGGCCGTCATCATCCGCTTTCTTGATTTTGATCCAATTCCCATCCCTGCAAGCCACTTTTGATGACGGGCCCGCTATGCAGTATGTAGAGCCGTAGACCCTCAATGTCTGGGCTGTATCGTGTCCACACCACCTACTGAACCGCTTGCTATCGTCGGTCGTCCAGTAACTACGCTCAGGAAGTCCAATGTTTCGTGTCCTGCCACTGGAGCACGGGATTGCTGCCTCGCAACGAAGCGCATAGCTGGCCAGATGATTGGCATCAATGAGCGGGCACAGCGGGAAAGAGGCAAGGGAATCTTCGGGTGGCGGCGAACAACTCGGGCTCGGGTTGCGGTGCAGAGTGGCATGCAAGACGGGTGGATCAGGGATGCATTTTCGCAAAGGCGGCAAAGTAAAGGGTGTAGAATGTGCTGTTTGATGGATCGATGGGTGATGGAGACTGCAGTTCGGTGATTGAGAAGCCGATGCGACAATGATTGTCCCTGGAGCACAGAACCGATTCAGTGTGTAAAAATTCAATAGTGAGGACATTAAACAGATGGAGTGCGACAATATTGATGTCGATAGGCCAGCTCCTCGGGTAGAGCCCCGACAGATTGGGGAGGTCGAGAATGTACGGAGTACTCCGTACTATGGCAGCCATTACAACTGCCTGTGATAACAGGCCTTGAGGGGACTCAAGTTGCTCAGCCTACACCAGCCCGTGCGAGGGGCCCGTTCGGCCATGGTCGTGGGTAAGACGTGGGATCTGTTACAAAGCAGCCCTGTAGTAGAAGCACGAATTGAGGAGTCAATGCGTGCAGGATGGACGAGTGAGAAGACACAGAGAGTACGAGTGGCCGGGTTGACCTGCATGGGTGGTGCTTGCACTTTCAAGGCATGGTCCAACAAGGGCAATTCTGGAGAGTTTCTGAAGTCTCCATGGCTTCCAAGGCTATACTATGTATTATAACAGAGGGAAAGAGCTACGCTCAATTTTGTTGATATTCTTGATATTCTTGATACCAGATAAAGTCAATCACAAAACATCGGCATCTTTGATAGAGAGACATACTTACCGATCTTTTGCTTCGGCGCTCTATCGTGATGGTGCTTGGGCGGTGATGGCGGGTATCACTTGAAGTAGCAGGTCTACCTGGTGTAGCGGTCCGGTATTCCCCGCAATCTTGCGCCTTTGGGGCCCACTGGTGGCCTGTGTTCTAGGCACTGTTTCTGTTTCTAGGCATTGCTGGGCATCGATCTCAGGCATTGAGCTGCGGAACTAGTTGATTTGAATTGTTTCGTCTGACAGGGTTAGATTAGATCGTTCGTGAGAGAAGCTCACCAGCTTCTTTGCTTGAGGGACAAAATCCGGCAGGTCTGACCCGTCAAATTATGTTTCCCCACAATCGAGTTCTCCTGATGGGTAATCTTCGCCTCGGCGCCTTTCTCGCTGATTTTGGCTGCACATCAGTCGATGAGATGATTCGCATCCCCAAAGTTGCCCCCGGGGGTCTCCATTTTTTGAATTTTCTCGGCTTGAACATTTTGAGCAGTTTCCCTTGTGGTCTCTCGTCTCTCGTCTCTTTATCTGCGTGCCTCCCTAGGCTGGTCGTGGCTGGTGCCGGCTCACGAGGCTAGTAGGCATGCCGTGGTCAGGGCTCTTCTAAGCACCAGGGTCTTGTCTCAGCATTGCATTACCGTTACAGCATTTTGCCTCTGGCTTGCCGGGCCATCCATCAACGCCACTTTCACTTTTTCTGTTGCTTCTTCCCCACGGACTGCGCAGCTAGACTCGATGTCTCCCACGAGCCCTGAACTGACATGTTCGCCTATGGCCAAGCTCAGGCATCTTATTTGTCCATGCCGCAAGCAAGAATGCAGCTAAATCAACTCATTAAGCGGGAAATCCACTCCTCCCAGGGCCACTAGCCACAGAGTACATAACCCCTGCACAGTGCACACCCTGCTACTCCGCGTAGAGAGATTTTCAGTCTGTGCTGTGCCTACGCTTCCTGCACGGCCGTTCGGGAAGCGGCTCCTGCTTCTCTCCCTTCACCAGCCCGTCTGGCTTTTCGCGCTTTTTCGTCCCTCGGCGCCTCCCCTCCTCCCTCTTAGACTCCACTGCTCTCGCTATCGCAGGAGCACCGCACCTCACCCGCTTCGATCCCAAACCACCACCTCCACTCCGCTTCTGCCACAAAATCAATCATTACGTTTCCACCGTCTCGTCCCTTTCTACCCAGACTCACCTAAAAACCACGATCCTCGATCGCTACTTCGAGACCCTCCCATATTGCAGATCAGTGGAAAATCTTTGTTCGACCTCCCTTGGCCATCCTCGTTACTCAAGGACTCCCCACTTCGTCATAAGTCGTTCTGTCGTCGCACATCTACGCGCACCTGCGTCCTCGAATTACCAAGCTGGACAACAAAGCCAGGTCCTAGAAACAGACAAAAAAGGCAGGCCACAGGCGGACGACACTCTGTTCAAGTCAGTCGTGCTGGGACAAAAGCTCCTAGACCACCGTTTCACTTCTCCAGCAGCTCTCAATACTCAGTACCTCGAGTTGAGAGATTGCAGCTCATGAGTCGCTTCTCATGACTACCATTCTACAGGCTCCTCTTCCAGGAGCCTCGCCTTTCTCTTCGAGCCCACTACAGTCATCTTCCTACACGAATGTGGCGGCTCTCGACGATTCCTTATCCTACGGTCAAACTCCTAAGCAGCACCCTACATACTCGCCTCATGACTACGCTAGGATGTTCCCAGATTCCGCACCCTCGACCGCCCCGTCCTCTCCTCAATTGACCTACACGAGCTCATCTAGGCGAGACTCTTATTCCTCAACACCTGCAAGTAGTCTTTCGTTGGAGAGAGATAACATTGACGACGGCGACGACGACGATGATGACATGGCGTTTCCCGCATTTGAAAACGCGACTATACCGCACAAGCCATATCAAAGCTCGGTCGGGCAAGAAGAAGTTGCCGGTCAGGTGCCGGGCTCTGCCGTAATCGACGTTTCCTCCCTCCCAACCCACACACGGGACGATCACGCCGTGAAGCCAGAGCCTACGAGACATGTCGACTATTTGTCTCACGAATGGAAAGAAGAAGATATATGGCACTCGTGGAGCTACGTCTCTCACCGGAGAGGATCACTGGCTAATGGGACGAGGCTAGAGAATGCCTCTTGGCGGTCGTGGATGAAGGCCAAAAACCACCTGAAAACCGTATCACCGGAAACTCTCAATTGGCTCAAGGACTGTGACGTGACCTGGCTATATGGCCCTTTACAGACCATCAGAAGTACGGCTCAATCCGTAGAACAGACTTCTCCTCCACCCAGCCGGCTATCTCATTCATCCTCATTCATCTGCAAGAAGCCGATTCTTAAGAAGAAATCTGCTTCGGCTGCGATTCTCGAACGGTCGAGGTCACAACATTCTTTACTCCAGAGAGCCAGTGACATTATAAGGATTCAGCAATCGAGTCCAGCTCATGGCCGACCCATTCTCAGGCGAGGCAACTCGGAATTTACGTTGCCTCGGTATCCCAACAGCTCGGTGGTCAGCACTCCTGCCGAGCACGATATCCCTGGTTTCGTGGGACCACGATCGTCATTTGCATTGCCCGATGCTCCTACTCCTTCGGAGTGCAAACACGTTCTATTCGATGAAGAAGTCAGGCAAGTACAAGCTATTGATTCTGAAGAGGACGACAAGCCCGACGAAACTGATGCCGCGAGCTTTGAAGACGACGAAGATGACGATGGTGGTCTCATGATGGCTCCGGCTCGCACGTCAGGAAGCGCCAGTAATCGGGCCACACCTCGTGGCAGCTTCAGCAATGAGTCCAAGACGATTGTGCCATTGCCCTCGACCACACTTAAATGCCGAACTGACACACCTGAACCGCCTGAGGCGCTCAATGGCCAGATTGGACTGTGGCCTAAGTTGTCACCCTCGCCGTCCCAGGAGACACTGAGACCTTCTAGGCCAAGCCACAACTTTCTCATTGATGACGACCCCGAAGTAAACGATGAGCCTTGGCAACCTCAGTCTTCCCTGGGAGGGGATGGATCGCCTTACGACGATGACGATGAAGACGACAACCATCCACATATGAGGAGAACCGCGTCTGGTATGTTTATGCCATATGACGAAAACGACGAAGAAGCGGCCCTGAACCATTCTTTGTTCGGGCAAGCGATGTACGCGGTCAACACTTTCAAGGATATTGCCCACGTTGTATGGAATGTGGGGTGGAATCGAAGATGACTATAATGACTCACTCACTGGGAGGGATGTTGATTTTGAACGGTACCAGCAGCATAGCGTCGGCGTTCTGGGTAAGTGCGTCTCTACAACTATTGAATCACGACCAATCTTTGCACCCGCATGGACGGTTTTTCGAGAGGGGAACAGCAAATCGCTGCCCCACGATTATGGGCGGAAAATTGATTGTTATTGATGGGTCTGCCACGCGGGCGAGCACAGCAGCACCTTGGGATATTCCTGACTGTATATATGGTGGACAACTGGGACAGATTGCTTGACAATGTGGCGGATTGGACAACATATCGGGCAGCTATAGACGGCATCCATCATAGAAGAAGGGGAACTGATTTCAAGGTTGAAAGCTGGTCGGGCTTGCTATTATGTTTGTGAGAAGGGCAGGGCATGGAACGAGGACGCTGGCAGATGCATTTACCCCTGGCTTCGGCTCTGAAGGTGGTGCCACTGCCAGATTCTTGGGTATCCTGCTGGCTTGTGGTTCGCTGTGCGGAAAGCGCAAGAGCACAAGCCGCAAACACCTCGCCTTGCATCTCCGAAGCAGAGAGGCAGATCGGCATGGAATTGAATCAGATGACCTTGGGCCAAGAAATTCCAGTAACAATTCATCGCTCGTCCGTCGTGTCACTTGTCTCAACGTTCTCCAGCCTCCGGTTTTGCGGGGAGAAGTTCTCAAAATCGCAGGATCGTGCTGATGACGCATGCAAGAACATATGGGCATGGCAGGAGTACTTACGTAAAGTTGTTTCAGGAGTCGAACTTCCACCATCATTAGATGTCAACTTGTTTGTTGACGTTCTGGGGTGATGAATGTCTCGTCATGTCACCGGTGGGTGCCTGTCATGCCATCACCGCACTCGTACGAGTTACCACAGTACCTGCACGAGTTGCGGGGGAACGAGTTTTGCCACGATCAACCCGACCCAGGCACTTCAGGCTGGCCAGCCTTTGGGCCGAGGGATGATGGGCGGCTTCTCGGGCAGTATCGCGTCTGTTTGAATTGTTCTGGCTGTGCCACGCTGTGCTTTCCTTCCAACTTGAGTTATACGAGGCAAGGGTAAGGGTAAGGAAGTCGTTTCTAGTATCTGCCGACGGGATGCTCGTAGCGTTCAATGTGAGTACTGTACTCCGCATGGTGGTGTGTGTGTGCCATACACAGTAGATCCCGATCCCGTCTCCAGGCGAATACTCGGCGTCCTTGATACGGAAGCTCACTGAGGTAGTAGGAGGACGAGTAGGAGTAGGGGAAGCACCGTGCTGAAGTGCATCAGGTAAAGCATACCTGCCTACCTAGGTACGAGTACGGATTCGGGTATGTGGTCGGATTTTGCTCGGCGAGTCTAGCACAATACAGTCACTTACAGTATCTACCTACCTAGGTAGGTATCTAAAAGGTAGAGCTACGACTCGTACAGTTATCGCGTGGTGCCATCAATGGAACGGGTTGCCTGATCGCCAGTATTCCGTACGAATGGTAGGGTGTGGCGCGAGAATGTGTCTGGTATACTGGTATGCTGGTACTAGTACTACATAGTAGTAGCGTCGGGAATTGACCCTCGTGGATTGATCGCGTTAATTTATTGTCTCCTCTCATGAGAAGCGTTTGTGTTGACAACTGGTGGGAACGATGGACGAAGAACGGCGGAGGACGAGGGCGACTGTTCCATTGCTAGGCAGATGGGCTGGCCGTGGCTGGCTTGCTTGCACAATCCTCGGCTTCGGCTGTAGACGGCGTCCCGGACCGGCCTCGCCCTTCTCTACGAGTCCTGTTCACCTAGGTGCTGTTATCATTCAACGGTTCCGATGATCGAACACCCGGCACCGGTGCCCGGATGGATGAGCCGTGGAGAAAAGGGTTGAGTTGAGTGATGGTGGTGGGTTGGTTTGTGTGGCGAGCCGTATTGGTGTGCTTGCAGGTGCATTGTGCACGAGTATGCAGGCACTGCACGCAAGGCTTGCATGTGGGGCAGCCCCTGGCAAGCTGGCGTCTTTGAGTTGCTTCGTTACGAGCCCCCTGATGGCGGCTTCAAGAGCAAGGGCGTTCCTATGGAGCGGGATAGATTACGCCTGGCCGTGCACGCCCTGGACTCCTACTCCTACTCGTATCGTTGTGATGGCGAAGACAGGCAGGACAGGGAATCCATGATAGATTAGATATCGACGATCATGATCGTCTACGAAGGATGAGCTGCAAATACTCGTCCATGTACTGCTAGTACTAGTAGTGGTCACCTATGTGCCTATGTAGATGGTAGATGGTAGTAAGTAGTGGGTGACGTTGTGCGATTCGATCCGAGCCAAACCAAGAGCCCGTTCTCCTACTAGGAGAAGAGATTGCATCGCGGTTCGTCTATACTAGTAACACAGGACGGCTTTTTCTGCATATGATACGGAGGCGTGCACCAAATGTAGTTGCCGCGCTAAAGTTGAATGACGAGGACGTCAAAAGACCATTTATTTTCTTTTCCGTTGCTCCGGACAACTGTCCCCGGAGATATCGGACCTCGTTTCTCTGCCCCTAACTCTCGCCTATCCTCTACCATTAAGGCATTTAAGTGGATTACCTTCAATTAAGACTTTAGTTAAGGCTGCCTAGAGCAAAAGAAAATCTCATGTCAGGTTGTGATCCTTCGTCATTCGATCTTAGCGCGGCATCTACATTTGGTGCACGCCTCCGTATAAGTCTTGGTACTGCACAGTCGTACTCGAAGTAAATGAAGTGCCGTTCTCCAAGGACGGCCATTACGAGCGTAGTGTTCCTTGAGGGGTGTGTGGTCGGGCTTGCTGGTACTCGTACTGTATCATTGCTTGGATACCTAGGCTTCCACTGCAGAATCTGGTTAACGGTCAAGACCAGCTCGCAAAGATAGTATTGCCAGTCGTAGTACCGTAGGCCATGGCCAAGATTGCGGAGCAGAGCAGAGAAGAGAAGAATATTCCCCAAAGGAGTAATCAGACTTTACCTCTTCCGGCTGTCGAGCTAAATTATTTCATGGAACAGCAGTAAATTTAATGAAATCTAAAAGCATTTTCTACTGGCCGGTTGCTCGTGGCGTACAGTAGCACAAGTCCCTACTGTGCGACTCTCTTATCAGTCGACCGGCTCTTGATGTTCGTGCATGGATCATCATAGGCTCGGAACGTTGCAGCGTACAGTAGACTGGCCGACGAAGGATTGCGCGGCCTGAAACGCAACTGGAAGGTGATTGTCCCGAAAGAGAGTGGACATAAGTACTCGTACGCGTTGCTGTGTAGCGTTGACATTGACATGGCATGCATTCCCATATATCGGAAGATCTTTCTTTCTGTTGAGACCAGAGACTGTCTGGCTTCCTCTCGTTTCAGTCTCAGCCGGAGCTCGTACAGCTTCAGTCGAGCCCTTGAACCAGTGAGCGATTTTGGTGTGCTTCGTTGATCCTTTCACCAAGGAGGAAAAGAGCACTTTCTCAAGAATCACACAAGGACAGGGCTTGATTTGCAGTTGATGAATTATACATCCAACTTCGCATGCTAATTGCCAAAAAGCAGTATGTACCCAGCAGGCAAACCCACGCCTGCCCTTGCCCTACTCGCGTCGCCTGCTGAAAATCAGTCCTCCTACTTACTGATTCGCCCACCCTTCCCTCCCCGTCCCAGCTACTGAACAGCCAGTTCATTCCTCGATCCAAAATAAGTACAGAGAAGAAATATCAAGAGAAAGGACAAGTCGCCTTTTACACAATCCGCATCCATCCAGAGGTACAGCTCCAGGAGTCTATATAGAAAGACCAATGTGCAGCGGGACCAAGATGTACAACATGGGTGTTGACAACAATATGCTGCTTGGAACACAAAATTGCTGCCTGCAGGGGAGGTGGTCATGCCAGTACGAGAATTCCATATGGGTTTTTACAGGACCGCAATCATGCCCACGGCCATTGCCAGGAGACCACTCTGAACCTTTAGACCCATGGCACCGCTGTTGGAGTCTGGGGCGGTAGTCGTCTCAGAGGCCGCAGCCGAGGTTGAGGTGGATGAGCTGGTCGAGTCCGTGGTGGTGGTCGCTGATGAGGATTCTGTGCTTGAGCTCGCAGCAGACGTTGTGCTGGCAGAGGACTCACTGGAGGCGGTCGATGAGGAACCCGTCGCGGTCGAGTCGGTGGCCGTGGAAGACCCAGATGCGGTGCTGGCGGTGCCGGTGCTCGAGGCCGTGGAAGCGGATGCGACAGCAGTTCCGGTGGCGCCCTGGACGCCAAAGTTGGGGGAGAAATTGATGTTGCTGGCATCGGTGTCGTCAATGATCTCAATCGTATACAGGTGAGAGTTCACATCGGCGGCGGAAGGGATCTGAAGGGTCGCGGTTCCGTCCGAGGCAGGAACGCCAGCTACAGAGACGGTAGGTCAGTGCCTGCTAGACTGTGCAGGGAGAGGAAGGCGAGCGACTTACAAGCGAGTGTGATACCGCCGTCCGGGGTGATGGGGTCTTGCTGCAGCTTGATCGTGACAGTGCCACTCGAAGGATTCGTCCATTCGATGGTGAGAGGTTGACCTGCTGTGACATCTAGAGTACTTTGACCCGCAGGAACGCTGATGGCATTGTTCTGAGCGGCGACCACGGCTGCGCAAAGAGCGGCGACGGCAGTGGCAAAGAAACGCATGGTTTGGAATGTTGGGAGGACCTGGGCGTGAACTATAATATAGACGGGAGAATATACGCAGAGAGGATGACCGTATAGTTGATGACTGATTTGACAATGTTATATACAAAGCGCAATAATGCTAGTGATGACGATGACAGAGAGAAATGTTCAGGAGTCGAAGGCGGCGACTTGACCGTCAGTGTTGACTCGGAGCAAAAAATGGCAGCGCGTTGCGCGACGACGAAACCCTTGGAAGCATTAGCGCTTGATAGCGCTAAAGAAACTAGCGAAGATAGGCCAAGTTCCTGAAGATTGGGGGCATCATGGGGCGCCATCTTGCATCAAGATTGGGCCTGCCTCGAGCAGCTCTGGGCAGTGTCTGGGCAGTGTCTGGGCAGGTACTTTGGAGGCACACCACCAGCGACCACCATGATTCCACTATTCGTCGTCGCTTACCATTCGTCCCCCGCCTAAATTGAAGGGGTGTCGTCGGTTTCTTCTTGTCGATTCCTCAGCCGCAAACACAGCCACAAATAGCCATCATCACCATCAGTATTAGGCAAAGGCGGTTTCTAAGACTGACTTTTCTCGTGTCTCAGGGTGGCCAGACATACCTCCTCGTGTACGGTAGCTGAGACATGTTGCATCTGTTGCAGAATTTTTCATTGCTTCTCTGCTCGACCTCCTCAGCTGCCGCTGGCCGGAAGCACGGCGCTGTCACCCTCAGCTCGTCCGTGCATCCTTCGTTCCGAGGAACCGGTGCTTTGGAGAGCTCTCGTCTGCTGCCTATCCCTCTTTCTTCGATGGTGACGTGAACTTCATGGTTCCATCGTTCGTTTGAGTTGGAGCATTGTCTGAGAATCAAGGCTCACCTAAGCTCGGTACGTGCGGACCAAGCAAGACTCCGACGGATTCGGCCTCCATCTCTTTCTTGTAGTTCAGCCAGTCTACCCTAAGATCATGGTGCATTACGCCGCCTGCTGAACATGTGAAGGGCGTTCATGTTTGCAGCCTTCGTTTGCCCTAAAAAGGTCCGTCAGAGGCAGGTACCCGAGACAAGCATGAACTCCCGAACATACGCTGAAATCGACCTATCGTTATGCTGACGCTGCACCAGTCCGACCAGTTGAGCATGAGATTGAGGCAGACGTGTGCGCTCTGTACTCAGGTCAACTAATATCACTGATCAATCTAGCGCGGCTCGGGGTAGTCAGGTGGGATAAAGGAGGACTTTGGAGATGAGAAGCTTATAACATCTTTCAGAGAACGAAATATTGGTCTTCCTCCCTTGCACGGCGTCATCATGGACAGCGTCTCCGGACTCTATCCCCTGCATATGCACGTCCGAGATGTCGTCAGTCGTGCTTGCTGTCTTGGTCTCAGCGAGAACCAGTGGCGACCTGCGAAGGAGAGTCGTACAGAGCAAGTATCATCATAGTCCTTGCTCAGGTAGCAGTCCGATGTAGAATTTTGGGTTCCCACCCATCTAGGGGTTCGCCAGGAGACGTCAACACTACTTTTCCAGATGGTTACACGACCGTTGGGACCCGGAACTCTGTAACATCACGTCTCTCACGAAGACCTTGCGGCCTTATGGCCTATCCACCAGTAGACGATCGAAGTCGGGTTGCTCAAGACCACATGGTCAAAGGCTGGGTCCGTTGCCTAACGGAACTCGGTGCAGCCACAACTTTCTCTTGTGTCAAGGCCAGGAGAGCATCGAAACATACCACAGCCGATCGTGAGATTGATCGGCAAAGAGAGTCCGAAACTCACAACCTGGCACGCGCTTCAGCCTACTTCAGAAAATCCGTCTCTGCTTGAAATGAGTTGGCTGCAAGGGAAAGTGAAGCCGCAATGCCCCTCAGCTGTCAAGTGCCGTTGAATACCGCTTTGCATAGAGTGACAAGTCCGATCTATCACTCGCCTCCACAAGATCATCGTGCAACTACGTTTTTGTTCTTGAACAACGACATGGTCTTGTGTCATGCTGCGGTTCTTTTGGAAATGAGCGTCGGAACACTCTGATGAATGAGTGGTCCAGAGCCAAGGTTCCGGCGATAGACTGTGGTGGCTGCGGTTCCAGACCAGTTCGTTTCTCGACCCTGGTCAGTTCGTCGGCAGGGATACTGCTGGAATTTCGCTTGTCGGCATGAACTGGACGAAAAATGCACGAGCACGCCTCCCGAGGAGCTGCAAGGACTTGTGCCTTGGGCCGTTTCAGAGTCCAGAGTGAGCGAATGGCCTCAGATCTGTTCTGTAGAGGAACCACAAAATCACAGTTGCAGGCGAGGAGCTGATGCGCCACAAGGGAAGCAGTGTGTTTGCCAGGGCATCTTGCCCATGTATAGTAGTTTTAATCTCAGCGAAGGAGGTGGACTCATTTCTCAGATGGCAGGCTTAAATCGCACATATAGTATGGAGCGACGGTGCTGCAAAATCTCTCCATCGTTATCTACTATCTTTCACTTATTTTCTTTCGTTTGTATCACTATCTTGCTCATCTTACCTTTTGTTGTTAAAACCTTCAGATCTTCTAATATGCCTCAAGATTGTTCTCCTGACTCGCGCAGATAGCCCGTGCGGTACAACTAGGGTCTAGTGAGCCTCAGTCCTCTGCGCCTCCAGGTCATCCAACCAACAATCCTCTTGGAATCCTCGTTACCGAATCAGCCTAAAAAGCACGACCGTCCACAGCCAACAGCCAACGAAGCAAGAAAGCCTTTGCAGCTGAGTTGCAAGCGACCGAAAACAATGTCAGGGTGCCCGAATTCGCGTTAGTCCATCTTCTTATTGATTCCTTACCGCCAATGAGGATGACGAAAACGCGGAGTCCTCGAAGGAATTCTCATGCCAACAATCATGAGGTGGCTTACGAGTCATTGCCTCCAGCTCTTCGTCGAAAAGTGAGTCCATGCTTTCTCTCACAATGTTACTCTGGCTTGTCAGTGCAATCCCTCGGAACGAGCACACAATTCCTGTCAACTGCCAACGCTGTCAGCAGGTCCCTGTGACCCAGCAAAAAGAACAACTGCATGGCGATTCCTAGATTCCTCCTTATCAATAAAAATCCAATTCATCAGCTGTGTCGGCAGCAATGGTCCACGTCATATCAACGACGGGAGTGGAATGCACCAGCGGATTTGGTGCCACCAGGCCTTGGATGCTCGAGGCTTAGGTGTGTTGCTCACTACCTGAATAGGCATGACATGGGCATTCCTAGGGCCATAGTGGCCCGAAAGTGAAGAGGACCGTGCCGGATCCAGGGGTACGAAAGCTGCAACTAGCTGAAGATCTCCACCGCTAAACGGCATCCTTGTCGCTATCGGACCACTCAAGCTTGCGCGAACACCGCTCTTGTTTCGCTCGACCGTTGACACCTCTGTCGATCGCTGGTTCTGCAGGGCCTCGGGCTAACGTGTGTGTTGCACCAGTATTTTAGCAGTTTAGAACGTCTCAGGTTAGCACAAGATGCCAATGGCAGCAACCTGTCACCTCCTCCCTCTCGGCTGTCGATCCTCTCTCCGAACAGTTTTTGGACGGCTACAAAATCCTCGGACTCTGTTTCTCTTACTCTCCTTACCGACGGACTGGTACAACCGGGCTTGCTATTAAGCGGAAACAAATTGCGGAAGAGAAGGTCCACGGTCACCAAGAATAAATCCGCAGCCGCTTGGTTTGTGTCTCTCCCGCCTGCGGTGCAAAGAAAACTGTTCTCTCGCGAAGAGTGTTTGTTCTATAACCGGGGAACGGCCACCATCATCCTGGACGCTGCTGACGAAACCCTTCGCCGGCGCAGCTGGCACCCGAGTCGACTCACGGTGCTTGAACGTCGCATATCTGACGACGAGACTGTTGTGGATTGGGAAGACCCTCAATGCGAAGAAAAAGTTGATTCGGCCATCGATATGAGTGAATTCTCGACGGAAGGCTTCCGGTGGTTGGAGGATGAACCAGATATCGACCTGAAGATAGACGACTACCATGCAGCCATAGCAGAGACGAACCGACGAACAGCTTCAATATCGGAGCCTGTGAAACGCTCTAGCCTCCGAAACCGAAACTCATCTCTGTCCAGCCTATCGATACGTCGGGGGCGACCATCAACATCATCGGCGCGCCCTATTTTCGACTCAACTCCAGATACACCATCTCTGCCGGCAAAGCCCAAAAGCATCCGGTCACCATCATTTTCTCTCAAGCATCTTCGGTCACAAGGATCTCGGTCATCTCTTGATCCTCGAGCGACTCACTACCAAGACCCTGCCGCCCGGATGAAGCTGAGAGTGTACCTCGCCTCGCCGCAGAAGTTCGACGAGGCAATCGAATTTGGCTTTCCTTCTGTCGAAGAGCGAAACCATTGGGACCGTAGGAGACCAGTGACCAGCCCTCATCCCAGACACGAACCCAACCGCACATTCTTTCACGACGATACACCGTCATTATCCGGTGATGACAGTGACAATGAAGATGATCAGCCCGATACCCTTTTCGACCCCAGGACTCCAGAGGAGGCCGTCTTCCAGATGCATCGGCCCTCCCCGAAGCTCAGCATTGACGTTGATGGAGGTCTGAGTTTGAGAAGACCATCCTTCATGCGGCGTCGAGCGGAGACTTACGCCCGTGGTGCCACGGCGGACAGGGAGATGACATTGCGCATGACATTGACACGACCGGACCTACGTTCCCCGGACGAGTTTCAACCAGAGGACAGGAGCAATATTAATGCCATACCATTGGAGCGACCAGAATTAGTGGCTCAGCCTAGCCCAATGTCCATCTGGGACTCATTGCCTCCGGCTGAATCGAGGATGAAGAGGTTTCTTCGAAGACTGAAGATGAGATAAGCAACGATACCCTTGATTTTATTCGATTTTCTCGTTTGTGTATGAAAAGCAGGCATGCGACTGAAACAAGCAAAACTTGTCATTGAGCGATGGAGTTACGGATTCGATGTGGAAGCCTGTTTCAGGCCACCAGACACAGGGAAAGGGGAAGATAGAATATGGCGGCAACGCCTTTTACTTCTTCTGATGTCGTTTAACACCGAGAGTGGCAGATGAAAAGGGGACTGTAGACAATCGAATAAGGTGCTGAATATCAGCACATTCAGAGCCTCCTACAAAGTACCAAGGTACTGTACTTATCGCTACTTCGGTCAGTTCATTTCAATAGGAGAGCATGCGCTTTCGATAATTGGCGGGCGTTGCACGCTAATGGCGCCCAATTCGACCGGAGAGCTGCGTAAGTGTAAGGTAACTTTTCGTGGCCCTGATAGTCCTGTTGGCTTGCGACAATCAATCGTTGGCCGCAGGCAACTCGAAACACCAACTTGTCCATTTCAAATCCGCTGTTTTTCTCAATTTGGTTTTACCATCTCACCCATTCAGTCCGCTCGATGCGGTAATCAACGATGATATTCCGGTCCTTCTGTCGTAACGTTGTCGCCTCGTCACTGGCCCTCCTCCTGCTTCTGTCCTCGCCGCAGCCTACGCAAGCGAAAAAGGATGGACCTACCATCTCCTCTACCAAGTTTGACAACGTCTTAGAGAACGTTTTCTACTTTGACGATTCGAATATCATCCTCGCCCAAGACAGAGATGCAAATACTATCTGGCGCAGCGCTGACGCAGGTGAGACCTGGAATGAAGTCAATGGCGACGACCAGTCCGGCAATGCTTGGGATCTGGTATTCCACCCCTGGGACAACCAGCGCGCATACATCCTTGGGCTTGGATCTAATCACTGGATAACCACCGACAGAGGCGAGACTTGGAGGAGGTTCACAACCCAGGGTGCCGGCCTTGCTCTATTTCGCCCCAGTCCTCTCAGCTTCCATGGTCGAGACGCAAAAAGAGTCATCTGGAATGGCGAGCAATGTGCGGGTCTGGCCTGCTCGGAGGTCGCTCTGGTCACTGAAGACGATTTCAAGACGGTCAAAAAGATGGGTAGTCAAACAAGAGGATGCCAGTGGGCAGTCGGAACCCCAGACTTTGCACAAGACATTGCCGCTGAGGTCAAGGATCGCGTTTTCTGCATTGTGGAAGGATTATACTCTCCGTGGCCCAAGGACAATCGGCTTCTTGTGTCGGATAACTTTTTTGAAGACAGTGAGATCGAGCCTGCACTTGACGATGGTCGAGCAGTCACCGGCATCATCAGCATGGCAGCTGTCAAAGGCTATCTGGTCGCAGCCGCGAAGTCCGAAGGCACCGACGAGCTGGCTCTGTATGTTACGAAAGATGCATCGCAATGGCACCGTGCCGAGTTTGGCCAACACCGAATCAACGAAGATGCCTATACCATCCTCGAAAGCACCAACTATAGCATGCAAGTCGATGTCCTCGGGTCCAGACCTGCGAATCCCATGGGTTACCTTTTCACTTCGAACTCGAACGGAACCTACTTTACACGCAACATTGACCATACCAATCGAAACATCTACGGTCGAGTGGATTTTGAAAAGGTTCAAAACATACAAGGAATTGTGCTTGTCAATGTGGTGGAAAATCACAAGGAAGTCGAAGACTCAATTCTGATCGAGAAGAACATCTATTCTCAAATCAGTTTCGACGACGGCCGGACCTTCCAAGATTTGAAGGTCAAGGACAAACGATTGAACCTGCACTCTGTGACTGATGCGAGACAAAATGGACGGATCTTCTCCAGTCCAGCACCCGGAATTGTCATGGGAGTGGGCAACACGGGTAAATCTTTGAAGCCATACAATGATGGCGACCTTTTCGTCTCAGATGACGCCGGCGTGACTTGGTATAGAGGACTCGACGGTGCTCATCTGTATGAGTTTGGAAACCAGGGTGCCGTCATTGTTGCGGTTGATGATGAGGATACTACCAGCCATATCAGGTTTTCTATCGATCATGGAAAGACTTGGACAAAGGCCGATTTGGGCGAGAAGATTCGTGCCAAATTTCTCACCACAGTCCCCGACTCAACTACTCTGAAATTCCTATTAATGGGGTCTCGTGGTTCGGGTTCTAAGACCGAGTGGTTCATGTTCAAGATCGACTTTGAAGGCCTTCACGAACGTGCTTGTAAAAGCTCTGACTTTGAGCGGTGGCCTGCACGTGTTGATGATGACGGCAAACCGAGCTGTATGATGGGGCACAAACAATTCTATCAAAGAAGGAAAGCTGACGCCGAATGCTTCATCGACGAAGAGTTCAAGGACCCTGAACCCGAATTCGAACCATGCAAGTGCACGATGGCAGACTTCGAATGTGACTACAATTTTGTCCGGGATCCGGATGATCGCACAAAATGTCTTCCAGCTGCACCCATTTCTGTGCCTAAGGGAGAATGTAAGAGCGAGAAGGACACCTTTAAAAGTCCTTCTGGTTGGCGACTGATACCCGGCAACGAGTGCACACGCGATGGGGGCGAACAACTGGACAAAGTCATCGAACGCCCATGCTCGGATGCCACCAAAACTCCAGCAAGTGGCGACATTGCCGTTGAAAAGACTAACTTCAATGCTGATCGATTTTCCGAGTGGTATTATCTCGAGAGGGGCAATTCAGCTATGGGAACTGACGAGACTATTATCATGCGCACCAGTGAACAAGATATCTACCTGTCTCATGACCACGGCAGATCTTGGGAACCAATACTGAAGGGGGAACCCATTACCGCAATTGCTCCCAATCCAAATCATCACGATGTGGTCTTCTTCCTTACCGGTTCGACGACTGTGCACTACACCATCGACAGGGGCTCCAGGTTCGACAAATTCGCCGCACCGGAACGCCCAAGCACTTTGAGATTGCCCACACTGAGGTTCCATCCCGAGTACAAAGATTGGCTACTTTGGTCTGGTTCAGTTGGCAAGGATGACCACACGAACATCTTTTTCTCCAAAGACCGTGGCGACAACTGGGAGACAATGGTTCGCTATGCAAGGAAATGCGAGTTCATCACAAGAGAAAGTCGACCCAATTCCGACCAACTCATCTATTGCGAACAGTATCAGGACGAGAATCCAGACAAGAATTTGATGCTCTTATCCAGCGAAAACTTCTTCGGCAAGTCAGAGGTTCATTTCTCGGACATTTTGGATTTTGCAACCATGTCTGAATTCATTATTGTTGCTGCGAAGACCGAAGACAGTCAAGGTCTCAAGGTGGATGCCAGTATCGACGGACATACATTTGCACCGGCCGAATTCCCCAAGAATTTCCAGGTCGCTCACCAGCAGGCATACACTGTTCTTGACAGTTCAACTCATGCCGTCTTCCTCCATGTGACGGTCAATGCTCTACCTGAGCGAGAATATGGAGCAATCATCAAGTCGAACAGCAACGGAACCTCGTACGTATTTACCCTCGATGCCGTCAATAGAGATACAGAAGGGTATGTCGACTTTGAGAAAATGCAAGGTCTCGAAGGTGTTGCCATGACCAACGTCGTTTCCAATCTTGAAGAAGTCAATGACGGCGGCAAGAAGAAATTGAAATCCATGATCACGCACAACGATGGTGCACAGTGGACTTTACTGCCTCCCCCAAAGAAGGATGCTATTGGAAACGACTATGCATGTGTCAAGGAAGCCGACAAAGCTACGGACAAGTGTTCCTTGCATATCCACAGTTACACCGAGCGAGCTGACAAGTCTGCAACCTTCTCCAGCCCTAGTGCAGTTGGGCTTATGATGGCCGTGGGCAACGTGGGCAACCATCTCCTCCGAAAAGACGACGAGAGCACTGATACCTTCATCACTCGTGATGCCGGCATTACCTGGTCATCCGTCAAGAAGGGAAGCTACATGTGGGAATACGGCGACCAAGGCAGCATCATTGTCATCGTCAAAGAATCGCAGCCCACCAAGAGCTTGTTTTATACTCTCGACGAGGGCCGCAGCTGGAAAGAATTCGAGTTCTCTCCCAGTGTCGAAATGCAAATTGACGCCATCACGACTGTACCCTCTGACAACTCTCTCAACTTTCTTCTCTGGGGTCGAGAGGTCGGCAACAACGCTAAACGCGGCATCTTCACTGTCGCCGTTGATTTCAGTGGCCTGAAGGACCGCCAACGCAAATGCGAACTCGACGAGCAGAAACCTCAGAATGAAGATTATATGCTCTGGGAACCTAAGCACCCAATGCAAGACTCGAACTGCCTCTTTGGCCACGTGGCACAGTACCACCGCAAACGCATCGAGGCGCAGTGCTACAATGGCAAGAGGATTACACATATCCACAGCATCGCGCAAAATTGCAGTTGCACGCGGCAGGATTTCGAATGTGATTACAATTTCCAGCCCAAAGCGGACGGAACATGCGCGCTGGTGCCGGGCTATGATCCGCCGGACCACGAGGACAATTGCCGCAAGAACCCTGATCAGGTTGAGTTTTGGTACCCCACGGGCTATCGACGGATACCCTTGACAACATGCCAGGGCGGGCTGGAGCTGGATAAGGTCGAGAGTAAGGCCTGTAAAGGGCATGAGAAGGAGTATGAGAAGAAGCACGGGATCAGTGGTGCTGCGTTGTTCTTTGCCATCACAGTGCCATTGGCCGCCGCTGCTGGTGTAGGGTATTGGGTATATACAAAGTGGAGCGCTGGAATTGCCGGGTTTGGCCAGATCAGGCTCGGTGAGAGCATGGCAGGTGCGACGGGTTCAGGTGACTCGCCGTTCATCGCTATTCCTGTTGCGGTTGTTAGTGCTATCGTGGCCGTGACCAAGGCCATACCGTTGGTAATTATGAGTATCTGGAGAAGCGCCAAGGGGTATATGCCACTTAGCTCGGGCGGTGGAGGTGGTGGAAGGTTCGGCATCGGGCGTGATGCGGGTGCTGGGTATGGCGCTCCGTACCGGTCGAGAGACGCATTTGCCAGGCGCGGGCAGGATTATTCGCAGGTCGTCGAGGATGATGAGTTGCTTGGGGATGGGTTGGACGATGAGGAAGAGGTTTGAACTTGTACAAGCTTGTGCAATGGGGACGTCTTCAGAGGGCGAGATGTGGCCAGTGAAAAGGCGAGCCAGCAAAGACTCGAGATGTCCTTCAGCTTTTGCTACTGAGAACCATTACACTGGTCTCGGTGTGGTTGAGCTGCCTCAGGCAACGGGCGGGTGTAGGTCGGTCGTCGTTCGTCGTCCGTCTCCCCCACGAGCCTAACCGTGTGGACAGGATGAACAACAAGGATGCTGGCGAGCAGTGCGCGTGTGAGGACGGAGGACTGTACGAAAACTGTATGGTATACTATAGTACTTAGCCTAGTACATTCGGCCCCCGGCCAGGCAGGTACGGCAGGCACAGAGCTATGAGGCTTTCGGGGGAGTTTTTAGATAGCTACTACTAGTAGGTACTAGTATTCTTTTTTTCCTTTCATCTACTGTACCCGTCAGCATCTCCGGAGGGTCTTGGGGACCACCCGGGACTTCTGCTGTTTGTTCACGTCGATACTAGTGTTGTTGAAGATCTAGTTCCCTTGTTCTGGATTTGGATCTGGATCTGGGATCTGGACGTGGATCTGAGCTGGGCCTGTTACTGTAAGATAGCGGGACGTGCCCGGACTTACTGTCGGGGGGCTCTGCTGTTCTTGTTCATGTTGAGTCGAATAGAAGTTAGAAGTGTATCAAGTATCAAGTATGTAGGGCATCGCACTGGTACCGCATACCGCATACTGGATACCGTATATCAGATTCCTACTTTGGCAGTCTAGTCATCAGAAAGTGAAAAAGGTAGAAGGTGTCTTGAGAGCGACTGGTTCATGTATGGTAGGTTGGGTGGTAGGTACCGTAGCATGCCTCGGATGTCTGATTCTTTTCCTTCATTGCATTGTCGAGAGTTTACTCGTACCCGTACAGTCGAGTACAGCTTTGTTAGACCGTCGACCTTTTCACATCCTGGGCCCTGAGAGGCAAGATTGCCATGTTCCAGATGACATACCTTAGGCAACCTACATGGCGGGGGCTGATGGTATTCTTGTATGTGTTGGGCGAGTACCTTAGTTAGACACGCAGGGCAAACGGACAGACGAACGTTGACAAACGTCGACGAAAAGTCCAGAGTTGATTCAGAAGAGTAAGTCAAGTTAGACATGCAGTCAACCAAGGCTGATTCGCAAAGGGGGGCCACGGGAACTGGGGTGGTACAGAAAGCTTTGTAGGTCAAGAGCTGGAAAAGGTGCTGGTCAAAGTGGCTCGCTCTGAATGGACATGCGTGGGCATCTTGGACAAGAAGGTCAGGGTGTGACAGATAGAAAGTAAACAATGTGCAGTGTGCAGTGTGATTGATGTCTTTCAATATACCATTTCCATTCTATTCTTCAACGCAGTTCTGCATTGGTGTGATGTTGATGTTGTTTGACTCCTTCGCTATGTAACAATTCCATCGAGATTCCTGCACAAACACGGTATTGAACAAATCCCAAAGCTCTTTTTTCTTTCGCCCCTATCTGCAACAATGTTCGTAGATGTGACTCGGAAGTTGGCTCAAAAAATGTGGCTAGTGGTGCTGGGAAAGAAAGAAGACTTGGTTTTGGTTTGGTTTGGTTTGTCGAGGGTATTGACGGCGGGTTGTTTTACTTGCTGAAGGCTTCGTTGACTTGCTTGGTGGCCTCCTCCTTGGAGATGCCGTACTTCTCGGCGACCTTGTCGGCAAGGCCGTCCTTGTTGCCGGCAACAGAGGCAAAGTCTTCAGGGGTGAGCTTGTCGAAAGTCGAACGAAGCTTCTGCTTGGTTGCCTCGTCAGCCATGGTGATTGAAGGTTGTGTGAAAGGTGGTTTTCGAGTTTGAAAAAAAAATAAAGGAACTTTGGATGGGACAAGGCTTGATAGAGATTCGTGGGTTCGATGAAGCTTAGGAAGAAGAGGAAAATGGTCGTGCCCAGCGTGGAACGTGTTGTTTATATAAAAGAAGGACCACCGGGATGACTCTGCCCCTCTACCCCTCCTGATTTCTGAGGGTCCAGAATGCGTGATACCCTGGCCATCTTGCACCAATTTGATGCCCCCTTCGTGGCGATTTCTAGCCCCACGACCTCAGAGATCGAAAGGCAAAGGATCAAGAGGCCACGTCGCGTATGGGAAATCCAATCAGGGCTCAATCAGCTTCACCGATTCGTCATGATATCGAATAGAAACTCATGACGGAAAGTGACGGGCCGCTGGAACCAGCATGGCGCCGTGTGCGGGCTGCCCTAGCTTTAAACCGTTTCGACAAGCCATGAACCTGACCCACGGTTCAGCATCTGGCGGTGAAGGACGGCAGATACCACAGTAGATAATTTCGGCTTCTTCAAGAAGAGCATGTGATAGGAGGAGAGGCCTGCTTGAAGCCTGTCAGCAAGACCTGGTGGCATTCGATCAATGATTGGAAACTGGAATACTGTAACATGTCGGATTATCGTTTTGTTTGAGTACACAGTAATCCTCCGTACTCGTACAACATGGTCGTTGATGACCCCTCGATTCAACCCACGGGCACTTTTGGTACTTGGTGATCCAATGTCCAGGGTAGGGGTGCTTGTGGAGGGCACGACAGGGGTCTGTCCACATTATTTCAGCCTCTCGTGGGCCAGCGCAATAACGGTGGATCCTCGAGGTTCAGAACCCTACTCTGCCCTTCCACGGCTCTTCTTGAAAGGTTTCGTACCTTATGACAGTGTCGGTCGCAGGAACTACTATTCTGCCCAGGCGAGGCCGGAAAAATCGGCAGTGAGCAGCCATCGGTCGATCAGTTTCGGTCGGTCTTGTAGTACCACCATGAATGGTGGCAGGAGTGGGCAAGTGCAGTTGGGTGGAGGTCAGACTGCTTATCACCTTAATTAGGAACAGTGTTGGCTATTTTGGATCGTTTTGCTTGGTAGCGACGAGCGAAGGATACTGGCCTGCATTGGAGCCTTGGCTTCTGCTTCATCTGTAGATATTCGCTGCAACTACGGAGTATGCAGTGGTGGATTGATGGCTGGGCAGTTGATGTGTGATACTGAAGTTGAAGGTGGATACAGGGAGGTGTCAGCAACACCAATCTTTGGTTGATGCGAGGGAAAGACGATATTGAGCCTTTGACGACGGGCACACGCACACGTGGGAAGGACGACCAGCGAGACATGGACAATCCAGTTCTTCCTTTTAGGAAACGATGCATTCACTGCTATGAACTTTTCATCCTTCGACAGCCATTTGCTTGCAACATCATCCTTGATCAATCTTCATGAAGCTCAGAAATAGCGATCGTGTCTTCAGCTCGCAGATTGTGAAATCACCACCGGAAGGAATTTTTCTTCAATTTCATATGTTGGTCACCTTGTAACAGGTCTTCAGCACTCTCTTCATTACTCAAACTCGGTGTCACCGACAGAGGAGACTTGCTCAGGCCTCAACGTCAGTAGTGGTCTTGTGCGCAGGCTTCTTCTCGCAAGCGAGAACGAAATTGATTTTGTAGAAGACGTGTGAATGGATCAGGATTGCGCGAGTCCGGGCCACCCATGGCTGGGCATGCCGGAATGCCTCGAAAAGCTCATTCTCGACCTGAGTGTCATCGTGTTCGATCTTCTGAACCTCTTCTTCGACTTCTTGAAGGTGTGCCGCAATTTGGTCCAACTGGTCCATAGTAATGATCGTAGCGGTGTTCTGACCGATAAGGAAGTCAGTGCTGAAGGTGTGATACTTGCGTGAGTTTATAGCGTGTTGGTAAGCCTGTAGTCCGTGCTGGATTCTGCCTATTCCATCGATCTCCGACTTCAGAGCAGCAAGGAAGGCTCCCTTATTCTGTGGTGGAGCTTCGGGCTCATCGAAGGACCCGGTGAACCCAAAGGCACATTCAAAGGAAAATCGACGTTTGGAAGGCGTTGCAGCAATTTCGGTAGGGATGTCATCAGCTTTGACTTGTGGGAGGTGTTGAGGAGTCTCTTCCGAGAGGACAAAGGCTTCGAGCGTCTTGTCGAGCTCGTTGCGGATCTTTAAGGTAGTCTCGCTCAGAGCAGAATCGTCAGAGCATTGCGAGACGAGCTTGGTCAATGCTGTGTCTGTGAGGGATGAGAGAGGAGTAGTTGTTCCTGAAAGGTCGACGTTGATGATCGAGCCTTCTTCTGAACGAACGTCAAGCTTGGGCGAAGCAGTTGCCGATGTGGCCTGCAAAAAGTCAGCAGCTGTACCGTTGCAGGCAGACAAAGATGACTAGACCGTGCTGGGAAGAGCACGACCCTCCAAAGAGGAAACGACTCACCTGAGAAGATGCATGAGATGGCTGAAGTGCCGCAGTCGTAGCAACTGGAGTCTGCTCGGTTGCCATTGTGATGGTGCAGTGAAGTATCTTACTGCTGTTGAGAACAATGGTAGGTGTTGCTGGAAAGATCTCTGAGTAGCTAGGGAACTGTAGAGGGTAGGATAGATGAAGGACGATGACGGAAAGTGGTAGCAGAGGATAAGAAGGAGGAAAGGATCTGGAAAAGGGACCGCAGAAAGAAGAGAGGAAAATTGCAGTTGAGGAACCTCTTTCCACGTCCAACACTTTGATGGACAATCAAGCCGCCTTAAGAAGCAGGCAGTCATAGGAAGAGTCAAGAGACGACCTTGTCTTCCTCTGGCCGGTCATACCATCCGCTTGCTCTGTTTATACCGTACTCTTGCTCTTGGCTTGTGTATGCCATGTCTGCTTCCGCTCATTGTCAATCATGCTTTGCCATGCTGTGAGCCTCTATACCACCCTTTGATTTGCCCTCATGAGACAGAAGCAAGCACATCAGACAATGGGCCATTGCCTTGACCCTGCTTTGACAAAGACGGTGTGTCCGATCCCTCAGTGTTAACCCCAGGACCACGCCTGGCTTCTGCTCCCTGACGCATAGCAATCCCATCTGACAATGAAGGGGGAGCTGGTACATCCCAACATTAACCTTCACTTGCAGGGCATGTGCTGATTACACCTCATTGCCATCCAAAGCATTTGCTGAGCAAGCAAGATGGCACTTACGTCGTCGTTGGGAGGGCTTCAAAAACACCACAAATTCCGACATTCAACCGGATGGAAGTCATTGGCTCATGTAAGTCTGTCCTTTTTGACAGCATCATACTCGTACAGTGTCGTACAGGATTCAACTGCTGGCAAAGAAGATGAGTCCCTAGGCAGAATATGAGCCTACCTGGTACTGTATCATGGATCAACTCATTGACATGCTTGATTGTCTTGCGGTTTGCTCTCCTGTGCGGTGCCATGGGATGCCCCAAAGGACTGTATCCAGGTAACACGCATCGTCGACCTACCTGGCCTTGTTGATAATCTGCCGTGGGGGAAACGATGTGCCTGAGACAGTCAAGCACCTTTCAAAGGTTCATTGGCGTCATGCCTTCATGGACTAGATAGACCATCAGGAGCCGATGTCCGGTCATACACATTGGCGATGGATGCCCCAGTGGTCAAAGATTGTGCACAGCAACGACAGCCTTACTGAAAGGGGATTTGAGATGTGTCAGAGGCTCTGTGATCCAATCAATTTTCAATGATTTATGAGTTGAGGAGAGAGGTCATGAAGCGACTGGTAAAGAAGACATGGCGCCGAGAAAGCCAAATGGCGCTGGGTCAATGGAGCTGTGCCCAAGATGTCCATACTCATGAGAACGGACGGCCCCAAGAACGCCTGGCTCCAAAGCGTATCTCCCAGAGAAATCGTGATGTGCACAATGGAGAGATTCGAATGCGTCTGGTCAAGACAAGGCTGCGACATTGTGTTGATGTTGAGGCATGGCATGGTGCAGGTCTCGGCGCCAATTGCGATTGTGCATCCTCTTACCTCAAGGTTGGTCGCTTGTTTATGTTCTCTTCTTCATGGTTTCGCAGCCTCTACTTGGTGACAATCGTTCGCTCCTGCTCTTGTTCCTCAGATTGTACCATATTCGTCAAGGTTTAGGTCTTTGCCAGTCGCTGCTGGGTGTGGTATCCAGTTCTTGCTCACATCTTCTACTCGTCCGTCACGAAATCCGGCAAGCCACTGGTACGGTCTATCCTCCAACGTGCCATCTTACACGCAAATCCTAACTAGTTCAGAGATCACCATCACATCCTGCATCCATCCATCTATCCACCCTCTCACAGCAAACACTAGCAGCATGGCGTCCGATCAAGGCAGCAACCCCATCGAACATACACTGGGAGATCAAGAAAACAAGGATAACGACCAGGGTCTGCAACAACCCGGCCTCGGTGTCATTGACAGAACTCCACAAGCGAGCATGTCTACAACTCGTCCTCAGGAGTCAGTGGCTGCATCAAGACCTAGTGTGACGGTCAGTTCTCCTGGCTATCCGTCTTACACGGAGCGATACCTGGCGGAACGTCACGAGGCTCTTATTCATTCACCAGCGAACCTGCCAGAAGGTCCGGTCATCGACTCAGACCACGATAACGAAAGCGAAACTACCCTTTCCGGCCTCAAGTGCCAAAGCTGTTGGGAATATGGAGAAGGCAACTAGCCATACTGCAGAGACTGCGTCAAGCAACTTGTGGCCGCTGGTACCAGAAATCGCGGGTCGTTCCCTCCTAAATGTTGCGCAACGGGCAGCAATCAACATTAACAGGTCCACAAGTGTTTCCTCTGGCTTGGTGAGAGGCAATCACGTTCCCAGTCTCTGGGTGAGCCATCGAACAGGGCCTTGCGATTTCGTCGTTCTATACGCGTAGGCGGTGAAGTCTTCGCCATTCCTCTGTACGTTGTGGTCTCGGTCTCTGTGGTGCTAACGTACTCATACCTCGCTTTTTGAGGCATTTCGTCATGCCCAACCATGGGTGGCACGTACTCGTGCCATCCTCATTCATTCGCATGTCTTTTACAAAATCAACTTCGTCCTCGCTTGCGAGAAGAAGCCTGCCCAGAAGACCACTACTGGCGGTGAGGCCTAAGGGCCGAGCAAGTCTCCTGTGTCGGTATCACCGAGTTCAAGCGGTGGAGAGTGCTCAAGACCGATTGCAATGTGCGGGCGAGCTCCACCGCAGAACAAGGGAGTATTCCTTGCTGCTCTCCAAGTCCGAGATCGATGAAATTGGAAGGATCCAGCACGGACTACAGGCTTACCAACATGCCATCAATTCACGCAATTGGCGGGATAATAGGGCTTGCGGATTTGTGTATGTAACAAGTAGTCCATGTCTAGGGTATCAAAGGCTTGAGATTAGATACGCCTTTTTTTTGTCCTTCCATGATGCCAGCACTCTCCATAATGTACACGTCCTTAATAAGGCCAACACCTTTCCCATGGAGTCTGGTTGCAAGCGTGCTGAGGATCGCGTCGACAGAGCCTCCACATCCGCCATCTCCAGGCGGATACGATACCCGCCTGAAGATCGCCGTAACTAAAGAGCCTTGACCCTTCGATGTCAACGTCATGGATTCGAATACTTCAATGAACCAGCCTTTGACCACGGTACCAGGCTACTTGCCATTTCCTACTCTATTCCTCGCCTGATTGCTACCTGTATACTAGTAGGCAGTATAGACTCAATAAGCCAGACATCAACACCCACGACTGCACCGATGTCCTCGTCGCCAACATCGACCATGTCAATCGAATTGAAAACCCGCACCGACTTGTCCCTCTTGTACAGAGTTCTACGCACGCTCATACGCCCTTTGCGTCCACGGCTCGTCAAACCAGGCAAAGAAGCACCACCGGGCTCACAGCGTCTCTCGCCGCCACAGAGGCGAAGCTGTGAAGTAGTCGAGTCAAAGCGCGAAGGCGTGTGGGAGTACACGTTTCGTCATGCCTCGCAATCCCGATCTCGACCTCAAACTCGAAAGCAGCACAGACAAGTCGACACTCAGACTCAAACAAGCCACGATGGCGAGCTGAACGATCAAGAGAAGATCCACGGGACGAGGATTCACAGAGTGTATTGCTTCTGCGGCGGCGGCTTCCAGTCCCCACCGAGCAGCGAGCATTGGCTGTTCTTGACGAAACTCACCAAAGATCTGTCCCTGGGACAGACAAACAGAGACGTCGAGGTTACCGTGGTATCTCAGCCTCTCGCGCCTGCGAGTCCGGCGGCAGACACGTTGCCCATCTTACGGAGGTGGTTGATGTCCGCGCTCGACGATGCGAGCGGGAAAGGCGAGACTGTGACGCTCGCGGGCGATAGTTCTGGTGGGAATATTGCGCTGAGTTTGGGGCTTTGGGTTGTGCAAAACTACTCGCCTCCTCCAATCTCGACGTCGTTACCGCTGGTCTCAGTTATGGTAATATCACCAGCTGTCGACCTGCGCAACGTCAATCCAGGTATTGCCGAAGCCGATAAGCACGATCCCGTCCTGACGGTGGGGCTGACCAGCCAAGTCGCACAAGCGTGGACGGGGAATGTCGTGTCGGAACATACGAAGACCGCACCGCCGAGGTTGGTAGATATGGAGGATCCAGATGTGTCACCCCTGTTGAATGCAGATGAAGTATTCGAGAAAGTCAGGGATATGGGCGTGAGAGTGCACGGTGTTGTGGGTACGCATGATGTACTTGCACCGGATGCATTGGAGTTGATGAGGAAGTGTGAGCGACTGGGTGTCAAGGGGAAATGGTTGGTTTGGGAGGGCCAAATGCATTGTTTCCCACTGGCTGGGGTGGGAGATATCATAGGACTGAGGGAGGGAAAGGAGGGAAGACGGTGGGTGGAAGGGGTGCTGAGGGAGGATGCGGGTAGGACGTAGAAGAGATGAGCAAGAATATATGCTGCATCAAAGCCGGGTTTCGGATCTCAAAAGGATTGTACTTGTTCACTGCTTAAGTTGGGATATCTGGTTCTGCCTTCCATGCTGAACAATGCTAACTCCTTGGAGTCTGGTCACTTCATCTGTCGACCTGGGAACATGAGCTTTTCGTCCCCGTCGTTGTCGATCTCTTGGAGTTGGCCGGCACACGGCTTCGGTCATTCGTCGATGACTTTGCTGCTGGTTGAGGCCCAACGAGACCAGGTGGAACATATGGACAAGGTCTGATACTGTATGGGGTTCTCCAGAGTCTAGACTTGGTTGGGCTGGCGAAAGAATCAGTATGCTTGTAGTGGTGTTGAAAGGAGAGGTGTGTCACCTAACGGTCCAGCATTCGAGACTGCCTATGGTAGGTGCCCATACCAAGGCCGATAATGTGCCCTTTGCAGGACTACGAACGATATTAGCGCCCAGTTAAGTCAACGGTAGCGAACCCACACACTCTCAACCTTCACCCGGACGATCTGGAAGTTCTGCCAGATAGTGACGAGCCCAATGATAGTTGCAATTACTCCGAAGACAATCGACCAGAGGAGTTCAGCCGCCATGATGTGAAGTTAGCTCGCCACTCCTCTCTTGCATGCAGAAGATAAGGTGAATGCTGCGACATCTCTGGTAATGAAAAATAGGATAGACCTTATATTTCACAGGTGGAAAAGCCCTGGCGCATTTGCATTGAAGTGTCCTGCCCGATAGAAGGAAGCAAGTTACGAATTGCCCTGACGCGCCGCACCGGTTTATTGCAAGACATTGCAACATCCAGCGGCACAAGTCATGCAAAGCATGTTGAAAGCCATGGAGTTGGACGGCTCAGTGCAAAATGCGCCATGGAGGTGGACAGCTCAATGCAAATGCGCTAGGGCATGTTTTTCCAGTCTCTGTGACGACGCGAGGCAGTGTAAATACTCCATACTATGCACCTACATTGACTGCGCCAGGGCATATCGCCGCTGAACTCCTCCGAACGGAAGGTTGCGACCCTAGTAGGTAGAGAGGCATGTGCATTTCTGACATGGGGTTTCTTTGGCCCATTGGATAGCCATCCAGCCTACCTCACCAACCTCAGGTCATGGCTAATAGCGCCCAATCGGACTTCCAAGTTGACGAGTGATCCGACGAGCTGAGGTTGGAACATCAGACAGTTCACTCCATGACATGGTTTGTTTCTCCACGCCACCGCGCGCCAGGGCAATGGCAGACCTTGCCCTGCGCCAACATCTACGGTGACTGCATCCCAGCGATCCAAAGTCCCGGTAGGCAGACGATGTTTCCATGTACTCCAGACAGCCCATGTCCAGAGGTCGCCCACCGCCTCACAACGGAGTGGGCAGCATATCAGTGACTGAAATCCACCTCCTCCTAGCACCGTCTGTTATGCACCCTGCTACCTGCGACCGGGGCCTTAGGCTGGCCATCATCTCCAGTTCTCGAAGCAAGCACTAAGAGAAGCCTATTGCGGCCGTGACTCTGGTGAGATTTGTTCCTGAAGCTGTTTAATAACACCCCTACTCCCTAGTCATTTCTGCTTCGAGCTCCTTGGGATGTCTGACTACAAGATTTGGCCAGCCTAGCTTACACATGTCACTGTTTAGTGCGTCACCATCGCGCCCAAAATGCGGCTACATATTTGTACCATCTGCAGCAAGACCTTGTCCCGCTCGACGAAGCTGTCCGAGCACATGAGAACCCATACTGGAGAAAAGCCCTTCCGCTGTCCTACTTGCGGGAGATCATTCTCAAGGTCCTATGACCTTACGAAACATAAGGAAGTCCACAGCGGGGTTTACAGATACAGATGTGCGTTTGAAGAAAATGGACAGCACTGGGGTTGTGGGAAAGGTTTCCACAAGAAAGGTGACCTCACCAGGCATCTCCAGCGGAACAACGCAGCACGGTGTCGGCGAGCTGATCTGGTCAGCACGACCACCACTGGATTAAGCGATGACGCAGCCGTAGTCCTGGATGAGCCAGCCACCGAAGCGACGCTGTCGTCGACGGCTGAATACAAGTTAAATTGGAATCCTCTGCTCGTCAATGAACACGCCAACGAGCAGGTGACAACTCAGTATCCTCCGATGACAACTGGCGCTCATGGACAAACACCATTTCAAGACCCCTTGGCACCTTCGTTTCTGTACGGGAAAGTTACACCGCGTGGGAATCATGAGCCTGAGCTGATTTCCACTTCGAAGGAGGCGAACCTTGGGCCTTTTGACGTCTCAGAGGCTCAATCTCCTCCCGACGGTTCTAGTAAACACAGAGCTCGACGCCATTTGCAATGTAAATGTGATGCTTTCAGTTGCGGTTGGCTCGACAGGGTCTTCCTTACAAGCAATGAGCTTGCTAGCCATCTGAAAAGTGTCCATGGTATCTCCAACGCACGAATCAAGTACAGGAAATGTTTTGCTACCCGCTGTCCCGAGGCACAAGTACGGTGGCTGAGCCTAGTTTCTTTTATCCAACACCTGAACAATTATCATACGGACGAAGGATCGGACGAAGGACTACGACCACAAGGACAAGCAGGTTTTCTCCTGCGGATGTAAGTACTTTTTCCAATTACTTAGCTGAACCCGCGGCCGGGGACTGATGTTGGCTAGATCTGAAGTTTGGTGGCATGGTCAGGACAGGCAAGAGTAGAACCTGCCAACGAACGACAAAAGCAAGCCGACACATGAGGCTGGTGACATATATGATTGGCCTCAATATGTGAATCCGTCTCTTCAGGAAACCAGACTGAGGAGCAAGCATTGCTGCATGAGTAACCAGATTCACCCCAGGAGGCTTGCAAGAGACGGAAGACGCTCAGCTTAGGCCAGCAAGAGCAACCTTTCGTCTCTCACAAACAGAACAACAGGTGGAGAGAGCAAGAGGGCACTCAAAGCAAGCAATTCGATTGGCTAATCTGCTCGGCATGACATCTATGCTGTGGTGGCGGCGTCCGCTATCTGCAGGTGTATATCACTATGAAGCTTGGGGTACACCACTCGAAGCGGTTTCACAGGGTGACGTGAACCCTTCCCCCATGTTCATCGGCCTCGAAGCTCCATCCTTTCCATGACTGTCAAGAGTTGAGCTGGGCTCGTCCAGCCAACCTCGTTCTCCCAGTGTAATGATGGCTCCAAGCAGCTTTTTCCTTTCATCTTCTTGCTCTTTCTCCACCATCACTTGCCACAGGCCCTTCCTCCTTGCATTCCCTGAACCTGAAGCATCAGGTCTCTGGAGTACGCTCCGTTTCGAACGCTTACTGCCAGGGAGTTTTGAAATATCGTGCAAATGTCGACATTTCGACCCAAATTTACAGCGACCGTATCTGGCGAATGCTCTGCATACCTGAGGAGTTGATGCACCAAATGTCCTGGGAGGAGGAGCAGAGATTTCATGCTCAAGAGCGGCTCGTTTCGTACTGAGGACTTCTGGGGCAGAATCAGAATCGGACGCACTGTCAGATGTCGAATCACCCTCTGTGTCCAATCCTGAATTGGAGGAACCGGAAGACGAAGTAGCATCCGAATCTGTCAGCTCTGATTCTAAAGTACTACCAGTAGCCTCAGGTTGCGGGCGCTGTTCTCCCCTCTGGTCAGTGTTTGCAGATTGCGAACGCTGCTCCAGTGTTCTGCTGGTAGCCGCTGCAACGGGTGTCTCTCGAGTGAGCCGTAATGCTTCTTCTGCCTTGGCCAATCTTTCCTGGGCTTTGAGTGCTTTCAATCTGAGCTTCTCCGCCTTCAGTCGAGCCTTTGCCGCCATGTCGGTGTTGCTGTCCTCGGACTTCTTTACATTTCGGTCCTGCTGCTGAGACTTCTGTTGCGCCTTTGCCGATTGTTGCAGCCTCCGTGCCTCGATTGCCTTCTCCCGTGCCCGTCGTTCAGCTTCCATCCTTGCCGCCTTCTCTTCCTGTCGCTTCCGTTTCTTCTCTTCGGCCTCTTTCTTGGCGGCTTCGACTTTTGCCTGTGTCGGGTACCGCCTTTTTCTCTCCGCTATCCAAGCCGCAACTTCCGCCGGTGTTCGTAGGATAATTTGTTGTCCGTCGTGTTCGATTTGCAAACCGTGCGAGACTTTTGTGTGGCTGGCAAGCCGCCACTCTTCGCCTTCATCGTCTTCGGGCTCTGAATCGTGGTCAAGGCCGGTAGGCGTCAAGCCGAGCAGGTTCTGTTTCTTTGGCTTTTCTAGAATCTGCGGAGATGGCTGGGGTGCAGGCTGTGATGCCGGCTTGCGTGGGAGGAGGTGTTCGATTGAAGCGTTGAAACTTGGGACTGCTGGCGCAGCTGTCGGTCGCGGACCTGGTTGATACGCATGATTGAAAGCCGTTTGGTGGTCTCTCTTATGTGTAGTATTTGGCCCGGGATTGCGAGGTGCGTTATTGTCAAAGGACCTATTCGAATGTGGTTGTTGATGTCTATTGGAAGAATAGAAGGGTACATTTTGATTGCTTCCATAACCTCCTCGACCTCCTCTTCCAGCCCCTCTGTAAGAGCCGGCGCCCCTGAAAGAGCCTCGATTATTCGGGAAACTATTGTGTTCTCGATAGGAGGATTCTGCTGTTCGTTTGGGCGGAGGTGGCGGCGGAGGAGGGAAGGTAAAGGGTTGATTTGACATGTTGGTCAGCTGAAATAAGCATATTATACCATATTGCGCCGCATTTCCAATAAGTTGTTATCCATTCAGTGGCATTGTATGTTGTGATTATTAAAAGCAGTTTATGATCGCGTACTGCGCTGGCAGCGAGTACGAAAGTCCGATGAATTTTGTTTATCAAACGACGTCAGAGGCAAGGCTACAAGGCTGTTAAAGCGGCGGGCCTGTGAAATATCCACCGCGAGATGCATTTCGCTCCGGTTTTCTCAAGCATCCAGAACATTGTTTTCAGTGCCCTCAATCTTTGCTTGAAGATTGGAGAAGATTGGATGTACGAGATCATGCCAGGCATATTGTCCGCACAACCATTTCCCTATGCTTATTGGTATTGTCGGTAGCATCATGTTCATCCTCGTACGCTCTTTTACCCTATGGGTTTGACCAATACTGACAGGCCAGACTAAATTCGACGATCTTGTTCAGATCCCGCCTCATGGATTTCGAAACAATCAAATCACCCAGCGTGATCTCGAAGACAGGATCAATGAAAAGTACTCGAACAAGGTGCGACTCCACGCCAAATTCAGTATTGTCATTCTCACCGTGATACCAGGTTGTGCAGAAAGTCGGACTATGCATCTGCATGTATGACCTCCTGAAAGCCTCAGACGGGTTGATCGGTACTGGTACAGGCAATGCAAACGTAAATGGTATGGTAGGCTAGGTCCGACGATGCCCGCATGCTTATTGTGTACTTAGTACATTTTCGAATGATCGTCTTCAGACCTTTCAAAGGCGAGATCATCACAGGCATCGTTCGGAAATGTATAACGACGGGCATTCGAATCACGACACAATTTTTCGATGATATCTTCGTACCTCAGACCATGCTCTTCGAGGGTTGCGAGTTGTAGGTACAGAATGTCGGACTAGTTGGCAGATATTTGACAGGTCGACAGCAATGAAGCAGAAAAGACTTGGGTTTGGAAGACAGAAGAATCCGAACTCTGGTTCGACGAAGGCACGGTCGTCAATCTGCGGATCGAGGCAGAGAAATGGCACGATCAAGCACCCAAAGGACCTGCCGACGCCGAGAAGGACGGCGAACGTAAAGTTCCCTACGCAATTGAGGTAGGTGATTCTTGAAGGGATCTTGGACGCCTCTGACTTGTGGATGTAGGCATCAATGGCTGAAGCTGGCCTGGGAGGGGTCGAATGGTGGTGATTGAATCAGCAACAAAGGAGGCTGCCAATCATGACCATGGTGTCCTTCCCGAGCCTGCCATACTCTGAAGCATGATGTCGCGCGAGGCTTCGAGCATACCGACAACGAGACATGGCATCGAGTCAAGCGAAATGCAAGAAGTAAGCCTGGAGACGATGGTGGACCAAGCCAGAAGTTGATGATGGAAGCAAGAGACTCGCCTCTGGCCTGAAGATATCCGAGTATAAGCGACGTCTGAAATTGGACCAATTGGGCGGCTTCAGGTTTGTCATGTTCAGGCACCAAAACCGCTTCTCCAGAGCCCCTGGATACGCCCTTTGACGGCCAGAAACTGGGGATCAATTAAGCTTAGACGCGTCTATTTCTAAGGGACCGTTGATCTTCTGCCCAGCATAAAGGTCCCCGAAAGCACGTCATTCTTATAGACTCGAGATTATTTGGATGACAATTCCATGCGATGTTCCATTTCATCAGCCACCCTCCTCCCATAAAATACCTCTTAAAGACAATTGATTCAAGTTGATAGTCTTATCCTTGTGCCACACATTCCTTTCCTCATTGTCCGTGATATATTAAACCGAACCTCCTTCATCCGTTGCCTAAAGATTCCAGACGCCTCCTCCTGTGCATCGTTATCTTCTCAGACCCCTCACAGTCACCGCCTTACTCTTCGTTTGACCATTCCACAGATCGTCTATCGCCCTCATCATGACGGTCCCTGTATCACCTCGTCCTCTACGTCCGAACGAACGTATACTTACCAGCGAAGATGGCGCTATTCACACGCCTGCCCGCGCTCCGTCGCCCATCTATCGATTCGGAACCCTAGCGGTCCACGCCGGCGCACCTCATGATCCTTCTACCGGCGCTGTTATTGAACCTCTTTCGCTCTCCACCACCTTTGCACAAACAGCCGTCGGCAAGCCAGTCGGTCTATACGAATACAGCCGGAGCGCAAACCCGAACCGTGACAACTTTGAAGAAGCAGTTGCTGCTCTTGAGCATGCAAGATATGCCCTAGCCTTCGCGTCTGGCTCAGCGACAACGGCCACAATCCTACAATCCCTAGCATCGGGCTCGCATGTGATTTCGGTATCAGATGTCTACGGTGGAACCCATCGGTACTTCACAAAAGTTGCACTGGCACATGGAGTCGAAGTCACCTTCTCACCCTCTATCGAACTTGACGTGGAAGAACTGATCCGGGAACAAACCAAACTCATCTGGATCGAAAGCCCGTCAAATCCGACCTTGAGCCTGGTTGACATCAGAAATGTGGCTACAATTGCGCACAAACACGGCATCCTGGTCGTGGTTGACAACACATTCTTATCGCCCTATGTCCAAAACCCGCTAGATCACGGAGCAGATATCGTTGTCCACTCAGTCACGAAGTATATCAACGGTCACTCAGATGTGGTGATGGGTGTCGCTGCATTCAACTCCGATGAACTTAAGGAACGACTCACGTTCCTTCAGAACGCGATCGGAGCTATTCCGTCCCCCTTTGACTGCTGGCTCGCACATAGAGGCCTGAAGACTCTCCACCTCCGAGCCCGCGAAGCAAGCAAAAACGCTCTGGCCGTTGCAAAGGCCCTCGAAGCCTCGCCGAACGTCATCTCTGTCAACTATCCTGGCCTCGACTCACACAAACAGCGAGCAATCGCTCTCAAACAGCACCGTGATGGTATGGGCGGTGGTATGCTCAGTTTCAGACTCAAGGGTGGTCACCCAGCCGCAGAGCGATTCTGCCAGCAAACAAAGATCTTCACTCTGGCTGAAAGTCTAGGAGGTGTCGAGAGTCTTTGCGAAGTCCCCAGTGCGATGACACACGCAGGCATTCCCAAGGATCAGCGGGAGGCTATCGGCGTCTTTGATGACCTCGTGCGACTAAGTTGTGGTGTCGAAGATGCTAATGACTTGAAGAAGGACGTCCTGCAAGCTTTGGAAAAGGCCGTCGTGGGTCCGAAAATCTCTAATGGCGTCAACGGAGCAAACGGTGCAGGTATCTCAAAGGGATAGTGAAGCTTCGCTTCGCCACGACTATATCGCCTTCATAAACGAAATGAAATGGCTATTAGCGAGGGCGGAAACGCCTACCCATAACGAAGTCGCGTTTCCAGCCCGTATCTTACGACGTACGATGGATCAGCCGACAGCATGCTGTGAAACTCGCTAAGTCTTTCGATCAAGCTCTAAATTAGCCTGCGGCCGAGTTCTTCCAAGCCTTGAAATGCGCAGTCAGCCTCCTCTCAGTGCGCGAGAATCAGTTGATCAGACACGCTTTGGAAAACACTGAGGAACAGGAGACGCACGCCCAGCACTTCCTGAAAGTCTTCAAATTCTACGACCGTTTTTATTTGGCCGAAGTGGCATTGGATTAAATGCTTCTGGCAATTGCCCTGCCGGAATCACGGACATATGCGAATCACTAAACCTCACTGCGTCGATGCCGGCTAGGCTTTTCGAAGCATGTGGCAGCTCTCGAGGACCGCTGAGGGCGGAGTTATCAAGCGGCTTTGTTCATGTCCCGAGAGGCAGATCTCTTTTCTCCCTATGTCGGCACCATATACACAAGGTAGACGGGGTTGAAAATGGACGGGTCAATAGAAGGTTCAGATAGAGGCTGGAAAAGTCTCGTCAACACCTCCGGATCACTAGCCTCCGAGTTCAAAGGCAACCAGGTTGATAAGAGTAACAAGCAATGCATTCATCGCAAAAAGGGGTATCTCTCGCATAATTGACAAAATGATAGACAACACTGCCCTGTATACAAGGCGGATTTCTTCCCACAGCCCTGTCCTGTCCCGTTCAGCTCGTCGTCAGGCACTGCACAGCTCAAAGGGACATCACAGCTCATCCAACACTCTCATTCTCGGATCCTCTCCTTCTGGCCCATCCGCTCTTCTTTCCTTCATCTCCACCGGCACCTCTGGAAACATGACTTTTCTCTCCCTATTGCGATCCGCAATGCCCACCAACAACCGTCTAACATCCTCGGGCACCCTCGCCACCCCTTCCAAAACCTCCTGCTCATTCTGTCTCGCAGTACTCCCCTCCCCTCCTCCCAACCGGAGGGTTTTATTCCAACTCCCTTCTGAATGGCCTCTGAGCCCCGCGCGAACCGGATCCCCCCTGAACCACCACTCCTTCCCTACCACGACACCCACGACAACGACCACGACGGCCACGGTAAGCCACGCAACCACACGTCCAACGCGGCCCCAGACCTTGCGTACCTCATCCTCGCGCCGCTCCCAATTCTCGACGATCTGCCTCGCATTCTCGAGCCTTAGACTCAAATCCTCCGCGCGTTCATTCACCCTCCGCCCTCGTTCCTGCATCTCCTCGGCCTTCGCCCTCCTCCTGTCAAAGTCACGTTTGAACGCCTGCACTCTTCTCCGCGTATCCGAATCCAGCCTTTCGCTCTCCTTGTCAAAGTTACTGATCAATTGTCCCGTCTGCTTGCTGAGCGATTGGAAACTCGTAATCGTCGCGACTAGACTGCCCAGTGTCTCGAGCAAGTTGTAGTATCCGTAGTCCAATCTCCTCGTGATCTCGACGCCCTTGGCCGTGATAGTGGCGATACGGCTACGCATTTCGTCTTCCGCGGCCGCGATTTCCGCGTCACGACGGACAATGTCCTCCTTCCTAACGTGGATCCGGCGTGCAATGCGCGCTTGGTCGCCTCTTTCCAACGCTTGTTCGAAAGACGACTTCGGTCGGAGAGGGGCGGCGGCAGCGGCCGCCCGGTGAGGATCGGATACAGCGCGCAGGCGAGGGTCGTACCGGCCGCCGTCGGTGTAGTCGGACGTTTGGGATGTGCTGGGGCCAAAAGCGTGCCTGCCCACAGCTCCATTCACGTTTGTGGTGGAAGAATTGTTGGCGGTGGCATTGCCGCTAGTGGGATGATGAAGACTGGTGTTCGTATTGGTATGGTGGAGGTGTGTGCGTTTCTCGCGCTCCGCGTTCAGACCCGCAACTAGGTGCGGGAGGGTTTCTTTGGACTGTTTGGATTGCGGCTTCCGGAAGGACGACGTACGCTGCAGGGCTTCGGACTGGGTTGGGCGGTGGCGCTTGTGACTGCTGGCCGGGTCGGTGGAGTGGCTGATGCTGGTCCTCGAGTGCGAATGGGAGCGGGAGTGCTGGTGGTGGCCGCCATGCCGGTGGTGGTGGAGATGCGAGGAGCCCGGGATATGCACGCGGTGCAGGCGTTCCGCTGTGCGTTCGAGAGCGGACTGCGTGGGCAGAGTGTGCGCATTGCGCGGCTTGATCTCTGCAGGAGAGAGATAGGATTGCGAGCGGACGTGAGGTGGGCGTGCAGGTTGGAGGGTTGGGCCCGCTGTCTGAGGTTCAGTGGGTGATGGGTTCGGGTTCGGCTTGGATGGGTCGGTATGAGAGCGGGTGCGGGAGATCGGTGGGCGAGTACTTGTCGGGGGATGCGTGGCGCCTGGCTGTTGGGACATGCTGAATGATTACAATATAGTCGACTGCGAGGGTAGCATCGTAGGCGCAAACGTAGAAGTCTATCCGTAGGTAGGGATAACACGGTGCTCACTCGAGGACTGATGCAGTTTGGTATGACGACCGCAAGGCTAGAAGCCAGAGTGGTCACGTGGGAGGATTCAGATCCAAGGCTGAGAGTTTGAGGCTCGCGGAAAGCCTTGCTCGAGCAACGATGAAGGTGTTGAAGCACCGTTCTCCAGCATTGGAGAATGGCTTTTGCAAAGTAATTGCATGCTCTCTTCTCACGAGCTCTTTAAACATTACGAGATGCTGATTTCATGGAAGACAGATATAGCTCAATCGCAGTGATGGTGCCCCCCAATCAGAAAACGCAGCCTTACTGGAGATCAATGATCCCAAGTCAGCACTACGACTTTTGAAGGTTGGGCTGTCGCCGGAGGAAGGGAAAAACACGGCTGGGGTTTGGGAATCTGATGTTGCAATTCTATCTCACTACAAAGTGGCTAGCCCAGGCTATGCATCTGCAGGAGTAAAAAGATTCATGTCCACAACCAGCAGACCTCCAATTTGAAGTGCCAATACAAGTCTGTGCTAATTCTCAATCTGTGCATTAACTTTCATGCTTTCATACCTCGTTGGATCCATTAATTCACCAAATTTCTCCGCGCGTGAAGTGCGGGCCATGATGTTCTGATCCAATATCGCAGTCACATCCGCTGCTGAAGTTCCGGGGATTCTGTCGGCTTGCGTACAGGCGACTGCATTCGATTGCTGCCTGGGTTCTCATGGTGTTTCTCATTCAGAGCAAGCATTTGCGGGTCGAAGAAGCTAGTATTCGGCGCCACCATCATCCTCGGCTTCCAAGCTATCGCTGGCAACCTCTTCGTAGTCCTTCTCCAAAGCAGCCAGATCTTCTCGAGCTTCTGAGAATTCACCTTCTTCCATACCCTCACCAACATACCAATGAACGAATGCACGCTTGGAGTACATGAGATCGAATTTGTGGTCAAGTCGGCTCCAGGCTTCGGCGATTGCAGTGGTGTTGGAGAGCATGCTGACGGAGCGGTCAACCTTGGCAAGTTCACCACCAGGGACAGGCATGGCTGGAAGACGTCAGTAACAAGACCGGTGAGGAGACATTTAGACCAAACTTACGAGGCTGGTAGTTGATTCCGACCTTGAAGCCAGTAGGACACCAGTCGACCAAATGAAAGCTAGACTTGGCTTTGAGTGAAGCAATGGCGGCATTTGTGTCGCGAGGAACGACATCACCACGGTACAGGAGCGCCACAGCCATGTATTTGCCGTTACGAGGATCGCACACCACCATCTGGTTGCTTGGCTCAAAGCATTGCAGAGTAAGGTCCTGTACCTTGAAGCTCTCATGAGAAGATCTCTTGGTTGAGATAACCGGTGCATAGCTGATGAGGGGGTAGTGAATGCGAGGATATGGCACCAAGTTGGTCTGGAACTCGTTCAAGTCGACGTTGAGAGCACCATCGAATCGTAAGCTGGAGGTAACAGAGGAGACGACTTGAGCAATGAGACGGTTGAGGTGTTCGTAGTCTGGTCGAGGAATGTCAAGATTGCGACGGCAAATATCGTAGACAGCCTCGTTGTCCACCAAGAAGGTGCAATCGGCATGCTCGATAGTGCTGTGAGTCGAGAGAACCGCGTTGTATGGTTCAACGACGGACGACGAGACTTGAGGCGCAGGGTAGACGGCGAACTCCAACTTGCACTTCTTGCCGTAGTCGACAGACAATCTCTCGAGGAGAAGAGCACCAAAACCGGAGCCCGTGCCACCGCCGAAGGAGTGGAAGATCAAGAACCCTTGCAGGGATGTGCAGTTGTCTTCAAGTATGTCAGTCAATTGAGCAGCGTCCTCTGGCTGGTAGTCTTACCTGCGACGCGACGGATTTTGTCCAAGACATCATCGACCAGCTCTTTGCCAACCGTGTAATGACCTCTAGCGTAGTTGTTTGCAGCATCCTCCTTGCCACTAATCAAGAGTTCGGGGTGGAAGAGTTGTCTGTACGGACCGGTTCGAATTTCGTCAATTGGGGAGGGATCGAGATCCACGAAAATGGAACGGGGAACGTGTTTGTTGTTGCCGGTCTCGGTGAAGAAAGTCTCAAAAGAACCAGGATCGCCGACATTGGCATCAGGGTCAGGTCGACCATCAGCCTTCAGACCGTGCTCGAGAAGGTATCTGATGTGGAGGATTAGCTATCCAGAAATTCGAAATAGCGGTGGGCGCGTCTGGGGCTCATACAGTTCCCAAGCGGCATTGCCAAGCTGAGTGCCGGCCTGGCCAATGTGCAGGTGGCAGACCTATAGAAGGAGTCAGTATGCGCGAAATGCGAAGGAGATGATGTCCGTCGATGGCTTTGCATTTTTGTCGATGTGGTTTTGAGTAATTGTGGAGGGGTCGAGCACGGGGTACATAAACAATAGGCAACACTTACTTCTCCACGCATTCTGGGTGATTCTGCAAAGTAATGGCAGGCGCTGTACAGATCAGAAGTTCAGACACCGTGAGCAGGTGAGTCTTGGAACCAGACAAGATCTGTTGATGTTGTGGATGGGGGAAACACGACAGACTGAAAGGAAAGCAGCGCAGGCTGTTTAGGAGAGTTCGTGCGCGGAACGAAGATGATTGTTATCGAGTGCAGTTTTGTGATTGGCGCGTCAACAAAAACAGCCAAACATTCGCCAAGGCGGCCCTTGAACTGCTCTTGTCACCTCTGCAAGCCTCCAGGCACCCCAGGCAGGGCACCCAGGGGTACTACGGACACGGAGTATTTTCTTGACTCCTATTGTTGTATACGGAGCTTCAATTTGTCCCTGTTGAAGTCGAAGAACTACAGAACACTGTCTAGCAGTCTGCAGAGGCATGCACCAGACAATCCTGAGAATGGCAACAGGTAAGGAGTCTCCTCAGCAACTCTACAGTACTTAAGGTCACGACTAATTCTGTCAGTAGTCGGCACTCTATTGCTTCCCTTGGGAAGATGCGTGCCCATGTATCCGTATCTAGGTAGGTATCGTCTTGCTCGATGCGAAGAAAGACGCTCGACGACACGCTCGTGCATCACCACAGTGCCGTTATCGCTTGGTGTTATATACTTGTCGTGACTTGTATATTCAGCTACGTGGGAAATCTCCCCCTGCTGGGCTTCCCTGTCCGGAAACGGGAGATCTACACCCAGCCTAATTACGAATACTCGTAAGATCACGCAATGTCGGGTGAATTCCCCCCACGATGTCTTTCTGATTTACTGTGCATACTAAGGTATGAGAGAACATGTATCAAGGTTCTCGATTATAGTCATACCGGTCACCCAAACATGCAGAGTACTGTCAATGCATGGCGGCAATGCGCCTCGCCCCAGTTATTGGAATATTCAACATATATTCGGAGAAATACTCAATCGCCAGTCTGACATTCTGATGCGCAGACAAGGCTCTGATTCGTTGGGGCTGACGACGGCAGTATGCGTCTATCATGAAACCGACAAGTTGAAAGACATGACCATTGAGCTTCGGTGCTATTTAAATCTGCCTGGGTGTTTCAAACCCAAGTCCAGTCCAAGCTCAAATGCCCCATCGTATTGACGCTGCCATCAGCTGCCAAAAGACGAATGGTAATTATAAGCGAGCTGAAAAACCGCCTTCTTGTATTGCAGGAAACTAATGTAGGTGGTGAATCGCCTAATAATGTGATACTGTATGCTGCAGGGTCGAAGCCGGCCGTCAGAGAGTCTAGCCGAAGTCCAATCGGCCAAGGTACCTGGTTATCGCAAGAAAGATGGAATCTGAGATACAGGAATTCACAAGGGGTTCTTTCTCCAGCCAGGAGATGATGCTCATAAGAGGATTGCACAATTCTCTGACGAGGCATTAATTAATATGAATTACGGCCGAGCACTTTGTGCACAGACACTGGAGCTTTCCGATCGATCTTTCGAAACAGCAAGCGGCGAAAATGATGTACATGGCGTTCAATTGGTCTGTGCAGAGCTCCCCACCAAAAGCATGTCTGCGTAAGAGCTTCGTGTTGGGTGCGTGTCGGTATCCAGTAGGCCTTGTCAGGGGTAAAGATCAGCCAGCTTTCGGGCGCTGAGGACCTGGATTTTAGGCGCTGCCCACTGTTGTTTAACCCCTAGCGCTCTTGGCTAGAAGTCCAGCGCCCCGTTATCCTGGTCACCGCGCTGATGATTGAGCGCTCGCCAAAACATGTGCGCCGAAAACTGTGGTCCCTGAAGATGGCATGGATGGTTCAGAAAAATCTGCGCAGTCTGACAGCCCCCACCAACCCGAGTGTTAACAACTTCAGTAGAGCAGTCGAGCTCTAATTTGTCAGACGGTGTCATGCTTTTTGCCCTCAATGGGTCGACGTCAATAGTAAACTCCTCAATTCAAAAAGTGCAGTCGCTCATCTTTTCGGTCCCCGTAACACTCGCGTTCTTGTTTCCTCAACCATAGATTTCTCTCTTCTAATGCACTCGGGGCACTTCAATCGACTTCAACCCGGGTTCCTTTTCTGTCCGACATTTCTTTCGTCTTCTGCTCTCCTCCAAATCCTCTTCCACTAATTTCTTGGACATCCCAAGAGCACACGACTTGCACGACGAATACACTCCTCTTCACTTTTTCTGGAGCCACTGGCTGGCTATTGAAGAGACACGGGTTCTACTCCTCTGGAAGAGAAGGACACTAAGAAACACAACACTTCGACACCAAACACGCGTTACCTTTTCTACTCTTCGACCACCTAGCAGACTACACCATGTCTACACCGGTCCAAGAACTCCCCCGACTAGACTTCCACCCTCCTACTCATCGATCATCAGACGATGATGACGAAACAGCGGTTACCGACGCGCCAGAACACTCAATCGAACCGGAGCAACTACGCAATCGTCTTAGAGTCGAAACCCGCCGAGATACCAATGCTCGCTTCGACGATGCCAGGCCTTCACCTTCGAAAACCAGGGAGGAAGCCCACCGGCTGGAGGACGAACTTTTGATGCAGAAAGCCGAAAGACTGGTCTCAACTGAATCCAGACAGTCTGTAGGCCGCCGGTCTGCCCAACTTCACCGTTCGAGATCACGAAACGGCCCTGAACCGATCGATGATTTCGACGCCGCCACCAATCCCATTCATGAACGCACGGCCATCTACAAGCCGCCCGAGAATCCCACCACCAGAACTTCCAAATTCTTCAAATACATCCACCAGTCGAGCTTCCTTGTTCGCTATTTTACCTACATCATTCCTGTCTTCGCCCTACTCCTCATACCGATCCTCATTGGCGCGTTCCTGCCCAGGGCTCAAAATGCCAATGTTGGAGGCGTTGAGCTCTTCTGGTTCGGTGTTTGGCTTGAGATCGTCTGGTTGACACTCTGGGCCGGCCGACTCGCAGCTTGGTCGATCCCATATCCTCTGGGCGTCATCGCAAGCCTGTTTAGCAACAACGCCAAGAAATGGCGCGACTTAGGAAGAGCTCTGGAACTTCCAGCGACTATATTCTTTTGGTGGCTAGGCATTGAGATATCCTTCTTGCCTACGATGAGAAACCACATCGCTAGTGGCAGCGAGCCTCATCCGCACTGGCAAGACGTCATGAACAAGGTTCTTGTTTCTGGCCTTGTTGCAGCCACCCTGAACTTTTTCGAAAAGATCATTATCCAATTGATCGCAATTTCTTTTCACCTTCGTCAATACTCCGACCGGATTGAGATCAACAAATTTCAAATCGGAAGTCTGACGAAGCTGTACATTTACTCCAAGGCCAGGATAGCCATGGAGGACGCCGAATTCGAAGAGAAGCCCCAAGGAAGTGCCTCTGGTACCCGAACTCCTGCTATGTACGTCGCTCAAGCTGGTCAGGCTGTGAGCAAAGTGGTTGCGAAAGTGGGGGATGTGGCCGGTACCGTGGCAGGGGATTTCACTGGCAAACAAGTCGCTAAGAGCGGCCACCCTTCGCAAGTCATCTTGTCTCTTCTCAATTCTGTCAGCGGCTCTCAGGTCCTAGCTCGTCGTCTGTACCGAACGTTCGTCCGAGAGGGTTTGGAATCCATTTCGGCCGAGGACCTCACGGCGGCCTTCGATAACGACGAGGAAGCCGAAGCAGCCTTCAGCATGTTTGATAAGGACATGAATGGGGATATTTCAATGGAAGAACTTGAAGCCGTGTGTGTGGAAATCGGAAGGGAGCGGAAATCCATCACGGCTTCATTGAAAGACTTGGACTCGGTCGTCAGCAAGCTGGATAGCGTCCTTCTGTTCATCGTCTTCATCATCACCATACTGGTCTTCCTTTCCCTTATTTCCACCGCCGCAGCTGGCGTCCTGACTTCTGCCGGCTCTCTTGTGCTCGGCTTATCCTGGCTGTTCAGTACCACGGCACAGGAATTCCTTCAATCCTGCATTTTTGTCTTCGTCAAGCATCCGTTTGATGTTGGAGACAGAGTGTCGGTCTATGGTAATACTGGATCCATGGGCAAAGGTGACGACTACTACGTCAAGGAGATATCCCTCCTCTACACCGAGTTCAAGAAGATGGAAGGACATATTGTTCAGGCGCCAAACTCATACCTCAACACACTGTTCATTCTGAACCAACGTCGTTCCGGAGGCCTGGCTGAGGCTGTGCCTATTGTCATCAAGTTTGGCACTACCATTGAGCAAATCGAAGGTCTACGGGCCGCTCTGCTTGATTTCGTCATAGCTGAGAAGCGTGAGTATCAAGGCAAAATCCTCACCGAGCTTCGGGACGTCCAAGAAGTATACTCGCTCGTCCTCAACGTCGTCTTCTTTTACAAGTCGAACTGGCAAAACGAATTGATTCGTCTTCAAAGACGAAACAAGTTCATCTGCGCCTTGATGGTGGAAATGCAAAACCTCGGAATCGAAGGACCTCGGAAGAACCAAGCTGGTTGGACATCGGATACGCCGCTGTATCTGCAATCACCTCCTGGTGCACCCCCGTTGTTTGGAAATGGCCACCTTGATCCAAATGGTGGGCATCCTCCCAGTTCGATTACTGGTGAAACAATTCAGCAGACTCCTGTAGCAGGAGCGCCACAACACCACCCCTCGAACCTCCGACGGCGCCCTAGTACGGGTCAGCTCGGGCGTCCGCGAGGTGAATCTCTCTCTCAGATGTCCCGACGTGTGGACTTTTCTCTCGGCATGAGCGACATCAGTTCTGGAGATCAGCTGAGTGATGTTTACGAAACTCGTGGGCGTCCTGAATACGATCAATACATTCGCGACAGGAACAGAATTGAGGAGGAACGGAGATTATCATCATCTCGAGATCGTGAAGCCGCTGGGAGATCCAGCTCGATGGATCAGCAGCCTCACGCCATGAGTGGGATACTAAGACGATCAACCACGCAAAGCTTTGGAGGACCTCACCGAGCCTCGGTCAGCAGTCAGGACACTCATCGAAACCGCTTCTTGAGCCGTCTAGGCCGCCCAAGGGGCAGTAGTGATCTACGACGTGAATCATTGGCGGAACAAGGTCAAGCAGTTCGAACGGGTTCAAATGAAGCATTCCCGTCCATGCGGACGTGAGTGAGGGAGTTGATGGATTTGTCAGTGGTTTTGAGCGTTGACGACACTGTAATGACGGTTAGACATAGAAGGTATCAATAGGCCAAAAGGCTATCCAGCTCAAAGGCTGGTTGTACATTGACATTTCGCGCTATTCCCAAGTCGGTCCTCTTTTGTATGTTGCCCTCTAAAAAAAAACCCCAGTCTGACGCTCATCGATGCCATCCCATCGGTGCTCATCAATCCGGAGAGCTGGAAATGTTTGACCAGCCTTGCTGTCAGAGCCAGAGAAGCGTTCATCTTACAAGAAGGCCATCAAATCTATTCTGAAGATACGTAACTAAGGCTTGACGGGATATATAAAGCGAGAAAACATACAGTACGAGGCTGGGTTGGAGAAAGGCATTCGTTTTGTGATGCAGGAGAGCGTTGCTTGTCAGACGGTGTGATATTTTGGCGCCACCAGCAGGGGTGACAACTTTCGTTCAACGTCCCTAATAGAATTTTGCGGATATGGCAACAATCCGCCAACATCGGTCGCATATGCCATCAGGAAGACAGCTAAGTGTTGGGGTCTCGGGCTTTCGAACATGATCAGAAGGCAATAATGCTTGGCCGGCATCACAGCATGGAAAGCAGATACTACTAGGCTTCGATATGCTGCCGCGTTCAATGGAAGTCACCGAGAAGAGTTAGCCTGTACCATGGCGCCGTAACAATATATCTCAGGGAAGTTGTCTCTTGCCGATGCTTGTTGGCTCTTGTTCATCTGAAGAAGTATGAAAAAGTCCAGACTCTGACTTGGTATACGGGCTGTCGGCGACGAGGCTGGCGATGCGCTGATTCAACACATCGATGACGGGGATGTCGTTGAGCCTGCCAGGACAACAACATGTCATGTTCTGTCTCTTCAGCGCCGTGATATTCGTGTTCACTGTCTGAAGATACCTAATCGCAAGCCGACGTCGTCGTCAAGGACAAGCTGGACAGCGTCGCAAGACAGAGGATTGGTTGTCTTCGAGCCATTGTGTATACCACGGGTTTACTTTGAAAGTAAGAACATCCACAGATTCCAGGAGATAAATTCTTTGTAGGTCACTTTGAGGACGAGCTGAGAATTCTTTCACTTTGCCCTCAGAATCACGTCTCCAGAGTGAAGTCCAGCCTGAGGTTTCGGATCCCCATGCCGACCGAATAGCTGTAAGTCAAGCATTCACTTCACTTCACCTGCTTTCACCTCACCGACCGCCCGCTGCCCGCCGGCATATGTTATTGTCTCTCTGTCTATAAGTATCTGCCTTTCTCTCTCACACATACACATCTTCTTTCTGCCCCCACCTTCAACATCAACAATCCGTTTGCTCTCAAAGCATCAATGCCCATCACATCCTTACTCCACAACACCCAATCCGTTCGCTCTCGCTCTCGCGCTCGCGCGTAACAAACGCATCGTCGACAAAGCTTGCGTAAGCTTGTCGCGGTGATGAAGATCAAGATGAAAGGTGAGCAAAGAACGCGACGCGCCCCCCAGACTGAAACGAGACACCTTACTAACTCCATCTTCCGCAGGTGCAGGTCGGCCACCAGGCTTTGCCTGCGTCGTCACCTTGGTCCTCTGCCTCTTCCCTGGTCTCCTCTACGCTGGTCCTCTTCGATCTGATCACAATGATCACACTGGCACTTTGCCTGTCGCTGGTCCGGCTTCTGGTCACCACACTCACACTGGCACTCCCGGAGCACCTGGCAATTCTCACCACTCTGATGAGCATCGATCTGGTCATCACACTCACACTGGCACTCCAAATCTCCCTGGCGGTCCTCACCGATCTGATCACCTTGGTCATCCTTCAGTTGTCTACGACCCTGCGCCTCTGACTGTCCGTGATCTACCCAGTCACCCTTCATCTCATCCTCATGGCCACACCGGCACTTCAGATCTTTCTGGTGGTCCTCACCACTCTGTGCATCACGGTCACATTGGTACTTCAGATCTAGCAGGCGGTCCACACCGATCTGGTCATCACAGTCACACTTCAATTATCCACGACCACGCGTCTCTGACCCGCCGTGCCATGCCCAGTCACCATCCATCCGGCTTTCACGGCCACACCGACACTGCTCCGCAGGGTCATGGTCCGCCGTTTGGACGTCCGCATTCTGCAGCTGCTCATCACGAATGGCATGATTGGAATCCCTCGGGTTCGCACGGCGCTCCTCCAAGCCACACTATGGTCATACCTGGTGCTACTGGCTTCCATCAGTCAGGTCACAATGGTCATACCTTGACCCGTTCTAACATACCTCATGCCACTGGTAGTCATACTGGCACCAGTCAATATGGTCACCCTTCAGTCATGTCCGGGCGACCTTCAGCTACAGCTCCCCTGTCATTTGGCACCACAGCAGTCACCCCTGCCTTCCCCCATGCCACTGCGACTGCAAGTGACTCCGTTGAATCCTTGCTCCAGTCTCGTGATGCCCTGGCGAAGCATGATTACTCCTTAGTCTGCGAGAGCAGTAGGGAAGCGACGAACGGCTGCCAGCACTCAGATTATGGCTATTACTGCACTTCAGAAGGAAAGCTCCGGCACAAAGGAGAAGAAGCCAGCTTCTGTGAGCGAGAGTGCATATGTGTCAACCTTGCCCCTCGCCCTTGTATACATGGGGTCATATTGACTACATGTGTTGTCTCAGGCGACGGCACTGTCATGAATTCTCAACTCGAGGCGATTGGCAGTCTCGGTGATGCAGTCATCCACACCAATGGCACTTTGACTCTTCCCAGATCTTTGCCATCGAGCGAGACCGACCTGGTTCCAACGTCAGTGACCATGTCACGCCGAGACTCAGATGCCGCCGACCACGACTACGCGTTAGTCTGCGCTGACAGAGACGGTACTACCAGATGCGAGAAGCGAACCTATTTCTGCAGCTCGGCCGGCAAAGTATCCTACAAATTATCCGACTATTTCTGCGACATGGTCTGTGAATGCAAGAGCCTTAAGCCAGCGAAGGGCTGTGTCATTATCAACGCGGGCAAGGGTCCCAAACTCGTTTGTGCTTCCAAGAGAGACACTCATGTGCTGACCGTCGACGATGGAACGCCATCGGAGGGCAATCAAGCTCTTTCACAGCGTGACGCAGACCTTGACGACATGTATCATGATTACGCTTTGGTCTGTATTGACAAAGCAAGAACGTCGAACTGCCTGGCCGTTCCATATTCCTGTAACGCCAACGGAAAGGTCATCTACCAGAGATACGATGCTTTCTGCAGTGCAAACTGCAAGTGTGTGAGCCTGAAGCAAAAGTTCTGCGAGTTCACCAACTACGTTGCAGTTGCATGTTTCGTCAGCAAAGACGCTGTCGAACATGAGAACGGCACGTTCATCGGCTACCTGAAAGACGCTGTCACCCTCTCGGATGGCACGTTGGACTTCTCGCATACGCGTGCTCGGCGAGATCTGCAGCTCCCAGCGGCGCCAGAGAATGATGCAGCTCAATCACCAGGTCGCACCCTCTTGTTTTGCCAGAACGGCGATCACACTCGGACATGCAACCGTTCGCCATTCACATACTGCTGCCACGCAGGCAATCTCACTGCCCAATCCCATGATTCAATTTGCGACGACATCTGCAAATGTATCGATCTTCGGGTATCTCCTCAGCCTCGCTACTGCACCGTCGGACCAGATCCAGCCAACCATGGAGAGTGCTACGTTGACGGCAATTCAGTCTACAAGATCGAAGGAGAGATGCTGACCGATTTCATTGGCAACTTCACAGATGCAGAAGTCGATCACAATGCGAACCTCTGGTTTCCAGCGCCAGGCTCATCCGGAGGTCCTCCACCAGACATGTTTTCACCAGAACCCTCTGGTCCCCCTGCAATCATCAAGAGAGATGAAGATGATGCTAGTGAGGCACAAGCCAAGTGGGTGTTGATTTGCATCAACAAGCAACATACCAGCACTTGTCGAAAATCGCCTTTTACTTACTCCTGTGACGGCTCTCACGTCACTTTCCGTGGCTGGGACTTTGTCTGCCAACAGATTTGCAACTGCGTTGACCAAGACCCTTCTCAGATTTGCGTTCCCACAAACAGTCACACTGGTCAATGCCCTCCGGGCGCAGTGCCACTCTCACCCGAACAGCGAGATCCTCCAAAAAACAATCCTCCCGAGGAGAAGGATCTGAAGGGAACTGAGACAGGAGACCCCGTCAAGCGCTCCGAGTCACTTTACCACATGGCTTGCTATTCTGGAAATCGATTCAACGCGTCCTTGACCGTCCATTGCGTAGCGAAGTCCTACACTTGCAATCCTCCGTCCCCAGACTTTGGTCGTCTCGTGCCGGCATTGCACTGGAGCGGTCCTGGCGAAGCCCAGTGCTCGCAAGGATGTCGCTGCCGAGCCCCATGGGCGAGCGACGATCTTTCGACGCGTTCACCAGGCAGTGACGACTTCGACTTGGTGTGCAAAGGCCGATCTGCCCGCGATGCAATCGTTCCTGGCTTTGAAGAACTCACTTCGCGCTGCCGCAACCGTTGGGGCTACACTTGTGATGCGGACGGGCACATGCAGCACAATGGCACATCTGTTCATCGATGTGACACCTCCTGCGGCTGCTACAACAACAGTCACAACCGCGCCGTCAAAGAACGCTCAGAATCCCTCGACTGGGCTGTGCCAGACTTCGTCTGATCGATGACCTAGCCACCGTCATACCTGGCTATCCCAATCTCAACGACGACTGGGAACTAGGTGTGCACAGGACATGCTTGCTCGCTCTTTTTTTCGTTCAATCGGTGGAGAACAAAGAATGATATCAACCTTCAATCTCCAAGAAGTGCCGGCAATCCGCACTCAATGGTGGTTTAATTGTTGTGACATGGGGAAGAGAAAATTTCATCCAGCAAGGTTGAACGCCGTGCTGTCCTCGGACACTCCCGCTTCAACTGGATTGATACTTTCAGGGAAGTGAAGTGTAGGATTGATTTCGGATGCCCACAAAACCCCAGTTGGTGAAGAGATGAATTCAGTGAAAATGGCGACAATGGCGAAAAGGCCTTGCTTTCAGATAGTTCCCGAACCCAGAGAAAGGGGTTCGAAGAAAGGGTCCAGATGAGATCGTTGTACAAAATGAAAAAAAGAGTCTTTACTCAACTCATTCACTCCCCCGTGCTCTCGCTCGTGCTTGCTTGCTTGTTACTTCCTGCACACCCGAAAATGCCATCCAAACCTGTAACCTTACCTAGGTATGCACTCATCGTAAGCTCTTGGGCCTAAGTTAAATAGTCTCTATACATGGACGCAAGGCTTTAACGATGAAACTTTAATATGTATGGTGACAACGAACCTCTATGCAAGACACTTGAGAACAACAATGACAACAAGAAGAGCAATAACAATCCCTTTTTTGCTATCTTCCGTCCTTGTCATAATCGTTCATACTACATGATTCCACCACTCCTACCGAAGTCCATCTTTTTCAAGTCACGCCTTGCTCTAACTCTACTGTACTCCTACCAATCATCGTCCTCATCCTTTCCATGCCTCCCACTCATCGCACTCTGTCGTGCCCTCAAGGCCTCGGCCAGCCCTCCAGCCAGGCTGCCACCACCAATACTGTTCGGTGTCGCACGGCCTGAATCCGTCCCACTGCCTGTGCCCAGACTCATCCCGCTATCTCTCGCCGGCGATGCTGCGGGCTTCCGCGCAGCAGGCACCGGTCTTTTGGCTGGTGGTGCCGGTGGGGTGGGCTTCGCCTTCGCCCCAACCGGTGGCGCAGAAGGTCGAGTATGGCCGTTGGCAACGACCGGCGTCGGTACGGCACGAGGAGGTGCGGCCGGAGGAGGTGGTGGTGGTGGGGGAGCTGCACGAACTTGCTCGATTTCCTCCACATAGGCTGTCGGTGTCCAGCCTTCCTTGTGGGTTTGGATGTTCTTGCAGAGCCACCAGCCTAGAATACACGTTAGCAGCCCTCCTCTACCACCAAAGTGAGTCGTCGTTAGGACTTACCATTGTTTTCCTTCTTCAGGATCTCCACAATGTCGCCCGTCTTGATGTTCAACTCGTTGTCATTCGGCGAGTTGAAGTCGTACTTGGCTTTGGCTTGAGGTTTGGATGGTACAGCAGCTGGAGCAGCTGCGGGCGGGGGAGGTGGCGGTGGGGGAGGACCGGCCCGGCCAATTGAGGATGCGGACTCGTTACGGGCATGAGATGAAGGACCGTTTGGGTGAGAAGTGACGGCATGGTGAATAGAGGTGGCAGCAGGGGCAGGAGCAGGGACGGGGCGTGGAGTTTGTGCAGCCGGTCTAGCTGCTGGAACGGGTCGCCGTGTGGCTGCTTTCGAAGGCTGACCACCTGGGCCACCAGGTCGAAGCAGCTTGCCACTGGTGATGGGCTTAGCAATTGCTTTGCCACGAGGAGTAGGTCTTGAAACCGAGTTTGGTGATTCGCCTTGAGGAACATGGATCGTTCCGGATTTGTATACGTCGTCTCTGGGGACTGCAGGGTCTTTCTGCACTTTGACGGATGCAGGTTTGCCTGGCTTCTTATTGTACTCGACTGTAGGGCCGATCTTGAGATTCATGCCTCCGACTGCGACGGTCTTAAATTGCAAGAAAAACTCCGTTTTGAAGACGCAACTGATCAAAGGATCAGGCTCTTGGGGAGAACCGACACCGAGTGCAAACCAGTCATCACGAAGATTCGATGTCGAAATGTATTTGACTGCCCCAACAGGTATCGTCCTTTCGGACGAAATCTGAAGCTGGTTGTTCACCACAGCTTGCACCACAATGTAGACTGATTTGTTGGTGAGAACCAGAATCCGGGGTAGGGGCTTGGAGGACCTCCCAAACTTCGCCACCAACAGTTCGCAACGGGACGAGAAGACGCATCGTTCCTGCGGATTCAAATTGATTGCATCTCGGAGGACACGACCCTGACCGCCTGGCATGTTGAGACCTAGATAGTCGCCAAAGAAGCGTCTCGATCCAAGCAAACTGTATCTGCGACGTTCTTTTCGGCCTCCAAGTAGTTGATGTCCTTGATCTCGGAACTCGATTTCCTTGACACCGACTTTGGATTTGCGCCAAAATCGCTGAATCCTTGTCGCGGCTTCAGCACGATATCGAAGATAATTTCTCCAGGCTCGTTGGATACGAATTGCCATGTTGTGCCAGTATCGATCTCTCATATGCTCCAGGCCGAACAACGTCTCCGGACTTTTGATAAAAGCTTTGGTGACACCCATCTGATACTCTTCTGGTGGAATGCTTGTGTCTTTGAATATGATTTCTGAAGCTGTCCTTACATCGCCGGTATATGTATACTCTCCTGCATAAGAAAGTCTGGGTGAGAGTAGCGCAAATCTTTCGACGAATTTCTCGAATGCTTGACGATAGGCGAAACCAGCTCTTCGAATTCGAACGTTCTCCTGAAGACCTAGGTATTTGATCTGATGCAGAACGTTTGGCTCGTTGTATTCCTTGGGTGACTTGTTCTCGTTGGGCTTGATGGTTCGAATGTAGGAGGGTTGAGCTTGCATCAAGGTCTCGACGAGTTCATTGGCGGAGGCTCTGATCTTGTCGCCAGCGGTCGGTGGGCGGCGCTTATCATCCTGATCGACCTGATTGGGGAAAAGCTCATGGAGAAAGCTATTCGAGCTCTCACCAACAAGATTCAGCAAATCCTTCAGTAGTTGATCTTTGTTCTTGTCAGTCATTCCAGCAACCTGGTAGTTCACGTCGCCCGCGTAGTGTTTGATGATGAATTGGCCTTGTCGGTTCTCAAAGTTTGGATTGCTGGAGAGAAAGTTGAGACGGCCAACGAATGTCTGGTCGGCCGCTCCAGAATCAGCATGTGCAGTGGCGCAAGCATCGTTGAGTGCAGCGAAGACACCAGGCGGCCTCTTGTCTTCGATCAACGAGCAGACGACTTTGTTGTCGAAGTACTTGATCGGGGTCCATTGTATCTGTTCGCGAGCATATTCATCCTGCTCGGCCTTCAGTGTCAATTGAATAAAGATCTGTTGCAACTTCTCGTTGACGTAGTTGATACACAGTTGCTCGAAAGAATTCTTTTCGAAGATTTCGAATCCGTAAATATCGAGGATACCGATCGTGTTTTTGACTGCGCCTTGAGCTCTCAAGGAGACGTTGGTCCGAGCGACGATCCAGTCGAAAAGTCTGAAATAGACGGCCTTAGCAAGGGCGTCCCGCACTGCCATCGCCTGTACCGGGTTGAGAGGCGATTCGTATATGGAACCTCGTCGTCCACCACCTCGTGAAGTTTCGACGATTCTGATGGTCAAGGCTTTGTGAACATGTGCTGACTCGACTTCGAGTAAATAAGCCACGAAATCAACCACTGACTGGTCCGAAATATCAACACCACCTTGGTCGTTCTCCCTGAAAGTAATGTTGCCGATCCACAATATTGCTGCCAACATGCGGAAGATGTTGTCTTGCTCAGCCTTGGCCAATCCAATAATCTGCATGGCTTGAAGTGTATCCTTGAAATCACTGGCGTCATCTATACCAGGTACATCGAAACATTTTGATCTGCTTGTGTATACGTATGCCTGTGGTTGTTGAACCCCGAACGTGTCTCTGTACTCCTTCGGCGCTGCTTTCGTAAACTGGTAGAAGATGTGGAAGTTTCGTTCATTCGTAATCTGACCCACGACTCTCGACGACTCTAGTAAGTAATTTGTGATTTTGGCCCCCACGGGCTCCCCGTTCTGATTGAATTCGAGTTCTAGGTATTTCCCGAAACGAGACGAGTTGTTATTTCGAAGTGTTTTGGCATTGCCAAAGGACTCGAGAAGCGGATTTGTAGCCAAGACCATGTCTTTGACTCTCTGAATGCCGGTATCGCTCCCACCCGAGACATTGGCAATGTACTGCATCAGACGTTTGGCGGCTTCTGTCTTGCCTGCGCCTGACTCTCCAGAAATGATGACGCACTGGTTCTCTTTGTACGCTTTCATGTTGTAGTATGAAGACTCTGCGACCGCAAAGACATGAGGAGGGACCTCGAGTCTGTTTCTGCCTCGATAAGAGTCCAGCACTTGATCGGTGTAGATTCCCAAATCCCGGAATGGGTTAACCGAGACCAACACATGGCCGATGTAGGTGTAGATCTCCCCATGTTCGAATCGCTTCTTGAGGTTGTCGTTGATTGCTTCATTGGAGACTTTGCTCAACAACGTGAGATCTGAAACACCCACCTCTTTCTTCTTTGTGATTTCGAAAGCGGCTTTCTTGATCTGTGGCTGTCCCGAATCTGCATGACTGGACTTTCCTCCTCCGAAAAGAGAGGCCTTTGGGGCGCGAGAGGACTTGCCTTCGCGGCGCTTTGTTTGGCCCTAGACGCCGAAGGTCAGGATGGTTCTATGCGTGATCGTGGCCGTAGGGCTTACCATGTTGGTGGAAGTGAGCGATCAGGACATACGCGAAGATTCCGGGATGATAACGGTGTCCGCGCTCTGGAGGTGAAATTGTATGTACGGAAAAAGAACGAAGACTGTGTGAACCAGAGACAAAACCGGAGGCCTGGCCCTGGTCGCGATCAGAGAGGGTGTGGATGGGTATACGGGATACCTGCGACCTACAATTGCTGCGGTATGACATACCAACGGCGGCAACGGAATTACCTTAGGTCAGCAAACTAGAAACTAGGCGCTGCTATACGGAGACTGAGTGGCTGTGGTGGTCCAATCTCAACCCCCCAGCATCGCCACAGCTTTGTGGCTGTAACATTTTGACGCGCAATCACCAACGTATGCCATCAAAGAGATTTCAGCGAAGCCTTGATGCTCGTGGATGCTGCATCATTGTGCTCTAGGCAGCTTCATATTTCTACCTTGTGTGCCTGTGTACTCCGTACATACCTCTTAATAGCCATATGCCGCAGTTCACGCCTGTCAGAAGTTTTGACAGCATTATCCGTATCAAGCGACAGCCATTGGTGACAGAGTCTCTTGATCAAAGCTAGATCATGCGATCCATTCGTCCTCCCAAAAGTCAACCATATTACTCGCAACGGCTGATCCGAGAAGTTCTGCTAGACTATTCCTCCCGCTGCTGGTCCTTGTGGCTTCCTCCAAAAGGCGAAGGGAGGGAAAGTGGCTGGTCAAGATGTTCGCATCGTGTCCCGAGAGGGGCGGCATTGGTGCCGTAGTAGTTGCATGAGCAACGAGTGTTGTCAGGTCGGATGTTTTCTGCAGCTGCTTCTCTTGCTGGACATCAAATTCTCTCATGTATCGCTCCAAAACAGGTAGGATGCTCTCCACAGACAGAGCGAGAACAATGGGCATGCCACATGGCTCAAAGAGTCTGCTTCTGATGAGAGAGTGCATAACTCTGGAAACCTGTTGTCCACTTACTGATCCTGCAAGACTGAGAAATGCTGCCAGATTTCCGTGTTTTCTGTCCGGTTGGCTCTGTTATCAACAAGCAGCGCGACTTGCTGATCTCCAGGTCGGCTCTGTTTTGGCACTCGGGAGCAAATTCGCTCCTTGTTATGTTGCAGTGAGTCAGAAGACCACAAGAGAAGGATGTTTAGAATCGAAGAGACCTCGTTCGGCAATGGGATGGCCATATCGAACGCAATGCTGCTGTCCTCTGTACTGGCTGTCGTCAATTGAGGCTCGAGAGACCGCCATTCTCGACGACGACGGAAAGATGGTGCGACTCTGACTGTGATCATATCTTGATTTTAGAGTGGGTATCCTACATATCAATTGTACACTTCTGAGATGAGAGAAAATACAAGTCTCGATGTATGAGACACTCGAGACGCCAAGATGGCAGACTCATCATCCAGCAGCAAACCGTCTCTCCACTGAACCGCTCTCACCGTTTTTTCTTTGCTTCCGCAGCCACTTGCTCGCTTGCCTCAACTGCGTGTTTACGCTTTTCTTCCAGAGCTTTATCAGATTGAACCAAAATCTTTTCAGCCGGTCCAGGAGTATTCGTGGCTAACGCCTCAGTTGCTTCCTCATCTGGTTTGTCTCGAGACACTAGGGATGCGATTCGAGCAAACCAGCCCGCAGGCTTCTCCTTTTTGTCCTCGTCCTTGTCTTCCGCATAGATCTCTGGCGGCAGTATCCTTACGGTGTCGCTCGCCTTCCCATTCTTTTCTTTAGCGCGCAGTCGTAATACTTCCCTCTCCAGTTCCACGAGTGCTTTTCTGGCAGCTTTCTCAGATTCCTCCAATTCATTCAGGCGCTCAGCCACGTCGTCTCGTCGCCTGCTTTCTTTGCGGCCTGACCTCCATGACTCGAAAACAATCAAGCCAGCCGCAACGGTAAAAAGAAAGGTCTCGCTAATAAAGGTGGCTCCCGACTCGATAGCCTTGGCTTCGGAAAGCGGCCTGATCTTGGGTTTCGGCCGGGGTTTGGGAGGCTCAGATGACTCTTTGGCTGCTTTTGCTGCTGCCTCCTCTTCTGCCTTCATCTGGGCTTCTGTTTTGACTGTCGGTATATTGTGCTGGTGCTTTTTGGCCTCCGCAGCTTTTGCTTCTCGTGCAGCTTGTTTTTCCACGGCTGCTGCATCTTGCAAAAGACCTATCCGCCATCGCATGTCAACTCTGTGGAGGGTTTGGGCAAAGGAAATGCAGGTTCGGCGGAAGCCCTCATGTTCGCGTGCTTGTCTCTTTATAAAGTTCTGTGTATGTCAGCGTACAGTCATCCGCACTGCGTCCAGGACTCACAGCTATTGGCTTAGCAAAGGTCCTGACAGCGAGCGAGGTAAACTTCAAAGCAAGCGACATATCGAGACCGGCCACCGAGGATGCTTCGAAACCCCGAATGATCAAAGGACGCCATTTACATTCCAGCTATCCCATCGCTCTGTTCAGCACATTTTCACAAGTCATCATATCATATAGGACTGGCACTCAGGAAAGCATAGAGTTGTTAGACGGCATTTCGAGGCTCTCGCTTGCTCGGAGCCGTCCACAGTGGAAGCGCCGACTGCGGTTTTCTCAGGCACCTGGGAGGGGACCTGCTGACTAAGTGAGGCGATAGTGCCAAGCCACTAATGTCACTTCCCTTTACGGCGAAAGTAAACAAGCAGCGTCAGTTTATGGGTGCTAGGTAACTGCGACCGATGGTTTTGTATAGTCTGTGAAACACATCTAGTTTGCTTCCCACACCATTGATCTGCATTTATGATCGCGACTGCTCTTTGCCCGCAGCGACTCTCCTCAACCCTCCTCAGCGACAAGCTTGTCGCACCCTGACATGGATGTCCTCTCCCCTCGACCAGTAAACCTCCCAATGCAGCCACCACCACTGCCTAAGGCCACGAAAAAGCCTAGACCTGACTCAAGGCCAAAAGCAGAAGACAAACCTACAAATCCAGACAGAATTGATGACAAATGGCGGCCACCTCCTACTATCACGGAGCCGGGGTCAAGTCCAGAGACCTACTCGATGGGCAGGAAATTAGGCAAAGGAGGGTTTGCAGTATGTTTCGAGGGAAGATCAAAACGAACATCAGAAATATTCGCTCTCAAGGTAGTCAAGGCAAAGGTAGAACAGAAGAAGATGATGGAGAAGTTTCGCACCGAGCTACAAATACATGCGAAGATGCACCACCCAAACATTGTCGAATTCCTGCGAGCCTTTACGATCGAGGACCATACCTACGTGGTACTACAGCTGTGTCCAAATGGCAGCCTTACCGAGATGGTCAAGACCCGTACTTGCCTCAGTCTCCCAGAAGTCCGAAGATTCATGGTGCAAATTTGTGGAGGGGTCAAGTACATGCACAAACGCTCTGTAATCCACCGCGATTTGAAGATGGGCAACATCTTCCTGGATGCGCGCATGAACATCAAAATCGGCGACTTTGGGCTGGCTGCTGTCATGGCAGATGAACAAGATCGGAGGACTACACTCTGTGGGACGCCCAATTACATTGCGCCCGAAATCCTCAGCAAATCAGGAACCCGTGGCCACGACAACAAGGTCGATACATGGGCAATAGGTGTCATCTGCTATGCGATGCTCATGGGTACTCCTCCTTTCCAGTCAAAGACACAACAAGAGATCTACAGCAAGCTGCGGACGCTGGAGTACGAGTGGAAAATCGACAGCAAGAATTATATTCCTCCACAAGCCAAGGACTTTGTGGCATCTTGTCTCAACCTCAATTCTGCTGAACGACCTGGCATGGATGAGCTTGTGCAACATGACTTCTTCACCATGGGCGTCATTGCGGAGGAACTGGACACAATTTGTCTCCGAACCACCCCACCGTGGCTGGAGAATGCTGATCCCCGGGGCGACAGAGTGCGTTCGGGATATGGAATGAGCCATAGCAGGTTGTGCCGAGAATGTGGTGTCGGGACAGGCTCTGATGGACGCCCTCGACCTGGTGTTGGTGTTGGTGCTGGTATCTCTACCTTGGTAGAAATTGAAGCGGAGAACAGAGAAGGCTGTGCGCCTGTTATACCATTGCCGGCAGGAGTTCTTTATAAACAATTCTCAAACGCTCATGCTGAGTTGGCAGCACGACAAAAACAGCCACTTCTGGTAAATCGAGTACGAAGTCGAAAGCCGGTCTCTGACAAGCCTGAAGCGACTGACTCCTTGGCCAGCGGAACGAAGCCTGAATTTGAGTCAATGCCGGCCCCGGTTCAGAAAGCTCCTTCGATATCAGCGCCTTCAGCTGCCAGGCCGATTCCAAGCTTTGCCGCTCAACAACGACAACAAGCGCTGCCTTCAGGCGCCCATCGGCGAACAGAGAGACCTCCAGTAGACCTTCCTAAGAGCAAGGCGCTGGAGGTCCCTGAACAACTACATCAAGCACTTCTGAAAGAGCGGCCATTAAGAGCAGCCACCATCCGAGCAACAAGAAGTACCACATTACGAGCCACGGTCTCTCATACCTCGAAGACACTTCCTAGATCGGCGACCGTACCTGATGCGATCGACGGCCTTGCAAAGCAGATCGAAGCTACTCTTGAGAAATCGGAATCCAGAAGAGTCAAAAGCGGCATTCCCCTGAGCAAGCCACTTGGCGAGATGCAGTCGGCCAGAAAGCCCTCGTGCGCGGTTGTGGAGGCAGTCAATGTGACTCTCCGTTCTGACTCCTCGTCTTCCACGTCTTCTGGATCACTGGGGGCCCTTCCAATTCGTGCCCTAAAGCCAATCACCGGAAACGACCGAGTCAAATCAAATGCTTCAGCCGAAGACCAGCAGCCTCCTGCTAAATCATCTAAGAAGCATGACTCTGTATCTCCGTCACCATCTGCTGCGATGGTCTTGCTTCCGAAACATCATTCGAGGATCATTGCACCGACTGAAGCCGTGACGGCTGTTCCCAACTCCTCCAGCGTTGCTGTTCTCGACTCCTTACGATCACTACATAAAGCCTTGGATGCACGGAGTTTCGAGGAGACGGGGCGGCGACCGCGGTCAATGTATGGGACTCGGAAAGAGCGTGAAGAGTCCAAATACCCGAGGGTGGAGAAGTGGGTGGACTATTCGACTCGCCACGGTATCGCATACATTCTCTCGGACGCGACTGTTGGCATGGTCTTGAAATCATCGGAAGACAATGTCCTCCCGAGCAGCTGTGTGGTCATGCGGAATGCCAGCAAGCATACTCTCAAACGTGCAAGAGGCCTAGAATATCAGTTTGTACCTCAGGGTCAGGACGCCCAGGACGTGGAATTTTATGAGCAAAGCGATTACGAGGTTGACATGAAACGTGTCAACGTCCCTGCACGGAATTTCTGGCTTGACCTCGAAAAGTATCAGGGTCAGGTTGCGGCTGCTAGTGCTATCCAGGCAAGCCTATCGGGCAGCGAAGCAGAGCGCATGAAAGAGGTTGCGCTGCTGGACAAATTCGGCAAGTACATGAACAAACAGATGGGAGGTTCAGATTCGACGGATCGGAGACTGGGCGGCAACAGCCAACATCTTGTCCATTTCTACCAGCGAGTTGGGAATGTTGGTGTATGGAGGTTCGCAGATGGCGGATTGCAATTCAACTTCCCCGACCATACGAAACTGACTCTTCGCCCAGCAGAGTCTGACGATGACGAGAGCCGTTTTCATGTCGATTGTGTCTACCTGGTGCCGACCGACGCAATCAGCCTAGCCCATCATGGTATAATCACTGTTGAAGCCATGGAACGTCGAGGCACTACCAGCTTTCCACTGGAAGATATCATGAGAGATGTGTTGCGTCGCTCGGAAATGGAGATCATTCGCACGAACGAGATTAAAGAAAAGCTGAGCTGGATCCGAGCTGTTTTGGGCTGTTGGATCAAGGAAGGTGGTCTGGGGAAGATGGGTGAAGAGAGACTAGGATGGAGTGGCTTGCAAGAACGGAGGGATGATAAGAGGATCAAACTACAGTGGGTGACTGTAGGAAGATTCGGTGGTGATGGCGAAGGAGCTGGGAAGGCAGACTTGAAGCAGTCATAGCATTGAAGTCGGCGTTTGGTAAATTGTGTTGGGTCTTGCAGCGAGGGTGTTTCGAGGCGTCTGGTATTGAATTGTGAATGGCACAGTGAGCATGATGACTTATGAACCTGGTGATTGACTACCAGAGGCAACATTTTATTCTAGATCATTTGTTACCAGCAGAATGACGAATAATTAGTCTATGATGTCGATTACTAATGGACTCCAGCATCACCTTTCAGTACTTTGTCTTCCTGTTCTTGCAGTATTCATACTCTGTTTTTCCTGTCATCTAGGCATTTCTACTTTTCAAACGTTCCACAGAATCAGTACCTAGAAGGCACCTCTGTCAAGATGGGAGGCGGACCTGATAAAGAGCATGTCCTCATTACTCTTGGGGATCCCGAACCGAAGCACATTACGGGCATGCTGAAGCAGCAATTCCCACATTTCGACATCACGTATTTTCAAGTATCGGGAGACACCGGACCCAAGACCGAGAATGCTGGGAGTCAAGTACCTGATGGTCAGTCCCTTGTCTGTGCTGCTGCCCATCGATTCTTATTGCTTCCACGGCTTCGCTTGTAGTCTGGGCTGGCTGCCTAAAGATTCTGCCCTCCTTACAACCAAACGACCATCATGTGAGGGATGACCACCCTCTCACATCTATAATTTCTATTTTTCTTATTTCGATCTATACTGACTGACAATTGTACTCCAAAGATCTATGGAGATCAGCAACAATCCTTCTAACTCTCTTCGTTCTCCCACCCAAACCGGATCTTGTGCCAAAGTACGTTCCAGCCCTAAGAGCTGCACATGAGGGCGACTAACCTGACGAAACACCCAGCCTCAAGTTGATCCATCTCTTCTCGGCCGGCGTCGACCACTGGTCGAATCACCCGATCTTGAAAGACAGCGAGATCACGATCACGACGGTCTCGGGAATCCACGGTCCCCCCATCACCGAATGGATCATCATGACGACTCTCGTAGCCAGCCGCCAGTATGCCACCGAGTATGAGTGGCAGAAGCAGCATTACTGGGGCCAGCGGGAGAAAAGAGACCTCGTCGGCACGGATTGGGTGGGCAAAACGGTGGGCATTGCTGGGTATGGGAGTATTGGACGACAAGGTCTGTAGTCGGTCCTTTCCATTCTTATTCTTGCTCGTGCCTCTACCTCTGCATCGGCTTTGTCGTACTAACTTAACACTCCACAGGCGCTCGCGTCTTCTCTGCCCTAGGCGCAAACATCCACGCTTACACCGCCTCCCCACGCACAAGTCCTGCCTCCCGCCGTGACAATGGCTACTTCGTCCCTGGCACCGGCGATCCGGACGGCAGCCTCCCTGTGGCATGGTACAGTGGCACCTCCAAGACATCTCTGCACACGTTTCTCTCGTCGGGCCTGGACGCGCTTATCATCGCTCTGCCTCTCACGCCGTCGACAAGGCGCCTGTTTGGAGCCGAGGAATTTGCTCTGCTCGGGAGTGCTGGCGGCTCGGCCAAGTCCAAAACTACTGGAGGAGCGAAACCGTTCTTGATCAACATCGCCCGTGGCCCGATTCTGGATCAAAAGGCCTTGGTCGCGGCGCTGAATGATGAGGTTCTCGGCGGGGCGGCGCTGGATGTGACGGACCCGGAACCCCTGCCTAAAGACGATCCGTTGTGGAATGCGAAGAATGTGATCATCACGCCGCATGTGAGTGCGTTGGGGAAGGAGTATATCGACCGCGCGTTTGATTTGTTTGTGACGAATTGGAAACGGCATGAGCGTGGGGAGAGGATGTTTAATGTCGTGGATCGGCGGAAGGGGTATTAGTAGCAGGATGATTTTGTGTGGTGAGGCACTAGATCTGAGAGGGATGGTGGATGTGTGCCGGAAGGGTAGGTAGGACGCAAAGAGAGTCGGCACACTGGGATTCGACGATCGTGGTGGCTGATGGGGATGGGAGAGGAGGTAGAGCTTCCCTTATGTTCATGCGGCAAATGAATCTCAATAGACATGATCGGATAATGTTGGTCGCAACGGAAAGTCAGGTATCCAATACACGAGACACTAGGTTATGTTGAGAGTATCGCGTAGCAAAGAAACGAACAAGCTTAGCCGACCATGTCGTGAAACATATCTCATAATCAATCGTTCATCGTCATTCGTCGTGGCCATTGTTCCGTGATTAGTCGTCAAGACGCATACCGAGTTAAAGGTCGCCGCGAGGCTGTCCACGCTGTCGTGAGATAGTAGGGGTATCCGGAAATCGAAGTCGTAAGCAAACAAATCTCATCAGTCACCCGTCATCGATCCATACCTTAAGGTTGGTACAGTACCAGGTACCCAAGTTCCTCCCTATCGAGCATCCAAGTCAACTTTTTGTTCTTGTTTCCCTCCAGACACAGGCCACAAAGCCACTCAGACAGCCCCTACTAGTGTTATTCGAAACAACTTTTCCAGATCCTCTTTACCAAGCTGCTCTTCTTCTTCAAGCCGTCGACGTCGACATCCACCACGTCCCCACCCTTCTGCCAGAAGAGCGAATTGAGCACTTCATTTCCGAACCTGAGCCTGGCATCATAGACGGTCCAACCATCCCTGGCGGCCAACTTGGCCATCAGACCCCTCCACTCTTCGATCTCGGCCTTGAATCCGCCGTTCTGGCTGGTTTCGGCCTTGAGCACCTCCTCCCACTGTCTGCCGTGCATGCTATAGCCGTACCATTCCTTGGCCCAGTGCGGACGGACGGGGATCAAGTTTCCTTGCGCATCCTTGTAGCCGGACCATTTGTCCAGCACCTTCTGCGCGTACGGGTGCCATATGTCGGCCACGGCGTGCAGCGTGAGGATCTCGATCGAGCACGTGCCCAGCTCGTGGCCCCGTTGTGGTGCCAAGGTGACTTGGGACGAGGACATGATCCGCATCTCGAGCGGCATGCGCTGCGGACATGTCTCGATCGACTGGTAGCAAGTTATGATGGCGTCCCACCAGGCGCGCTGGACGGTGGTGAAGTCGATCTCCTTTCCTTTCACCTTGAGAGGTGTGGTCGGGCCATCATTGAGATGACCGTTCGCGTGCCCATCGGGGAGGACGCCGTTCGCAATACCTGTACCTGTACCAATACTGCTGGTGATAGTGGTAGTAGACGCTTTGGGTTGGAGTGCAAACTCGACCTCGAGGTCTCGCACGCGAACGTTCTGCACGCCGCGTTGGAAATGTAAGGCGTCGGGAACCCAGGTTTTGATCTTCTCGCCGTGTTCGCCTATGTCGTCGAGATTCTTCATGGCCAGCCACGTCAGCACTTTCGTCTGCACCTCCGGCAGGAATTCGGTCGCTTTCAACAGTGCTGTTGCTTGCTGGGCGATGTTGACCATGATTGTGCCAAAGACTTGCAGGATCGTTTTGGCATCGCTCGGGTAGCTTACCGCGCCTGAGAGGTCTGAGGTCTTGCGCCACGAGTTCACCCATGCTTCACTCGAGTACGGAAACCAGAACCATTCGGCGTAGTCGGTTGTCAGGGCACGGGTTTCGAAGTCCCGTTGGATTTGAGCTCGGCGTTCGGGAGTGAGTGGTTGCTTCGGACGTAATGGTCCGGGAATCGCTGACTCTGGCATATCCGGAGGCGGAGGAATGGCTTCGATGACGGGGAACTTTCGTGGTTCCATGAGGGCGCAAGTCATAGGATCAAATTCGAGGACGAGATGCGTAACTACTCCGATGAGCCCGAAACAGCCAGCCGCCGCTCTGAGAATGCCGGGTGTGGACATGTCGATCTTGCAGAGTTTGCCGTTAGCGTTGACGTACTCGATGACACGGACGAGATCGGACATGGTGGGATTGTTGATTCCTGCTCCGTGGCTGCAGTGGGAAAACGGGGTCAGCTATTGACGTGGGTGGGAAGAGGGAGAACAGGCTCCACAGACCATATGGTTGCATTAGCCCCGCCCATGGTGATTTCAACCTCGATGATATTCATGGGAAGTGTAAGTTTGCCAGTGTCGATGCACCATCGTCTCAGTTGCTCGTTCGTGGTCGAAGTCCCCACTCTAACGTACTTCTTCCCACCTGCGAGCTTTGGGCCATTGACGTACTTGTTGTCGACGATGATGATGGAGTTGAGGTCTTTAGCCCCAGGCTCGAGAATGTCGCCTGGAAGAGAGGTGAAGTTGGGCAAGACTGAGGCATCGACGAGCCCTAACGACGATATCAGGATGTCGCCGTTATTCCCGTCCTTCTTGTTGTGAGACCGTCCAAAAACAGGAGACCACGAGTGACCTCGTATGGCTGTCAGCAGATTTTCAAAGAAACCAAACGTTGATGGCGGGTTCTTACGAAATCCGGAGACCCGCACCCCCATCTTGTGCTTCTTCGCGTACTTGACAATATCGCACACATCCCGAGCTGTGTTGGGGACACACGTGATGGCCGGCGTATTGCTCACTGTCCTTCCCCAGTTCTGAAACCCGAGGTCTATGAATGACTGGCGTATAGTTAGTCTCATGGTGCTTCATCAGCACACCAGGAATTAGCCCACTGGAACGTAGAGCGCCCGCCTAGGCCTTTTGCTACCGGGAACCAGTTTGGCGAAAAAGGATCGAACGCGTGAAGGGATGCTGGAAGGCAAGGCCGCCAAAAGAGATATCGGCTCGCTCAAGTCGGTAGGAACGAGGCTTTCGAGACCTCCTTTACGTAGATCACCTCGTCTCTTGGGGAGTTTCTCGGTCTCGTAGGGCCGGTACTTTTGTGCTGCCTCCTGGGCGTTGATCTTGCCATCGACAAAATCGTTGAATATGCCCTGGACTTCGTCATCGTAGTCACCGATGATTTTCTCGTAGGTGAAATCCTTGTTGGATCGTTTGAACACATGAAGAAACCTTTGAACGAATTGCTCTTCATCCACCGGAACGTGCGGGTCAAACCAGTCGTCAATCAAACGTCCAAGCCCCGGTAGCTCGTCATCGTTGATGTTCTTCTTTAGCCCTAGTATACAATCAGTAACAGATGTGGTCGAATGATAGCAGTGATGATGATCCGGAGTATCAGCCATTGCGGCCCGATTCATTGTCTAGCCATACAGTATTAGGAACGAACTGGAGAAAAGAGGGAAAAATAAATTAAGACACATCGAGAAGCTGGCAACTTCAGGCCGCAGCAGCTTAACTTAGAGCTCTTCTTTGCTGACTGCGCCATGACGACGGAGATTTCAACAACGAACGGAAGAGCGGTGATCATCAGCTGTAGGCAGACTGCGCCGTCGTGCACGCGAGGTCACTTTCCGAGAAGTAAGGTGCAGTAGCAGCGGGAACCAATGTAACTGCCAGTCATGGCTCAGCATAAGACGTGAAGCTGAAACTCGACACGAAAAGAACACCAGTAAGCTGCGGCCGGATGTCAACAATGCAGCTGCTGCGTTGTCACTGCACGGCTCGACGGACATGGACATGGTGATCGGTGCGTGCGTTGAGAACGAGGAAGAAGCGGCTCGGTAGAGAGGTAGGGTTGGGGAGTAGGCCAATGGTTGATAACGTGCCAACGTGGCAATGTGTGGCATCATCCTCGGGCCTTTTCCTCTCGCTTCAGCTTTAAAGGGCTGGGCGCCATGCGAGCCTAGTTACTGGTAGTAACCATGCTCCGTACAGCCGGGCACCACGTAGCCGAGGGTTTTAAGCATCACGACGGCGTCTTATACGGTGGTCGGTGGTAGGTGGTAGGTGGATGATGCACGATGATGTTGCTCCGTACTCCATAGCTTGCACGGAAATCTGCCCTTATCGATAGGGCAGACCTTCGAGACAGCTCAGCACCAGTCTGCCAGTTCATTGTTTACAACGAGTTTCATCGAATTCAGAATTCTCCTGCTCGAAGCAATGCTACAGACGTTCACGCAAGATCACGGCCCAGGAAAGCCCTTGCAGGTATCTCGAATGCCATCGCAGATAGCCTCTACGCGGCCCAGAGATACAAACCCTGGTGCGAAGGTTGAGATATCTTTGCGATCTCCGTTAGACCTTCCAGCAGGTGCATCTACATAAAGGGGCCAGATAACATGCCGTCCAGAGTGCCAGATAACTCTCCAACTCCGTCCATGAACGGTTGACCATCGGAAAGGGAAAAGAATGAATCGAAAAAAGCCGGCGAGTTTGATATGGTTATTTCGTTGGGCATGCTAGTCAGGAAGGGGTCTTGCTCGAGGCTTCGACTGGTCTGAAGGTGATAAGCAGGCGATTGACGCTCTGGAACGACGGCCGTATTCGAACCATAGTTGGCAGCGCCCTGCTGCGGACCTTTAGGATTAGGCAATGAGGATTGGCCGTTCCCCGGGTTTGGTAAGCGCTGTGGCATGGTTGCCGCAGCGTTGTCGTTACGATGGACTCCGTTGGTGGAGTCGCGCGAAACCTCATTATCTGTGTGTTCAAGTGCATTGACCCGAGCGGACGCGGGCGGCATGAACGTCTGCGCAAAGGTTCCATTGTCAGAAACCGGTGGTGCTTGAGTGACACGAGGATGGCTGACAGCCATGCCAGGGCCACGCCAATGATGCGCACCAGTGGTGGAAGGTTTTGCTCCATGGCTGGATCGAGGCGGCGCAGGTGGTTGTGGCGACAATTCCAGGTCCCTTTCGGTCGACTTCGTCCTTCGCGAACTCTCTCGAATGTTGTTCAGCTCGACTTCTAGGGCAGAAAGGTTCCTCTCTAGCATGTTCGATATGCCCCAGTAGCTTTCGAACTGGAGATATGTCATCCGGAGCAACTCAGCATTGGACGCGGACAACTCTCGTTCCGAAGTGTCGGCATGTAGCAGTTCGCGCTTCAAGATCTGCACTGCTGTCGCCAGCCATATTGTATTCGCCAGGAAGGGGTTGACGAACTTGTAATGGTTGCTTTGAGTTCGTTGAATGATGTTGACAACGTTCTGCGAGGCCTGAAGATACAACACAAAACACTGTCTTGCAGCGTTGTTTGGCGCAGTGCTCCCAAACTGCCTTTGTGGCGCAAGCCCACCCTCTGCATGTTCCTTGTACTTGGCCAACTCCGCCTCGAGATGTCCCCAGCTCATTTGACCCCGGAAGATAAAGAATTTGTATATCATCAGCCTGGCATACTGCACTACCATGTGCATGCTGTAGATCTCCTGGTGCAGCAAGCGTGTCGTCGTAGTAGGTGACTCGGAATCCCGGGGAGAGAAACTGAGAAACTGATTTTGGTACCGGAGCTCCGTAGGCATCATTTCGACTATGCATTGGAGGACGTTGTGGAGGGTGCTGACTTTGTTATAGCCATCTCGCGCTTCTCGAGCACGACGGGCTTGTTCTAGTTGGACCTGGGAGGGACTGCAGTACTTGGAGTGTCGGGATTGCTCCGACGTCTTGTTCGTGTCGACTTCGGCCCATTGAGACACGTTTTGCGCATCCTTGACGAGGGAATTGACCACCAGAAACCACGCCTTATGCGATTTGTTGCCCGAGGCTCTCAGCTTCTTCCATCGGTCAACAATGCTCGGTTCGAGACAGCAGCTTTCCTGCGGCTCGTTCTCAAACCAGTTCTTGTCTGGGGCAGGCAGGAATGTTTCATTGTACGACCAGTCAATTCCTGTTGGGCAGCGACGGACCACACTCGCGAAAACGTCCATCTCCCAAATCGCCCACCAGGCTCGCCGCTTCTCTTCGTCTTCCGACCATTGCTCGACGTCCTCGATCCGGTCGTGCGGCTGTCTACCTTTGTCGACGGTATGCAGATTCAACTCGTAGGCACAACGGACGCAAACACCCAAATACCGCCACGACTTGCCACGGACCGACCTGATGAGTAGCCAGTGATTGATCAGGATCATGGCTTGCAGCAGCGGGAGTGGCACTCCTTGCTCGGCGTACTCATGCATGGCCTGTTCGGCGAACTGCTCGGCCAAGTTTCCAAAGTGCTGAGACAGGTCTTTGGTCGAATCGAGACTGATGCGCGCAGCTGCCGACGCTAGACAGGGATCGTGGCTGGCTTCCTGGTCACTAAAAGCAAAGATGAGAATAGCGGCGAGGAGGGCATTTAACTCATTGATGCTCTGGATTTGTTGCAGCTTGTCCCAGAAGGTGGGACGATGGAACAGCTGAAAGGACGGGAAGGTGTCGAAGAACTCATCCACCCTGATCATATCTGTTAGGATTTCATGTTCTCTTGAGCGTGAATCAGCACTTACAGAGTCTGCACATCTTCCAGCGCCAGGCCGAGCGCATAGCAGGCGGAGTCTAGGTTGGATTGCTCACCCATGTTGCACTCTGCTGTCACCATCGATTGGATTGGAGGCTCCTCGCACAGGCGATCTTCGTGGGACGGGTGCATGATGAACGAAAGCGATCGAACGTCACGCGAGGGTCGAGATAGCGCGCTCGAAATCGAAGTCGAAGGTGATGAAGCTTGGTAGATGGCCGCGGACGGCAATGTAGACGTTTGCGGCGCTGGCGGTAGTCCCGATGTAGGAGGTGGCGGTGGTGGTGGTGGCAGGGTGATCTGGCGCATTGATGGGAGCTGGTGCTGTTGCTCTTGCTGCTGCTGGTGTGACGGCGCAAGCTGCGCCTGTGATTGTGACTGCGATTGCGGTTGGGGCTGGTGATGCTCCAGTGGAGCTGATGGTGCTGCTACTTGCGAATATCGTTGCTGGCCCAGTTTCTCTTGGGGTTGTCTCAGCTGCTCGGGCTGTTGAGCCTGGCTATCACCTTTCCTCCCAGCCGAATGTTGTTGATCTTGTTGGTCCCCAACGAAGGAATCGTGCTTGCGCTTTCGCGCCTGTTGAGTGCTCCCCATTTTCGGTCCTGGGCGGATCGCACTTTTAGGATATTCACACGACTGATTTGTCTGCAGACAGATGCTACACTCAGGAATTTCCCGTGTACACTTGACTTTGCGCCTGCGGCACGAGCGGCATGCGATGTTAGACACAGATCCTGCTGTGACACGATTTGGACTGTTTGATTCCATGCTGCAACGCCCAGGAATGCGGTGGCCGGTCGATGCTGAGTGAGGCAAAAACTGGACAATGCTGAAAGACGGGAGAAAAAAAGAGCCAACAACTGGGTGAACGCACAGAGGTCGCGCACGGTCGCGCAATTGCTGGGGCCCCAGCTTTACTTACCACTGGTGCCCACAAAATTCTCCATGGCAGCTCACCAGCCCGATCTGTCCCACTTCCTTGGGCTGGTCAGCCGATCCAATGTGCCAGCGTTCCCGGAACTGGGATTCGGGTTTCATTGGTGGAATGCCCACAGAATGGCGTCGCTACATTTTCGCTGCAACTTCGGATCATGTATTTCGGTTCCTGGTGGAGCGGCGCAGATTACCCTACGCACGACGGTTCTCCAGACTTTGAGCATCAGCAAAGGAGGGTCTAGAGAAGAGAGAGGTGTTGTCGAAGCTCCGTTGGTGTGTGATATAGGTACTCCCACGAATACGCGGAAAGCGACTGCAAGATGAGGCCAGAGCATTTGCTTTCAGATATTCAAGTTGCGGTGAACCCGCCGTCGACTGGTAATGCCACACCGTTGATATGTGATGCTGCACCGCTTGCTAAAAAGCAGACTGTGTCCGCAATTTCCTCAGGCGCCGCCAGTCGCCCTTGAGGTATCCTCTCAATCGTGCCTGCCAATGCCTTCTTGGTCGATTCCAGCAGCAGGGGTGTATCGACAAACCCCGGGCAGACGGCATTGACACGGACACCTCTTCGTGCATAGTCGATAGCATCGGTCCGTGTCAGTCCTATGACCGCGTGCTTGGAGGTATTGTAGACGCTCAAGTTTGGCATCGCTCTTAGAGCCAGTGTAGACGCCGTATTGACGATCGACCCACGCTCCAGCGCAGAAGGCACAGACGGGTTAACCGGTCGAGGCTCCTGCTTGAGCATTTGCTCCAGCTCATACTTTTCACAGAGAAACACGCCCCTGACATTCACGGCCATCACCTGGTCATAGTCTTTCAGGTCGGTCTCGTGGGTCCCACCATACGGTCGACCGATACCAGCATTGTTGGCGGCGTAGTGAATCGCACCGTACTCTGCAACTACCTTCGCAACAGCTTGCGCGACGGCTTCCTCGGAAGTCAAATCTGCAGTGATGGGAAGGATTTTGGCAGCAGGATAGGCCGCCTCGAGAGCAGCAGCAGTCTCCTCGAGTCCTTTGCTGCTGACGTCCAACCCAGCAATCCTTGTCACCCCGTGTCGAGCAAATCCCAGTGCTACCGCCCGTCCGATTGAACCACCGGCACCTGTGATGAAGGCCACACTTGCGAGAGAACCGGAGTCAGCTTCGATCACTGAAAAGTTGAGGCAAAAATGGATGCTTCTTACCCGGACAAGTTCGAACTCATCTTGCGCTGACCTCGAAAGTTACGAGAAATGATATGTATTCTTTCTTTGAAGTATGGTCGGGCAGCCCTCGCGCCTGAACCCCCTGAGCCTGCGAAAGAGTCTATGTCTGCGGCAAAAGCTCACTAAGAAAGGTACTACTCTCAACGACTTACGAGTCCCAAAATGTGAGAAATCGGCGAAGGGAAGGAGCAAGCCATGGGGACCCAGATCGTCTTAAGCATAGAAGTGCGTTGTTAGCCCACCCCTTAGAGTAAGAGTTCGTTTTCCAGCCAGGTAGATACTCAGGGACGTGGGCACACTGCCGGGGACCCCGTGGGCGGAACGATTTCGGGGCGCTTCCCGGCTTGATTCAGAGCCGCGAAACATCACCGGCTATGGGTGCCTACGAAACGCTTGAGCTCCATCGGCGGAGCACGAAGGATGCCTGGTGAGCCATTCCGGCTATTGTTTGACATCCAGCAGTCGAATGGGCGAGCCGAACTGCGCAGTCTCAGATGGAGCTATCTTGTCGCGACATCGATGAAGCTGCTTCTTGTGTGAATGATACAGTTTTATTCCATCTGCAGAGCAGAAAGGTGTGATCCCTATTGTGGAAAGCTGCTCACAATCATGTACATTCCACTACAGCCATCCCGGACATCAGTACCCAATTCATGCTCGTTTTCCCAATGTCTAATCATTCCATGCCTTCAAAAACTCTTCAGCATTGGCCATTTCCCTCCTGATGACATCAATATGAGCTTGGCTTCTCGGCTTGAAAACAACCGGGAATTCGACAGGAGTATGCGCGATGCCCTCATGGTAATTGTTCGGGTCAATGGGCATTGGCTTGCCAGACTGAGGGTCGATTTTCCGTTGAATGTCGAAAGCCCACAAGAGTCTTGCGTTGAGACGCCACTGCGTCCTTTCGGCCAGATGGATACCTGGACAAATTCGTCGACCTGCTCCATAAGCATAGTGGTCACGCTTCTCCCAGTCTGGACTTCCAGCGTAGCTGTCTGCCATTTTGTTGTAGTTGAGGAATCTGTCCGGATTGTATTTTTCTGGGTCTTTGTACCCTTGGGTCTCACTCAAGTGCATGGCCCAGGTGGGGAGGATGACAGTAGCATCCTTAGGGATCAACATACCATCAAACCAGTCGTCTTGATTGACACGATGAGGTACTCCGAGAGGAAGACTATCGATGCCGTTAGAAATCATAATCGACGTGCAGCCAACAATGGATACCTACACTGGGTGAATTCTCAATGCTTCTTTGATGAGGCAGTTTATGTAGGGTACGGCATCGAAATCGGTGATGGCAGGAAGTCTGCAAACCCGGTTAGTGGTCGTTTGATCAATGTTCCCGCCAGGTTGGGACTTACCTGCTTGTTCCGCATATAGCGTCTAGCTGTTTTCGAGCCTTTTCTTGGAACTCGGGATGCAGCGCCAGATACAGCATCGAGGTCAACGTGGCTGATGCGGTGGTGTCTGCTCCCCCTTCCACAACGACACCCAGGAAATGGTTCATCTGCTTGGTTGTCACATCCAGGTCGCTGTGTTTCTCTCCGTCGAGAATGGAATCGATGATGGCATCACGCTTGATACCCTTTGCCCTCCGTTCATCTACCCTGCGCCTGGCTTCGTTCCAAGTGTCGTCCATGCATTTGTACGAACCTAGGGCGCGCTTCTTCCATGAAGCAAGAGCTGTGGGAATATATTTCAGGAAAGGAAATTCGTCCGCTGGAGGATTCGCGCCTGGTTCAAGAGATGCAGAATAGTTGTCCATGGCATCATAGACAGCCTGTCATTAGTATCAGTCAGCCATGCTTCCAGATCCCAAGGGGAGGCTGTTCGCACATGAGCCCAGAAACTGGCCATGGTAGGGCCTCGATGTCCCCAAACGACGGCACTCGCCACAGATGAAGTCGTACGCTTAATGTGTTTGTAGTAGCCTTCCGGGTTATTAAGTATATCCGCGAGAAGCACGACAGATCTGGGGTGACTGTCAGCAGTTGCTTTCATCGAGAGACTTGAGAGAAGTGGTCATGTACTCTGCATCTTGAATGTGTCCGACCTTTTCCTCCAACATTTTCGGCTAGAACTACCAGTCAGCGAAATGTTTCTGTCCGAGATATCGGATCCCATTATACTCACCGAAAGATTGTGGACGGCCACCTTTCTTTCAGCTCTCCAGAGTGCTGTGCTATTCATAAATGCGAAGCTATCACCACCCGTGACGAGATTGGGAACGTAACTGTCTGGCCTTTCGGAATAGATTATTCCTTTCTTATCGAGAAGGTGATGCACAGCCTTGCGATCGAATAGAACAATAACAGTGCTGTTGCCGAACTTGAGAGAAAAAACGCCGCCATATGTCTCTCCCCATTCTTTCAGCCTGCCAACAGTCTTGTTAGGATCGTCTTCGAACGTGAATGCGGCATGCCATTGTCCCTTACTTCTTCCCCAAGCCGGACTTAGGAATCAGGTGCAAGTTGCCCAGAATGGGAATTGTAGGAGGACCAGGTGGCAGTCTCTTGTCTCGGCTTCCAACCTGTGATACACGATAAACAAGATAAATCAACAACGCCGCCACGGCATATCCTGTGACAGAGAAGGCGGGAAGAGCCATCGTAGTTGTGGGGTCTTCTATGTTGATTCACAGTCACTCGGCAATGTCGTTGAGTGCTAGGGATGCGAGTGCAATCAGGTAGTTTCTCTGAGATATAATTTGGAGGCTACTGGTGTGTATTGCTGATGTACCCTTGATCCAAGTTGGGATTCGTATGTTCATCCCCGCCGTGGAGCTTCCAACTCGCACAAGATCTACTTTGGAATTTGTCTGGCGTCAAGCTGTCAAACCGTCTGGAATTGCATCACTTCGCACCCAGCTTCGGAGCATCTTCGCACTCGGTCTGGGGTCTCCATTCAAGCTCCAGCCTCGGAAGAACCCCCAGTGCATGAAGTGTCCGCATTTCCCGTTGGTAGGGCAATCTTGCAGGTGCCGAGTGGTGCTTGAATCAGGCACTGCAGATCTCCCAAATAGCCCCAGTGGAGCGAGCCAACGCTCCGCGAAATAATTCAAGCCCCCTTCGAAGTATCAAAATCAACTGACTTGCTTCCTGCGATGACTGTCATCAACAGCATCATCAGCTCAGAGTTCGTGTCCTTCGGTTTTCTTACAAAGAAAATAAAATCAAACATGCCCGATTTCTTCGTCTTAGCCCGTGTTGTCGGGTCGGATGGTGCCTTTCCCAAGGTATGCCCCGTCCTGCTCATATGCGAGGAGTGAGGATGACTAATCTGAGTGTCACTGTTGTAGTGGAAGGAAAGGCTTGTACCGTTATGTGAGGTGTCTGCCACAGAGCCATATTCGACGTCCTACTACTGGGGACAAGATGTCGATGGGGCGCCTGACACGTTATGGGGTCTGGAAGGCTACGCTCACCCCATTGGCTTCTTCATCGGCCATCCAGCCTCAGACGTCTTCAAACGAGAAATGAAGAAGGTCGACGAAGACAAACTTCTTCGACGTGTGCAGGGACTCGGTAGTCCAGACTACGACCTACACTACTATGACATGCATTATGGCTTTCTGACTCGCCCCGACGACAAAGACAAAGACAGTAAAGACAGCTTTGTTGCGGCGATCCACTTCTGGGCACCAGAAGGGCGTCGTAAGCAGCTCCTAGGAACCCTGTCAGCTGGCGTTGATCGAGTCCGGGCCTCAGAGAGTGCACCACACATCACCATTCAAAGCTTTGCAGTCCTCAAAGAATGTCTTGATGTGAACATGGCGACCCTCTACATTCGGTGAGCTTCACCCCTGTTTCCGTCCTTAGAGTAGGCTGCTCACTCTTGTTCACAGGACAAGGAGCAGAAAAGATTGGGAGACTCTTCAATCCTCTACCATCTTCAAGGAGCTTTTGAGCCATATTGAACCTGTGAACGAGAAGTCGGAAATACATCAGTCACAGGCATTCAACGGTCACATCGACCAGACGCCCCCTATTGGGCCAGTCTGAGTGAAGAAAATTAAAGCCTGAATATTCCTTGGCCACATTGTTCCTACATCCAAGAACGCTAAGAGTGAGAAGGATGTGGTAGGCATCATAATATCTAAACCTATTTGGTGACTCCCGCGTCGCCCACAACATCCATAGAAAGTAGAAGCCAGAGTAGTGCGCGAGGAATTCATGAATGACTTACACAAATCTCCGGGAGTTCCAGGACTAACACAAGCAACGTGCAAATGTTCTATCTGTCACCAGCCCATGGTGTACGTATCCGGAACGTCGCATCTGTCCCCTTACTCTCCAAAATTCGACAAATCCCACATCAGGAAACCAAATCGCATCAATCTGTCCTAGATGGGTCCACTGAGCAATTGAAAAGAGTATCATAGGACATCAGCAATATCTCAATCCCGCTGGTTGCCTGGAAACACTCTTCATGGCGTGAATTCGCACATTCTATCTCCGAATAGTGCAACTTCGCTAACTGATCGTCACCGTCGCACTCTAGATTGGGCGGCTGGCAAGAGTAGGGGGCAAGATGGACCCTTAGCCGCATTTTGCTTTCCTGGTCACGGACTATCTTCGTAAGAATTTACGCTATCATATGGACTGTACTAGTGAGATTTCTGTCATGTCCGTTGGCCAATGGTCGAATCCTAAGTTTCCGGGGATCTCGACCCCAGGGTCATTGCAGTAATTTTGTGGGGATATTCCATGAGTTTGTCTATTCCGTTGCTGACCAGACTACATCATAGCTTCATATAAATCTACAGCTCCTGTGGCCTGATCAAGGCAGTCTTGAAAGCCATCCTCCCTTCCTTGCATTCATACCACGAGGCTCGGATCCTTTCTTGGCCATTAGAAATTCACGATTTCGAAAACGTTATTCCTATTCAAGTCATCATGACTGCTCACGGTGGCCTCAAGGTCAGACATCAAACAAGCACCAAAAATATACTGGTAGGTGCTGACCCTTGACATCTCGCCTTGCATCGAAGCTGGTCAACATGCTGACATTCTGAAGATCATTTTGGTTGCGACACTCGCCAGCTTCAATTATGGCTATTCCAACAATGTCATCTCCGGGTCGTTTGCTCAGGTCTCTTTCCTAGCCAAGTTCTTGACCCGTCCCGATGCTGCCTCTATCGTCGATGCCATCGTCTCTGGGTAAGTCCTCCACCTGATTCTTCCGCCTCTCGCGCCTTCTCGCCGTTCTGACACGTGTCGCTGCCAGTTTCTTTGGCTGTGCCCTGATCGGCGCATTTCTGCAAGCCTGGATCGCCCAGCGCTGGGGCCGGAAGAGTGCCACGGCGGCGGCCGCAGTCTTCCTCTTGACCGGAAACGCAATCCAAGCAGGAGCCGTGCACATCTCCATGTTCCTTGTCGGCCGATACTTAGCCGGATTCGGCGCAGGCATGGTCATAAGCAACACCCCTGTGTATCTGAGCGAGATCGCCCCCGCCCACAGCCGCGGCCTTCTGGTCGGCCTCCAAGGCAACTTCATTGTGTTGGGTTACATCCTTTCCTCAGCCGCTGCCTTGGGCTTCAATTTTGTCAGAACAAGCTACCAGTGGCGCCTCAACTTCGTCATAGCTACCTCCGTTGCTCTCGCCCTTCTGGTATCCTTGACTGCTCTCCCCGAGTCTCCGCGATGGCTCATAGAGCATGGGCGGCCCGACGAAGCCCGCAAGATCCTCGACAGTATTCACACGACACGTGATGACCCTGTGGGCAGGGTTGCCCATGCCGAATACCATCAGATCGTGGCCCAGGTCGAAGTTGATCGGTCCTTGCCTAGCGGTTGGCTCCATATCTTCAGAATCCCGTCTTTGAGGAAACGCATGATCTGCACTCTTCTGGTGTGGTCCATGGGACAGTCGACTGGTATCACCGTCCTCGCCAATCTCACTCCAGTCCTCTTCGGCAACCTTGGCTATTCCACTGTGCTACAGCTCTCTCTCGCTCTGGTATGGACAGTCTGCTTGTTTATCGGCTGCTTTTTCAACATATATGTCATGGACCGTATTGGAAGAGTTCCCCTCATCGGTAAGTTCATGTCCCGCTCTGGGTTGGAAGGGATGCACCGAAAAGCTGACCCTTCGTGCCACAGTCGCTGGTGGATTTGGCATGGCTATCTTGCTGGCTATAGAAGCCGCACTCCAAGCAGAGTTCCTTGATGGCCACAACCCTTCTGGCACAAAGGCTGCCGTGGCCATCTACTTCATCATCGCCGTGTTTTACACATGCACCTTGGAGTGTACGGGATACGTCTACGGCTGTGAGATTTGGCCCACACACTTGCGCAGCAAGGGTGCCGCGATCTCCTACTTCGGATTCTATATCTGCTCTATCTGGGCAACTGCGCCCGCCGCACAGGCCTTTGCATCAATCGGTTGGAAGTACTACATGGTCTTCGTTGCCGTTACCGTGGCTCTCACCATACCATGCATGTTCTACTTGCCAGAAGTAAGTTCTTTCCGATACCCTTCCTTGTTCGCAAGATAGCCTGCTAACTTTCATCTCAGACTGCAGGACTTTCCTTGGAAGACCTAGGTGCCAAGTTTGGCGACACCGTCGCCTTGGATTTTGAGCACGCCTTGGAGGAAGAATTGAAAGGCGCAGGCGTAATGCATGCCGAAACTGACATTGCCGAGGTCACCGACGAAGGCAAGCGCTACTAAATTACTTGGGTTCTCCTGAGGTAGATTGTCCGGCCGCTGGATTCTGCCGATGGATGTGTGCGGGATGCTGTGTATCTGCGCCATTCGACAGAGATAAAATTGATGGATTTGTTCATAGTTTTGTATCACCATCAACGCTTTACAATCGATCATCATAGCGCCTGGTAAATTCTAAACACTGTCCTGCAACATATCATAAACTTCCGTGTCCGGACCCTGTCATGTTGGAAGACTGAGGCCTAAATGCTAGAGACGGTGAGAGTTGAAATTGCTGCGTTCATATAGAGTCGTTGCGTCCCTGTGCCATTACTAGTACTTTGTTTATATAAACTAAAGCATTTCAGCCAAGGACAGCCAATATATGAGGGTAAATAGTAATTCCGTAAATGAGGGGAGGTAGCTCCGATAGGAGAAAAATCTAGGTCGGTATAACGGGATCAACGACGTGAATGAGCTCTGGGAATAAACTTCAGAAGCAAGCCAACGGTGATGAAGACTCTATATGTCTGGAGGCCCAGCGAACATTACAAAGTGCTCATAAGTATCCAATCTTCCGTATGCGAGACCTAATGTAAACACTCAGGACATCGCGCATCACGCGCAAGAGTTTTGCCTCACAGCCTTCCGCGGTCGAGATGGCTTGCCGACACCTCCAAGCAACGAAGCGATCTGGTCGGACCAGAACCGCACCATCATCTTCAACACCACGGACCTTCGTCCAGTCATAGTAGACATCTTCCCATTCCTGACCTTGGCCGATGGAGTGCACCTTGATCTGGAGGTCCGGCCCAAGCTTCGACGCTGTTTCTGCAGCCGCTTTCCTCCAGACGTCTCCTCCGACTCCTGTGAAGATAGCAAAGCAGCCATGTCCCGCAAGGTCAATTGTGGAAGTAGGCCCTTGGTTTGGACGGCGCGTGTTCAGCCAAGCGTGCGGAAGTCGGCGACCGGGGTATGTACTTCGCATGTGATAGAGGATCGGGTCTGCGGCTGCTGGGCCTTGGAGCTCGAATGGGACTTGCTCATCTTCGAGGCAAATCCCAGCGCCCGTGTATGTCTGGTTCATTTCGACACCCAGACCGTGGAATTCGTGGCACGTGTTCAGCGTTGCCGCTTGTAGAGCGGCGCGTCGCTTCTGCCCAGCAGGACCAGGACTCCTTAGTTCGTCCATAATGGCTTTTCGTTCTGAGATATCCTCGGCCAGGATGCCGAGGGCTTGCCACACCTTTGAGTGCTCCCGGAAGCCGTCGTTGGCTCTCTTTACTATCGAGCGTCCAACTGGCTGCCTTTCGGCGTTGTAAGTGTCAAGAAGGGCCCGACCTGCCAGTCCCGATTCCACAAAGGCAATCTTCCAAGCCAGATTGAATGAGTCCTGGATGCATGTGTTGCTGCCCAGGCCATTGAACGGTGGATGTCGGTGCACTGCGTCTCCTAGGCCGAAAACATTGCCGCGAAAGTATTCTTCCGCCACCGTCTCATTTATGAACCATTTTGAAATGCTTAGAATTTCTGCGGGAATGGACTCGTCGCCGATGAAGTTTTGCACTTGTCGGAGATATTCCTCACGGGTAGGCTCCAATCCATCCCATCCGGGTTTGGGGAGAAGAATGAACATCCATTCGTACCACGGCTTCACCATACGGACAATGGCCATCTGTCCGAATGCACAATGAGGCTGGTCAGGTTGCATGACCCAGTGAAGGTTGCCTCTTCTGTGCTTGATCAAGTGACTTAGGTCTGCTCGCACGAGGACATTGATGGCGACTCCTCCACCGGGCTTGGAATCGAGAGGGAGGTCGAGCTGCTTGACGATGCGACTTCTTGCGCCATCGGCGGCGAAAAGGTACTTACAACGAACCGAGTACTCGTGACCGGACATGTCGTCGCGTAGGCGCGTCAAACCACCTTTGCCTTGACCCAAATCTTCAAACGAAACAAATGAAGTATCCCAGCGGCATTTAAATCCATGATGTGTAGCATGCCTGACCAGCACCGGCTCCAGCAATGTCTGCGGAAGGTCGCAAGGCTTGCAGGGACTTGCAATCTCGTAGTCGCCTTTTCTGGCAGGATCGTTCCCCCACGAGTATACACGAGCGAATTCGTCGCCAGCCATACTGTGGCACCAACGTGTGTGTTTCATGCATTCTCCTTCGGTCGACACTTGAATGCAGTCACTATCGAGACCGATGTCTCGGAGGCATTCGAGTGCCGCCATGTTGGTGATGTGGGCGCGTGGCGTGTCTGCAGTTCCGGATGATCTGCTGACAAGGATCCCTTTGATCCCGTAGGATGCGAGGAAGCATGCCAATGATGCGCCTGCTGGACCAGCCCCAACAATCAGCATATCAGTCTCAACTGTCTCCTCCGAAGCATTGCGCTCAACGTGTCCATTGGAATGACCATTAGTCAAGAAATTCATGGTGATGTCTTCACTCTCGGGGTAGATCCAATAAAGCCGCTTTCAGACGGCGAGCTCTACAGTACGACAGGCTGAACAAGACAGTGACGAAGATGACATGCAGGTGAGCCTTGCGTATGAAGGACCCGTTGTAGCATTCGCGTATACCATGCGCCTAACGGTCTTCGTCGCGTGATTTCGTCCCGGGGTAAAGGCGCTTGCCCTAGGACTAGACGCACATCAAACCATCGGGGACTTCAGACTTCCCGTCCGATGTGGGAGGGTCATGGAGGATGCAGTAGGACACGGTGGAACAGCGTCAAGTACAATACAAGAGAGTTGCTCCGAAGAACAGCGTCTTCGGACAAATAAACAGATACACCGGTCGAGTAGACAGCTGAGCTGCAGTCAATCCGACCGGGAGCCTAGAAGGGTCCACACTCTAGGCGTCCAAGGTTATTGGGGGCACCGGAAAAGTCCCCGAGGTCCCCCACAATTCTTCCCCCCCCCCCCCAAAGTCTAACCTCCTGGGGCCTTTTCCACCAAATACCCCAAGGCTGAGATCAGCGGTGCCTAAAAGGGGCTGTGCGAAATCAGTACGAAAACCGCATGCCACCATTTGCCGAAATGAGGCTTCCAGTTGTCCATGCAGCATCTGGAGTGCATAGCATCGCAACAACTCCGGCGACTTCTGAGGCGAGCGCTGGACGCCCTCCATATTTGATCCACTCTTGCAACTCGGCCTTATCCTGCGATCTCACCGTCGCCAATGGTGACACTTGGTTCCATTGACCCAGAAGGTGCTTTATGTCATCTGGCGTTGCTTTGTAGATGTCAGAAAGCACAGGGCCTGGATTCACGGAATTGACAGTCGCCCTTTCCGCCAGTTCGCGTGCCCAAACCCTGGTCATCGCCTCAAGAGCGCCCTTGGAACCGGCATACACCGTCTGCTCCCGAAGCCCCAGGGCACAGCCGACACTGGACACATTGACTATGCGACCTGAGCGGTCTGTTGGCAGGTATGGGAGACAGGCTTGAAGTAGAAAAATAGGCCCCAGCACATTGGGCTTGTAAATTCTGTTGAATAGGTCAAGATTGATCTCGCCCAATGGCTTCAGCTCCGCGATTCCCGCGTTGTTAACGACAATGTCAATCTGGAATCCGTTATCCTGGGAGGCCTTGAAATGCTCTTTCGCAATGGCGACAACATGGTTGCCACCGTTCTCACTGCCGATATCGGCCTGTGCTGGGACGGCGGCAATGTCGTACTTTTCTCTCAAATCGCTTGCAAGATCTCGGGCGAGCTTGCTTGAAGTTGCGCTGGTGTAGCCCAGTACAAGCGAGCAGCCCTTGCTTGCCAAATTCTGTGCAATGGCAGCTCCGATCCCTATCAATGTCTTCAGCCTCGAGAGCAAACTGGTAGCCGTGTTGCTTCTATGTACCTCTGGTAGCGCCTGTGACAATACCAAGTTTCCCACTCAATACGCGGCTTGCCATGTTGATAATGTGAGAGTGGCCGACGGTAGACAACGCCACGTCTGAGAAACAGCTCTTTCTCTGGTGTTCCGTGCCCTTGTGAAGGTTGGTGCGATAAATCACGAGTTTTTGGCAGTCCGGATAAACAGCTGAGTGTCGTTTTGAGCCGTGAAGTGAGCGAACCGGGATTGGTAGCTTGGCCCCTTCGGCATCTGGAGGGCCACGAAAGCCTAAGTAGGCCAGGGCCGCGTCGTGGAAGTACTGGTAGTGCGCCTGTAAGTTACTTCTCGACGCATCTCGGACGTCCGCTATTTGTCCGTTGACATGCCCTTGCTTCAAATACTACCCTCATCTCTGACAGAGCTCCCGGTGTATATAGCAATTTATTGAAATAATCCGAAAAATCTTGCCAGTGATCTATCAGTCTACAACCATCTACCTGCCTTTTGAAAATGGACGAGCGGGAGCCACAAGAGGTTCCAACCATTTTGATGTCCCTCTGGCGCCGGTGTTTCCAGTGCTCAAAGGCAAAGTGGCGATCGTGACAGGCGCTGCCATGGGAATGGGTAAAGCGACGGCGATGGTAAGCATTTGTCCCTTTTACAGTCCGATGTGAAGAAATTTCGTGTACGAGACGCAGGTGGCCAGGTATTTGCCGCCGCAGGCGCAAGTGTCGTCCTCGCCGACATCAACGAGACCATGGGTCGCAAAGCGGCAGAGGATATCAAGCATAACGGCGGCAAGGCGCATTTTGTCAAGACAGACGTCTCGAATTCCGAATCGGTCAAGAATCTGGTCGCCGAGACGGTATCACAGTTTGGAAAGCTCGATGTCGCCGTCAACAACGCCGCGCTGACTCCAGATAAGACGCCCACGGGCGACTTCGATGAAGCGTACTTCGATCGAGTGATTGCCGTCAATCTAAAGGGTCCGGCACTATGTATGAAATGGGAATTGCAGCAAATGACCAAACAGGGACACGGAGGCTCGATCATCAACATTGCGTCGATCAATGCTTTCAAGCCGCAGTACAACATGCCTGCCTACACAGCATCCAAGCATGCGGTTGTCGGGTTGACCAAGACGGCCGCACTGGAATATGGCGCGCAGGGGATCAGGGTAAACACGATTGCTCCTGGAGCTATTCTGACGGAGATGTCGGCTGCCAGTTTGAAATCTATTGGCACGAGCCATGAGGCTTTTGCCGATGTGAGCTACCTCAAGCGTTGGGCGGCTCCCCACGAGGTTGCCCAAGGCTCGTTGTGGTTGGCCTCGGACGCAGCTTCGTACGTGACAGGTATCACGCTCCCTGTGTGCGGTGGCTATTCTACGAGATGAACAAATGAGAATGGGATCTAAGGGGCCAAGTAGAATCCTTGCCAATTTGGGGCGCATATACATGCCACCCTTGAACCAAATATTTCATTCATTTTCCAGCAATACCAAATTCAGGTATATCTTCCATCTCTGTGCCGTGTGCATGGCGGATGATATACTTGACTTGATCAAGCGTGCTGTCTGCCAGATACGGAACGTCACCCTTTCCCATGACCTTGTCCCAGTCTTTCAGATATCCTTCTGGATTATCGGAATTGACGCCCGGAAAGGTTGCCAGGGTCTCCCTCGCGGCTCGATTGGCACTGGCCGTGAAAACCTCACCAGAGGTCGGGCATTCTTCCGAGCAAAGCGCAACTACAAAAGGTACCACTCCCTTTTCAATAGTCAGAAAAGAAAAGGATCCTTCACGTCCAGAAGAAGGACACTTACCTCTGGCGGAAAATAGGCCGACACCTTCTTCGTTCCCTCTGAGAGGTCGGTCATCCTCGACGCTGCCGAAGGCATAATGCAATTGATTTTGATGCCGTCTCTCTCGGACCATCTCCCCAGCTCTCTGGACATAGCGAAAGTAGCTCCTTTAGCTGCACCATAGGCACAATCGCCGCCTGCCCCGAAGCCGTAAATGGCGTTAGAAGACACATTAACAATTCTCCCGTAGCATTGTCTCGCCATAACCGAGTACGCCGCGCTGGTTACCAAAGCGGTCCCCAAGACAGAGATCTCGAGGACACGCATGAACGCTGCACTGTCGACGTTGTCGTGATGAGAAATCTTGCCCGTGATTCCCGCATTGTTGATCAGTATGTCGACTGTGCCGAACTCCTGGACCGCCGCTTGCACGATATGCTTTGCGTCCCTGGAAACATCTCCATTGTGAGCTACTGCAATACCGCCCGCAGCCTTTATCTCGTCGACAACCGATTGCGCTCTCGTGATAGTGCCAGCTTGTCCTTCCAGATTGCCACCGTAGTCATTGACCAGGACTTTTGCTCCTCGTGCAGCAAGGGCAAGAGCGTACAGTCTGCCTAACCCCAGGCCGGCTCCTGTGACAATAGCAACTTTCCCTTGTACCGACATGGCTGTTTGGATTCTTCCACAGGAGGATGGTCCAGAAGGATGTCAACCATTTATTTCCTTTTCACTGGCTCTGGAATCTGATCACTGTCAAGGTCTTGGTGTTCTTCCGGAGCCGGATGGAATAATTTCTGTCACAAGAGTGATTTTGACCCACATGTTAACTCTGCAATCAGGGCCGAAGATGATCCGTCCTTTTCCCCTTTTCCCGCTTCCCCCCTAGGCACCCTGACCAACTGTACGTAGCAAGAAGTAGCCCCCTGAGTGCCTTTGGCCATTCCCATGTTAACTTAAACCCCCGGGCTCTGAGATGGTCCTTTCGTCTAACTTAATGACAATTTGCCCGAGGATACGTTGGATTCACGAAAAGGGATTACTTCGCGTCGTTGAATATGTAAACCACCTTTTCATTGTTGGTCACTAAAAGCCGGGCCCGTGTACTGTTCAATTTATACAACACACTACGGTCATGACGGTCCGACCTCGTTGATCGAGGAGAGTCTTGAATTGACGTGTGCATTCACAGGGTGCTCAGTCATATTGACCCAAGAAATTCAAGGCACCTGTCAACTCCCTTTTGATTACTTCCTCATGTTGCTTGCTTCGAGGTGTGACTTTGACCTCATACTCCAATGGCCGCACTAGGTTTGACGAGGTGTACGCGTTGACATCGATGGGCCTGTCTGGTAATTCCTCGAATTCGAAAGCCCAAAGGAGCTTGGCTGTGACGCGCCACATACTTCTCTCAGCCAGGTGGATGCCAGGACACATTCTGCGGCCTGCTCCATATCCGTAATGATGTAAACTCGCGAAAGTCAGCACTGAGGGGTTCTGGCAACGAGCATACAAGGAAAAACTTATCTCGGTTTTGCCAGTCCGGCCCAACGGCGTATTCGTTGGCAAGCTTTGTATGATTCTTGAATCGATCGGGATTGAAGCGGTCGTGATCTGGATACTCGTCGGCGCTCTGATGGATTGCCCAGGCAGCCAGCCAGACCGTGCTATCTTTGGGGAATAACATGCCCTCATACCAGTCATCTAGTAGCAGTCAGCCAGCAAGTTTTTTCAGAGCAGCCACTACTACCCACCTTTTGCGAGTCGATGTGGGATTCCCAGATCGGAACTAGACCACAATGTCAGTAATTGGCGCAGTATCTAACCTGGGGTTGACCTACGTTGGGCGCCACCTCAAAGCCTCTTTGATGATACAATTGATATAAGGAAGGCGATCAAAATCGTAGAACAAAGGCGTTCTCTCCGTTCCGCAGACTTCATCCAGTTCCTTTCTTGCCTTAATCTGGACCTCCGGGAACTTGGTCACGGCAAGGATAATGGTCAGAAGCATATTGGCAGTGGCTACCCTTCTGTCAGCTTGAATATCCTTACCTGCGATAGACGACTCCGCCCAGAGAACTCACTGTCTGCTCCAGCTTCAAGCATCTCGCCACCCAAGTTGTTAAACGAGTACTGTGACATAGGCCAGCCACTTTTCTCGTACTCCGCCAGCTTCAGATCGATCATTGAGTCACGCACGTCACCTCTGCTGCGGCGTTCTTCAACCATTTGCCTCGCTTTGGACCAGGTCGTATCCATGAGACTTCGGACGTGGTAGGCTCGCTTCTTCCAGGCTCCTGGGAGATACCACAGCCACGGCAATTGTTCCACTGGTGGGTTCGCTCCCGGTTCGATTGCATCGAGCCACTGACAAGTTTGAGCTTCACAAGCATCGGCTCGGGGGACTATTTAGACGTACCTGATCCACAAAGTTATAAAATTCCTTGTAGAAGAACGAGTCAAAGTCCTTTGCCCGGAACCCCCAGACGAGGATGGCCGCTACCGAGGAGGCGTACAACCTTGCATAGTCGAAAGCCTTGTTCGGGTGGTGGACGAGGTTGTTCATGAACAGAATCGACCTGGAAAGATCCCGAATTAGCCAGGATTCTCCCACCTGGACAGATGTAGGGCGGTCCTACTCTGCCTCTTGGACTCTGAAATGTTTCTTGTCCAAGTTTTGGGGATTGAGGTTCCTCGTGATTACAGAACGCTTTTCTCTCCATTCTGGAGTAGCTTGTTCAAAGGTCATATGGCAGCCACGGCTCATGAATGTAGGAACCGCAAGATTTGGCCTCTCTGAATATATACTGCCTTTCTTTTCCAGCAGCTGATATATGGCTTTGCGGTCGGCCAGCACAATCATGTTGGAATCGAACACCTTTAGAGAATATATCTTTCCATATTCTCTCGCCCATTCGTGAAATCTGTAGGTCACCAGTTAGATCCAAAGACGTACCAAGGGTGTTTCAGAGGTTACGACAGACTTCTTTCCTAATCCAGTGAGTGGTATTTGGTGGGCGTTCCCAAGGATTGGCACAGTTGGTGGTCCCGGTGGGAGTCTAGGGTCTCGTCGACCGATCCGTAGCAACCTCCATATCCCAAGTGCTAGGAGCAAAGCGACAATGATCAAGACGTTGCTAGTAGCATACATTTTGTGGTTGGTTTGGACTGGAATGGGAGAACTGGTAGTAGTGATGCAAGATGCTTTCTATTTGGCCCTGTAACTGCGAGCTGATATACCCCAATGCTGGCGTTCCCAAACCCTGGCACGACGGTCCGCGACGCCGGATATCACCCCGCAAAAGGCAGATTTTAAGCCAACCCGATGGATGGAAATGGCATTCAGTACTTGGAGCTGTCAAAATGACGCGAGGACACCGATGTAGGCGTTACGGAGAGATTTCGGTGAGGACTGAACTACTGTAACTGAGGTACAGTGTGTCGTGCACAGGCCACTAACTAGCCATACATTTTATATGCCGAAGTCGACGCGGACGACACCTAAGGCACCCATGATCTGGAGGCAAGAAAAGCGAGATCACTCTTTGATTCTGTCGTTGTTGCCCCTACCGAGTCCGGCGACCGCCAGTTTCCCTCAAGACAGATCCAGAGGTTTGACCGGAGGTATCGGTCCTGTACATGCTTCCCCAGTAGCAGCTGCAGTTTTGCCACTGTCGCACAGGATCATCTGGCCATTCACACACGAAGAGAGGTTCGACGCCAGAAACAGTTGAATGTTGGCAACCTCGTCTGGGTCTTGCAGTCGGTTGTAGTAATATTCTGGTGCTTTCAACAACCCTGCTCGTTCAAAAAACCACATATGGTTTTTCTGCAACTGTTCCGCGTCCTCATCGGTTTTGTACTCGCCTTGCTCGGCTTTTTGTGAGTTTGACAAGATACCGCTCTTTGTGAAACCAGGAGCGACGCCGTTGACGCGGATGTTACTGGATGAGAGATGGACCGACGCGCCACTGATCATGCCATGCAGTGCTGTCTTGGCGACCGCTATCCGGGAAAGGTCAACCCAGACTCTGTCATGCTTGCACCACTTAGTTACTTACCATAAGGGAGATCGGAGTACGATCCAAGATACCCAGCACACGATCCGGTGACCACAAAGACTCCTCCAGGCTGTGGCTTCTCCTCAGACGTGACCGCCATGGCCTGACTGCCGTATTTGATGCCAATGAACACTCCGCGCGTCATAACATTGACTTGTCGGTCATAGTGAGCCAGCTCTGTATCGTTGAGGTGTCTGGGAACGCAGATCAATGAGGAAGAGGGGCAGGAATTGGGACAGGGGCCACGAACCTGTAGTTTGCGAAGCCAGCATTTGGAATGTAGAAATCGAATCGCCCATGCTTCTTGGTGATTTCCTTAACAACTGCCAATGTCTGTTCCTCCGAAGAGACGTCGAGCTTTCGTCCTTCAATGATGGTGGTGTGTCCGGCTTTCTTGCATTCTTCTTGCAGAGAGGGGATAGCGTTGATATTCAAGTCGCACGCATAGACGGCTTTCGCCCCAGCAGCAGCGAACTTTTTGACGCATTCACGACCGATGCCGTACGCAGTGCCTGCCCCGGTAATTAAACCGACCTGGCCTTTGAGCAAGTCTGCACTTAGCAAGCTAGGATAACCATTCATTTTCGACAGCGACTTCGAGTTGGTAGACATTGATGTGAACAGGCTAGCCCGGCCATCTCGAGGGGAGACTGGCAGACAAATTATTTCGGGGCGCACTCAAACATCCGGACGAACTCTTTAAAGGTGCAGCTTATGGCCGAACTAGAGCATAAAATAGGCCGGGAGATGGTTTGACCTCAGGATGAACGCATTCCACTCCAAACGCTTGGTCCGTTGTTATCCGCAAATAGGGGATGATGGGGCCTTTTTGAGAATACGGGTGGATCGAATGTTCCAAACCGCTCCTAATCCATGGGCGCAGCATCAAACAGTTCGGCTCTTGCGGACACAAAACATACGACATGTGTAACGTTCTATCATGTTAAGTGGCAGATTGGCCAGGCGCTGCTTAGCTTCAATGCAATTTTATATCACTTCTATATAAGTTTGGCATACTTTGAGCATGAGGCGTCTAAGCACCGCCGAACACCTTTTTCGTGTCGGTGCCCTGTGCCCAGATCTTTTTCAACCACATGTGCGCGATTCTCCATCCTTGCGTAGTTCGTTGGAATTCAAATCGGTACGGTCCACCAAATGCATAGTGGGTTTCTGGCTTCGATATCTCGGGTGTCGCGCAAAACCACAGGTATGCGGTACCGGTCGCCTTGTCTGAACCGTCCACCTTGAACTCCATGTTGGTCATTGTGTGCTGAAGGCCCTCAAACTGTGACTCTACACTGGCTGCCTTGAGTATGGCGTCTCGGCCAACAACATCGCCCCAGGATTCGAAAGTCATAATAGGCCCATCCTCGATATAGGTCCCGGCGTAACCTTCCCAGTCTTTGGCATCTGCCGTGGTGCAATATGTGTTTAGCAACGTCTGAAGGGCATCCTTATCTTCCAGGATCTGGAGGCGTTTTTGTAGTTGTTCGAAGATATTGGATTGGTTGGCCATTTTTGAATTGTTTTTTCGTTCTTAGAGATTTGTCTGAAATGGTTCTTGTGAATGTTGTTACTGGGCTTCTCTACTCAGGGCAGAGAGACAGATGAGCGCGTGCCCATTATGTACCTCATATTGCCTCGGGCCAGACTTTGGTTGGGTTGGAGATACACATGATCCTGTGTGGGTTCAAGGAGCTCCGCTTCCGACGATTCCTAACGATTGAAGCGCGAAGCTCCCCCGCGGGCAGAAAATATGGTATGAATACTCATCCAACTCCGCAATTCTCTCGCAAATTGCGGAGTGTTGTGGTAGTCGTCCCGAAGTCAATCCGGGCTGAGTCGCTGTAAATCTCCGTCGTCGCTCACCCTCGGCAGCCAAAGTCTAATGCGTCCTAACCAACGTGATATTCGCTGCATTCTGCGAAATTCACCCCGGCGACTAGCAGCGCCAACTCCCGAAAGAATCCGTTGTGCCAGCTGTTAGGTGGAGACGCCCTTCCAAGAAGCTAAAGCTCGTCTTTAGGAGTTAGGGAAAGTCTTGGGCCTGTCATAAGCGGGTAACAGTCTTAGTGCGCCGGGATGAGATATCTAACCTGGAGGTCAAAGTAGCCACGGTGGACGGGTGACAACAGTCATAAGGTATGACAGCCGGGTGATAGCCTCGTCGTATCTATCCAAAATCTCTTCTCGGTGGCTCATCAAACTGTGTCACGATGGAGGGGAAGATATTCGTCGTAACTGGTGCTGGGTCGGGCATTGGAAGAGCTACGACTATCAGACTGGCAGAACTGGGAGCGGCCGGCATCGCCATCAGCGACATTGATCAAGCTGGCTTGGACGAGACGCGTGCATCGTGTAAGAGTTCCTCTCTTTCCTGAAACACAACATCCCGAAATGCTGTGCGTTGCTGATCGACAAAGGCAACAAATATCCCGCAAAGATCACCACCACCAAAGTCGATGTCAGTGATGCCCAACAGGTGGATTCGTGGATCAGAGACACGGTTTCCCTATTCGGCAAACTTGACGGTGCTGCAAACATAGCTGGTATTGCTGGCGGGGATGGGCAGACCACAGAGGACATAGTGAGCAATCAGCGCCCTTATCCTCCTCATGTTTGAGAACCTCTCGTTAACTTCATGGTTCAGGACCAGCAGGCGTGGGAAAAGATGATGGCCATCAACCTGACCGGAGTCATGATCTGCATGAAAGCCCAACTCCCGCATTTAACAAGGCCAGGTGGTAGCATAGCCAATGTTTCCAGCACTTCGGGCCTTAGAGGACTCCCGAACAATGCTGCCTACGCCGCTAGCAAGTTCGGAGTCATTGGCCTGACGGAGTCCACCGCAGCAGAATACGGCAAGAAGGGTATCAGAGTTAATGCAGTATTGCCGTGAGTACACCTGAGCGGTAACTATGTTGATCTCTCTAACCATACCGGCTCAGAGGACCGATTGACACTAAGATCTTCCGCGAGGGCGAGGCGAAAGGCCTGTTCAATGCGGATATAGTCAGTGCTGGCACATTGATGGGCAGGATGGGTCAAGCAGAAGAGGTAGCCAAGGTCCTGGCATTCCTACTGAGTGACGACGCATCGTATGTGACTGGAGGTAAGATGTCTAAACCCTTCAAATCTTCAGATGCTAACACCAATGTAAGCGCACTGGACCGTGGATGGAGGATACTCGGCTTGCGGTTTCTACCGAGCTGGATGAGTTGATGTATCTCCCCCGTGACAGGCAAGACTTAGTGGACAGCCAAGTAGGACTGGATTGTGATTGCATGTCTAGACTGGAAGATGAGGACAACATGTGCGACGAAGAAGAATCTATATGACTATTCCGTATTTGCCTATAGTTGTTTCTCTGCCTACAGACTACCATGAACCAGCTTCAGCTCCGTAATATGCCAGGGAATAACAAAGACGGCGTAGTAGTCCTTGAGTCCGTCGATACACGCCTTGAATGTCGGTTTCTTTTCAAAATCTTCGTGATGGGCCTGGAGCACACATTAGCTCTTGAGTCGTGCCTGTCATTTCCATATTGGCAACTCACATCGACAGATTTCCAGTTGATCAAGAGAAGTTGGTCTTGGGGGTTGTCGATCAGCGGGCTGATAAAGTGACCGTCACAACCGGGGTCTTCGTTGAGTATCGGCACTACAATCTTTCGAAATTGCGAATAGTATCCAGATACACCGCCGTCCACGACCTTGGTCAAGGCCACTTCGATGGCCGGTGAAGCCAGACTTCGGGACAAGTGAGCCCTATCATCCAGGCCTGTAGTATCGATCAAAGCGTGGTTCAACCATTCTATCCGCCTCCCATTCATAGCAGGTTGAATCACTCTGTGGAATTCGGTGTAGTCCGAGCTTGTGAAGAATGCATGGCTTGCGGCAAGGCTCTCCCATAAGACCAGAGCAACCTGCGTATGGCGATCTTCATGCTTCTTGCCCCTCCATAGTGCTTTCAGCCCTTTGGCTCTGTGGCAGTCAGCAATCTCAGAATTCTGCTTCGTGTCTCAAACATGCATACTTCTCCAAGATGCCAAAGGCTGGAGCCAGGTCTCGATTAATTTCCTCGTTGGTATGCACGGGTCGATGTGGCACAATAATCAGCTGGAGGGCTTGTTTCAAATTTGCCATTTTGGGCTCTCTGTCCGTTGCGATAGCTTAGCTTCTCGTCCTCGGCCTCAAATACGCCTATGTCTACTGTCTTGTCTACAGTATATGGCATTCTTTTAACGATTACTGAGGCGCAAACTCCACTTGCATGCCCAGCCAACCCGTAACACGACTCGTCAGCCGAATTGCTGTGCTGACAAGGAACTACGGAGTAATAGGAATTGCTACTATCCGTACCTGCTTGGCGAAATCCGTCCGAAATCACTCCGGGCCCCATTCACCAGTCAACAAATGGCTTTAGTACATCAGAGGCCACTATGGATTCCCAGCAGATACATGGCCACGGGGTTGGGGAATACCCGCAATTCAATCATGGCGCATGGCGCCTTGGACTTCGACCACGAGTCCCTTCGCAAGATGTTGGACGTACCGAAAATCGCGGAGATATAGTGAAGGTTCAACTAACCTAGTCTTTAGGCCAATAGTTGAATAGCTCACCTACTGTATAGTGTATTCGCGGAGGGACCACACCAATCTGGGCGGCACGGATCCTCTGTGAGGGGCATCCACTGCCATCCAAGGACTTTGAAATCGAGCAGACCCTTTGCGCCCCTTCCTCTACCTTGATTGCTCGTGATCGCTGTTCGGATCTTCCCCCTGGGCTCGGAGAATGCCCCTGGTTCTCCATGCTGGAGTCCCCGTGTAAACCATTCCAAACTCATGAAGTCCCACACGTGACGGCGCAAGGACTACGACTTTGTTTTCTTGTCAATCAACTTTCCAGAAAGGAGCCGGAGTAGCACCTTGTCTGCGTTGGAAGGTTCGCAAACATGTCTGAGAACAATTTTTCTGGAGAGGAAGGAACGCAGTTGCGGTCAGCGATCGCTTGCCATGTCTGCCGTAAGCGCAAAGTCAAATGCGGAAGAGAGATGCCGCAATGTTCTCTTTGCCAGCAGTCGTTGCAGGTCTGCGAGTATCCCGAAAAACCTTCGCGACCAGGCCCCAAGATTGGATCGACTCAGAATCCTCGAAAACGGAAGAACCGAAGTAAGCGGCATCCCTATCTTGGCCCTTGTAGAGCCTCGCAGATGATTGACATGAGGTTTTTTATAGCTGCAGATGGGGAAGAAGACCAACCACAGGAGCGTACTAGGCAACCAACGTCGCCTGCGCGACAGGTTCGTTCAGACGACTCGAATACCAGTACTAGGATTTCAAATTCTCAAGACGTGTCTGAGGCACCAGAGTCACCTGCCAGACAAGCTGACGACATCCAAGCACTCAGCTTTATTATTCACCCGTCGCACGAGTCATGCACGTCGGAAAAGGGAAAGGATGACAGCCCAGGGAGTAATAGCCACAGCCAACAGGGAAGCCATGTTACGGCGAGCTGTTATGCCTTGGGCTTTAGCCCGGTGCTCCTTGACCATTTGTACGTCTTGCACATTATGCGTCAAAGACAGGCGCGCTGATTGATCATCCCTAGCATTGACCGGTTTTTCGAGAACTTCACCTCATTTCAGCTTGTTTCGTCCAGCAGACCTCCGCCCGTCGCTCCATTCCCTCGAAAGCGCAAATCAATGTCAAGCGCTTCTTGCAGTGATTTTGCTGTTCGCCACCAAACATCAGGACGACGAAGATGACGCGATGCACGAGCAACTGCCGCAGAATCTTTCCAGCTCTCACCTTCTTGCACAGGGTCACAAACTCGTTGATCACTCCTTTTACGAATGTGAAGACGAGCCCATCTCTCTGCCCCTGCTTCAAGCGGTAATTCTTCTTACTCATTGGCTATTGATTCAAGGAGTTCGAGGCAGAGCGTGGAGATATCTTCGGGTAGCGGTCGGGAGTGCTTATGAACTCAATATGCATCTCATTGACAGGAACAAGGGAACTGACGACAAGGTCGATGCAGACTTGTGGTGTGAGGAAGAAGGACGTCGTCGGGCATGGTGGGCCATCTGGGAAATGGATGTCTTTGCCAGCGTCATCCGTCGTTGTCCAACGGGGATTGACTGGTCCCAAAACGAGACTTTTCTTCCCGCCGAGGATGAAAAATGGTATCGCGGCCAGCCTCAAAAGAGCTGTACCCTCAGGCAGGACCTCATTGAGAGATACAAATTTCTCGAAGCCTCGGGCAACAAATCTCCCAAGGCCTGGTTTATTGTCGTTAACTCCCTGATGAAGGGAGCCCAGAACATCACTAATCCGTTTGGAGTAGACAAGGACGTACCATCCAGAGGTCACTACAACACGAACCAGCTTCACAATCCCGCTGATGACAGCCGTCGGAATTCACCTTCATGCAAGGAGTCTCTCAATCGGCTGCTCATGATTTACAACGCGCTTCAATGCACTAGCATGACACTTCCGCGATATCTGAGATATCGAAACCAAAATCTCAGTTTCGGCTCTCGAGAATTCGACCCTCAGTCAGCCCAGACCTGCCGGCTTCAACACAATGATATCTACAGCATCCACTGTATGGTACAACTGACGAAGTTGATGATCTTGAAATACTACCTCTTCGACAGCGATCTGGGGGCCCTCTCGAAAAACGATCCACGTCGCAGCACCGCAATGACTCAAGCTCTAGAGCGATATTCCGAAGCCTTTGATGAAATCGTCTCTTTAGTTGGCCGGAGCTATGAAGAACACTACAAATATGTCAACCCTTTCGTCGCCAACACTATCTGGCTCGCTAGCGCCATGCAATTATGGTATCGGGAACTCGCATCACTTGACAAGTCGGACAGAGACTTCACAAATTCGAAGCAGGAGTTGCTAAGTGTGACATATAACAGATTCGTAAGGTACTGGACATGTCGTCCACATTACAAAAGAACCTCGAAGTCGTTCAAAGCGAAATCCGCAATCTCCAATCCAAACCACAAAAGGGTAAGCGAGGCAGCCGAACCCGCAGACCATCGGTGGCAAAGAGCAGGGCATCCAACGCCTCTGTTGCTGGCGTGGTCACCAACGACGCGGGCTGTACAGAAACCCGAAATACTGGTAAGCACAAAGATTTGTTTCCAGCGTTGGTAAGACTGCCACCGACTGACGAAGAATCATTCCTAGGGACCACAATCCAAGTCCAGGAGGACCCGGCCAGCGTCGAGAAACGTCCTTGGCACGGGATCCCGGAAAAAGGGAATACTACTAGTAGAAATGACCTCTACGAGGACAACTTGGCCCAGTATGGTCAAATGGATACAAGACTGTTTGGCAATGCTTTAGAACAGGCTCCCCTTACCAAATCTTCAGACAGTGTGCACGCATTTCTTGTGTCCGCATCTACAACGATGGCACAAGTGCCAACTATGACCCAGGCGATACATACCAGCAATGGAATCGACACACACGGAGATCTTGCGTTTTACCCAAGTACAAGCACGGAAGCAGAGCTGTCGCCGGACTTTTATGTTGGAGATTTGACAGGAGGGAATTCTGATCTGTCTCATTACTTTGGTGATATACTGTCTGGTGGATACATGGCATAGTCGACGAGAAGGTAGTAGTGACAGCAAAGATGGATAGTGTATACTAATACCTCCATCTATCTGCGACTTTCTCTAATCAAAAGTGATGACGGCTCTTCCTTTGAGTTTGCCGTCTCGAAGCGCCTGGTACGCCTCGGGGACCTTGTCGAAAGGAAAGCTGTCGACATCAATCTTGAGCTTCCCGTGCGAGGCAAGATAGCAGACTTCCTCGAGATCCCTGCGAGTCGAGCCCAAGCTGATGGCAAACTCACAGCTAGTGGCAATCTTGTTCCAACCAACCTCGACCGTGCCCATATCCATTCCCACCAAGACAACCCGGCCTTGAGGCCTGGAAAGCTTCATTGCCAAAGCCATACTTTCATTGCTGCCGACAAAGTCGAGGATCCCATCGACGCCTTTTCCACCGGTCTCCTCCAAGATCTCCTTTGCCGCGTTCGGCCCAGCCTTGAACGACCGCTTGGCCCCTAATTCATCGGCAATCTTCAATCGGTGGTCACTAACATCGACGGCGTACACTTTGACGCCCATCAGGAGAAGAAGGAACTGGAGCGCGTAGGAACCTAAGCCACCGCATCCGATCACAAGGGCCGACGAACCCGGCCTGAGTCGATCCTTGACCGTGCCCACCGCGTGGTAGGCGGTGACACCCGCATCCGTCAGCGGGGCGTATATGACGGGGTCCTCGTCCCCAATGCTGACAAGTTGGTCGCGGGGACAGATCATGAACTCGGCGAGGCCACCATCCCATCCAGTGCCGCGGTTGATCTCAATGGCGCCCCTTTTGTATGTCTCGCAATGTTGCTCCACGCCACGAATGCAGAATTCGCAGTGTGAACAGTGGGGCATGTGGCGGACGGCAACACCTTCGCCGACCTTGAGATCCGTGACGCCTTCGCCAAGGACCTCGATGACGCCCGCGTTTTCGTGACCAAGGGTGTATGGTGCATCGACGGCCGAGGCGTACGGATCTGAGCCTGGCTGCGAGTCGACCATGTCCAAATCCGAGCGGCAGAGACCGGCGGCCTTCATGCGGATGAGAACCTCTCCCTCCTTGGGTGATGGGACAGGAACCTCGCAGTATTGCCCCGGCTTGCCGTACTCCAACAGGCGGAAAGCTTTCATGGTCTTACCAGGCATTTCTGGAGTTCTCTTCAAATGTCTAGATGGGGTCCAAGAATAGATGTAATCAGGTATATGTACGTAGTCCGAAGTATATTACTATTGATTGTCAAGTATTTTGCAAGAATAGAAGTAAATCTTTCCACAAGAGGTTGACTGAGTATATAGTTGACGAAGTAAACAAGAATACCCACACGTATTTGGTCGCCCTACCTCCAATAGAGTCCTATTTCGTTTTCGGTGATTCATGCACCGGAGAAGACAGATCCTCCGCTTGAACGGGCAGTTCCCTTACTCCTCCAAATCCCCGCTGGTAGCATTTGTGGAAAAGTTCATGCGAAATCTCGCCGTCTTCGCTGGCCGTATGTGTCACCTGCCAGGGGAAGGCCTGACATTTCCGGATCCTCTGGTCACGCTCCACCTCGGGACTTTGGGGCATTGATCATCAATATTTGAGAGTGCGACTCCAATGGAAGCCCATCAGTGCCATCCCTGGCCTATCTATCATCTTCTTGCTATCAAGGCCGGGAGAGGCAAGGTGGACAGTCCACCAGCGCAAAAGAATTCCAGCCTCAAGTAAGAAAAGCCTACACATACGAATAACATGACAGCCAGCGACGTGTATGAAAATGCCGGCACCAAAGTCCTGCGGCCAGCATATCTCGCTCATGTGGTCTTGCGCACGCCCGACCCGGAGAGTTTCAAGGCCATGTGCGACTTCTACGTGAAGTTTCTCAACGCCGAAATCACGTACCGCAACAACGTGCTCTGCTTCCTCACGTACGACGAGGAGCACCATCGCATCGCCTTTGGCATTTTCCCAGACACGGTCAAGCGCGTGGGAAAGCCGGCAGGCCTGGCCCACATTGCCTTTACATACAACACGTTGCAGGATCTTGCCGTGTCGTATCGTCAGCGCAAAGCCCTGGGGCTCACTCCCTTCTGGTGCGTGAACCACGGTCCGACAACGAGCCCGTATTTCCGAGATCCCGATGGGAACGAGCTCGAGACGCAGGTGGACAATTTTGATACTCCGCAAGAGGCCAGCGAGTTTTTTGCTTCCAAGGAATTTGAGGACAATCCTATAGGAGTCGACTTTGATCCTGAGGAGCTCATTGAACGACTGAAAAGTGGAGAGGACGACAGGTCGATCAAGAAGAGGAAGAATATTGGTGTGAGGCAAGGAATTCCTGGATGGTGAGCGTAGTTGCCTTGCGAGATAATCGGGATTGGCTGTGGTGGTATCTCGAACCATGTATAAACAATTTTGTATTTGAATGAAAAGACCTCCAATCTTGTAGCGCCGTAATGAAATGCAGCTGAGCTATTCAAGTAGACTGGTGTTAACTTGTAAAGCAATGCATGTCAATGTTTCCTAATCGGTCGGAACAAGACCGGTCGGTGTGATGGGGCTCAGCAGAAGGAAAGGGAACGACACTTCCTTTCCATCCGCGGTCCGATACACGGTACACCATAGCTCGAGTCTATTCAAAGCCCGCTGGATTCCAATCCGGATCACTAGTTGACCCACGACGTTGACAGCTATATTTTATATCTTACAGAGCGTGGCATCCGCATCCCAATCTCTCCCACCGCTTCCAATCATGTCGTCCGAACAGATGAAATGCAAGTTCAACCACGTTGCCGTCGCCGTAGACGATCTCGACGCTGCGGTCAAATGGTACACAGAAACGCTCGGTTTCCACCAGATCATACCCGCTGCGCACATGAGCCGAAAACAAGATCCGCATGGAATAGTCTTTCGAGGTACGTTTGGCCTTTCAGCATGGCCTTTCCATCTACAAAGTCTCATATTCCTGATATCCGTGTATCAGTCTACGGTCCGGACCTCCACGACGTCAAGGTCGCCTACTTGGGTGCCGAGAATCAGATCGGGTTTGAGATCTTTCAATTCATCGACCCACCGCACCAGGGCGCCACAATTGCGTCTCCGGCCTTGTTCGACGCCAGAGCATGGACGCGTGGGGGCTTCTTCCACATCGCCGTGACCACGACGGAACCAGAGATGCTGGCGGAAAGGGTGCAGGTGGCAGGCGGTAAGCGCGTTGGGAAGTCTGTGACGCTGCCGAACGGCGAGACGGCTCTGTACGTGCAAGATCCTTGGGGCAATGTTATTGAGGTTTGCTCTGCGGATTTTGAACGCTTGATTACTCCTCGGGCGGGTGATGATGGGCTATGTTAGCTTGGCCGAAGTGAGAAACGTCCAAAGGATATATCATAAAGCCATGGTCTACAGGTCACTAATCCCCTTGATTACACTTTCAATAAAGTCATCAAGGTTCGTACAGTCCGCTGCGAAAACTCCCAGAGCCTGCATTTGCTGTTCGAGATCCTGTCGAGAATGCGACACGACAATGGCCCCACTGAAACAGAGCTCTGCCAACGGTCCCGGAACGTTTGCTCTGTCGATGCTCTTGGCTACCCTGGTGGGCGGACCTTTGGTCGTCTGCCCTCCAAGGCCCTGTATGAGCAGCAAGGATGCTTTGTCAATCATCAGTGCTTGGAAGCAGTCTTCCAAGTCATTTGCCATCGAGTCCAGGGCTGAGAATTTGCTGAGAGCATGTTCCGCGGCTTCTTGTATGCGGACGGGAAACTCGAGGCGTAAGCTCTGGCGACATATCTCCCCCGACCTTCGCTGTAGCGCCCTCACTAAGCTCTCCCAATGGGCCCATGAAAGATCAGCCCATGTGCACAAGACAAGGAGTGGCGAGTGGCCTTTTCCAGTTGTCAGACCTTCTAAACTGTATTTGACTATCATGTTGTCCCGCGTCGTGATATAGCTCTCAATGCTGGGCCACGGACCAGATAACGTTCTGGTCAGCCCATCAGGACTAACGAACTCTTCGATTTTGCTCCGCTGCAGAGCTGCAAGGTCTCGTGCAGCCCGGGTTTGTAGGTAGTGCATCTTGTACGAGTGCCTCCATTTCCGCGCCACGACGTTAGTCCTGCTCTCGGATTTTATGGCAATCTGGTGCTCGGGTCCGCCTATGGCGGTGCCTGGCGCAAATTCGTTCAACGTCAGGTATTCGATGGTCGAGCACCTTTGAATAGCTTCCAGAGGTACGTCTTCGATTACAGATGTGCGGTATCGTCTCGTCCGAAGCCACCCGGGAACTTTTCTGAGCGGCGGAATGTGATCCTCCTCGTACCATCGGTCCCATTCTGCCTCAGCTTCTGGAGAGTCATGCCTGAGTCGGACGCCGACGACAATGAGCGTTACACCGTACGCTTTGTCAACGTCCCCATTACGTAGATTTTGTTCCTGCGAGACGAATTGCGGCGCTTCGTACGTCGACACGAGGTCGTAGTAGCGACGCCACGCTGTGACTTTGTTGAGGACTTGGTGTTCACGCATCGACTGCACGCCGGGATCAAGGAGACGTCTGTACGGTTCCCTCGTCAACTCCCACATGTCGAGAATGTCGTATACTGCCAGCCACTCGGGCAGTCCGCTCTCAGCGCTACTTTCGACACCATTTTCGATCGAACGGTACCGGTACCCGTTGTTGAAGTAGGGGAGCCGCATTCGTATCGGGACGTGCTCATTGTTGTACCAGTCATCGCATTCCTGAACAGAGATGTCTTCCTTAAGTGACATTGGCACCATTATCAGTCCGGGCACGGCTTTCTCTCGAGTCAAGGCCATCGTGGGCCAGATATCGAGGGAGGGTCAGTGTCCTTTGCTATGTCTCGAGAAGCGTGCGAGAATGACCGCGTAATGAGGAGTAAAGAAATGGCTGTATGCGTTCTCGGTCACCCAGGCTTGAGTTTCTGATTAGTAACAACGTGGGCATCAATATTGATTGGTACCTTTACCACAAGACTGGAGCGAAGGCCAGACACCAGCCCGCGCTGACTGCAAATACCAATACATCGTCCATCAGTTAGTTTGTGTAGCCTTAGTTTCGGGTACCATGCTCCAGGAACGCCGAATTTGCGTCCATTTGCCGAATCCGCAGCAGTTAACTGGGTTAGCGGACGAACTTCGTAGTAATTTCAGTGGGCAACTGGAGCCTTCCACAGACCTTCTTCACGCATCAAATTATTCGACCCCAGAAGGAAGATAGGCGGGTCTGGAGCAAATGCGGGATAAGTCAGAAGATGCAACAAAGTCATTTCATCCACTCTGCGTTGTCGATAGTCGCAATTGGTTCTCATGCGCCTCATCAGCAGGGGTTACTCTTGGCTACCAACCAGAAAACTGTTCAGTCCACCGTGGAGGGACGCAGGTTTGTTGGCCACGAACATATCGTGCGTTCTTTCGGCGAAGCACTCCAGATGTGCACCGTTGAAGCCTCATTACAGGTCCAATCCTCGCAGCTTCTTCCCGTCCTTGTCATACAAGCCATCAACTAAGGTCGGCCTGACCGTCTTTCCGTTGTATGGTATCTCGCTCAAAAACCCCCAGTGAGAAGCCTGCTTCCAACCCTTCTTTTGCCAGTTATTCATTGTGCCCTTTGGGAAGAAGTCAAAGACATCTAGGGAAGTCGGGTCATGAGCAATGACAACCAGGACATTTGGATCAGCGTCGAATTCCTCCAGAGCTTGAGCTGATTTTCGCGATGTCTCGGGATCGCGATACCAGCTTTCCGGGCCTCCCGTGATTTTCAGAAAAGGCGTCTAGGAGAAGTCATGTCAGCAAACGGGTTGAGAAGATGGCATAGTTGTCCAGCAGCTATCATGTTGATCAACTGTCCAGCTGCAGATCAACCTACCGTGCGTCCATTTCCTTGGTTGGGATGAGACGACAAGAATGCAGTACACGGGCAGGGCCGTGGTATGGCCTTGTCGAGTACAGCTTCCTCCGGTATCTGGTCAGGAAGAGGTATTGACTTTGTCGGACGAATGACTCCTCCATGGTGGCAAACATCACCGCCCAAGAAGACGAAGGTGTCCGGTGTGGTTCTGACCAAGCCACATATGTGCCCGATCGCATGTCCCGGTACGTTCAAGATGTAAAAGCTGCCATCACCGAAATAGTCGTACATTTGAAATCCTCCGATCTTGAAGTCGTCCGAGAAGGACACTTCCACCACCTCGCGGCCCTCGAAGTCAGCCTCATGAAACTCGGAGTCCTCCTTGGTCGGGTATCCAGGTAAGAACGCTTCTCGAAACCCTGGCCCGACGACCAGCCGGACACTCTTTGGCAGGTGCGCTGCAGCGCCCACATGGTCCCAATGATGATGGCTCAGGACTACAGCTTGCACGTTATTGATGTCTACACGACCTTCTGGCAGTATATCTACGACATCCTTCGTGACTCGCAGTCCATGCATACGCTCTCTGATGAGCTTCGACAGCTTAGGAACGAAGTTTTCCCAGTCTTTACGACCTCCGAGGTCAAAGAGCACTTCGGTGCCTGAAGAAGCATGCTTTATGTGGAAAGAATAGGTCGGTAAATTTAGCCAGTTGTATCCCTCGATCGCTGGCTCCACCAGCCATGGGGGAGGGATTGTGATATCGCAAGTGGTGTTGATTATTGAGAGTTGGCAGGTCTGGGAGCTTGGAGGTACCTTTGAGGATACTGTTTGAGCCATGACAGAAAGAGAGTAGACCTTGCCCAGTCAATCACGCTCGAACGCAGGTTTTCTATGGCTGCAAGAATTACCGTGAATGCGAAACAATGTCACCATCGCGAAGAAGCACGGAAAGCATTAATTGTGACTCTCAAGCCGAGGATAAGTGACTTAGAGCTAGCTGTTGGAGTTTCAGGGTGGACATGTCCATCCTACTTGTGCGATTGTGCTGCTGGTCGGAGTTTACCCTGTCACGCCCTGTTCCTCTTCTGACCCCATATGTCGGTCCGCTGCACAGACACTCTCCCTCACATGGCCAACCACTTCGGTATCAAAGGTCAAGACCATCTCGGTTGGTTGACTCCGTGGCCCTCGGAGTCGACGCCGAAACCTCCACACCATCGGTCTCAAGCGCCGCCCTGGGATTGCTAATTTATAGCAGATCGGCCACTGCATCTCCGCATGTCGGCGCTCTCTCACTTGCCTTATTTAGCACATCGACTTTACCGGAACTTGTCAAGAGCAGACTAGTAGCCCGGTTTCCAATCTCTCCATCACGACCTAGAAACATCCCTAGAGCCACGCCGACGACAGTGTGAAGCCTGGAACAACATCAGCAAACATGGGATCAATCAGTCAATCACTCTCGCCATCGTTCTACAGCAACAAGCATTATATCAACGGCGAGTTTGTCGAATCGAGGTGTAAAGAAACCTACACTGTCCGGAACCCCAAAGATGAATCCGTCTTATCAGACCGGATGGCCGTGGCTGGCGATGAGGACGTCGAGGCAGCTGTCGAGGCCGCCGAAGCAGCCTTCAACGGGCCTTGGAGTTCATTCACCGCGCAACAACGGACAACATGTTTGAACAAGCTTTGCACAATTCTAGAAGACAAACTTGTCGACATTCTGACGCTGGATTCTCTTGCATCCGGTAACCCAGTGTCCATCATCCCAACTCGAGAGAAGAACTATATCATCACTGCAATTCGATACTACGCAGGATGGACGGACAAGCAGAAGGGTGACTATTATCCGGCCGATGATGGTTTCGTGAAACTGGTTCGACATGAGCCACTTGGTGTCTGTGCTGCCGTCAACCCGTACAACGCGCCAATCGCCACGTTTATTTTCAAAGCCGCACCGGCTCTGGCAACTGGCAACGTCCTCATCGTTAAGCCTTCCGAAAAGACGCCCTTTGGGTCGTTAGCTTTAGCTCCTTTGTTCGAAGAGGCTGGTATTCCCAAAGGTGTCATCCAGGTGCTGTCTGGCGGCGGCAAATCTGGTGCCTTGCTGGCAAGCCATATGCGTATCCGAAAGATCAGTTTCACCGGAAGTGTGCCGACTGGCAAGAAGATCCAAATTGCGGCCGCTCAAAGCAATCTCAAGCGGGTAACGCTGGAGCTTGGTGGAAAGAGTCCTGCATGTATCTTCGAAGACGCAAACCTCGACAATGCACTGACGTGGACTGTCAATGCATTGCTGGCAAGATCCGGACAAGTCTGCGTTGCTGCGACCAGAGTGTACGTGCAAAAGTCAATCGCCAAGGAGTTCATCGACAAATACGTTGCGAAGCTGAAGGAAGCCGCAGATCGTCTCGGAGACCCACAAGATCCCAACACCGGACTTGGTCCCCTAGTGGACCAGCTTGCCCTAGAAAGAGTCACAGGCATGATCGAGCGAGCGAAGCAGGATGCTGAATTGGCTGTAGGAGGAGCACGAAAGGGAGATAAGGGTAGCTTTGTTGAACCTACAGTCTTTCTCAATCCTAAGGCAGGCTCTGAAATCTTGGAGAAGGAGGTGTTTGGTCCTGTTTCAATAGTCAAGACTTTCGAGACGGAAGAAGAGGTCATCAAGGCGGCCAACGATACTGAGTATGGTCTTATGGCTGGCGTCTTCACGAGAGACGTGTCGAGGGCATTGAGAGTCTCGTCGAAACTCGAGGCTGGTGTTGTCGGTGTCAACTGTGTCAGCTACGTATGTCATCCTGCGAGTTTTCTCTGCTCGTGATCGCTAACGAATTACTTTCAGATGAATATGCAAGCTCCGTTTGGTGGAAAGAAGGCTTCGGGGGTGGGACGAGAATTCGGCGAATATGCGCTGCGTGCGTTCACGGAGCCAAAGACGGTGCTTATCAAGTAAGTCATCTCCAAGAACTTTGCATATACAGAGTACTAACGACGCTTGTCCAGCATGAATGCATAAATCGAGGACCGGATCTGAGCGTGCAATTGCACAGGCAAAGCATTAACTGGCATCGGCCTCCGTCGGGGTTGAGGACAACTTTGATCTTGTCTGGATGGCCAGTTTGCAACAGCACCAGTCATTGACACTTTCATGTAGCATAGATCTTGCCCACATCACAAGATGAGTTGTAATGAAGCAGCTATGCTTGTACCATGAAATTATTCTCTGCCATGTTGGCAACTTTTCCACCTCTTCGCAAGGCCTCAAGTCCGTGGTCATTCGATCACGTGCTTGGTCTGCCCTGTGATATTAGCGTCGGGATACTTGCCCAGCCTAGTATTCCCCCTCCTTGCGCTCAGTTACGAGTGACTACATATAGCGGCCAGTCTTTCCCTCTTAGATTAGTTAGTTAATCAATCTCTTCCGCCGCTACAACCACAGCCCGGTGCGGGGTGCGGGGAATTCTGATATCAGCCTCGGCAAGTTGTTATCGCTTATCGCTTATCGGAGTGGGTATCCGAAGAAATCGACGTTCCCCTAACTAAATTCTTCGGTGTCTCTGGCCTAGCCAGCTTTGCAATGCCGTGTTGGAAACAGTACGGGAGCCATAACTCCGTATATCGGATGTACAGATCATTCATTTCTCTCCACTACATGTAACTAATGCGCATGACCCAACTAGCCGACGGCAGCGGTGCCGAAGACACTGCATTTGCGGAGGTCAGTCAGTTTTCCTCCACAGCCTTGAAGTCTCGTATCGACAGCCGGCGTCAAGCGGCAGCTCAATGATTGACGCACAATTCAGTACTTCTGCTTTGACCAGCCTCGTCTAGCCACGTCTCTCGCCTTTTTGTCTCGCACCCCAGACGCTCCGAGATCAGCTTAAGTGACTCACGGTAGAATTCCCACCAGCCCGAGTACCGAAACAAGACGGCGGTTCCGGCCAAGTACAAGTCGACAGCAACGTCCTCGCGAGATCCTACTGGTTACATCAGCAAGAACACCAGACAGTTACCTTACAGCGAAGAAGGCTGTGACATCGTCCGTGTATCCTTGCGCGTTTCTTTGGTTGCCACTGCAACATCCCAAACCAATCATGGGTTCATCGGATACAATGGACGCCGTGATATTCAAGGCCCCCTGGAAGATGGCGACCGAGAAACGACCAATCCCCAAAATCATCGAGCCAACCGATGCCATTGTCAAAGTCTCTGTGGCAGGGATATGTGGTAGCGACTTACACTTCTATCGTGGCCACCAGAAAATGGAACCAGATTGCATATGTGTGAGTGTCCCCGTCTTCTGCCTGCCTTTGACCCTTTTGTCCGACGTGCTTTTGCCGTTGGTGAGACCATGAAGGCCACCGTCCAGCATGTTGGAGAATGCAAATATCGACTATGTGGGAGACCTCAGCGTGCGGCATGATCAACAACATACAACGTGAAGGCGATTCCCTCCCGACAAGATATTATTCTGCCTCACCCCACAAACTGATCAACTCACCGCCACAAAAACCCCAGCCTTCCAGTCAGGAGAAAAAGCAACAAAAAATCTGGTGGTGGTGCGTAGTAGATGGTCCTTTCGAACCACCTACTACTATAGCTCTTCTTTTGCTCTTGTAATACCCTCATCCACTGAACAGGAATCAAGTACTACAAGTCGAGATAAGACAGACCATGCAATGTCAGATCCGGAAGAGCCCCAACCTTCCAAACCACAGCATAGCCTTTCCATTAGAGGACAGGTCACTACCTCCTTGGACCCGACTTTAGGACATATGCATGAAGCAATTCGAGGTCTATAATATATCAACCATGATGTTATGGGGCGGGTGAGGTACAATGAGACACTGAACCGGCTTCACCGCCTGCTGGCAGAAGGACTTCTGCTCTACGATGAGGAGAACCGACTTCTGCCAAGAGAGAGCGAGAGACGATCGAGTGACTGACCGCTGCGGCACGAACTCTGAAGGCACACGTTTTTTTGGCCACTTGTTGTACAAAGAGCTACTTTTCGGGGAGTTTCAGTCCATGTTGCTGACATTTTGATGCGCTTGACAGGGCCACGAATTCGTCGGACACGTCCAAGAAGTCGGCTCGAGTATCAAGAACTTTAAAGTCGGCCAGAAGATCGTCTGCACGTTCACTATCACATGGTACGCCTCTCTTCCCTCTCTCTTGCGTTTTTTTGCCTTTGTGCCGGTCGACTCTCTCCCTCTCTCAGCCTATATCTCCTGTTCACCCCTTCCCTGTTTTGATAGCACTGACATCTGTCCGTCCAGTATGGAATGCTGGTTCTGCGTGCACGGCTACACGAACCGGTGCATCCGCGGCAAATCGTTCGGATCGCTGGGCTTCGACGGCGGCCAAGCCGAGTACGTCCGCGTGCCTTTCGCCGACGGCACGCTCCAACCCGCCCCGACGAGCGTCGACGACGAACTGCTCATCATGATGTGCGACATCTTCCCGACGGGCTACTACGGCGCCGCGCGGGCGATCCAGTACTTCGAAAGCCAGGCGCGCGAGTTGGAAGGCATCAACAACAACGCCGCGAAACAGTCACAATCACAAGCCCAATCCCACTCACACGCCCAAGCCAGCGCAGTGTCATTCGAGATCCAGACGCTGCAGGACTGCGTCTTTGTCTGTCTCGGCTGCGGGCCCGTCGGGCTGTGCTCGATCCTGACGTGTCTGACCAAGAAGGTTGGCAAGGTCTTCGCGGTCGATGCCGTCGACGACAGGCTCGCCGAGGCCGAGAAGTGGGGCGCCATCCCGCTCAAGCTGGGCAGAGACGACATCAAAGCCTCCATCCTCGAGGCGACCGATGGGCGCGGCGCGGACGCCGTGATCGAATTGGTCGGGAACGCGCCGGCGTTGAAGTCGGCGTTCGAATTCGTCAGGCCCGCCGGCTGTATCTCGTCAATTGGCTTTCATCAGGGAGAGGTGCCGTTCACGGCGTTCGAGGCCTACGCGAAGAATCTCAAGTAAGTTTACTCCCTACCTCCTAGCACCTGCTACGCTAGGCTTCTCATATGCAACCCCCCTACCAACCCCACCCAGTTGAGGTCAATGTTTCAGGACAGGGTGTCTCGGTGTGGGGAAAACTGTGATCGGGGCTAACACGAGAGAAACAGTATCAACATGGGACGAGCGCCGGCGAGGAGGGTGTTCAATGATGCGCTGGACGTGTTGGTTGCAAATTCGGACAAAGTGAGGGAATTCGTCACGCATAAGTTGCCCATCTCCGAGGCGGCCAAGGGGTATGAGATCTTCGAGAAGCAGTTGGCGAGGAAGGTTGTGTTGGTATTCTAAGTAGCCCCTTGAATGGTAAGGGCGAGGGATGAGGCAAGTCCAAGTTAAGCCTGGGAACACAAAATGACCATTCAGGGAAGCATTCCCAGAATAAGTATTCGTGGTCCACCAATGGGACATGGACCCGAATCGGTGAGATGTACCTGGCCGCGTGGCGGACAACGATAGACGCTTGAGGCACATGGTGCTGGATGACAGTGGTTTCACAGGAAGAGGAAGAGAAGGGCAGTATGTTCTGATGAAGTGAGATGGTGGTGGCATCGAAAATACAATTGTACAATACAAACAACAATCTTGGTATCAAATTTGCAGGATGTCCTTTTTCCCAACCCCTTCTGCACGATACCTGGTAGTAAATATCCTGCAGTCAGATTCCTTTGGCTCTCGTGCTCATCTGGCTTATCGCGTCCTTTCGAGCTGGAAGATATCACCGCTTACTTCGGACTCTGAAACAATAGCAATCAGCAAGGATCGTCTTGAGACGTCACCGCACGAAATTCTCATACCTCAAGTTGTGTCGATTGGACATGCTTCTCATGAGGGATGTCATGTTCAGCGTGTCCGTGATGTTTGAGCTCCTCCTCCAAGGAACCAGCAACCTCGTCACCGAACAAGCGGCCCATCTCCTCCATTGGGATATTTGCAGTCTCAGGGTAGAAGAAGTACACAATCACCCACATGGCAGCCGTGCAGAAGACGAAAAGAAGATAGAACTTCCAGCCGCAATTGGCAAAGCCGGTCGGCGAGGCCTGCAGGTAAGCGATCGAGGCAAGCCATTGACCTGTCAAAGTGAGGTGAGTACAAAAATCGTCCAGAAAGAAGAAGCACCGTAGGGAGGGTGTGTTTCCAAACTTACCAGATACCGAGAGAGCAATGCCTTCCGATCGCACCTCGGATGGCCAGATTTCAGACATGTAGATGTACATGACGGCGTCGACCATCGACGAAAACCAGGGGATGTACCAGAAGATGAAAAACACCCCGGTCACCAATACTGCCTTGTTCGTGGATGGTAGGAACGACGAGGCGACGGTCTCACCGATCAGGGCGCTCAAGGATCCAATGAGACCGATCAAAAAGGAGCGTCGTCGTCCCAGTTTATCGATGATCAAAGAGGAAGTGGTGTTCCCGACCAAAGCGATGGCCAGGTATACCCAGTAAAGACCCAGGGAAAGTGACGCGCCTACTCCGAGGCCAGGATAGAGGATGATTTGGTAATTGTTGATGACCAACACGCCGGTTCCCTGGATACCGAACATGATACCAAAGCCGAGGGCGCATCGGTGGAGGTAGGATTTCTTGCTGAGGAGGTATTTCCACCGGCCGATGAATGACGCCACGGCACCACCACTCTTTTCGCGTTCGAGTTGAATCTGAGCGACCATGAGATCGAACTCGGCTCGTGCAAAGTCGTCGTTCTCATCATCAGGAGAGCGGTGGATGCGTGTAACCACCCTTTTCGCCTCGTCGAGGTGATCCTTTAGAATCAGCCACCTCGGAGATTCGGGCATCCAGAAGGAGAAGGTCAAGAGAAGCGCCGGGAAGAGACATTGCAGAGCGAGCGGAAAGCGCCATGCGAAGTTGCCATTCTTTGCAAAATAGCATCCGTAACTGACAGCTGCCGCGGCGTTGTAACCGATAGCAAGACCGGGACCGTGTTGGCCGACAAGGAATCCTCGCGCTCGGGGTGGTGACAGCTCTGCCGCGTACATCGGGAAAAGAACCAAGATCATGCCGACACCGAAACCTCCAAAGAACCGGAAGACCAAGAACATGGGAATGTTGACGGCTCCAGCTGTGAGAGCGCCACCGATAATAACGATGAGACTGGCGAGCTGGAAGGATCTGAGACGGCCGAACCTGTCGGCTGTCCATGAGTTGAAGAGACATCCGAAGAATCCTCCTGCCTGCGAAAGTGAGGTGCTCAGCCCTTGAATCACGACCATGTAGTCGTAGGCGGCTTTGTCGACTGATGCGTCCGTTTGGAGGTTCATGTACTTGTAGAAGCTAGGTTGACCCTGCATCTCTTAGCTCGACGCGAGACGAAGAGGGACTGAGACTACGTACCAATGTTGTCGCCACGGCAGACAGACAGTAGCCATAGATGATGGAACCCACAGCCGCAAAAGCGACGCATTTGTAGTTGTAAAGAGTGAGTCTCCGAGGAAGATCCTCGACGTGAACGTCGGACTGGGGCTTTTGAGGTGCCATCTCGAAGATGACTTGGAGTCTGGATGAGCGATAGGTCCAAGGCAATATCCAAGGTGATAATGGTTCTTGAGAAGGAGTAGCCTGGGGAACCCCAGAATTATAACAAGCTCTTTGACCGAGGAACAAGCCATGCGGGACAAGCACTAGTACCAGGAATATCCCCTTAGCTCTGGAAACGACGGCTTGTTCAACTTAGTGCTCGTCAAAAGATCAATCAAATTGCACGGTGACCCACCCCGAGAGTTCGGAACTGCAACCGACGGTCAGTGTCTCGCTCGTTGGAGAGAGAGATTTCACAAAAGAACGCGTTGCTGATTCGCTGTTCGTCCTAGAGGTCGTTTGCATGATCCCTTCCTGTCAACTAAAGTGTCGGTCGGCCTACCGTCGTACTCACATTGGTTCCCCTAGACACATGGTCCAGCGCGTGGCAGTCACTCTGGCACATCAAGCTTGTAGAAACTGACGTCCCTTAGCGATCAGCCCATTGGGTCACCTGGGGCCGGCATCTGCAGATTCAGAATGATGTGATGAGCAATGCCTCCCTGGGGCTCACGCGAGACTTGAGCTGCAAGAGCTAGGCTTTGGGAGCGGAAATTCAGCCTTGTTTGAGTGGCAGCACTGGCGGACTTTGGTGGCATGAGTAAGAGCCCACAGTGTTTGCCTTGTGACCCTCTAAGCCAGGCCCAGCGCAAGTCTTTCCGCGAAGAGAGTGCAATTGGACTTTGAGGCCAGTTGACCACGGTTGCGAGGCTCGATGGCCCAAAGCCAATCAGGTGAATGGAGGACCTTGCGGCCTAAGGAATTCAAGCAGTGTCGTGATCATTCAGATGGACAAAGAACCTCGATGTGGGATTGACAAGCTCCTGGTATTCATCGCTGTCCTTCATACTGTGGCTCGTATCCGAGACGTTGTGAGATTGCACTGCTGTCCAAACGCTACAACTCACACAAGTCAGCAGCACTCGCTTAACCTTCCAAATCTGCCGGGCCTCTGCGCCGGGAACTTCGCCAGCAACAAGCCTCCTCTCCTCGTGTCGCCTGCTGGGACTGCCTCATTCATTGTCTGCAGGCTTAACCCACATTGTTGCACGACGCCCAGATCAAGACACGGTGTGACACCTTGTAAACCTGATAAGAGGTCCCTTCTCAGGACGCTTCCTCCAGACCCCTCAAATGCACCTTGACTGCGCAGTCGTACGACCCTTCAGACGAGAAGCCAAGAAGCTGGAGAAAAAGAGATGAAGATCCGACAAGCATCAAGATGAAGCACATTGAAGAACATCAAAGAACAAAGATAAGGGTGGGTGGCAACGGAGGGGAACAATGTCTGCATGATGAGGCGAGCGAGGCTCAGAAGCAACCATGAATCCTTAAGAACGATGCCATCAATACACCCTGCCCTGAAGCCCTCTTCAAATCACTTGATGCCCGCTTGCCCACAGCGTACCCTTGAAAGAACTCCTAGTCATCTACAGCGAATTCTCAAGCTCGACGACTTCCTTCAGCGCAGCCTCATACCTGGCCACATCCTCCTTGCTCGGCTTGGGTAGTGGCCGTCTGGCATAACCACCGTATCCGAAAAATGACTCCAGCGCGCTCTTGGTCCCGGTGATTCCACCAGCAATGACTCCCCAATCCCCTCGGGCAACAATCGCTTGCATCTTTTGGGCTTCCTCGACCTTGCCCTCTGCATATAGGTTGAACACCTTCACGCAAGCCTTCGGCACAACGTTGCCCAACCCTGTGATGACGCCAGACCCTCCAGCGATCATCGTTTGCAGAGTGAAATCCGCCGAGCCGCCCATGCACATCCAACCAGATCCATTGTTCGATGCAGTGGCGGCATTGACAGCATGGGCGATTCGGTTCAGTTTGCCAGTGTTACCGCAGGTGAGCTTGCAGCCAACGATCTTGGGATGCTTAGCCAATTTGATAATGGTATCAGAGTCGAGATCAACGCCAGCGACCGCGCCAGGGTAGTTGTAGATGATGATTGGGATAGGTGAGTCCGTCGCGACATCCTGGAAATATTCGACAAAGCTGGCGGGGGTGTAGGCGGCCTTGTAGTATGAAGGAGGGAGGACCAAGGCGTAGTCGCCACCAGCTTCATATGCATCCTTGCAGAACTGTACAGTTTCACGAACTGACTGTGCGGCGCATCCGACCACGATTGGCATATCAGAGAAACCGGCCTCATCGAGTGCTTTGCGGGTTGTGCTTGTCACGAGCTTTCTCTCTTCTCGAGTTAGATGGACTGCTTCGCCATTTGATCCTTGGCAGGTGATAGAAGTGAGGCCGGCCTTTGCAAGTCTAACAGCATGCTTTGCAGTGGCAGCGACATCGACATCTTCAGTCTCAGGGTCGAAGAAAGCCACCATAGGCACATTGACGCCTGGTTTCAAAGGTCGACTAGTTTGATGGCCGTTCATTTTGGTAGACTTATCAATAAAAGACTGTTAAACTTAATTGACCGGGTTTTAGCGCGTTGCCAGAATCAAAGGAATTCTATGTTTCGATCTGAGAAATCTGTAAGAAGCCGGATAGTCTATCGATGGGCAAGAAAGGCCAAAAGGGAAGACTTCAAGGTAGTAAAAGGCGTGGCTGTGACTGCAGATAAGGCGTGTTAAGTCTCGCACGGCGATATGCCGATAGCCTGAGGAAATATCGTCCTGGAGTGCAGCGAGGGGTGGAGGAGAGGACGTGGGGTGGCGTACTGAGTTGCGCGGGCATGCACAGTGGAAGTTGATGGTGGGAGTGATGGAGTAGGAGGGGTTGATGGACTTCACACCTCCATATGGACCTCGGGCGATCACGACCCGATTGAAGCTGCTTGAGGACGTCAATTTCGACAATTGGTTGACGTGCAAAATCGGGAGATAATCTGTCAAGAAGGACGGCGAGTTGTCCCTTCTTCCTTTGCCCTTGGAGACCCTCGAAGACGGTCTCGTGCGGCTGTCCCGAAATCGAATCGTGGGGTTGATTTTGGACCCCCACGATGACCAGACAACCCGATGGAGGCGTCAGCAGGGCCAGTTTTCACAGCCTAGGGCCCATTGCTCTTCGGGCGTCCGGCGTTCTTTGAAGTACGGGTAATAGGCAGGGCCAAGCTCGATGTGTTCAGCCAGCCTATGGCTCACCAGGCTTGAAAGCGTCCTTGGATTTCTCCAAAAACATGTTGGGCGACACCAACTCAGCCTGCACGCCCTTCTCCCCGTCGTCGAAGTAGTTCAGCGATTGGGACATTGTCTTCGTCATAAAATTCGATCTCCTCGTCGACTCCATAGTCTTTCAAGCGATTACCGCCCGAATCTTGCCAGCCTTCCTCGCCGCTATTTGCAGCATCATCTTCGTCGTCGGTGAAATAATCATGCTCTAGCGGTGCTCCGTTCTCGTGTTCGAATCGTTCGTGGAATGGTTTCCTTCTCTTCACGCCATAGTGCTCTGCACGGCGGTGAAAATCAGCCTGTTGCCGCTGTTTGAAAGCCATCACCTCCTCCTCCGGCGATAGGCCAGCATGGTCATGGACAAAGGTGTCTTGAGGGTCGATAGGCCGCTCAAGCCTGGGCATTCGATCGGGATCTGGTGGTGGCCAGCTCGTTCCGGGATCTTCGAAGCCATTGGTCTCAAACTTTAGCCCGCTTGTTCTAGGAGTGGGTGCAAACGGCCAGAACCAAGCGATAATGTTCGCCGTACCCATGCCTTGCACAATGTTACTCCAGATGCCGATGTCATAAGGGAATTCATGTCGAACTATCCTGATCCTGATGCCATCCGGGCCATCCAGATACCCTCCTAGGGCTCGCGCGCGACGGAGCAGCTTCGAGTGACGTTCAATCTCCCAGCTCTCTATGGTCGTTATATTGCATCCAAGGCCCCAAACAGTGCGCAGAAAGGTGACCGACACAAGGAACAGTGTGAGCGTGTTGACAATGATGAGTATAAACAGAAGAATGAGTTGTGGTAGGGATGGCCCAAGGTACTAGAACAACCCGTCAACTACTGCATTGATGAAAGCAGGGGTACTCTTACGCTCGGTAAGTGCCGATTCTCCCAGATGACTAGTGCTCGCGAGTACAGGAAACATCCGAGATAGGACATGGCGGACACTGCATACCATAGGAACCGTATAAAGTGTGGCAAGGTGAAGTGGGACACGCAATTGATCGTCCAAGGACAGTGATGATCCATTTTCGGAATGCATCTAGATTGTCAACCTAGAAAGTCCATTTCTTCCCGAGAGGAGTGCCTACCTTTTGCATATTCTGCAGTGGTGAGATCGTGGGGGCTTCACGGCGTCGCATTTCCGACAGTAACGCTGCCTTGAGATAGCTTTGTCTGCAGCCGAGGCTGACATTTCCTGTTCGACATCGTCAGGTTGCCAGTTGGTGGGAACCCGTCCAGGATGGGTGGTGCAGGCACGTGCGTAGGACACCCATATGCACGCAACCAGTATGTTGAATATGACCTTCTCTCTATAGTCCAACGGGCCAGGCTCGATGTTGTAGAATAGGTACTGCGAAGAATATGATAAAAATGCCACAAGGAAGATCACCGCTGGCACTGCGAACTTTGTCAGTGCCGTATCTTCCATGCCGGTCAGTCACGGGAACAACGACAGCTCGTGGGTGTTTTCAGTCATGGAATCTTCGGTTCTCGAGCTTCGGCACTCATTGCCCTGGTACTTGAACACTCGCGGGCATCTTTGATGGATGGAAAAGATGTTGGGTGCAAACAAGGAGTCGTTTGAGGTTTGATGCCAAGGCCACTACAAATCGACGCGTAAAGACGCGTTAAGTGCTTTTCATCGAGGTTCTCAACTTTTTCACTCAAGAGAATTCATGATTGACATCAACTATCCTCGCAAATGAATGAAGAATGCCCATTGAGGTACTGCCAGAGACCACCTCGCGGGCTCTTGGCTCTTCCCTCGTTCTCAATGATGCCAAGTCGGTCGTGAAGGAACTCGTTGACAACGCCCTCGATGCACGTGCAACAGCCATCAGCATTGAAGTATCTAACAATTCCCTTGACATCATCCAGGTCAAGGACAATGGCACGGGTATCGGTGTTCAGGACCGACAACTCTTGTGCAAAAGAGGCTACACCTCAAAAATCAGATCTCTGGAAGACCTCACGCGGCTCGGAGGATCTTTCCTAGGGTTTCGAGGCGAGGCCCTTGCCAGCATCAAAGGACTGAGTTCAGCTGTGACCGTGACAACTCGAGTAGAAGGAGAAATCGTTGGGACGTCGCTGAAGTATGCCGCTTCGGGCATGCTGAGGTAGGTTGTGCAAGATCCAGCCGCTCTTAACCTATCATGACCATTTCAGTTCTTCTTCAGCTTCTCATCCGGTCGGCACAACCATACGGGTGCAAGACTCCCTCACAAAGATCCCCGTGAGGAAGCAAACTGCGCTCAAGAACAATACGAAGACATTGCAAGCCATCAGAAGTCTTCTGTTCGCAATCGCCTTTGCTAGGAGGGACGTCCGATTCTCCTTGAAAGTGCTGAAAGCGAAGAACCACAAGCTGAACTGGACTTATGCAGCAAGTCAGAATGATTCTATGATAGAAACCGCCACCAAGATTTTAGGAAAGGAAGTCGCTTCGGAATGCACACCTTACCAGATTTCCTCCGCCGATGTTGATGTGGAAATTGGAAACGGTTGGAAGGTGGAAGCTCTCCTTGTCTCTGCAGATGCGGGTTTGTTGCCGTCGATCCTATTCTGCGTCAGATTTGCTAATGCCGGCAGACCTTACCAAAGTCCGCAGTGTTCCTCAATTCATATCAGTGGACGGTCGACCCGTCAATACTGAAAAAGGTACACTGAAAGAGATTGCTAAGAGCTATAAGCGACATCTGCAACGCATCTACTCCACCGACGGTACCTCAATTTCTCGACCATTTATCTACATGCAAATCCGTTGTCCCCCTGAAAGCTACGACGTAAATGTTGAGCCTGCAAAGGACGAAGTCCTCTTCTTCCGGCCGGACTTGTTGATGTCGTTGGTCGAAAGCCTATTCCAGAAAGCCTATGGTGATACCGCTCGCATCCAGGTAGAGAGCGGAGGGATGGAAGAGTCAGCAATCACGATTTCGTCGCACCAAAACATATACGCGGCGGACCTGGAGGAGGTCGAAGAGCTAGCAAGCGAAGAACAAAAGGCACCTTCCCTGGAGCCAGCCGACTCTAAAGAGCATGTCGGGATGTTGAAAAATCCATTCACTATTGCCGCCATGAACAGACTAGTCATGCCAAAGAAGATGACAGCACCGGAAGAAGGAATGACAACCTCGGCCAACAATGAAGACATGCTTGTAGCAAGGACACTGGCTAACGCTGCCCCGAGTCTCACAAACACTCACAGAAAACACTTTAGACCGAGTCAACAACTGCTCTCTCCAACTCCCTCAGACGAAGTAGACCCGATACCGTACCAGAATCCTGGGCCACCGATGAGACCTTGGACCAAGAAGGCTCGAGGTGTCGCCGACGAGGACTCCGACTCAAGAACTTCCGATGACGGCGACGAACATCCCAAAGCTCTGCAATCAGGTCTGCAGTCATGGCTTACACCGCAGTCTGGACAACGCCGGCCATTGACACAAAGAGTCGAAAGCCGTATGGGGCCTGATCTAGGCTCATCTTGTGATGCTCCTGGCCCGCCTCCTACAACTCGCCTCCTGGACGCCAACGCCTTGGCTTCTCGTCCCTCAAGCGCTTCTGCAGGTGTCAAGCTGGGACGAGGGCAGAAACCTTTCAAGTCACCATTGAAGTGGCAGGCCCACGCTCATTCGCAACCTACGCAAGGACCTCCGTCACCAATCCATATCCTCGGCTCGTCTGGTCAGAGTGCTAGCTTAAACGTCAACGATAGCGGTCTCAAGTCGCAGCAAGAAGGTAGCAATCATTTCCCCATCGAATTCATTCCGCAAAATTCCTCCGGCCTCAAGAGGCGCCTGCTTGATCATCCGGAGACTGTCGAACCCTTCGCATCAAATGCAGAATTGTCTGATATTATGGATTTTGAGCACAGGAAGAAGGCCGCGATTGCTCACCAGAGGAGATTAGCAGCTACATATCCGTCTGCATGTCTTCAAGATATTCTGAGTCAATCGAACCAACCTAAACATGGCGGAAATAAAACCTCCGGGACTGACGAGCAGAGCTCGATCGCAGACCTTGACGCACGATTTGGCGAGGCTAAAGCGCCGAAATCGACGCAAACACCGTCCAAACCAAATCCTCACCTCCATCGCTATCTAGCAGCTAAAAGGGATCTATCTCATTCTCATCCCGATCAAGATATGGAGATTAGTCGACCTTCGGATGCTGATGAAGATAACTCGATCGAGCAACTCGTTCCAGACACCACTGAACAGCCACAATTGTCCGACGATGACCCAAGAGCGGTTTTGATGAAGCAGCAGCGACTGAAAGGGGCCAAGTCCAGCCTCTACCGCTCCAAATCATCCAGGCTACCGTTTGAGACAATTCCCCGCGACACCATGACCCTGCGGCTTATTGTTTCCAGCCCCATGTTCGACAATATAAAAAATATGAGGAGACATGTCGAAAGGCTTGCTCGCATTGACCCATATATAGGGTTGGGCGCAACAGTACTTGAAGAGTTATTTCTAGCTGACACTACGATCGACGAACAATGTTCTACGACACTCCGAGAAATTGTGAAAGCGAAATACCGCTATAAGAATTCCGATGGCAAAGAGATTGTTCCACATTTGAAGCTTGCGATTTCTGAGAAGCAACACATGGTCGAAGAGAGGTGATGATCATTTTGAGGGAATTGACCAGGGACGCTGAGGTCCAAATATGTACCATCACTGTATCTTTACCTGCACACCACCGACTCTGACTTTAGCTGAAGTACACCGCCGGCTGTGGCAGAATGATATTCTTATCATCTCGTGCACCTCATGTCCTCTCCGTACATCCCCGGAGAATGGCCATGGAGAAGTCCGCTGCTGGCATGGTTGGATTTTAATCTCTCCACCCCAACCATGTGTTTTGATGGACTTTGGTACCTGCCTGGCAGAGTCTAGCCCAGTGGACATGCCCTTATCTTTCCAAGCCTTGCGGTTGATCGACAGCCCTCGGCAATGATATGACAACATGATATGATTCTCGAGTGCAAACCACGGCCCTCACCTGTATGGCGCGCTTCCCCCAAGAAATGTCAAGACGAAGGAATGCTAGTCATGTCCTTGGCTGCGCACGGCTGCGATAAGGGCGAGAATGGTGTGTGGCACGCATTGGCTCTTCCAGGGTGATCTGTGCAGTCGTTTAAGAATAGCCCACGTTCCTTTCGGGGCGTACGGCTTCCTTCACGTTCGATAGTGCATGTTTCCACTTGCCTAACCATGAGATTCACCATTCCCAAGGTTGAGAGACCTCATCTCAAGGTTGCACAGCCGAAGTCAACATTCGCTGAAGGCAATTCACGATGGTGAGTCGCGTGTATTGAGATCGATGCCCTCCAGATTCTGAAGGACAACAAAGTCGTGATCTGACCCAGGGCTGACCTCTTTCATATCAAGGACGAACAAAGACCTTGACCCAGTGCCTCCCGCCCGTCGCAAATGGGGTGTGGTCTCCTTCATCAGCTACTGGATCTCGGACGCATTCAACGCCGCCACCTGGCAATTTGCCTCTGCGATCGTTGCTGTGGGATTGACATGGCGTGAGTCCTTGGGGATTGTCGCCTTGAGTTTCTTCATCATATCCTGGGTGGTAAGTGCACCGGTATGCCGTTGCTCTCATGCCTATCTCTGACACGACGTGCCCCCAGATCGCGTTCAATGGCGCCATTGGTGTTTTACACCACGTCCCTTTTCCCGTTATTGCTCGAGCGTCCTGGGGATTCTGGGGTTCCTACGTGGCTATAATTTCTCGTGCAATCCTGGCCATATTTTGGTTCTCAATCCAGACGATGAATGGTGCCAATAACGTCCGTGTGATGATTGGGGCCATCTGGCCGTCATTCCTGACTCTTCCGAACCATATCCCGGAGTCACAAGGCATCGACACGGCCACCATGATCTCCTTCTTCATCTTCTGGCTGTGTCAGTTGCCATTTGTGTGCATGCATCCTAATCAATTACGGTTTCTGTTCATGGCGAAGTCCATCATCGTCCCCGCTGCATGGCTGGCCGTAATGATTTGGGCATTTGCATCGACGAAGGGACACGATATCTTCCAGCAGCGTGCCACCGTATCCGGGTCGGCTTACAGCTGGGCTTTCTTGTCTTCAATGACCTCCACCATCGGCAACTACGCGACTCTCTCGGTCAACCAAGCAGATTTTTCGCGCTACTCACGCGTGTCAGTCAAATGGCAGTGCATGTACGTTCCCATGCTACCGCTCTTCTTCACATTTATCGCCTTCATCGGCATCGTCTCGGCTTTGGCTGGAAGCTACCATTGGGGAGTGGTCGAATGGGATCCCATGGCTCTGGTCTCGCATTGGGACAATCGCGCCGCTAGATTCTTTGCGGCATTTTCTTTCGCCCTCGCTGCGCTGGGCGTCAACATCTCGGCAAACAGTCTCTCGGCCGCTAACGGTATGCTACTCATCCGATAGATCTTCGGGCTGGCAAAATTTACTAATGTTTATGGGCTATTCTAGATCTGATGGCCCTTGCTCCACGGTTCATCAACATGCGTCGAGGACAACTCATCACGGCATTCATCTGCTGGGCGCTTGTTCCATGGAAGATACTGGCCTCGGCAGGAACGTTTCTTAATTTTATGAGTAGCTATGCCATTTTCCTGGGTCCTATAGCATCAATTATGCTATTCGACTTCTGGGTGATCCACAAGCGCAAGTACGACACAATTGCATTGTACAATCCCCACGGCATCTACCGCTATACCTACGGTGTCAACTGGCGGGCAATAGTGGCATTCCTCGTGGGTGTTGCACCCTCTTTACCAGGTTTTTATATCCTCCCGGCAACCCCGTCGCGATAAGCCGCTGATACATTCCCAGGGTTCGTCAATGGAATCAACAACAACGTCGACGTTGGCGTGGGCGTCCACCCTTACCAGTTTGGTTGGTTGCTTGGCTTCGTTGCGACGGCGTTGGTTTATACGACATTGTCGCTTGTCTTCCCAGCTAGAGAGACCTTCATCGAGCATGCTTTGCGACCGGATGAGGTTTTCGCCCAGCAGGGGCAGGTTGTGGAAGAGGACGGCGGTGCACCACGCGTGGAACAGATTGATCCAGAGAAGAGAGGGATCCGACAGCGACTCGAGAAGTTCTTGTGATGTTCAGCCAACTGTGTGTGAAGTGAGGCCAGTGCGTTGTTGGCTGGTCATTGACACTCAGGAGCAATCGTGGAGGGAAATTTTGACATGCGGTAGTATCGATGCTGTCGCTGGCAGTACCTCAGACGACAATGGTACAATTGGTTGAGATCGGTGATTTGTTCACCCAATTGCCATTCCCAACACTGGGTGCGTGAAGGCGCCAACTTGAATTTAATCGTCAGGGAAACTTCGTCACGCACCGAGGCTGCCCTTGGGGTCTGCTCTTGACTTCTTCACAGATCTGTCTTTCATACACCTTCGGAGAGCTTGTCTCTACAATACCTTACCACTGGACCACGAGGTACGGTCAGAATCGCTCTCCAAAGTCACTTTCTAGCCTTTGCAGCGGTGAAAGTCCAGTGAAGTTCGTGTCGACCGCCTTCACCTTTTTTCCGCCGCACCGAGCAAACAACTGGAACATTCTGCCGCACCAAACAAACAACTGGAGCATAAGTGAATGTGTTTTTTCACTTCAGTTTGAGATTTCATCTCTTCAATCCTCATCTCATCCCAACCTCTTCATTCTTCATCTCTTCCCACCTTTCCATCCTTTCTTAGTATCCTACTTTCTTCTCAAACTCAAGCCTCCTCTCCTTCGCAACACTGCGATATATATATATCTCTCTCTTGAATTGCGCACACGCCTCTCATACTGCCTTTGATGACCTCAAAGTCGCCCTCGCAAATCACGAGCGCTGGTTCCTCATCGTCATCGGCTCAGACCATATCAAAATCAAGTTGAGTGAGCACAAGGCCGCCTTGATCAATTGCCTCCAGTCGACATCTTCGCGCCCATTCGTGATGAGTGTCCGCATCCGGGACAGCTCATGCAGTTGAACGAGGCTCAGCTCAAAGTCGTCGCGGAGTATGCCCATGTCACTCCTGCTGGCCATGTCCTCTTCCATGGTCCTCCAGGCTGTGGTAAGACCTATTTCATTAGCCAGTTGATCAAGCCATACTTGCAACACTCGAAGAAGATGAAGATCATGTTGCTCAGCCCCACCAACAACGGCGACGACATACTCTCCCAAACAGCACGCTCGACCATTACCGAACTTGAGACGACGCCGGCAATTCCAACTCGCAAGGTGTATTCGGTCAGAATGCACACTCCAGACACCGAGCGAGACATTGTCATGCAGGAGACCAAGAAAGCTCGGGGCAGACCGGAAGATGCCACACCTCCTCTTGCCGTTCAAGGACTCGACCAAGCGGACCAAGATACCTTGACACAACTACAAACTGCCAAGATGCTCAAGGGCCATTACGACATGTCTGTCAAGCAGCGTTTTGAGTTGATCAATGACGACCGTGTGAATTTTCTCACCGACTTCTTGGGATACAAGATGCTCGAGACCTGCGGTTACTATGAGACCGGTCCAAAGCCGGAGGCTGACAAGGCTGACAAGTCTGCCAAGTTCAAAAACTTCCTCGAGGTCTACCGCCAGTACGAAAACGGCCACGATCTCGACAAAGCGGCCTTACAGTCGTTGAAGGAGCATACCAAACAGCTGGAGACGCATACTCTTTCTCAGGCCGACGTGATGTGTTCGACTCCTGACAACATGGCCAATGCTCGAGTCTTTCGATACTACAATAATGTCAAGCTAATCGTGCTCGATGACGCCGCTCGCGTTCCGGAGCCTGCTACACTCGCGGTCTATGCTCACTACGCGGGTTGCACTGCCATTTTCTTGATTGGTGACAAAATGCAACTGAAGTTTGTCGTCCCCGCCGCTTCGAATGTGAAGGACCGCATGGTCAACCAGCTGGAGCTCTCCTTGATGACTCGCCTTGAGTCTGCAGGCTTTCCAACCGTGCTCTTCGACACCCAGTACCGTATGGTACCAGAAATTGCCGCAGTCATCAACGACAACGTGTACCATGGTCCTTGTTAAGAATGCGCCGTGCACGGAAGTCGCCAATTGCACCTCCTTCCTAGCGCAGAAAATCATCGAGTTCAACAAGAAGCACTATTTCCAGCCGCACAGCATCGTGTTGTTTGACGTCCAGAACGCCACAACAAAGACTACGGCCACCAACTCTCGTTATACCGAGACCATTGCAATGCACAGCCTGAATCATGCTGCGAAGTTGATGGAGACTTTGAGGGCGCTACCATAGCATACCTGACGTGTTATCAGGCACAATATCGGATCCTGGCGGCAGGAAAGGAGAAGATGATCATTGCGAATCTCAACGTTGAGGACTTCACTGTCGACACCATGCGACCGGGAACAAGGAACTGAGTGGGACATCGTGATAGCCGACGTACTGATCGAAAACACCGCCGGCTTCCAGAAAATCCTCAACCGGCTCAATGTGCTTTTCAGTCGTGCGAAGTATTGTCTGTACGTCCTCGTTACCAAGTCGCAGATTGGCGGTTTGCGTGATGCCAAGTGGCTCAAGAATTTCCTGTCCAGCTTCCTCCCGTATCGGTACTGAGGTCTTGGAGGGAAGTCTCGCCTGTGGACTGCGGGACGTAGATGCCATGGTACGATTACTGGTGGGTGGTCGAGCGTGGGTGGTGGTTACGAGGGAGGTCTAACGTACTAGTACTCTCGAAGTACAGGTTTGTGAAGATGTAGGAGGCTCCAACCACCAATCAACCAAACAATACAATCAACCACGTCAACCTGTGCACGTCAACCCCCTTCCTATCTAGCTTCCCGCCATTTCTAAGTAGCAGTAATACACTCGAACAATTATTCTTTTTCCGACAATGTATCTCCTTCCAATTACGGAGTACATCTCAGGAGGTTGAACGATTTTACGACGCACACACGACAGATCCGAAGGGGCAGGGGGATGTTATGAAGGATAGCGCAGTTGGCAGTTTCGCGTCATGCCCAGGACCGCATCGCCTGTTTTTGTAGAAGTGCAGCCCAAATAACCAAGTCCCGCCATCAGACGGGATGTGTCCTGCCAACGTCGAGGTCTTCTCCGTTGCGTCCCATCGTCGTGGAAGAGCTGACTATCGTAGCAGGAGATGAAGTGAGTCGAAGGACAGTAGAGTCTCGAGACAAGATCAAAGGGTGGGGGAGGCGGACCTGCATAAGCCAAGCCAAAGGACTATTTAGCCACGGCTACTTCGAAAAAGCACATTAGACCTCCCTTACAACCACGACCCACGCTCGACCAACTCCTAGTAAGAGTACCATGGCATCCACGTCGCAGTCCACAGGCGAGACATCCCTCCAAGCCCTCCTCTCGAGCCTCGACGTCCTCCTCCACGAGCCGACGTATGTCTTTCTCAGCATTCCCGATTCACAATTCGTCGCGCCTTTCCCCGTTCCACTGCACGATATACGAATGTTCTTCCGCGAAGCTGAAGGCGTGACTCTTATTGTCAGGCAGGACGTCGCCGAAAGGTTGGAGTTGACGTTGAACGACCACCAGAACCAGTACCCTTGCCGGATGATCACGTGCAACGTGCACTCCAGCCTCGAGGCCGTGGGCTTCATGGCCCATCTTGCGACCAAATTGGCCGAGAAGGGCATCAGTGTGAACCCCGTGAGCGGGTATTTCCACGACCATTTGTTCGTGCCCGTCGAGAGGGCGGAGGAGGCCGTTAGGATCTTGGAGCAAGTCAAGCAGGACGCTCACGTAGTAGTAGTGAGTGGACAGTAGCAGAAGCAGAAGCACTCACGAAATTACCAAGGCTGACCGAGGCCTCTGGCACCAAGGGTTTGTCAAGGCTACTAAGTCATTCATTAGCGGCCCATTCTATGCTGGTGGAAAGCTGGCCTGGTCAACGACTTCTGTCACAAGTGTCAAGAGCATCTCCTGTCCGGGATGCCTGGGGCTCCATGCGACGGACCCTCAACAACGCCTTTCATATGTTCCGGGATATCATCGCTTCATGGTCGCCACTAAGCACATTCGCTCATCAAGTCATAACATCATAACATCATCGTCATCATCATCACCGCTCATTCTTCTTGGCTGCGCAATCAGATATCTTTCGGCAGCGTCTCCACGTCCTGGACATCCTTTGGTAGCACGCTCTCGCTGGCCACGGTCTCGCCATCCCATCGCGACTGGGCATCCAGCATTGTCTGTGCCGCTGTCTCCGGTCCGGCGACAAACTCTTTCACACCGTGCGCCGGGAAGAAATGATGCAGTGCGATGAACACCACCGCCGAGATTGCGAAGCCCACCAGAAACGAGATGTAGTACAATCTCGTCCAACCAATCGACACGCTAATCGAAGAATTCACGTTGCTCAGGAAGCCCGGCAGGGAGGGAAACACGCCCAAGGCCCACTATCAGCCCGCATACATTAGCCATGTCCAGCCGCCAAAAGAGCGTGAGCGGAAAGAAGGAGCAGAGAGTAAGGACGGAGAGGGAAAGCGGCTCTTCTCGAGGCTGATAGACCTACCGCAACTGGCGCCCTCCAATTGATGCCCCAGGTATACCAATATACACTGCTCTTATCCCCCCTGAACAAATCGTCGACCTTGATCTTTCTCCTGTTCACAATGTAATAACTCGAGATCATAAGGCCGATCATGGGTCCGAGAAAGACACCGTAGGAGCTGAGCACGGCGAGAAAGGTATTCGCGCTCGCCAGCAACTGCCACGGGTTGACCACCATGCTCAACAACGCCGTGATATACGCGCCCCTTCGAATGTTGATGAACGTCGGGAACGTCGCGGCCAAGTCGAACCCGCCACTCAACGCGTTACCAGGGATATTGATGCCCCATTGTGAAACCACGAGCGCGGCGCCGGCAAAGAAACCCGCAGCCCGACTTCGACCGCGGCCAGCGTGCATCATGGCGATCAGCAGGTCCGGCAGACTCCACAGGGCCTCACCGTATCTCTTCTGGGTGGCCGCCGTGACCAGAATGCCTATGACGCTGGAGATGATGCTGTACGTCGCCGCGCTGGCGAGTTGGCCGTAGACGGCGTCGCGCGGGCGGCGAGCGAACCTCGCATAGTCGGACTGGTTGAGGATCCCCGCGGCGATGCCCCCGATCGAGCTGATGATGCCGTACAGGATCGTCCAGCCGATGGATTTTTCCTGGGTTGCGGGCTTCGACGAGATGGTGTCGCCGAAACCCTCGGGGCCCATCGTGGCGAGCGCCCAGATCAGCAGCACGACCTCGAAGACCAGGATGCACGCGACGCCCGCGTAGAGAAACGCCTTGAGCTTGTGCGGCCGGATCCAGATCAAGGGAAGCGAGATGAGGCAGAAGAGCATGTAGCAGAGGAATGTCGCCGACGTGAGGCCCGTGGTGTGGATGTGGTTCGGGATCCTTTCTTCCAGGTTCGGCCAGATGGCTTCAAGGCAGACGTACACGCATTGTCCGCCGATCCACGCCTGTACAGAGTACCAAACCAGCGAGAGGAGGATGCGGTTGTAGATGACGAAGCTGCTGCCGTAGAGACCCCAGACCTGTAGTACCCCGGTGTCAGAGCGTCAGAGAGATGGGCTGGTGAAGTCAAGGATGACGCTAAGAAATTCATGGTGCGTCTGGCCATGGCCATGGGGTCTTTTGAGGGCGGAAGGGAGGAAGGAAAGGGGACTCACATATCTGTTCGCGATAGGAAACCCAAGATGGTAGTATGCTCCCGGCATCGAGTTCAAGACAATAAACAGTGTCGAGAGACAGGCGCCGACGATGATGGCAATGATGGCTTGCCACCACGTCAAGCCCAGCGCGATGAGAGAGCTTCCAGTCATATAGGTTGAAATGTTGGTGTTGGTCAAGACCCATAGGTTGTGAAACGTCCAGAAAGTCCATGTTCGTCGGCCCTTTTCTGAGGTTGTTGTCATGTCAGTTTGAGATGTTCGCAGACAACTACAGTACTAAGACGGCGACAGTGATAGCGATGGCTTGTCATTGCCTAGGTTCTAGTACGTACCGATGGGTTTGATGTCGTTGTTGATCCATCGATCCGGCGTTGTCTCGCCCTCGTAAGGGACTTCTAGTTTCTTGATGAGTGCTTTCATTCGCGCCATTGTTGCGTAGAGTCGGCCAGCAGAGAGTGGAATGAGCAGGTGGGTTGGAGGAGGAAGAGGAGGGAAATAGTGACTTGAAAGTGAGTTGAGAGTAGAGACTCTGGGGATGGATAAATGGAAACGAAACCATGTGATTTAAGGGAGGGCTTGTTGAACGTTCAAAGGTCCTGGGAGATTGTCAGACTATATACCCAAGGCATGTAGGTAGATATCTTGGTTATGATACTACTAGTAACTACGGAGTACCTAGGCAAGGTGTCGTGGGTGTCCTATGGTTTCTACCTCGAGGGCTCTCGAGGTCGCCTTGACGCGTTCATAATTCCAAATTGATATACCCCTTCGGTGGCCTTCGGTGTCCTTCGCTATCTAGGCGAAATCCAGACCTCTTGTCAAGCTACCATGGTTCCTTATCTCCAACGAAAAGCTCAATGCACCATAGGCCACCAAGTCTGGGGGAATCCGGCAGATAGCAACGGTTTACCTCGGAGGAGCAAACAACCAATCAGGCCTTGAAGAGGCCGAGGCTCACCAGGCTAAGGGAGCGAAGCTCTGCATAAGTACATCCACCACCTCCACGTTACCTCCCCAGCTGCGAATAGCATCTGATCGACGCCGAGAGTTGGTGTGTCAGAGCCACCAGGGCTCCGGTAGTTCCACTGTAACCCTCAAGTTTGGCGGCTTCAGGCCCGCACAGGGCCTGCGTCCTTGCGGCGGACATCTCCAGTGGCCTCGGAGGATGTTCTCGGAGGAGGACTTCTAACGCCAATTCCAAGGCTAGTGATAGTGTGGCCGATGTTCGGTAGGCGCAAAGTTGGCATTTGGCAGGAGAAGCGAAGACGACATAAAAGTTTCTCGATGTCTCTGTGCAAAGTCGACTTCGAGCTCTTGAACGCTGACAGGATTCCGCCTCCCCAAGGATTGTTTATCGGGCATACGACGCAGTACGATGTATTATCGAGTAGGAGTGGACGTTGGAGGCACCAATACTGACGCTGCAATTCTCGATATCAAGGCCCTTGACACGCCATCCCGTGGCGTACTGGCCACATGCAAGACATCAACCACCACACACGTGACGCTTGGAATCCAACGCGCTGTGAAAAGCGTCCTCCAGGAGTCAAAGGTCGACAGGAGCAAGGTGATCAATGTTGCCATTGGGACCACCCACTTCGTCAACGCGGTGGTTGAAAACGATGCTAGAAGGCTGAGTCGGGTGGCCGTCATAAGGCTGTGTGGCCCATACACCAAGAAGGTGCGTGTGTGTCCAACCCTCCGAGTTTTGAATCCGGCCTGAGATGGTATACTCCGGAGGCAGTGACTCCGTAGACCAGTGGTGACTCATCATGGACTGACCAGATTCCCCCGTTCTCGGATTTCCCTTATGCATTGCGAAACATCATCGAGGGCCCGCACTTCTACCTCGACGGCGGACTCGAGATCGACGGGCGGGAGATCGCGCCGCTCAATCCTGCGCAGATCAAACAGACAGCATCCGAGATCGTCAAGGCTGGCATTCGGTATGTCGCTGTCGTGGGGATCTTCTCCGCCTTGGACCATGCAGGTATCCACGAAGAAAGATGCAAGACTTTGCTGCAGGAATTTCAGCCCGAGTTGTCTGTGGTGTGCTCCCATTCCATAGGCGGGCCAGGACTTCTGCCGCGTGAAAATGCCACCATCCTCAACGCATCCATTCTGGCGTTCGCTCGGAAGACCATCAAGGGCTTCAGACTCGCCATGTCGAAGCTCGACCTCTCGTGCCCGCTATATCTGACTCAGAACGACGGCACGCTTACCGATGCCGCAGTTGCTGCTGAATTGCCCATCAAGACGTTCGCTAGTGGTCCGACAAACAGTCTCATGGGAGCTGCGTTTCTTCAGGGGCTGGACCATGGTGACAAGAGGATGGCCGACAACCAATACGTTGTTGTTGATATCGGAGGCACGACGACTGATATCTGCGCGTTGCTGCCGAGCGGGTTCCCCCGCCAGGCACCGAATTTTGTCGAAGTTGGCGGAGTCCGTACTGCTTTCAGCATGCCGGAAGTGTAAGCCTCACCCGGAATGAGCAGCAGTTTTGCCAAAGGCTCCTTACCCGTGACACGCTTTCCAGTGCTAACAACAATGAATAGCTTCTCAATCGGTCTCGGTGGCGGCAGTCGGGTCCGGCAGAGCAAGGACGGAAAGAGAGTAACGGTTGGGCCGGATTCTGTGGCCCTCCGTCTGACAACGGACGCCATGGTGTTTGGTGGGAAAGTCATGACTGCAAGTGACATTGTGGTTGCGAATGGTGCAGCAATCGTTGGACAACCGGAGAAGGTCAAAGACATTCCTGAGGAATTGATCAAAGCTGCCAAAGCAGACATCAAGAGACAGGTGGAAAAGGCCATTGATAATATGAAGGTATCTTCGGCTCCAGTGTCGGTCCTGCTCGTGGGCGGAGGCTCCATCATCCTCACAGAAGGCTTGTACGGCGTGGCAGAATGCCTCCGACCACCTCACCATGATTCAGCAAATGCTGTCGGCGCCGCCATCGCCAAAGTAGCTGGAGAGATCGATGTCATTGAAGTTCTCGCAGGACGAGATGAGGATGCGGCGATCGAGGCGGCCAAAACTGCGGCCATCAATGCTGCCATATCGAACGGGGCAGACGAAAGCACTATCCAGATTGCAGAACTGAAGAAGATCCCTCTCCAATATGTTACGAACAAGGCGACTCGCTTTGTAATCAAAGCCGTTGGAAACCTCCACGTGAAAGGGGGAGTTGCTCGTCACGCCCAGCAAAATGGCTTCGTCAATGGCGTCGACATCGAAGAAGATGTCGAAGCAGCTGTCGAAGAGGTCGAGAAAGCTGAGGTTGCTAAGGTCGAGCATGGAAGCATGGCCAAACCAGCCCTCGGAGTTGATCTCACTCAGTACCGGCCAAAGGTTGAGAACGGCATCTGGCACATTTCCCCCGAAGATGTGCAATTAATCGCCTCAGGCTGCGGTGTTCTCGGCACTGGCGGAGGAGGCTCATCTTACCTCATGGCGCTCTACACCTTGAATCTCCTCCGCCAGGGCGCGGAAATACGTGTCATGCGCCCAGAGGATCTCAAAGATTCCGACATCTGCGTCTTTGGCGCCGGGTACGGCGCACCTTCTGTTAGCGACGAGAGAGTGTCATCAGGCGAAGACGTCTTCACAGCCATTGAAGCAGTAAACACCATCATGGGTATCACTGACTTTCAGGCAATCGTGACCGACGAGATTGGAGGCGGAAACGGTCTGGTCACCATGCCTTCGAGTGCTCGTTATCGAAGGCCCATTGTGGATTGCGACTTAATGGGTCGCGCCTATCCAACCCTTGAACATGGTAAGCCTTTTCCTTTCCCGACAGATCATACCATACAAGCACGCACCTTCAATCGTCTCTTGCTTCTGTCTTCATGGGGCAAATTTGCTGACGATTTACAGGAACCCCCTATGTCTACGGTTTCCCAGTATTACCGTAAGTTGCCTGATTGTCTTGGAGGCATATTACACGCACACCCCCTATTGAGGCTTCAGTGGAATCTGCATGCTCTCAGACTTTATCATGGCCTTGGGCCGGTCTGATCTGCCGCCTGTATTTCGAACTCTGCGAGGCTCTGCTGTGGCTGTGCTTGAGAAGGGCGCCTGCCCTGTGCGAATCCTGTCCGCTCAGTCCTTTTCTCCGAGCTGGACTTCCCACCCATGTCTCCTTCTCCCCCCCTTATGGTCAATGTGACCGTCGCTGACACCATCTTTCAATATGTCCAGGGTCGCGACCGCCGATTGCAAGGGGAACTCTTCCGTGGTCGTTGTATGTGCCCTGCCCCCACGCCCCTTCAGTGTGACTGTCTTGTATGCTAAGTCAATCTATCCCAGACCGCCGAATCCAACAGAATGGTCGAGAGCTTGATCCGCAATACGTGCATCGTTTTAGGAAATTCTACCGGGACTGCGGGAAGACCACTGAATGGGAACGTTATAAAAGATTACACTGTGCCAAACACCATCTCGCAAGCCTGGTATCTGGGACGAGCGGTGCATCTGGCCCGACAGACGAAACTCGATTTCATCAAGGCCATCGTAAGTCTGACCAATACTAGTTACCCCACATCACTAGCATCCAACAAACAATTTGCTAACAAAAAACCGGGCAGTCTACTATAACACCAGTCACAGCCCTCTACACAGGCAAGATCGTCGACGTAACGCGCGACGTGTCTCGCGGGTATACCATCGGAAGAGTCGTGATAGCTCCGTTGAGCGCCGACGAGGCAGAAGACTCGGAGTCGTCGTCGAAAGTGGTGACGGCCGAAAAACGGCTTCTGGTCATACCCTTCCAAAACGAGTATCTGTCTGCAGCCTATGTCGACGACGAGAAAGCGGAAGGCAAAGAGGACGTGATATGCACAGTCCCAGACCTGATATCCATCTTGGGCCAAGACGGTGAGGCATTAGGATCGCCAGAGTTGCGCTACGGTCTCAAGGTCAGAGTGATCGGTATGCCAGCCCATCCGCTCTGGACGTCAACTCCAGAAGGACTAAAGGTTGGAGGCCCGGAGTTCTTTGGCTTAAACACCGAATTCAAGAGTATTGGCGAGTATCAACGTCCGCGAAGTGTCATCGAGGAATTCGACACGTCAAAAGAACCATAGACATAGTTTTGGAAAACAGCATAGCGACACGGGTACGTCTGAAATACAGGATTTATTGCGACTCGGCTCAATCATTGTGTGTATTGCACTCTCGAATATACCTAGCCTTCTCCTGCGACGACTGCTGGTCTTGTACTCTTTCTCCTTGGATCAATGCGTTCTGACTGGGCAGTCGGCGGGCTTGTCAGTCCATTGACCTTGACCTCTTCCTTCACTGCCATCTCCTCCTTCTTGCTTTGCGCATTCTGCTCCAAAAATGCAGGCCTCCATCGCAATATGACTTTGGCAGCCGCCGATTTGGCCTGTGCGTCTCCCTCATGCCAGATAGTCTCGAGTGAGTCGAGAACGAGCTCCCGGACAGGCGGGCGCAGCATCAACAGATACTGCATGGAAAGAATGCACATACTCAGACGCTCGGGATCCCTTGCTAGGGTTTTGACTCTGTCCAAAACATCGCGGTCAACGGCAGGAATCTCTGACAGAAATCTAATCAAAAGGTTCTTATCCCTGGCGTCGAGATAAGGCAGTAGCCGGTCGAGGAGCCGGATGACCCATCGGCTGTAGTTTGGCAAATGTTTGAACTCGGGGTGTGTTTTGGCTGTCATCTTGTCCGCATACCACTCTTCCGTTAACCATGAAATGGCAATATTCAATCGAGGTCGGAAATCATCCAAGATGTACATGAATAGTGTTTGCCGAATGCGATTGGCGACGTCGGGGGCTTCGATGTCTTCCGATTTGATCAATGTGTTGGATTCGTCACCTTCAGTCAACGACTGCACAAGATCATCTAAGCCGGATGGTGCCCTGGTCGCGAGACGCATGAGGATAGTGATCCAGGAATCGCGATCATTCGAAGTTGCGGCGAGGCGGTTGAGGCCAAGTTTGGTCTTTGCGTGTGACTGGCCGGCAGCATCAAGAGAGGTCACTAACTGGAAAACATGCCCGACAGTTTGATCAGATAACGTGGCTACCTCAGCACCTGTCAAAGGGGGAGGCTTGGGTAATTCGAAAGGTCCCAATTCAATTGCTGGTTGGGCCAACTCCTCCAGGGCTTTTTCTGTAGTACGCTCCACCACATGCTCAGGGCCAGAGACGAATTCCGGATCATAATCGTCCTCGTCATCAATACCCGTCGGACCTGCCATGGGTATGTCGGGAATTGGAGTACGTAAGTTGACCTTTTGCAGATGGGTGTATCTCGCTCTTACCCACCCAATTGCTTCATCCAGCGTGTTTGAGTCCACATGCTGCAAGAAGACGGCTGTGACTGTACTGACAATATCTGGGGGGAGAAGAGTGACATCGAATTGCTGAAGGCTGGGATCCTCGGTGAGGGTGTACAGGTGGGCGAAGGTATTCGGTGGTGGTGACATTGGGGGAAATTTGCGTGGGCCTCCTGTGAGCTTCTGCCTTTTCGCATCATCGAGGCCGTCGGTAGGTTCTGCCGGCCGCTTCTGCGCTGTGGTGTCTGAGAACAAGGCCGATCTCGACTGCTGCAGACGCATCAAGTATACGTGAATCTTTTGTTCCAACGGGTGATTAGGGCATGTTCTCAGGACCCATCTTAGCAGAGCTCGTGTTGTTCTTTCCATTGATCGAACTATGACCAGGATGCGAGGAGTCATTGGAGAATTGACTTGCTTCATCGGGTTGAAATTCAGAATGGAGGACACGATTTTGGTAGAGATGGGAGGCCTGCTTCGGATGAGGATGGCTAGACAGTTGAGCGTCGCATCAACGAGGATTGGATCCCTATTCCTGTGTCAGCGACTTATCCTTGCACAAGCAGTGGGAGAATGGAATATACATCGAGTTCTCCTGGAAGACCCCCAATAATCTGTCCAGCAAGCCCGATGCTTCGGCCTCGAGATTAGGTAGTTGCAAAAAGGGATGCGTTCTGGGCACAAGGGCTAAAGATATTTCGTTCTGGTCCGGACGCTGGATCAAATTAGCACAGATCCTAAGGCCTTCGAGAGCGACTGACTCGGGGATCTGAAATGACTCCTGGTGTCTCGACCTGCACCACCTTCTGCACGAACTTGATGCAGCATATTCTGACGGCAACTGGAGCAGAATCCATCCGTTGGAGGATGTTCAACTTCATGGCGCTCATGTCCTGCCACAACGCAGCCTCATTTTGACGCGAAATACTACACAGACAGGTTAGAAAAGAGTCCACAGTATTATTCAAGGGCATTTGCACATAAAGCACGGGTATCGCGTACACTCGTCTGAACACCAAAGGGTATAAACTAGCAGCTGCCTGTACCACGCTCTTGACCACTTCCATGTCCTGTGCTGGCGCATCCAGCATGGCTCTCAGTGGCGGTATCACCTCCGACGAGAGCTGTTCCTTTTGCGAATTCGATAAAGAAGGGCTTGAGAATGCTTCGGCGAGAAATTCGGCGCCCCATCTTCGAACGTCGAGATGCGCAGTTGAACCGATGATAGGCAGGATACCGGGAAGGACTTGGTTGTACACTTGAGGGTCTGCGAGAGCGAGTTTACGCGCAGCTTCAAGCTGAGGGATCATCTCAGCTGGAGTAGCAGCCGCAGCCATTGTCGAGACACACGGATGGGAGCAAGATCACGAGTCTACAGACAAGGTATCGACGATGGCTTGACGAGGTTCCGAGATGATGAGATTGCCGGCATTGGATGAGAGGAGGAAATCGCGTGGGCTATTATGGCACATGCAGCTGCTCGACTCCCAAGAACAGAAGAAAGTATTATACACTTTGCGAAAGAAAATAAAGGTGATCAAAGAGATGGATGAGGTGGAGGTGGTTGAATATTGAACATAGTTGATCAGCCCCTGCAAGCAATGACGATGTTCTAGCGGCCGCATTCTTCAGCCAAATCCTCTTTTTCTCCAGGCCTTGGCATCATCTGCCTGCGCTTCAAGGCTTCACTTTCTTCACTGCCAGTCCATACCTACGTACTGCTTGGTGTACCTTTGTTCTTAAGTGGTCGATGTTTTCGACTGTTTCCTGCCAAGATGATGCACCGCGCGCGTCAAGCCTACATCGAGGAGGAGTCTCAGGTAAGTCTACCACAGCCTGCCTGTTTTATTGCACCTGGTTATTCACACATGCCCGCAAGGCTCGAATACCTCCGGAAGTCAAGTGTCCAAAGCGGAAATGGAAGACTGACGGCCATGGCTGAGAAACAGGATGTCGACATGGGCGTGGACTTGGCCAACATCCGTAAGACCATCTCCTTCTTTTCCTCAGGAGTTTCGCACTAACATCTGATCAGCCATCGATCGAAACTATGAAATACACTCTGGTGCCGGCGGAGTTGCACCCGAAAAAGCATCTGCTATCCTGTCCCAATTCGACCGAAAACGAAGGCTTGCACAACTAGCAGTTCCTACCGATGATGGACGAGTAAGAGCGCGTTTGCGCGAACTAGAACATCCGATCACCCTCTTTGGAGAAGGACCAGCAGAGAGAAGAGATCGTCTGAAGGTCATCATCCTTGACCAAGAGGAGGCTGCAAATGGAAATGGAACCGTGACCGATGTGCACATGCAAGAAGCCCCGCCGGATGAAGCAGATCAAGAGGAAGAGTTCTATACAGAAGGCTTACCCGAACTGCTGGAGGCAAGGAGAGACATCGCCAGATATTCTCTACCGAAGACGAAGGCTAGGATCGCGAGACAGAAGGAAGACTCCACCATCTCACTCAGAACGCATGTCAAGCACCGAAAGGAGATCAAAGAGAAGCTATCTGGATTTGAGCTATTTGGCACACAGATTGCGGGCGAGAGGCCTGTCAGTATAACTCGATTCTCACCAAACGGGGAAATGATCGCAGCTGGTAATTGGGCTGGTGGTATCAAATTGCTCGATGTGCCGAACCTCGATGAAAAGATCACTCTGAAAGGCCACACTGGAATCGTCGGAGGTATTGCTTGGTATCCTGGTGCAACATTATCCTCCTCGGGCGTGTCGCCAGAGTCTCTCAACCTTGCAAGTGGAGCTGGCGGGCAAGGAGGTGCCAGTGACATCCACCTCTGGTCCCTGAACAAAGACACACCCCTCTCGACCTTGCAAGGGCACACAGACCGTGTGTGCCGCGTTGAATTTCATCCTTCTGGCAAATACTTGGCCTCGGCATCCTTCGACACTACTTGGCGCCTATGGGATGTAGAGACCACCACTGAGTTGCTTCTACAAGAAGGCCACTCACGGCAGGTATTCGCTGTCAGTTTCAATGCCGATGGATCACTCCTTGCAAGTGGGGGATTTGACAGCATTGGACGAATATGGGATTTGAGAACAGGACGCACTATTATGATCCTGGATGGCCACATCCGAGAGATATTCAGTCTGGACTGGGGCATTGATGGGTATCGGGTATTGTCAGGCTCTGGTGACGGTTGGATGAAATGTTGGGATATTCGACAGGTCAAAACCACGGGAGGAATTGGCGCCCACAATGGAAACGTTTCTGATCTGCGATGGTTCAAAGGCCCCGATGCTGACGCAAGCTCATTAGTCCCATCCACCGGTGTGCGGCAAGAACATAACCCTCGGAAGGCGGGCACATTCGTCGTCTCTGGCGGTTTCGACAAGAAGGTCAACATCTACTCGGCTGATGATTGGTCGTTGGCAAAGCAATTGAGTGGACATTCTGGAAATGTCCTCAGCGTCGATGTCACCAATGATGCCAAGTGGATTGCAAGCAGTGGTCACGACCGGACTGTCAAGCTTTGGGGTCGCAACGACATGCAAGGGATCTATGATTAGATTTGGGCCTCGAATGGGCCACAGCACTTGGCGGACAGCTCGATGTCGCCCAGCATATTGACGACAATAGAGTCGATACGACCAATGCAGCGCGTTGGGAGCATATGCACACCACAGCACTGGATGGGTTGTATTGGAGTGCAGTCGACCACGGATTCTCTCCCTCCGATCTCGCGTTCTTTCACGAGCCAGAGGCAGCAGCAGCCTTCCTCAAAACCGCAGTGCTGACAAGTCATGTGTTGCGATGTCGGCACATAACAATGGGAACAACATTGGCACAGTTCGAGAGCTTGATCGTTGAACCGGAAGACGCGACAGCGCCCGAGTTCTTTGCGCATCCAGCACGTTGACTTGTGAGCGTCCAACATTTATTCGACATCCCGGCTCTGGAAGTGTATTTCCCTTGTCGTCTCGTGAAGGTCAGTGGTGGCCAGCAGCAGGATCTTGTCGTGCGGAACATCCCGGTATCCTCCCACTGGGCAGACGGCATCACACCACTCTAGACTTTCTCTGTGTATCTTGTAACTACTGGGCCACCTGGGTCTAGGCCCGGCGAATGGACTTTGCATACCTTGTGTATGAGACCACTGTTACATTTGGGAAGTTGTCACGCTATTCTCCAGCTTCTGTCAAGGAGTACCCCAGATCACCTTGTGAAGGTGAACTGCTCTCGCTCGGCACAGACTCAGCTTATACGAGCATAAACTACTCCCAATCTACGTACAACAAGCTGTCCGCGCATCGATCTGCTGTTCCCAGACTGCCCGGGTCTGTCAGCCTTCCAGTCCGAGTCAGGCCAAGCACGTTTCTGGCTTTAAGAAGAAAACACATCTCTCAACAGCATGACGGCCTGAGTATCTTCATTAAAAGAGTCAGCAATGATATATACCAAATCTCCTTTGCTTCCAGGCACCAACAATCAGCCGCAGGAATGTGCGTGAAGAAACGTGTACTATATACTTGCGGCCATGTCAATCTGGAGGTTATTCATCATTGCGGCTGGTCTGGATGTGCAGTCATCTTTCGTCTAGAGCGCTCTGATTCGACCTGTCGTGGCTGTGGATGATTCGGCGAGGCGTATGCCAGAGCGAAGATTGAGCTGGACCTTCCCTCAGGAGCTTCATCGGCCACGGATCAACGCAAAGGCGGGCTGTGGTATATATAGAGGACCAGGGCGATAGGGACGAAGATGTCACTGGGAGTCTAGAGCGGTGACCTTTATCGCGCACATCGTCCCGGCGATGCGCCGAGTCCTGAGGAGCGGTGGCAGGCCGAGACGTTGAGTATAGCAGAGTCGAATATCGCGCGAGCGTGGTGTTTGAGTAGTTGTCACGCTTGAGATTGTCGAAGGATGTGAGCGTGCTGCGCCGTCCTGCGGGCTTGGCAGAGAGGTTGTTGGCTGTCGTCAAGCAATTCCCATTGTTTGAAAGTCGACTGACCGGCCTTGCCAGACGCATCATCTGCTATATGGTGTCGCATGAGGTTATGAGATTCCAAGACTCCGATTACGACGTCAGGAAGGGATATTGTACTGCCCTGCCCACCTTACGCTTGGAGACCGTGGAAGAAGGGGACTTATCGTTATGGCGCCATGATGCGCCATGATGCGCCCAATGACCCGACTCCATCCTCATCTCTTCTCAGGTATCAGCAGCTCTTCATTTCTTAATGGGCATGACTTACCCTGACATAGAGGATGGATAGGAGCTATATACGACAACTCGACGGCACAAGCAGGGCGATGACGGGATCTAACGCGGACTGTATGTACGGAGACCTTTCTAGCAGGGCCAAAACCACTACTTGATTACTCCGACTTCTCCAGCTGCAATACAAAGATTGATCTGATCCTACCCAACTAGGGCTCGCTAGGTATTTTATGCGAATCGTACCTCAGCTGCACCAAAACGGTGCATACTACCCTGGACAATCCAAGCGGCCATCCCACGTTTCAAGTTTACATACCTACTCCGTACTCCGTACCTGTAGGTAGATTGCTGACGGGCCACGGCATGCCACGCTGGTGGACTAGCTACTCCCATAGGCGGCCACCACCTACTCGTTGGGCTTACTAGTATGGAATAGTCCCTTAAAAGGAGTTTGAGGACTCGTATCTCATAATGTCAGCCTCCTCCTCCTCCTCCTACCAGTACTCACATTGACCCTTCAAGAATCCTTTACTACTAGTAGTATCATTTGGATGACTCCACGCTTCGAAAACTACCTTAGGCCAACTCGATCCTGACGCCCGGCTTTTCACAACCACGCATATATATGCAGGGGACGCGAGATAAAATAACTAGTCACCGCTAGGTTAGTACCTAGGTACAAGTACATAGGGAGTAAATATGGACAGCATCGTTCTCGCCAAAGTCGCCGGGCTGACCTCGTCGGGGATATTTGCTGGTAACATCTATCTCAACCCCCCTCAAACCCCCTACCCAGGTTTACCTGACCTTCCGAAGAGTTCTCGCTGCGCGCACAAGAAGGCTGACTACCTAGGCATGTCTCAGGATACACATGGGCCCTCTCCCATGCCGCTGTGCCGGCCATCCTCTTCGCGCCGGAAGCCTTGGTGGCCAATCAGTGGCGCGAGATCTATCTTGATGGGTTTTATGTAAGCTACTACTTTACTACTCACCACGTTGTGCACGGTTTTCACCTCAAACATCCCGGGAATGTCCTGTTCGCATGCTATACCATTTACCACTACCAAGCTCACCTTTGTTATGCCTTCATCCCATATGACCCCGACCACCTTCTTTCTCAGGGGGAGGGGGCACCAGACATGCCTTTCCGGGCCCGAAAATATTTGATGTGATGGGTGCTTTACCTATAGTACTTTGATACTAACGTTTCCCAGGTCTCGAGGCCACTTTGCCTGCTCAACGCTCTGAGTTTCGGATACTTGGCTTATCACGGTCAGTTCATCACTACTCTCCTGTCTGGCACACCTTATGAGGAGATTCTCGCAAGAATCCTCTTCTCGCCAGCCCTGTAATGCGTACCAAACCCACCATCAGCCCCAGACACCTGTCTACATCCTCGCTCTCCCCAATACCTGCACCCTGTCACGTCATGCGCTCTCCTGTACACTAGTATTCCATGCCGCTCAGCTGACTCGACTCTTGGCAAAAAAAAAAAGCCCCAGAACCGCTCCTGACTTCTCTCTACACCCTGGCCGCGGCTTTCAACGCCTCGGGCGTGCCTTACGCACTGACATTTCTCCGCCGCACGAATGGCGCGCTATCCCGACGCGCCGACCGTCTCGCGGGGCCCGGCAACGGCGCCATGGCGCTGACCTACGCGTTCAATGAGAAGCGGAGCGTCGAGCGAGACCGCAAATTCGGCAGCACGGCCGATCTGGTCCGTCGGTGGCAGTGGCATAATAGTGTCAGGACAGCTGTGTTGGTGGTTGGCACGTTGGTCGGGGCTGTGGCCGTGGCGATGGACGGGCGATGACGGATGGCGTTTGAATCTCGGTGAGTAGGTCGGTCGGTCGGTCGCCAGTCCCTGACCACACTTGACATAGGGCTTCCTGGAGTGACTCTGACTCTGGGGTTGGTCTCGGTGAGGAGGGAATCTGGGAGCTGTGCGTCGACGTGATGTGATGTGCCGGTCCGGTCCATGCTGGATGTGTGTTGTGATGGCTACAGTTTTAAGCGTTCGAGCCAGGACATTTTTGTTGTTTTGATGATACAGCCATTACTTGGTTGATACTGTGTAGTCACACGAGGGTAGACGTCTCGAGACTGATTGACAGTTCCCGCGTACGTCTTCATAGTCCCTTTCTGTCGGCTCTAACTTGACTTATGAGCAACGTCGACAGCAATACTCGTCCAGTAGCCCCTCACAGCCCCGTCGTCGATCTTCTTTTCACTACGTGCTAGTGGTATCATGCTACGAGCTTCGAGTCGAGTTCGAGCTCTCGGAAGTACTAGCCGATAATAGCAATAGAGAGGGCACCGAGTCTTCAAGAACATAAGGAGTAACTACTTATGATAACATGGAGGAAAAGAAACCGAGACTTGCCGCATGATGCCGCTTTGAAGAGATGGGGCCCCCCCCCAAATTCGTCATGGTCGCTCACACAGGTGACGCTTGGCGGCTTGCCGAGGGTGGCTTGGTACAAGTAATAGCGGCAGCCTAGTGAGCCTCTACTAGTAATTCCAGGCGCTCACGACGCCTAGTGAGCCTAAACCATAGCCCATAGCCCATAGCCCATAGCCCAGAGCCTCGAGAGCCAGGCCAATCAACCCGGTCCCGCTCATTGATGCTTAAATTACGTCCGGAAATGTGCTCAACCTGCTCACAACAACATATCCAATTCTACTCGGCCACGAAAACATGCTCAGCACAACACTGACTGCTGGGAAACTTGCTCGTTTCTCCCTACTGGTATACACATCTAAGATGATACTTTTTGTTCTGGTAAAGTACGGGCCCGCCCAATGCCACGGGTACTAGTACTGGTAGGTTGAGGCTGGATGCGAGGCTCACCAGGTTCACTAACGTACCTAGGTGCCTAATGTAGGCTGGTCATTTGAGCAGAATTGAGGACCTTAGGTTGGACGAGCACTGACGAGTCTGGAGTTGAGGTGACCTGAGTTGAGCACATATTCAATTGTGATTGCACATAAATAATAAGTAAAAGATAGCTCTCAAGGCACATCATACCTGTCGTTTCGTATAAGTACAGTATACTCCATTTCCAGCGTCTACTCCGGTCCTCCTCCACGTCCAACACGTCCACGTCCACGTCGAAGAACAACTTGAAGCTACCAGTATTCTACTCTCGAGTCCACTAGGCTACCTATCCTCAGCACGCCTTTCGACGCCCAGCTTCAATCTCAGTCTCAGTCTCATTCTCTCAGCACAAGCCACACACCCAGTCCGATAAGCCCTCCACAGAGGAGTAATCAATATCCCATTACTAGTACTAGTAGTGATCATGTGCGGCGACTCTCACCTCCCTCCCGCTCCCGAGTCCGGCGACCTGGTCGCTGTCATCCATGCCCACTCACCTTCACCTTCACAGTCAGCATTTCGTGGGCGGTTAAGGTTGTCAAACCGAACACCTGGAGCCACGACGTCAAGCTTCGAATGCGCCGAGGACAGCGTCTGTGATGGTGACACACGCGGCTCTTTGAACGTGAGAATCCAGTAAGTACCACTGTCTACTAGTAGTATAGTTACCGCGATGAGCGCGCTTGGACCCTCTTGGTCGCCGGTCCCATGTCTTGTGACAGCGCAGGACCATGAGCATGAGCATGTGCTGACACCTTTTACCTTGTCGTCTAGCCAATACGGACAGCCGTTGTCAACGTCTCCAAACTCTCCTTGGTCCGATTCAGATTCCGAATCTGAAGAAGAAGCAGCAGCAGCAGCCTGCTCGTCCAATCCGATCTTACATTCTTTCTTCGTCGACACAGTCACAAGCTCGAGGACAGGCGACGTCAGGCTCAATCTTGGCGTGGGCGGTGACGGCATCGTAGGTCGAACAGTGTCGATCTTCGATGGCCGGAGTAAACGAATTGTCGGCGAAGGCATCATTGGTTGGATTTGATCATCTCGTTGTGCGAGAGCTTCTGTACTGTGCTTGTCATGTTTTGGGAGAAGGAGGGTTCGATGTTTTCCCCCTAGTACTCCATTAAGAGAATTGCTTTGCTTTGCGTTTCAACTTTCGGCGGTTATAGCAAATATCCCATCCACCCACTATTATTCATGTACACATCAAACATATCCATTTCTTCCGTACTGAAGTTGAATTGCTCCCAATTCGTGTTGCCGTAACTCGCCGCATCGTACGCAGCGTTTAAGTTCGACCCATGGAGCCCGTCACCCATCATGAATCGTTGATGTGGAAGAGTGGGCAACCGGTAAGCCTGAGGTTGTGGCGTGGACTGCGAATATTCCGCGTTTTTCACAGACTGTACGAACGAAAATGAATCAGACCCGAAGAGTTGTTGTGTTCCTCGTTGACGTCGGGATTCCGGATCATTACCCTGCTCGTCGTCTGAATTCATGCCGCCACGGTGTTGATGCCAAATCTTTAATTTCTTGAAGAGAAATCCGAATGCTTCGGCGCATGGACTGTGGCTGTCGGCAGACATCTGAGTCAGTTTGTTCAAGATCGAGTCCAGATAGAAGTCGGTTTTGATATCGGCAGAGGAAATAGAATCCACTTTGGGGTCAGGTCCGTTGACGATCCAGTGAATCTTGATGAGGACGACCATCGCATAGGCATTCCACACAATGTACAGGTTGGGCAGTGATCGTGCACAGCGCACGTCAAGCGAAAGCCAGAGATCCAACATTTTGTGGCTGCCGGTGAGGAGCGTAGTGAAAGCGTCAATGTGAAGCGAGGTCAGAGTGTCGGGCCCTGGCCGTTCGTAACCCAGCTGTCCAGGGCGGAAATCGTCGACGTTGTGGTCAAAGTGGAGAGCAATCTCATGCATATAGATATTGACGCAGGATAGTTGATGATGGACAAGACCTTTGAACGTTAGAACGGTAAAAGGGACACAATAAGCAAAGTCTTACGGCTGTCAATACCGGTGTCCACGGACTTTTCCCACTCATCTAGTTGTCGTCGAAAGTACTTCAGTTGATGTTGTGTTCTGATCTCTGTGAAATTCAAGTCGGCCCCAGGGTCGCACATGTTGAAAGCGTCCGACACTTCTTGTGCAATACGACTAAGTTTTGCCTGCGCGCAAATCCACTTGTCTCCCGGCAAAGCGGACGGACTGTTCTCAAGAAGTTGAAGACACTCTTCAACGTGAGCATCATGTCTGGTAGCCGCAGGGACACGGATCACAGTCGAGACTCTGTAGCGCGCTCCGTCAACCGGCTGCATATCAAAAGGGGGCATCAACAGAGCTTACGAAACATTTGCACAGTAGACCGCGAGCCAGGTCCTCGCAAGTTCTACCTGGTCGCTGGGAGGTATTGTACGACGCATTCTTGACCGCTTCCCAATCCCCAGATCATAGCACATGGTAGATGCGGATTGTGCATACTGGTGGAAAGCCAGGTCCCTAGCTGTCCGAGGACGAACGTAGTACTGAGAGTGAAGAAGCAACGCTTGAACCAGGTCCACGGATTTGTCTCCATGGAAAAGAACCCTTTCTGAGAATTGACGGGCGGCTTCGGTGACAAGACTTGGTTGGATCGAAGGCATGATGACAGAACTTGTGGCTGCCAATATGGCTAAGAAGGTCATAGGCCGCCGTGTTCGGACTTCTTGTGCTTGGGTCCCAGGCGGGAACTGCACCATCGGGCAGGATTCACACATATTCTGTGCCCAGTAATTGAACAAGGATGTAGCGGAATCCCTGGACAACATTCCTTGCTCGACGACGTCAATATAATCATCCTTGATAACAGGATTCATTATTGGACACGAACGCGTCCAATCCACCGAAGGCGGCAGACCCTCATCAGCTTTCTCAGTTAGTTTGAGTGGATATGGATCAAGGCCAGCACTGGAGGTGTCTTCGACCCCAGAACGGACCGAGTTCGCATTGGCGGTCTGCTCTTTATCCGGTGACGTGTTAGGAGGTGACGGCTCAGCTTGCTGCTTAGCCAGCAGAGCCTCTGTCAATGCATTGATCTTCTTTTCCAACTCGGCGACTTTGTGCACGGTCTTCTGCCGTTTGCGCGGAGGTCCCGGCATGATACATTCTCGGTTGACCCTCGAACAGGCGTTGCATGCCTCTTGGCCTTCGACAGGAAGACATCGGATCTTCATGTTACGACAAGCAACGCAAGCTCTCGAGCGCTTCTGTCGTTTCGGTCTGCCCGCTTCATTTTCAGACCCTTCCTCCTCGTCTGCACTCACGGGTGATTGGCTGTCGACACCTGACTCCCGGCGCTGGGCGCTTTGCAGGTAAGAGAGAGTCTCCGGTGAGCGATTCGTATTGAATGGAAGCAGTGTCTCTACTGGCAGAGGCTTGTCCGGCGCCATTGTTTACCTTCTCAACCACAATGCAGACAAGGCTGACTGTTCACAGACGCCGCGACGACTTCAGGTAATGACGCGTTGATTATTGATCAAGCAAAACTTCGGCCGACGTTGGCACAACTTTTGTCAGCGTCGGATCCCTTGGGTCAACCCACGAACTGGGACGGCTGGAGAGATCAGACAAGAAGGAAGAGGCTGCCCTCACCCTCGACTGGAGCATCCGTTATGTGGAATTTGAGAAGAAGCTGATGAGGGAATTTGCCTGTTCGCTGCCGGTCTGACAAAGAAGTCACTACGAACGAGGACGCCTGGAGGGTGAGGGTACTAGCCCGGAAGAGGACTAGAGCTCGGAGCTTCTTCAAGCCGAGTCACGTGAACACGTGATGACTCATCGCCGCTCAGTCCTGTCTCCTCTGCAAGCTTGATGATGTTGGTATTGCTTCTTCAACTACTGGCACAACCATCACCAAGCCACTCTACGTTGTAGTCTCTTCCACCATCCTCGCTCATGTTCCTGTTCATCTTGTCTACTGTCTGAATCTCCCAACTCTTTTGCAAGGTTGTGATTGTCATTCAGCCTCAAGTTGGGCAAGAACCAGACCACCACCATCGGCACCGTGGAAGCGACTAATGCAGCAATGGTCATATATCGCAGAATATCCGAATATCCATGATTGACAGCATATTTCTCACTCGATCCAGACCCCTGCGTCACACCTGTAATTGTCTCATAGACACTATCAATGGTCGATTGTGGTGTATCAGGATCCATCCAGTAGCGGAGCCTCTTTTTGAAAAGGCTGGTATAAATTGTTCCTGCGAGAGAGGATCCAAGACTGTTGCCCAGGTAAATGAACAGGAGCTCCAAAGCTGTAGCTTGTGCCAGCTCTGCTTTCGGAACGACGATCTGCGCGACGACGATGACCACTGTACCAACCGCTCCGCTGCCTGCTCCTTGGACAACTTGCATCATGAAAATTTCGGCAACCGAGTTGTTGGCGCCCCGAAGACGCATCATCAACCCATATCCGATTAAGCGGACGATGACACCGATCAACAGGAGCCATTTGTAGCGTCTGCTGCGATACATCAGGAACCCAGTCGCCAGTCCTGTCAGTACCTGGACGCAGCCGGCGGTGTAGGTGAGAAACGTCGCATCGCGTGCAGAGAAATTGTGCACCACCGTCGCCCAAGCGTACATGTACGTATGCGTGATACTGTAAGCGAATGCGTCAAGCAAACCAATCAGGAATGCGAGGACCAGCGAGATGTTCTTGACGAACCGTGGCGGAATTATCGGCTTTCTGGCTATGCGCGATTCGTAGTAAACCAAGCCGACGAGCAAGCAAGCACCAACGACCATCAGAACCGGCACCCAGGGCGTGCTCCAGTGGCCCGGTGTATCGCCTGCAAGGGCGATGGGTAGCAGAAGCATTGCACAGCCACCACCGAGAAGCACCATCCCACCAAGGTCAATCTGCGTAGACAGTCCCAGGAGGGTGGTCTTGGTTCGAACTTGGCCCCCAGCCCTCTTGACACGCCGTTGAAACCACATCAATGGAACGATGACAGCAACGGAGCAAACCGGCATGATGATGGCGAACATGCCTATCCCCCAACGCCAGCCAATGGTGGCCAGCGCCCCTTCGACGACGAAGGCGGAAATCCAGGGTGTGACCATGAAAGGCAAGTTGACCAGACCATTCGCTAGACCGCGCCATCTCGAAGATGTGATGTCGGCCACAATGATCTGGTTCAGAATCTGCATGCCGGTCTGACCAATGGAGTAGACAATGAAGCCTCCAGCATATTGCCCGAACCCATTTGCCGACGCACAAAGCACGTACGACACAACGTAGAAGACAACTACGGCAATGTAAGTCTCAGCTCGGCCGGCGACGTCGGAAATCTTCGCGATCGGAGGCTTGAGGATGGCGCTGATGATTGTGCCTGCCGTGGTGAGGGCGCCCAGCAGAGAAATGGCCTTGAACTCCGACGCGGCGTAGTTCTGATAGTTGTATATCGTGGTGTGGTCCAGTTCGCTGTGTAATGGGTGAGCTGTGAGTAGCATGTGTGGAATCGCTCAACCCACAAGATAGTCCACATGATTGCAATACTACAAAATCGAAAAAGTGAGTCTCGGGCATCCGTTGCGAGGAAAGGCACCCCTACCCTATCCACATCCAGACTTTGCCTTGCCTTCCCCAAGCATTGGAAAGGATCGTCTGGTCTTCATCGTCGCTGTCAGTGCCTGCATTTGGCTGCTCCTGACCAGAAGCGTGCTTCTCTTCGCCGTCAAGTTCCCAAGGCGTGGCAACAGCGATAGTCGTGTCACTCGATGGCGGTGCCTCGCTAGACAATCGACCTTGCCTAGAAAGCATTGTTCGTTCGAACTATCCAACCAACACGCAACAAGGGAGGTTTTTCTTGAAAAAGCTCAACACAGGGGATAACATGGCATACTTAACTATTCAGGGTTACCGCATTTTGCCCGAGCGAGAGCTCCGAGATTTATGAGCACTGAAGTGAAGATCGTCCGGAGAGGAGAGCACGGGTAGCTTGCAGTATCAGGAAGGCCATCGTCCAGCGGCCCAGCGCATGGGGAGATCAACTAGCCTGCTTCTACTCGGCTTCTTCCTGTCCACCTTGTCCCTCGAACAAATACCTTCGTCAGGGACTACTTTTGACGTCTCCATGGACAGGTCTTGTGGACCACAAAGAGGCTGGAAATGTTCCACGGCCACCATGAAGGCATCTGGGCAAGAGCCCACGCCGACCGATGTCGGTCAAAGCAGATGAGGTTGCAAGGCCTTCGTGTCAACGCGGTTGAAAGGAGGAGAAAACGCCAACGCCGAGCAAAACGCTGAGACCTTGGCCCATATCATCGGCATCGGATTAGATGAGCCATCTAATCAGATAAGACAATTGTGGTTTTCATCTGTCATGCTGAGACCTCGACGTGCTGATCTGTGGGACCTGACGACACTCCGAATCCCTGGGCAATTATTGAACAAGTGTGACAGGTAAATGTCGATGGCGGAGATTTTCGTGGTGGGGAGGTTGCTGACGAAGAGGACGAGGGTTTACTCCCTCGGCGGTGGATACCTAGTTAGAGTGCCTGCGGATCGAATCATCCACCAGAGGAATCGAGTTCGTCAATCTCTTTACAAGCAAGATGCATTGGGAAATCATGCTCGAGACGAATTCTGGGCTGCAGGCGACAGAGAAGGAGACCAAGAGATCCTCGCCTGGGAGAATCATCCGGACCTCAGGTGAGCCTGCAGATATTCAATGTACATGATTTATTGTCCTAACGGCGCCATGGGCTGCCATGAGAGCGCCGAGAATAATATTGTTTCTTGGGGAGTCACCGAGTCTGTAGCTCGATCACGTCCTCTTCCTTTGGAGTTTCACCCGCCAACAGCGCCCAATGCCAATCCCGATCAACCACTGATGCCCGAATAATGGTTGATCCAGTTGAAAATCTCGGTGTGCCACACAATGCTGTTTTCCCGGTTCGTGATCCTACGCAATTGGTTAGCCGGGCCATACCCAAAAATGTATGCACCACTCACCAATGATTTTCGTCAGGAAAGTTCAAGAATTTGCTGGGCACGCCTCTCTCCTGCAGGATATTGAAGAGCATGATCCCCTCGGAGACAGGTAACCTGTAATCCAGGTCACTGTGCACCACGAAGTGGGGTGTCGCCCAATTGTGTATAAAATTGATCGGGTTCCAACGCTCATAGTTGTCTCGGTTATCCCACAGGGTTCCATTGTTCTGTCCGATAGTTAGCTGTGGAATCTGGGGGTTGCAAGCTCTGAATGAAACCGTACGTCGTGCTCAATGAACCACAGCTCTTCGCTCGCGTAGTTGGAAAGTGTGCTCGTTACGCCGTCATGGGTGACAAGCGCTTTGAATTTTCTTCCCAAGTCATGACCTTGAATCCAGTTGGTCATGTAGCCGCCATATGAAGCGCCCGCTTCGATGCCATGCTCCGTGTCGATGTAGTCGAATGTGCTGTTGACGTATTCCCAGCAAGCAACAAGGTCTGCAGAGTGTCAGGTAGGAACAAAGCGTAAAACATGCACGCGAAAGCCATTGCCTCACAGGAAGGGGGATGCTCACCTTCGTACGGATAGCTGCCCCAATTGTTTTGGATGGCGTCTTGTAAAGCCATGCCCCAGCCAGTCGATCCTGTTGGGTTCGGTGCGACAACCACATAACCTTGGTCTGCCCAAACTTTATAGTTCCATCTAGTGCTCCATGAATTGTACCAACCGCCTTGAGGCCCGCCATGTACAAGGAATGCAAGAGGATACTTCTTGCTAGAGTCAAACCCCTCGGGGTATACGAGCCAACTCTGGATTTTTGTGAAGCTACCATCGAAGTAGAATTCGGACATATCGTCGGGGCCATATCCTGCCAACTCAGGGTCGACTTGGTTTGCATGGAACAGATCCGTGACGACTTGACCAGTTGGGGAGATGATGTAGAAGTCTCGAGGAGACCAGATCTTCGAGTCAGATATCAGGAGATTACCGTCAGGCAGCACTCTGTACGAAGCGGGAACACCCTGGTACGTGATGTTCTTGGGCTTAAAATCAGCCTGAGCGCTCAATGGTACTTCGAAGATGCGCTCATTGCCCCGATCGGGGGCTGCGACGAACAACGAAGAGCCGTCCAAGGCCCACCGCAGTTGGTCCGGCGTACTGTCCCAGTCCTCTGCGAGCACCGTGATGTTGAAGTTCGAGTAATCGACATTGGCGACGTAGATCTTGTTTCTGTCGGATTCGTAGGATATACCATCCATCTGAAAGTATCCAATCTTGGAACCATCTGGAGAGAAAGTAGGTCTGGCTGAAGCACCCTTAGCATCGAGAGGAGTCGAAGGGCCGGAGAACCCGTTGATCGGGACAGCCTTAGCAGAGCCGTCATGTGGAACCATGTAAATCTGCGAAGAAGTGTAGTTTGCCAGTGGCAGGTCAATGTTCTTGGTCAAGAAGACAACCGTACTCCCATCTGGACTGATGTCGTAATCCCCGGAGTCCCCAAATGGCTGGACCGGGCTCTCAGCACGGGTGACATTGTAGACGCCAGTCACCAGATTGGTCAGATTTCCAGGGAAGCTATACTTGTTTCCTGCTGTCTGAAAAGTCCCAGCGAAGACCGCATACTTTCGCTCGGATAGGTAAACGTCCCAATGTCGTACGTAGATGCTGTCGTAAATCCGTGCTGTGCTAAGGGGCTCTTCGGCCAGAGCTTCGTTGTAAGCTGTGCCATTAGGCCATGCTAGGCAGTTGACTAGAAAGTTGACGTCTCCGGAAGGGGTAACGGTTGCCTTCAGCCCTGAATATGGAGCTGGAAGAGATATGATGAGGTAGCTAGGTCGAGTTAGTTGACCAGAAGTTCAGAGCTCGGACTGTTGCTCACGCCTGATCGATCGCATTCACATCGCCTGCATATATGCTGATACCGCCGTCTTCTTCCTCGTTGGTGCCGTTGATATAAAGTATGCTTGTCGGTTTTGGTCCAACGAAAACAATCTCGCTAATGTCGGACCCATTGTACAGCAACGAGACTTTTCCGCTGGTCAAGTTCATGACATTCCATACAGTTGAAGCTTCGTGAGAATCCCAAGAATATGTTGTCGAGGTGAAGACCCCGATCTCCTGTGGATATGAAGTCAGTTCGACGCCATAACTTTGGACTTTTCGCTTACACCAGACGGACTTGGTGTCATATCACTACGCCTGGGGGCGGCGAGCATGGCTCTGTCCCATATTAGTAAACTGACTGGCGGTTCCTTGCAGAGACGAATACGAACTCGGGGCTGAGGGCTTTCGCCATTGGCAAAGCGGCCAGGGCGGACGCCACAAGGTTTCCTTTGGCGAATCTCATGTTGTCTGACTTGGGAGACACGGAAGTAGTAGTGGTGGTCCAGGACGAGCTTTATACCTCGCTTCTCCATGCCTGCAAAAGTGGTGATAGCTCCTCGCTCCGTTCGACAAGCTCTCCGCTTCACTTACCCTGAGCCGCATGTACCCGCGGCAGGTGTACGGCAGACACCGATATCACACGCATTCCGCCAGGAACAGGATTCATGCAGAAAAGCGAGATAGTTACATCGGATATCAACAGACTGTGGCGAAGAGCAAGCGTGATATGCCATTTTCGGCCAATCATTCTTGACGAGTCTCCAGGCGGCCTGATAATCGTGGATTGATACCCCTGTTATCAGTTATCTTGCGCTGAAGGCCTCCGCATTTGCTGTGGAAGCAGAATGGTACAGTGCTATACAACTTCCTAAGCGAGCAAGTCTGGTCCGAAGCATCAAGGTGCCGACTGGTACCAAGACAAAGTCAATCCTTCGGCACGTCGTTGGTCTTCTGTACGAGGCTTGGTATGCATGACCAGCGTTGCATCGTGTTACTTTACCTATCACTTGTGCGCCCACGCCAAGCCAAGGCAAAATAGGCAGTGGAAGTGTGAGGCCGCGCAAATATCATCAGTGCAGTCAGTAAAAAGCGCTTGTCCCATTGCTTACTGGGATAGCCGTGGAGGTGATATGTGTGTGGGTGACAGCGAGAACGAGAATGAGAAATGCGTTGCATGATTATTGGAATTGAGGAAAAGGTGGCTGGAAAATAGCTGCGGGGATACCCTGTCGATCATTACACTAGCGGCTTGGCATCTGCTAGTGCTCGATCTATCACGTGATGTTATCACGTGTCTGGGAAATGTCGGCCCTTCTCCCTGCCCAAGGTACCTAGGTACCTAGGTCACACTGGGAACACTTCACCACTGCAACCATATTGGGCAGTCGGGGAGCCACAGTCTTACAACCACAAGGCTGAAAGATTGCCAGAGATTATCTGACAGCCATGTCCTCGCTTTCTGCATCCACGATATCGGACATCAATGCCATCTCAGAATTTCTGGCTTGTGAAGACATCTCGTCGTTACATGCCTGCCCTCCTGTGGATGTCTTAGTGCTTTGCGTCAGCGCAGTCTTGCCTATTGCCGATGAGGTATTCTCAGCCTTGGAGACTCAACCCAAGCTTGCGAAAACTGTCGTAATCTGCGGCGGTATTGGACACTCGACTGGCCTCCTTTACGAAGCTGTCCGAAAGAATCCCAAGTACCAGAGCATCGCAGACCACGTTGATGGACTGCCCGAGGCTGCAGTCTTCAATCGAATCCTCAAAGAGTTCAATCCCCGGCTCATTGAGCAAGTCGAGGCAGGCGCTTTCAAGCTCCTCATTGAGGACAAGTCGACCAATTGCGGAGCCAATGCCAGCGAGACCCGAAAACTACTTGACCAACATTGTACTCCTCTGCCAAAGTCAGTCATCGTTGTCCAAGATCCCACCATGTCACTACGGACCATCGCTTCGTTCCGAAAGACATACGCCGATGTCTCACCCACCCCAGAATTCCTTGGATGCCCAACTTTCGTTCCCCTCATGTCCCTGGACGAGGGACCCTCGGAACCGCATTTCCAAACGTCAGCATACCAGGAGTCAGAGCTTTGGGATCATCAACGCTTCTTCGATCTGATCATGGGCGAGATACCGCGGCTCAGGGACGATGAAAATGGGTACGGTCCTAAAGGCAAGGGTTTCATTTCTCATGTAGATGTTCCTGGCGAAATTGAGGCTGCATGGACACGACTGGAGAGGATATTGGACTTCAAGCGGTGATGGTAGTCCTTGCTACTTCAGCATGCAGTGACCATTCCTCCGAGGGCCTTCATACTCCAGCCGGCCAGGACGATTGCCAATTTGGCCGAGATTGGTCAATAGTCCTATCCTCGCCTCAATCCCTCAAATCGGATTGCCTCAACCCACCGCCCTTCGTCAAGCTTCCTCCTACGATGCGCAGCGCCGTGGCGGCTCAATCGATGTGCTTGTGGACAATTTCGCAGCACAGAAGAAGGACCGGTGAAAAGTCACCTTCGAACCGCAAGTCCCACGAGACTATTAAACCGAGAGGCATAGCCGTGGCGCATCTACACCACACGTTGTGATGCGAGATCATTCGAACTTTGGGCCGCCGCCAGAGCAGTGTACGGAATCCGATATCTTGGGACTCTCTGACTTCATGCACACCACCCTGGCACCCATGCGAAGAGGTTCTCGATCCAGTCGATGGCATGGCCTGTGAGCATACGTTGCCACCGAACCTAAATGTTGGTCATAATCATATCTCATTTCGTCATCTCGTATAATAATTACATAGATGATAAGGATAGTAAACAGGGTATCTGGGGTCCAAAAATATAAAGGAAGCGTGAAGAATGCGTGTAACAAAATGCCGCCATAGCCATTCCGAATGCGCCCAGATCTCGTTCCGGCCCCCAGTGCCAAATCAGGTCTATCGGGTCTGGCCACACCCTTCCAACTCTTCAGCCCCCACTTCGCTTCGCCTCGCAAACAAGGTGCATTCAGCCTCGTGGATAGTCGGAGTTCCGACAAGCCAAGAAATAGTTTTAGCCCCCAAGGGGGACCGGATCGAGACTTCAAGCTTCAAAATTTCCGCGCGAAGGAGGCAGAAATCTCCGGATTCATGAAACGCCGACATCGATCCTCGCGCAGGACGCAATCGTCGCCCGCACGCGTTGGTGGAACCCGCCATCGGCCGCTACATCGTAGACCTCGCTCAGCCTTCGAGGCACCATGCCGACGCGACTGAGACGTTGCTCGACAGCATCCTTGGCGTCGCCGAGAGCATTCCGGATCCCATCGACGCCAATGCGAAGATTGTAGCAGATCAGCTTGTCGTGCTTGACGGCAGAGTAGTCATGTGAAGACGCTGCGACGGAGAACTTGAGCTTGGAGGTCGCAAAGGCCACGGCGGCCGAGGTCGTGAAGCAGTACTGTTCCAGCACCTCCGCCTGGATGGCCGACATATCCAGTTCTTCCTCAGGCTCCTCCAACTCAGGCTCACACGTGAATTGTTCCATGCGCGGACTCGAACACGTGCTGGAGCATTCTGATCCAGACACGGGCGACGAAGCGCAACTGCTGGAGATGGAGCTCTGTCGCGACCCACGCGGTGACCGGGGCGTCCTCGGCGACGGCGGGGCGTTCATCTCGGCGTCAAGGCCGTCGAGAGCCAGCGCCAGGGTTTGGAAATGCGACAGTGAGCAAGAATCCAGTGTGCGAGCGTAGAAGCGGGTCTCCAGAGCTTTCAGACGGGGAAGGCTGCCCACACAGGTGTCGACGAGAACGATTTGGTCTTTGAGAATAGAGTCGGCGTCGGTCGCGTCGCCAAAGTCGACAGCGACGTGCATTATCGAGGATTTGATGGCTGAGTGAATTTCGGGGTCGGCCAAGAACGCCAGGACGTGCTCAGTTGAGCGGAAGACTAGTGCGTTCAGACTGTAGTACATGGTGATGGCCTCGGACCTGATGAGACGGCAGGTATCCAGAAATGCGCGCGTGTCATCTCTGCCGGGTCGCGATGGGCGTAGGCGTCGTTGTGAAGGGCATCGTAGTCGCAAGGGCTCGGATTCTTGGAAGGCAAATCTGTAGATCAAGTTCCTCACCTCGGGCGGAAGACTGAGGAGAGTCGAGGGCCTGTTCGGAGAAGCCTGAGACGGCACGAACGAGGCTGGTTGCGTCATGGTCATGTTGTACCTGTACTATACATGGGACAGCCGTGCTGTTTGCTGGTTTGCTATATGCCCACGGTGTAGAATAGAAGAGCCTCCAGTGCTGTTGTCAATAACGGGAAAAATGTTCTGTATAGAAATCCAAAGTCGAGGTATGGCTGTCCAGTCCTGGGTAGTGGCAATGTCAACCCCTCCTTGAACAATGGTTCATTTCGTAGCGAAAGCTAGCGTGTGCGTGGCCAGTGATCGCCCCCTTTTGAGGAGTCGGTGCCAATCTTAAAAACGCACAGAGCTCGCTGAGAACCGACGTGGTCTCCGCGTGAAGATCTGGGGATAGCGAAAGTTGGAATAGAAGCTCGACCTTTGCCCAGCGAAGGAATGAAGGAAGAGATGGTCGAGGTTTGCGGGAGATGAGCAGCACAGCGAGCGAAGCCTGCTCTAATCTCGAAAATGACGAGGTTGGTGAGAGACAGAAGTACTTGAAGCGTGACCCTTGGTGACGGCTTGTTGGTGGTTGGTGACACAAGCCATCATTGACAAGGCAAAGTATCCTGGTAATTGACTTGCAGGACGAATGTCTCAGTTTAGCCCCTTTTAGCAGGTTTCTCGCAATCTTAGGCCCCGGTCGAGGCTTGGAGCCCGATGCACAGGAACCGTGGATGGTGGTCGAATCGCAGGCCGACAAACACGATAGTCCACCCAGAAGACAGGTCGCTATTGGTGTGATTAAGCAGGCTCTGCCCTCTAGCGAGGATATTAATATCCGGTAGCTAATGCAGCCACAAGGCACTGCTCGTTCTTGTCCAATCTGTGCTTCCCCTCCAAGCCCGACCCAGCCACGGCCTTTGCCAGCATGGTGACCCATAGCTCTGCCGCCCCTGATCCTTCTGCTGCCCTTAACCTACGGACGTCCTCGACGTCATGCGACATCCGATGAGATACGGACTGCGCCGGAAACGTCCAAGATATGCCTGATCAGCTAGGATCGACAATCTGATGGCATGATCAGAAAACTTTATGGTACGACGATCAGCGCTGTTGATTACTAGTAGAAGCTTCTCAGGCTCTCTCTATGACCCCCAGACTTTCCCAAACCTCCCGAGACGAAAGTCTTGAGTCCAGCTCGTGTGACTTCTCGTATCATTACCTTTTTTTAAGCCTTCATAGCCGCAGTCGTGGTGATTTCGCCCTCGCCACGCTTTGAATGGTATTCGCGTTGCTCGTCCTCTGCCTGCATTTTCGCCGCCAATTCGTGCTTCTGCTTTTCTGTTGCATCCGCGAAATGGACCACTACTTCGTCGCCGAATAGCGCATTGATTTCTTCCAGGGAGAGGCCTTTAGTCTAAGGAATGTGTCAGCAATCACACAGCCCTGCCCGGACTTCGGAACTTTTTCTTGACATACCTCGGGACACCAGAAATAGAAGATCAAAATATTGACAAACGTCAAGCAGACGAAAATAATGTAATACTTCCACTTAATATTTGCCAGCGCGGTGGGAGCAGCCTCAACATAGACCAACGTAGACAGGAATGTTCCTGCAAGCGACCAGGCTACGCCTTGCGATCGGATATGGCTATTCGCACCGTTAGCATCGGATCGCCGGATCAAAAGCTCCTGCACAATGGCGTAGTACAGTTGCCCGATGACACTTACGTGGGGAAGATCTCCGCTGCAGGTCAGATCAGTTAGCCGGGGTTCAGATTGGGCCACCCGTCGGTGCCAAAGCAAAACAGTGCCCGCAGGAGCTCCGGGAGAACATGCACAGAAGCTTTCCGTTGATTTTGGCCGACGGGCGGTTCGCGTGGTACACACTCTGGCATTACCACGGACCTCCGTCTTGTTAGGAATGAGATGCACTCACAGCAATAAACATAGCCCACCACATCAATACCACCTCCGTAAAAGCTGATGAAACAGAACGAGAAGAAGACACCCATCGAAAGGCCAGCCTTGTTTGTTGTACCAGCATATTCTGCAATCATCGCTGTTTCCAAACAGACCGACAGCATGCATCCGCTGAGCCCGGCGACTAGTGACCATGATCAGCCTTGTTGGTGACACAAAAGCAGACGACTTACTGAGAAGTGGCTTTCGTCCGACTCTGTCAAGGAGGAGAGCTCCGATGAAGTTGGATATGGTTGCTACCGTGACATATGCCGCCCCAAGAATCAACGGAACCCCGCCGGTAAGACCTAGATTCTGGTACAGTGAAACAATGTACACTGGGAGCCTGGTGAGCAGCTGGACCCGAGCTCGAACGGTGGCACATACCATATATCACTTGAGCTCCAGTGGATTGTGCAGCATACTGGATGAAGAACCCCATCCAAAACCGTTTTTGATACGACTTCTTGGTGAGCATTCCGCGCCAACCGCCTTGCTTCCATGCTGCGCCGTCGACTCGGACTTGTTCAGTCATCTGGAAAAACTCTTCACGAGCATACTGGAGCCCATTTGGGTTGGAAACGGCACCGCCATGCAGTCGGTTGACGATTGCCCAGGCTTCTTCTCGTCGGTCTCTGGTAAGAACTGCGGCGGTCAAAAATCGTCCTCTTTCCCAAAGCATTGCAGCCACTTACGCCAACGCGGTGATTCTGGAATCCAAGGTGCACACAGTGCCAGCGCCAGGGGTGGCAGGATGGACAAAGCGATTGGAAATCGCCATTGGAAGGCCAGATTGGTGGAATAGTAGGTTCCAGCACCCACCCACCCAGCAATGGCATAGCCCAGAACGATCCAGGTCCCATGCTGGCCGACGAGGAATCCTCGGGCATTTGGCGGCGCTGCACTTCAGGTTAGCTATGGTCGGGAGATGCAGGACAGAGAGAGCCATGGATGAGGCTGTATCATCTGGAGGGTCATTCTGTCAAGGAACGATCGTGATACATGACGGATGTCGTCCGTCAGGTCACTGCCTTCCTCCCAGGGTGTCATCTCGGGTCCTTACATATTTCAGCTTGATATATCGGGATCAACACCACCATCATTCCAATGCCCCATCCAGAGATGAAGCGTGATACCAGGAACATGGCCATGTTGACTGAGCCAGTCTCAAGAGCCCCGCCAACAACGTTGACCACGCAGGCCAGGTACATGGTTTCCTTTCGACCACGAGCTTCGCACATCCAGCCCACATGCAAAGCCCCGAAGAGAGCGCCGGCGCAGTAGAGGCCATTGATCGTACCAGTGATGGCATTGTCATAGTCCGAGTTGTTACCAAGGTTGAAGTACGAAATGAAGCCTGGTTGCCCAATGGTGTTGGAGATGACCGAGAAGCCGTACCCAAAGGTAAGACTTCCCAGGGTCAACACCAAGATGATGCGTAAGTTGTAGAGGGTGTATGTCCTCGCCATGCTGCGATGAGCATTTAACGAAGAAGCAAGGAGGGATGCAGAAATGACGAAGACCCTGGGGATGTTGTGGGGTGTATCGGCATATATGTCAGACTCGATGCCATGTGTGGTACGAGGACATTAGGTATGCGGATCCTAGATAGTTAGGCTATACCAATGCTGAAACTCGGTTATACAGGTGTATGGTTATACTCGGCCTCCTGCATGAAATGGTGCAGCGTTCTAGGCATAGACCCTAGGCGACTACTGTATGCTCCGGAGCGGCACGTACCTGCTCTACATACGGAGTACCGGTAGCATTCTTTGACCAGTGCGGTCTCTTATGAGTAGTCACTGTGACTCTGGAAAGGCCATCGATTGATCGAACGCGTACTACTCCTGCACTTCGACCCTTTTTTTACAACCTTATCAGCTGCCATGTGCATTGCATGCTGCAGGTATTCCGTCATCTGGGCAGGGACCTACTTGTACCAGCGTATGAGGCCGCTGTATGGTGAAGATTACCAAGGAAGATTTCGCCAGTGATCTTCTCCAATCCAACAAGTACCGGGTTCATTCCCCTCGTTTTTGGGGGATCCTTGCCTCTCTATGCAGTAGCACGAGTAGGAACGGGCTGCTAGCGACTGAGGGCTGCATACGGGACTGCGGCAAGTGTTGGGGATGCTGTTCATTTACTTCGTTGGTAGTAGTGCCCGAGCTCTAGGATTTCACCGTTCTACGCCACGAATGCATCTCAGGCGTTGGGGGACACATGCCCTGCAGATGACTTGTGAGCCCGAGTAATTGATTGACACCACAACAGCACAGAGCGTCTGACATGGCAGTCAAGTCGCTCCTGTCGTCCTGTTCCTGGTCGCCATTGATCTTTCTTCGACCTGCAAAGCAACTCGCTCCGAGGCAGCGCTCGACTTACCAGTACTCTCGGTCCTAGCAACGGCACCAGGGTGTTGCCTTGGACTTTAGCGTCGTTTTGCTGCGTTCACGGAAGCTACTCCCAACAATCTTCTGCGCCCAGAAAGGTCTTCTGCACTGTCCAAAAAGTTGGTTAGCTGCCTTCAAAGATAGTGTCCTCTTGGTGTCGAGCGGTTTCTCGCCGGGCATTGATATCACTACCCCAACTTTCCCACGTACAAGATCTTCCAGAATGTTATCTTGCGCGAATTTCCGGGGGTATAGGCTATGACTTTTCTTTCCACATTTTACACTCCTCCTCGAAAATAGGTAGTACTCCACCTATGGATCAGCCACATCAAGCCTCGTCGACTCAGCGAGGCAGGCCTCGACAGCGGTCGGCTGTTGCGTGCACTTGGTGTCATTCCCGCCGCGTGAAATGCAATGCAGCAGCCAAAGGGACGCCGTGTTCGAATTGCGAGACCGCCGGCCGCCATTGCATGCTCATTGAGAGCAAGAGAGGCAAGAAAAGAAAGCTGTCAACCTCACCTTCTGTCGGACGCCACCACTATGTCGCCGAGACCCCGACTCCTGGAACGGTGGCGGCACACGGCAATGTTTACGATCCTTTGCAGGATATGCGAAATGTTCCCAAAGACACTCCGAATGGACTGACGCATCGACCCTCGACCTCGACATGTGACCACGAAAAGCCTGATTCCGTCGAGGAACCACAAGAGACTCTTTATGCTCAAGTCCTCGACAAAGCTACAAATGCTGATGTGGTTTCCGAGACCAAAGAAGGCGTGGTACATGTCATGTACATGGGCGAGACTTTTAACCTCACCCATCTGCTACGACAAACGAACCCCGATTCAGCCCGCTCAACACGAAAAAGGCACTATGTGGTGCGTTTCAATCCTCAGAATCGGCCAGTCGACGCAGTCGAGGATGAGTACGATAACGACACTATCGTCAAAACCTTCTTGCACCATCAAGATTGCTTTGTCGTCCCTGGCGTCCATACTTGCTATCAGCTGTTCCGCGCATACTTTGATTTCGTCCATCCTCACTATCCCATCGTGGATCGTGCAGACTTCGCGTCCCAGTATGCCGATCCTACCAATCCTCCATCATATCTCCTGCTGCAATCAGTCCTCTTCATGGCTGCAGGGCATTGTGACATGGCCATTCTTCGCGACGCCGGATTCGATTCTAGATATCATGCCCGGAAGACTTTCTTCCAGCGGGCCAAAGCTCTCTACGACAATGACCACGAACCAAACAAGATTACCGTCGTACAGGCAGTCTTCCTGATAAGCTTCTGGTGGAATGGGCCAACAGATCAGAAAGATACATGGCACTGGCTAGGCATTGCCATCAGCCTGGCGCTTACGCTCGGAATGCATCGGTCGACCCAACACTCAGACATGAAACCCAAAGATCGCTCGCTGTGGAAACGAATTTGGTGGTCTCTGTTTGCTGAAGACAAGCATGCCGCCACAGCTTTAGGCCGTCCAGTCCACATTCGAAGGGTTGACTGTGACGTTGAAGTACTCAACAGAGCAGACTTTGAGGAGCAGTCAGTGTCCAGACCCGACATTTTCGGAATTCCAGAGCCTGTGGACGGGCTTTATGTCATGGCTCTGGTTGAGCTCTCCTTCATCGGCGAGAACATTGTCCATAGCTCCTTCACAGCCTTCAATTCAACAACATCCTACAATGCCGAGATGTTCCAACAATGTTCCGAGGCCCTCGAGCAGTGGAAAGCCAGGCTAGCTCCCGAGCTGAATCTCGAACACAACAGTTCTTGTCTCTGGACAAGCATGTTGCACGTTGCTCACAGGTGGGTTGTTTCCTGTCAAGATTTGCTACCTCATGCTAACTCGTGTTGCAAAAGCTGGTTTGAAATAGTGACCCACAGATCGATTACGCCGCAAAATCTTTCGCCACCTTCGATAAAGACTGCCCATACTCTGGCCATGGATGCTGCCAACCGAATGATCAGGATAGTGGAGGAAATGCTGTCTCGCTCCCACGTTCTGCATTGCCCCATTCACATTGTTCCTTCCTTGTTCGCTGCCATGGGCATGCAAGCAGTCGACATCTGTTCCGGTCAGCCTGTTCAGGAGCAACTCGCTGTGGTCAAGGTCCGGCTAGCCATGATTGCTCTGCGGGAGTTGCAGAGTACCTGGCCCGTCAGCGGATGGATCTTTCGTCTCTTTTCAAAAATCGTCCGCCGCATTCGGAATGGCGATGAACTGCTGCCTAACGAGCCCGTCAACTCATCACCCGTTCAATTGAAGCAGGCGTTCGATGAAGAGGCACCTCCTGCGCATGGCCAAGTCATGGCTCATCAATCATTGCTTACCAACAAGCCTCAATACCCAGATCCAGGTCTTGCTCAGTCTCAGATGTATGCCATGCAGAATCATCCCGCCGGGCGATATCTCTTTCCCGAAGCTTCGAATATGGCCATGCCTGTCAGCTATCCTGCAGACTGGGGAAGTATCCTTGACGACTGTGCATGGGGAGACTTTGAATATGAGTTCTGAGCCTTGGTCGAGTTAAACGACTCTTTCGCCCTCTATCTAAAGTACACATATCGCATTCGGCGGACTTGCAACCCCTCCGGGGAAGTTCAGAGGCGCACTCGTGAAAAAGAAGCTCCACTTCCGCAGCTTCTGGCAAATGTCCGCCAGCTCATCCAGGTCAAACATTTCACCAACAGGCATCCCAAACAGCGCAATGAGATTATCATGAAGGCCTGTCGGCATGCGTCAGCAGTAGATGGCAAAGGATGGTCAAAGCAATGGACTTACGCCATCTTTCATCCTTTGCGGGCCAGGCTTCGAAAACATTCGCATCGCCGCCAACTGCGGCGAAGTGACGATCCCAAAGCCACTCCACGGACTCCCTGGTGCCCTCAACTCCAGCCCACGTTGACCCGTCCACGGTCCCTCGTTTTCGGTCATCGGCATTGGCCTCCTTATACCACTTGACGAACCCTGACCGGATCAACAAAATGTCGCCCTGTCGAAATTCCGTGCCTTGCCATGCTGCAACTGATTCAAGGTCTTTTTCGGAAATGGCATGGCGCTCGATTGGCGAGTACTGGATGCCCCGGTCCTTCGCCCAGGAAAAGTAATCCAGGAGAATGCCGCGTCCGACTATGCCTCCATGTTTCGACCATTCTGGGACACTCATTAGCTGGTCCCTTCACCAGTCAGCCTTTCTTACGATCGATGCCATTCCGGGCCGGAGCAGCTGGACTGGTAATGTCGGCATGAGGTACACCGTTATAGTACGTTCTTGACGGCTGATGAGCCCAATGTCCTGCAAGAATCGTCAATTCAGTGGAAGCAGTTTTACCAGATATCAATGAGCAAACTCACGGAATCCATCCCATTGACTACCGCTTTGGGTGTTCATCTGAATTTCGTCGTCATGTCCAACCCAGTCTGGTAATTGCATGATCTTGTGATTTGGTCTTCTCCGACCTGAATGAGGTGTTTCGCAGTTGTCGAGCGACCAATTGATGGCGACACTGATGCCATATTGGATCTCGTCCCTAGCAGCCAGCATCGTTGAGGGTGTCAAGAGGTTGAGGGTGCCCAATTCATCTTTCTGCGCTGGCCGATCCCAGAGGCCCCAGGTACAGCCATGCGGCATGCCATGTACAGGTGGAAGATCTGCATATGAAGGGACTATGACATCGTCTCGGCCCCTCTTGACAACCTCCTGAACATGCAAAGCATTGCCATTCGCTTTGATGTCGTTCGAAGTCCCGTTGGCTTTTTGCGCGAGCATATTGGAGAGCTACGTTGATCCCGGACGACGACTTTGCAGGCCCCTGTCTCAGGTAGTCAGATCGATAGAAGTCTACTAGCCTGGGGCTTGGAAGTAAGCGGAGAATACCCAGGGGGTGCCAAACTGACTGTGCAGATTGACAGTGTCTTCCAGGCAGGCCCAGAGATATCCCGTGATATATGAGGCCCAGCCTGAGACCGTTTCCTATTGCAACACTACTTACCTCGTCCCATGGGCCATGACTTGTTCCTCCATAGATAACGCCTTCAACCGACAGAGTCGTGGACCCCATCAATCATGTTTGACTTTCTTAGCAACGCTTGTCCGAGTAGTATCCGTTCTACTGGAACCCGCGTATCCGAAGATTGAGGCTATGAACGTCCTTCGGCTATAGCATAGCCGTGTGTGTTCGTTGGAAGTGGGTAATTTATCTTTCCCGAAAACATGTCATTGTGACCATGTGGAAGGACGAGAGCCGCAGACTTGTAAGATCGCTTGCTTTCAAATCAAAAGGGATCTTGCTGGTACTAGTATCGTTATGCACCTTCGTCGGCTCCGGCATGGGTGGACAACCTGGAAGTCTCGGAGGGTCTTGTGGACGTCCAGAATGCCGGAGTTTGACCGGCATGAACGAGCTCTCGGGGGGATGGACTGGACGTGACTGGCTTGATCACCAATTATGGCAACCTACTCCTTCGGTTACTACAGAGGTGAGCGTTTAGCATATCAAACGGTGCTTCTCCATGATCTTGAGGGTGATAGGTACTAATTCGTCGGGCTTTGTGAAGGGCAAAAAGTCGAGTACTAATAACTAGCTGCAGTCCGTCCTTGCGACGGAGGAAAGGGGCTCGAGTTGCTCCTGGTGCATTTCCTTCTCCCTCTGCGCTCCAAACACAGCTCAGCTACTAGTTACCAACTTTAGCACCGGGTCTCCTCCCATCAAGACTCGAACAAGCACAAGCATAAGCACGAGCATTCGAGAAACAAAGCAGGGGAGCACCATTACTTGTCGCAGCCTCTCGAGCTGCCTAGGTGAGCAAGGATGAAACACTTTGCAGCCGTTCGATCCTCTTTGTCCTCTGCAACTCTCTTTATGTGCTAGCCAGCTTGATCTAGCTCTTTCATTGTTCGACTGGTCCTCTGCGACCTCCAGGTCATCCCCAGGCATTGTTCAGTATCAACTCAAAGGACGTTCCCATTGTTCCCGTCGGCCCAAGGCAGCACCACCAGTGAAAGCACTGCATTGTCAGGCCGACGACTAATGACGGCCTCTTTATTTCCTAACCATTGTGTAAGTCATCCCTGCCTAGTGCACTGCCTACTGCTGGAGCAAGAAGACCTTACTCGCAGGAAACGATAAATATCTCGTCGTTCTCGAGGAGGACACGGACTTCTTTTTTTCCTTCCCATTCAAAATATTCTACTCTTTCTCTTGACTGGTCAAGCGAGTCCAAAAGTCCTTCACTTCGACAGTTCGAACGGCGTCCAAGCCCCAGTCTCCGGTAGACCAAGCTCAAACCGTTCGAACGCGAGACCGACAACAAGCCACTCGAGGACTTGCAACCATACCTAACAACGTGACCAGCAACATGACGGAGTTTTCTTTCCTAGGAGCCGCCGAGCGGAGCCGAGTTCAAGCTGCAGCTGCTGGTACAGCCTCAGGTACGTTCGACTTCACCTTCTCTCATGATGCTACTAGTACTGGAGCTGCTCCATCGTCAACTTTGTCCGAAGACTATTGGCATACCGTCCTGGGTTACCAGCCGGGCTCAAGAGTCGTCGCAACTCCAGCTCATGGTCACGGCGCCTTCATCACTCTCCGTGTCCAAAGCCTGCGTCAAGCACAGCCACAGCCACAGCCAGCTAGTACTAGCAGTGCTCGACAAGCCCGCCCTGTCCTGAGCCTGATCATCCCCGACAACGCGGCCGAGGTTTCCGCATTCTCTTGGTCTTCTGATTCCGATCATCCTGACGCCGGTGCTTATTCCGCATCCGAGTATGGAGACGACTTGGACAGTGACGATCTGTCAATGCACGATGCTGTCGAGTACCAAGACGAAGACATCGAATCTCTCCGGCTCCAAGTTCAAGAATCCCGCCGTCCCGATGAAGGTACGTACTCTCCCTGGGCGCGTCAGCTCTTGGATCCATGGACCCCTGTTGTCTACGAAGACGAACACGAGGACTTTGGAATTCTGCCCTATCATGAAGACCAAAATGAGTACCTTCCAACTCTTCCCGTCTATCAAATCGCAGACGAAGCCTCACCCGACCTCGGATCTTTGCCCGATCTTGAATATGAAGACCAAGACCCGGGCCAGGCCGACTATGAAGACGAAGACCAAGACGAGCCCCTTACCCCTCTGCCCGACTATGAAGAAGACCAAGACGCTGACACTCACACCTGGTGGCAGATGAACTGGGCTGTCTTCCCAGGCAATGGCAACCTGCGCTCGGACACCAATGGTTGGTAACGGCAACAACTTGAAATGGGACGCAGCTGGGTCTCAATTCGGCTACTACTACTACTACTACTACCAACAGCAGCACCCTGAGCACCATCAGCAGCGGTAAGTAAGTGGGTGTGTGGTCAGCTACGGTAAGCCAGGCACACCGTCCAGTGGTGAGTACGGTACGCACGCACGGAGGACAGGACAAGACAAGACAAGACAAGACAAGACAAGAAACAGCAGCTGCACTGCGCCGATCTTGACTCTTACAGTATTTCAAAGACGTCGGGAGAGAAGAGTTGAGCTGTACTGGTGACAGCCCCCCTTTTTTCTCTCGCTCCAATGGGGTCGAGACGCAGACGCAGACGCAGGCTCAGGCTGAAGACCGTTCGAGACGAGGTAAGTTCCCCCCAAGCCCCTCCCCCCGGAACAGAAAATCCAAAAGACAAGTCAAACGGAGGTCAGATGTCATGTAAGCGTGCACCACATCAAGCGCGGAGCATCGCGAAAAAGGAACTTGAAGTTACATACAAAGACAAAAGACAAAGACAAAGACAATAAATGTTTTTGATCACCAATATTCTTGAATCGTGAAGTGTACGTGGCAAGTACAAGGCTACCAATACCTAAGTTTGGCAGGAGACCTTGAAAGAAAAGAACCCGATGGGTGTTCCTGTTACACTCATCACGATACTACTAGTACTCCTTTCAAACCAATCGTCGCTACTAGTAGTATACTAGTAGTCTGAGTATACTCTCCTTCCTCCAATAGTTGTTCTCTGATACAATATCCTGATAATCTAACAGTACTACTACTAGTATTCTTCGATACCGTCGACAGCCAATGTTGATTGTCCATCCCAAACGCAACGATACCAGTAACTCGAGTGCCTGACTCCTATCAGCACACTCGGCAGCTCAGCTGGCAACTTATCCGGTAGCTGTGATCCAACGTCGCACTCGGATTAAGATGCCGATGGACCCAACGTGTCGACATAGACTGAGGCCCGATCCGACCTCGAGATAAGCCATGCCCTGTTTGAACGACATCCAAGAGATACCAAAATCCACCCAAGGTAGAATGCTCGACAGCCTGTGTCAAGGCTAAGTCGTAAGCGATGTCCAAGCTCTGCGTTGGGTAATCCATGTTGGCGCCTCGGTTTGCCGGAGCTGGACGTGATATGACGTCGAGTCTCATCAGGTCGTTCGGCATTCGCGGTATCGATACGTTTTGTGAATATTCAGATTTGCAAAGCTCAGATCAGGGCAATAAGCCCGATTCCGCGCTCAGCCCGACTGAAAATGTTGTCATTCAAGGTTGCGACGCAAGTTTCAATCCTTTCGTATCGGAAGGATTGGACTCTCCGTGGATTTGACCTCGATCGAATACTTTCCTGTCACCAACCCCTCGAGTTTCGTGGTTATCTTTGCAAATAGCGGCTCCAACTTCATATTCCAGACTTGACTTGCTCCGCCAACGCCGGCCGCCAAGACAAGGGTCGCAAGAGCACATTGGAAAAATCCTGGGACGGGATAGCGTTCAATCCGGTATTGCTGCCCATCATCGCCATACTGACCAAAAGGTGCCAATGGTTGACCAAGATGCAGGACCCAAGCGAAAACGGTGCGCAAAAGCATGCCGTGAAGCAGATAGATGGCGAAGCTGACCTGACCTAACCACTCCAACGGTTTCTGGCTGAGAGCCCAACGCGCGTGTGGAGAGACCAGGATTCCAAAGACGAGCAGTATCCCTCCAAGGGAACCATACATCCGGTCCAGATTGTCGGCGGGAAGAAAACGTGCTCCGATCTCGTACATCCACTTTGACCAGCCTGCTGCTTCGGGGTAACCGCTTGGATATGACATCAGGAGAAGAGCCAGTAGAATCGTTGAAGGCGAAAGAATGTGCGATACATCGGACAGGGCTTCAGGAACGCCCGACAGACTCATTTCTGCGAGTATGATACCGGCGAAGCAAGAAAGACCCGTCCATGCTGATCATTGTTAGCCCTTGATCTCCGCGGACTACCATGTCGGAGGCAACTCACGATCGCCAATCAACCGACTCCAGTTCAAACTCCAGCACACCAACACCGACATTGCCACTGTCCTCCAAGCTGGTGTCATGGCAGCCGTCAGGAACAATGCACTGATGATCATGAAACTGCCTTGGAGCAGGTAAAGTAGTGCCCATTGTGGTTGGTCGTAAGGGTTTTCAGGTCCGTATCTCCACGTAGCCGAAAGACCGGCCAGAAGATCCTGTAGCGCTTGCAGCCACGTTTTACTCGGTCTGGGAGTAGTGGTGCTCAGCCAGTATGCATCACTCAGCCCAGCGGTGCGGTAGAGGCCGATGTTGCAAATGAACCAGCTGATGATGGTAGCCGCGGTAGCCGGAAGTACAAGGCGGAAGATTCGACTGAATGACGACGAGGCCAACTTGTTCAGTGCTTTGTCGACTTGTCCGGATCTAGCGAGGCGCAGAGGTGCCAATGCATTCACGAAGCCCATCAGAATAAAAAAGATTGCCACCCAAGAATGTCCACTGGCAACAAGTCGTAAAATTGGCCGTTGGAAGAGTGAGGGAGAGGGGCTTCCAGGAGCGCAACACGGTGGGATCAGGCCTCTGGCATAGCATAGAACAAGATGTGAAGAGACGACGTAAACTGCAGCAACTCCTCTCAGGCCCTATAGTCAGTAATGCGTCAATCACCGCCATCTCTCTTTTCGTACGAGAGTCTTACATGAGCCCATGTCGTTTCCTTCAGTGCCTGCTCTTTGGCTTCTGTCGATAGCTGCAAGGTCTCAGCATATTTGAGAGCGCTTTTGGCCGTCTCCATGGTACGGTTTGCTGGTGACTGAAGTTGGGAGAGGCGGACCAAAACTTCAAGTATCCAAAATCCAATGTAACCAGCGCCGAGCAAAGCTGGGGGAATACTCCAAGATTTTCGTTTCAAATCATAACACTGTTGGAGTGGAGAGTCGTGTCATCCTTCGCCTGTTCTGGGAGTCTTGATTGTTTCACGTTAAAGACAGTCCAAGATCCGAGATCCTGGTGACTGGCAAATAGTGACAACCGTCGCAGGAAGTCCAACCAACACCCCTGTTGTTCGGGTTTCGAATTCTGTTTGATCGCCACGCTTACTGGCGCTCCCGGTGGCTGGAAGTGAACGGTCCACGGCCCTAGGATTCGCTTGTTTGGTACCAGAGAATAAAGCCCCTGCTAGTTCGTGGACGATCAAAGCCACAACCGCCAGACGTTGTTGGCCACGCGGCAAGTTTCGAATCAGTCGTCTCGACGAAGAAAATCCAAGTGAGTATCAGTTTGGGATGACTCCGTATGTCTTGGATATTTGGAAGGAAGGAGCAAGTCAAGGAGTCATTCATGGGGGAAAGTGAAATGCTGCCATCGCCATTGGCACTTCACTTTGGCACCTGTCAAAATCCATCTCCATGCTGACGCGAAGTAAGGAGATGCGCCACAATTGTCCAAAAGCAGACGGCATGTAATGGCGCCAAACGGGGACACGAGCTACTCTCCTGTGTATGCATAGGGAATGTTCTGATATTGGCGCAAGGTAAATAAGACATACATATTCTGCTGTGCAACGTATGACAGCTGGACTCCCGATTGACTTGCACTACAGCAGTTTAAGAACTACATTATTATAACAGTATCCGTACAGCAGCATTCATTATGCAAAGATCGCTTTCTCAAAAACAGCCACATCGCCACCTGCAACTTTCACTGCTTTCAATGCAGCTTCGCTCAATTTCTTCCTCTTCTCCCTTGCCTCCAGTTCCCTCCGAGCTCTGGTCTTGGAACTGCCACTTGGAGCGACATCATTCATCAGTTTTGCTGAATCCGCTGGTGTGAAATTGACGAAGTCAACTAGCTGGCCGCCACCGGTGGGTGTCTTCGGACCTTTCGGTGTGCGAGGCGGTCTGGAAGACGACCGAGCCCGAGGAGTCGGCAGTGGCTCTTGTGTAGTGTTATCTTTGATTGGGCCCGATTTATGAATCGACTTTCGTCGACTATGAGTATAATCTGTGACCGTCCTCGTTGGTGAACGGCGCGGATTTCTGCGAGGGCTGATGTTTGTTGGCGAGATCGGAGGCGAAGGTGACCGTGATGGTGACCGTCGCTGCTTGCGAGGAGTCGTGAACGGCGAATGATCAGAAAACACGTACGAGGGAGGTGGTGGAAGAGGGGGATATGAAGACAGGGCGCCCGGTGCGGGCCGCGCTGGAGGAGGATACGGCAACGCCATTCCAACAGTTGCAGAGTCTTGCATGGTATATGTCTGTGGCTCGTAGAGGACTGCTTGGCTCATCTGGTCCAACTCTGGATATCGGATACCTAGCCCTGCGAGCGGAGCATGTATCGGCTGCTGCAAAATTGGATGAGGAATGCGTTGAGGGTTCGGCGCAGCTAACACAGGGTAGGTTTCTTCTGGCTCCAAGGTTGGGAGAGGCGGGTGCGATAGAATTGTAGGCGGAGAGTATACTGGCTGTGAATGCATGTCAACACTGGTGTTTGAGGTCTGAGATCTTGCCTCATAAGAATGATGAGAGCTGCCCGATGATGGAACGCTGCCGCTGCTGGGTGAATGCATTGACAATGGTCCATGAGTGTTGGCACGCGGGTGTCGTGGCGACAGGGGCTCGTAATGAGACGGACTCTGCTGGAGCTCCTGCGTCTCAAAGACAAATGGATCAATCGCACCCGAATAATATCCTTCTCGTAATGCTTGAAGTCTCGGTGACAGAGCGACACCGTGGTTTTCGGCCATTCTCGCCGAATTCATCTGACGGGTCGATACTGCCTGTTGGTCCTGCATTCTGATGGTCGAGGGCGAGTGGAGCGAAGGAGACTGAAGCCGTGGTTCGTAAGGTAAGCAGATATGGAAATTCTGGAAATCTTGTTGCCACGTGCTAGTCTCGCCGTGACCGGCCTTGAGTGAGGTAGGAAGTTGGCAATACATTGGGCTTGGAGAAAGAGTGGCTTCACGGTGGAAGGGAGGATGTGAATAGCTGGGCGAATCTATTGAGCCGGCGTGTGGGGAGGTCGCATATCGCTTTGTTCGGCCCAGGAAGTTCACATCCAACGAGGCTGGAGCAGGCGCTCTCTGGGTGTACTGGTTGACGACATCCATTGTTTGCATTGGAGATGGTCGCTTTGTTTCGGATCTGCGTGTCTTCTCCACCATCAATGCTGAATGCTGTCCTCTTTGCCTTAGGCACCATACTCCCTCTCGCCAGGGTTGGGTTGGCGAGTTCTGCTCGTTTGACCGTAGAGTGAGCGAGGGAAGTTTGTACTGATCTCCGTTGAAGCCCCCGTTGCCAAAGAAGTCCTCAGAATGGTGAGCCTGCTCTTTGTTCTCTTCGTCATTACCGTCCAGCTTGTACATGTCTTCATTGAAGAACTCTTCGAAGGAATTGCCCTCGTCAGTAGATGCCCCGAAAAGCATTTTGAATGCCTTATCTTCTGGTCGGAACATGCCATCGGGTGAGTCTGCGAGAGACATGGTCGAAATGTTCGCATTGTCTTGCAACGCTGCGAAGTGGTAGTTTGGAGTCAGTAACGAAGCAATGGGGGCAGATGTATCGCAAATGACGGACGTAAACAAGACTGTGAAGATGACCGGGAAACGTGGTGAGGCACAGGAATGTGGTCTGGAGGAATTCCTAATGCCATGTGGTCCGAGCTTTCATAGACAAAGTCCATCAACTCATCTCCTCATAAAGTTGATTCGTGGAGTGGAGGATTCACGCCTTTGTCGTCTCATACTGCGCAATAACAGATATCTCACATGCGTCCAGTAATCTCTGATCGATGAGCTTGTCATCCCGGTTCAAAGGTTGGCTTTGTCCTGCAGCGAGGCGACTTGAAAGACGGCTCGATATGAAGCCGGCTATGAGCCATGTTCCCGTGGTGTTTGTTAGCAAGAGGAGCAACAGGATTCCTTGTTGTGCCTCATTTGACAATAACAATGCAACAAATAGAGGTATAGTATAGCAAGCGTACAGAGATGGTTTGTTTGGACCACCTGCTTCATTTCGGCATCAAAAGAAGCTTTGCAGAGAAGTGAAGATGTAGTCCGTCTTTTAGGATATCTTCAGCGCATTACCTGGAACCAAAATCTTCACAGCCGAAGACAGTGGCTCTGGAAGGCCTGCCGCAAGACCGCATATCTTCTCAGTCTTGAACAAAAGCTTCAACATGCATTCTGCCGGAGGCAGGCCGACATGGGAAGCCTCGAACTCACTGACCGACAATGGAAAACAGCAGTGTATTGTTCGAGCACAAAGAATGAATGCCTTGATGGCTCAACTGACAATGAAAGTCGGAGGGCCATCAAAGAATCCTTTCAAGGTATGTCAAAGGACTTCCGGACCCATGACAGCGATCGGTATATCATAGCCATATCTTGGAGCTACTCTGCTGGAATTGGTAAGACGTCTCTCGATCCTAACACCCAATCAATTCAGGAGTTTCGCACCAATTTCCAGTCCAACATGTGCTACGTGGAGGACGTGTACCACGCTCCATGCAGGCACTGGGCCGACCAACCACGAGTGTACCACAAATGTGCAGCAGCAGGCGGAGACGGAAACCAAAAACTGTGCTCCAACAAGAAGAAATGTGGCTCAGTGCAAGAAGCGTCCCTCTGCGCTAAATGCAAACTCCATGAGCAAATGAGCTCAGGCAAAGACACAGGTACGTGGATGTCAGTTTTTCCCAACAAGGAGACAAAGAAAGTGGTTGTGAAAATCCGAGACGGTGCTGGCAGGAAAGGAACGAAGCTCAGATCTCAGCCCAGTGGATTCTTTGGTTGGACGCTGGACAACAAGTGGTGACGCCTTCTGATGACTGGAGTGTTGATCAAGATGCAGGTTCAAGTTTCGGTAATAATCGCTGCAAGATGAGCTTTCAGCTGTGGAGATCAAAGATCAAGCGAGGTTGCAAGCAGGTTCTGTATCGATGTCGAAGAAGGTAAGCTAGCCCTTGAGGTTGAAGACAATTTGCATTTTGAATCCTGTATCCTGAATACTGACTTTTGGTGCTGCAATCACAACAGCAAGGAGGATGCACGCCGTTTCAAAAGTGGTCTGGGAGGAGGCCGACGCAAGGTGGCGACTGCTGACTCATCCTGTGTATCACACGTAGTGTCTGGTTGATGTCATTACTGAGACTGCATCCTTGCGGGCTAATGGCCGATGTCGCTGGGGGAATAAGATAGAAGTACGAGCACATCTGTGGCGATGGAAGTATTGTGTGAAATGGAAATAAGAGGTCAGAGATTGTATCATGTTCAATACGAGTAGGAGGTAATAGGATCAACAAGCCAGATCATCCTCTTGCCTTTGCAGCGTCACTGTTGGAAGGAAAAGCCGTATTCGTAATCACTCGGAAGGTGACCTCCGATTGTTATCTTCGTTGCATGGTGCTCACGTGGCCTCCCCCAATCTTTCATTCTCAGACTCGCGAGTGACGATTGACACTGAATTTTTTTTTTCAAGAAAAAGAACAGGATTTTTGATGTAGTGAGAAGATTCTTTTTTGCTCGTATTGAATTACTGTTGAGGCGACAAAGCACTGTCACTTGTATTTGCGTTGCGTTGCCTGGCCAGACCTTCCTTCACACGGGGAAACTACTCATAGTAACTAAGGTAGTAGAACTACCATCTTCTCCAAGCTTCCAGGCGACACTGCCGGCCATTGGACAATGACTACTGTGATTGGTGGCGGCTAATGAGGCTAGTGGCCACTGCCTATCGGATCACTAGCGCAGTTCCCGTTTCTTGGCGTCATAGCCACCGCCATTGCCGCCTGCTCCCTCCGTCTCCCCTCCTACTTAAGGCTTCGCTTGCTATCAGTCAATCCATCCACTCTTCCTATCACTCATACTACACCAGCCTTCTGACATTGTCACAACTCCCGGTCTCTCTCTGTCTATCATCACATCGACTTACCACAAAAGCTCCTATTCAGAACCGCAATCATGCAGATTTTCGTCAAGACCCGTAAGTTGCCTTCTCCGCGGTTATCTCCCGCCACCTGAAACCAACGCTAACATGATTTCACAGTCACCGGCAAGACCATCACCCTTGAGGTCGAATCCAGCGATACCATCGACAACGTGAAGTCCAAGATCCAGGACAAGGAAGGCATTCCCCCCGATCAACAGCGCCTCATCTTCGCTGGTAAGCAGCTTGAAGATGGCCGCACTCTGAGCGACTACAACATTCAGAAGGAGTCGACCTTGCACTTGGTTCTTCGTCTTCGTGGCGGTATGCAAATCTTTGTCAAGACCCTCACCGGCAAGACCATCACCCTTGAGGTCGAATCTTCAGACACCATCGACAACGTGAAGTCCAAGATTCAGGATAAGGAGGGCATTCCTCCTGACCAACAACGTCTGATCTTCGCCGGCAAGCAACTCGAAGACGGCCGCACCCTCTCCGACTACAACATCCAGAAAGAATCCACTCTCCACCTTGTTCTCCGTCTCCGTGGTGGTATGCAGATCTTCGTCAAGACCCTTACGGGCAAAACTATCACACTCGAAGTTGAATCCTCAGACACAATCGACAACGTAAAGAGCAAGATTCAAGACAAAGAAGGCATCCCACCCGACCAACAACGATTGATCTTTGCAGGAAAGCAATTGGAAGATGGCAGAACTCTCTCAGATTACAACATCCAAAAAGAATCCACGCTACATCTCGTCTTGAGACTGCGAGGTGGCATGCAGATCTTTGTCAAGACTCTGACGGGCAAGACGATTACTTTGGAAGTCGAGTCATCTGATACCATTGACAACGTCAAATCGAAGATCCAAGACAAGGAGGGTATCCCCCCGGATCAACAGCGATTGATCTTTGCAGGCAAGCAGTTGGAGGATGGCCGTACCCTGTCTGACTACAACATCCAAAAGGAAAGCACTCTCCATTTGGTGTTGAGACTTCGTGGCGGCCTGTAGAGAACGAGTTGTCTACTGATTCTCCACACACTTCGATATGAGTCACGGGCGTTTTCTTGGGGATGGGTCTGCATGGCATTGCATGAGCCCTTTTATGACACGACATTTTGCTAGCAATGCATGATTGATAGGACTGGCCTCAAGTGCCAAGCATGAGAAGTAGAATTGCAGAATATCAGACATCACAATTGCTTCTCACCAGAACTTTCCGCTTCTGAAGTGACCTCGTAAATTCGCGCATTCTTCTGTTTGAAACTTGATGAATCCTGTCCGAACGCCCACAACATCGATGTCGCCACCGAGTGACAGTTCGCTCGGACACTGATTGCCTACCGTACATGAACATTCGCCGCCCTTTGTCTGGCGCAACTCTCTTTCATCCTTTCCATACTGAATCCTGAAGCCATAGCCACATTGCACGATGCGCTGGCGACATGCCTGACTATTTCTTTCATGTTGCCATTGAACTGTTTACCGATATCCCGTCCAGCGCAAAAGAGACCGTACATCGCGGACTGCCAGACCTCAACCCGTTTTTCAAAGCCTTGAAACCTTTCACCCATTCTTCTCTCCGCCACCGGTCGATAGATCGAGCTTCACAACTGAAGGCCGACTCTCCTTCCCCTCGTACCTCACCGCCGCCTCCAGCGCGACACGATTTCGATCCTCCAGACATCCCTCACTCAGACCCGAAAGACCACCGGTTAGACAAGATCTCGCTGCAGGGATCCGTTATGTCTTCGCAGTCTGGAGGAAAGGATTTCTCCGTGGCAAACCACAGCATCATTGAAAAGGGCATTGGAAGCGCCATCTCAGGTCATCATCTAAAGGGCAAATACGAACCACTGGAAAGCCAGGACACTGTGGAAGGATGGGGTATTGTGCATCTTTACAGAGATACTGAAGAGACGTCGGGGCTATACAAAGATTCCGCCTACAGGTCGAGCGATCTATGGAGTGATGGACTTCGAAATCCGCCATCCATGAACCCTCACCCTTCCCCGAAAGACGAAGAATGCACAAGTCTATGTATACTTGCGGTCCCTTCTTACATGACGCCTTCGGATTTCCTATCATGGGTAGGTGAAGACACAAGAGGCGAAGTGAGCCACTTCCGAATGGTCCGCACCTCAAGAGCAAACCGGTACATGGTCTTGATGAAATTCAAACATGGCAAGAAGGCAAGAGAATGGCAACACGAATGGAACGGAAGGGTTTTCAATAGCATGGAGCCGGAAACGTGTCATGTCGTGTTCCTGAAGTCGGTTGAACTGATACAAACCTCTTCCTTGGAGCACAACAATGGCCTGAGTTCACCAACGACAAGTTATCCTCGCATGTCCAATGATCCTTTCATACCAGCTTCTACGACAACGAAACCTCTAGCCCCACGAACACCCTCCCTTGTCGAACTGCCTACCTGCCCTGTCTGCCTGGAACGCATGGACGAAACGACTGGTCTTTTGACTATTCCCTGCCAACACGTATTTCACTGCACGTGCCTCGAGAAATGGTCTGGTGGTGGATGTCCAGTCTGCAGATATACTCACGACGACTTTTCTTCGCGTCTTGGTTCGTCCAAATTCAAGAGCATGAATCCTAACGAATACGAAGTCTACGACGGGCCCCTTGAATGCGAAGTATGCCATGTTGACACGAGTCTGTGGCAGTGTTTGATATGTGGCAAAGTGGGGTGTGGAAGGTATGAAGGGAAGCATGCGTACGCCCATTTCGAAGAGAGCGGACATACATTCAGCATGGACCTGGAGAGCAAGCGAGTCTGGGACTATGCAGGAGACGCATACGTCCATAGAATCATACAAGATGCAGCCAAACCGGGCGAAAAGCTGGTCGAACTGCCGGGCAGAAGGCGTGAGCCCACTGCTTTGGAAGGGCAAGAAGACGTCGAGGTGGCGAAGATGGACAACATTGCGCTGGAGTACACGCATCTGCTGACAAGCCAGCTCGAGAGTCAGCGAGTGTACTTTGAAGAAGTGGTCGAAAGAGCAGTGGATAAAGCCTCTGAGGCCAATAAGAAAGCTGAGCGAGCCATGGAGGAATGTCGCACAGCAATGGAAAAGTTACACAGCCTCGAGAGCCAACATGATGTGGTGGCCAAAGGTCTGGTTCCAGAGCTGGAGAAGGAGAAGACCCGTCTTGAAAAGCGAAGTGCCAAATTCGAAGAGATGGCCCGGAGCTTTAACCAGAAATACCAAGAAGAGAAGACATTGGCTGCCAATCTCCTGGAGAGAGTGAAGTTCCTCGAGGACACTCAGATCAATCAACTGAACAACACCATCCGCCATCTGGAAGAGGAAAACGCCACAAAGGATTTGTTGATGGAAGGTTTGAGAGACGAGCATCGTGATGCCATGATGCAAATTTCCGCGCAGAAGAAACTGCAGGAGATGGTCGCAAACGGAGAGCTGGAGCAGGAAGACCTTGATGGTGCCATCATCGAAGCTGGACCCGCTAAGAAGGTGCCCGTGAGGAGAGGCCGGAGGGTTGTGAATGGCCAGAGTCGAAATGTAAGCACTCCGACGTCAGCTCAAACACCGCATGGTGGTGGTGCTGAGGCATCACGTTCCGCCGAGGGATCGAACGAGATGGATGCTTTGTACGACGAAATTTTTGGCGAAGGCTTACGCAGCAAGGACTGGGACGAGGATAAGGCCAAGAAGATCCTCGACGAATGCAGAGCGAGGTTACTTGGTGAAGGACTGCTTGTCCTCCCAGCCGCTGCTGATGCTGAGAGCACAGATGCGGAAGTTGATGGTGAGCACGAGATCGATGGACAGAGAAAAACGAAAGGCACAAGCGCCAATAAGAAGCGAAAAGGGAAGAAGAAAGCAAAGAAATGAACTGCTTGACATCTGGGGGGCACGAACCAGTGCGATGAGCGGGCTTTCCAATGACGACGACATGATTGATATGGGCGCTTTTCGACGGGGCTTTGCGCTGATTGTACATTGACACGACTGGAATGAGACTTGATACCCAGCGCTGCTACAGGACAGTGCACACTGTATACATACCATCGGCGTTGGATTTGGGTTGAGCTGTACTCCGTAAGGACGGCTCTTGTAATCAAGTATCACATCTATGCTATCGTGCATTGTGTGTTTCTATCTTCAAACCCACATTTTCCTTTCGCAGGTGTAATGCACCGGTTGATAGTGTTACAGTCTTTCAGCCAGCTTGTTGCAGGCGAATATACATGTACATGGCATTACCTGTTATACAAAACCGTAAGGCCATGAGCTGTTGCACGTTTATCGATTGGTAGGCCAACGCCGTCGAAAGCGGTCTGTTCGGCTGCTTTGAGGAAGCGTTGATTAAACTCCCGGAACCTAGGCCATCGACAGCAGACAGGGCCGACTGTTCTGCAGGGTGATACTGTTACTGTTTCCAAGGACGCGCTCTCCGTTGGAAGGCATCCTGGTCGGAGGGAGAAACAGTCTTGTTGTGCAAACAGGCTGCTTCCTCAGCTCGTCATCCTTTCTCTTTCTTGGACCCTCGAAGAGCAGAAAGCCTGAGTGGCCACGTTAAGCGGCCATCTTTCGTTCGGTTTCGCTCGGATCTCGTCCCATGACGGTAAATCCTAATGCTCTCCGTCCATGCGAGCCGGGCCCTCGTCGTGAGAGATTTTCAAGCGACCTTTTTTTCGGAGAGGCCAAAGAAAACGTTGCCCGTGCGCAAACTGCTCGCTTCTCTTCAAGCCACTTTTCTCACGCCAAAGAAATAATTACCCAACTGCTCGCTTCCATTCACGTTCCGCCAACCCAGCATCGGCACATAGATCACGCCCTGCGTGCGGAAGTCCGCCCACCGACCCGACGCGCGTGTCTCGAAATATGTCTGTAGTTCAGAAGGGTTGATGTACTTGTTCCAATCGTGCGTGCCGGCGGGGACGACCCCGATCACGGGGGCCTCGGCGATGAGTTTCGTGGTGAACCAGGCTGTCGGTGAGCGCGAGATGGTGCTGCCGACGAGCCAGCCGCCGGGCTTGAGGTGCGTGAGGGCGCTGTCGAGGAACGCGGAGGGGGAGTCGATGTGTTCGAGGACTTCGAAGACGGTTATTATATCGTATTTTTTCTTCTTCTTCTGCTCTGATGATTCTGAGGATCCAGATGATCCCGCATCGGTAGCGGTAGCGGTGTGATGTTGGGGAAGATCTTCAATGGCGCAGTTCAAGTATTGCAGTTTGGGAGGGGACAGGGCGGGATCGGAGCGCTGGTGAGACTTGGCCACTTCGATGACGAGCGGTGTAGGGTCGATTGCGGTGACGGACTGTGTGGACGGGAGGCGGGCGGCGGAGGACGCGAAGATGCCGCCGCCGCAGCCTATGTCGAGGTAGGAGAGTCCTGACTGCTCGGGAGGGGGGTGGTCTGTGGTGGACGTGGACGTGGACATGGACGATGAAGGAGAGACGAGGAGGCAGGATTGTATGAAGTCATGACGGAGAGGGTTCATGAGGTGTAGGAGCCGTGAAGGGCCGTGAGGATCCCACCATGTTGAGGCGAGGCGGGAGAAGTGGCTGACTTCAGAGGGTGATACGGAAGACGAGGAGGATGATATGGGTGGTGAGGATGCCGTCGAATGCGGCCTGGTTGAGGTCGGTATTCCAGCTCTTGCAAAAGACGTCGATCTCTGGGATGTCCAGCGGGCAGGTGACGGCGTCCGTCGTACAGCCCGGGAGGCGATCAGCCACTGGGATCTGGTCATGTTCCGCGCAGCCTCGGGAGGTAGAGTTTGTACAGGTTTGTGCCGATCTCCGAGATCGAGGCTGAGGGCAGTGTGGTCTGTTTGTCACCACCGTCGTTCTACTCGTAAAATTCCCAGCACGCGTGGAACCCTCGCCTTACGGACTTTCTCTGGGCCGAGTGACGTCTTCAGCCTTCTTGCTGGGGTTCGCACCGAGCGGAACAACACTCGCCACGACACGCTTGAACGGTAAGGACAGCACCTGGCGGGCCGGGATGCGCAGGCGAAGAGGACAGCCTCGGCGGAAAGTCTGGGTAGGCTCTTGGCGCCTGGCTTGGCACAATCTTGGCTTGGGATCTATTGGCTCGCTCGATCCGATTCGACCTTTTCGCCTCCTTACGATATCCCTTATCATCCTGCCGCGAACACCCTCTGGGGTCTTGGAAGTTAATCCTGCCGTCTTACTCGAGTTGCCACGCGTCCATCCCGCTCTCCTTCCAAGAATGCCTTGGCGAACCGCCAGAAGGCATTGTGGGCATCGACGGCCTTTCATGCCAAGGGCGCAACGCCACCTGATATCTCTTGGCTCTTCGAGATAGTCGATGACGGAATCCTTGGTATCGGGACGGACGGTAGGTTGGCCAGAGCGTCAATGTGAGATCCCATGGGTTTATATATTTAGCCACAACCCCGCGTGGTAAGAATGTAACAGACCTCCAATCACCTCTTTTCTAGATTTCCAACAAGCAAATCTACGCCCACATTTTACAATACACGTACAGTCGTTATCAACTAAATCCCAGATATTTCTTTACTGGGGAACGGATCCGTTCCTGGGTAGAACGAATTGCGCCCAACATGGGTAAGCAAGGCGGAAGAGCCGAACAAAACTACGCAAAACAGCCGTTTTTGCTGTCAGTGGATGAGATCGCCGATCATCTTCAGACGAATATCGACTCGGGCTTGAGCAACGCTCAAGTCCAGCAATATCAGGAGAAATATGGCCCAAATAAGCTCGTGGGCGATGGAGGAGTTTCCTGGTACTCAATTCTGGGAAAGCAGATTTCAAATGCTATGATATTGGTACGTATGATGCATCACCTGGGCTTGAAACGTGACTTGCTGACGGCAAGCAGGTGTTGGTGCTTGCAATGGCACTATCTTACGGCGTCGAGGACTTCGTTGAAGGAGCCGTCATCACGGCGGTCATCGTCCTCAATGTTCTTATCGGCTTCTACCAGGAGTTCCAGGCCGAGAAGAAAATGGATGCTCTACGATCGCTTTCCTCACCTTCCGCAAATGTCATGCGCGACGGAAACGAGACGACCATTCCATCTGGAGAAGTGGTGCCTGGCGATATCGTCTCCATCAAAACTGGAGATACTGTGCCCGCTGACCTGCGGATGTTCGAAGTCATGAACTTGGAATGTGACGAGGCCATTCTGACCGGCGAAGCACTCCCAGTAGCCAAGGAAGTCGAGTTCGAGGCGAAGCACGGCACACTCAAGGAGGAGCTCGGCCTAGGTGATCGACTCAATATTGCTTACTCGTCGGCGACTGTCACAAAAGGCCGCGGCCGGGGTATCGTCGTGTATACTGGAATGTCGACCGCCATTGGAGGAATTGCCGCTTCGATGCAAGGCAAGAAACGCAAACCGAACCGCTCTATGTCACGAAAGAAATATGGTCCAATGCAGCCTATAAAAGGAGCAGCCCTTCGAGCTTGGGATGGTGCTGGCAAGTTCCTTGGTCTCACGGAAGGAACCCCTCTTCAGATCAAGCTTAGTAAACTGGCCTACGTCCTGTTTGGCTGCGCTATCCTGCTTGCCATCATTGTCTTCGGGGTCAATCGGTTCAACGTGACAAACGAAGTCGCCATTTATGCCATCTCGACCGGTATCGCTATCATTCCGGAATCTCTGATTGCTGTTCTCACAATCACATTTGTTGTCGGAATGACCCAGATGAGGAAAAGGAAGGTTGTGATCCGTCAACTCAGCGCACTCGAAGCTCTTGGTGGCGTTACGAATATTTGCTCAGACAAGACCGGGACTTTGACTCAAGGCAAGATGGTCACTCGGAAAGCCTGGATTCCTGGAGCTGGCATCTACAGTGTGGAAAACTCGAACAATGCTTCAGACCCGACCGAGGGCACAATCACTTTCGGCAAGGCTCCGAAGTCTCGCAAGGAAGCCGAAGCCGAGCGGCAAGCTAGACAGGAAGCTCTTGATCGCGAGCGAAGCGTCGCCGGTGTGGTCTTTGATGTTCCGAATGAAAAGTTGCAGAAAGACAATGAAAAAGGCCCAGTAACCGAGACAGACGTCGAGAAGGATCCCGAGGTCATGCCAGAGCTCCAGGCGTTTCTTGAGTCCGCGGCTCTTTGCAACCTAGCCACAGTTCGCAGGGTCAACGAAGACGGCCAAGAGCAATGGAAAACAGCTGGAGACCCCACCGAGATTGCTCTTCAAGTCTTTTCACACCGATTCAACTATGGCAAGAAGACACTACAAGAGGATCACGGTTGGGCACAAAAGATGGAGTTCCCCTTTGACAGCTCGATCAAGCGCATGTCTGTTGTGTACCAGAAACCAGGTGAAGACCACTCAACCATCTTTACCAAAGGAGCTGTCGAGCGCATCATTGACCTGTGCACATCTGTTGGCATTGGCGACCATGAACAGCAAATGACGCCCGACTTCAAGGAAAGCATCCTCGAGCAAATGACCTTTCTCGCCGAACAAGGCCTGCGCGTGCTCGCCGTGGCACGCAAATTCACACCCCTCGAAATCGTCGAGCATTCTGACATTGACCGCGCCGAAGTCGAAAAGGACCTATGCCTCCTCGGTCTTGCCGGCCTCTACGATCCTCCTCGTCTTGAAACCAAGGCCGCGGTCCAAGCTTGCACAACCGCCGGCATCACCGTGTCCATGCTGACCGGCGACCATCCCTCCACCGCCACTGCCATCGCCAAAGAAGTGGGCATCATCCCCAAGAACATGGGCCAACTCGCACCCGACGTGGCCGCGGCCATTGTCAAAACGGCCGCGGAATTCGACAAAATGAGCGACGCCGAAATCGACGCCCTTCCAACATTGCCTCTCGTCGTGGCTCGCTGTGCCCCCGAGACAAAAGTGCGCATGATCGAAGCGCTGCACCGCCGCAAGAAATTCGCCGCCATGACAGGCGACGGCGTCAACGACTCCCCATCGCTCAAACTTGCCGACGTCGGTATCGCGATGGGCCTCAACGGCAGCGACGTCGCCAAGTCAGCGTCCGACATTGTCCTGACGGACGACAACTTCGCCAGCATCGTTAACGCGATCGAAGAGGGACGCCGCATGTTCGACAATATCCAGCGCTTCGTCCTACACTTGCTCACGTCCAACGTTGGCGAAGTCATCCTGCTGATTTGCGGGCTAGGATTCCAGGATAGCACGGGCTTCTCTGTGTTCCCGCTCTCGCCGCTGCAGATCCTCTGGATCAACATGCTAACGTCATCGTTTCCTGCGTTCGGGCTCGGACGCGAGAAAGCCTCGCCGGACGTCATGGAGCGCCCTCCGCATGATAACAAGAAAGGCGTCTTCACCTGGGAACTCATCACCGACATGCTCGTGTACGGCACGATTCAGGGCACGTGTTGCCTTATGACGTTCATTTTCATCGTCTACGGACCAGGTCCAGATGGGCTAGGTGTGGATTGTAACCGTACGTACAACGATACGTGCGACGTGGTCTTCCGCGCACGAGCGGCTGTGTTCGCGGAACTCACGTGGTTGATTCTGATCTCGGCGTGGGAGTTCAAGGCCATGCGTCGGAGTATGTTCAGGATCAACCCGCACGATACGAGGGCGTTTCCCTTTTTCGCGGACATTTGGGAGAATCAGTTCCTGTTCTGGTCGGTGGTCATTGCGTTTTTCTCGGTGTTTCCGGCCGTGTACATCCCGGGACTGAATACCAGCGTGTTCAAGCACAAGGGGATCTCGTGGGAATGGGCGGCCGCACTTGTCTGCGTGTTCGTGTTTGTGTCGGGCATGGAGACGTGGAAGTACGTCAAGCGTGCGATGGGTTGGTTCCAGCAGGAGGAGACGGAGGGCATGAAGGTGAGAAGACGCCAGCGCTCGGCATTGAATCTGCGGCAGGGCTTCTTTACGATGGCGAGGAGCTTTACGAAGAGCAAGTCGGAGGAGAAAAGGACGGGAGCAGAGCAGGGTGAGAAAGAGCCTCCGCGTGGCACTGTCATGCCGAGGCTTCTGGAGGAGGTCTGAATGTATAATGCGACTGTTTTTGTTTACGACGTTGTGAAAGTTTTGGGTGGTACCTAGGTAATCATGCTGTGTTCCAATAGTATCTGATACTGCGGGTTGAATCCACAACATTTGTTGACTTTGTCCAACATCATACAACATTTTGGTCGGCCATTCGAATGCTAGCACGAGGAGAGGGAGGGAGAGAGGCTGACTGACATCAATGTCCGAACGACGCTCTAGCATTCTCGTGCTGGTGCAAAGTGACCGTCTTGTCGTAGAGGTATTCCCTCAGTCCGTATTCACTGTTGTTGTTGCCCCAGCCGCTGCCTTTCACCCCAGACACTGGGAGTGAAAAATCGTCATAGACTGTAGGCATATTGACGTGGACCTGTCCGTAGTCCAGATTCTTGGCCATGTCCAGCGCTTGTAGCATGTCCTTGGTATGAATCGTGGCGCTCAGGCCGTACGCGGTATCGTTGGCCAAAGCGACCGCTTCGTCCGCGTCTTTCACAATGTAGAGCGTAGCTGAGGGTCCGAAGGTCTCTTCATCACGTATTCTGTCCGTGCTTTTGATTCCCGTGAGAATCGTCGGCTTCAACGAGGCACCTGTTGCCCCGATATAGGAGTTGTCTCCCAAGAGGAAGGTCGCTCCAGCGGCTCGGGCTTCCTCGACGATGTCATGGGCATGCTTGGTGATGTGAGTTGCTACCGCGAATCCAACGTCACCCGAGTACTTGGCAGATGCTTCTTCTTTCAGCGCCTGGATGAAATCGTTCGAGATCACTTCTTCCACAATGATCCGCTCCGTGGAGAAGCAGATCTGTCCCTGGTGTAGAAATACGCCGAAAGCGACATGTTCCGCTGCGGCCTTGAGATTGGCATCCTTCAGCACGATGGCTGGGCTTTTGCCTCCCAGTTCCATGAGGATCGGCTTCAAGTGCTTAGCGCATGTTTGACCAAGGATCCGGCCAACGGCAGCGCTGCCGATGAACTCGACTTTGCGAATCGCAGGATGAGCAATCAGTGCTTCCGTCACGCATGCTGCATCCTTGCGCTCGGCCTGGACCTGGTTCAGACATCCTTTGGGCAAGCCGGCTTCTTCCCAGATGTCAACGATCATTGAATGAGTACGAGGACAGAGTTCCGACGCCTTCATGACGACCGTGCATCCGGCAGCAAGGGCAGCGGCAACGCCACGCGAGGAGAGAATGATGCTACTGTTCCAGGGAGGTATCAACAGTACGGGGCCAACGGGTTCCTTGAAGACAAAGCCATAGCCGTCCGAGATCGGGGGGATATCACCAACTAGCGCAGTCGTCAGCGCGCCAGCGAATTCACGCATGATGCCAACAGCGAGCTTGATATTGAATTGCGCGAACGTCTCCGAGCAAGAAGTCTCGTCCACTTCCCATCTTGCAATTTCGCCTGCACGGGCTTCGTACAGGTCGGCTACTTTGAGTAGCATCTCGCTGCGGAACTCTGGCCTGGTCTTCTTCCATTTCAAAAAGGCGTTCCAGGCCGCGTCTGCTGCTTTGCATGCGTCGGCTTCACTTGCGCCCTGTGCGTAATGTATGATCTGTTGCTTCGCCGAAGAGTATACCTCAATGAATTTGGAAGCTTCTAGGGGCGCGGCTTGGCCATCAATCCAGAGCGGAACGACCTGAGTTGTGTCTGTGTGCCGAACGAAAGGCATTTTGGTCCCTTACAACTGAATGCTGTCAACAGATTTAAGGAGAGAGTACCCCAGACTGAGGCACGGTCAGGACCCTTTGCAAGGCTCATGAGTTGAGCAGAGACGTCTCTGTGATTCAGGCTTTATCTTGCTGTCAACCAGAACAACGCAATAGCTGTTGACGGACATAACGCACGATCAAGGTTGGCAGAACTCAGCCTTGTGCTCTTTGTTCACTGAAGAGGAAATTTCTGGGGATAACCGCAGATAAGGCCCCTGCTCAGTCTGGGGAGCGGATTTTTGGTCTCGGGTCTATGGCAGCTTGACCCGGACCTGCGAACAACCACCACATTATCCAACCTATCGAGTAGAAGTTCCGCAAGAAAGTCAAGGAACAATAGGCGTGGTGGGTCACATGGACAGTCGGGGCAGTAGAAGAAAACGTGGGAAGTGGCGGCATTTGGGAAGGACAAACCGGTGCGGGACCTCTTCCACGGATTACCGACTGGCCACGTATCTGGGGCTATTCCCAGGAGTCGAAAATCCTGGGGTGAATTGATGCGGCTCCAGGGAGGACGGCCCTTGACGGTGACCAGGAAGAATGCATGAAGTTGGAAGATAGCACTTTCGACTAGGTACTCTCGCCCTTTGGATTCGCGTGATTCAACTTTCGAGGAAGGCGCCAATAATGATGACTAAGCTGATGACTAAGCCTCGCCCGCTTCACAACATCTTCTTTTCGATGTTGGGCGAATCTTCATACTCATCATTGAGCCATTACTGTGGTACGGATTCGGCAGGCACTCTTCGCGCGACGGTGGCTGTTATGCCCGGAAAGAATAACACCATCATCGGGACAATACGCGTAATGCTAGGTGGGATTAACCATTCTGACAACCAGCAGTGGTACACTTCCCTTGAGCTGGCATCAACTTCTTCTTTTGAGATTCGCAGCGCATAACATGACGGCCACAATCCAAAACAATGTCTCCCTTGATCCATCGCTGCTGTTCGAAAGAAATTCAGACATCCCATCGACCAGCGAGGAGTTGCGGGCTGCCATAGCCGCTTTGAAAGCCTCCACCCGCGCCACTGAATGTCGGACGCGGGTCCTCAACCGTCAAAGCACTCTGGCTGATCGCCTGAAACCCCTCAGTAACAGCTCTCGCGATTTTAGGAATGGCAACGGGCGCTACTTCGCTCAGAAGGAGATTGCGGAGGTGCAACACGTCAAGTTCACGGTATGTCCTTACTCGCGTGCCAGCGGCTGCTTGTCTAAACCTTGCAGAATGAACAGCTACAGGAGGATGTGAGGACGGCACTTCACGCCGAAGTCGAAAGCGCTGCCAAGTCTGCGAGGTCCGTTCAGGCCATCGCTATCGAAGCTCTGAACTCCGATGATCGTGCTCTGGCTAAACTCAACGATATCTCAGCCAGTAAGCCTCGAAACACCCTTGATATCGTTTCACTCCGAGCCAAGGCGAGCAAGCTGACCACGGCGCTGCTCCATTTTCGGAGCCAATCCATGAAAGATCGACTTGATCGTGTTTACCTAGAAAGTCTCGATAATTTTGACGCTGCGAAATCCTCGGTGGACACATCTGGTGCCGTTTTCAAGGACGCTAAGAGTGACCTCGGATCATTATATGCAGAAATTGACAACGTCATCTCCATGGTCATGTCTCAAGAATACGTTAATTCGATTGAGGTGGCTCTTCTGAAAGTGCAACGGCTTAGAGAGCGAGAGGAACAAGCACGGAATGAACGGGTTGGTTTTCTCCTGGGACGCATATTGAGCTTCATTGACATGAGGGCTTAGATCCATGACAAGCTCGAATCTCTCACCGCAGTCCTCGAGAACTTGTCCGACGGGCTCGAGAATTTGCAGTCACAAAGAATTATGCTGCATAATTTGCCCTATGAGTTCGACAGCACAATCTCGAGCGCCAGCACCCGCCCTAAATTGACATCAGAAGTATCGCAGTCATGCAATCTTGATACGCATCCTGCTCTTTTGGCACTCATGCAGCACATTGGACTCTCCGAGGCAGAACCTAGCAATCTAGACGGTGCAATCAAACAACTGGTATCTGAGCTCTCGCAGCAAGCAGACAGCAACGTGCTCCAAACACTTCAGTTCTCCCAAGAAGCCCCGAGATCGGCACGAGCGGCGCTACAGAATGTCTCGAACGCCCTCACTGCATCAACTATACGCGACTCAGATGTGGACGACCTGGAACTCAGAATAGCAGCAGCCCGGACCCAGCTAGATGGATTGTCTCCTCCTGCACCTTGAATGTGCTCCATTTGTTGACCAGAGGGCGATCGTCGTGCTATGAAACACCCAATGTAATTCGAATTGCTAAGCCGGACATGTCTCACGACGATCAGGGACCAAGACAACACCGAACGAGCTAGAAGAATGGCAACGAACAGGAGATACGGAGATATCACTTACACAACCAGCCCGAACAGAAGGTAACCCCTGGTCCTACTTCTTGCCATACGCATCATCAATCGCCTTGTCCCGTCCATACTCCTTGATACTCCTCTCGACCTTATCCACACCACTCGCATCCCTTGCCAACTTCTCCGCCACACTACTCGGCAAAAAGTTCGACGCGAACCAGACCGTCCACGCGAACGCGCCGACCCAAATCGTATTCGGCGGCTCTTTCTTCTCCAAACTCGCGACAACCTTCTTCGCCCACACTTCGGAATCGATGGCCTGGTCCTCGAACGGCGATCCAGTGTACAGCTCGTTCAGCCATGCCCGCGCCGCGTAGTACAATGACTTGTCCGGAACCCCGGCAGTCCCGTTGGCCTTGTTGGCGCCGATATTGCTCTTTGTACTCCCCGACTTGAGGTCGATAACGCGCACGCCGAACGGGCGCAGCTCGTTGCGTAAGGAGACCGTCAACGTGGCCATAGCGGCCTTGGACGCGCCGTAGAGTGCGACGAACGGCGGGGCCATCACGGACGAGACAGAAGTGTGGTTGACGATCACGGCACCGCCGGGGCGTTGGGAGCGCAAGAGTAGGGGAAGAAATGCCTGGATCATGGCCAATCCGGACCAGACGTTCAGATCAAAGAGAGCCCTGGCATCGCTGAGGGATGTGTCGACCAAGGCGCCGAAGTAGCCGGCGCCAGCATTATTGACGAGCATGTCCAGAGTTCCATCAGTGAGGGCGCGGACCTCAGAGGCGCATGCTTCGATAGACGGCGTGGAGAGCACGTCCAGAGACAGAGTCTCGATTTCAACGGCTTTGACGTCGGAGAGTTTAGAGAGGTTGCGGGCGGTTGCGAAGACGCGGAAATGACCTGTCTTGTGGAGGGCAAGGGCGAGGGTTGAACCAAGGCCGCCATCGGAACAGCCTGTGATCAAAACGGTTGTTTTGGCCATTGGGTGATCTGGTCGCGATTGGTGGGGCAAGTTTCTACGAAATTGTCGTTGAATCTTCTTGGATTATCGACCTCTGCTGTCGTTCGTGCGGGCTCTGTTTCACTGGAGAGAAGAAGACGTGCTGTGCTGCCTTTCGCTTCACAGAGACCAGACTTATAGGCCACGAGTGAGGCACTTTTCCTAGCGCAGCACATCGTTTGCCGTCAAAACTGAGGGTCGTCTACCGTCCCGTAGCGACTAAAGCGATACTGTGCCGTGGCGACGTGCACTGCAGACCTTGAGAGAGCCTGATCAGTCAGCAGGCCGGACGAATGGCTATCCCGGGCCATTATCATGCTTCTGGACGAGTGCAGGAATTGAGATGCTGATGGAAACGATTTACCACGATAGGCACTCTTTCTGGATCAAGCGGCGTGTCAGTCGCTCCGTCCCAACAGGATGGGCATGTTTATTGTTAAGACTATTAGAGACTATCTGAGTCGGAATGATATTCGGCCCGTTGCCGCCACGATGGCGGGCGCACGTGATCACTGCTAAATAACGGCAAGAATAAATGACACCGGCTCGGGCTTACATTCCTCCGGCCCATCTTAGGTCTCTCTTCATCCGATACTCTCAACGTAAAGCGCGAGGTTTGATGGAGTCACAGAGATCGCATATGTCAAGATAAGCTGCATCTCTGCGCTCAGATTTATTTTCTACGCTGCTAAGTTTTCTGAGCCTGCGCGTTCCTTGCGTTGATGATTTCAATCTGGCTTGCAAGTCTCCATGGCAAATCCATCTTTTCCATGAATACTTCCAGCACCTGAGTGTAAGCCAGTCAGCAACGTTTTTCCCCCAATTATTCAGCGACCCAAATCGAGAAAGGAAGACAGACCTGAATAGAAGTCGGACGCTGATACTCAGGGAGGCTGACGACTTCGTCAAATTCCTTCTTGGTGCGAACTGCACGAGTGCAAGCCCGTCCGTTTTCGGCTCCGAAGAACTCGAGCATGGCAGAGTGATTCCACACAGATATATCGTTATATGCTTTGGGTAGTTGTTAGTCTCGCGCCGCAACTTGGCCTACAACGGTGACTCTCGTGAGAGGACACGACAGCGAACACATACCTTGTTCTGGCCCGTGTATAGCTCTCTCGATGGTATAGCCATTGTTGTTGATCACCACGCTGTGGGATATCAGTCCAACCATACATTTGAGCAATAGTCGGGCCCGGCTTACATGATGATGTTCTGAAAGCCCAGCTTCACCATGGTCCCGATCTCCTGCACTGTCAATTGCAGACTCCCGTCGCCAACGACTAGAATCACTCTTCCCTGGCGATCTCGATCACGGAGGGCGACAGCGGCTCCGAGGCAAGCTGGTACCGAGTACCCGATGCTCCCATAGTACACCTGTGTCAAGTACGTGACATCTTCCGGCAGATTTGCATCGGGCAGGCCAAACTGGGCAGTCCCAGACTCTGCTATGAGGATGTCTCCAGGACGGCAAAAGTCCCCGAAGCGCGTCCATATCCAAGATTGCGTGATCAACTCCGAGTCAGCGTCTTTTGGCCGAGGTAGTGGTATTCTCCCGGGCGCTGCAACGCGCGGCAGTCTGTGTAGCTCAATGGTTTCCAGGAGAGCGGACAAAACTGGGAATATTTCAGCACTTCAGCTACGGTGCCGGAGCTGTGGGAAATAAGCAAGTCACTCACATGACACGAGCCCAATGTTACGATAGACAACACCCGCAATCGAAACGTGATGTGGGTGGACTGCGATCAATTTATGTTCTGCGATGCTTCGAGTGTGGCCGCCAGTGTTTGAGTCCGCCAACAGAGGCCCGAGGTCGAGGACGAGATCGCTCTGCTGTTCGACCACTTCACACACCCCAGGAATTGATACTCGTCCGTTGTAAATTCCCGAAAAATACGGCTTTGTCTCGTCGATGATGCTCTTCCCCATAGATGTCGAAAACGTGGGAAACTGCAAGACTTCGACGAGTCTGCGAGCAACGTCGCGACCAAGATGCCGTGCAGTCAATGCATCAACAATCACGATTGGGGATCTCGCTTGGTAGAGCAAGGACAATGTGGCGGAAATTGCTGAGTCTTTGCTGAATTCATCCGTAAGAGGCGCCAGCTCGATCTGAGAAGGTGGCTGAGCAGGGACTCGTCGATGAACCATGTCCGTAGGAACAAAGATATAGACTGGTAATGACTGTGCGTAGCATTCATGCACGACTCTCTGAGGGACCGTTAGCAGAAGAGGCAAAAACAGCAATAGTACTCCAGCTGCCTTGAGCTTACATCGATCTCCTTGGCCGCCGTTGCTGGATTGTCCAGCCAACAATGAGCTGCTCGGACGTGCTGCGATATCTTCTCGTAAACCTTTCGATTCAAATTTAGCTGTGTTAATGGAAGCCGGCCGTGGCCAAGACTACTTGTATTTACCTTGTGATCCGGAGAAGGGCCCAAGCAGTGGTGTATCATCAGGCGTTTTTCGTGAGCAGCCATCGGCGTTGTTCCTACAATGTGTATCACTTTCACCTGTTCGGTATACGCCCCGGCAATGCCATTGAGAGCACTCAGTTCTCCTACCCCCATCGTAGTTACAACTGTGTTGATCGTGAGAGCTTGGTCAGGAGGCGGGCTGGACAGGGGATGCAATACCAACTCCGGGGGATCCGCTAGCTCTACAATATCCGTCCGCAGCGTATGCGGCATTGAGCTCGTTCGCATTTCCAACTTGAAAATAGTTGTCAGCGTCAATGCTGACAAGGAAACGTAGGGGACAGTTCACCCCAGTTTAGGTCTTTGACTTCGTCTATGTAATCAAGTAATTCGAGGTTCATGTCACCAGGGACGCCCATGATACTTCGAATGTTGAAGCTGCGGATCCTATATCCAGGAGTGAGCATAGGTACATCTTCCACTTGCAAGAAATGAAGCTTACTTTTGCCATAGTAAAAGCCCTAAAGGAGTGCCACGGTTTGCCATTGTGGGTTTAAGCGTCCGTGGAATGCGAACACCGACTTCCTGGATTGTTTTCCGTGAAAATGAGCCTAGTACGTAGGGGAGGCTTTGAGAAGGTCTGAGAATAATAAGGAGCAACCGAAGATGCTGGTGTTTGATAGCAGATGGCAGTAGTACAGTCAGGCCGTGACAGAGGTCAGTCCGATATCACAGTAGCCTGAAGTAGGTGTAGTACTGGAACCTAGTTTTCTTCATGAGTATACCTAATGTTTTCAGACTACTTTGCTGGGGATCGATACCGTATTGGGGACTTTGTCTTGGACACAGTTGAACCCATCAATTGTCATCGCCCTGAAGAGAGCCTTCCATCAGTGCCAGCCAAAGCCGCCGTATGCACGCGAACAGCCTCCTCAGAGACACGCCAATGGAGATCGATGTGGGTGAACATGACTTCGCTACAGTGCAAGGCTTGTTGGAGTTCCCCCACCCCCAAGTCATGTCTCGGGGTTGCGGGGGTTAGACTCACCTAACTTAGACCGTGCGCACTGGGCTGCTAGGTTTACGGAGGTGGGAAATTGGCGTCGTAAGTGTGAGAATTTAGTAGGTGGCCTCCGAGCTCGGTGGCAGCTGGAAAGGTGTTATTGGTCTTTGATTCTAGACTCTATTCTGGTCCATTTGGCCTCACAAAAAACCTCGACTTTGCTTTGCCCTGCTCCAGTCGATGTAAAGCGTCCACCAAGCCTTCAAAGGGTACCTCTTCTACCTGTGGATCCAACTTACCCTCCGCAATGAGGTCGAACATTGTTGGTAGCTGTTCTTTGCGCCCACCGAGAGAGCCCCTGATTTCGATGTTCTTCATAACAATCAAACCAGTGGGCAGCTTCATGTCTGAGTCCCCCATTCCAACAAGCACAATGCGTCCCTCCCGCTTGACGGCGTTGATAGCAGCAAGCATTGTCGCGTTGATCCCCACGAAGTCAAACACAATGTCAAATGTGACATCTTTGCATTCGTCGATGCTGCTATGACAAGCTTTCGCACCGGCTTTGAGTGCTGATGGAAACTTTTCCTGATTGATATCGAAGCCGTAAACGGTGGCTCCCTGGAGACACGCAACTGCGAGGCCTGTAGAACCCAGACCACCAAGCCCAAGTACTCCCACAGTCATCGACGAAGTCACCTCCCCCGTGCCAACAACCGCATGGTAAGCCGATGCCATCGCGTCCACAGCGATACAGGCCCTTTCGTAGCTCAGGCTCTCAGGAAGTGGGACGATGACCTGTGCAGGTGCGACGGCATATTGGGCATAGCCACCGTTGAAATCCAGGCCGATGGCGGTAGAAGGTGCGATCAGGGCGCATCCGACTCTCTGGCCGACATGGAATTCCGTCACACCCTCCCCAAGTGCGGTAATCTGTGCTGAAATCTCGTGACCCAGCGTGATGGGTCTATGCTTTATCCATTGTGACCCTGTGCCATCGAGAATATGGCAGTCAGAATGGCAAAGACCACAAGCTTTGATTTTGATCTGGACCTCTCCAGCGGCAGGTTGTGGTATTGGCAGATCTCTCAAGACGAGGCTTGAGCCTTCGCCGTCCCATTGATAAGCTTTCATTGTGTAAGGGTTCAAGACGTGGAACTGTTTGGGAAATTTGGGACTGCTTTGTAGCTGCGACTCTAGGCCTCGTACTTTGAGACCAAGGAAGGACCTCTTTAAGAATATTAACATTCCAATGCTTTGGTGTCCACCGGTACTGCAATCGTGGCGGCACTTGTAAGCTTTCTCCTACCCTCGAGGTTTCGGGGCCGGGCATCCCACCAGCCATCTTCCAATCCCACACTCTTAGCAGCTACGTTGGTCAGCCAGTGGGGACTTCTACCGCTTGACTGGGGGAGCAACCCCACAATGTACTCCGTACTGGCTATCAGCTATGCATGAACGTCTGGAAGCCAACAACCACGATGTTAGAGTTTGAACTACCTTGGAGTCTTACCAATCATTTCCAGAAACCCTAATTGTTCAAATTATAGAGCATGGAGAGAAGAAGCATCTTTGGGTCGCTTTTTCATGGACTTTCACCTCGTTCCTTGTAGTGAGAGCCGAGTCATTGCAGGTACGGAACGCAGTGTGTAAGAATAGCTTGTGTTCTTGGGACATCATCCAGTATGGCTGCCGAGGATATGTCAAATATCCAAGCAGGAAATCTCTTCAGTGTTAACGGCCTCGTCGCTGTGATCACTGGAGGTGGCTCTGGTAAGTCAACCACCTGCTAAACCGCTTCCCAGAGAGACCACTCAATCGTGAGCCGGTTTCATTTCCACCGCTAGTTCATAGCGTACGGCTTCCACTGACGAGATACTTGCGTTAGGGCTTGGTCGAATGATGGCAAGAGCTTTTGCTGCCAACGGCGCCTCCAAAGTATTCATTATTGGCCGCCGCGAAGAAGCTTTGACAGAAACTGCCGCTACTGGACCTGGGAAGACCATTATCCCAATTGTGGGCGATGTCACTTCCAAGGAGTCGTTGCAGGCCTGTGTAGACAAGGTCAAGCAGTACGTGGACTCGATAGACGTGCTTATTGCGAACTCTGGAGCATCGGGACCCTCAGTGCCAATCATGGACTCGGATCAACAGAGCCTTTCTCTCTTGCAGCTGGCTAAGAACATGTGGGAGCCCAGTCCAGAGGAAGTGACTTCAACCTTTGCTGTGAACATCACCGGAGTCCACTTCACTGTCGCAGCATTCTTGCCGTTGCTCCACGAAGCGAACTTGAAAAGACCCCAGCCGCCCAGCTTGGATAATTACAGGCCTCGACCACAAATCATCACGACTGGATCCGTTGGCGCCTTCAAACGAAATCCTCTGGCGAACTTGTCGTACGGCCCCAGCAAGGCTGGCCTGACGCACTTCACTAAGTCACTCGCAACGACACTGATACCTCATGATATCAGAGCCAATGTGATCGCACCTGGGTTCTATTACAGCGAGATGACACATGACATGTTCCAAGGTAATCTTCTAGTCGCTCATACACTGCTCTCAGAGTGCCGGTATTAACTTGTGGCAGCACAGGGTAAACTCGGCATCCACGATGTTGAGGGCGCTTTTCCGAAAGACGCTCTCCCTGCGACGCGAGCTGGGAATGAACAAGACATGGCTGGAGTTATATTATGGCTTTGTTCAAGAGCTGGCGCATATGTAAATGGTTGTGTTCTGCTGACCGACGGGGGCCTCCTGTCCATCTCTCCGGGTTCATATTAGAAGTTGAATTATTGGGACTGCAGAGAAGCTGGGCTCGTTCACCTGGGATAGTCCAATCCAGTCAGTATCTAGTTTTGTCTAGTCATTGAAATGCTACGATGGAGTCATGTGGGCTGTACGCCTTCAACGACGTTCAGCAAACAAGGCCTTTAAACTTCCTGCGAGTGTACTCTGTTTAGAAGGAGTCTGCTGACTGTGAAAGCTACTTATGGGCAAAGAAAGGCAACCTCTATACACTTGCACGGACTTGTTGAAGAACGAGAAGCCGCCGGCTGAGTGGGAAATATCAATATCTTGAAAAGTTTGTGCAAATGTAATTTCTTCGAAATCCTGAGATACGCCTTGAGCTAGAAGTCTCACCCTTTTTGATGAAAGACGGCGGCCTTGGTAAGGTCTACGCTGAGAAACCGTGCACACTCGTCACAGTAGTCTACAGGATCTCGCAAGTACATCTTTTCATTGGAGCATTCGATGACGGCACCAGAAATGTCTTCATCAATGCACTTGTCGAATGCATCCATGAGTAGTTGAATAGGTGTGCGGCAGTTTTCAGGAATGTGTTTTAGCATATCTGCATCGATACCCGTCATCACAGGCCCAGGACAGATGGCATTCAAAGTAATCCCATCGCTTTTGAGGAGCCGCTGGCCTGCCGATCTGACCAAGCCGATGACCTATGTGCTTTTCTCAGGGATTTGAAGCAGAATAGACTTGACTTGTAGACTTACACCATGTTTTGCGGCCGAGTATGTTGGGCGGAAATGAAGCGGATATAGGCCTGACTGGCTGGCAGTGACGACTATCTTGCCTTCGCCTCTGTCTTCTCTTTTCTGATGATAGTGTCTGAACAATGTAAGACCATAGAAAACAGCAAGAAGGTCCACCTCGATTGTAGCGAGGTTTGGCTTTTCTAATTCGCCCGCTGCGTTCATCGACAACTCGTAGACCGGCTCAATCGATGCAATGCCAGCATTGGCGGCGAGAAAATCAATCTGTCCGGCCCAGTCGTATGCCTTTCTGAACAATTTTGCTTGTGCATTCCAGTCTGTAACATCGCATTCAACAAAAAGAAATTCTGATCCAAGTTCCTGCTGAAGTTCCGCTCCTCGCTTCCCATTCAAGTCAGCAACAACAACCCTGAAACCACGTTGAAGAAGATGTTTCGTGAGAGCAAGACCAATCCCGCTCGCACCCCCTGTTACCAGTGCTACGTTGGAGCTCGCCATTGCAGAAGAACGAGGTCTCTTCTCGTCGTGGGGTCCTAATTCAATCACAGCGCGTGCTAGTGCTTGATGCTTGAAGTTGCTTTCTGTGAAGCAAATACAAAACTCTAGGACGAGTACGGGGGACCGTGGATCAAAGTCCATCCATGTGTCCCCGCAGCTCCACCATTGCAAATTCCCGGCGTGGATGGCCGACTGTCGTTCTGCCGTCCGTACAGTCACCGAACATTTAACCGCCCTGCACGGTCTCCCATTCCCGAAAGCGCGAGGTGGGGTGAATGTCCAGCTCTGTGGTTCTGTATGGGGGTTCGAGTTTTGCTTTGCTTTAGCCCTCAGCGTCGGTTGAGGAGTCGGTGCTTGTGCGGCACGGTTTGGAGCTTGTGCTACATCTGGTTCTCCGCACAGGTCCCTCGTTCTACTTCAAAGTACTTTCTCTCACGACCATCTTCTTGACCAAATAGAAAACCTCGCCAGAACTTGGCTTAGTACAGGCCGAGCCTCAAGCCACCGGTGTTCAGCACGCCGACCGCTATCCTGAGACAATTCACTCCAGGACGGAATCGAAGACGATACTCGGTAGCCCTACGCCAAATCAAGTCCTGAGAGCTTGCCGTGACAGCCTTGGTGCAGCCGTTCAATATGGCCTTCAACCTAGCTACAGTGGTTCTTGCAGCCGCGGTGGCTGTCCTCATCGTCCACCAACTCGTGACGTCTATTCGGTTCCGTAGGAAGTACAGATTTCCTCCATCGCCACCAGGAAAGCCCTTGGTTGGAAACATGCTGGACGTGCCATGGCCGGCTGGTATGTGGGGAGTCCAGCTGGCAAAGAAGTACGGTGAAATGTAAGTCTTCACATGGCTTCACGCGGCGTTCTTGCAGCATGCTCACCGTCGCACCTCACAGGTTCACAATTCGGATCGGCAACAAGAATGTGGTCTACTTGAACTCGGGCCGCGTCGTCACAGATCTCCTCGAGAAACGAGCTAGCATCTACGCCTCGAGACCACCTCGGCCCATGGCTCAGGATATTGCATCCGGGGGTGTACGCATGTTGTTCATGGGCCATACCAATCAGTGGCGCAATCAAAGGAAGATCATGCACAACATCCTGAACTCGCAGCAGGCGGAGACGAAATTTGTCAAATATCAGGAGCTTGAGTCTAGGCAGCTACTCTGGGACTACATGCAAGACCCAGAGCACTGGTACAACGCCAACCAACGTTTCTCCAACTCAGTGATCATGGGTGTCGTTTTCGGGAGAAGGGCATCCTTGGACGATGCAGTGCTTACCAAAATGCTAAAGCAGATGATCGAGATCGGGAGCCTAGCCTTCGCCCCAAGTCTATACAGTGCCCCCGATTACGTGCCCTGGCTCAACTACCTACCTAAACCACTGCAGTGGTGGAGGCCATACGGCGAGGACTTGTTCAAGCGTACCTTGGAGTAAGTGGATATGGCACCCCTCAACGACAGTAATCATGCTGACCATCCGCCAGAATCTATAAGCAAGAGGTCGACGCATACATCGTGAAAATGAAGAACGGGCAGGCGAGGCCTTGCTTTGCCGCCGATATCATTGAGGGCACCGCAAAGAAGGAATTTGTGCTAGGCGAGAATGAGAAATTGATGGTCTTCAGTACGCTTTTGGAAGCTGGTAGCGACACGTCTCGGACAGCCACTACGCAAATGTGTGCTGCCGCTGCAGTGTATCCTGAGTGGGTGAAGAAGGCGCAAGGCATGTTGGATGACGTGTGTGGCCACAACGCTGAGCGGTTACCGACGTTGGCGGATCGAGACGCACTCCCATACATCACTGCAGCAGCCAAAGAAGCACTTCGATGGCGTCCTTTCGTCCAGACGGGAGTCCCTCATGAGCTGACGCAAGATGATGAGTACGAGGGCTATAAGTTTCCAGCAGGGACTTTGTTTACCTGGAATGCCTACGCTTTGGCCTTGGATGAAAATGAGTATAAGGACGCGCACTGCTTTGTACCAGAGCGTTGGTTGAACAACGATCTGAAGAACCCTCTAAAAGGACACTGGTCCTTTGGAACTGGTAAGTTCTACAATACTGCGAACCTGCGAAACTGCGGTATGGGCTAACCCGGTGCAACGTGATAAGGTCGTCGAGTATGTGTCGGCTATAACGTCGGTTTCAACAACCTTTGGATTGCAACTGCGTGCTTGCTGTATTGCTACGACTTTGAACAAGATCCAGTAGGTCATACTATCATGCTCTTTCAAGGAAGCGAATATGACCTGGACTGACCACTCACACAGGACCAACCCATCGACACGTACAACAGTATGTGGGACAGCGTTGACAGGCCTCCCTTCAAGCTGCGCGTCAAGCCTCGCAGCCAGGCTCACATCGACCTTATGCAGCGCGAAGGATTGAAGGCTGTGAACACCGACTTGTAAAGTTGGCTACCGTATGTCCCAAAGCCATGATCTGGGCTGGATGTTTTCATCTAAAACTTTATGCAGCCAGTCGAAACCTATTCTTGGTGAAGACGTTGGACTAGGTGAAATGGAGGATATCAAAACGCTATAGCTATAGTTACATAGCACTTGTCTTACTGTCTTAGGCGTCATTAGAATCAGCTGAGCTCCAGAGGCTCGCAAATACTTGACCCGACTAGATACAAGCCCTCTTGTATCCTGCTCAAATTGGGCGACTCTCTATCCTACATAGGTATTGCAGAACGGTCACCCTGGTTGCGCATTTTTGAAGTCATGATCAGGTGCGGCACGTGAGTGCAACTCGCAATGACTTCCAAGGTTCTTCTTATTGCTCAATCATGACTAAGCAGCGCCGTGCCTTCTATCACCACCCTGCCGTCATGTGCTATACTGTCGTACTGCATCGCCAATTCTAGGTCCAACCTGGGGCCCGAGGATGAGCGAGAATTATTGGAGGCCATCCCACACGAGTTCTCCGCAAATCCAAGGGGATGTGTGGGATGTGGGATAGCGCTCTCGCCACGACTCGAAAGCGGGCAAGGTGACAGTTCGCGGGGAGGCAAAAGGCCCACATGATTTATCATGCCAGGTAACAATGCACTCCATGCCAGACCCATCCGAGGTCGCTGCTTCTCGGATGGCGGAGGTCTTTCATGCTGTGTTGACCCCCGCCCGATCGCCTACTGTAGCCTACCTGGGTGTCTCGAGGCACTGCTATACTGTGCTGTCTTCTCAATGTGGACATATCCACACTTGGCGACGCCGTGCCTGTCTTGTTCCATTTGATACAGTATCAAAGTCGATACTTCTAGTGACAACTTACGAAGTGCAATATCTAGTTTTCTCAGATTGTGTGCTCACACGAGATCCTTCGAACTCCATCAGCCTTGCTCCAATCTCAGCATCTCTTCCAAGATGGTCAAGAATATCGTTTGGAACCCTTTTTCTGGCGAAGGCCCACCAATCTTTAAACCCATGAGCCACGATGAAAAGCTTGACGAGTCAAATAACACGCCAGAAGAGTCCCAGAACGGATCCCTCCTCAATGGAACAAATTCGAGTGAGAAGCCGCATGCCAATCCCTGGTACAGGCAGGACTTCGGTGATTTTCGTGTAACGGAAGCGCCTATGTATGAATGTGGTCGGAAACTTCGAGTTGTGTGCACAGGTGCAGGACCCTCTGCCCTGCAGGTGGCGTACAAATTTGGCAAGCTGTTGGAAGATGTCGATGTAGTCTTGTATGAGAAGAACGATGCTGTTGGAGGCACCTGGCTTGAGAACAAATACCCCGGTTGCGCGTGTGATATTCCTTCACATACATATCAATTCAGTTGGAACCGCAATCCAAATTGGAGTTCCTTGTAAGTCGCATTTCTTGGCTGACTGTGTCAAGCTGACAGCTATTTAGCTACTCCCCAGCTCCTGAGATCTTGAAATACTTGCAGGACACGGCCGACAAATTTGACCTCCACCAGTTTGTCAAGCTAAGGCACCGCGTCCTTCAAGCCGACTGGAATGACGAATCTGGGAAGTGGGTTTTCCAGGTCCAGCAACCTGATGGCACTATCATCACTGACGAGGCCGATATTTTCCTCAATACGAGCGGTGCTTTGAAGTAAGTCTTCATGAATCCACCGGCCGGTATGAAAATGGTTTGACGAATCAATCAGTGTATGGAAGTGGCCAAATGTGGCGGGCTTGCATTCTTTTCAGGGAAAATTGATGCATACCGCTTCTTGGGACACCACCGTGGATTTGCGAGACAAAGTTGTGGCTGTTATAGGTTCCGGGTCCTCAGCAATACAAGTGGTACCGGGAGTTGCACCACGTGAGTAGACTGGCCTCCTTATGTTCCGATCATCACGCTGAAACATCATCTGCAGATGTAAAGCAGTTATTGAACTTTGTTCGGTCACCAGTGTGGCTCAGCCCAGGCTTTGCAGCGACGTACGCTGGGCCAGAAGGATCGAATTTTAGATGTAATTGAACCAACTGGAGTCTTACGGCTCTCAACAAACCCCATCCACGGTATCACTGACACTCGGCCAACAGACACCGAAGAACAAAAGGAAACCTTTCGGACAGATCCGACGGCGTACGTTGACTACGTCCGAAAAATTGAGGAAGATCTAGGGAACAGATTCCGACAGGTGAGTGATAAGCGTGGCTGCTACTGTTTTGGCCGCTTTTTGACAGCTAGTGCGACCACAGCAACACGAAGACAGTGAAATCCAGCTTACCATTCGAGAAGCGATGGCAGCTCGTATGAAAACGAAGATCGGGAATGACGAGATTGCGGAATATCTGACTCCCGACTTTGGACTGGGATGTCGGCGGCTCTCTCCGGGCGACGAATACATGACCTGCCTTGCCAGAGATAACGTCGAGATGATTCGTTCCGGGGTTGCCAGTGTCACCGAGAAGGGCGTGGTCGATAGCAAAGGCAACGAGTACCCCGTGGACATCATCGTCTGCGCTACTGGGTTCGATACCTCTTTTACACCTTCTTTTCCAATCACCGGCAGGAACGGAGTCAATCTCAAAAAGTTTTATGGACATTTCCCCCGAGGCTACCTAGGAATCATGACTCCTCACTTTCCCAACTTCTATCGTAAGTCTGATATATCAGTACCTAGAATGCATCCGTCTTGATGAATCTAACTGTGTTGCAGAGTTTACTGGGCCAGGCGCCCCTGGCAGTCATGGCCCGTTCTTTGCGCTCATCGAGTGGATGACTCGTTATATCATGAAGAACCTGAAGAAGATGCAAAAAGAGAACATCAAATCTCTGGAGCCGAGCGCCGACGCAACACTTGATTATTACAACTGGTGTCATACCATGTTCAAACGGCTCGTTTATAGTCAACCATGCGCTTCATGGTACAAAAACGGAAACCAGAACGGACCGGTGACGGCACAATATCCAGGATCACGACTACACTGGTACGAACTGCTTAGAGAGCCCCGATATGAGGATTTCCGAATCACTTACTTATCCAACAACAAATTCCAATACCTGGGTAATGGTTTCACCCGGGATGATCTGGACCAGACGAACCTGACTTGGTTTATGGACGCACCTGAAATATAGGAATCTTCTATCATTACAACAGTCTGAGTACTCAGGCTGATGAAACTTGTTTACTTGCTGTCTGCGAGGTTGAATTGGATAGACACGCCTAGCTGGAAGGACACAAGGCGAAATGCTGCTGGCCTTGACGCCTTTGGATCGGCATACTGCGGTCCTGGACCTCCTGGTAGACTCAGATACAAAAATACTATTCTTAAAAGTGTATGTCAGAGGGTAGAATTTCATCTGAGAAGTGCAGGACACTAGGAAGCTATGGAACAATGGAACACGCCCTATTGAAAAACTTCTTCTCCCACCTCTGCTTCCATGTCGTCAAACATCGGCTTCGCGCTGAACCAACCAGGCCAAGGTGCTCCTGCAGAACTGGCGGTGTATGCGGCATCCTCAGGAGTGATCTTGATTGTGGAGGCGCCACGGCCGGCAGCGGCAGCATCAGCAAGCAGTTGGGCTTGACAACATTTCTCGAGAGAGCAGAACCAGAAGACGGCTGCTTCTATGGTTTGGCCGACAGTCAACAAACCGTGGTTCTGAAGGAGGCACGCTTTCTTGTTGCCGACAGCTTTGGCAATATTCTCGCCCTCCTCCTTTGCGAAAACAATTCCACCGAATTGGCGGTAGACCGCCAGGTCATTATAAAACACACAAGAGTCTTGAGTAATGATGTCAATCGGCCGTCCAAGGGAGCAAAAGGCCCGGCCGTAGAGACTATGTGAATGTGCGGCGCACAGAACATCCGGTCGGGCTTTGTGGACTGCTGAATGGATCATATATGCAGCGGTGTTGAGGAGTCTGCAGCGGCCGCCACCGATAACGTTACCCTCTTCGTCAACCAGGATAAGATCTGACTTCTTTATCTTGTTGAACGAGACGCCAAAAGGATTGACCCAGAAGGTGTTTGGATCCACTGGATCACGAAGTGTGATGTGGCCCGCCACACCCTCATCGAATCCTCTCTTACCAAAGATGCGGAAGGCAAGTGCGAGGCGTCCCTTCAAGTATTCTCTCTCTTCGTACTTGTCTGCGAACCGTGGTGGGCGTGGAAATCGCGTGACAACAGACGGATCATCGTCCTTGGGAACGTTGAACCTTGCCACAGGGTCGTCTTGGTTCGATGGGTCTGGATATCCTCGCATGGAGCTCAGGAGCGGAACTTCAGTGCCCGAGCTGGAGACTTCGATTGCGGTTGTCGTCATGGTTGCAGTTGAGGTTGCCATAACTGCAATGCCTTAAGCCTTCAAAAAGCACCGAAGATAACTGGTATTGATGCTAGCTGTAGTTGTCAAAACTGATCGAGAAATTCAGCATTTCACTGTGTACTTCAGTCCTGAAATGATTGTTGTCCTTCGTCGATTGCGGGGCTGTAAGTACTTGCTTATCCCACATCGTGGGTTCGAAGGTCCCGAGAGTACGGAGGCGTGCACCATTACTATTGACCGCGCTAAGTCGAAAGACAATGTTTTAAAAAGACGTCAAGATTTCTTATCGGTTACCCTTGACGACGTCGCCCGGAGTCTCCGGAGTTATACGATTAACGCCTAAAGCGCTTATTAGTGTTTACTTAGTCTCCTTAAATAAGGGATAATCTTTAAGTATCGAGAGAAACTAATCGCCTAGAAGCCCAGGCACCGATAGGGGTCAACCACCTAGAAGCCAAAAAAATTGACTGTCAAGCCGCAGCTCCTTGTCATTCAACTTAGTGCGGTCAATAGTAATGGTGCATGCCTCCGTACAGAGTACGGAGTACTGTCAGTATGGAAAAGGGTAAGGCCTGCATGCGCTTCCTGTGATTCGTATTTGGGCCCCCAACCCGTTCCCCCCGCTCAAGAGCCTCCATGGACGTTCATCCGAACCTGTAGGGGTTGCCAGACCTCGATCGCACCGTCCATCGTGTCCATCCCATTACACGACAATCTACTAGAGGACACTATCTAGGTACTAATATCAGACACATATGATAATACCTACTGCTGAGTGCGCCAATCTGGGTGCTTAAGAGCGCGGCAGCATCACTGGTCGGCGACAATGTCTCCGGCATCTCGGAAATATGACCTGGTCGTTCTCGGAGCCACCGGCTACACTGGGCAGCTTACAGCTGAATACATCCAAAAGAACATCGCAACAGATTTGAGATGGGCAATCGCGGGACGAAATGGCTCAAGACTCTCTCAGCTCGCCAGAGATCTGAAAGAGCTCAATGCCGACAGAATCCAGCCAGGTATGAGAATAACCCATCGACGAGACGTACGCTAATCAAATTCTGAAGGCATTGAAGTTGTCGAAGTGAATGCCGAAGACTTGCAACAACTAGCTGAGCAGACTCGAGTACTCATTTCTACCATCGGACCTTTCTCCAAATACGGCGAGCCTGTTGTCGAGGCTTGCGTGAAAAGCACGACTCATTACTTTGATATGTAAATCGACAACCAGTACGGAGCATGACTCGGAGCAGCTGACCTCACTAGATGCGGTGAGACTCCTTTCACGTTCGACATGCTGCACAAATATCACGATTTGGCGAAGAAGCGCGGCGTTGTGGTAGGTCTCCTTGCAGACAAGGGCTTTCCCCTTTCCTCGTGGAGCCCATTGATTCAAATTGTTTTTCAATCCGGCTCAATGCAGGAAATCTGTCAAACTGACCAGCTCATAGCTCGCCCCTCATTCCGGAGTGGACTCGGTTCCGGCCGACATTTTGACCTATCTTTGCGTTCAGAAGATTCGGGAAACCTATGGCGTAGGTGTGAGGGAGAGCGTCAACGTGCTACACGAGTTGGGGTGAGTCAAGGCTTCTAAGACTTGCTGGGACATCGACTAACCTGTCACCAGAGGGGGCCCGAGTGCGGGCAGTCTGGCCACAATGATAGCCCTGATTGAAGTATATCCGTCACGGTTTACCGCCCGGGCCCTGGAGCCTCACGCGCTCAGTCCAATCCCGCCTCCAAAGTCGACTCGCCGGGTATCACTGCTTGACAGGATGCTTGGTTCTCGCGACATCCCGCCATTTGGTGTTGTTACGGACTTTCCGCAAGCAGAGTGCGACATTGGAATCGTCCATAGGTCATGGGGACTCCACGAGCAAGGAAAGTACTACGGGGACAATTTCCGGTTTTTCGAGTACCAGCTTGTCGGGAGCCGGCTAAAGGCATTCCTGATGCACTATACGGTGTCTTTGATACGGACAGCGCTTCGGGTGTTCGCTCCATTTCGATGGCTGGTAAAGAAGATTCTGCCACCGGCCGGGGGCGGCCCACCGAAGTCCGAGTTTCACAACTATCGTGTTGCGTTCAAAACCGTCGCTACGGCTGACTGCGAAACAGTGCACAAAGTCATGGCGTCATTGAACTACAAGGGATCACCGTACTATCTGACCGGGGTGCTCGTAGTTCAAGCGGCTCTCACACTTCTACAAGGGGGCGAAACCCTAGGAAAGAGTCTCTCGGGCATGGTCACACCATCAACATGGGGGATGGAGTTGGTTAATAGAATGAAAAAGGCCGGGATAGAGCTTGAAGTAAGCCTTCTCGATTGAGCAAGATGTCTCGTCTTGTACGAGCGCGTGAATCGTTTGATAGATCGAAGTGTCCGGTCACCGAGACAGAGTCACTCAGATGAGCAATCAGAAATCAAAAACTTCTCGCAGGCCTGTAGCCCTATACGTCCGCCTCATGACCCTGCTTCTTGGCACGGTGTTCCATGCTCGGGTTCCGAGCTGCCTTTGCTGACAAAGTCTGTCGACCACGGCAACGATGCTCGTGTGGGCAACCCCGGCCAAAGTAATTGTAAATTCCGCATCCCCCGCAGGGTCAGTGCGCATCCATTCCCTGATGACAAAAGGATTCGATGCGATGGGAAAGGTTCATAACCACTCTTCAGATCATTTCTTTGCTCCCTGACTGACCTTTGAGCCTCGTTGCCCGCAATTTTGATCGTCTACTGCTTCTTCCATCATCGACCGTGATAGCACCATGACACAGACCACAAACGGCTCCAAGAATGGAGATCTTCCCACCGTGAAAAGCCCGGCATCTCTTGCTCATGTTTTGCTGAAAACGACCAAGTTGGATGAGATGATCGATTTCTACGTCCAATTCACAGGAGGGAAAGTCGCCTTCCGCGGGAAGAGCATGGCTTTCATTGCATACGACGAGGAACATCACCGCATCGCACTCGGAGCGATGCCAAACACCACGCCCAAAGATCACCGTAGCAGCGGCCTCGAGCACATTGCTTTTACCTACGACAATTTGGACGACCTCGTACTCTCCTACGAACAACGAAAGAAACTCGGGATGCACCCGATCTGGTGCGTCAATCACGGTCCAACCACGTCCATCTACTACCAGGACCCCGATGGCAACCACCTTGAGACCCAGGTCGACAACTTCGATACCGCAGAAGAGACTACGGAGTACATGATGTTGCCGGAGTTTGCCGAGAATTCAGTCGGGTTCGACTTCGATCCTGAAGACCTAGCGGCCCGTGTGCGCAGCGGCGAGGACCATAAATCCATCAAAAGACGGATCGGCTCAGGCCCAAGGCCAAATCCCCCTTACCCATCACTTCATAAATAGGCTGGTAGCAACTATTTTCTTTGTAGAGCAATTTGAACACGTGTTTAATCTGCTCGACGTTCGGGCGGCTTGTCTCCTTTCGTGCAAAAGGACGTTTCTAGTCTAATATGTGTGTTCGCTCACATCCTCCGAATGCTGGCCGCTCTTGTACTGGATGACATAGACCTTTGTGCAGACCGTGTCTTGCATCGTTGTGACGTTGCAGTTCCATTCAATCTTTGAAGCGCGCTTTTTGCATTACACACTGTATGTGCCCTATTCAAAGACCATTTTGTTCTGCAGTCTCCCGATCTTCTCAATCTCCACTTCAACAACATCTCCATCTTGCAGGAATCCTGGGGGTTTCATGAACGCTGCCACTCCGCTTGGAGTGCCCGTCATGATCACTGTTCCTTTTCTCAGAGTCGTGCCTCGGCTCAAGTGCTGAATGATCTCTGGCACTTTGAAGATCAGATCATCCGTTCTCGATTCTTGCCTGACATCCTTTCCGTTGACAATGGTCTTGAGTGACAAGTCGTGTGGGTCTCCAATTGCGCTGGGTGACACGATAACAGGCCCGATCGGGGCAAACTTGTCGAATCCCTTCGCGGATCCATGTTGGCCGCCGGATCTCTCCTTCCACTGCCAGTACCGCGCTGAAACGTCGTTACCGGCCGTGTACCCCAGTACGTAGTCGAGTGCATCATCTGCCGAGACGTTCTTACAGTCCTTGCCGATAATGACACACAGTTCAGCCTAGCACCATAAAATCAGTTCTCATCACTGTCTAGAGCGTCGTTGACGCAATTTTTGGAGGGGCAGGAAACGCAATTCGCTCACTTCATAGTCCATCTGAGACTGGCATTCTGGATGTATAGGTACGTCTTCAAAGGGTCCCGCGAGGGCATCTGCAGAAGGAGATGTGGTCAACGTAACAATCCATACGACCGGTAACACTGTATCCATTTGTCGACCCAGGAAACTCACTAACCTGGCGCTTTCTTGAATATCACAGGATGTTTTGGTGGTTCGCCCTGGAATGACACAAGAATGAGTACAAGTCGATGCTTGTAAGGAGAGAAGATGGTTGTACCCCTGTTTCCTGGACATGTTTGAGATAGTTGACTCCGACGCATTCAAAAACTGGTACATGAGCTAGCGGAGCGAGGACCTTGAACGAGCTTGTTGTCAGCCATCGAGCCGTACAAGTCCATCTTGACGTGTTTGGTACTGTGCGAACGCAACGGCACAATAGGTAGGAATGCCTACCTCTGCAATCTCCTCTTTTTGATCCGTCAGGCTGAAGTCGTTATCGAATGGTGTCTCGCCCTTGTATACAGCCACCTGACTGCCTTGTAGAGACTCTTTGGTGGTTAACTCATCACCAGGAACTTCTCCATAGAATATTTGTCCAGCGGGGTTGCGGAACCGAACGAGACGTGAGAAAGGTGCCATGCTCGCTGTTTAGGAGAATTCTTGAACGAAAATGCACCTGGCAAGAGTGCTCAAAACAATGACACTCGGTTTCCAAGCTCGTACACCGGATCAAGAAAAACGAGATGCTAAGTGTAGCGGAACTTCTCGAGTTTGACTCCTCCAGAACGGCGAACGGCGATTTCTCTGGAAGAATGGTCGGCGAGGGTCACCGTGAGTCAAACTTCATGCGCATCTCTTATGGCTCGGCCTAGCCTCACTAGGTGTGGGCCAGGAACTCGGGCAAATGGCTGGGGGCCGACCAATGTGGGGGAAGCGAGGCTAGGGAGGCCTCGGCTCCCGAGACATACTGTATCTGCGACCCCTTCCTTTCAAGGCCATACCCCACTGGCTGAGCGCTCGGGACCATCATGGACCCAGAATATGTGCTAGCAAAGAACACTCAATTGTCAAAGGTACAAGGCTTTGGAAGTGTGAAAGCATCCATGTTGCAGTATCGCAAGGGTTCGAGAGGCTAGTCCCCCCTATATACATGGTGCCCTAGGGGTTGGGGATGCCTGTAAGCCACCAAAACTCTGACAAGTGCACCGCGATGGACCTTGAGTCACAAATAAAGTTAATGCCGATGAGCGAGCGAGACTTCGTTGTAGAAGCAACTACGAATACAAGAAGAGAAACACTCTCAGCACCTCTAATAAACCCCAACGGTGGTTAAGCCTAGGTACCCGATGGCGGGACGATCTGCCCCTGTTGTTGCTCAATAATGCCGGTCCTTATCTACTGCCAGCTTCGTGCCTTGACCTTCGCTGAAGTGCTTCCATCGCCAGTCCGGTCTACTTGTGAATCAAGCAGGATCCTTATACTGTAGCAACAGATAGTGGTGTTCCATCCAGCGCAGCGCGAACCTGCAAGGCTATGAACCTTGACATATAGCGAGCATGCAAGCAGGTTCCCCCATGCATCCACAGATTCGGGTCTGCCCAAGAGCTTGGGGTTAGTATGCTTGTCCTGAAAGAAGCTGGATAGTAATTTAGGGGGCTCGAAACTCACGCCCAGAGGGTACGAAGGCACCCTTGATTTCTCCTTCCTCATTGACTCCCCAGAAATCTTCTATGCGCTCTGCGACATCCGAACCTAGTAAGTCGTGGATGGCGACTTTCATGCTTCCTACGAAGCCGGTGGCAAACACGATGAAATCGGCTTTGAGCTCTGTCCCATCGGTGAATTCGAGTCCGTCCTCGGTGTACTGCAGGGGTAGTGCGTCCGATTTGACCTTTATCTGTAAATCGAAAAAGGGTGAGCATCTGCGTCAATACGGCCAACTTGGCAACACTTGAGCTGTTCCGACGCGGGATAGACGTACCAAGCCTTTGGCAATCTTCGCGGAAGCACCGACATCCATGTAATGGCCACCAAAGCGATCAAAAACCTGATATATAATGTCACCGTAGCGGATGACTTTGAAGCCGGCCTTTTCAAGAGCGTCGAACCTCTCAGGCTCAGCTTTGGCCATTCCATTGAGAACGAACATGCTAGTTATTCTGGCTACTGCCAGCGGATTTGTGAGGCCCATTTGATCAGCCACTTCTGTTGGGACTTCCGGGTTGTACGTTACTGGGATTTGTTAGACGTTCGGTCTTGTGCAGAATATGAGTTAGGGAAGCGCCTGGTCGTTTAACTTACAGTTTTGCACTTTAGTATAATACTCCGCCGGCAGGACGTCTATTGTAGTCTCTTGATCAGCATCGACTACGAAATACCCACTTTCACTGTTGTCACTTACAAGTAGGCGATCGTTGAATCATAGTCACAGAAGCCATATTTGCTGCAACCATATCTTCGGCCACATCATGAGCTATGCCCCGAAAAGTAAGTCAATGCCCCCAACTCGAAGCGGTTGATTAAGGAGTATCTCACCCGTGTTTGCGGTGCCGACGACAATTCCATGCTTCCCTTGCCATCCCTCGGCTGAAGTGTAATCAGCTGAGTGGACGATTTTTCCACGAAAGCGCTCCTACTCATTCATTAGTGGCTCCTTGGTCCATCGAGTTTGCGATGAACACGGGCTTACAATGCCAGGGTACGTGGGCATGGTTGGAATCTGACAGCCGGCACCCACAGCCATCACTAGATGTGTGGTTGTGATGGTTTTACTCTCCCCGTGTCGGAGTAGATTCAACGTCCACCTCTGTTCGTCCTCGTGCCATTGACCAGATACGACCGTGGTTGACGTCCAACAGTTCTTTGTTCTTGGTCAGCCCGCAGCTTACGTCCGCCCGAGTGCGAGGACTTACGATGCCATATTTCTTTGACCAGTCTAGGTAGCCTTGGGCTAAATCGTCCTTGGTAAGATATTGCGGGTAATGCGGCGGGAAAGTCCTGTCAAAGGGGAGGTGAGCTGTAGGACAAGTCAGTCTTCCAAGTCGAGCATAGGGGCTCATTACTTCAATTACAAGACTCGCGAGTAGTGTGTACTTTGTTTCCGATCAGTCAGTCATTCGCCCAGCCGGACTGCTCGGACAACTCACGTTTGGTGGATTTGTATCTGTTTTTCCAACTGTCCCCGACCTCGGCATTCTTCTCCAGTAGGACGTATTTGACGCCCTGTGACTGAAGCCTGCCAGCCAGACTCAGGCCTGCCTGCCCTGCTCCAACAACAACGCATTCAAAGTCATCCTGCTCTTCTCCAATCGAGGGTATTGACTCCGCATTTGCCATGGCGCGGTGGGCGGGTGCGAGTTTGTCAACGCTTGGATGATTCTGCAACCTGTCGATAAATGTGCGCAGAACCCAGATCTGCCATTTTCCATCTTGAGTTGGGACCAATGATAGGCCAGCCTTGCATACCCTGGCTGGCGGCTCTTCTATCTCGAAGGAGAATATCCCCTCTATCCATTGCGCCTCCCCGAGCCGGACTTCGCGGATGCTGTTTGGCACATATCTGAAGCGCTTGGGTCGCCCTTTCTGGGTAAAGGTCTTCCAGTTTTCGAAGATGTTGCTCGCTCCATAAAAGGTGCGAATGCTCCCTGTCAGAGCAAACATATCCCGCCATAGTGCATCCGTCGTAAAGACCGACGCATCGGGGCTGGACAGAACGTCTTGGAAACTGTTGAATATAGTTTCTGAGTCAAAATCGTCAGGCAGAGGCCGAGAAGGCAGGGCACAGGGCAGATTTTCCAAGACGGATGAAGACATTGGTATTGTTTTCTCGGCTCTAACGGCTGTGACAAGTTCGATTTGTTACGGTATAGGGTATACTTCCCGAGAGTTGAACAGGTGCGTGAATGTTGTTGTATAAACGACCTTGCAGAAGCGACACGGGTTCCGTTGCCCCTACGGGACTCAGGCCGGTAGTCGCAGCTCTGTGCAAGCCGCGGCTCTTTGCGACCCCGCAGCAATGGCATGCTGCAGGCATTCTTACACGCCTCAACGGCTCGCTGGTCGCCCCCGCCCTATTGGCATATGTGGAGGCTTCGTATCACGATGAAGTGGCGAGACCCAAAAAGATGTCCATCCGATGCACTGAAGATCAGCAAGGCGGAATTATACCCCAACTCTGGAAAACAATGCTTCTCGATAGAAGACCGCCTACACGGGGACTCTTGATTTGATAGTGTTCGGCTCGTAGTATAATGAATCAGTAAATAGATCGTCTTACATTATATCTATTCCCTAGAGGCCCTGCCCCGGCTATTAAGGATACTCGTCGTGGTGAGATGGATCATACACTCATCGACTCCTATCTTGAAAATACTAGACGTCACAGCGTGCCCCTTTTCACGTCTACTGTCCTAGATCTAACCGTATATCGTCTTCAGTAGACTGCTGTCGAGAGCCTACCTCGGCCTCTAAATCGAAGCGTCATGCGGAGAAGGTCTCTCTGCTGCCGGACAAGCTCGGCTGAATCTGAGTTCCGGGTTCGTTATAAGTCCAATTGCGGTGATTTGGAGCTCATCAGCTCGCAGAGCGACCCGCCCATCATCTGATGTCGTTTCCTCGAGACAGCATCCATCAGTTGCAATGGATCTGTCAGGTCCGGAGGTGAGAATGCCCTGAAAAGATCCCACTCATTTGAAGTGGTGGTTGCAAGATTCAAGATCATATTCAACCCTGGCAAAGCCGATGGGGGAAGTTGGTAACATGAAATGTCGGAGCAGCACTCCATTTCAAAGTCATCTGGCTGATAACCAGCTTCAATTTCATCCAGGAAAGAGGAATACGCAGAGTCCGAACGCTGGCTGGTTGAAAGCCTCCTTGTAATGTTCCAACGGTCTTTGTCTTCGCAATAGGTGAAATCCTCCAGTTGACCTTCGAAGTTGTGTGGTGTCGAATTAGGTATCATTGACGATCCCGCAGAATGTGCTTGTAGCGCTGGATGTGGACTCTCAACGCGTGCAACTTTGGCATGACGTTGCCAGCCTTCCGGAGGGTTCGTATCTCTCACGAGAGCGTCGGGTATGAGCCAGTCAAGCTTGGCCTTTGCGTCCATCCATTCGTCGGTGTATTGTACCTCGATTTCTTGGTCACGCCACCTTGATATGAAGACAGATCTTGAAGATGATACGAGATCGTCGGAAGCTTTTGGATGCCATGTCGCGGCGAAGGTTGAGCAGTCTTTGGGATGTGTCTTGTTTGCCTTCCCTTTCCGATTGTCATTCATATCTGAATGGGATTGAACGACTCAGCTTCCAAAAATGGTCGAGCTATGGCGTGTGGACACTTGTGTCCGAGGCCAGAAAATGAGAGACTGTTACGGCTCGCCTCCGATGACAAGGCTGGGTGGGAAGGAGAGATGCCACAATGCCAAGTCCAATCAACCCTGGAACACCGGACTTAACCAGGACAGCTGCATCTTAAGGTCCAGGAGAAGATCAGGCTTGGGGAGGTTTGGTGCAACGACCACCATACTCTGACTGACAGCAGAGGAAGAGAGCCTTGCTCCCCGCAACGAGTGGAAACAGCTCCCACAACCCACACGTCTGTGCCTTGTGGGGAGTGGATGGCCAATGGGATGGGATGGGACGGGGTAAGGCTACTCCAGTACGAGGCGGCGTGAGCCCACAACTTGTGAAAGCGACCACATCTGGTTTTATTACAGGTACTGTCAGTTCGAGGACAAAATTATATCCGCAAAGTTGATAGGGTAAGACATCTAGCACACACAGTAGCGAATTTCAGCTTTAGGTTAGATGCTAGCATGCAATCTCTTGGATGTGTACGGAGGTGTGCATCAAATGTAGTTGCCGCGCTAAAGTTGAATGACGAAGGATCATAACTGATAATTGATTTTCTCTTGTTCTAGGCAGCCTTAACTAAGCTCTTAACTAAAGATCATCTACTTTAGGTAGCTTAGCGCTAGATGATAGGCGAGCTTTAGGGGTAGAGAGTGAGCTCCGATATCTCCGGGGACTGTCGCCCGGAGCAACGGAAAAGAAAATTAATGGTCTTTTGACGTCCTCGTCATCCAACTTTAGCGCGGCAACTACATTTGATGCACACCTCCGTAGAGGCTCACTCATTGTTTGTCCATCCTCCCTTGGCCGCTAACTTTTCCCTTACTTCGACCCGTTGATGATGACCTTATCATTTCGTCCACAAATCTGATCAAAAGCATCAGCAATATCTTGCATTGAGCCCGGCCCGGTCGCTCTCCAAGCCACGATGTTATCGGGCCGGACAAGTATCGCTCCTCCAGCGCCAATGCCTTTCACACTAGCCCACTGCAGTTCGAGGTCGACATATTCTTCGGTAGCTGGTTTGTCCAAAGGTGCGACGATTTGTGCGACTCTAAGCTCGATGGATCGGGCTTTGGCCGCCTTTCGGGCGGCACTGATCCACTCACTGCCGTCTCGATTTGTAACCAGCAAAAACGCGCCCCCAGTACCAACAAGGTCATGGGTAGAGATCATGTCGCCGCGCCTATCCAGCCAAGCATGAGGGAGGCGGTGACCGGGCCGTGTGGTAGGAATATACAGCTGGTGCAAAGGATCGCGCGGTGGAGGTGCTGAGCCGTCGGGCACAAACGAGCCCTGTGGATAGACAAAACCAAGATCCATTTCATGGGCAGCAAATTCCACCTTTTGACCATCGATAACATATTGCAAATAAGCCAATGAGGCTTTCCCAATCTCGGAGTTCTCGTTGAACATGTTCAAGAAATGCGCTTCATTGGCCTCAGGCTTCCCTTCCTCGATTCCAATAGCTTTCGCTATGACATGGTGGCGTTGAGACGTGAAAAAGGCCCAATCACACACGATCTTCCCGATGGGATGCCGTTCCATTGCATAGGTATCCAACAGCTTGGGTGACGCCTTACCCTGGAGCACATATGCCAGCTTCCACGCAAGATTCTGAGCGTCCTGCACCGCCGTATTGAGCCCAAGTCCCGTGGTCGGAGGGTGCCGGTGTGCTGAATCGCCGCCGATAAAGACACGCCCCTCTCGATATTTGTCTGCCAGGACTCTTTCTAGGACCCAATTGCTAAGGCTCAATACCTCGAGTTCGAGATCAGGCAGTTTCAATAGCTGCCGAATGCGGGAAACTGCCTCCTCGCGCGGGAACACTGGATCATCAACACCGATCGCGAAGTGCATTTGCCATTCTTCCGAGTACCTTCCCCATGTTGGTCCAAGAGGAAGCATTGACCCACTTCGCATCCCAAGACCCAAAGAGGGGTTGCAGAAATGAGCGATGCCGGTTCGGTCGTCCCAGTATTCGGAAAGGTCGGCCTTGAAGTGCGTCGAAACAATCTTTCGCAGACCTTTGGGGCCTTGCATCTCAACTCCGATCTTGGGGCCAATCGTTTTGCCACCGTCAGCTCCAACCAGGTACGTGGTACGATAGGTATACTGTGTCCCATCTTTATTGGATACGTGGACGAGGACGCAATCCTCCTGTTCTTCGAAGTCTGTGACCGTGTGTTGAAAGAGCACTTTACCTGGGTTGTGACTCTCTGCAATCGCACGGAGAATGGGTTCAGAGCGGAGCAGCGGGAGGTTTGTGGGCAGGTGAGGCGCATCTCGTCTAGAGAGGATCAAAGCGTTAGCTGTGACAACCTCTGCCAGCAAAGTCTTACATACTGATATGTGGCATTCGTCTCTGTGCCCTGCTTGCAGCCCCAAGTGTGGATGGTCCCTAGCACCTTGCGATCCAGAGGGCCGTCTCCTGCAAGGGAAGTCTGCCACACCACTTGGCTCAGTTGTCGCGGTGGTGTACCTTGTGCGATGATTTCGTCCGCGATGCCATGCTGCCGAAATATCTCCATTGTCCTTTGGTTGATGATGTGGGCTTTTGGAAGGATCGAGGTGCTTGGATGGCGTTCGAAAAGAACATGCTGTACACCTTGGTTGGAGAGAAAGATGGAGAGTGAAAGCCCACAAGCTTGGGGAGAGTCAGCACGATCGTAACGCCTGGTCATTGCTAAACTCACATCCTCCTCCGACTATCACCACGGGGACATCAATATGATCTGTCATGTTGGTCGATATTTTCTAAAATCTGCTGAGCGACGGTCGAGGGCAATTTGGAAAGACTTGGGAGAACTATGAGAAGAGAGTCTGCATCCGCACAAGGCTAACCAGGAGCATGCAGCATCGGTCGGAAGCCTCGAAGTCCTAGTAGTGAGGTTGATTAGGTTGGTATTTAAACTGGGACGAATACGGCTTTTGGTCCCAAGAAACCAGTGAACCGCCCTATCTCGTTGCTGTACAAGCCTCTTTCAATGTAGGGCCGATGTTGGAGATGTCGTATTGTTGGACTGAAACGCGGTACCCGACTGATGATTGTCGCCAGAGCCACGGCAACCGATTGTGGGGTAATGAATGTGGGATTCCTTTCGCATCACGCGATAAAGTATTCGACTCAGCCAACAAGGCCCCAGCCTAATGAAGGAGCCGAGGTCACGGACTACCGCGGAAGCTCACCGAAGGGCGTCTGGGCTCATCCATATGGGGACACCCCGTCTGATCTGTTGCCTGTCCGTTCGGAGGCTGCCAGCTAGGTATCAGACTCCGGAAGCTTGGGCATACCTGGATTGGTTGTGATGCGCCCGAGCCAAAGCAAAAAAGCGACTCCAGTGCATTTCTATCACTGAGCACTACCCATGGAGACATTTCAGGTCGATTGGAGAGATGGGCGGTTCAGGTCATCAGATTCCATATGGGGCCAACCATGCTCTGTATGAACGTTTTTGTCAGTATCTAATCGGATGGCAGCAGTCGTCCGGCAGCCTCCCCAAAACCAATCTTCTTCCCACCTTTGCCCCTGGCCCAGCCCGTCAGAACAATCTCATCGCCATCTTCAAGCCATCTCAATTCCCGACCACTACGTAGTTTGAAGGGCTTCTTACCACCTTGGGTCAGTTCGAAGAGGCAGCCCAATGTTGGTGTCTCGTCTGTGTGCCCTGGCGAGGAAGCAGTACCTGTACCCAGTAGTTCTCCCGTGCTACACCCGCTCCCTGGCGACACATAGTGCGCCAACATTTGATAAGGCGACCAGTACAAATCCTTCAAGTTGGAGCGACAGACCAGAGTTGGTGGCTGGTCAGACCTCAGGATTGTAGCTTCTAGGACGATGTCCCATGACACCTTTGTGTCTCCACTGGAATGTTGCAGGTGAAGAGGATGCGACGATATGTCAGCTTGTGCTTTCTCTGATACAAATCCAATCTGCGCTGCTTCCAGAGCTTCAGGCATGACAACCCACGGACTTATCGTTGTAGCCGATGCTTTTCCATTGCTGGGTCCCATCGGTATCATCTCGCCGAATTGTATGTCTCTCGCTGACCAGTCATTCAAGAGGACAAGACCAAAAATGTGCTCTTTCGCCTGATCCGCCGTGATCCGTTGGCCGAAAGGGATCGGCTTGGAAACGAAGACACCCATCTCCACTTCGAAGTCAAATTTTGTCGAAGTGCCAAATTGATACTCGGGGCCTTCCTGTGACCCTGGGCTCCGTGGAATCATTCCTTTTGGTCGCTTGATTGACTGTCCGCTGGGGATGATAGACGTTGTACGGCCGGTATACATTGGGGGAAAGTGGTAAAAGGCGGGCACCGATTTTCCAGACATACGATTACCCTAAGTACAGGAATTAGACCTCAGACATTCTCGGCAGAGCATCCAGAGAGCAAGTACTCACATTGTCATGATGGGTTTCGGAGCATAAAAAATCCGCAAACCCCCCAATCTGCAGAGGAAGATGCATTTTGGCTTGCTGGGCATTGATGAAGACGTCGCGATTCACTTCCTTGTCGTTGAACAGGACGGAGGAACCATCCTCCAACAGATCGATGAGGCGTTGACGAGTAAACGAACGCACATGTTGAGGCAGCGACGCAAAGCGATTCAGCGCTTGTTCTGATAAGGCTGACTTGAGCGTAGATGAATCTTGGACTGCAGAACCATCAAACACGTCGCGCGACGCGAGTAGTTTGACGTCGATAATGTGATCTCCGACGATAGTTCCAACCCGGGGGATCGGCTGGTTCAAATTCCATCAGTACTATCTTGAGACGGTGAACAACGTAGGTCTTACATCTGAGTCCGTCGAGAAGATACCAAAGGGGATGTTTTCCACGGGAAATGGTGAATCTGCAGCCACATGCTTCGGGTACTCGACACCCATACCTGCTTTCTTGGTCGTCTTACTGGGGTAGAGTTGCCTTGAATAAGCTCGCAAGAGTGCTGTTACGGATGGACAGTACGTGGCAAAGGCACTGGCGTCGAAAATACCTGTCTCAAGTACGGAGAAATCTGGTCTGGATGATTAAGTGGTTGCATAGCTTCCAAGAAGCCCAATCACCTCGGCTTGGTCAGGGGCTAAACTTCCTGGGACGAACGCAGAGGGGAGTCCGTATTCCCCCGCAATTTACGGCGCATTGTGTTGAGGTGTGGAATAGCAGGCATCCCACATGAGGTGCTTTGCCTGTCTTGCTCTACATGAATGGTCCGTCCGACTGAGCAATAAGTACTAGTTTGACGCTGCTGAATCAGACTGATTGCAAGGCTGACTTAGACTCCTCATGAGTGAACCACAACGGAAACATCCCGGTCTTTTTGGCGAGCCTCGGCCTAAGGTCTGCTTGTAGAGTATGGCCCCCTGCCTAGCCTGCCACCGAGATCCCTCCACGGGCGCTTCAAAGTTGAGCTCGGAACAACAAGAAGTAAACAGCGAGCTTCTGAGCCTCCAAACTCCTGCATGGACTATGGATTCTTTGAAGGCGGGCAAATTGACCTCAGATGCATTAGATGGTTTCTGCTATGGTAAAAAAATCCCCCCAAATAGTCCGTTCGAGAGTCTGAGTCTGTGAGGTCACCATAGGCCGTGGTCTATGGTCTTCATCCGCCAAAGTTCGAGCACAACGAGTGTGAATGCCTCTTTCCCCAACAACTACTACTGTGAGCTTACCAAGAGAGCTCAGCAAAAACCAATAGGCTCACAATCCCTTGTCGAAGGAATGCTGAAGAGTTTGGCGCATCTATGAGAGGTGCGCTGATTTCTCTTTACAACACTTCATCCCAATCATTCGCGACGGTCCAACTTGACGAAAATGTCATGAGTGTGCCACCAAGCCCTTACTTTTTTGCCATACATGAAGACAATAATTGTTGTGGCGCATAAAGCCAGAGAGATGCCCCCAATGGTGTTGAAAACCTTCCTCGGTCCCCATTTTCCAAGCCACTCGTTGAGGAAGACTTTATCGAGATTAGCGATCGATCTGTTGTTGGAAAGCGTGCAATATCTTTGGACTTACAAGAGAATCCGAAGAACATGAAGTTCTTGATAGACATCGAGACGACGAACACCTCAATGCTGACATTGCGATAAGCATCCACCAGGTAATTCCCAAGAGACGCTGTAACCACCACGCAGCTGGCAAAGCCAACACCCCAGAGAACTGACATGATGACGGGACTCTTGCCCTCTGCTGCGAAGGGGCCAAAACAGAAATACCCAACTGTGCTTAAGATTGGTGCTAGCAACATTGTGAATAGGCGGAATTCGGGCTCGTAAACTCCACCATTTCGCATGCTAGCCCATTTCGCGATACGGTCAGATAGTGCCCCAAAGGCCACACAAGTGATGAATCCAAAAACCATGGGGCCACCTGCCAGATAGCCGAGTTGCGCCGTGTCGAGTAAGTAAGGCGGTGGCCCAAACAATTGCGCCAGCATAAAATTGATGACAACATTCCAAAGCTGGAAGAAGGAGATAAGCAGGACCGCCCACAGGATGACCGGATTGAGCAATATGTAGAATGGACGGAAAATCAACTGGAGCAGCGACTCGTTGCTATATGTGGTTGACCATGGTTTCATTCGTTTCAGGAAGGAGTCTCGTACAGCGCTGCTGCCGGTGCCAGACGTGATCGTTCTTTCTAGGTGTAGTGAGTCGAGGCCCTCGGTAGCGGTCTTACCACTCCTGAGCTCTTCGATGACGTGAAGGTTCTTCACTTTGTAAGTGAAGCCCAAAGAGATCAACAAAGTACTAGGAACTTACATCGTGGGAGGCCACATCAACATCATAGAGTTGGTTCCGGTTGTAGGCAGTCTCCCAACCGAAAACACCGACGAGAACGCCGCCCAGGCCCAGGAATATTGCTAACATCCAGAAGCACCATCGCCAGCCAAGGTGAACGGAAACGACCCCGGTGAGAAGGGAAGGGAGAAGCACAAGCGCAACTTGAGCGACAACGTAAACTGCCATGCGCGAGCCTCGCTGGTGGACGCAGTACAGGTCACCGATGAGCGTGAAAGTAACACTTTCGAAGATGGCCGTGCCAACACCTTGAATCAGCCTCCCTCCGATCATGGAGTTGTAAGACGTTGCTGCGGCGCACCAAATGGTCCCCGCAAACAAGAATACTATCGATACCAGGAACCATGGACGCTTGCCGTATTTGTGGCTGAGTGCAGCGATGAATGGCGCAATGGCACCAACCAGAGCAAGTTGATATCCAGAAAGCAATGTGACTTGTTGATAATTAATTTGAAATGCCTGGATCATGTCGAGGGCAAGAACACCAATGAGTGGACCAACACTGAGCAAAATTAGCACGACTTTCAACAGAACTTTGAGGGGGCAACGCACGCGCCGACACAGATATTGGTAAGGTAGCAGAACAACACCAGAATTAGGTCTCGCTGCCATAGTGGCCAATTGAGCGGATCGTTCGGGCTGCTAGATGGCTGAGGGATCAGGACCACATCAGCGTCGTCGCCTTTCCCCTTCTTCAAATGAGCAGTTTCCGATGGAATGGCGTCCTGCAGAAGCGCCGTGCCTGGCACATGCTCGAGACTTCCAGTGTGCTCAAGGACTCCGAATCCCATGTTGAGAGTTGGTGAATGTGTGAAAATGTGTCAAATAGAAGGCGTCTGATATTGCATATGAGGTGGAAGACAATGATGGAGGGAGGAAGAAAGTGTAGGAGAGCTATCTGGACCTTTTAGCTTTTTTGTAGGATGGGAAGCACGGCCATTTATGCTCGCTTATGCTGAGTCTGGTCTTGGCTGGGAGGTGGGATGGCAGAAGAACGGACACGATATCAATTTCGCTAAATCGCGGAAATGTTGCGAAAAGCAAGCTGTCAGAGCAAGCGAGAGGACCCTCCACACCTTCTGCTTGAGGATCACAACCCGGGGTAGTCCCTCGAAATCCCACACCTCCCACTGACCTCCACACTCCATTCCTTGGAAGATGATGGAGGCTTCCCCACAGGCCGCGGTCGGTTCTGGTGCCAAAAAGCTTAGCCTGCCCAAACCCCATCGTGGAGCTCCATTTTTGGTATGTGGCGCCGTAATTTGTCAGAGTTCAACAAGGATGCACACTAAGGATTCGATGTAGTGGCGACATAACGAAGCTAGAATCTCTGCAGTCGTCTGCCCTGGCGTATTCTGGCATTCGGCCACTCGGGACGTGCTTTCCGAAGCGACAACGCGGATACTGGGAAGTGTTCCACCGATGTAAAGTGCTGTTCGACAAAGTCCAACCGACGCCAGATGGATGCATTCCAAGTATCGGCACACCTGGCCTGGCTGTATAGGCACACAGAATACTGGTAGGGGGACCATCTCCTGCAGTGGCTCTTAAAATCACTTTACGCACGAGTATTGTAAGGTCTTTCAGTCAATCGTTTGCTCACACTCTATCTCTGCTCGACCACGGCTCTGCACATCTTACGCCGACATGACTTCAAATCGTATTCTGGACTTGAGACACCACCTCCCTATCACCAATGTCTCCAGTTGCTTGGGCGCCACATCCGTTCCCTGTTGTCTTATAAAAATCTTGGGGTGAAAGAAATGTCTCTTGTTCGCAGCAGCATGGGCTCTTCCCATCTCACAAACATTGGCACGGAAGACAAGAACGCCACCAGGGAAAACGGCGATCGCTGAACGCCCCTTGTCACATCAAACGAGACAAGAATCAGCGATCAACGCTGAAGGGCTAATAGGAGGTATGATCCAGACCGGCGATTCATTGCCAATGGAGGGATGATTTTGCTTGGATAGGGGCAACATAGAACATTCGCTGTATAGCTAAATACTGTCTGTGTGGTTTAAGTTCCACCAATTCCGGGCCAAAGATGGACCAAGACAGAGGGTGGTCAAACAGCGAGGGAAAGAGGCTCGAAGGCAGGTGGCCACGACGACGATGTAGCGGCAAAACCCGTGTACGCATACACAAAGCAGGTGCTCAAATTCGTAGCCATACCTATATTGAGGTTTGACCAGAAACTGACTGCTGTGGCGAGGGGAAGCACCACCTACACGTCACGTAGATTCAGTGAGACCGCTGCCATCCTTGTACCGAGCAGTACGGGGTATAAGACTCGAAGTTGTGTCTGCCATTATTTTATCAGCTTGCTCCGATAACTCCTATATCTATCTGTCTTGGGTACCGATAGTAACCGATTTGATGACCTGATATTCGTCCATACCGTGCAGACTGCCTTCCCGACCGTAACCGCTCTCCTTCACTCCTCCAAAAGGGGCTTCTGCTGTCGAGATTTTGCCCGTGTTGGCGCCTACCATGCCAACTTGGAGTTTCTGAGCCACTCTCATGATTCTGTTGACATCTCTCGAGAAAACGTAGCCGGCCAGACCGAATTCGGTCTCGTTAGCTAGCTCGATCGCTTCCGCCTCCGTATCAAATGAAAATATCGGGGCTAGCGGTCCAAAAGTCTCCTCTCGGGCGACCAACATATCTTTTGTGACGCCAGAAAGGACTGTCGGCTCGAAGAAAAAGCCACCGCGGGACCCTTTGGAACCTCCGATCAGGATCCACGCTCCTTTTGAGACAGCATCTTGTACGTGCTCGGCCACCTTGTCTACAGCCGCCCTGTTGACGAGCGGGCCTTGCGTCGTTGTCGGATCCAGGCCAGCACCTGTTTAAGGCCAGCTACTTTTGCCGCCAATCTTTAGGTGGATTCGTCAACGATACCTTTCTGCACAATAATGCGGTTTGCGCTTGATCAGTTAGTATCGCCTAACAGTATTCGTTGGTTGGGCGACTTACCAAAGACATGTTTGTCCCGTGCAGCGAAACTTGCAGAACATGGCGCCTTCAACAGCCAGGTCTAGATCAGCATCGTTGAAGACGATGAATGGAGCGTTGCCTCCAAGCTCAAGGCTCAATTTTTTGAGAGTGCCCGCAGCGAGCTTCGCCAACATCTTTCCAACACCGGTCGAACCCGTGAAGCTAATCTTGCGAACCTGTGGATTGGTTGCCAACTCGGTCGCCGCTTCGCGATTCTTGGTGGGACAAACTTGAATAACCCTTGGCGGAATACCAGCCTCGATGGCAAGCTTCGTCAGCGCCAGGCACGTATATGGGGTTTCACTGGGTGGCTTTATAACCACTGAGCAACCCGCCGCCAGAGCTTGGAGCAATCTTTCTGGTAATCATGGCTGCCGGAAAGTTCCATGGTGTAATGATACCACACACGCCGACGGGCTCTTTCAGCGTAAAGAGGGTGGTGTTGGGAGTCGACGAAGGAATGGTGACACCATATGCTCTGGTTGCTTCCTCGGCAAACCAAGATACGAAGCTCGAGGCATAGATAACTTCTCCTTCTGCCTCCGCGTAGGTCTTGCCATTTTCCAAGCTGAGAATAGTCGCAACTTCCGACACTTAGTCAAATGAGACTAGATGAGACTCTCAAGGGACTTACTGTCTTGCTTGCTGGCGAGGATCATATCATTCCATCAACGGAGCGCGGCACCCCTGGCCGTGGCGGTGGTGCTGGCAAAATATTTTGGTTGGGCCTCATGCGCATCGTTGATCGCAGCTTTGAAATCGGGCAGGTTGCAGTTGGCTACGTGGCCGAGAGTTTTGGCAGTCGAAGGCTCTGCAGGCCGTTAGCGAACATCTCCCTCGACGTCGCTACCATCTACCTGTTATTGGAAACGTCTCGTCTTCTTGACCCACTGGCCTCCTATAAAAGCATCGGAAATGAATAGATCAGGATTTTTAAGCTGAAATCAAGGTTAACCAGCGCGCATAGCACAGGAGTTTGTTGTCTCTTACTCGTCCAAGTCCCTCCTGGGCGTAAGTCTGGGTGATGCTACCCATTCTGAAAAGCAGAACGCCGTCCAAGTCGCCTCGTCTAAGTCGTTGAAGAAGGTTTTGCTCCAAGTGATCAAGTGCCCTGGGAGATGATCAAAGATAGACTTTTTTGCTGAAGACACCGACTTTACAAGGTCCTATCTAGCCTGATGCCATACAGGCATCGGCCGCACTTCGGTTGTATCCATGGATGATACCTACCAAGGGACCGGTAGCCTCGGTAGGTAGGTCTCTCCAATTCGGAGAGGACGGAAACCTGATTCGGATTCCAGGAAGACGGATCGCGTACGCGGAGCCGGCACCGTGTCCAGATAGCCGTCAATCGGTCAAGTGTTCGTTGGCCTGATCCCCAGTGCTTGACAAGCTCCTCAGGAACTGACTTCTCCAGGAGTAGCCAGAGCACAGAAGCCCCGGAGGGCCTTGCTGCGATCCTACCTAAGGTTCTCTGGCCGGTACAGAACTTAGAGGGGGAAAGCCAGCTAGGCTTGGCCTACCCCAGGCGTGCCCAGATCAAGCGAAGGGAACATTTGGCCCATCATGGCCTTTCCCCTCTCCTCGCCACAGTCCGTCATCCACGGAAAACCCATCATCAGCATTGAAGAATACATGGCTCAAGCATGGGCAAAGTACACAACAGCTAGCATTGGCATGAATGGATACGGTTACCCAGCGTCGAACCCAAGCAATTATGATCGCTTCAGATTGGACGTAAGGGTATCGTCGAACGAGTCAAGGCCTACCTTTCCGAGCTCGGAAACCGCAACGCTCGTGGCTCTTGGCCTAACGAACCATATTCTTGTGTCAAAGAAGGATTTTAGCATAGCAGGACGAGTCAGAATGTGCCTTGTACCCTCTCGATCATTGAGAGCATCGGCTGCCCATCTCCGATGCGTTAATCAGCTCACGTGGAGGAGGAGAGAGACCGGAAAAGGGAAAAGGGCGCCGCAGTATGCCAAATTCCTGACAAGGGCAGTCTCGAAGCGTGGCCGACTTTAAAAGTCCAGCCGCCAAGGTTGCCGATCAGCTCAATACATGAGTTTGCTGGAGGCCGCTTGGTAGCCACGACAGAGTCTAGTAAGTAGTACATGCGCATGCACATGCTTTGCAGCAGGCCGCGTGTCAGATCTGTCGCGGAATACCAGCGTCCTCTTCCCTTTGGCCCCTTTTATCAAGGCGCAGTCCAATACGCAGCATAGTCCAACACAATTGGTTCCGCGTATCTGACAAAAAGTGTACTATACCCGCTTTCCAAACCTTCTTTGACGCACCTCGTGTTGTGCCTGGAGCCGGCCAAAGAGCACAGTGGTTCCAAATGCGATCGGCATCGTCGGAGTAATATACGCAAGTAAACTGTGTGTGTATCAACGACCGTGTATGTGGGGGTTCGAGTTGCGGAGGTACTTATGGTGAATATCTTGCGGGGGTATCCACTCTGCTCGAGGTTTGTTGAACGTGATTTTGAGCTTTGCGAACGATCTGCCCACCAGACCTGTCCAATACACACTGAAACGAATCAGCGGATCTTCTCCACGGTTCGATGCGTGTATCTTCTTGTCGAGAGCGGCAATCCAACGTGCACCAGGTGATTAAGAGCAGAGCCACCGTCAGCCATCAACATACATCTCGAACAACACCAGCGGCAGTAATTTGACACAGTACACCGCGGTAAGCCCCAAAAGCCAGATACTGTCCGTGTTGCAAATGGAGGCCCTCGAAGCAGCCTTGGAAGCCGCGTGCTCGGAGAGGAAGATCCCTGGTGCCGTGTTGGCAGCCTGCGATAAGTCGGGCAACTTCAACTATGCGAAAGCTTTCGGAGTTCGATCACTTGAAGATGGCAAGCAAGCACCTCTCGAATTGGACAGCATTTTCGCATTATTCAGCTCCTCGAAGCTAGTTACGACAATCGCTGTCCTGCAACTTGTGCAGAACGGCCAAGTAAGCTTGGACGATGATGTGGCCAAAATTCTGCCAGAGATTGCCGCACAGCAGATCTTGTTAGGCATGGAAAATGGAAAGCCGGTATTTACCAAGCGACAGAACCCTATTACATTGCGGTAATTCCTACAGAGTCCTGCGGCCCCAAAATCAAATACTAGTACTGATTACACAACAGTCACCTTCTCACGCACTCCTCGGGCCTTGCCTACACATTTATGTCGCCGGCTTTGCAAGAATATCAGACGTCCCTCGGCGTGGCAGGGCCTCCCAGAAACGTGGTAGAGAGCTACAACCTACCACTTGTTTTTGAACCTGGAACGTCATGGAAGTACAGTACCGGGCTAGATTGGGCCGGTCTCCTGGTCTCGAGGCTCGCAAAGGTTGACCTCGAAAGCTACTGCCAGGCCAACATCTTTTCGCCACTTGGCATCACGGACATGACTTACTGGGCCAAGAAGAATCCAGCACTGGTGCAGCGAGTGGCTAGCATGAGCATCCGAGATCCTGCTGATCCCCAGGGTAAAGCCCAAGCTTATTCTGGACCGGACATGCATTCCGCAGCTGAGACGGAGATGGGTGGGCAAGGCCTTTACGCCTCAATGCCCTCGTACCTGAAGGTCTTGCACAGCATCCTCGTTGATGACGAAAAGCTACTCAAGAAGGAAACGACGGCGATGATGTTTCAACCACAGCTTACCGAGGACAGTCGTGCCGCACTTCAGGCACTCTATGCGAGTCGTCCGACAAGAGGGCCCTGTGCAATCGGTCGTTTCCCACCGGGTGTCCGATATGACTGGGGGCTAGGAGGACTCTTGACCATGGAGGATGTCGACCAAGAGGGTGTCACTTATAGAAAGAAAGGATGCTTGAATTGGAGCGGCATGCCAAACTTGTTCTGGGTACGTGGATAGCCCTCCGTTTTCCCAGCGAAATCCAATGCTGACCTCACTTGTTTTAGTTCCTCGACAGGGCCTCCGGAGTGTGTGGTATTTATGGCGGCCAGATAATGCCGTCAGGAGATGCACAAGCTCAAGAGATGATTCACCTTTTTGAGAAGACCATGTATGAGCAGGCCGCTTCGAAGACCAAGATCTAAGCGCTCCGCGTCAAGTCACATGGTGGTCCAAGCAGGAAATAGAACTCTTGAAAAGACTTTATCTGGCTTATGGCCATACATAGCAGCAATTGCATCACATTTATGATATTGATTGAATGCCATTCATGAACGGATTCCCCCTTCACAGCTTCCTCAGAGGGGAATCAGATGCGGAATCTTTTTATCAATATTGAGGTATAGGGTGTTCGTGGAACTTGCAATACTCTGTCTAGTGCAGAGGCAGAAGTTTTTATGACAAGAATCGCTTCATGTCTTCTATCAAGAACTCCGAATTGCCGTCCGAATACTCCACCGGTTGGCGCAAATAGAACCTCTTGTTAGAAGCTTCTGCGACTTGCCCAGTAACGTCTTCTTCGACAAACTTCTCGAATGCGTCCAACACGACGCTCATGGGGGTGAAATTCTCCGCAGGTACGACCTTCTTCATCTGCTCGCTGATTCCAGTATCAACAGGGCCCGGACAGATTGTATTGATGGTGATGGACTCGCTCCTCAACAGTTTAAACGAGGACGCTCTCACAAGCCCAACAATCTGTCACCCAGTTAGCAAAACATCGTCTGTCGGTCGGGCCACAGTGACAGTACCCCGTGTTTAGCAGCTGAATACACTGGCGCCGCAGGGAATGCGTAAATTCCGGCCATGCTGCTGGTGATGATCATTTTCCCCAACCCAGCCACGCCGCTCTTTCGCCAGTAGTATCTGAAAAGCCTCAAACCGTAGATGACGGCCAGGAGGTCGACATCGATGACCTTCATATTCGGCTTTTGGGGTTGTTGATCAACGTCTGGCGGATTGTAAAACCTCTCCTTTTCGTCAATCCCAGCATTGGCGACGCACACGTCGATACGACCATGCCATTCAAACGCCTTCTTGAACATTGCAGCTTGCGATGACCAATCCGCAAGATCACAATGCACGAAAAGCGAGCTGGAGCCCAAGGTAGCTTGCGTTTTCGCGCCCGCTTCAGCGTCTATGTCTGCGAGGACGACATGATAACCTTTGCTAATCAAGACTTTCGACATGTTGCTGCCGATTCCTCCTGCAGCCCCGGTAACGACTGCGACTTTTGAGGCTGCCATGGCTGGATCAGGTCGTTCTGCTTCGGTAGCTGTGGCTGGGGAAGTGTAGCTAGGCAAGCACGGCTTTCAAGAGGTATTTGCCCTTCTGAACCAGCTGGCTGAGACTGCACGATATTGCTTGCCCTTTTTGTTCTGGTCTGGAGTTGCGCCTCGCCAAAACGGAAAATCCGACTTTGGATACCCCTTACTGAACCCCGCCCCTCTCGAAGCATCAGAGCTCTTCCCACATTCCCCGTCCGATCAGCGAATGAAAGCGCTTCCGTCGTGTGGGATTGAGAAAGCGGGGGAGACCGAGGCACGCGCAAGTAGCAAGTCCGCTCGCGCCGGTGAATTGGAAAGATTGCATTTGTACTAAAAATAGAAGGTTCTGGAGCGATTTAAGGGCCCCTACTGGTGAACTTGTGGCCTTTGAACAAAAGAAATAGCTCACAGCTTCCCGCTGTGATGTACGCACGAGCCATGTAGCCCAGTATTCAAGAAGTCGGGCAACACTCGGGGTCATACAAGCTCATTGATGCCGGATTCTTTCATTCTGGAAACTATGTGGTTGGAAACTGATCAGCAGGCTCAAGCCATTTCAAGCCTGGGATTACAATTTCACGTCCTCTACCTTCGTAATGCTGCCCGTCTTGACATTGAACTGTTGTGCCACTGCGAGCGCAAGGTCTTGTGCAAATTGAGCTTCTTCTTTTGTAGCTCCGTGCCGGAGCAGGCCATTCAGATGCCATCCCGCCTGTACGGGTGAGTTGTTACATGTCAGCAGGGCCACATTGCACAACTGAGTTTCGATATTGGACAGTATGGCGTCCTCACTCATCCAAAGCTCGTAATTAGTCTTGATGTTGAGGAGATCTGGTCAAATCATCAAAATTCAGTAACGCGAAACTGTCATCGGATTCATATGCCATACAAACGTCGGGATAGTATTTACTAGCCCGGTCTCGTTGTGCTTGTCCACCTGTAGGTCCACCCCAGAGCGTGTCGAAATAGTTTCGGCCTCTCTCAGCCCGTCTCTGCTCGTCTCCTGGCTTGTCGAAATTTTCCATCCTAGATCACGGATGATTAGACATTTCCAACATCAATATGAGGACAAGCCATTGATGCATAACCGTGACTTCACATCGGTATGCCTACCTGGGACTGTAGGTGTCGACTTCGTCATCCGGTAGCATTGCATAAAGAGAAGTGAATGCTGTAGCCGATCGCGGGACTCCGTAGAGGATTGAGCCTTTCAAGATTGCCTCTTTGATTCTTCGTTGCACAATCTTTCTGTCTTCTAGGGATAAACCAGCGGTGATTTGGCGGTACAGTTCACCTATATGTTCCCCAGCAGAAGCCGCTGTGAGGGCCGACGTCTTCAAGGTTAGCAATCTTCTGGACGTCTTTTGTAGAAGCCTCGTACCGCAATGATGTACCATCTAGCTTTGCGAATGTCACTCTCCCCTTCACGACGTCGAAACTCGGACAGGAAATCCAATGCCATCTTGGGTTGCCCGGGTAGCCAACTACACTCACGAAATGGGTCGCGTCTGGTGCTCAACGAGTTTCAGAAACACAGCACGGTGAAGTTGTCGGAACTAGGATCAAGCCATTGGAAGACAGCTGTTTTGATCTCGGAAACCGAACGGTCAGCCGTGAAAGAGTGCCGGTCAATGGACTGCGGTTACAAGACCTCGGTCACGGATCAAGAATGCACCTCAACTACGGATCTAGGTCGTCAGCTGCAACTCTCGCCATCCGAATTGCCGAGGAGGTCATCGAACGAAGAGCGGAGGTGGTGAGTACACGACCAGAGCCTTTGCATTCTCCCCACCTTCCTCACAATTCCCCACATAACAGTATGGCGTAGTTCTCGGCCCCGAGGCAATGTCTTGAGAGGACGATTGGTCCCCGTTCAGCCTCATATGAAGCTCGTTAGAGCAAAGGAATAGTAACAGACCTCGAATCGACCACCAAAAATCCATCAGTACTTCTCACTAGGGTGATCCGAGCAACCATGGGCGACAGTGTGTATCCTCTACCAGATCTTCCGTGCAGTCTGCCGACAATCACTATCCCGGAGTTCATAGATCTCGATGCTGTAGCAAACTACTTCAGTTCATCTTTTGAGGTTCTGAGTGAAAGTCATTTCCTGCAGGATGCAATATGGCGCGACACTTTTGTCATGACTGGCACTTTGCGGACGTTTTACTCTGCGAAATCAATAGCAGCAGCGTGGAAGGACACCTCAGCAATCCACAAGCCAGCCTCGTTCGCCTTTCAGGGCAAACCTCATGTTATCAGAGCGGGAGATGCTTCGTGGGTGGAAATGAGGTTCACGTTTGAGACTTTTGGTGTGCCGGCCATGACAGCAGACGGGATTCTTTCAGTCGCTCCAGATAAGGATGGCATCTGGAAAATCTGGTTGATGCGCACCATCATCGGGCAGCTCAAGGGCCAGCCTAGCGTCGACAAGCTTGATGCTCTAGCTACGTCGAATGGTGAGAAGCTGTTAAACGGCAGCAGCGACCATTCGAACGGCGAAACCACAAATGGGACAGTTACGAATGGCACGGTCCAAAACGGAACATCCACACCCAGCCAACACGTGGATTTCCAATGCGTCGTCATAGGTGGCGGCCAGGCTGGCTTGTCCGTTGGTGGCCGGCTGAAAGCACTGGGGGTTTCTTACGTGGTCATGGACAAACACGACGAGGTGGGAGACAGCTGGGCGAAGAGATACGATTCCACAAGATGTTAGTACTGCCCATTTCCAGCAGGTCATGTAGTGCATGGGAGCTAACAAGACTTTAGTGCACACGGTCCGAGAGTTCGGTGAGATGATATAACTGCTCTCTCATGCGGCTTGGTACTGACGAGCATGCCACAGCTCACCTGCCGTTTGAAAGAACTTTTCCAGCAACATATCAAGAGTTCCTTACAAAGGATGACCTGGCGAAAGGGTTTCGTGAATGGGCAGCGAAATTTGACATAGTGAGATACCAACCTCGTGGTCGAGAAAATCATGGCTGACGACGTTAGAATATCTGGACCAGCACCACCGTGGAGTCGGGTTCGTGGGTCTCAGAGCATGATACCTGGGAGCTGAAGATTAGGCGCGACGGTGACCAACAAACTGTCACTTGCTCCTATATCGTTCTCGCGGTAGGCGCAAATTCAAGATTCCCTGTCGCCCCGACATATGAGAACCGAGTGAGTTTGCATGCGAATGTTCGCCGGAAAGAATATCTAACACTTTCCATAGGAGGCGTTCCGTGGCCTTGTTCAGCATTCGGGTGAATACACGAATCCCAAAGCCTGGGTTGGAAAGCACGGCATAGTGGTGGGAAGCGGGAATACAGGTCAGAAAGACTCCGATTCTTGACGAAGACAAGGATGATACTGACTTTTGTGAAGCCCACGATGTCGCTGATGACATGTATAGTAACGGCATGGCTTCAGTGACGATGGTCCAGAGAAATCCAACATGTGAGGAAACAGCAACATCGCGAACTTTCGCAAATGTCTAATGATGAGCAAATAGTTGTCATACCCATCGAACTGTATCGAGAGACTCATGATAGTAAGTCGCCCTCTCGAAGTTACTGGGTTGTACTTGCTGATGGCTCCAGGGCTCTACAACGCGAACACACCGACCGAGCTAGCCGACATGATGTTCTTTACAGGCCCGGCCGTCATGACTCGCCTGATGGCCGGAAAGATGCTGCACGCTAAGATTCGTCAGCATCCTGAACGATTTGACGCTTTGGAAAAGGCCGGTTTCCTGCTTGATCGTTACGCAGACATGGGATACGTTATCTATGTCCGTCAAGGCGGCCATTATATGGATGTTGGGACATCAGGAAAAATTGCAGCAGGCCTGGTAAGATATCCCTTCGTTATGTCTCGTTGTGATACTTATCTGACCATCTGGGACAGATCAAGATGAAAACTGATTCTCTCCCTGTCCGTTGGGTTGAAGACGGCCTGGTGTGCGCCAATGGTGATCATCTGAAAGCGGATGTTGTCGTGTTCTCCACGGGGTTTGTCGGGAACATGAGACTCCTCGTCGCCGAACTCCTGGGCAACGACGTCGCTGCTCAAGTAGAGGACTACTGGGGTCTCAATGAAGAAGGAGAACTTCGCGGTGCTTTCAAGCCGTCGGGTCGTGAGTCTCTGTCTTCCCAGCTGTCAGTGACAAGTTTTATCTAACCAAGCTCTCCCTAGATCCTGGTTTCTGGTACACCGGTGGAGCGATCGGCCAGGCGAGGTACATGTCTCGTTTTATTGCTCTGCAAATCAAAGCAAAATGCTTGGGCACTCCACTCCCAATCTACCAGAAAACACCTCCTCGAAATTCCAGCATAGCAGTAAAGAAGGTATTGTGATTGCCACTTCATCTAGTGTTTGGGTTCTGTGAGCAGAGTATTCAGCAGATGAGCGGTTGAGAGTGGGTTTCGTCACCTCGTGCTGGGGCCGAGTCAAAGGATCGAAGGTATTGGGAGCCTTGCGCCGGACGTGGACAGCGTTCGCCTCCATCCGACAAGCAAGTCGTCTGTGGCTGGATTATTCATACAGTTATTCCAGCAATGGCGAAGCAGCCTGAGCTGATAGCCTCCACATAGATCAGTCGTCGATGACATCCTCGTGAAATGCCATACATGGTGTGTTCTAGCGCGACCATTTGCAGTATCGTTTCTGCTTCAACTGTACTCCGTATTCTGAACCCGATGGCGCTGCTCCGGTGTGTTGATGAGAAGCCGCGAATAGAATTAGGTCGATAGTTCTCGGCAGAGGTTATGTCATACAGTAGCTCCGCTATCTTTGTCGACTCCTGGGCTGGAGGCAATCATCAGCATCCAACCTGATAGCGATCGCAAGACCAGAGAGATACGGACGCTGCAACATCAAGGTCCTCGGCAAGAACCGACGCCTGATGCTCCTGCCTGGTGACTAACTTAGCCTCTTTCGAACCAAAGGAGTTTAAGGCATGATGAGGGCACACCAATGTTATTTCGGGAAGAGACAGGTCCCCGGAAGGGTTCCGCACAGTTTTGTCATTCAGCTTCCGTTAAGTGAACACGCGGAACCTTTAGGGCTTATGGGGGAGGTGAAACCCAAAAGTGTGCCGACGATAGGCTCCTGTCTCCTTAAACGCCCGTAGGTCATTGTGCCATTGGACAGAGAGCACCTGGTGGTATCGACCGAGTCTCAACCAGGACGTCAGCACTACCAGGGTTCTCGAGTTCGGTTTCCACGTCAGCCATCTTTTGACCTGCGTCGATCACGATCTTCCAAGTGACATTGGACCGACGAGGCTCATAATCCGCGCAGAACTTCAGAAATCGGCAAGCCGTACCTCGCAGTACTACTAGTAGTAAGCTCGCCTTGTCTCGTTGCAAGGAGAATGCTGTGGGTGACAAGTACCCGATCTGAAACCACTGGGAGATGATATTCCGCGGATTTACCATCTTCCCGGAGGCCGAAGACTAAAAACTAGGTGCATGATGATGCCCCGAAGTCCCCGTGATGTGCCCATCTTTGCCTATTGGCTTGTGGTGCCTCCAGGCTTGGAGCCATGAACTCGGTGGAGAACAAGCCTGCCCAATAACTGTTGCAGACCCCGCGATTAGTCCCATGATGGTCGCTACAGACCCTGGGGCTTCCCCTTCCGGGGCAACTCTTCCTCGACTAGCGTTTTGAGGGTTTTCTTCCTTGCAAGCTCATGATTCAACCTTCACAATCTCCATCGTGATTCACCCGCGTACATCTTGTCTGCGCTCGCAGGCACCCACAGCCCGCCCAACTTGTTCTTACTGACACTGCAAGATGCACTGTACACTTTGATGTTGGACCCTCTTGGTAGACAGTCCACAGTGGCGAGCGATGGCGGTGACTTCAGGCATGTCAAGACTTTTCTTGACCCTTCAACCCGCATGGAAAGCTGACTCCAGTCCAGAAAGTACCGAGACCATCGAGAGACGTCGGAGCCATGCCTGCAAGGTCTGCCAGAGAGCCTTTGTCCGCGCCGAACATCTCCAGCGTCATTTGCTTTCACGTTCGTCTCCCCCGACTCTGCGAGGTCGTCCCTTACCTGGATGTGCGATCCTGACCATTTCCTGATCAGATGAAAACTACAAACCCAACAAATGCAAGGCTTGCGATGCACGATTTGCCCGCTCTGATGTTTTGCGGCGACACACGAGAAAATGCGTGCCATATATACGGATGCTCGAAGCCGCAGGCGGGGAGGATGGCGACACAACGCTAGACACCGTGACGGCTGGCGGACATCAACAATCCGAACAGGCACAAAGTGGTGATCCGCAGCGTTTTCGGTACGCTTGCCCGAGCAATAATATCCTCCTTGTGAAACGAGATCACAACTAATGCACGATGTAACAGGTCCCCTCGGGTGGACCAAATGCAACCTGAGCAGATGCGAGTCTCGAATTCCCAACAGCACGAAGACACAAGCATTTCCAGAAGCACCGCCAATGATGGTTCAAATTGCCAGCGCGTAGACCAGACTCAAGGCGTGTCCGAAGTATGTGGGATCTCTGGTCGTGTCACGTACGTGCTAACTGGAGCAGACGACGAGGTCTTCAAACAACATGTACTCTCGAATGAACAATTTCGACTCCTCCCAATTCAATGTGTCCATGTCAGACGCACATCTGATGCACCTCGACCCCGCTGGGACGTCAAACCAGCGTTACACCAATACTTCGACCACGGAAGCCTTCGCCGATGTGAGCAATCTCGACCCCTGGGGACCGGCACGGTCGTTGAATAATACCACTCAAGGGCAGAACATGAGCGCAAATAATTCAACGCTGAGTGTTTTTGGTGTCAACAACTCCCAGGCCGCTCCACTATCCGGCTTAACACAATCTTTGTCGGGGGGTCCTGCGTTTATGTCAGCAGCGGGCCAGTCGATGACAATGCCCGAACTACCTAGTGCGATGTTTGACGACGACCTCACATTTCTAGAAGACATTCTCCTACCAGATTTTATCGGCAATGTCACTGGATTCACGACCCCGATGTACGTGGATTTCGACCCAACAGCCGGACAGCCTACTCCTCCAACGAGTGCACCCGATATTTCCGAGCCTCGTCTATTCTTACCAAGTTTTCCATCCTCCGAGAGACCCTCAGAAGCCAGACATTCTGCCTTCGATATCAGTCCCGGAGACGTAGCTCAGTTCCAGAAAGACATCGCTGGTACCGGACAATTGAACAACTTTCCGTTTCCCCGGCGTTCTCGCATTTTCCGGTGTCTTTCGGCCTATTTCGACCATGTCGACCCCCATGTGCCGATTGTTCAACATGCTACCTTCAGCTTTTGTGGCACGGCCCCAGCATTGGTTCTCGCGATGCTTGCAATGGGTGCTACCATTACGTCCGAGTACCAATTTGCTGAGTCGGCGTATGAAGCAGCCTGTAAGCTGCTCGACCACAAGATGAAGCAAAACACTCGCGCATCTCCGTCGTTCGAATTCTGGCCGATCCAGGCTTCGTTGCTCTGTGCACAATTTGGGGCATTCAGCGATAACAAGGCCTTTGCCCAGCGCTCACAGACGCAACTCAGCAATGTCTCGGGGATGTTGAAGCTTGGTCTGAATGACTTGGCTGCAAAACGGTCGGAGCCCAGACAAGACTGGAAAAGTTGGTCATTCATCGAAACTTTCAGTCGTGCAGCTTCATGGAGCTGTTCACTGAGTGCTATCCTGCTTGCGTATGATCACACCTTTCACATCAGTACTCAACACTACTTGCAGTATGTGCCGTTACCATCCGATGAAGATCTTTGGAGGGCTCGTTCAGCACACGAATGGTCCTCGGTAGGCGGAGCTCAGCAACAGGACAGTCATGTCAGCTTTTTGACTTTTGCCGAATCGCTATTCAATGGACAGCCAATCCTCGAGAAAGTGAGCTGCTTCGGCTTGTTCTCGCTCGTTGGGTGGATGCTCCTGTATATATGCAACCATGAGAGGATGAAGATGTCCGTCGGATCTCTTGATTTGTTCGAGACTGATTTCACGACCAAGATCAACAAAGGTCTCGAGGCCTGGGAAACCTTGACACGCCGTCATTTGCGGACTGGCCAAGTCATGTTTAAGCAGCTCAACCCGCTGATCTCTGACAGCTTCCCACTTCTAGGATCGGCGTATTATCATCTCCACGTGGGCGATGAATTGCGCGCTTTGAAAGAAATTGCTGGCGAGCAGGCAATGGGTGCTGGAACATCAGGCCCACAGACGTTCCCAGCGTTCAGCTCACGACTTCCGGTGTACAAAGCTGTCCGCTACGCTGCAAATTCATGTCTCGTGCGTGCAAAGCTGGGTATCAGCCACTTTCAACAATCACCTGATGTGTACGGTGCCCACGGAGCAATAGGCGCATTTGAAGCAGGTAAGTAGTATTGTCTCTTTTGCGTGGAACTTTGAGTAAGACGCGACGGATTGTTCTCCTTCAAATCGTGTTACTCTGCCGAGGCCCAATGCTAAGCCATATTTTTATGATCAGCTCTTATTTTGTCGTGGTGGCTCACGGTAGGCCAGTCTGTGCAAACTCCCCAGGGACTGTCGGACGACAATACCGTTCCGGGCAGGGCATTGAAGGAAGTATCGACAGAGGTCTTTGAGGAGCTCGAAGATCAAGACATCTCTTGCAAAGACGAGATCGCTCGTGCGTTGGCCCCGTTGAGTTTCTGCCGTCATGCCATGGCAAAATGCGTCTTCAAATGTGAGTCAAGGTTCAATAGCCTCTGGGATGCATTCTAACGTCATATTTAGACTCGAAGCTTCTCAGACAAGCGCTTGACAACATGCACGCACAGGTGGACCGTCGCGTACGCTGTAATTGACCAGGGCATCCAGAGTCCTGGTGGAAGCTGTAAACGAAGATACATAGGTCGCCTCCTTCTCGCTCACCGGCAATTGGCTGTTGTGAACCAATGTCAGACTTGCCAGCTTCGGCTTCTGTTCGCTGATCCGGACTCAAGCTCAAAAGCCAAGCATCCAGGAGCAGTACAACCCAATGCCTATAATCGTTCGACTACAGCCCACCACTATCTGGCTTGACACCGTTACAGGAATGGCCAGACATCCGTCCCTGAGGGCCCCGATGGAGAAGCTGCTGAAGCCTCCCAGCCATTCCGGGGTCTTTCCGCACTAGCGGCCCTTAATCCGCCCGGCCTATACTTATACTATTGGTCACCTATCACGCGTATGGTTCCTTTTGCATCTAGGTCATCATCGAAGATCAAGCTCCTGTCCATTTTGAAAATGATCCATGGGTCCGAGGTCGCAAAGCACAACTCTCGTCGGTCCTGCTGGGTCATTGTAAAGGGCAACGTCTACGACATTACCGAGTATCTCGACCAGCACCCTGGAGGCTCGGCCATTTTGCTACGGTATGGCGGCAAGGATGCTACAGCCATCTACGAACCAAATCATCCTGAAGGCACGATTGAGAATGGTCTCCCGGAGGATAAGCATCTCGGGCCTATAGATCCCTCAACCGTCCCCACCATTGATGTATCTCCGCCTCAGGACGTCCGCGATCCACAAACGACTGCCAAACTTCCTCTTTCTCACTGTGTCAACCTCGACGATATCGAAGTGGCTGCACAGGGCATCATAGCTCGTAATGCCTGGACATACATCCATTCCGCCGCCGACAGTCTAGGCTCGCTCACCAACAATCGAGAGGATTGGAAAAAGGTTACGCTACGGCCCAGGATCATGCGTAACGTCCAGCATATCAGTATGGAGCGGACGATGCTTGGTCAGAAGAGTCGTCTGCCCTTCTTCATTGCACCTGCAGCGCGTGCAAAGCTGGTCCATAACGATGGTGAACTCTGTCTCGCCCGAGGCGCTGCTAGGACTGGGATTCACTACTGTACCAGTACCTACTCGACAATCCGGCATGCCGACCTAGTCAAGTGTATGGTCTCGGAGAGGGCTTCGAGTCCGTACGGCTCACTCTTCTTCCAACTTTATATGCAGCCTGATAAATCTCGGACGGTCGAGCTGATAACCATGGCTCGAGAACTCGGCTTCACAGCGCTGGTTGTCACGGTTGACACACCCGTTGTGGGGAAACGGGAGGAAGACGAACGCTATCGTGCCGAGACGGCCGCAGTATCAGTTCACGATACCTTTCTGGTGATTGACGGAATTGGTCCCAAGAAAAGCGAAGGTACGCCGCCTCCACGCGGATCCCACTCGACGACTCTCAACTGGGAGGATCTGGCATGGATCCGAGAATCGTGGGGCAATCATGGCCCCATTGTACTCAAGGGGATTCAAACCGCCGAGGATGCAGCCTTAGCTGCTGAGTACGGCGTCGACGGTATCTACCTCAGTAACCATGGAGGACGGCAATGTGACGACGCGCCTAGCGCAATCCGGACGCTGTTGGAAATCCGCCGCTTCTATCCTCATTTGATGGGGAAGATAGAGATCTATCTCGACGGCTGGGTTCGTCGAGGCGCAGATGTGATCAAGGCCTTGTGTCTCGGTGCAACAGGCGTGGCGGTGGGCAGGCCATTTATGTACGCAGCTGCGATGGGCGACGAGGGTGTTTTGAAGGTCATACAATGTGAGTGGATTGTTTTTGCTTCGTTGACCGAGGACTGAGACCTCCGAAAGACACACCTGTTCTCTAACTAACTCCTGACCTGTCTAGTGCTGAGGGAAGAGATCGAGATTACAATGAGGTGCATGGGTGTCACGAGCCTTGATTGCCTCAATCCATCCTATGTCAACACCAAGCGACTCGAATGGGAATTGCCTGATAGCCTCGACTTTGGACCCGAAGGCGACAGGCCTACTGGGCTGAGAGCAAGGCTGTAGCGTCTGGCACGCAAAGAATCAAAGACACAAAATCAGGTGCCTGCACTACTATTAATCTCTCGCGTTATGCTAAACCATTTACCGCCAGGCTAGGCGACCACTTGCCACATTGCATCCTTTTCCATGATCGCCTTGTACTTGTAGTTCAGTTTCGTCATGCGATGCTTTACAGTCCAATGCAAATTCGGTTCAGAACCCATGACTGGTCGAGGTCTAGCCTTGTTCATCCCGAATCTGGTCTCCCAGATATTCCCGGATTCATTCAAAACTTCATACTCCACTGGCCACACTTCCAATATCCACCAAGGAGTCCATCTCGCAAGCGGGTCATTAACAGGGCCCAGGGCGTCAAAGCAATCTTCAATCTGCTCAGGCAACCACTCTGCGTTCGAGTGGTCTGCATCCTCCTCGGAAATCTGGAGCTCGAAGAAAGCACCCTTCTTTTTGGACATGCGTGTGACTGGAATCAATCGACTTGAGCGCCTGGTCTTCGGCGGCAAGCCTGATTCGTACCGCTCGATCAGAGAAGGTGGAGGCCCAAGGATCGGGACTTCCAGCTTGGTGTACCTAGGCCACAGCATGTGAAGGTCAAGACCTTGTTCTGCAAGCGCCTTTGTCCCGAAGATGATGCCTGTGTCGCATTCGAAGCATTGCCGGATCATCCAGCGTAAAGGTATGTTGGAGAGCTTGTGGCGCGTTTCGTTGAGGAAGGCGCCTCCGCCCACGGAACGGTGACAGCCTGCAAACCAGACCTCGAGAACATCAGTCCTCGGATGCTTCCGTGGCCGCGTATGCGCCTCGTGGGCGTGTTCCGGGCTGTCCACTTCTGTTCGCCAACTCGTGTCATCTGTCGATGTGTGAGGCCAGGTTCGCAACCTGACATTCGGAGGCCTGTGCCCTGGTACGAAGCCATTTGCCTGGCATTGTTGCGACGCATCCGCCGGGGTAGTAGGAGTGCTCGACTTCCGGTCCTGCGGTCCTGCGTCCTTAGTTTGATATCGGCAGGCCTTGAATTTGGCACGACGTTCGTCCAGCGCCAAAGCATGCCTGAAGAATCGGCATTGGTTCCCGCTCGAAGTAAAGAGCGGCAATTCTCGTGGAATGACGCCCACGCTTGCCACACTGTCAAACAAACCAAGAAAATACACACTGACATCCATGCAGAACGTCTCCTTGAACTGGGCACTCTGCTTCCAGCCTTCAGGACTGTCATCCCTGTACATGTCATACGCGAAATGTATCTGGGCGTTGTTCCGGGGAGGCAAAAGCCCAACTTTGTGCACCATTCCCGCCAGACAGCGGGCAGTATATGCACCTCTCGAGAAGCCCAATATGCATATCTTGTCACCTTCTCTGTAAGTGTGCATGAGGAAGTCGTATGCTTCTTTGACATGAAGGCTGAGCAAACTGCCGAATGCCATGTCCAGGGCAGCTTCGAAGCCGGTGCTAAGTCCATGCGCGCTATATGTGCCAATTCCTGCTTGGTAATACGTGACTTGGGTCTTGTCGTCCTTCTTGAGGCAGCTGACGAAGTGGACAATGTTGCTGTTATCATTGTCGAATTTGTCGCCCGTCCCGTCCAGACAGACTACAATGGTGCGTCCGTGGGGATGGTACTTCTCTGCGTTCTTCGCCGCCCTTATGTTTTCTGGGATCGAGAAGTAGTTGAGCTTCCTCTCCGGTGGTGGACTGGAACTTGGTTCCGTCTTAGATGACTGTACTGGGTAGGCATGTTGTTGCCACCACTGTTCATTCGTCATTGTTCGCATTGTTCGTCCTCGCCAACTAATGGCCACTAACTGTCCGGGTTCGGAACAAAGTGATGATAGGACACTGCTGGCGCGTTCCACTATCGTCGTCGTCCTTCGATCAGAGGAGTCCGCCGAACAAGAAATCCTGCAACGTCGTGAGACACCGCAGGCGGCAGGCACTCTCGTTCTGCGGGATGAAGTTTGGTCAAAGCTTTGACACTGGCCCGCGGGAATATCGACATCTACAGTCCTAAAAGTGCAGCATTGAAGACTCGAATAGGCGGGACTGCTTCTCGAATCTCCACGTTGCAGGAACGATGAGAGCGTTTACTGGGGACCACAACAATTCTGGCCGGTTAGTTTGCTATCACTGATGTTCTTATGCTCCATCATTCCCTTCAACCCACATATTCGCAATGAATTGGTGTGAACGAACCTCCTTACGTGCTTGGACTGGCCAAATGTGCATATTGGGTTGGGTGCTTCTCCCAAGGGTGGCGTTCTCCACACCACCATTCTTTGATGGTCGAAGCCTACGCACGGGCTAGTATCATGCAGCTACTGCAAGTCCTAACCGACCTTGAATTTCAGCCGCCAACGCTAGGAAACTTCATCCTGGAAGACACCTCGGCCGCACGCGGAGACACCCCGTTGGCAATTGCTCGCAAAATGAGCTTCCAAGGGCTAAGCACTGTGCAGCAATGGTCACAGAGAAAGGCGAGATCCTTGCAGGTTGTCAGTGTCCTGACCCCGGTCAGTTTCGGGATATTACAGGCACGTAAACACCACTTTCGTTGGGTTCAGCTCATCTGCCGCTGTGTGACAGCTGTCCACAAGCTCGAAGCAAGCAGCGCGAGCATCTCGAACGGTTGCCAAGCTTGGCGATAGCGAAAAGTCAGAGGTCCATCGCGATAAATCGTTGGCCCCGAGATTCGACTCGCGTGCAGTTTGGAACTTAAGCAAAATACTCTGGTGAGCGTGACTGTTCTAGGCCGGGGCTCTTGACCTTAGGCTGGCTGACTTTGCTGACCTGTCAAGCGCATCTCATTCCCCATACGGCCACAAGCTTTTTGGAAAAGACAATGGGGGTTTCCACAACCCACCGCAAAGGACAGCCGCACGGCAGAGCCTCCAACAGGAACAAGGTTGAACCCTTGTCTGGCCCTTAGCAGATGGACTTCTGGTTCATGGCCGGAATTTGATACGCTTGGAGCATTGACCATGGACATCAGGGCGTTGACTTCAGACTGCCTGTAGAGAAGGAATAGCCTTTTAGTGAACTCGGTTCCCCTTGAGACCAGCAGGTATCCGACTGACGCAGATGTTCCCGGCAGTCAGTTCTTGAAGCGGTGCACTCCTTTGGATAAGCTATCGATTGCTTTTGTCAGAACCTGAACCGGTCGACCAATTCCAGTCTCCTTTGACTCGAAAACTCCTACACTCACTTGCCTCAGGTCCCTTGCTTGGCCGAGTGCTGCTCCCTTTGCCTTTGCAGGCACGTCTGGGGCTTAAGTTGTAAGCCGCGCTGTTGCCAAAATGGCGGCATACGTCAAGCAGCTGCTGAGTCTGATCTGGGCAAACCCTACTCACGCCCCAGACGGCAAGACAGATGCACAAGCAGCGGCAAAGACCAAGGTCGACCAGACGTCATTCCTTCATGATATCACCCGCCTGAAGGCTAAAGACCTTCCCACAGTGCTTCAAGGCTTGACGACAATCGCGAGCGGAGAACCTATCGACGACAAGGATCTTTTACTCGAACATGGCATCTCCCTGCTGCAGTCCTTGCCCACCAACAGTGGGCTCAGCCATAGCGTTGGCAATTCGCTCATCAATCTGCTTTGGCGTGATCTACCTCATCCACCAGGAACTCTCGCTGGGCCTGACACCAAGTATAGAAGGCATGATGGAAGTGGAAACAGTATCTGGAGTCCAGATATGGGCAAAGCTGGATCTCCATACAGTCGAAGTGTTCCAGCCATGCAACCAAAGGGTCCAAATCTTCCGGACCCTGAGCTCGTCTTCGAGCATCTGCTCAAACGGAAAGGCCCGTTTAGGCCGCACCCCTCTGGACTGAACCGATTGTTCTTCTCGTTTGCAACGATTGTCATTCACGAGTGCTTTCAAACGTCGCGACAGAATCAGTGGATCAATGAGACGACTAGCTACCTCGATCTCAGCACGCTTTATGGAAACACGGAAAAGGAACAGAAGCGTGTGCGCACGTACAACAAGGGGTTAATTTACCTGGATTCGATTGCTTCAGAGAGGATTATGCTGATGCCGCCTGGTGTCATTGCTGTCCTGTTACTGTTCTCAAGGAACCACAATCATATAGCAGAGAACCTGCTGTCCATTAATGAGGCTGGCAAGTATGGTGAATGGGACACCTTGTCTGCTGAGCAAAAGAAATGGCAAGACGAAGATATTTTTCAGATTGCTCGAAACATCAACGTTGGCTTCTTCGTGACGGTGGTGCTCAGGGACTACGTTGCGGCGATATTGAACACTCCACGCGCCAACTCTGAGTGGTCCTTAGACTTCAACGCCGAGATCAAACTTGCAGGCTCTCGTGTCGAACGAGGTGTAGGAAATGTTGTCTCCGTCGAATTCGCAGTGCTCTACCATTGGCACGCCGCTCTCAGTGCAGGAGACGCGAATTGGATGGAGGACCTGATTCGTGAGAACCTGACGGAGCTCAAATCACTCGATGACATGACACCGGAAATGTTCTGGAAAGTTGTGAAGCAGGAAGGCCACAAGCTGATGTCAACTGAGCCCAGATTGTGGACTTTTGGTGGTATCTCGAGAGGGGGGGATGGCAGATTCAGCGATGCTGATCTTGGTAAGATCATAAAAGACTGTATCGAGGAGCCCGCTCACGCCTTTGGAGCTCATGGCTGTCCGGCAAGTATGAAAGTCATTGAGGTGATGGGTATGCTTCAGGCCAGAGAGGTTTTCAATGTTTGCACCCTCAACGAGTTCCGGAAATACCTCAATCTCAAACCGTACGAGACTTTTGAAGACTGGGCCGAGGACGAAGACACTGCCAGAGCGGCCGAGCTCTTATACGGCCATATCGACAACCTCGAACTGTATCCAGGTCTCCAAGCAGAATGCACCAAACCAGCAATGCCAGGAAGCGGAGTCAGCCCTTCGCACACCACCGGGCGAGGCATTCTCGACGACGCCGTGGCTCTTGTACGAGGAGATCGCTTCCTTACATACGACTTCAACAGCAGCACGCTCACACACTGGGGTGTTTCCAAGCTTTCCGAAACCGCACCCGGTGCGTACGGAGGCATGCTTCCCAAAATGCTCTTCAATGCCCTCCCAGGCGAATTCACCGGCACGTCAACGTACGCTTTGCTCCCATTCTACACGCCTCAAGCAGCCAAGGGCATCCTCAAAGGCAACAAAGTCATCGAGAAGTACGACCTTAAGCGTCCCGCAAGCGGCGTGGTCACGATCGTCGGCATCCACACACAAGAAGGCCTGAAGACGGTCACGCAAGACCGCGACACCTTCCGCACAATCTACGACTCGGCGATCCGCACCATCGCCAACAACCACGGCTTCCTCCTCGGCTGGGACGAGCAAAAGCGCCACGACGAGCGCCACGCCATCCTTCACCGCGCCTTCTTCGAAGACGACTTCGACGCCAACATCACACGCTTCTTCCGCGAGCGAACCCGCACGCTCATCGCCAACAGCTCGCTGCACTACGCCGACTCTCGACGCTCAATCGACATTGTCCGAGACGTCACCAACGTCGTCCCTGTATTGTGGGCTGCCGAACGTTTCGCCATCCCCTTGAAGACGGCCGACCACCCACGCGGCTTGATCAGCCTGGCGCAGCTCTTCGACATATACCTCGTCCTCTTCGTATCGCAGACGTTCAACATCCTCCCTCAGAACGAATGGAAGCTGCGCGAGGCCGCCCAGACCGTCGCACCGCTACTGCGATCGATCTTCGAAACACATCTCAGGACCCAGGCCGGCGGGCCCCAAGAAGCAGTGGTCGACTGGCTGGCCAAGGGATCTGCGTTCGAAGTCGGTCCCGATGCCGATCGTTTGTACCATGCACTCCGCGCATCAGACCTACCCATCGGCGACCTCGCGGCAGACTGTATCGGCCTTGGCACGCCCATCGTGGGCACGATAACCCAACAAGCGTCCCTTTTGATCGACCTCTACCTGAGCGAGGGCTACGAGACGTACAAGGACCGCATCGTCGAACTGGCCCGTCAAGACCGTCAAGATAATACACTGTCACAAGATGCAGCAGCAGCGGCAGCAGCGGCGGCAGCGGCCGATCGTGAACTGTTGGGATTTGTGTACGAAGGCATGCGCCACGCCGGCTTCATGCCCGGGCTGCCACGCATGGCTGCGCGCGACGTCACTGTCCAAGATGGTGCCAGGGGCCCCGTGCATATCAAAGCCCATCAGATCGTCCTTGTCGCCAATTCCAAAGCGGCCATGGACCCCGTGGCCTTTCCGGACCCTCAAAGGTTGGACCCCACCCGGCCGTTGAGTGCTTATACCCTGTTCGGGCACGGAATGCACAAGTGTTTCGGAGAGCGGATGACGGGCAAAGCCTTGGTCGCGATCTTGAGGGAGGTGTTCAAGTTGCCGAATTTAAGACGGGCGAATGGCCGCGCTGGTAGGTTTAGTATTGTTGAGCATGAGGTTGCCGGCGTGAAGCTAAGGGCGTATCTGGATGGGAATAGCAAGGAGAGTGTGGTGCCGACTAGTTTGCGACTTATATATGACGACGAGTGACTCGTGAGTGGCTGTTCGCCCCGGGGTGCATCGCTTCGTCGGAGGTAGTACTAGTAGTGCGTATTAGTTTGAAAGACTTGAATTACTATGAGAAGTACTAGTACTTGATCCCACACCTCCTTACATTAGACGCCGCTTCCTGCGTGTGTGCTTGCTAAACCACTAGAAATCAAACCAATCTGTGAAGTTCAGTTACAACTCGCAGCTATGGCTCAAACGTAGTCTTCTGATAAGGAGAGACCAATCCTCCAATGATTTGCAAACCACTCTGGCCTTCCACAATACCCCCAACCGCAGTAGCAGCGGATTTCTTAGCATCACTCTTGATCAGGCCAACAACACTGCTATAGCCAAAACTCTCGGCCAATTTCTTCGATGTGGCCCATGACCAACCACCCTCGGCATTCTGGACCATACCGATCTTGGGCGGCTCCTCCACGTCCAAGTCCTTGCTATCGTCTTTGCCCTTGTTGTGTTCGTTGTACAATTGCTGGATCTCGGACACGCCTCGTTTGTGGTGAGCATCAGCTTCGAATAATCCGACAGCCAGGCCGTCGATTGTCAAGCGCTCCTTGACGTCTTGCGTGGTAAGAGGTTCGGCTACCATGACAGCCAGTGCAGCGAGGACGAGGGCGAAGAGAGCGTATATGCCTTTCAGCGCGATGAGAACGTACAATGGTATCAAGGGAACTTTTGTGACAAGGACGTTGTTGAATCGTTGTTGCTCGTAGATGTTCTGGGACGGAGTCGTGATCCCTGCTGCCAAAGCTGCAGCGGCCTCGGAGAATTTGTTCGCGAATGTGTTGGCGAGCAAGTCCGGTTTATGCTGATACGCGGCGAGGGCAGCAGCATCTTGCATGCTGAGGTGGCCGAGGGCTGAGTCCATGGCAAACGCGGCCGAGTAGATGGCACCGTATGCTGGGTCTGCTAACTCGAGGTCGTACAGGCCGTTTGTCGGCACGGCGCCGTTGGTCCAATTATATTTGGCTTGATAGATGGACATGGAACAGTTCAGAATGAAGACTGGGTCGCCCGATGCATCATAGTCGAGGTAATGATTTGCGCGCATCTGAGTGAATTGATCTGCTGATGTATCGACTGGGGGAAAGCCTTTTGACCACAGTAGGAATGGCACTGGGTTCAGCGCCGTGAACATACCAAGGGACGGATCGTCGCCTACTGGAATGGTAAGAGCACTGTCGTTGAAGAATTGGATGCCGGCGTTTGATTGGTTGAAAGGTCCTGTTGCGGACTGCTTGTCCACGCCCACTGCGCCGGTCCAGGAAAAGGATGGTGCAGAATAGCTGCCACATGTGAAGCCACTGCTCACATTGCAATTCTGAGTGATCGTCTTGCATTGTGTGGTTACGGCAAGAGTACCAGTGGTGAAGTCGGTGGCGGAACTGCTTCGCTTGTCACCGAGAAAGTAATGTTGGGCACTGTCATCGTAGTCATAGCTATCGTAGCCAGCTGACACATTGACAATGAAATTGGTATATGAATTGTTCATCAACACCTCGGCGGCTTCCTGGGCATGCTGAAGCCCGAATCGTTCCACGTTTGCCTCGGTGTCCCATGTCGTGATGCTGCAAGGGTAGTTGCATTGTAGTGAGACGTCGCCAATACAGGGCAGCTGGTGTGTCAAAGCACTGCATATGCTGGCGTTCAACTCTCGACCGTAGGCCGAAGTGCTATTAGCTACTTTCAAGATGTCAACCGTGGCTGGTTGCAAAGCAACGCCGAACCAGCTGTCGACGGCTTGAATGGCAAGTCTTGTTGTCAAGGTTAGTGACATGACAGGCATGACAGGGAGTTTTGTGCTTACGTTAAGATGACTATCCATGCCAACGACCAAAAAGCAAGTGGCACTGGCTGTACTAGTGGTTCGTGATTCTGGAAGCGGTATTTCATGGTCTCCCAGAGTGGTCTGAGACCACTACCATTAAGCAAGCTGATGAGGATTGACATCTGATGAGGAGTCGGCATCGATTGCTGTTTCCTGGCCCTTGTCACGTCGATGATGCGACGTCCGGCGAAAAAGGCCACGAGAGCCATCGACGTACTCGTGATGAATGGCATGACTTTACCGGTTATCGAGGCGATTGTGTGCAAGGTGCCTGGCGTCGTTTGTTTGCTGGCCCACAGGAAGTACACGCTGGTACCACCAGCCTTGAGCTGGTTGACCTCGAACAAGGTCTGATTGATCAGATCCGACGAGTGAACTTGTTTAATCTCTTGTACCACTGTATATGGATCTTGAATTCGGTTGCGGAAGATGAGGGTGAGTAGCACCGCACAAACAACCGCAACTGGAATGCAGGGGAAGAAGGCCCCCATCAGTAGCGAGAGTGTCGCACCTTCCATCATTCTCCGTTCGCCGGTTTCGCTCGAAGGTGTCGGCGATTTTGGCACCAGCTCTTCTTTTTCCGCGGCTGTATGTTCAGCCTTGCTGGCAGGAAATGGTGTGGGAGGCGTAGGAGGGACTTCCATGGCCGGCGACTTGCCTGTATTCGACGACATTGTTGAGACACAGCAGTGAGCAGAGGACGACAGTCAACACGACAACGCAGTTATGGAAATATATTTTTTGCAGTTGGGAAATGGTAGAGCGGTGCAAGGAAGATCTGCACAGTCAAAAAGGCTGAGAAGCACCCACCTCCCACAAACTCTTTCATGCACCGCAGGAAAAGACTGTGCATGAAAGACTGAACCCTGCATGCAAGCTGAGTCGAGAAGCTCGAAGATGGTGGCGAAATGGCATCTGCCCACCCCAGAGGAGGCTCTTCCAGCCAGTGTCGACAGCGAAGGCAGGCTCTACCGCCAATGGCGAGCGCGTCGTTGCACGTCTTTACGCGCCTGAATGAGGTCCAGCTCCGCTTCGCCTGAAGCCTGATGACCCACCAGGGAGAGTGTTGAAGAGCAGATCGCTCACGAGCACAGTGCAAGACTCAGCTGGACGGCACGCGATAACCGTATTGGCAGTGTTGGCGGTGTTGGCAGTCTCGAGGCTGGCTGAAGACTTCGAGTTTGTCTGCCACTGTCTGCGTAGCTTCAGCCAGGCTTCATGGCTTGCATATGGGGCTGTCACTTGACAAAGACGACGTGGAAAGCTATCAGCTTCCTGCAGCTCTCAGAGGTCTCCGACAGGGGTCCCATGGGGCATTCAGTGGGCATCGAATGCTTGTCTGGATCGTGGCTCTCGAAGAAGGCAGTTCTAGCCCTCCTCACATTTCACAAACGTGGGGTACCAGGCGAGCTAGGGTCTAACGCTTTCCTATAACGGAAGAGCCCGAAGCCAGAAAAGGAAAAGACTCGTTTTTTGACTTTGATCCGACGGGAAGTCACATGTCTTAGCGGCATCACGGAGAATCGCCAATATTTGCTTCTTATGTTCCAACGGTTGACCGTAGAAGTCGCTTGCATGATCTGACTGTCGACAATTTGCATCATATCTCCGGCTTGCGGACAACATGTGATCTTCGTTGACCGACTGGATGCAAACAGAGGCCTTCTCGCACTGTTTGGCAGATCACACAGTCTCCCCCTAATCCAGCTTTAACCCAAATCCCTGAGCCGTGCGCATGATCCTCTCATGTTGCTCTGTCTTCGCCTGAGCTGCCGCTTCATAGGCAGTCCTGTACAACTGGTACCCTTCGGTGAACAAAGGCTTCCTGTCCCTCCAGCCAGTGTCCTTGCGCAGCTTGTCGGAACCAACCCATTGGGGGAAGTCGAACACCAATTTGATTGCGTACGCCTCGTTGTCGCCGTCTGCCGGATCGACATACTTGAATTCGATGCCATGGTGCTTCTGTACAACTTCGGCGATCTCGCCCAGGGTCTCGTACCGATGGCTGGAAATGTTGTACACCTGCCCGGCTACAATGTCCCGAGGCGCCTCCGCAATGGCAAGGTACGCATTAGCGACGTCGTCAACATGAGTTCCGTGAAGGATGGCATGGGCATCTGATGGAATACTCATCACACCGTTCGATTGGTTCCTTGCAGCCTCCGCGAGAGCGAAAATGAATCCGTAGTAGCTGCCCGACCGACCATAGAGCGTGGTCGGCCGGGTTACGACACAGTCGAAATCGTCGGTGAGCTTCATCATGTCCAAGGCACCGTGTACACGTTCCGTCAGTATCGGTGGGAAATTGAGAGGGCTTTGCTCTGTGTGCGGCGCAAGACCTGGCTCGCCATGTCTCAAAGTCGTCCCATAGTCCTTGCAGCCGGAGCTGATAATAGCCAAAGGTTTGCCATGGCCATTAGCTTGTGCGATCTTGCTGAGTTGCTGAATCATAGAAGTGATGTCCTTGGAATGGGCTCCGAAATTCGAAGGGTCCCCGGAGCAGCAAATGACGACGTCGATTGGAGGGAGTTCTGAAATGAAGCTTGGATCGGCCGCAGTGCCAATGATTGGAATGATTTCCTCCTTCAGCAGGTCGAGCGCGCTCTTGTTGCTGCGCATCAGGCCGTATGTCGTCCAGCCGGCCAGGGAGAAGGCTCTGCATACGGCATAACCAAGGAAACCATTGGCGCCAGTGACCAGGGCAGTCTTCGGAGACATGCTGAGTTCAAGGGTCGACGAGAGGAACAGTGATATCCTAGTATGAGTATAGTGATGGAGATGGAAATGGAGTGAGGAAGCACATGCTCTCTTCAGTGATGGTGGGATTTCAAGCATTGTGTACAGAATCTAATACTTGTAGATACATTAGTAAGGTATTTCCTGATACAGATATATGCCGAGCTAGGTCGCATCGCTAATTAAGATGTGCATTCCAAGACTGACCATTGATATGTTCTGTTCAACTGTATAAATGCATAACTCTGACCGGCGCTTCGTGGATATCATTCACCGAATATCTCTTCGACCGGGGCTCGGCCGAATATCGTCTCTGGAAGGTTCCGTTGGTCGCAAAGCGATGCTGACTGAGTCGACGGGTTGACTGCAGGTGCGTATGGAAGAGTAGTTCTCAAACAAGCCCGCTGGAAGTGAAAATTCAATCTCTAGAACTAAGAACATTAACTTGTATCAATTCGAAGCAAAAGAACACGGTCATCATCGTGGCTCCCTAGAAACGTAGTGACCTCGTCGTTCCGAACGTCCAGATGCCGTACGTGCGTGCCATCATCTCTCCTCAATCTGACCATGTACTCGAGAGGTTGATGTGCACATGTTGACTCAGCATAACGACCGCATAACGGCGTGGTGCCTCCTTTTGAAAGCCTCCATTCCTCTCCCATTGAACACAATGAGATAAGGGGGGTTTGGCTCAAGACTGCTTGACATGTCCGTTGACAGTGGCTCCATTTGCCTTGCCATTGGCTTTTGCGGACTTTGATTGTCGATATTTGGCGATATCCTCTTGAACCATCTTCTCCACGCGACTTTTCAGATCTGGTCTGTAGCCGAAGGCAAAGAGGATTTCGAGCCAAACGAACAGAGGGGCTAGGAAGAATGCCTGGAAAATGTTGTCCAAAAGAGCAGGTGCTCGGCCCTCAAACATGCCATGACCTATGAACTGTGCTACCCAGGAGGCAACGAAAGCAGCAGCAGCCCAGAAATTGGCCGTCATTCCATAGGTCATTGTCAGGTATTTTCCGAACGCCGTGGCAGCCAGCAGTATTGCCGAAAGCCCCGTGCCAGCCACAGGTTCTAGTAAAACGTATAATGCGCAATAGCAGAGACAGAAAATGGTGCCCGCATTGAGCTCGAGGTATGGAACGGTTATCGACTGCGGCAGCTTAATCAATGCTGGGGTGTTTGTGCCCTTGAAAAAGGTGAGCCGGGTGCCTTATGAAGGAGTGCTCCGTGGTTGCCCGTACGAGAAGGAACGTAGTCCATAATATGACCGGAACTCCCACAACGTGTATGCCGATATTGACCTGCCAAGTTATGAGCCAACTCTTCCCTCTGCCTGAAGCCGGACTTTGAACCGTACTGGGTCGTGGTGATATGCGCCATACTTGCACATGTTAGTTGTTAGTCGATTCACTGAAAATCATAATGGACTCACGAAGCGCAGTTGTTTCTCCAGATTGAGAGCCATTTTGATCTTGCCTGTGTTCAGCCACACCGGAGATGAAGGTAGAATCAGCTCATTGAGAGTGAACACAATGACTGAAGGAGCTGGACAGTGGTAGACGCAAGGATGAGACGTGTATCAGATGGCTCAGAAAAAGATATGATCCAGTCCACATCTGCTGATGCGTCGATCTCACCACCATTGCAGCGACCGGAGGTGTCAGCCAAACACCACGCATGTCGTAACTCAAAGCGCAGGCACGAATTGCACGACAAAGCTGAGTGCTCGGCCGTCCCTTACCAATGCTCTATAGCCCACCGTAGCTCCACCGCCGGAGGGTCTTTTGATATTCTTTCACGGTGCAGACTGTTCTCTTGCGCATTGATAAACAACCCTCCAACAGGCAGCTACCTCCCTCCCTTGTGCGCGCATTCGTTCGATCTTTACTGCGACTCACCTTGGTCATACGGCTGCATCCTGTCACTGACATTGGGGCATTAGACTGCACAAGCAAGCGCAGCCTTATCCAAAGCTCCTCTGCACGACGATGAATTGAAAGAAAACCGCAAGGCCTGATTCACGGCTCTTCAGGAGCGCACTTCGATCGCAGGTCGTTGAACAATTTTCCAGCTCGATATCACCACCACGATGTTCTTCCTTCGCTATCTCGAAAGAGAGATCAGCATCCATCCGTCATTCTTTGGCAACAGTGTGCATGACAGATTGAGAGATCAACTGTACGCAGATCTGGAAGGAAGCTGCAATGGAGAGTACTACATTGTGTGCATAATGGACATTTACAACATCTCTCCGGGAAAAGTGAGGCCTGGTTCGGGAGAGGCGCACTTTACAATCCTCTACCGCGCGATTTTGTGGAAGCCGTTCAAGGGAGAAACAGTGCGTGAACGATGCAAGAATGGAGATGTACCGAGCGGCTGACGGTAAACTCTTAGATTGACTGCGCTGTCACATCGGTCAAGCCACAAGGCATCTTTTGTGAGGCTGGACCATTGACAGTGTTTGTTTCAAAAATGGTAAGCAAGAGAAGGGCCTGGCAAGCCATCTAGATTGACACTTTCCAGCATCTGCCACCTGATATGCGACACAACCCGGATGCCACTCCGCCCCAGTACTCGAACAACGCGGGGGATGTGATTGAGAAGGGATCTGCTGTCAGAGTTCAGCTCATCGGCTTGCGAAGCGACGTGGGCAACATGTATGCTGTGGGCAAGATGTCCGCCCAGTGGTTCGGGTAAGCGCATGGCAATCCTACCCATGATATGCCACTTCCTAACATGGCACAGTCCACTATGATCAACAGCGGTCGCGGGCGTGATCACCTGAGGACTGCTCTTAATTTCGTGGAGGGCTTCGAGGCATAGCCGCCAGCACACGGGCGTTTCGAGCCAAGATGGTCGGAAAATCAGCAAGAAGAGCCCCCCCCCCCCGACATCTACGGACCGAACAATCAGTCACAGTCTTGGTAAACTCCGTTAAGCGTTGAATGCTTGCGAGAGTTATCGTGACTTGACTCCCTGGGGTGGAGGGGTTGAAGATATCATCACACTCAAGTGTCGAGAGAGCTTGACGTGGTTTAAGACGTGATTATTACTTGAGGCTTTCCAGATTGCAGGTACCTGCTTATGGATTGGAGCCGTTGCAGTATCGAGCTTCAAGATGGCCCCCACGAATTCTCCAGACATGAAACACTGGCTGAAGCTGAAGGCTAAGTCTTTGTAGGCGCGATGCAATGGCGGGGCAACAACGCGTCTTCTGACACGCAAAAACAGGGTTTCCTAATGCACCTGTCAGGGACTGCGCCTTTCCTCTACTAGTCCACAAAAACACCATATTGTACACAGAACCTGTCTTCGCTGTCGCTGTGTTTTCTGGATAAACAAGATTCTTTCTGCTCCGCCCTTGATCATCGATCGTTCCTGTCGCACTTTACTCTAGTTGACAGAGTCATTTTCGGAGTCGCAGCTTCCAAACACTGACCACTGACCAAGAGCGCAGTTAATCTGTTGTTTACACTGCCTTCTTTCACCACCTCTGGTACCACTGTCACATCTTTTCTCCCGATCACGCGTACTGAACTCCGGACCTCTGCCCTATCGCTTGCTGAGGACTTCTCTCATCAGTCGTCGTCAGGATGACGCTCAAAGACACCTACCAACGCTTCCTCGACCTGCCAAATCCCATCAGCCTTTCTGAGAATGCCTCCCTTCACTACATCACAACCTTGACCACCTTTTCGCAGCCTGCACAGATTATCCGACATCTCGAATCTCACGATAAAAAGGTGGTGAAGACAAGAAGCGCAAGAATCCTCTCGGTTGTCGAAGGGGGATTCGCATTGGCATTGGAGGTCGAGACAATCCTAGAGTTCATTTCAGGAGGAGGAGTATACCTGCCAGGTCTCGAGAATTTCGTGGTCGACAAGATAGCGACTATTCCGACGGTAAGAGCACCTTGGCCAATGTGTCCGGCTCCCAGACTGACCGAGACCTGCAGACTCATTTCGTCCTCTTCGATGCGGACGGCAAGATCTCTCAAATCAGAATATCCTGGGATCAGGGCTCGCTGTTGAAACAGACCGAAGTGATCGGGGCAAGGGCGAAGAATTGGCCCCTCACTGACGGCAAGGATCAAGTCAGACTCATCAGTACCAGTTCGACGACCGCGCCCACCGTGGCTTCGCAATTGCCCAGCAGTCCGCGTGGACGATCCGAGAACCAAAGCCTTGCCTCCTCTCGAAACGTGTCTCCCGGGAAAAAGCACATTAAAGACCCATACGCGAGTCTTGACCTCTTCTCTGCAAAACCCGTCGACGAGCCCGCGCCTCTGGTAAGCCCGAACGCCGTGGCACCACGCGCTTCCGCGAAACCTCCACCCCGCGAAATGAGTGAACTTTTTGCTGCTGGTCATGAAGACCATGAGCCTGGGTCGCCTAAAAAGGTCCCAGCTCAACCGGTCATTGCACCAAAGGGAGCTGGAAGTCAAAAGTTTGCACCTCCCCGCCTCTTTGCAGACGATGACAATGAGCCTCAGGCCGTGGGCTACAAGTCTGACCCTTCCAAATACAACCACTTTGATATGGGCGATACAATCGAGAATGATCCCATGCAATACCGAGAAAATTCTGGGAAACCAAAGACGGTGCCATTGCGTCCCAGAACGAACAAGCATCTGTCTCAGTGGGATTTTGACGACTTTTCGACACCGGCCAAGGTTCCGCAGAAGGTTCGAGGTCAAGATGTGGTGCATTTCAGCCTGGACAATAACAACAGAGACGTTGAGACTCCTGCTGGTGCTGGAAGGAGAGCTACTGGCAAGCCACGCCGGGATAACGACGCCCATTTTGAATTTCAGGATGATGGCACTCCAGTTGAGCGACACGTCGTGCCCAAGCCACGCAAAGATGCCGAGACGCACTTTGAGATGAGAGATACTGCCACCCCTGCTCCCAATCGCACGTCAGACCGTCCAACTAGTTCAGGCCGACAGGGACTGTATGACAACAACATATTCGATGAAGATGAAGGTTACAGACCAAAAGATAAGGCCCCGCTGTCAACCATCACCAACAACGCAAGTCGAAAGAATGATTTTGGCAGCCATTGGTCCATGTCAGATGTGTCGCCTGCCAACGAGAAAAGCAACGAGAACAATGGGATTCGGGGACACCAGAAGAAACCCTCTCAGATGGACGCTCACTGGGATACTTCCGATCAGACCCCGGAACAGGTTAAGGCACCAAGTCAAAGTGGACTCAGAAAGGGAATGGAGAGTCACTGGAGCCATGGAGACTACGAGCAGCCGACTCCTAAGAATCAGGGCAAGGCTCAAAAGAGTTTCTGGGACTTCTGAGCCGGAGAAGGAATATGAGCGACGGACGTTCTATGCATTATTGCTTGCTGAAAGATGTGGTGGCGCTGTCTAGTCGTTGGGAGATGAGCCCTGGTGGACAGCATCGTGACGACTGTACGCATTTTATTGTATAGTGATTTGGTCCAATATTTGAGACTCGACATCAGCTGAGGAATTCTTTTCCCGGGACATGGGCTGCAATTGACATCACCACACGTGTTTAAAGGAGCCTTCGGTGATGATTGGCGAGGCGCAGAGTCGTCGTCGTCCTTTTGCTTTGCGACAACTGTCTGACCGTCGAAGCTCTCCCGCGCGGACTTAAGGCGTCCCATTCAGCCTACTAGCCATCTTTAGCCTTACCAGTGCCACGATGGTATGCCTCTCTCATCCCCATCATCCCCCAATGCGGCCGCTCTTCGAGTCTGAGCGTCCGCCGTCCAGGGTCAATCTGCAGCAAATCCTGCTCTCCAGAAAGATCCAGCGTCTGTGAGTCATGAAGTTGAATGTCTGGCCTATAAGGTGCACCTACAGAGCCATCCAACAGGCCGAGACGCTTCCTATCTTTGTTGCTGATTTAACAGTGCCATCAGTGCCAACCCTAGTAATACTCTGCCACTAACAAGCTTGGCTTCCAGTAGTCAGCGATCAAGTCCCTCAATCCCTCAATCTCCCAGATTCAATTTCAAAACTCTTGTACTCTTTACCTAGTCCCCTTCATATCACGAGGACTCTCGCAACCACAGTGACACTGGCCGGGCGGCGTCTGACTTGACCAGACATTGCGCTCGACAACCAGTATTGACCGCGTTCACTTCACGTCCACCCTCCCTGCTGCGCGGATAATCCTTAAGTCCGGACGAGCCCTTTCAGCCAGGCACCAACTGCGACCGCCTCAATCACTCTCCCTTCGTTGTGCTGACCGGCGCGCAGCAAATCTAACGGAAACCCTCATACTTGATTTCTATTGGAAGTGGATTACACAAGTGCCAACCGGAAGACAGGCTTCGAGCAACGCGCATCGCAAGCCTCTGCTACAATTTTCCCCCAGATTGGCGGGGTTGAGAGCCATAACAACATTGTACAGAGAATCCTCAAAATGACTCCTACTCCTCCCTCGGCGAATTCATCACACTCGGGCGCTTCTCCAGACCAATTTCGAGTGGTGCGAAAACGAAATCGAATCCCTTTATCGTGCGCTCCTTGTCGGCACCGCAAGCTCAAATGCAACCGACAGCAACCATGTGATAATTGCACAAAGCGCGGCGATAGTGCATCGTGCGCGTATGCCGCCCCTGCGGCGAGAAAGAAGGGCAGCTCAAGTCAGAGCGCCTCTAATTCTACACCAGATGATATGCAGAATCGGATAGACCGCCTGGAAGGCCTCGTTCTGTCTCTAATGACCAACGGCTCGCAGGCCGTCGGTCCGGCGGCCGCCCAACATGCGCTGTCGACCGGGACAAGCACTGCCGGAAGTGGTTCTTTGGGTCCGCCGCTTGACAATGAGCTCGACGAGACTACCATGATGGAAGATGGGGATGGCCAAGAAGTCGAAAGTGAGACTGATGGCGTGACGCAGAGCTTTGGCATCCTGAAAGTTGACGCAGAGAGACAAAAGACGTTTTATGTTGGTGAAGCACACTGGGCTGCCTTGCTGAATGAAATCGGTGAGGTCAAGAATTACTTTCATGCTCATAAAAAGGAGTACGAAGCGCAGATGGAGAAAGTCGAGCAAGCCAGAAAAGCCATGGGTACGGATGTCGGCGCAGGACCGGCTCTGTTATTTGGATCGAGTGTGCCCCCTAGTCGAGCAGATATTCTCGCCCAGATCCCGTCTCGATATATGTCGGATATCCTTATCGGACGATATTTCAACACTTTCGACCCAGCCACCCACATTTTGCACGGTCCGACTTTCCAGAGGCATTATAATCAACACTGGCAGGATCCGTCCAAGAGCTCGATCGTCTGGGTCGCTATGTTATTCGCCATGATGCGACTGGCCATGTTGTCATACGGAAGAGAGGGCGATGAACCGCCCGAGTTTAGGGGCAAGTGCCAGGATTACTCCGCCAACTTCCGCACGCAGATGGCACACTGTCTCATCACAGCCGACTACACGAAACCGCACAACCACATCATTGAGACCTTGATTTTCCACTTACACGCCGAGTACACTTCGAATCGAGATGCAGAAGCGAGTGTCTGGGTACTGGTTGGCATGATCGCTCGCCTGGCCATGCGAATGGGATACCATCGAGATGCCAAGCTGTTCCCCAATTTGACTCCTTTCGAGGGAGAAATGCGACGTCGTATCTGGACGTTCGTGCGCAGCGCTGATCTGCTGTTTTCGTTTCAGGTGGCTCTTCCCTCGATGATCCGCATTGGAGATTCGGATACTGAACTGCCGCGGAATATCTACGATGACGAATTTGACGAGGACTCGACATCACTTCCTCCAGCGCGGCCTGCCAGTGAAGCCACACCCATCTCGTACATGATTGCCAAAGGGAGACTCTCGCTCGGCTTCGGTCGGGTTCTGGAAGAGATCAATGGAGTCAACCGGAAAGGCTACGATGAAGTGCTCAAGATTGACCGCGGCCTGCGAGACATCTATGAAAGCATTCCCGAGCATCTCAAGCTCCGACCTATGGCTGAACAAACATTGGCTCCGATCTCTTTGATCATGGCCAGATTCGGCCTGGCAACTGTGTACCACAAATCTCAGTGTGTCCTTCACCGGCGGCATTTGCGCCTTGCCCGACCTGGCAACCGATACATGCATTCGAGGAGAACTTGTATAGACTCGGCTATGCAGCTCTTGAGTTTCCAGGCCATTCAACATCAACAGAGCCGGGAACGTGGACGATTGAGGAGTCTGCGAAATCATGTCAATTCACTGACAGCACACGACTATCTTCTGGCGGCCACCGTGGTGTGCATGGACTTGTACAGCCATCGCGAGCGCAGCGAAAATGATGTTAGTACCCCTAGCACGTCAGTCAGTGGAGGCAGCATCAGCCAGGGAAGCAACATGTCGGAAGGAGGGGCATACGTACCAGGTCTGAGTCATACGCGCGAAGACTTGATCCGCGCACTCGAGGAGAGCCGCGATGTCTGGATGGCGAATCGTGATTTCAGCATCGAAGCCTACAAGGCCAGCGAATTGTTGAATGTCCTGCTGTATCACATCAAGATTCCGTTCTCTCCGAGCAATCCTCAGCACACCCAGCTTCCGATGAACCCCCAGCAGACGCCGGGATCGAGTAATGATGAGCAGACAGCAGCGATGACGCTGGGCATGCTTCAGGCAGGAGGTTTGGCTTCGGGACAGCCCGGTAACGTGAATCAAGCACCTTCACCGGGCATTCAGTGGGACAAGGTGGCGGCAAATGCAGGGTTGGGTGCGAGCAACGATCAATTCAATACTGGACTCTTCAGCTCTGGGTCGAACAACGCGCCAAGCCCTTTCCCAGCCGCCTTCTTCAACGGAATGGCCGATTTTGGTACAAATATGAACCTAGATTGGGTAAGTTGAGAAGGGGAACCCTTGCAGGTGGCATTTACTGACAAAGTTATAGGAAGCATGGGATCAGTATATGCAACCTCAAAATCTGGGACTAGATCCGGCCGCGAACTTGTGGTCGAGTAGCTCGTCTAACAACAATTTGTTCACGCAGTCACCGGACGCTGCTAATGATGCGTCGTTCGGGATGGGAGGGCCCGGCTTCTTTACACAGAATACCATCAGCAGTATGATGAGCGGGTCGACGGACAGTATGCCGAAATCAAATGATCAGATGCCGAACTTGACGGCGAATTCGACCAGTCCGCCGGGAAATGATAACAGTGGCGCGGGAGAGGTTTTCATGGGAGTGTCGACGCCACAGCCTGGCGGAGTTCCAAATTGGAAGTGGACGGTTATGAGCGACAAGAAGTGATATTCGAAGGATGGAGGAAATGCGATGAGCTCATGCGTGATTGATACCCGATGAGATGATGAATGGGATTTGAATTGAATTTGGGAATATGTAACGATAGTTGGATATCGGTCTGGATGAGGCGAAGCCTTAAAACGAGAAAAAGGGCCATCAAAAGGGGAAATGTTGTTGACGACACTGCGGTAGGTACTAGTAGTGGTTCCGTTTATATGGGATGTACTGGATCTGGTCGGAGATAGGTATAGAGGTAACCTGACTCTTCTCTGGTGTTTGTCGTGGCACTCGGGGGTACCATCATACCTGACTACCTGGTAGCATTCGAGAGGACGGCGTGATCGCCTCGACACACGTGACTCTGCTCTTCTCTTAGGTACTGGACACTTGGGCGCCAGAGGCTGTGGAGTTGCTCCCCCAGAACGGGGCACTGATAGGGGCACCATGGGCTGCATGCTAGGTGCCATGGGCTAGTGAGGCCACCCCTGGTTGGGTTTCTGGTCACCCAGAAGGACGATAGGGGCTTATTTGCTGCCTGAACGTGTCGCGCCGAGCCTTGGATCGACTTGATTTTCCGGCGCCATGCCAATGCCACCAATGCCACCAGTACTGGGCTGGTTACTCCTTACCAGGTACTTACCTTAGGTAGGTAACACTTCGTGCACTTCCCGTCTGAAACTCCAGTCATCCTTCGGATCCATTTCTCTGCCACGCGACAAGACTTCACAAGAGTTCGGCCAAGCATTCATTTCCCAGTTTTCAAAGTCTTGTTCATGCACAGTGTTGTCATTCCAGGTCTGGGCAGCCGTTGCTTTGCTGTGCTTGCTTCAGCTTGTCTCTCCTTGACGCCTGCCTTGCGTCGCTTAAATTCGCGCGTTTGTCCTTCGATCCACATCCCTGCTGTTACTGCTACTACTTCTCTAGTCACTGCTCGTTCTTGCGTCTATTTGTACTCAGTCATGGCCTTCTCTACTTGACCTGCTTTGCTCGCAGTGAGGCACGGTGAGACACCGTGTAACTCGCAGTTGCAATATTAACCTCGAACCACCCTCTCTCTCTCCGTGTCACCCAAAGTGCCTGCGTTCAACTCGACTCAGCTCAACTCCTACCGAACGACCTCGACCAAGACACTACAGTCCCTCTTTCTCACAATGGGCCTCTTTAATCGGAGAGCCAAACAACCCGGTCCAGACGGTAGCGCGAGCAATGGCAGTCGGGAAAAGGCCAACGGTTCCTCATCTGCCACTCCTTCCACCGGCACCACAGCCCTTCCTCAATACAATCACAATGGCCACGAAGTCACACGTCGAATTCAGCCGGACGGGGAAAGTGGGCGTAGGGGAATCAACCCCGGCCAGTTCCTCCAGATAATATGGCGATCATCATGCTCGGTCTCAAGTTGGGTCAATATCCTCTGGCCTTTCGTCCCGGCTGCCATCGCACTCCACTTCATACATGGTGATCATCACCTCTGGACTTTTGCGATCAACTATATTGCCATGGTGCCCGCGGCAAATCTACTGGGATTTGCTGGGCAGGAGTTCGCAAGGAAAATGCCCAAGGTTGCTGGCATCATTATCGAGACTACCCTTGGTTCCGTGGTGGAGATTGTACTCTTCATGGTGCTCATCGCCAAAGACAATGGAACCGGTCAGGCTGGCCATGGCAGTAAAATTGCGGTCATACAAGCCGCCATCCTCGGTTCCATACTAACCAATCTCTTACTCTGTCTGGGCTGTTGTTTCCTCGCGGGAGGTATCAAGCACAAAAAGCAAAGGTTCCATCCCATTATCAGCGAAGTTGGTTCGGGACTTATCTTGGTTGCTGGTTTCGCCCTCTTGATCCCGTCGGCCTTTTTCTCGTCTTTGATCGGCAGCACTGTCACTGAGGGAGAGGGCTACACCGAAACCAAACTACGAAGCGACACAGTTAACATCAGTCATGGTGTTTCGATCATCCTTATGGTCGCCTTCCTCATTTTCTTGCTCTACAACTGCGTTTCACATGATAACATCTTTGCCGAAGTCCTCGAAGCCGATGAGGAGGCTGATCGAGACAGACACAGAGACCTGCGGAAGGCCAAGTTGACCATGACAGAATGCGCTGTTGCCATTCTTATAGCATTGACCTTTATCTCGCTCATTGCCGTCTTTCTCGTCGAGGAGATTGAGTTTGTTGTCGAGCATGGCGTTCCGGATAATTTCCTTGGTTTGATTCTCGTACCTTTGGTAGAGAAAGCTGCCGAGCATCTTACCGCTATCGACGAAGCGTATGACAACCAAATTGTGAGTGGCCCCGCCATCATCCAAGTATAGAGTGTCTGACCAAACACCCAGAATTTTGCCCTCTACCACTGTCTGGGACCTTCAATCCAGACCGCCTTGTTCAACGCTCCTCTCGTGGTCATCGTTGGATGGGGTCTGAGCAAGCCGATGGACCTGAACTTCGAAATCTTCCAAGTCGTCCTGCTTGTGCTGGCCATTCTAGTGGTGGGCAACTTCTTAAGGGACGGATCATCGGACTACCTTGAGGGATCGCTTTTGGTGGTACGTTCTTGCAGACCAAACCCGACCGGGAGGTTTACTGACATATCTGGACAGCTCGTCTACATCATCATTGCGGTGACTGCCTGGTTTTATCCAAATTCCGAGCTGACTACTTCGAACGGACGCCCTTCGACCGAGACCGGTACAGAGGGGACGGAGGCCTTGCTCCAAGCTGCGAAGATGCTGATGTCCTAGGACGGTGCGGTTTATGCGAAACGGAGTCACAAGTAGTTTGCTGGAAAGAGCTGTGTTATCGCGCTGTTCATTGCTGGTAATTTTAGCGAGGCGTCATGGTGACTGAGTGAGGGTGTTTCCGGAGCTGTTGCCCTTGCGCCTGGACAATGAGCCGTGGGACAACATGATGCTCTATATCGTGGCTGATATCTTCTGTAGCAAAAGAGAAGACGACATTTTTCAGCCTCGTCAACGATGTCATGCTTGGCCTTTTGTCTTTCCATTTCTAAACCCCTTGGTCCCTCGCTTGGCCCTTGAAGGGTTGCCCGAGCCCGCCTCTTCCCCTCCTTGCTTTTGTCTGTCCATTCACAATGTTCCTAAGCCCGAGAAGACGCAAGGCCAAAGTCAAAGTTGCCCAAATGCTCACTGTTGAGAGGTATCTGACTTGTTTTGGGGTGGCAGCAAACCTAACACAAAACTCATCAAGAGACGGGCTGCCTGCCGAGAAATCTGCACGATGGCATGGATCTCTGCAATCGACCGCAGGCTGATAAGCCATTCATGGCCTGCAAGCCGCTCGTCCAAGTCATCAGCCTTAAGCAAGGTGCAGCTCAAGACGCCTTTCGTCCCTTTTCCAGAGACATAAAGCCAATACTGAGTCTCATCGCCGGGGCCGAGATGAGTTGGGATCCAGAAGATCCAATCCATGTTTTTGCAGAACTCTCCGTGAGAGTCACCCCGAGGCCACCTCCGGGACCTTTCCCTTTGGCAGCGACATGTCATGACTCGGACGGCGGGAACGGCAATCGTGTTCTCGCCCAACCTGATGAACACTAGTGCACAGTCGTAGAGTTCCGAGTTGCTTAAAGACCCGCCGCTCATCCAGCTGACTGATCGAAGAAGATTGTCGCCGACGACGTCGACAATGTTAATTTTGGACAACAAGGGTTCGTGTTCAAACGACAGATGGTCTTCCAAAGACCAACCTGCATCTTGAAATCGTCGTATCAGGATTGAGAGGTCCATCAAGTCTTGCTGGTAATGTTCCACACCTCGTGGATGAAGGGTGTTCTGTTGCTCCGCTAGAGTTAGGATCAGGCGCATACAGCGGCGTCTTAAAGCGTAAGAACAATCGGCCCATTTCCGTTCCACGACGAGACTTTGTCTGGATCCCGCAGCCCCTTCTAGCAGATAGAATACAAGCGTACGACAAATCATCCACAATGTCTGAAAACCTATCCACGTATAAATGATCTCGCCTGCGTTATGACCCAGAACGAGGAACACACCAAGCAAACCGGTCAGTGACACGAGCGAGTAGAGCCACCAGACAACGCGCCATCTGGTAAATCTGCGGATGTTTACGGGCATTCCCAGGACCAGCGTTCCAGCTTGGCCTCCGTGTAGGGGCATTGGCAGAGAACCGGCCACCATGTCCGAGCGTAGGCTTGTCTGGTGGTCTCTCGAGGATCGTGTTGCCATGAGGAAGAGCGCAGCGCAAATCCCATAGGCCCAGGGGAGTGCTGAGAGCCAGTATAAGGAATTGGCGCCGAGGAGCCGAAGAGTTATGACCTCTGCAAGTTTGCTCAGAGAGGTCGCCAACGTCAACCAGTCCTTCCACAGCTTGGGCTGTCCCGCAAGATCTGGGACGAATTCGTGGATGGGTATACTTTTCCCACGTTCCGACTCCTGCACTGTGGCGAGGACGAGGAGAGAGGTCCTGTCCAGACGGTAAATAGAGAGCGGTCTACTAGGGTTTTGATGCCGAGAATGCTTCCGAGTGAGTCTGACGTTGGTGAACCAGGCTCCGCGACGGTCATCAACCAGTGCATGTTCTTGCTCCACGACACACTTCTCTTCTTGGTCCGAACACTTCACTGTCACACCGCGTATGCTAGTATCTGTGTCTTCATCTTCTTGGTAGAGTATGCTCAGACCCTTCACATCGCGCAGATCGACCCTGTTCCTGGCTTGCTTTTCTTTCTGCAGAGCAACACATAGGCCGATTGCCTGCTCGACATGGTCATTTTGCAAGCCTAGAGCTTCCCTAATCCAATCGGGTACCGCGGCGGCGAGAGACGACTTCGCAACGTGGAGCAGGCCAAAGGTGCTCATGGAAGCCCAGGGGAGACCTGCCGCAGATTTGAGGCCGACGGTCAGCGCCTCCGCAACTGGCCCTCCGATCAGAGTTGCGACTGCGGAGATCTCGACGATTCCCGCGCCAAATTGCGCAGCGTTCGCACGAATGTCTGCCATTTTGGTCCAGTGTTAGTTCTGGGTTTGTCGCTTTTTTGGTCCGTAGGAGCGGTGTTTTTTTTTATATATATGGGTTCAAAGATGATGTTGGGCGTCATTTTCACGCAGAAGAGGTACGCAAACAGGCTGCCGTCGAGGCCAAGAAGTCCCAGGGTTCAATACGAAGCGCCAGCACAGCCGGGGCTGGACGAATGTTGGGCTATGCCTTTGGCGTACATGGCTCCTGGCTTGCTCTCCTTGGTCGTGTGTTCCAATTCGTGATGGAAAGTGTTGAACGTTCTCAGGGCGCTGTTCAGAATACCGCATGTCCAACCTCTGTCACGGCTTTTCTGATGAACGAGTTAGTCGGTGTTCTCTCTGGTTTTAGTTTCTGATTTTGCGGAGATCCTGGAGTAGCAGTGGTCGCTTGAGCCTTGCTCCCCCAGGTTCCACCGTCCAATGAATTCTGTTTTATGCCATCAGTTTCCAATCTTCCAGACATACTGTGCGCTGCACGAATCACTGGTCTATACAATTTCGTTCATTTACGGAGCAATTCAAGATCTTATTGCAGAGTACGTGAGTCGTTGCTGATAGGCTGCAATACCTCCAGTACCCAGGTATTTATTCCTAAGCGAGTCTTGTCTTGCTATATTTAACTTAGGGTGATTTGCTTAACTGTAATGGGTTAGCTTAATCGGTACAGCCAATAAGCGCCCACTATTGGGTCTGTGCACTCCATCAATAGAAAACTTGACCCTTGATGTCAATGTTTGAGCCGCATCGGTCGACACCAGCTTCGGGCGTCCTTCATAGTTCACACCCCTTATCTCTCAGGAGCACGAGACGCACCTCAAAAGCGCCTGCCTGAACCTGCAGTCGTTACACTGTCAAGGGCGAGACAACTCTACTCCAATGACCAACACCGCTTCCGTGGTCGAGAGCATGCAACAGGCCCTTTGGGACAGTGTTATGAGCAGGGGCGCCCGAACAACTTTGCGCTATCTCGCTCACCACACCGAACGACAAACCCCAATGCAATGGTAGCAACACCTACCGTCCGGACTCGTGCTGGTGGCTCTCGCTCCCGCCTCGGATGCGCTACCTGCAGACGCCGAAGACTAAAGTGTGACGAGAGCAAGCCAGGGTGTAAACGTTGCGCATCCAGTGGCTACAAGTGTGATTTTCAGACTTCACTCGCACCCGGGACATCCGATTCTCTCACTTTTATATACTACGCCGCCGGGCCTCCTAGAGGCATACCTCAACCTGATTGCGAATTACCGGAGCGCCGGGCGCTGGATTTTTTTGTTCATCGCGCGATCCCAGACATTCGGGGCGAATCATCGTCTGACCTATGGTCAACATACCTGTTGCCCCTGGTGTATCATGAACCTGCAATCAAGTATGCTGTGGCCGCCTTCGCCACACTCTATGAGGACTATGTGAATTATGCCATCGATGAAAGCGAGACAGCTCTCGTACTCTACGGCAAAGCCATCAACCTCATCTCAAAACTCGACCCCTTCACCCAAGGCGCAGTCGACCTCGCACTTGCAAGCTGTGTCCTTTTCGCGTCCTTTGAAGGCTTGTCCAGGCACCCGCGGTCCTTGATTTCGCACGTCTTGTCCGGAATGAGGATTTTGAGCGACAAAGCACTATCTCGACAGAGCTTCATCCCTCGGATGTTACTGAAAAGTATATTTCGAGGTCTGATCACCCAAGCCATGCAAATTGGTGACAATTATGTTTTACGGCAGGACCGAGGTGAAGACTCTCTCAGCATACCTGATTCGTTCGCTACAATCGAGGAAGCCTGTGTATGTCTCGACGAATTCGAACACTATACTTTGCACCAGGTTAGGAACTCAGCCCTCGCTGTCGACACAGACACGCCATATACAGATTTTGTGGTCAGGTTCGAAGAGGTTGTTGCGAGGAACAAATTACTCACGCGACGCTGGCGAAGTGCTGCTGCGAAGTTCCTGGCTGCCGAAGGAGATTCCCTTAGCCCGACTCATCTACGTCTGAAGGTGATCGATACCTCTTTTTCTATCGGCATGGGCAGTGTTGGGGAATGCGATTTCGATCGCTACATGGATGAGTTTAAGCAGATCGTCGACTTGTCGGAAATGTATCTCAAGGCATTGGCAGCCCCTCTGGCTGATCAGACGACCATGTGGAGGGAAAGCACACCCAGGTCCAACACCACGCCTGCTTCGACCCCGTCGCCCACCCCCAGCGACCACTCTCAGCCTTCGCAAAAGCTTAGACCGCGGCCGCTCATGCCGAAGCCGGAGATGCGACTGTGTCCAACGTTCTCCGTATCTGCCGGAGTGATCTTGAGGCTGCAAATGGTAGCCCTAAAATGTCGAGATCCGCACATTCGCAGACGAGCCTTGCGATTAATTCAAAACAGCAATCGTAGAGAAGGTCTCTGGGATTCGCAAATCGTCGGGAAGTTCGTGGAAAGGATCATCAGTATCGAAGAGGAGCACGCGCTGCGCATCCTAAGGTCAGGAGGACTTGACATTCAACAACTGACGGACGCCGCTCAGGTTCCCCTTCAAGCAAGGGTAGAGGTAAGGGGTGTTCAACTGGGCCTTCACAAACAAGGCGAAGTCAGCTACATCATTCAGGATCCGGCTTGCACGGCACGGGCTGTCACTGAGACAATCAGTTGGTAAAATATCGAGCTTCTCGATGTGCGTGGGAAAGTCCACAGTCCCAAAGGCTTCGTGAACGGATGACAGGCTGTATCCGAGGACGTATATTGGCATCTCTGCTAGTCTCTACCAGTAGAGTTCCATGGGATACACATCAAGGGCTTCAAGTCCTGTTGAAGTCACCCTCACGATCCTCTCCGTGCGCAAACCCCCGACGTCAGGGACCGTAATTGTCGCCTTCAAAGTGAACACCATGTTTTCCCTTAGGACGGTCTTGTTTCCAGGACCAATCCAGGGAGCCTCCTCCTCCGGATCCATTCCAGTCCCATGCCCTGTTCCATGCCCTCGCGCCTCACTAGAATACTGTTCATATCCCGACTTTACCAAGGCTTGCTGCATGAATCCGTTCAATTCCGACGCCGTCATACCTGGCTTCCCATGAGCCAGCCCTGCCTCGACGGCATCAGCAGCTGCTCTGACGATTTCCTTTTTCCGAGCGTCCGCTTGCTCTGTTTTGTAAATGAATCCGCGACCACCGTCGGCACAGTAACCTCGATAACGGGCCCCGATGTCCGTCATGACCAAGTCGCCCGGCTGGACAACTCGGTCCGTGGGCCTCGCCAGATTGAACGCAGACCGATAACCAGTCTGAACCATCGAATCGTACGCCGTCCTTTCGGCACCGCCTGCCAGCATCCTCTGGTCCGCTAACAGGGCCAGCTCGCGTTCAGTATGAGGCTGGCCGTCCGCAAGAGCCTCCTTGATCGCCTCCATGGCCTGATCCGTGAGGTACGACGCCTTTCGTATCAGCGCAATCTCATGCTCGCTCTTGACAGCCTTTATCTCGGCGAGGACTGGGTGAGGCTCGAGTCTCAAATTTCCAATGGCAGCCTTGATCCGTCGGTGAAGGTCCTCGGGTATATAAGCTTCACCAGCGAGCGCCAACGTGCCGGTCCGTTCTTTCGAGAAAGCTTCCAGCTTGGACCGCATCTCATCGAAACTGAATACGTCGAACGTGGTGACCTCTGAAGCATAATGGACACACTGCTTTGATACAAACAACATGGGCTCCGTATCTGCTCCGAGAAAGAATATGGCGTTTGCAATGTCTGAAACGCCGTCGAGGGGCCTGAATTCCGTGAAGTAACATACATTCGCACCGCGCCAGCAATCGCCAAAGGAGATCAAGCCCGCAAGACCAGCTGCTTTCACACCATTGCGCACTTTCTCTATCCGCTGTTGGAATTCCGAGGATGGTATATTCTCCGACGAAAACACAGCTTGGTATCTTTTTGACGGTACATTATGGGTACCATTGGTGGTTCCATTGGTGATGGCCATCGTGGCTGACCGCTTCTGCTTCCTTGGGTGTGATGTTCGGAGGATGCTTTTCCTGGTTCTAAACAAGAGTCGGTGTTGTATCAAAAAGAGGATAGCCAGGTATTGATATGTAGTACTAGAAATTGGCGACAGTTGCTCGGTGGTGGAGCGGGCTCCTTACTCTCTTCAGGAGTTGCTTTCCTTCGTGTGCATGTCCGTGTGGATGGATCTGCTTGCGGGGCTCCCGGGGTAGAATCATGGCTGGCACAACACCTCGCGCTAGATTCCCTTCTTCGAGCCTTCAGCTTTGATAGCAACGAAAAGTCGCATCACCAGCGACCGGTCATCTGTCCCGGTCCGCCCATTCAGCGCATCATGGGGCGTGACACCGGAAAAGATACTTGTAGTCCACCGCCACCACACGGCTCGTTTGTTGCTCGGAGCAAGATGGCCTCGAGCCGAGGTTACGATCAATACTCTCCAACTTCCCAATTCGATCCTCGTCAAGGATTTCCCAAACGAGAGGTTGGAGCTGGCAAAACGGCAGAACGGCAAAGTGGCGCTCCCCAAGGGGCTCGATTGGCCTCCCAGTACTCCGTAAGAGATGCCAAAGCTCTGTGTGGCTTTGTTCCCTGATCAACTAGCTTGTAGAATGTCAAATTGTCTTTTTCACCTGGGGCCTGTAGGTTCTCGATCATTAGAAACAGTGGATACATTCAAGCCGTTTGCCCCAGAATCTGTGGCCTGCATGTGCCGATCGAGATCCCCCATACTTCCCCAACATGTGGCCTCCGAGAATGTGGTTTTGGCCGATCTTCGAAACCCAGCTTTTGGATATTCTCGGTAGGGCAATACTGAGCGCTCGTTCTTATGCTGGCTTATGCAAGTTTCAATAAGCACTGAACGGTCTCACTTAGGCAGGACGACTCGTACGTCAGCAAGACCTAAGACTAGTATGCGCCTGGGCAACCTCTGCCAATGGACATACCGGGAACAACGATACGCTCATCACGGAGAGGACGTACAGGATGGTATGCAGACATTGCCCAGCTTGAGATCCAGAAGGAGGATGTGCTGACAAGATTTCGGTGCCCTCTAGCTTGACCTGTCGACGCCGGCATCTGAAATGTGACGAAGAGAAGCCAGATTGTGGTCGTTGTCGACGAACTCACCGCGAATGCGTTCCAGATGATCAGATTACATTCCGCAATAGCCAGAAAGTGGCCGCCCGAGGAAAAATTTCGTCTTCATCTCAAACAATCAAGAAGATTCGCGTCCATAGAGATTCCAACGAGGTCTTCGGTACCGACCAGACATGGGTTGAAACGCCTCCCGTTTGTGGGTGCCCATCTTTTCTTCTCTGAGATTCCTTGCTGACTGTTGTCACAACAGTGTCTTTCATTGATGAGACCGCCCATGTCGATGCTGAATATCGACATCAACAATTGCGTAACCGGAGTGAGGCAAGCGACCCTCCAACACCTGAAGACCTTGCCGCTGCACAGCCCGACCGCACCACAGACAGTCCTGCACCCGCAGTGATCGAAGAAGAAACCGAAGAATTAGGCCCGCAAGACTTGGAATGCAACCAGCCGGTCGCAACTCCAACATATCTGCCGGAGCTGTCCTTTCTGATCCCGGCCGGACCGTCTGTATCGAAATTGCATGAAGGAAGCAACCATCTTGTGCATGGCGCGGACGACGCCGACTTTGCTGCGCTCGGCCTAGTCACATCTAATCCTTCATATTCGATTCCCCTGATCTCACCCGTCGCTTCACATTCCAGCCTCGTGGCAGGCACTGTCCGTAAACCAAGCATTCACAGTCTGTCGCCCGAGCATCCCAGGCTCCAGCTATACGGTCCCCGGATGCGACTGCCATTCCAAGATGCCCAAGAAGCGATGATATTTCAGCACTATATGGAATCACTGGCTGGTCAGCTCGACATCACGGACATGCAACGCCACTTCGCGGTTGATGTACCCGAGCGTGCCTTGTTCTGTCCTGTGCTGCTCGAGGCACTGCTGGCCTTTTCCGCACGACACCTCAGCCGGACTTCCAACTTCGATTCTGCGGTTGCCGATCACCACCATCAGGCTTGCGTGCGCCTCATGATTCCCATGCTGGACCAGAAAGAATTGGTTGCCGACGAGACTCTTTTCGCGGCCACGGTGATCCTTAGAGCCTTTGAGGAAACTAGCGAGTCTAGAATGGGCTGTGAACCGGAACGCCATCTGACGGGGACGTCGGTCTTTGCAAATGCTCAGCTCGAGTTCCAAACTTGGGGAGGCCTCGGCCACAACGCTTTTTGGATCTATGTCCGTCAGTGCATATACATGTCCCTCCTGACACAGACCCAGCTCAAAGTTGATCTGGAGGGTTGGGAAGAGCGATTGAGTTTCGACTTGGGCTTTGACGAGACAAATGATTGTACCTGGGCGCAACGTATGATATGGATCGTGGCGGAAGTTGTCAGCCGGTGTTTTGGCAATAACGTCGTTGATTGGGACTATTTGAAGGCCAAAATCGACAAGTGGGATTCGAGACGGCCCAAGAGTTTTGATCCAATATTGTATCGACCGCGAGACTTTGAAGCTGGGAGGTATTATCCTGAAATACGTCTCGGTCATCCCTGGCATGGTACGTCTCAACGGACACGAAGTAATTGCTCGCGAGGTCTTCTGAAGCTGACTTTTAAACCCCACTCTAGTCACCGGTATGCAATACTACTATATCGCTCGACTCTTTCTGGCGATCTATAATCCCAACACTCCCAAGGTTGGGTTGGGATATCAGCGGCTGCGTCGCAACATGGATGAAGAAGTCCTCAAAAATGCGGAAGCCGTCATCGGAATATCGCTTGCCACTCCGCTGGCTGCAGCCAGAATTACGGCGTGTACTGCGATTGTTGCGTGTGGGCCGTGGTTTCATGATCGACCCATCGAGCAACAGGAATTGCTGTTGCAGCTGCTGAAGAAAGCCGAGCTCGAGAATGCGCTACCCACGGCGAGTCTTGCCCAAGGCCTCAAGGATGAGTGGAATTGGAAGTGAATGGCAAGTCCGGGGAAGCCATGAAATCCTGGCCTCATGTATTTTAACTACTCAATACCATACGCTTTGAAAGCGACCCCCAATCGTTTGCCAATGCTGACCGTATGCAAAGGCCTATGTTATTCTCCAAGTATCCGATCACACTCGTCACTTTACACCTTTTCATCATGCTCGTAGATTTCCTGACCAACTCGAGACCCAGCAGAGGCAGTGTCACTCTTGTTCTCGGCCTGACCGTGGTGTTCCACCTCAATGGCTTGTCGTCTATCGGCGAGACGGCCTCCTTTCCTGAGCACTCCACCAGTAATTCCGCCGGCCTCGAAGAGATGGTCGACGTCTTCGAGCCGCATGTTCGCAGTTTCTGGGAAGAAGAAGTAGACGGTCGGGACGATGATGACCAAATTCAATGCGGCGAAGAGAATGTAGGTACCCCAGTGGATGTTTTGGACCGCAATCTACAGAAGCACAAAGGTCAGCATTGATTGATACGAGCTTAAAAGGGATATGCAAACGTACCGGTGTGATCTGGACGACCATGAATTCGATGATCCAAGCACCCACGCTGGCCAACGCAGCACCTTTAGCTCTGAGTCTCAAGGTACACACTTCAGCAGGCAGGATGAACGGAATCGGCAGCCAGCCAAATGCGTAGAAGGTGTTGTACAGAGCGATCATGATGGCTCCTGCAATACCGGCGGGAGATGAGCCCTGCCACGTGGTGACGGCAAGGATGACCATGGTGATGATTTCACCGGCGCTCGAAATGAACATGAGCGTGCGGCGGTTGAATTTGTCGACCAGCCAGATCTGCACAAGAGAGGCAAGGAAGTATTCGGTTGTGATGATACCACTGATTAACAGGGCCATTTCGCGCGTCATGCCGATCGACTCGACCAAGACCTTGGGAAGATAGTAGGTGATCACGCACTGAAGAACACAAGTTAGTATGGTTTCTTGCTTTTCTTGTCCACTGGAGTGCCATAAACTTACAATACCGCCCAACTGCTGGAAAGCATTGCTGGCAAAGCTGATACACATTCTGCGGAAGTTCTGCAATTTTCCGCCTTGGAGGAGTTCCTTGAATCTGAACGGGCCTCCCTCGGATTCAAGTGCGAGTGCATTCAGAATGTCTCGAGAGAGCTCGCGGACACGAGGGTCGCTGGTAGGGACGCCCTTGCCAACTAGACGTGCTGTGACCTCCTCGGCTTCATCGTGTTTGCCTTTTGCGTGGAGGAATCGAGGTGTCTCTGGGGCAAAGAGGAGCAATACCAGAATGAGGATGATGAATATCAATTGAAACCCGATGGGGAATCTCCATTGGGCGGGGCCTTCTACTTTGGCGAAGCCGTAATCCATCCAGTATGCGACCAGGATACCGAAGATGACGATGCAGGAATCAATCGCAATCAGCTGGCCTCGCTGTTTGGCGGTTGAAGTCTCGGCCTGGTACACGGGGATAGTCGAAGTGTTGGCCCCGTTCCCGAGTCCAGTAATGATCCGAGAAGCGTACATCATCCCGCGGTTGACAGAAGCGGTCTGAAGAATGGCACCGATGAGCATGACCACCGTTGCCCAGAAAATGGACTTCTTGCGGCCAAGGTGGTCGCCGTACATGAATATGGCGATGGAGCCGCCCACGTTCCCAAGCTGGTAGACCGAGACAATGAGACCTTGCGTATTGGCATCTGGGCGGTTAAAGTCCCTGCCGAATTGGTTATCTGCGCCGATGATACCAGAGAGAACTCCCTGGTCGTAGCCGAAGAGACAGAACGCCAACGAACATATTGTCGTGATGAGCGCCGTCAACAGCCTTCCTGAGGGTTTGAACATGGTGGATGATTTGGTTCGCACACGGACGTCTTTTGAGATGATGGAGTCCAGGCGAACAGGGTGAGATAGTATAATTGTTGAGATCTTGTTGATGAAGCCAGATCGACGTTACACAGGAGATGCCTTTCTTTATAGCCCAACGAGGTGTATTTCAGGATTTCAGGACGGCACGGATGGTTATCGCTCCAGATTTCCTGATCTCCACGGGGTATACGACACGGACATTGGCAAAAGAGAGCAGCTGTGGTTTTATCTCGGCCCACCTGGCAGGGTTCTCGACGTAGTCCTCGTGCTTTTTTGCCCCCCTGGATCACTCGAGGCACGAAGGATCAATCCCCGTCTTCCGGGGTAGAAAATTCAGGTGGACTGGGCACCTGGGGAAAAGGAGACAAATACTACTACGTGGGTGCTGTGCGAGACCCGACAAAGTGGATCTGAATATTCGATGCACTTTTCCGCGACCCGTTTAGCCGCTCCACGCCTGCTGGGCAAGTGACACCGAAGCAAAAATCCGGTCCAAGGTTGGGAATTCTTGACGAACTCTTGACGCTAATGAGCCGCTCAGTGGGACTTACTCAAGATTTGACAGCCACAGGCACTCTGAACACCTCGACGCGCATTTCCCAATCGGAATCAATTAGGATATTCTCCATGTCTACCCCGGGGTCGCTGTCCGCTGCCCTGTGGAGGTTGAATGCACCGTTTGCCACAACATGCCGAGACTCGAGAAGACCACCGGTGTGCTGAAGAATGGCCGGAATTACCACGTGCATGGTCTGCTTAGGGGGTGTGGCGGCAGCTTCGATATCATTGTGATACCTTCGTCCCTTACGCCAACCTCCTTCCTCTCTCTCCTAGCAAATTCATGAGACACTTCTCATTGTTGTTGTTGCCGCTATGGACCAGCTCTTACACAAACATGTGTTTCATCTTGCGCTGCAGACCGACTTGGGACCATTGCTGGCAGTGAGACTGGGAGATTGGATTGTTATATTCGTGCTGCTGTTTGCGTCCTGCTTCTATCTTGGGGACGGGAAGCTCTGGGGAAAGCCTGATCCCAACTTGCACCTGTTCTACGAAGCCCCTCAGAAAAAGGGCGATTTCAAGCCCAAGCCGAAGCAAACGAGGGACATTGCCGAGAAACTACAGCAAGCCTCTTGTGACATTGCGATACTATGGGGGTCTCAGTCTGGCGTATCCGAAGGCCTTGCGGAGCGATTGGCTCGACACTGGCAGTCCCGGTTCGCACTCAGAGCTCTGGTGGCAGATCTGGACGACTATGACGCTTCTTCCTTGTCAGGATTTCCATCCACAAAACTGTGTGTTTTCCTGTGCTCGACATACGGAGAAGGAGATCCTCCCGACAACGCCGTCAATTTTTGCACAGCACTTGAGAAAATGAGACAAAAGGGGACTCGCCTCGATGGGCTCCGGTACCTAGCTCTCGGCATGGGGAACAGAAATTATAAACATTATAACCAGGTCATATTGGTGAGTACACTACTCCGCGAAGCTCCTACGTGCATATGTTTGAAAGGGCACTAACAAATCCGAAGGACATGGATCGGACGCTGACAGAGCTTGGAGCTCTTCGTGTTGGTCCTCTGGGAAAGGCAGACGAAAGCCAGGGCACGACTGAGGAAGATTTCATCGAGTGGAAAGAGGCTGTGCTCGAGGATCTCGGTCAGATTATTCAACTGGACGAGCGGCCAATGACCTACGAGCCGGCCCTGGACGTGCTCGAAGTCTGCGTGGACGAGCAGAGCCTCTGGATGGGCGAACCAAGTGAATCTGCCCTGAAGAACGTGACCCAGAAAGTGGTCTACAACGCCGACAATCCGTACCCAGCACCAATTGCAAGCGCGAAGACGTTGTCTCCAGTCCCAGATCGAGTCTGCGTTCATATGGAAGTCAGCATTGCAGGGGCGCCGGCGCTTCGATACCAAACTGGCGATCATCTAGCCGTTTGGCCGGTCAATCCAGAGGACGAAGTCAACCGGCTCCTTCGTCTCTTGGGCTTGGACTCACCAGCGAAACGCAGACAGCCCATCATGATTGACATCCACAAGGACGCCACATCGAGACCAAAGCTGCCTTCTCCAACGACAAGAGAGACCCTTCTAAAATACTACTTGGAGATATGCGCGTTAGCACCTCGAGATCTGCTTCTTCTTCTTTCTCTCTACGCGCCAACAGAAGCTGCCAAAGCAAAGATCACGAAACTGGCCACAGATAAAGAAATCTACCGAGATCAAGTTGCCGGGAAATACGCTTCAGTTGGACGCGTGATGGAAATGGTCGAGCCGGATCAACTTTGGACCCAGGTGCCATTTTCACTTCTGATCGAATCCTTCAACCATATCCAGCCCCGATACTACTCCATCTCGAGCTCTCCACTGATTCAGCCAAGGCAGCCTACCATCACTCTGGCCGTGAACAGCCGTCAGATCGCGTTACAGGATGATGCGAAAAAGGTAGACCGGTTTCTAGGCCTGGCGACGAATTTTCTTCTAGCCCACGAACGAAAGATGGCAGTCAAGGAAACCGAAGACCATGTCATTCCATGGTCCCAGTCGCAGTCATACAGCTCGGTACCTGGCTACGATCTCGAGGGTCCAAGAAACAAGCTCACCGGCGGACGGATCTACATGCATATCAGAAAATCAAACTTCAAGCTGCCGTTGAATCCGGCCGTCCCTATCATTATGATCGCAGCCGGTACCGGAATCGCTCCGTTCCGAGGCTTTGTCCAGGAGAGAGCCCGACTTGCGGAGCTTGGCAAATCCATCGGGAAGATGTTGCTGCTCTTCGGATGTCGGGACGATGAGAACGATTTCCTGTACCGCGATGAATGGGAAGAGAAGCAGGCCAAGCTTGGTGACAGCTTCACGCTCGTTCCTTGCTTTTCGAGACTTCAGTCGCGCAAGAAAATGTACGTCCAAGACGGCCTGGCCGAGCATAAGCGGCTGGTGTTCAGCATGATTGAGGATGGCGCGGCATTCTATATTTGTGGCTCTGCAACAATGGCAAGAGAAGTACGGACTCGGCTGAATCACATTCTCGCGGAAAGCAGGCATCAGAGCTTGGAAGAGGCAGATAATTGGGTGACCACTAAAATGAAAAAGGCTGGACTCTACCATGAGGATGTGTGGGGTTGATCATTTGGTAAGGGACAGGTTTACCAATACTATAACTCCAAATGTCACTTCTGTCGTTTCCTCCGGGAATATCGTGTGGTTCGTCTCGTGTTGCTATCGTACTTGTTCAAACCGTTGCCGAGTCTTGGACAATGCTATCTAAATGTCAATTCTACTTGCGTTTCTCGTGAAGTGTGTAGGAGAAGATGAGTTTGGACATTCATACATTATGCCGTCGACAAGTATCTAGAGTGGTCTTGATGAGAAACGCTCAAAATCATATCCTGCTTCGGATTGCAACACGACTGCTATTGTAGACAATTTAAACAATCTCTTCATGATCAACATTCCGCTTCCTCCTCCGAATCCTCATCATCATAGGCCCTGGATGCGCATTCACGGTATCCTTGGTCTCGAGTTCGAAGTCTGGCTTCTCGAATTCAAACTCGTAACGCCGCATCAATGTCGAGACTACAACAAGAAGCTCCAAATACGAAACATTGCGGCCAACTGTGGTAAAAGTCGTTAGTCAACGTTTTCAATAAAAAGGTGAACAGAAAAAGGTAACTTACTGCATCCACGCCCACCGGCCGAGAACGGGATAAACACTTGCTGCAAATCCGCAGCGTCATCCTCGAGCCAACGTTCGGGCTTGTAAGTCCAGGGATCCGAAAACAAGTCAGGGTCGTGATGAAGGGAGTAGGTCGGTACCGAGACCGTCGTGTTGCCGGCGATCCACTCGCCTGCAATCATCATGCCCTCCGGTGGTGTCACTCGTGGCAAGCCTCCACGTAGCGGAGGCCTCATTCTCATGGCCTCATCCACGCAAGCTCGTAGGTATGGCAGGTTCTTGACTTCGTCAAAGGCGCAAACACCATGATCGTCCGAGTCACCGAGAGCGTCGTCAAGCTCTTTGCGCAGTTTCTCCGCGGTCCGTGGCCATTTTGTCAGAAGGTAGATTGTGCCGGTGAGGACAATCGATGTCGTGTCCGATCCGGCGTTGAGGAGCAGGCCGCACTCTGCAACCATCTCGCCAATCTCAAGACCGAGGGGATCGCCATTACGGTCCCAGACCAGAGATTTGAAAAAGTCGTTGAGCTCAACGCCCTCCTTCTCCCTCTCCAGTCGGGTCCGAACCATGTGCAGCACAATCGCCGTGAAATCGGCGCCTCCCTTCCAGCCCTCATGCCACCACGTCAGTCGCTTGAGGTACGGGAAGAGATCAGCGTTCCAGCCCATTGTCGAGCCAATGCGGAGGGAATTGCGTAGTGCATCCGCCGGCTTCGTCCAGTACTTTGTACCGTCGAGCTTCTGCGCCTGCATCAGATCATCGCCACGCTCGACACATCCGAGGTTCTGGCTGAACACAAGGTCGCCGGTAAGGTCGAAGAGGAGCATGTTGATGTACCACCGCACGTTGATGAGTTCTTGCTCGTCCACGGCTTTGTCAAATCGGACAAGTAGGCGCTGAATATCCTCGACAACAAGGTGCTCCATGTCCGCGATGCGTTTCTGCGCGAATGCAGCTGCGAGGCGCTTCCGTTTCTCACTGTGCATGTGGCGGTCGGTCACATCGAGGCTGCTCTCGTGAGTGCCAGTGAACGAGATGTAGAATTTATCCTTCTGGGCTGGCGTTCCGTGGCCGTAGATATCTTTGGTGGCTTGTCGGCCGACAAAGGAGATGTGGTTTGGCCCGACACGGACGATCTTGCCCAGCTTCTCGTGCGCAGCGTGGGTAGAAAGAGCACGATTGTGATTGTACTGTTGGAACATCATCCAAAGGTTGGTGAATCCTGCTATGCTGGGCGCTGGAAACCGTCGCAGTTTCTTCGGGTCGTGGAAATAGCATATCACCGGGTAGAGCAGTGCAGCCCCGATTAGGAGGACGACCGTTGCCTCCCATAGCGGGAAGACAGGGAAAGTGCCGTGGACATGTGCTGAGGAAGCCATAACGGACATTGTGGTGGTCGGTTGTTGGAAGAGAAGCATGGAAACATCCTCGCGGTTCGAGAGACACAACGTTTATCAGGACGTCTGCCCCAGCGAGACCGCGGGGCTGAACGATCGGAGTCTGGCCTGGGGATCATTCCTCCCACACTGGGGTGATTGCTGCGAGAAACGATGTACTCGATCTGGCCGAAGGTGGAAGAAATCGTCGAATGCATCTGGTAGAATCTATACCTGGGACCTAGATTCGCAGCTGATCTTGGAACTTCATGCCGGGGTATGATATTTGGACCTTGCGGAATCGGCGCTTCGAGACGAGGGATTGTGGCATCGTCGAGAATTTCCTAGAATAGTGGTGTCGACCCTACCGGGAAAAGCAAAGGATGTTCGCCTAGTATTTCCTACTCTGCAGGTGAACTTGCCGAGACAAAATGCTTGCAAGCTCGGGCCCCTTCGCTGGTCAATCCGTCGCCCACCCCCCTCGGTTCTGAGGTTACGCCACCCCATACCGGAGCATTCATGCGAGAATCTGGAGACAGCCTTGCCTAGCCTGAATGGAACAGCACAATGATATGGGACTTCAATCCTCTCAGATCGTAGCCACAAGGGCCGGATTGACACGACCGGTATATCGTTGAATACTCTTCAATCAACGCAAATTCTGTCTGATCAAGTACCCTTCAGACACCATGGAAGCAATATGCACTGCCAGTTTTACGCGTGCTCGTAGCCTCACTCATTGTCAGCAACTCCGCCGGCTAGCCCATGTCCGGACATTTCGCAGCTCGACATGTCGCCGTCTTGCATCACCGACACCATCACCACCTCAAATACCCAGGACAATGCGTGCCTGCCAGATAGTAAAATACAACGCCCCCCACGAGATTCGGGTAATCCCAACTCCAGCTCCGTCGTCACTCCGCTCCCACGAGCTTCTGATTAAGGTAGCCGTTGCATCCCTGTGCCACTCGGATCTCGAGTATGTCAAAGGCCATCTGGATTGTACACTCCCCGTGACCGCTTCGCATGAAGGAACGGGTACGGTCCTGGCAGTGGGTGATGGAGTGGACAGATTTCAGGTGGGAGACCGCGTTATGGCGGGCCAGACATTCGGCCGATGTGGTGAATGTGAAATCTGCAAGGGACCAGAAAGTTATCGCCACTACTGTCCGCACAGGGAGACGATGATGAGTGTTCAGCGTAACGGGGCGTTTCAGGAGTATCTGGTTATCGACTCCAGAGAGGCGTCACGGATACCAGACGAAATGGCGTTTGAAACAGCTGCCCCCCTGGCCTGTGCCGGCATCACCGTATGGAGGGGGATACTGCAGGCAGAACTCAAGCCGGGACAATGGATTGGACTCGTTGGATCGGGAGGCGGTCTGGGCCACCTGGGTATCCAATTTGCCAAAGCCAGGGGGTTGAAAGTCGTGGGCGTGGATGCCAGAGATGAAAGCATTGCACTGTCACGAGAAACTGGTGCAGATATTGTGCTTGATGCTCGTCTGGGCAAAGAAGAAGTTGCAAGACAGGCATGGGAGGCCACTGGCGGCAAGGGTGTGGATGCGTCATTGACCTTGAGCGATGCAAAGATGGCAGCTGCAACTGCTTGCGCCATAACCAGAAATCATGGAACTATGGTACAGATTGCTCTGGTAAGTCTACAAGGAGAAAATCGGATACAACGACTGGACTAACAAGATGGCAGCCTCCGGAGGTATCAATACCGTTCTCGGAATACATCTTTCGAGACATTCGAGTAAAGGGATCGTTCCTCTGCTCACAGAAAGAAGCAGAGGAGATGCTGCAATGCGTCGTCGACCACGATATCAAGATCGAGAAGAACATCTTCCATGGATTGGATCAGGTGCCGACAGCAGTGGAGATGCTGAGGACTGGTGGGTATCGAGGGAAGGGGGTCATTGTGATAGAGGGCGCCTAAGACAGCAAAATTTCCCCATGTTGTCTGAAGGTATGATTTGTTTCAGCGTCCCGGGTTGAAAGTCAGCACGTAGAAGCGTGGTGTAGGAGGCGATCCAGACACTATGTTGATAGCCGGCTGCTCCCCATGAAAGGAGAAAATGGTGGCTATGTATGCATTCTGGATATCAGTCGCGTTCGCTGGCTTCTATTGGATTGGATGTTGCAGATCGTTCAGGACGTACTGATGCTCCCCCATGTCAAAGGTATGAGACTTTGAGTGTGAAAGGAACCTCTGTTTCGTGTCTAAGAGTCCCAGTGGACGCGCTGACTATATACCCTAGTGCTAGGCTAGGAGGGGGGTCCCGGGGATGCCTAGTATTCTGACAGCACGAACAACGGGACTGTCGAGCTTATCTAGATATCCCCCATACTAAATACATTGTCTGGATACATCGGGGGCTCCGCGCATACTGCAAGGTACTATAGTGCTCTCGAGGATCACTATCAAGTTTCCTCAGCTCTTGGTCTATCCCAATGGCGATGTTACGGCCAATACACACCAACAGATGCCATCTCATTCACAATAAGCTACTGCAGCGACTGCAGAAAGTCTCTATATATCTTGGCCAACTCGTTGGGACACTCTTCTGCAAGTTGATGGCCATAATGGAGCTCTTTGTACTGGACATTCTCCCCCACATGTTGCATCTGCTTCTCGACTTCCTTACCGATGAAATCGCGACTTCCGATAGCCAACACCGGCATCTTTAACTTCTTCTCTGCGGCCTTCTTGTTCGCCGCCACATTGCTTTCGGTGGCTCGGTCTGTAGGGTGTTGGGTGTTAGATGCAAGTCTTTGCCCTTCTAAGAGAATGGTCTCACTTACAGATGTTGAAGATGCTGCGCAAACCCCCTGGCTGCGAAGCGCTCCGGACATATTCGTCGATGGCGTCGTCATCAATGCTCGTCGGATCATAAGCTTCGTTCTTGATAAACCTATTGCAGAATGTCAGCCACCGACAGCCCATGACTAGGGGGTTCGAATCTAGCCTGGTTATGTCTCACCATGTGAAATATTCTCTCTCCCTTCCCGTGATCAAGAGCTCTGGAACGTCTCGAACATGGTAGAAAGCGACATGCCAAAGATGAGTCTCAGGCCGTTGAGGATTGAACTGTGCCCACTCCTCCAGACCAAAACCTGGCAGCAACATCTCCTGGAATACTAGACTCTGGACTCTCGACGAGTGCCGGGCAGCGACCTGGTACGAGGCGGCGGCTCCCCAATCTTCGCCAACGATATGAAACTTGTCATGACCGAGTTCTGACATCAGTTCGGCGATATCATCCGCCACCGTTGCCATGTCGTATCCGTCATCGGGGTGTGTCGAGTCGCCAATACCACGTAGATCTGGGACTACGATGGAAAAGTGTTCAGACAATAGAGGGACGACTTTTCGCCAGTAGTAGGAAGTCTTGGGAATGCCATGTTGAAGCAAGAGAGCAGGACCATTCCCAGCAGTGTAGTAGTGCAGTCTCACACCAGTTGACAATCGCTTCCTTCCGTGAACGACAGGCTCGCCCTTGTGGTCAACAATGGTCAGTCCCATTTTTCTTTGGATTGTAGATGAAGACTGCTGCCGCCAACAATCTCGCGTCTTTGCCTTGGGCTGGAGAGAGAACAGACTTTTAATGCTTGTGCTGCGAGATGTCCGTTATCCAGATCGGCCATGCCTCGTTACATAATTAATTCCCCACCACCATCCACGGGCGTTTTTTTGAGCCTCCTCCAGAAAGCCAGACATCTGGGGCGGGCCAATGATCAATCTTCGCTTGAACGGCTAAAAGGCTATACAACTCGCCCAATGGACGATATATCTCAATCGGCAGCACGCAATAACCCCCATGAACGGTTGACATCTCCGAGCCGGCGGACTACGAGTAAAGACCCTACAGGATGAGTTCCAGTTGGTGTCCATGTCAATCACGCGGTCGGAGGCAAAGGATATAATTTGGACGTGAGGTTAATTTCTCCATGGCAACCCCATGCATATCCCGAAAGGACGGTTCAATATCTGGACTAAGTAATGACTTCGGTCTTCGGTCTTCGGCCAGAATTTCTCTCTTCATCATTGAGCCTCTGCCTCAGGTGATATCTATATAACTCTCCCTCGAATAGGACGAAGCAGAGTATGATCCCTTTCTCCCAGTCCCACCGCTCCAGCAAGCTCATCTCTTACTTTGTAGGCCACTGTCCTTCCCTTCCTCTGAGAAGATCAACATCATGGCCTTTGCACCATGGCGTGCCCTGCCCGGCCCCGTCCTACTATTGGCACTGAACCTCTTTTCTGCCGTGGCCCTGATCTTTGAAGGCTATAACCAAGGCGTCATGGGCAGCGTCAACGGCTCCGCGGGCTACATTGAGCTGGTGGGGATCGGCGCCGACGGTGTCGTGACCAACACCACCAAGCAAGGAGGCATCGTTGCGGTCTACTACTTCGGCGCCATGTTCGGCTGCTTCATCGGCGGCAAGATCGGGGACAGATTCGGGCGCAAAAAGGCCGTCGTCTTCGGCAGCATACTGGCTTTGATCGGCGGTGCTCTTCAGGCTGGATCGCAGAATGCGAGCATGACCATTTGTGCCCGGACCATTTGTGGACTTGGAATCGGCACCATCAACTCGGTATGTACTGCTACGCCTCCTTCTCCCCCTCCTCATAGGGCGACTGGTATTACTAGTTATTCCTATTTCTCTGGTGGTAAAGTACTTCTGGAAGGTCAGGAACTTGAAAGCTAAGAGCAGAAATCTACTAGATCATCCCGGCATGGGTCTCGGAACTCGCGCAGGCACACAACAGAGGATCCTCATTCGCGCTCGTCTTTGTCGCCAACTACGTCGGCATCGTCATTGCATACTGGATCGGCTATGGTCTTCGCAACCACACGGGCGACTTCAAATGGCGGTTCCCACTGGCCTTCCAGATCGTGCCTCTCCTGCTGCTCCTCCTCACGATCGGCTTCCTGCCCGAGTCGCCACGGTACCTGCTCACGCAAGGCCGGCGCGAAGAAGCCGTCGAGATTCTGGCCAAAATCCGAGGCGACGTGCCGCACGATGACCCTGCCTTGGCCGCGGAACTCGCGCAGCTCGACGCCATCATCTCTTCCGGCAAGCACAAACGGTACCGATGGCACAACCTGATCACGGGCCGCCATTCCGGCCCGCTCCATCTAGGCCGTCGCGTCGCCCTGGCCGTGGGCATCATGATGATGATGGAATGGACTGGCATCCTCGCCATCACCGTCTACGCCAACACCTTGTTCCAACAGGCAGGCTTCTCCGTTGAGAAGTCGGCGTGGCTATCTGGACTTTGCAACTCCATCGGCATCCTCGGAACAATGGCCAGTGTCCTGACAGTCGACCGCTTCGGCCGACGAAAGTCTCTCTACTTTGGCTTCTTCGTTCAGGGTGCTGTGCTCCTCCTGTCGGGCGGCCTGTCGCGACTCGGCGAGCTTCACCCGCAGAACACAGCGTACGGTGCCGCCTCGGGCGCGATGGTGTTCATCTTCACCTTCTTCTTCGCCCAGACCGTGTTGATGATTGCATTCATCTACCCGACCGAGATTTGGTGAGTCTCTCCCCCAATTCCCACCAGTCTACCCTTCCCGTCGCCACCTTCTCTCAATCCACCCCCTTCACGTCTTCACACACACAAGCACTACACCGCCGTTGCAGCTGAACTTTTCTAACCAATCCCTTCCCTTGCGACGTATCAGGCCCCAAGAAATCCGCGCTCTGGGCAATAGCTTCGGCGTCTTCGGCTGGGCCGTCGGCTGCGGCAGCACCACCCTCGCCATTCCAAGCATGTTCGCCGTGCTGGGCTACAAGGCCCTGATCGTCTTCGGAGCCTTCAACTTCGCCTCCCTACCCCTGGTGTACCTGTTCTTCCCCGAGACAAAAGGCCGCAGCTTAGAAGAGATCAACCTGCTCTTCGCCAGCGCCAGCCCCCTGGCTCGCGACAACGAGGCCGAATACACCAAACTCCTCGCCGAAGCGGACGGCGATCTCACCCGGGCAGAACACAAGTTATTGCGCCAGCTCGAAGGAGCGGCAGGTGAAAACTGGGAGACGACGCTAGAGAATGGGCCAAACAGCCAGGAAAAGGAAAAAGAGGCATTGTAGAAGAAAAAAGACCTACTACAGTAGTAATTGAAAACTAGTACCACCTAGGTGAGTACTACTAGTACAGTAGTACTCCGTACACTAATCTAGGCAATCGATACAAGTTTGTGCAGACCAATTCATTTCGGCTCTCCCACGTTCTCAAGATGCAACAAAGATAAATGAACAAAGAAATGCCTTCGAACACACCAGCGAAGGCAGGACATACTCATTCATCATGCAGTCCAAAGACCTCTCCACAAATGGGGTACCTGACCCTCGATATCATTAAGCTGAAGTACTTACTGTATTCTGAACACAATTTCGGGCCATTAGGGAAGCCTGGTGAGCCCTGATGCCAACGTCAATTAAGCCTAGTAGCCTAGGGGCCTTGAGAACCAGATCATCACCAGGAATAAAAATGACGATTTACGGGTCTTCGACTGCAATTTAAAAGACTACAAATGCGTTCAGAAAACCTTCCAGCAAATTTGGGACGCTGGAATAGTAGTACCAGATATCCTGGTCAATGGGGCGGGCATCACGCATCAAACAATTGACAATGTGAGCGTATACTATTCCTGCCACTAGTAGTCACCACGGAGATCTGGGAAGTAGAAAGCAACGATGCTGATCGAGATCACCAGGCCCCTCGACATCAATGTGAAAGCACTATACACTGTGTCTCAAGAATTTGGGAAACGCCTGCTAGCCTTGGGAAGGCCAGGGAAAGTCATAAACATCGCCTCGTATATCGCGCAGGAGGACATCTCTGTCTATGCTAGCAGCAAAGCTTTTGTACGGATGGGCCTCCCGTGGAATCCAGTGCAACTGCATCAGTCCAGGGTAAGTGCTGGCTTGAAGGGCCTTCTTCACAGTAGACCAATGTAAGCGTCTGTCCAGATTTAGCCAGACTGCAATGTCCAAGCATCTGCACCGCGATCCAGATTTCAACAAGTATGTTGTTGAGCGAACCTCGTCGAGGCGCTGGGGTTATCCAGATGAACTGAGAGCGTTAATGGTGTTCCTTGCCAGCCAGGCGAGCGACTTCATCACAGGTGAGAGAGCATTGTTATCGACGGAGGTGTATTGGGAAGATGAATGGTGGTCAGTCTGGGTACAAACTATAGCAAGACAAAACATATAGAAAAAACTCCTGGACTGGAGTGGAAGGACCTGAATTTTCTTAGTCTTAACATGTCTTCCAGCCTGGTACCCGTCAATCGTCGAGTGTTTCAATATTTCCTGAGTTTCGCAGACCAGCGAGACATCCCAGCGGTATCTCCTGCAATAAAGAGTGGCCATCTTCAGGCAGCATCTTCCAGCTCCCATGCGGTCGTCGTATCGCGGCAGCGCAGTCTGTGAGCGTCGGACATAGTGGTCATAATAATCTACTAAATTAGTAGTGTCGTTATTTCAGTTTCAATCGCATATGAGAGCTCGAGCAGCATACTGGGTTTTGGTCAATCTTCGTAGGGATGAGCTGTAGGAGATCCTGTGATGTAGGTTTGATTCTCTAAAACAGTTTAAGTGTCTTCCTGAACCACAAAAAGATGGATGTCCTTTTCCGACCTTGTTTGCACGTGTGACTCCTTTGTTGTCAGGCTGAAGCTAGCCGCGGATTGGAAGTACGCTCGGTATCGGTGTCATTTGCCGCTCGTACCGGGTCCTTATGCAAGAGCCTAGAGTTCGATATCAGTGAAATTGGGGTTGGAGAAGTGAGGTTGGATCCCTCTTGGCCTACTCGATGAGTAGTTGATAGCCGGCACCACACAGAGGTAGAAATCCATCACCGACCTAGCGCGACGACAGTCCAGAGGGGGCCTGAGCCCTCTCTCTCTGGCACTGCCGAAGACACCGTTTTGCCCTTCATACGGGCACTACCAGCAGCATTGCTGTGCTAGAGCTCCTTCACAATCTTGGGACTTTTGCTCAGATCATAGTAGTATGAAATTTCCATACTCTGGCGAAGACAAGAGGCCAAGCAAAGCGAGGAAGTTGGGCGACCTGGGGACTCATCCCTGGCAGACAAGTCCCCTGTAGCAAGCGGGACAATCCCGAGTCGCATACGTTTCCTTCCCGCAGGACCGCGAAGAGGTTGCCCACCCCCTTCTTCCCTTCTGGGTCGAGGCGGCTAATTTGCAGCTGCACGAGTTGCTCAAAGTTATTGAAACAGCGAAAGATTCTTCCCTTTTCGTGCTCGAAAAAAGCAATGGTCGGGGTGACCAGATCATTCAACTGTTCAACTTTGGCACTAAGCTCTCGAACAAGTAATCTGACTGCTTCCCGATAAGCCCGAAATGCCTGAGCAATTGCCTGCTTATCGGATCTGAGGGTCTGACCATCCAGAAGGCCCTTATGGAGCATGTGGATCTGGTCGACCTTCTCAAGCAGTTGTGCCTCGATAGGATCGAGGTAGACAAAGTATTGTGCAACCTTAGCGGAATGTAACTGCGCGCTTGTATGGGCCACCCACACTGCGAAGTGGACCTTTACCGCGGAGGCAGTTTCCGGGGGCACTTGGGGATGCTCGGTGATCATATGGTCCGTAAAGGGGGTTGAAATCAACCTCCCTCTCTAGCTCGTACTCCCGACGTAGCACACATCGATAGGCTTCTGCAATCTGCATCTCCCGAAGGCGCTCCCCCAGAACCGGAGGCATGGACCAATCGGGATCAGAAGTCCAATAGGGAACATATTCTTTGAATACGTCCCAGGCCTCTTGAACGAGAAGTGCTATGTTCTGCCGAAGGGCGGCATCGTCTGGCACAGCTCTGAGGCACTGGAAATCCGTGGACCATTTCGCTTTCATTCGAGCAATCAACCTCTTGTGATACGGAGAGAGTGTTCGGCAAATCTGGTCCTCAAAAAGATCAGGATACCAGTCCACCTTCCCAGCATGATACTCCGGAGATGGGAGTTTGGGGTCATGTTCAAGACCACCATATTCAGCGTTGGGATCTCTCTCTTTTTTCCGTTGAGGAGGAGCATCTACCTCTACCTCCTGCGCAGCAGTGGTTTGCCTAGCAGGCAAGAACGCACCGGAACCTTGGGTCGCAGGCGGACCAAGGCTCAATCGCGTCATGTCACCGCCCAAGAGTGCAGACGTTTGTGGTGAAGACACCGGTGTCACAAACTCAGGGGTAGGAGGTGAGGTTGGCCGCTGTGGTGGGCATTGGCTCCCCTCCGTAAAGGACGGTGCCTCCACAAGTCTAGTGCTGCGTTGTGGCATGGGACCAGACGTAGACACTGACACAGCGTGAATATCATCAACAGCTCTAGACATGGGACTCGCAAGGAGAGCATGACGAGCGCCCGGAGGCGTGTGATGGACGATCGGACTTTCGTCTCGATCAGTTTGATTTGTGCTCACACTCGATCCAGTGGGCCGAGAGAACGTTAAACCGTACTGAGTGGTGTCCGCAAATACTTGCGAACTACACCAGCGACATCGCCAGTCTATGTTACGGACATCTAGAACGCCGTGGCAGTCTTTGCAACGACGTAGATATTCCGTCATCTTGACAGTGGTTTGCTCGATGTTCATGGAAGAGGAAGTTGAAGATTGGCAACAATTTCATGGTGATGAGGGCGCAGGCAGACCGAGGCTTGGCATTGCAGTACTAGTAGTACTGGGTTGCTCGGTTCAGAACGCAGCGCGATGACCTCGTTCAATTCAAGAGCACCGAACTATCAAGAAGAACATTGAAACACTCACTGTGCTCTGCCGCTGGATTCCTGGTATACTTTAGTCCGACCGCAATTGCTCTGCGGACGACTGACTAACTTCAGCGTAGACGACGAAAGCAACCTCCTTCCGACCTTCGACCACATCGGCCTCCAAAGTGCGTTTTGAAGGATACGAAATCTGGGATGATCACAAAGCAAAGCAGTCTCCCATACGCCCTTGACCATTGTCCTAACCTCACCATCACAGTCCTCTGTAACGCCACCGTGTCAGTTGAGCGTGGTTGCGCTGAGATAGTCGAAGAAGAGAAAGCAAGAAAAAGATGACAAGGAACAATTTCCATTTTCTGCAACACTACGGAGAAAAGCTGAGACCATTGTGCAAAATCTGTAGAGCCTGTTGGTCTTCGCAATCGGAGGCAGCGTGGGACTCTTGTGCGATGCACTGCGACCACGACGACAACAAAAAGAGATCTAGAGTGCAAGGGAAATTCCGAGGACTACTGCCCTCCCAATACGAAAATGCGGCGCCCCTTGCGTTGATAGTACTATTTATTGTCTGTGGCGACAGAAAGCTTGAGGTCCTACGGTCTTTGCGTAGAGACTATTCTGGCTACCGGTCGTTCTATTCTCCACTCAGACACCGGCTCGTGACTGACACCTTGCCCAAGTTTCTGGTGAGCATCTATACTAGCAGCTACAATCGGCCAAAGGACAAGAAAATTAGCAAAGCTGGGAAACATTTGACAATGCAAACGATCTTGGCTTCACCAAGCGTCGCCGGGGGCAATTCAGCCTACGTGGGAAGCAAATCAATATCAATGGTGGTTAGTACAACTGAAAATCACGAGTCGCAAGTAGTATGTAAAGAAAATCACTTGACCAGAAAAAGGGTACTGAGTGCAACAATGCTTCAAGAAGTGCAGCATGAGATACACTTGATCAAGTTTAGGTGCTGCTAAGTATAGTAACAGAAAAGGGGCCGTGCGTCGGAAGCACAATTTGGGTGGCATGAATTTTAGAAGTTGCACTTCAATCAGTGCCCAGTGGCAGGCTGGTTTTGCTGAATGTTCCTCTAGGCCGCCACAAGGACATGGTCGACGAAACTGCAGCCTTGCCTTTGTCGTTTTGGCCTTTGTAATAATGGTCCCAGTTAAGAGGGCAGTAAGATTCCACAATCTGATCGAATTCAGTCATCGAAACGAAGGTATGACTTCAGAGATTATAATCTTGAGACCAAAGAACTTGCTCAGGCCGATAATAGTATTTTGCTACTCGAATTCAGGATGACAACTTCGGTCGTGTCATCCACCACCACAGTACTTTCTGACATTCTCAAGCATACTAATCGCAATGCCCTACAGAATCACCCTCGGCCCTTGAGAACAATGCTCCGATGATTTCATCTGCATGCCTCCAGATCGTACCGAGTACACTACTCACTACTTATTCGCTCAACGCACAAATGAGTCCAAATGCCTGGGACTCAATCTCGCCTGCGAATCTCTTCAGCTGATGGACAATGCTGTGAGTCAGGACCCGATGTTTGGCAAACGGGGCCGCTATGGATTCGGCCAACTCGACCAGAATGACCCATCTCTCCGGAATGTCTCCCGTCGCTCCAGATTGAAAGCTAACCTTCTCATATGACTTGGTCGAGCTTCCTGACTGCGAAGCATAACTGTCGTACCGAAGAAGGTGGATGGCCAGTAGACTCTGGTAGCTTGAGAGACTAGGCCATATGGTTTCTGCAATCCATCCGCCGAGCTCGTCCCTCAGGTCCTGCGACGCGGGAGGCTGGAATGTAATGAGCACCATCGTGGCCCCTGTGCCTAACCCGGAGCGTTCGCTAAACTCCGGCCGCGAACAAGACTGGACGACGCGACATACCAGACGATTCATTGACGCCATCAAGGGCATGTATGTCTGGGTGCCAGGGGTTGGGTTGTTCAGGGCCTCCATGTACGCGGGCGAGGTGAAGATGTCCAGAGAGGAGACTTCGTAGCAGACCAAGTACTGCGATTGGGCATTCTCCGCAGAATAGTAACGACGAGCTCGTCGAAATCCCGGTATCGCGAGACGCTCCGGGAGGTGCTCGTAGGTCCACCATTCATTGAGGTCCTCTTCATTGATTGACTTGTCTTGAACCTCTCCCCATATGACCATCATTCCTCTCTCGCGTGGGAAGGTGGCAGCCGGCATGGTACGAGAGCTTCCAGAGAGTGCTGGAACAAGACACCCCAGATAGGATAGAAGGCCAACTTGGATCGTGGGGTTTGTTTTCATCGATGGAATCCCTTGATCGGATGCACTCGACACAAGTGATGTTCAGAATGTTCAATTCTGCGTCGTCCCTACGAGGAGGTCCAGTCCGCCGAGACCTTGGCCTCCGAGTATATGGCAGGGCGAGAAGGAAGACGAAGCGGTCCGGGTTTGCGGCTGAATCTTATGCCGTGATTTGGGGGAAAGGGTACCCTCGGTCCAGCCTGCATGAACACACTACTAGTAGGGATAGGTTCCAATTGCTCTAGTTAGGCGACGAACAGATTCTGAGAACAAGATAAGCGAACATCGCTCACTACTAGGTATGGGTTTGTGATATGTGACATTCGGTAGTCGGCAGTTGTTTAGGACGGCATTCATTGCCCGCATCCTTCCATATGCGGGAAGGACTATTCATTCAGAAAGATAACCTTGCAAGGGATCCAGCTGGGGCCGACGGGGTGTTGATTGGTAGTTCTACGTACCTCTATACTCCATACTCCATACAGTATAGTACGTCCAACCATGCAATGCATTGTAGGACGCCTCTATCACCTCTCCCGACTACCGACTGCCGGTTTGCGGGATACCCTCTCCCCCCCGCGGTCTCCAGACTTTTGACGAGAATTGTCAGACTACTCCCAGTACCACTTCAATCTCAGTATTTATAGCTGTCCTAGCCATGCTGTTCACAGGGTAGCCATAATTTGGATGCTTCTCGGCGTGCCCATAGCTGCACCCGCAACCTGCTGAGTTTCTTGAGGCCTCTCTTGCATCGTCGCAGGAACCCCCATCGATTCTGGGTCATCAAGATGGCATCGTCAATCAAGGAAAAGTCCATCCAGATGGAGGAGGCGGTGGACAAAACAGAATCAAAGGCCGCCATTGCTGTCGACAAACGCCACCTTGACGAGGCGATGACGGTCCTGGCAAGCTACAGTGGCCCGCAGACATGGGACGACGAAGAAGAGCAACGGGTCAGGAAAAAGATCGATCGTCGACTCCTCCCGATCCTCGTGATTTGCTACGGTCTGCAATACTACGACAAAGCCATGATCTCGCAAGCCGCATTGTTCGGTCTTCGCACCGACCTTGAGCTCACTGTGTCCAACCGATTCTCCTTCGCGTCGTCCATCTTCTACATGGGCTTCATTGCCGGTGCATACCCGGCCATTGTCATGGCTCAGCGCTTCCCCATCGAGAGAGTCGCCGCCGGCATTATATTGGCCTGGGGAATCTGTCTGATCTGCACGCCGGCATGTCACAACTGGCAAGGACTCTACGCGCAGAGATTCTTCCTCGGTTTCATCGAGTCAGGAGTCAGCCCGATGTTCATGTTGGTCGTGGGTCAGTTCTACAAAAAGAATGAGCAAGCCCTGCGGATGGGGTGAGTGGATTTTCTTTTTGTTTTATCCCCGTCCAAATCTCAGCGGTGGATCGAACAAGACTGACTCTGGAAATAGTGTCTGGTACTGTGCATGCGGCTACGTATCTATCTTCTCGCCTCTAATCAACTACGGGTTCGGGCATGTAAAGGGTGCATTGTCCCCGTGGCGCTACATGTATCTCTTTGCCGGTTCCATCACCATTCTCTGGTCGGTGGTGGTCTACTATTACCTCCCTCCTGATCCGATCCGCGCGAAAGGATTCACCGAGCGCGAGCATTTCATTGCTGTGAGTCGGCTGCAATCGAATAACTCGGGCGTCCGTAATACGCATTTCAAAAAGGAACAAATGATGGAATTGCTGTTCGACCTCAAATTCTGGATCATGTTCTGGATGACACTGTTGTCCATGTTTGCCAATGCTCCGGTCTCGACATTCACCCCTCTGATTATCTCCGGATTCGGATTCAACACACTCAACTCTCTGCTCTTGGTGGTCCCCGTTGGGTTTTTCACGTAAGTTGAGCCCCCCACGACCGTCGATGATGCATCAAGCTTACCTTTCGTCTCAAGTGGTACCGCCGAATTGATCATTCCCTTCCTTGCCTACAAGTATACGGGCATAAGGACATATCTCGTGGCGTTTTCTGAACTGGTTACTGTCCTCGCCGCGGTCCTGCTCTGGGCTCTCCCGAGACACGCCATTGGAGGCCTGATGTTCGGGGTGGTTATCCTTCCCTGCTTTGCTTCCGGATATGTAATTATGTTGGGACTTCAGATCGCCAACACAGCGGGCTATACTAAGCGATCTTTGGCTTCGTCGGGGATTTTCGTTGCCTATTGCATTGGTAAGAAGCCCTTCAGGGCCAGGACAAGAGAGATTTGTACGCACTGCACTGGTCCACATGCTGACCGGGACTTTGACAGGTAACTTTGTGGCCCCTCTTACGTTCCGAAGTCAGGACGCACCGATATATGCACCAGGTTTGGCGACGGTGGTTGGTACGTCGGTCGCCGTGGTGGCCTTGTCCATTTTGTACCGGTTTGTCTGTATCAGGGAGAACCGCAAGAGAGATCAGACAGGCACTGAGGCTTTTGACCATGCTTACGAGGATGACTTGACCGATAAAACTGTAAGTGGTCCCCCCGCGCGCACGACAAGCATGCTCCAACAATCGAGCACGTCGAAGGCAATGAACCATCTGACCAGTCTGGCACACAGAACCCGCAATTTCGGTATACTGTGTAGGTACCGGGATGAGATAGGAAAGGTGGATGATTTGCTCTCGGTCGGTGCAGGGGAGGAGAGGGTGAATAATTGCATTCATAACGCTAGGATCCATGCACAAGAATGATGTACGGTGTCCCTTGCCGATTCTCCAGCTTTCTCCGGTCTGAATCTGTTTTGCACCTGGCTCTATCAGCACACTACTTAATGGTAGCGAATTTGTATGGCTCGTTGTTGCGCACGACCATAGTAGTCTCGACAGCACCAAGGACTCTCTCTTACACAGATTTCGAGACCATCGGAATGTGACTTCGGTTTCCAGGATAGGTGCATTGCAGTCTCCTAACCTCTCACCCTCCAATTCTCCAGTTTGAGGTAGATGGTGCCTGTGTCGGACAAAGATTACGCGATAACCCACGAACTAATAGGAGAGGCAGTGGTTCCTTTAGCACAGCACAAGCGAGTTTCTCTTGGTGGTCAACTTCCACGGCTGTCGGCACTCGGTTCTCTCGTGCGCAGCTGGCTTACTGTATGTAGGACTAATTTTGGGAAGCGAAGGTGGTTTTTGAAAGGACCCAAGAAGATGCCCAGCCCCCCCTATTCCAGGATCGCCCATCAGTCCCGTGCTAGAACCAATTCCAGTGAAGCCGGGACTAACACAGGTATTTCAGTTCCTTAAGGTAGGTGTCAGCATATTGCAACCAAGCAGCTGAATGACGAAACTCCCGCAAGACCAGACCAAAGATCGCTTGACGAGATGAGCCGGCTCGATGGAAAAGTCATCATTGTGACGGGGGGCGGTGCTGGATTTGGTCGTGCAGTAGGTACAGAAACAGATATCCCACGAAGACAGCACTCTACGACATCGACTGACGCAGACCCGGCCGTCTATAGATTGTGCTGAAACTCGCCCGTGAAGGCGCTCGCGTCCTCGCGGTAGACTTGAATGGAGCCGAAGCTGAGCAGACGGTCAGATTATGCCCGGCCGGCTCCTGCCACGCCTTGACAGCAGACATTACACTCGAGTCGTCGTGGCGCCAGATTCTCTCCACGGCGCGGAGTCTCTTCGATGACCGTCTTGACGTCGTGGTGAATTGCGCAGGGGTGATCCACGACGCAGCACCGTCGCACGAGGTCCCCGAGGAGCAATTCGACTTTGTGTTCAAGGTCAACGTGAAGCCATTGTATCTGAGCACCAAAGTCATTGTGCCCTGGTGGAAGGAGACGAAACGGCCCGGCCTGTTCATCAACCTGAGCAGCACCAGTGAACCGCGACCTCGTCCGTTCTTTGTATGGTACGCGGCCAGCAAAGGCGCCGTGACAGCTGTAGGTACTAGTGACTTGGACATTTTCCAACTTCATTTTCATTCGTGGCTGACCATTCGGAATGTCTTTTCGATTAGACGACGAAAGGTCTTGCGGCAGAGTACGCCTCCGATAACATTCGGTACAATTGCATTCGGCCTTCGCTAGGGGAGACAGCCATGTAAGAACTGACTCTTGCTGAAATGTAGCCACTGGCAGTACCGTCCGTGCCCCAAGTCTAACGGAAAGTCCAGGCTATCCAAGGTGCTTGGAGACTCCGACAGCTCGGATTCGGACCGCCGCGAAAAGATCTTGGGTTCGATACCGCTGGGTCGTGTTTGCAAACCGGAAGACGTGGCGAACATGACTTGTTTCCTCGCCTCGGACGAAGCAACCTACATCACTGGCGCGGCGTTCGACGTCGATGGCGGAAGAGGAGTGAGTTGATCCCGTATGGCGAGGGGACTGATGGAAAGGATGGTGTCTGTGGCTGGTTCTCCTGCCATCCATCGTCGATGATCATGGTGACGGCTCGACAGTAGCCGGGATCATCTGGTCATATCTGTCGAGTCAGAATCCAGTGGCATTCCTGAAAGGTCTACACCTCACCACACCAACCAGGAACTATGGTGGGTGCGCAAGAATTTATTGTTTCGACGAGGGCTTCAACTCTTGTTGGCGATCAGATTGAGAAACACATGTTATTCGAACGAAAAAGCTCTGTGGAATATCTGTCTAGTCTAACGGGCTTCTCCTTGTGCAGCACATCAATGCACTCTACATATGAGTTTGCCCATGGTCTGGTTTGACTCCAACACCTCATGCGCCTTTTGGATGTCCTCCATCTCAAAGACCTTTTCGATGAAGATTTTGAACCTCCCGTCCACAAGTCTGGGCAACGCATGCTCGACCAGCAAGTCCCGCAGTTTCTTTTGGTATTCCTCATCGCGACTCCGTAAACTGCTCCCCTCGAACCTCAATCTCTTCCCTAGAAAGGGGCTGATATCGATATCACCCTTTACTACTGTGCCGCTCAGCCAACCCAAGTTGACTATGTGGGCATCTCTTGCCGCCGCTTTCAAGTTCTTCTTGAAATAGTCCGCACCGACAAAATCCACGATCAGGTCTGCGCCCTTCCCACCGGTGTAGCTAAGCAATGCGTCCGCCCAGTCGCCATCTTTATAATTAAACCCCTCCGTCGCGCCGATGGACTTGCAGAATTGAATCTTGGCTTGCGTACTCGCGGTGACATAGACAGCAGACGCTCCGGCAGCCTTCGACAGTTGAATTCCGGCAATGCTAACGCCACTCGCCCCAGCATGCCAGATGACGCTCTGGCCTGTTTGATATTCACCGACCAGGTAGAGCGCTTGGATGGCAGTAATCCAGGTCTCAGGAACCCCGGCAGCCTGTTCCCAGCTGAGTTCTTTGGGTTTGTGAATGAGCATAGACGTGCTAACGGCGATATACTCGGCGTATGCGCCGCCATAAGCTAGACCAAAGACCTCGTCTCCGACGCGGAAGCCTAGAGTGGAAGAGGAAGAACCGAACGAGTCAATGATGCCTGAGAACTCGACGCCCATGGTCTTGGGAGCTTTAGGGGGTACCGGATACTTGCCCTCACGCTGGAGGAGGTCCATGCGGTTGAGACCAAAGGCTTTGATTCTCACCAGGGCCTGATCGTGCGTGGGCTTGGGGATGGCTGTTTCGGAATTGATGAATAAGGCCGAGACGGGTCCTGTCTCGCCTCTGATGTCGACTGCACGCATGGTGGCCATGGTGAAGGTTGCCTCGAGGAGCCTAGTTCCAGTGCTTTGTCGCTAACTTTTGAGTGATGTATGGTGCGACGGTAGAATATCAATATATCGACATGTCTGGCGACTTTGTCATCTTTTCATGATTCAGATTTTGACGACTGTTCTTCCTGCGTTGACTGGCAGACTCGAGATGCACATAACCAGGGTGCTGTGGGTCGGGGGCCAAGGTTGAAATTAGCGAGTAGTTGGCTCGGTAGAGCCACGCGTTGAGCTCTTTGCAGGGGAGTCTTTTCATGTCCACGCCTAATGAGAATAGCAGTGTCGTTGCCGGACAGATGTTCGGCCGGGTCTGAGAGTCCGCAGTGTTAGCGGATTGAGGCTACCGGCTAATACCCGCTCGGTACTCGGTACTCGAACGATGTGGTTGAGGGAGCTGACCGATCAGTGCTTCCGAGCCCGGACTTAGACAAGTGAAATCAAAGCAGGCATGACACAAGCGAGACATGTTGTGCTTTGGAGCTGGTCCTTCCTTCCTCGTTGTCAATTTCAACCAGAATCACTGGTACTGAAATATTTGGTTAACGAAATCGTCACCAAAGTCAAAATCCATGTCGCCATCGGCAATGAGATTACCGGGCCAAGAGAGAGAACCGCTGTCCACCCCTTCACCGAGACCACTTAGATTATTCGAAGTATTTCTGCGACCGTCGGGACCTGCGAGAGATTCGGTTGTGATGTTTTCTTCGTTGTTCGCTCCAGAATTGGCCAACCCATCAGCGGATGGGTTGATGGAATGAGCAGAATATTGCCCAGGTAGAGTTCCTCCAGAAAGTTCCGCGCGGTTGAGGTTGCCAAGGACCAAGGCCGAACTTGGAACAGTTGCGGACAGCTCCTGCAAGACTGTCCTGACAACTGCGAGGTTGTCATCAAACCCAGCTCCTTGGCCCGAAAAGGTGGCGCGAGCGCGAATTTGTACCACCCCGGCAAGGTAACAAAACCACGCGTTGATCGGTGCTAGATACAACACTTCGTTTCTGCACTGGATCTCTTCGAAGACACTAATCATGTGTGACGCCGTCTGGACGCACTCCTCGAATGTAGGCCTGACTGAGCTCGAGACTGGTTCCACTTTCATCAAGGATAGTTGGTAGATCAACAAGCAGGCGTAATATAGAATGTGCAACTCGGAAACTACTCGACGAAAGGGTTTTGAGTCCGCGTGTTGCAGAGTCAATTCGGCAGGCAACTCGCGGACCCACGTTTCAAAGGCTTGTCCGATAGGCACGATATCTCCATAGGTCAAGTTGGGATTGTATCGTCCGTCGGCGAGTTGACCAAAAATCATGCAAAGTTTGGTCCTCTCGATGAAGATGTTGTTGTCAGGATGTTCTTCGGGAAAGTCGCTTTGTGACAGCGGTTGAACGTCGGTATCATGCATATGGATCATCAGCGGCCGTCCATAACAGAAGGAGACCAGCTTGTCCTGATTCTGGGAGAAATGTCAGCGGCGAGGCGGACCGAAAGTCAGGAGTACACAGTATTAAGGCTCATCCTTACGAAGAGATGCCACCACATCCTTCGACGGGTTCCAGCATCTTGGTTGCCGCTGTAGGTCGCCTCTTTGTGAAGACCCATGTGGATTGCATAGCGCGACGCTGCTCCCAGCCAATGCCAGAGGCTGTCTAGGCAAATCACGGTCGGGTCGGTCATGCTTCGACAGGTCATCAGACAGAGCGCTTTGAGAACCACCAATTTATTTCGTTCATGCTCCGTAGTCAAGAGCAATTTTGCCTTCAGGTAGTACTTCTTGGCCGCACTCAGCTGGCTTATTCCTCTTCGTCGATGGCCATAGGCACTTCCGAGCATGCAGACGCTGTGCACCAGCAGGGGCGACTGAAAACGCTCAAAGTCTGCGCGGTCGATAAGGGGCTGGTGGGGATGAATGTGTTCAAAGTAAGCGTCGGTCAGTGCGGCGACCAGTATCTGTGAGGGCAAGGCTACTGCGCCGGTGGACAGCAGTGCCTTGTCGTAGAATTCGGCCGTCTCTGCCTCGGTCTCGTCGTCGAACTGGGGCGCGCTGGGGTTCTGAAGCATCATGCTCTCCTCTCCTAGATAGCCCACAGATCCCGGCGATGCAGACGCTGGCAGTTCTGAGCGCTCTGCTGACTGCGTGCTCGTGGCCCCGTCGCGGCGGGACCGCATGTTTCGTTGCCGAACTCCTACGCGAGGCCTATTGATTGTTCATTCTGCTCAAAATGGCCGCGCTCATTTCACGCGTATAGAATCAAACCTACCTGCACGTGATGTTAGCCCTTTGGCAATTCTGACATGTCCCATTGGTGTGGTCTTGCAAGTCACATTTGACCTGATCCAGTCGAGTCAGCACTATTTGTCACCCGGTCCGAGGAGACGAGCTCTTACCTTGCGCGCGTGACATTGCATGCATACCTTGGTATTGCGAGTTCGATGGCCTTCCATATTCGTGGAGCCAGCTGATCCTAACGGCGACCGACAGTACACATCTAGCAGGCGTTGATGAACGGTGATCTCCCAGCATCTCTAAAGAGTCCCACCGTCTAAAGTTTACGGAAGATGATTTTGGGGAATGAAAAGCGGGAGGACGTGGAGGACGTGGAGGACGTGGAGGACGTGGAGGACGTGGAGGACGTGGAGGCCCAAAAGTGATCAGGCTAGTGGCATCACTCAGGGGGCCTCAGGAGCGGCAGGTGAGCCGAGGGTGTGTAAAGCGGCGAGCGGCTGATCAAAAAGGGACGACGAGCGACTTGGACGTAATCCGTCGTTCGATACGACATTGTCTCCTTGATAAATCTGCTCGGAATCATTCGCATCTCCACTCATACGAGTATGCGAGAACAGCAACAGCGACTACAAATGCAGCGATTGACACGACCTCGAGGCCCACGTTTAACATCAGCACAACTGAAACAACCGATTGACAAGAGGTGGAACAGCGACAGCAAGCGAAGATCCATCAAGCCGCCGATCACACGCTGCGAAACCCGGACGAGAGTGTCTGGACCTGCTGGTAGATAATCAGCCGACAAGCCTGGCGATATTTCCCGACAACCCTCGTCCGCCTGGGGATGAGTGGTCGCGACGACGACTACACTGACTCAAGATACCTGGATTCGCCCTGAGAGCATTAGCGGCTCATTCTATTCACGCTTGAAGCTCTAAAACGACCCGCCCATGCAGACCGTTCTTGTCCATCAACTCGAAAACTTCGTTGGCATCCTCCATTCTCTTTAGTTGGAAATGTGTCTTAACCTTGCCTCTGTCTTGCCGTCAGTCACTCTCCCATGACCAGAAACGAACGTCCACCTACCTCGCTGCTAGTCCCATCAGCTGAATAGCTTCCAAGCGATTTCCGACGGAACTGCCGACGATCTTTGCTTGGGTGTATATGAACTGCGAGGGTGTTGCATTTGGGAAAGCAACCTCTGCGCCTTCAGGGATCCCAACACAAACCAGCGTGCCACCGATTCCCAAGAGAGGCAGAGCTTGAGCATATGCAGCATTGTTGCCCGTACAGACAATCACGGCAGCGACACCTCTCCCCCCCGTTGCAGCCTTGACGTCGTCGACCAGGTTTTCTTCAGCTCCCTTGCCGTACTTGGTCAGGTCGAAGAAGACTTCGGCGCCGCACTCTCGTGAAATGGCTTCCTTGTCGCCCATGTCAATGCCCATCATGCGGAAACCCATCCCATTCGCACCAATCTGCAGAGCCAAGTGACCGAGCCCTGTCGCGGTATACTCATCAGCAGTAACCAGTCCGAGCAGTGTGCAGCTTACCTCCTCCAGAGCCCGAGATAAGAACAGGATCCCCAGGCTCGGCGCCCGCCTTCCTCAGCGCAGAGAAGACCGTCAAGCCGGCGCAAAGCAATGGTGCAGCGACATCACTCGCCAGACCGTCCGGTATTGGGGTCACATAATGTGCAGGGGCAATTGCATATTGCTGGAATGTGCCAGGGTACATGTATCTGCAATCGCCCAATCGTTAGTCGCTGCGTTTGTCGTTTGTCCCGATGAGACTTGCCCCGATACCTTGCCAGACTCGCAATACGAATCAAGACCGGCCATGCATACAATGCAGTTGCAACATGCATAGGCCATCCACTTGATCCCAACTCGACTTCCGATCTTCAGACCAGAGACTTTATCTGCACCAGGACCAAACGCAACAATTTTGCCGACTCCTTCATGCCCACCAATTTGACCCTTGGGCGTTGGTGAAATTCTCGCAGTCCACCGGTTCGTCATGATGGCCATGTCGCTGTGACATAGCCCAGAATGTGTCAGCATCACCAGCACTTCACCGGTTCCTGGCCGAGGAGTCTCAACATATTCGACTTTTGCAGAGACGTTCCCGGGGCTGTCATAGACCAGAGCTTTGTGCTTGGCTGGGATTTCGGGGGCTTCCATGCTGACGGGCCTCAAAGTAATGAGTGCCTAGAACGGCAAATTATCCTTGAACTGACGGTACCTGACCGGGGCAATACTCTAGACTGGCAACTACTTGCTCAATTGCGTAAACAAGAGTAAGGAGCAGCTGCTGATTACGAGCAATGCACGAATCACCTCATGGCACCATGCTCTCGGGCAGGTTGTCGGTCTTGTCCGCCGGTGAAATTTACTTATCACTTGCCGCTACACGCAAACATCATTGACGATATGAGCAAATCCATACATTCAAGAAGCCAGCATAGGGTATCTCGAGCGTCACGGCCTAAGAAAACAACATCGTACCGCTGCACAAGCCACTATCCACGACCAAAGGGAAGAAGAGATCGTCACAACCCCAAAGTGACGGTCTCCTCCACAGCAGTCGGTCTTCCCATACGAACAATCCCCGTCCTCTGCTTCAGATCCATGACAATGTTAAACAAGGTCGCCGACGTACTCCCACCTTTTTGTTCACGACAAATCGCGGTCGGAGCATTTTCTTCATCCTCAAAAAGCTTCGAGACTTCCGCCCACGTCGGCTCAATGGGCAACTTGTCACACAAGTCGGCCATCCTGTCGACCCGGAAGAGGGAGTCCTTAATCCACACAATGTCTGTGATCCCAGGATGCTCAAGCAGCAAGTGATTCGAATGAACAACTCTACCCTTGGTATCTGGCAGCAACTTTGCTGTCGTCTTCGATGTGAACTCAAACCCAACGGCATCGTTGGCATCGGCGATCAGGATATGCGCCGGTGCCGCCATGCCCCAGCGCTCAAGTGCCTCCACAGCTTCGTTTGCAGAGTGACTCTCCAAGGCCATTCTCAGACCCAAATGCACTGGCAATCGTTCTGGATCCATTCCTTTGGCTTTGATCGCGTTCAAGCAGACTCCGACTCCGTCTGAGTTGAAGCCGATTTTGCCGATGATGCCAGCTTCGGTAATCATCTGGATCGATGGTTTTCCTGGCTGCGAAATCTTGAGGATGATCAAATTCTCTTTTTGCCGTTCCATCCACTACCGAGATTGTCAGGCCTGCACACGAGAGGACTGTAACGGACAGGTCTGACTTACATCCCAATTCTGGCCCAGGTAAGCACGTTTCTCAGTATGCCATGCAAGTGAAGTGCATCCGTCGCTGAATCTGCCAAAAGCGATTTCCGTCCGCACATTCAGCGCGATGATGTCGAGGATCGAGCGGCCAGAGCCTGCTGCCACGCCTGTTCTCCAGTCAGATACTACTACTGCATCGCTACACCCCTGCCCAAGTCTGAACGATTCGGCATACCTTGCATTTCCTCGTGATACTCCGGCCATGTTTTCTTGATATGCTCACTGAAGCTGCCGGCAATATCTTGCACTTCCGGCCAGTCTAATTTGCTGGTCTCTTGGAACAGCGAGGCATAGAACTCGATGCATCGCTCGATGTGCGTTTTGGCCGCCGTGCCATGTTGCACGCCTATCTATCGACAGTCATTGACAGGGCCTTGATGGTAGGGTTGGGATTAATAAGTACCTCGTACGGACTACCTCGACAATCTACTGAAAGCATTTTGAGAATACTGATGTTGGACTCACGACTTACTTTCGTTGTTCAGCGAGTGAGGAATTGTGGACTCCCAGCCATCGGACACCTCAGTCTTGACTTATCTTTTGCCTCGGGTAGGGATGAGACAAACGTGCTTTGATAATGCTTTGCGCTCAATTCCGTGCCTTCGGTGAGGGGTTTGGCGTCGAGCCTATTTGATAACGTATTCGGCATTTGGTCTGGTTCTGGGGATTAGCGCCATCATGGCGCCATCCCTGCCTCCGGGCGCTTTCCACCGACAGGTCTAGCGAGCCACGATGGCGCCCTCGTCCGTGGGCCGTGCGTGGTCGTGGTCAGGTCCAACCGAGCTTGCATTCATTAACTACAGTCTGCATGCTTGACGAGCAGGAAAAAGACCAGAGAAAACCAGCTTTGCTTCTTCCGATTGTCAGTGTAGCACTGAGCAGCAACATAAGTACTTGTTGATCGTGGTCCAACCAAATCAGTTGCATCATGGGCAAGAAGCGAGTTCTAGTCGGTTATGGCATCGACGTCGATGCAGTCAGTGGATGGTAAGCCACGGCAAATCTAACTAAATGAGCCCTCATGTTGAACTCCTCGCAGGATAAACACTCGCGATGGCTCGCCCGCAAATCCGACTGATGTCTCTCGTGGTGTGTTCGGCGCCACCGTGGGCATCGACAGACTCCTGAAGCTCTGGGACCGATACGGTATCAAGACGACGTGGTTCGTGCCGGCTCACTCGATCGAGAGTTTCCCCGAGCAGCTGGCTAAGGTCAGAGACGCCGGTCACGAAATGTACGTACCCGCAGCACGCATTTGTGTTCGCTTTTTTTTTTGGCCACGTATGGGGTCGTGTCGTCGATTTAAGGTGGCTAATACGTACCGCTTGCTCCAGTGGCCTGCATGGCTATACGCACGAATTCGTGTCGACTCTGAGCGAGCAGCAACAAAAGGACGTCCTGAGCAAATCCATCCAGGTGCTGACCGACTTCACGGGCAAACATCCGAAAGGCTGGACGGCACCGGCGTGGTCGACGTCCAAAGAGACCATCAAGCTCCTGGAAGAGTTCGGCATCGAATACGACCACTCGTTCATGCACCACGATTCGCAACTGTACTACTGCCCGGACGGAACCGAGGATTGGACCGAGACGGACGTGGCCAAGTCCGCGACGGAATGGATGAAGCCCATGACGGCCATCAAGCCCTCGAGTGTTGTCGAAGTGCCGGCCAACTGGCATCTGGATGACTGGCCGCCGTTCCAGCTGAGTCTGAAGCAAGCCTCGACGCACGGTTACGTGGATCCGTACGTGATCGAGAGGCTCTGGAAGGATCAGTTTTCCTTCTTGTACCGCGAACACGACACGTTCGTGTTCCCCATGAGTATCCATCCACAGGTCAGCGGGAAGCCGCAGGTCATGCTCATGCATGAGAGGATCATCGAGTGGATCAATGAGCACGAGGGCGTCGAGTGGATGACCATGGAGAATATGGTCAAGGAGTTCAAGGAAGGCAGACTCGGTGGTGCAGAGGTCAAGGGAGGGAAATGAGTGAGTTTAGGGATCCATACCTAGGTAGAGGGGTTTAAACCTGCGTGAATACTTATAGTACTACTACTAGATATAGGGGCGGTGCTACGATACTAGTATGTATGGAGCAGTGGAAGAAGCGTCAAAGATCGCGCGTGCATAAGGTGCAAAATATACAGTACAGCATTGAATGTCAAACTAAACTGGCCTCTGGACTCGTCCATAGATTCTCGTCGGCGAGGTGCTCATGAAGCCACCAAGACAGTTCCTCCGGCACCGTAACTCTGCACGTATCTCTCGACGATGTGCTTTTCCACCTTCAAAGGTCCGTAAAACGGCTTCTCGCCAGGCTTGATACAAGTGGGCAAGCATTCAACAATCGTGTCCAGGGCGCCGTCGTTGAAGAAAGCGCAGCTGTACCTGTCCTTGCCGCTCAATGGCGAGATGACGCGATGCATGGTCGATTTATATCGGTCGTTGGTCCATCTCTGCATAAGGTCACCAATGTTGCAGACATAGGCCCCTTTGACGGGAGGGACGTGATGCCATGTGCCTGTCCGCTTGTGCAGAACTTCCAGCCCGCCAACTGTGTACGGTTGTTAGCTAAATTGACGCGGTGAAAGCTGTACAGATAACCCCCCAAAAAGAAATAAAGACTTACTGTCGTCCTGGAGAAGAAGAGTCAAGGCACCGAAGTCGGTGTGAGCGCCGACTCCTCGGGTCCTGCCCGCCATGTCCGGAGGTGTAGGAGGATAATGGTGAGATCGACATAGGCATAGTCCTTGTAACCGTGCAGTGTCAGCAACATGGGATGTGTACTTGAAGCTTCGAGAACCATTAGGTCGAAGGTCGAAGGGCGTGGCTTACCGTCTGGGTCGGATGCAAAGGCGTCGAAATGGTCCTCGGGCAGATCGAGCGATAGCGCCATCAACCTGAAGACTGATCTGGACAACTGGTGCACAGAGTTGAAATATTCCATGTAGGCCTCCTTGAAGCCAGGCAGATTCTCTGGCCATTGATTTGGTCCTTGCAAAAAACGGCCGAGAGCCCGCTCTGGTCTGACCGAGAAGCCTTCCTTCTGGTCGGGCGTGGCGGACGTATCGAGTTCATCGAGCTTTTGCCCGCCAATGCGTTCATAGCCACGGTAACATTTCGACTTCTCCTGTGAGACTTTCTGTTTCTCTGACAACGGAAGCGCAAAGAATCTGGCGATTGCAGACAGAAACCGCTCTTGGACATCTGTTGGCACGGAATGTCCTACAACTTGCAGGAAGCCCTGGTTCTCGCAGGCGCTACGAAATTCCGATGCTGCCTTCCTTTTGGCTTCAGGGTCGCCTGCGAGGTAGCCGGATATGTCGATGATAGGGATCTCAACGAGCGGAGCTTCAGATATGCTACCCATGATTCCAGGAGTGTGACGACGATGGGGTGGTTGGTGGTGAGTCACTCTCCTACTGGAGCTTTGGTCCGCGACACACCTTCGTTAAATAATGAAGTGTCCGTCCTGCCCAGAGCCAGATCTCTCGATCTGTAGGTCTAGGCTCGACACGGCAAACAACGGCACGTGAACTGCTCAAAGCGTCTTGTGGATGTTGCTGATAGACTTTCGGTGGTAGGCGCGCCCACGAGGTAGTCAGTCATGCCAGGCCAACTTTCCCACCGCATAACTGGGAGTCTGTAGCGAGACTTTGATGGATCGTTCGCCGTTATCATGCTTTGATAGGCCTCTTGATCCAGATGCCGCATCTCATTGGATACCTGTCGCCATACGCGCACGACACGGCACGTTGATAGCCTGGCAGATCGATACTGGTGCTGTTGCAGCGGTAAAGTCAGTTTGTGGCTTCTGATAGTTGCCCCAGTGCGCCGATCGAGGTCACCGCGGTTTCTAACTGCTTGACTGGACGCCCCAGGGCCCAGAATGGAAGGAGAGTCCACCTTTATCGTGCTATGGTTGGTGGGCGACGGCAAGTCACCGGTTGAGATGCTTCTCCAAACCAATGCGTACGGTGAATTGGTATCCACCGGAGGTAGGCGACGGAGTAAAGCGAAGGACTTGGGCGACGGAAAATGGCGAACCTCTTGCATAGGCTTTCTTTTACCTCCAATCGACGTCTGTGCTTTGTGGTCCCGCGAGATACGTACCTGGACGCGGCATGTCTGAGTATCGATATCAACTCCGGGGAAGATAGTCTGCATAATTATAAGATCCATATGGTCCCGACTGTCCCTCTTGGTGTCGCTGAACGAGAAGCTTCACAAGCTTTTCAACCCGGGCCACTCTGATTGACAACAATGGCTTTCAAGATCCCAGGGCTACCAGAAGTGAGACTTCACTCCCCTTATTGGCAAAAGTAAGTTCCGCATTGCACGTACCGTGAGTTGTTGGCTGACAAAGGACTCAGTGTCATCATTGGTATACTTGTGGGGCTGACTGCCGGCCTCTATGTCGCTCTCAACCTCCTTGGTGCTGGTGGTGGTCGACCAAATGCTGCCCAGACGGTGCAAGTTGTCAATGCCACTTTGTGTGCGGTCTGGTTCTTTTCCGCATCGTTCGGTGGAACAGTCCTGAACAAAATTGGTCCCGCCATCACAGCCTCACTTGGAGTGTTGGGCTACATCATCTATGTCGGTTCGCTGTGGTACTTTGACCAAACGGGCAAAGAGGGCTTCCCAATCTTCGCAGGAGTTGCTATTGGTGTAGGCTCTCCCCCTGGGCAGGACTGTACGACATGCCGCTGACACTTCCAGATCTCGGCCGGGCTGATCTTCGTCACGATGGGATACATTGCCATGTCATATTCTGAAGAGCAAGACCGAGGCAAATACATCACAGTTTCGATCAATCTCCAGGCTGTTGGGGCGATAGTTGGTGGCATTATCCCTCTGCTCATCAATCGTAACTCTGTGAGTGTGGCCTAGGTCACTCCATGGCGGCAGGCTGACCCTCAAAACCTAGACCGAGGCGGCAGGCGTTCCTCCATCAGTATATATCGTCTTCATCGTCGTCATGTGTATCGGCATGGTGGGAGCATTTGCCCTCATGCCGCCCGACAAGATCATTCGCGATGATGGTACCAAGGTTGGCGTTGTTCAAGCTCGAACCTTCACGGAGGAATTGAAGGCCAATTTGGAAATCTTTAGGGACTGGAAACTTCTTATCATGGTGAGTTGGGAAAGATCACACCGGAAGACAAGCCACTGATGCTGCCGTCTTTACAGATTCCAGCTTTCCTACCAGCCGAATGCTTCCTGGTGTACGGTGGCTCCGTCAACGCCTACCACAACAACCTCCGTACTCGATGCCTCCTATCCTTCATCTCAGTGGTGCTGCAGCTCCCGGCAGGTTGGGGTCTGCAATGGATTCTCGACAACAAGAGGAGTACGAAGGGTCTTGACTGAACGCGGACAATGCTGATTGTTGCTGCAGTGAAACGACGAACTCGAGCCTTTATAGGGCTAGGCGTGGTCGGGATCCCCTTGATCGCTGCTTGGATCTGGGAAATCGTCCGCACCCGCAATTACGATCGCTCCAGCCCTGTGGAGCACCCGATGGATTGGACTGACGATGGCTTCGTTGCAATCTTCTTTCTGTTCATGATGAACTGGGTATTCAGCTCGCTGTGGCAGTACCTTATCCTATACTTCCTCGGCACTCTCACAAACTCTCCACGCAAGTCTGCCAATTATGCAGTAAGTGATCCAGCACATCAAGCACTTCCATGACTAAGAGACACAGGGCGTCTTCCGTGGTATCCTCGGTGCAGGAGAAGCCATATGTTTTGGTGTCGACTCGATTGGCGTGCCATATATGAAAGAGGCGGCCGTCATCTTCACTTTTTATACCACCGGAGTGCTGGTTTTCGGTTATCTGGCCGCTTTTCACATCCGCGAAACGGAGTATTTCAACGGTGAAGATGACGTGGTTATTCCCAAACATGTGCTCGAGGAGCACGGCGCCGAGGCTAAGAGCATTACTGGCGAAAAGGTCCCAATTGAAGACCAGACTGTCACAATTGGCGACAACAAAGCTTGAGTCTGTCCTTTGAATCACAGAAACTGGGGGTGATCGATCCTATACTGAGCTCGGTGTGGCTGGTGTGAGCGAAAACCCGAGGCTTGTGCTAAATATAACAAGATAGATGTGTAAACTCGACGACATTCGCTTTGAGTACGGGTACTGATGCTGGAGATGGACCGGCCGACCTGGGTTCAAGTTTCATTATTCGAAAGTGTCAAATCCATGCCAAATCCAAATTCTGCGTTCCAGTCGTAGGGCAAATATGAGTAAGCATCAAAGTTATCAGTGCCGTTCATGCCGAAAAGCGGGTTGAAAACAGGCCAGACTTCGAACGGATCCCGAAGATCGGTCGTACCGTCAAGGTACTCGTCGATGGAATCGTCTTGCAACAGATCAATCTGTGCTGTGCTCTGCTTGCGCTGTAGGAGAAAGTCGTAATAGTCCTGCTTGATTGGGCCTAGAAGTCGTTCGTATTCGTGCAAGCATTGCGTAGCAGCCGGCCAGCGCTCGGAAATGGTCGAAAAGAATCGCGAGAAACATTCCATGAATTCTTCCACCTCCTCGGTTGTGTAAGAATCGGCGATCTCGGTCCTACAATATTGCAATGCCTGGAGAAAAGCCACAGCGGACGAGAATGTGTGGTGGCAAGGGTGAAAGACGTATTTCATGTAGCCAAATTCCGTGTTTGCTTGCCGCCAGTATCCCGTGGCCACCTCAACACTAGCAGTAAAAGCTTTCATTAGGTTCTGCCGGCTCGGTGTCTTCAGTCTCGGACAGGGGCGGAACAGTAAAACAAGGATGTAATTGTAGGCGATGTCAGCGTATAACTCCATCTCGTCCCATTGCGACTTGATGGCCGGATCCTGGTTCAATGGTGCTGTCCGATGGACCTCCTCATTCCAGCTTCGGATCTCCTCCTCCGTCCTCAGCAACCACGCGTCTAGAGACGGGCATTCGGGCGGCAGTGTCTCGTGCTGATAGAGAATTGACATAATGTCACACTCGACGCGCCGAAAACGCCAAATCCGGCAAGACACGAACTTAGCACGCGGTACGTTCGTATCGATGCGGTCGCGCATGATGCCAGAGTCTTCATATTCGGCTGGAAATGACACACTGATGACTTTGTTGTGCGTCCGGACTGGCCTATACAATCCAGCGGAGACCGCCACTTCCATCTCCCAAGCGCACCAGAAGATGCGCCGACGTAGGTCCCTCTCGAGGACATCAATTTCGGCACTCTCAGGAAGCTCTCGGTGAAGACCTAGATCAATGCAAGCCTCGCTTGACATGCCCGTGAGAAGCCACAGGTTGGCGACCGTGGGATTCAGGAACGTATACTGGATCAGCAACAGGAGGGCCTGGAGTCCGGACAGGTCATTGGAGAGTACCTCCGGGACATAAAGCATGGCGTTACGGAAGAGGCCGGTGCCCAGTGATTGTGCTCTTGCCTGCTTGTTGCGTGCGGCGGTGGATAGTGATATGGCCATAATGAGACTGACCATGTACACGTCTCGAGCTTTCGGCTGGGTGTCAAGTGGTGAGGCCGACAGCTGACTGCCGAAGACCGCGTTGAAAGCCTGAATGGCATCTTGGGAGTGATAAATAGGGTATTGATGAATGATTCGGCTCATATATATGCCAAACAGAAACTCGGCCACTCGTCTCGGAACTGAAGTCAGCGACAGATTCGAGGGGTGTTGGTTCAAGATCGACCGCGGGTGATTTTCGTCCAAGTCTGTTAGGCCAAAAGACTTCTTTGCAGATGGGATCTGAGTAGGTGCCGCCGCACATCCTGGCAGCTGGATTGTCTCGGTGAGACCTAGGAAAGATGGCGTGATGTCGTGGAGGGCATAGTTCACCGCTGTGTCCCATATGGGTGCTGACGAAAGCGTTTCCGCCTCGATCTTCGGGTGGTCCTGAATGCTCGTCGAACTAATTGAGCGTGATTTCGATCGTAGCATGTTGCCACGCTGTCTTTCAAGGTCTGCAATGCGTCCTTCCAGGTATCGAGCAATGCTGCGAGGGGCAGTCGAATTCGTAGCCGTGTCCAACGAAACGCATGGCACTCCAGCAGCCATGCACACCGAGCAGGACGGTGCTTGGGCATCGCACTGGTAATTGTCAGTTATGCCTCTTCTTCAGAGGAAAAGGAGTTATTGGACCATGATCTTTCGTTTCCGACATCTGGCGCAAGACACCACTCGTCTTCGTACTCTCTGGGATGATCCCATTGCTCGGGTTGTGTGCCGTTCCTCACGACGTTTGCAGAAGCCTCAACATATCTAGTCGCGGCAACCCACCGAATCTAAAGTACAACCTGGTGAGGAAGAAGTTTCTTGAAGGACTCGCGCCTCGGTTGTTTGAATTGGTGGGAGGCTGGCACTCGTGCGTGACCAGCTAAGTTAGTAATGACGGTCCTTATCATGCCTGGTGGAGTGCTTATCTGCTTTGAGACCAGTGGCATCTCACGCGAACCCAGGGTCCATCAGATACCAGGTTGGGGGCATCATGGGGCATCGTGTGTGGCTCGCTCTCAGGGTTCATCCCCGCTGCATTCGGCTTGGGATACCCCACGACAGAGGTTGTCTAGGCTAGAAGAGGCCCAGCAACTCTGATAAACCTCTCGACTTTCCTCAACCCTCGCTCTTAAGTCGTCGAAAGATGTTCGGCCTGGCAATTAGTAATTCTGCGAGCTGAGGCTTCGCCATGCAGGCGACGGACAGGAATACACTCGAAAACGCCACATACTCAACAGAAGATGTGACCGAAATTACGGACTTAGAGACGTTGCTCTCGCTGCTTCCCGCGTGCAAAAGATGTAGGAGAGCGAAGCGACGGTGCGACACACAACTTCCTGCCTGTGTGAATTGCAGCAGGGTCGGCGCGGATTGTGTCTTCTTTGACCATGTCTCGAAAGAGTTTTTGCCACGAACGTATGGGCCGAGTGAAGCCACGCTATCATGGAATGTGGTTGCTGACGCACTCAGGTACATTGCATCCCTTGTAGACCACCTCCAGGCTCTAGAAGGTACCCAAAACAACAAGGCAGACGAAAGAGAAGTGGCAGAGCTCCAGTCGACCTTGACATTTGACCAGCAGAACTTTGTGCATGTTCGTGGAGCCTTGAGATATCTGGGCGGTCAAGCACCCCTGGGAACTCCGGTGAACCCTGCTTCTGAAAGTCCAAACGGTCTTCGCACCAGAAGCTCAGCTCCTCTTGTGCAAATTCCTTGGTCAATGTCAGTTGACGGCGGCATGCCCCAATACCTCAGTGACAGGTACTTCGCGACACTACATCAGGTGTATCCAATTCTGAATCCAGAATTACCATTTCTAACGTGTCCGCCTCGCTGGGGGGATGCTTCTCCATTCGAAGCATTCACGTTGAATATGGTCTATTCAATAGCTTGCCATTGCCTGCCTGGCAACAACACCCAACTCACCTTGCTGTCTGAGACTTTCTACCGTGAGGCTTTAGCCCATGCCGATAAGGTGACGGCTGAATTGAATCTGGAAGCGCTTCAAGGTGTCGTTCTGCTGGCTTTGCGGAGCCTGTTTGACTCTCAGGAGGGCAGTCTTGGCCAACAGGTGGCATTCGCACACCGACTAGAGGTCGAATTGAGCGCCAAAGAAATGGACGAGACGTCGAGTGCACTGGACACTCTGAGATCAGCCATTTACTGTATCGGCAGTCAGATGGCCACGGGACTGGATCGGCCATCTGGGCTGGCTGAACCCGTGAGTAAGGCGAGCGTTCGAGACACAAGTTGCTGACTTGGGAATCACAGGACCATGCGCATACCTCAACGGGAAGCCTTGGACGCCTCTGCACCTTGTATCGGATGCAGTCAAGGTTCCGAGACGGACTTCCCTTTGACGAACTTGACGCAGCACTAGTTCTCGCAGCTCACACCGCTGAAGTGACACCGTTAGTCATGGCTGCCGAGAAGGAGACGGCTTTCCTGATCAACCCAAACGCAGAAGCAGCTCTGCAACTGTTGGCAACTTACGACCAAGAAGATATGATCTTCAACGTCTTCACTCCGCACTGGGCGTACAAAGCTGGAGTGCTCTTGCTGGCTCAGGGTACAGACGACTCACGTCTGGAAGGCTACATGCTCGCTTCGACAGTTCTGGAGCGATGTGCGCTGAAATGGCCGAACTCCCGCGCTCTTCAAGAGACGTTACGGGCTCTGGCAAGTCCAAGGAAACATCAGACAAGCTTTGCACACTCCAACTGACCGTAAGCAACATGAGTTCTTCGGCAGCATACACCTACCGGCTTGCCTCTACGAGAACTCGAACTGACTGCCATGGGGATTACCTGTGGTTGGTTGCGGATATGCGCGTTGAAAGCCCCCCGCCGGAAAGGCATTAGCCGTCAACATCATACGTGGGCCTGACCTGGTATAGCGAATTGACCACCACCATGACACGGTCTTGTAGCACCATTGCCGGAGTCGTGTTGTGTTGAACTTGTCCCTGCATGAATCTCCTACAAGGTTGTCACTACCTTATAGTACGAGTATTCGATATCGATAACAAAAAGGCTTCAAGTTTGTGGGCGAAGTTCTTGATGCAATGGCCTTGGCGGTGACTGCGTCATCGTGGTCATCGGCCTGAAGTTCGGAGTGACGTGCCGCTCGTTCAACACCAATGAAGCAGCTGTGAGAAGCCTACTACGTAGTACGAGCTAGCGGTCAGAGGTGTCAGAGGTCGTGACTGCATGCAGTGGTGTCGAGACAATGACACGATCCTCACGCATCTCTCACTTCGCCTTCATTCGACTTCTGCGCGAGAATCCTATATCCTATCACTCGACGCAAAGAAATCCTCAAAAGATCAATAGACTCAGTCTCAACCCTCACACTTCACAGGGCCAAGATGCTGGAGAGTCAATCCAGAATTGTCATCAGCGGTGGCGGTCAAGGTATGCCAGATTGAGGCTCTCACGTCTCACGTATCACCGCGGAACCAGCTAACCGATAATATCAGGCATCGGACGAGCGATAGCCCGTCACTTTGCATCTCGCGGTCACAAGATCTTCATTCTCGACATCAACGAAGAAGGGATCCGACACACAGCCGAGGTGCATCTGAAAGAGCACTCGGACCGGATTGGATGGTCGAAATGCAATCTGCGAAGCGTCGACGAAATCCGCTCGACCATCGAGAAGGCGGCCAAATTTCTCGACAACCGGATCGACTTCCTCATCAACAATGCTGGAATCTCCTACCCCTACTGGCCCGACGGGAAGACCATGGCGGATCCTTCGGTGCTGGAACAATGGCAGGCATACGTTGAGACCAACCTGACGGGTCCCTTCGTCATGTCCCAGGCCTGCATTCCTTACATGAAAGTCGAACAAAAGCAAGACAAACAGAAACTTCCCGACTCGAACGTTGGGACGGCAGGACCGTGCATCATCCATGTTAGCAGCTTTCGGGCGATGATATCGGATCCCAACCAAGAAGGTTACGCTTCGACCAAAGGTAAGCCAACCCCCTTGACCGTGTCAAAAGTCCCAACCGTGATCTGTGACTGACAGCCATTTTAGCTGCCTTGCTAGGCCTTACTCAGAGCATGGCAGTCTCTATGCAGTCATTCGGTATTCGTGTGAACATGGTCTCTCCAGGACGCATCAAGGTGACCCACGAGAATGAAGCAGCCGACAAAAATGGTGAAGAATGGGAACTTGAGGAAGACGACGTATCCACCCATCCCACCAACCGAGCCGGAATGCCAGAAGATATCACTGAAGCATGTGAATATCTCCTTGGTGCGGGTTTTGTGACCGGCCAGAACCTCATCGTTGACGGCGGCGTCTCCAAGGTCAAGGGCAAGGCTTAGACGACATCATTCGGACGAGACACTGCGCCAGGCGTTGATGGAGTGTCCCATGGTGGCTAGACCGGATAGAGGGTCGGGTAGAGGGCATCGACACGGAAGACGGAGATCGTTCGAAACATGGATTGCATGCAATCACAACGGCGAAGATGGCCCGGTATGATTGATGACAGACATGTTGCACCAAGCAGGGATTGATCAAGAAAGTGAACATGGTGGACTTTCTTTTCTGGTCTCGGTTGCTGCTTGCTGCGAGATCTCGGTGACGGGGTCGATACAAAAAGCTGAATGGAAGCAGTCAACTTCCGCATCAAATTTCCACGTGTGCGCTCGACGCAGGCCACGCAGGCCTACCGGTGCTGTGCGGTGCTTCCTGCTTCGTGCAGATGGGTGCGGAATGGGCTCCGTCGTCCCAATGACCATTCATTCCTTCGTGTCGTGTATCAACTCTCCGCCTTGTGTGCCAACGATATACGAGTCAACATAGTATCTTATCGCAAATTCTCTGTCCCCTCCCCTCTCACTTGTCCTACAGGCCATAACCGGTCGATGCCGTTGCTGCGGCGGAACTGGTTCGATTGCCAAGGTCCATTACCGTCGGAAAGGCTCTGCTTGATTCGCACATGATGACGAAATCCAATAGGAAGCCGGATGTCGCTACGAGTACAATTATCTCAGGTACTCAAATACCCCAGACACCTCAAATACCTCAGGCATCTCGGGACCTTCAAGGGGGCCATCGTTATCGTCTGGTCCAGTGTCCAGTGTCCAGTGTGAAGGCCAAAATCCCGCAACATCCTTTCAAGTTTCCTTTATGTTCCGGTTCCAAAACGCGCGGTATTTGTGCTCGTACGAGCGTAATGGGTGTCTGCTTTTCCGCGCTTCCTCATTGGCTTGTACAGGGTGTCTGGATGACATCAATTGATACGAGCAACTCGTACAGTACTTTTTCCCGCAGTGATCGTCAAGAGATTACCTAGGAGCAGGTTCCGAGCGATCGCCGACAAGTCATATGCCGTACTACCTTGTACTATGCGGGCCAGGGCATACTCCGTACACCCCCGGGAAGAGCCCTGATAAAGGTACCCTACCTTATGGTATGTATCAGTAATCCTGACCAACCGACCAATAGGCCAGCACCTCTAGGGATACAAGGAGGGGTATATATTAACGGCTGGCGCACCGCCGTACCGCCATCTCAAGCCCCCTACCTCCCTCCAAGAAAAGAAAAACCAGAAGAAACATCAAACGTCAACCCAAAACAAGGCAATACTTTTACCGCAAGGCCATCATAACACCGTTAACACAACAAGAACAAATGGCATTCCACATCATCGAACAACTCGAAGGTAACAAGGACAAGGACAAAGACAAGAACGAGGACCATCAGTCTCGGACTCGGTCGCGGTCACGCTCCTCGTCAAGTGCCACTCTTCCTCCGAGCCTGCAGAAACTCATCGACAAGGCCGAGGAGGAGCAGTGCATATATGAAGACTCGTGGACGAGGAGGGATAGAATAGCAATGTAAGTCCCCGAGCCCCCAAGTCCCCAATCAAGTCTCCAAGTCACCAAGTCAAGCCTAGTGAGCCCACACCTTCCCATGCCTAGAAGGAGTTCATTCCAAGTGAGGAAGAGCAGGGCACAGGGGTTCCGGACAGTGGACGATGGACGGTGGACACACAGCTAATTTCCGCACAGTCCATCTTCTTCCACCATTGACGTCGAGCAGAAAGCAGACACAACCGTGACCATGACCAATGCCGACAAAAAGGAGGTCAAGAAGGCGTCGTCGAGTCCAAAGTCTTGAAAATTTGAAATGTTGAGTCTTGAATCAATGAATTTTGAAGAAAGAAAAAAACCAAAAGGCTCCTCCGAGAGGGCTGGTATCATGATATAACGACCCCTTCCTGCGCCGACGCCGAGATATCTATCCATATCTACCTATACCCCATCATACCCTAGTTTACAAAGCAGCCAACATATCCACCCAGAAGACCACCGGGTGGGTGTGGAAGAATGGCAACCGGCTTGTCTCTGACACCAGGCCGCTTTTTAACAATTCATAGAAATAATGAACGAAATACAAATGAAACACCAAAATGAAAAATGAAAGAGCCCTTATCGTACATAAATAGTAGCATAGCCGGATCCCCAATTCTCGGACGCCGAGAGCGAATCATCACTATCGGCCACCTTGTGCCGCAGATGATGTCCGTACTTGATGGAATGGGGCGATGGGCCACGACAATGGACCAAGACTGGTTTCGCCTTCTGAACTGGCTCGAACGTGCGGATCTCGCTCATTTCAGTGCCTTCATCAAAGAAGTCGAACTCGGTCTGATTGTCCTCGTCATCGCCAAAGTCAAAGGTGAAGGTTGACACGGTCGAAATGCTGGCCAGTGTCGGGATGCTGCTTGACGGCGATGCTCTCTGGGCCCGTGGCACCGACGGACTCCTGTCGGCGTGAAAGCGTGGTCGGATCTGTCTGCCGTGAGAAAAGGGTAGCGAGAAAGATGGGACTGGTGGCCGCTGAATCGGAGGCTGTCGTGCGGCCGGGGTTGGAGTGTCTAGGTAGTGAAGTCGACGTTCCTGGAAAGTCGGAGAGTTGGGCAGAGACCAGTCGAGCTCATCGCTATCATCGGAATCGTACATCAACCCGGGCGGCGTCGACGGGGTGTCAGGTTCTTCGACCTCACCCAGTGTCAAGCGGAAGCGCGCACGTGGAATGGACAGGAAGCATGTTGTCGAGCTGACACTGGGGTTGGGTTTGTGGTCACTGTGCACGCGCCGGAAACGCTCGAATTCTGGAGAGGAGCAGCATTTGCACATGATGACTCCCGGTGGGCAGTGGCAATCCTTGACAGATGCAGCATCTCGAATATCGAGTGGGGCTGGTCTGTGGGAGTTGCGAGATTCATTTGAAACAGTTGAAAATCGCCATGGTTCACGGGCAGCCTGGCTTTCGTGCTTTTGAATGCTTGCACGTGCATTGACAGGGAGTGGTGCGAGGTAGGTCGACTCTTCTTCAACCTGGAATGATGTATCGAGAACTCCACTTAGGTACATGGACAACCTCTTGCGATCGAGTTGTCCTTCACCATCTAGCCATTGGCTTTTCCGATATGAGGCTCTCTTTGACAAGAATGAATAATGTGGAACTTCCTCTGAGGGAGTCGCCTCCTGCTCCTCGGCAGGTTCTTCCACAACAATATTGCATTCTGGAACCAGCACAGACGAGGCTCTTGCCGACGACGCAAGGGGTGCGAGATGCGAGGTATGGTAGGGTACAGCAACCTCGGTGGGTAGCTGAGGAAAGGGTTCGATGACCTCTCTGGGCGAGGGTTCAGCTTGGTCGGAGCCAAGCAAGGGGGAAGACGTCGTGTAGGGTTGATTGGCCTCCACAAGCCTCTTCTTCCGTAGCTTTAATGGAGGTGGACGCAAGTGTTGCACATCCGAGTCCCTATGCTTTGATCCGGGGACCGGGTTGTCGAGAGCAACGGTTCTTTGTTGTTCGCTCATGATCATCTTTACGTGCCCTCTGTTCACCGGCGGAGTAGGCGGCATAGGGAACAGCGAGAATCCCTTGCGGTCTGATTGGTCCATGGCAAAGGCTTCTAGCATTCTCGAAGGGGCGTTGGTCGGATCGGTTAGGGTGGAGCTCGGTCGCCAGGCCTATGGCGATCGGTGTTGCCTTTGTTGTTGTTGTGGTTTGGAGATTGTTGATGGGAAACAATCGATAAAGAAGATTGGGAAGCTCAAGGCTTTTGAACGGAATTCAATAGTTCCTCCATGCAAAGATAGGGGATGGGTGCAGGGGACAGTCCGTGGGGAGAGAGAGCATGTCAGTTGGAATTGTCTGCGGCGATTGTAGCATTCTGGTAGATGAGTACACGTCAGGCAAGCAGAGGCTGAGATTTGCTGGTGCCTCTTTGGAGCCTGGTAAACACCGAAATTGGGGACAATGTGCAGTATGAGGTCTGTGTGAGCCTTCCATGCCGAACAAGAAGTGGAAGTGGTGCTCACAGACAACGCGGCCCAATCAACCAACCTGACAGCTGACGGCCCGTCAATCCTGCTATGGACACGTCAATACCTTTTTGAGCTGCTGAATGTTCGCGGGAACAATCTGCAGCAGCCATCACAGAGCTTGAGACAGCTACTGACTGCTGCCAACGGTATTCGACCTGATCACATTGACGGCTGAGCTTGTTCAACTGGCGCCGACCTTCGCGGCGACCAGGGCATTTGCTGCATGGGTATATTAAGAGTCAAGTCTCCGTCAGGTTCTCGGTCTCAGCCTTCAATCTTCTTTGAAGGAGAGGCTGTTTCACACAGGTCAAACCTTCTAGGAGCTGTCGATTCCAAGAAGCAAAGTATCATGATGGACCGGCTGTTGAGCAGTCAGTCACGGAAGGTGTGAAATGGTTCAAGGTGGCAGTGGGTGGCAGCTGTCTGGGGACTTGACACTGATTGCAAACACGTGATGTCCCAAATCGCACTATTCCTTTTCCAGAGGCAACACTCGAATTTGCTCCGGTTGCAGTTCAGTCAAAATCTGTGTTACTTCTACCATGCATCTACCAAGGCTTCAGTGCCTTTGCTGCAAACACCGTCCACCTTATGAGGCGCACCTTGCATCCTCGCAGACACGAATTTGGCCGGTGCACCGAAAAGTGTTGCGAGCTTGTTCGGTAGAGACCAAGAGCGTCGGTCATATCTTTCCCGCAAAAAGAGCTCTCTTGCTGTTAGGAAGACAAGCACAGAGCCGCTAGCCGGTGAGTCAAGGACCTCGTACAATGGGATGGGCTTCCACTTCGGTGTGCTTCTCAAGTTAGAAGCAAAAGGATAAGGCCCGAACGTCCACCAACGACAGCCTCTCGGATCCCCCTCCGATTGTTCTGCCAGTCTACTATCTTCAAAGTCTTCCGGCTATTTGCAAGGCTGTTCTGTAACGAGCGACCGTCATGAATCCTCATCTGTACGCCGTGACCGGTATTTACGCCCTCTGGGTTGTCGACTTTGGTCGTGCTTGAGAGGCCAAAGAAAAATTGAGAAATACTTGTGGTCCTATCATCTGATACTAGGACCAGGCCATGGAACAGCCCGCGAAGCTGGTATAGGGCTCCTTTCAAGCTGACGCCTGACGATGCCGCACGCCCATAATCTCAAGACACAGCCGCTTCTCAGTCGACGATTACTAACATCTTCCGTCAGAAGATTTGAAAAGAAGTACGAGGAATAAAGCAATCATGGAGTAGCTATTTCGGCATCAGCTGGAGAATGATCCCAAGGTGGTCTTGACGATCTTGCAGGAGGCTTTGACGACCTAGACGGTCCCGTCAACGATAAGAACAGACGACCGCCACAGGCCCAGAGCATTTTCTGGGGCCGTGTTGAATTTCCCTCCACGTTTCCGTCCGATCTCCGGCCAGCTGCAGGTGATTTGGGCCATAGGACCACCCGAGTCCCTCCTACAGTAGTACAGTGAAGTGAGTCAGTGCAGCAGCTCCGGAAAGAACGGCCCAGCTCTGGTTGGTTTCATCTACGAGTACACGACGAGGCACTATCCTCCTGCCGCATCACTTCATAGCGCATCTTCTAGAGCTACGCGACCCCTAGACTCTAGTCGAAAAGCCTTCGGTGTCCAACCATGTGGTTAGGGCCTGATGTCCGCACGTGGCCCGGAAGCCCATGCCTCGACCAAGGATTGGAGAGTGATGAGGAAATAGGACTGTGATATTGTCGTGCCTTGCATGATGGAGCACGACAAGGTTTTTCAGATGATGCATCAAATCTCAAAATCTTCTCGCCGGGGAAATACTGCCTGGGCTTGGGGTCGTAAGACTTGAGGGTTAGAACCAGGGTGAAGCTTGACAGAGCATATCGAGCTGAATCCCTCATCCACACCACCAGGAAGAAGCAAAGTCGAAGCCAAGAGTCCCAAGACATGAAGCAAATTCCAATTATGCCTTGACAGTAGGTGCTTGTCCGACTTTGTCCGGCTTATTGGCCCAACAAGCCGCGATAGGCGCAAGGCTTGAGGCTTTGGAAGCCACACCGGCGCCTTGGCCGAGCCTCCTCGACGCTTGGCAGAGATCCACAGATAACGAGGCTTCGCTAATCTGGGCAGCAGCAAGAATGATGTGTGGTTGATTGTCCGTTTCCATGATATCTGGTTATTGCAGAACACTCCTCTCCGCCAATGAGCACCTTTATCCCCGTTATCAATCCAGTCCTACCCTGACCACCTTCCCTATGTCAATTCGGGTCTCTGAACCGATTATGGTCAAGGTCGAGTCTGCTCGGTGTTCCAGAGCACAAATCCTTCTGGCAAAATTCGCTTCGAGGTCACCTCAACACGAGCATTCATTTCTCAATTTTACGGGTACCTCGTCCCAAGATGCACCTAGCGTGGGGACAGGGTAGAGTCGTGCCTTGCTACCCGATATCACCCACTGCAGATATATAGCCAGGTTTGTCTTCCCTTGTTTGGTCGTGCATGGTTCCCATTGTCAAGACCCAATTCCTTTACCATACCCAAACACAGGCTCGCAAGCCGATTGTACAGCCATGGCGAGCGCACCCACTCCTGTAAGTTGCACCGTTTTACATCCTGAGCATATCGGACGTATCACTAACCTGTCTGTAGCCCGAGTACAACTCGAGCATGCCCAATGGTGGCGATCCACAAGTGGTCAATGTCAATGCCCCCTTTACCGGCCTCGAATTCGAATATGTCTACCAGGTCATTATGGGCTGCTTGGTGTTCGTCATTGTACCCGGTATCGGTCTTCTCTACGGTGGCATGTCGCGAAGAAAGTCTGCTCTTGCCATGATTTTCCAGGCCTGGACAGTGATGGCAGTCTGCTCATTCCAATGGGCATTCTGGGGCTTCAGTCTCGCTTTCTCCCGAACCGGCGGTCCCTTCATTGGCGATCTTTCAAACTTTGGCATGAAGAACGTGAGTAACGCCCATTCCTTCCGCCGTAAATTGTCGCTAAACAGGTTCCAGGTCATGGCTGCACCATCCTGGGGATCCGCCGTCCTTCCCGATATCGTCTTCAGCTTCTACGAATTGATGTTCTGTGCCTGCGCGACTATGATCGTAGTTGGCGGCTCCTTTGAGCGCGGTCGTATCATTCCTTCGGTCATTTTCGGTTTCTGCTGGGCCACTCTCTGCTATTGCCCGATTTCTTACTGGACCTGGAATGCCAACGGCTGGCTCTTTAACCTGCCTGCTCTCGACTTTGCAGGAGGTGGGCCCGTTCACATTTCCAGCGGTACCGCTGGTTTGGCCTACGCTCTCGTCCTCGGCAAGCGCAAGCGATTTGGCGAAAAGCATATCTACAAACCTCACAATGTCACCATCATCTTTCTCGGCACGACCCTCATCTGGTTCGGTTGGTTCGGCTTCAACGGCGGCTCAGCTTTGAACGCCAGCATCCGCTCCATGATGGCAATCTGGAACACAAACTTTGCCGCCTCCTGCGGTGTGGCTGGATGGGTCATGATGGACTACATCAAGAAGCGCAAGTTCTCCGTCGTCGGCGCCTGCGAAGGGGCGATTGCTGGTCTTGTGGGCATTACTCCTGCTGCCGGCTACGTCTCGGTGTGGTGCGGTGCTGCCATTGGTTTCATTACCGCTATCGTGGTCAATCTCTTCGAGAACGTCAATGACTGGATGCACATCGATGACGGACTCGAGGTATTCAAGCTCCACGGCATTGGCGGGATGTGTGGCGCATTTCTGACTGGCATCTTCGCCTCGTCTTCTGTATCTGCTCTCGACGGCATACCGACCCTAGCCCCCGGTGGCATTGACGGTGTTGGCAGCCAAATCCCCCGTCAACTCGCTGAGATCGCCGCCATCGCCAGCTGGTCTTTCACCATCTCTTTCATCCTGCTCACGATCCTCAAGTATATTCCTGGCCTCCACCTGCGTGTGACGGACGAGGTTGAAATTATTGGTTTGGATATGGATCAATTCTCTGATGAGCTTGTCGGCGAGTGGTCTCTGTTCAACGATGACAATACCGGTCGTCGTGGATCATTCGAGCAGATTACTCATGGCCTCCCAGCCAACGGAGCAACCACCGGCCAGGCCACTCCTGAGCAGAAGGTCGAGCCCAAGGCAGACCCCTTGCCTTCTTCTTAAGCAGGTGTCACTATCCCATATTCTTAATTTTGCAAAGCGGTGCGACCTGGACTTGCAGCTGGACTGGAAGCGGCAGCTGCATCATGCTTGGAGCTGTTGGCGAAGCGTGGATGAAGATGGCACGATTCCATGTAGCCTTTCGTATGCTCTGTCTAGATCGGGGCACTAAATATCGGTAGATTCTAATATACTATGATACCCTTTTGGCCTTTTCGAACCAGGACATGACTCACCTATCTCGGCCGTGAACCAGATAGCCAAGCTTTCGACCACTTATCTAATGAGCCACTGCATTGAAGAGTGAGACGTTTGACTCGGAGCGTTCGCAGGCCAATCCGGCTCCTCATAATATCTGCAAATGACGGTGTATTCTGCGTAATCCACTTTTGACCAATACTTACATGAGACAGCCTTGCCAGGTTCAGCAGGCGCCGGCCGGGAAACCACCCGGATTCTTGTTAGCCTTAGGAAGGCGAGGGAAGGATCACCAGGCTGAGTTAACATCTCCACAGTCACGACCTTGCTCTTTTGAACGGTCACAATTCCCTTCAAGACTTACACCTCCTCCCGCATCTGCTGCCTGTTCGTGCACATTTCGAGAAGAAAATATAGATAGCGATTGACTTTCTACACAGGCGTCATCGTCGAGCCTCCATCCTCTTACTCTGTCCTGCGGGGTATCAACGAGGGCCTCGCCGCTGGCTCGCTTCCGTGGCGGACTCCGAATTCACAAGTTCAACTTCTCAAGACACGGCCAACATGTTCGCAGCAAAGAGGCTAGGAAAGGTAAGCTTACCGCATATCTTGTGCACACAGCCTTGAAACAAGCTGACAATGCTACAGGAACTGCAAAAGGTACGGCTACCCTTCCCACTCACTCTGCGATCGAGAGGCTTCATCCAGCCTGCGCCTTCAGCTCGCCGCCCTCTTTCGATGAACCAACTGACACGTATACTTGATGCCAGGCCAAACATAGTCTCCCTCCAGGCATCGACCTCGTCAAAGCAGACGACTTCCGAGAATGGCAAGTTGACATACGGGTCCTGGACGCAAACCCTCTCTATCTCAACCAGACATACCGTCTCAGTTTCATCTTCTCCAACAACTATCCTATAGGTACGCATGTGAAGGTTCCAAGTGATGGACCAAAAACTACCGAGCACCCGCTGACCTCTCTCGCTATCAGAAGCACCAGAAGTCGCCTTCATCTACGTCCCGCCCTCACCTGCACCGACCACTCCACAATCGACCTCACAGACCCAGTCACAATCGCAGTTACAGTCGACGTCACAAACACAGCCCTTCCCAGGCCGCCCTATACCGATTCACCCCCACATCTACAGCAATGGTATTATATGTCTCGACCTCCTCGGCACGGCCGGCTGGTCGCCTGTGCAAAGCGTGGAGAGCGTATGCATGAGCATACAGAGCATGTTGACGGGCAATACCAAGAACGAGCGACCACAAGGTGACGAGGCATTCTGTCAGAGCATGGGTGTGCGCGGACCAGACGGCTGGAGTGGTTGGCGAGGTGGCCGTGGACGAGGGCTGAAGGATGTGAGATTTGCTTATGATGATGATACGGTATGATGGACCTTGGATTTGCATGCGTGCATTACGGCTTGGAGCCTGGAGTGTGAGCGAGTTTCGGATCGGCATTTTTCAGGAATCACATGGCGGGGGATTGACCCGACAGCATTGTACATGGGCGGCATAGGAGGATTCCGGATGGCATCGACGCAGATGCTACTTGGGTTTGACCAAACGACTTACTGGAGAAAGGTGATGTTGGTGTGATAGGCAAGGCTTGCGCCGGCTACTGACAGACGGCCGACGTACCGGGCATTGGACATGATGGACACAAGCATGATGCGAGACGATTGACGGCGGTACGAGACCAGATATATTATACCATTGAACTGGTTCAAGGCCGGGCTGGCCGGTTGTAATTTTTCTGTTTACTACATAAGGTACTTCCTCTTGACTCTTCCAGTTGCCCGCACATACAAGTGTGATCCTTCTGTTTGTCCACCACCAATTGTGTATCAGCCCCGGTTGACTGCTGTTCCGGAAGCCCAGAATTCTGGGCCTGAGCCTTCTAGTCACTAGTAAGGACACCGGCCAATACTTTCCAATCTTCACCACGAGTGGCCTTCTGGAATGATTACCAGGTACGAAGTACTCAGCCTGCATTCACACTGGAACTGGAACTGATCATCTCAGTCAAAATCTGCAGCTCTTGCCCTCCCACCTTGCCCTCCGGCCGCCCCTGGACTTAGATCGCGTCTCCCACCAGCGCCATTGCCGTTGCGTCGTCGAACGGGACTCGGCGAGCGGGGGCGTCTCGCAAATTTCCTGTCATCGCCTCCTCCTTTCCGCGGCGGCGGCGATCGAGCATCATCAGGGGAGGATCTTCTTCTCGGTGCAGGAGATGGAGATCTCGAGCGCGAACGCTCACTGGACGAATTTCTTCTCCTTCTTCGGTCTGGTGGTGGCGGCGCTCTACGTGGCGGACTTCGGCTTCGGCTTCGACTTGGACTGCGTGAGTATGATCGCGGGCGGGCATTGAACCGGCGTCGTGGGGGGGGCGACCGTGAGCGCGAGCGCGAGAGTGATCGGGAAGGTGAAGGCGAGCGGCTGAGGTTGCGCTTGCGGGCTGAAACGGGAGGGGGGGCCACGCCGTCTCGCCGAGGGAAGCGTGGAGGGGAGCGTGAGCGCGAACGTGATGGTGAGGGTGAATGGTTCCTCCGTCGTCGGAGCGGGGATGGAGGAGTCGGGGACGGTGAGTATCTCTTCCCACGAGCTGGGACACCTCTTCGAGAACGAGGAGGAGGGGACGAGCGAGAGCGAGAGCGAGAACGAGAACGGGAGTCACCAGAGTAGCTGTAGCTCCTCGACCGTGTGCGCGGTCGACCTCGAGGAGGAGCGGCGACCCGTCGTGGGGGAGGGCTGCGGGATGCAGAGTATGAAGGGGATCTTCTCCGCCCCGCGGGCTTTCCTCGTCGAGGTGGAGACCGTGACCGCGAGAGGGGTGTGCTGTCAGCTCTATCTCTCTTTCTGCGAGGCGGTGGCGATCGTGAGCGTGAGCGCGAGACCGTGCGGCTATAGCTGCGTCCTCTTCCTCGCTCCCTGTCGCGGGCGACCGGACTTGGCGACCGGCTGGATTTGACTCTGCGTCTGTCTGGGGTTGGGCTTCTGGTGTATGACCGGCTAGTCGTGTAGCTCGAATAGCTCGAGTACGAGCTCACGCTCTCGGAGTCTGAGACATCGTCCTTCGGTACAGGAAGAGCGGGTATTTCGGGTCGCGGCAGGTTCTTGAGATACTCGCGCATCTCTTCTGTAAGTGCACCCATGCCAATGCTGGTGAAATAGTTGATGGAGAATCGCGTATTCCGCGGATTGTCCATCGGGAATATACCGGCGAAACTGGGCCTGAGGATATCGTCTTTCATGCGTTCCTGCAGTTTCGGCATTCCCAGTGCCTCAGCTAGGTCCTGGAACAAGATCTTGATGAAGATACGGCTGCTTGAGGTGGTCTCGTCTTCGTTCAGATGAACGACGGAGAAGACATGCCACCCGATGGCGTCGGTGCTGAGCAAGTGTCCGAAAAACCGCGCGATATTGCGTAATCGGTTGGTCTCGTATCGATGAATGGTGTCGTAGTACTTTGCAAAGGCTTGCTCGAAGAGGTCAGTCCACAAGCGGTTGAGCTTGGCGAATCGTTCGCCCACGAGGCCAAAGAATTTGGAATAGGTCTTCTCCTGAGAACAGCACTCGATGATCATGGACGGTAGTTCTGGCTCTTGCCCAGCCGGGAGTTGGACTTTCATCAATTTGTGGCATGCTTCTTCGAAGTCGAGACTGGACATGATGGTCAAGTAGATGGTTCTTCTGAGATTGACAAGGTCTGTGTTGGTCTGGTCCTTGATTTCCATGGCGCGTTCTTGCTCGGCTTCTTCATCGTCAGTGCTCTCCACGTCTGAGCCACTTTCGCCTTCCTCTTCATCACCACTGTCTTCACCTAGAATTTCGGCTTTCAATTTTCGGTATGCTTCCTCGTGCTCTTCCCATTCTGGATCAAACTTGAAAATGTTCAGGCTGTCTTGGGTATCGATTTCGTCGTCCAAATCAACTTGATGCGTGATTTGATCTTCTTCCTCCACCAAGTCAAGTTCCTCCCTGATCGCAGGGTTGTCCTTATATCGGTCTTTCCTGACTTGGAACAGGACTTCAATCATGTATTGTGTTCGTTTGTCGATATCGGCCTCGTGTAAGATGCTGCGGAACTGATCAAATACAGCTAATGCTATCGGCTGGCTCATTTCCTCCAAATGTTGTCCCACTTCTCTCGTCAAGCCGACAGCAATTTCCACCGAGTCGTCGGTCGGTTTGTGGAGAAGTAGTAGAAGAAGCTGAGCCGCCACAGTCTCGTGCGCAACCTGCTGGTTGCATAAGTGCGCAATAAATGTGGTTGAAGAAATGCAGACAGCCTTGTCGTTTCTTTTAAATGCCTTGCGGAACTGGACGACCAGACGGTTCAACAAGAGCTCTCCGACTTGAGGCAGCTTTGTATTGACAATGGCAGCCATGGCAGCGTAAATCGGAGTGAAGGGTAGAGAGGCAGCCTGCGCTTTCATGATGCTCCTGCAGAATAATCCTCGTCCACGAACCAGATTTTCTCCGAACAACTCCGGCACAATGTACTTGATGTTTGAGACGTTGACTTTGTTAATGAGGCCGTTGATTGACTTCTTGAGCGCCTCCCATGCCATGCGCTGATATTCCTTGCTGGTTTTGTCCGTGATTTCGGCTTGCAACGCCCGTAATCTCGCAGGAGGAATGTATGTACCACCCGATCTCATGTTGAGCAGTTTCTCATATTCCGCTTTCGCCGCAGCCTGCTTTTCCTCCGCAGTCAGGGGCTTCCGTCCAGTGTCTTCATTTTTCTTAGGCTTGAATCTCGCCATGAGCTGTCGCTCCCGGTCATCCATCTCTCGTTCTTGTTCTGCGCCATCTGGCTTCCGCCGACGATCCTCTTCGCTAGGGGCAGGCCGGCGACGTCTAGGAGATGGCGATCGAGAAGGTGGCGACCTCTTTCTGGCGCCCGAAGGACCAGGGGAATAAGAGCCGCCTGGAGGTGGAGTGGGAAGTCGTACAGCGGACGACAAGAGCATTGTGTCGGCCATCGTTCGAGTCGTAGTGCTGTTATACGGACGCTCGATAGCAGCAGAATCCTACGAGGTCAAGCCCTCATGTTGAGTCTTTGAAGACAAAAAGTTTGGACAAGCAGGCAACGAAGCGTACAAGCCAGTTGGAGACCGGAAAATCTGGTGGCGCCAAGCCCGCCGGTAGCCTTTCACTCGACTTGGAGTGGATGTTTGAGCGATTCGAGAAACGCGACTTGGGGATTCGTGTCCAATTCTCTACAGCGTGTCGTTGTATGTTTCCCGTGTTTTTTTGAGATCTAACAACGAAGATAAGAGGCGTTGGTCAATTCACTCTTGACGTATTCAGAGATGGTACGATAGAATCCCGCTCGTTCCAATGGCCGCGTCTAATCTGACTCTCTTTGCAGCTGGACAAAATCGTGGGCATGGCTATGCTCATAGCAGCCACCACCATCTTCTTGTATTACACGTTATGGGCTCTTCTCATGGTATGGGGTCTGGCTACTGAACAATGACCGTTTGGCTGAACTTGTGCTAGCCATTCGTTGACGACGACCATCCACTTCAGGCTCTGTTCCCCCCTCGCGTATGGGCTATTCGAATTCCGGTCATCCTCACTCTCTTTGGCTCAGCTGTTGTCGGAACATTTCTCGCCATGGTTATGATCAGAAGCAACAGAAAGAAGGCTGCAAAGGCCCGAGCTGCGGCAGCAAAGAAATCGAAATAAAGACAAAAGAGAATCATGGATGCTTTCAGAGTTCGAATGTGTCAAGGGAGTGCATATGGAATCAAACAGATGGCATATTCAACAACATATAACGGTATTAAACAAGGACGGTGCACTGCTGCCGATGCTCACAGTCGAGCGCATGTCTGAGAGCTCAACCATAGTGGTTGCAGTCCAGGTTAGCATTTGCAAGGTCCGAAGAAACACGATGCGATCGCTTGCTAGATTGATGGGGGCCATGCGTACCGTCGACTTGGTCGCAATAGGATGACTTTGTTTACCGGTAGCCCATTCTTGTCGAGTAATGACCGTGTATGAACATGCTCTTTTGCTTTTCTTCTTGCATCCGTCCTCTTGGGCCCCTTGCTCTCGTTAGGTGCCGGTTTGCTCGAGGGTCGGTCTTAGGAGAGGTGAATGGCAGACGATGGTTGTGACACCTACGTGGGCAACAGCTGAAGTCTTCTAGTCAAACAAGAGCCGCTAAGAAATCTGTGGACCTATGGTGCCTGTATCCGGCATGTGGTAGCGAGGTTGTCCGCCGGGTTCGTTGTCGATGATGATGATGATGGACAGTGAGCATGGCCCTGATCACAAGCCTGTGTGAAGGTGAGCCGCAAACGGACTTGCCGACTGCAGCCGGACCTGGTCAAATGACATGGATCGTGCATAGAGCCCAGCCACCGGCATCATAAGCAACTGCTTTCCCTGCAAAGGGCCATGATGGGCCATGATGGAGCTCTCCCCGCACCTAATCTAAGTAAAGACTGTTGCTAGTTGACCACCCACGAGTCCGAGCCAGGCTGCGTGCGATAAGCAAGGCATTCAACCCGTGACACACCGAATCAACCCAGCCCTCCTGACTCGAAAGGCTCAATCGCCATGCCACATCTTATACAAACAACTGCCTGACTGCGACTCTCCTCGCTGTTACACTCAAAGCCTCTCTCGTTTGCAACCTGCATGGTACTGTACTGATCGTATCGAATCCACTGCCTATCCCTTACTTGCGTCAATCACCGTCGATCCGAACCCCAATACCATAAACCACGCATTCGCGGTAAAGACCCCGCGTTGCCAGGGGTCACGACGAATGTCCCTCCTTCACATCGCAATCTTGACCACCGTCGATCGATACTAGTAGTCTGCGGAGGGCTGCTTCTGCCGTGCCCTTGGCTGCTACCCAAACTCTTTGAATGCCCGCTGCCAACAGATCAAAACACTCCGGCACCAAGAAACCTGATCTATACTCCAACCACATCGACCCCGATGACATACAGGTAGAAGAGGAACCAAGAGTCGGAAGGAAAAAGACAAAGAATGCTGCTGCTAAACAGCCAACGTACCTTGACAATGCCGAAGAGAGCCTGTCGCCTGAGCAGATGGGTCAACAGTCACTCCCACCTGCTAACCCGCAGTCAATTCTCGGGCACTTGAACCCGACCTTCCCCCAGAACAAGCGGCAGAATGATAGCTCTGATGCCTTGAACGAGGTGGACCCTACCCAAAAGGTGTCGGATGAGCACACACCGCCCACCAACGTCTGGGCTCGAAGTGCTGGATATGGGCAGTCTCCGCCAGTCGACCCAATTCCTGGGTTCAGTGTAGCTGGCTCACCTCCCTACGAACCTGGCTTCAATACTCGAGGCGGTTTCACAAGGAGTCCACCAATTTCGCCGCCATTAAGGAAGGCTAGACCCGTGAGTTATGGAAGTGGCATTCCTCCGTTGCCTTCCCATCACAGAGTTTCGACCTCACCTTATGCTTATACTGTAAATGCCTATGGCTCCCCACCAGCTCTGCCGCACCTACCTCAACAGCACTTCTATGGTCCTCATGATGTCGACATAGGGCTTGCCAACGTCACAGCACAGATGAACCTAAAAGATCCGGTTCCCCTTAAGTTCGCCCATGTCCCAGGGTATGGGAATGAGGCTCGTGAGGCAGTGTTCGTGACAGGCGAAGGAGAACTGAATGTCCTCGGCTACAACGGCGACAAATTGGAACATTCAGGCTGTCTCGGAGGTGTGCAGGGAGCTATTCTTGATGTTTGTCTACTGACCTGGAACTCTGGCGACGATCCGTTCGCGGAATACCGGCCCTTGGTGGCCCTTACTACCCACGGCCCTAGCAATTCGGAAGGAGATCCTGCAGAGGCAACACCTCAAGATGCGGGTGTCACATATCTCGAGACCAGGGTTGTGGTGTATTCAATGAGCAAGAGCTGCCGAATTGCGGAATTGTTGCGTGTCCCATCCACCATGAGAATGTTTCATGGAGGTATCCCGTTACCAGGCCCCGCCGCAAATCTGAAGACACAGGCAAGCGGTAACTACGTCGTCGTATCGTCCGGTCACAGTGGCGAACTCTATGTCTTCTCGGTCCGCAAGGGCACTGACTCCGCAGTATTCGAATGCCTCGGCAAATATTGGACTACCCTCCAGCCCCAGCTGCAGAGAAGAGACTCATCACAACCTGCGTCAGATGCAGACATTTCGCCTGCCGACCTGGGCCGTGGAGCTGATGGGGAAGACTCGTCTATCTTCAGCATGAATGGCCGATGGCTAGCATTCTGTCCTGCGAGCACTCCTTCTCGTAGATCGATCGGCGCCCTGCTCGGTGAATTCGTCGTTCATAACAAGAACTCTCCTATCTCCGCCGGCACAGCCCCTTCGAGGCCTCCAGTAACGTGCGATGTTGACTCAACCGATGTCGATACCTTCTTCGCTAAGGTTGCCAAGGGATTTGCACAGGAAGCCGTCAGGAGTGCAAAATGGATCGGAGAGAAAGGTGTGCAGACTTGGCAGAACTACTGGAAGAAAGACTCGTCCGCCGACAATCTTCCCCATGTACCATCGTCGAGCCCGCCGCTGTATTCGCCTCATCTTGGTGTGGCACAATTTCCACCCACCCATGCCATTGACATCCAAACCCACTCAAACGATCCGGAGGTTATATCGATCCTCGACTTGAAATCTTTGCAAGAAAGTCAAGGCAGAAGGATCGAGTTCAGCCCTTTGGCTACGTTCCAACCGCCAGGAGGCTGCAGCTTTCTCTCCTTCATGCCCACTGGGCTTGGTCTCTTGACCGCCAATAGGAAAGGTGATGTGCAATACGTTTGGGACTTGCAACAAATGAGACACATTAGAATTTCGGCAACATCCACGCCACCCGACAGCGGGTGTGTTCGACAGATTGCACGCTACGAGCGGTTAAGTCCTTCCACCATCGTCGATGTGGTTTGGGACGGCTCAACAGGCTACCGGTTCGCTCTGCTTACAAAGAATCGAACAGTACATATCTTTGATCTGCCAAAGACCGCTTTTCAGTGGCCACCGCCTCCCCTGAAGAGAAATCGCCCTACTTCTGCACCCGTGGAACCTCCCCAGACAAAGGCAGAGCATGAGCCAGCACCAGCTGGAGGGTTCTTCGCTTCAGCCATGACTATCGCGGGCAGAACCCAGCCGATGCTAGCGAACCTGAGAGGGCGAGCTCCGAGCATTAGCAGCGGGATCACTGGGTTTGGTGCTTCAGGTATTGGGCTTGCTTCTACCACTAGTATCAGATCGGGTAGGGCGGTAGCGGCAGGGCTTAGCAAGTCTCTCGGGGCCGCTACAGAAACGGTTACCAGTCTTCGACATGCAAATCAAAGCAGGCTTTATTTGAAGGTGCCAGCCCGAGCGGGATTGCTCTATTGGCAACGACGTGACGGAAAGTCTGTCTTATCAGTTCTCGATTCGAACAGCATCAAAAGCTACTATGTGCGCATGACAAAACCGAGAGAGGACCGTCAGAGACACACCGTTTCAGTCTTTGATGCCCGGAAGCCAGTGGCAACTAAATTGCCAAAGGCCCTCGAATTGCTGGAAGGTCAACCACACAGAGAAGCTGACACTCCAAGTGCAGACGTTGCAATGACTGGATTCTGGAGATCTCGAACCATTAGAGGAGAAGGACTGAAAATGTCACATCCCTTGGCTTCAGCCGAGATCGAAACGAACGCACCATATCAGCCATTCCACTCCGATCATCGAGTCACCGTCTCACTGATTGAGGGTAAACAGTTGTCTGCAGAGCATCACTCCACTATCCCTGTACAGCGAATAGCAGCACCACAACGCAGTGTCGCCGCCGCAGGTAAGTGGGTTTTTGGCGAGGAGATCCAGTCCCATCAGATACCAAATACCGCTGTTCGGCAGCCGTCAGACGAGGCCGATTCTATAATCTACCACGAGACCAAGATTACGTCCGATTTGCCTCCCTTAGGTAGTACCCCGGTCGAGTCACTCAGCGAAGGAGTGAGCCATGCCGTCAGCAACAACAAGAAGCGCAAGAACAAGAAGAACAAGTCGCCTGCTCTGATAGTCGCGGATGATGGTTTCGGTGAAGTTGATCTGGATACTGCGCGCCGTGATGGTGCGGTCGACCTAAACATGGATCTAAGGCAGGATCGAGTTCAGGACTTACTGGAGGATGAAGATCTTATAGGATGAGGTCTGACTCGGCGTGCGCTCAAGCTTCGGTCTTCTGTGACTTGACATGGGAATCGGAGCTTACTTGTCCTTGTCCCTGTCCAGGAACCAGTGCTACATGTTTATACAAAGCTCACTCAACGTTGGCTATCTTGTACAGAGTAACGTTCATCAACTCCATCCATAATGCCGGGGACATCCCTGCGCTATACCAAACATGAAGCCGCCAATGCCAGCAAGTAGTGGAACGCATGACAACTGGGCTCGACACGGTTCTCGGACCTGCCCAAGCCCAGCAGCTGTCTGCAGCAGGACGAAGCAGAATTCTATGCCAATCCTGGCTCACTTTGAGTAAGCCTTCATTCACATTCTCAAGTGATATGACTAGTCACCTTGAGCGGCCTGTGAATGGGTTGCCTCAGTTGGAGTGAATGGTATGTTTGTCTGGCCGGTCCGCGAAGTGAATGTGCTTCGCATTACTGACCACTTTCACTTTCAATATATTCCTCTTCGTTTTATTTCTTGCAAATCTGTCGCGCTGCATCCTTTCACCACCCAGTCTAATATTGAACAACTATCACTATGATTATTCGCGCCATCACCTAGCGAACTCGCCATGGAAGGCCCGTGGATTCGTCCTTGGGTGGGATCTGTTTACTACGGTGAAGACGAGACCGGAGAATTGATGGAAAGATACCTGGCACGCTATCCTGCCTACCGTGAGCCACAACGAAAGGTAGCGTCTTCGTTACTTCGCACAGCTTGAGCCTTCTACTTAGCTTGACCAGGACCTCCGAAATCTCGAATCCAGACTGCAATCCGTCAGCGTCCGCATCGGACTTTACCCTGATCTCATCGAGGAACGTCTTACTAGAGGCGAGCTCCTACTGAAGCTGAGATACCCTGAGCTTTCTGTCTCTGACGCAAAGAAGGCATTGATCTTCATTGACACCAACGTAAGTATGGCCTGTCGAGAAGACACCATACCAAAGTGGAAAGCTAATATCCGCATTGCTTTAGGCCGCAGAGGCTCGACCAGATTTGGATGATGAAGCCCTTGACATACTCAGATGCCGAACTATTCTCCTCATTGGCCGCTCCCTCTTTCTTGGCAGGTGCTTCGTCGACTGCCTCGATATCGTTCCGAAGAATCCAAGCAAGAACAAATATGCGAAAGATGAGGATTTTGTACGCCTGAGGAGATATGCCCAAAAAGCCCTTGAGTTCGAATTGGATCACAACATGCAGGATCCAAGCTTTCAAGAGATGAGTGAGGAAGATCAGGAACATTCAATATCAAAAGGAGAAATCATGGTAGTACCATACCCGTGGATCTCCGATAAACTATTTCGACGGAAGGCTTCTGCAATTGATCACGCCAACTCGGACATTTGGAAACTCTCCCAGGGCCGTGTCATCATCAAGCAGAGTACGCTATCCGACCAGTTGCGGGAGTATGGCCAGATACGGCCCGATCAAGACTCATACGGTATATTTGCAACAAAAGACATACCAGCAGACACCGAACTTTTTTGGGATCGCACTATCCTTTGCGCAACCACTGGCGAGGACCGTTGCGCGGCATGCTGTGCGGACCTGAACCAAAATGTTTTCTACACTACTGCCCTAGAATCATGCTGCGATATGGCTTGTCTACGAAGACTCAGGATGGCTTGTCAACCTGGTCGACGCGCAGAAGTACAAGGCATGCTGGCTGATGCTCCCCAGAACGAAGACGAGGCGCTCTTGCATCGAGGGCTTATCATGGCCCACAAATATACGCAGGATAACCCTTCCAAGCATCCGCTACGGGCACGACTACTCAACCGTCTGACAGCACGCTATCACCCCGGGGCCAGAAGGGCTTTCTCGTACGGTGCAGAAGTCTGCAGGCCGATCGAGATTCTGCAGAAGCTCGGTGTTGACATATTTACGGATGACTTGTCTGAAGCGTGGGTGCTTGAAACCATGTTCAACCGCATCTCGACGAACGTACGGGCTGTTGAGCCGGACGGAAATGCAATTGTCGCTGTCAACACTCTCTACAGCTTCTTCAATCACAGTTGTGATCCGAATGTGGATACACTAGAGGACGACCTCAAAGGAGACAGTTCTGTTGGAATGGTGACGAATAGGAAGATCTTCAAGGGTGAAGAGCTGTATATAAGCTATATCGCCGACAAGGATTTGCGAAAAGGCTATCACCAAAGGAAGAAACTTTTGGAGTATTGGACCGGAGGAGAGTGTCTCTGCAGAAAATGTGCTTACGAAAGGGGATCTTCCTGGACGCTCGACGACGATATGGAATTCGAGGACGAGTCTGGGGCACATAACGAAAGCCAGCGAAGAAGAGGTGGGCACTACAGTGACTTCGAGGCTGATTGGGTCGTGCATGACACCGATGATCTGAGTGAGGATTCGTACCAAGAGGAATAGGATGTCATATGGGACGTTCGGGAGAACGACTATGGAGATTAGGAGTTGCTTTCTGGATTGCGCTGGGAACCAAGTGACATGTGTGGAAGAACTGTCCTTGGAGACGACTATTGGGCTCTGAATGTCGAACCGATTACGAAATCAGATGGACATGGAAGGATATTCGAGTGCTCTCCAGAAGCTTGGTGGAGATTGCCATGTGTATTGGTCGAGGCGACAGTTAACTCGAGAAAAGGAGAGGTTGTCAATATATGATCGTGGACGGATGATGGAACGACAGTGCTCAATGAACACTCCCTATCAAGTCGAACAGCTTCCAATGAGCACGAGGACAAAGAATGAGGACAAAGCACTGTACAAGACTTCACAGAGCTGAGAAGAGGAACAGATATCTACATCCAGAAGATGGACTGTCGGCGTCTGCTTCGAATACAGCATACTCAACACCTTCCTATGGCGACTCTCCATGGTTAACTGCTGCCCAGCGACAGGACTCGATGACCAAGTCCATTTCACGTCACTTCTCCGACAAAGTCTTTGTCCTTGAGGTATACTGCTGTGTTTATATATGGGTTGTCAATGTTGTCTCGAGAACTTCCTCCTTTGTGCTTTGTTCCGAGGCATCACCGCCTTTGTGATAAATTCGACCACACTATGGCTCTGTCATTGTTCCCCTTCACCGACAGCAGTCTGGCTCTTTGAATACTCGGCCCAGCTTCTGTCCTTGTTGTTGCTGGACTGGTCATTCACTGTTGAAGGTGGTGCTGCCACAGCGACAGTGCGACACAATGAAAGAATTACAGCAGCTCTGTGAGGCAGTTGTCTTGATCTGTGCTATTAAACCCACTGTCAAAGCCTGGGATACTCGACTTTCTGTCCTCTTTCTAACCCTCCGATGAAAGACTACCGATCATTGCTCCTACTCGCGCGACTCCATTTTCCACTCACAAACAGTGAACGCTGGACACAATGGCTCGAACACAGCGCGACAAACCCACGCCAACCTCAGCGCAGTTTGGAATCTACTACCCAGAAGGAGATGGATACCTCTTCGTCTCGATGTTGGGAGCAGGTTCACATGGCACAGCATGCCTGGTCCGGTCCGTCGCCGACGGCCAAGTATATGTGCGAAAGAAGATTTCACCCAGTTACGCGTTCGACGAGAACAATGAGTGCAAGGACGTCAAGTACTACCTTGCACACCCGAACATCCCAAGACTTTTGCATGTGCAGGAGCATAAGCTGCTAGTGGACCCATCGGAATATCCACCAGACGCGGCATCTGCTACGATGTCCAAGTACTTCAACCCAGAGACATTCAAGAGTGTCGCGGCCTACTTTGATTACTGCAACGCAGACAGCATTATGAGGTTGACCCACTTTAAACAGTTTAAGCCCTCGACCTTGTTCCTACTGAAGACGTTCGACCAGCTGTTAGATACCTTTGGGTACTTACATCGCAATGGTGTTGCACATCGCGACGCACACATGGCCAATCTCTTCTTGCATTTTCCCAATGATAATGCTCCACTCCCTGACCTTTTCGTCGGTGACTACGGATGCGCGTCCACCATCCCCTCAGACATCTGGCAAGATGATACGCACACGCAGCTCAAACGTGAGCCAAGGATGCACCTGTGGGACGAAGGTGTAGAGGCAATTGTTATTGATTTACGCTCTGTGGTTCAATGCATGGCTCATCTTCTGATGGGTGTCCCGCCAATTTATACGGAGTCCGACGCAGAGGGAAGCACCGCCTCAGCGCAAGGCATCGATGTCGTGTTCGAACTCCACGAAAATCTCTGGTCCAGCTTTCTCAATCATCAGCCAGAGGGTACTTACCCGGGGGAGCTCTACTATCAATGGTTTCGACTTAATCGTATGGTTAAAAGAATGGAAGGACGCCATTTCGACGCCTATGATGTGTTCTACGACATCAAAGAATGCGTGAGCAACTTGAGATGGGAAGAAGAACAAGCCGTCAAGCCCGAGGATGTACAGAATCTGCGATGGATCAACGATTCGGACGAGCGCCGTCATCTCGACTTTAGAAAAGGATCCAATCCTCATCTGTTCGCATCGAGAAGTGCGCTGAACTCGTTCTCTGCAGCGGACATCCCAGGACCCTACCGTATCGCCAAAGTCGATCCACAAACGTTTACGGTCCTTGGAATTGAAAAGTTCGACCACTCGTGCTTCATCCCTGTTCCAGACTTTCCTTATGACAAGGAATATCTCCTACCGAGCATCCGACAGCACGAGGAAATGGGTATGGGTGAGTGGCACAATATTGTGGAGAAAGCCGATGAGGTCCTCGACGGTATAGCGGCTCCTGATTACGCGGCCCTTGGTTATGTGATGCCAAAATACGAGCCTGTGAGCCTGGACACGATACAGCACTACTTCGGCACTGATTGGGACTGGTATCCTGGAAAGACTTACGGTCGTTTTGGCGTCGGTACGCTCGTGGACCCGGCGGTGCTGGTGGACTCGGACTCGGATGATGAGTCAGTGGCGAGAGAGGAGGAGGCTCGTTCTGGTGCTGGGACGCTCGTGGACCCGGTGCTGATTGACTCGGATGAGGAGGAGGAGGAGGAGGAGGAGGTCGGCGCAGTTGTAAAGAGATCTGCGTCGATGGATGGTGAAGAAGATGGAGCGGCTGAATCACAGGAACGAGGAGAGAGTAAGCGGCGCAAGCGAGGGGGCTCGGATGAGATGGACAATGAGAGAAGGATGAAGAGACGTAGAGAAGAGTGACGGCCACACGGGCGACGGAATCGTTTAGGCTAGTTTCCAATGTCATTGCGATGGAACACAACTTCTAGGTACTAGTAGTAGTTGCTTCGATTTGCACACGCGATGAGACTTGTTGCTGCTGAAGTCGTCTCCAGAGCCTGTGGGTACAAAAGCTGGTCTTATCTATTGAGAAGTACGTCTGTTCTAAGGGAGGATTGTTTGGACCCTTGAGACGATGTCCTCCTGGATCGATAGTCGTGGGCTTTTTATGATATACTGTACCCTGTCGTGCCTGTTGACGTGCCTTTGAATGCTGACTAAGAAGCCGATATTTCTCTGAGATATTATGCCTCTGTAGTATAGTATATACACTACAGTCTGTGAGTGTGCTGAAAGAGGTGTGTCCCTTGTGGCTCAAACCGTGCCTTTTCTGTCCTGTGTACCGCCCTTATTATATAGAAGTTGAAGACCGTTTAAGATGATGACCTTCCTGGATTGTAATAAGTTGGCTTTTAACAATATACTGTAATGTGTAATAGTGTTGATGTCCTTCTGTGTGCCGAATCGAGATGGCAGTAGCTTTCTTTTCGTTGTGTGCATCCTGTATCCCGCTAGATATACATATACCCATACTCAAAGTGTCCATAACTGTATTGAAAGAGGTGTCTGCCTTATATAGACTCAACAGTCCATCACTGTGTCAATGGAGGTGTCTGGCCTGTATACACATACTTATAGTGTCCATCACTGTGTCGATAGAGGTGTCCTCCTCTACCTGGCGGATCAGACCGGACAAGATTCATCCCCTGTGCCACCAACTTTGTCCTGTAGAAGAAAACAGGTTCGCAGCTCTAATTTTCTCTTATCTACCACTTAGACGACAGCCTCTCCGTGCCTCTTGGACTCGACCAGCTCGACATTGCTCTCGGACCGTCCAACGGGGTACGTGTCGGCGTCGACACCCAAGTCGATGGACTTCCCTGGGTCTGAGGAGCTGTGAGAGTGAGAGATGTCGGCCGCTGGTGGGTGGTGAGAAGTCCGTCCCTCGCGGTATTGGAGCTGGATCTTCTTCGGACCGGGACCCCCGCTGGTGGAGTTGGAGTTTGGGTAGGGGTCGTTGCTCTCGGCGGCGGTGCTGCCGAAGCACGATGGGGCGACGCGTTTGAGGAGGTTGCGGGTCGATGGCATCTAGACCATCGGACGAGTTAGTATGGATAGTGAACGGATGGGGACAACATGTGCGAGATTGACGGTGTTTTCGGACATTAGGCAGGACGGGGTTCAAGACGATAAACCGAGGAGGGAAAAGGGAGAATGGCAACGTACGCAGCAGCAGATTATGAACATGTCGCATTCGAGGACCGACCAGTAGACGGCGGGAGAGTTGTCGACTGTTTCAACGTGGGTTTTCAGTAAGCATTGAGCATTGGCGTGGACATGTATCTGACAGAGAGCAATGGGGACTGTAGAGGGAAGTGCTTGCTCATGCATCACACCTTGGGAGGGTAGGTGTGTCGGGGAAGAGGATGTCAACGAGCCCTTACAGGTAGGATTTGTCGTCTTGGCGAACTGAATCAACGATCGCAGTCGGAGGATACTGATGATTGTGATCCTATGACAACATTGTCAGTCATGAGCGACAGAAGGAGATGATAGAGGTGGACGTACACGAATCCCACGCTGAACATCATGATGACCTGGATCTTCTTCCTCCAGCTCATTTCGAGCTTCAACAGCATGGGGATCGGCAGGGAGAGGATGGCCACGTCCAGACCGATCTCGACGGCGGCGCGGATCCACGAGAACAGGTTGATGTTGATACAGGTGCCCGTGGTCTCGCCTGCCCAGCCCTGCCAGAAGAACGGGATCGGTGTACACTGGAAGATCATGGCGAAGGTGTTGGCGATGCCGAAGCCGACCGAGATACCCATGAGCGTGAAGACGACGAAGCGGAAAGTTCGCGAAGAGAAGACCCGCAGGTAGAAGGCCAGCAGGGAGAGTTGGACGAATGCTTCGGCGGCCATGTAGAATATCTCGGCGATGTAGAGGAGCTGGAAGGAACGCAAAGCCTGTGAGAACAGGAACGGACACGCTTTTGCTTCATGAAGAGACAACAGCGCACTTACCTGAAGAGTTTTATCGATGTGAGGGAACGGTATGGTCCAGAAGTCTCTGCCCATGCCGTAGCGTGCCACTGCACCATCGTTAGAGATCGCGGTTCTGTGGCAGGGGCTTTCGTGGAAACTAGGATAAGGGCTCACTAGGAATGCAAACCCAGTTCAATGGGCCTGCTAGTATCACGGCGGCTATGACAAAGTAATCGTCCCATTTGAGTAGCATTTTGCTGTTCCATTGACGGTCGGCAACGCGGAGGATAACCATGAGGACCGAGAGGCTTCCGAATGCGGCCGGGATGGCCAGCACTGTGGTTGAGACATCATTTGGTGGGACGCCGCATGCTGCGAGGGTAGCATTGGTTGATGCTAGAACTTGTGTCAGAGACATACATGAAAGTCTGGGGCGTGCACCGGGCTGACTGAAGAGAGCTGAGCCGTAGGTTGGTGAGGATGACTTACTCAGTGTCTCTTTGACGGTACAGTTGAGTGTTTGACAGCCAGCAGCGGCTTGCAGAAATGCCCCGTCACCGCATAGGCAAGCTATATCGGTCGGTGAACAGCTCGACAGGGTGATTGTCTGCTGGAAACAGCTCACCTACAGGAGGGAAGTTTAGCATGTACGCATAACAAGGCTCGACGAGCCGCCAACGTATATTCCGGGAACTCTTACAGCACATTGTGGTAGCTGGTCGAGCAGGTTGCTTTGCGCTGACGAACCAGCAATGAGGCTCGTAGCAAACATAAAAACTTGGCTCAGCTTCATGGTGGAATGGATTGCTCAACAACGTCGACAATGCTGGGTGAGCAGAACGTTGAACTCGGCTGGCCGAGAGGAAGAGGGTAGCGACCATGTTCTGGGAGGCTTATAGCCTCCTCGGAAGATGCTCTTTGATCGCAGAGGAGAATGATTGACAGGTTTCATAACCGTAAAGAGTAGAGCTATGTGGCTAGGAGTTCGGTACCCATTCACCAGGGTATGACTGTTAGACCGTGGACCTTGGGGGGAGTAAACGACAGCCTGCAAAGCTTTTCACTCGCGGAAGAGTCCATCCGACATTGGGTTCAAGATCTGCAGCGCCGCTCGGTTCAATGATCACCATCTCGAAGTTGATGGGTGGTGCCCTGTTCCTGGTGCCTGAGAGGCATATCTAACTGCTTCGGCATGGCTGTGGATTTGTCTGCCCATTTGATCAGGGGATGAGAACGCTGGATGTTGCAGAGTGCCTCGCATTAAAACCAGCCTCACCTTATCTCGGTGGAGCATATATGTACTGAAAAGCTCGTCGAGGTGCTGGAAGCGGTGGAGCAGTGCCAGGAGTGGGAGATCGACTGATGAGAATTAGTACGAGTAACGCGAGCGCCTTGACATGCTGTGCGTCTATTCAGATTAGGCTCAAAGAGGTTGATGATTGTCTTCGAGGAGCCGGGATAACGTGGAGACGAAGTTCGCCTCGATGTAGGCTCGTACGAGTACAGGACTCCCTTCGTAGGCGCGTCGCGGATGTAGTCCTGGTGTTGCAGATCCCGATTGACAGACCAGTCCGCAGCCACAATCCTTAACATAACGTGCCTCGCGCAACATCGCAATCCAACTCCTCCGGGTCGTCAATCAGCGCACATAACGCCAACAAGCACTTCTGGACTCTGGGACCTGTCCGATGACGGCGGCCAATCCTTTGCGTCGCTGGCCGGTGCTTGAAGTACCAGGCGAGATGGTTGTAGGGTCCCCTTGCTGGGTTCGAGTATGTGCCTTATCCTGCCATGACTGCCCATGTTATTCACGCACCACTGCCCAACAACTGGAACACCCCAGATGGTGGCTTTCACTAGCTCTTCAGAAAGCCGAAATGGCAACGGCAACGGGCACTATGCGCGGCAAGCAGAACAGATGCCCACGGAACCCCAATGCCTCGCATAAGCACTCAGCGCCGGTGTTTTGAGTCGCAGATCTTGACCCATTTCTTCCAACGTCTGGTGGGGACCAATAAGGAACTTGCTGGACTCTCTTGCAGGTCAATGGGACGCCTTGTTCTACTTTATCATCCCTCATCGGACGGGGACCGGACCTTTCTCTGCTGAGTTCAAGTTTCGAATCTTCCTTTGGCCGGATATTATGATGGCTTCCTCGACAGTCATCGTGAGCATCGTGCTGGGACTCGCCATATTGTACGTTCTGAGTCGACCGAGAAATGCTGGTCGCGCGCCATTACCACCCGGCCCGAAAGGGTTACCAGTTCTGGGGAATTTGAATGACTTGCCTAAATCCGGTGTGCTCGAGGCCCACCACTGGCTGAAGCACAAGGATCTCTATGGTTCGTGCAAACGATTCTCCAGGCCCTCTTGCAAACAAGGTACTCGTATGCTGAACAAGCCCGATGCTGGGCTCTTGACACAGGCCCGATTAGTTCAGTGACCGTGATGGGTCAGACTCTGATCATCATCAACGACTCCAAACTCGCGTTCGAGCTCCTGGAGAAACGGTCCGCCATCCATTCCTCTCGTCCGAAGCAGATCTTTGCCGGGGAGATGTTGGGCTGGGAGAACTCGCTAGGCCTGTCTCCATACAACAATCGTTTCCGAACCTACCGCAAGAACATGGCCAAGATCATTGGCTCTAAATCAGCAGCCTCGCAATTCAGTCAGTTGCAAGAGGCTGAAGCTGGCCATTTCCTGTTGCACGTCCTGGAGAAGCCCGAGAACTTGCTTGATCACATCAGACGGTCTGTAATCCCACCACGAAGTCATGCCGATCGACTTCTCCTACAGCAACTAGCACTGACTCTGTCCTGACAGGGAGGCCGGCGCCGTCATCTTGAAAATCGCTTACGGCTATACTGCCGAATCGGACAAGGATGATCCTCTCATCGACATGGCTGGTGACGCGATGGATAAGTTTGCGCGCGCTGGAGTGCCCGGTGCTTTCATGGTCGACATTATGCCCTTTCGTAAGTTCATCACCCGTAGCCTTTCACCAACTTCCGCTAATTTCCTGCCCAAGTGAAACGACTACCAGAATGGTTCCCCGGCACAGGATTCAAGCAAACGGCCAAACAGTGGGGCGCCGAACTCACCGATGTGGCCGAGAGACCCTACGCATTCGTCAAGCAACAGATGGCCCAGGGCAAGAACGAGAGTTCTTTCCTCTCTCAGCTTCTCGAGCAAGGCGACTCGGATCCAGAGGAGAAGTTCACAAACAAGTGGTCAGCCATGTCTTTGTACACAGCCGGTGCGGATACGGTAGGGTTCTTCTGAGTCCTTCACTAGTATCTTCGGGCCAAAGAGCAATGCTAACCCTGACCTCAAATTTGCCAGACCGTGTCTTCACTAGCATGTTTCTTCCTCGCCATGACTGTCTCCCCAGAAGTCCAGAAATCAGCCCAAGAAGAAATCGACCGCGTCGTCGGAACAGACAGACTCCCCACCGTCGCCGATCGCGAGAATCTACCGTACGTCGACGCCGTTGTCAAGGAAGTCCTGCGCTGGCACCCCGTCGCCCCGATGGGTCTCCCGCACACCAGTACCGAGGACGACATTTGCAATGGGTACCTCATCCCCAAAGACGCCATGTTGTTTGCGAATGTCTGGTAAGTGCCAGCAAGCCCCGTCCAGCCCGCAATTTTCACCATCTTTGGTGGTTAGATGCCTCGTGCAAGAAATGAGAGAACAAGGCTGATGACAAGGGCGGGCAAATTAGGTACTTCACCCACGATCCCCAATCGTACCACGACCCCATGACGTTCAAGCCAGAACGCTTCCTCAGCACCAGCACGAACGGCCACAACACGCCCGAGCCCGATCCGCACATGTACGTGTTCGGCTTCGGTCGACGGATCTGCCCGGGAAAGCTCCTGGCCGACAACGCGCTATACTTGACCATTGCGCAATCACTCGCGGTGTTTAGTATCGGCAAGGCTGTCGAGGACGACGGGAGAGAGGTCGAGCCTGAAGTCAAGTTCCAGCCGGGCGTGGTCAGTCACCCTGTACCATATAGGAACACGATCAAGCCAAGGTCGGCGCATCATGAAGAGCTGATTCGAGGCATCGAAAAGATGTACCCGTGGCAAGAAAGTGATGCGAAGACATTAGAGAGTATGAGTTACTAAACCACTCTATGGAATATGGTAGGTAGTTTTGTGGTAGCTCGAGAGCCTGCGAGGTGCGGAGGCTCTCAGCTGCCTCGGGTAGATACGAAAAACAGAAAACCACCACCTATAATAAGCGGTTAGGTACAGTAATGACATCTGTTTTTCCGTATATACCCGAGGCAGCTGAGAGATAGCTGCAGCTACCAGGCGGTCGTTCGTGCGGGTCGATTTCCAATGTGTGCGACAATCAAGCACCAGCACCGATCAGGGGAGTTCAGCCTTGCACGTGACCACTATCCAGCCGTCAGGGGCGGCCAGCGCCGCAAAATGAGCGTGTCAGTGCTTGCAAATGTCTTATAACGCCATGCAGAGTAATGGGCTCGCTTCTGAATCGAGAATCTCATGATCAGCCGACGCTCTCATGCTTTCCTGTCCTCGAAGCCGGGAAATCATGTGGTATTCCTTCCTTGAACGCCATGCGCCTATAATCGTCATGCACAACATCAATCACTCTTCCATCTTCACATCCTGCTTGGGTAGGTTGCCCAAATTTCTCAACAGGTAGGACCTCTTGAAGTAGGTGTTCGGATGAACAATGGTCTCCAACTCGGCAGGGCCCCATATGCCCTCGTCCTTGACTTTCTTGATTTCTGCCTTGTGCGCCCAATCAAAGACCCGGTTGCAGGCAATATGAAACCTCTTCTTTTCTACATCTTCTTTAACGCCTCGCAGCACTTCTCGGTCATGCACGCCCGTGGCCTGAAGCATACTGGTGAGATTGTCCACGCTGAAGTGTCGATATGGACAGCCATGTGCTTCACCTATTCCAGGCGGATGTTCTGTCAAGATCTTCTGGCATGAGTATGGTGCGTAGCCTCTTCCGCGACGATTTACGTCGCCACCAACATCACCATATGCGTGTCGGACATTGTAGCGGTATTCCTTGTTGAATTGGTCATCGGTGATGAGTTTGAAGCTCTGCCGCCAGAACAGCAGACAGTCCTCCAACGTCAAGCCAATACCCTTCAGGAATAGTGTGTACTGGAGTCTTCCGTAATGTTTGAGATGGTTGTTTTTGCGCAAGGTCGAATGGAGGTGCTTCATGCACAGAGGGAAATGCTGGGACAGGTTGTCAACGTTTGCTGCACTAATGGGAGCACCAGCAACTGATGAATCAGACTCCGAGTAGCCAGCATCAGGCGTCGCAAAGTTCTTGGAGAGGTGGTTGAGGATGGGGGTTAGGCGGTCGTCTTCGTCCAGACGAGGTAACGCACGAGCGGTCAACTCGAGGCCTTTCTCGAGGCGGTTGGCAAATTCCGTCAGTACCATGCTCGTCTGTTCTCGCATAGGTACGTAAGCTTTGCCTTTTCGGACGAGGACTGTCCGATGCTCGACCAATTCCGGTACTCGTGTCCATTCGACTTTGAACCAATTCTCATCCTCCAACCGGCGCAGACCCGGTGTTGCAGAAAGGAGCTGCTCACCCAACTCTCGCTTTTCCTCCTCTTGTACCAATTCCCAATTCAAATTTATGCTTTCCACGAATGCCCGTCTTTCCCTGCTGTCGTCTGCTTGGAAGCGGAGCTTGAACAGCATGGTCTCCACCCTAGAGAAGCGTCTTCGCAAGTCTTCTGTTCCGGAGAACGCCAGCCGGAGGATGAAGTGCGAGTAGTGATCCTTGCGCCGTTCATTTCGCAAGCGTTGGTCGATCACACCGCCAGGGGCAGCAGAATTGGAAGCAAGAGGAAGGTATTTCTTGAGTAGTGGCTCGAGATGGGCAGCGGTTTCTTGCGGGGATTTGTTTCTGAATGAGCACGCCTCGATCTCAGCAAGAACTGCTGGATGTTAGCACTTTCAGGCTTGATGAAAAGGAGCCGTACTTCTTAATCTGTCTATTGCCCAAGTTTCGAATTCCTCCAAACTGATTTCCTGGGTTGGTGGGACATCGTAGAAGGATAAGCGGTAAGGATAATCTTGCTCCTTGAACGTGGCAGTTGCAAACTGAGTCTTCTTGTAGTCGACCTTCTTACGTTTCACATCGAATCGGGTGTCTGTTCGCATCATCTTGGTGGTGGTGCTGAAGGGCGTTCAAGACAACAGCATTGTAAAGGCATTAATGATGAGAAACGCGCAGACGCGTCCGCCATTTTACGCGTCGAGAGCGTCTGGAATCTCCAACAATTCCAGTCTAGTTTCTCCAATTCTGCGGAACGGATTTTCTTTTAGGCGTCGCTCGACAGTTGTTAGGTCTCGTCGGCCTTGTTGGGACCGAGTTCTCCCGCCCAACTCCAGACTCTGATGAGGGTACGAGCTGCGCTATAGGCAATGATGGGCTTGAACTTATTACTTCTCCGCTTACCTGGTAGCTTAGGCCTCCGATTACCGAGCACCTCACATCTCTATCCTCCCTCTCGCCCGTCGCAGTCCCTCGTTATTTCCTTCTTTCTTTCAACTTCTTGCAACCATCTGCCTTGCCTCCTGGTCCTCCCTAATTCCTCCACACACACCCGTCCGTTACACCCAGAGTACTCCCAACTAATCAACATGGTGGGCTTATAACCGGGCGCCTGGTTGCCAGGCCTCCGCATCCCCTCCTGCCTCTCTGCGCCTCCTTACCTTGAAAGATATACAATGCCCTTTAGCACTGTGCCTCGCAAGCTGAAAAGAGCGGCCAGAATTATTCTCGTCGGGGCTCCAGGAGTGGGAAAAGGAACACAGTCAGAAAGACTTATAAAAAGGTTTCCACAACTGTGTTCGATCGCGACAGGAGATCTCCTGCGCGAGAATGTCAAGAATAAAACTAATCTAGGTGCGCTTCACTTGGAACACGCTTGATACTGTGCACTAACATCTAGCAGGAGTGCAAGCGGAGAGCTATATGAAGGATGGCGGTCTCGTGCCCGATCCTCTGATCCTTAACCTCATCCTCACCGAACTGACCTCGAGGAAATGGCTGGAGACATCGGACACAAACGACAACATTATCGCAGCTCTCGGACGCGGCAACGGGTCAGCCTCATCCGTGGTCAAGGCGTCCAACGCACCCGAAACGTCCTTCATCCTCGACGGCTTTCCTCGCACCGCCACCCAAGCGCAGGCCTTGTCATACCTCCTACCTATAAATCTGGTCTTCCAGCTGGTCACTCCGGTTGACATTGTTCTATCTCGAATGGCAAATCGATGGATTCATATGGCGTCCGGGAGAGTGTACAATGTGGGGTTCAATGATCCAAAGGTGCAGGGATTAGACGATATCACGGGAGAAGCCTTAATACAAAGGGAAGATGACAGTGAAGCGACATGGAGGAAGCGGCTGGCCAAGTTTGACCAGACCAGTCAGAGTCTGCTCAACTTTTATCGACAGCAGAACGCGAATCTGGTGGTCACAGTGACTGGAAACAGCAGCGACGAGATCTCACCTCAACTGTTTGCAGAGGTAGAGAACAGATTTGGTATATAGAGTTCAATTGTACCCTCGACTGTGATTTTCCAGATCCCATTGAGATCAAGATGATCCCTGAAGCCCCGGATGCCCAGCCAGAGGTCGAATTAATCTGCGCTCGACGCGAAAACAACCTCAGCAAGGAAAGATCCGAGACTGGCGATTAAGTAATGCATTTTTGTTGTCGGCGACTGTTTGTGGGAGAAGGAGGAAAAGAAGAAAAGCCCGGAGCATGGAAAAATAATTCATGGCCAACCGTTGTGCTCTGGCTTGGCAATGAATTTCGCCGGCTGGAGCCTAGACGATCACCTGGAACTGTGAACTCCCCACCAACCACACCTGTTGGGGGTGCCTATCCAGAAACCACCTTGAGGGATCTCAGGATCATCTGTTTTTGCCGAATCCCGTCGTCGTTTTTGCGGCCTTGTCCAGACCTCAGCCTTCTCTGATAACAACCTGCTTTCGGTGAATGTTTGTCGTACTGATATTGCGTCGTAATACATGGCACAGCAGCTTGCCAGAGTCATGCGTGTATGCCGACGTCCGCTATGGAGTTCCAACTCTTTTACAGACTGAAACCAGGTCAAAACCGGCACGAGGCTAGGGGGAAGATTGACCCCGTATCTGGATCTTTTTCTCGGACCGTCTCATCTATTGACTCGGTGTCGCGATTCACCTTTTGCGATGTTAGTCTTGTATCAATCAGAGTCACTTTGTCAGGCCATGGCGGCCCGATGCTTTGCACGATGACACCAATATAGGACGTACCTTTAAAAGGGAATCGGCTTAATCGCATCCTTGCCAGTCAGTCTGCCTGAGACGCATGTGTCACCGATCTACTAACCCTGACCGACTGTCGCATTCCTACCCGCATTTCGGCTGCGAGTTTCCGGGTCCAGTAACTTCATCTGGAACCTGTTGATAAGCCTCTCCAGCTGGACGAGTCCAAGCGGAAACGACGACACGAGTATGACAACGGGGACGACAGCTTGACAGCATCACACAGTCCAACCACGGAGGGAGGACAGCGTTAGCAACAACGGCCAAGTCGCGATATCTACGTAGGACGCCGGGTGCATGTCAACGATATTGCTCTTGATCACGCAGACTGGGATGAAGGGAGGCGATGGATGTGATTGCCCACATCAAGCTGATACCCCGGACAGCGCTATGCTGTTTTAAATGGAGCCATCGTGGATCGATACACACCACCTATTTTACGAAGCGAATCCTGAGGAAGAAAGAAACACTTGCTCCATCACATTCGTAGCCTTGACTTGGTGCCTCTGCCTCGATCCCGGTGACCAAATCGTCCTCCAAGCAGGCTGGCCATTGCTTGCGTTGTCACATATTCGGTACAAGATGTGCTGTACTGATCAAGTGGGCATGGCCTTGTATTGCTGACTGAACTCTGGGACACGTTCCGGCCACTCGATGCATCACGATGGTCCGTCTGATCCTGGGGCGGAACCAGGGGCCCTCCATCGGTGCCCGCTTCATCGTCATCACTAGGCTTGAAAGAGGATGAATGGTGGCACAAGGGCGCCTTTGGGGGAGCCATCGAGGAGCTTGAGGAGAAGCAGCCTGGCAGCCTGGCAGCTTGGGGCGCAATGCCAGTCCCCTGTAGCCCACTGTAGCAGCCAATCATACCCTCATTCTCGATGTGACACATCCAGCTGCATAGACTGACACCACCACACCAAGCACACCCTTTGCACTAGGGGGTCTCCATTCGCAAGCCACAGCCCGTTGCCATTGCTGGCGTTTAAAGAAAATCATGGGCCGTATGAACCGATGCGCAGCCATGAGGCGTGAACTTTTGTCCACTGACCTGAACAGACCCTCTCAGTACTCCGTACACACGAAGCCTTCATTCTTCGCTTTTCTTCCAGTCTTCTCTGCACCCAGATGCCAATCGATATCACTACGAGCCAGACACCTTGTCCTTATCCGCGGTACCGTTATCAAGCCAAAGAGCATTGACCTCAGTCCTCCTCCCTTGACCGGACAGACCCTGGTCGATCCGCCTGCCTTCCTCGTGTTCGTAGGCTCTGGCCCGCAACTACTTGACTCAATCAACCCGCCTCCCTTGCGTCGTCCCATCTGGTGGAAATAGTCCCAGATTCTCCCTTCAATCGACTAACACGGACATTGAAGCGGGTAAAATTGAGCTGCCTATCTCGCAGAAAGATACACATCACCGCCTACAATAACTGGGTTGACGACACCGCTTCTGCCTCACCCATGATTGCGTGGACTTCACCGCGTAGGAGCAACCCTGGAGGAACAACACAATGAGCTTCGATTTTGGGAACAAGAGCAGGCCCAGTTGCCTTCTTGCGTTTTCTCCAAAGTCAACGAGACGGCCTTGCCCTAGCACCTTCGAAGCAGGTTGATTCCAGTGACTTCCTACAACAATCACACTCCAAGATCTACGCTGCGACCGTCGGACGATGCTCTCAATACCTTATCGGTCCTCGCATACGATGGATACCATCAGAGACCCCAACGTCTACCTTCGTCGACCATCCGGCGCCTCTCGTCAATATGCCATCCCCGCCGATTCTGGAACCTCCCGACATGGAAGACATGGCTCGACCGGTCTGACCTACGTCGAACACGAGATACTGAGACAGCGCAAGACACCTTACGGAAAGTTCTTCGAGCAAGACTCTGCGGCTTTGGACAAAAACATCCAATATCCGGCATCCAAACATGTCCTCCTCTCCTCTTCTCCAGAGTTCCAGTCGAGCACCCCTCCATTCTCTGCTCGATTGACACCGTCGAACCAGGCACAGCAAAATGGGAGTATGGGAGGTACTGATTCCGGAAGAGATGGAAGATGTGAGAGACAACGCGATCCTTATGCGACGTCACAGCATTTCCCATATCGACCAGCTTGGGAGTTTCCTGGTGGACTTGACTCGATGCTCAATCAGACCCTTCCGCTGTACCCAACCCAGAGATACTATGTTCAACCTGGATCTAATATTCCCACCGTCCTGCCCGCGACCCTCCAATCTCAATTTGGCCCCACGGCGTCAGCTAGTCAAGAGTATTATGGCCCTTATTGGCCTGACGGCACCTACAATCCATATCGACCGGCTGCTATCAGAGACAGTCGTTTTTTTCCGGTTGTGGCTACCGAGCGGTTTCCTTTGGAGCACATCCAACATCCTCGAGCCTTTCACCAACCTGGTCCACTGTCACTTGCGAACCATCCTTATTTGGACACCCTTCCACCGCAACTACTGGGAACGCCTTTGACCTCTGTTGATTCGCCAGCTTCGAAATGGACCTCTCATCAGAATGCATACCAGCGTGCGCAGTATGCTTTTCCGCAGCACTATTCGCCGCCAGATCATGCCATGGCCGATCCATTAAACGTAACGAGGCCATTACTGTCATCTCTCGTGCCCGGCCCGGGTTCAGAACGCATCGCTTTTAGGGATAGAACTTTTGCGTGGGCCAACAAAATCTATACTGACCTTCTGCAGACAATTCGGTGGACTGCAAAAGATCAGCGCACGCTTGGAAGCAGTGCTTCGGACCCCAGGTCCACAGCAAAACCTGCGATCTTCCCCCGACCACCCAGACGATCTGGATCGCATTTCCATGAAGGATCAATGGACAGATTACCACAAAATCAAAGCATTCCGAGTCTCACACGCTACAGCAGTGAGAACTCCATATATGATGCGCCAAGTCGTCCTCAAACTGCAATCTATCGGCCTCAACAGTCACAGTTAGGGCGCCGCCCAGAGCCTCTGTCGACATCGAGCTCTTTCTCTACCGTCCAGCATCAACCGAGAGATCGGATACCCGAGGTTCGGATACCCGGCAGCTCCATGAACGACATGTACCAACGACCACCTTCATATGAGTCGGCAACAGCTGCGCTTAGGACGATGGAACTTCTTTGTCAAGAGGCTGATACCCCTTGGCTTGATGGATTGCTTTTGGCAGGATGTTTAGCCTATGGGCTGGGCAATTATGCCAAAGCTGAAGACTGGTATCGGGCCGTGCTGAAGCACGAACCTGGTCACGTTGAAGCGATGTCCAATCTGGCAGCGACATGCCACGCACTTCATCGTCGCGAAGATGCTCTCAAGTATTGGTCTGATGCTGTGAGATTACGTCCGAGCTATTTTGAAGCCGTTGAACATCTCATCGGGTTGCTATGTGCAAGCCATCGAGCAAGAGAAGCAGTCAGCGTCATCGAGTACGTCGAAAGCACGTTGCGACTTCCCAATGAGGATTCTCATACCTCCTGGGGTGAGTTGAGTGACGCTGAAAGCGACTCAAGAAGCCACACCTCTAGTATAGCTACTGTGGCGTCGTACGACAATGCACGCCATGATTTCGACTTCGATCTCAACCAAGGTCTTGCCTCTGACTCGGAGACCTTAGCGCCAGGGTTTGGCTCGAGTGGTTTTGCTATACCTGGAGCAGATAACGGTCGCATGTTAGCCCTTATACATGCGAAAGGAAACATGCTCTATGCTCTCGGCAACAACAATGGAGCTGCCGCTGCCTTCGAAGACGCCGTTCTCATCTCTACGGGTCACAGGAAACAGGGTATTAGGAGTCTCATCAACAGTATATTGAGCGCGTGTCTTCGCAACATCAGAGACCCGGAATACGTCCGGAGGAAACTGGACGGCAAAGAACCCGTTTTGCTCGCACCTGAACATGCGGAGGGGACGGCTAAACACATGTTTCCTCCAGATGGGGAGCTTCCCGGACTAGAGCATGTAACACCTCCCTTCGCTGTACAAGCTGCGGTATCTACGACCAGCAACTCGCTGCTATCGCTTGCCAAAATATACCAAGATGGTATGGCTAACGCTACCGACATTGGAACACTCAAGTCGCCCAGTACCCGAGAAATTCTTGCTCTGTACTATTTGTCTCTCTCGCTTCAACGAAGTCCTTCCACGGCCAACAATGTCGGCATTCTGCTCGCAGGCGTACAACAGAGCGTACATCCAGCGCACCTTGCGGATTCGAACTTTTCGCAGATTTCCAACATCCCTGGAGTTATTGCTGGAAGCGGTATCTCACTGGCTCTTATGTACTACAATTATGGCCTCAACATCGACCAAAAGCATGCTCACCTCTACACGAACCTCGGCAGCCTTCTCAAAGATATCGGCCAACTTGGGGCTGCGATCAAAATGTATGAACGAGCCGTGAACTGTGACGGCAATTTTGATATTGCATTAGCAAACCTGGCCAATGCTGTCAAAGACCAAGGCAGAGTGGCAGATGCTATTGTCTACTATAGACGTGCCGTCGCATCAAACCCCGATTTTGCCGAGGCCGTGTGTGGACTCGCTACAGCTTTGAATTCGGTATGCAGCTGGCATGGACGAGGAGGAGTTTGTGCCTCTGATAGACTTCGAGACCGTCTTCATGTCGACGATCATGGCATGAAACATGCGCCGTCCCGGCCATACGGATGGATCAACCGAGTCGTGGAGATTGTGGGAAAGCAACTCAAGGATGGCGAGAACTGGGGATGCGGCACTCTCACTCCAGCTGTCATTGATTCGCTCTCGACGCAGCTTGCACTGCACAAGCAGATTTCCCGGGACAGTGGGCGAAATCAGGCTTTGGAAACTTTGCGACAGGCCCTTCGCAGTTGGTCGGGCCAGAGATGGGAGGGTGCCAGGATAGTGCGCCTCGTTGAGCGGGCTGTTCGCTATATTGGATGGCAATGGTATCAAGATCGATACAGGAAGCGTCAAGAATACCCTGCACGGAAATACTCTCGACCTCTCCTACCGAACACACTGACTCCGCCTTCCGCACCAACTGTCCTCCCTTTCCACACCTTTACGGCACCGTTGTCAGCGAAACAGATACGCCAGATTTCACAGCGGAATGCGCTTCGTATATCTGTATCCACTCTTCGCTCTGCCTGGCTACCAGCTACTGTTTTCCCACCACCAGCGCCACCGGATCCTTGCCTGAACGTCGGCTATGTCAGCTCGGATTTCAACAACCATCCGTTGGCACACTTGATGCAGTCGGTCTTTGGGCTTCACAATCCGGCCAAAGTGAGGGCTATTTGCTATGCTACCACCGCTTCCGATGGATCTATCCATCGACAGCAAATCGAGCGGGAGGCTCCAGTCTTTCATGACGCGTCTTCCTGGAGCGTCGAGCGACTTGTCAATCAAGTCGTCAAGGACAATGTACACATCCTGGTTAATCTCAACGGTTATACACGAGGGGCACGCAATGAGGTGTTCGCGGCTCGGCCTGCGCCCATTCACATGTCTTTCATGGGCTTTGCCGGTACGCTAGGAGCGGAATGGTGCGATTATGTTTTTGCGGACACTATATCTGTGCCACCGGATACTCTTTCTCCATGGCGGCGAAATGTGGACATTGATGACCGCCTCCGATCGGATTCCCTGGTTGAAGACATGGAGGACTGGGTGTATTCTGAGAATGTGATTTTTGCTCGGGATACATTCTTCTGCGTGGATCACAAGCAAAGTGCGCCTGATGTGGAGAAGGGGCCGCCAAATCTGCAGGATCCATCAAAGCGTCGAGCGGCTTGGGAGGACGAGCAAGAAAGTCGTTGGAAGCTGAGAAAGGAGCTGTTCCCGACTCTTTCGGATTCAGCCGTGATCCTGGGCAACTTCAACCAATTGTACAAGATTGATCCAGCCACATTCGAATCATGGCTGCAAATCTTGAAGATGGTCCCGAATGCGATATTGTGGTTACTGCGCTTTCCCGATCTTGGCGAGCAGAATCTCATGAAATACGCGCGGGAATGGGCGGATCAGGATGTGGCTTCTAGAGTCATCTTCACCGATGTCGCCGCTAAGGGTGCACATATTACACGTGCCTCTGTGGTCGATCTGTTCCTGGACACCCCAGAATGCAACGCTCATACAACGGCCGCGGATGTGGTATGGTCTGGCACCCCAATTGTCACGTGGGGCAAATGGAAGTACAAAATGTGCAGCCGTATGGCGGGAAGTATCCTTGCCAGCGCGTTACCTGAAGGCCGCGAGGGAGACGAAGCACGCCGAGAGCTGCTGGTGAGGAACGAAAAAGAATATGTGGACACAGCCATCGAGCTCGCCCAAGGTCTCAAATATCCTTTGAAAGAATCAGGGGGACAAAAATTTGGGCGGGGCCAGGGTCGTCTCATGGACTATCGACGCATGTTATGGGAAGGACGATGGTCGAGTCGGCTCTTTGACACCAAGCGTTGGGTCAGAGATCTTGAAGTGGCTTATTGGTCAGCTTGGGGAAAATGGGAGAGAGGTGAGGGTGGAGATATCTGGTTATGAGTTCAGTTAGAGTGCGTCGAAGCTGGTATCACATGTGGACCATATTCTGCAGCCTCTGCGTCGTGGGGCAGGAAGGTCCCAGCCACGGTGTTTGCGTGGAAATATTGACGGAGTTCCGTCAGACGACCTTGACGATATCACGAAAGAAACGACATTTACAGTTGACTGATACCAACGCCCAGGTTTCTCCGATGAATGGGACTCCCTGAGGAAAGGGATCTGGATTAGGGAAAAGCAAAAGTGGAATTTAGCGAAGCTGGTGAAGGGGTCATACCACACAGCAAAGGGTCTGGCAAGGGAATATAGCAAGCGTGCGTGCACAGGAAAGCATTGTGTTCGGAGTTGGGAGACTTTGGCGGGACAGCTTGGGATGGATCAAACGATTTTCTTTTATTGGCGCGGGTTTTGCGGTCAATTCGATTCCTCACTGTTACTGTCAGGGAAGGCAATACTGTTGATGGTTGATGCTGTCTAGATTTCTCGGCTGATACCAGGCCAGGCCAGGACACTCGAATCGAAGTGAATGTTCTTTCTTCCATGTGTGCTGACTGCTGAGCTCGAGATAGGATCCTGTTTGCTTCTCGGTCTCCTCTTCTCCCAACTCCTCCTACCTTCTGCTACATACTCCCTTTCCACACCGGATTGGCACTCATGCACCTCTCTGTTGGAGAAGTGCCGTTCGGCCTTCTCCGCCGGTCAATCTTGCATGACAAGCCATTCGCCTGTCCCTTGCAGGTTGCAATCCCTCAAGCTACAGTATGTCTTCGGTGATTGATCAATGCCCGTCAATACCCTCTACAAAGACCAAGACTGTATATCTTGCGGGGCTGTGGTGGTAGCCCAGGTGCCAAGTATCCCTAGGCAAGCCTTCTCGGGTGCTGCGGCAAGCTACCGACTTGTAGAGCTTGTCAAAGCCATCTTGGCAGTCTTCGGCACCTGGGAATATCTGTCAAAAGCTTCAAAGCGTTGAATCCATAGCCTACTTCGACGAAGCATCGACGAATGGACATCTACGGACCTCCAGCCCGCCCCTGTGGCCAAGGAACACCAAAGCATGCCATGAGAATAGCTTGATGTACTAAGCTGCGGCCGGGCATGGGCACCGCATGTAAGTTACTGTATGCCTTCTCCCCTTCTCCATGTCCCCAGCATTCGCCAGAGGCAGTGGATGAATCCTTCTGTTCGCCCCATCTTGTGGGGAAGGTGGACTTTGGCGGAGTTGGAGAGGGCGTGCGTGGTGGACTCTTGAAGATCACAGGTGAGTTGATATAGTACTGTACTCCGTATATAAGTCACATACTGCCACGCCTCAGTTGTCTTGCTGATGCCAAACCCCTCTGCAGTTCTCTTCAGATCTATTTCGCCCTTGAGTTAGCCAGCTGCGACAGTCTACCACGATGGGCATCAGTCGAGAACGAGTCACGCCTGTCAAGGACAATTGGAAATGTGTCCTAATCTGTCTGGCCGTGTCCCTGGCCAACTGCCAGTATGGCTATGACACGGCCAGCGTGGGAGGGTTCCAAGCCATGATCGGTTTCCTCGAGATCTTTGGCTACCGCAACCCCAAGTCGGAGATTGGATGGAGCATCAGCACACAGACTCAACAGCTGATGACTTCGTTCATCAACGTCGGCACCATTGTCGGCGTTTTCGCCACGGCGCCCTTTGCACGGTACTTTGGCCGCCGACCGGGCATCTGGGTGGCGAGCTTCATCAACTTCGTCGCGGCGGGCGTCCAGGTCGGCACGACCTCGCTCGGGGGCCTGTACGCTGGCCGCATCCTGATCGGCCTGGCCAACGGGTACTTCATCACCTTTGCCAACGTCTATGTTGCGGAGGTGTCGCCCGCCCACCTCCGAGGCCTTTTGGTGTCTTTCTTCGGTGTCTGGGTCAACATCGGCAGCGTCCTGGGCGCGGTGGCGGACAATTACTCCAAGAAACACATGGACAAGCTCTGCTATCAGATCCCTTTGGCGAGTTTGTTCGCCGTGCCGGCTCTCCTGAGTATCTTCATGTTCTTTGTGCCAGAATCACCTCGGTAAGTTTGCCCGCCTTCGCCCATGTGTGGGCTTTGAGACCATTTCATTCAGTGTGGCTGTGAGACTGACCAGGGCCGGCCCCGAAAGCTGGCTCCTCGTTCATAATAGGCCCGAACAAGCCAAACGGGCACTCGAGAGGATCCGAGGAAACTCCTTGGCCCCAGAGTACCTTCAGGAAGAATTCGTCGAAATGGCACGCGGAATCGACGAAGAGAAGGAATTGGCGTCGTCCTCGTCCGTGCTGGACATCTTCAAAGGGACCGACCGTCGAAGGACCATCATTTGTCTGGGCACCATTCTTTCCCACGCCGGAGCTGGGCTGTGGCTGATTATTGGATACGGGGTATGTTCTATGTCTACGTTCTGTGGCCAGGTCTATGGCCCATTGCCTAACACCCTTTCCATTTCCATTTGTCTCCGAGGAAACCTTCAAGGCTAATACTGTGCGTCCTTTTCCGGGGTGGCAGACATTCTTTTTCCAGATCGCCGGCATTGACAAGCCGTTTCAAGCTTCCATCATCTCGACGTGCGGCAGTTTCGCGGGCGTGTTGGTGGGATTGTACTTCACTACAAAGGTCATTGGACGGCGGACGTCGATGCTCTTCGGTTCCGGGATGGCGTCGCTCTGCATGCTCGCCATCGGCATCGCGTACACTGTAGGTGGGACTTCGCACCCGGCGGGAACGGCAATCGTCGCGTTCATGGTGCTGTACGGCTTCTTTTACAATGGCTTCTCGGGGACTCTGAGCTGGCCCGTGGCGACGGAGGTGGTCAGCTCGAGACTGCGCGTGTTGACGATCGGCGTGTGTACCGGGGTGAATTACTTCTTCAATTGTGAGTACTCCTAGCTACTGAGCTGATGCTGCTGTTGCTGCTGCTGCGATATGCCCACGATCACCATCGATGATCAACGACAACGGCACGACACGACCACTGTGTGTCACACTGTGTCTCAACAGGGAGGTGTGCGTGTGTGAGAGAGGATGGCCTTGCGACCATCATGGACTAGTGGACTAAGACTAACGAAATGACTTACTGTGTAGGGCTCACCTCTTACACCGCGCCGTACTTTATCAACCCGACGCAGCTGAATTGGGGAGCCAAATATGCCTATGTCTGGGCCGGCTCGAATGCTTGTGTTTTCCGTAAGTAATTTCTCTCCTTTTCTTTTCAAGGGCTCGATCTTCCCCGACCCTTCAACGACAATGATGAATGATGTCCGGGTGTCCGAGAGGGAGAAAAGGAAGAGTTCTTCTTTAAACAGAATTCGTACTGATGTTGATGTGATAGTGTTCTTCTGGTTCATGCTCCCGGAAATGAAGAATCGGTCGCTCGAGGAACTGGACGAGCTCTTCCAGAATCGCGTCTCGGTGCGCGATTTCAAAAAGTATCAGTGCATCAGCTCGGAACGGGCCAAGGAACTTGCGCACACGGACATCATTGGGGACAGCAAGAGGGCTGGATCGGCGGCGGTGGAGACCGTCGAAGATACTGATGCCGCTGATAAGGTCTGAGACTATGGGAGAGCTTGGGTTGGTTCGGGGGCGGGGGGTGTGGGTGTTGATTGGGACTTCGGGATGTGAACGGGGGAGGAAAGTGGTGAAGAGAAGAGTGATGCAATATTCTCGGACCGGCAGACTAAACACCAGCATTCAGTTTTGGTCTCATAGCCAACACCGAAGCCACGGCCGACAATGTACGGAGTAACATTTCCAGCAGATGTCATATGTGTGACCAGATACCTAATTGGCAGGCCTGATTTTCTGTTCCATCACCATGTTTCAAGAAGGAGGAGGAATCCGCGAAACGAGATCTGCGAGATCCTGGTACATCTTTTTCAAAGCACTGCCCTACGAGCCCCCCAAAAGGTCGTCAGCCCTCTGTGTCTCTCTGTGCGCCTCCCTGACGTACAATCGGGGTACACTTACCGTGTCTCTCTCGACCCAAACCCCAATCTCGTCGGCATGGTCAAGATACCCTGTCGTCCCGAAATGCCAATACCGTCCACGAACGCCAGCAGTGCTGCCTGTCGCCAGGGGGAAAGGATCATGGGCCAGCTCATGGATAGTGGCGCCTTTGGGCCCTCTCATTGACATGGTATTGACGATGCCGTCGTTCAGCAGCCAATCTCCGCGTTCCGGACCAAGGATAGTTTTCTGGTCGTCGGTGAGCTCCAGACTCCCCATGGCGTAGACGGTCGGCAACATCGGTGGGAAGACATCCCCCCGCGGGACATACTTGCCCGGCCGCGGCAGATTGATGGGAAACCCCTGTGTCTTGAGCAGCTTCTCGGCCACTTCGACAGTCGCCCAGTTTAGGAAGTCGCGGAATTTCACGAGGCCCTGGAATACGGGCCAGATCAACACATTGGTGAGACCTTGGCGGAGCAGGTCCAATACCCAGACCACTGCAGGACCCCCTGGGATTCCGAGGAACACCTGACGTAGTAGGTCGTATATCGAGATTGGGAATCGGGCCACGGCCTGGGACGTCCAAGGTGGCCAGGACGACGGGAATGGCTCTGTACAGTCAAAGGAGAAAGTCAGATAGCATACGTGCGGCGAGGGAGGGCCTGCGCGTTTATGGAGTTCTTCGACACCCTGGATACTGTTGTCGTGGAAGGCGGTGTGTTGACCATTCAGCCATCTCGAGACCGGACCGCCTGGTGCTTCCAGCCGTGCACGCATCGCTTGGAAGGACTCGCTGTGCAGGCGTCGGATACCCCAGTGGTCCAATTGTAGATCGTATGCTCTTGTGGCCGGGTCTTGAAAGGACAATGTCGCAAACAATCTGCCCGTGAGCTGTGCTACTTCTTCGGTGGATTCCTGTGAGAGCAATCACGGGTGGTCAGTCAGCTGCTCAAACGATGTACTCAGATATTGTGGAGAGATGATGATAATGAGAGGCAATTGTAACAGTTCAAATACAGACCGACAAGAGATGCTCGAGGACATTCGTGATGGTTGTTCCTTTGTACGGTGTACCCAATGTCGAAACCGAGATCGCCCAGTTGTCTCTGCCTTTGTGTTCGTGGTCATCTTTGAAGTATTCGTCGTGGAGACCTCCTGCTCCGTTTCTCATGAGGCCGAGCAATTGACGGACCGTATTGCCTCCCTGGGAGTGGCAGATGAAGTGCACTTTGTTCGTCTTACTCCACACCCACGACGGGTTTTCAGGCCAAGTCTTGCCGGGGAGGACTATGGCACGGCGGCGGTTCTTAGTAGAGCGCGACTCGGGCGCTTTCTGGGGATCGGAGCCGAAATACGTGCCGTACAGAACCTCGAGGTCGAGCGTCTCGACGACTTTGTTGGTGGTTGGATCTACCGTGCTGAACCTTGGGTGAGAGATTCAGCTGATGCGAACGATGAGAAGTCAGGTGTCAGACTATGCATACCTGCCTGCCGTGAGCTGCGCATAGAGCTCAGATGCCCTTTCCCAGTTGGAAGAAAGCGGTGCGATGGTCGCAATGATCACCGTATAGCCCTTGTCTTTCAACATCTTGGGAATGTCTTCGACTCCGCCCCAGTAGTTGACAGCACCAAGCAGAGGCGGTCCCCATCCAGAAAAGCCGGGCACTAAGTTTGTGCTTCTCAGACAATGCCATATTTGGGGAAGGAGAGGTCGAATATACCTAGAACGATTGGGTACCTCTTGTCGAAGTCGGTTAGCTTTCTCAGCTCTTCACTGGCGACAAGGCGAGACAGCCTCTCGAAGCCATCAATTTCGGTAGATTGGCTCATTGAGTTCTGATCTGCAAAAGACGATGAGGACTCAGTGGAACGGGTCTGGAGATTAGACCTACACTTGCGTGCGAGAGAAGGGAGGTCTGCTCATGCAAGAAGGGCCCTGAAAACCTCATACTTACTTCAAGCGCTGGTGGCGGCTTGACTTTTGAATTCAGGAAATGCTGGCATTGATTTCAGCTGCGAACAGGCATCAGACGCGGGGCAGGTTATGGACCATCGTGTTGAGGCTGGATTCAACAAGGCCAGGATGCACGAGGCGTCGAGAGGTCCTTTGCCCTGGAGTATGTTGAGCAAATTGAACTCGCCAGGGAGTGGACGGCCATCATGCCATCTCGTGTTTCGGACTTGGCTATCAATTCTCGGACTGCAAGGCCCGCATATACGGGAGTCCAGACAAAGGGTGGCTGAAGCCCCATCAGCCCTTTTTTCTTGGCCATGCACGCCCAGCGTAGAAGTGCCATAAATCTGTTCACCGGTTAAGGCGCCGAATGCCGGTCCTGAGAGATGTTTGGAGGAGAGATACAAACATGCAGAGGAGGCCTGCCACCTGAGAATGTACGTCGACCTAAATGGGGCACGAGGCTACCAGCCAAGCCTAGTCGCCATTGACCTCGTGAGCTGCAGTAAGTCCTCTGCGTCGAAGGTAGCAGCGTCAGCTCTGGGCCAAGGGCAGATGGACCTGGTAGCTAAGCGGCCCCAGGTTCCTGCTACTGGCATTAGGAAAAGGTCTCGCCCCATACCGAAATGCTTGGGAAGGCTCCTTTTGCCTTATCAGATTGTGTGCCAGTAGTAGATAAAGCTTCAACGTTGGCCAGGACACCCTGTTAACGTGCAGGCAACTGTCGGCGTCTCGAGGCAGACTCTGATTGATTTGCTAGCCTTGTCGTCAGACTATCTGCATGTTCGCATCGGTGACAATGACCATATCCTTATGCAGTATCGAATAATCTGGCACGGCTGATATGGGCTGCGTTAATTCCTACGAAGCCAGAGATCCATATGAGAGTTGCAATGGAGAGGAACGAGGGTCTCTTGCCCAGAGTGTCCGTGATTTGGCAGATAATCCTCAGCCGCTGTACCATCTCAGAGGTCTCGGGGCTCAATCCACAAGTAACGAAATACCCAAGGTGTTGCTCTCAGATTTTCACCTACCTGCTTGAAATCCCTTTCAAATGCTGGCAACAGCGTAGAATCTTTGTTCCGGCGCATCGCTGCACGCATCGGAGCTCCTCGGCGGCCACGCAGGCTTTCTTCGTGCGATACAGGCACCTTAAACAACGAACCGGTGTCTTAAAAGCAAGAGCATCAAGGCCGAACCCGGAACTGGAACTTGCCGTTTGCCTAGCATGCCCCCTGGGCCCTGACAAGAGCTAAAACGTGTTGAATCGGGCATGTGCTCAAGATTGCTGCCGGTCACTGTCAACCACGCCTGCTGTTGGTGGTATTGAGGACAAGGAGTGCAACAATGTCTGCTCGGCAACCAGGAAGTAAAGCACGACCGGACAAGGACTTCTTCAGTAAGTACACTGGCGATCTCCCTGTTGTATTTCTGGTAGCAGACGGTCTTTTGCCCAAGGTCAAGCGAGGTCGATACCACAAATACCTGTTTTCCTCACACCACTCGCATTCTCAGCCAGCCTGTCTATCGCAGTCGATTGCATCGACCACGCGACGGCACCTTGTTTACGAAGACAAGATATACTTCCCCGTCTTGGCCTACTTAGCCCAGATGCGTCTCCGTCTCGCAACCGGCAATTCCCAGATCTACTTCAAAGTTCTGATACGAAGGAGTAGAGCATTGAAAGTCCCCTTTCGTCGCATCCCAGTGGTATTCGAGGCCCTGGAAATCTCCCTCGTCACCTTCGTAGGCGGATGATCCCTTCCCGACTTTGACTTACTATGTAAGACTAACCAACACCTGAAGTCGTGCTAGCAGCCAAGAGCTTCACGAAGTACTCCGATCGACTGTCCAGAAGCGCAGACAATCTTTCGAGAGCTGCACAAAGCAAAGTAGGCGTCTGAGACCGGTGTAAAGTTCTTCAATGTCGCAATTCTGGCAAACGCCGCCGGAGGAAGGCACGAGCTGGCATCCTTTTTGGAAAAGGCGGTAGTAGCTGCTGGCAGGCTAATGTGGCCCGTAAGTAGGCGAGGCTGGGTCACTGTGTCAATGTACGTAAAATGCTGCAGCTAGCAAGGCGACCGCGATCAAAAGAAACGGCTGGCCCGCATTGAGTTTGTGCAAGGGTATCCTGTTTCTGAAATGTCGACGATTCTCCAGCCTGAAAGCTGTGGCAGCCCGGTCAATGGTCATCATCAGCAGGCACTGAATCAGACGGGATATTTGGAATCATGGCACGCACATATGTGTCAGGTGAGGAATGGCGACTTTGATGGTTGATGTTCAACAACGGCGAAAGGTCCAGGAATGACAGTTGACGGTTACAATTAGAGACTTCTACAGAATCAAAGGCTCCACCAATGAAACAATCGTCAGCTGGTCCAGAAATCCTCTTCTCGCACCAGTTTCTGTCATGAACGGCTAAACCTGCCAGGACCACCAGCAGGCTATCATTAATGCGATGGAGCCGCTAGTCATTGCTTGCTGCAGAGGGAGTATTTGAATCTTGACAGCAATGCACCTCGTACACGCTTGACCGCTAAGAGGCGGCATGTTTCTGAACGGGCCTCGGCAACCTCAAGTCTCGATCCCTGTACATTGTGTCCGTGCCCAGAAATCGAACCGTAACCATGGGTCGAAGCACGGCGTCAGAGAGAAGCCAAAAGCTGGTAAAGGCGGATTTGCACAGATGGTGTGAACACTGTGAGCGCTCTGCAGGCGTGCAGACACTGTAGGAAGCCAACGGTTCGTTGTTCGGCTGTACCTACATCTAAACTTGACATTAATCGACAAGCGAGCGGAACGGCGAATACGAATGCGTACTTGATTCCAGACTACAGTAGTACTGCTGCCGCTCAAAGCTGATGTAGCCCGTGCAGCGCTGCCATTTGGGCCCTTGGCGGGATTGGCCTGTCCAGTCTCTTTTGTCACTGCCAAATGAGTCTTTGACAGCTCTGGGTTTTCGGCTTACCGGTGACCACAGGAGGAACTGTTACCCTGGTCCCAACCATTGGTTCGATGGCGACCGTTGGCTCACTTGTCAAATGTCAAGCGGGAGGCAGATTGACGAAAAGCATATCTGCTCAGGGCGGGTCGAAAACTGGGTGATGCTGGCAAGCAGGACGGGGGTACAGTATTCGACAAGGCTGATCATGGGAGCCGAAAGCCCCTAAAAGGGTAGCGAGCGGCGTGACCGACCCTACCCACATGGATTAGGGCGGGAGGCCTGGGGGCAGACCCCTGTACATGATTTGGAATTCTGAGTCCGCCTATGGAGGGGTGATTGCTTGGGTAGATCCGTCCAACGGCGTTCGTTCCTGCGAGAACAACGACGCTCATGCAAAATGCGCTGGCCAGCTCAAGGGTGGGGAATTGATACCCATCAATGTTAGGAGACCGGGACGCTGAGCAGGGCAGGTGATCGATGGGAGGATCAGGGGCTCCGTGCCTTGGTTGGTGTTGTTCAATATCTGAGCAGCAGGGGTCCCCAGATTTCAACATGCAGGCCCAGATCAAAAATTTCAACGGGGCCTACTAACGGAAGGATCGAGGGAGCTGGGCCAGAAATGCACTTGACAAGGGCTTGCCGAGGTTTGCAGGTGCCATAAGAGGAAGGTCTTTCAGATCGATCCTGCACATCGTGAGTGAAGTATTTATTGTGTATATGCCTGCCGTGCAGCCTGCACACACCCGTGAAGACTGGAGGATTGTACAGCGTTGATCCAACGCCTTTCGGGAATCTCCTCGCGATGCGCGACCAAAGTAAATGCAACACGCGCGGAGGTGCAGACGCGCTGCGAGTAGAAAAGGGATATTCCCTGGTAGCTTCGAGTGTCTGCGACGAGCCCTTGCCATGAATTTACTGTGTATATATTCGGCTGCAGCTACCTGCCCCAAAGCCTAACGGCAGCGAGTCAATCGTATCGCCATCGGGGTATAGCTTGGGTATATCTCATAGGCCGTGAGTGGCCAGGTCATGAACTATCTGCTGTACGCAACCCTGATGGTCCAAGATGTCTTATGCTACGCCGACCAGTTGTGGTACGAGCTCGTACTCGTAGGGCGTTGATTGTAGTTGAGATCCATGAACAATGGTGACGCGTCCACGTCACAGCTTTGATTGAAAGAGGGCATGCAAGGCGCTGCGGAACTGTGCCAACGGCAAAAATAAATCAGTGCTCGGAATAATGGGGATGAAGCTTGGATGGGATCTCCGTCAACAAATTTGCCGTGGCGCGCTATGCCTGCAAGGAGATGGATGTCGTTTGACTAGTTAGCGGTGGAAGATCGTCGCTCGCAAACTATACCTCATGTCGTAATATATCGTCGGCATTGAAGTTTCTTTGACTCGGGAAGGATTTCTGGGATGACCGAGCTTCCGAGCGAGTGTGGAATCATTGACGATGATGAATGGTGTCCTTCCAAGCAGGCTACCAAGTGCACCTTCCATCATTGAGTGGAGTGTGTTAGGGACCCAGTCCAGACGACGCTGGTGCACTGTTCAGAATGGAATGAATCATGACTCCTCAAAGAGACATCCGAAATATGGCGATTGCCAAGAGTGCCGGGATGGCATACGGATCCATGAAAGAATAGTGGTGACTCGAATAATGAAAATGCATCATGGAGGGAGGGTCAAGTAATGGGGGTTGTGATGATGGTTAGAGCCCACTCGACAGTCGTAGCACCAGTCTTGCGATGAGGTGGAAACAGTCTCCAGATGAAGAGCAGTGAATCCGGAGGATGTCTTGTGCATAGGGCGCTCATCGCAGGCACTCACCGCACTGTCAATGTTGGGAGAGGGTTGCCGGATACCGAGTGGAGTCTGCTGCAAGTCTGGCAACGACAATCGCGAGAGCCTCAGCGTCGCGTATTACGCAAGTGCTTCCCTGTCCGTGGCTTGTGCAAGTACCATACCATAGTAATCCGTAGTCCAGTGAATTCGTCTCGCACTATTTTGTAGTCCCACTGGTCCCAACGGCTTTCAAGGGCACAAGCGAGCTGAAGCTGGATCAGGACCGTCCATTGAGGAGCGAGGCCCTGGCGCTAGATACAAGGGCCAGCCACACGAGTATTGTACGCACGATAGTACTCGGACAACAAGTAGAGGCAGACCTAAGACCTTGCGAGGGAAATTCCTTTGCGCCGGGGAAGAGTCAAATGCCAGGCAGTCAAAGGATGTTGCAGCATGCCATGTCTGACTACTTCGGATTGCATGAGCCATTGTTTCGAGGCTTGTACAGCCACCGCCCGAGATGCCAGTACATAGTACGTCGCATCTGTTCAAATCATCAATGTCGGCTGTCTGGGGGGTGTTCTTCGGCCGACATGAAGCCAGTAAGAAGATGCTGCGAAATCGCCTTCAGCAGTGACAACGCTTTCGGGCTTCCTCTTTGGGACCGCAGACAAACTGTGACACAAAGGTGGTTAATGTATATCGTAGTCCTCACGACTGGGATAGATGCCGCCTGTTGACTGGCTGCTCAGCGTCCCATCATGCGCATTCCCTGTCATCATCAATGTTCTCCGCCTCGCCCGAGTATTGAAAAGGCGTTAGTTGTAGCTTGGCGATCTGGCGAGCTGGGTTCTTCAGTCACGGTTGTCATTATCCCTGCACTACCGTTTAATTGGCTTGTAGGCTGCTTCACACTCTTTTTCTGTGGCTGAACGCCGTGGTCAAATCTGAGTGTTAGGGCTCACGGGAGCAGCGACAGCATGGTTGATTTAATTAGAATCAAGAAATACGTGGGCTCCTGACCACTGGCGAGCAAACAGAGGAGGCCTAGCTTTACCTGCAAAGGAGGCTGTATTCTGTCGAGACCAGGGGTGTCGTTCGTGTCAGGTTTCGTCTTGACATGGCATCCACGTACATACCTAGTAAGGGACCACTCCTGGCCGTCTGGGTGCGAGGGCAATGGCATCATGCATGTTCTGGTTCAGGCAGGTAGAATTGTCTGGCACTACAGCTTCTGAGATATTTGTAAAGCACATCAACATTTCATCAACCGTAGCAGGTTTCATAATCCCTGTTACCGACAGCTTCTCGTCTAGCTAAAGGATATCGTCGTCATTACTAGTATCATGGACAGACCAGTGGCCTGTAGCCCATCAACCGCCCCTCATTATCGATCATGCGCTGCCTTTCCCTGTTCTTATCCCAGCATACAATGCCAACAAGCGTTCCCAAGACCCCAACCGTAGTAACAAAGCGTGCTGAAACCGCCAGCCAATCCCAAACCTAACACAGCAAAAGCTATTGTACAATTTCCTTGGGCCCCTACACTCGATCCTCCGGACTGGCTGACCTTGGGTATCGTGAATGAAATGGCCATAATCATATCCGAACTCCAAACCATGAAAAAAGGTCGACACAATATTTTACAAGTGAGTATAAAGAAATAGTACAACACCGTAAAACCACAACCACTGTGGGGTTTTCGGCTTCGCTGAATATCCTGCAGCATCTCGAGTCACTCCAGAAGACGTGATACATCCATGCGAGTATCCTTCTCCCCAGGGGTCTTGCAGGGCGCTGTATGCTCCAATGCTGGACTCGACATGAGCCTCGGAAGGGAAAGTGGCCGTGCTAGAGCAGGAAGAAGTGGCGCACCCGACGAGATAAAGTTGCTCGCGCTTGAGGGACGTAATTGAAAATAGCCACCTCCTTGACCTTGCGCAGCCATGTCTGATTTTCCGCCTTGATAACTTCCAGCGCGTTCCAAACATTGCGGCTCGGACCAGCCCTGTACTGAAGGCGCGTTCGACGAATGCGTTCCCGGCCGAGGCGAGGGTAGAGTCTTAGGAGAGATTGAACAATTGGATTGATTGTCGGAAATGAGGGACGGTGCTTGCTGATTCGATGAAGCATGAGAAGCCTCGGTGGCAGCAGGTGAAGGTATTGGTGCTTCGATGTAGTGCGGGGGTGGCAGTTGCCGCTCATATCGATCCAAACCCGGGCCAGCAGGGAAGGAGTGCAATCTGGGAAGAGAGGGAGGAAGACTTCTGCTCTGAGGAGGAAGGGAGACGGCCGGCCGAGGGAGAAGGGCACTCTCAGACGAGACCGGATACTGGGAATGGCCTGCTGGCTGAAAATGAGACGACGTTGAAGAGTGAGGATGGATTGTGGGTGAGCATGAGTTGTAGCCTTGTCTTGGAGGTTGATAGTTCCTGCTCAAAGAGTAGCTGTTAGATCTGCCATCCCGGCTAGGGAATGGTGGAGAAGTGGTTTGGGAGCCTCCGAAAGCGTCGTGAGAGGGAGCAACCTGTTGCTGGAGATACATCTGCCTTGAAGGAGGGAAGGCAGGCATAGGTCGGATTCGATATCCCACGGATCTGGTGCCGCTGCCTGGCTGACTCGAAGTTCTTCTCCTTCGATTCATGCTGCCATTCCACCAATTCTTTACTGCATTGTCACTTCGATTTCCGAGTCGTCGAGCAATTTCAGCCCAACGCTTTCCCATCTCTCCCACAAGCTGCTCGATGAACTCTCCTTCCTGTGGCGAGATGGGTTCATGGTTGAGGCTCGGTTTAAGATTTTGGTGATACCGTTCTCTGCACTGCTTGGGAGACCGGTGCCGCATGTGCTGGGAAATACGCACCCAGTTGTTAGGGCCTTGTGTTCTCACCAGATGTAGCAGTGTGGCATCTTCCTCAGGCAACCAAGGTCCGCGTCGGCTAGATCGGGACATTTCCCGTAATTGAACTGCCCGGACGACGACTCCCTTGCTCGAGTGAAGGCGTCGGTAGCGGTTGCGTGCGAAGGACCTGAAAGGAGATGTTCAAAATGTACGTCGAAGAGATGAAACCCCAGGGACAATGTTCGTCAATTCAGAGCATCCTTTGGGGACAGACTTCTGCCGCTCAGCGGCTGACAAGACACAGAATCGTGGAGGTGGGTGACGCTTTTAAAAATTCTTGAGGCATGCAGCAAGTCAAGGATAGGGCTGCCTAAACGAAGCTTTCAGTTGACCGCCGGGAACAAGTGGATTGAAGAAGAGGTTGAACAAGGCTAGAAGGACGTGGATGAGTAAATCAGAGAAGTTGCCCCAGATCAAATTCCGGTAAGTCAGATCTTTACGTGGCTCGCCGGAATTATACCAGCGTCCAGCTGAGCAGAGGGGCACGAATGAGGATGCGGATGGGTACTTTCGGGATGGGGACGGTCAGATCGTTCTGGGATACGCAGCCATGTACGTACAGGTGGGTGTGCTGTTGGCTTCAGAGCACTTAGGGAAAAAGGCGTTGGAAGCACGAGCTAGCATCGGGCCATGGAAAGCCTCTTCGAAGCGCATGAACGTCCGTTTTCGGAAGCCCGTTTACATCCCAGTGATGCTGAGGAAGGCGAAGTCCGGCCTTCAAGCCCGTGTCGTTATGGCAGGATTTAGCGGGCCGACTTGAGGCTTTGGCGGAGTGAGAGACCGTTCTTAACTTTTCCCATCATCACTTTGTCATTACGCTGTAATGATCAATCGTAATGACCGAGACGACCTTGAACCGAAGGGCCAGAAACGAGACAGACGGATCTCCAGCTTTGTGATGCCCCTTGACTCTTCGACAGAGGCTTGTTGCTGCACAGAACACTTAGGAAACAGCCATCAGAGCAAAATTCGTCTCCATCGACTCAAAACGCCCAAAGAACAGCTCCACTAGATCGATCGCTGGGCAAGGGGTCCCCGGTCGAGATGATCATGATTTAACCCAGGAAAAGTATAAAGAAAAGTTGCTTGACAAATCTGCCCTTGTAAAATTGGGGCCCATATGTTCATGCCTGACTTGTGTCCTGGATCTGGCTGCCGTGTTCTGAATACTACTTGATTGTTGTTTTGACCTCGAAAACCGGGTTCAGTCGACAAAGACGTCCCCTACGAACTCTGAGCTTGACCGTAACTAACTGATGGGACAATCTGCGCTCATGGCTTGCCGGCGGTCTGGTTGGCTCGATGAGAGTGTTGGTCCTCGAGACACGACCAATTCTCTTCAAGAAAAGGTTGAGATCTCCAGGAGAGTGGGCCAGTGCCAGGGTATGCTGAAAACAAGCGAAGAGGTGCAATAATTCAGTACTAGTGTGCCTGGGTACTTGGGTACTTCAGGCGCCCGAGTGGACTGTAAGCTATTTTTTTCACGTCAAAACGACGATGATCCCAGGATTGCGAATGCCGCGGTCTCCAGGCGGGAGCGTTTTGACCGTTGAGGCCCTTGCTGACAATCACGAGGGGTCAACCATGTCATTAGTTGCAGCTAGCCATTTGGCGGGGCCTGGAGACACCAATAGATGATGAGAAGACCTGGTGCGATCGCGTCCGGATCTGAGGCCAGCATGATCCACCAAGCAACAGAGACAGACTGAACAGACTGAGACGGCTAGTGCCACCAGCAGGAGTACGCTTTGGTAGTGAGACAGGACGCCACAAGCAGTCTCGTGTCCAAACAAGGTCAATCGTGGCCAGGGATGGGATTGTGGCCTGCGCATCACTCGCCGCTTATGCACGCTTGAGCATGTCAATTGGCTAGGAGAGTTGGTCCAAACTTTTGGTTCGGGCAGATCATCGTCCCGCCGAAGTTGTCAGATCTCTGTTGGTAACCAAACCGGGCCTGTCCGGTATAGGGACTCATTCGTTATGTGCCGGATGCATCAAAACGACGGAAGGGCGTCTCGTGTTGTCCAGCAGCCGACTGAGCGCTCAGTAGAAATGACAAAGTCGGACTACAGGCACTTCCCGGGGAGCCATAGTCGATGGCCTTCCCTTTCGGCCGCTATGGTTCTTTCGTGAGGCTGGATGTTCGTGAAAGTCGACTCACCGCTGCGAACCTGTGCCCGCTATAGGAAAGGAGGCAACCCTTAGTTAGTGGGCATGTGGTACACCACTAAGAACCGTGTGGACGTCCAGGTTGATGGAAGATGCCGAGTGTGGCTTTGGATATTGGCTTCGACCTCGAACCCAGTCTCTTGACTCAACTACTCAACTCATACTGGGACACTCGCCATGACGGGGAGACTTTTCTCGCAGGCGGGCGAGCGCATGGGCTGTGGGCCACATAAGTGGACTCCTAACTATGCGCCAATGGGTCATGGCTGAGTTAGGGCCTGGAAGAGCGCGTAATACTGCTTGATGCACACGGCCTGCTCCCTGACTTCTCGCTTAAGGGGTTTCGTACTACCGGTAGTACTTGTAGCCAGTACTATGGTGTTGAGTGGGCATGTCAAAGGAGCCAGGTCCCTTGAACTTGATACTCGTATTCGATCTTTTGAGGCTGCTTGAGCGAGGATAGGTCATGGCTTAGGGGCGATAGGCCCTAAACAGGCCCCTGAAAGAAATAGCCTGAACCGTCACGGGTACTGTCAAACACAGCTTTACCGGTGATGCCGATGTCAATTTGGGATCACTCACTTTAGAACCAGAGAGTAGAGTAGTACGTAGGCGCGTCACGTCAATAAGCCATAATCCAATGACAGGTGCCAAAGGCCGTGCTGACGGTCCCAGAGAAACGGTTTTCTGGAGTCTCTCGAGTGCTGGGAGAACGGCGCTTGTCGCTGTACCACTGATTAGCTGCATGCCTCTGCCTTAGGTAAACTAAATACGAGTCTGGAGGAGAGGCTGCACCGGGGAAACAGAGGCCCAAAGCAGCAAGTACAGTAGGTTAGCGATGAATGCATCCCCTGCATCCCCTGCATCCTAGAGCCTAGAGGTGACTGCGGGCACTTGTTTCTGCTGCATTGCGCTTTCCTTTCCTTGACAGCAGCAAGGTTTTGATATCCCTGCTGCATAATTCTGCAGACAATACATTAGATCAAGTGAAGGGGCGTCATCACTATCGGGACCAGACGCTTCGGTTCTTCAGCCCCCTGGTTCATCCAGAGGGGTTGCACGCCGACTTATGCAGCCTCCCGTGTCTGTTGCCATTCCGTTGGGATAATGCAGGCTATTCACGAGGGCGGCGAGAACGAAGAGTTAGCTGCGAAGCTTTTGCCCCATTTGAGACTCCTAGCCTTGCTTCGCAGTCACCCTGTCATGCGAGATCAGGCCTTCCTCGCTTCCCTTGACAGATGCAGCGATCATACTCCAGGCCCTCAATTTCAAATACTATGCTGTGTACGGAGTAACTGGAATAACATTTCACGAGACTGCACGGGCCTTCACACCAGATCTCCAAAGGCGGAAAAGCAGGGACTCGACGACGGCTTACATAGTAAGAAGGCAAGGATTATGACAAGAATAAGTTTTCTCGCTTGAATATGTAGTGTTTGGCGTCCCGTATAAGTGGCTCGGTTCCTGTCCCACGGTCCAATCCGCATGGCCTGAATGCCGGGACTGCTTTACAAGTTGACAACCTGCCGTTCGCTGAGCAGGCCAAGGAGACTTGTTCCACCAGGATCCTGGCCGAACATGGATCACACTGTCTTATTGAGGCCAGTGATACATGTCTAGCCATCAAATGCCATTCAACACTCCGTGATGACTTGAAAAATATCAGCGTCTTCTTCGAGCCAGACCGTACAAAGACCACAAGAAGACAGTCAAGACTGCCTGCCGTGCGGTCACTTCGACGAAATCAAAGTGGAGAAACCTCGAGCAGAGTAATATTTCTCCTGGGCAGAATTGCCAGCTTTCGGCATCTGATGCGATACGCAAGGCAACCCGGCCCGGAAAAGAGGAATGATTTGGGTCCTTGGATGAACAACTGCTCGGCGCTCCAACAGAGCAATGACACCCTGCGTCCTGCATGTAGACAGTTCCGTCACAGTCAGGCTGCTGAAGGGTTGAGACGCCGAGAGTTTCAAGCCTGGATGCGTAACTTGACCCATGTCGTCGATGCTTTTCGAGTTTGCTGACCAGTAATCTCCTGAGCTTTCCGACTTTCCGCCTTTACCGTCTTGCCTTCGACAACTCCGTCTGAGCGGCGAGATGCATGAAGCAAGTGAGTGATAACTTGGCTACACCAGCAGTGGACTGGCGATAGTGAAAATTTTCGTAGCCGTCCTCGAGCTGGTAACTCGAGCTCCCCTACTCCAAGATCCCCAAAGCAAGCAGCAGTCGACTTGGTCGAACTAGAATCCTCGCATCAGGCCGGCGTAGAGACGTCCACCAAGTATAGCGGTCAGATCGACTCAGGCTACAGTGATGAACCCTCTCTTTGTCCCTCGGGTCATGTTGACTTGATTCTCTTGCCACGTCGATTCATCGACATAGTCAGTCTCCCCTAATTCCCTTACCCTGCGACCTAACACCCGTAGACCGGCAAGATTGAACCCGAGATCATGCTTTTGCTTTTGGAGTGTCTGCCGCAGCCTGTCTCGCACCTCTTCCAGCGTCACGCGCAGTACCTGACTGCTCACGATTTGCTTCTGATGTGTCTTGAGCATGAAGACCAATACTCGGCATGTCAACGGAATATTGCGCCCTTCTTTCGCCCAAAGAGCAAGAAAGGTGAACAAAGCCGGAAGCTGGGAGAACGACAAGACCAAAAGCGCATCCTGCAAAGACGCCGAAGGTATCTTCTGAAAGGTGTTCAACACAAACACAGATGCCGAGACATTGTTGTTGGCTAGGAAGAGAGCATCTCGTTGTGGTGGTGCCACCCTGGGGTCAGTCCGCTTCGCTTGCTCATACTGCTGCATGATCTTCAGATCTTCGAAGCCGACCTCGAGCGCCTCTGAGATCTTCTCACCAGCCATCAGTGTCTGCGCAGTCTGCTTGCCCGCGGTGGTTGCCTCGATCCCTCCGTTCTCACCGTCGGCCTGTTCGTCGTTTTTCTCCAGTGAGGTCAAAAGGGTGTTCTCGTACAGTTCTTCAAGCTCCTTTTCCCGTTCCTCCTCCAAGAAGATCTGTTCGTCTGTCTGCTGCCACATTTTGATGCTCTTGTCATGACTTGCACTGATCAGGAACTCTCCAGAGTGAGCCACTGCCATCGCCCAGATCTCGCCATGGTGACCGTCAAGCTTCTGAATTTGCTCGAATTTGTCCGCGTCGTAGTATTTGATCACCTTGTCCTTGGACGCGGAAAAGAAGTGATGACCATTACCCTCATTGTTGTTGGGAACAAACAAAACAGACAGAATACTATCTTGATGAGCAAAGAAGGCCTTATGGCAGTCGCCAAAATCTAGACCCCACACTCGAACATTCTTGTCTGCACTGGAAGTGACAATGAGCTTACTGTCGTAGCTGATGTCCATGCTCAATACCGGCAGCTTGTGCCCGTATAATGTCAAGAAGAGCTTGAGAGAATCCACGAAGAAGACCTTCACAGTATTGTCGAGGGTACTGACCGCTAGCAGTCGCTCATCGGGCGAGAAGCAGACACTGAGGATGTCGTCGGCAACCTTCAGAGTTCGGGAATGCACCAGAGTCAGCTTGGCATTTGTGCGGTTTGTTCCCAGCACTTCCTCTTGCACGACCTTGAACTGCCAAAATTTGGCGCTCTTGTCCGCTGACCCGGTGACAAGAGACTTTCCATCAGGACTAACCTGCAAAGACCAGATGTCGCGCTCGTGGGCGTTGATGGTGTCAAGCAGACTCGATGCGGCAATATCGAACACTTCAAGTGTACCCTCTCGAGTCCCAATGACGACGATTTTATCTCCAGGTAGGAATGCCATACAAAGAGCATAGCCACAATCGAGGGTCCGCAGGCAGCTTTGGGTTCGTGTGTTCCAGATCTTCAAGCTGCCATGAGACGCAGTCGCGAGCATGCGATCGTCTGAGCTCAAAGCGACGCAACGGATATCTGAGCGGTGGCCAGGCATATCAACAGATAAAGTCCGAGCGTAATCTGGGGCCTCAGCCGTCTTTTTCTGGTCAGAGCCAGTGACGTCGAACAGCTCAAGCTGGTTGTTTGAAGTAGCCACAAGAATCCGGATGGATTTGCCATGATGACCGCTCCAATCCATTGACCTCACCTTGCCTCCAGTACGTACAAGTACGTATGATACGAATACATCCGCAGCTGAGGCGGTAGAGATATCCGTCATATCGTCGTTGTCGTCCGCAACATCCACCCCAGAATCTGCGTCTGCCGCTGTTTCTGCTTTCTCTTTTCTCCGCTTGCGCTTCCGGGCAAGAGTTCTCCGGACCTCATTCTCCGAGCGAATCCGCATGAGTTCGATGGCTTTGTCGGAGCCGTGAATAGCAATCAAGTCCTTTTTCGGGTGAAATTTCACAGCCAACGGTCGATCTCTTCCTTGACGATAAAGAATGCCGCGTTCTTGCAATATATTTTGTCCCTCTTGAGCGTTGATGCCGAGTTTTTGCTCCAGTGCAGCTTTGTTGATCGACCAGACCTTGAGTTCTCCATCGTTACCAGCTGTTATACAGCCTCCACCGTCTTTCATGAGACCCAAGGCCCAGCATTCTCCATTCGTCTGGGTGACATGTGTCTCGATGCAATGTTGTGTCGAAAGATCCCAGACTTTGATTAGAGCATCCTTACTGGTGGATAGAAGGAAGCTGTCTGAACCGCTGTCTTCTTCCTGCGCTTCTCCCGTTGATGGGTCCTCCTTTTCGGTTGACAGAAAATTGAGGGAGGTTATCTGATCCTTGTGGCCTCGTAACCGGTACAATCCAACTTCTGCAACCAAATCCCAGAGTATTATGTCCGTGTCTCTTGAACCGCTCGCCAGTCGTACTCCGGACCGGTCGAGCTTGAGTTGCGTGACCGCAGTTTTGTGTCCGTTGAATGTGATGATCACCGTCGCCGTTCGAGAATCCCAGATACGGATCTTGCCATCCTCATAACCAACCGCAAAGACATCAGGGTCCGTTTCACTTCTGCAGATTACCGTAACCGCAGCATTATTGCCCTCGATATTCCAGTTCCCGACTCTTTCTGACTTTTTCAGATCCCACACTAGGACTTCCTCGTTCGCACCGACGTAGGCGAGACCTGCACCACCTCGTCCCGTTGAGTCCTCGCTGGTTGAGGGATCCCAGACAACGTTGGCGGAGGCGGTACAGATCTGCCCGAACGTCTTGCTGTGCTCGAACTTTCTGCAAATTGTCAGCAATGACGGTCTATCCTGAAATATAGAAAACACTCACAAATATGACTTGACCATCGCGCAGATGATCCTGTCGCAAAATCTCGAGGACGGCGGTAACTTTTTTCTAGAACCGCAGCGCAAATGCAAACAAGCCAAATCTGCCAAGGCAGCCTTGCCCCGCTAAATGGTAAGATGGTACTCGTACTCCGTAAGGCTGCGCTCAATTGAACCACATCTGACGTGAAGCCGCAATTACTACGGTGCTCGTCCACTTCTCGCAGCAAGGAACGGTCAATTCCGGGGACAGGGAAACATCTATGCTACTTTGAAAGCCTAGACGAAGATCAACGTTACCTGACTTCATTCGCTGCAACAATGCTGCTCCTCGACTACCAGAATGTCCTGATCCAATCCATCCTCACAGAACGCTTCTCAGGCGCACCTCCGCAGTCCATAGACCAAGTCGTGTCCGACTTCGACGGCGCAACATTTCACATATCTACCCCTGCCTCGAAATCCCAGATCCTGATTTCCCTCGCCATCAAGTGCTACAGAGAACTTGTCCAGCATGGCGCCGAAGCTGTCCTTCAACGAGAATACGGCAACTACATTACGCAGACGGAAGCAGGCTATGACTTCAGCATCCTGATCGATCTGGAGAACCTGCCGGGGACACCGGAAGAGAGAGAAGACCTCGTGCGACGAATCAGCCTACTAAAGCGGAACGTTATGGCTGCGCCGTTCGAGAAAGCCTTTGACGAGTTCGCTCAATTGGCCGAGGAGGCGTCAAAGTACACATCCGAGTCAGCGCCGCAAGGCGTGCAAGAAGGAGGAGAAGTCATGGCGATCCATTACCGTGAAGAGGAGGCGATTTACATTAAAGCCAGCCACGACCGGGTAACTGTGATATTCTCAACGCTGTTCATCGATGCAGTTGATCGGATTTTCGCAAAGGTGTTCTTGCAGGAATTCGTGGATGCAAGGAGGAGAGCCATTCAGAATGCTCCGCAGGTGCTGTTCAGGAGCGATCCGCCTTTAGAATTGCAAGGGCTCAAAGGAGTCGGCAAGACTGGCGAGAAGGGGGAGCTGGGTTTCATCACGTTCGGTAGGACCAGACCAGAGCCGGCACAAAGGCCAATCTTGACTAACACATGACAGTCCTCTTCCCCAGACATCTGACTCGCCAACGACGGGAAGATGTGATTTCACATATCCAAACATTCCGGGACTACTTCCACTATCACATCAAAGCTTCCAAGGCATATATTCACTCGAGAATGCGACGGAGGACCGCGGACTTCTTGCAGGGTTTGTTCTGCTCTTTGTCTTCATCAACGAAGTCATACGCTAACAGACGTAGTTCTCAACCGCGCAAGACCCGAGACGGAGGAACGAGAAAGGAAAACTGCAAGTGGTAGGACATTCAGGGTACAGGGCTGATTGTCGGGGCTTCGACAGTACAGATTGGTTGCTGAAGAATTCGAACGTTGGTGACATGCCATACGATTTGCCTCAATGTCCCCGAATGCTGGCGGCGACAATCGTGTCCCATCATGTTTTCGGTGCACGAGACCCTTCAGTAGTAGACAACAGAATCACTTTGCGAGTAAGGCTGAGGCTACTAGACAAAGTCGTTGCACGTATCCAAATCAAGCCACAATAACGTCGTGCGTTTTCCTCCTGTTCAAGACAACTGCCTCGCCAACAACTGTTAGTGTGGTGTCTTCGGTCGTTTCCTCACCAACTAGCTCATCATGACCCCCAGAAAGGCGTATCCGAGGGTGTAATGAGCGGGATTATAGCTCCGCTTGTATACGCCTGTGATTTCCACTCCTTAACATTGGATCTGCCAAGTGAATCCGTCCCAAGACAAAGTTCGGTGAGCCAGGAAATTTGAGAAAATCTACCGTAAAAGGAAATGAAGTTACCGAAAGTGGAAATGTAGGGATTCTTCACTTTAAGCTATCACTTCGAGCACACCCTATGTACGCACGCTATACGGAGTAGCAGTCACCTCCATCGCTACGCTGCTATGGTGCTACGCAGGGGCTATGGCAGTACTCCAGAATCTTTCTCTGTTTGATCACGACCGGAGGGCCATGCCCGTTACGATCAGGGGAAAGTGTGCTTCAGGGGACCCAAGCTTCCAACCTCCAACTGTGCCGCGCGCCTGCAGTAGCGTGCATTTTCTGGCTTGAAGAGGACCACTCGCCATGATGCACCCCTACATATTATCAGGGACGGAGGACGCACGAATTCGGGTCAGCCTTCTCAACTCGATGACAATCCCGCAGGCAATTTTGTTGAGATTTGCATTTCTCACTCCGAGAACAGATCCAGGTGCTATCAGCACATTCCGTTGTCACTTGCAAGCCGAGTGAAGCTGCAGCAGCCTGGGCAACGAAAACGCCCTTGCCATGACAGTTGAGCAGACGCTGCCACGTATCAGATACGGCGTCTCAGGTTGCATATGTGGCGTGCTTCGAATTGGACGCAATCATTGATTGATTCGTGGCCACCAAGTCGCAACACATACCCTGGCCTTATCGCTGGCCTGAGACTGGAGTGCCATGCGCTCATGCGTGACAGTTGTGACTAGCTGCTGTCTGATCCCCTCAGACCCTGGACGTCCGTCAATGGATGCTCCGACTCAGTCACAAAAGGAAACCAACGGGTGTGCCTCCAGCCTAGCCGCCGCTCACCAAGAACATACCAAGCAAGCGGACCACGTGGAAGCTGGAAAGAACATTCGCGGAAGCGACTCTAACCCAGTCTACAGAGGCGGGGACTTTTGTTGTGATCTGCTAGCGTGCATCCTTTCAGCTACCCGCTGCTTCATGGAGTCCAACACTTGATAAGGCATACCCCGACCGACTTGCTCAGCCTGACAAGCAACCATTCAGAGTCGACTGGGGCACAAAGCCCAACTTTGCCTTGTATGCACGGGCTGAAATCCGGGTAGCCATGTGCTCGTTCAACCCGTGTAGTCATTGAAGAAGGGGACTCGGAAGTCCAGCCTGACGGGACCTTCTTATAAGCCTAAGCCATCCTCCTTTGAGAGCTCGACAATCCATCCCATATTTTGCACCTTGGTCAACACCAATCAATGGCGGAACTATGCGGCGCTTTGGGCCTTGTGGCCAGTGCCCTGTCCGTTGCTTCCACCATATCGACATTGATGCAGACCCTGGCCACCCTTCGGCGTCAATACAATGACGCAGACCTTGCCGTTGACCAGTTGACCAGTCGCCTTCGAATCGTTCGCGCTGCACTCGTGCAGGTTCAGCGCTGGGCCGAAGAATGTCGCTCCCGCAAAACATTCCATCGTGAGCTAATTCCAGACCTCGAAGACGCAGTCAGTAGCTGTGGACAGTCTATCAAATATCTCCATATGGAGCTCTCCAAACTTGAATGGGAGCAGGGCAGGCTGAAAACAGGAAGCAAAATCGCTCTTATATTCGAAGGCCGAACGATCAAAGATTTTCTGGAGCATCTCAATGGTCAGATCACCGCCCTCAATTTCCTTCTGACTGCCGCTCAATGGTACGTAGGAGAATTGTCGCACAGTTAGGTCATGTGCTAATTATGGCAGTCGAACACCAAACGATCAGACGCAAGTCCTCGAGAAGGAGAAAAGCAAAGATGTCTTGAAGCAGGCCAAAGACGATACTACCTCTCTGGTCGGCTTCCGGGATTCCGCTTCCTTCGCCTCTTCCACAGCGAGGAATTCCACCGCCTCCCGACTTTCCAAGGTTTTCGACTTCGACGACATTCTCCTACAGCACAAAATATATCAGAACAGCTTCCGATCTATGTTGAGGCGAGCGGTCAGCCCGACAAACAATTTAACTGATACCAAATGGCCGAAGCCACCTTCATGCGGCGTCTTGGTCCCTCCACTTGAGAGCACAGCTGATGAATCTGCCAAGATTGACGTGAAGCTCAAAGAAGATGCACACAAACGGAGCAGAGAGATGAAAGTACTGGCCATAGGAGAGAACCATGGCGGAGCTTCAGTCATCAAACAACTGCGCCAGCGCTACGGCCTACCCCTATCCGAAATCGAGGTCGAGAAATATAGGCGGTCAATCACAGCATTCGTGCTCCGCTCGCTCGTGGCTGTCCTAAATTATGTACATGAGTTCGGTACTGGCCTTGTCAGTCAAGTAAGTCGCGAACATGAAAATCTCATCCAAGAATTTGCAGCAACCGAAGGGTCAGACTGGAAGGTCACGGCGCAGATTGCGGCAGCAGCGAAACACCTGTGGCACAATTGGCACGTGAAACAAGCTTTCGCTGCCATGGATCACGATCTGCAGACAGCCTAGTATGTCCATGCCTTCGCGTCAACGATCCTAATACTGACTGCTCGGTAGTTACCTTGAAGCCATCGAGCGAATATGCCAACCAGACTACGTACCCACAAATATGGACATCATCAAGGCTCCTGAGGCGACTGAGACGATAAAAGAGACGGATTTAAGCATGTCGTCTTCCAAACCTCCTATCCTACTTCGATTCATTGAGATCAAGGAGGAACGGCTCATGAAGATCTTGTCGCAATTTGCAGATGTTCAATTTTGTCTCTTTGCGATCGACTTGACGTGCTACGACCGCTACTCCAAAGATGGACGTGGATCGAACGCACTCAGCAATCGACTCTCCTTCTTGAGGAGCATCTGCTCATCAATTTTCCTCAGCAACGTCGTCATTTTACTTGTGTTCACGAATGCAATTGCTTTCGAGAGGAAGATTGCCGTTTCACCGCTGGAGTCCCATTTCGAAGACTACAAAGGAGGCAATAATGCCCAAGCTGCGATAAAATACATCTTGAGAAGGTGCAGTAAGGCAAATACTAATGCTCTGCCGCTCTTCTGGCATATCTACGATTGCGCTGTGGAAGGTGCTGGAGCTCAAGCTACGGATCGGTTCTTCAGGCGGTCTGCTGACAGTCTCCCAGCAGTGATGTTGCTCCGCGAGGTGGGCTACGGTTGAATGCGACCATCCTCCAGTCATGATGGCCGTCAAAGGCGCTCCAGGGTACCGTCAAACAATCAAGCAAGGAGGGCAGATAGCAACTTGGATGGCATGTATGATGTCAGGCTTGATGAACCCGTTCTCAGGGCAAGAGATGCTTCTTTTGTTCTTGTATCTGAAGGCTCTACACAGGATATATCTGGGAAACCAAGCTATGGATCGTGTATACGATAAGGAAGATTGCGATAGGGAATCAAGCTGAGCATTTCCGTGGAGGTTGAGGGGCGACAAGGCTGAGTAGCAAGGCTGAGCGATATGGCGTCATTTGAAAACCCACTTGCGCTTCTTTTCCACTGACGCATGTGCTGCGTCTTTTCGTAATTACTAAACTTCCACATCGTCGCTTTACTCACTCTCTGCTGAATTGAGACTCATTCCACTCCCCCGTTGCTCATTCTCAGTCTCTCTACATTTGGTCTTGGTTTTCCAAGCTGCGCCCTCAAGATGGCAACTCTCAAAGAAGTAGACTCCGAAGCCGGATTCGATCAGATGATCCAGAATGCGTCGCCGTCCACCCTCTTCGTCCTGTACTTCCACACTCCATGGGCCGCTCCATGCGCTCAGATGAACACTATTCTGAGCACTCTTGCCTCCACATATCCCGCCGACTCAGACATTTCATTTCTATCCATCAACGCCGAAGAACTCGCCGATATATCGGAATCGTACGATGTAACTGCCGTACCGTTCCTGGTGCTCCAAAAAGGCGGAAAGACACTTGAGACCGTGAGCGGAAGCGATGCAACAAAGGTCCGAGCAGCAGTAGAGAAGTATGCCGGGGCTGGAAGTGGTGCAGGCAAGACTGGAATCCCTCCGCCACTGCAGGCGACGCCGCAGGAGCCCGCCCAGACAAATGGCAATGCCACGAAAGATCTGAGTTCGTACGCACCAAAGGAATCGGATCCACAGACTGCGCCGGCGTATTCGTCGGGCCAGGGATCGAGAGAGGAGTTGGATGAGAGGTTGGCGAAGCTGGTCAAGGCTGCGTAAGTCTGCAACACTCCCGGGGCCATCTGCACAGGGAGGGACTATCTGGCTGACATGCTATCTATGTAGACCGGTCATGCTGTTCATGAAGGGAACGCCGAGCGCACCCCAGTGTGGGTTCAGCAGGCAGCTTGTCAGCATTCTTAGAGAGAATCAGGTCAAATATGGGTACGTTATATTCTACACTGAGCTGCATTTGCGCAGTGCTGGTTGCTGACCATCGGCCCGTCAGGTTCTTCAATATCCTAGCTGACAACGACGTCCGAGAGGGTCTGAAGGTGTTCTCGGACTGGCCTACATTCCCGCAATTGTACACCAATGGAGAACTTGTTGGCGGTTTGGACATTGTAAGTGATTGCTCTTGACCTGTACGGCTCTAGTCCTTGTACATTACTAATCGAGTTTCCTATCTAGGTTCGAGAAGAGATGGAAGCTGATCCTGAGTTCTTCAAGCCATTCTCTGCGGCACAGCCTTCCGCGGCGAGCACATGAGATGATAATATGTCCTTTTCAAGCGTGAATATTATGATGGTGTAAGATACAAATTCGATGATCAATTCGACCACTAGAATGACAACTCCGATGCTGAGCCATGAGAAGTGTGCCACCCGCTGCTGTTCTAAGTATGCAAATTTGAGCCATATGGCAACATTTCGTGTCCAAGCTCCGGGAGCGATCTGTTCCCTCGCGTCTAATTCTGGGAGCCGCAAGGTTCTCCCTCGTCAGACCCCTTAAACCACCACCGGTCTGTCGCTTCTTCGTCCAATATCATCTCTGCCTTCTGCAGGTCTTCGCAAAGTCCTTCGCCCTCATTGAGAATGCCCTCTCGTCTGACCCAGGGTACCGCGTTGCAATGGCGACAAAGCTTGTCATTCAACGCACCTTGAGCCAGGTGCTGTACTGCCATCCTGCCTTATCCCGCGTGGTTTTTCGTAAACACCTCCCTTCTCAGACGCTTTGTGATGCCAAACAGAACCTCCACTTGCTCGTCGACTTCCCCTGAGCGCTTCTTGAGGTTAGCAGTGTACTTCGAAGCTGGGGTCCTCTTGGCTTTGGCAAGGGCGGTTTTAGCGACGGCATCGTTGTAGTCGTCCCATTGTTGCACGACTGCTGCCGTGGCGGCTTTCAAGTCCTCCACGTCTTTGGCACGTCGCATCCGCTCGATTCGTTCGTGATATCTCTTCTGCCCAGTGCTGAGCGTGACAGGGCTAACGTCGATGTGAAGGGGCCCGCTTTCTTGACTTTCCGCCGGCTGCACTATTCCTTTGGCGATCTCCCGGATAACTTCCGCGTTAGATTCCCATGGATATTTTTCTGATCGGAAGGCGCCGAGGAGCTCATTGACGAGGTCTGCCTGCTCACGACGCTCGCGGGTCATGACAATCCAGCATGTCGAGGCCATCGTGACTGTGATGGGCTGAGATTGTTATTGACTGCCTGATATGGAAGTGTGTCAGGGTAGAAGAGGTAAGAGAGAGAGTGTGTTCAAATGAAATGGAAGGGAAGAAGATCAGAAATAGGGGTTGATATGCTTGGAGTGGATCTGAGCCTGGTGTCAATATGTGCACATGTCGTGGGAGTGGCGTCCGCCTGAAGGTCAAAAACAAGTGAAAGACAATTGAGTGAAGTGAATCCATATGATCTTGTGAGAAGGTATCGCTCTTCGATGCACTGGGCTTTGTTAAGGGATCTGGCTACTCATTGCTTCCGTCCACATGCTGGAGTTCATACTCAGGCATAATATTCATGACTTTTACAGCCTTATTAATAAAATCTTGTCGACTGAGATACGCTCCTCGCAGCCATCTCTTGCCCGAATTCACGTCGAATGCGTTCCGGGCATGGACGACACGCAAGTTGTCGAAGATGACACACGTGCCACTGTCCATCTTCTCTTCGACCACGTTCTCAGGCTGCTCCAGGATATCAGAGAACTTCTTGCTCGCCAGGACAAAGCGGCTGAGTTTCAGGTGGTCTGGTTTCGGCGGGATATTGCCCACGAACGGCGGCGACCAGAAGACGTGCGCGACGTTGCGTATTTCGGAGGATCGGGCATTGAGCACGTTGCGCGGCGGGACAGCCGCCGAGTCGATGGTCTGCACCGTGGGCTTGGCGTCCGAGTAGAAGAAGCCGTCGTTGTCGTATTCGTAGCGCACGAGATGGTGCTTGAGCGTGGGAAAGTCCTGAGGGCGGCTGATGAACTGCTTGTCCAGGGCGTTGAAGGTGTCGGCGAAGCGTGACTCGCCGCCCTGGGCGCTGTTGTGCACGCAATGCAGGAATTGGAAGCCTGGCGGGTCGCGCATGTATAGCAAGTCCATGTGGAAGCCGAGGTGTTTGGAGGTGTAGGCGACGTTTTTGGCGTTGGGCACGCTGCGCACGTCCCACGTCGGGCCGTAGAAGGTCTGTTGTAGAGGCCCCATGCGGTTCACGATTTGGGATACGGACTCTTCGGATTCGGGGACGCCGTCGATGAAGACCAGGCCGTCGCGCCACAGGAGGTGCATGGCCTCGGCAAGGGAGGTGGTGTGGTTCATGTAGTCGTTGAAATCGACGCGGGCGGTGTCCTTTTGATAGGTGTCGCGGTCCCAGAGATTCAAGGGCCGTTTGTACAGGTCCCAATGCGGGTTGCGGAATTCATTGCGGAGGTTCTTGATGGCTTCTTTGGTGATGATGGACCTGTGGTCTGGAGGGGATGAGGGGACGTCGTTCTCCCAGCGCACTTCGACGTCGCCGGCGCCTTCGACGTAAATGACATCCTTAAAGGAGATGTTGGAAGGGATCTCTGAGTAGGAGAAGTTGCGCTGTTTGTCGGAGGGATCGATGCATGACGGGCATCGGCAAGCGTCGCGGACGAGGACGGGTGAGACTGTTGGTTCACGGTGTTCGCGTTTGCTGCCGTCGTCCTGAATGCTTGCGACGACCTTTTGGAGTGGATTCACCGAGTAGCCGATAGTTGAGCTCTTAGCTTTCTCCTTGGTGGCACGATTGTTGAGCTGAGACCGCTGGATGTTTTGAGGTCGGAATTGCTTTCCCAGTAATCGCCGCGCGAAGTCTGGCGTTTCGGGGCCCTTTGTGGCCACTTTGGTGATCCCGATGGGATTTACCCGTCTAGAGCCTGCAAACATCTCCTGGAAGAAGACCTGCGATGGTGTTAACATTCGTGATAGCTCAATGGCTTTACAAGAGCTGTAGAGAGAAATCTCCTCCGCTTGTCCGGATTGTCGATGCAGAAACCAAGAGCTTTCCACAGCAGGTCAGATATTAGGCTTGAGGGTCTATTAGCGACAACGGGTCTACTCTCGTAAATATATGTCACTCTGTTTTGTGCATGGTAAAGAATGTTCACTGCTCGAGCGTAGCAGGAGGAAGTTCTTTGATCCCGAGGCTCGCAAGGCTGAGCTTTGCTGGAGTTCGACGAGGCCCGTACATATCTGCGGCGTGGGCGAGCTGTTTTCGCCAAGAGGCCGGTCAGGCTGGTCACGGCTGGTCAGGCTGATTCTTGGCAACTATGTCATAGCGTAAGAGTGCTGGGGGCATGCCTAGTGAGCCTAGTACGCCCGGAAGGCCAGAGCGAAAGCAGCTGCGGGCGGCCGTCAAAGCTGTTGTGTGCTCCTCCACCACTGCACTGACTGATTTGGCTTCCCTATCCTGCGCGCTTCAACTTGTATCTTGCATGACTGCTGTTTCTTCCATTAACCACACCTCATCCTGCCCTTGCTGACACCCCAATATCCTTCATCTCTCCCGCATTCCTCCTGTTTGACGCGAGACTGTCCTCCTCTCATTCTTCTCGCCTCCGTCATTGCTTTGTTGCCTGATCTGCAACCACTGACAAAGCCTGATCCCAACCCGATCACTTTACCACGTTTCGTCACTACACTCGTCTTTTGTCCACCCCCCATCGACCGCAGACTTTTCAGAACTTATCGTGCAGTCGCTCCATGACACCGTCACGGTAGAACATTGAGCCAATCTTGGGTGCTTTTGGGTTGTGCAACTTGGACAACAACGGTAGTTAAGTTCTCCTGTGCACAGGGCTATGAAAGATGGTGGAGAACGAACACGGAACTCCCACATGGAAGTTCACGCAATGTTTTGGCGATAAAGGGGATGTCGAAGACATCACAGAGGCGGACATCATCTCCACGGTTGAATTCGACCACACAGGAAACTATCTAGCAACCGGCGACAAAGGAGGTCGTGTGGTGTTATTTGAACGCAACGAGACTGTTCGTCCGTCTTTGCCCTTTTTTCCGCCCTGCCACTGACATGATCCGCAGAAAAAGACCTGCGAGTATAAATTCCACACGGAATTTCAGTCCCATGAACCCGAGTTCGATTACCTCAAATCCCTCGAAATAGAAGAAAAGATCAACAAAATCAAATGGTGCAAACGCCAGAATGCCTCCCACTATCTCCTCTCTACCAACGACAAAACCATCAAATTGTGGAAGGTTTTCGAAAAGTCACTGAAGGTGGTGGCAGAAAATAATCTGTCCACAGACTTGACACCGGGCGGAGTGGGAGGAGGTGGTGCCCCTCGTCCCATTCATGCCCGCTTCAAGGATGCCTCGCAGTTGAAGCTCCCTCGATTGACGCATCACGACACGGTCGTAGCAGCGGTTCCTCGACGAACCTACGCCAATGCCCATGCATATCATATCAACAGCATCTCCGTTAACAGCGATGGAGAGACTTTCATCAGCAGTGATGATCTACGTATTAACCTGTGGAATCTCAATATCCAAGACCAGAGTTTCAACATTGTTGACATCAAACCTGCCAACATGGAGGAACTCACGGAAGTCATCACGGCTGCAGAGTTCCATCCTATAAGTTGCAATTGGTTTATGTACGCCAGTTCCAAAGGCACCATCAAACTGGCCGATATGCGTGAGAGCGCACTTTGCGATCAGCATGCCAAACGTAAGTATTCCCAGGTTTGCTTGACTGATTCACCGGCTCACTTTGACTGCAGAATTCGAGCAAGAAGAAGACCCTTCGTCGCGATCCTTTTTCTCTGAAATCATCTCCTCCATTTCCGACGTCCGCTTTTCACACGATGGCAGATACATCCTTTCAAGAGACTATTTGACTGTCAAGATCTGGGACGTGAACATGGAAAGACAGCCCGTCAAGACGATACCGATTCACGAACATCTGCGCCCTCGCTTATGTGACACGTATGAAAATGACAGCATCTTCGACAAGTTTGAAGTCGTCTTCAGTGGAGACGGAAGCAATGTAATGACCGGAAGCTACAACAACAATTTCATGATATACCCATCGGATCCCGAGCAAGAGACGGAGGTGGTCTTGCAAGCCGACAAATCGGCCTTCAAGGCTAAGAAAGTTGGAGTGCCGACCCCTATCAACTCAGTTGCTAATGGCGGCAAGAAAGGAAGTTCAAGAGCTGGAAGTCCCGCAGCCGGCACAGGCAGCAGGATGAGGAAAGAGACTGATGCAGACCAAATTGACTTCAACAAGAAGATACTTCACATGAGCTGGCATCCTTTCGAGGACAGCATTGCCATTGCTGCAACAAATAATGTAAGTTTTGTCGCCCTCGCGAAAAGCCAGGGACGGTCACTTACTGTCTTCCAGCTTTTCGTCTTCTCTGCCCTCTAGACCCGGTCACTGGCATGTGATGAACCTGCATTCAAAGCTCCTCTTCCTCTTGTCCGGAACAGCTGCCGGCGCTCAGAACGCTGCTGCTTTCGCTTTCGCTGGAGGTTGCCTTGATTTGTGCCCAGGCAGAAACCAGGCTGCCCAAGCCTGCCGCAGCCTGTCCGGAGTAGGTTGGATGATGGGAGACATGCTACTGCCTGGGCTTGTCGACCTGAGACGTCTCCACGCGGATGCGATGGGTGGAATTGAATTTGCTCGGTCTCACCGATGCGAGCAGGTCCTTTTCCTGTACCTCCTGTACCCCTAGGGGGCAGATTGCTACGAATGGCTACTTCTTGGATTTTGCGATCGAATTCTTGCATTGCTGGAGATGAGCTTAGATGAGTCGGTATCTGGGAAAGGGTTGAGACTATCCTACTTCCAGCATATGAATGGTCGTGGTCGATGACTTTCAACTTGGGACTTTGTTTCATGCTGTAATGGAGCTGGGAACGGCAGCGAATGATGTGTGGGCGACAGGCAAGAGTGACCAGGCGCAAGCTATCGGATCGAGAGGAGTGCAAAAGCAGGTCAGAAGGGACAGACTAGGCCGAGAAGCAAGTAGACGAGAAATGAAATGCGTAAAAACTTGATCACTTGGAGCTTTGCATTGTTCGCTTGTAAAGGGGCGCTGAGGCACATACTGCTTCGGTCTCATCATTCTCATCAACATTAGATCTGGTTGTCATCGATTAGTGAGGTATAATACTATTATGGATGGATTTGTTCATCCTGTGTCTTCGGGATGATGCCCAAAGGACTCTAGTCCTCTGTCCATGGCAATTGAGCTACCGCCAGGCTGACCATGACCATTGATGCCTGGAGTCCCATTGGCGGCATCAGCCAAATGCTCCCTCGTTACTCTTTCGAGCTCTTTGCCCGCGTCCTCCAAGCTCGTTTGGATATGAGCCTGGCTCTCCTTGATTTCGACCCTTTCCCTTCCAATATCAGCGCGGCGCTTTTCGATCCTCGCCTTCTCGAATTCCAGGTGCGACACCATATCCCTCAATCGGGCCAATCCGGCACTGAGTTTCGGTATCGCCGTCGTCTCGCGCGGTTGTCGCGGCCGGTTGGCCTGCCTCGTGTGCGCCATGTGCGATGACAACCCGTCCATGCCGCGGTGCGTCTGTGCGGACTCGTAGTGCTGGTGCAGCTCGTAATCGGAGTCTGATTCTGCGCCGGAGTCTGAGCCGGAACCTTCGGCGCCGTCGATGAGTGCGCGGATGGCTTCGCGTTCGCGCAGAGTCTGCTCGCGCTGGCCCTTGCGCGACAGCGTCACGCGGCCGGAATCTTCGACAAAGTCATCGAAGCCTTCTGCGATGTCTTCGTCGTCTGGGACGAGTCTGGTATCTTTCTCGCGTGTGGGTGGGAGGTACGATCCTACTTGCATACGACGCGGTTTGAAATCGCCATCGGAGTCGTAGTCTTCTAGGGATATAAAGTCCGCGCCAGCGGCGGCGGTGGAGGTGGTGTCGGCGTTCGCTGCTTGTTCTTTGGCAAGGCGTGCGCGCCGTTCCTTCTTCTCGCGGATCTCGGCGGCAGTAGGGATGCGGGAGGATGAAGACGATGAGATGGCGGTCTTGCCGAATTTCGATTCCAGGTCGAGCTGTGTTTGTGAGATGGAAGGGTCGATAAGATCGAGAGACGGGCTGTCGCGGGAGGAGAGGTCGCGAGGGGTCGAGGGCGTCGAGTTGCGCAGTTCGTCGAGATAGGCTTTGCTGTAGCTTGGTCTGTCTCTATCTCTGTCGTGGTCTTGACCTTCGAGTTCACTGTGATCGCGGTCTGTGCCACGGTTGAGGACGGACTGTGCTGCACTTGATAGACCTAGCCTGGACGGCTTTGTGGGTGGTATGATGGGCTCTTCGTCTTCTCGTGCACCCGTTCGTGAGGTGTCATCCTCGCCTGGGTTGAAGGACATGCGGAGTTTGGATTTTGTTCGGGGCGCATTGCTCGTTGGCCGTCGTACAACGGGACCGGTGTCTATACTTCTCCATCAGCGACTTCGTTCATACTAGAGCCAGGGGTAGTGTCAGAAAGGTGCTTGAGTACGGGCGACATTGGGTTGGACGTACTTTCTTCCGCATCCTCTGGCTGCGCCTCGGGTTCGTCGCGGACGATGCGCTTCGGCTTTCGCCGAGCAGTGAATAGCGATGTCATTGGATCGTGGCTCTGGAGGTCCTCTTGCCGTTGGTCTGGGCTGGAGACGTCCTTGTGGTCAAAGAGATAGGAGCCTTGTGTAACTGCTGGAGTTGACATTGGTGCATGGGTCGTTTGACGATTCATGAGATTTCATATCCGAAGTTCTACCAGCCACATCTTCAAGGGTCAGACTGTTCCTTCCCGTTGCTCCGCCTCCATCCTGCCTTTCGATGGATCGTTTGCTTCACCGTAGTTGCCTTCGCCACTTTACCTTTTCACCCTTCCTTCACCCTTCCTTCACCTTTTCGTTCCTTTTCTCACCTCACTATCACCTCACTTTCACCATCTGTTAATATCATCTTAACGTCAGAAATGTCTGCCCTCGTTATTGCTTTCGTCCCATCGATCATTTGTGCGCTGATAGCCCTGATTAGGAGTATAGGCTCTGCTTTCATGAACATTCAGCATCAGGAATCCAGTAATTCAAACCTGGAAGCCCAGCTCGGACTCAAAATTTTACAGCTCAGTCAACAGCTCAAAACCGAAAGTTCGCAGCTAAATCGACGACTAGAAGCCCAAAGTTCGCAGCTAAATCGACGACTAGAAGCCCAGTCCGTCGCTTTACAAGAGATTCGAGACCTTACTCAAGCCCGTTTCACCATCTTAGACAGGAGACTTCAAAGAGTTGAGATCGTTTACCCAGACTGGGACTGATAGAGATGGCAGTCCCGACACCATCATTTACAATTGCGCATCAAAAGGTCGAACTTGATGTCAACTTCAACCAGCTACTGACTGGAAAGACCGAGATCACCATCTATCCCGACTCCCGAGACCTGAAAGAAATTCGACTTCACGGACGAATATGTGCCATCAAGAAAGTCCTAGTCAACAATATCCCTCCACCTTCCGTGCGCCATGAAGACCCCTGTGATCAACTCACTCTCCACTCTAAGAGCACGTCGCATCAGCATCACCTGCTTGCTGAAAAGCTGGCACGATCCGTCGGTCCTGACCCCGAGCCGGATATCATCATCACTCTACCGAAGAAACTGATAATCCAGCCAGTGGAAGTGGCGGAAGTCCATACGCAGGCGTCAGGCTCCATTCAGATTCCAGAACCGTCAACAGCAGGTCCATCTGTGACCGAGGCCACGCAGGCATTATCAGACACGACTGTTGCCAGATTCACACCGTTGACTCTGGCAATAGAATTCGAGACTTGTCACGCGAGGGAGACTCTTCAATTCGTTGCGGGAAAGCGAGGTAGTGGCCGCTGGCCCCATGTGTACACTCGGTCAAGGCTGGGCTGTGGAGGTGCCTCGCCATTGTTCCCTTGTGTCGATTTGATCAACAGCCGATGCACGTGGGATATATCGATCAAATGTCCGAGGACAGTCGGCGATGCGCTGAACCAAGCTTTATCCCTGGACCTGTCAAAGCTGAATATTGACCCTTCGTCCCAGGAGGCTCGTCAAAGCTATGAAGGCAAGGAGATGGTCGTTGTCTGCTCTGGCGAGCTCACCGACGAGATCATGGACAGAGGTGACAATACACAAAAGACAGTATCTTTCTCCTGCTCGCAGCAACTGGCGCCGCAGCAGGTTGGATTTGCTATTGGCCCTTTTGAGCGGATCAACCTGGGTGAGCTGCGCGATCCGCAAGAAGTCGAAGAACTCGGTCGTAATGCGGTGGAGATGCTGGCTTACTGTTTACCTGGGCGAGCAGAAGAGACCAAGAACACCTGTCTACCTTTGGCGAAAGCCATGGATTTTGTCGTCCACAAATACATCTCCTGTCCGTTCCGGGCATATTCGATGTGCTTTGTCGAGGACATCCCTTCAGACATATCCGTTTTCGCAGGTGTGTCGATGTGCAGCACAAGACTCCTGTACCCAGAGGATGTCATTGATCCGGCTCAAGAAGTGACGAGACAGCTGGTTCACGCTATAGTGTCGCAGTGGATTGGCATCAACATCATCGCCGAAGAACCACGAGACAACTGGGTCATCATCGGAGGAGCATACTTCATGACGAATCTCTTCATGAGAGATCTGTGCGGTAACAACGAGTATCGCTACCACATGAAACAACAGGCTGATCGAGTCTACGAGCTCGATCACGAGCGTCCCTCGATCTACGAAATGGGGGCGCTGATGCACGTGGACCCGGCGGAATACGATTTCATCGCTATCAAAGCCCCCGTAGTACTCTTCATTCTGGACCGGCGCATTGCAAAGAATCAAGGCACATCAAAGATGCCAGCCATTCTTGCGAAGATCCTTACCAGAGCTCGGACTGGCGACCTGCTCAACAATGCTCTTTCAACAGATCTGTTTCAGAAAACAGCAGAACGGTTCGGACATGCAAAGTTCGACGATTTCCTTGCCCAGTGGGTGAAAGGAGCGGGATGTCCCAGGTTTTCTGCATTTCAACGCTTCAATAAGAAAAAGCTAGTTGTGGAAATGCTGATCAAGCAGACTCAAGGCACTACAACAACAGATCGAGAATTGGATATTGATTCCTTCATGCGTGATGCCCGTGAGGATTTTCAGACTGTCTATGCAGCTCCTCCACAGCCGGTGTTTACCGGGCCTATGACTATCAGGATCCACGAGGCGGATGGGACACCATACGAACACATCGTCGACATAAAAGATGTCCAGACCAACTTCGATATACCATACAACACAAAATACAAACGCCTTAAGAGGAGCAAGAAGCAACGAGCAAGAGCAAATACCAAGGCTGCTACCGAAGCAGATGAAGAGGGCGAAGCCTTGGTCTATTGCTTGGGCGACGTGCTTCAAGGTGAGGAAGATGTTGCCACTTGGAAGATCACGGAATGGAGCGCAGAGGATGAAGAACGTATGAACTCTGAATCGTATGAGTGGATCCGGCTCGACGCCGATTTTGAGTGGATCTGTCAGATCAACCTTCAAATGCCGGGCTACATGTTCAGCTCACAGCTTCAACAGGATAGAGATGTTGTTGCGCAGCTAGAAGCACTGAGGCATATCTCTAGCTACCCACCTTCACCACTTGTGTCCTCGATCTTCATCCGTACGCTGATGGACCGGCGCTATTTCCATGGAGTACGTTCATTGGCGGCTCAAGGTCTCGTGAAACACGCAAAAGACGAAGGAGAGGCCAAGAATATAGGATTGTTCCACTTGAAGAAAGCCTTTGAGGAATTATATTGCGTCACGGAGCAGGGCTCAGCTATGACCAGACCAAACGATTTCTCGGATCAGCTCGCATATATGTTGCAGTGCGAGATTATCGGTGCCATCTCAAAGGTACGAGACAGCCGTGGACATACACCGAGAGAGGTCAAAGACTTTTTGCTCGACAAACTCAAGTTCAACGACAACTCTGCAAATGACTACTCAGATGCGCATTACGTGGCTCGACTCATGAAGGCCCTCACTGCTGCAGTCATCGCCCGACCACACCATCACGTTGGCGTAGATGACATGGATCTCGATCTTGAAGATGAAATTCATGAGCTGAGGCAATTGGAGAATCAGTTCCTCGAGGAAATCGACCGGTACCGGCGCATGGACGAATGGACCAGTTCGTACCAGAACCTGTACTCGCGAACGGCGCTTGAATGTCAATCAATGCTTGCGGCAGCCGGTATAGCTCGATTCTCGCCGCTACATTTCCTGCAATACACTCGACCTGGAAACTACGACATGCTGCGACAATCCGCCTACAGTGTACTCACCACCCCCAGCATCCTGAATGAGCCCTCTATTCTCCGCTACGTGCTGTACTGTATGGTCGCAGATTCTTCGCCCTGGTTACGGCAAAGTCTGCAGCGAGCATTCGGCAAGGTCCTGGCTAAGCGCGCTATTGGCGAAAAGACCGTCTCGGTCCAGCCTGTGGCCGATGGACTCGTCATTGAAGACACAGCTGTAGCTGATGCTCGGCAAGCCGATTTAGCTCGCCGGCAGACAATGGAGGGTGCAATGGCTGCTCTGAAAAAGGAGCTGGGCAATCACGAGTTGCTCAAAACCGCCTTGTGGAATGCTGTGTGCTACGATCAAATCACGCTCGAAGATCTGCAGACAATGCTGGACTTTTGCCGGCTGATCTATGAACCGAAGGACGAGATGAAAGTGTCTCTACGACTACCGCGGTACTGGCGGGTAGAGAGCCTCGGAAAGGTATGCTTTTCATTGATATTTTTGGCCCTGGAGCCCTAGCTAACATTTGCAATCAGGGTAAACTCAAGTTCGAGCAGACTCAGAAAGTCAGATCGAAGGTCGTGTCGAAATGGCAACCTCCTCTACCACACATACGCACGGAAATGCAACCCTCGCGACCGAGCATCGGCAGTGCAGGTGGCTTGAAGCTCACTTTCAAGATGGGTTCGCAGTCCTCTCGTCCGACGCCAACACCGCCGCCTCCACCTCCTGCTCCTGCTCCGCCCGTGCCGACTCCGACCCCTGGCCCCGGCCGTGTCGTACTCAAATTCAAGCCGGCTTCGAAAGGTTGATCGGTTGTGCCTTTTGGAGCATATTCCACTCCTACCAGGCTTCGACCTTTCCTGGGTTGGAGAGTCATTGTGTAGGGCCCATGCAAAATCAACCAGAAAGCGGCTATCTATTCTTCCAGTCCGTCGTCATGAACGTGCGCATGTCCCCATCGATACCCGCATCCCATTCCCAGATAGCGCATTCTGTATGACAATATTACATTGCAATGCATTTTCTCCAACGCAGCATCCGCAGATGTTGGGTATCATAAACCACCTGTCCGTTTTCCTTTTCTCTTACTTCACTCCTCATAGGCTCCAAGCGTAGTGCATAGTGGCGTAGCTGCAGCAGCAGCATTATATTTTATCGTCGATCATCACCCATCCGTTCGAGCGCCTCGAGCATGACGACCGAATTGCCGCGGATGACGACCATGCCCAGCCGCTGGCGCTCGCCGCCCGGTTTCTCTTCGACCGCTTCGTCGAGGACAATGTTCAAGAAGACCTGTATACCAAACAAAATAATGTTGTCAGTCCGCTTGGCAATGCGTTTGCCTTTTTCGGGGGAAACTGTCTATTGGCCGCCCGTTAATGGGGTGGAAAACGTACATCATATCCTCTCAGTATACCAATGACTTTGCGGTTGCCATTGAGTTGGACGAAGAGCCGCTTCTCCATGTACTATTGCCACAGGCGCGTTGTTAGTACGAAGTAAATCGACCTGACAAAAGGGAGGTAATGGTAAGGTAAATACCTTTTTGAGCTCAGGTTGTGCTTGAGGCATGATTGCGGTTCGGTATGGGTGACGAGGAGGGTGAGCGCGCAGGTAGAGCTTATGAGAGGACGATGTGAGGAAAGGTCTAGCTTGTGAAGCGACCGAGATTCGGGTACGAGTATGTCGTCTGCTCAGGGAGAGTTGTTTGTGCCAGGCGTAGAGGGGCTATCACAATGGTGGTGCTACACTGCTGCCAGCCTCGAAGTTTTGCGGAGAAATTATGCCAAGGGCTGCAAAATTCTCGATTCGGAATGACTGCAACGCTGTCATAGCAGGCTCATATGAGGACTAAGTTAAAGTGGCTAGTTGCTTCGACGATTCAAGCGGCAGCTGTTTTTCACCCGGTTAAGCGAGTTTCAGTACACGATTTACCCATGAGACCATAGTATATCTCTCCTCGCAAGCCCAAGTGAAGTCGAAAGTGTGCGGGAAGGGTGGGGGACATTTGCTGTCAGACCATGTTAGCCCAAATGTCCTCGCAGTCAACAAGCGAAAGTCGATCCTGCAATATGCCTCCACCACATCCACCCACCACCCCAAGAACAATTCATTCACTTTATTTTTCCCAACTCTGTCCTCTTCTAAATCTTGGGTAAATGCTCCAGTTTGTGCTTGTCCTCCATCAGTCGATACAACCTTAGACCACGATGCGCACATAGCCGTCGACAACAATCTCTCATTGCAGCTTCTCGACCTCCTTTTCTTCGGCAGCGTTTGTTGGGCGTCAATAGACCATTGGTTTCTTCCTCTTCATAGCTCCTTCTATACCTTGATACTACAAAGATGGCCGAGACAGGTAGGTTCACGACAAGTCATTTTCGCATACCGGCCTCTCTCTTTCATCATTGGCTCGAACATGGGCTTATACGATTCTATTGATAGCCGATCCATTGTCCGACCAGGCAATGGTTCACTTGAAGAGCTACAAATATCAAAGTGTGGATAAATCATTCATTTCCAACTATATCTTGCGACACTATGTAAACCTTCCCTTCTCGACCCAAGCCAATGCAACAAGCTCACGTCTTCGCAGTGGAATGGCGCTGTCAAGCTCTTGCCCATGTGGCTTGCTCCGAACATGGTGACTCTGCTCGGTTTCTTCTGTGTCTTGATCAATGTCGTTTTCATTCAGATCTTCATACCAGATCTAGTTGGGCCAGGTCCGACCTGGGTATACTACAGCTTCGCTGCTGGGCTGTGGATGTAAGTTGTATCATATCTCGCAGCTCTTGCGCCCGGAGTCTAACACGCACAAGGTACTCAACAATGGACAACATCGATGGCAAACAAGCTCGACGAACGGGCACATCAAGCGGCCTTGGTGAGCTATTTGATCACGGTATCGACTCACTCAATTGCACGCTAGCAAGCCTCTGCGAAACAGCAGCTATGGGCTTGGGTCCTAGCAAGACTGGCGCTTTCACCGCGCTGGTGCCATGCCTGCCCATGTTCTTCTCGACCTGGGAGACATACCACACCCACACGCTGTACCTGGGCGCCTTCAACGGTCCGACAGAAGGCCTCATCCTCGCATGCTCCGTCATGATGATCTCAGGATATCTCGGACCCCAGATCTGGTCGTACCGTGTAGCCGACTACGTTTCTCTGCCGATCAACCTTCCGGTCGACATCCCGTCTGACCTCACGTTTCGCGACCTCTGGATCCCTATCATTCTTGTGGCCTTCTTCACTGCGCACCTCCCGGCGTGCGTCTACCACGTCGCACAGGCCCGATACCGAGCCGACCTGCCTCTAATGCCTGTCTTCCTGGAGTGGACCCCCATGATTCTCTTCACAGGATGCTGCATGGCGTGGCTCGCCTCTCCTCACTCGATCCTACTCGCCGAGAATTATCTCCTCATCTTCTGCCTGACTATGTCTTTTGTCTTCGGCAGACTTACCACCAAAATCATTCTACACCATCTCACCCGTCGATCGTTCCCATACTGGACATCTTCAATGGCACCCTTGGTTGGTGGTGCCGTGATGGCATGGCTGCCTCTTTTTGGCTACGAGCAAGTCTCGCCCAATTTCGAGCGGTGGTACATCTACGGATATCTGATATATGCGATGGCTCTGTACTTCACATGGGCAGTGCGGGCGATCAACCGGATCTGCGCGGTTCTTGACATCAACTGCTTGACCATCAAGAAGAGAAAAGCAGATTCTCGAGAAGCAGAGGCATTTAGGGGCGAGCTGAAGACGACATCCAATGGTGATGTGCGCCAGACCAAGAAAGAGCTTTGAAATACTCAGCAGTCAGTTACGAGGGCTTTGGACATTGAGCCTGGCGCTCATCTCCTATACACATACAGCATTTTACTTGTTTGGACAGGAAAAGGATCACAGATCCAGAAAAGCGGCAACACACAGTACGACAATATTGGTCGGGGTCCGGCAATGGTGGCAATCACAGTACGCATTTCAGTACCTGGATAGCGAGTGGTATGTGAGCCGCAGCGAGCCCGAGCATTTTATAGACCATCGTTGTTTTTCAATTATTCATTTCATTTCATTCAGGTTGCTGCTCCTTCCAGGTTTCCCTGAGACTCGCTACATCAAACCCACACAATTCCGCCTTGGCCACAATAGCCCTGGCCTTGCCCTCGACGGGGGCATCGATCATTTTCCCGTCCATCGCCCACGCGCCCTTGCCCTGCTCCTCGGCGCGCTTCTGCGCAATGACAATCCTCACCGCCCACTCGACTTCCTTGTCACTCGGGCTGAAGATCTTCTGCACGCTGTCCACCTGGCTCGGATGAATGCACTGCTTGCCATTGTACCCCATTCCTTTCCCCTCCTCGGCCTCCCTCAGCAAGGCCTCATGGTCGGCCTCGCTCTTGAAACTCGTCGCGACCAGGTCGATCGTGCTGGGCAGGTTGTACGCGCGCGCGGCGGTCGCGATGGCCTGCCGGGCATACAGGAATTCTGTGAGGGAGGGCGTGCGCGTGATGCTCATGTCCAGCGCGTAATCCTCCGCGGCAAAGACGAGGCCCTGCAACAAGCCCGGCGTGGCGCGGCAGATCTCGTTGAGCTGCAAAACGGATTTTGCGCTCTCGATCAACGCCAGCACACTGATCGTGCCGCCCTGTTCTCCGGACCGTTTCTTCTGTTGTGCGCGCGTGTGTTCGAGAACATCCCGGATGAAGGTGAGATCGTTGGGGCCTTCGACCTTGGGAACGACCAGCGTGGTCAGGTTGCGCGACTTCACCACCTCTTCCAGATCGGCGAGCGCGAGACCGCTGCCGACGCTGTTGATGCGCACCGCGCGCTCCTTGACGCCCGAGGGCATGTCCTGGTCCAGCGCGCGACGGACGGCGGCGCGGGCTTCGGCTTTGCGACCGGGCGTGACGCTGTCTTCGAGGTCGTAGGCGATGCAGTCGGCCGTCATGCCGCGGGACTTGTCAAGGAAGGCTTGCGAGGAGCCGGGCACTACACGCCAGAGAAAAGTGGGCAACATGTTAGCTACATTTCCTCCGACTGTAGGAACGACGTAGAGGGGGAGTGAGATGGGCCATGAAGGCACAAAGAGGGAAAGGTACCATAGAGCATTGCTCTGCGCAGGACGTTCTTCGCAGCCATGATGGTAAGTGCTCGCGGCCGTGGAAGTGGCTGTTCTCGAACCGTAAAGGGTAACCTCTGCTGGGATGGAGGTCTTATACCATGTGTGAAGTACAATGTCTTCAACTACAGCTCTCTAGAGCTCCGTCTTATAGTTGTAGCTACATTGTGCGAGATTGTTCTCTCGAAAACAACCATCAGGTGCCCATCAATCTCGGAACGAATGAATATGCGGGGGAAACAGGACCGACCATCGGCCCTCGAGATGCGGAGACTCAGGTAAATCTCGAGTTATTTAGGGGCATTTCCAGGCATCGTGATACTCGTACTGGTGCATGATTGACTCGTAGTGTCCATTCATAAGCTCATGGTTTGATGAATCTTCAACTGACCGCCTTGCTGCGCCATGCGCAATCAGATCTAACATGCTACACGCGGTGTTGAATCGAGCGCCTCTAAGTGATCAAGCTCAAGCTATGTACTAGCTGGACCGAAATCCTTCAACGAAGCCATCTTCTGTCCGTCGTGCTGTGTCCGAGCCCAATCATGAATTTCAACAGTTCAACAATCATTCTTCATGTCCTTTCATGTCTCATCGTACTCCGTAGATAAAGCCGGCCCATCCCTACTGTATGCGATCAAAAGAAGGATCCTTGACACTCCCACCGGCATCTCCCAACCCAGCAACAGGACGATTGTAAGACCAACCAGCGAATTGTTGCTGCATGGTCTGAGACAGCATCGGACCCTCGACGTACGAATCTTTGGGTACTTCCGAAGTGAATTCCTTGTCGAAATTGGCGGTGTCTCGTGCATCGACCTGGCCTAGGTTAGAGAATGAAATGAATGAGTTGATGATCATCTGCACTTACCACACTGGGTTTGAAGCTGGGTTCATACTTGCGCTGCAACAGCTTTCGCCAGTCGATGCCGGCAAAGAAATGATGAGCCTTGATCTCAGCCGCACCACCAGCACCAAGACGACGTTCCGGATTGCGATCTAGGAGCTTCTGAAGAAGGTCTTTGGCCGCCGCTGGAACGATCTCTGGACCGGGAAAGTGCAACGGCTCTTGAAGAATCTTTCGATACATCTCGTTGGTGTTTTCGTCGTAGAAGGGTGGGAGTCCAGTCAACATCTCATAGAGAAGGACACCCAGGGTCCACCAGTCGACAGTCTTGGTGTAGCCATGGCCTAGGAGCAGTTCCGGCGCCAGGTACTCGGGAGTGCCACAGAAGGTATTGGTACGGTCTTCATCCTTCATGTCCAATTTGCACAGACCGAAATCGCAGAGGGCGATGTGACCCGTGTAGTCGAGAAGAATATTCTCCGGCTTCAGGTCTCTGTAGATGACCTTGAATCCGTGCAAACATTCCAGTGCACACAGCAGTTCGGCAGTGTAGAACCTAGATCGGTTGATGTCGAATCGTTGTTCTTTTTGAAGGTGATGGAATAGTTCTCCGCCATTCACGAAAGCCAATACAAAGTACAGCTTGTCCGGTGACTGGAACGAGAACTTGAGCGGTGTGATGAAGGGGTTGTTGATCTGTGCAAGGACTGATCGCTCTGCAAGAGTGTGCGCCACTTCGGATCGGGAGATGATGTGAGCCTTTCGAATTGTCTTGAGGGCGTAAATCCGGCCTGTATCCTTCTTCATGACCTGCATGACCTTGCCGAAACTGCCTCGACCAACCACCTTCAACAACTCAAAGTCATCAATCTTGAGACTGCCGTGTCTGTTTTCGACGTAATTGACACCCACTTTGATGGAGCCTGTGCCGAACTGGATATCCAGCCATTCGGTTCCAAGCTGACCTGCTACCTTTTCTTGAGAATTGAATGCTGCTTCGGCCTTGTCGTTCTCCTTTTTGCTCTTCTTTGGATCTGGGACAAATTGTTTGGCTTCTTCGAATCTGGGAGTTACTCTTGCGCCTCCAAGGAAGATATCTTCACTTCTTCCCACACCTGGTCTAGCAGCTGGGTTTCGGAGGTAAAGCTGAACACTCAGTTCACATACTCTCGAGACGTCGAATTTGAAGGAAGTGTTGTCACCAGCCCAAAGCGGGTTTTCAGGCGTACCGGAGACAGCATCAACGAAGACTTGGAGCTTGTCGAAATCAAGTAAAGCGTACGGTAAGTATTTGCTGTTGTATCTGCCGTGTATGGTTGGTGCAGCATTGATTCCCCCATGAGTAGACACCGGCCTATTTGAGGGTGTGTATGATCCTGACGTTAACGACCCAGCTGCGTATGATGAGCTCGGTCTGACCGATCCTGATCCACCCGACCCGTAGTAGTTGTTGAAGACTGACTGGTATTGCTGCGGCAGTGAAAAGGCTTTTCCTTCGTGGAGGGTGACTATCAAGATACCAGGTTTTGTGTTTTGCACGGGAGGTGAGGTGAGTGCTTCGGAAGCGGCTAATGAAGGGTCAACCGTTGCTCAGCATGTTTTGTTACTTCAACCTACCAATTCCATTTGTCGTAGTCGATGAGGCGCTCACATTACTCTGAGTGGTGGTCAGATCGGCCGACTCACGAGGGGGGGCAGGATCGTCGGGCTTGATCGTAGAAGTCGATGTGGAACGACTGAACCCGCTCGTTAGAGGAGCAAGGTGCGTCTCCTTCAGTTCTGTGATTTTGTCAACGCCGAGCTTTTAGAGATCAAAACGTGAGGCCTCGCGCGAAATGCGAACATAACCATGTTCTGGCCAACGTACTCTTTGTCAGTTTCCACGACATCTTTCACACTTTCAAGTATCTCTCCCTTGATCCGACAATGAACAGCTGAAGATCGTCTTCTGGCAAGAGGAATCCAAAAGGCTCACACTTTCCGGTGAGGGCAAAACGAGCCGCAGGCAGCGTAATTCTGTGAGGACTGACCGACTTCAGGATTGTGGCTGTGAACTGTGAACCTGTGAGGGAGGGGTAAGGACCGACGAAGTGAGGGCGAAGGTGCAGAGTAAGGATCGGTGAGGTGAAGATTGGGACGCTTGATCTGAAGTCTGATCAAGGCAACAAGAGGACTCGGAAGAGATTGAGTTGTTTCGTTCTGGTGTTGTACACACAATCAATTGGGAGAGCCAGTCCCACAATTGCCGTGTGTTATCGAAAGGTGAGTGAGTGGTTTGTTGCTGCGGTGCGGTGCGGCGCAGGGCAAGTTGGCAGTGGCAGTGGCAGTGGAGATCGAGGGACTACGAGACTACGAGTAAACGGGCTGGTGCAGGCTATGGAGAGACAAACTACCGTGGACTAACTTACTAAGCACCAGGCCAGTTCTCGCCAGTCAGAACCGAGTCGGACTTAGTCGCCCGCCATGGACGTAAAACGCCACCTTCCACCCATTCGACTAAAGTTGGTGAACGTCAGACGTCCAGCAACAAGCCAACATCCCCTGCCCGCAACACCAGAATCCTCCACGACTGAATCAGAAGATCGCTCAAGACCCGTTCGGGCGACACGCAAACCCGTCTGCTATACCTACGACGACGCCGAATCTGATTCTGCATGCTCTACACCTCGTCTTGCCTCTTTTATCCGAGACCCACCCACTGATTCGGCAGCCTGCGACGCGACAATCCCTGATGACTACGCGCGATACCTCTCCCCGGACTCGGATCTAGAAGAGGATGCTCGTATAGAAAGAAGCATGGGTGTCATACGCAAAAACGCAGCCTCTAGAGGAGGAGACGGCGGCACAAAATACCATTGCGACGTCTGCTCCATCGACATCACGTCCACCGTGCGCATATCTTGCGCCAATGCGGCTTGTCGCGAGTACGATCTTTGCGTCCCCTGTTTTGCGCGCGGCGAACAATCCAAAGGCCATGATCCACGCACCCATGAGTACCATGTGGTTGAACAGAACTCAATCCCCATCTACGCCGAAGACTGGGGTGCTGACGAGGAATTGCTTCTGCTCGAAGGCTCGGAGAGATATGGTCTCGGATCGTGGGCAGACGTAGCGGAGCATATTGGAGGATATCGTGAGAAGGACGAAGTCCGCGACCACTACATCGACACCTACATCAACAGTTCCTTGTTCCCCTTACCGGAGTTGGCCGATCCTGGCAACACCGCACTCTTCGAACGGGTACCCAAAAACGAATTCCAGGCTCGCAAGAAGAGACGCATAGAAGAGCGTAAGGAAGCAGCTAAGCACGCGCCTCCAGCGACACCCAAGCAGAAACCCACCGCCTCGGTTCCCGCTTGCCATGAGGTACAAGGCTTCATGCCTGGCCGGCTAGAGTTCGAGACCGAGTTTGCCAACGATGCCGAAGAAGCCGTACAACACATGTCCTTCGAACCCGGCGATGGACTGGACCCTGTCACCGGTCAAATGGATGAAGAGACGACACTGAAGATGACCGTTTTCGATATCTACAATTCTCGGCTGAGAGCTCGGACAGATCGGAAACGAATAATATTCGAACATAATCTCCTTGAATACAAGAAGAATCAACTTCTCGACAAGAAGAGAACGAAAGAAGAAAAGGATTTATTACACAAAGCCAAGCCATTTGCGAGAATGTTGAACCACGAAGATTTTGAGGCTCTGAACCGAGATCTCCTCTTGGAACACAACTTGAGAATTGCTATCGCCCAGTTGCAAGAATGGAAACAAATGGGCATTAGCGATCTGAAAGGCGGCGAAAAGTACGAAGCGGATAAACAAACTCGCGCACAGCGTAACCAACCCCAGGGACAGTTCGATCGAATGCCTCAGATCCCGAAAAAGGGCAGTCAAATCCAGCAGCCAGACGTACCTACCGAAGCATCGAGACTGACGACCCCCGAGTTACCACTTCGATTCCAGCGCAAACCAAAAACAGTACCTCAATTCGCCGATAGTCAGCCTGCTGTGGAGAATGACTTTGATAAGTTGTTTGCAGAGGCCAACGGTGCGGACACGACACCTGGTGTCAAGCCCAAAGTACGCTATGTTGTTCAGCCATTGAATGGTGTTACACCTTGGAGGCTGGAGGACGACAAAACCCTGGCCCCGGATCTGCAACTTCTCAGTGAAGAGGAAATTCAACTATGCAATGCCCTGCACATCCGACCGAAGCCATACTTGGCATTGAAAGAAGGATTGCTCAAAGAAGCCATGAAACAAGGCGGCCACATGAAGAAGAAAGAGGCTCGCGGAGTCTGCAGAGTAAGTTTATGCCTGTCCCCTGACAGACCATGACTAACACCTGTCCAGATTGATGTCAACAAGGCTAATCGTATCTTTGACTTCATGATACACAGCGGATGGATCGCCAAAGCGTGAGAAAGCAATGGAATCGAAAGGAAATTCATCTACCCAATGAGAGAGCGATAACTACACTCAACACCATTTCCACTGATATCAGCATAGACTGGGACACTGTTATATTGTGCTGCATATCGTGGCTCTTGCGACCGTGGGAAAACCACATCAGCAGTGTTTGAGAAAGACAGTGTGCTTCCTGATGGTGTCAATACTGTATGGGCTGCTCCATGTCTGGACGCCCAGACGCATACAGAGCACGTGACAGAATACAGGGTTGTGCGCGACACGTGACCTTACTGAAATACACAACCAAGTACGTCATCGTGAGGGCGTAGATGCTTGTCGAATCCTGTTCAGCAGTCGGGCTCTTCTATCTGACAGCCCAGCAACGCTTCAGCTTGTGGGCGTGTGCATTGGAGAACATGAAGCTGCGTGTCCCGAGCTTCTTCAGAAAGGCTACCGCAATATGGATTTATGGATGTATGATGTAGATGGTGTAAATAAAAGGATCACGTCGCGGCTCGTTGCCGTGGCTGGTGGCGCGAACCGCCCTTCGCTTTCCCCCTTTCACTGCCATTCCTCAGGCCCAGACTTGTCAACTTTACATCTACTGGAGCTACGAGTATCAGGGGGCTCTTATTGAACCGTCTAATATTGCCCTCCAAGGGTCCAGGTCTCGGCACAAACGGCCCTTCAAGCCCTAATGATCTTCGCCGTCTGTCAAGGCTAGCCAATGAAGGCATCGAAGGCGTTGCTTGTAATCTCCCAGATGCCGTCATCAATGCCTCCTACAGTATGGTACGAGTACAACAACACGCTTCCAGCTTTGGCCTTTTGTGCAGTCATCTGTCATCCCCGAAACAAGTTGGCCACTTCCTCGGATTGTAACGAAAACAACCGAGATGTGGCGTCAATCTTGACTCAGTTTGGACCAACGAGGCTGACGATCCTCTGGGGCTTCGCCCTTGCTCCTGCTACGTCACTCACAGCACAGAAACAGGATTCAGTGCACGACGAAGATGAGCATCGACACTGCGTTTTGCTGGATTTATATTTGATGCTGCTCATCGCTTCAAGGTAGGAATCTTCAACTTCCAAGATCAGCTTTCCCACATTTCAAAACCAGCAAATCCTAGCCCTACTCGAGAGCATCCTTTGAGCCTACAACCAATCACGTCTTGCCTTCCACTTCAAACCTTTCCATAATCCTATATTGTGAAGATTATCAACATGGGTCTCTTCGGTCACAAAACCACTGAACCAACCCCGGCCACGCACGGCACCACGACGACTCACCCTCGCCATTCAAACTCTTCCTCTGATGGCAGCCGTGAGAGACGAGGCTTGTTCAACAAGCGCCGCGACCCATCACCCGAGTACAACGACAACCGCAACCGTCTGTCTCACGCAGGTTCCACACGTAGTTCGGGCGGCGGCCTGTTCAATCGCCGTCATAATGAGGATCCGAGTATCATGTCCGCACGCGAGCGCGTCGCATCTGCAGAGGCAGCGGAAAGGGATGCCGACCGCGCCTTGATGCAGGCAAGGACGGCAGTGAGAGATGCCAGAGAGCATGTTAAGATGTTGGAGAGAGAGGCTGCTGAGGAGTATGTCCATTCCAAACTGCTATAGCGGGTGCACCAGGGATAGTCAAGCTGACAAGAGCACAGAGCCCGCCTGGCAAAGATCAAGCAACAAAGCGCCAAAGACATCGGGAAGAGGGCCAAGCCTCTTGGACGTGAGTATCCATCCCCGTAACCACAGCCAAGAACCGCGATGACTGACATTGTTGTAGGACACGACCACTACTAGATGATACCCTCGTTTGTTTTCACATGGCTGATGACGGTGATTGTCGGTAGTACTATGAGTAGCCATGTTGTGAAGATATGTCCGATGATGATGGTCGAATGAGCGTGTACCAATACCTTGACGTTTCCCCCAATCCATGTACCATAATGTTTGTCGTCGTCATTGGTGTTTAGCGAACTCCGTTGAAGAACGAGAGAATGATGCGAATTTGATGACTGTTCAACACAAGTAGACGTTCCTCCACTGACCTTTTCTGGTGAGATTCCACTGTCGGATACCGCTTGAACTTAGCTGGGAGATCAAGAGTATCGTGATGGGCTCGCCAGGGAGAGTCGCAGTCCCATCTTGTCTTCGATTCAAGGCAGGTCTACTCACAGATCTCGAGATTGAGATGCATATATGAGAAGCCTTCTATGACAACAACCACCTCAGTAAAGGCGGAAATGCTGCCTGAAAGAGGTTAGAGCTTCCATGTGGATGGGCGATGCTGGAGATAGAATGAGACTGTTTTACATAAGCCAATCCTCATTGGCTCGAAGCCACTTATCGCGGTCACAAGTCCGCGCGACGATCCCTCCGAGCCATCTTCATCATTTTCGTTGTGGAAAACATTGGGGTGCAGGCTGCTCAACTCGCAGTGCTGCTTCTCTCGATTCTCTTCACTTCCGTTTCCCTCCCTCCTAATTATATGTGAGAGAATGCTCAAATGCGGTGATAGCTAGCTCAAACGTACTTACACCATGGCTACTGCTGCTGTAGCTCGACCGCGAGCATCCCTGCCGGTCAGGCGACTTCTACGGCCTCAGTCCACACCGATAGATCTCTCCCGAATCTGCAGAAGATGCCTGTCTCAACAACAGCACCTCCGTCAACGAGCGGCATCAGATGTCCAGAAGGCCGAGCCAATCTTCCTAGAAAGAGATGCCCTGTTCAGTGAAAGACACATTGGTCCTTCAAGGAAGGATGCGGCGCAGATGGTCAAGTCTTTGGATCCGCCAGCCAAAGATCTGGATGATTTCATTGACCAGACACTTCCGCCCGGCATTCGCGCGAAGAGCCCCTTGACCCTGCAGAACATGTTCGGCAAAGGGAATACTCTGGGACTGCACGAGCACGGAATCGAAAGAGAACTACACAGTCTGTCAAACGACAACCAAGCCTGGCGAACTTTCATTGGGGCTGGATACTACGATACGAACACCCCTGCGGTCATTCAAAGGAATGTGCTCGAGAACCCTGCCTGGTACACCAGTTACACTCCTTATCAGGCCGAGATCAGTCAGGGTCGCTTGGAATCCCTCTTGAACTTCCAGACCTTGGTCACCGACCTTACGGGCCTTGCCATTGCCAACGCCTCCGTTCTTGACGAAGGCACCGCTGCTGCCGAAGCCATGACCCTGTCCATGAATGCTTTACCGACGTCTCGACAGAAGAAACCGGGCAAGGTATTTGTGGTTTCAGACCTGGTTCACCCACAGACCATCGCAGTTCTCGAGTCAAGGGCAACGGGTTTTGGCATTAACATCGTGGCCGGAGATATTCTGAAGCAAGATTGCCAGCTGGTCAAAGATCAAGGAGACAACCTGATGGGCGTGCTTGCGCAGTACCCCGACACGACGGGTGGTGTTTTTGATTTTCAGAATTTGTCGGACGTTGTTCATGGCGCCGGGGCTACGTTCTGTGTGGCAACAGACCTCCTGGCTTTGACCCTTCTCAAAGCCCCTGGAGAGTTCGGCGCCGATGTTGCATTTGGGAATGCACAACGGTTCGGTGTTCCTCTAGGCTACGGTGGGCCGCATGCTGCGTTCTTCGCCTGCAACGAAAAGCACAAAAGAAAAATCCCCGGTCGTCTGGTTGGTGTCTCTAAAGACCGCCTCGGTAATACTGCACTTCGCTTGGCTCTTCAGACTCGCGAGCAGCATATCAGAAGAGAGAAAGCCACCAGCAACATCTGTACAGCCCAAGCCCTGCTTGCAAATATGAGTGCTTTTTACGCCATCTACCACGGACCACATGGTTTGAAGAAGATCGCTCAGCGAATATCTGCCATGGCTAGATTTGCCCAAAGCATGCTTAAAAGCAACGGCCACGAAATAGTGACGCAAGGAGTTCGAGAAGATGGCTCTGTATTGTTCGATACCGTGACTGTTCGAGCGAAGGACCCGAAAGGCTATCGGAAAATACTGTCTCGGGCTAGAGAAAAGGAGATTCTACTGCGACAGAATGTACCTGGAAGCAGCGAAAAGGAGTCCTTGCTCGCTTTCTCTATTGACGAGACCACCACCAGCAGAGATCTAGGTGTTCTCCTCGAATGCTTTGGCATCAGCAATTCCCGGTATATGGAGTCATTGACACGTCCGGACACTGTTGCTGCTGCAAACAACGACGCCATACCTCCTGAACTTGCAAGACAAACTCCTTTCTTGACACACCCTGTCTTCAACCAACACCATTCTGAAACCGAGTTGCTCAGATACATCCATCATTTACAGTCCAAAGATCTGTCGCTGGTTCATTCCATGATTCCTCTTGGTTCATGTACCATGAAGCTCAATGCTACCACTGAGATGTTGCCAGTATCGTTCTATGGATTCTCGAAACTCCATCCCTTTGCTCCGATAAAGAACGCCCAAGGTTACATGAAGCTCGTCGCAAGACTGTCGGATTCCTTGACTGCGATCACGGGCATGCATGATGTCAGTCTGCAGCCAAACTCTGGTGCTCAAGGAGAGTTCGCTGGATTGCGAGTGATCAAAAAATACCTCGACAGCAAAGACGGTACCCAAAAGAGAAATATTTGCCTTATTCCAGTCTCTGCGCACGGCACAAATCCCGCCTCGGCAGCTATGGCGGGAATGAAGGTAGTCCCCCTCAAGTGTGACACCAAGACCGGCAACCTCGACCTCGACGATTTGAAAACGAAATGCGAAAAGCACAAAGACGAATTGGCCGCCATCATGATCACATACCCTAGCACGTTTGGCGTGTTCGAACCTGCAATCAAGGAGGTTTGCCAGATTGTGCACGATCATGGAGGCCAAGTCTATATGGATGGAGCCAACCTCAACGCCCAAATTGGCTTGTGCAATCCGGGTGAGATAGGCGCTGATGTCTGCCATCTGAATCTACATAAGACGTTCTGCATTCCTCACGGTGGCGGCGGACCGGGTGTGGGACCCATTGCCGTCAAAGAGCATCTCAAACCTTTCTTGCCATTCCACCCTCATGTCGATCCTCACCCAGGCGAGAACCGAGCAACGACAGCGATCTCTCCTGTCAGTTCGGCGCCGTGGGGTAGCGCATCTATTCTTCCGATCAGCTACGCCTACATCCAACTTATGGGCAGCGAAGGTCTGAAACATGGTACCGAAGTGGCCCTCTTAAACGCAAACTACATCATGTCACGTCTCAAAGCACATTATCCAATTGTCTACACCAACACCAACGGCCGTTGCGCGCACGAATTCATCCTCGACGCCCGAGGGTTCAAGGAGACAGCAGGCATCGAAGCGATCGATATCGCTAAGAGACTTCAAGATTATGGTTTCCATGCTCCGACAATGAGTTGGCCTGTGGCAAATACACTCATGATTGAACCTACCGAGTCGGAATCCAAGGAGGAACTCGATCGGTTCTGTGATGCGCTTATCGAGATCAGAAAGGAGATCAAGGCCATTGAAGACGGCCAGGCTCCAAGAGAAGGCAACGTTCTCAAGATGTCTCCTCATCCTCAAGCAGATTTGATGCGGAACGACTGGGACCGGCCGTATACCAGGGAACAGGCGGCGTACCCTCTGCCGTGGCTGAGAGAGAAGAAGTTCTGGCCGTCGGTAGCCCGTGTTGATGATGCGTATGGTGATACTAATCTTTTCTGTACTTGTACACCTGTGGAAAGCTATGAAGAGCAAGATCTCACGGGTCTGCAGGCGCCGATGCCGACATAGATACTTAGGTACTGTAGGACTGGAAACGTAATACGGATGGGTTGGGGCATTGCATGAATGATCGGAGTTCAACATTCTGGTCTGGAAAAGAGCGGGTTTCCAACTTGGCGTTTACCTTCACTGAGAAATGTCGTGCCACATTCAGTGCAGGGCAACTTGCCCTTCTGGAACGGGCATGGATAGGAAAGATCTACTTTCAACGAGTAATAACTTTGGGAGTAGCCGATATCTTCATCTTCAACGAATGCTGCCGATGGCTGCTGTAGTACGGATATGGTACCAGGTCCCCAGCTTCAAGCCTTTTCAACGTCTGCGGATCAACAATTCCAGCTTTATTAGGCGCTTTTTTTCTCGTTCACCAAGTCAAACCAAACCTGTACGAGCCCATTCTTCTACACAAGGCCATTGAGCGGTCCATTCTGATTTACCTAGGTAATCTTGATGGGAATGGAATTACTACATGACTACCTTAGGTATCCAGAACAATCGAAGCAAGGAAGATTACGGAGTGAAGGGCTGTGTGTGATCGCAGTCGACGATTGGGCTTCGGACCGCGTCAACAAGTTACTAGGTACGAGGCATTCCGGAAGGTCTTCTTTCTTGTCACTTTGTTGGTCTTTCCGCAGGGCGAGGGGTGTGGCCATGAAACATGCTGGGTTGGACATTACCAAGTACTAGCTTACAGTAGTACAATACAGTTTCAACGAGCAGAAAGATACTACCTATGTAGTACTTCTGCAAGAGAAAATCCAGAACGATTGTCCGTTGTCATTTCCTCCTTTCCTTAGGAGGTGACAGTCACAGCTTCATCTTCAGCTCATTTCCAAGCATAAGGTATTCATCATCCCCCTCCCCTCCCCTCCCCTTGCCGAGCCTGCCCGTACGCAGTTCTACTGTACCTAGGTACCTAGGTAGGTATGCACTTTTAGGTCTCAGGCTTGGGCTTGGGCTTGGGCTGCACCAGGCTTGGGCTTAGAACCGCTTCGCCCCGCCCTTCCACTGTCCAGCGTCCTCGACGCCCTGCGCGACTCTGTGCGTGCCGCTCTCGAGGCCCGTGGCGGCGTTGTTGAGGCCGTCGCCCACGGGTTTGCCCAGACTGCCTGTCGCGCCGGTGATGGTGTCGCCTATGCCGCGGCCCGCTGCGCCGGTGACGCCGCCGACCGTGCGGGCTAGACCGCCTACAGTGTTCTAGTTGTTGGGGCAGTTGTTAGCAAGAGATGGTCATTGTCATTGTCATTATCATTTCTGGTGGACAAGGGGGGATGGAGTCCAGAAACGAGTGGTGAGATTCTCATTTTCTGTTGGCTAAGATGGTGGGAAGGAGAAGGGCTCGAAAGGGGTAGTAAACGTAACGTACACCGACGGCAGAAGTCACGAATTTGGCGGCGCCCGTGACGCCTTCATCGGATGAGGATGTATTGATGGGCATATCTGCGAGTGTTTTTTTGTTTTTTGTTTTTTGTATCTGAGACGAATCTGATCTGGTCTGGCGCTGGTCTGGCGCTGCTGGAAGCGTCCGGTGTGTGTGTGGGTTCGGAATGGGCGAGAATATCCTATGTGAGGCAGTCTGCTACTTGTATACGGAGGACGCGCAGATATCAGGTATAATACGTAGTAGGGCCTTAGAAATACTCGTATCAAGCAGGAAATGACGTCAATCTTTGGGGAAAGGGACATGGGAGGGGAGAGGCAAAGGGAAGCGCCAGCGAGGCACCCAGCGAGGGCAAGCGTGGCAAGTCAGCAACGTGGTTGAGCGGCCGGTATACGTACTCGGAAGGATTTGTGATGTCTGTCTACTCTTAATAAACCCCATGATCCTTGCCGGTGGTCGTTAGAACCAATGGTGGCACTGAACGCGAAAGTCAGGCAGCAGAAAGTGACAAGGACAAGGGCAGGTGAAGGAAAAGGAAAAGGAAAAATCAAGTATTTGTGGCGGTGCAATGCTTTCGTGCAAGGGTCCTGCAGGATACGAGCCTTGTAAGGCATTCATGCATTGGGCATGGATCAAGATCAAAAGGCAGCACGTCGAGAGCATGTACGAGTAGTCGGAGCAAACAGAAACAGATATGAGCATGCAGAAAAGTCATTCATTTCTGAGCTCGCAAATGACTGAGCTTCTAGTTATGAGTACCGTCAGATCCACCAGTATCTCCCGACTTCTGCGCGGTTTATGGACACTCTTCTTGTGCCGATTCCATTCAAGTCTTGATATCGCGTGGAGGTTAATGCTCCGATGATCTCCTCTATGAGATGCCATACCTCTCGCCTTGTTGACATGGCCCACAGAATTGTTTACTGATGAGAGATGCAACACCCCATGTCGTCAGGTTACAACCTCACCAACCTTCGGAGCACGGTCTTTGAGCCAGTCTCTGGCCTTGCCCACATCACCTCGTTCCTCCTCCAGTGCCTTCGCACACCATGCAAGTTCATAATCTCCTTCACCCGCCATCATAGTTGCAAGATTTCGTTGAGTCTGACTAGTCTCGTCAACACAGAATATCAGTCCGCTGGTATCACCTTGAGCAAGTTGATCCATGATCGGCTTGATCATAGGGAGACCATCCTTTGCAGACACAACTCTGTCCTGACCCGTGACATTCTTGTGGCCGGTCTTGCACAATTCCGTATTACGACACCAGGACTTGCCACAGCCTCCCATGAGCTGCTGTAGTAATCTCCGTTCAATCCTTCTCCGGAGCAGTTTGCCCTCCGGGTCATAACTGGTGACATACAGCGGACCAAAACATTCGTTGCAGAGGCCCAGTTGCTCTTTCCGGACTCTAGATTCCTCCTCGTGCCTAATAGTCCGGCCGCAGATCTGGTTAGAGCATAGACTGGGCTTGGGCCGAGAGAATCGTTCCCGGTCATGCAGTCGAAGGTGAGTCTTCATATCCCGCAGTCGGACGATCTTGTTACATAAGTGGCATTCTGTCGTCCGCGCACCATCTGCAAGTTCGTGCGGTGTAAGCCCAGACAAGAGCACTTCTGCGTCGGTAAATGAAGGGTCGTCGGGTCCTTGTTGAGGGACGACCAGATGGCAGAACTGGCAGAGAATCTCCTTCCCCGGACATGTTGTAGTACGGTGGTGAGCGAGTATGGGTAGGTCGAAAGCCTGAAAATCGCAACTTGGGCACTGCAATGGTGATTCAGGATGAAAAATCGAGTCATGTTTACGATGGGAGGACGGGTCGTTTCCGTGCTCGTTATCATGAGGACAATGCCAATGGTTTCTCCAGGCATCCGAGTTCTTCAAGAATACGCCTGAGCACTTCGGACAGAGAATATTGTTCCGGTAGCAGAATGCTTCGTGCAATGGGAGGGTGCGTTTCGGTACAACCTGGCGACAATTCTTGCATACGACTTCGTCATCGGAGAGCTCTGGAGGCATATCGTCCGCTGTCACGGATTCAGATGCAGTGGCGGAGATCTTGAGTGTATACGGAATTGGTCGACTTTGGTCTGTCGAGTCTTGGTTGGTATCTTGCCATGCATGGACCGCAACATTTACCGACTCAGCGGTCTCCATGTCGACACTGGTGTGAGAAAGTTTTATTCGCTTAGTGGGTCGTCCACTAAGGTCAGCGAAGACGTACTCGTCTTCTCGAGGTTCTGAGCGCTGGTGTGCAGAAAAGGGACTGACGAGAAGATCTAGGATGCTATCCTCGTTGGCGACTTGTAGGACGACTTCCAAATCTTGATCGCGATTCCACTTCTTCAGCTCGTAGTCCACATATTCTCCCGGTAGCACTCTACCCTGCACTTCTGTTTCGAGAACCAGGGAGCCGCCTGAGGAAGTACCTTCCGGCAACTCCTGCTGGCGTCTCTTCTTGGCCAGTGTCTTGTTCAGTGTCTCCCGTGCCTGGTCTTCGTTCAAAGGCTCGATGTCCACTTCCAGATCTGTATCGACAATGCAAATCCCATCTCCTTCAGGCTCGAACTTGTCAACCAGAAATCGAAACCGCTCATGACGAGCACCTGGGACGACAAGTAGTTCTCCACTAGTCAGGGTCGTGTAGTTATCCCGTAGATATCGCTCGAGGAGGGATTTCCAATCTTCCGGATCGTAGCCCGCTTCAAGAGGCCTGAGTTTCACAAATGTGCCTTTCGGCAGCTGCTTTGCGTGTATTGTGACCGTTTCCGACTTCGACTTTGAAGTCTCCATCCCGTTTGTCATGACAACATCGCCACTCGGTGTGCTCTCCCTCGACGTGTGTGAGGATGAGCCATCCTGTATACCGAGCACCTCTTTCAGACCACTACTCAGTCCTATGGTGCCTTCTTCTGCAGAAAACTCTCGGATTCCCGCATATACAGCCCTTCCATTGCGAGGATTGACGATGCGAAAGGTCAGAGGATGAGGTAACTGCTGTTGACGATCTTGGAGAGCCTGACGGGCATAACGTTCGGCGGCAAAGGAGTATGGATTGAAAGGATCGAAGGACGAGGTCGCGTTTCTAGAGGCATTCTGCACCGACACAACGGGCGCAGCTGCGAGGAGTGCTTCGAGGGCCGATTGTGGCAAGGTGATCTTATCTCCAACAAGTCTGCGGTTTGGGTGCGCGACTTCGAGTTGAGCCGACCATTTCAGCGTATCTGCTGGTGAAGCCATGATATTCCAGTATGCCCAGGGAAGAAGAGCCTCGATTTTGAAGGTCTGACGTCGAACGAAGCCATACTGGATTTCGGATCAGGCATAAGAGTGACGCGCAGTTTTAGTTTTCGAGAAGCATAGATGATTGTTTACAAATTGCCAATTCCCTCCTCAGCTATGCGAGCGAGTGGCGGGAGTAGCAGACGTGCTCCCAGGACTCATACCCATGACCGTCTATCGCAGTACACAAGTAATAGAGAAGGCCACTCCGTGGTCAAGCTGACGATATCCTGGTTCATTCGCGGGCCTTCCTGCTCCAGCAATCGTTCTCGATTATGTAAGCTGATGTCTCAGGCACACGAACGGCTCGACGCGGATGTTGACAATGCATTTAGCATATCTGATGTCTTCACTCACCAACCATTTGAACTTTGGAGCTGCTTGCTCGTGTTGTCATTTCTTCGCAAGTCACAATCTGTCCAATGGAGTTGTCTTCTTGCAGGCTTGTTCGCAGAAGACTTCCTCATCGGCCGCCTTTTCCACTCACTCGCCGGACGAGACATGCCATCCAAATACAGTTCCCGGTTGACATGATTGAACTTGCTCACTTATCTGCTACATTCAACGACAACTGTGACGAGAACTGACAAGTCAATCGTACTGGCATCAATCACTCGAACATCGAGATGACAGAATCTATTCCCAGGAAAAGTTCGCTGAGCTTCCTCAATCCTTTCAGGTCGAAACAGACTGGAAGTCGGTCTAGCTCCAAGGCGAATTCCATCTCAGATCTCGACGTTGAAGACTTGAAGGCGGTGGCGCAAAAAGCCCCTCCCTCCAATAAACTTAGGAAACGCTCCTCTCCAGCGCTACCTAGCAAGAAATCCAATATAGACCCCAGAAAGAACCCCCAAAAACAGTCCCGTCAAATACGAAATGCTTCATTCCCAGCAATATCTGTCGCTGATGAATGGGACCGAGACGCACAAACGGGTGAACGCAAGGATCACACCGAGCTATTGCACAGCCTTGCTCACCGAGACTCGGAGGAGTCGCTTGCAGACAAAACCGAACTATTGTTTAGAGACATCCCTCCTCAGCCAGGATCAGCATTCTTGTCAAGGCTGCCACGAAGAATTTGGGACCAAATTGCCCATGATCTGCCACTAGCTGATGCAGCAAGTCTTGCTCTTTCTTGCAAGTCTTTTCGAGACCTTGTCGGCACGTCGGTCTGGAGCAGTCTCAACAATAAAGAAAACTTCGATTCGAAGACTGATTTCCTTGGACGACTCGACAAACAGTTACCAGACCATCTCCTCTGCTTCCCATGCTCAATTTACCATATCAGAAGCCAGAAAGGACAAGAGACATTGCGGCCAACCAATATCGCGAATCCGCTGTTCAAATGTCCCAATGCCTTCAACCCAGAGAAACGAGTCTCCCGCACTCGACTCACAGTTGGCCGCTCGTTACCATTTCCATTCGTCCAGCTTGTACTTCGAGCCCGTGAATATTCCCCCAACCATGGGATTGCAATAGATTCCCTGGCTCGTCGATACAAGGATCGAGATGGCGAATGGACTCACCAGACAAGTTTCGCAATAGTCAATGGTCACTTATTGGTACGCGTCATCAGTTCAGCATTCGCGGCGCCCGCGCTCCCCCCTGCAGGACTACGAAAACTTCTCTACTCCCCCAACGATAACTTCACTCCCTATTTCTCAGTCTGTGCCCATTGGAGAGACGGCAATCTTATGCCGGCTGTTAAATGTGCTCTGAGTCACATCCCTAAGCCCCCAGACAGCGGCGGAGTGGTAGGCGTTGCAGAGAAGGTGAAACTGCACCTACATCCTACCAACCCACTAATCACTCTTTGTTCGCAATGTCGACCAATGCGCCGTTGTCCCGAGTGCCCGTCGGAATACCTCATGGAGTTGAGGATGCAGGAAGATAAGACCGACCTTCGCAAATTGTTCAAGTATGCCATTGTTGTGACAAGATGGAGTGATCTCGGAGATGGCTCTTCCCCACAAAGTCCTGAATGGGCGGCTTGTAATGGAGAAGCCGATTTTGATTCATTTACAGCACTTGGCAGACGCGCAATTTCAGGAGTCTTCGAATCGCAATTCACGGTGGACCAGATTCCTGGACAAAGAATCGTCTCGATGAATCCAAGTAAGGAGAAGCGTGGCGAAGCAGGACACGACTGGTACTGAAGAGATGAAAAATACTAGGATATACAAGCCGCGACCAGGATAATGTCAGGATGATATGCCGTTTTCCAGACCGGCCTGCTAAATTGGTGTTTAGCGCAATGATCATCATGTTCATTCCCAATGAAGCAGCATTGACATATCTCAGTGGCATGACCACACCATCATACCCTTTCTTCTATCACAAAGCCAGGTGTATCTACAAGCAGTAGGAGCGGACCAGGAGCCCGCGCCAACTAGGCTGCTGACGTATGCACCTGAAAAGAGGCTCTACAAAGACCACTGATATGCGATGAGAAGCGACATCCAGAGAGTTACGCCAAGATCGCTATCATAGCCAAATCATCGAGTGGCTGTCGAGGTGGATACTACATCCCTCCATGCATTGTCAAATGGTACCCACACTACCGCCTCGGGAACCGAGGCACGCGAGCAAAGGACGAAGAAAGCACCATACAACAACTGAGGTCCTCCCGATAAGCTGGCTTGTATCTCGCGAGACGTGTAGGTTGCAGCCGCTGGGTCACCATGGTACTGCCGATCTTGACCTCACTATGCAATGATAGCCTTCCCCGTCCTGGAAATCCTTCTGATGGAGGGTCGACACTGGACAGCCTCACGCACACATGGCTCTGCCTTAAGAGTGTCCACACCGCCGTGGTCCTCCACCATGACGTGTCTGTTGCCGCCCTGTCAGGGTGGCCAACATCTAATCACCAACGTTGGATTGGCACCGGACGAGTCGCTGACAGAGCCGATACCCTGGAACCATGATTCAAGAACGGGACTGTCGTCCGGAATCTCTACCTTAACAGACGGTGCCGACTTGCCGCTATCCGTGTGGATTGTGCTTGCGAAGGGCGGGTTTGCCAACCACCAAGTCTCTTGACGATAGAACAAGCTCGTAATCATGCGAGGAATATTATCTCCTGCAGCAGGAGCGACCACATCTACGCAGACTCAAGCATTGCTTCCCGTGTCTGTTCTCTTCATCCTTGTTCGTGGTCCTGACTGATCCCAGGCTGTACAACCACAACATGCGGTCGCCGCCAGGACTCGTCTTGATGCTCTGGCTTCTGATTGCTCTGGCGCTTTTCGTTGTCACTCGAGTATCTCCTTCACGAAATGGCCCAGTCGCAGCGCGCTTGTACGACTGGGGCCTCTTCGGACTTTTTCCGAGGCAGTCATATAAATCATCTGATTTGAGACCACCACTGCTAAACTATGCCAGAAGGGACAGACGATGCGACAGCGGGTTTAGCGTTATCGGACCTCGAGGGACCATGGTCTCAACACCTGGGCCTGTCATTCTGGACTGGCAAGGCGAATTGATCTGGATGGAAGACCAGTATGGACAAGCAATGGATGTGAAAGTGCAGCATACAGAGGTCGAGACTATTTGACATTCTGGATCGGCTCAGATACCGGGACTTTCGGGACGGGGAAATATGTCATGCTTGATCAAAGCTATCAAGTGTACAAGACGATCTCTGCAACAAATGATCTCGATGGAGATTTGCACGAATTCAAGATCACCGAGAACGGCACAGCATTGATGACCGTCTACAAAGGGACCACCGCCGACTTGACTGCTTTTGGGATTGCGTCGCAAGGCTGGATATACGACAGTATATTCCAAGAGATCGATATTGAGACGGGAGAGCTTCTGTTCGAGTGGCGTGCATCCGAGCACTACCGTATCGAAGATACCTTCCACACCATCGAAGCCGAGGCGCGACGACCAGACTCATCTGACAGGACAGACAGCGCCATAGGGATGGAAAGCAAGTCAGCGTGGGATTTCTTCCACATAAACAGCGTCGACAAGGACACGCAAGGCAACTACTACATTTCATCTCGCTACATGCACTCGATAACGTGCATCAGCCCTTCAGGCGAGATTGTCTGGATCCTCGGCGGCAAGCAAAATCAGTTCACTGATCTCTCCAACGGAGCAGCCACCAATTTCAAATTCCAACACCATGCCAGGGTTCACGAGAACAATATTCTGACCATCTTCGACAATGGGAAATACGATGCGCGTTCAGATAATGCCGAGTACAGTCGCGGTCTGTTGGTTCGGCTAGACCTCGCAAATATGACAGCAACGGTGCTTCAAGAGTACGTCCACCCGGACAGAGTCCTTGTTGGCAGCCAGGGATCGGTACAGCTGCTTCCAGACTCGCGCCACGCAGTAGTAGGCTGGGGATATGTACCGGCTTTCACAGAATTCGACACGGACGGCTCCGTGCTTTGCGACGTGCACATTGCACCTTCAATCGTTTGGAATCTAGGCTGAGTCAAGAATTATCGCACATTTCGCACTTCGTCGTGGGTGGGAAAACCCTCAACACAGGCAGATGTGTATCTCCGGCCCCGCGAGGGAAGGCTGTATGTGAGCTGGAACGGCGCGACTGAAGTCGATCGCTGGCTTCTCCAGGGCCGCGAGATCATCGATCAAGCTGCCCTCTACGTCGACCTCGCCTCCGTCAAAAAGGAAGGCTTCGAGTCATCCATCGAGATCTCTAGTGATATGCCCTTGTTTGTGCGACTGGCTGCTCTGGACAAAGGTGGAAATGTACTCGGCTATAGTGTGGAGCTTAGTCGCAAGATCGGCAATGCGCCGTCAGAGTTGCCTCAGCTCATGGTACTTTTGGTCCTGATGGCATGCCTTGCGTATTATCTCTGGAGGGTCAGAGCCTCGATTCCTGGGCTGGCGAAGGCAAGGGACATACTGGACGGGGTGGGAGGTCGGAAGTTGAAGGCGGCTCTGGCCTTTCCGAAACGAAGTTCGATCACGAAGTGTGAAGCCGACGACTGGGCTGAAGAGTGTAGTGTGGGCGAGAGTGGACGGACAGATGTGGAAGGGGGTTTGGCATACACCCATGAAGGCGGCTTTAGGGATGAAGAGCTTCAACCATTGTATCACGAAGAGGGTATGTAGCATTTTAGGTACCGTACTGGAGGTCAGTGAAAGATCAAGATCTTTATGCGGGGACCCTTTCAAACTCTCAGGAGCTCTTCACCATTCCACGCCTCTCAGCCTCGATTTCCGACAGCCCAGCATGATCTCGCACACGTTCCGGCCTTGGCTCTGTTCGTCGACCGTATTCTGGGGTATACCAGTCTTCGCGAAGCTCTGGTTCTTAGGCTTGGCCGCCCAGATTTCCTCCCCAGCATGTTCCTCGGCTTGGGCTTGCTCCCTCAACGCTCTTAGGACCATGCCCTGAAAAGCATGCACACCTTCTTCGTGAAATGGATGCAATGGTCCGGTCTCGAAGACTCCGCGCTCAAGATTCTTCTGGACTTTCTCGCACAGCTCGAAGTCCTCGTCCACGACTTTCCGGTAGAAATTTGTCATGCGCTCGTGCGCTCTGGGACTCGCGTGTGGCGTGTTGAGTCTGTACACGTCGTATTCCTGGCGCGTTGTCGTTGCAGAGGTCGGTACGGAGCGCATCAGATGCATGAAACCGGTGCCCGGGTTGGGTGAGAAGTGGCCGCCGGGGAAGACGTGCGTCTGTGAGCGTCCTGCGAAGCGTGTGGCGTCGAAGCTTGAAGACTGGGTGGTGGTGGTGGTGGTGGTGGTGGTAGTGTTGGCGAGGATGGAAGCCTTGGGCTCGTTGAAGTGTGCTATGTATTCGTGTGACGATGGGCTGGGGGAGACGTAGTACGTGTCTAGGTCGGTGGTTTTGGCGACGTCCGGGTGTGCGGTGAGACAGTGGTAGCACTGCTAGGGGGTTCAGTTTCGGCGAGTGAGAAGGTGGACGTGGGCGCAGGAGAGGAGAGGAGGGAGAGAGTACGGTACCTCGTTGTAATTGTCCTGCATGACTTTCCAGTTGAAGGTGCCGTCCTTGGTCCATGTGAAGTCGTATTCGACGGCGTCCCAGTCGATACCGGAATTGACCAGACGTTCTTGACGGTCAAGCTGGCCGTATTGGGCGTGCCAGGAAATTTCCGGCTCGGGATTTGCGTCAAGATTGACGTAGACGAACCCGTTGGCATCGATGTGGACGTGGATTGGGAAGAGTTGAATGGTGGATGGGTCGAATGCAGGTATGGATTCAGGCGTGAAGCGTGGAGCTTTGGTCAATTTACCGTTCAAGTCGTAGGACCATCCGTGATATTTGCACGACAAGACTCTGGCTGTGCCGCTCGTCTCTTGGACCACGGGAAAGGCGCGATGCCTGTTGAAAACGGAAAAGAGAAACCCGGAGTATCAGATGGAGTTCAAGTTGCTCGCGAGTGAGATCCATCTAGAACTACTTACCTGCAAACGTTGTGGAAGCCAACGAGATTGCCTTCCTTGTTCTTGACCACGACGAAATTGAAGCCGGCCATCTCATATTGCACGAAGTCGCCGACATCGCGGTGTCGAGCCTTATGGGAGACGAGGAACCAGCGCTTCGAGAATAACGAGCGTCGTTCCAGTTGATAGATGGCCGGGGAGTGGTAGAAGTCGGCGGGTAGAGAGGAGTTCAGGTCGGTCAGTATGACCTTTCTGGACAGACCTTGAATATGGCTGTCATGCACAGCAGCTCCCGGAGGACATGTATTTCCATTGAGGTCTACAGGAGGCATGTTGGTTTAGGTGTTGGCCTCTGCATCGGTGGCATCATGGCGTGGACCTACCTAGACAATAATAGCTGCGGGTTCATATATGAAGAACAATGATCCAGAATTCGCTCGTCAGAATACTCCATAGATGCATACCGAAGTACTGATCATTGGTCCAGTTATCCCTCGGCTCCAACTGGTAGGCACCTAGGTGGTAGGAGGACGAGGATGAGGATGAGGACGAGGACGAGGTAACGTCTGATTAGATAAGGCAAGAAGGTAACGACGATCTCCATTGACCTTCTTCACTGGGAATATATTTCCCGATAGGCCATGATGGGCGCACCAGCTTCAACCTTTTACTCGTGTGAACGATTTTCATTTGACTACATCCTGACAGTGATTTGAACGCGTGCTTTGGCAATCGTGGTCTGATTATTGGTCGGAAGTCTTCGAAGCATGAGCATCTGAAGAATGTTGTTCTGCGAATATCAGAAGGGAAAGTCGAGGCGATGATACTTACAGAAGACACTTCGCGCTTCACATGTTGAAAAGTCCCCATCGCCAAGGGTCGAATCCAGACATCGCTTCATTAGCAATTGGTCGCATCGAAGAGTGACCTCAAAGGTGAACCTCAACGGCAAGCAGCGGGTGTTTGCCCCGACGGGCGCCATCCTTCAGGCTCCATACTCATATCAATACCATGAGTCTACGAATGTCATCCCTCGATCCCGACGAACCCAGGGCTATGAAAGGTATGGTGACCTATTAATACCCGGAACTGTTTGACACTGGAAGTTCCTGGCATTGACCCCAACAGATTGCCGAACCTGCAACAGACGGAGAATCAAGTGCGACAGGAGCCTTGAGACGTGCAGAAAATGCGCCCTCAAAGGGTTGCCGTGTCCCGGTTATGGCCTTCGTATTCGATGGGGCCAAGGAGTCGCCAGCCGCGGAAAACTAAGTGGGAAAGCCCTCCCCATTCTTGAGCCCGCGCCTGCCAGCTATCACATCGATGCCAAACCGGCGATCTCTACGACCAGCAGCTCGGTTCGTTTGAATGCAACCTCTTTGGCACAGGATGTACGTCCAAGAACCCTCCAACTCGCCCGTGGAGGCCCCCTGACTAACTCTCCCTCAGTCTGTCACAAGCAGACCATCATTGGACTTCCAAGAGAACGACTTGCAATCAACCCCGACAGCAAGCGAGCCACACGTTGTTAACGACGGTCTTCGAAACGCATTCCACCCTGTCCATGATCGGAATACTATCCACAACAAGTTTGGCGTGAATCTCGACCTGCGGTCATACCGCCTTCCAGACTATCTCCAACCGAGTGTAGTTCGAGATCTTATTCACTACTACGATCATGTCGTCGCTGCCGTCATGCCATGGGTGGATGGGCCTGACAACGCGTGGCGAACAATCATGCTGCCTCTTGCAATGGAGTCCGAGTCGCTTCTCCTAGCCATTCTTGCTCTGTCTGCAGAGCACTACTCTTCCAAAATCGGTTCCACATGGTCGGCCGAAGGTGGGCCCCTGTCTGTGCGCTACCGGGACCAAAGCGTCCAACTGCTGGCTCAAAACTTGCGTAGGGAATTGACTGAAGATCAGACGGCAGCACATCAAGGGCCTGCATGTGCTATGCTGGCCACAATACTGGTACTCTGCAATCTAGAGATGATTCGTTGCGACTCTGCCGTCTGGCATGTCCACTGGAAAGCAGCAAGGACAATTACACGACGGTGGACGTCCTCACATTACCCGAGGCCGATGCTCGATTCTGGCTTCAAGTTCCTCATCAAAGAGGCCTTCGTATACGACGTTTTTGGGTCGTCGACGACTTTCGACAACGAAGACCAGATACCCAGTTCGGTTCTGACTGACGAAGACCCTCAACTCTTTAGCCAGTGGTTACAACTTGTGCAGGAAGTGACAATAGTGGAGCGACGGCGTCACGCTAACATGCCTGTTGACCAGTACTTGATGCATTCGGCTGACATGAAACTCTTGCAACGACGATTCAAAGAAGCAACAAACTCCTCACTTCTCATAAACCGAGACCTGAAATTTGGATCTCAGGGCCTACAAAGTGACATTGTAACACTGTTGCGCATTTACCAGGAAGCCGGACTACTTTATAGCTATCAAGCCTTACTCGGGCCCAACGAGTCTGCTCTCGCACGAAGTGGCTGTGTGGAGTCGATAGTGAACAGTGTTCGCCTCATCCAAAACCTCAATGTTTTCCAGCACGATCTTGTCTGGCCACTTTTCCTCGTTGGGACGGAAAGTAGGAACAAACCCTCAAGACAGAAATTCGCGGAATCCGGATTACTGGAAGCAATGCGATCTACCGCATTCTCCAATTGTCGTCCAGCATTGGAGTTCCTACGACGCTTTTGGACAATGGACGAGCCTGTTGTGGCGGATTGGATTCAATTTGGCCGTCAGGAGTCTGAGAGAGGCTTGAATTTCCTGGTCATCTGAAATTAAAAGACAAGGGAAACCATCACATCACCGAAAGATCTCATGGCCAGTCTCACATATCAACAGTTTCTTCATCCTCAACACCAAACAACACCCGCATCGGGTCCTGGTAGTCCATAAAACCAAGAGAGGGACGGCAGATGCCATATCCTAGGAGTCGTTGTGCTTGTGGCGGCAATCGCCTGGCGTTCTCCGGTGGCACCATGAGGAACTGGTTCTCTGCTGGTCGGTAGTAAGGCTTGCAAAGAAAGATACCGATTGTCTCGCGAGCTTGATCTCTGTTCCAACAGTCAGAGTGGTGTGGAAGTGTGCCGAGCGCATTAGGACTCACTTTGTGATATTCCCACCACCGGCGTGATAAAGGTTGCCGACAAAAATCAAAGCATCTCCAGGTTCCAGTTCTGCAGGCACAGCCTCTTCATCATAGGGGCATCGATCAGGTCCCCACACATGAGACCCAGGAATGCAGATAGTGGCACCATTCTCCTTTGTCGTCTTGGTCAAAGCCGTCACACAGCCCAACATCATGGGCATATCAACGTTACGGGTGTGGTAATCACTGGGTCAAGGTAAGCATCAACTGACAACCTGTGTGGAAGAGCATCATACCCGTCGTCGCGATGCAGTACTTGCTGTCTCCCTCCCGGGTTTACTCGGAACGCGACGGTTCTGTCTGTGTTAGGAGATTATAGCAGAGAACATACGGAAACGGAGGGTGAAAGTCGTGCGTGGATGAATCATGTTTTGGGGGAGAGAGAACTCACGAGGATATAATTGGCTTGGATGTTACTGTCTCTTGCTCTTGACCTGACCAGTATGTGTATGTCGAGGAAAGCATCTTGTTGGCTACATTGATATATATTGGATTCATGGCCAATTCGACACATCCATCCGATCGACCCAGGAGCCCGGTCGCTCTTTGAGTGGTCTCTGGAAAGAAGCCGCTGCAGTCTTTCTTATCTGTGTCGAAATAGGGCTTGAGCTCGGATTTGATTCGACTGGCCAACTCTTTGGAGATCAAGTTCTCGACGATGACACCTCCATCACGCTCAATGATGGGCACGAGAAGCTCTGTCGTCGTGGCAGGATCGTTCGCATCACACCGCGCAATCTTGGGCTTCTTGCTCGACCCATTAACATGCTGGACGTCCTTTTGTGGGAGGGCCGAAGCCTCCGTGATGTTGTCTACGGCAATGGGGGCCATTCTCGAACTCTGAAGCCTCTGTGATGTTGTGGAAGCGTTGAAAGCCTGAAAGCGATAAGGTGTTCTTGACCCGGTGAAAGCCTTTGATAAGACCCGAGTCGATCGCTGCTGCTGGTTACGAACAAGATGTCCTATCCTCATTGAAGACGACCAGGACGAGGTTGAGATATCCTCGCGGTGTTATATCATGCACAAGCTGAATACAGAAAACGATCCTCTCAACTGTCCTGCCTAACGTGGCAGGTGAAATGAATGGTAGGGCTAGATGAGCTGGTGTCTTGGATCACTGCGTGGACTCCCAGGACTATGGTAGAGGTAGACCCGACTACCCGTATTCAGCAGGTATACAGGGAACCGCGGTTTGTCGCGTATGACCGTGCGATCTCATACATGAGCCAATCACCAAACGAAGGGAATTGCATCCCTCATAAGGTTGGTGGTTGGAGAGAAGAGCAAGCCGTCCAGGCCTGATTCACACGGGACGTGAATTCTCTCCATCTACCCGCCTCATTGGGTTTGGCTTGCTCAAGCACAACGCCAATCATGCCTTTGTCTACCAGGTAACTTCGCTTCCGTGGTCCGAACCTGCTTGATGCAAAACACCACAAACGAAAGCCTATCACTGATAACATGCAGCTATGAGAGCTAACAGGACGGTATGGACAAACGACTATCTGCGTTTGCCGCTACAATAGACGATCCGTGGCCGACAATCGAAGTTTGGAGAGGAAGCCGCTGCCTTGCGAAAGATAAGGAGTTGCGCAGCTCATGCAAAATGGCCAGAACAAGGACAGTCTTATCCGCTGATGCTGGCATGCAGCGGCGAAGCACCTGGACATATAGGACTCTAGCCTTGCGCACAATCACTCGAGCTGCAAAGCTTCTGCCCGAAACCCTTTGACTCGGCGCTGAACCATTGACGTTGTCGTTGATCCTCCTTTCAGCTTTCCCTCCACGGCGGACACTCAGTGTTATTCGTGACTGTCTTTGTTGCAAGACTGGTTTCAAGGTTACACGATGAAGGACGAAGAAATCGAATATGCAGCGCAAGACTTGAACCAGACATTGTCGGTGGACGAATCCAAGTCCATCAATAGTGATGATGCGTTGCTCTTGAGTATGGGCAAGAAGCCCGAATTGAGGCGTGTCTACAATTTCTGGACGCGTATGTCTGCTCCCACGATTCAGCGGGTCTAAGCCCAAGTATCTCACTGCTTGTCCCAGTGTGTGCGTATCAGATCATGATCTCATGCAGCTGGTCATGCCTAGTGGTCCTGTACTCGACCATCTTCGATATTGGCGGACCATTTTGCCTACTCTGGGGAACGTACGTGATGTTCCACCCAAGGCTGCAGACGATGGCAGGAACTGATCATAATTCCAGCTTGTTCGTCGCGGTCGGCCAGACATTGCTCATGATGTCCCTTGCCGAGTACTGTAGCATATGGCCCACAGCAGGCGGTCAGCAGTACTACACTCAAGCTGTTGCAACGGGCCCGACGAGACCTTTCTTGTCGTATTTTGTGGGTTGGGCGGTCATCGTTGGCGAGATATCCACGGGCTCCAGCTGTGCGCTCAACAGTGCTGATATCATTGCCTCCTTTGTCGAAGTCACTCATCCAGACTTTGCTTGGCATGTTAGTACTCCATCTTCAGTGCTCGAAGGCTGATCACTGACGGATTGATGGCAGCCGTGGCATACATGGCTCATTTATAGCGCCTTTCTCATCGGCCCTATCGCCATCAATCTGAAACAGAGGTAATGAGCATCTCGCCTGACAGAGGCCTGACCTGGTGCCATTGACTGATCGCTTGCAGGTGGCTACCAGCAATGAACTTGTTCGGCGCTTTCTGGACCATTGCTGGCGGTGTAGCTTGGGCAGTTGTCTTCGGTATCATGGCCAAACCGAAGCATGACGCCAACTTTATCTTTACCGAATTTATCAACAATTCCGGGTATACCAGCAAAGTTTGGGTGTTCGTCATGTCGTTCTATTCTCCAATGTATGGGTTGTACGGGACCGATGGGATGATGCATCTGGTATGTCTCTGCGTATCCTTGAGAAAGGACTGCCCGTTCTCTGGTGACGGCACCACGATAGTACCTAGTTTATGCTGATCCAATGTCGGGTGGCAGGTCGAAGAGATGAAGGATGCGTCCAAGGAGGCCCCAGTAAGTCTTGCAGTCTCGTATGACATAGTTCTTGGGCTCATCGTCCGTTACTAGCGTGTGATGGTGTGGGCAATGATTTTCTGCAGCATCACGAGCTGGCTTGCAGCACTTCTCATGATGTGGACAGCTGGCAACTGGGAATCGTACATGACAGGTATGTCGGACTCCAAGGTACTGGTCTTTTCTGCCATGTTCTGCCCCTGATTTTTCGTAGCCTCGCAACCTTACATGAACTGGTGGATGGACGTCACTCATTCTGTCTACGGCGGAGGGATATTCTGCGCTTTGATCATGATCGGCTTGAACTTCTTTATCATCGTTGGGACCAATCTTGCAGGCTCGCGTCTCGCATGGAGCATGGCTAGGGACAAAGGACTTCCTTTCTCGGAGTACTTCGCCCATGTTAGCACCAGATTCCACATCCCTCTGAGGACAATGGTTGCTATTCTGGTTATTGACCTGATTATTGGTATGTCGGAGAGTCCGTCTAGGGTACAATATGCTGAGCTTCCTTTTTCCAGGGTTGATTGTCCTCGGCAGCGATCTAGCATTTGAATCGATCATTTCCGGAGGAGGTGTAACCTTGCAAATAGGCTATGTCACGCCCATCATTGTGGTGAGTTTTCTCGCACACCATGTTTCGTCAAGTTCTTGCGGGGACAGCTAACTTAGCGGCATGCGCATGCTAGGTCCTCATCCGTGGACGCAAGATCCTTCCACCCAGACCATACTTCGACCTCGGGCGATGGGGCTATTTCGTCAACATTGTCAGTGTATGCTGGTCGTTAATCATCATCGCCATGTATCTGTCCCCACTGTACGTGCCTGTGACAATTGCCACAATTGACTATATGAATTGGTCATGTCTGATCGTGGGTGCGACTCTCTTGTTTCCCGGGATTTATTGGGTTTGGCGAGCCCGGTTTAGATATATCAAGGAGAGCAATTCTGTCCTGACCGATAATGTTGTCTTTATTGATGGGGTGGCTGTGGGTGGGAGTGAGGCATTGAGAGCTGCTGCGTTGGAAAAATGAATGCATACTTATTGGGATATGGGCTCGTAGATAGAATTCAAGAAGACTGCTCGCTCCAAGTTTTCGATAGCACCTACCAGTGACTTGACCGACTCTTGGGTTTCACTTGAGAACCCTCATACCACCAGGCTAAGGCATGCTTTTGCTGTATGCGTGACTAGCAGTCCTGACAAAGCGGCGATGAGGCGTGGTTGGACGAATGGTTGATGATGGGTTGTTGAAGATTCAACCGATTCCAGCACGACGTCATTTCTGGCTGCGCTGCCGCAAAGGACTCATTGCTTCATGTCCTTGCTCTTCGCGTATTGTCTACTCATGTCAAAGTATTGCTATACCCTCCCTCCCCATCAATAGAGTCGACCCTCATCGCTTGATGCGCTCCTTCATCCTCCTGGGTCGCTGTGTTGGCCCAAGGAGTTGGGCGCAGTTTGCCTCCCGCATCCCTCGACGTCAACAATCCTTCTCCAGGTGGACTCAGAAATACAGTTTGAAAGATCCTCGCCAAAGGCGTTACTCTCCCCTCCTTGCCGCTGCAGCGGGCCTCTCCTCGGTCGCCTTTGTCGAGATCACCGAGAATCATGACGAGAACAAGACGGTCGAGATGCAGATGCTGGAAGCCTCGCGGCAGGAAATCAGTAAGAAGGTACCTGAAGATGCCCACGGCCTACGACGATTGTACAAAAGCATAATATATTTCCTGGATCAATATGTTTACGAACCCTTAGCGACTGGTGTCCGCTTCCTCTACCTGGTCGTTATCTTCGTTCCCGTCATTGCAACCGTACCGATTGTGCTCATTGGGCCGCGGAGAAAAGATCGCGACAATGAAAGGAGCGGGACAATATGGTGGTACGGTTTTCTGGTCACTGCCATGGAAAGAGCAGGTCCGGCCTTCATCAAGCTGGGACAATGGGCTGCCTCGAGGTCCGATATCTTCCCTGCAGAAATGTGCAAGGTCATGTCCACATTGCACTCTAACGCACCGGCTCACTCACTCCGACATACCAAAAGGACAATCTGCGAGGCTTTTGGCGGCAGGAATTTTGACGAGATCTTCCTAGAGTTCGACGAAAAGCCTTTGGGTGTCGGTGCTATCGCTCAAGTCTACAAAGCCAGATTGAAGCCTAACCTGGCGAGACCAGACGACAGCGACCTCGAACATCATGACAAGCACCGGTTAAGGCATCGAATCAGGAGAAATGTCAATGCCCTGGTCAAGTCGAGCCCTCAGAGGATACCTTCGGCATACGTTGCTATCAAGGTCCTTCATCCCAAGGTTGAAAGAAATGTCCGCCGAGACCTCAAAATCATGGCCATCTTCGCATCGATCATTAATGCCATTCCCACATTGGAATGGCTAGATCTCCCCAATGAAGTTGCCAATTTCGGCGAAATGATGCGATTGCAACTCGACCTTAGAATCGAAGCTGCCAACCTCACAATCCTCCGGAAGAATTTCCAAAACCGCACAACAGCATGGTTCCCACACCCGTACACAGATTTCACAACACGCACTGTCCTTGTCGAGGAATTTGCGCAAGGCCTACCACTAGCAGCATTTTTAGAGTCTGGAGGCGGAGTCTTCCAACAAGAAATTGCAAACGAAGGTCTAGACGCATTCTTGCACATGCTCTTGATAGACAACTTTGTCCATGCGGATCTGCATCCCGGCAATATCATGGTCAATTTCTACAAGCCGACGCAACCCGATGTCAAACTACCATACATGTCCAGACAAGATCCTACGCAGCCGTCGACCGCAACCGAAATCGACGAGTCTGAGGCCGTGCTCTCACGTCTGCGTCCCCACGTGGGCAAAAAGCAAGAATGGCTCGCGGCGCTGAATCAGATCGATAACGAAGGGTATAGACCGCAGTTGATTTTCATTGACACTGGCCTTGTCACGGAGCTCAACAGCAAGAACAGGACGAATTTCCTGGACCTCTTCAGAGCGATTGCCGAGTTTGACGGCTATCGGGCCGGACACCTGATGATCGAACGGTGCCGGCAGCCGGACGCGGTCATCGACGGGGAGGTCTTCGCCCTGAAAATGCAGCATCTTGTTCTGTCGGTCAAAGGCCAGACGTTTGCGCTCGGCCACATCAAGATCGGCGACGTCCTCTCCGAGGTGTTGGGGATGGTACGGTCTCACCATGTCCGAATGGAAGGCGATTTTGTCAACGTGGTCATCTCGATCTTACTTCTCGAAGGCATTGGCAGAACGCTGGACCCGGATCTGGATCTGTTCAAGAGTGCTCTACCGATCTTGAGACAGCTAGGTTCATCGGATCCTGGTGCTGTCCTGAAGAGTTTCAAAGAAGGAGACTTCTCACTGTTGAAGATCTGGGTTGGACTCGAGGCACGGAGATTCTTCCAAGCCAGCGCCGAGAGTGTCGAGATGTGTGTGAAATATGACTTGCTCAGTCCTAATTTTTGAAGCGAATATCAGACATGCGAATGAATCCACTCTTGGTCTCTCAGCCTTATCACTTGATGACCGAATCTTCCCATGCAAGAAGAACTTTTGTACTCGCATCACCAGTGCCGCTCCTGCCGAAGGATATCAGGCTGAAGAGTTGCATCAAGTTGAATCTGAGACACAGCCCATGCCAGACACCAGAGCCGCGACCTGGCAGGGCGCGTAAACTGGCGGATAACCCGGTCAAGGAAGCAACGATGGTGCCAAATACGGAAGGGCTGCTGAGGATGCGGCTGAATATGCATGCATGTTTCTGGGTGTAGCCTACGTCCTTTCCAATCATAGCCAGCCTGTACGTGCTCGAGTCGCACATGGCCCACCTTTGAGCTGGTTTTATGCAACTAACGGTGGTGGTTCTGGCAGCATCGAACCATGCATGACGATTTCTCCCCTCCACTACGAGCTGCGTTTGGATGAAAGCGGCTGTACTGCTCAGAGCCCTGCTTGGTGCAATGCTCAAGCCGCAGTGGGGGCCAGACCCTCGCTTGGAAAGGCAGTCGAACTCCGGGAGGTCCAGCCTGATCTGTTATCAACCCAGTCAAGTCACCCTCGAAGACGTCTGATCTTCTTCCCCTTCAACATGCGACACAAACAATCTATTGAAGACAGCTCATCATATCTATGGCGCACGATCGAGGAGAATCCCCCGCTCGAAGCCAAGGGCCAAGTCCTGAGCTGGAAGTATTACTACGACCCAAACCTCCGCAAGCAGCGACTACCATCCCAGCCGTAGCCCGAAAGTCAGCGAGCAAAGGAATACTGTACGGTCGAGTTCGCCTTCGCTACTCACGTATTCATCACAACGCTTGAGTTCCCGAGTTCCTCTCCGTTTGTTTCAGCACAGCTTGCTTCGTGACCATTTCCCTGGTCCTGGGTGTGTATGATGGCAAACAGGTATTAAGTCTGCCTCACGCGATTAGCCTCAACACCGTGGTCGCCATATTATCCACGGCTTCTAAGTCCTGTCTGATACTGGTGGTCGGCTCATGCATAAGTCAACTGAAGTGGACATGGTTCTCGAGACAACGAAGATTGACCGACATACATTCCACGATGCCAGCCAAGGTCCATTAGGCTGTGTGGTACTTCTCACGAGAGAAGCATTTCTGTCCCTGGCATCAGTTGGGGCGATCATTACTATACTATCCCTGGCATATGATCCTTTCCTGCAACAAATCTTGAGCTCCAAAACCATTCAGGTCTACACGAACTCTCCGTTGGCTGTGACGAGACAAGAATACTGGAGTTTGGTCTAACGCCAGTTCTTTCGCACCGACTCCAGCATTTCCTTCCGGCAACTGCACTTGGCCGCCATTCAGCACAGTTGGCTGGTGCAGTAAATGCGAGACCTTCCCGACGAACAATGTCGTAGTCCGGGGGTTCGACCGGTTCCCCACGAAGGCAAATCTCACATCCGGTTCACGATGCCATGTCGAACTTCCGGATGGTAATCTGGTCGCTCTTCCGATGAAGGCGTGGATAGACGATACACGCCACGACGGTTGGTTGGTCCAGTCGGTGAATGCTGTTGCGTCGACGCTATACGCTCGCCATGGCAACTCCGTTTCGGAGTCTGAAACCCTTTCCCCAATTCAAAGACTTTTCTGGGCGTGAAAAGTCCCCAGCTCGCGATGGCTTTGGTGACTTTAGGTTACGAGCAATTCACCCGGGTACAGCCTCCTAAGGTGAACATTGCTCAAGAGTGCGTTCTCGATCTATGCTTGCTCGACTGCAATGTGTCGGTGAATGGTGGAATTCCCGAAACCAAGGTCTTGCATGCTCAGCATGGCGTTCAGTTCCAAAGAAATTTCACCGTAGGTTCTGTTTCCAACACTCTCTGGTGCTGGAGGCAGCCTGGCGTGGGCGAAGCTGATCTCTACTGGGCGTCCTCTGGTCCTGATGCTATTAACTTATTTGACGACTATAATATGGCTTTCTGCCTCGAGCTCGGTGTGAACATGTATGACCCTTTCGATTGGTGGTACCAGGTGGGCAACCTTCTCTCCAGCAACGGAACGGTTCTATATGAAGGTAATCACAACGAAGACCTTAACGACACGAGTTGCCTTCTCAGCATGCACGTAAGCCGGTGGTCAAACGGGTGGTTGACTCCATCGTCGGACATCATGGCCAAATTGCAGGAAACTTTGTCGTTGTCAGACACGTTCGAGGGTATTGCGGCAAGCCTTACGCAGTTGGGTCGGGACTCTCGCCCCAGCGAAGTCACAGGCCAAGTGGGACTACCAGTCATATATGTGCATCTACGCTGGGAGTGGCTCATTCTGCCGGCTGTACTGGAGGTGGCAGGCATTGCACTTCTACTGTCGATTATGGTCATGGCCAAACGCGCCAAGACACCGCTATGGAAAGGGTAGGTGCTTCCCTTTCTGTATCATGGCTTGGAAGATGGGATGAGGGAGGACGCTTCAACGTTGGAGAGCGTTAGCAGTATGGAGCGGGAGGCCAAAGCCAGAGTTCGTCTGAAGCGGGCTGAGAAAGGAGGAAGTTGGGAATGAAGCCGTAGATCGGCGGACTCTTGGACAATGACGAGGGCGACAGACGACGGCTCTCGCGGACCTAGAGGGCACCTGGATGGGTCGTCAAATACCCCAGATCTGAAATCGTTCGATCAGACATGTGCCAAAACGCCGTCATCCTGGCTTTTGAAATCTTGATCAAGGCACAAATTGATCAAAGAACGACAGATGTGAAGACCGGTACCGAACCCAGTAGTATGCCTGCTCGCTGCCGGCAACCGAAGAGTTCATGATAACCGAGGTCGCGTGTCAGGAAGCGTTTGATTGCAGTGCTTAGCCCAAGCTCCGAAGCCCTGACATATAACGTGGAGGGCCAGTGAGCACCCATAGAAAAGATTACATACTACGGAGTACAGAGTAAGGTTAAATTGCACGGGCGTGTGAGCACAAGCTGGAGCCGCGAATCTTGAAGCAGAAAAGCATTGACACGCTAGAGACACGCTTGTAGACGGAGGAAGTGAGATGGAAATTAGAAACTCTTACTAGGGAATCGCAATTCCCAAGACGCGTGCATGACGCGAAAAGAAAGCTGGCTTTGTTTACCACCACTTACGTCAATGTAAAAGCTAAAGGAGATTCATCAGGACAGAAGAGCTGGGCCAAGTTCCTAGTCGGACGGTTGTAGTAGCCAGCGAGGGAGAGATGAGATGAGATGGGAGGGACGAGATGAGGATCGAGATTAAGATGGAGATGAAGATGGAGCAGAGTTTGAGATCAAGGGCAAACCTACAACACAAAGTACACACTACACAGTAAGTGACAGTACAAACTCGTCAGTCTCTGTGCATTATTCATCAGCGGAGGGGAGCTACTTTTGTCCGAAAGAGACCTAATCAGAAATTCCCAAAAGGCCTTTGGAAGGGCCAATGGCATTATGAGAAAGGACGAAAGAAAACGGTTATCCAAAGGGAGCGTTTCCTATCGACATCAGCGCCGAACTGCAAATGACGAACAGGAGAATTAATCTCGGTAATTCGAGGGGCCCGGGAGAAATACTGGTGACTTGACTGTTGATTGGGCCTCTATAAAGCCAGAGGCCCTACACTAGCCCCAGACAAGCCTGGGAGGATCATGGGAGGATCATGGGAGGATGTTCCCGAAGCGCCGCGGCCGCCATTGAAACATCAGGCTGCGTTAACTCGAGACCGCCTTCGATCTCTGATACATGTACTCCGTCCTCCGTACCAACCACAAAAGGAGGGAAGGGATCAAAAAGAAAAGACAGAAGCCGTGCTATGCTGTGCCGAGCTGAAGACTGGTTGACTCTAACTACTACTATGGTATGCTGACCAGTATGATTCTACATGACAGGACTGGATTCTGTCATCAAACATGTCGGTGCCTTTCGACCCGTAAGGAGGTTTCCGTTCCCTTCCTCATGCAGATAGCCGCCTTGTGCCGCCGTTTAACGTGCGATGATCTGCCGATACTAACCTATGTACTACTAACGTAGTCACCGAGTCACGACTCACCTCTGGATACCCAATAATAATGGTGCCAGTGGTACCTCGTACCTTGTACCTGCATCTGCCAGTCACTTGCTCTGCTCTTGGTGTTCCTGTTTCCTGCTGCCTCATCTTCATCCTGCCATCCCCCAATTCGGCCTCAATCACACAACCTGCGACACGCTAATCTATCCTCGTCTTCCCTCTTCCTCTCCCCTCCCAGGCTTTTCCTGGTCTTTCTCGCCTTTCCTATTCCCCTTGTCCCATTCCGCATCCGCTGCTTTTGCTATCAGCCACTGATTGTATCCTAGCGGTGGGGCGCCTTTCTCTCGGATGGCTCCCATGAGGCCACGAGGCGACCGTCTCTCAACCTTGCAACGATGCTGGGAACTCCCTGATTAGCACTTTGCTACGGAGTATTGCTCTGACAACTGTGTAACCAGCACTTCGGAATGTCGCTCGAGTCACTTCTTGTGGTCAATCCCCTATTCCCTATTCCCTATTCCCTATTCTTCGCCCGAGCACAACTGCTGTGTGACCAGCCCAACTTTCTCGACCCATGGTCTGATATTAATATTGAGCATGACCTAGCCCTGTCTATTGAAGTTTGACATCTGTCAAAATCTGTCAAAATCTCTCCGCCCTCCAAAGATCCCCCAGCGTAAAGTCTGTCTTGACTCTTGACTCCGAGTCTTTGGGGCCCTTCTTTTATTGCCCGTCTGCCATCTCCACAAAAAAGACACCCACGTACCCACGTCGCTGATCCGCGACACGCACTGTTTGATTAGCCTCGCTGGGAACAACGGGGAGGCCTCACCACCTCGCCAACTTCTCAAACCACCGTCATCGTGGATGCAACGCCTCTGTGTCCGCACCGCCCATCATCCTGGGAAAGAGTCCTTTTCTCGCATCCTCGCCTTCAGCCCTCCGAGAAACTCCCCTGCTCATCAATTTGCTCGACCGTGTCAAGTCTACTTTCCATCCGCACGCGTCAACCTCGTCCGGCACCCACCTTGCCGAGGAATTGAGCGCCATAGTCGTCTTACCTGGCGCTTGTTCTGTTCGCTCTGCTGGTTCAGCTGTCAAATTCTACACACCTCCGTCGACCAGCCTTACAGTAACGTTCCTGGGTCAGGATCGTCGACTCGTTTGACAAGCCCGCCCACCTACTCGGAAAACCACCTTCCACCTGCAAGAGCCTGGCTGTATCTTCCAGCCTCGATCCTAGTCCGAAACCACCGGAAGCTCGACACACGACCGTCTTTCTTATGCTGACCAGACTTAACTGCGACGCGCTCATCTCATCATCTCGTTCTGCTCATGACTTGTTGAACATCCTCACTCATTCCTATCCGACCTTGTCACTCTTTTCTCTTTGGCACCCAAGACCACCACTCGTTTACGGTCTCGTCGCCCCCCAACACTTCGGCGCCTTTGCCGTCTCAGATACGTCCCACCCTGACTGATACATTTTCGTGGTGGGAAGACGAGACAGCCGAAGAGAAGGGGAAGCGCCACCCTCGTTCTCGTCGAGATCACACAAAAATACATTCATTGTTCGCACACACAACACACATACACATACCGTGGCAGGTGTCCGCCACCGCACCGCGTTGCGCAACCTCTTCATCTTGAACTGGTCTGCCGCAGTCCGCATTGACTGGTTCAATCGTTCAATTCGAAGGCCGCTATTGCGCCGCCTCGAACTTCCCGAGGAAGCACTTCTCCTGAGACCACATCCCTAATGGAACAATAACCGGTACACCATCCCACATCATCGAGTCACTCTTTTAGTTCGGTATGGATGCTGTGAGCACCTTGTGGCCAGCCTGCTGACCTGTCGTCTAGTCAAACTTTATTACACTCTTTATTTGTTTCTCCTTTCAGCCATTTTCACCATGAACGTATTCAAGAAGAAGGCCAAGGCCAAGGATGATGCATACATCATGCCTCAGGCCGAGCGCGCTGGTAGTCCTTCGATGTCAAAGATGTCCCGAAGCCTGAAACGCAAGCAGAAAAATGTCGTCGAGATAAAACCGGAAATCGATCTTGCCATGGCTCTTCCTGATACCAAGGACTTCAGAACTAGTCTGCTGATGCCCGGCCTCTCCGCCCGGTTCAGCATGCTTAGAGAGCAGGATGACCCGAACACAAAGGTCGGCAAGGCAAGCGACGACAGCGTACTGTTCCCAAAGCGAGCCTCTCGTCTCAATGTCTTCGGTCACAATGCCCTCACAGATATCGCCGAGGTCGAATCCATCCACACCCCCATCAGACCGCCCTTTGCCGACACGGAGCGGTCTCACTCCTTTTCCGAAGTCGACGACACAGGTAGTGTTGTGAACCGATCAAGACCGACAGACGGCAACAACCTCTTCAGCGGCCGTCAGAAAATGTATAGAATTCCGGGGACTGGCTCCTCGAGAGATTTGAGTGGCAGACAGACTCCTTTGACGTCCACCAAACACGTCTACCAAAACGACGTCGCCATGTCGAGTTTCCAACAGCTTCGCCTTCAGGCGGGCCATGAGCGGGAAGGGAGAGGAGAGGAGGAGGAGGACGACGAGCAGCGCGATGAGTTCCCCGAACGCCCGGTCAGTACGGAGACCGATGACCACGAACGCAGCAGCATCGTGAACACTCCTTCTACAGGCTTCAGTAAAAGCAGGGCCACAACCTCCTCCGTCGCATCTGGCCCCTCTAATCGACGCACGTCAACAGCTGCCACTTCGGTGGTGTCCGACTCCCCTATACCGAGGCAGAGCCAGCTGAGTGCTGGTTCTCACTCAAAGGGAAATAACTCCGACTATGGCAGCGAAGACAATTTCCTGAGACGAAATCCCTCCTCAGAATCTCGAAAAGCAGCCCAAACTTCCGACCAGTTCAGCCAGCCTCCTCTACCCTCGTCGCCCTCTTTCAGCCGTGATCTCTCCCAATCCAAGAGTGTGACCAATCTCTCCGAAAGGTACACCCGATCAACATCCCCATTCCCCACACTTACTCCCCGAGCCATAAGTCCTCCCCCTTCAATCCAGACCCAAGGGTTGGCCTCGCTTGATTTCGGCCTCAAGCCGTCGGTGGGCACTTTGAGGAGATATCAAACCGCTTCACCCACCGTGGACGACCAAGACGATGATGTCTACGCTAGAAGCTTGCAGCCGAATGATCGTGGGAAAGCCACCGCCATGGGACTTTTCAACCGACCTCAGCAACAATTCGATGAACGAAAGTTCGAAGAAAGACAGTTGCAAATGTATGGAGCACATCCCTCTGGCAATGAGACGGAGCATGACTCTGCGGATCGCGGCATTGACTCCAGCAAAGCAGCCAACCCTAGCATTCCTTCTCCCGCAGCCTTCCCGCGTTCCCAAGAGCCAAACAGAGCTGCTGGTAGGTCAAGGGCACAATCCGCTGCTTCGTCGACGGATGCTGCCCAGGTCCAAGCCAAAGTTGAAGCGCTTATCAGGCGACAAAATGAAGAGTACAAAGCCATTCAAGCAACTAAACCTGCTCCAGCAGCTCCAAATAGCCGACCTGGAGTACCAAAGACGCTCATGGATCAGCCTGCAGCAACAAGGGGAACTTTCTTCAACGCCTCTGATGGCAGTGATGAGGAGGAGGAAGAGGCCGATCTTGACAGTCCAATGCTGGGTCGGTATGAGCCGCCGCCTCGTCTAGCACCTATGGATGTGCATCCGGCGCTCCGAGATGATTCTCAAGACTCTGATTTTGGGGGACAAATCTCTACTGTTCACGACGCCCGGCCGCATTCAGATGCATCTGCCGAGACTTCTTCTCCTTCTGTCCTTCACGACACTCCTGATACATCCGATTCTCTACATCGCATATCCAACTCCAAAGATGTTGACTCGCCTACGCTAGGACCAGCCACTGGTCTGGGACTGAGTGGCTTGATTCGAACTCATCTGCGACATGACAGCGATAGATCGTCAATGATGCCGCCGCCATCCCCTGGAATGCTTCAAGGCCCGCAGGGGAACTCTTCCTTCCGTGAGCGGGAACCATCCATTGCTTCGACTGCCCGCACTATCAATCCACCTGAGAGCACGCATAGCGACCCTTGGGAATTTGACAATGCGCATCGTCACCAACGAAGTCCACTGGAGCCTTCATCAAATGATCTTATTCCATCGATGTCCCACAAAGCCCAGCAGATCCTCGGGCAAGCTATGTCCCACAGAAATCATGCGGCCTCGAAAGCTCAACAGGTCTTGGGCAGCAGTGCGCCTGCACCAATGGACGAACATCCAGCAACAAGACAATGGCAGAATGACATGATGCCAAGTCATCATCGAGAGGAGAGCACCGAGACTCAAAAAGAATTCGGCAATGAGCTCGCTGAGCGTGCTCGAAGAATTCAGGAGGGTCTGAAAGGAGTGGTCGAAGCCGAGAAGCGCTCACAAAGCCCCGGGCCACGTCCAGCGCTCCAGAACCCAGCCGCCCAGGCATTGCACGCACTTCGACACAAGACAAGCAAGACGTCTCTTGTTCCCAGAGATAATGAGCCTCAGCCTAAAGCGATGAAGATGCTGGGAATCAATGCCGCCGCAAGCCCAGCGATGGGAGGGAGGTCGCCGAATGTGGGTGGTCGGGCTGAGTTTGATGATAGCTACGACGAATACGGAAGGCGGCCTCCTCCAAGACAACGGCCGGCCGATCTCGAGAGCTCTAATGGCCGACTAACACCAGGACCATCCCGACCAGGACCATGGCAACACCACTCGCAAGAAGAATTTGAGCGGTCACGCCAACGTTCCGCGACTCCAACTCTCAAGGGACAGAGACGCGATCGAGCAGAGTCTGAGGCTGCTGAGAGGTCACGCAGCAGAACAGGTCGCTACCGAGAAGAAAAACCACATCCACCAACTGAATATGGCAGACAAGGCCCTTTCCAACGTGGGGAGCAGCAACGTTCCTACGGTCCTTCTCATGGCCCTCACGGCCATCATGGACCTCCCCGCGGTCCGCCTCCAGTCGAGGGTCGAAATTACGAGAGATCCGCCTCAGCCATGTCAAATCGACGACCCAGTGGTACTCGGCCAGGACCATCAGGCTACTTTGACGGCCGGGCAGCAACCCCTACAATGACGGGCACTCCGCGGCTAGGAGAAGGGGCAACGGCACTGAACGCGCCGAGACCTTCACCTCGCCCACCTTTTCCTCACTCTCCTATCAGCCCTTTTGCCCCTCCTGGGTTGTCGCCCGGTCTTCCTGGTCACCCTTCCGCCTTCCCAGCTGCCCTTCCATCGCCCTCTGGACCAATCCCACAGCCTCCTACAACTACTGGTCGATCAACACCAAACGAGAACAGGCAGACTATGATTAGCGCACGCAAGAAGTCCGTCACTAAAGGGATGATTTCTGAACCTACATTCATATCCAGCACTTCTTCGGTCCCTCTTGTCGGCCTACCCAATGGACCTCGCCCAAGGGAGATTGCCATTCCGCCGGTTCCAGCAATGAATCCACAACGCCGACGTGCTGGCACCATGACTGAAAGTACTGATGGGTATTCTAGTTCTCGGGTCGGCTCACCTATGCCTTCAACGCCAGCCTCACCCAGCGTTCAAGGATTCGGACCAACAGCTACTCAGCATGCATTCATCGATCAACAGCAACAGCAACATAAGCCAGCTCCTCGTCAGCGAAACAGATTGAGGAAGATCAGCAGTGAAGGCGGCAGCATGGCTGCTAAAGCGCGGAACCAGGCCATGTTGGCCGAGTTTGGTCGAGAGAAACTGCGCAGCCCCGCGTTGCCAGTCTTCCCGAACAGAAGCGCGACGTCCCTAGGCCTGCACCAAGACGGCGGCATGTTCTGAAATATCGGCAATCCTCGTCACATGGCAAAATCAACCTTCTGAACAAACATCTTTTCCTTTGAACATCCTGTGTTAGTATGTGTATCACGGCATAATGGTTTGAATAGTGGACATGCGCTTTTTCTTTCTTGAGACGGCCTCGGTTAGATTTTTCAAGTTTTGTATGGTACGGCGACGACCTTTTCCTGGGAGACTTTTGTCGCTAGATTACGACCAAGATTCCCATATAACAGGGACAGAGTATGATATGTGGGCTGACGCTTTTTGGGGCACATTGTGCAGACATTGTCAAGGCGGATTGAAGCGGACAAGGAGTATCGCAATTGGGAACAAAAGTGAAAAGTGTAAGGTGAATACAAGGAATCTAGCTTGTTTACCTTAGTTAGGATACCCGAGACACGAATGTGGAAATGCAATGCTACGGTCTGTAAAAGCTGCTAGCCTGGAACTGATGCCACTCATGTACCTAAGCAACCACGTCAACTTGGTCAATGCTGTCCGGGACCTACAAGGCTGAACAAGGCTGTGCCATGCCGGCCTGTTCGCCAAGCGGCGAATGCGAATGCGAATGCGGAGAAGTGGTCATCTAAATGTCGTACCTAGAACTTCTTCCCCGCCAGAGTGAATCAGTAATTAATCAGAGCATGAGTTCTTGATGAACACGCTGTTCACTGCTCCGTTGCTGTTGTGAACATTACCATGCTCTAGAGCGGCATTGGCTGCGTGGCTCTTGTCCATTTTCTTGTCTCTTGCCTCTTGAACGGCTTTGTCGTTTGATTCTCATCTCCATGGTGCAAAACCGGTCGCCTTCACCCGCACCGCTCACCTCCCGTCAACATGGCACCAAATCCTACGAGTAGCGGCCAAAGAAAAAGACCCCAGGGTCGTATGGTTCAACCTGCGCTACCTCTGATACCTGGACTAAAGGGCAAGCCGAGCCAAAAACCCGCTCCAGCGCAGGCTGAGACTGAAAAGGTTGAGTCAATCTCAACACTGAGCACTGCTGTCAATGGAGACAATCAAGTACCTAGCGACACAACAGCAGCTGCTCCAGTCGTGGTCACTGAGCCAGAAGCTCCTTTAGAAGCCTTGCCTGAAGAGAAAGACATTACTGAACTCGCTGGTCAGTGTGCCGCCCATGAAAATTACTCTTACTCACTGACTCATCATGACAGGTTCCTCCGCAGACACTCCTCAAGAGCCACTCGGGACAACGAGTGACGACAAACCAACAAAGGGTGACTTACCTGAAACACCTGTGCATCATGACGAAGTCCAACAACCGTCTAGTGAAGAAGGAGGAGGATCCACCCACGGCACTGAAGAGTTGCAAGAGACTGGTGATTATGACAAGGAACAGCCCTCTCCGTCTTCTCAGATTGCGAGTGTTGGAGCTGGTGAAGAATCTGAGCAAGACGTGCAGGAACTTGAAGGATCTGCGCGGTCAGACGAACCAAGCACGTTCGACGCTGTGAATGGTACATTACAAGACACCCCGCCACGTGAAAATGGCACGTTCACACCCGAAGAGGAAGGGCAGAACTATGAAGATGATCAGGCAACACAAGACTCCGTTTCTGCGGCCAACCCCGAGGAGAACACTAACGGCTTCCACGAGCCGACGACGGCGCCCTCCAGTCAGTTCGACTCTTTCCAACAGCCGAGAGTCTTCAATGGCCTGGTTCCGTTACAGGACCATCTACTCCAATTGGCCAACACTAAAGAGGGCGTCGACTGGGCCATTCAAGTCAATCCACCGGGTGCGCAGCCTTACATTATCTATGCTCATTCCATAATGATGTTGCGAAGTGGACGACTCCGTCGATTGATGCAACGTCAATCATCAACGAGCTATGCTGGCAACTCCATCAACCTTTATCCTGCCCGCTATGTGCTTCCACACGCCTTCGAAGCCGCCTTGCGCTTCCTGTACTCTGACACGGTCTTGTCACATCTTGTTCAACCACACCCGGGTCCGGACTTCCATGCGGCCAGAATTCAGAACCTGGACTACATTTTGTCTTACTGGGTCGCCGGCATCGAACTAGGCATCGAACAGGTGTCTGCATGTGCAGAGAGACTCTTGTCTAACTACCTCGATTGGGACATTCTTGAGATCACCTACAAGCATGCGATGGAGCTCGCCAATGCTCCAGTGGTGTCTTCCAATAAGAACACGACCGGATCAGATTATGTTGTCGCCAGCAACGCCATGATCAGGTCAATCCTACACTTCTTGGCAACTCGGATGGACATCAGCAAGTTCAAAATCGACACAAATTCGACACCAATCCACTTCGCCTCTCGCCTCCCACAGCCCGACAGTGGCCGTCCGAAACATAACCCGGCGTTGGCTTCGATGGTCTTCGGCTCTATGCCGTCGTCAGCCGATATGTCACCAACCTCGCCACAATCCGAGATCTTGCCCACGGCTTCCACTTTCAGAGATACGGTGGCTTCGAACATCCTCGTCAACGTGGATTTCGAGCATCTTTACTGCTTCAATTCTATTCTTCAAACACGCGATATTTCCGAGGCTTCCCAACTTATGGCCAACGTCGTTAGTGAGCGTGAAGCCCGTCGCCAAAAAGTCTTGGATTTGCGATCCGTCTCCAACAAAGCTCGCATGGTGAACGCGACCTTGTGGGAACCAGTTGGTTGGAAAGAAGATTGGGATGGAGGCGTTCTTCAGAGAGAACGAGTTGGATTCCTTCTTCCTTCCAAATGAGAGGGATGTACCCTTTCTTCAGACATGAAAGCAGCGTTCTTAGCCAGCGTTGAAAAAAAGTCGACTTCAGCGTTCTCTCTTGCATGGAAAAATGGGTAATTACTGGCAGCATCTTGGTGTGGATAATCCATCAGCTTCGTGATTTGTGTGCTGGTCATGTTGGGTTCAGGCGTGCTTTCTTGTGGCGAATACAATGCGAACGAGACCAGATGAAGCTGAGCAATACAGTGAGCTAGATACCCCTGTGTATGCGAATGAAGATAATGGAAGGCGTGAATGCACATAATGCACGCCTCATATCAAATACTGTCATCGACCACTGTTCGTACGAGGTCCATCACGTTGAGGGAGCGGCATGAATGTATTCCGCTCCCTGAGCCGGTCGATCCAGGGTTTTACCAGAGCCCAGCCCAGGAGACCGGCTGTGGCGAAGATGAAGACAACGACGACCGTTTCATCCTTGAGAGAATCGCGCTCTATGGTTCTGTCAGCACATGGACGGGTAGGACTCATGCAAAAGGGGAAAGGGTAAAGGACATACGGAAGCAAGTAGTGAACACGTCTTCTTCCCCGGCGTTTTTGCATATGGGCAGATTGTAGTCGAGGCAGAATGCGCGCGTGCAGTCGGCGCATGTGAGCTTGTGATGTTTGTGCGGTTGGGCAGCTGGTGGGTGGTCGTTGGCATCGTCGCCGTCGTCTTCTTTGGGAGCGGCAGCGGCTGAGGCTGAGGCTGCGGCTGCGGCCCTGTCTTCTTCGTCGTCTGTGTCTCTGCCTGGGAATAGGCCTGCTCCTGCGTGGACGGCTGGCGAGCGGACGTCTAGGTTATGTGGTCGGGCGGCTCGGGTCGAGGAAGGAGGCGGGTTCAGGGCGATGATGGTGCTGTTGTTGAAGCAGATGCATTTGCAGAAGGAGGTTGCGGTCGATTTGGCGCTGAGAGTTGGTTGGAGGAGACAGATAAGGATTAGGAGGAGAGGGAACGGTGAGGATAGGAGGCGCATTATGGACGGACGCGTGAGTCCTCGTTGCGAGAACGGCTCATGGGAAGATAGCGAATATCGTCCTGGTCGTTGTCGATTGACCCTTGACCCTTGACTCTTGACGAGGTGCATGGAGATTTGCGGTTGAGTAGGTGAGTGCTTGAACGAAGGAATAGAACGGCGGAGTAAAAAGACCGCATTGTGCTTCCCCCACAAATTGAAGGAAATGCATGTGGAACTGAAGCTCACCCCACATCATTTCAATGGGCAACTTGACGTGTCGAACAAGGCATCCTTCTTTCCAACGTTTTTTTCTCCTTTCCCTTCTTACAACAACAGATTCATCAGTCTTCGCTTTCGTCGACAAGCCGACACTGTCTTTCAGGGAGAGGCACCTGCCAACGAGGATTGCCAGCCTCGAGCCTCACGACGCGCCGGTTAGGGAGCCTCTGCCTGTTTGATAGTGCCTCGGGCATTGAAATCATTGGGCCGTCAATTGAAGCGGACCCATCGCACTGGAGAGCATATATCAGACTGCAACTGGAGGTCGGCAGCTATGGCGCCTCCACCTATCCCTATACGATTTGTACTGAATGAGCGCGAATACGGCCTGTTGCGCAAATACCTGTTACGAACGTCACCTGAACCAGCGTCGACTGTCGAGAAAGAACAGGACAGCCACACCTCCGATTCGGCCTCTCAACGAGACCATCACAATGCGGCAGCCTTTCGCTCCGCCACGCGCGTCTTCCTAGCTACACTTGGTTCTTTGGAAGGAGCGGAATATCTGTTGGGCCGTTTGTCGGCACGCCAGTCTCCAACTGCGACGCGCTCGAAGAAACCACTTGTGGCATCGAAATCCAAGTTGGCTATATCACTGTCCTCGCTTCTTTTCCTTCATTCCGTCCTGTACCGCATATTGTCTCGTTTGAGATTGCAGCTTCTGCACGAAAAAGTGAAGAGCATCAGAGAGCGGTATCCGAGAATATATGCAGCGCTCACCTCGCGCATTGCTCCAGCCATTGGCGCTAGTCTTTCGGGGTTCGCGTTGGGAATATGTCCGGCTGATCAACTGCGAGTCACCCTGGCGATATATGTCGCTTGCAGAGCGTTGGAGGTGGGGTATGCGGCTATCGAACAAACCAAGCTCATCAAGAACAAACCTAACTGGATGGGGAGTTGGCTTCTCTTTGCACTATCCCAGGGGCAGTTACTCCATGCATTCGTATTCGATCGAGACTGCTTCCCGGAAGCCTATGGGTCCTTCATTTTGGGCTACACGCCAGAATATATCCAGCGGCGACCGGCAAATTTGTCAGCGAAAGTCGCTTGGCCATCGTCAAATGACATTGTCGACGGGTTGGCCCAGATGGCGAGACTCCGATGGCCGCCCTTTGTGTCGCCCATCTTACGACCGAACAATCCCAACACATTGCCTCAAGGGATCGATCCTGTCATCTCACCGATCACTTCGCGGGCGCATCCGGCGATCTCCAAACTATCATGCGCTTTGATCCATCCGTCGGATCCGTCGTGTTTCATGGCCTATTTACGACAGAATCTGCTGGCATTTCCACAACTGGCGCGCTTTTATGCAATGTACTACGGTGCCCTTTCGGTGTTGCAGGCCAAGAAGTTCATCAGTGATCCGATCAAATCGCTCAATCGGCTTTCGGAATCGATCTTGAGGTCGACGTTGGCGATTTCAGGCTCGATCGGAGTTGCGTGGGGCAGTATATGTCTGTTCCAAGCGCTGTTCCCACGGTCGTTTCTGCCCAAGTTTCGCTTCTTTCTGGGTGGAATGCTGGGAGGGACGTTTCAGGTGTTCGATAACACGCCGGCAGGGCATATGACTACACTGTACACGGCGAGGACGAGCGTGGATTCGTTGTGGAAGGTCGGTGTCAAGCATGGATGGTGGAGGGGGATCCGGGGTGGCGATGTGTGGTTGTTCGTGGCGGCGCTCGGACTGATTAATGCGGTTTATGACTTGGGCAAGAATACCCCGGCCGCGCAGGATCAGGCAATGGTGTTGATCAAGGTCTTGAGAGGAGAGATTGACATTGGCCTACCGAAGAAGACGGAAGTGAGGAGCGAGGAGGTGCAGACGGAGGAAGGGAGGGAGGCTCAGTAGATTCGGAGATCAGCCCAGCAAAGATCTGTTGCAAAGGGTTGTATGGGTGTCGGCGCTCTGCTTCTTGGAGAATTGAGGAGGCGTGAGAGTGGAAGTTCAAGGATCACAAGGTGAAGGTCCAGGGTCCCTATTAGTCGTTCAGGGAGAGAGGACGATGGGGATGAATGTCCGGTGAAACTGGGCTTGGGTATAGGGGAGGAGGAGAAGAAGAAGTCTTGTTTGGGCTCTACTCTACATACGACATCATCTTTCGGGGGATCAATGTTTTTCTACTGGAAATGTACAGTGAATAGAAAGCCATAAAGAAAAGCACGAAGGGTCGTGTAGCTGTGCACCTTGGTTGGCTATGAGTACCCCCGTCGTGCTCCGTACACCTGGTACTCTAGGTACTCTACTGTGTACGAGTGATGTGTGACGTGACAAGGCTGAAAGGAAAAGCCCCAGACACCCAGAGCACAAGGTTGAAAGGAAGCAACTTTAGGCCAGTGGCCGTACCGATAATGGTTAGTTTGTGCATGCCGTCCCGTCGTTGGCCGGTTTTCAATCTCATTGGTCAAAGTTTAGGCTGCTGAGGCTGGTTTGTGGCCGGGGAAGGATTCTGCCGGCAGAACGAAAGGATGCGTCCTGGAATCTCCTCCATGGACCCTGACGTGGAACATCTGGCACGGTCTCGATGAGCAAATTCCCATGTTCTTCCTCTTTCTGAGGTGACACTGCATTCCAGCTTCGCCATTACAAGTGTACCTAGCCTTGCTCCGTTTCACACATGTCATACTTGGCACGAGTAGGACTCCTTATTCCTCAGTTCCTCAATTCCTCAGTTCCTCAATTCCTCAGTTCCTCAATACCTCAGTTCCTCAATTCCTCAATTCCTCAGTTCCTCAATTCCTCAGTTCCTCAATTCCTCAGTTCCTCAATTCCTCAGTTCCTCAATACCTCGTGCCGCCTCTTCGGCTCCGTCTCCTCTCTTTGTCAAGATCTGACTGTTGTATCCTGCAAGAGGGATCCTTTGTTGAGGGATACGACACCAAAGCATTTTCTGGCGGTAATTTTTCGTCCTTGATACTACCTTGTGGAGGTTGATCGTCGATTTCCCGGCAAATCAAAGATGGTCATACCTAGGCCTGAACAGCGCCGCTATCTCGTTAACATTTCGGCCAATATAATTTCTCCGTGGCATTTCACCGCCTGGACTGAAGCAGGCGGTGACAGAAATTGGGGGTTTGTTGCATTCATTCTCTTCGTTCCTCGTCGCTTCTCGAACAATTGCACACGCAACGGACCTTTGGTCGAGGGAACGGCGTGGCATTGCATTGCAGTCTGCATGGTCTAGATGCACGTCGCCGAAGTCTATGTACTCGAATCGCTGCGACATGTAGACTGTGTAGACTGCAATGCAATGGTCCATTTGGTCCAGTTCTGATTGCTGCTGTTGATCTCGGCTTCGGGATCCGTCGTGGTAAAATAGAGCTTGTCTGACGTAACATACAAGTTACTTTGTCTCTGTAAACCTTGGAAGGTACCTAGACTTCGACGCGGCCGCTTCTTCTTAGGAGCTCGTAACTGCAAGAGATGGGCAGGTCATCTATCCTTCGTACACTGGATGTCCCAAAAGCAGGTCATCAACTCGAAATCGTAGACCGTCTCAAACTGCATGACCTACGACGGGAGTGTTGGATCAGGATCGGCATACACTCCCGTCTGTCAGACAATACAAGCCATGACATGACATGACCTGACCATCTCTCACCTGCACTTCCCGTTCTCGCCTCCTCTCCACTTGCACTGCACACATCCATCACAGATTTCCTTCCTGCCGTCCTGCCCTTCCTTCTTCTCTCCCTCTCTCTCTGTTCTACGTACAGTAGATCTCCTAACGATCTGCGTTTTCCTGCTCTCCACGGAGTACCTCTTTCTCAACTCGTTCAATAATTCCACCATCATTATCAGATTTCAAACCACGTCACTTGTTCAGGAAACCGCTACTTATCACCCGCGTTGCTGCGAGCGGAGGACAGGTCGTAAGAGACAGGCACACTTGGGAAAATGAAACTTACACGCAAAAAGTCCCCTCCGTGCACCGACGACACCTTCCCGACTACTCAGTTCCTCATCCTTGGTACGTCTGCAGGAAATCCCGCAACCCGAAGCTACTCACTGACGCATCTCGCCAGCAATATGTCGCCTTTCCGAGCCGATCGCCGTCACTGCCATCTTCCCTTATGCCTGGCTCATGGTCAAGAGCTTTGGGATCGATGACGCCTCCTTCTACGCCGGCATTCTCATCGCCTCCTTCTCCCTCGCCGAAGCCTTCACCAGTATGTTCTGGGGTGGTCTGTCCGACCGCTTGGGCCGGAAACCCATCCTCCTCACCGGGCTTGCTGGCACCGTCCTTTCGCTTCTCGTCGTCGGATTCTCTACGAGCTTCACCATGGCGCTCTGTGGAAGAATACTCGGAGGTGCTCTGAATGGAAATATTGGTACGCATGCCCACGCCACAAAGAAAAGAGAGTGCTTATTGACGAAAACTAGGTGTCATCCAAACCATGGTCGGCGAATTGGTCACCAAACCAGAACATGAGCCCAAGGCTTACGCCGTAATGCCTTTCGTGTGGTCGATCGGATGCATTATTGGCCCTGCCATCGGTGGGTTACTTGCAAATCCTGCAAAATCTTACCCTGGTGCATTCTCTGGAGACGGGCTGTTTGGTCAGTTTCCCTGGCTTCTCCCCAACCTCGTCTGTGCCTTCATCATGCTCTTTAGCATCATCGTCGGCCTCTTTTGGCTCGAAGAAACCCATCCCGATTTCCGCCGCACTGGAACGGTGGACGAATCCCCTAACCCCGTCACCGAGCGTACGCCCATGATTCTAACAGCTGGCGCCAATGCCGATGCCGGCACCGATTTGAGACGGGACTCCTTCGGGACGTTCAATGAAGTCGACATTCAGAAGAACGACAATTGGAAAATCAATGCCGATGGTACCTCGCGGACTCCCTCGATATCCGAAAATGGGTCTCAGAAATGGCTCACAAAGAGAGTGGCCATGTTGACTCTGGCTCTCAGTCTTTACACATACCATTCCATGTGTTATGACCATCTCCTTCCCATCTTCTTCGAAGACAAGCCCGTGGATGAGGTCTCCCTGTTCGGTCTCAGTCCCGTCCACATCCCTGGTGGCCTTGGTTTGTCCACAAAGGATGTCGGGGTGATCATGTCTGTCAATGGCTTGATTGCTTTGTTCATTCAAGCCGTCATTTTCCCCATCGCCGCTGAGCGTCTGGGCGTCTGGCGTGTTTTCGTTGTCGTCACGATTTGTCATCCTTTGGCATTCTTCATTGTGCCTTATCTTGCTCTTCTGCCACGGAACTTACTCTATCCAGGCATTTACTTTTGCCTTTCGGTTCGGAACCTTCTTTCAATTCTCGATTATCCTGTCATCTTGATTTTGCTCAAGCAGGCAAGTCCTTCTCTTTCGGTTCTTGGTCGTATCAATGGTCTGGCAGCTGCAGCCGGTGCAGCTTGCAGGACCGTCGCACCACCTATTGCAGGCTTGTTATATGAATGGGGTTCAAATATTGGTTTTACCGGTCTGGCATATTTCGGCGCCGGCGCTGTTGCTATTGTCGGAGTCGTTCAACTGTGGTTTGTACCACGCGAAAAGCATACCTCCACTGTCAAACCTATCATTCCCTACTTGGAGAATACCGAGGAAGCGATCACGGATGTGGTTGAAGTGACCGTCGTTGATGAGGACGAGGCTTAATTTATTGAATTCATTGTGCCGTGGTTTAAAGCAGTTGACTATCTGGAAGTGGCGACCATGAGTGTTTGCCCAGCACTGGCTCCAGGAGCAAAGGGGCTAGGAAATGAACCTGGGCGTGAATCATGACTGTACATTACAACTAACAATGTTGATGATCATGACGGGCTTCGCATGGCGTTTTGGAGCAGGCATTACCGACTAGAAAAGGGTCGCGGCAATGGGCGGGTGCCTGCGTGGTATACAAGATAGAAATTGGGCTTGTGAGTAAGACTCGTACAGATTGTGATTACTCTGCAATCAGTACTCTTCATAAGCCTTGTAACTTCAACTAGGATTTCCTGATAGATATCTTCGAACTCGATACAGAGAGCCCATCCGGATCGGCCTTGGACACAACAGTTTTCAGCTTAGCCGCCAGTCTGTATCGACAGGGGTCCATCCAAGTTTCAGCACTCCTTCCCAGCTTCATTGCTTGCCAACCATCGGGCTATCTCAACCACGTCTTGTCGTGCCTTTGAAATGCTGTTGATCTGCTCACCTGCTGGAGGGTTTCATCCGCTAGACAGATGTCGGCAGGTCATCGGCTGTTTTGAGTCTATTGCATGGGCTATTTTCGTCCACCCTGCGTCACGCTGCAGTCTCTTCTCTTTCGGCTCCTCGGCAGCTACCGCCCATTCGTTTCGTTATCAAGAACTTGTTCAACGCTCATCCAGTCATTTGGCTTTGTAGGTATTGGTTCGAGGCAAACTATGGTTTTCTAAAGATGAATCGACCTCTTGCTCGCCACGCAGTTGGTTTGGTCCTTTGCCTACGCTGCCTATATGTTTTGCGTGCATGTCCCCGTTCCTAGGTTGGACATATAGCTTGAGAAGGCCTGCCACCCATATATCGCGCTTGCCTTTTCAGTCACTCTTTTCACAAATCTTTGCATACCTTTCAAAGGCCTGCCCCTTTTACGAGTTATCATCACCCTTGTTTCTGCAAAGATTCGCTTTAATCATTGCATACCGAACCATTCAAAGACGCTATGTTCGACAGCCAGCCTGAACTCAGTAGTGGCGAGCAAATCGCTCGCCCGCCACTTTCAACGGTACATTCGGCCCATGGGACCAGGACCGATCTGCTGCATCATGGCAAAACAACACCGACTGGCAAGCGCGCCGAGACCGCGCCGGTGGTGTTGTGCCCGGACTCGCCTTCTTCCACGACCAAGCTGCGAGGCTCGAACTCTTTGCGACAAGAAAGCCAAAGCACAAACGCGAACAATAAGGCAGTAGGCCGAATGAAGCGGTCAGAGACGTTTGAGACCGGGACTGGGACTGGGACTGGAAGTGGAACTGGCAAACGGCCGCCCTTGGCAAGGGTGCCTTCGACACCGACAAGATACATGGAGATGCTGCTGCATCTGGATGAGATCCCTCGCTTGTACAACATCTTGGCCAGCCTGGGGACTTGGATCATCTTGGCGGGATTCCTGGTGGTGCCGGGCACGTTCACCACGTTCAAGGAGTCAAAGGCGTTTCAAGAAGCCGACAACGCCGACGGCGGCGACGATGCGGGCACCGAGGTGACGCATGCCATTGTCCATTCGATCGCGAATATAGGGTTGTTGTGGCTGTCCGGCTCGTTTTGTGTCGCGGGCACGCTGGTTTGTCTTTGGCTATGGCTCCGTTGGCGGCATAATTATGTCTGGCTGATCAACAAGATCTTCATGTATGTCTACCGTGCTTGCGAACCCGCCCCCTCTACTTACACACAGTATCCTCTGGGTCAGATCACGATCACCTCGCTCTCCCCTGGTCACATATAACGTTTCCCGCTTTCGCGTTAGGTGTTACTGATGTACTGATGTACTGACACATTTTCTCTTTCTCTCTATGCCAGGCCGGTAACCCTCAACTCCGTCGCAGGATTGATCACGACGCTCGTCAACGTTTACACGGCGCAGCATGGCGTCTGGAGCGTCACGGCAAAGATCACCGCCATCGTGACGGGTTCGTGTGTCGGTGTCGCCGGCTTTTTGTTTGGGATTTATAATTTCGGCCTGCTTCGCCGTGTCCAGAAGGTACATGAGAGAGAGCTGGGTCTGGACCATCGGCATGATGAGGAGACTTTGGTCGAGAAAGTCAAGAGGAAAGCCCATGAGCCGCCATTGCAACCGGGGAGTATGGTTTGAGAGGGCCCCCCCCGGAGCACGGAGGGCGTTCTATTCATTCTGGTGTTGCGGGTCTGTACCCTGGGGGAAGGGTTTGGAGAGGAAAAGACTTGACATATAAATAATTCTCCATCGGGCATTTGTTTTGTTCTTCTCATGCCCAACAGCGTGTCGGGGGCCCAGTAGTCGACGGTTTTGGTGGAAGTTCTTGTCATCTGGGGAAAGGCTGATCAGCGCCGATGTAACTGTGCCTCTCCACGGCTTTTGACGGCCTCCTGTACCTCGAACGGAAGATCGTAGTCGAAAAGCTGCTTGTTGTGACGGTCATAGAACATTGCTGTAACCGACGAAGAATAGAACGTTAGCTCAAACGGGCCTACCGAGTGATAGGAAGGGGAGGAAATGATAGGTCAGAAATGTTCGGGAGACGACGCACAAGTAAGCCAGATGATCAAGTACATCAGCCATTCCATCATCAGACCCATGTCGCCTTTCATCCGGCTCATCTTTTGAGAGTGGTCGTGGATCATGTGTACGCGCGGCTTGCGGATGGACTCAAAGATTTCCAAGGCGGTCCTGACGGCGGCAGTGGTGTTGTTGTTTTCGTCTTGGGAGGTCGAGGACGTGGACGCGGATGAGGAAAGGAAGGGAGAGAAAAAGTCCGCCAAAAGAAGTGACAAGGCTTCGGCGTCCTCGAGAGCTTGGCTGGCACCCTGGCCGGAGCTTGGTTGTAATGCGTGCGCCGCGTCGCCGATGAGGATCGCACGGCCGCCTACGTGCCAGTACGGCAGTTCGGGGGTGGTGTAGGTTGGATAGCTCGTTTGCAGGCCCAACAGGGGGTCGAAGTGCGTCAGGGCTGAATGATGGGCCGGATCTTGAGTTGGACCTTCTGTCCTGCGGTTGTCGCCGGCTCCGGGTACTGTGTTCAGAGGGGATTGTTTCAAAGGGGTTGTATCGATGCAGGGCGACACGGCCGTGGTAGATGGGTTGGTCGAGCTACTAACGTTACCACTTGCATCCCTCTCACGTATCGATGATTCGATGTGGTTCACGATCGCGGCGACGGTGCGGTTTTTCCAGGTAGAGTGTCGGTCCACTAAAGCAGCCAGAGCGAGGCGAGTGTCGAAGGATTTCGTGCTTGGATTCCTGGGCGATGCTGAGTGGAACGGATACGGATCTGCAGAGGAAAACGTCGACCACCAGCCTGATAATGGGCCCGGGACCGGAGGCGTCATGGGTTCGACAGAAGATGGAGAAGAAGTCGACGTTGAGTTTGTAGCTGGCAGGCTGGATGTGAGATATCCGCAGCCGACGAAACCATTCGGTCCAAAGACAATGGACATGGTCCCTGGCTTGTGCCCGACTGACTGGAGGACTGAAGAAGGGATGAAACCACCTAGTCCGACCAGGCCCCTTCCGAGTTTGTCAGCACTATAGGACGACAGAGGGGGGAACGAAATACAGTAACATGAGACAGCGGAAGAGGCGTGAAAGAAGTAGCAACATGCACCAAGAGATGGGGATCCATACTCATAACACGGAGTGACATAATCGACCTTGGCTTTGTGAGATTTCGTCTTCCAAGGAGTCCAATTGAGCCATGACCCAAGCCAGCTTTTAGGTCCTTCGCCGTCAGTTTGGATGTCGACCTCACTTTCACTGGACTCGAACATGGATTTTCTCAATACGCTGCGCAGTCCGTCCGCACCGATGACAAGATCGGCTTGCTCTTGAGTGCCATCTTCGAACTGGACGATATTAGGCGAAGTTGCTGTCCCGATGATTACGCCAGTGACTTTTCTCCGCTGCAAAATGCTCCGTTCTGGGGCAATCTGCAAGACGCGGTCGCGCAATATCTCCCAGAATGCTTGCCGGGCTATCAGTACTCCCTGATACGAAGCAGGAATCTTCTCCTGAGGTTCAGCAGGAGCGTCTTTGGTGTTGATGTTAGTGTCCATCAATTTGAGGCCCCGTGCAGTGCTGACCTCCCAGCGCTGGAATGGATGACCGCATGAGACCACCTTCTTGATCAGCCTAGAATCATCGTCTCCTTGTTCCGGGTCGAAGCGAGCGAGCACGTTCAGACCATTCCGCGAAAGGCCAATTGCGGCACCGATCGTTTGTGGCGTAAATGACGGCTCTGTCCTTGGATCTTCCTTACTGTCTCCTCTGTCTGCGCCGCCATGGAAGTTATTCAGGCCGATGAAGTCGGAATCTCTGACATCGTACGCGTCGTAGATCTTGATATCCAGAGATGACCGAGATGCGGAAGACGGCAGATGCTTGTGCAGGAAGAGATAACTACTTAAGCCTGAAACGCCTGCACCTATTATGATAATTTTCACCATAGTGGATAGACTGTGAATCGAATGACTGTGAATAGTTTTGAGGAAAAGGTGGGCATACTTATCGCCTATGCCGCCCCGGGTATGAGTGAAGGCTTTGTGCTTCGAAGTCGGAATGCAGGTGCCTAACGTACACCTCTGGGGCATGACGAAGTGGCTGAATGGTTGTATGTCCAGGCGCAAATCCAAGGTCTCATCAACTGACTCGTGATTGAAGAAAGGAGGTATTCCGCTGGTAGAAATGACTGATGCCTGAAGTTAAAGGTGGGTCATTCATACGAGTCGCGTGAATGCCTGGTCTGATTGGCTATCGAGCGACGCCGAGGGATGAATACGTCGGAGTTGTAGAGAGACGTGGGGACCCTATCAAGGCCACTCCAAAATGCGTCCATTTGTCCGAGCAAAGCTGTGAATGGATGCGCTCGATGCCTCTGGGGTGCATGGTTCTGCTTCTACCTTTGACCAGCAGTCATCTCTCTCCGCTTGCAAAGTGTGCGAACGGCCCAGAGACAGCAGCTTGCGCAGATGTAACACAGTCCACAGAACAACTGCGTGTATAGATATGGCCGAGGACTATCTGACCGTCGAATATACAAAGCAATGACTTCGGAAACTATGCATGGTAAGCGACCGACAAAAGACAGCAGCAGGGCCTGCGCTTACATGTTGTGGGAAGAACGACGGACAACCAAGAAAGAGATAGAAGTGAAGGCAGCTGTCTGAGCCCTACAACCTCGACGCAAAGCGGTGCAATTGTCTAGATTGTCAGCCATACGATTTCTTGTCACTGTCGGCGTTGAACGTACCATCCAGAATACTCCTAAGATCCCTCCGATAAGAATACCGAAGAATACTGTGACTCCGAAGGATGATGCTGGGATCCAGATGGCAAAACAAGCAATGCCACAGACCAAAGTCAGGGTCGTGGAGACTCCGAACCTCCCAAAACGGTCACTCGCGACACCGATGAATGGCCGACCGAGAGCTGTGCCCATATTTAAGAAGGCAGTCACCTGGGTTGCCTGTTGCCTAGACAATCCGATAGACAGCGCGAAGTCGGACATCGAGTAGAGGAGAGCAATATATCCAAACGTGCTGAAGAAGGCCCAAAGTAGAAGCAAAATCACGTCAGCACGTCGTAAAAGACTTGCGTCAAACGGATGCTGTTTCGGACGGATGATTTGGTTGCGGTCTCGAATGAAGCTGGCGGAGAGTAGGTTGGCAACAAGCCCGCAGAGCCCGGTGATTCTCAAAGCCCAGCCGATACCGAGGTGGTCGATCATTGCACCAATAGCAAATGAAAACGACAAGCCACCGATTCCTGAGCCTGCGGCGCTGATGCCATTAGCAAGACTCCTTCGCTTGGTGAACCACTGAGACAGGACGGCGATGCTAGGCACATAAATGAAACCAACACCCAAGCCGACCAGCGCGCCTTGCGAGAGGTAGAGCTGCCATATTCGGGTGGCAAAAGATGCCGATATATATCCTCCTCCGAACATGATGGCTCCTGCTAGCATTATAGGCCTGATACCAAAGGAACGTGCCAGCCTTGTGACCAGTGGAGCAACTACCATTGCAACCCCGAAATTGAGACTGCCAATGAAGGCATAATCCAGAGGAGTAGATTGGGGAAATAGTTGCTCGCTCAGATAATAAGACAGATAGACACCATAGCTCTGTTGTCGTCAGTGACTCGACTTTGGCCCAGCTGCAACTTGGAGGTGTGCGATGCTCATGGGACTCACCGAGGTAATGCCCCATGTGAAACAATTGGATGCAAAGCAACACGCCAGGCAGACCCATCCGTAACCGCCATCGGGAGGTTTAGCAATATCGCCCTCCGCTTCGGCTGTCTGTTGGCTGTCAATTGCCTGCAGAATAACCAGTCTCGTGGGTTCCTCATAGTCGGAACCCATTACAGCTTTAAATGTAACGACCGATTGAATCTGCAGGCCTCACCAGATCATGTTCTCTGTGATAATTGACAGAGGTCCATTTGATCGATATCCAATATCTTCGAATGGAGATGATGCTGCGGTGTATCTCTAGCCTGCGGGGTTCTTGCCGGCACTCCACTGCCAAAATAGAGTCGACAACCAATCACCGGCTTCTGCAATGTCACCCACGTGTGAGGAATCGGACATTGCAGGAAGTCTTGTATGAATTCATCAATATCGATGCCAGTTCTTGAATCCATGCTGCTTGAACGATTGATGTTGCTGAGTCCTCAAGGAATCGCTTTTGGGAGAGAGGGTGCGTCATTTGAAATCGCCAAGACCGCGGAAATGACGGCGCGACTGTCAGGGTGCAATTGTATCACGTGGCCCACGCGGCTCAGGTACGTAGGCCTTGCTGGCGAGCCGAGTACTTTGCTGGAGGGAGACAATGCTGAGACATCACAGCCCAGAGACGATATCGTGAAATACTTTTTCATGAACCTATGCTACCTATCCCAACTATGACTTCCCACCATCAAATATTAGGGAAATGTTACCATGACATCATCAGACCGAAACCATAACATGACATCGCCCGCAGACAAAAGAAATTGTAATATACAATGACTGACACGACGACTCACGGTCTCCTCATTGAACGTTGGATATGGTGTCCATCCTGTTGTCCAGCGAAACAAGGGAGAAGAGCAGCGTCGTGGCATCAGCCTTCGCTCAGCCACCATTATCCGCCAATCTTCCAGATCAGCAAGCAACTTATTTCTTCTTACCACCACCAAGTCCCAGACTCTCAGCAATGCTGCCAAGTCCAAGACCGCCGAGCAATTTGTCGACGCCCAAACCACCAAGGATGCCGTTGACCAAACCGCCCAGGCCGAGTCCATTGAGCAACTTGCCCACGAGACCCAAGACACCGGACAACAGCAGTCCAACCGCAGCGATAATCTGGAACAGAGGCTCGGTAAGCAATCCCCACAACGGGTTCAACTTCTTCTTCGCGTGCGGCATGTCCGAGATTCTCTTCTTGGCGTTGTCGATGGTCTTGACCACGGTCGTGGTAAGTTCCTTGAGGCCCTCAGCGACGCGGTGCTCCTCAGGGGATGCTTCGCCCGAAGCGGCGCGAGCCTTGGCTTGAGCAGCAATGTGCCCATCGGGGTCAAGACCGCGAATGGCGCCGTTGCATTCGCCCAGGATGCGGCTACCCTCTTCGATAAGTGGCTTGACGTCTTGTACGAGTTTCTCTTCGTCGAGCTCCTCGCGAGGGGTGCGGTCGGCTTTCTCGATTTTCTGCGGAGCATGAATGTTAGCATGACCTGACTCTTGCGTGGCAATGCACGAGCAGAAGAATGACTTACATCTGTAATCTGGTCGCAGATAGGCTTCATTTGGTCGATGGTCTGGTTGATGATGTTGCCGATTTTCTTTGCGATTTCACGCTCTTCTTCCTCCTTGAGTTGCTCTGGTGTTGCTTCTTCTTCCTCTTCCTCAGGGATGTTCTCGATCAACGTGCATTCTCCGAGCTTGTTGCCGTCCTGGTCGACAACGTTGCCATTGTCATCGACTTGCTTGCCGATACATGCCAGTAAATTGCCGTCGGTCAATTTACCAATGACATCGCCGTTCTTGTCGCGGACTTCGCCTTCCTTGTTGACACGGTAGCCGGACATTGGCGAGACCTCACGCTCTTTCTCCTCGGGCTCCCATCGCTCGGCTTTACCAATGACATTGCCATTCTTGTCGATAATGTCACCTTCATCATCGACATGACGTCCAACCAACTTCTTCGGGTCGCCTTCGATGACGCGACCGACGATTTCACCGCTGGCATCCTTGACCATGCCATCTTTGGACACGATAGTGGATTCGAAATTGGAGAACGGTCCTTCGGCACGACCGGAGTCACCACCTTCAATGAGACCAGCATGACCGATCACTTTGCCATTGTTGCTCCAGATCTGGCCCTTGCCATCGACCTTACAGCCAATCAGGTGCTTGAGCTCACCGTCAATCACCTCACCGTAGATGGTTCCGTGCTCGTCCACGACCTTGCCCATCTTGTTCACCGTCTTATTTTCAAGGCTGGACAGGTCTTCCTCGACGACCTCCTCTTCTGGCTCCTCGTATGGCTCAACGTGGCCTTTGACGTTGCCGTATTTGTCGATAATATCGCCATCTTCATCGACAGCACGGCCCACGAGTTTCTTCCAGTCACCCTCGACAACCTTGCCGACCACGTTGCCTTCTGCATCATTGACGAAGCCATCCTTGCCGACGACAACGCCCTCAAGGCCAGCAAATGGACCTTCAGGCTTAGCCTCACGCTCTTCGGGAGGAATGAGGTCGCATCGTCCAATGACTCGGCCCTGGTCATTCCAGATCTGTCCATTCTCGTCAATGCTTCGGCCAGCAAGCTCTTTAATGTTGCCCTCAACAACATGGCCGATAGGGACACCATCTGGTCCAATGACGTTGCCTTGCTTGTTGGGTTTGAGGCCCTTCAGTTCCGAAAGATCAACCGCTTCTGGTTCAGGCTCTGGCTCGGCTTCAGGCTCTTCGTATCGCTCAGCGTGACCAACCACGTTGCCTTTCTTGTCGATGATGTCTCCGTCCTCGTCCACAGCACGGCCGACAAGTTTTTTTGGATCTCCCTCGACGATGCGGCCGACTCTGTTGTCATTCTCGTCTTCGACCCACCCATCGGCAACGACGGTGAGGCCTTCAAGACCGGCGAATTCTGCTTCTTCCTCCTTGTCCTCCTGAGGAAGCGTCTTGGCTTTTCCGATGATGTGGCCCTTGTTATCCCAGAATTGACCTTGGTCGTCACAGACAGTACCGGCCTTCCAGAGTTTCTTTGCATCTCCTTCCACCAGTTCGCCGACGATACTGCCGCTGCTGTCGACAAGCTTACCAGCTTTGTTAACCTTGAGGCCTTCAAGAATAGAGAGGGGTGGTAATCCGTCGTCAGCCTCCTCTGCTTGCTCTTCCTCACCCTCGCCTTCTTGAGTGATCATCTCGACTTTGCCGATGACATTTCCGTCCTTATCGAGCACCTCGCCTTTGTCATTTAGTTTCTTGCCAGCGCAGCTCTCGAGTTCACCCTCCTTGAGCTCAGCAATTGGGTCGCCATCCTCATTGAGAACCATGCCCTTCTTGTTGACCTTGAGGCCTTCCAAGACAGAGACCTCGGGTTCTTCAGGGGCGGCCTCTTCGACTTCAACAAGACCTTCCTCTATCGCTTCAGGAATGAACTCGACCTTGCCAATGACGTTGCCTTCGTTGTCCAAGATCTCACCCTTCTCATTGATTTTCTTGCCACGGAGTTTGTCGACGTCGTATCCCTCGGCAAGACGAGCGATCGCGTCACCGTCCTCGTTGACAACTTCGCCCTTCTTGTTCACCTTGAGACCTTCCAACTGCGAGAAATCGGGCATTCCAGCCTTCTCAGCAGCGTCTTTGGCTTCGTCTGCGGCGCCTTCAGCAGTGTCTGCGGCTTTCTCAGCGGTGTCAGCGGCGTCGCCAGCTTCTTGGGCCTGTTCCTCGGCCTGCTTCTCAGCTTCCTCTGCAGCTTTCTGCGCCTCATCGAGCTGCTCGACCAATTCGGGGTGGAGGTCTTTCATAGCCTCTTCGGCAGCTTCACCTTCAACGACCTCCACGCGCCCGATGACCTTGCCTTCCTCGTCAAGAATTTCGCCGTTCTCGTTGGGGATCTTGCCAGCACAAGCCTTGGGGTCGCCCTCGACGAGTTTCGCGAGGATCTCTCCCTCGTCGTCGATGATGTTGCCCTTCTTGTTGAGTTTCTTACCCTCAACAATTGTGAGGTTAGGCTTCAGTTGATCTTGAATATCCTCAACCTTGTCAAGTGCCTCTTGGACGAACTCGGGTTTAGCTCCATCAACTGCTTCTGCAGCTTCCGGAACGATCTCTGCGCGGCCAATTACGTCGCCGTCCTCGTCAAGGACCTCTCCTTCGGCGTTCAGGGTCTTGCCAGCCAGATCGCCAGGATCGCCTTCGGTAATCTTGCCCAAAGTCTTGCCGGAGGCGTCTTTGATGGCGCCATCCTCCTGCACCTCGAGACCTTCAAGTGCATCGAGTCCTGGAAGAGCTCCTGCAGCATCATCTGCAGCCTGTTGTACTGGCTGTGGTACGGTCTCGGCGCGACCGATAGCATCACCGTCCTCGTCCAGAATTTCGCCCTCGGCATTGACAGCCATTCCGACAAGGTCGGCTGGATCGCCTTCGGTGATCTTGCCGAGGACATTTCCTTCCTTGTCGACAATGTCGCCGTTCTCTTGGACCTCGAGGCCTTCAAGGACGCTAAGTTCCGGAAGGTATGTCTCGACAGCGTCCTCAGCAGTCTCCTTGGCGCCGTCAACCGCCTCTCCGGCTTCGTCACCGGCCTCGCCCGCGGTATCTTTGGCTTGACCGGCAAGCTCTTCAGCCTTGCCAGGCAGGAGATTTGCACGGCCAACGACATCTCCATCTTCGTCGAGAATCTCGCCGTCATCGCCGACCTCATACCCTTCTAGGTCTGCCGCATCACCTTCTTCGAGCTTGCCGATAGGGTTTCCAGACTTGTCGAGGATCTCCCCATCCTCGTTGACCTTGAGGCCTTTGAGAACAGATAGATCTGGAACAGCCCCTTCGGCAGTGTCCTTGACACCATCGGCGGCGTCCTCGGCGGTCTCCTGGGCACCATCAGCCGCATCCTCGGCGGTGGCCTTGCCGTCTTCGGCAGTCTCTTCCACATCGCCTGTTGTCTCCTCAGCAGTGCCTTTGGCACCTTCTGCTGTCTCGCCAACATCTGGGACATCATCTGTATCCTTGGGCACATCCTCGGTTGCGCCCTCAGCGGTTTCTTCAGCGCCTTCAGCAGTATCCTCGGCAGTGTCCTTGGTGTCGTCGGCTGCTCCTTCAGCTGTATCCTGGGCATCACCAGCTGTGTCTTCGGCAGCGCCTGTGGCGTCTCCCTTAGAAGCTTTGCCAGCGGCACCAGTGGCGGTGTCCTTTGCGCCACCGACTCGACCTGCAAGTTTCTTCGCACCGCCAGTGGCTCCTCCTGCTGCTGACTTGAGACTACCGAGCGCGCCGGAGCCCTTGCCCTCAGCCTCGTCCTCTGCTTCCTCCGCGGCATCTTCGGTCTCTGCGGCAGGAGTCTCATCTGCTGGGCCTTCGGTTTCTTCACCTTCGTCAGTGCCTTCGTCTTTGGCAGCACCTTTGGTGTCGCCAACTGTTTCGTCTTCGTCGCTGTCTGGTACGGGTTCCGGGTTGGCTTCCGACAGTTCGCTGGTGTCGGCAACAGAGGTGCTTTCGGCGCCAGTGTCATTGCCTGGTTGACTGACTTTGCCGCCGGGTTCCTCAGTGTCCTTCATACTGATTTTCTGCTGAGCTTCCTCTCCAGTATCTTCGGCCTTCTCAGACACGTCCTTGGTGGGCTCCTCGGTCTCCTTGGGTTTCGGGACATCTTCCGTAGGTTTCTTCGGGGTCGCTTTTGAGGCACCCAGCTTGGGCGGTTTGCGGCCTGGGGTGCTCTTGGGGGTACCTTTACCGGTAAGCTTGGAAGTAGATGATGACTGAGGTTTCTTGCCAGTCTTTGTGGGTGTCTCGGGAGCATTGCCCGATCTTCCTGCTGCTGGAGACGGCATGGTGCTTTTGTAGCTCCTGACTGTGTCTGGACTGGATTGTTTTGATGATCGTGATTCCCGACTAGGAGTTGGTGGGAACGAGTAATATGCGTATGAAGCCGACGAATGTCGGTTGCTTGTCATCAGCTGGTTTAGAAATACAGTTTCATGGATTCACGCTGCTTTCAAGATGAGCAACACGCTTCTTTCTCTCGGGATATATTGCACAGAGTGGTATAGGTGGATAGGTAGGATGGACTTGAAGAACAAGAAAGAAGAGAGAACGCGCTGAAAGAGGAGTACCGCGTGAAGTAGTAGGATGGAAACTTTTCCTACGTCACTGTTCATCATTACCTTCCTGGCACGAGGGAGCTTGAAGCTCTCTCCATACTGAGTGAGCTGGTGCCTCACTGTGGCTGACCTCAACTTGTTTCAGTCAGAGCCATTGCGTCAGAGCAGAACAATGGAGGAAGAAATGTGGCACAGAAAAGCGTACTCCGAATATGATCAGAGGGTTCCAGCAAATGATATGGCGAGAAGGACAGACGGTGCAAGGATTGCTGGTCTGTCTGAACCGTCGATCGAAGAGGGTATGGAAAATCGCGAATGAGCATGGGAAAGAAGGGAGTCACCGACAAGGAAAGGCATGCTCCAAAAGCCACGCGGACAGGGGACCTCCCCAGACAAGCCAGGATCATACCTTGGGCGACCAGTCGATCTGATGTCAAGCGTTGCCTCGAGATTTGTCCAAGTTGTTGACTTGTTTCTGACTCCCAGTGACTTCCCAACCTCGTCAGTTTGCCTTCTCTGATTGTGTACTTCAATGAAGCGTTGCCTTTCCGGTGAATAGAGGTCAAACGCCCTTCCTCGGGTTCGTAGCACCATGAGATCCTTTGCTCTGGGAGCAAGTAACACAGTATTACGAAGGAGCCAAAAAATCAGCACAGGGATCAGGGTCCGGCTTGATACGAGGCCAAGTGGAGAAGCGCGCCGTGGTCCGAATATTTGGGGCGCTGGGTGTGAGAGATGTGGCTTGAGAGGAATCCAACGTTGACGCACCGCCGCAGTTTGAATTCTAAGAACAGGTTTTTTTGCACCTTGTCCCTCATTCCTCGTACTGGCGGGCCTTTTAGTCATGTCATTCTCTTGAAAGCAGGTCTTTTTTGGAGATGAGCACGCCCATGGTTATTCTCTGGTGATAATTCGTCTTTGAAGACACCTCTGACAACCTAGTCAGACGGTTAAAAGGTGCCCTCTTTCTCAGAGGCTTGTGCTCGAGAATCAATTCGTGAGAGGAGCAGTGTTGCCACAGGTTGTTCGATCATCCACCAGTGGGGAGACAACTGTAGGCGAGGGAAGCCGAAGAGAGGGTCGATCCGCGGGTCAAGTTACTGCGGGCTGAGAATTTTGTCTGTGCTCATCGACCGATCAGAAGGCTTCGAGGACAGTCGAGGATTTCCAGCCACAGAGAAACGGACTTGTGTGAAGGTGGAATGGCGCAGAGACGCGTGGTTGAGTGGAAAAGAAATGAAAAGGTGGATTTCGATCGGCAACGCACGTTTTGTTGGAATGGACCAGTCAGGCGGCAGTGTAGGGCCTAGTGAGCCTAGTGAGCCTAATATTCCAGGGATCTCACCAACTTTCAGCTGGGCAACAATGCCTGCAGATTGACATCACCACTCATATTCACGGGCTTCAAGGACTAACGACACCCTCGTACCCTGCCACCCAAGGCTTCAATTTACCATGCAACCCTGCACCCAACATGTCATTGATAGCTCGTAGAGCACTATGGCACGTCTAGAGTCCCCTCGAAAATTAAATGATGACACTTCTTCGCAGACTTGTCGACATTTGGGGTCTTGATCACGTAAGAGCAGATGATGGCAGTCTCCGGCAAGCCCAACCACCATCGATGTGCAGGAATGCTACGGAGTAGCTGGGTACTCATACCGCTATCCCCAACTTCAGCAAAATGGTCATCGCTTACCTTCCGGCGCAGGGACACCATCTTCCGGCCCTGTGCCTGGAGCCCGTTTAGGCTCCGTCCCGTGGTGGTCTATGCTGCCCTTTTGCAGCTTCAGCTTGCCCAGTGAACGTGATAGCCTGGCACTCAGACTCCGGTTGGCCTGGCGCTTATCCGCTTCGACCTGTGCAGCCTTGCGTTGTTGCTCTAGATAGAGCCTCTCTTTCTCAGCGCTTTTGGACTGGTCCTGCTGTGCCGCCTCTGCAGCCTTGATCTTCTCTGGGTTCAGCACTTTGTCCTTTTCGTGGACCACTCTCGTCTCCACAGATTTGATCTTTTTGCGCGTCTTCACGTAGCTTTCCAGTCCAACCAGAATAGCATAACTTCTGGAAACCGAGACATGCGACATGTCAACTCCAGCATCGCGCAAGCTGTGGACGAAAGCCCGGAAGTTTGCAGCAGGTGGTCGATAGTGGCCACTATTGCGCCGTCAGACCCGCAGAACGAACGTCGACGAATGTTTTACTCACCTCAACGGAGAAAGCCTCCTCAGTTGCCCTCGTTTTACCTTGATGAGACCCGCTGACAGGATACGAGCGCCATGCAGGAATGAGGAGTGCTGGAACGCCCCTGATTGCTTGTACCCAATGTACAAGCGGAATGAGGTGTCTAAGATACGTCGGTCAACGCGAATGCTTTTAGGACAAGTATGCTTTACAAACCTGCAACCTTTGGTCATCTCAGCAAATGGTCTCGATTAAACAAGTCTCTGGCCACTTACAAAGATCCATTTATGACCCTTCTTGAGACTGGTCCTGATCATGTGGTTGAACAAGACCGCCGCAGAAACATGCTTGACTTTTGCGGGCCCCTTGGCTCGGTGAAACTATTGATCGGTTCACGTTAGATCGCTTCATTGCTCTGAAATGGGTGAACTTGCCTCCTCATTGACGTATCTCTCGCCCTCGTCGCCGCTGGTATTGTCCTCGCTGTCATCTACGGATGATTCATCTGAAGAGCTACGGTCAGACTGGTCGCTGTCGCGTGGCGGCACGTTGTATCTCCATTCTGGGGCTGGATCATCAACAGGCACTATGCCATTGACGCTGTCCCTGTAAAGCTCGTCCATGGTCCATACCAATTCGCCATTCTTGGCCCAAACAAGCAAGCCCTGCTCGTTTACCTTGACCAAATATTTGAGGCGTTCTTCTCTGGAGAGGTATCGGACTTGCTCCTTGTCAAGTCTCGCCCTGCTACGTTCTGGTAGGTCGACATTTCTGCCATCGCCTTGATCGAGCCAGTAAAAGAAGTTTTGGTCTGTATCCTGAGTCTTCCAGTAATTGTGGTACTTGCGCAGATTGCTGCCATACCGATGCTTCTGGTCCACCATTTCAAGGAAATATTGTAGATCCATCATCTTTGCGTTCTTTTTCCGAACCTCATTAGCTTCTGCTCGCTTTTTCTTGGTCTCTTCAGCTTCGCCCAACTCGTCCGAGGAGACATCAGAGGCTGATGGTGAGCGGTCGTCCGCCCCAGCTCTTCGAGCAATCCCTGTGGCTCTGAGCCATTTTGTCCTTGCTGGTGACGACGGCGCTTTGTCTGAAGATTTTGTCTCTTCCTCTGCGACGTCATGGATGGGATAAGGAGCTCTCGGTGTGGTAAGCTGGTGGTATCGGGCATCTCTCACTGCCTGTTTGATGAGTACTCAGCCAAACTGGTTGTAGTGCCGGAACAAACCGACCTCATACCAGCGTGTAGAGGCATCGAGACCGAAGCCATCCAGCTGTCGCCGCGCGCGGTGGCCCCTATATGTTTTCTAAATTCCTGTGAGCAGCCTTCAGCGAAACCTGAAAATGCGGCGGACCTGGATGAGGATGGCTGCCTTGTGACTCTCCTCTTCGTTGAGACCAGGTATTGACTGCGGTGCATCAGTTCCCGGGTCTTCTCGAGCTTCTTGCATAATGCATTGCTTGGTACTGTCGTGGCGGCGAATGCCGTCAATCCTGTGATCGCGACTCGAGAGGACAACAAAGGCCGCGTATCACCATCGAGCCGTCGAGCCCGTCAAGGGCCGTCTCTCGACCCCGCATCCTTATCGATAAGAAAATCCCGCGCACTACAATTTCGAGACATCAACGACTTCGGCCTGGGCACCGTGGCACTCCTGGGGCATCAAGTACCTAGGTAGGTACTGTATAGCATCGAGCGACCAGTCACACAAGGTCGGACACGGCTACAGTCAAACTTTCGAGCGAAGTCGAATTTCTGGGTCCGGGGACGACGAGTAATGGCTGATCATCTGTGACTATGTCGGGTGAATCCGCCCTGCGACTTTCATACCGTTAGAGACGCTATTCCAGGTATGTTTCCTTTGATGTTTGTGGACATTTCCGAGGTGAGTTACATGTTTCTGTCGAGAGGCCGGTATCGGGTGGGGAATTGAAAGGCACAGGCGTCTGTCAAAACTCGTGCCTGAACGCACTTGCTTCATTTCCGGTGGAATTCTTGCCGGATCGTCGATAAAGGCTACAATGTTATTGAGCTGGATTTTTCCCATCCATCTCTCAAGTCGCCGTGTCTACCGACTACCGAGTCGCCGAACACTGCCGTCCACGGTATCGATCATCTACCTCAAGTGGCTAACACGGTAGTCGTACTACCGAAGACATAACCGACGGACTCTGTGCTCAACATTGCTCAGAGGGCTGTACGACTAGGAATAGCAGCATAGCCGTTTCTTCGCAAGGTCAGCAAGGGTAGCCTACGAGATCAGAAGGGAAGACAATAACTCAGGGGGGCTGCTACATGAGCGCAGCGGTATGTTGGTGACTCGCCCAAATCGAGTCAACTAGGAGAGAATAGCGATGCATGGGCCAGTGATCGAAGGTCATTCACCTCAGAGTCAGAAAGTGCTGACTCGTCGACTGTTCCCCGCTCCTTTCGCTCTATTCTCTTCTCCTCCTCCACGGCAGCCAGCCACGTCAACCGAATCATCATCTGACCGTCGACACGGATTTCGTTTTCCTTGAACCAATGTCAAGACTGAATCGAGCGGCAAATGCGGCATTAATTGTCTCTTAGTCGATGCTTTGGGTTAGTCGGTCAGAGCAGCTTTCTCGAGAACAGGTCTCGAGATTCTGCTCGACGCTAGTCTCTCTCGAAACTTCCCTTGCCCCTTGACCCGGGGGTAAACCACTCACCCCGCTTCTTTCAGGTCGGAGAGGTGCCAATTCTCCACGAGTCAGCTGAACCGTAGACGATGATAGGCTGAAGAAGCTGTACGGGGAGTCTCCCGGTTTTCGGAGGCAAGTTCAAAGCTCTTCAGTCTTCCAGTCAATGGCTCCATTGCAACCAATCACAAAACCATGGTTGGGTCCATGGAAGGGCGGATTCGACCACTTCCACCGGTATCATCGTATGCAATAGGCCGCTAACTTGCCATTTTACTCGCTAAGCCTCGAAGCATAATGGATAATCGGCACGGACGAGAATCGGAACCGCTGCGATCAACGCAAAATGTCCTAGCCGTTCTGCAAAGAGCTGCAAAGGCGCTTGGTCTGGCACTTGTCAACCGCCCTCGTGGAGACTGGGGTCCTCGCAGACTCCAGTGGGGGTAATCCTGAAATTTCCTCTCCCCACGTGTAAGTCCAAATGTTGGTTTGGGGATTCCTCTTCTTGGATCAGTAGAGCTTCGATGGGCAAAGACACAGCATCAACGGCACCATGCAAATTGAGAGCCGTTATTGCGGTGTTGAAAGATAAGACTAGTGAGGCTTCCTTTACAAGTGCCACCATGCCCCCAAGGCGCTCGGTCGCAGGACTACGTGCCTTGTCCCCAGAGTCTGGCACGAACCATCGCAAACTCCGTCCAATCGCTAGAGCTGATCATCTCGCCCATCTCGAACCAAGACACTCTGGGGTATGATGACGACCCTCTTTCGAGTCTAGCCTTGTCGACCAATAATTCCGCACCGACGCGATGAATGTAGGGTCTACCACGGACCCGTTAATTCTTCCCCATATCTATCCCCCAGAGCCCTCGCTCTCGCTCAAGCTCCGAGTTACTCTCGGGTTTCTTCCTGAGAATTGTGCACTTCTCGTCTTGATTTCTTACACCAGGGCTCTACCTTTCCTGCTATCCTTCACTTGAACATACTGTCTTCCGTTGGCCTATCACCCGCCTCACGAGGGCTGTTCTGCTCATGGCACCTACATTGACCGGCGCTATGAATAATGCAAGCAAGAGGAAGGCTTCCGCGGCCGGTCTGCCCACTGCTGGCAGGACAGTTAAACGAAGAGCGTCCAAAGCTTGTCATTGTTGCAGATCGAGGAAGGTGCGTTGCGATGTCGTCGAGAGCGGCATACCTTGTACGAATTGCAGGCTCGACGAAGTAGAATGCATAGTCACAGAAGGGAAGCGGAGGAGAAAATCGTATGCGGACGGAGAAGTCCTCCACCATTCTCCCTGTACTTCAATCGAGGAGGAAAAGGAGCCGCCAAAGTTCTCGATATTCGATGATATCGACGGATTGGATGACTTTGCTCCTGCCTTGTCCACTGCCGAGCCGGCACAAAATCTAAATGCGCTGGAATTTGAGCTCAGTCACCACAAACCTCATATGCTGTGTAGGTCTACGGCCTCTGGTAGGCTGTTTGCTTGCTAACGGCATTAATTGTAGATCAAACGCAGGGTCACCGGCTGAGTCGGGACGAGAGGACGAGACGGATGTCTGCGATAAGCACAAGACCTCTTCCAACGCCGCTTCCGTTGTCATCTGGTCCCGGATACTTCACTCAGCTGACTCCTCATCTGATGATTCGGCCGGACATTATTCTGCCACCATACATCAAGCCGATCCCGCAAAGGATTGCCACTGAAGATCTCGAGTATCTCCAGAGAAAGGGTGCCTTCATCATTCCTGAACCCGGTCTACGCAACGAACTTCTTCGGTGCTATGTACAATATGTCCACCCTTATCTACCGCTGCTCGACCTCCAAGATTTCCTCGCTACAATCGCAAAAGACCAACCAACCGACACGGTCAGTCTCCTGCTGTTCCAGGCTGTTATGTTTGCTGCCACCGCATACATAGATATGCGGTACCTGGTGGCACAGGGCTATGTGACACGAAAAGCAGCCCGGAAAGCCTTTTTCCAAAGGGTCAAACTCTTGTATGATTTCGACTATGAGGTCGATCGTATCACGATCGTCCAAGGCGTTTTGCTGATGACCTACTGGTACGAAAATCCTGACGACCCCAAGGACGTTTGGCATTGGTTGGGCGTTGCAATTTCGGTAGCCCGCACAATCGGCCTCAATTGCGACACGTCGAATGCACCATTGATGACTTTGCAGAAACGCCACCTTTGGAAGAGGATCTGGTGGTGCTGTTTCATGCGAGACCGCCTGATTGCTATTGGCATGCGCCGTCCAATGCGAATCAACACCGGAGATTCCGATGTTCCGATGCTTGAACTGGCGGATTTTGAGACCGACCCTCTTCCCACGGAGCTGACCAGAATGCTCGGAGGGTGTCCGACAGCGAAAGACAGTCTCAAGCGGGTCACGTTGGCCAAATTGTGCATTGCACTGGCCCAACTGTGCGTGTGTATCAGCCAAGTCCTTGCTGTACAGTATTCCACCCTTGGCCACAAGATCGGTGCCACACAAGAGACGACTATGAGACTGGTACCCAAGAAATCCGCGGCAGACTCATGCGATGTGATCCGATGTGATCGTGAGCTGGAGGCATGGTTCACGGACATGCCTGAAGACCTTCACTATTTCGTTCCCGGCTCTCGTGATCCAACGACGGCCGTCGATGGCGAAGTCATCAATGTGCACCGTGCACTCTTACATGGTGTTTATCTCACAGTCATCAGCGCTCTGCACCGTCCACAGATCTTGCCTTCTGCTCCGGACGTCGTCGTGGCTCCGGAGCTTCGGGATCTGTCTAAAAGGAGGGTCCGTGAGGCGGCCAATGATATTACCGACATGTATAGGAATCTCTTTACTCACGATCTGATACGATTCTTGCCGAACACTGGTGTCACCTGCCTCCTTCCTGCCATTATCATCCACCTCCTTGATATCAAGTCGCCAGACAGCGAGATTCGACAAGCAAGCGTCCACAAGTTTCAAGTTTGCATGCAAGCGTTGCAGCGGCTTCGCGAAATGTACGCATCAGCAGACTTTGCCTTCTCTTTCCTCGATGCGGCTGTTCGAAAGACGAACTCGCAAATTTCCAGCGCGGCAATGGCCATGAAAGGGCAAGCCTCCCCTTTCAGCCCTCCGGTGGAGCAGAAACTATTCCCGTCGGGTCCACTGCTGCTTACGCCGCCACCAGAAGCCATGCAGACCGCCAACATGCTCCTCTTCAATTCGACACTGGCTCAGGAAGAACGAAACCTACTTTCTGCATTCACACCACCGGGATCAGCAGGGTCCGAAGTCAGTCTACATTCATTCACCCTCGACGGAGGAGCCACAAGCTTGGCCGGAGCTGCCGACGCCAAGGGATATGGGCTTGTGAATACCCAGGCCCATGAGCAGCTCACCGACACTGACTTTGATTCGATGGTAGATTTAGAAGGTGGCAGTAATCTATTTTCAAACATTGAAGATGGCATCGATGTGAATATGTCATGGTTGGATGCCTTTGATGGAGACGGCCCGAAATCAAGTATACAGGATTTCACATTCACAAAGCAAGAGCATTCCGAGGCTAGGAATATGTCGGGTTACGCCGAGCAAATATTGGACTTTGGCGGCGACCTTGACGTCGATCTGGGCATTCCTGTGGTTGGTTGATGATCCTGGGTCGGGAAAGTCACGGACCGGTCACAACAGTGTGCTTTTGTATCAACGATCAAATGCGGTTGTATTTAGTCTTATGGGCTCGGTCAGGAATGCGTGAGGCTGAAAACGAGCGCTCTGGATCTTGGTGATGTTGTTGGCGAGCCTCATGCATGCACCTGTACTCAGTGGAAAAGGTCAACTCGTCAGACAGCGAGACTATTATCTGGTCAGCGAATAATGTGCGTGAATGTGACAAAGTCGTGCCTTAAGAGAAGCTCGAGAATCTGTCAGACAAGATACTTTTCTTCCATTTGGTGCTTCAGTGGTGGCTTGCAGATCCCAGCCGAGCACGCGCAGCTTTCCCCCAGTATCACGAAGCTTTAAATTGACCTCTTTGACCTGTTCGAATACAGATAATCACTTCCTGAGTTCCTCATTTGTTCATGTATCATCGCTCAAGGCAGAAAGAGACGCTCTCGCGGGCTCTCCATCCATCACCTAGCCCAGGCAGGTCACATCCCAGCTTATCGGCTGCCGTTAGCTTTGGGCGATGATGGGCCTAAATGCTGCCCCCCGAATTGCCCTCGGTTCCCCCACCACTAATGCTCACCAGGTATTATTGTGCCATCCTTCTTGGAGGGAAACCTGCAGATCCTCAAACGTTCCTAGACCGCAAACTCCGCAACGATGTCACCTTCCATCTCCAACCAGTGGCAAAGGGAGATATCGTGAGGTTCTGGCGGACCCTGCCGCAGTTGACCGGTCGATCGAAGTTGATAAGCATGTCGAGTTGTGCCAATCATTCTGCGGCAGGCAGCAATCCAGACTTAGAGCTCCAACTTGCCAAGGGCTGAGTCTCTTACGAGTACCGAAGCAATGCCACAAGGAAGCTTGTCTCGTGCTACAAAGCCTGAGTTGAAGCTATTCAGCCAATCGTGTTGGAACGGTCTGTACTCCAAGAGCCGGCAATGACAGTGCCGTGTGCACGAACGAAAACAGTTGGCGAAAGAGAGAGAGAGAGAGAGAGAGAGAATGGTACCACTAGACAGCAGCTGACCGGGGAGACATTGATCGAATAAATCTGAGGTACCCGGAACCAACCCTGGCCTTATCTCAACCAGGTGCAGATGAAATTTACCACTGTGACCACCCCAACTCGACCACAACTGAATCGAGGAGAGTGCTCCATTGAAATGCTGGCGACCTGCCGTATATGGCTGGATAAAGGCTGGTGACCAGACTCTTTGCTAAACCAGCTCCGGAAACTCACTATCCTTTCAAGCATATGCGACGAGCGTCGTTGTCTCCACTTCGAGCTTGACTGCAGCTACAATCCCTGTCACAATGCTACTCTCTGTGGGAGACGACGTCATGGAAGATTGACACTCCAAGCAGGAACATCTTCTTGAGCGAATCGCCAGCTTCAAACGTTTGTACAGAAGGATGCACCTCAGTCCAAACACCACTGAGAGCCCGAAAGAGCTGCAAGCTAGTGCAGGCACTAGATGATTGTCACTCACGAGGAAGCTCGTCAATGTGGTATAGCCGATCACGGTAGGGAAATTCTGTGCTACATAAACAGCTCGTGTGCATGCTCGTGCCCGCTACTCTTCTCCCCTCGTTACCGGATCGCAGTGCTCACTCACATTGCAGGAACCCGCCAGTCTGCGGCGGAGAGAAACAAAACATTCGTCTCATTGCCCTCCCTCGTGCAATCCTCTTTGCTCGTGCACTGGCACACTTACAGTCTCACCATGCAAGCGATCAAATTTCTTCCCCTCGTAGGCGCCCTTGTCGCCGGGGTCTCTGCTATTCCCGGCCCTGTTGTCCATAATGGCAGAGGAATGGGTCCTAAGCTTCAGATTTCTCCACGCCAGCTTCCTGCCGAACCTACTGGTGTCCAAACCATAATCAGTCCGAATGGCGCCAATATCACCTACAAAGAGCCAGGCAAGGAAGGTGTTTGCGAGACCACACCAGGCGTGAACTCTTACGCCGGTTTCATCAACCTTGGAGAAAACGTGCACAGCTTTTTCTGGTTCTTCGAGTCCAGAAATGACCCTGCCAACGACCCCATCACGCTATGGCTCAACGGTGGGCCTGGAAGTGACTCTCTTATCGGTTTGTTTCAAGGTAGGCGACTTGTGCCTTTCGATTCAGTATTTCCGGCGCTGATAAGTGATACAGAACACGGGCCCTGCAATGTCACCGAAGACCTGGTGTCTCAACTGAATCCCTACTCGTGGAATGAAGCTTCAAACATGATCTACCTCAGCCAGCCGTTGGGTGTTGGCTTCTCATATGGCTCAAAGGTAGAGAAATATCAGGTGCAGATGAAGGGAGCTGGACTGACATAGGATTAGGCGCCGGGTTCCTTGGACGAGTTAGGATCCTTCGTCAATGCTTCTGAGGCCAACGTCACCGGCAGATACCCGGTCATTAATGCGACCGCTATTGGTGGGTTTTGTACAATCTGCACCCATCTTAACGACTAACCAGGGGTGCAGATACTACCGACCTAGCTGCTATCGCCGCTTGGGAAGTCCTGCAAGGCTTCTACTCAGCCCTACCTCAACTTGACTCCAAAGTCCAGTCCACCCAATTCAACCTCTGGACAGAGTCCTATGGAGGTACGTGGTGTGGCGCTTCCGACTTGGGGCAAGACGGTTGACTAGATCTAGGACACTACGGACCTGCCTTCTTCAACTATTTCCAGCAGCAAAACCAAGCGATCCAGAACGGTACCCAGACGGGCAAATATTTCGAATTTGTTAACTTGGGAATCATTAACGGCATCATCTCCGAATATATCCAAGCGCCATACTATCCCAAATTCGCCGTTGAGAACACGTATGGAATCCAACTTGTCAACCAGACCGTCCACGATTACATGGAGTTTGCATGCTTTATGCATAATGGATGTTTGGACCAAGTTGCTTTGTGCGGTGAAGTCGATACCACCACGCTCAGTGGCCAGGCTGTCTGCACCGAGGCTGAGGATATGTGTCGTGACAATGTCGAATCCCCATACTACTACTACGGTGACAGAGGCGTGTACGATATCCGCCACCCATACGAGGATCCCACACCACCTACATACTTCATCGATTACCTCAATCAAGCGTCCGTCCAGAATGCACTAGGCGTCGACACAAACTATACCACAGACGCCAACGACGAAGTATACTTCGCCTTCCAGCAGACGGGTGATTTCGTCTTCATCAACCTGCTGGAGGATCTGGAGCAGATCATCAACAGCTCCTCAGTCCGGGTGACGCTCGCATACGGCGATGCAGACTATATCTGCAATTGGTTCGGTGGAGAGGCTGTCTCGCTTGCAGCTCAATGGCCGCACGCTGCTGAGTTTGCCGCTTCAGGTTACACCCCGTTCGTCGTCAATGGCGTCGAGTTCGGCGAGACCCGAGAGTACGGCAACTTCTCGTTCACGCGAATCTACGAATCTGGTCATGAGGTACCGTATTACCAACCCGTGGCCGCCCTGGCGCTCTTTGAGCGGGCTATCGGCGGAAAGGACATTGCTACTGGCACCATCCCGGTGGATGGTACCAACGGTGGCACCAGTGGCGAGCCATTGGCGACGCACACCGAGTCTTTTGTGCCCTTGCCGAGCTCGACTGCATCCGCGAGCGGGAGCGCAGCTCCTCTGCCCAGATATAGGAGATGGGATTCTTGAGCGTGACGAGGTGAACGATGACATGCTTACCGACATAGTAATGAGTAATGGTACTAGTATTTCGGACATGATGAGTTATTCCCTACTGCTCTTCTCCCGACATGTCTTTCTTACATGCTTCTCGTCCGCCTTGCGTTCTCTGTGAATCTCCTTAGCTTCACAGACTTCACCGCTACAATTGTCGCGCTGGTACTCCGTACGAGATATTAGGATGCACAAGACCCGGATTCTATTACACTCACTGCAGCTCGGCTGAACCTCCCCCGCAGCTTGGAACGACTCGACCAACCTCGGTATCTTCACATCACGACTCGGCAATGACCACAAGCTGTCTGAGGAAGTTTCGACATGCCCAAAGCTTCCAACGTCTGTTTGGAACTGTAGACTTCCTAAATGGCACTGCAGATGGTTTGATCACGAATCCCGTATCCGCCTTGCTCTAAATCCTAGGTGCCCAAGTGCCTGGATGTAAGCTCTGAATATTAAGTGCTGACAGGAACGACAAATCGTCTCATTAGACCACCACGGCAATCACTACATATCTCACCGAACTGCACCGAACTCGTCACTCAACTGCTGGACATTTGGATAGAAGACTACCGTCTTCATTATCGAAAGAGAGCTCCGCTGGATCTTCAATTGAGCCGCCCACCCAGCACCAACGTCCCTGATTCCGTGTCAAGCACAATGTCGATCTCAACACCAATAACCCAGCTTCTGGGTATCCAGCACCCAATTCTGCTGGCGGGGATGGGTCAAACATCAGGTGCCCCTCTAGCCGCAGCAGTGTCGAATGCCGGTGAGTTTCTGTGGGATAGCCCTTGAGACGCTTACCCTCCCGTGGTCCAACGTTGCTGAGAAGTGCCCTAGGCGGTCTTGGTGTGATCGGCGGAGTCGGATATACGCCTCAGATGCTGAGGGACATGATCGATGAATTGAAGGTAAGTCTGTTGCAATGTTTACCAAGGCGAGTCGAAGCCTATATCTAGGTAATCGTAATCTTTCCCCGCCGAGCCTGAGCACTGTTTGCAAGAAGACTCGCAAGCGCTCCCTCCAACTCTTTTCGTCTTCCGAGATATCAAAATTTGCCTTGCACTTGATAACATGGATGTCGTCCCACGTACACGCAGGCTGATCTACGAGACCCGGCTCTCCCCTTCGGTGTTGATCTGTTGATCCCACAAGTTGGCGGATCCGCGCGCAAGACGAATGTGAGTTACGATCCAACCGTTCCATTCCCAAGACCTGTACATCAATCATGTCATGTATTCCCAGTCATCCCTGAGGCCGCCGTGCCGTGTTGGCTCATGTGGCGTTGTTCTCTGACCGCGCCGGCCCCTACCAGCTTGACTACACCAAAGGCACGCTCGACGAATTGATCGACATCATCATCGCTGGCGGGGCGAAGCTCTTCGTCTCCGCCGTCGGCGTCGCGCCGAGACACGTCGTCGACAAGCTGCATGCCAATGGGATCCTGTACATGAACATGATCGGACACCCCAAGCACGTTCACAAGGCGTGTGCGGCTGGAGCGGACATCATCTGTGCGCAGGGTGCTGAGGCAGGTGGGCACACTGGGGAAACGCCGACGAGGTAAGTACCTTACGTCCACGTCCAAGTTCCCTTCCCCTTCCACGCAAGCAAGGGACACCGCAAGCCAGAAAGTTTTCTAATCACATCTTCATGTTCTGCAAACCCTTAGTGTTCTTATTCCCGCCTGCGCCGATCTGGTCAAGAAGTACAAATCGCCCTTGACGGGCCAACCGGTGCAACTCGTCGCGGCAGGTGGGATTTACGACGGTCGCGGCATTGCAGCGAGTCTGATGGTAAGTACAGTATTTTTCCTCCATTTCCTCTTCTCCCTAAGACACAGCCGATCACTGATGACTTGACTTTCACAGCTCGGCGCATCAGCCGTGTGGGTGGGCACGCGTTTTGTCACGGCCAAAGAATCTGGCGCGCCCGAGGCTGCCAAGAGGGCGTAAGTACAGCCCTGTGTCCCATATTCAAGCACCGTACTCATCATACTCATCACCGTGAACGACACATCCCTCGCATGACCCAGGAGTAGAAATACTGAGATCTTTGTGACGTTAGCATCATCGGAGCAGACTTTGATTCGACGATCAAGTCGACCATCTGGACCGGCCGGCCTCTACGCGCGCTCGCAACGCCCTACGTGCGCAACTGGGAGACGAACCGACAGGACGAAATCAAGAGCCTGCAAGCCAAGGGTGTTATCCCACTGTATCACGAGATGGACAAGCTGGAAAAAGTCGGCGGCATTACGGAGGAGATTGAGGACCAGTCGACGTTGAGGTTCGTACGGTCATTGCCATTCATGAAGAGATATGGGGGTTTTCTGGTGTGACATGATGCTAATGATGTGCAGGCCTATGGGTGTTGTCTCGGCTATGGTGAACACCCCGAATCAATCGGCTGCCAAGATTGTCAAGGAGATGATGGATGAGGCTGTCCGGGCGCTTGGTGCTGCGTCGGATTTCTTGCGGCCTGCATCCAAGCTCTAGGCTATGATTTTGCGCAGCAGAACCCTGGATTGGGTATCGACCACCATGTCGTCCAGACTCGCTGCCACTCGGAGCCTTCTTGACTATGTGCCTCCGAACCATGCCGTGCGTATGGGATAATCTCGAGGCGGCTGGACTTGCGTGCGTGCTTGTACAGATGATGGTGAAGAGATGACCCGTGTCTCTCACACCTCATTTTGTGGCACAGCAACACATATACACTCGACCTCACTTCGCGCTAACTTGCAATTCCATCACATTGCGCGATCGAACCTTTCGTGATTCCCGCGTCTTAGGCCCATCCTGTTCGGGTCAACCATGGTTGACTCATCGTTGGTGCCCAAGCGAAGGCTCCTCGTCAAATTTTGCCTGTCCCAAGCCATGAGGATCTTGGCAGCCAGCAGACGTACCTGGTATATTTTCGTTGGCGCATCGCATCGTTTTCGTTGAAGAACATAATCCTCCAGACCACCGTCACATTTCTAGATCAGCGATCTTTCATAATCCGACCCTCTTCGAAGTACATTATCTGCTTGCTGACCAAAACTTCGAAACCGTCATCCAGCCATGTCTCCTCACATTCCCGACGTGTCCTTACCTCCAGCTCCTGGCATATCAATCGAAGACCAACACCAGCTCTCCGGAGAGCTCGTGGGCTGCTCAGAGCACTCATCGAGAGCAGACCAAACGCAAGAAGAAGCGGTGCAAGGCACGGCGGATGAGAAACCTGACAGCATGGACGTCCAGGAACCCGCTGAACCCGACCTCGACCTCATCTCAGAAAAACTGCCCCCGCAAGTCCCGACCAAGCCATTGGTGACCATCTCAACTTGGGAAAACGCGCTTCTCAACTCTCAAACAGCGGCTCGTCTCCAGCCTCATTTGCCACCATATGAACTTTCGTTCTGGACGGATGCTTGCCTGCGGGGCCCCAAACCGGTCAAGCTCGAAGGATGCGGCCTCTGCGTCGTACACCGTCGTCTCGACAACAGCAGTCCCGATGACCGAGACTTTGCCATCATATGGTGGCAAGACTCCTTCGTGGCACGCGACATTCGTGACATCGGACGTGCTGAAATGATGGCCGTGGGGCAAGCATTGGAGATCACCGTCGAGCAATGCGAACGCATCTCCGGTATCGCCGTCACCAAGGCAAAGATAAAGAAACCTGGGGCTGCTGAGGAGCTAAAGCGTCGTGTCGCTACTGTTCCCTGGCCCATGCCGAAGGTCGTCAATGTGTTCACGGATAGTCAGCCGGTGCTAGACACTATCACTTGCTGCTGGTATTCGGATTCTGGGTGGCCACCGGCTTCGCGGTCACCACTGAGACGCGTTAATACGACGATCGAAGCGCTGATGACTCTGGGTGTCAGAGTGCATCTGCAGTGGGTTCCAGGCCATGCCAGCGATGTTCGCAACCGCTGGGCTCACGAAGGAGCTCGTAATGCGCTCAAACCGCAATACCAATCCCGCAAAGTATACCAAAGGTCCGTGCATCGAGTTCATCGACGGCCTCAAAAGGACAGATTTGCGTCACGAACTTTCACGGCCAGGGTTGAGAGAAAAGGTAGCCTGAGGTAGGTAGCACAACAGCGGCAAACAAGTTGGGAGGGACTGGTGGAAACAGAAATTTTCATCGTAATATTTCGTAAAAAGGAGGGCCGACCATAACTCTTGACTTAGCTAGCCTCCTACTGCCGTTCAGCCCAAGCAACCCACCGCTTCACGACTTCGTCTACGCCGCGCAGGCCGGCTCTCGTGGCTTCAATCTCGAACCATTCTTGGTGGACACGGCCGCATTGGTCGCATTCGGACTTGACCACTCGCTTCTCTGCCAATTCGAGGTGAATGAGTCGTTCGACACGGTGGACATGAGGGACTTTTCGACCCGGGACATGGTTTAATCCCGTTCCGGTGTAGGGATAGTAGCGAATAAGAGTGATGTTCTGTCCACACTGTTTCGTCCATTGCGTCATGCGCCTGTGGACGTTCTCTGCACGGCCAATCTTCAACATCATCGTGCGCTGGACATGAGCTGGATTTCTAGGCTGAGGATGCCGGACGGAGGCATAGCGCTGGATGGCCTGGTTGGTTCGCTGTGCGCGGGCGGTGTACATGTTATCCTCATCATCCAGCAAAGATGACGCGGTCTCGTCATCTGGTTTGGAGACTTCGGATTCAGGTGTGAGCCAGAATATGTAGATGTACCCAGTGTCGTCGGTGGGTGGGGTCGGTCTCGATAGCTCCGTTAGAAGGAGAGATGTCGTTTGGGGGGAAAGGCTGGAAGGGATGAGAGACAGCAGGGTCTGGGTTTGGGAGTGAGTGACTGAGACTGCCGGGCTGGGTCGGAGTGGTGTTGGAGACGGCCGCGAGAGGGGCGTTGCGAGACTGGCGGATGGTCTTTCCTGCCGCTGGCTCATCTCTGGCCTTGAAGTTCTTGCATATTGACAGACAGCTGTGCGGGAGGGTTGAGGTCTCGGATTATGCTTTTCTCGAGGCTGGTGAGTCCTGGGAGGCGGATAATTGTCGTCATCGGCTTGAATACAGCAAGACCACGACAATTTGACATTAGACCGCGGCGAGTGAGCGCGGCGTTTCTGTAGAGGTCGATATTGAACCATCTCTTCCGGGACTTTCATCAATGGGCTCTGCATCTCCGCCCACCCAGAGGGTAATGTCTCCCGCCGTGTAGGACGGTGATCATTATTCTCCTGCCGTCGGCGGTGCCGTCTCGGTTCTGGAACGATCTCATCCAATTCTAAGATGCACACTCGTTCGACCAGAGTATCAATGCTTGACTTCTCTTTCAGCGGATGTAAGCTCGTCTTGTGGCGACTCGAGGCCGCTAGATGTTCAGCTTGTTCCTTGTGTTGCCAACAATAGAATGCAGCTGCATTTTGCTGGTCCAATACAGCGAGGACACCGGCGTCTCGACTGGGTGATGGAGCAGGAGATGTCCTCGGTGAAGCTGCTAGGGCTCTTCGGCATGGGCGCCCGGTTGAGGTGATGCCTCTGCATGTAGTAGCGGGATTCTTCGAGTCTGATCGTGGGAGAAGTGATTCGGGAGTCCGTCCACCGAAGGACATAGCGGTAGAGGTAAGATCTGTCAGGTCAGTCAACCTATGAAGCAACCAACGATTTCGGATAGACCATCAAAAGCATCGAAGGAGTGTGACAGCAGGAATGAAATAGTTAGCACTTCTGTAATGCGGTCTACAAACGACAGATCATTAAGCCGATCGGATCAAGTGAAATGGAGAGTAGCCATGCGGTCCAGCAACGGGCCGTGTAGGCAGATCACCTCTGAGTGACATGGCGAAAACTGGACACGAGGGAGGTGAAGATGGACGATTGGATATGGAGTTCACGTCAAACGCCTAAGCCTTCAGGCTGGTGCTGGTGGCTGGGGCATGGCGAGTGAGGCTGTGCATCCCAGCCTCGTCGCCAGCTTAGGGCCAATCAGATGAGAGAAACGCACGATACCGAGCATTGGGCGAGGAAGAAGCAAAGACATATTTTCTGTCTAGCTAGTGTACTCAGTACAATGCTTCGGACAAAGTCATAGTGTGTGATCTATGTTAGACATGCAAAGAGGGTATCTTCTTTCAGTTCAGGAAGGTGTAAATGGCATGCAAGTCACGTCGTCCACTGTCGTCCGATTACGACAATTTCAGACCACTCAAGAAATCAAGTGCATCATCCTGTGCGCTCTCCAGCTGCGCTATCCGCTGCTTCAAGGCGGTCGATTCCAGCCTCATCACGTTGACGACATCCCAGGCTTCTGTAGTGTTCGTTCCGTGACAATTCGGACATGCTTCCCGGAATGCCAGTGTAGTAGTCTTCAGGACAGGGCTTGCTAGCGAGGTAGTCTGTGAGGGTGCTGCTGACAGTGGCTCTGAAAAGACACTGATAACGGAACTCACGTCTGATCCCAGCTCGGATTCACCAGATGTCGAGATGTCGGATGACCGTTTCCTGCGGTACCTCGACCGAGGCGTGGAGTCTGCTTCGACAGTACCATCCTCTGACACCATTCTGATACTGCGTTGCTGTGACTGATATGTTTCGAGAGACGTCCTTTGTGCTGCTAACTGTGCTCTCAAATCAGTGATCGTTCTCTCCTGTTGCGTCGCTCTTTCAGCCATCTCTTGTAATTGCAATTTCAAATGCTCGTTTCTCGTCTGTGCGGCCTCGAGTTCATCCACTTGCACGTTCTTAGTTGAGGTTACTTGCTTGAGAGATGCCTTTTGATCGATATGTGCTTGCTGAAATCGACGCAAGGTCCCTTCAGCATTCTGTTGAAGATTCTTGAAGGCGGCCGGTGAGAATTCACCTGGAGGTCCATGTGGGAAAAGTGCCCCTTCGATATCGAGATGTGCCAATTCATCTTCGTCGGGGATCTCGTGAGGCAGGGAAACGGTGGATTTGCGGAAGAAACTGAATCGAGACGTGCTTGCATTCGTAGGTTTCGCGTTCGGTCGCTGGGTGAGATTGTCTCTTGTACTGTGCATCCCAGAGAAGATGTTCTCCATGTTTCCGACCTCAGAAATAGGATCTGATCTCTCCTTTCGCGGAGAAGGAACCAGTGTTATGTTGACCGGCTCGGACGACCCTTCAAACCAACTCGCTAGTCTTTCAACCGCGCCGGTCGGCCTCCTCTTTGTGACCGGCTCTTCGGCTGAAACAGCGCTTTCTGCAACCGAGACCCTCTCCGGGGATACCGAACGTATGCTTTGTGGGCGGATGAAAGGCAAGAAGGCGGAGGACCTAGTGGGTGAAGGTGTTTGGGTCCGAGCGAGCAGTGGTGGTAATTCTGCGGAAGTTCGCGATCGTTGATGGCCTCGTGTAGGAGCTGGGGGAGGGAGATATATTGCAGAGGTATTATCAATGTCAAAGGGTAGTTGGCGTGGTTGTGGGTGAGCCAAAGCGCCTGGGAACATGTCTCGCGACATGTCGGATGATGCAATCTGGAGAGATTGAGAGACTGATCCGCGCCGAGTGAGTGGTTCCTGCCAGGACTGAGCTTTGGCACCCAATGTAGTTTCGCTTGCTCAAAAAGTCAAAGAATGAGCCACTTCCGTATCAAAGATGTGCGGATATCTCTTTCTCGACAGCTGCACTGCGGGTTGAAGATCGAGAGACGAGGCTGAAGGGTCGTGTCTACCCCGCTCACAGCGCGGACTCTCGCGAGATGAGCAGACGGCGAACTGTGCATGCACGAGGCAAGAGGTTGGAAGTGTCAATGCGCAGGAACAGTGCGTGCCAGGAGAGTTGCACGACGCATGGAGCGAGACCGTGCAGTGGCCTGCCTTTCTATTTTCCCAGAGATTCGGCTCAGCGGTCCAAAGATGAAATGGGAGTGGTTGGTGGCATCGTGGTGGTCCCGGCGGCTGGTTTAGCGGAGACTCATTCAAGCCACGCGAGGCTGGCACACCGCATCTCCACCAGAAACCTGTTTCATCCTTTTTCCCTTCCTCCCACTAAGAGACCACAAGTCCCAGGTGGCCAGTCGACCTCAATGCCGAAAATAGCTCGCCTCTAAGAGTCACGTTTCTGACTTGAACGTGTCCATGGGCTTGCTGTGGCAAATCGTGAGCGATGGTCGGCCGATAGACCCTTCCTCTGAGAAAGAGCCGGTTTCCCCTGCGGCCAGCTTGGAGGCACCTCCTTTCGAGCAGCATTGTCGCCGCCAAGCTCAAGAAGAAGAATATGAAATTCATCGATTGCTTGAGACAGCTGAAGCCGACTGGTCTTTCCTACCTGCCAGCTTCAATCATGAGGATACGATCTTTGCGGCGAATTGCAATGCTGGCGTCAAGGTTATTGTAAGTCTTCTCAGGCGAGGCTGCCATTGCCCGTCTGCACTGCAAACAAGCACCAGCTCTCGACCAGCACATTCTGTCGTATATTCATGGCAATAAATAATCCACTTGCCGATTCCGATCCGATATGTCGACGAGCCCACTGGCTTGATTTGGTCATGAAATATACCGCCGGAACAGCAGCGGTGGTCTATATACTTGTCGCCATTTCGGTGTTCGTGGTGACTGGGCAACTCGACCCTGCTCAATGGATATGGCTCCAGCAGACAAAATCGGCTGCGTCAACAGACGCAGCCATGATTCATGTGCATACCAGGCTCCTAAACCTGGATGGACCGGGTATCGTTTGAGGAAAGATGCAAACAAAGGAAGATTGTTTGGTGTCTCACCTTGGGATGCTACTGTCCGCACGGTACTCTCAGAGCTTGTGCTTAGAGGCCTATTGTAAGCGTTCTTGACTGAGCCGCGAGGCTGAGTGCTGTTTCTATCGCACTCTGAGGACAGTTGCGTTCCAGCCGAGACACCAGACGCGGCTTGCTTCTTTCTCTGAAGCTGACATGATCGATCACTGGCCAAGCATGTCTTGATAAAGGTTCACACATTCTTTGACTGATGGTGAATTACCTGCGCTGCTACCCTTGGTCAACCGGTTGTTTGTCTTATTCTCTATTGCTCAAGGCAGAAGGACGTCTTAAACTGTCAATGAGCAAGTAGCTGCCTTGCTTACTCGATCCTTGCTACCTTGGACCTGATTAGTTTATCTTTCCTCATAAACTCCTCGCTGAGCGGAAATTCTACACCGCAAGAAGCGCTCGAAATCAGTCTACGACAGTCTCGCCTACAAGGTCAGTTGCACCATCCTTAAGTCACCTCGCTCTCTTCGTTGCTGACTGTTATGATGATAGCACAACGGGGTTCCTTGTGGTCGTCCAGCTGGTAAACTGTGCGTCCGATCGAGTGGATATTGGGGAGCTGAGCTGCGCATCACAGCAAGAGTATGGAGATCCTCAACTGCGAAGCATGATCTGTCTAATTCGAACACAGTTGCCTGCCTATTGCCCATTGAGGCGTCTCTCAAATCCTCTCTTCAGCAACATCGAGTGCGACCTTCCTCGCAGTCATGGCTCAGCCTGTTCAATTCTTCAAAACCAAACCTGCCCCACAAACCACCGCTGTCCCCACTCCCTTGCAAGATGAGTTCGACTATGAGGCGTTGCAGCTTCCTGGTGTTGAGCTCCAGTTGCTGTTCGAACCAGAGAGTCCAGCCCATTTGAAGCTCGCTGTTAAAGAAGTGGACAGAGTCGATACCCGTAAACCGTCATCGGCAGTGGTCAAATTCCCTGCTAAAGCCTGTGGTGATTTCAAGATTGATAAAGTCAATACTGCATGGTACGGACGAGTTACAAACAATGAACGGGCTCCTAATGGCGAACAATTCCTGGCGGTCTCGACCTTCCATCTCGACCTTGTCTGCGCAGAAGGCCTGTTCATCGAGGACTGTCCAGCAGCCTTTCAGCCACTCCAAGAATACCTAAACACGGAGAGACAACTAGCGATGGTCTTCGATATCACAATGAAGCGACGCATTTTCGACCATGCACGACTAAAATTTGTTGCAGAGAAAGCAGCAGGCTGCTTGAGTCCATGGGCTAGACTCTACGAGCAACTCCCAGTCCTACCCAACGTACCTCCTCGACCCAGTGTTGCCTCTCAACGTGCTTTCCTTGACTGGGACGACTACAAGCATACGTTTGCCATTGGCATGGAATACGAGAGACGGTTGGACGAGGGTGAAAATGACAGCGGCTACAAATGCGATGTGCGTATCATCGAAATGCCGGAGAGCAAAAACCGCAAATTCCAGATGATCATCTTCTGTAAGAGAAAGATTGATCTTGCTCCTGGTGACAAGGCTCACCTTTGGTTCGTGGACGGTTCCGATGAAGATTCCGATGAAGATTTCGACACGGGCAAGATTTGGGACGTTACTATTCTGCCTCCAGTACCGTATCAACCCTCCAAGTGTTTGACAGCAACATTGATCCGTCGACGAGACCCTGATTCGCATAGTTATTGCGATGACAGAGCACTGGTGGTCTTTCAACGCTCGGCGATTCCGTCAGGTCCAGATGGACGAGATTTTGTGCTTGATCAGAAGAGTGTGGAAGCGATCATCCAGCCTGACAGAATGGAAAGCACCTTCAAGAGAAACCGTCAAGCTCTTGAGGCTTTGAACGATCGTCTCACCGTGCCTGATCTTCAGGGTATGGATAAGGCCCTCTCGGATTTCTTGCTCGCCAGGCACCCATCCAAGATTACCAAATTCGACATGTACGCAAGCCTGGCTGAGACCCCTGCCGACCCTGAAGCTTCCCTGGACCTCAACGAAAGCCAGAAAGCAGCCGTTCGTGCGGGACGCGAAGCGGCCGCAGGTTTTCTTGTTTGCCATGGTGGACCTGGAACTGGCAAGACTCATTTCGTGGTCGAGGCTGTCCAGCCGTTTCTGAAAGACCGAGGTCGAAAGCATCGCTTGCTATTGACTTCTGCTGGTAATGCTGGTGCGGACGCCCTTGCTCTGGCTGTTGACCGTCGCTTGAATAACCTCATCAGCGAAAAGCTTGCTGATCCTGACGGGTACGTGCTTCGAGTGCATTGTGTCACAACTGAGAAGGACATCTTCTTGTCGGCAGCAGATATTCGTGCTCAGGCCTTGATTGATTATGGGCAATCAGGACCGTCGGATGAGTCAATGTTTGGCTTGAATGAGACCGACCAGGAGTTGTTCGACCATTTTGTACAATACAAAGAGGACTTCCTCCAGGATGCCCGCGCCGAGCATATTGAGCTTTCGGTAGGACACAAGATGCTCCAGCTGGCGGGCATCATTCCAGGAGCCACTACCGACACCCGTGCATGGGGTGATCTCAAAGAAATGTACCGCCAGTATAGCCGCCACGACATTGGTCGATCGGACAAAGAGTTCCAGAGCGAAATCGAGAAATTGTTCGCTTACTCTATCAGCAGCGCGACATCCATCTGCTGCACTGCAACAGGGGCGGGAAATCCGAAGGTGTCAGGGCCGTACGCGGACGCGGAGCTGCTCGTGGTTGATGAAGCTGCGAGAGTTGTCGAATACGAATTGTGGCCACTCCTCGCATTCTATCAGAACTTGGTCGGGAAAATTCTGGTTGGCGACATCGACCAATTGCCTCCGGTCCTGAAGTCGAGTGGGATTGATATGGCCAAGGCCAGGAACCCGAGATCAAGAGTCAAGCCCAACCCGTTCGTGGCACAGCTGGAACTTTCTTTTCAGGAACGGATCCAGGACGCAGGATTCCAGGCTGCCTTCTTCCAAGTCCAGCATCGTGCTGTTCCACAAATTGCAGCGATCTTCAACAACGTGATCTACGAGGGCCGGCTGTTAAACCATGAAAGCACCCGCGTCGATCGCCGTGCCCTGGCGCAAAAGGTTGTGCAGCACAACGAGTCGACTTTCGAGTACGCCTCTCCTCTCATCTTTTTCGATCTCCCCCATGCCGTGGAGGAGTACAGACCCGGCTCCCATTCGAAGTATAATTCAGCGTATGCTAATGCCGCCCTGGTGATTGTCGAAGACCTTCTACTTGCTGGGTTTGGAACTACGGAGCCGTGCACAATCGCGATTCTGACACCATACAATGCTGAGTACGAGAACCTCCAATATGCCAAAGGCTGGATGTGCGAGCGATACCCGCAAGCCGCGGATGTTGTTGTCGACAAGATTGACAAGCGCCAAGGTGCAGAGTTTGACATCGTGATTGTCGACCCTTGTGCTGTGATCAAGGCCGGCTTCTTGCAGAAGCAGCGGCTCAATGTCCTCTTCTCGCGTGCAAGATGTGGTCTGTATGTTCTCGGTAATCACATGCAGTGGAGTGCTATGGAGGGTGACCGACAGGCGTGGTTCAAGAAATTTCACGACCAGCTGAAGGAATATCGTACGGAGTGGCCACAGGAGAAGTCCTTGGAGTCGAGATTCTACGAGGTCTGATGTGTGGGCTAGTCCCACGACCACAAGGAAAGTTGCAGAGATGGACCAAATTGGAGATGGATGCCGCTGTTGGTGTTGAGAAAGGCTGTTGGCTATTCGGACATGACGATTGGCAGTGTGTGTATGTTGGCTGTTGTGAGTAACTGAAGAAGCATCATTTTGGCATCGCATTGAACAGGGGGCCATCCTGCCTCGTAAATTATCCTCGCTGCTGTTTGTCTTCGAATGGCAACTAAATCACACGGTCTATTATGGTACATAGTACCCTAGAGCCCGTAGTATGTGAAAACTGTGCCTTGCTATGACTTGTGCCCTGATTCGAACGCTCACTTGTCATTGCCACTGTCCGGAATGACACCTTTGGCGTGACCGAGATCTTCTCCGAGTACCTTATCGCCCACCTTCAGCGGCTGACTGTCTTGCAGGACGAATACCATCCTGGCCCATTCAGTCGGACTGGCATTCTTCCACGCGTGCATCGTGGCCCTCTGCACTGCAACGTCGCCCCTTTTGAGGGTGCGCACCTCGCCGGAATCCAGATGCAGCTCGATCTCTCCTTCGATCACGATGCCGTAGTCCAGACTTTTTGTGCGATGCATCAGAGCCTCACCGTTGGGTGCGAAATCCACTGTGCGACAGACCGTCCCGTTTGGTCTCACGAGGCCTAGGGTGCCTGCAGCCATGACCTGTTCGTGCTGTTTGATGTCGACGTCGTTGTCCATGCTGACGGGCATGCTGGACGTCGTGAAGCTGACGTTGAAGTAATTGGTGTCTTTGATGGGTTGCCAGTCGGCCGGTTTGACTGAGTGATAGACGGCTGTAGCATCTTCTGTATTGTGGCCGGTGATGTAGGTGGTGGGATCGCGCAACGGTGTGCTGGCGGACGTGGTGTGTGCTGACACTGGGTCCTTTGAAGAGTTCGACATGCTGCCACGCCGGTCTTCTTGGAAATGAGCAGAGATAGGTGGTAGTACGGTACAGCTACCGTACAATAGATCGCAAGACGATGGATGTCCAGGCGGAAGGGAAATGGGCAAAGATCTAAACAGGAACAAGACCTGGATAGACCCTCAAACGAGAAGTGTTCGCAGTGATTGGGAAGGTGAGGTGAGGTGCTTCAGGCGGGGCTAGTTACTTTTATTTGACGACTGTTGTCTTCGTTCTTCGTGATACTCGCCTCGTAGTCATACAGAGTAAGCATTTCCCCGCATCTCAACTAGGCCACTAAGTGTACTCCGTGGCAGTCACAGAGTAAGCCGGACGTGGCCGGTCATGGCCGGTTCAGGCACAAGGCGAAGGTGTATTGGCAAAGGGTTACAGATACTGCTTGCTCCCCTGGCTCCCCTGGTGGTTGGATACCTAACTCATGGCGAGAATATACTCCGACTCTCCGCAAGTTGTTCACGGGTCCTTTGACACAGTCAGATCTTCTGGAGACCCATCATGCCCCCGTACCTAGGTCAGCAATAACCTCGAAATAGCCTCGGCTGAAACAGCATTCAGTTGGGCAGCCTTCCAGCCTTTCAAATCGGTCGATCAGGTGCCGAGGCAATTTGAAGGCCGCCGGGGGTGGGGGTTTCTCAGGGTTCTTCCGGCCATCAAAGCTGACCACGATGCTTGCTCCGTACTCCGTATTCCGTACCTAGATAGTAATCACATTGCCGAGACTTAGACACCTCTATCCGGGCATATCGTATATCGCCTGGAGCTTTTCGGTCCCTTCATTGATGTCCACAGTCAATTTCGTCTTCTTTCTCCGACATCGCGTGCCCAGCAACAAAGCGACTTGAATAACGTGGGGCGTTACAAAGGGTATCGACATCACTTATAACGTACTTGACAATCGGATACGACAAAGGAGTGTATCTAGGGCAGTAAGACTTCGGAAGGTTCTATAAAATACCGGCAGATCCATTAGATATGGGCTCAGGAGATCAGAAAGCCGCGTGTTTGACGCTGCTGCATCCGAATTCAGCGCAGGCAAAGGACAAGGTGAGACGCTCATTCAAGCCGGGGATGCATGCACCGTTGGCCTTTTGTTGATGAGCGGTCTTCCCTCGGCCTTGATCAGCGGCGTCAGAATCCACCATCGTAGCATGAAAAGTGGCCTGAGTGGTCTGGCGGATGGTTGAAGTCTCGATGGATTCTGGCTGTTGAAGGGATTCCGCACGCTGTTCTCTCCATTGATCCGCCATCGCTAACGGTCACTTCTCGCATCAGGTTCTGCACACGTTGGTCTCCAAAGCCTCGTTCTTTCGACTTGCCGAAGCCGAATGCCTCACTTACACATACTTCACACCAGCAACTCGCAAGGGAGCCAACCTGGGTATGGTGCCTTCCTCCGAGAAAGACACCATGATCGGCGTGATGCAGATCTTCACGAGCCCCAAGGCTGTCGCCGAAGCAGAGCAATACTTCAAGCTGTCGGAAGTTGCCGCCAACGCTGAAGACCGGACCAAGTGGTATCCCAGTGCCGGGTTTGTGGCAAGGAAGGGAGAGGAGGAGGCACCCAAGGCCAAGATAGTCATGCTCGCCAAGTTCATCTGCAAGGAAGGCCAGGGCATGAGGGAGAAGTTGGTTGACGTTCTTGGGTAAGCAAGCCTTAGCACAGGGTTCTCTCTCTTTCGCCTCGTCGGATTCAAGAAACTGATACTAGTGATTTCCGTCAGCAAATTCTGTGACTGGGTCGAAGAGAACGAGCCCACGACTCTGACATACTGCGTTATGACGCGTCCCGAGGCACCCAATGAAGTACTCATGTTCGAGCGATACAAGGACCTCCCGGCTCTCGGCGTACACGGGAAGTCGAAACAGTTCAAGGATATGTTGTAGGTTCAATTCCTCGCTGTCGCAGTTCATTTTCGACGCCCAGCTGCGTTCTAGTGGCATCTCAAAAGAATGCGCTGACAAGTCTGGATCCGCAGTAAAGCAACAGGGCCCTTCGTGCAGGGCAGGAAGACGATCTTGAGCGAGTGGGAGGAACTAGATGGGTCGTTCGTGTCGAATCGGCCTGGCGGTGCGGGTGTGCCTAAGGCCAAGCTCTGAAATTGACCGAGTCGGCTATTTAAGGATGTACGTACCTGTGGACATTTTCAATCTGGCCATGTTCTCGAAAGTGACAGCGCTGCGTTCCGAGCTGCCTGATGATTGTACAATCCTTTTCCCAACTGCATTTCATTAGCTTGTGGAGCGACCATGACATCCGTGTCCTCCTCGTCGCCGCCACCTACTAACTCTCCCGCTTGAACCGCGAGTATTCGAATCTGCTACCTCATGAGCGATATCAAACAGTCCAGCTCGGTCCGAGCCATACGTGGAGGGCAGCGGACTATGTTGAGCTAAATCGTGTCGAGGGCAAAATATTATCGTGAACACAGCCATTATATTCTAGGAGGCATTGACTTGAACATCAAGAAGACTACTTGATGGGACAAGACTCCTCCTGTCAGACAAGGCCACTTTTTTGGGTCCGGAAGCATGCCGTTCTCGCTCGAAATAGTCCCCCTAATCTTCGCGTATACCTCCGAAATTTCAAGCTCGGGATAAAAGGTATCATTGAAGCTCGGACTAGGCAGATGATGTCTAGATAACCGCGTCATCCTCCTCAGAGACATCGTCGTCCTCCTCCTCGTTGTCCTCCACGTCTTCCTCGTCCTCTTCCTCGTCATTAGATCCCCTCTCGAAAGGATCATCGTCCTGGAACTGGACGTCCATGTTGCCCCATTTCTCCCATCGCTGTATCAGGGCTAGGGGGAGTCCAGCGATAGCCCAATCCAATCTTCTAGCCTGAAGGATGATGCGACTGGCCCGTAGATACACGTCGCGGAAGGTGCTCCACAAGTCGACGTCCTTTCCAGGGTGTGGGAAATACGGATCGTTGCCAGTAACGGCAACAAAGTATTTCTGAACCACTTCCGACGGTGAGCACGATTCCAAATCGACTTCAGTACACTTGTCAAAGTCGAGCATCCAGAGCCCGGTCTCTCGTTGCGTAAAGTCGTCTGATGTAGAAGTCGGTGGCGGAGCAGAATCGTGGTCCGAGTAGTAGGTTCCGCGTACTGTCGTTGTTGAGGTACCGATCACGAACTCGGTGTCTTGTGAGTCAATTTGTGCCTGCCAATGTAGGATTGCAAGTCCAATGGCCATCTCTTCAGCATAGGCGTCGACGTCGAGTCCAAGCATCTTGGCTTGGTCAAGGTAGAGAGGGAAGTTTCGAAGGGACTGTGAGCTGTCGTACCATTTGGCAGTAGGACAGTTGTCGCCAAAGTAGAGGCGAACGAGGCAATCTCTATTCTCAACGTTATCTAGAACATCCCGTTGTGTGTGGTCGCCCTTCTTGAAGAATGTCCGGGTGAGTGCTTGTCTAGCATCCTGGACGACTGGCCAAATCCGATCAAGATGAAAGATCGCGCCCTTAACCTGATCTTTTTTGGGGAGCCTGGACACATTTTCGGGCAGAGACCACCATTCAGAATCTGGTGTGTTAAAGTATTGGGCTTTGGGTACTCGTGGGACTCGGCGGTCTGCGAACTCGTACTCGATGAGACCCATCGTTTCGAGGGCGGAGTTGTATGCGAGATTTGTGAGATTGAAATCGTTCCATATCGCGGTCGTGTTGGCACCTTTCTTGATGGCGTACGGTGTTCCTGGAATTTCAAAGATGCTGCCACAGCTGCCTCGCCCTATATCACGGAAGGTACTAGCATTCTGATCAGACGGTCGACAAAAAGGAGTATCATGTAGCCTGGTTGTGGAACTCGATATTGTACCGAGGGACAACGTGCTCAGCAATGTATCGCGAGCTTCTTTGTCGAGGGTGTCCTTCATGATAAAAGAGCGTCTGATACTCTGCGGGAGGATGTCCTTCATAACAAGAGATACTTTGTGGAAGTGAAAGAATTCGACAGAGAGAAATTTTATCAGTGCGGTTCAAGTTACTTCGTGGTTGAGTCACACCTGCGCCAGGCATCCAGATTACCACGGAAACGCACATAATCAGGAAGTTAAAATGGACCCAAAGGAAAGATCAGTAGGAGACTTGGAAGGAGGAGTGCCTCCTCAACCCTTTGTTGATCTCTCATTGCCACTGCAAATCCATGTGTCTCAGTCCTCTCTCCGCGCGCGAAGAAAGCCACAAAGTCAGCCAGACCTACGCATGCCGGGTCATGATATCGATTTGCTGGGGTTGGAAGCGATCAAGGGCCGATGCAAAGGCTCATCACCGATTTCTGCCATCTTGTCCTCAAGCAATTTGGTCATCCTCCTGACGACATCCGCATACTTGGTATCGTGATAGCAGTTGAAGAGTTCGAGCGGATCTTCGTCGCAGTCGAAAAGCTCCCACTCTTTCGGCTGTCCGCCGGGCCTGGTACCCTCCAGCTTGAAGTCCTCATTGTACCAGTAGATCAGTTTGTAGCGTTGATCGCGCCCGCCGTAGTGACCGTAGGCCTCGTGTATGATATCGCGGTGCACCCAGTACCGGTGATATGCCACTTGTTGCCAATCCTCCGGCGTGCGGCCCTGCAACAACGACCGAAAACTCACGCCTTGCATACTCAGGGGTTTCGCCATAGATGTATTTCAACCATTTCAAGGCTTCTTCATCGCGGCCCTTGCGGACAAGCCATCTAGGGCTTTCTGGGACCATCCAGACCAGCAGTAGGACGATACTGGGGATGATGAACATTACAGCCACAGGGATTTTCCAACACATATCCGTAGTGATTTTGCTTGTCCTGTATGTGACGCATGACATGATGAAGCCCCCAAAGATATGATTGAAGACGTATGAATTGACAACGACGCCACGAATCTGGGCAGGTACAATCTCGGCTTGAAACATGGGAACCAGCCAGCCCTCCATGCCAATGTACATCTGAAGGTTGCTCGGAGTTAGCATCAATAATGGATGTGAATGGGAAGAGTATGCCATGGTCACGGATGTCGGCACAAATGATACTGAGATTGGGACTTACATTCACTATCATACGCCCGGCAAGGACCTGAGCAAAGTTGGTGGCTGTATAGCTTATGATGACACCAACTAGACAGATAACCAGCATCAGAGCCATAACACTTCTTCGGCCAAAGCGCTCGCCAATAAGGCCTCCAAGTATGATACCTAGAGCAAAGGTGATGCGAGGTACAGAGTTCAGGATCGACAGGCTTGCAGGTGAAATAACGTATTTTGTCCCGTTGAAGGCTCCGAACCGTCGAATGAAGGCTAGGAAGTATTAGCTAGGCCTTGAAAGCATCGACCTGCAGGTTCCTAAGTCAGAGATCGCTGACTCACGCTCCGTAGCCTGTGTGGTGCTGAAGGCAGTAACGTCCATGCCATAATTGAAGACCGAGATAGAGACCAGGAGGCAGGAAATTGCTAGCCTCGCGGTAAAGTAACGGAAGAACCTTGGTAAGGGGACTGGCATCTTGACGGCAATTCCCTCCTGGAATGCAACGACAGTAGATTTTTCTGGAGCAAAACGAGCGATGAGAGCTGGTGTGAGTCCAGTCCGACGCACAGATAGGCTTGGTAAAGATACTTCATGAGGGACGCAGGGCAAGGATAGAGTTGTATATATGTCCGCCCTGTGGGCAGAATGGTTGCTAGTCTTGTTACTTGGACTCCCAGCTTCGAAGCCCCAGGAAAAAAGCACGAGTGGGGCGGAATCATGCCCTCCGCTGGGGAAATTGATGGTCGAGACGCGCCGTAGCTGTTCCCGTTTCCCGGCAGTCGGTCACACTTGTCACGGCAGTCGGGATTGGCATCTTTCAATCACGACATCTCGTAGCAATGACCTTCATATGGGTGGGGAGAACATGTGCCATGCATCTGAGCAAGGAACCACCACGAGAATGAGCCGCAGGTCGACGAGCTCGTGCCCCATCTTCCCTCGTACTGAGGAGATGGGTTCTGAATGCACGGAGACGCCTCCCTCGACCTTGTGGCTTCGCATTGGTTCTGGCGCAGTAACAGTTCCGGGCAGAAGCAGGAACTGGAGTTCTCAAATGTCCCAGAGCACGTTAGTCAGAGACCGTCTTAGGATGGATATTCCGCACTGAACCTCTGCCTCTTGTTCATCAAGAACAAATTTGATAGGCCGCATTTGAGTCATGGAATATTGTCACGGTATCGGTCAAAAATAGTCATCATCCAGAGAAAGCGTGAGCCCGTACGACTCCAGGGATTCTGAGAACCCCATCCAAGGATTGCGCACAAATTGCATTTCGTCCCGCCACTCTTCGCAGTTCTGGGGGTCTGTCCATTTCGCTTCAACGGGCGCGTCATGAGCAGTCAGGCCAGACTGTAAATCTCTTGGCTGCTGATTGCTTGTCGGCACACCCGTGCCTTGCCAAAGCCCTACAGCAGGCATTTCGTCTTGTATGACTTGTAGCGCCGAAGGGGCCTGTAGATTGGATTGGATTTGCGGCATGGCCACAAGCTGAAATTCCACATTGGAGAAGAGGCTGCTTGGACTGGCCGCGACGTGGTCGTCTTCATCCACAAAGTTCGCTCGGCGCACTAAGCTGTGAATAGCAAGCTGCTGTCTTCTGGTGGCATGTCCAAACGCCGCCGCGCTGTCCTCGGAAGCGTCTTCTCCAGCTTGGAGGTGAGGTGTAGGAGCAGTCCCCGTCCAATCGGAAGTATACTGGGAAATGAGGGCATCGATCTCTTTGACCTGCCGGGACAGTTAGCATAGCCTCGCAGATCATGGTGCATTGGTGGGAAACCTACCAATGGATCTGTGATCAAAGATCCAGCAAAGTATCTTTCCATGACGGATTGGCAGAAGCGAGCCTTCTGGATTGCATCTGTCTTGTCTATCCTTTGGGCGGTACAGTTCGTCCCCGCGGTGAACAGAATGATCCGCGAGCTCTGATAGGCACAGATCGCTGTGTCGGAATCAATGGTCTGGGCGGTGCATTGCTGCGAAAACTCCGCAAGGAGATAGACAATCGCAACAGCATGCTAGAGGCACAAGCCCTGCCTCCCCAATATCTCCTGTCTGTTGATTCCTTGCAGCGTCGATGGAGGTGCAGCTTCTCGATATGAGGTCAAAAGGATTCGATAGAGATCACAATACGCTTGGTGCCAAGAGAGATGCACCATCAGTAAACGAACCGGTTCTTCGGTTTGCGAGAACATCAGTGGTGAATTCTGGTTCGACTCGGCCAAGCTTTGGTAGACGTGTTGCAATTCGCTTTCGAAGGAGCGGATAGAGCGTAGCAGTCCCGTAGGGTCACCTTCGAAGGGTTCGAGCCCTTCGGGTCAAACTTGTCATCTTAGCTTTTCCAACGTCAGGTTGGATGCGAATATGCTTTAGACCCTGCTCATTATATCTCTCCTGAGCGACGTCATACGTACAGCTGCAGCGTACAAGTCCAGCGATTCTGTAGACTCTGTAGAAGTTGCTCGGAGCGGTGCCGTCTTCACTGCAAACCCGTCTTCGAATGCTGTCTCAGAGTACGGAAGCTGGATGTAAATGGCGTCCGCATGACAAATCTCGTAGTCTCGCAGTCCAACGGAGAAATGACCATCAAGCATGAAGCACGACCACATCAGCCGCCGGCGTGTCTCCTGCGCTGAGAAATGCAGGTTTGGTCGCTCGTGATTGAGGCGTAAAGCTGAGGCCGACCTTGCTGCGAGTGCTGAGACCATGAAGGCTTTGGAAAATTGTCCGACATTGATCACGTATCTGACGACAAGAACAAGTGCTTGAAGTCGAGGAACCGAGAGCGAGTCGATTCTGGCCATTAGGTGCTCTTCAGCCTCCTTAGCCCACCTCGAAGCCATTGTTGGCGAATATGGCTGCAGTCTCAGATGCTGCGCGGTGACCGCGCAAGTTGCCAGGACTAAGCAAGTCTCCAATGGACCTTCCAGGTACCTCTGAATTACAGATCGTCGATGTAGGAACGCGAACGACGGTATGACGTAGATGTGCTCGAAATACGCTTTCAACAAGGCCAGGACTTCACCCGAACCCGGCAGCAGATCTCCATCCAGGCGCGCTTCTTCCTGTGATGTTGTGATGGAGGGCTCTGTTCCTCATTAGGCTGGCTAACTGTGGCATTGGAGGCGAAGGACTGAGAAGCTCTGGCGGGTCTTCTGCGAACAGGGTAAGTGCAGTGACCCTTCTTTCGCACGCAATTTTCACACACGGGAAAGATTCCAGGACATCGAATTTCCAGCGACCTGCACTCGGTACAAGCTAGAGCACCACGCCTTTTCTCCAGTTGGACCGGATGATCGCTTGTCCATCTTGCTTCTCGGTCTTCCTAGATCCCCTCGTCATTCACCGCTGCAGGTTCAGGCGTTGAATGTCTGAGGAATTGAGGGCCATCAAGCACAGATGGAAACATTGAAGCTCAAGAATATGCTAAGCACGGTAAGTGTCTGATCAAGAAGTTCTCGACTCTTGCGCCTGTCCTGCTTGGCACGCTAAGACCTCCACTACTAGTACCAGCCGTAAGTACGAGGTACCTGGGCGTGCCTGGGGCACCTGGGGGTGGCCGTGTGGGTGAACAACCATCTGAATCAGAGTCCAGCTCTACGACACAAGAGAAAAGCCGCACCCATCTTGAGCATTGTCTGTCTACAACAAATATCACTCCATCCTTTTGTTTACCGCCCAAACTTGAAACGCTCACTATCAGCCTGCAGCCACTCTACCAGCCATATACCTTCCCTCTCTTTGTCACAAACGAACCCACCTCGCCGTCCCTCTTCCCCTCCACAATCTCTCTCAATCCCTCTGCACTGGTCTCCGCGCTCTCTGCACCCATCTCAATCCTCTTCTGCCGTGCTTCTTCGCCCGTCAAATTCGTCACCACAAAACCCGGACAATAACTCCACACCTTACATCCCCAGCCTTTGTACATCGCATACATGCACGCGGTAGCCATGTTCATGGCAGCCTTGGACATGCGGTACGCCTCGGCCGGCAACCTATAATACCCACCACTCTCATCACTCCGCTCACTTATCGAACCCAGTTCCGACGACACGTTGATGATCCTTGGATCCTGACTCTTCTTCAAAAGCGGGAGTAAGTGCTCTGTCAAGACCAGCGGACTCGCGGCATTGGTGTTAAAAGTGTCCACCAGCTCGGAACGGCGGCCCTTGGGCGCTGTGATGACGATGCCGGCGTTGTTGATCAGGACGTCCAACACGCCAAATTCGGCTGTGACTTTTTCCACGGCGGCCGTGAGGGACGCGTCGTTGGTGATGTCGAGTTCCAGAAGGCTGAATGTGCCAAGTGCTTTGGGGTCGCGGGCCTGGATGCTTTCAAGGGCTTTGGCGCCTTTATCCATGCTCCGACAGGCCATGATGATGTGATTATCTGGGGAGGCGGAAGCGAGAGCGTAAGCGGTGTCAAAGCCAATGCCCGAGTTGGCGCCTGTCTTGTTGTCAGCGTTGATCATGAGGCAGCATACATCTGTTGAACTGGCCTGTTATGAGGATGATCTTCTTGGGTGCCATGACTGCTTAGGTAGACGAATGATGGATTATGACTGAGTCCCGGAAAGGTCTTTAAGTATGGCACGTTCTGGAAATACTGGCCAGTCCACGGCTCTGATCCTGAAGAGCACCCTCTCAGGCGTATATATATGACAAGTATCCGGGGATAAGTTGCTATCAATGTACATTAACGCCATGATCATGAAGCGACACAGTCGCCAGATAGATCAGGCCGTCGTTCGTGTCAAAACATCGCCGTCGATGAAGTCTCAATAGTCGAACTCGATTGGCTAGAAGCATCTCGCTGACGAGGGAGCTAGTCCGTTTCGAGGTATACCAGCGACTTTGGTATCCGCCTCGAACAAGGGAATTCTTGCCGAGCCCTTCTCACTTCTGCTGCTTAAGGCCGACATTTCCGCCTCGTGGAAGCCCAGATAAAAGAGAGCACCGAATCACACAGGGTGCTTGATGTTGAAGACAGGACGCAAAGACTGGTGCGCTGAGCTTTGCCAGAGTAAGACGAATGAGGCACATGAAGCAAGGGGTCCGCGCCGAAGGCTGCTATGAGAATGACTTTTATCATTGATCCAACACCTGAGTGTATGTAAAATATCCTGGACCCATTATTGCTTTGCTGGGTACTCCGTACCACAGCCTGAATCTAAACATGTTGTATGACCCTTTGATAGTGATGCAATATCAGTTGCATTCCTCTGCCTCTAGCAGTTCTCCCAAGTATTGCTATTGTGTATTCAAAAACTCCGATAACATCCACGGTGGTCAAGCCCTGGCGTGTTCTATGCCAACAAGGAATCCTCCTTTTGCGATGATGTTCTGTACAATGTTGTCCTTCGTTTGTTCCGAAGTAGACTCGGTGCGCCCAATACCTGGGATCTAGCTCCCATATGTGCAGTATTATTTAAACAAAAATAGCCGTAAGAGACATTGTCGTGTCGTCGTGATCGATGTGGGAGTTTTAATAAAAGAATGTAGCCACGAACACGACGGTGGTGAAAACAGTGGTGAAAGTGTACTCGAACTCGAACCAAAGTGTCTGTCCTCTGAAAGCAATCTTCTTGCTCTCTTTCGTGGGGTGGGCGACACCAGTCTTCGGGTCTCGAACGAGTAAAGTCTCGCGGTCCGGCATCGAGGGTGGGTCAACAGCGTACGTGAAAGGAATCCAGAAAGAGGAAACCACTAGTACCCAGGCCAACGGCACCCACCTATCGAGAGTTAGCAACGCGCGTAGGGACAAGAACCGTCATTGTACGTACCAGGCGTGTGTCAGATTTTCGAGGAGCTTGGTTCGGATGCCGTGCTGGAGAAAAGCTCGATAAGTCGACATTGTAACGGCGACCAGGACCCAGTAAACGTAGGCTACGTGGAAACCGGCCATATAATTGACCAGGATTGTCCAAAGGCGTCTATACATAGGCGCTCGTATTTTGGGAAATCGTTCATTGAGAGCAGACTTCAGACTGCCGGTTGGTTTGAAAGCCTGTGTCTGTCCGCCGAGCCTGGTTGGAAGAACGAATGATCGGATGATAGTCAGGGCGATATAAGGGCTCATCCACAGTTGTGATCGACTTCCACGCTGTCCAGTGGCATATCCGGCGGGAATATAGAGGACCAACTCGCAGATCCGGTTGCATATCGTGAGCGCAAAACAGGTCCTGATGAGCAGTCGGAGTTCGGCGTTGCTAGAATAGGCAACAAGCGGCTTGTTGACAATCAAGACGATAGGCATGGCGAAGATTGAAAGCGTGAGGAAGATGTTGAACAAGCTCAGAAAAGCGTAGATGAAGCTCGACATCCTCTGAGCGAACGTCATATGCTTGACATCGTCACCCCAAAGACAGAACTTGAGCTTGAACGAGGTATCGACCGTGCCGATGGCCCATCTGGTGCGTTGTTTCAGGTGACTGCCGTAGTCCTCTGGGACAGTGCCGAATTGAAGTGGTTCATGAACATAAGCGGTTTTCCAGCCCCGACCGAGCAGACGTGACGACGTAGCTACGTCTTCAGCCAATGAACCAAGAGGGAAGCCACCGATCTGGTCGAGAGCAATTCGTCGAACCACATAGCCTGACCCGGTGCACCAAGCGACGCCCAGAGCATCTTTGACAGGTTCCGAAACATGAACGAAGAAATCAAGACTCTGGCAGAGAGGATCGCCCTTGGGAACATTGTAGAAGAGCTGAGGAGGGCATGCCAGTGCCATCTTCTCATCCAAGAGCATGTGGGGCATGACGGCTCGCAGCCAATGCTGTTCCGGAATCATATCAGCATCCAAGGCCGCCATGTACTCCGAGGCACCTCCAGGCAAGTTGTGGACCTCGTCCAAGCCATAGTTGAGATTGCCAGCTTTGAAGTGGTGAGGGACGCCAGGGAACTTCGGCCGGCGCATGTAATAGAGGCTGGGGAACATCTCCCGCATGTCCTGGAGAACCTGCTTGAGGTGATCCGATTTTCCATCATCCAACAGAATAACGCGGAAACGGTCCATGGGGTAGTCCAAGTCGCAAGCTGCGCGTACAGTATCGAGAACAAGATCGTCGTCTTCTCCGCAGCAAGTGATGAAGACGTCGACAGTGGGGACGTCGTTCCCAATCAATCGTAACTGAGGTCTCTGTCTCTTTTTCATGATGAACAGAGACCAGAACGTTTGCATGAAGATGGGGATGGCGATGCTAACCTCAATGGCAATGAAAACCCACGCTAAAGGGAATGGTGCGTGGAATTTCCGTTGTGCCTCGACAACGAAGGTGATTCGCATGCCGAAGTAAATCCAGTATAAAGCGAGAGTGATGAGACCGAGTATGGGGGCAACGTATCGGAACAGCCATTTCTTCCAGCCGTAGATGAACTCCTTATCGTCTCTTGATTGTAGTTGAGCAATGGAGCCGCTCTTGACCCAATCTCTTTTGAGGTATGTTTGAGATGCGTCAGGTACGAGCGGTCTTAGTGTCTCTTGACTTCTCCAGGGTGTTCCTGCAGGATAAGGAGATCCTCCTGGGTAGGGAGAACCAGAGGGGTATGGCGAGAGAGCGCCATAGGGGGAGTTGTTCATCGTGCCGGCTTCTGAGAAGGTAGATGCTGCTCTGGGAGCAAAAGGTGGGAAGCTGCCATGATGAGGTTCCATCGGAGAGTCCTTGATGCTCTCGGGGATGTAGTCTGAGAGGTTTCGGGTATGATACTCTGTCATAGGTGGTCTTCGTGGAGAGAACTGCTCCTGAAGGGGGACATCTTCAGAATAATTGCCGTATATAGGATGAGCCGAAGGAGGCTCGAGATATCGCTCTGGGGATTCTGCCAACGTCGTGCTCGAGGTCGCGGCCGACATCCTGTTCTCAGTCATCAGGTGTTGCTGAGACCTTCTTGGATCGCCCTTGCGAAGGAGAGGCATATTGAAGGATCGTAGAGAGACGTGTTTGTGAGGTTACGCAAGGGTGGAGGCTTTGGTCAATTTGTGATCCGAGTCGCGAGATTAGATGGACGAGTGCCTCATGTTTCAATTGCCCACCCAAAAATATTCAAGATGGCGCGGTGAGCCGTGCGGGTGACTGCACTGACTGCTCCTTTCTTGCCACAAGTGAGTGAGATGGTGAACGAGTGTGTTGTATAAGTTGGTGAAGCGAGAGTGAGGAGGAGACGACAGGTATCTTGGAGGATTAAAGCGATTGTGTGATGGAGGTCGTGGTGAAGGAAACAAGGCAAATTGGACAATGAGACGAGGTGACAAGGCAGGATCAAGCAAAACCAAGAGAGACCAGCTTCGGATGGATCACAATAGCATGGATGGGTTTCAAATTTTGGATTGACGGTTCCGGGATTGGCCGTTGGTATGGGTGGGTAAGGGGAAAAAGGCGTTGGGTGATGGGTCACTGTTAGTTTTTGCTCTCTTCCGTCATGGATCGGGCTGTGCTTCTCGCTTTTGAATGATCTTCATCACCATGGTTCTTCGTTTCGGAGGCTGGACTGTGACATTATGATGCACTGCTTCCCTGGGTGCTTCCCAGTTTCGGGGTACCTGTCGGCCACCGCCATGACCAGCCTGCGAGAAATTTTCCCAGCAGTGGAGGTGGCCGGAGCATTCCTGAAGATGGATGGCGATGCTCGGAAAAGCACAAGCGGCAATGTCAGACGCGGGCAATTAATTCGCATATCTCCAGCTTTTCGGGGTCAAAACCTGCGTCGATCTGCATAATCTCGCAGGCTGGTGGCTGTTCTGCTGATAAGGCGTGGCCATAGGAAATAGGTACTACTCCGTATGGTACGGGTACTTGTCTTCCCGGCAACTAAGGTACCTTAGGCATGTTCCAGTGGGAATACGAGAGACACAGTAGCTGCGGCAGGGGCTGTACTGTGTGTAGGTGGCGTACTGTGTATACGCACCCGTCAGACCGTGCCGCTCTTTCGTTGGTCCGAGTGACAACAATCTGCTGGAGGTGTGTTTATCCAGGCACGAGACCGTAGTGACAGAGTTTTCACTACGGGCTTAGCGACGAATTATTATGGGACAAGGGCGATACGCGAAACAGAAGACTGGAGTCTTAGGTCTTGAATTGGTCGGCCTGGCTTCTAGGGGAGCCCCACCTTTGCGTAAATTTGGGCCCTGCAGACAGGGTTGGCAGCAAGGCTACAGACCATGATAGGCAAGGCTTAGCCAACAAATCTGTCGGCAAGGTCGGCGTCGTGCCTTGAACAGTATAGCTGGTAAACTGGCCACGCACGGTTGGCTCAAACTGCCGGCCCCCAGGGATTTTCGTTGGCCAACGCCACCATGCAACCACCCGTGTCTCCCCATCCAACTCTTTCTTCTCGCTCGACCGACCATCTCCCTGTTCGAGTCTCCTTGGGCCAATCTTCTCGCTTCGACCAAGACAATTCAAAGCCCCTTGTCAAATTTTCAACCAGACCTGCTTCCTCCCAGTCTGAGTGTCACCATTCGACCGGCGATTGAGCACGCGTCCCTTCTCATCTCTCTCACTCTCCACCATTGTTGCTCTTAAATGTTTTTGAGCGGCGACATCAGTTCTTCTTCCATCTCCCCCGTCGCGAAGGTCTTTTAACCAGTTGCTACGCCGTGTCGTTGCCAAATTCTTCTGCTCCATTGAATCCATCATCGCCTATTTTCGCTGCCTCCGCCAGATATCATGGGCATCAAATCACTCATCAGTTATGGTTTTCTCGTCCTGCCCGTGGCTATCACCCTTGGGGTGCTGCTCGGACTGCAGACATATCGAGAATCGCGTGGATGGGCACCCCCATTCATGAGCAACAAAATCTCCCGCAAGGAATATTGCCAATTGTCGTTCGGTATCTCGCCAGACACGACGGGCCTCCAATACACCCGTGAGTCTACCCGCTTCCGTCGTCCTCGTCCTCATCCTTTTTCCGTCACAATCAGTACCCCTGCATTGATGACGCTGTTGGGTGGACTGATGTCCCCGCTTGTTCCTGGACTTTCACCCATTGGGACTGGTTCATACATGGCAAAGCTCCGCTGCACGGATGTCCTGCATTGATGATTGATGACTGTTGTTGGCCCGGCCTTTGCTGCAATTTACCTCCGAGCACTAGGCTGTTTTCTCTTAGCGAATCACCGTTTTCCTGATTTGTCGCTGACTCATCGGCTAGTGAACCCGAATCAATGGGGTGTTACTGATGGTACTACTTCTGGAGGCTTGTGTATGAATGTGAGTTCTGTGTATTGTCCTGCGCGCTTCGATGTCGACAACTAATGCACTAACAGGTAACATCATACGACAATGGTTCCTATCCGACAAGAACTACTGCACCTGAATGGTCCATCACCTGGCAATTCCCCCCAGGTCCTCCCACTCAACCCGTCCACGCCTTCTCCAATATCCAGATCGATCCGTCCAACAACATCCTCCCAGTTCAGATTTCCAGCATCGAACAGATCAACATCGCAACGGAATGGGCATATGGCGTTGGGGACGAACGACCAGAGACAAGCAATGTTGCTGAACTCACTGCCGCCGAACTCAATGCCAACGTAGCCATTGATATGTTTATCGACTCGAACCAACATGCTGCTACAAGCACCGTCGATGCCAAATACGAAGTCATGGTTTGGCTGGCAGACTTCGGAGCCAGCACCCAACCTATTGGACTTGAACAAGGCGCTGTCAAGACTCAAGATATTGGTGGCACCACTTTCTCCCTCTATTTCGGCGTCAACGGTTTGCGGCAGACTGTCTTGACTTGGATGGCCAGTGGCCCTGTTCAGAACATTACAGCTGACTTCCGGCCCCTTCTTCAAGACTTGACAGGTGTTGGAGGTCCTAGCACCACCGACTACCTTGGATACTTGGCATTTGGCTCAGAAGCCCTGTGGTCTTCGGCAAATGTCACCTTCTACAACCCCAGCCTCAGCATGGACATTGTGACCAAATAATGATCTACGCGAACGATAGATAGCTGGCAAGCATCAATCTCTCGATATTTTGACGGCATATCCAGGACCATCATCTAGCCAACTACCCCTGAGGCTTGACAAGACACGTACGTGTACAAGCCAGCAACGGACTCAGCAACGCTATGCTTATCGGACGGAGGACCTCCATCAAGGAGCAGACATACATTCTATTCACGACTCCACATTGCTACCTCGGACAGACATCCCAGCTCGTCCGCCTCCGGAAGAGCAGACAATGGCTTCGCGTGCTCTTCCATTGCAGGCGTCTACGTCGTCGGCCAATCTACGGAATAGAAGACCGGACATGCCAAGTGGCAAACGTAAACGTGGAAAATTCGAGGCACATGCGAAATGGTATCAAAATTATTGGCACTGGGGCGTCCTCCTTTCCTGTCCAGTGTCATCGGCAAGCCTGGTGCTTGACTGCTCGGTACTCCGTATACGATATTTTGGGACTTGTCCGAGGCAAAGGAACATTGACACGCTGGGGCATACACTGGGATAATCATCGGCTGTGCGATGGTATTGGGTAGGTGCCTCTATTGAGGCACTAGGAATCTTCAAGCTTGCATTAAGCCACTCCCACAGTTACAACTAGGGCTTCGAACTCCGGCTGACGCTGCAACCGACATCCCAGTCACCGGTCTGTCACGTCAATTTCCAGATGACGGAGACGGAAGAAAGATGGAGATATCGACGTGGCAGCCAGCGTGTAAAAAGTTGGCAAAACGAGGCTGATTGCCGAGCGAAGGTCGAATCACTTGTTTCATCTAATGATCTAAATATACGCAGTACTCCGTATTCGGTCAAAAGCTCCGCCTCAGCGCATATCAAAACACGCGATCTGGCGTCATAATAATTTCCATGTTGATCGCTTCTTGATTGTGGTGCCTCTCATTCATTCAACCATGTCTGCCTCGATATGATGTCCGACAAGTTTTGCCTTGTGGAATGGGTTTCGAAGTGTTTCGGTATAGCTTCATCCGGGGGCCATCCTCACAGCACTGTCCAACTTGGCTCTGATGTGTCCTCCAGCCTTGGATAACTTCGTTTTGAGCCTTGGCTGGCATGGGGCCACGCTTAACACATCAACCTCGTGTCTGCCCCCACGTACTACAGATGAGATGGCCGGAAGATAAGTAAGTATGACGCATCGGACATGCTTCAACCGGTTGACAGGACAACTGGTGTAGATGCTACAAGTAGAAGGATGATAAGGCTATTCGGCCAATGAATTGATTTTCATGCCGATATGACCTTAACAGACGTGATACCTTTGGACGCCATCGCGTCGTTCTGGTCTATCGCTTATATAAAGTTATCCAAGATAAGAGAATATGCAAGTGAGACGTACTGTAAGATCTGACTGATCCTTCGATAACGGTCTCCTCTCCTTTAAGGTCCATCATGGTCGAAAAGGAGTTCGTTTTGGGCTCAAAAGGTGCCTCCGAGATCCCAGTGTACCCCCAACTACGTCTCCCATCGCCCCATCGCCCCAGTTGCAAAACTCTGGAGGACCCCAGTCCACTGGGACTTGGAACCTTTGTCACTCCAGGCTCTCGGTACCCTCGTCGTGCCTCGTTTAACTCGTTCATTCTGAAGAGAAGCGGATACCTTCTAGGCGAAATCCGGGAAGATTCCTGCCACTACTATCTGCACTCCAGATCCTGATGCGGGCGAGTATCAAGCATCAAAAATTCTTTTCTCTAGTGGCTGACACAATGCGCTCAACTCGAAGTCCATGCACCATACAACCCGGATTCCTGACCCGTCATCCAGTTTGCAAATGATGCCAACATGCTCGTGATGAGGTTGTCTTCCTTGGACACGAACGATGTAACTACCTACGTATGGCTCTTTGATTGGCACACCCAACCACAGTCGATGCGAAGCTTGATAAGGGGAACTCAAAGGCTCAAGCCTCGGGCTCACTTGTTCCCCATCTCAGAATTATAAGGGTCCAAGAAATGCCGAGGCAGGGTGGCCACCATGGCGCGTCCATTTTCCTAATTCCGAGGGTTTGGACCATCGTGCGTCCACCTGCTAGATCCGAGGTGTATTGCCGCGCACAAGTTCATAGCGGCCATGGTTGGTTTGTCAGCGTGGGCATGCTGCCGCCGGGTGCGAACGATGAGAACTTCGGAGTAGTCTGACAAAGGCACAAGACCTCTGGAGGCGATCCGAGTAGGGGCGTCGCGCTTGACTGCCGTGTCGATATGGAAGATGTAAGTTTTGCCCCGCAACATGCTCACAGCCCCTCGAATCTGGGCCAGTACAAGTACGTCAACTCCTGGGCATCATTGATATTTCCCCTCTTTCGCGATCGAAGACGCATTTCTACATTGTGTCCAGCAGATTTGTGCCATCTGACAGTCTCCCACTTTATCCACGTTCTAAGACACAGCACGCATCAAGCAAAATGGGCTCCATCGGCACCACCCCAGGCTTCGACGTCTTCAACGGCTTCTACAATAGCATCAACGGTAAACTAACCAGTACCGAGAAGACAAGACACGGCATCAACCCTGCCACAGCAAAGCCCAACGCAGAGGTCCCTGTGTCAACACAAAAAGATGTCGACGATGCCGTGGCAGCTGCGAAGGCAGCATTCAAGACATGGTCCAAGACATCATGGGATGAGCGCAAGAAGGCCGTCCTCGCCTTTGCCGACGCTCTCGAGCAGCATGTTCAAGACTTCGGAAAACTGCTCACCCAGGAGCAGGGCAAGCCCGTGAGCATATGCGATCCCCTAGACAACAAGCCATATTAATTCGTATGATGTAGCTTCAATTCGCTATCCAAGAGGCCCAAACAGGAGTCCACTGGATGAGATCGCTAGCCAAGATTGAGCTGAAGGAAGAGATTGTCGAGGAAGACGCCCAAAAACAAGTCATCGTCCGCTATACACCTCTCGGCGTCACAGTGGGTATTGTGCCATGGAACTTCCCAATCCACCTGGCCTGTGGAAAGATCGCGCCTTCATTGCTTACTGGGAATCCAATCATCATCAAGCCGTCACCCTTCACTCCCTACTGCAACTTGAAGATGGGTGAGCTGGCGCAGCAGTTCTTTCCCCCTGGTGTTCTTCAAGTATTGAGCGGAGACGATAATTTGGGACCATGGCTTACAGCGCATCCTGGACCGGACAAAGTCAGCTTCACTGGTTCCACTTTCACCGGCAAAAAGGTCATGGAGAGCTGTGCGAAGACCTTGAAGAGAGTCACTCTCGAACTGTAAGATTAGAACCCCTTGGACCTCGCTTCGTTACCTAAACTGACATAATATAGTGGCGGTAAAGATCCGGCGATCATCAGTAAGAACGTCGATATTGACAGCGTTGCCGCAAAGGTATGGCTTTTCGCGTAAAAGAACTTCCCAACTAACCCTCATCGTAGATTGCTACCCTGGCCTTCTTGAACTCCGGCCAAATCTGCTTGGCTATCAAGCGTATCTACGTCCACGAATCGATCCACGACAAATTCCGGGATGCAATGGTGGCATTCACTAAGACACTCAAAGTCGGCGAGGGTAACGAGGAAGGCGTGTTCCTCGGACCTATCCAGAACTCAATGCAGTACGAAAAGGTTAAGACTTTCTTCTCCGATATTGAGAAGGAGAAGTGGACCGTCGCGGTGGGCGGCAAGAACGAGGACAAGCCTGGTTACTTCATTACGCCTACAATCATTGACAACCCAGCCGACGACTCGAGGATCGCAACTGAAGAGCCGTTTGGACCCATTGTACCTCTGATGACCTGGACCGATGAGGACGATGTGATTGCACGTGCAAACAACACTAAGATGGGTCTAGGTGCGTCAGTGTGGTCTAATGACTTGGAAGAAGCTAGCAGAATTGCTCGACAACTCGACGCTGGAAGCGTCTGGGTCAATACGCATCTGGAGTTGGATCCTAATGCACCATTTGGTGGACACAAAGAGAGCGGCGTCGGCTACGAATGGGGCGTTGGCGGTCTGAGGTCATTCTGCAATGCGCAGACATTGTACTTGAAGAAGAGTACGTCTTAAGTAGCACGTTGTGGTTCTATAGTCACCTGTGCCATGGTGCGATATCGAATTGCGCATGATGGGTGAATACTTCAACCGAATGCCGAGACGAGTTCCACGGTAGTCCATAAGCTCGACGACTGGTCCCATAGCACGTGCAGATACTGTGAGTCGCAACTTTCGAGATGCAATTGTCTAACTTTGGACAAACACGCATTGTAAGGAGCGTCCAGTCTGTCACTTTCCGCAGCTCTTCTTTTGCATATATGCGACTCACACTATACAAGAGCGTTCGTCCGTCGAGGACGTTCGCAGTTATCTTGACAAAACCCAATGGCGTCCTCTTCACCGGCCGCTGAAACCTCGCCTGCAACGAATGGCACCTCTGATCCCGAACTCGAGGTCTCCAAACTGCATGCCCTTCCAACCGAACAACAAGACCTCTTTTTGCTGACCTTCGTCTCCGATCTGCACCGACATGTCGAAGTCTTGTCCGCCGATGCGCTGCCGGCGCATCAGGCGTCGATCAAGAAGGAAGTCATCAAAATTGTCGGACTGGGTGCCCCAGTGCCATCACGTGTGATTCGGAATACCCTTGGCATGATACTGGCAGATGCTTTCGGACGAGGGAGTCGGAGTCTATTGTACGAAACTATCAACGACCTAGTGGGAATACTGAACACTGGAAAGAGTGATAAGGAGGTCGGTGCGAAACATGCGGCTGCGGTTTGCCTGGGTGCGGTGTTTCGCTCTGCTGGGGATAGTGCCATCAGTCTGTCTGGTCTTGTGGTTGCGAGTTTGCTCAAACTGTCCAAAACATCACACACGGGAGCGCGTGGCTGTGTTTTCAGGGCCCTGGGTGCGTTGGTGGTCGGTATTCAGAACAGTCTGGACGAAAGCGTGGCTCGAGATATTTGGAAGCAGGCGCGAAATGCTGCAGCAAACGACAAATCGTCCTTCGTCCAAAGATGTGCATGCTTGTGCTTGCGCAGTTTGGTCACTGAAACGACCTATTTCAACAACTCCAGCGACTTTGACAACCTCAAGAACAGCCTCTGGAAGGCCATTGACAGCTCGATATCTTCCGTGAGGCATTCAGCCGCAGCAGCAATGGCTGGTGGCCTGAAGCATGCATTTTCTGAAAGCGGCAATACAGAAGTACCGGTGATTCGAAAGCCCAAAAAGTCAAAGAAGCCTGGTGCAGACTTGGACGAGGAAGCAGAACAGGAACGCTCGGGGTCGCCAACGCCAGGTCAAGGAAAATCTTCGGTACAGTTGACGATGTCACTGAATGAAATCCTAAGAATGCTGTCGAACCAATACTGCAAAGCTTCTACCACCAACCGAGCACGTGCAGGAATTGCCATGTGTTACAAATATCTATTTTGCCTGCTGCCGCGAAAGACACTGGAAGAGAAATACGGTTTCATTGCGGTGCATACATATGGCGATCTGCTCAACCATCCTACAATTTCAGCCAACCGATACAGACTGCTACTAACTCGAAAGCTCGTCCACTGGATTCTCACAAGTGTGACAGGTCTTTTGACCGAGAATGCTCAGATCAATGCGGCACGATATTTGATCAATGACGTTCTCAAGGACTACCCACAAGTCATGCCGGAGCGAAAGGAGCCGTCGAAACGGATATTGACAGGAGCTCTGTCGACGTTGACGGATCTGCTCCAAAGGCTCGGGCCCGCAGCCAACGTATTCCAAGACTCCTGCAGAGAAGCACTCTTCCAGGTTGTGCAGCACCAAAGTCATACGGTTCAGAGTCATGCCATGCAGTGCTTTAAAGCTTTCGTTCTCGCATGCCCAAGCCAGCTGGTCCGCAGCATTGAACATGCCATGTCACAACTACAGAAAGAATTTCAGCCATCATCCGAAGTAAAACATCCTCACCGCAGATCTCCCGGGTATGCTTCAGCTATTGCCGTTATGATTGCTTGCGCCCGTCAGAAGCCTCTCTATGGGTCTATTCAGATTTATTCCAATGTTTTCATTTTCGCTACAGACCTGCTAAAGTCAAGTGCCGCCGCCGAATTGCGACTCTCGGCGATGCAGGTTCAGGTCGCTTGGACACTGATTGGCGGCGTTACGAGTCTGGGACCAAGCTTTGTCAAAGTACATCTGAACCAACTGATGCTCCTGTGGAGAAACGCGCTCCCTCCACCGCTCACTCACGAAAATGCTACCAAAAGAGGACATCTGGAGTTGAGCTTTCTGTCACATGTTCGGGAGTGCGCCCTTAGTGCTCTACTTTTGTTTCTGTCGTCATGCAGCAGCCTAGTCACCACAGATGGATCTAAACGCATCTCCACAATGCTTCATAACACAATCCTCTTCCTGGAGAGCCTTCCTCCCGCTCGAGAAGCAGAAGATATCTCTCATCGGCTGGTACCTGCGCTTCAGCTGCAAGATCTTGCTATCTTACTGCGCCGCCGAGTCCTTCAATGTTTCACCGCATTAGCAGGCTTGAAGCATCTAGATCAAAGTGAGGTCGTGTCACACTCAGACTTGATTGGTCTCACTATGCGAACATTCACAGATCCTGAGCGGCCAATCATGAAAAACTTGGAAGCTTCGTTGGCCAACGCCGCAAGCAATTTCGAAGGGCTGTGGACTACTGGTGATAATTGGGGGTTCGGTGTGACCAGTCTCGCGGAGAGCTTTGACACCTACCTGCCATTTGAAACTCATCTACAGATGAATCCCGAGACTTCACCTGAGCAGGAAGTCTCGCTAGCCGATCTTTCGATACAATGTCCGGCGTTGTCAGCAGTCGAACACGATCCTGTTTTGGTTTTCAGGCAAGGCTCTGAACCGCAAGAGGCTGAACTAAGTTCACCTGCGACATCTTGCGTCAACCTTGCTATTAAGCTCTTCGCTATATCGCTGCCCCTGCAATCACCCCGCGTTCAGGAGAGTACGGTCGAACAGCTGATTACTGCAGTGTCTCAGCCGCTGCAGCGTGAACCCGGCAGAAAAGCAGCGATGCAAGTCAATTCTGCTGTGGCTTTCCTATGCGCTTTAGCTGTTGCGAACAGAGAGACCCCTTACCTCTCTGGGAAGTTGAACGTCGATGCTATTGGACAAGTCATTGTCGAGCTTCTCGGCAAATACGTCTGCAACCCAGATCACGTCTTGCGCCACATCGCTGCTCGTGCGATAGGTCGACTGTGCAACCTTGCTGGAACCCAATTCACCAACAGGGAAGTCAAATATCTCATTGACACGATAGTGGCCAATCGTGACCCTAACGCTCGTGCTGGGTGTGCTCTGGCTCTTGGCTATATCCACTCAGAAGTCGGTGCAATGGCCGCCGGTCTGCACATGAAATCCATAGTAGGAGTTTTACTCTCGTTATGCAGTGACAGCCATACCACGGTACATTTCTGGGCCCTCAGAGGCTTGTTGCAGGTTGCCGAGTCTGCTGGGCTGTCATTTTCAACTTACGCGACGAGTACCCTAGGACTGCTAGCACAGCTCTACTCGAATGACACACACAACGAGGAATCTGCGTCTCAGGCAACGTCAAATATTGAACTCGAGCTCTTCACTCCCTGGGCACTAGCTCAATGTGTTGACAGCATCATCAACGTCCTGGGACCTGATTTGCAGGACGTCTCGAAAGCCCGCAACCTGATACTGATCTTGATTGGATATTTGCAGAAAGAGGCTTCACCGCGACTGCGGTATGAGAGTTGTCAGTGCCTGCGCCACCTTACAATGTATGCACCGGCTCATGTGCAATTTTCGAAATATGTGCTGGACTTGCAAGCAGCCCTTTCATCCGAGGAAGACTTACTGCAGTCTGCGTCCATCAAAGGTCTTGGTGAATTGATGAAGAGAAATGCATCCGAGGTAGCGCGAGTCGCCACTTCCAAATTGAGTGATGACTTCTGGTCACGTTTGGATGACAACCCTCATGATCAAGCGGTGCAGGCAATGTTGCAAAACTGGATGCAGCAGACAATCCTGCTCGATACATCTGAATGGATCGACAAGTGCCAGAGTATACTTTCGCGCACTCGGGCAAAGAACCTGCCGCCACGCACCGCCACTGCCACCGCGAAAACTGCCATGCCAGACTTAGCAGATGAAGAAGTAGCTGGCTTCGCCGCGGCTGCGGCCGCTGCTCACGGAGAGACTGCCGAGGTCGCTGCTGAGGGTCAAGAATTCCTGCGCTGGCAAACCCGTGACTTTGCTATGCGTCTCCTCAGCGAGTCCATGGACATCATCCAATCCTCCATGTCGGCAGATCGAGTTATCCATGCTGAAGAAGTCCTGCAAGCCAAGGTCGCCGAGGTAGTTCGGGTTGCGTTCTCAGCATCGACAGCAAATGTTGTGGAGCTTCGTATTTGGGGACTACGGATCATCGATCAGATCTTGAAGCTCTTTGGAAAGACACCAGACCCTGATTTCCTCGAAGCGTCACTTCTTGAGCAGTACCAAGCACAGATCAGCTCTGCTCTGACCCCAGCGTTCGCGGCTGATTCATCACCTGAGCTGGCAGCGGAAGCAATTGGCGTATGTGCCACATTCGTAGCCACTGGTATTGTCACCAATGCAGACCGTATGGGACGTATATTCAAGGTGCTCTCAATGGGTGTCGATAATCTCACTCAATCTACCCCGGAAGCTGCAATCGGCGATCTCAAGAATCTGAGTCCCAGTGCACAAGCGATGCTGAAGATGGGCATTTTGTCCGGCTGGGCGCAATTGCAGATAGCTAGTCATGAACAGCCCTACCTGGAAGAGATCCTCCAGCCATTCATCCCGAAGCTAGCCCCTCTCTGGTTGACCTCGCTTCAAGAATTTGCCAGTCTTCGCTTCGAGCCGGAAATTTCGGATACTTTGGGCGGTGAGATTGCTGGTGGGAATCTCGATGAACGATACGCTTCCTTTAATCGCGAAGTCCGTCTCCAGTTCTACCAGAAGAACTGGCTCAGCATCGTGGATGCCATTGCCGTTCTTGTGGAAAGAGATAGCGAGTCAGTGTTCGACGCCCTCGATAACAAACGTGCATCAGCCGTCGACGGGTCTGCAGACGAGACCGCGATCCAAGGCAGGGACATGAGTTTCCGAGAGGAACCTGTCGCATTCTTTTTCATCCTCTTCGGTCTGGCCTTCGAGGCATTGGTGACGCAAACTCGAGAAGACCCGTCTCAAGCATTTTCTATTCTTCAGGCCTTGAAGAAGATTTTGACACCTGAGGTCTGCGGGAACGCCATTTACGAGGAAGCAGTATTCGGGGAGACCACCGATACACTGGACAGACTGGCTCTCACAAGCAGCAGGGAGACGCAGAGCGTCCTCGTTGAAATAGCTAGGAATCTCTCGATCGATCATATGACAGCCAAAAGCCAAGACCGCGATGAGAAGCTCTCCGACGACATTGAGCAGCTTTTTGAATTGACAAGAATCATCATCTTGGTGTTGACCGGTTTGATACCCACTCTCGAGGATCCGCCTGGGCCCGCTGTCCGACGACTTGAGGAGGACGGTGTTGCTCTTGTTCAGTTGTCTTTCCAGGCCTTGGTCGATGTCGCCTCAGTGTTCCCTTCGATTATCCGTGCAGACCTCCACGCTTGCATCTTCTACAGTTATTGCACCATTCTTGCGACCGGAATATGCCAAGACGAAGTCATACCACGTATCATGCCAGTCTTCAAGGCGTTCTTGCACGATGTTGTGCGGTCAGCTACTGACGAAATAGCCTCGAGGCTAGTTCGCGGATGCTTGCACCGGATGTTGACAATCTTGACTGTTGCTCAGCGCCGGGAGAATGAACACGCAATTGTATGTGCCAAGAATACATTGCTGTCGATCACAGTCTTGATCACCACAGCCAGTTCCGCGATTCCAGCCGACGATGAGCTCGTCGAGAGAGCGTTGTCCGAATTGCTGGACTGCCTTCGAGACGTAGGACTTGCCAAGATCGCAGCAGGTTGTATAAGGTCTCTGCTGGTGACAAACCCTAAAACTGCTTGTGAAGAATACATTGGGAGAACCATTTGGGCCCGGCTTGTCCCGTTTGTGACTGACCCGGAAGCGGAAGATCCAGAGAAGGTCAAAGTCCCTTTGACTCAGGCTTTGGTGGCGTCAGTGGTGACGCTTGAAGGCTCTGGACGCTTTGCTGCGATGTCGATCCTTGTGCCAGTGCTGTTACTTCGTGCCAAACAAGTGCCGCAGGAGAGCAACTCTGAATCAGTGAGAAAGGAGAATGCTGCAAGACTGTTGGAGCTGGTAGCCGCAGATCCAATGGCTTTCAAGGTGGCTGTCGGTATGTTGGACGAGGAGCAGCGGACTGCTCTGGAAGGGCTGTTGAAAGCTGCTGGAGTTGGTAGGAAACAAGACCCGACTTCGGCGGAGAATGTAGAGTCAAAACCTGCTATAGAGCTGAGGATGGATTTTGGGTAAGAGGAGGAGATAGTGAAGTGGTTGTGGGATATAGACCCATAGGCCGCTACAAGAATCAACCATCCAAGACTTATCTTCGTACTTGTAACAAAGAGGAATATTGCTAAAGTGCAGCGCAGCCTCGTTGAAGGTTGTTGACCAATCAATGTCTTCCATTCGATCCTTGGCATGATATCAACCGGGCAATTTTGGACGAGGCTCGCTCAATCAAAAGGTGGTCTCTTTTTTGAGGTAACCTTTCACTTCAGGAGTGGGATACAGATCAGACAATTGCCGCAGCTCGATCCAGGTGTTCGTTCTTGTTTGTTTCTCCCCTCTACCCCTAAGGACTCAACTTTACCCTTTGGCTCTAGATACGTGAAGTTGGAGTGAAGTGAAAGTCCAAAGTCATGGAGTTCGACCCGCCACAGCCCAAGTATCAAACCTCAGACCCAACGTCATTCGCGCACAAATCGGCACGAGAGCGCTGGCCGGCCATCATCACGGGCGCGATTGACGATGTCACACGCACGGTGTCGAGTCTCCCAGATTCCGAGTCGGACGCCGTGGCGGAAGGAAAGAAGATCATCTCGGCGTTGGCGACATTGAAATACGAACTCCAGCACAACCGCGTGTTGACGCCGATCGACGATGACGGGGCCCCCGACGTCGAGCTGTACAACGCGGAACTCGCCGCCAGGGGTCCGCCGAAGTGGCACGATGTCGAGTGGTTGTTCAGCGAGTGCTATCTATACCGGCGGATCAGTGTGCTATTCAGCATGGCTACGACGCGGGCGTGGAAAGGGTACGACTGTTTCGCACGGCAGAAGATGGAGACGTTCCGGAGCAGTCGGCCTGCGGTCGTCGAGTTGGCGGGCCGGTATCGGGAGATCGTCTCCCAGATCAGAGGGAGTAAGGAGCATAGGGTCGTTCAGGGCGGTGGGGAGAAGGAGGAAGAAGACGCCGAGAGGACGCTGTTCGTCGAGATGAGCGAGATCTGTCTCTGGGGCAACGCGACGGATTTGAGTCTGCTGACCAGTCTGACGTATGAGGATATTCAGAAGTTGCAGGGCAGCGAGGCGCGCAGGGAGAGCGAGAAGAATGTGCTTGTCAATGATCTGGGCGCGGCGTTTGAGGTATTGAAACGTGCGGAGAGTGAGGGCAAAAGGGAGGCGAGGAGAGTGGATATTGTGCTTGACAATGCTGGGTTCGAGTTGTTTGTCGACCTCGTACTCGCCGGGTATTTGGTCAGTGTGGGACTGGCGACCGAGGTGGTTTTGCATCCGAAGAGCGTGCCGTGGTTCGTGAGTGATGTTGTGCCTGGGGATTTTGCGAACTTGTTAGATGTCATGAGGGATCCGAGAGGGTTCTATGAAAAGGATGGTGATGGCAAGGAATTGACCGAGAAAGAGGAGAGCGATATCAAGTTCTTGTTTGAGGACTGGAGGGAGTTGCACGAGGATGGGAAGTTGATTCTGAGGCCGAATCGGTTCTGGACGCACGCCGGAAGTTTCTGGCGGATGCCGCATATGGCGCCCGAGGTGTTGGAGGATTTGAAGGAGAGTGAGCTCGTGGTGTTCAAAGGGGATTTGAATTATAGGAAGTTGACCGGTGATGTATGTCCTGTCCTAGCAGGCGTTCCGTGTGCTCTGGAGGGAAGAAGCTGACAATGTGTATCCTAGGCTGCCTGGCCGCCTACGACGCCGTTCGTATCTGCGATTGGGCCGTTGGGTCCATCGTCAGGGGTTAGGGTTCTTGCGCTGCGAACGTGCAAGGCTGATGTTGTGGTTGGTTTGCCTGAGGGCAAGGATGAGGAGATTCGTTCCATGGAGGGAGGAGGAGGGGACTCCGGGTCGAGGATGTGGGCGTGGAGTGGAAAATGGGCTGTCGTTCAGTTCAGTGATGGGAAAGCTTGAAGCGACTGCATGATTTCCCTACGAGACGTCAGCAAAGGGGCAAGACGGATTGCAATGAGCGGGAAAGACGTTGGGGAACAGAGTAGACGCAGGCATGAGACGGATAGACTATGGGTGCCTGCCTGGGTAGCATAGACGGACACGATACATCTGTTCACCATGATATCGACTCTTGGCGGGTGTTTATACGAGTTGTATATTCACTTCTGTAAGTCCCAACGACACAATACTGCCACACCGCACAAAAACAGCAACTTTACCACCAATATCTCTCGACTATGCAGTAGAAAAGGCCAAAAAAACTTATTCCACCCTACCAGGGATCGAACATCTGTCTTTTAACAGGCTCGTCTGGGTTACGGTTAACGAGTGGGAAGTTAAACTCTGCGCCTCTTTCGAGGTGTTGGTTTTGTTTGTTGTGGTGTTCTACAGAACTACAACAACCCTTCGTGCACAGCAACCACCAACTATGAAACCACATACACCATTAGTGGCCAAGAAGATGACTATGTCCAGATTGTTGGGAGAAATTCGCGGACTTTAATATATATGCCCTTAAGGAAAGAAAGGGTGCGGTCGTAATATGGAGTCCACGTGAGTGACAAGAAGGCGGCACTGAGGCATGCCGGCAGAACAGTACTCTGGTATCTGTGTTTGAAGCCCGCCCGACCTAAGAATGGCGCCATCGGACACGCTGAGCCGGCAGCGGAAATCGTCTTCTAATGACTTCGAGAGATAGAGGCGGCTATCCGTATGTGAGATCACAGCTTGAACATCTTGATGCACCGACCGCTTCACATTACTTATTCCTATCCATATCATTCGGCCCGAAACTCATAGGTAGCAGTTCCCCGATGGTCATCTTGACCACATCTCCATCCAGCCCGTCCTTGCCGTACATGTAGATTGGCAGATCCTTCGAGGTAGCGAACTCATTGATGAACTGTCTGCACATCCCACAAGGACTGGCAGGGGGACTGATATCCGTGGCCACTGCGATGGCCCGGATGACAGGCATGTCGGGCCTCTTTATCGACGCGACAATGGGTGCGATGGCGCATCTCTCCGCGCAGATCCCGACTGGTGTGCTGGCGACCTCGACGTTGGAACCGGTGTGATATGCGCCTGTTGAGAGAAGGACGCATGCTCCTACGCGGAAGTTGGAGTAGGGGCCTAGATTGGCATCAGCATGTATAAAGGTTGTGAATGTGGATGGATCAGGATGTAGGGCCTTGGGACGCAGGTGAATGGGCGAAAAGACTTCCTCATTGCCACCCTTATCAAGCATATCATGGGGCGTGAACTCCCTTGATCCAGGGGATGGATGACCTACAGTATGCATATGCTTTTGCATCAATCGCCTTGCTGGCGAGCGTATGAAGCTCGTCCTTGGAAAGGGAGGCCGGGTTTTGGTGGCTCGCCATTGTGTATATTCGGGGTGCTTAAGGGGAGCATGTTCTGGATGTTCTGAGTTTTGGAAGTTGATACCTCAGCCTTGCCAAGACCGAATATTCACGACGAGGCTGACAATCCTACTAACGGACAGGATAGCTTTATTGTCTTCTTCAAGATCATTACTGTCCAGCTAATTTTGAAGGGTCTGAGAAGAGTTGTACATCTCCTATCTGATCATCCCATCTAGATCCAGACAATCACAGAACCTCTCCAGTGTGGGAAGCGTTTTACTGCATTCCAGTCTGCCCCTGAATAGTCTGTCCTCCGTGCCTCCGCATGCCGGACCATGTTAGCCCATCCGCATTTTAGTGACGGTGGGCACCATAGGGTCAACTGCCAACATTCTCCTTCGATTGGTGATTCAACATCACCAAGAGAGATGGTCGACCGCCCGGACTTGACGAGTGAGATGGGATATTCAATAACCACCCGATCCTGGAAGTGGGGAGCGTCTTGTTGTACACACGGATACCGTGGTCATTCGATCAGCATGTCCCTTCAGTAGTGTTGCACAACGCTGCGTCCGCGGTCCTAGCCACAGGTCAATCCTTGCAGCATCAGATTTCTGCTGTATGCGGCGACCATTCCCTCACTTCTCCTCCTTCTTTTCCGCAGCTTTCTTTCTGCTTCCCAGGATCTCATCCACTACACCCAACTCCAAAGCCTCTTCTGCGCTCATAAAATGATCCCGCTCCATCATCTTCTCAATCTCATCGATTGTCAACTTCTTCTTTCCCGTCAAGTGTTTCTCGTAGATCTTGTTGAGTTGCTCCCGTATTCTGAGAATCTCTTTCGCGTGTATAGCGATGTCTGCAGCCGTACCGTAATGACCGCCGCTAGGCTGGTGAAGCATGATACTCGAGTGAGGCAGAGCGTAGCGGCGTCCGGCCTGTCCACCTGCTAGCAGTAAACTGCCCATCGAAGCCGCTTGACCCAGCACAAGTGTGGAAACCTCAGGAACGATGTATTGCATGCAGTCGTAGATTGACAAGCCGGCAGTGACAGAGCCTCCGGGGGAGTTGATGTACATGGAGATGGGTCGATCGCTTTCGGCTTCGAGGTAGAGTAGTGAGGCGGTTACTGTCGCAGCCATTCGATCGTCAACTTCGCCATACACGGCGACAATGCGCTCCTTGAGAAGCCTTGAGAAGAGATCAGTCGTATGGCTCATCCCAGCGAGGGTCTCAGTAACGAAAGGAATAGCTGTCAACAGTCAGACGAGCGCAACTGAATGATTTGGATACTAGGCAACTTACGCAGCCAGCTGTTGGTTGGCCTGGAGTAGTGCCGCCGTTGCTGGCCATTGTTAAGGCTCGCGCAGCATACTCGAGCCGACAGACGCGCTGACAGCTGAGGAGCTGTCCGTATTAGATGGCGCATCTTGTCGCTGCACGGCGAAGAACGGACGATGCGGCGTCGAAGGCGCTGCAATTGGGGAAATTATATTGTCTGTTGCGCCGAATGCTTGAGAGTAGTCTCTACGGCGGGCCGCTATGTAGTTGAGCGTCATGACCAACAGTTCTCCCTGAGAAGAGCAGTGGGCTATCAGATAAGTCGATGGCCACGTCTATGCCCGTCATGTTTGCTTATATAGAGAGATAGCAGCGGCACTGGCAATGGGAAAGGCATTTGCGGTCACCTACAGCAGGATATCATGTCAATGAAGGGTCTTCCAGTCAGGGAACGTGAGATCATAGGCACCTCTTTGGAGCATTCTCGCTTTTCTAGGTACAGCCTTTCCCTCCGACAACTACTCTGGTTCAAAGCGAGCTAGCGCCAGCTGAGTATACAAATCGATGGGCTGTCCAGTAGCGACAAGGTAGATGAAGCCGTTAAAACAGCTGACAACGGATTTGCCTCCCAAATATGCCCCTGCTAACAATCCCAGAATGTTCTTGAGATGGTCCGGGATGTGCTACGCACTTGCGGTTGTCGCAAATATAGTGGTTTGGTCCACTACAAGCCACGGAAGATAGCCTCAACATTGACCGTATCAAGGGTTGCAAGAAGATCCGGCGAGGAATTTAGTCCAAGAACATGTAAGAAGAGGCGGCCTCCAACAGGCTAGAGCGCAAGCTCGAAATGTAGACACTGTGTCTGAAAATGGCAGTGCCGAATCAAGGATGGCTTCCTAAGTCTTTCCAGGTCGAGCTCTGCTATTTCATACTTGCTAACAGAATCAAGCCTGAGCTCGCGCCCGTGCAGCAGCAACTCTAGCCAACACATTCGCAAGACCTGCACGCACCGTCGGGTCTTCCACCGTTGGTGAGGTGGTTGGGATTGGTCTTCTGAACAAAGCCTTCAGCCCTTTTCGCATGTCAAGCACTATCAAATCGTCATCTTGGTCGCTCATTTTCCCTGACTTCGTTGGGGCAGAGTGTGCCTGCTCGGACCCTTCTGGTAGGAAACTTTGTAATTCTATACCTTGCTCGGTCTCAGCCTGCGGCTCCTGGTCGCGGGATCTGCGTCGCCCTTCCTCCTCCGCCTCCAGATCTTGCTGCGGTGCATCCGCTTGCGGCTGCGTCTCCCCGAAAAGGAGCTGCTTTTGATAGCCAACGACCAGCATGAGTAGCTGTAGGGCAGCAAGGATCGAATCCTGTAATAGAAGCTTCCATCTCGAAGACGGCAGTTCGCCCACAAAATCAATAATCAGTCCTCCGTGTATGTATTTCGTGCCGGATCGGTCAGCCAGCAGGTGTGATATGTAGCAGATTACATTGACAAAGAGAATGGGCGTTAGCTGCTGAGTCGTGGCCGGCGGTCGATACTGGACATGCACGACTTGAGACACTGCGCGCAGGACGAGGAGGAAGGTAAGATTGTCGGAGAGGTATGCGATGCCTATCTGGAGGAAGATAACGGCATCGAGCGTTCGCAGCAAGGTTCCGAGGTGGTCGTCTTTCCCCTGCGAGATACGCAGGCCGCGCTCGGGGACGAGGGCACTCTCATTGTTCATCACCGTATACACGGGAATGAGGCGTCGAGGTGTAAGTCAGCATTTTAAGCATCACACAGATCTTTTGTTGCTCAGACCTATCTGCATGACTTTCAGATTAAGGCATGTAAACCTCTCGCGAGCTCGCGAATACCAGTAACGCAAGGCCAGCGGATAGTTGCCAAGCTAGGCACGTGACGCCCCTGTCCACTCTGGCCATTGTTACAAAGACGAGAAAAGTGTCTGAAATCACCCAAGACCAGAGTCTTATCGATCACCACAATCCCAGCTTCCATCAATCATCATCAGTGACCAAAACTCCCTTGTAAGCTGGATTTGTCTCATACTCCAGCACTATATCACCGTAGTTTCTTTTCTTGTCCTTCGCCGAGATCAGCAAGACTCCCTTGTCCGCACCCAGTGTTGCCACGAGATCCACATTGAAAGTCATTTCCGAGGGACATACGAGGTGTTCTTTTCGGCATCGTTTGCGCTCGGCCTGGACCAACTTGGTAAGATTGATCTTGATGCTTCCTATCTTGCGCACTGCTGATTGTTAGCAAGCCTCCGTCCAGGGGATCAGTATGCTCACCTCCTCTAGCATCCGCCCGCTCCGGTGCCTTCTTCCTGCCACAGGTGTACAAGTCTTGGTAACAGACATACTCGTCCTTCGCAACGTCTGTTCCTTTGATTACGGCGTAACACTCGATCTTCCTTCTGAGATTGGCGGATATCTTCTCACCCTGATGCCAGTCAGCAAAAGCCACAACACCATAGGCTAACTCCTCACCCGACGGACATGCCACCTCATCTGATTTTTGGCTCTGGGACCTAAGTGTGGACAATTGTATAGGTCCGAGTCCTTGTGTCTGTTTTTATCGAACTTTTCGTGCACGCAGAAGCCAATATGGTCCCGGCAACGGCGGAAGGTGACAGGCGATTTCCCTATATGACTTATCACGGCCCCACGTATAATCGCTGACCACGAGCGTTTAGGCTTTACCAGTTCGACTTCGCCGGGGAGATGCTGCTCGACGTATTCCTGGAGCCTGGCTCTGACATATGGAGATGAGCCAAGTCCGCCACACAGAATAACAGTCTGGACGCCATCAGCACAATTCTTCAGCTTGGTGAGGTACTGCTTACTTTGATTGCAGGATTTTTAGCCTTCTGAGTTCTTCTGACCTGCTTTTCGAGCAGCTGGAATGTTTTCTGCAGAACAGTCTCGAAGAACGCTTCCATTTCCTCACTGGATGGCTGTTAGCTGGGATCTCGCGGTGTGGTTTCGAAATTCCATGCACCGTACCCAGTGAGCTTTACAGTATCATCATTGAAGTCGTAGGAAGCTACCACGACTGGATCATCCCTGTCCACCTTCGGCATTTTCAAATCCAGGTAATAAACCTTTCCTTTGTCGGCATTGCCTTTGAAGCTGCGTTTGGCCACTTCGAATGCTTCCATGAAAGCGCTACCGGGTCCGGTCCTTCCTGGTGGTAACTCGTCAAAGGCGATTCCAAACTTTTTCTTCATCATCTCGTGCAAGTTTCGATCAATCGAAGTAGCGCCGGCTTTGGCACCTGCATCCTTTCATCAGCGTTGCTATAATCTCCAGCTCGTTAAATGCGACCCACCTTGGCCAACGCAGGCCTCTTCGATTTGGAGCGGATCTTTCTTGATGATACGGTAGGTGCACAAATCAATGGTACCACCTCCCAGGTCCACGATGGTCACGCAGGTTTTCTCCTGCAGGACTTTAGCGCTCTTCGACACCAACGGAAATTTCACTCACCTGAAAAGGACTGACGCCAAAAGTGGCTGCCGTAGATTTGATGGCATACACGGCAGCTGCTTCTGGCTCATCAATGAGCACAATATCATCATTTTCTCTGCTGCCGAAACCAGCATCCTGAGCAGCCTTTCGGGTGGCTTGACGAGCAGCGTGAGACCAGGTTGCAGGAAGCGTGATGACAAAACGCATTGGAGTCTTTTCAAGTGCCGTCGCAGCAATCTCTTCTTTGAGACTTTCCAGTGCGCGCTCGTAGAGCTTTCTCAGGAAGTCAGTGGCGACTTCTTGAGCTGTCATGCCGTCAGGGATATGCAACAGTCCGCTACCCGTGCATCGCTGGAGCAGTGGATCATCAAGGTCTGAGATCTCAGTGCCACTGTCGAGTAGCAGCTTGAACCATTGGCATATCGTCAAGCCACTCGACGCTTCATATCCCCACACATCGGAAGAAAGAGATGGGTTCTCCAGCTGGTATGCAATCCGTGTGGGAGCCTTTTCCAAGACATCATTCTGGCCCGAGCCCCAGTCGGTGACGACTTCGACATCGTTCCAAGTTCGCAAGGTGCTACCATAGGCGATGCCGGAGTAAGTCGTGCCAAAGTCGATCCCGAACACCATCTTGTACCTCAGTTCTGCTTTTTTGAGGGCCTTTTCTTCCTTCTCCTTACGCTTTCTCTCTTCCTCCTCGGGAGTCAACGGCTCGGCTGTCATGATCAGATAATTGTTGGTGAAGCAACATCCCCTGCCTACCTTGTCTCTTGCGTTTCAAAGGCGTTGACTTCTTGTTAAGATCCTTCGATTTCTTTGTGGTTTCATCTGAATCGGTCAGCCGAGTTCTCATGTCCTCTTTCGCACAATCTCACTACCATCGCCAGGCTCAACATCACGTACACCAAGGATGTTCTCGTTGGAGACCATGGTGTTGGAGCCTTTCTGGTGTATAGTGTTATTGAAAGCAGTTACGAAAGTCGATGATAAGTAATGGTCAAAGAAATAGACCGGTGGTCGCTTGTTAAGGGAAGGTAGAAGGAAGGAGGTAGGCTATGGACCCCCTATACCACAGACGACTACCCTCACGTGCCTCCTGAGGCTCCCTCACTTCACATGATCCTTCACTTGAACGTTCGGTGAGATTGTAAACATTAATCACTTTCACCTTCATAGGCAGACTCAGGTCTCTTCAGGTAAACTCACTTCCTGTTCTGCTGACGCCCTATGCTCTGTCACTGGTTCCTCCGATGACCTGTCACTCTGCTCATACTGCACATGCTTTAAGGCCTTGCGGCTATCTGACTCGACCTTTCCTTGAGTTTCTTATGATACATTGGCAAATATGTCACCTTCTGAGGACATCAACGATTGCTTTGTCGTTTCGGAAGGCCCTGCAAGACCACCTCAAGTCGAAAAAGGTGGTTACGATCTACGATCTATCCCGAGGAGGAGTTCAAGTGCACCTTGCAAGACGATGGGAAATCCCCCGCAAAAGAGTCAGTTCCGCGTGGAGGTGAAAAACCCACCCACTGAAGCTTCGCCCAGCGATGGATCAGACGAAAGTGCAGACGACAGACCATCGGACCGCGATTACGAGCATGAAGAGACAAAAGCATCGTCAAGAGTACTCAAGAAGAAAGACCAAAAGTCGCAATCTTCGGCACATCAGCCTACCGAAAAGGGGAAAGATTCCAAAAGCCATGCCAACAAGGATGACAAGGCAGCCAAGCCAAAGAAGCGCAGACTACCGCAAAACGTGACGGCTTGCCATGAAATCATCAATCATAAATTCAAACAGACCAGCGAGTACAAAGCCAAGGTCAAAGCTCGTGGGGAGGAGATCAGCAGACTGAAAGATGCAAAAGCAGAGCAAAAGAAAACCATCCGACAGCTCCGAGAGGAACTCGAAGAAAGCAATAAGAATGTCTCCCAGCTCGAGCAGGACAACGAAAAGCTGTACAATGAGCGAATGCGTCTGGTTGGCAAGGACGCGTTTCCCCCGGAACCAGATGATGCAGTATCTTCAGAGCTTTGTGAGATCTTCGCAGAGACAATGTCCTTCTCGAAGCGCTGGTGTTTGGGGAAATGGAGTGAGCTTGACGAGGCGCAGAACAAACAAGTCCTAGTCCTTCTTCAGGACCACAAGAGCATTGTGAACAACGCGTCTGCGCGATGCGTGCTGGCCGTTCAACAGGGGAAGATCGCTCCGAGCGTCGTTCTACAAGCGCTCGTCAACTGTGTTATATGCATGGCTACGTTCCAGCGGCCATTCGCACACCTTCGCATTGATACGAATGACGTTTCCGATGATCGTGTCGAAACATCCATGAAATTCATGCTTGACCTCGCTAGAGCATCGAAGGATCAGGCCGATGCACCAAAAGCAGCACATAAGCTGAGGGCGGACATACTCCGTGCTATTCAAACAGCGCCTTCCGCTTCGAGTGAGCGGCCATCGTATCGCGAGCAGGAGTTGAAGATGCGGGAATTCCATGATCAATATTGCACATTGACAACGAACAGCTTTCTCCATAAGTGTGAACCGCTCCTCCGAAGCCTCAATGATGACGAGGAAATGACAAGGAGAGAGGAACTGCTCGGTATTGTCAAATCCGCATGGCAACTTACGTGCAGGTTGGCTGTCCAGTACTTTTGCACTGAAGTGTTCTTTCTGGAGCATTTGGAAGCGGAACACTTCGCCCTTGGCCACGAAAGATACAAGCCACACCGTGGAATGAAGTTGAAAGAGGATAAGAATGACGAATTTGGTCGTGATCCTAAGAAGCTCGGCATACTCGGCGAACAGGTCGACCTGTTGGTCGAACCACTCATACGTCGAACGGGCGATCACAAGGGAAACAAGTATGACAAGTCCAAGATTTTGCACAAAGCTGCGGTCTGGGTCGTTGCTCCGAGTGAAGTGCAAGATCCTCCAGAAACCACAGCCGTTGAGCAGGGCAATACTGGTCAATATGAAAAGGCCGGATCAACGCACCATCGTCCACCTGCGCCAGTACAGCCTCCGACGTCCAGAGACCAGTCCCTGGTGTCACCCTCGCGTCATACTGTCCGTATGAAGCGGGTAGAGGAAGTAATTTGGAGCAATATGAAACGTATCGGCAAGGAGTTCAAGTGGGTACCGGTTGAAGACGACAACGATGGGTATTCTTCGGAGCCGTCAAACACAGCGCGGGATTCAACAAGCATGCTGCCATTCTCCGAGACACCGAGTCAGGGGATCAGTCCTTCTTCACATATTCCTATGACGAAGGAGCCAGAGAGTCAAGATCCATTACAAGACCAGCTCAATGGATTACACGTCACAAGAACCTTCGACACAGACAAGAAGGAGAATGCTATGCCCCAAGGAGCTACAAGAAAACGCCAAGCTTCAGAGAGTCGGAATGCAGGAGAAGCAGGCATAGAGGCATGTACGGGCGAGGAACTAGACGGAGAACCAGCCGCGAAGAAAGTGGCAAGTCTCACAACAACCTGGACAACTAGAAAGCAACATTGACATATGACCAGAAAATCGAACTCGAGGAATGACTAGACAACGTGATGCCGCATTCGCAGTTGCATGACGTGAACCTTGTCTAGCAGGTTGGTATGGAGATATGAAGACGGGTATTGGCAAGACGAAGGCTGGTGAGGCTGCACGAGGCATTATCTACCTAACGACGATCATGCTATGGTGGATGAGGCTGGAGCTGAGAAACCACGCCAACACAGAGTTATCAGAACTGGGCCTGGAGAGATTGGCTTTCACTAAGAGAATGTACGGACACGTCGTCACTGGTGGACACACTGGAGGCACAAGAGCATACCAGCGAGTCATTGAACAGCAGGCGATACCCCATCAGAGCAGCGCTGGATGAGCTGCGTCCATTGGAACTTGTACATAGAAAGCAGGAATAAAAGTCTTGAATCACCAAGTCCTGGTCGCGTAGACCGTGTAGTGTGCAGTGACAAGAACTGTGCACTATGATCCGTAATGACCATAAGCTACGTTCATGAGAATGGTATGCCCCCCATCCGCCGCATCTTGAAAGAGCGACTCCCTCCGTCCAGCTCTACTTCCGGCCTCGAAGTGACAAATGTGACACATTCACACGATCCGAATCAGGGCTGTTGTCTTTTGACGTGCTCGGGCACCCGTCGCATCGCCATCGGGATCTACGACTCTCCTGCACATGAACTTGAAATGAGAATGGAACGGCCTGGATATCAATTATTCTGAAGCATTGTAACCATCAATAGGTTTGGTTCAGCATATCAGACAGTCCCGCCACTTCTACACCTCAGCCAGTGTCCTCTGCGTCGTAGCAGTTGTTGCGTCGACCAATAGTGCAATCACGACATCGTAGGCCATCATATAAACGAGTTGTCGATAGCTTTCCAAGACAACATTCTCATCCAATCTGCTGGCCGTAGATATCTCAAGTTGAAGGGACGCCTTCCCTGTTGGCGCTGGGTTTCCTGGTGCGCGATGGTAGGTCCACCCCGTCTGCATGATCCTCATGTTCTTCTTTCACGTCAGTCTCCACGGCGGGCGCAATAGGTATTTTGTCTCCGCTTCCAAGAACCGTGACACCCATGGATTGTTCCGTCTTCTTGACCGGGCTGGCGACCTCAGCCTTGATCTGTTCGATAGGCTCTTGATCGAGTTTCTTGAAGAACATCTCCTCCACCATCATGCGTCCTTCGACTTCTCTCTCACTTTCTTCGCCTTCTTTCCGTGGAGGCTGTTCCTCTGAGCCATCGCCAGCAACCTGTTCATCGAGTTTAAGCTTCGTCAGACCCATCGCGTAAATCTGCTCTTCGACGGTGCCTCTAGACACCAATCTCACGACTTCGACTTCTTTGACTTGGCCGATACGGTGTGCTCGGTTCTCGGCCTGGATATCATCCTGCGGATTGAAGCCGCTGTCGAAGACAATGACTTTATTAGCTTTGGCAAGGTTGATGCCCGCTCCTCCAGCCTTAGTGCTCAGCATAAACACAGGCGTTTCATTGTCGTCGGCAGAGAACTCGTCGATCAGGTCCTGTCTCTCGGCGACCTTAGTGTTACCGTCAAGTCTGAAATAATCGATGGCCTCACGTTCAAAGACTAGCTCCAGAATGTCTAGGACCATGACAAATTGACTGAAGATCAGTGTCCTGTGACCTTCAGCCATGAAATTTCGCAGCAGTTCGATCGTCTTTTGTACTTTCCCGCTGGCGAGCCACTCATGATTGTTAAGAACGAATCGGTCGAGCTGTGGATGTTGAGCACACAGCGTATGGATCTCCATGTCGGAATAGGCCTCAAGTTCAGTAACAATAAGGTTGGGATTCGACTCTCGCCATAGGTCGACTTTCAAACACTGTTTGGCGATGGCAGGTAGGATCTTGTCAGGATAGACCCGACGGAAAAGAAGTGGATGGATAGCAGCCTGTCGGAGTTTCATGAGAATGTTCGCGGACTCATTGGTCACATTCTCCCCTTTCTCTTTCCGTTCACGAATGTTGTAGGCTGTATCGAGCCAGGACTGATAGATTTCGGATTGTTGGGGAGTCATCTCACATAACTCAACACGTCGTTCCTTCTTTGGCAAGTCTTTTAGGACCTGATTCTTCTTCCGTCTGAGGATAAACGGCGTAAGCATACTCCTCGCTCTTTTGATCCTCTGCTCTGACAATAAAGCTTCATGATTGGCATCCATGGCCTTGACATTATGCGAGAAGATGCTGGTGAGTTCTTCGGCTTTCTCCTTGAACAGCGAGGGCATGAGAAAGCCCAGCAGGCTGATCAACTCTTTTAGATTGTTTTGCAGTGGCGTTCCCGTAAGCAGCAGACGGAAGTTCGACTGTATCCTCACCAGTTTACTCGCAACCTGGGATTCGGCATTCTTCAGCATATGACCTTCATCATATACTGTACAGTCGAAGCCGAAATTCTTCAACCACGGAAAGTCCTCTTTACCCTTGGCTAGGGTGTAAGTGGTGACGATGACGTTGACCTCGTCCCGAGAGTCCTCCAGAATCTCTCGCAGCTCGACTCTCTCCGAGGGATTTGTAGCATAATACGGCTCGACCTTCAACGTAGGACAGAACCGCTTGAACTCTTTCAACCAGTTCTCCAAAGTGGCTGCCGGTACGACAATGAGATGCGGTCCGGCCCGGCCTCGCTGAAGAAGAAGCGCAAGAAAAGCGATTACCTGACAAGTCTTTCCGAGACCCATGTCGTCCGCAAGTATACAACTCAAGCCCTTCTGGTACAACATGTGTAGCCAATTCATTCCAACAACTTGGTAATCCTTCATTTGTATATCTTCAGCCATAATCGATGGTTGAGGTATAAAGTTCTTCGGCGTACGCTTGTTGACGATCTCGGGTTCTTCATCACTCACGGGCGTGCCGATCCCAGAGTCGTGACTGGAGCGCTGGGTGTCCTGTATTGAGACCATATCCAATTCTCCGCCTTGGGAGCCATACACATTGACACCCCAGCTCTTCATCTCCTCAGCTAGAGGTTTAGCCAAATTCTGACATTTCTTTACGAGATAATCCACAGCTTCATAACTTTCAAGCATTGTTTCAACCTTTTCAACAATCTTGTCTCCAACAGGTATGACTTTTCTTCGGCCTTTTGCAGGCTTCAATTTCGGATCCTGAATCTTTCGTATTTCTTCAAGACTCTTGAACGGCCGTTTCGAGACAAGATGTTGAGCTAATTCTCGAGAAATCGAGGCGGTATCGGTCAAGTCAGCAGCCGTACATGTGTTGAACAGATTGAGGAGGCGCGAGTTGAACGTTGTGTCAGCTTCCTTCTCGGACTGCATCGCGGAGTCGGCTTCGTCGGATTCGTCTGACACGATCGTTGCTGTCTTTGCCTTGGGTATCTCTCTCACAGCCTCGGGTTCGTGTGCCGGAGACGAAGACCGCTTGCGACCTCGCACGAGGGTCCTCTTCTTTTGTGGTGGTGGGGTGTCGAAGACGTCTATAGTCTTCGAGGGCTTTCTCACATTCTGCGTCGAACCCCATTTCTCCGCGATAGACTTCACCGGCACTCTGACTTTTGGTGCTGGTGCTGGTGCTGGTGCTGGTGCTGGTGCTGGCTTCGTCGCCGGTTTGCGAGACGCAGGAGTCGGCATAAGCTCATCTTCAGAACCTGTAAGATCAATTGCGTTCTTTTTGCGCTTTTCGTGTCGTTTTTCGCTCATCTGGAGGAGTACATCGACAGCATCATCGTAGTGTCCCTTCTTCGACACCAGCACCTCGTAGCATTCTCTAACAGTCAACATACTAACCATTGACATCATGCGTCTGACCTTTTGTCGTATACTGTAGTCACTGATATCGTCCAGTTCCAATTCCGGTTGTTGCTTCATTGGAGTTGTAGCAGACGATGCACGAGCTGGGCCGGTCTGCCGTGGCCGTTTCCAGGCGTTACCATAAGCATTGGCGTTCACATCTGCAGATCGTTTAACTCCACTTGAGGCTGAGGAATTTGAACTCGGTGAACCTCGAAACATTGACTTTGCCGTGATCTCCATGAAACGGCTCAATCCACCATTTTGTTGGCCCTGAGGTGACTCTGGAATCTTCTCGGCCGGCTTGGGCTTTCTCACAAAGGTAGAAGTCTTGATATCATTTGCTCTGCTTGCACCTTCGCTATCCGATGATCCGCCTCGATATACAGGTCCTTCATCGTCGCTATCAATGGTAATAGGTGGAGGACGTGGCTGAGAGGCAAGTTGAGGTCTCCTGAAGGTTGTCCCGGCTGGTGCCATGGCACTCGCAAGATAACCTGTAGGTTTGCGATTTGGCGCGGCCAAGGGTGAAGATGCAGTCACTTGGACCACTCCACCTTTCACAGGAGAAGCGGCCACATCTGGTGACCGGTTGATGAGCTGCGTAGGCTGCGTCTGGCGATTCTGGTTCGTCTTCTGTGAGGGTAGATGAGGAGGAAGGGTCGAGATGGTCTCCATGTCAGCGTCGTCGTCGCTCATATTGGCTCGTCGCAGAGGTAAAGTCTCAACCGTCTCGTAAGGAGGCTTGTAGTCAGGGTTGAACAATTCATCGTCCGACTGGGACAAAGAACTGAGACCAGACATGGCGGGTGGGAGGTGAGGTACAAAAGAGGATGGAATAATATTACTGCCACTCCACATCAGACATTATCGTATACCCATGATGATGGCTAAGAGACCTCCAGTGCACAAGGAGTGTTTACCGCCGGGTCTCGTCCTGCGAAACCTCCTTGAATTGTGGCCGGCCCCTCAAAGTGGACCGAAGATGCTCAGCATTTTTTGAAGACGCGTAGCGCGTCATGGATTAGTTAAAAGCGGCCGTGCAAGATCCGTTGTTCAAGGCAGCGACTGGGAAAGGTCCCGATGCCGCTTTAGTGGAAACTATATGAAGTGTTTTCAACACCCACCTCGCCACCCACCGTCCCGACAGGTCTCTCCCATGCCATTATCCTGGATGAAATTTGTCTCGAGACCATAATTCGGTCTTTTGGAATCCCAATACCGTCTAAATGATACGAATGCCTAGGAGCTACCGGCACTGCCAGCCTATATCAGTCGCACTGTGAACTCAATCCACCCGCATCTCCATGATCATCCTTCCCAGCTCAAGCAAATCCCCATCCCGTCCAGGCAGGCTAATCAGCGTAACCGAGAACGGCATCTTCTTCCCATTCTTGCTGGTCCAGTGCGCCTTCAAGGGTACGGCGACCGCACACAAATCCAACAAATTGACAAAATGCGTAAAGCTACCTAGCTGCTTGTTCAAATCAATGGGATCGTCTAGCATCTCATCTACGGTCGGGTGAGTAGCTGTAGAAGGCACAATGAGCACATCGATCCCACAATCAGGACCACCATTCTCCACGCCAATAGAGGAGCTGAACTGTTTCGCCGCCAGCCTTCTATACTTGGCCAATTCGAAAATATCCTGGTAGGCCTGCACCGCCGAGAAGCCGTCACTCGCTCTGAAGATGTCGTCAGTCACCGGATGCAGCTTCTCATACCCGTGACTATCAATGTAGTCCTTGAACGCCACAATGCGCTGCGCGACGATCGAACTACCGTACAACATCGCATTCGCCGCAGCAAATGGTGAGTAATCAAACTCGTTTGCCAGCTTGAAAGTGCTCTCCAGCCGCAGCCTTGAGAGAAACCTGCCGTAAACACTGGCATACTCTGGAGAGAGGACACTGTCCACAAGCTCCTGCGGCGGCAGGGCGTATGTGTTCTCGGCACTCGCCCCTGACCTCGATAACAAAGCAGGCTGGTTGGCAAGGATCGCCAACTGCTGGGGGTCTCGCGCATACACGTCATCCTCGTCGTATCCATGCATTACCTCGTAGGCTTTCAATGTCGAATCAATTGTCGGAGCGATTACGCAGACACAATCTGCCGTCTTGCACGCCGGGACAAGGCCGACCGTCGAGATAGTGCCCAGCGTAGGTTTCAAACCGACAACGCCATTGAGCGCAGCCGGCACCCGCGTACTCCCTGCTGTGTCTGTGGACACCGTGAAGGAAACGAGGCCCGCCGCGACGCTAACGACAGAGCCGGACGAGCTGCCGCCCGAAATGTATTCGTGGTCATGCACACACCTGGGGATACCGTACGGCGAGCGTGTGCCGTTCAGGCCTGTCGCGAATTGGTCAAGGTTCGCCTTGCCAATGAGGATGCCGCCGGCAGCGAGTAGGCGTTGGACGACTGGGGCCGTTGAGGTGGCGGTGTAGGCGTAGCTCGGGCAAGCCAGTGTCGTTGGTAGGTCGGCGATGTCGATGGAGTCTTTCACGGAGAAGGGAATCCCATAAAGGGAGGGACGGGATGAAGGGTCGGGATATTGAGATTCCAAACGTCTGGCGCGAGTCAAGGCGTCGGACTTTGGGATGAGAGTGATCCAGATGGCTTGGTCGGGGTAGTCTGAGATGCGTGTATAGACCGAGCCCACGACGTCGGATGGAGTGGCGGTGCCATTGTGGTATGAGGATTGAAGACTTTCAACAGATAGGTCGTCAACGATAGCGAATGTCATTCTGAGAGGTAGCACTGCGCCCAAGGATTCGACTGCTGTAGATGTTCTGGGTCTGAGAATCCTGAGTCGCGATAATATTCAGCACCACGGTCGTTAGAGTCTGTGATGATTAACTCCTGTAGATAGGCCTCCAAGTCACAAGGCTAGTCCTTCACGATTGCCAACGAGGCAGACCTACCTCCTTTACTTGGAACCAAGACCTCCGTCGTGGGCCTGCAAGTAGCTCGCAGATGACGCCGCTCAAGATCATCGTGTTCGAAGCAGCCTTAATCAGTGAAGGTAAATCATTTATGTCACCAGTTTGGCCTCAGGCGAAAATGTCCGCCGGCCCACCGCCGGCGACGGGCCGGATAAGATAGATGCCCATAAGTGGGAAACCCCGTATCCATGGATGACATGATAGTCGTAGAACTGCAGAGAGATCTGCTCTTTTCCCCATAATAGGTTTCGACTCCTCGTTTTTGCAGCAGCCATGGTCGCTGTTGATATACTGAAGTTCCCTACCTCTTCCCCTGGAGATACCGTACCACTGGAGAAAGTATTAACAGCCGGCTACGATGCCTGTCAAATACTAGCAATCATAGGCAAGACCGAAGGTGAATACAACGTTCCTCATCACGGTCCAAACGCTTAGCTGATACGAATGTTGAGGCAATGGCTGCGTCAATGACTTCTCTCGGACACTGGCATCAACAGTATGGGAGCCCAAGATATCAAAAGACGCCGTGACCATCTTCTCGGGCGGCACTGAAGGCATCCTCTGTCCCCATGTCACTTTCATTCTACGCGCACGCGACGACAGTCCGACTGGTCTCTCGGCCTCAGTAGGGCGCACAAGAGCTCTTGCGCCGCATGAAGTCGGGACGGCAGAGCATGCCCGACAAGTTGCTTCAACCGTGAACGACCTCGTGAGTGGTCTCGGTGTGTCAGCAGAGCGGGTGCATCTAGTTCTCATCAAATGCCCGCTCCTCACTTCGGAAAAGCTAGAGATCATTCGTGGGCAAGGAAAACAGCCAGTCACAACCGATACTTATGAGTCCATGGCCAAGTCTCGATATGCAAGCGCAATCGGTATTGCCACAGCGCTTGGCGAGATTGAAGATATGCAAATTGAGCAAGCGCTGCAATCCGAGCAATCTTGGAGCGCCAAAGCGAGTTGCAGCAGCGGAGCAGAGCTGGATGACTGTCACGTTTTTGTGCTGGTGTCGGACACGAAATGTCCGGAAAGGGGGTCCTTACGTGCGGTATCGGAACCCATGAAAGATGCTATCGATGCTGGGGCATTGCTCGAATTGCTAGAGCAGATCAAACAAGAAAAAGGCCAAGTCGTGCAGGTGTTTGCGAAAGCAGAGGCAGATCCCCGGGGTCAGATACGTGGGTGGAGGCATACAATGAGCACTGACAGTGACCTTCACAGTACTCGTCACGCGAGAGCCGCTGTAGGAGGGTTGATTGCCGGACTTGTGGGTGATACCCAAGTATATGTCTCTGGAGGAGCGGAAGGTCAGGGCCCTTCAGGTGGAGGGAGCTTGTGTCTCGTTTATCGAGTGCCGTAATCAAGCTTCAAGTTGGTTTGATCTGTGTTAGTACCCGTTGCTTCTGAGGAATCGTGGCATGGCTGTAGATATACTTAGACACGATCGACGCAAGGTGTTTTAAGAGTCAAGATCACATCCCTCGAAAGGCCTCGAAGGGGCATCAAGGCGTCAAGGGGTCAATAAGGTACATCACGTGATTGCAAGTGTCGTGCTTGGCTGCCAAGGCCAATATCAGATCCAGCTTCAGGTTGATCGCGTCTTTGACAGGAATACTCAATACTTGCACGCATTCTTGTCCATTGCAACGGAGAAGTATCCAAACGTCGTTACCAGGCTTCATATCAATCCACGATTTACACCAAGCATGGCGACGCGACGTAACATCTCTTCAGAGAAGGCAATCTCTGAAGCGCAAGGTGGCCCTTCGGCCGCGGACCAGGTATCAGATACGACGCCTGCTGTGCCTGCGTAAGTCAATGTCCTTCCCTACCAATCTGTACCCTGCACAGAACCCTAATCTCGCCTAGCCATGTAATCTACAAGCTCCTAGGCTTCACAGCAGCCATGGTATGTGTACCGATAGGGTCGTATTTCTTGACGCTCAACCTGTTTTTCCGAGGTGTGTAAGCATGTCCCTAAAAGCCCACTGTACCATTACTAATGGGCTGCGTCAGGCAAAGCTGTATGGGCGGGCGCATGTGCCGCCATTATGGCGAACGTCGTGCTCATAGCCTACATTATTGTGGCCATGAAAGAAGACCAAAGCGAGAAGATCGAGGCCGAGCAGAACCGGAAGAAAGCTCAGTGATGCGCGAGCGAGAGTCCCGGATTATCTACCTGTTCCCGTCCAGTCTGTGCTTGAGAAAGCGGACTGGCCACGGGTTTTTTTGGAGACTATGAAATGGTGCCCATGACCTGCACAGCACAGTCAGATGCACAAGCTCAATTGCTGGTCCCCGGCTGGTGAGTTATCTCCCCAAGCCTCTATCACGGAGAAAGGTCAGCCGTTGCCATTAGCCACAAACCACCATCGGACCCAGCCCAACATCCAAGGAGATTACATCAAACATTATTCATAATGAAAGCGCCCTTTGCAGCGCACATTTGTGGTATGCAAATCCGAATACCATGCAGCCAGGACATGCCCACGAGCCCAATACATGTCTCTCCCAATACGCCGAAAACGAGATGGTAATAAGCGAGCGTTCAAGTTGGGTTCTTTTTCAATTAATCTCCACGGCGGCTGAATCTGCGCTTGATCCAGCTTTGCCGCTTCTGTGGTGGACTAGGAGAGCTTCCGGCGCTGAAAGTGTTGTCGGATGTGCCGGTGTCAAGCTTGATTGGTTGACGAGGATTGTTTGGTGCGAAGCTTTTGACCGGAACAGTGTCTTGACCATACATGCCATCATTCATGTTGTACGGTGTGAATGCCTTGTTCATAGCAGCAGGGTGACTGAACTTCAGCTCATTCGCGTACGGGTTGTCCGGGCTAAATTCCTCTGGCTTCCGAAGCTGGTGCAATTGGTCGAAAGAGCTATTCTGCGAACTCGGATTGGTTGACTTTCCATATTCTTCGGAACCGGAGGTCATGGTTTCATAGGATTGGTGATAAGAGTGTGCCGAAGCCGGACTGTCGCTATTGTGGTAGCCATTTTGATAACCATTCTGGTGTCCATTTTGAGGTCCGTGGTATGGGTTGGAGCTCTGACGTCGACCATACATTTGAGACGCTCCAGGAGTTTCCTCGACTGCGCTTTGAGGACCGAATCCGTAGGACGAGTTCCGATAGTACCCACCACCAGGCGACGGACGTGGTCGGCCTTGAGGAGAATAACCATTGCCTGCTTTGGGGTCAGGAAGACGTTTATTTCGCAATCCTTGACGCTGCTTACTTGAATAGTAGCTTGCTCTGCGATTTGTCTCGCCATTCCAACCCGCCTGGGAGTCTAGCTATGTCAGTGCCTATTCCAAAACAATTATTGAGCGACTCACATGGTCTGTTGTTGAAAGATGAGCGACGCGAGCTCGTGCCTTCTGCAGCGGCATTGAAAGAACGAATCGTGTCGAGAGGACGCTCTAAGCGGTGACGGGTTGGGTTGGATCGATCAGGATCGGCTGAACGCATTTGGTCAGTATACCATCAACTTCAGCTATATAGCAAATTGTTCCTTACTGATGACGTTGCCTTCCATGTCCTTGTGTCTCACTGCACGTAGATCGTCGACAGTAGCCTGTTCCAGTGCCTGTTCCGCTGCGAAATAATAGTCAGCATCTCGTCCAGCGAGCTTGTTGTCGAAGCACTAACCCGGCGTAGCTTCGCTCAATGCTTTTGAAGGGTCAGCTTTTGTATGCAACCTCTTCTTGTCCTTTTCACTTTCTGTCAACTCGAGATTGTGGCCGGAGAAACTGCTTCGACGGGTTCGCTGGGAGGAGTGGCTCAGCGCAGTATGAGCGCGAGGACGGGTATCTTGACCCTGCGGCGAGATTGGGGGCGATACGGTTGTCATGGTGGCTGGTATCGGCGTTATCGATTGACTTGGTGGAGATTGACAGCGGCTGTTGAGCCAAGTGGGAACCGTTGGACTTCGCCGTTAGAATAGTCGGTGGATTTCGAGTCGACTAAAGTTTGAACAGTTGACGGCACTGTGAGACTGAGAGAAAGAGCGAGCGTGTGTAGCGGTGCTGCAGAAGTGAATGAAGAGATGAAACTCGACTCAAAAGACGTAGCCAGTGAGGTGACAATGTTGCAAACGCCGTGTGAGGAATCTGCTGAGCCTCGACACGTAGTCGACTGGTATGATCGCTCAGATGAGTGGCGGGGAATTGACAGGGATCTTGTTGGTAGGCAGGATTTGTTTCAGGACCGGCAGGGGTGGAGTGTTGGGCTGGGAAGAATGTGAACAGCGATGGACTGTAGTCTTCCTGTGTGTATGGCGTATAGACAAGGTGATAAGGCGCAATTAATCGTTGACAGAGGAATGCAATAGTGACAAAAAGCCGGTAAAAGAAAAAAGAGGCGCGGACGGAGCAGCCCGTGCAAATGGGACTTTCAACGACTGGTAGCGGGCCCTCCGCGTAAGTGCACAGAAAACGGTCTCGGCACGAGGTAGGGTGCCGAGCACAGAAGTCAATATGATGCTGATATCGTTTACAAAGATGGAGTCGAAGGGAGGAGTAAATTAAATCGAGGACATATGGGAAGTGGATGATGAAAGTCGCGAGTAGTGATGGATATTGATGCATAAAACCAGCCGAATATCGACACCGGCCCCAACACCTCTGAAAATGCCGATGCGCTAATCCTGTACAGGGATCGCCTGAGACCTTAATTGGAAGCCTCTCTCCGCCCACGCCAAAGAAGTTGCAACTCTCACAGCTTCCGAACACCTTTCATTCGTCACCCATCCTGATTTTTCCTGCCTGCACCTTTGGATTGTCCCGCATGCAACGCAAACAGTCGTACTATTTTCTGGGCGAGTTACGAACATCTTAGCAACACCAAGCTCTCCCCATGAGCCCGACCGCAGCTTCATGATTGGCGACCTGGGTTCTCCGGAAACTGTCCCCTGGCTAAAGAGGTCCAAACCCAGCTGGACCAACAACACTAGAGTGTCCATCGCCAATCTCATCCGTGAGCAGTGACACAACATTGGCCTCTTTGACCGGGGGATCTCCAAATGGTGTAGGGTTTTGTGCATCGTGGACACCAAACTGTTGAGCTTCCGCAAGCCTTTCCCAGACAGATCCGCGCCCCATGTGTGACGCCAGCCAACTTTCCGACAGCCCTTCTGAAACCAAGACATGATCGCTGTACAGTTCCCAGCAAGTCCTACGGTCTACCATGTATACCTCTGTTTGAAGTCCACCGCCGTGACCACATACTCTTTCCTTACTTACTGTCGCCTCCAGAAACAAGGCGACGCGCGGCCTGTGAATTTCTAAGCTTTGTCTGTTCCATGCCGTTGCAGGTTTACAGGACGGGTCCTCTCCAGAAAACGGACGGCCCACTCAACCATCAGACGTATCCTTCCTGATCCTTCGTTCGGAGCATCCATTCATCTTAAGTGCTCGGGTTGGAATTTAGGCTTATCGTGCACGAAGACCCGCAATATCGATGCAGGTTTGCATCATGATTTCTGAGACATCTTCGCAGTCCGTGGGTTATCCGTCCAACCCTAACCTTCTTGGAAGTAGCTCCCTGGCTGACATTTACTACTGTCGGTTTCTAGCTATCTTACCGCTGCTGATACATACTCGACAGCTCGCGCAGAGCCCTCATCCTCGTATCTGGCTGAGGAAGCTAGGCATCTCACGCATCTGTTGCTCGGCTCACAAGTCCCAAGATTCAGCGCAAAATGTTGCCCGACCGATTCATACTCGGTATCAATTGGCGGCCCAATTGACATAAAGCTGTTCAAGGAATTCTCCGTCCTTCCCAATCCAGAAGACGTTTGATTCAATGGTGAGGAACTATGCCAAACTCAAAAACTCCCATGCCGTCTGGTCATTGCGAAGCGAGGGAAAAGGTGCCGGATTTTCAGCATGGTCAGTGCCACTAGCCACATGCTTGAGCCGTGCTCCGGAGAACCCTGGCGAGCTGCTTTGAAGTTTGGGCGTCACGCCACGCACCTCCACTGATCCCTTCTTGCCCCAAGCTCATCTTATCATTATCGACCTGCATTTCATGTGGCTAACCTCATAGCTCGAGCTCGAAGCTGCAGCACTTATTAGCACTACCTTAAGCTCTTGATCCGCTGTGGCCAGGTTTTTGTTGCGCCATTACTGTCTTTGTATAAGTCAACGAGTCTGCCGAAAGCCGCAACTTGAGCTGTATCCAGCAGCGTGCAGCGCAAAGCCTTGTTAACGAGCGTGTCGCTTGGTCAAGCCGGGCGGAAAACATTTCCAACATCAAGATCATTAAATGCCGACTCTTGGCCCAAACTTATCACGGTCAGCTTCTTATCCGGCGAACGGCTGTTACACGAAGCGGATCGCTGAAGTCGTCTTCTCATGCGCGCCTCTTTAAAACGATTTCGTCTGGAAATATCCATACCTCGGCAGACATTCTCCGAGCTGTAGAGATCAAGGCCCGTGTCGCCCACATAATATGACTGCGGCCTTCCCACCTCCAGTGTTGGGTTATTGAAGCTCCATGAACCATCCTCAATGGACTCTGGCACAAGAAGTCACTCTCTGGCGCCGGACGAAGCTTCAGGCCCGGCCTTTGACGTGCGCTTTGAGGATGTTTGATTGCCATACTAACGTCTGCAGCGAGGTCTTTGAAGAAATGATTTGTAGAACAGATAAGCACGAGTCGCGCCTTGCTAATTTTCGAGGGATGAGCTCCAGGGCTGCAACAATCCAGGTCGTAAGTCATCTAACTTTTCGGGCCACCACAGCGTGTCTTTTATTTCACAAGGACTTCATCATCTCCCGAGCCCGCAGCCTCTACCTTCGGCTACAGGAATATATTGACAAGCTCAATATCACGAAGATCTCTCGCTTTCGACCTCAACTGGGGTCTCGACTCAAACCTCGGAACGTATTCGACTGTGCAATTAGCATCATGGGCTTGGGCTTTCTAGCCTTTTCACCATTTTTGTCGAAGATCTGATTGGAACAAAGCATCCTGCTTACCGATGAAAACAAGGAGCAAGCCGGGAACATCACTTCTTCAGCTCGGTTCTATGCACACAAAGCTATATGTCTATTTACCTAGACTCAGGCAGGTAAGTCATTGCATGAATTGTCGTCAATTGTGAGCTTCTATCTGACCCGCGTGAAGTTCCCCTCCCACACGCTGTTCTCTCGCTGAGTCAGCGAAAGGGTATTGCATCCGTTAGGCAACGGCTCACGATTCTCTCGACATCATCATGAGTATACAGTGCATTTCCCTTCCGATGATCTGCGTGACCCATACCATGAGACCAAAGAAAGTCAGCCTACAACTTGTTTGGCGTGCTCTGGGTGTTCCATTGGTAACCAGCTGCATCGCTGAATTTGTAACCATAGGAGGCAGTGAAGTCATCAAGGACAGCCGGACCACGAGAACCTGCCGGAAATGTTAGCTGACGACTTTCCTCCCATCACAGAGGTGCAAACGTACCATAAGGATATTCCATAGGAACAATGTCCTTCTTCTCATCAAGGTAATGCAGAAGAGGAGTGAAGATCCTCCAGGAAGCATCCAGCTCGTCGTCACGGACGAAGTTGGAGTGGTCACCCTTCATCGCATCGAGGATCAAACTCTCGTACGCTTCTGGAATCTTCAAATCAGAGAAGCGTCGTCTGTAAGTAAGGTCGAGTTCGGTGACAACTGTCTGCATAGACAAGCCGGGCAATTTCGAGTTCATCTTGAGGTAGACTGATTCGTTGGGCTGAATTCGAATGACGAGCTCATTTCGCGGGATGTCCTTGAAGATACCGGAAGTGACATCCTTGAATTGGATTCGGATCTCGGTCTTCTGCTCGTTGAGTGCCTTGCCCGCCTTCATGATGAACGGCACACCATCCCATCTTTCATTCTTAATGAAGGCGACCATAGCGCAGAATGTGGGACATCTTGAATCCTTGGGGACTGTGTCGTCGTCCTTGTATGCTGGCTTAGTGCCGTCCAGTGACTTGCCATACTGACCAATAATGACGTTCTTGGGTTCAATTTGAGGCATGCCGCGAAGAACTCTGACTTTCTCATCACGGATGTCTTCTGATGAGAAAGAAATAGGTCGTTCCATGGCAAGCAGAGTGAGGACTTGCAGTAGATGGTTCTGCATCACATCACGGATGATGCCGAATTCGTCGAAGTAACCACCTCGTCCCTCAGTACCGAAAGGCTCCTTGAATGTGATCTGGACGCTGTCGATATGATTACGGTTCCAGGTAGCACCCAAGAATTCGTTACCAAATCGGAGGATGAGCAAGTTCTTCACCATTTCTTTTCCGAGGTAGTGATCAATACGGAAGATCTCTTCTTCCTTCCAATCTGGTTCGAGACTGCATGCAATCAGTTATTGTCGGAAGAACTCGCAAAGGCGTCAGCACTTACGCTTTCTGCAGTTGCCGCGAGCTACTCAGGTCTTTGCCGAATGGTTTCTCAATGATTATTCTCGCAATACCACCAGTCGGGTAGCAGTTCCTCTTCAAGTGCTGAGAGACGGTGATGAAGACGCTGGGAGGCAATGCCATGTAGAAAACTCTGTTGTTCTCCTTACGGCCACCCTCGATGTCGGTTATGTGCTTGTCCAGTTGCTGGAACGGCTCATCTTGGTCGTATTGTCCGGCAATATATGTGCAGATCGAGCAGAACTGCTCAAGCTGTTCCTCCACCTCTTTTGTCGGGGTCTTTATGTAGGATTTGACTCGTCTAAGGTATTCGTTGTGGTCCATCTTAGTTCGGGCATATCCAACGACCTTGATATCCTTGGGCAGGAATTTGTTCCGGTACTGGGGATGGTTAGCCTAGACTCGTGTGCAAGCGATATACGACATTGCTCACCAGGCCAAAGAGCGCAGGAAACGTCTTCTTCTTTGCGAGATCGCCAGACGCGCCTAGTACGACGATCACAGTGTTCTCCTTGAGCTCGACCGAACTGCAGAAATCAAAGGTCAACCAACCACTTTGACTCAAAATCTGGCGAAGCGGTGGGCAATGCCGACGCCGCGGGGCCGGAAACTCACCCTGCATTCTCAGGCTCTTCTGGACGAAGGACTGTGTCGGCCATGATGATTGATATCGGAAGGGGTTCGGTGGTAGACGAGGAGAAGATCAGGTAGACACCACAGGAAAATGAGATGTTGTTGGTGTTGAAATTGGTGGGCACAACTCAATGACAAAGCTGGAAATAATTAGTGATTGCGGGCGGCTTGCTCAATTCTATCCGCCGCGGAAGTCGAATGGTGGGGCAATAAAATAACAATGGGTAAGAGAGAGGCCGCCTCGCCTGCAACAAAGAGCTTGTAATGATCTCAACCGGACGCCTCTGTCGCAAAGCCCTTGATCTGACGTCAAACGGGTTTCGAGTGATGTCGCCAATCTACAGGGTCACGACGGAGTGAGACTACCATGGAATAGAAAAGTCACAGTGGCTCATGATAGCAACCTATGTCTATCAGGAATATCAACAGTCTCGCCTGTGTGGTCAAATTGTCGTCACATAATCAGTAAGCGTAGGGGTGCGGACACTTGCTTTGACTGCCCTCCGGGCCTATGAAGGGTGCATTTTCCAATTCCAGGTCCCTCCTTAGCCAGCGGAATTGTCGGCTATCACCATCCTCAGAATCTCCTCTTCTGTGCCCTTCCCAAGTGCTTGGATTTGTCAAGAAACTGCTTCGTCAACTTTGCAGCCTTATGTAATCGTTCACATTCTGCATACACTATTTGCTTTCCTACGAGAGCAAGTAGATAGAGAGCCGTGAGATTCTGATACTGTGCAGGCTTGTTCTTGTCGTTCGGCATTTCAGTTGAGCTCGGCATGGCGTTGTCTTAAATCCGGAGGCAGCGGTGTACATGTTCTATACTCGTAGCAGAAGCGCCAATTAGGCTATAATTCTCGGAGAAGCGTGGTAGATTTCTCCTGGGCCATGTACCACCGGAGCAATACTTCGGTGAGCATGAACGTGCTCCCGACTCTGTCTTCCTACATTTCAGTGGCGAATCCGACACGAGCAACGCCCATGAGAACCTAGGTAGCTAAAGTCGCACGCGCAATGTCAGCTTTCTGCTCTCAATCGTTGGACCGTTATGATTATGGCCTCGACGCTGGATGATAGGTGTGGTCAGGTACTCCGTACATGGCGAGATGGATCCAAATCCGACCGAAGCTACCTCCGTACCTGGTAATTTGCTGCGTGGTCACGTGCCAGAGTTGAAATCTTGGCATGCTAGTCTATATTAGTCCTAGTGCACAAAGATCCAATTTCGAGAACTGCACATCAACTTGACCACGATTTTCGACGGCGAGCAACAACCACGACGACAAACCATCTTCGACCATCCGCGACCCATCTCACGCCTTTCGCCAACAATACCGTCGAGATGTCTTCCGGCAACAACCACAGACGTGAGCATTCCCACCCGCCGGTGCAAAAGCCTAGCGGACTTTGAATGTATGATCATCGGGACTGATATTCTGTTGGCAGTATATGTGAAAGGCAAGCACTTGTCATTCCAGCGTGGCAAGCGCAACACGAACCCCAACACCTCCTTGGTGAAGATCGAAGGTGTCGACGACACCAACGCCGCAAAGTATGTTTTTACAAGTCCACTACCCAATGAACCGAGACCCAAAAAGAGAAGGATCACGTTCACCGAGCGCACTTCCAGAAACGAGAGAGAAACATGCTCCAACAAATTCGGTCACTCGCGTTTCGAAGATGTTGGCTAACAAGACTCTTTTACAGATTCTACCTCGGCAAACGCGTCGCATTCGTCTACCGAGCCTCAAAAGAACGACAAGGCAGCAAGATCCGAGTCATCTGGGGAAAGGTCACCCGCCCTCACGGCAACAGCGGTGTCGTCCGAGCCAAGTTCAAGCACAACCTTCCTCCCAAGAGCTTCGGTGCTAGCGTCAGAATCATGCTGTACCCAAGTTCGATATAATTTCTCCTTGGAGTGGTAGAGAAATGGTGAGAGGAAAGTGGGAAAGGTCTGTTGTCGGATAACCGGCAGACTGAACTGGTCATGGCCTCCGACCGTGAGCACGCCTCTGCACGGCCAGCTCGTACCTCGATGATCGCGACTGGAGAAGAATGATGGTCAATATTGAAGATTTGCCTGCGGAGTGGCTGGCATCTTACGGACAAGACAACCACCAGAAGCTTGAGCGCACACGGTTACTATGTGCATGAATCAAAAGAAATACCAACAAAACTTGAAGTGCCCAATCAAGGGGTTTGCTCGAGATTTCTCGATGCGTTTTGGTGACGAGGATTTTGGTGTTCTTCCCTTGCAGGTTCTGTCCATGTCTTCCTGTCTGGCTGCTAGTCGTCTCTGACCTACTAACCCGTGACACCACCGTCGTGTTCAGCCCCCGGCAAATTTTCCCGGCAGTCAGTGAGGCATTCAAGCGCTCTGCATGGCAAGGTAAATTGCGTGGCAGGTACTGTTTCCCCATTCCGTCGCGTAACCGAACCACAATAGGATCGTTGCTTTGCACTCGCCTGCACAGGGCGCCCTCGCTCTGCTTCATAAAGAAGAGGATTTGCGCCTCCTGTACCGCCATGGAATCTCACATGAATCCAGAGTAGTTGGAAACGGCCGCAGCTCGTAATTGCTCAACCTCTGCTCATCTGGAATCCGATCTTCTAGCCATCTGATCATACAGCCCACATGCCAAATATTAGTATATATACATTCCATATAGAGCATCTTATCTATTCCAACCTTCTCAACCGCCTCGCGGCCTCCGCCGCGACGACCGAACAACAGGCCCCAATAAACATACACACCGCGATCGCATTTGGCGCATTCTTCTTCAGATTCAACCAGCGATGATGGTCCGAATCCTCGTCCGCAACATGATCATTCCGTCCTGGCTCCAACACCGAGAAGACAATCCAGCTGATGAACGTGCCCACGAATTGCGGCAGTGTCGTATAAACATTCAACACACCCAGATAAATGCCCGCAAGTTCGCCAGTTGACGCATGCGCGCCCTGATCATCAGGATGATTTAGCCGTAGCACACCATCGCTCACCGCCCTCCGGTCCCGGGCCTCTTCCATCTCAATGTCGTTGTCCTCGTCCTCATCCACACTGCCCCGAACAGCCGTATACCCGGGTACACTGCTCCCATGCACATTTGCATGCCCAGAGGAGCCCGTTCTGTTGATCTCAATGCCCAACAGTCCAAATGGTGCCCAGCACGACACCGCCCAAGGAACACCACAACTCGCCACCAGTGCTGTGGCCGCGCTCAAACTGCGTACCCCTGGTGCGCAGATCGTAATCCCCGCGAACAACAAGTTTGAGTACATCCATGCGCTCGTCAGGTCAGGCTGCATCCTTTGCGCCCGTACCAGGACCGTCTGGACGGTCTTCCCTAGCGACGCCGGTGGGCGTGGTGTGAATTTCTCATCGCCTGCTTCTGGGGAGCTCACAATATACGGCAAAAGCACGCTTGAACCGAACGTGATGAGGCTGAAGATGACGAGCGCCATACTTCCCAATCGTCCAATGTTGCCCAGTGCATCGTGCTCGTCTTTCGATCCGGGCTCCGCGGGAGGGTGCTCGTAGCGATAGTATATTTCGCCAACGAATGTGCTTGAGTAGAATAGGAACGGAAACCTAGATTCAATCCGTCAGCCTTAGTCTCGCTCCCACCATGTAGCACATCCTCGGCTGCGGTTTGAGCTTGAGCGCACATCCGCATTCTCACACCGTCACGCTCATAGTCCACAAGCAGAAGTGTAGGCACTTGTAATGGGGGAACTTACCAACCGACCCAATTCCAAAACTGCACCCAACAAATCATTTGTATTCTTTTGGGCAGGTTCATCGTCCTATGCCACAGATTCCCCAACACCGCCCTGACGTTCATGCCATCTTCGCCGTCCTCCCTGGCTATCCTCACCCGCTCTGTAACCGCCCAGCACGTCACGCCCGTACACACCCAAAGCGCCATCGCTGAAATGACAACCATCTTCTTAAACTGGCTATCCCCTCCCATCCACGTCGGCAAGATCTTCACCAGATCAAACGTACCGATGAAATAGCCCATCAAGTGTCCCGCGGCCGTCAGCCGGCTCGCCCACGCGCTCCCAGCCTGCTGCTGACTCACGGACAGCGTATCCACGATGAGACTGCGACAACACGCCTGCACCGCATTCACGCTGAAATCCAGCGCGTATATACACAACACCGCCAGCACGATGGTGAAATCTTTCTTCGTCGGGCCCTCTGGGACGAACAGTCCCACAACTTCGCTCGTCCATCCCAACAGGAGTAATCCTAGTCCCGTGATGAGCGCCCCGACCAGCATGTAGGGCCTCCGGCGTCCATACTTGGATGTCGACTTGTCCGCGTAGGCGCCGACGACGGGCTGCATGAGCAATCCCGAGAGGGGACCGGCGATCCATACGAGGGAAGTTCTCGACTTTGTTAGGCCGAGTTGGAGGAGGTACGGTGTGCCATCTTCTCATCAACCTCAGTCAGCATCGGTGCGGGTAGAAGACGGTAGCAGATCTCGAGAAGCTGGGGACAGGACTGGCTTACATGTCATCTCAGTGCCCCATGTAAATCTGTAGACAACCCGTTAGCAAGGACCTGGGGTGGTGGGAGTTGCGCCGTGACATACTGCAGTCCAATGAGGCAAAATGTGAGCAGGATCATGCGCATGGACTCTGTCGAGCCCTTGATGGAGGGTGTCCCGCTCCATGATGCGGTTCTCTGCATCTCATCAAAGCTGTTTGTCGTTGGTGTCGAGGACTGCTAATTGGGGCGGTCGCGTCGAGGATCGCAAGCCGCCTCAAGGTGGTGATGGCGGTAAATAGCACGCCTCAGTCTAATGGAAGCCTCACTAGGGCTGTCAGAGCATTGATCTATCATATTTCAGAAAGGAAGCCCATGCCAATGCGATGAGTGTACTCTACTGAGCGCCCACGTTACGCGTACTGAAGGCGCAGGGGGGCTAAGGGGGGAGGACTTTAAGATTATTGACATGTCTCCGAAACTGGTTTGACGTATGCGGGCAAAAAACTCTCTCCTTGCTGGATGAGAATGATTTTTCAGTTCTAGCTACGTATGCGGACATCTTGTCTATCTGGATGTGCAGCTTACGATTTGCACGCAATGACTCCTTTTGCGGCTCATTTGGTGTAATCGGTCGAGACTGCTCCAGCTCCTGAACGAAAATCAGCGAATGATCTGGGGTAGTTTGCTTAAACGGCCGCACCAGAGATGAAAAACCACTTGTCGACACTTCCATCGATCGGCGCAGGGGGAATGTTTTGTCCGGGTGGGATTTTGGACAGCTGGCTCTGGTCGACACGGTCTGGCGAAGCTTGATTTGTGACATTGGCCAGGTTGATGTCACCACGTTGTTGTTTGCCAGTGACCAGTCGGTCCCATGCATCGCTGCACTCGCGGATGATCTCCTCGGCATACTTCTTGTTCTTGCATTCACCGCTGAAGGCGAATTGGTTCTCGGGTTTTCCATCTGGGATCTTGTAGATACGGAACCATTCGTTGGTAGCGCGGAGGAGACCAGGAAGGTGACGCTCAACATCTTCAATGTCGTTCAGTTTGGGAGCGAGCGGGTCGTGGATCTAAACCTCCCAGTCAGTAGGGTAATGACTATTCTCGGCAGATAGACGTACGTCAATGACAATGATCTTCCAGTCCGTCTCTTCCTCGTCCAAGAGAGCCATGACTCCAAGGACCTTGACTTGCTTGACCTGACCGGTATAGCCAACCAGCTCACCGATCTCGCAGACGTCGAGCGGGTCATTGTCGCCCTTGGCCTTTGTCTCAGGGTGAACAACGTTTGGGTCTTCCCAGGTCTGCAATTGTCAGTCTATCGTATGCCACCGTCTTCGCATGCCACTCACCCTCGGGAAGGCACCATAGTTCCAGAGGTAACCCTTGTGAGGGAAGCAGTTGCGGACGAATCGAAGCTTTCCTTTCTTGACGTCTTGCTTGATAGGGTTCCTAGGTCAATCGCGTCAGAAGATCATAGGTATGAGGGAAGGCTTCGAGCTTGCATACAAGAATTCGTCTTTGGAGATCTGTTGATAAAAGTCAGTGGGTGCTCTTCGGACGAACGGATATGAGAAGAGGACCAACCTCAAGCTTAGCATTTGACCATCTGGGGATTTCTACAACCATGTTCAGGACAGTCTGTTGCTCATTGGCGTAGAGAGGAATATCATGGAAAGGTGAGACAGGAGTGCCAGTCTTGTCTTCAATATAGCATCGGTATTCCGAAGTGTGCAAAGCACCAACCTTACGAGGTTGGAACTCTGAGGGCTGCTTGCTGTAAGACATGTTGGCAGGAGAGGACGAAGGAGCAGTAGAGAGATGTCGAGAGATAGCTTCCGAACGTTGAGAAGCTATGATGGCGGAGGAGGGACGGAGGAGAGGAGAGGAAATGGATTTTTGAGTCTGCGTGGTGGGAGCCAGGGCGCGGGGTGTTTGCGTCGACGATTGGCGGTGAAATGACGATGGGTTGTGAGTGGCAGGAATTATCTTCTTGCTGCAGGATCGCGGGCTTATTTTTCGCCTGAATGGAGTGCTCAGTATTGTGACAGGAGACTGAAGCATGTGCATGTGCATGAGAATGAGAATACAGAGGGTAGATCCTCTATTATGGCAATCTTAAGCTGTTGCTTTGACGATGATGCACCTCGGCCGCAATGGGAAAATAGCACTTATCTCAGTCACAGTACTCCGAGTTTTCTACGTGACCGAATCGGAGCAAATGCCACCCAATGCGGCTCTCACAGTATCTTGATAACCGTGGATAAAGCAAGGCCCCATCATGGCCAAATCTATGTAAATTCATGAGCACGTGATCTGGCAAAATTCCCAAAGCAACGGCGATGAGTCTGCGTCTGCTCATGTGTCTCCACGACCTGTCGCAATACCCTTCATATGACTGTCGGCCATGTTGTACGGTCGCAGTCTCTGCTACGACGCAGTCTATCCCTCATAACGCCCTTTCGCTCCTTCCGCGGCTCTTCACCCAAAATGGCCTCCCCATCGGCTGCCGACAATTCTACTCTGAACTTCCCTCACGTTCCCATCCCGAAGAATGGCGTCGACTACAGAGGCAAAGTCGTGCTCGCTCCTATGGTTCGTTCTGGAGAATTACCTTCGCGCCTACTGGCCTTGAAATATGGTGCAGATCTTGTATGGGGACCGGAAACAGTTGACAGATCTATGATTGGGACGACTCGATACACAAATCCTCGAACGGGCTGCATAGAATGGAGTCGCAACTCAAATAACCAAAACCCGGATGCGCCGGCAAAAGAGTCGATCATATATCGAATCGATCCAAAGCGCGAGTCGGACAAATTGATATATCAGATCGGCACTGCTAGCCCTGAATTTGCAGTGGACGCTGCAAAACTTGTTGCTCCTTATGTATGTGGAATCGACGTCAACGCAGGCTGTCCAAAGCCGTTTTCTACTTCAGGAGGTATGGGTGCGGCTCTGCTGCGAACACCGGACAAGCTGTGTGATATCTTGACTTCTCTTGTGACCAACGTGGGGATCCCACATGAGATTGGCATCAGCGTCAAGATCAGACTACTCGAAACGCCCGAGATGACTTCTGCACTGGTCAACAGACTCTGCAAGACTGGCATCACTGGTTTGACCATTCATTGCAGAACAACACCCATGCGGCCTAGAGAACGTGCTATTCGTGAGCAACTGCAAATGATCGGCGAAATCTGCAGAAGCCATGGTGTCGCTTGCCTAATGAACGGCGATGTCACATCCCGCGACGAAGGCCTGGCTCTTGCCAGAGGATACGGAGTTGATGGAGCAATGATTGCTACAGCCGCTGAAGCCAACTCCTCAGTCTTCCGACCAAAAGATCAGGGTGGTCTAGCTCCGTGGCAAGAAGTGGTTAAGGAATACCTGAAGCTAGCGATCAGCGTGGAGAACAGGTACACCAATACGAAGTTTCTGCTGTCTCAGCTCATGCCAGGAAAGAATCCAAACTATCAGCGCATTCAGATGTCCAAAAGCTACAGCGAGGCACTTTCTATTCTGGAGATGACCGACTCCGAGATTGTGGAACAGGCAAAAGAGGTCGACCACGTTTTGAAGCTTGATGTGCAAAGAACCACCAAGGCGGACATGAGGCGACAGAATAAGCAGCAAATGAAAGAGGGCCAAGCCAAAAAACAGGAGAAGAAGAGAGCTTTGGAACAGAAGCACGACCGGAACGAGCGCGACCAACATCCTGGCCCAGAGCGGACGAAAAAGCAGAAAGCAGAAATAGCTGCGGAAAATGCTGGCTTTGACGGTGTCGGGCAAGGTGCCATGGCGATTGCTGTGTGACACGTAATCCAGAGGACGTTGACTTCTTCTACCAAGTCTACCCCTCCAAACGGATTTCCCACCCCTCCTGTTGCTACGATGGTCCCCAGTGGCATCAACAGTTGCTCTCTCGCACTGTTTATCCGCCAGTCGACGCCGCGCAGATTGATGGTCGTCCTCGAGAGTACGGCGCCGAGTTTCGCCTTCACATCGCATGAGCTTGGAGCTTGCGAACGAGATCTGTGAGGGTTAGAAGCAGCACTGGGATGCACTAAGAAGCTAGGCGAGTAGTCCTGCTAGGACTCGGGGAAAGTGAGCTTTCAAGTTGTACAACTGATCTTGCACGAAGCGTGCACCCTGACATTTGTACAATGAGCATCGAATGGGAACTCCTCGTAGTAGTACGTCTCCGACGCCATCCCCGCTCGACGAATAGCTCCAATATGCATACATGTTGTACAGACAAGGCCAGGATGTATCTCAGCGATTTATTCGCTCAGTCGCCTTTCCCTCCTATCCAAGACCCGAGACATCGTCTCGAAACTAATGTCCGGAGACAATGCTTCGGAGACGTTACCTGTCTTCGACTATTGAGCGTTGCCGCAGTGTTTTCTCGAGGCCAGTTAAACCAGCACCCTCACAAATGGGTCCTGAAGATGGCATGCGGCGTAGCAAAGCATTTCTGCTAGACTCGTGAGGAATCATGGTCTCTCATGCTGATCAACCAGACAGCTCTGCTTTCCGATCCGATGCCCTAGCATGCCTGTTCACTTCCTCCACAATTTCCTGTAAATCGACTCCCTTGGAATTCTTCTCCTTCGCTCCCGTGTTCTCAAGAGCATCTGCGGCCCAGCTATATTTTAGTGTCTTGCCATCTTTGAAGCCTAGCTCTAGGATAGCCGGCGCCGTGGACGTCCGGGGAAATTGTGTGGTAGAGATCTTAATTGTCTTGTGCGCTTCGGCGGGGAGGGCGTTTAGGAATAATCGTGGAACCTTGGATGCGGCTTGGAATGGGTTAAAGGCTGTTTTGAGCGAGGTGATGTACGTCGTTATCATCGTGGAAGAACTGTCTCGTAGGACAGCGGCGCTTTGACTGAAGTGGCCGTGCTGAAGGCTGTATTCGTGGTTTCGTCTCTGGATGCTGATCTGGTGAAATCGGTCAAGTCGATCGATCTAGTCTCTCCACAAATATCTGGCAAAATAACCTTGAGCAGCCTACGCAGTCGCTCAAACAAATTCTGCCCAAGCTTCCACCAATTTTATTGCCGTCGTCGTCGTTGGTGGTGCCATCGGAATTGGGAAAATCAACGCCAAAGAAATTCCGGAGATGTTTGCCGTGTTTGCACTTGCGGAGGTATTACTTGGTCGCAACGCCAACAACCTGCAACGTTAACCATACCAACATGTCACGCTCTCTGAGCCAGCGGCTACAAGCCCTGGCAGACTCATACAAGGATACTCTGAATCATATTCAACAACTCCGGACATTCTCCGCCGCGTCATGTCCCGATCCTAACCCAGACGAACGGCGAGTTGAACTTGCGAACGAAATCCACGACAATTTAAAAGCGCAGGAAGACACCTTGGAGATTCTCCGACAAGAATTCGATGATGACTCAATATCCCGATCAAGACGAGGTTCCTTCGGAGGGGATATAGCAAATGAGCGCGAACGCAACGCAGACCTACTCGCTCGACTTGCCGAAGACTTGAGGAGTGCCAGAGCGAACTTCAGGAGGGCGCAGCTTGCAGCGAAGAGAACAGCTGATTCCGAGAAAAAGAAAGAGCGCGAACAACTTTTTGCAGATCGAAAGACCGATGGCCATGCTCGAGTCCGCCCTACACACGAGAAGTTGACGCAAGACGAGCTGGCATTGCGGTCTGCTGAGGATGTCACTATGGGGCTGCGACGGGTGCACGGTCAGATGGAGGCAGAGGTATCAAGAGGGCAGTTTGCGCAGCAGACCCTCGACGAAAGCCAGGTGGCTCTGAACAGTCTGAACGAGAGTTACGCTGGTACCACAGACTTACTGAAGGCTTCCAGAGGGTTTGTGAGCCAGCTTGTGCGCAGCAGTAAGTCGGACACATGGTTCTTAAAGAGCTCCTTCTACATACTGGCGGTCACAATAGCCTGGTTGATCTTCCGACGGCTTCTCTACGGGCCTCTCATACTATTCGTTTGGTGGCCGCTTCGTGCGATGTGGTGGTTCACCATGACGACTATGGGGGCGATCGGTCTTGGGAAAGCTGAGCTGGCTTCGTCGCGCATACAAAAGCCGACTATGTCACTCTCTATGGCTGGCATGAACGCTAGAGGAATGCCAACGCACAGTCCAGGTGTACAATTCAGAAGCGTGGGATTGCCCGCGAAAGGTGGTGGATGGGATAGAGAGCCTAAGCAACATGAACCTGGCCGTGGTGATGAGAGTATGGTCGAGAAAATAGGGCGTATGACAGAGCAAGGCACGAATGTTGACGACATTACTGAGGACGAACGTAAGGCTCAGGAGGAGCAGCCTCGGAATACCAAGAAGCGAATGATGGAAGTGGAGGTAGAGACTCCAGCTGCGGGGAGAGACGAATTATAGGCCCGTGTAGCAAGGAATTGTCCTGCTGTATCAGTGACGGTCTCTCTCACCTGTGGCAATGGGAAAGGTGGCCTTCACACTTCCGGCTCCTGGATGCCACAGCCTCGTAGCCTCGCGTGTCCACGTGACCACCACTTTGAGCGCGCCAAGCCCAATTAACGCGACTTTGATTAAGCGCGTCTTCCTTACCATGTCATCACTGAACAACGTTCGAGTCTGCAAGAAGACGTTTGACATTGCGAGGCTCTGGAGTGGTGTTCGGTTCCAGGGAGACTATCCGTACAGTTTCACTAGATTGCCCTCCACCGGTACTACAGAATGGCGAATTTCTTCGACAACAAAGCTCGCGCCCTGGCGGCGGCGTCGGCCTCAGGTTCAAAAGCAAAAGTGAACGAGCCGGTAGTTGCAGCTCCCCGGTTGGCACCTTGGGTCGAGAAATATCGTCCAAGATCCCTCGAAGATGTACGGGCGCAGGATCATGTCGTCCAGACACTGAACAGAATGGTCCACGCATCAAACCTACCGCATCTGCTACTCTACGGACCACCAGGAACTGGCAAGACCTCGACGATATTGGCACTCTGTCGTGAACTATTTGGCCCGGAGTTATTCCACTCGAGAGTTCTGGAGCTCAATGCCAGTGATGAACGAGGCCTTGCCGTGATCAGAGAACGAGTCAAGCAATTCGCATCTCTGCATCTCGTCAGCGCACCCGCTTCAAAAGAATATCGAGAGCGCTACCCATGCCCTCCTTTCAAAGTCATCATCCTTGACGAAGCCGACTCTTTGACTCAAGATGCTCAGGTCCGCTCTTGTCATTATTTGATCTCGCTCGAGCTGTTGCTAACCTCTTCAAAGGGCGCCCTGCGACGAGTGATGGAGGTACACAGCAAGATCACACGCTTCTGCCTATGCTGCAACTATGTCTCGTGAGTTCCTCAGCCTTTGGGCGACATATTCATCCATTAAGCCGTCGCGTCTTGTTCCAATTGATGGTGACCATACTGACACGAATATTGTATGGCAGCCGCATCATCGATCCGATTGCATCTCGATGCTCAAAGTTCCGCTTCAAAGCACTTGAGGGCGGTCAAGCATCAGAACGAATCCAAGAAATCCTTACAGCAGAGAAAGTCAAGTACGAAGATGGTGTGATTGAAAGAGCGCTGAGAGTTTCCGATGGTGATCTCAGACGTGCAATCAATCTCCTTCAGAGCGCTGCTCGTCTCGTTGGCGCCACAGAGCAAGCATCCAACGGTCAAGCCTCGAAGAAATCGAAAACGATCCCAGACGACTCCGACGAAGAGATGGCAGACGTGGATGATGCGAAAGGCTCTTCGACGACGGTTCACCGCATCAAAATCTCCGATATCGACGAGATTGCAGGTACATTCCCGCCAGACCTCACTAACGGGTTAGTCAAAGTCCTTCAGAAAGGAAACATCCGGAACTACAATGCCATCGCCGCACAAATCACCGACATTGCTGCATCGGGATACGCAGCTAACGAGGTCTTGTCAAGCTTGTACAGCAAACTCATCTTCGACGATCTTGTGGATTCGAAGAAGAAATACAAGCTGACGCAGATGTTCTCAGAGTTCGATAAAAGACTGGTGGATGGTGTGGATGAGCATCTCGCTCTTCTTGACCTGTCTTGTCAGCTAGCAGGCGTTCTTGCAGCGTGACGGGCCTTTGTTGGTACCTTTTGCGGGAAAGCACTACCGTATCATTCGTGGTAAATGGGGGAGTTCAAACATAAGCGACGGCGTTACACTTCACAGGGATGGGACTTGATAAGAAAGATCCTTGACGTGGGAACAGTGTGGGCTAATGCGCCCTGACACACGATCTGTATCAAACAACGCCAATCAAGTTCGTGGACTTCATGCGATCTTCACCAGCTTCGTCTTGACTTCATATCCGTCATCACCCGGAATGACCCGCCCGTCAGCCGTCCTCTTCCTCCGCTTAAAGGCCAGCTGTACCGTTGTATAGTCTTCCGAGACAAAGAACACCCAGCTCTCCGACCATCGTGCCTCTCGAGGGATGATCTCGGCCAGGTCAGCATCTTCTGGCACTGGATGTTCGGCGTCATAGATATACCCCGCGTCTTCTTCCTCAAGGATCATCTTCTCCCGCGACACCATTTCTATCTGCTTGCCGTCCCAGTGGCCCTCTTTGCCTGTGCGCGATAGAACTCGAATCGCCCGCCTTCGCAGATCAGGGTGACGACAGAAGCAACATGTGATGAAGAGCGCGGGGATCACGCCGGCATCGAGGCTTATGGAGGGCAAAGTTGAGACCAGCTGTTCGCATAGTGCCACCACTGTCGAGAACTGTGGAAGCAAAGGATCATACGCCATCTCGTCGCCGAGCTTCAGGCCCGTGCAGACGAGGATGGTGAGGTAAGCATGGCTCAGTCGCAAGGAGGTATGGCGAGCACTTGCCGCAGAGTTGGACGACGTAGCGCTACTCGATGTGGCCGTGCGGAACGGGCTGCTGTCGAATGCTTCCCTCCATTGTCTGAGTGTAGCCAGGAGCCGGCCTTGCCAGAATCCCAACATTGGATCATAGCTCGAGTATGCGATCTCTGGTTTCCTGATGGTGCTGCCAAAGTGGTAGACTTCATTCGTCAGGAGCAGCATAGAATGCCAAGCGTCATCGAAAGTGCTGAAGTATGGCGGTATGTTGAAGCCGACTGTCTCGTCCGCCCCTGGGCTGTTGGCTAGCTTGAATTCAGGCTTCTGACTGCCGAAGTAGACTGACTGGATATCCATCAAAGCGAATGAATAGGATATTTCGTCCAGCGTCGACTGTGCTTTTTGCGGTAAGACCAAACTGGTAGTGTCCTTGCCAGAGACCTTGCTGCTGTGCAGCTGTCTGAGTATTTGTCGGCCATGGTTCAGGTGTATCAGGGCCTCTCCATATCGTCCTTCGATCAGGTCGAAAGTGAGCAGAACCAAACAGACAATCAGCACGACTTGAAGCTCCTCGAAACCCGTCCTTGCGATTCGCTCCCACAAGCAGCGTACAGCCTTGTCGTAATGGGCGTAAGCCGCCGTCGTAAACGGTGTTGAAACTGCGTTTGCCACGGCTGATCGGTTTTCACAATAGGCCCGGTGAGTTCCACACAGCGCCAGCATTGCATGAAGAATCGCCGGTTCGTTGTGAGCAGCTGAAAGGACTGTGTGGGTCCAGAACCGGCTCAATTGATGTGTCGCCATGTCGTGAACAGTATATCGGCGACAGAAGTCATAGGCGCTGTAGTCTGGTTCAGATAGCTCGGCCAGATTCTGCAAGGTCTGGTAGAAGCATTGAGAGTCCACCGGTCTAATACTCTGCTGAGACTCATACTTGATGGCGTGATGGCTGGTGGTGGAAGGTCGTTGGAAGGTAGAGACGAAGATGGAATAACCTTCGCAGACATACTTGGACCTTGTACAGCGAAGACATGCCGGTTTGGTTTCATCGCATTTCAATCTCCGGGCTTTGCAGGTCCGGCAGCCTGTACGGACTGGAAAGCTTGTTAGCTCAGAATGAGCGCCGTTCTACCGTCGTGAGACCGTGTACGGACCCTTAGAATGTCCCTTTCTCGTAGATATCATCATCTCGAAACGGTCGTTACGTGGGCTTGGGGCCGCATTCCTGGTACAGACGCCTTCAAATCATAAGACGCGATGACTCGCAACGATAGCGTACCGGCGATACTGTGTTAGAGACATAGTTACAGCCAGCGATGAATATGGATAGCTTGATGGGGAAGTTAAGCAACAGCTGCAGCTCGAATATTACGATCACATCAAGGATGGCTGAGGCCTGATATTTTGTGAGGCACGACGTCGGCCACTTACGTCTAGAACAGGGCTGCTATAATGTTTATTTGAGTGGAACGCAGCCACTTATGATAGGTAAGAGTAATTTAGACCCCTTGTGGGCAGTCTTGAAAGTCTCTTTTTCAAGAAAACGTAAATTTGTCCTTCTGATGTATGACTATAAATACATTGTTCATATCTCTACTATCCTCCTTTGACCAGCTTACATCCTCCGCTTTGAAAACAATGTTCTTAACGCCGGCGCCTCCACAGCGGTAGCCTTGCCGTCCCCGTCGACACTGATGATGAACTCATCAAGCCCAGCATTTCCATACTTGATAGTGTCGACGTCTGACCACTGGAAATTGCACTCTCTCCTCAACACTGCATTGGGAGGGTACTGGGATTTTGCAGTCTGCCACATAGCGCGGAAGGCAAGCCGTCCATCATCTCGGAGATTCATGTACTGAAGGCTCCCACCTGCCCGACCCCAGATCAACGAGAGCAGCTCGAGAAAGTCGGTACCATTGTGAACAAGCTGTGTGATGCGTAGACCCTGATGGTCTGGAACGACTTGCAGCGAGATAGACGAGTTCAGTCCGTCTTGTGAACTGAAGGTACCGACCAAATTGGCGGCGGCAGCTTCCCTTGCCGCAGCTTCTGCAGCAGGAATCCAGGTGGCAAGTGCGAGCTCAGACAATGCGAAAAGAGTGGGAGCTCCGGCCTCGGGAGCTCCGATCGATGCGACAAGAGCCGCAATACCTATATTGTGGTCGGGAGACAAGAACAACCATGCGTTGTACCCACCATATCCGCCATTTTTCGTATACAAGTCGACCACTCGAGACTCTTTCGAGCCAGGCCCGACGGGGACATCCATGCGGACTATCTCCCAGGGCTGGCCAACGGATGAGAACTTCTGGCTAGAGTGCGAGATAGGTTTGAGCCATTCACGAGTGAGGCGCTCTGGAAGTATCGAGGACCGAAGTACTGAACGACCGAGTTCTGCAAAATCTCCGAGAGATGCCCAAGCACCGCCAGCCCTGCAGATATCATTAGCTGTGCACCCAACGATGGGAGAGGTGCGCGGTACGGGTCAAATTCTCCCAAATCCCCTTCGGAGGTGTTGAGTCCGGCCGTGTCGACCCTCATAGTATTGGAATCATTTCGAGGGGACTTCCAAAAAGTTCTTCTCAGCTGGAGAGGTTCAACCAAGGCGGTTTTGAAAGCGTCTGTGAATGCTTCTCCAGTGATGTTCTCGTAGGCCATGGCCAGCAATTGGTAAGCTTCATTGGAGTATGTCGGAGTCTGCCACGGAGCGGTCACAGGGTGTTGCTCCAGAATGAGTCTGAGTGACTCTACTACATGGTAAGTACGGTCTTCGGACTATCGGACGTCGTACAGCGTACCTGCAACGGAACAAGGCTCCAACCCTGGTTGCCCGCAAGCCGTAATTTCAGAGGTGTTGAGCGGAGGAAATCCGATGGTGGTGATACCAGGGACATCAGAGATATCGCTGAGCGAGTCTGCGTGGGTTTAGCCTTGCACCAGGTTGGAGATTAATATGGAAGCAACGCACAATCTCGCGGAATGCCACTGATCTGCCCTGCCAGCGAGCCCAAGGTCACCTCCGACCAATTGAAATTGTAAACCGAGTTGCGAACAGTGAGTCCTGTGAGCTCCGGGATGAAACTGGTCACTGGTTCTGACCAGTATTTACTACCGAGCTTTGCAAGGATGGTGTAGACGGTCAACATTTTGGTGACGCTTCCCAGTCGATACAGAGTATCTGTATCAAGCTTTGAGCCAGTCAGGCGCTTCTTGATCTCAGGTGAGGAGCCCGTGTATTGATATTTTGCGAGCAGCGTATCGGATTGCGTCGAGAAAACTCCAATAGATATTGTGGTATTGACAGCATCAACTGGTCCCCAGGGCGTCGTCCCGTTTCGGATGGCGTCTCCCATGAGGCGCGTGAAGGTTGATTGAGCATCACGAATGGCATGCGTGTCTGTCCACTTGTTCGGTAGAGGATACACTGGGCCGAGAAGGCCGCAATGGGTGAGCTCCGTTGCGTGACATTTGACGCATGTCGTTAAGAGCGGTATGAAGAAGCAGGCGAAGTTTAGGAATTGCATTGTCAGGTAGGACTTGCATCGGAAGAGATGATTCGAGTGCATGAATAGATCAGCAATTCGAAGTCGTGTCTCACTTTTATATACCATATCCCAAAATTATCTCATCCCGATGTTCAAGATCATTGCGCCACAGTCAGGATTGTCGTCGAAGAGGACCAACGAGACACCGTCATGTTACGAGCACGAGCTCAGAGCAGATCATGGATGTTCGAGCACTCGGCGCAGGTAGACGACAATCTCGCTTTCGACTTGGTTAGAAGTCAACGTCGCATCCCACTTGTTTTAGGCCACCACCTGTTCCTCAATGAGAGCGCCAATGGAACTGGCATGTTTTACGAGGGCTGAAGTGGTATCGAACCTCTAATAATCCAGCCTCACTCCGCAATGTTTATCAAGCTCCACGGGGTACAGTGACTGGGAGCGAAATAGGTAATACTAAGGTAAGGTGAGGTGGTGAGGCAAGCTCTTGGAAAAGGGCGGATGGGGTCTTCTGCGTCCACCAATCGTACCCCTGAGTTTTGCGAGCGCCAGGATATCAGCTCCACCCTCGAGACATCGAGGATGTGTACTTGGCCTCATGGGTATGCCGGAGTGGCTGGACAACGTTCAATTGCCTTGTGACTCTTCTATTTCAGGAGGTCATTGAAACAGCTCACAAATACGCAACAACAGCTTCCCGTTGCCACAGAAGCCGAGGAGCTCGTCACAGCGACTGGCAACACGGAGGTTGAGAACCTCGAAAGCGTCGGGGGGTTGCAGAAACAGGTCGAGAAACTGCTTGCCTATGTCTATGAAGGTGTACGGTGCTGTAGGAGCCGGAAGCAGTCCTTCCAACCGCAACGTATGAGAGAGTAGCGCTTGCTCTAAGAGTATTCCTCCGATCACCCGACTCAAACCTGCTCTACGTGGAATACCCAGCCATGACAGGGATGATGCCGGAGATTTCGTTGTTGGCTTGTCGACTGGTATTGTCAGCGGATGCGTTAAAGGCTCCCACCCCCTCATTTCTCTGCGGACCACACATGGGTCAGTAGCGACAACAGATTCTGGGGAGCTATGATCGTCTTGTTGGAATGCTCTACTCTTTGGCGTATCAAATGCTGGATCTGCTGCCGACAGAAAAGGGGGAGGTAGGGGTTGACTTCGACAGTCTCGATGCGACGTCCACAAGCTCGAAAGTAGCTGGCATGCTTTGCGCCAAACCTCTGAGCCTCGCCCCGGCTCCCATATTGATCGTCATTGACCGCATGGAGGAATTCGAGTGAGACACAGAAGCAGAGATTGGGGCATTAGCTGCAATCTTTCGCGGACTAGAAGGGAATCGCTCTCGGACATTGAAGGTTCTCTTTACTTCAAGCAACCGCTCCTTTGCCCTCGTCGAATATTTGCAAGGTGATGAAGTCGCCATTATCGACACCAGTGTCCGCAATTTTAGCGCTGGCCGTGGCGGCAGAAACGCCGTCCATAGTATAAATGCTCAACGGCCTCGGTCAAAGCCAATTCTTCCGGCCTGGCAGGCTCAGATTTCCATCTCAGGCTGGTCTTTTCTTCACAAATGTCTCAAGATCTTCTCGAGTGACCACACCCAGGACGAACTTGCGACCGCCATCTGTGACGACCGCAAAGTCTTGGGGCTCTCCAGTTGCGAGTGGCCCGATGTTTTCGAAGAACCCCTCCAGTTCGAAGAGCTCGGTCTCCAGACTGATCGTCTTGTAGGTCCGCTTCCCTCTCTTGAACTTGACCATGGCCTTCTCGACAGAGTCCGTGGGTTGGAGTTGGCCCGATTCGAAAAGCTGTTTTAGTCTGGCTATCGATAGGTAACCCAGAAGGGAACGCGTATCGTCAGACACAACCGTCAAGTGGGAGTAATCGTGAGAAGAAGCTGACAGCATTGCCGAAGAGAGCGAAGTGTTCGGAGAGGTAGAGAGAGCTGGTGGGAGATCCAGATCTGCGACTGTCGCACCCCTGTATTTGTCGGCCCAAGCAGACAGGGTCTCAGCGTGTTGATCTTCGTCTTGATCTTCTTCTGGTGGTAGGCCATCAGCGTTGGGAACGATGGTTTTGCCCAAGTGTACACCATGTTCGAGAACGTGTGCCATGCTTGCCGTATCTCGCTGGTAATGTTCTCCCTTGACGTGCCGTCTCGCCTCGTTCGACACCACGCACGTTGAAAATATTATTATTTGGAGGATAGTAGAAGCTGCGAGTGTGGAAAAGTGACGTTCACATGCATAAGTGATAACCTCAGGACAAGACGGATAATGCGGAGTTTGACACCAGCCCCAGCCAGTCGGCCTACCAACAACCACGCCTGTGACGCAGCCAGCTATCTTGCTTTGGCATGGGCTTCCCTTGCCTGTGCCCTGCATCCTTGAGCTTCGAACTATCCCAAACCTCCACCTCTTTTCTATCGTCATCTTCCGTTGTCGCTCATTCCAGCTGGTGGCCCATCGACCTGCTACAGCATATTCATCCCTAAAGACTCGAGGTAACCAAAGCCATCACTTCCGAGGACTTCCTCCAGCCTGCGCTGCCCCTCGGCTCCATTGAAACGCGGAGATAAGCTGATCTGTGGCCAGCACCATGGTTGGGCTCTTCCCAAGCTCAGAAGCCATCAGACAGGCTTTCTGTCCTACTTCTCCCTACTACAAACCTAATGCTAAGCCAACCGAGCACCCCCAGAAACGCCCAATCTTTTCAAGTTGGAGCGCTGCCGACACTGCGAAGGATCTAGGCAAAGCTGCCCAAAATGAGTACTCGAGGATGAGCGAGAAAGCCCAGGCCAAGGCTGGAGGCATCGAGCTCTATTCAGCCAAATACTATGCTGCTTGTACTGTCGGCGGTATTCTAGCTTGTGTACGTCTGCTTCTTGCTCCGGTCGCATTCTTCAGCAACTGACCGCTGCGCAGGGTACCACCCATACAGCCGTCACACCTCTTGACCTGGTCAAGTGTCGTCGCCAGGTCGACCCCAATCTCTACAAGGGCAACTTTGAGGCATGGAGGAAGATTAGCAGAGCCGAGGGCCTCCGTGGCATCTTTACTGGTTGGGGTCCGACATTCGTCGGATACTCAGTCCAGGGTGCTGCCAAATACGGCTTCTATGAATACTTCAAGCACTTGTACAGCGAGCTGGCTGGAGAGGAGAATGCCTCCAAGTACAAGACCATTCTGTTCCTGTCGGCTTCTGCGTCTGCAGAGTTCATTGCCGATGTTGGTCTCTGTCCATTCGAAGCTGTCAAGGTCAGGATGCAGACCACTATCCCTCCCACTTTCACCGGCACCGTGCAAGGTATCTCGTCAATTGTGGGCAAAGAAGGCGTTAGCGGGTAAGTTCTCGGTCTGAGTGCAAAGCACACAGATGCTCACGTGTCTGCAGCTTGTACAAGGGTCTCTATCCTCTGTGGGGCCGACAGATCCCATACACCATGATGAAGTTCGCATCTTTCGAGACCATTGTTGCTGCCATCTACAACTATCTTCCTGGTCAAAAGTCCGACTACAACAAGGGCGCGCAAACTCTTGTGGCCTTCACCGGTGGTTATATGGCTGGTATCCTTTGCGCTATCGTTTCTCATCCTGCCGACGTGATGGTCAGCAAACTGAACGCGGATCGTGCCCCTGGCGAAAGCTTTGGTGGTGCTATGAGCCGTATCTATTCCAAGATTGGCTTCGCTGGCCTGTGGAATGGTCTGCCTGTGAGAATTGTAAGTTGGCGATCAAAGAGTTAGTCACAGCTTCGTACTAATTGACAATTTCAGGTGATGATTGGTACATTGACTGGACTGCAATGGATGATTTACGACTCCTTCAAGATCTTCATGGGTCTACCTACCACTGGTGGTGGTGACGACAAGAAGACGGCCAAGACCTAGACTCTCGATACAACCACAGAAGGGGTGGGAGAAGAATGGGTGGCCGCAGTGAGATCTGTACACGGGACACGGGACACGAGACGGACTTTAAGAATGGTAGCTAGCCAACTTGGTTCTGTTTTTTCACGGATAATGAATTGTATTGGTACGCACGGGTACGGCATGTCCTCGCTGCTTTGCTCCTTACGCTCAGTACGTGCTCAGCAGAGCATTGTCCAAGGTGACTTAATTGGTCGCTGATAAAGGCGCAAGAGCGCGGACTGGCTTGACTGATACAGGGCTGGGCACTCGGACTCTAGCATGGGCTTGGCCAATGTAGCGGGGCACGCGGGACCAGTCAGACGTCATTATCAGCCGAATGACGAGTGATTGTCTATCATGCCACATGCATTCAAGCCTATTACTTTTTGTCACCCATTGTAGTCATGGCTTTTCTTGGGCTTCCTCATATCAGGTTCCAACAACGCTCTTTTCCTGCCCTACTGAATCTTTTCTCTCTCATCGAATCTCTAAACACTGTTCCATACCCTTCCCCGTAATCCAAGCGAACCAGCCGAAGTCATCCTTCACATACTGTATCCCACAGCGAAGTACAATAGTAAGTGCTATCCGATTCCTCTACGATTGCGACAACCTTTGCCACCCCCCTTGGTGCGGTTCGTGGTATTTGTCCACCTCGCGTCCACCTTCGACCAAAGAAGCAACCGAGCAGAGAGACTTACTGTTCAAACAGAAGCACAAAATGGCAGCCAATGTCTCACACGGACGTGGGGGTAAGGTTGCAAATCCCTGAAAGACATGGCTTGTGACGTTGACGTTTGCTAGGTGCCGCGAACATCGGACCGGACCCTAACACCTATACTGACGGTGAGATTGTCCGCGAAGGACCTGTGGGCAACCAGGGAGATGGCCCGTATTCAGCAGGACGAGGTGGCGCAGGCAACATCGACCCCGATGGGGTGGTAGCTCCTGGCGCCGCACCACACGATGCGGATATCATTCCGGAGCCTGCTCTGAGAGTGACCAAAGAAGAGTCTCACCACGTTGGACGAGGTGGTGCCGGAAATGAAGCTCACGTACACGAGGAAAAGAAGCATGAAGGCCTGGCAGACAAGATCAAACATATCTTCAGCAAAGATGGGAAGAAATGAAAGTCAATAGAGACTGGAGGATATGGTAATGCATTAATGGAAGATACCCACACCGATTTTATTTAGGCGAGAAAGATGGGCGAAAAATGATGGTTGGCTGCAACGTTTACGACACTCAGCCTGAGAGAGATGAAGTACGGATAGTTTATGGAGAAATGAGAGATCATATTGCAGACACTACTAGTAGACCTGTTGACGAGTTGCCATGTGAGACTGCAAGGAATACTTTTGGTAATCGCACGCCCTCGTTCTGGGGCCATCATCCCTACAAGCCATCCCAAGCCATGCCGTGCCATCCCAAAAGTACGGATATCGAGACACAAAGGGCGTCCACAAGTAAAGGCTGCGATCCGAGCCAGCACGAGGCGTGGAGATCGCGGCCATCATCGGCCCAGTCCGAAAGCTTTGCTGTTCAGACATCCCACCACGCAGTGCCACGCCCACCTAAAGTGCATCCCCCTCTTCGACTGGCACCCAATGGGCGCCCAACCGGTTGTTCTGGGGGCACGGGAAGCCTAGAGTGGTGATGCGTTGGCACTGTCATGTACCCAGTAGATCCAGAAGCCACAACCCAGAGTTCAGCTGACTTGCCTGTCACTTATTATTTCATATCCGTCCACTTGATTCCTCGCCGCACTGCCAGCAGCAATCAACATAAAGAGGATGGAAGTGCCGCAGCCTGAAACTTGAGAGTCTTGTTGTTTTCATCATTGTTTCATGATCCTACTTCTTCGCTAACCGTTACAGTACCATTAATGCATTGATTCTTTCCCGCACTGGATTCGCCTGCGGTTGCTGTCATTACTTAGCGCCGAGGTCCCTCCACGACGCGACTTTTCATGATCTAATTTTGTTTCGTTCCGATCCACCGAGTTGCAGCGACTCTTGTCGCGATTCTGCTCTTTGAAGTTTCCGACCTGCAGACATCCTCAGAATCAACGCGACTGTCAACGACGTCGAGCACATCCGATTTACGCGTATTCGTCGTTGTTTCCAATGGCGTCAACAGCATCTGCGGCCGAGCCATACCCTCCGAATATGCCGCTAACACCGGGCGAGTCTGACCACGAGGACACAACCCAGTCATCTCCCATGGTGGGAAGAAAGCGCAACGCAGGTGAGATGGAAAATGATGGTGAAAAGAGCAACACCTCAGGGGCGGACCAAGACCAGGGCCAGGGCGTGGGCGTGACGGAAACCATCGAGGCCGAGGTCAGCCCCGATTTTACAATCGAATGTCCTCCACGTCCAAAGCGTCCTACACATTCAAAGCGCCCTAGACGTCCAAAGCGCAAAATACCGTCAGTTCCGGACAACGTGCACATAGAGGAGGACGCGCCCGTGCTGGCGCCCAACCTGCACATTAAGTACGCGGTGAGACCGGGCGACAAGTGGGCGAAGTTGCTAAAGTTTAAGAATGCAAAGTGTAAGTGCGAGCATACACCAGTCGCGCAGCCATTAATCAAAGTTCTCTGCTGCCACAGTCAAGGATCCTGTCGCCGTGATCTACTCTTCAGGGCAGATAGTCTACGTCAACCGCCATACTCCCGTTCGACCGTGCCCACCCGCCGAGGCAACCGAAGACGAAAAACTCCAATACGACAAGGAAAACCTCTGGGTAGGCTTGATATCCGATTTCAGGGCCGAAAATCAGGAGAAGGTCTATGCGCGAGTGTTCTGGTTGTACTGGCCTGAAGAGCTACCAATGGGCCGACAGCCGTACCACGGAAAGAGAGAACTGGTGCTGAGTAATCATGTCGACATAATTGAAGCGCAAGCCATTGCATCGCACGCGGAGATCAGTCAATGGGATGAGAATGATGATTCAAACAAAACGGTGCTGCAGGAGCGGTATTGGCGACAAACGCTGGACCTCAACAAGTTGGCGAGAAACCCGGACCACGCGTTGAGCAAGTTACGCCAATTCTGCATATGCGGGGGGTACGACAATCCGAGCCTGGATATGTATCAATGTCACAAGGTGGGATGCGGTATGTGGAATCATGAGGCATGCCTGGTCAAAGCTATTGAAGAAAGAGCTTGGGAAAAGTTCAAGAAAGGCGCCTTGACCCATGAAGTCCAGGAGCGTGAAGAGAGCAAAGGTCTTGCTCAGAAGGTGGGAGAGGCAGTCAGCCATCTTGCAGACCGGGTATTTGGCAAAGACGAGGTTAAAGCTGAGCCGCAATCAACCACCACGGCTATAACCAAAGGCAACAAGAAACTAAAGGCGGCAACGGACAAACAGAAACCTTGGACAGGCAAGTTACAGGGCCAAATCATCAAGGTGGAGCGAGGTGGCGCCGACGATACTCACTATGCCACGGTGACTCAATACGTACCAAAGTCGAGCAGCAAGTCAGCTCCTTCTGACTTCGAACCCGAGATATGGCAAATGAAGATGGGTTGTTTGAAATGTGGCGAGGCCCTGAACTAGGCAGCTTGTTGTCCTTGGGCATATTGTTCCTTCTCACACTTCTGTGGATTGGCATTTGTTTTCAGGAGGAGGCGACCATGGTTCCTTGACTCTACAACGCGGCTGCAAGGCGTCTGGAAAAGCGATGGGGTGGCACGGTGGTTATTAGGTGGCCGCGCTTCGTGATAGCTTGGTTTGCATTTGCTGCCCAGAAATTGTATATGGTTCTGACTGGTCTTCTATGCTTACGTCAAGAGACAAAGTAATGCTCGTATGTACCTTGTAACAGTACCTCTGTAGTCCACCTTGAATGGCCTGTGCGTTGGAACATGTGCCCAGCTCGATTGGACCATATTGAAATCATGCCACTTTTTCTGTCCACAGCTTGCGTACCAGAAGAGCTGACCCTTCAACAAGTAATACATACCTAGATAGACTCCCTAGTAGGGTGCCTGATACGGGCACGATCCAGGAGCTTCCTAGTAATCCCGAGTTGACATGTTGAAACTTGCCTGCGTTGCGTTGTGGGGTGTCCTCAGGTATGAAAGGTTCCGGTACTTTTGCCGCCCGGCTCAGAAATCGATATAAAGCCGTGTACGATGAGTTGGTACAATACAACAACAACCTCCTCCTGGCTGCCTCCCAAATTCAAGCCGGCATCAATCTTTGATTCGACGAGGGAAACGGCGATGGCGAGGCTGACAACATGGTGGAAATGGTCGCGAACTTTCCATGCGTCATCGATTTGTTCCTTCCCATCGCTACCATGACTCTGGGTTCGCTTCTTTCGTACTCCGTACCAAGTTCGCTCTTTGCCCCAACATCCTTGACCCGAACAGTCCATCACTTGTACAATTACCCCAGTCTTCATTCTTTAGAAAAGGCAGGTTTATGGTCTCTCACTTTCAACGACAGCATTCTTCTCGTTCACTAAACAATTTTTATCTACTGTTATGAGGACTTCGGTGACTCTTCCAACGACACTCATTCTTCCAAAACTCGCTGACACACCCACACACCCCATCTTTCGCCACCAGGCAGCAACTTCGACCTCAGTCGGCTCGGATTTGAGCCGATGCCGCATATCTGCCGGCTCCTCAAACACTCACGCACAGACATTGAAAGCGGTTGCTCAGAGTTTCATTGTGCTGTTGATCGCCTTATTGACCTGGAGACCCTTCTTAAAGTCTTCGAAGCGGATTCCCTACCTAGAAACCTTTGACTACAATTTGTCTTCTCAGAGCACGCCTCAACATGAAGAGAGGAACCGATGACACGCTTGTGGCGGCCGGCGAGGGCCTGCAAGGCGAAGACGCTGTGCCTGCAAACACCACAGCTGCTGAAAATGAATCCTCATCGCTGAGAGTATCTCCTTCGCCGAGTGACGGCCTAAGTACTTCCGAAAAGTTACCACAGGAAGCAAATGGCACCACCACTAGCCCTCCGTTCGACGAAGTCCCTGTCGAGCGCCCTGAGAAACCCGAGTTGACGAGGCAAGAATCTCGAGCAGACAAATTTTCAAAGTCGAGAATCGTTATCATTATGTTCTCTCTTTGCATGGCTCTATTTCTAGCTGCTTTGGACGTCACCATCATCACAACTGCTTTACCAACCATTGCCGAACACTTTCACGCCTCAACATCAGGCTACACCTGGGTTGGTAGTGCATATCTCCTAGCCAATGCCGCCAGCGTCCCACTTTGGGGCAAGCTTTCTGACATATGGGGTCGGAAACCCATGATCTTCTTAGCCAACATCATCTTCATGGCTGGCAGTCTTATCGCGGGCATCAGCAATTCCATTGGACTACTCATTGGAGGGCGAGTCATCCAGGGCATTGGAGGTGGTGGTCTAGTCATCCTGGTCAACATCTGTATCGCCGATTTGTTCAGCATGAGAGATCGTCCAAAGTACTACGGCATAGTAGGCATGGTCTGGGCAATTGCCTCAGGCGTTGGGCCCGTTATTGGAGGTGTTTTTACTGAAAGGGTCTCCTGGCGTTGGTGTTTCTACATCAACTTGCCCTTGGACGGTGTCTCGCTGGTCCTTCTCACATTCTTCCTCAAGCTCGAGACCCCGAGGACTCCTTTCTGGGCAGGTATCAAATCCATCGATTGGGTCGGAGTACTCGCTATTGTTGGTGGAGTGGTAATGTTCCTGTTCGGCATGGAGTCGGGGGGTACCGAGCGTCCGTGGAACAGCGCGTATACCCTCTGCCTGATCATCTTTGGAGTGCTTACTATCGTGCTCTTCTTCATCAACGAGTGGAAGTTCGCCAAATACCCGGTCATTCCGCTGCGACTGTTCAATGATACGTCCAACTTGGCCTCTTTGGGAGTCTGCTTCATTCATGGGTTCGTCTTCATCGCTTCGAGCTACTATCTTCCCATCTACTTCCAAACGGTCCTTGGCGCAACACCTATTCTCAGCGGCGTGTACCTATTTGCATTAGTCCTCAGTTTGTCATTCATGTCGGCGGCGGCTGGCATTTTCATCAAGAAGACAGGTCGATACCGAGAACCGATTTGGTTTGGTCTGTTCATGATGACTCTTGGCTATGGCCTCTTCATCGATCTGGAACCCCGGGCAAATTGGGCCAAAATCATCATCTTTCAGATAATAGCTGGCATAGGAGTCGGACCGAATTTCCAAAGTCCTCTGATTGCTTTACAGAGCCATGTCAAGGGTCACGATATTGCCGTGGCTACCGCCACTTTTGGATTCATCCGTAATTTGTCGACTTCAATCTCTGTTGTTCTGGGTGGCGTGGTCTTCAGCAACGAGCTGTCAAAGCAGAAGGGCAAACTTGAGGATGCCCTTGGCCCGAAACTGGCTGCGCAGTTGACCGCCTCGAGCTTCGGAGCGACCGCCGATGTGGTTCGACGTCTGACTGCCACCAAGCAGACCGCGGTCCATGAAGCCTACACCTCAAGTCTGCAGAAAATGTGGATCTTCTACACAGCTTTTGCGGCATTCGGGATATTTATCAGCTTGTTCATCACGAAGAAGACGCTGAGCAAGGTGCACCAGCAGGCCAAGACGGGTCTTGCAGAGCAAGAGCGCGTGAGACAGGAGGAAATCGCGGAAAGGCAGGCTAGACGGGGCACTGCTGATGCAGAAAAGGGAGGACAGTAGGGAGTCTCTACCATTCTTGGGTCGTGTAAGAAGGGTAAAAGCATGGCGCATCGACGGGACAGAAATATCATGTGAGCGATTCAGGCGGGAGTTTTTGGGACAGTACAGGACAACCCTAGGCACTTGTGTCCAGTCGAGTGTTATCCTTACTCAACATCATATGCATTGATCAATAAACAAGTCTTCTCCGTTTACGAACCTGGCTCGTCTCGTTTGTGGTGCTCAAATAGTACACCTGTTTTTGGCTCGCAGATAACTCTGCATATAGTAGTTGGCTTTAATCTCCACATAGGATCACTGAAATACTATCCATCACAGCGAGGGGATAATCATACAAGCAATATTTGTCTCTCCGAAGAACTCTGGAATAGTGAATTCGTCGAGGTGTCTTGTGTATCGTTAATGATCACCGTGGTTGGCTAGCTAAGATATGTAGACCAACTGGGGAAAGCACCACTGCATATAAATGTTGCCGAGACTGCCTGCAGAAACCCAAAGGTATGATGGCACACCGGAGATGTACCGAGGTTGCCAGTGCTCTCGAACTGCAGGTGGCTCGAAGTTGACCTGTGTAGGTGCTTCTGAAGTGGCGCCAGCCCATGTCCAGCACGCTCGGCAAAGTCCCCTACCTGGACAGCATTCTGAATGGCTGATGAAGTTGCAGATGAGCATTGGACAGTATTGTGTATGTGCCGTTTCTTCTCCTCCTGACAGCAACCTTGATGATTTGTTGGTGGCACAAAATTGTTCGTACAACGGCTCTGGCTTTCTTACTGCGGGTCGAAACCTCCGTCCACCCATGGACATCTATTCTTCGGGAGGAGAAAACAAGCGTAAATCATCTTCCTCATCGAAGCATGACATTCGGGCCGACGTCCCAATACGCCTGAACAGCGAGCCTCGCGTAACGGAAGTCTGTCTGCAAGTCTGCGTTATCCCGTCGCCTTGAGATGGAGAGGGTCCTCGAATGTTGAGATGCCTTGACTGGCAAGGTCATTCTGCAGACTTTCATGATCCTTTGATCGTGTGCCATAGACAGAGTCACTCTGCATCAAGGGTGAAGCAACAGACCTGCCGGGTGGATAGTCCTTGACCTGTGCTGCTATGAGGCCATGTAGGTCGAGCCCTCTAGCATTGAAGCACGTTTCATGGACTTCTGAAGATGTTGATTTCATACTCTCTGCTCGATCTTGTTGTGATTGGTGATGAGCACAGCTCCATTCGTCCCTCATCCTCTCCGGTCTCGTTTGCTCCTCCACCTTCCACCTCTCCCTCTTCCTCGATCACCTCTGAACGTGAAGTCTTTTCGTACATCTTCTTCTCTTCTTTCTAAATCTGCCACCCTGTCTCGCCTGTGAGCTTCACCACCCTTGTCGCCTGCTGGTCCACCACTTCTGAGGTGGACTCCAAATTTGCAGTTCGGTCCGTCTGGGCAGAAGCCAGCCATGTAGAATTCACAGAGCTTTCTCCTTACGTGTCTCTTTCCGCATCTTGGACCCTTTTCGCAGAAACCTTTATTGTAGTCCTCGCACAATGGTAGTTTCGAACCCTCCTTGACATGAACATAGAGGCACTCGTCTCCGTTTTGGCAATACCCATTCTGGTTGTAGAATTGACATTCGCTCATCTTTCGCAGGTTGTATTCGTGGAGGTAGTCACAGGCATCACCTTTCTTGCAAAGTCCCTTGAGCCAGTGCTTGCAGACATAGTTGTCGTTCTGGCGGCCATAGTGATGTTGAGGTTGCTGAGAGGGTGTGGGATGACGGTCAGCGCATCTACGGCCGCGCGGACAGTGTCCGGTCGCGGCGTATTCAGGGCAGACTGGGACTGTTGAAGCAAGGGCAGCGACACCGTTGGAACGGAGGAATGGTGTGAAGCTGAAATTGTACGTGGGATATGGAGAGGCGTTGTTGGTCTTCGCGATCGACTCGACGGCTCCAGGAGTGCTGTCAGTGGCTACCGAAGCCATATTGCTTGACACGGGTAGGATGAGACGACGAAGAGATTGTTTCCGCAGCGAGAGCGTAACGAGAGCAATCTATTCAAGACGCATCGCTGTGCCTGAGAGGTGCGAAGGCTTGAGAATGGCGAGATGTAGTGTTGGTCACGTTGGTGAATGAATAATGCGCAGACATCTGGAATCTTCCGAGGTATTTCCGGATACCTCTCTGGGATTAGCGTGGATTCTTTGAAGCTCCCCCTTTCCGGCTCTGGGGTCTAACATTCACAACATTCTGCTGTAACGAGAGTCGTAGTTCAGACAACACCGTGGCCAATGATTGAGCCGACGTCTGCTTCGGTTCAATACTGTCTTTGACTTATCAGTCCCCTTCAATTGGGTAAGTGGGTGGTAAGCGTATCCCGACTTGAAGCTGCTGAGGAACGTTGCCGGTGGGGTTGAATTCGGGTACCTGAATGCCCCTCCTCCATCCACATGTGCTTGCAAATGATGGCCCAGTCGCAGTGACCTGCCCTTACGGGAAGATGAAATGCCTCCGGATATGCCGTTGAGCACCCGGAAAGACCCTACCATAGTACTGCCACGGTGGACAGAACACAACCATTGCTGCTACAGTCGCTGCTTGCGGGGCCACTGCAATTTGGTCCTCGTTGCTTCCCCTCCCCCCCCCCACGTCATTCTCGCAAACAATGCGTTTAGAAAACATTCACCTTTCCATTTCCCTCAGTCCGTGGAATCTGTTCTTACTGCTCACATCTGAGGAAGACTACCCACTATCGCCATCAACACAATGTCTGTCTCTACTCAAGCGACGATAGCCTCCTTTGGGGGTAAGCTACTCAAGCTTGCCCACAACTCCTCCACTCTCGGCTGCGAGATGAAATTCAACCTTTACCTGCCTCCGCAAAACACCCAGAACCAGCTCCATAAAGTTCCCCTATTCATCTGGCTGTCCGGCCTGACATGTACCGGTGACAACTGCGCTGAGAAGGGTTTCTTTCAACACGGTGCAAGCAAGAAGGGGATCGCAGTCTTGTACCCAGATACTAGCCCTAGTATGTAAGAGAAATATCATGGGGACACGTACATCTAACATTGCTGCAGGGGGCATCGGCATCAAGGGAGAAGACGACGCCTATGACTTTGGTACTGGCGCAGGATTTTATGTCGATGCTACCGCCGATCCGTGGTCCAAGAACTATAAGATGTACTCGTACATCACCGACGAACTTCCCAAGACTGTCTTCTCGGCCTTCGCCGACCAAATTGATTCCAGCCGAGTGAGCATTAGTGGACACAGTATGGGTGGACACGGTGCTTTGTCATTATACCTGAGGAACCCTGGCAAATACAAGAGTGTCAGCGCATTTGCTCCAATTGCCAATCCTCTGAAATGCCCTTGGGGAGAGAAGGCTTTCAAGGGCTACTTTGGAGAAAGTGATTGGCAAAAGAAGGGTGCCGAGCACGACTCGACCGAACTGCTCAAGAAATGGAAAGGAGGTGACCTGGATATCTTGATCGATGTGGTATGTGAATCTTGTCCGTCCTTGTTGACAGCTTAGCGGTACTGACAATTGTTCAGGGCACTGGCGACAACTTCTACAAGCAAGGCCAACTACTACCCGAAAACTTCATTGCCGCAGCAAAGGAGATCGGACAAGAGAAAGGCGTCAATGTCAGATTCCAGCCAGACTACGATCACAGCTACTACACAATGGCTACGTTCTCCGATGACCACATCGATCATGCTGCAAAATACTTGTTTGCATAGTACGTTAAACAATGGCATTTCAGTATCAAACTGACATGGATAGAAGCGGGAAGAAAAAGGAACAAAGACTTTGATTTTAGCAGTCACTGAAACAAATGTTATCCTCTTTGTCCATCCCACTTACAACCTCTCACTGTCGTGTTCGCCTTTGTTGGAAACGTCCTTTGTTCCTCCACGCAATACAACTCGTGTCATGCTTACGGCCATCCTGCTGCGAAATACGACCCATATTACACCATTCACAGCTTGCCTCAATTATCTTTTCGTCCCTTCGTCAACTTCATCAAGATGCCTGTCCTCCCAACAGAGAGTCTTAACTATGAGTACCTCGCTGCAACCAAAGATGTATGGTCCGCCTTTGCTCAAGCCAAGGACTTCTGGTATGAGAAGAGAAGCTTCGAAGCAAAGCCCAACATACAAGTCTCCAGATCGCTAGACGAGAATGGGGACCTCTTCGACAACTCCCAAGTAACCCCTTTTTGCTTTCTATCACGTGACGAGGCTGTGCCTGATCCAAATTCACAGGCAGATGCTGCAGATTGGCACTTCCTTTCAATGGACGCAGTCACACAAAGTTAAAGGTCATACAAAGACGCTATTTACAACAGCTTATCAGAACAATAAACCAATCATGCGATCGACATGGACTTGACAATGACAGAATACCCGACAATGGCTTCCCCAGCTCCGCTTCCAGCTACTGCAAGCCGGCGTCTTCTTCGAGCGGAGGACGAGGCCCCTAGAATGAAGCACAAGCGAGGCCTTGTCCTTCTCACTGAGAGGCCTACCCTGGAGTAGTGTGCTTTCAGCGGGCACAGTCTCTCGTCAGGGAACTCCTAATCTCGTCGAAAAGAAGACATCGAACATGAGTATCGGCAGCAGCGCCCAGACATAGATTGTGTTTGGCACTGTCTTACACCGCCCTCATACATATATATATCAACCACCCAAGAAAGCCATTATGTTCTGGGGGGAGCACTGACGCCAAAGGCACTTGATGCACTGGCCGGAGCACGACAAGGTGGTGAATTCGCTGCCTCAATGAGCTTCTCTGCGTCCGTCACCATTATCTTGCGCAGACAATGCGAGCGACTTCACTGCCTCGCCTTACAGACAACTTGTTTACGCGTCACATCGACTGCCTTTTTCCCTCGACCGCCTACTCTTGTTACCTCGCGATGTTTATCTTCGGATTCCGTCGACAGGAAACGGTTTTGTCTTCTTTCTCCTTCCTGCAACGTCTGACACAACCATCTGCAGAATTCTGCTATACTCCATCCACTGTCCGGAAGGTTCGACCACGCCCAGCAAGCTCAACCATCCGATTCAGTGCTCCAGTATGCCTCGAGACAACAACGGAGAAGTGTACGAGTACCGCTCGCTGGACGAGCTTGTACGCTACTCTGAGGGCATCATTGGACCGAGGACAACAGCATACGGCCCATATGTCCGTCCAGACTTCTATGGCGCCGTTGGTCAGACTCCACGACCACGTCTACCTATTCAGATACATGGTAGAAATGCACAAGCAGAGGAAAGAGAAAGACAGCGGGCTACAGCCACAAGAGTCTTGCCGGCACTTCGGAGGCTACAGACCAACTTGGCGACGCCAAATACAAGCTCGCACCCATCACCCAACCCTCCCCAGACTGTGGTAGTGTCAGCCACCCCAACTACCGCGCGTTCTGGCCGCTTCGCAAAGGTGCCCACTCTGTCGCCAATCACTGAGATTGACCCAGAGAGTACGCCACGAGCCAAAGGCCACACTGGCAGTGTCCCATCGACGGCCATCGTGACGCCAAGTCCCTTGGAAAGAAGAGGCAGCCAGACAGAGGCGCTCTCGCCAAACACACGCGAGATGAAGATACAGGATTTCAAGGAGGGTGTTCGATCGGCACGCCTCAAGCAAGAGGAGAGGAACCGGAACGCGGAGGCTGCCAAGGAGAAATGAGCAGCCAGTCTTGATGGAGCGAGGAAGGAAGCTGAATACCAAAGGAAGCAGTGAGTTAGAAAGGTGACGCTCCTGGAGAGCATCATAACCTAGAAAATAATGAAAGTTAACCAACCCGTATCACTTCACTGTTGTAAGGCGTAAGGCTGGCGTGGACCCTAGATCGAGAGCTAAGCCCAATTCGTGTGCGCCGAGCCATGCATAAGACAGGGCAGCTTGCAGCATATCCAATGTAAATCGGTTACAGAGTCTGCAAGCTGCATCTAAACTTGTATTGTCGCACATTTCGGCCGTTGCGACCAATCTCATGGCCTACCGAGGATGCGGAGGGTTCGTTCATCACAGTTGGGGCTGGGGTACTTGCCCAGCCTGATGTCCGTGACCATCTCGAGGGTTTGGACGACACCTCACCGGTTGCGCAGCCTGCTCTTCGTTGCGCTCACAATGGAATGGATCCAGTGACTCTAGCCGCAGGCATTGGAGGCGTTGCCCGCCTTGCTGCCAGTATTGGTCAAGCTCTTTTCAACCTTTGTGACAGTGTCAGCCTTGCGACCAGAGAATTTGAAGTCTTCAGTCAAGAGGTCAACACCTTTGCTACTGTCTGGATTGTAGTCCAACCATGCCTGACCGATCCCAGCGTCACCCTCTCGGGCCCTTTGATCAGGGCAATTGCCCGTATCGTAAACGATACTCGAACTATCCTAGTGGATCTTCGGGCAACAGTGGCTCTGTTCAGCGATGAGAATGATACAGAGTGTAAGGTGATGCAGAGCAAATTTCTGCGCATCACCACCTCTCCGGAAGAACAGCGACAACGCCGCCTCGAAAAATTCTTGAAGCGAAGCAAAACAGTTTTACAACGAAGTCAAATCATACAGAGAAGAGAGAGTTGAGATGTACAGGCATGACGCATTCCAAGAACGAATCCGTCGATCCATCATCGTGGTGGCCCAGCCGCAAATGTTCCCATGTAAAGGTGTAGGTAACATGTGTCAGTGTGAGATCTCACATAGGTATCCGTCTTGTCGCTCCCAGGCCTCACCATCTTCCAAAAATCCAGATAACGGGCGGCACTACCAGCTCCACCGCCGTGGCTCCTACTACCAAACCAGAGCCGAACCCATGGAGTACTCCAGAAATTGATCTTCCAATCCCAGAAAGGACCATGACAGCTCCAAGAATTGCCAACGGAACGCGTCGAGTGCGGAGGTCATTGCTTGCCCACCAGAGCATCGCTCCCCAGCCTGCCCACATCCCACCAAGAAACCGAATCTGGCTGTCGGCAAACACTGCTGCAGCAGAATTGACAGGAAACGAGACGCCAGTGGTGCGCTCTACTATTCCGACGCCCAAGAGAACGTCCGAGGTACCGGTGATTAGGGCAAAAGCAGAGCCCACTTTAAAGAACGACGAAAGCGCTGCCATTTGGTCCACCTGGATATGTTTTCGTAGTTCGAAATTCAAGCTGTAGGGCAATGCCACTCATGGAGGTTGAGGTGTATCAATCGTATAAGAAGAGATGCCACTGACTTACCAGGCACCTTCCGTTATATATGTCCACATATGGAAGAACTAACATCGGCAGCCTGTAGATCCGCCGGGTAACGGTAGTCCGTAAGCCTTCATATCGAGGTCTTCGAGTCAGCTGCGGCCGTAAGACCTCTCACCTCGAACGGCGCATACCGGAAGCTCCACTGTTTGAGAGCGAAGAGCCGCTGTGAACGTCCTATGAGCGCACCGTAGGTAGCGCTGAAAATACGGGCAAATGCTCAAGGCGGATGATAGGGGCATCCAGTTGGCACTCGGCAAGTTCGGTACCAGTGATTGCTGTAAAAGCAGCATGCTTGAGGCTGCCAAGACTGGATGATTTCACAGCGGGTGGGCAACGTTGAACTTCACCCGAGTCCTAGTCATTTTCAAGTGGGCCGGCCACAACTGCGATGACTACCTGCAACATTCTCGTATATCGGAAACGAAATTCGACATCTATGCTGTGAGATTTGTTGATTCAAAAGGAGCATTTTGCAAGGAAACATCTCACCAGCACCGTCATGGAATAGTCCAGGAAGCACGTGCTTCCACTTCTGGTCACCCAAATGCGGTGACTATATCATTCGACCAGTGTTCCGGAATTTGTAAGGTGGGTGAGGAACACTGGCATTACCTGATGGATGACCAGGTAGGTCATTAAGTTGTTGCGTGCCATGCTCATCTGACAAGCCTTTCTAGATCATCTCGGCGATTCAGATCGCTTACGATCCTGCCTCCGATCCCACTCTCAAGCGACAGGCATTTGACTATGTCAATCAGCTGCGACAGGAACCCTCAGCATGGCAGCCATGCCTCTCCATATCACTCCAAATCCCACGTCAGCCTATGGTCATCCGCGTCTTTTGCCTCGATATTGTCAACAATGCCTTGCAAGCAGGACTGGTGGATCAGGCAGGCTTGAAGACCATTAAAGACCAGCTCATGACATACCTGCAAAAATCCTACGGTTCAACTTCTGAGGAAGAGACTCCAGATCCAGGCACCATTGTCAATAAATTCGCTCAGACCGTAACTCTTCTCTTTGCTGCTTTCTACGGCTCCGGATGGAATACTTGCTTCGACGACCTCCTGGCTTTGACCTCAAGAGAGACTGGCTCGAGGTACAACTACCCGGGTGTAGTATTCTACCTCACAGTACTCAACTCCATCCACGACGAAATAGGAGACATTCTATTATCGAGATCTCCCGATGAGCAGGAGAGGGCAACCACACTGAAAGATCTTGTTCGACAGCGGGATGTCCAGAAAATCGCGCGTTCGTGGGAAGAAATCTTGTCACAATGGAGAAGTTCCAATGATGTTGTGGCCGAGTTGTGCCTGAAGGCCGTGGGAAAATGGGTCAGCTGGGTGGACATCTCCCTCGTGGTGAACCAACAGATGCTTGAATTGTTATTCCACCAGTTGGAGCGAGCTCAAAAGGTCAATCCACGACCCGGCGAGGAGCTAGCCCGTGATGCTGCCGTCGACGTCTTCACTGAGACCGTTGCGAAGAAGATGCCTGCTGCGGACAAGATCAACATGATCACCTTTTTGAACCTCGAAACTGTCATCTCGCAGCTTGTCACATGCCCACCCTTGAGGGATAGCAGAGCGTCAAACTACGATGTAGACCTCGCAGAGACTGTGGCCAAGCTGGTCAACACTATAGTGGCAGATCTCGTCAAGATACTGGACACTGAGAATCAGAGCTCCCCAACATGGGCTAAAGCCGAGCAGCTTCTCGCAGCTTTCCTCCCCCATCTGCTCCGGTTCTTCTCGGATGTGTTTGACGAAGTCTGCTCAACTGTACTGACCGCCATGAATGACGTTCTTGCATTCCTCCGACGGACAGGCGCAGACACAGGGTCCGACCAACGGGCAGCCATGCTCCTGCCCATCATCAAAGCAATTTTCACCAAGATGAGGTACGATGACACAGCCGATTGGAATCAGGAGGATGAACAGACCGACGAGGCCGAGTTTCAAGATCTGAGGAAAAGATTGGCCTCTCTTCAGTCAGCCATCGCTGGAGCCGATGAGCGACTCTATGTCGAAGCAATCTCGACCTTGGTCCATGACACGTTCCAAAGATTAAGAACAGAGGGCTCGCAATTGGACTGGCGCGACCTTGATCTCGCCCTACATGAAGTCTTCTTACTAGGCGACGTCGCAGGCAAAGGTGGTGGTCTGTATCAGAAGAACAAACCGAATTCTCCAGCAGCCGAAAAGCTAATTCAATTGATGCTGGAGATGGTTCAGTCGAGTAAGTTGTCAGTCCCTTTCGTGATTGATCTGCTTGTTGATCTTCCACAGATGTCGGCTCTTTCGGCCATCCTGCGATTCAGCTGCAATTCATGGAAATTTGTGTCAGACACAGCAGTTTCTTTGAGAAGCAGACTGAGTATATCCAGCCCGTCTTGCAAAATTTTCTCGAACTTGCACATCACCCAAGTCTAAAGGTCAAGGCTCGAGCATGGTACCTAATCCAACGGTTGATTCGTCAATTGCGGACCCACCTTGGAGATGCTACCGAAGCAGTGGTACAGAGCCTACAGGACCTTCTTACTGTGCGTGCAGAGCTTCCGAACGAATCAGACGGAGATGATATGTCGTCGGACAATGAGTCAACCACAGACTCGACCTTTCAGAGCCAGCTGTATTTGTTTGAAGCTATTGGATGTATATGTGGCTCGACTTCAGCTGGACCGGACAAACAAGCTCAATATGTGCAAGTCATTATGCAACCTCTTTTCTCCGACATCGAGCGCAACTTGGAGGCTACAAGAACTGGAAATGAACTTGCGAACCTCCAGATACATCACTCAATCATGGCCCTTGGCACGGTAGCGCGAGGCTTTTCAGAGTTCACTCCGGGGTTTGCTTCGCAAGCTGTCGGGGCCGAGCCTACATCTCAAGCCAAACAAGCATTTGCTCAAGTTGCCGAAGCTACGTTGGTTACCTTGACCGCTCTTAAGTCATCATTCCAGATAAGAACAGCTGCGAGATTCGCCTTTGCACGTTTAATCGGCATCGTCGGCACACAAATGATGCAGCAATTACCTCAATGGGTGGAAGGCTTGTTAACGGAATCTTCCACCAGAGACGAGATGGCTCTTTTTCTACGATTACTGGATCAAGTCATTTTTGGCTTCAAGAACGAGATATCGGATTTCCTGGATCGACTCTTCTCAGGCCTTCTTCAGCGAGTCTTTGCCGGGATGTCTGCGGGCACCTCGGGCACTGACGACGAAATCGAGTTGGCCGAGTTGAAGCGAGAGTACCTAAATTTCTTGATGGTTATCTTAGGCAACGATCTCGGATCTATCCTAGTCAGCGCCACCAACCAACCGATCTTCGAGTCTGTAATCAGCTCAATAGAGCAGCTTGCAAGAGATGTGGAAGATTTCCCCACGGCGAAGATGGCGTTCATCCTGCTATCCAGAATGTGCACCGTCTGGGGTGGACCTGATGTGGTCGCCGCCAATGGTCCTGTCGGGGGCACTGTAACTGGGCCTCAGCCGGCTCTACCAGGATTTGACCAGTTTATGATCACTCGGTTCTCCCCATTGTGCTGGAGTTTACCGACTAATCCATCTTTCAACAGTAAGGATGCACAGGCTCGCCAAGCACTTTCTGAAGCGGCCGGGTTACAGAAGACAATCTACACCAAAACTGGCGAGCAATATTTGTCTTGGCTACAGGAAAACGAGCTCCGGACGATGGGCATGAATGACACCATGATCAATGAGTACTTACAGAAACTGACGACCTTGGAATCTAAGGCGTTCAAGGCCTTTTTTGCCAAATTCATTGCACAGGGAGGACAGTTGTAAAAAGCGGGAGATGCATTAAGGAACGGAGTGACGTTGCATGACCTGCATATGATACCAAACACCATTTGAGACGCGTTATGCAGCATCCACGATGGTTGTGGCCAATATCGAAGAGCGCTTTTAATACCTTTAGAAAATAAATATTTTGATGCATACAGTGTTCCTCGAAGATTCGTGGTCGAGTTGTCACATGCTGCTTTAGATGGATTAAATGCCAAGGCTGCGGCAAACCTTCCTAGAGAGCAACCCACAATTTGGTAAATTCATGAACTTTCAACATTCGACGTCAATCGACATTAAGAACACAAAAGCTGCGCGTTCTATCAGGTCACTGAAGTCGTCGAGATGGCCAGTAAGTCGCTGCAATGAGGAAGTTGGAAAAACGGTCTGACCACAAAACAGAATCAAAGAACTCGTCCCAGCACAACCAAGCCAAGAAGGCTCACAAGAACGGGTAAGGACACGCACTCCTGTTGCCGAGGATTGCTCCTCTCCTGCAACAGATGCGAATATGACCGACTGACTTTCAATTCGACTATAGCATCAAGAAGCCAAAGACCCACAGATACCCTTCGCTCAAGGGCACAGATCCCAAGTTTCGAAGAAACCACAGACATGCTCTGCACGGAACGATGAAAGCGCTCAAGGAGGTGAAGGAGGGAAAGAGAGATACGGCATAAACATACAAAAATATGGGTTGGGTCCTCGGGTACGATGAGAGAATGGGCGAAAGCATTCCAACCGGCGTTATGAGCCTGGCCGAATCGACCAACAAATGAGCAGACCAAGACAAGGAGGATGAGGTGCGAATCGTCAGCATAATCCAGCAAGGAATAGGAATGGCGTTACGCTCCCGCAGCTCTCAGAAGCAAGCCGAGAAGAAAATGAAGACGAATGCCTGTCCCTTTCCCCGTCCATTGAGCCGATGTGAATCTCTGGAGACCGTGAGTGGTTCTTGTTTGATCGCTGGGTCCCCCTCTTTCGATGGCATTTGTGTGTACAGCGTCGCGCCTCCTTACTCAATGCGCGATGTCTGAAGGATAATATTCTATCGTGCCTATATGAACACCTGAACCTCCCAATTACCAAACACTTACCTTCAAAACCATGGAGGCTGGTGCATGGACGGGAGGTGACATCCCTAGCGACAGAGACTCTTGCTGTCATGTTCTGCTCTGTCACAAGCCGAGGCAGACCGAGGGCTGTGAGTCCAGGTGCACCAAATCCTCTCATAACGCTTTCTGGCGGGCCCTGGGAGAAAGCATGTCCTGCTTTGCGAACATCTAGCGAACATTGGCTTGAGAAACATGTGTCGCTCCATTATCACGACAGGACTGAGTCAGTTCCTGCTCTGAGTCAATGCAATGCACCTCCTCCCCATAACCACAAGGATTCGCTCCAGCTCTGTTTCTGATACATCAATGCGAGTACACCGAACGCGACTTCCTTGCACACACGACACCATGACATTTGCTTTCTGCTTCCCATGTTTCTCATCCCGCGTCATTTCGCTTACATTTGGCTGAGAGACGGACTATCAGACGCCACACATAATGTTCGTTTGACGAGGGCAAGGGTTTCTGCTCCTTGCCCTGGTCTTTTCGTCATTTCAAAGAATTCTTATGAGGAAATTGAGCCGCCTTCTGACAGTGTTCCCTGCCTCTATCATGTCCTTTTGCACATATACCTCCATATGGTCATAGCAAACGCGTTCAATCCTGGTAAGCGAGACGTCGGGCCTCGAAGTGCTCGTCAACGCGGTGGGTTTGAAATTTGCAATCCCAGTCACCGCCAGCACTCGCACCACAAGCTCGACAGGCTCCAACTTCAAGGATGTGCACGATGGGCAGGGGAAATACACCAGAAAATCGCGCAACCATCTCGTCCCAGGCCATGGATGCCACAGTGATCAACAATTCCTCGAAAGTCTCCCTTATGGCCCATCTAGATATACACCCGGCAGGAAAGTGATGTCCTCTACTACCAGCTGTGGCACCTGCTGCCATACCGACACATCTGCAGATCTCCCCCCTCGAGCTACGGAGGATTGACTGCGGGATACCATATCGATATCGCAATTGCCCCTCACTTGCTGAGGGTGCATGGTCTGAACGCTTCTGGCTTTGCACATGGCGCGGAAATCCACCATTGAGAAAGTTCTCGAAAAGCCACCACGGACGTGTGAAACAACGGTATGCATAGTGCATGCAGCTGCGAGGAAGAAGCATTTTTGACGAGGAGCCCGTAGTAAGCGCTCCTGCGCTAGGGGTTCATTCCAAAAGTGGAATAGGGAGTGCTCGGTGAGCTCGGCACCTAAGCCTTGCACAGAGTCGGTCCTGACACATCTCGGAGATTTCTACTGCTTAAGCATTCTGCAGACGCCACAACTGTGCATGGCTGCTTAGGCTCAAAGAATATTGAGATCCGCTGTCAGTTTACTCAAAAGATCGATCGATGACATTGGGTGCTAGCAGGCGTGGAGGTGCCACAACTTGCACACGGCACGCCGTCAACATGACAAAGTCACAATGTGCTATGGGAGAGCTGTTATGCTTGACGCTGGGTCAGCTCTTCTGAGCTCGCCGGCAGGCCTGAAGAAAGCTCAGAAAATATCGAGGTAACAGAGCTTGGCCTCATGAAATGCCCCAAATCCTTTGGTGGGACACAAGTAAGCTGCTGGAACGCCTAACCTCTACCCCATAAGGTAGTCCAGCCCAACTCCTTTTCAACCACCCTTGAGCTTTACGGCAATTATCGTCTTGGGCTCCTAGCTATGTGGCTGCTGCACTTTCGCGCGTCGGACAGACCCATGGCGGAGTGAATGCTTGTTTAGCGAGGGTTTGACGTGAAGAATGCTGGTATTGCTGACCGGCATATCTGCATGGGTGTCTTGCGCCTACGGTGCAAGGAAGGGAAGAAGTCGGTCTAAGATCATCGACAATCCGGCTCTGCGAGCCATGGCTATAGAGTCCATTAACTCGGAAGCAACGGCCTGATCACCAACAGCATGACGCCGGCTTGGGGACGAGCAGTTGATATGCTTGGATGATGAGCAACAGCAAATGATTTTCCTGGCACCCTTGCTGATCTCCTTTTTGTGCGTCTTAACTTCTCTCAACGTTGCATCGAATGGATGCTACGTGCGGATGGTACCCCGGACTCTCCTGAGAAAGCCAGCAAGATACGCAGTAAACGCCTATTTGAGCCTTGATCAACAACAACGGCATTAGTTGTTTGATCCCACGAAAACGTGGCACTCTGCTGGAGTTCCATTGCTACCCTGCCAATCACTTAGCAGGGGCCTGTGACTTGCTAGGCTGATCTCAGCCTCATCTTCAGTCCGCCTGAATCAATTATGCGACCGCCACCTCCTTCTGATGTGGTCCAGGATCTATTGGATGTCCATGATATACACATCTGGTAACGACAATGAACGAAGGCGTTCTACGCAATTGCTGGGGCGAAGAGATGAACGTGGTCCAACATCTAGATACTTGGCGATTCGTCGCTCCGGGGTGTTCCATGACGACTCTCTCGGTGCACTGTTTCAGACCCCTGGAACAAGAGACGAACTCAACAGCCTCGTCCAGACGAATAGTCGGAATGCCACGTTCCAGCTACATCGTAGATGGCAGCCCGAAGAAAACAGAGAACGGATTCTCTGCCTCGTGTGCATGTGCCACAGAAGATGTTGCCAATTTTGGTTCTCGCACTTCAAGGCGATTTGTGAGGCGAGAAAGCATTTTGAGTCGACGACAAGAAAACCCTTCGAACGAGCTTCAGACCTCAATGATGAAATATCTGCTCCGGCAGATATTTACCGGACCTTCAAATTCCCGTGGATCTCCTTGTCCGCTTCGAGGTCCCAGATTTGACAGGCTCGCATCCCGCTGACATACATATTCTCAAACACTTCCACCCCTGCATGGGCCGGAACAGCTTCAGAAATCCCCAGAGGCGAACGAACCTTGATCAGACTTCAGCTTTTGCACTCGGCATAATGGCGGAATCTAGAGCGGGAGCCTCGTTCAAAAATCGGGGGGCGACTTCCGATCCATGAGTTCCTGTCGAGTGCCAAATGCCAAACATGAGAGTCATCTAACACGTGGTAATAACAATCCTGACATTGTCACGTCAAGTGACTACACCCGGACATCGTGGAAAAACTAGGGGAGCGTCGCAAATCAAGTTAATTCCCGACGCCATAGCAAACCTATGCTCCTACAGTCCTTAAGCATGTTCGGGTAGATCTAAGACAAGACATAGAGGTTTCGATGTAGAGCATGTTAATTGAGCTCTCGAAAGAGTCTGGTTCTCCTCTCAGCCGGCCACGTCTTCAGTATCCCGCTCTTCAGCTTGTTCGAATACTGACATGCTCATCTCTATCTCCTCGCGACTATCCCGCCCTAGATGAATCCACTTCCAGGGCCTTTTCGCTCTCTCTTCTTCGACACAAAGTCTCAAAAGGCAATCAGGATCCAGCCTCCTCGCCTCCAACGATAAATTGACTAACGTGGGTATATCTTCCGCCGCTCTTCCTCTTCCTCGTTCTTTGTATAATGGTTTGATAAATCACATGGAGGCTTCTCTGAAACGGAGAGTCCGTTTGACCTCCTAATGCTCGCTTTCTCTTTCCGCTGTGAAGCGACGCTCCAGTAGTATTGAAATCTTCTAAGAAAACATAACCCTGAATCAAGGGACCAAGACTGCCAGCCGGGTTGACTTGGCTCCTTGGCTTCCGAAAAGGTGATGGACTTGTGGCAGGGTCCCTGCTGTACAATAATGCAATTACGCTTTCCCGCGCCCCTGCTATGCCGCTTGATATAATACAAACATCTCTTGAAGTATCCAGACCTGGCGAGATCGTGGTCGTTGAGGGGTTGGTGGTGGTCCTTGAGTAGGTAGTATACGTTGTAGGTGCCCAAGCCAAAATCGCTGGATTGTGACATTCGTCAAGCTCGCAAGTTTGTCGTCCTTGGTGCCAGCTGCTCATTGATGAGACGTATATATTCATGAATGATGAACGGACTATCGCTTGTTGCTGAGGGGATTATTCATCCTGGATAGCTCTTCATGTCGTAGGCGACCCCAGGGCTGGCGTGGGTCGATCTCGGATCCCAGTCTTTCTGTTGACTTGGAGGTCTCGGGTAGGAATAACTCGAGACGGGGTTGACGTAGGCACGGGCAGTGCCAAGATAGTCCTGCTTCAAATCTGGTCCCGGAGACATTCCTTCCCGAGGGTTGGGACTTAGGACTCGATCTGGGGTTCTGATGTTAAGTTGAGTCCCCGTTCCGCTTAGCATTTCGTACGTACGAGGGTCGTTCGAGAGATGTCTGGCATCAGCCGAGACGAATTCGTTCTTCTTGCGTCCAAATTTGGTCCTGAAAAGTTCCAGCCAGCCATGCAACATGGACCAACGGCCCAAGAACATCAGGCACCAAAACCCGCTTAGCTGTTATAAGGGTAAGCCAAAGATCAAAACAAGTATGGAGAGGACCTCACCCCGAGAATGATGAGCACGGCCAGCACCACGCCCTCAGACTTGACTAAGTCTTTTGCTAGTGGCAAGCACTGGTTCTTGTCACCATTTGTGGTGGCCAGACAGGTGATCCAAGGCGTGGCATTGTGGATCAGCTCCTGGTTGATCTGGCTGCTGTTGTCCATCGACACGAACACCACAGAGAAAAATACGACCTCTGCAATAATGACAACAACAAGACTTGCACCACGCCATTGAAGCTCGATGACTCGCTTGACTCGGCGGAAGGCCTGCCTCGCCGACAGTGTCCTCATACTGCCCGAGTAAGTTGGGGCTTGAGAGCTTGTGTTGGTCGTGGTCTTATCATCGAGGAGACTCCTCACATAGACCTGGATGCAGTAGCCGATCGTGATGAACTGGAGCACCATTGCGAGGGCGGCAAAGGCCAACAACGGGCCCCAGAAGTCCTGCAGCGCGTCTTTGTGGTTGATATGACAGACATTCCCAAAGCGAAAAGAAACTCCAGTCAAGCTCAAAGTGAGTGCTAAGCCAACGGCTGGAATGATCCAGCCAAAGGCTAAAGCCCCGTAGAAGAATTTGTCTCCAGGGCTCACTTCCCAGCAAATCTGGAGGTGGAGCGAGAGCGCACGACAGAAGACCCAAACGATTACAGCCCAACCACCGAACATCAAAAAGGCGCCGCTGATTGCGCAAACTCCGCTGGTGCGCATGTCGTTGGGAGTGATTTCGTTGAAGCATTGCTCGGGTCTCCCGGCAAGTGGTACGATAAAGGCGAGCTGGCAGCAGTGTCAGCCCAGGGCCCATGTCCAACTCCATGTCACAAACCTCAATGAAGATGACACCCAGCGCCAAGCAGACACTGAGATAATGCCTGTGGGTGAATTTGACAGGGAGTACAATGAACGAGAGCATCAGGTATATCGACAGGACGAATGCTGCCACATTGACCCAGTTCGCAATCTCTGTCCGGCTTTCGAATCCTGCACTAGGCTCAGTAATCGTCCATCAAGTCCTTCGAATGGAAAAGGTACCATCACGGTAGGTCCAGTCGGTAGTTGGACAGGGCAAGCAACATGTGTAATTGCCAGTCAGGGGCATACAAAAGCGCCCAGATATAACTGAGAACATCAGCACCATTCTCGGGTAGCTATGCTGGACGGGCGGATACGTACAGCCACCTGTGTCTGGAAAGGCGCTCTCTGCGAAAAAGGGAGCAAGGCATAAACCCCGAAGTTCAGAGGACGTGGCCATATGTAGCATGTGTTAGGCACCGCACCAGAACAAATGATACTATGTGCTCATGACTGCGGCTCGAAATTTTCGGATTTGCGAGGATTGAGAGGATATTCGTCCAGCTCGAGCGCGTGACTGAGGATGAAGGTGGTGTAAAAGAGTGGATGTGGAAAGGGTGTTTGTAATGGTGGGTGGGTGGGACGAATATGAAGGGTTCAGGTCGCTCTCAACAATGTATTGTCAAGGAGGGATGACAGAGCACTCTCGGGAAAGGATCGAGACACGCAAAGGAGCAAAGCTTTGAGTTGTTGAAGAGGGAGATGTGTCAGGGCTTACCCATGTTCACTATGACGAGAACGAGGATTCGGCGGGGTGGAGGATGCTGGCTTGCTGGGAATCGGAATTAGTGGATATTCATTGGCGGGTGGTACAGGTGCCTGGAGGTCTGGGACCTGCAGCTGAGAAGGAAAACGTTCGTCTAGCGGTGTCTTGGGTGGTGAAGTAGGTACTCCGTACGACGGGGAGACGATGGTTTCCTTGAGGTAGCATGTCGTGAAAGTGGATTCGATACGAAAAGCCGTGGTGGAGAATGGCTGCCAGGCACGCTGCACCCACTTTGTATGACTGGTACGGGTTAGAGCAAAGAGACCCAATGGCCGGGCTCAAAGAGTGAGGCCGAAAAAGGCAGCGGGCAAACAAAGGGACGAGAAGGTGCGATCAGAAGGGCTCAAGTCGCTGAGAGCATTGAGTGGCGCGATGCATTTTCCGCTCGTTATCCTTGAGCCATGTTTTTCGCCAATTAAGAATAGATCTGGAATTGCTCAGTCGCTGCCTCAGCAGCCGGCGTGTTGCAGCAAACGGCCAAACGCCTGGTCGACCAACGGTTGTGCGAGAAGTAACGGTACAGGATAAGGCCGAGAGCAAATTGCGACCGAGAAAGTGAAGAATTGCGTAGGATTGGATAGAGAATACGACCTTTCGCCAACGCGTTCAGGTGTCGGGAAAATGAGACCAGGGGTACGGAGTACATGGAGGACACCAGGGGACATGCGAGCGCTAGCAAGGGTCTCCACCAGGTACCAGGGGCCCTTGGAAGTCAGGAGGAAGACCGCCATGAGTTGGAATGATGATTGGGTTGCATCCAGGCCCAGGTCAGCTTTTGTCTGACATGATTTTTCATGCCGCGGAACGCTTGAAAGCGGACAAGATAAGCGATCCGGGTTGGCGAGGGACAGTGTTGCGAAGCTGGTGCGATGTTGGCGGATGTTGATGAAGCGGGAGATGATATATTGGACGATTGAATATATGTGTGCGAGAGACGAGGAGGGTAAATGATGACTTTCGTGCTGGAATAGTTTTGACCATCTCTGCTCGCTGCTGCTCAGTGTCATAGGCGTGTGTGTGCCTTTTGCTGTTGCCAAGCCGGGATCTGCCGAGCTGACAGACAAATGTTCCCTCCCCTTCCGGTAGGCAGATGGTGGCAGGAATAAGTATATCCTCGAATCGAGCTGCATTATTCTCATCGCTTCTTTCGCTCTTAAGTCACAGCAACTTCACCAAGCTGTCACCCCGTTAGGTATCACAGGACTCTCTCACCACTATGATGGATGTGGTCGGCTCCCAGCCTTACTACGGCATAGCCGCAGAATCTCGCCTTGTCTTCTGTCATGACAAGTCAGTTTCTGGCCCGATCCGATTCCCCCACACCGGTCTGTCATTCCAGGTGTCAGCGACCACTTATTATGCCGCCACAACTTAGCCCAGGAGCAGGCTGCTGTTGACCGATGAATGTCATCTGTACTGCCTGTTTTTGCATGGCTCTGGCAAATCCCAATTGACTCGCCCATCACATCATGGCCCCTACCAAACCTCTTCCATGCCTGCTGCAGTCCTCTGTCGCCTCAAACGAAGCCAAACATATTCCAGAAAACGAGACATCGGGGTCGAAGGAGCACAGAGCAAACCACACAGTCACAATTAGTTCAGGCAAGGTTTCACCTGTGTGTCGCCCTGGTTATGCATACTAAGATTCGACCTCTGTGTCCAACAGCATATACTCGTCATTGGCCATACGACGCATGCCCAATTCGTAATGGTCCGGCAGTACTAATGCGAGTCAAGCGAACTCTCAACCGTCTTGAGTATTTGCATACTATGAATTCGCTGCATGTAGCCGTACATTTTGCACATGAACTGTCTACCTCATCTTTGTCTAATGCATCAAACCAGAGCGAGAATCGAGTACCTCTTTTGACAAATAGTCAGCGCTTGAGTCGACGAGATCTGCCATACTGACTCTGCCAGTGTGTCTGCCAGGAAACTTTTGAGACACAAGCAGGGAGAACTGGGGCAATGCACGTGGAAGTCAAGGATAGCGCAAAGTGCGAAATCCTGGCCCCAAAAAGTATCCGAAGTACGAGCTGATCTTGAAGATCATCTCTCTTGGGGCGAAACCTTGAAGACGACGATCAGCTGGAACAAAATACGCCTCGGTTGCGTACATTCAACTCCCATCCTCACTGGTCATCATCTCTACATTTTTTGGACGCTTTGTCTATGCGGAATTTTATCATTCGTCAAAGCCACGATGCAGAGCCTTCCTTAGCTCGACACCAAGGATTTGAAAATCTTTCCAATCATGTCACAGACACGGGCTTCTGTCTTTACATTGGTGCTCGCCAACTGTCTCGACAATTGCAATCACCCCGACAAGGTCTCGCGTTCCTTGTCGCCGCTCCAGCTTTCGTACCTCGAAGGCTGTCATCCACACCGGGAAAAGATTGTTGTGCCACAGCGTCAGGAGTCCCCATTTTCAGGAACCCACCAAGACCGTTGGGCTTTTCAAGGCCTGACCCTGTTTTGGGAAATCAGCTAGGTGAGTCCGACCTCGAATTGATCCGTGTATGAGGTCTGGGACTTGACAGGATGACCAATCTCTGGGGCCCATATGTATAGGATGGCCCCACTGGCAAACAGTGGTGTGACGCATGATTGTGCTGCTTTCATCTGGACCTGGCGTGCGGTTGGCAAAGGCCTATTGTATCAACTCGATTACGACCGAGCAAATGGCTGCTGTAGTGTGCCATCAGGTTGAAAGGTGTCGTTAATTCCAAACCCGGATGGTTGTTGAGCCGAAGTATACGTCGGATGTAAATCCATCACGCCTCGTCGGGAGGAGAATCTCAAGCATAGGTTGTCTGCTCAAGTCGCAACTCTTACGCTGCATTTAGCACGCGGTCCTGCATGCCTTGTCAGTGGGAGATCTAGACAATGATAGACAATGAGATTGACGTACCACAAATTGTTCCAGACTTGCCTCAAACAGCTCGTTGTCGACGCCGATACCTCCAGGGTGCTCGACTGGAGACAAGGGATTCTTCACCACATATTCAACATAACAATTTACATATATCTGCTGCAACGCAATCCGCATCGACCCAGACTTTGTGTCTGTGAGCATGACAAATTTGGTATTGGTCGGGGTTTCGTAGTAATGGAGCTTGTACTGCGATGTACGGTAGGAAAGGAAACTGCGCTCTCATATCAGATCAGTCCCGAACCACGGGTTGTGTGTGCCCAACCTGTCATCTTCGCCTCCCAGCTTTCGCACCATATTCCGCAGCGAGAAGACGGTGCCGAAGATGAGCTTAGCATCATCTTCTGCACTCAAACCAGAGCGCGCTTGGAGACCGCCGTTCACATAGGATTGGGAAGATGGCCTGGATGTCTTGCCAGTAGATGACATTAGGGGAGGCAGCCAGCGCCTCTTGTAGATGCACTCAGCTGCATACTGCAATCAGTAGATGCATATGTCAACAGTCAATTGGGTGCGCCTTACCATGGCGGTCGAAGATGTAGAATGAATAGACGACCATTTTGGCGCAATTGATCGTGACCGCTTCTGGGCCAAACCAGCTATATCGCCAAAAAAGGAGATCCCTGTCCACATTCAACTTGACCAGAAACGTCAAGCATGCTCAAGGCAGTAACAGATCTTCTCAATAGCATCAGCGTTTCCGTGGACCGTTGTTGTTGGATCCTAAACAATGATATCGGCAGGATTTGGGGAACGTTGGAGAGGCAGACTGGCAGGTGCAGCCGGACGTTTTTATCACCATCCTGATGACTGCCCTCACTAAGACCATTGCTCGGTACGGCGCACCTGGATCACAGACTCGCCTCTACAAATTTCGATGAGAGGCAGCTATTTATTGTAATGTCGACGGCCCCATGGATATCGTCGCGTCCCCTACGTCCACGTCGGCGGAGGAAGCTGCTCGCTTTCCCACCGCTCGTGGTCTCGATCAGCCCCGCCAATCCGAATCACATGCAATTCCCCTCGATGCGAACAGCGAACCTGAACCCAGCCTGAAGACGCCTCCACCATCGAAACAGCATCTGTAAGAGTAATACAATCACCACCGTCATCCTTCAAGCTGACTCTCTGCAGAACCAGCCCCGAGTATTCCAGTCCGCTTCGTCATCACCGTCGGGCTCCCTCTGCGCCCAAGCAGGTCAAGGTACATCCGTCTCCAAAAATTCCGAGAAGCTGTTAATCCAGCCCGCGTAGGAATCTCTCAATGCTCGATCAGAGTACATTACCAGTCAGGATGATGGGGTTGCAGAGCATCGCATCAATCAATACACCATCAAGCAAGAGATTGGACGTGGATCATTTGGCGCCGTGCATCTGGCAGTCGATCAATATGCTAAAGAATATGTGAGTTCCGCTACACCGTCATTCTCAATACCGGCTGATTTGGCCTAGGCAGTGAAAGAATTCTCCAAAGCCCGGCTACGAAAGCGTGCCCAATCACACATCCTGCGTAAACCCTTGAGCCAAAGACGCCGCGGTGCTCTACATGGCTTCAACTCTCCTCTGCACCGCAACCTGGGAGATGACGGCAAACCCCAGTTGAACGCCATTGAATTGATCAAAGAAGAGATTGCTATCATGAAGAAGCTGAACCACTCGAACCTGGTATCACTGATTGAGGTATTGGATGACCCTACAGAAGATTCTCTATACATGGTCATGGAAATGTGCAAGAAAGGAGTCGTGATGAAGGTCGGACTTGACGAAAGAGCTGATCCGTATCCTGATGACGTCTGCAGATATTGGTTTCGAGACCTAATTCTAGGTATCGAGTATCTGCATGCTCAAGGCGTCGTACATCGTGATATCAAGCCGGATAATTGCTTGATTACCGAGGACGATGTGCTCAAGGTTGTCGACTTTGGAGTCTCGGAAATGTTTTCAAAGGATTCGGAGATGCTCACCGCAAAGTCGGCGGGAAGCCCAGCGTTCTTACCGCCAGAGCTCTGCGTTGCCCGACATGGCGATGTGTCCGGGCGAGCGGCTGACATCTGGTCCATGGGGGTAACGCTATACTGTCTCAAGTATGGGAGAATACCATTCGAGAAGACAGGCATTTTTGAACTCTACGATGCTATCAAGGCTGAAGATCCTGAACTGCCAGCGGACGAGAATGAGGACTTTCGAGATTTGATAACCAAATTATTGGAAAAGGACCCGCAAAAGCGGATCAAAATGCGCGAGCTGAGGGTAGGTCAGCGAGTGCATTAATATGCCCATGTGAGGCTTACATGCTCTAGGATCATTCCTGGGTCAACCGCCGTGGAACAGATAAATTGCTATCTGAGGAAGAAAATACCTCTGATCTTGTCGAGCCACCCACCGAAGCTGAAATGAATTCTGCCATTACCACCAACATGAGAAATGTGATGACAGTGGTGAGTATCTCCATGGACTAACCCCTTTCACATCGGTTGACTGCTCCTGTAGGTGAAAGCGGTTAACAAGTTCAAGTCGCTGCTGGAAAGCAATAGATCTGGCGCCATGACTTCGATACTTGGAGACCAGGGTGATGCACATTTTTCGTATCCTCCTGCAACTATGAAAAAGGAAGCAAATGTACAGCCGATTAAGCCTGTCAAACGTGCTGGTGTCACCACAGGGGACTCTACGGAAAAGGATGAATTGCAGCAAGGCAGCAAGAGTTACAATCCGCGTCCGGTACCTACCCTAAGCATAGATGATACGACCATACCAGCCGAGAACAAGCAGAAATCAGGCGTTGTCAATATGCCACCGACCCTGCCACAGGAAGCCAGCACAGATCCAGAAGATGTTTCCAGGGATCCAACAGTTGCAGAGATAGAGAGTCTAGACCCGGCAAAGCTGCCGCCTTTCCGCTCTTCGAGACCTCAGGCTACTACAACAGACGATGTAGGTCGGCGGGGGCAGGCACATGATCCCCTGGAGGACCATCTTTACCTTTACATCGGACCTTCGACATTCTCCGGAGTCAGTTCACATGCCGAAGATGACGGTGCATTCATGCCACATGAGGACGACATGCTTGTTGTCAGTGAGAGTCCTGGCGCAGCTGATGTCGATATTTATGAGACAGCTTACAGGGACGAGATTGAGCGAATCATGGCTCAAGCTAACGAACAGAACAAGGAACCGCATGTCTACTTGACTCGTCGTGTAGATGCCAGGTTGATGGCAATCAGTGGTCGAGCAGGCAAGTGGGCGGCGATGGGAGAAGAAGCGAAGAACCAGCTGAAAGAGTATACGCAATTCTCGACTCGAAGGGCCCGCGTCACCGAAGTCAGTAGAGCGCTTCGACAAGCTGCCCGGGAAGAATATGAGCGGAGGAAGCAGGAACGACGAGAACTAATTGCAGCAGAAAAGGCCAAAAAGCATGAGAACCCGGAGGAGTGTTCGGATTCGACCACGACCGTCTCGCCACCGACATCTGGGAGGAATGTAGAACAGTCTGGTGCGAGCAGTCCTTTGTCGCCCGGCAAGCAGTCACCGTCAATATTGCGAGATAGGGCAGTAGATGCAGGAAGACAGGCGAAAACTTCGATACGCGGCCTCATGGGCATGGTCAAGAACAAAAGTCGGAGCCGATCTGGTCAAGAAGAGAGCTGATTTTGCACTCCACTTGAGTATTGGTCCTGCCAGCCTGAGACGACGATCCTGGCGGATGTCGGGCAATTTTGCGCAGAAGAGAGCAACCGTCGGGACCAATGTTTGTGCCGATTGCTGCTGCGACTTGTTATGGCACACAAAGAGGGTTTTGTATTCCACCGGGGGAAAGGCGTACTTGACACATCGTTTATTGGCACTGGTGGGGAGAGCCAAACATGAAATATAGACACAGGGATTAGGTGGGACTATAGAATTGTTTAAGTCTTGTTGAAGGGAGGAATTCGGAGATGGAGCAAGGGCGATGGTGAGATGATGGTGATGGTGATGATGATGAGGAAGAAGAGAGGAATGGTGGCAACATTGTCCAAGTGACATGGCGTATCTGTGCATTGCAGGCGGCAGCGGCAGCGGCAGCGGCGTTTGGTGGTGATGGTCTGGGGGATGATGGACGGGCCTTGGGTTGACAAAGGGAAGGGCAGGCAAAAACGAGCTCGTCAAAGAGTCTTCGGATCTGAGGGCTTGGCAAATCTTCCTTACCCGCTTCCCAAAGTTGATGAGAGGCCACCGCCTCCTTCTTGCTTTATTCATCTGTCTCCTCAGACAACACTCCAGAAACCCGTCATTTCCTCTCTTTCTCTTTCATCATCTTTGCGCTGGCACTGGCACTTGTGGCTCGTTTGTGAGTCGTCGATGTTGGAAGGATAAAGGCTACACTGCATCCTTGGGCTTCCGCGCGGTGGAAAATGAAGGCACGCTATCATCAACAACCCATGCTGCCATTTTGAATAATCAACCTTCACTCTTGCTTCATCGCACCTGCAACGGCACACTGGCCCATACCACTGCAGACTCATCTGCTATCATTCACTCTTTGAAATCACAACTAGCCGTACGCTACAAGGTGGACATCAAAGTGCCCCTCGTTTATCTGAGGAACCAGATCAACAGCCTGTCCTGCTGTTTCATCCAGCTCCGATCTCTAGCACTCACACCCGTCGCCATATCTGCCGTTGCTCTCTGCCCTGATTTTCTTGGCGATCTCGAGACCTCCTACAGAGAATTTTGGTTGGGTTGAAGCTTGAAGGGGGCCTACCTCGTATCTTCCAGATGTTGCGAGGTCCGTGAAATTTTTGCCCACGTCACTCGCGCTCTGGGCGATAAAGCACAACTCATCAACAGGATCTCCATTAGGTCGCAAGCATCGTCGAAATGGGTCGCCTAAGCAGAAATTCATCCAGGCTGGAGTCTGCAGATGAAGATGTTGGCCCCGAGGTCAAACGCGAAGAGTCGATCGATGATGAGATGCCGGAAGAGCCTAGCAACGCCCGCATAGCTGCCATCAAGCAAGAGGAAGCAGCCGGTCTGTCCGACTCACCTTCGATGCCAGCCACAAAAATCAAGTCCTCTCGTTCTTCGTCAACCTCGTCATCGTCCTCAAAACGATCTTCGGCCGCAGATTTGAGTGCCAAGAACGAGCCTAGGGAGGCGGATGGTCTCAACTCAACCTCCACCTCGCCTGTCAAGCCCGAACCCAAGGAATCCTCAAAGCCCACCAGATCATCCCGAACAGCGTCTAAGCTTCCTCCCCGTATCGCACCTCTCCTCAACCACCTTCCCGACGCCACAACTGAGGCCAGCTCTACATTCACCGTACTCGATGCCTGCACGTATCAGAATAAATATCTGGGCTTCAGCGAACATGCTCTCGACTGCGACTGCGTGGAAGAATGGGGTGAGTTTTCCATGCCTACTAGCAGCGAAAATAAGCAAACTGACCGAAATATAGATCCCTCCACCAAGCAAAATCTCGCGTGCGGCGAGGACTCCGACTGCATCAACCGTGCATGTAAGATGGAATGTGCGAACGATTGTAGCTGCGGTACATCATGCCAGAACCAGCGGTTCCTCCGTCGTCTCTGGGCAAGTGTCTCGGTCGTTCAGACAGACAAGAAAGGGTATGGACTGCGGACGAACGTTGATCTGCGGCCACATGATTTCATCTTTGAATATATCGGCGAGACGATCCCTGAAGCCACCTTCCGGAAACGAATGGTGCAATATGACCAAGAGGGCATTAAACATTTCTACTTTATGTCCTTGAGTAGAGGCGAGTTCATCGACGCTACAAAAAAGGGCAACCTTGGTCGCTTCTGCAACCACTCCTGCAATCCGAATTGTTACGTTGACAAATGGGTTGTCGGCGACAAACTACGCATGGGCATTTTTGCCGAGCGGAGCATCAAGGCTGGAGAAGAATTGGTCTTCAATTATAATGTCGACCGATATGGAGCGAATCCGCAACCCTGCTACTGTGGTGAATCCAACTGCACGGGTTTCATCGGCGGTAAAACGCAGACCGAAAGAGCCACCAAGCTTTCTACCGCGGTCATCGAAGCCCTTGGTATTGAAGATGCCGAAACATGGGACACCATGGTGGCCAGACGTCCTCGCAAGAAGAAGACGACTGAAGATGACGAAGAATACGTTGACAGCCTTGAAGCGAAATCTTTGGACGTTGATGGCGTGACGAAAGTTATGGCCGCATTGATGCAATGTAAGGAGAAGTGGATCGCTGTCAAGCTGTTACAGCGCATCCAGCGCTGTACGGATGATCAAGCATGGCACAGAGTCGTCAGATTTCACGGCTACCAAATACTAAACTCACAATTATCCGCTTGGAGGGATGATGAGAACATAATCCTGCAGATTCTCGATATCCTCGACCACCTACCTCGGCTAACGAGAAACAAAATTGTCGACGCAAAAATTGACAAAACGATGCAACCCTTCACTGAGCACTCTGATGAAAGAGTAGCATCTCAAGCATCGGAGCTGCTTGATGCGTGGTCGAAGCTCGAATTAGCCTACCGTATACCGCGGAAGAAGCGAGAGGATGCATCGACTCCTGTCAAGAAAGAGACACCGTTCGAGAGACGGGAATCAGCTCAACAACGGAAACGGTCGCAATCCCCGTCGCCTTCACGCAGTCCTCCCCGAGGACCTGCGAGCATTTCAGCGCCATCCGGGCCCAGGTCATTGCAGAGACCTGGATCCTTCCTTCCTCGCCACGGTCCTTCCTTCAACCGTGGACCACCTCCGCTACCGAAGGGCTGGTTTGCGGCTCAAGACAATGGCCGAACGTATTACTATTCGGCCAGTGGCCAAACGACTTGGACGAGACCTGTTCATCCTCCTGATCAACCTCCTCCTCCTCCGAAACAGCGCTCCGAACAAGACGTCCTCAAAAGCATTATTGACAACATTGTTACATCTCGGGAGAAAGAAACGAAGACTAGTACTCCTGACACACCGGAGCCCACGAAGGTCAAGAAGGAAGAGAAATGGAAATCGTATGACGAAGAGAAGCAGAAGAAGTTGTACGAAAATACAGTTGGTTTGCCACCGCCTCATGTTGGGGTATCTGTCACGCTAACATTTCATAGCTCTTTCCTCACATCTCACATGCGATGAGCAAGTACAAGCACAAGATTCCCAAGGACGACCTCAAAAGGTTCGGCAAGGAGATCTCCAAGAAGCTGGTTGCCTCAGACTACAAGGCCGGGCGGGTCAAGAATCCCACAAAGATCGACGAGCGGCAGCAGAAGAAGGTGAAGGAGTTCTGCAGACAGTTTTTTGAGAAGGCATACCAAAAGCACAAAAAGCACGAAGCAGAGAAGGCGGCACGAGACAAGGGCAAGAAGACACCTGCAGCTCCATCTCCAGCAGAGTCGCCGAACGCAGATGGTGCAACGCCCGAGGACACAAAGATGTCGGACGTCGAGGATGAGGAGGAGAATGTTGAAGCCTCACCCAATGCTCAGTCACTGTCCGAGCGAACCGCCAACGGCACGCTGAAGCGCAAGCGTGTCGAGGACGAGGGATTTTCGATAGTACGCGACGAGAACGATGCCGAGTCCGTGGAGTCGCCTTCGACGAAGGCCAATCTTGAAGTCGACACGCCACCCCCTCCACCGCCCCCACCTGCACCTCCTGTCGAGACCCCACCAACAAGCACACCGCGAGAGGGCGAAGGTGCGGGTGAAGAGGACGTGGACATGGACATGGACACTGATATTCACGCCGACACGAATTTCAAGGGGAGGAGCATGGCGGATGTCCTGGCACAGGCGCAGGCTGAAGATGGCGATGGCGATGGCGACGGTGAAGGGGATGTGGAAATGAAGAATGGCCTGGAAAATCCGATGGTTGACAAACAGCCGTTGAGTCATCCGAGTGATGTAGGTGGTGTTGGACGCCAGTGACATGGGCGGGAACTGGATTTTTGTATAAGACCAACACATAACCGAAATGCCTCACGATGACTGCCGGCATAAGTACTCATTGTGGCATGATGAGAGCGGGCGTTTGCGTCAATACGGAAGGAAGACTTGGCGACTTTTAGGCATGGGTATGTGTTCTAGCTAGCTAGCATATCTTATGGATAGGATGGAGAAAGTGAGCGAGCTCGGCTTGGTGCAGTTGGGCAGAGCAATCTAATTGTATATTAAGCTGCCATCCTCACCAAAGCTAACTTGGGATATGAGATTGGAAGACTCGAGGGCACGGCATGGGCTACCGCCTCAGACTTGCGCAGACCCGTCCTCACACCTGTAAGCTTGATCCGGTTGGTTTGGGTGCCAGAATGGGCTGGCTCACTTGGCGAGCGGTCGAGTTCTGGGGCTCCTAACTAGGTCCATCAAGATGCGAGGAAGAAGAGAAGTATGCAGAATTTCTTAGAGCAGGAAGCATATTGAAGGCTTCTCGGCCCGGCAGATTTTGATTTGCCTTGAGAGGCTCGACAGGGTATGAAAGTATGGTGAGCAGAGTGATGCACACATCCAATGCAACACCGTAACTAGCTATCATTCAATTCGAAGGTCTTGATCATGGACATGGCCATTGCTGTACCTGCCAGAGACTCGGCCAGTCTGATGCGAAGCAGACGCTCGCAGTTCTGAGATAAATACGCCAGTGGCCCTGAGATGGCCCTCCGCCAACGTGGTGACAACTTTGGCCAGAGTAGGCATATGACTTCCAAAGTCCACTCTTTCAATGGTCGCCTGCGGAATCAATGGCCTGACCCGTGAATAGCGGGAACCCTTGTGGACTTTGATGGAAATGTGCGAGAGGAAGCCCATATTCGGGGAATACGATAAATATGGCGGGAGACTTGAGTTTGAGAGTTAAGATGCGCTTCGACTGCGATCTTGCCAGTGACTGGGCCTTCCTGGTGGCACACAGTCGTCTCAAGATTGCTCGTTTCGGATTTGAGAGTAACCATGGGCTTCGTATCGTGCAGTCGCGGGTGAAATCCAGTCCAATACTCAGTAGAAGCTCTCGACAATGCTCTCCTTGTTGGCATTCATTCTTGCGTCCAATCCACCTGGGCCACCTTCGCCAAGTCTGAAGACACTTTCGATAACACTCAGCTCTGTGGCTGTTGTGTCCATTCCTGTGACTGCCAGCCAGTCATTTACGACCATACCTGCACCCACAACAGAGCTTCCTCGGTTCACACTACCTGCCACAAGCGGTACTTGTAGTAATGAACTGAGTTCATCTTGATCTTGGATACTTGTCTTGGGATGGACGATGCCGCCTTGATTCGAGAGAGACAGGTAGGAGCCTGTCAAGACGTTTCCGGCAATCGTTTGTCTGAAGACTTCGACGCCTAGAGCATCTGCAATGATTTCTTCGGTTTCTCGTTCGATGTCTGGGTGGACGAGCGCGACGCTGCAACACTGGTTAATTCTTGTATCGACCGAGTCATGGAAAGGACTGACTGGTCATTCGCTGCTATTACATTCCCCAGTGCCGATAATCTCTCCTCGATTCTTTCTATTTTCACAGAGTCCGGTAATGTATTCCGCAGGTGTTGTAATTCTTGATCGGTGGTGGATACGGGGACTAGCAAGCCATTCTTGTTGCCTGAAGTCAGACGACCGACGATACGGGTGCCCGCGATGGTACAGTGTGCGATAGGAATGAGGTCTGCAAGTTCGGATTCGAATATGGAGTAGAAGTTTTCGGATGCGCCGATGGCGACGAGGCAGTAGGAGTTGGTGAGATTTGCGAAGACACCGACTTCGTTGGAGTTTTCGAACTGAAATAGTCAGGCGAGATATACTTATAATCGGCACTGGTTTCCAGTCTCACCTGTGCTCGCACAGCCATGATTGACACAGGCAAATAGTTCTTTCGCAAAACTTCGAGTGGTTCGGGAGGGAAAGAGTTCTCGTCTACGTGAGTGTGTGCAAAGAGGGGTAGACGAAGCAGTTGGTCCGAGAGGGAACAGTGGCGTTCGATGGAGAGGGGATGGAAGACGAAGAGGTTCCAGGTAATTTATAGTAGTTTAAGTCGGCGACGCGTTGAATGTTAATGTCTAGACCGACTGTGTGTTGCAGAGAAAAATAAACTGCGCGTGTGAATCACCGCTGTGGTAGACCCTCGAGACCATTCGTGCAGTGTTTTTTTTCGCTCAGCCAATGACGACATGCAGAACAGAATGAAAGACTCATCTTCTGCCAGCCTCGATCTTCCACTTTCCTCTTTCTGCTTATACACAGCCTCGCCATTGCCACTATGACTCTTCATCCTGCACCATCCTGTCGTCTGCCACTGTCAACTACTAGTGCCTTGCCCTCTCATGCCATGATAGATCTACGGCCACGACTTGATCACGGATGCAACTTTCGTGTCAGACGGCGCCGCATCAATGCATTGCCCATGATTGATCCTGGATCATTCGAATTTCATGTATGCATTGCAGTTGCTAGCTGTAGCTTGCCTTTGCAGCTATACTCTTTGAGATAACGTACAGTTGCGAAGTGTCCGCAACCCAGTTTAGTCTTTAAGAACCATCCCTATTTGAAAGATACGCACGACATGCCTTCCCCCGAAAGATGAGAACTGCCAGCAAGCCAGAATGGAACCAACCCAAAGCTATTTTCAGATGTCATCCTGATCGGACCTGGCAACTTAACCAGAACACAGGACCAAGGTGATGGTCACAGCATCTGAACAAGTCCTCATTCCCTGGAAGTCGTCATTCCACTTCATGTATACGTCGGCACAGTTCTGATCGCCAGGCCCACAATATGCTCCCTTGCAGGTGTCGAACAGAGGTTTGACAGGATCATCCACAACCATTCCGAAACCTTCAGCAACGAAAGGATCTCCTGCAACATTGCTCACGTCGAACCAAGTCTTTCCGTTCTTCGGCTCCCAGGTGTATTCGACTTGAGTGACCTCGATCGGGCTCGCATCTTTGTTCCGGGTACACATGATAGCGACACCGATGTCCTTTGGATGAGACAGGAATTTGTCTACGAGCATCGACCCTTGCGCTTGTTTGATCCAGTTGGGTGGTGGACGCTCGCTTGGAGGAACGGTGGAGTCTGGGCCGTATCCTTCGACAACTGCACACCAAACGTCGTAGGAGCAGCCCTGATGAATCTGGACCAGAGCGAATACTGAGTTGAACAGGGCAAAGCTCATGAGGAAAAAGACGATGATGGAAGTGTTGGTTCCTTTCAAGGAGGCCATGACGTTGTTGTCGTTGATGTCCTGACAGTAATGACGCTCAAATGCTACCTTCCCGGTAGCATGGTACCTTGGGCGTCTTAATGCTTTAAGATAGACTTACAACTGGTGATCAACTGGCAACACTGCTTGCTATCGACGGCGAATCTTGAGGGCGGGCTGTATGTATACCTTTGTATACTAAGTGGTTTGTTTGTTGTTCAAGGAAGGTATGTAAAGCACTGTTGTGAGCACAAGTTGTAATGATCTGCTGTTGAGTATGGAAGAGGAGAAGAGGTATAAATGCTCTCAGAGGACGAGGTACTTATACTCTGCTAACTTGCACAGCATTCCCTGCCAACAATCAAGTTGTTGGTAGCCGTGTACAAGCGGAAAGGGACGAGAGGGTGGAAGCAAACTCCGAAGCGACAGCCGCATGGATTGACAAGGCTGGCTCCGCGTACCGCATAGATGCGTGTCCATCCTTCCTTGTCACAACAGGAAGCATGCCTGGATGTGGTTGCAGCAGGCTAGAAGTGACAAGCAGGCCGGCAACTTGTGTATGGTGAAGCCGAGCTGGTCTTTCCTTTGTTGGTCTCTCATTGTTCATTGACACGAAGCCAGATCGGCAGGGGCACCATTGTTATGTGGGTGATATCTGGTATGGCGTTCTGACAAATGCCACAAAGATGAGGTAAAACAATGCCGGATTGCCATCCAGCGACACTGATACAACCCTGCCAGGACAGATCGATGGTGAGTAGATTGAACTGGGAGAGGCAATCACAATAGAAGCATACTTGCCCAAGTCGCTTAGCAAGCAACGGCAAACACAAACCATCCAACAACAAACCCAAGCACTTGATTCAGGCTCCCTTAAACACCGAAACCTTACAACCAGTCTGTTAGCGGGGAGAAGGTGGCGTTATTGGAGCAGGATCACGACTGCTTCGATGATGGGATCTTGATGCTGCTGGGCTTAATCTCAAAAGGAACGGGCAAACGCTGAGCACCGAGCAATAGATCAGCCAGTTGAGTTGCGTAGAAAAAAGGTTCGTGCCATCAGAATCGAAATCGACATTGCATTTGATGACAGCAGCTGCTCAGGATGCTCTATCATCATTTTCTGCATCTCGCCCCCCATAGACCTGGCTCCATTGATTTTGCGGTCGAATCCGTCATTGCCTTTACCTCACAGTCTAAGGAGCCGGACACTAAGCTAGTAGTTCGTAACGCAAACGATCCATGGCCCGTTCTAACCCAGCTTCCTCGAAACCACCATCATCACAGCCACTCTTCCATACAAGCCAGAAGATCATGCTTGTACTAGGTGTCTGGGCGATATTACCAGGTAAGTCCCTCTCGTTCAGACGACGCTATCCTGTCACAGCAAGAGTATAACACCGTATCAGCCGCTTCATCCACTGCTGAGTCTCTTTGGATGGTAATTTCAACCGGCCTTGCGTTGATCATGTCGCTCATCAGGCTCCCAGCATCTCACACTCGCCTAGGTCTCGCTCGGCGCGGCTTGCGAGAGTCTCATACCACTCGACACCCTTGAAACCGTGTTTGTCTTTGCGCACATTCCACCCACCTTTTCTCAATCTCTCCACTCTCTCCGTCTTGGCCACGACAGCCGGATCGTCCAGGTTCTCTTCCTTGTCTGCGTTGTTTCTGCCGTGAGGTGGAGAGCGAGGAGTTCGGCTCCTACCTCTTAGCGGTGTCTGGATGTGTTCGAAGGACCAGAAACTCGCGAATTGGTTATTGGACAGTGCTCGCGCAGCTGTGCGTTCTCGTTGGAGACTTTGCACACGGTTGATCTCGAACTCCACGAAACGAACATGCTTGCGCAATTGATTTGCAAAGTCTGATAAGCAAGCGTTGTATCGAGCCAAGCTCGCTGAGGAGAGGTAGGCTTCTAGACTGTCATTGTGAGGATCGGGACTGAAAGCATCGCGGATCATTTTAAAGCGTGGTGTCACTGGTGATGGTGTCGACGGCTCGGCAAGTGACTGTGGCAGAGGAAGAGTCCCTTCGTATTGGGCAATGAGAGTTTGAACCGCGGTCTTGCGCATTGTCGGGACTTGAACGACGCGAGAACCCTGCATCTCAAAGTCGGATTTGTGGTTAAACGGAAGTGGAGGTAAGGGCCGAGGAGCAGTGAGCTCTTCTGGCTGAGTGACTTGTGCATGTTTGCGTGTTCGACTAAACAGAGGGGACGGAACGAGGTCGTCTGCCAGAGCATGGGTACGGCTAAGGCTCTGACTGAGTCGGTCCTTGTGTGTAGAGTGGTTATCTGGCACAGTGGGATGCTGACTTGCGTACTCCACTTTCGCTTCTGCTCCTCCTTCTGCCGGCACATTCGAGCCGTCCTGTGATACTGCCGGAAAGGACGTATTGGATCTGAAGGTCTGGATGGGTGTAACGGTGAATGCAAAGCTGCATGCCGATTCGGACTGCGCGACGTTCGAAGTCGCGGTTTTCGGCGTGGGCGACGCGTAGAAGCTTTCTATCGTGCTTGGTGTGGGAGAAGAATCGATCGCGCCGTATTGAGGAGATAGTTCAGACTGACAGTAGTGACCGTGCTCGGACGAGACATAGGGCAATGGTAGACATCCGCGAGCTGACTTGAAACTCTCCTGCGCCGAGGCCAGGAAGCGTATCTTATTGACTGAACAGTCGTGTGAGATGAGGCCCATTGACTCGTAACAGACTGCATGATAGAACCAGAGAAAAGCTTTGTGTAGAGCGTGGATCTTTGGCTGCATTAGCGAAGCGATGGCGGGCCAATTGAGAGGGTCTTGCCTCGGGTCTCTGAAGTTGTTCACAGAGTGAGATGCACTGCTTGTATCGGTGTTGGGTGTACAGCTTCTGTACCTTGACCAGCTCATCCCGGTGACAGGAAATTCTTCGTTCTGAGCCGTGGTTTCTCTTGGTGTGTACCGGCGTCTGCGCCATTGTCGACGGAGTGGAGTGACGAGTTCCGGCTCATCGACGTATTTGGTCTGTCATTGTTCTCTGGAGACAGATAGAGAATGAATTCACACTTGTCACTTGGTCTCTGCCGCACCCGGGCCCTCTTGGTGACAGGACAGGCTGTCACTTGAACATCCTGTAACGGCGCTGGCGCCCTCCCAGCCATTCCACGATACTCCTGGAGTACTGCCCATGGAAGAGAGCCAATATGACTGCAGGAAGGCCTCGAGATACAATCACCAAGACACTCAACTACCTCAAACCTTGTGAAGTACGTGACAAAATGGCCGAAATAATCATCCGCTGAGAATTCCAAACATTTACGTTCGTAGTCGTTTTTTCCTTACTCAAAAATCGTGTCGTTGGCTCCCTACGTCTGAACAGGTGGCGTTCTGTCTGTTCCCGTGGCTTTCTGTTGGTGTTGGTTTTGATTTTCCAGAGGCGTACCTCGCTGCCTCATTGTTGGCGGGTGATATCAGCAGCACTTTAGGAGAGTGGCTGCTACATTATAGAATCACCGTTCGGACTGGTCATATTCGCCGGTTGACGATGCCAGCCTGACCTCTTTTATCCAGACTGCGAGGACGCTGCTATTAGTCCTTCATCAATCATATCTTGAATTTGACCTTCCAGCCACTCTTTACTCTTCTGGGCGTTAGAGGAGGCTAGAGCCGACATCAGGTCACTACCATTCAGTAAAGCTTGTGAGACGAGGGCTCGAAATTGACAGATTGCCTTCATATCTTCATCCTGGTACAATTTGGCCGCATTCCTGTAGAAGGTATCGGCATTCTTGAGAAGTTGAACTGCATTGGTAGTAGCTGGCTGGTACATTGACGGCGGGAGCCCTAACTGGAATTGCAGTAGCGAGCAATTCCCACGAACCAAGTGTGTCTCTGCGATGTCTTCAGGCACTGGACCAGAAATTTTGGATGCAGTGGTCATGTTGGCAATGGCTGCAGATAGTGAATTCCACCTTTGAGATGCTTGCCATGCAGGGTTTGCTGCATGGTCATCGGCCAGAGCCGCAATGAATGAGATGAGACTGTTTGCATTAGCCATCAGAGCAGCAAAATCTCGTTCCAAATCTAGGCCTGGGCTCCGGAAGGCCTCATCACGTTCTCGTTTGTAAGTGCTTGCATCAATGGACCCAGTCCTGTAACCGGCTTCAAGCAGGGTCGATAGAAAATTGGCCTTGGCCAATGCGACCTCCTGATGTCTTTCCGCCTCCGCGTCCTGGAGAAGGACTGGCAACTTGGTTTGGAGCAGATTGGATGAGAATTCCTCAATCCAGGCAAGGCTAATGGGGGGCGCCGAAGTGGTAGAAGATGACAAAATGCTGCAAAGAGTGGTAAGAGTGCCTAGCTCGGCGAGAATGGTATCAAGGAGGGTGTCTTTGGTGACTGGCTCCACGACTGAAAACCACTGGTCTGCGGAGTTGTTGGCCGGGGTGACCACACCCTCATCGGCGCCCTCGTCCATAGCCTCGGAATCAGTTGGATTAGCCTCTTCCGAGGCCATTTGAGAGGCGGCTTCATTCTGCTGTTGGACAGACTCCTCCAGTTTGAATTCTTGCACACCCAGGCAACGATTTTGGAGTTCGAGAGCCTCTTCGAGAGCCTGCAGGGCTTCCTGGTCTGGACGGTTGGAGTCCTTCGCTGATTCTTCAGCGATGGCGGTCAAGACTTGAGCAGTATTGAAAAGTGAATCAGCATTGTCCTGATCGAGGTTCAGTGCGTATCGGTGGGCCTCTAATGCCTGTTGTAGAACCTCCAAGATAGGAGCCTGCAATTGCCGTACTAGAACAGGGTGAGTTGTAATTTCTAATAACACTCGGGCCCTACAAGGGAATTAGCTTTACTGCCAGGCTCTCTTCAAGCCAGCGGGGCTCGTCCGACGAACTTGTTGTATGCAAGGTCGAGACTGTTGGGGAATTTTTGCAAGCCTCGATCATAGACATCGATAGCCTTATAGAAGAAGCGCATCGACTTGACAGCATCTCCCGCTCTCCATTTGCCAGCTGCTTCTTCAAAATCGACCCCAGCGGCCAGGAAATCATCCGCAGTCTCTAGAGCCTGAAGGAAGCATTAGTTGAATCCCCGAGTGGCAGCGGTCTGCCTTACCTGCTCGGCATTCTTTTTTGATTTGGACTTTTTGAGGAAGGCTTTGGGCTTAGACATGATGATGGCCAAAGATAGACGTTACCCCAGACTTTTTCGGGTTAAGTTGATGCGCAGCCACAGAAGAAAGGACGCCTGCTCATACTACGCAATGCTGTGTACTGTGGTAGACGGGAGTTGGAGGATACTAGACTTAGAGCACTCCGTACCTAGGCGAAGTAACCAAATGATACTTGCAGCATAAGCAAACAGATGCTGTCTCGCTGTCTCATGTCCTAAACGGCCGAGACGCCAGAATCAATCTCGAAATTCGAGCATCAGTTTGCTACATGCACGTAACATGCCAATGTTTTAGAGTCTGGAGCAAGCAGGACAAAATGTTATTGGATGGATGGATGGATGGAGCTCTGAAGAGAAAAAGTGGCTTTTTGTCTGACGGCATGCCCACGGGCAATCCATAGCTGGCTCACTGGTAAACGCACTTTCCAGGCGGCGCCTAAGGTACCTAGGACCTACTTGTGGGTAGCTTGCGACATAGCTACCTAGGTAAGCACCTAAGGTAAGTGTGGGCAAGTACCTAGGTAATAGTCATGCCACGCCATGCCCATGATCCAGCTGAAGTGCCCCTCGTAAACGGGCTAGTATGCTGAGTGAAGGGTGCGCCTTGGTCAGACTTACGCTACTTCGGACTCGGTTAAATTCGAGGGCGAGAGGACTGTCCACTGGCTGTCGAACATCCCTCTCTGGACAGTGGACATGGACATGGCCCGCGCAGGAGCGCCAGAGCCAGAATAGAAATTTTTTTCTTCCCTCGACTACCCACGACTACCGTAAGTTCATCCCACTCTCTCTGACTGTCGGCCCCGCCCTCTCGCTTGTGCCAGGCGTCGGCCAGGCGTCGGCCAACAGGGCAGAACCCCGACACTGCAGGTCCCCTGGACGTGGGCGCCAACTGCAAGAGCTTTCACTCCATCAAGTCTGAAATGTACATCATCATAAGCATGCATCAGCTCATCTTCCCCAACCACATGATGTCGAGTTCATCTTCTCCTGCGTGCGAATGATCTCATGCCTAGGAGAAACTCGGCTGCTCAACTTTTGTCCTGCAAGCGTCCGAGCGCAGCCATCCCGTCGAATCCTTCTCTCGCACCTCCACTCGGACGACCCTCGTTTAGCTGGAAGCCAACACCGCCCTACTGCAAGTCTAAATGCCAATCCACGAGCGAGAGTGGTCGCAGTGAGATAACTATCCACGTCCCTCAGTGTTGTGCACCGGCGGCCAACCCCGCCGTCTCAAACTCTCTCTGGACAATCATCTGCCACTGTTCTCGACCTCGAATTTTGCCCGCTACCTATCGCAGCACTCCCGAACACCTCTCTCTCCATCCTGCCACGAGGCTGCGCTTTGTCGCCTGGCTTCTTTCCATCGCATACGAACATCAATCGCCTCTATCCGCTGCGCGCTCGAGTCCTATCCAGCAAGCGAACTGCCCATCTGTCCCGCTTCAAGCGATGTCTATCCCTTGACAGCCGTGTCTCCTTCGACTCTTTCCCGCAGCCCACCTGCGGGCAAAACTCTCAAATCGACCCGCGTCAAGAATGACACAAGAGCGCGAGCAGAATGTGGTGTGGCCTCACGACATGCAAGATGATGCTATGGTCGCCGGGGTTGGCGACGACGACTTCACCAAATTTCTCGACTTGGACAGCGATTTCCAGCAATTCACCCAAATGAACAATGGCCATTCCGGTCTGGATACCCCCATGGGCCGTCTTGGGTTCGGAAACAATGCAAATGACATCTCATATGGCAATTCCGAACAAATGCACATGAACATGCCGCCGGCCACGGAGTCCATGAGCTATCAGAACCACCTCTCTTCGAACCAGCCATATGGGCAGTATCATCAGCAGTACCAGCAGATGCAGATGCAGCAGCAATACCATGTTCCTCCAACGCCTGTGAGCGCCGACATGCAGGCTGCCAAATATGCGCATCATATGGGAAACAATGGGCAGATACTCTTCGACCATCAGCAGGTTTGTTGTGTTAGCCCCGTCAGTCTGTGGTAATGTTGAGAATTTCTAGGTCTCGTTCACCCCCTTGGTCTCCCCAGCGCAGACTCCTCTGGATAACGCATTCGCCATCAATGACTTCGGTTTAGGAGACGAATTCTTTAGTCCTTTGACCTCACCAGCCATTGAAGCACAAGGAGCTTTCACCGGCACAACGGCCTCCCCTGTCGATCTGAACGCTGACCAGGGTGCTCCTGTCCCGTCGCAGACTGCCGGCACAAAAAGACCTCGACGCAAAGCCGCCAACACGACTCGTACTCCTGCTCGAAGCGTCAAGCAGTCCCCCGCCATGAAGCCTCACCACCGTAGCCGGCACCCCTCGTTGAGTTCGTTGTCGTTAGACAAAATTGGGAACATGCTTCCGCAGTCTGCTCACCCATCCTCTTTGTACCCCTCTGCGCCCAACAGCGCCGTCATCCAGCCCAGCGACGATTCGGTCTCCCCCGAACCATTATCAGAAGCTGCCATGCGACCGCCTCCAGTGCCACATTCCACTAAATCTCCCCAACCCCACACATCGGCTCAAAATTCAAACAATCCAGTCACCCCGGCCACTCTGATGAGGATGCCAAGTAAGCAATCAGTCTCCGCGAAGCAGCTGGAACAACATGCTTCTGCTCATGTGGCAGATGGGCCACTGGAAGATATTATGTTGCCAGATGCAGCTGACTCGGACGGTCAACCTATTATAAGTGCTGGTGATATCAGCAAGACGGGCGATGACAGCGAAAGCACACCCACGCTTTCTGCCAAATCGGCAAAATTAACTGCGAGTAGCACGCCTCGGAGTGCCTTGACACGGACAGGCTCATCAGAGACTTTTGTGAAGCCCGGCAAGCTCGAGTCTCGTGGCAGCCGTGCCGGCAAAAAGCGTCAGAGCACTTCATCTGCCACGATTTCTCCTGCGCTGCGGCCCAAAATTTCGCCGAGCATTAGTCCTCTGGTTCCAGCAACGGGTGAGTCAAGGCAGCTATTGCTCTATGAAGTTATGCTAATTGATCCAGGCCCAGGGATGGCCCACCTTTCAGCAGAGACGAGCGCTTTGTACCTTGCGTCGAAATCAAATTACCAGAACATTCTGGAGGGCACGCATCTGCCTGGTGTATCCTATCCCGAGACATTGGCTGAGAACCTCACGTCGAAACGGACATCCCACAAGATTGCCGAGCAAGGTCGCCGAAACCGTATCAATCTCGCGTTAAAGGAGATTGAGACTCTTCTACCCCAGTCGATCTTGGCTTCGCAGGGCAAGAAGGATAGATCGGCATCACAAGAAGCGGGAGAAGGAGAATCCAAATCGTCTGCCGCCGCTCAGGGAGCCAGCAAGGCCAGCACGGTCGAAATGGCGATTGTCTACATCAAAAGTCTACAGTCGGAATTGAAAGAGACGCAAGACAAGCTGGATGCAGCGGAAAAGAGACTTGCTGAAGGAAGCAGCAGTGGTGACAGTCTGTCCTCTGACGGTTGAGAATCTTACTGGGTTTCGAATGACCCAGGATCTAATGGCTTTACGGCGTGATGGTGATGGTTGATATGAATTTCAGATGCAACGAAGGTCACACCAGTTATACAGAAGGCGTTGATCTGGATGAACATGAAGTGGGATCAAAGATTTGTGTGAATGTTACAGCTTCATAGAACGTCATGTTCAACTCTATATTGTAGTAAAGTTACCACGGAGCCCGCCCTTGAGCGCATGTGTGCATATAAAGTACAGAAAGTGTACATGTCAAAATTTCAAAACTTCAAAATATGTTCGATTCGTTACACTCCATTGCCATTTTCTCATTTCCGCTGATATAAGGCGTATCATGGGGGGATTTGATGCGGTACCTTAGAGATCCTGTACTTAGTCATCTTGGAGTTGCAGAGCGCGCCCCCGTTCCCATGTGACAGGCCGGTCCTTGATCGAGGTTGCAATTTTGCCCTTTCCTTCACAATTGTGAAGCTGTTCTCGTTACACAATATCGATGCTCAGCAATGTCGAGACTCGTTGACACCCCCGCACCACGTCGATATTGCCGATGCCACTCTCCTTCAAGGCATATACTTGAAGTCGGGGTGATGGTGGCCAAGGTCTCTCTTTTGCTGGTCCGTCAAACCTTCGAGACGATGATTGCGCTTACCAGCCGCTCTGATGCGGTTCTCATGCAAATTGTACAATATACCGAAGGTGGCCAAAGCCAAGACGATGACTTGCGCTCCAAGATTGATTGAGTGACCGATTGGGTACCGGGGCGCATCGCGAACGAGATAGGTCCAGCTAGAGCTTTGTCAGCAGCAACTTGGCAAGAGATTGGAATGGTAAAGAAATTGATAGAGCATACGTTGCCAGAACGCCGCCTCCAGTTCCCAGAGAGACGATGTAAGCAGTAGCCACAGCCCGGGTAGCCGGGCCAGCCGAGTTGTTGATGCCCCAAGACATGAATCCAGGGCCTCCGGGAAAGGCGCCTACAATGATGAGGTAGATAGCCATGTACCGGATGCTGGGATTTGTGTTCCATCGGAGCAGGCTGAACCCGACGATAGGGAAGATCGTAGCGACTGCCAGAAAGATGCCGCGCCTACGCGTCTTGTCGCTGACGTAGGCGATGGCAATAGCGACGAGACAGGCCGCCACGTACGGAGGCACGGAGTATAGTTGCGCTTTGGTCGAGGTCCAGCCGAGATCCTTGAGGATCGTGGGAAGGAAAATCGAGAGGCCTTGCACGGTGATATTGATCATGAAGAAGCCCAGTGCAGCAATGTTGTTGTTAATGTTGCATACCGCGGCCTTGACGTGCCGCCATTGCACATGTTCGTGCGGATCCTGGGAACTTCGCGTCAGCTCTATCTTCGTTAACATGTTCTTGTAAAGGATCGACTTACGGCTCGGTGTTCGCGGATTAGACGTTCGTTGGCAATGTACCGCTCCCTATCGGCCAAGAACATGCATGTCTGCGGATTCGAGGGCATCAGGAACGGAGCGCCGGCCGCAATGACCATGGTAAGCTGGAGTTGTGCAGTTAGTGGAATGATAATTTCTTCGTTCCTGAAGATGGAAACGCACCAGGCCTTCGAAAAAGAAGATATTTCTCCAGCTGAAATTCTGGTCAGTTTCGAATGCGACGCCTCTATAAAGCTTAAGCCTTACGTATGAATGGGAGTGGACTCTGTACCCCAGCGAGGAATGCGGCTGATGGTTTGTCAGTATCTCCGAGCATCCTGGGATCACGGTGGTGACTTACGCCAAAGCAGTGGCAAAGAGGCCTCCAAAAGCACCCGCAATCGAGGCGGCGGAAATAAAGATGCCGATTCTGAAATACAGTTCTCGTCGCTTGTAGAATGTGCCTTTGAGTGTAAGTCATATTTTGTTGCACAAGGGTCGTAAGGAAAACACACTGAGAAAAAAGGCAATTCCAGGCATTGTGCCGCCTTCGAAGATTCCCAGAACTGCTCTTGCAACGCAAAGCGTGCTGAAACTCTTCACGAAAGCCGTACACATCGACACAAACCCGAAACCCATCACGAGCATCGGGATGTAGTACCGCGCTCCAATGTATTTCAGGAGAACGTTGCTAGGGATCTCCACCAGCAAGTAGACGATGTAGAAGACGCTCAAAGCCCAGTTAAAGCGGTAGCCGACAAGGTTCAAGTCTGTCGCCATGCCTTGAATTCGGGCATTGCCGATGTTGGCGCGGTCCAGGAAGCAGAGAAGATACAAGATCGTGACGAGGGGCACTATGCGCCGGTCGATCTTCCTTCGAATGCTGGTTTCTTCTTCCTCCGTCCAATCGATCTCATCGCTGGTCCCTGAACCTTCGCTCTTGATGGGGTCCAGCTCGAGATGGTCAAAGTCCGATGCTTTGAGAGTCGATATCGGCACTGTGGAAGCCATGCTTCCAGCCGGGTTGCAACAAGGGGGTATGGATTGCCTTGTAAGTTGTAGCCGGTCTGGAACAGGACGGGGTTCAAATGGACATCTCGATCAAGGGGCTGCTATCTGGCCCTTATATATTCCATAGAGAGCCAGGGCAACATGATCATGTCCATTGGCAGCCCCACAATTGAGACAAGGGAGCAATTGATCTACCTTGACAAGGCTTTAACGATGATCACATTTCACACGCTGACCCCGCCCCCAGGAACTTGGATGCCCATGTGGGCGGCAGCAAGTGGCGGCAATCATACTGAATCCAGGGGATGAGCCTGGACGACTATGCAAGTTCTGTAACGGGGCTTTTGTCCGCAATTGCCAGGCAACCTTCTGCCAGCTCTCACAGGCGCCAAGACTCGGGCGTGTCTTGGGTGACGATTGACGATATCCTTAAAGCTGACAACCGCGGGAAAAATACCGGTCACAAGAAGCACTGGTTCTTGGCTTACCTTGGCTCCCCGGGGGGTGTTCTGTTTTAGAGGCGGAGGGGCGGAGGTGACTGGAGAAGGCGCGTGTCATAAAGCCTTTTCCGCAAGCGGTTGCATGTTGGCTACCTTGGCGCGTGTATTTTGTTTAGCCATGGCAGAGCTTCTCTGCGCCTCCGATCGATGTGGAGGCCTTCGAATTGCGAGCAGATACAGAACTCTGATGCGTTCAGTCGACACAAGCCGGGAGACTGTCTGCAAGAACCGGGAAGATTGTCCTTGGAAGAGCATTTGGGGCAGGACTGTGGTACTTGGTTGATCTGAGGGGACATCCAGGGGAGATGTCGAAGCTCGAAGCTGATTTGAGGGTGTACTCGCCACAGAACACGTGCGGGCCCCTCGCCTTGGCAACATGCATTCACTCTTCGGCAGTTGTATAAGTTGTTCGACAATAATCCATCATGACTTCGGTGTCTGTGGCCTTGAAAGTGTCATCATAGCCCTTCCGGTATTCAGGAAGCTGGCGCGCGGTACGCAGTATCTCGTGCGCGGCAGTTGACATGTCGATCCTTCTCAAGCGAAGGCGATTCTTCGGGAGTCTGGAGCCCCACGACGCCCGTCAGAATCCTATAGCTTGCGAGGAACATATTCGAAAGGTTTTGCGGCTGTTGGTCGCCCCCATGAAGATGCTCCTGGGGCTGAGTTCAAACGAGTTCTTCATGCAAAGAAAGCAAGTCGTCGTAAATGTAGCCTCGTCACGTGCCGTACTTGCCAAGACAAGGCTGGCACATTGAAAATGAAAAGACCGTCGAGTCATGGACATATTCCAGTCAACAACCAAAAAGAGTCCAGAAATCTGCCGAAGCTCAGCTCGCAATAGAGGTTACGCTTTTCCCGAATGCCAGTAAGGCGTAACTGGTGATTCGACTTCAGCTACGTGAAGGGCACGGTGTCCTAGAGTTGCGCTTGAGGATTTCTCCTTGGCCAGAACAGCATCGAAGGAACCCCTGCCTACCGGCACTACGCTTCCCTAGATCGAATTCTGATTGTTACTTGCGCTTAATGACAACAATGCATAGCGGTAAGGTGTGTGAGTTGGTTCTTATTGGAGATGATGTGTTTTGTGTTGAATTGTGGCGGTTGATGATTACTGTCCTCCGTGCATCAGGAAACGGACCAGTGTGCCTGGGCTCTTGAGGTCATCTGAATGTTTCATGATCCTGGCAGCTTTGAGCAGAGACGAAAAAGTCTACAACAAATGCAATGCATTTTTCAAGTTGTCGGCACGGCATCCTGTCTATAATACTCCGACTAATGCTAACACTTCACTCTCGTTCCACTAGACTATGTCAGGCCTATATCCTAAGACATTGGTATGAAGAGAACCGCGTGTTACAGATTAATGAGCCGACATCGCAATGAAAAACGGTCATATTCTGGCAAAGGGAAGGTTTGCTCATTCAGTCGATACGACGGAAGCTTGGACTGTGCTACACCACTTCAGTCATTCACAGGGAGCGGTACAGGCCACACAGTTGACCTTCTTCATTCGCATAAGTAGCAGATATGGTTCCACGAAGTCAATGCCAGACACGGTAATAAGGCTTCCAGGTATGTATCGAGGTATCCAGCACAGCACGTGCTAGAAGCGCCGAGGTCAGGTTGAGCCAGAAGGTTCTTTAGCTTGCTATCGAAGCAATGCAGCCAATAAGCAAAGGATATCTCTTGGCGAGTCGCAGCCTGAGAGACGGGTTTCGATGACTTTCCATTGAAGATCCACATCAGATGTCCGGAGTATAATTGCCCAGCTCTCTCACATCTCTGCAATTTTTCGTAAACACCACCTTCCTGCGCAATAGACAGCTTGTTCTTTGCTCATACACTGTACTAGACATACCTCCTTCCTGTAAGTCATCTCCCACTGCTCCTAGCCTTATTGCATTCGGGTCGCAAACCTCTGGATCTGTCTGCCGGAGGCCGGAGATACAACTGGGCCAAAGTCAGCGCAGCCTGAGGTTTCAGCAGTCACATTTGACCGTCAACTTCATCTAGACTTCAGCTCCACTGACCTCTCGTTTCCTCCAGACCTCAATACCTCCCTCCAATACCACAATCATGGCCTCCAACGAGACATTCGAGTTCCAGGCTGAGATCTCTCAGCTCCTCTCCCTCATCATCAACACCGTCTACTCCAACAAAGAGATCTTCCTGCGAGAACTCATCTCCAATGCCTCAGATGCCCTTGACAAGATCAGATATGAAGCCCTGTCAGATCCAAGCAAATTGGACTCTGGCAAGGACCTCAGAATCGACATCATCCCTGACAAGGAGAACAAGACCCTCACCATCCGAGACACCGGTATTGGCATGACCAAGGCCGATCTCGTCAACAACCTCGGTACCATCGCACGATCAGGCACCAAGCAATTCATGGAAGCCTTGACTGCTGGTGCTGACATTTCCATGATCGGTCAATTCGGTGTTGGTTTCTACTCGGCCTACTTGGTCGCTGACAAGGTCACGGTCGTCTCAAAGAATAATGACGACGAGCAATACGTCTGGGAATCAAGTGCAGGTGGCACCTTCACAATCCGCCAAGACACTGAGGGCGAATCCCTAGGTCGTGGTACCAAGTTGATTCTCCACCTCAAGGACGAACAGACCGACTACTTGAACGAGGCCAAGATCAAGGAAGTGGTCAAGAAACACTCCGAGTTCATCTCCTACCCCATCTACCTCCACGTTCTCAAGGAGACCGAGAAGGAGGTTCCCGATGAGGAGGGTGAAGAATCCAAGGAAGATGACGAGAAGAAGCCGAAGATTGAGGAGGTCGATGAAGATGAAGAGGAGAAGAAACCCAAGACAAAGAAGATCAAGGAGTCCAAGATCGAAGAGGAGGAACTGAACAAGACCAAGCCCATCTGGACTCGCAACCCATCCGACATCACACAGGAAGAGTATGCCTCCTTCTACAAGTCTCTCTCCAATGACTGGGAGGACCACTTGGCTGTCAAGCACTTCTCTGTTGAAGGTCAGCTTGAGTTCCGTGCCATTCTCTTCGTCCCCAAGCGTGCTCCTTTCGACCTCTTCGAGACCAAGAAGACCAAGAACAACATCAAGCTCTACGTCCGACGTGTTTTCATCACGGACGATGCTACCGATTTGATCCCCGAATGGCTCAGCTTTGTCAAGGGTGTCGTCGATTCCGAGGACCTTCCTCTTAACTTGTCTCGTGAGACGCTTCAACAGAACAAGATCATGAAGGTCATCAAGAAGAACATTGTCAAGAAGTGCCTCGAGCTTTTCAACGAAATTGCTGAGGATCGTGAGCAGTTCGACAAGTTCTACTCTGCCTTCAGCAAGAACATCAAGCTCGGTATCCACGAGGACTCCCAGAATCGTCAATCTCTTGCCAAACTCCTCCGCTTCAACTCGACCAAGTCTGGCGAAGACACCACTTCTCTCACCGACTATGTCACTCGTATGCAAGAGCACCAGAAGCAGATTTACTACATCACTGGCGAGTCCATCAAGGCCGTCTCCAAGTCTCCCTTCCTTGACACCCTCAAGGAGAAGAACTTCGAAGTTTTGTTCTTGGTCGACCCCATTGATGAGTATGCCATGACTCAGCTCAAGGAGTTCGATGGCAAGAAGCTCGTCGATATCACCAAGGATTTCGAGCTCGAGGAGACTGATGAGGAGAAGAAGGAACGCGAGAAGGAGGAGAAGGAGTTCGAGGGTCTTGCCAAGAGCCTCAAGAACATTCTCGGCGACAAGGTTGAGAAGGTCGTTGTCTCTCACAAACTTATCGGCTCACCTTGTGCCATCCGCACTGGTCAGTTCGGTTGGTCCGCCAACATGGAACGTATCATGAAGGCTCAGGCTCTGCGTGATACCTCTATGTCTTCCTACATGTCCTCCAAGAAGACCTTCGAGATCTCTCCCAAGTCGGCCATCATCCGTGAACTCAAGAAGAAGGTTGAGACTGATGGTGAGAATGACCGCACTGTCAAATCCATCACTCAACTTCTCTTCGAGACCTCTCTGCTTGTTTCTGGATTCACCATCGATGAGCCTGCCTCGTTTGCTGAGCGCATCCACAAGCTTGTCTCCCTCGGATTGAACGTTGATGAGGAGGCTGAGACTGCAGAGGAGAAGGCTGCCGAGGAGGCTCCTGCTGGTGAGGCTACTGGCGAGAGCGCCATGGAGGAAGTCGACTAAATACTTGAGACATGGTGTTTCTTTGACAGGGACTTCCGTTGTCACTGTATCATCTCAGCCGGCGTTCAGGTGTTAGTCCTCCCAGTGATATCCCGGAAATGGATGAATGGTATGGAAGAAAGACGGACATGAAAAGTGAACAGAGGAAACCAGTGGATGCAGAACAGCATTAGTAGTCATGGTAGCTACACTTTCCATAATCCTCAAATAATTGCATGCATCAACAATTCTCTCCAATTATTGGCCTCTGCCTTGTTTCTTCAATTATGCCTGGACATTCCAACTTCGCTCGCTTAGGAACACGTCTAAACCTTTGCTTTTCAGCTATATCGTACATTGTGTGTAACATGAGCAGCGCCTCTGCTGGATACATCTCGTACGACCACGTATGTTAGCTCTGACACGATCCTGCTAATGGCTGATACCCTCCTCATCCGAGGTTATGAGATGCTCGAGCAAGGACATCCTCGGCGTATGTTAGCTAGGATTAGGGTCGGGTCAGTCTTGGGTTAAGCAGCGCCTTTGACCATCAAAGATAGAAACGTAGTATGTCTGTTAATGATAAATAATTCGCCTGTACCTTAGTGCAATGTACTGGACATTCCCGCCTGGCTCATAGCACGAAATCTCGTCTCGATTGTATTATTGATATGTTTAGGACCTCGGTAGCATCAGGGACCTACCCAACCTGGCGTTCACCTATGCGACCTAACCTACGTTAAAGATCGGTGCCAAGGGCGACTGGGGTGCAGGTAATTAATTCTCCGACGCAAGGGAAACCGAACATGCTGTCCACTATTCTCAGGCCTGCGCCAAATTGATACTGACTGATCATGCCGCATTCACAACGTTTGACATTTGGGCACATGTCATAGCACTTCGTTGTAGTCTTCATCCCTTTCCATTCTGACGAGAGAATACACGCCCAGTGGTAGATCGAGCGCATTTGCGCGGTCTCCGCTGAAGTACTTCTGGTACCATGCCCGCCAAGTCGCGATTCACGCGGCTCGACGCCTTCACAAAGACAGTCGAAGATGCTCGCATACGAACAACGTCCGGAGGCATTGTCACCATAGCCTCGATCGTTATCATAATATACCTCGTCCTGGCAGAATGGGCGGACTACAGAAAAATACTGGTGCAGCCAGAGTTGATTGTGGATAAAGGGAGAGGTATGCATACACTCGATGCCTGCGTGAGTCTGGAAAGGGACAGACATGTACTGACTGGGTCAATGCAGGAGAGAAAATGGAAATCCACCTCAACATCACATTCCCCCGAATACCCTGCGAATTACTCACTCTCGATGTCATGGATGTGTCAGGAGAACAACAGACCGGCGTTGTGCACGGTGTGAACAAAGTGAGACTATCGCCGCAAAGAGAAGGGTCGCAGATCATCGACACACAAGCACTCGTCCTGCACCAACAAGACACAGCGTCCCATCTTGACCCTGACTACTGTGGATCGTGCTACTCAGCACCTGCGCCTCCGGACGCGAAGAAACCTGGGTGCTGCAATACTTGCGATGAAGTACGGGAAGCATACGCCACGAACAGTTGGGCGTTTGGGCGAGGCGAGGGAGTCGAACAGTGCGAGCGTGAAGGCTACGGCGAACGACTAGACGAACAGAGGCAGGAAGGCTGCAGGATCGAGGGGGTCATCCGCGTCAACAAGGTGGTGGGCAACTTCCACATCGCTCCGGGACGCAGTTTCAGCAATGGAAACATGCATGTGCACGACCTGAACAACTATTTCGACACCCCGGTCGAGGGAGGACATACATTCACGCACGAGATACACTCGTTGCGCTTTGGACCGCAGTTGCCCGACGAGACGGCTGCGAAGTGGAGCGATCACCACCATTCGAATCCGCTGGACGGGCAGAGACAAGACACGGAAGAGCCGGCGTACAATTTCATGTACTTCATCAAGGTGGTCTCGACGTCGTACCTGCCGCTTGGCTGGGACGAGGATCGCAGTATGAAGCAGCATTCGAGCCTGAGTGATTTGATTCCGCTGGGCATGCAGGGCCGCGGGGCGGGAAATCAGGGCAGCATCGAGACGCACCAATACTCCGTCACGAGCCACAAGAGGTCGTTGAGCGGAGGGTCAGATGCGGCGGAGGGGCATAAGGAGCGGTTGCACGCTCATGGTGGAATACCGGGGGTGTTCTTCTCATATGATATCAGTCCGATGAAGGTGATCAATCGGGAGGCCAGGCCGAAGACTTTTGCCAACTTTTTGACGGGGGTGTGCGCCGTGATTGGCGGCACGTTGACCGTCGCAGCGGCGATCGATAGAGGGTTGTATGAGGGGAGTTCGAGGCTGAAGAAAATTCACCAAGGATAATGGAAAAGCAACTTGGACAAGCAGACGGCTTGCGGCCCGTGACGATTGTCCATGGAGCAAAGTATTTGGTTGAATGGACTCGCATGAAGCATCTAGCATGGGGGTTTTGCTTGGTTAGCATATGGGAGATAAATCTGGTATGCCTGCAATGAAAATGAAAGGATCATTGCCTCCAAGATTAATCCCTTAATGCTCGAGAAAACCGGATCGAGGCTATCGTCCGTATTACTAGTACCTAGATGCTGTATGTATTGTCAGCCGTTTGCCATGAGCCTGGACAAGGCAGAACAAAGTAGGGGAAACGAAGGGAAGTAAGTATCAGAAGAACCATTCTAAGCACCGACGCCAGGTGGACACAATTCCCTGAGGCGAGAAAGGCATTTGACGATACACTTTCCGTCCACAAGGTGTGCCCAGTTCCCTGGCATCCTTTTCCGGCTCTTCCTAATGCCGTAAGGTTTCTTATATTCATCATAAAGGCGTGAGGGAGAAAATCGGTTTATGTGTATAGTTGTGTGAATGTGGTGGCTTACCTATGTTTTAGAGAGTTTCGAAGAAGAATCGAGCAGAAGTCATGAGCGGTTCAATCATTGCTCTTTGATACCGGACCATCAATATGGAACGGAGTCTCAATGTCAGGCTTTGAAGTGATCCAAGTCGGCACAGCAATGATGAAGAACAAAAATAAAATAATACGCTTTTTCCTTGTCTTGGAGAAATCTGATCTAAACCACTTTCGGAACGAAGGCTGCTTTCACCTATTCACATCTTGTCTTCATCTCTCGACCAAGGACGTTTCAACTTTGACATCTATATTCTCTTGCGTGTTGCCTTGCTGGATATTTTGACATGCCCGGAGACTTGTATCACAATGCTGCAAATCGTGTGTCCAAAGAGGTGTGCGAGGAGAAAGAGCCCGGGCGACATAACGCCTTGGAGAAAGGAGTTCCATGGGCGTGTTCTAGATAACAGTATATCTTGAAGTAATCAGTAAGACTCTTAGATAACAAAGAGGTTCAGATCAGACTGTGCAAGCCTTGTAGGAGTGTCGGGTCTTATGTGTGTGGGAAAGTGAAGTCTTCGAGGATAAAGCGGCAGGATAGGCGGCCACTCTGTAGGTGCGTGCTGTGTTGATCTGGCATCTCCGCATGGGACAGGCACCACGGGCACCTAGAATTGTTCCCAAAAGACTAGTTTATTACGAATTCATGTGTTTTGGGTGTGTACACGCTTGTTTTCTGGGTTTCACGCTCTGAACGACTGAGCCTTCATACCTTGTGACTTCATAAGTTGCGCTACCCTGGCTTTCAGACACGCAGGCCACATGAATGGCATACCGTCCGAGGAAGACCTACTGGACTCAGGTGAGTCCTTCTAGGCCGCTCGGCATATCGCTCTTCTGACACATGCAGACAATTATGACCCGATAGAACATCTCAATCAGGTCTTTTCCCATCCCTCTACTCTTTCCTCCGTCAGCCATACATACCAGATCCTCCAAGCCTATCAAGATGAGCTGGAAAATGATATTGATGCTCTCGAGGATGAGCAAATCAGAGCGAACGCGGAATGCCTCCAGCGTATGGAGGCCACGAAAGCAGAACTGGCCGAACTATTTGACCGAATCGAAAACGTACGGGAACGAGCTTTGCAGACCGAGCGCAATATCACCGAGATGACAGCCGATATCAAGCAGTTGGACAACACAAAGAAGAATTTGACACTATCCATGACGGCACTGAAACGGCTGCAGATGTTGACGACTGCCTACGAGCAACTGCGAGCATTGAGCAAGACAAGGCAGTACCGAGAGTGTGCCCAACTCCTTCAGGCTGTGATCCAGCTCATGGCTCACTTCAAATCGTACCGCTCTATAGACCAGATTGCAACTTTAAGCAGAAATGTCGCAGACCTTCAGCGGGAGTTGCTTGAGCAAGTCTGCGAAGATTTCGAGATCACGTTTACAAAGGAGGAGGTGGCTCAGAAGAGAGGGTTGCTACTTGAAGCATGCTTGGTTGTGGATGCACTCGGTGACGCTGCCCGATCTCGGTTGATTACATGGTACTGCAATACCGAACTGCGTCAATATCGACACATCTTCAAGGGTGATCAGGAGGCAGGTTCGTTGGACAACATCGACCGAAGGTATGCATGGTTCAAGAAGACGTTGAAAGTCTACGACGAAGAGCACGCCGCCATTTTCCCTCCCCACTGGCGTGTCAACGAAGTGCTCGCGAACGTCTTTGCAGAAGGCACTCGTGACGACTACAAGGGCATTCTGTCTAGGACCACCCGCAATGGCCAGACCATTGACGTCAAACTGTTGTTATCCTGTCTTCAACAAACTCTAGATTTCGAGCACAGTCTAGAACGACGGTTCAATCAATCCTCTAGAACATCCATCGACACCGTAACCTCCAGCAACGATGCGCCAATATTTGGACAGCCTATATCCGATGCGTTTGAGCCATACTTGAGTCTGTGGGTCGTCGCCCAGGACAAAGAACTCGCAAGCTTGATACCGCAATACAAGCAGAGACCGGCAAGACTAGCGGACGAGGAATTTTCTTCTCAGCAAGTCATAACGTCGTCTACGGAGCTATTCAACTTCTACCGGCACGCGTTGGCTCAGTGTGCGAAACTCTCCACCGGGCAACCATTGCTGGATCTCTCCAAGGTATTCGGACGCTATTTAGACCAGTACGCCCAGCAAGTGCTTCTGTCCTATATATTTGAAAAGCCCTCGGATGGAACACCATCCCGGATGCCAGCTATCGAAGATGTTATACTGGTCTTGAACACGGCAGACTATTGTTTTAACACGTCCAATTCCCTGGAAGACAAGATTAAAAGTCGTATTGACGACAACCTGAAGGACAGTGTGGATTTACAAAGTCAGGCAGACGCTTTCATGGGTATAGCCAGCGCCGCTGTCCGTGGCCTGGTGCGCCGAGTAGAAGTTGATCTCGAGCCTAGTTGGCGGGAGATGAGGAATACAGCATGGTCCAAGATCGAGAGCTGTGAAAATCAGAGCTCTTATATCAAAGGTCTACAAAGCCGCATCAAGGAGAGGTCGAGCGAGATCCTGGGGATGCTCCACAAGCAGCAATATGCACGTGCTTTTGCCGACAATCTGGTTGAGCTTCTTGCCTCAACTTACATCTCAAACATTGCGCAGTGTAGGCCAATCTCGGAAGGTGGCGCCGAACAAATGTTGCTCGACACTCACGAAATCAGGAATACTCTGAGTCACATACTACCAGGCACGCCTCCTGCTCTTTTCTTGAAGCGCGTCACAGCGACATTCAGCAAAATCGAACCGTTACTGAAAACTCTACAAGTCCGGCCATCTCCTCCTGAAGCAATGGTGCAGGCTTACCTCATCCACATTGCCGATTTATCAGAAGTCAACTTCCGCAAGGTCCTTGAACTCAAAGGCATCAGGACAAAAGCAGACCAGAATCATCTGGTGGAACTGTTTCAAATGCACAAATTCAGTCCTCGTTACAAGGACTCTTTGGTAGAAAAGTCCCCTCTCCTAACAACTCTCCATCTCTCGACTTCAGGCTTGGCGGCTGGACAAGCATCGACTCCTGCAGCGGCATTGCACAACTTGTCGGCACTGGGCAACTCGGCGGCGGCGTCACTCAGTACTGCCAATCTTCCAGCGAACATGAAGTTCGATGCCTCTGGACTGGGCAATGCGATCATTGATCGCTTCAGCAGTCCAGCGTTGGGTACCCCCAGGGACGGAGCGCAAAGCCCGCCTCCTGGTGGTGTGCCGGCAATTAATGTGGCAAGTGATGGGGGATTCTCGGGCGTAGAGGCGGGGACGAAGTTGAATGACAACTTGAAGAACATTGGGAAATTCTTCAAACGAGATCTGGGAGGATTCGGAAGCATAGGACGATTTGGCAGCAAGGCTACGAGTCCTGCTCCGCCTGAAGATAGAAGTCATGCTCGATAGGAATATTCGAATGTACCACCTCGAAGCATTATCGCGGTCTTTCTTCTTGTTATTATGTGTGACACAAAGGTCCTTGTGGATCGTTGCGGACGGTGCATTGTCGGAGGAACAAAGGGCATTGTATGGCATTTCAGGTCTTTTGTTTCCAAAAATATTATAGTGAAAGCGGGCCCCGGTGATAAATACCTGGTACTCCGTAGATGTCGAGGATTCGGATTCCAGTCAAGAGGTGCCAAGCACATGCCGACTATCACCTACTTACCTTAGGTAAGCGTGGACAATCGGTACAGTCACCAGCGGTGGGAGGCACGTGACCACGAAAACGAAATACTCGAGGTTCTGCCTAACAGTCTGTGACTGTGAGCCTCCATCAGAATCCCATTCACGCCCACACTCTCACTTGACTCCCGATATACGCTACCATTCTCACTCTCTCTAAATCACATTTTTCCAAACCACACACTCATTAACAATGGCGACTTCCCAGCTCGCAGTCAAAGGCTGGACAACAAGCAAAATTTCTACTTCCGAAGATCAAGGTCTGGAGGCGCTTCTGGCTTTCTTAGAGAGAAAGTCGAGTCGACAAATCTTGTCCTACAAATTGGCAGGCCGATCCGTCCTACTTATCACCATCAACGAAGCCGACAAATCTCGATTTACCCATCTCAATGGCTTTTCTTTCGCTGGAGCAAACCTCGTCGTAGAAGACGCCCGACCTCTACGCAACGCACAACCATCACAGCCATTCCAATCTCAAAACCAACCGTTCGGAGCTAGAATATCGCAGCCACCTCGTGGTCAGTTCCAAAATGGGACTCCACAACCGCCATCTGGTCCTCGTGGCCAATTTACATCTCAGATATCTCAGCCACCACGCGGGCCAAGCCGAAATCTTCAATCATCTTCAGCCAACTCACGAGATACACGCAGAGCAAACGACTCTGTGACATCTGAGGCCGAAAACGTCATCATCACACTCATACGCAACAGATACAATGCTGGAGACAAACACCTCATCCTCAATATGCTCAACAGCGATCCCGAACTGCTCAACGCTGGCCTGCTCGGCGATCCCAACAAGCTCTACAAAGCCATTTTTGTCCTTTGCGAAACGAAGATATGGGAAACGTTACCCAAGCGCAAAGAAGCGGTATTGAGCGTCAGCCTTCGAGATAACTCGATAAAATCAATCTACGACACCCTACCTCTTGCGAATGCATTTCCTCATATCCACAATCTCGACCTCGCCAACAACGCCCTAGAAGATCTAGAGCCCTTGAAATTCAGAAAGAACCAATTCTCCAATCTTGAACACATTATTCTTACCGGAAATCCAGTCGCTGCCAAGCCAGACACCTTGAGCACATTGCTCAAGTTGTACCCAAACCTCAAATTTTACAACAATGAACCTGTGCAGAACGCGGTTGCCGTTCAGCAACAACCACCCCTGCCGCTACAACAGCAAGCCTTCGGTGGTGGTGCAGTTCAGCCAGTTCAAGCCCAACCACAAGCAACCCCTGAACCCACTCGAGCACACCCAGAATTCCCGCCTGGCTCGACATTCGGACTTGCGACTCCAGACAAACCAGCAGATGTCCTCTTGAAAGAGCAAATGGGACTCCAATTCAGCTTCGACACGAAGCTCAAGATGCAATGGGTGGAGAACTGCTTGTCAGCGAACAACTGGGACTACCAGACTGCAATGGCGAATTTCGCGCAATTGAAAGCACAGGGGCAGATCCCTGGCGATGCGTATATTGAGGGAGTCTAGGAGGCCATTTTGGGACTAGGTGACTTGGATATGGAGGACATCAGTGGTGAGATGTCATATTCTTCTGCTATTGTTATGGGGGAGGACGCAGAGGTCGAAATGACCTGATATTGTTATTGTATTGGTATCCCTCCTACTCGTTATTGGAGGAGCATCATTAGCATGGAGTTGGAATGGGCATCATTAGCATCATTGTCGATATCATTCCATGGACTGGAAGCGCTCTACGGAGCCAAATGTAACACATTGAACTTATGTATAGACGGTCCCCTTCCAGCCATATTGTGTCCGACGGGCTTTGCTGTCATGTTATGCTTGTAAACGTTCGTTGTCAGTACTTATGGTAGGTTTGGAGGTGTGCACCAAATGTACTTGCCGCGCTAAAGTTGAATACACCTCCGTACCTTATGTGAAATTCCCGTATTGCGCTGCCTGGACTGCGTTGGCAATGACATGTGACAGAACGTCATCATCATGTAAACCACTGTGATTTGTAGATACCAATCCCACCCTCCAGCGGCTGCTGCCATGCCAGGTACGCGTACCTGCATCGACATATTCCCCAACGCTTCTGATGCTGTGTCAGTTATTTCGCTGGTGTTCTCTCGAGTCCACATGGAGCACGACGTGACGCCGCTGCCCGCCTCATCCTCCACACCGCTTTCTTCCTCCGAACACGCCGCTTTTCACCACAATGCTGTGGAATACAAGCAAAGAGTCTGAGAATGAAGGAAAAGATGAAGGGCCTGTTGATGAATTCGATGACGCTCAAAAGGAAATCGTCCTCGCACAACCGCCGCAAGGAAGGACTTTACTGCCCGCGCCCGCTGCCGCAGTCGTGAGCGGCATCACTGGCCTTACTTCCTTCTACGTTCGCGCAGGCACCAAAATTGGGGGTTGGGGACTTTACGCTGGCAGGGAAGCCACGCTGAAGACTCTGTCCGTCTCCAGAAGTGCTTTGGAAACAGTCCTCGTTGCAGCGGGAAGAGATATATCCAGCAGGAGTAATGGCGAAGTCGGCAGGGCTGAGGCAGAGAATTTGCTGGAGAGAAGTGTAGACTACAAGGCTCTTCAAGACACAGGGACTGGAGACTAACCAGGCCACAGATATCTGCTCTGTATTCGACCATCTCAACCATCTCCTTCGTTGCCTCCGCCGGCTTCTACCTCACCGAGGCGTCCATGAACTCGGTATCTTCTCTGTCCATACAAGGACTGGCCACTTTGAACGCCATACTTGGATCTACCGAGTCCTCTCGCGCCGTCGCTGCCATCATTACCCTGATCAGAGACGAACTCAGGAAGCCCGACTCGGCCAATAGTGGAGAAGCCGTCTCGTATATGGATCTCATTGTCGGAACGACAGGGTTTGTCATGCTGCAGAGATGGGGTAGACGAAAGACCGAACTCGATTTCCGGGATGCCGGTGGTGAAGAGACGATCTGGGATGCAGTCATCGACGACAAAGGCTTCAGGGCGGACGTCGTTGGGACGCGGAGGAAAGACATCATCAGCCTACACACAGCTACTGGCGCGCCGCCCATGACATTCTCTTCTCCTGATGGCGAGGATGAATTCGAGGCATTGGAAAGAGGGACCTTGTTCGATGCTTCCGCTATGGCGCTCTCTCCGCACGATCATACCAGTTTGACCGACGAAGAAATTCGCGACGGTATCATGAGCCAAATGCCAACCGGAGCTCGAGCAGTCATAACATCCGAAACAGTTACCGCGAAGACTATAAAAGTTGACATCTATGGTGCTGATACATCTCACATTGATCCACCACCCGGAACAGTCATGGTAGCAGAGAGACTCAATCACCAAGATCCTATGAGTGGCGTTACAGGAGGACCTCAACAGACTGTCATCTTCCGGACAGCGCTGAAGAGATCTAGCAGCACGGATGTTCCCTCAAAGACCGAGCAAATGCGTCTGACCAACAATGAAGAAGGCAACAGGGAACAAAATGATCATGACGATGTCTTCATGATGGAGTGTTCTCCGAAAGAAAATACTATGGTGGACGAATCTGCTCACAGCCACAATCCCGTCATTCAGGATGCCGAACATGACGATGAGAGCTTAGAGTCATCGAGGCCGCCAACGCCTCCACCGAAGACCCCTGGTCCAGTCGCTAACCAGAAAAAGAGCCGTCGCCCGAATCCGTCTCGCGACAAGTCGCCGCCTCTTACGAACGTTATAACTCGTGTGCCACTCGTCAAGAGCAAGAAGGCCAAGCATTCCTCCGAAAATAAGGGTGAAAAAGGAGGTATGATCAAGAAAGCACTGAAGACGCTAAGTCCTAGCCAGTCGTCCACGGCAATCAAGGATCTCCACAAAAATCTTCCGCAGCGGAAGCCCTCTACCTCTATCCCAATCCCGAATACAAGAAATCGGGGGTCCTCGGTGGTACGTGGTGATGTGACACCTCGAAAACACTTCGGCTTTCTAAGCCATGGCCACACTCCATCAACGAGCCCGAATCTGCAACGCACAACGCAATTGGAATCATCATCCAACTATTTTGCAGTGCATGATAGACGAAGAAATTCGACCGTCTCGCAAACGACGGAAACGTATTCAGTTCACTCCGTCGAAAGCAGGCCAGGCTCACCTACGTTTACACGAACGCACACTCGAGTCGTGAGTGGGTTGCCCAAGACAAAGTCAGAGCTTGCACTTGCTCTTAACGAAACAGAGTCCCGAGCCGACTCTGCAGGCGGAGCAGCTCATCATCGTCGGTCTCGATCTTTCGTGCCTAGTCTCTACTCGATGGCTACCAAAGACTCGAGTGAAGCCATCATACTGGCTCCCAAGACTCCACTTCCTCGAAAATCGATCTACGAAGACCAGAATATCTTGAACGCTCTCATTCTAAACGGCAAGGTGCCCGGCATATTCCCTGACCGTCATATGGTCAGGACAGTGAGACGCTTTGCCAGGTTTGCATCCGCTTCGTATGGCTCGAATTTTCTTCATGTGATGGGTCTTACTTCGGCCGAATCCCAACTCAGCAACGCTACCGACCTGATGACTCTAGACGTCCATCACGAGCACAGCTCCTTCTCTAGTCATACAGGACTACCACCCGACACTATTCTTCTTTCTTCTTTCTACGATCCCAAAGGTGTGACGGGCAACACGGATTGGTCACCGTCGGCCATATCGCCTTTGATCCATTTCATTTCCATCGACGACGATTCGAAAGCAGTGGTTCTCACGTGCCGCGGAACACTTGGGTTCGAGGACGTCCTGACCGATATGACCTGCGACTACGACGACTTACTCTGGCAAGGAAAGCGCTACAAGGTTCACAAAGGCATTCACGCATCAGCACGACGATTACTGGGTGGTAGTGGAAGTCGGGTAATGGCAACAATTAGAGCAACTCTCGAACAATATCCGGATTATGGCCTTGTTCTTTGCGGCCATTCCTTGGGTGGCGCGGTAGCAGCTATCCTTGCCATCCTCATCTCCGAACCGAGCTTCGATAGCTCAAAAACGTCTTTTGTCACAGGCAACAAACCAAAATTACTCACCAGTCAGTCTTCAAGTGGGCCTTTCACCTCTTACATCCCACCCATAACTCTTCCGGCGGGCAGGCCTATCCACGTCTACGCCTATGGCACGCCAGCATGCATGTCCGAACTTCTGCGCGTCGCTACTCGCGGCCTTATTACCACTATTGTCAATCACGCCGATATCGTGCCGTGCTTGTCACTGGGAATTCTACATGATTTTCGTACGGTGGCTCTCCATCTGAAGACCGACACGACGGACGCTCTTGGAGCACTTAAAACGCGCGTGTTGCAACGACTGAAAAATGCGGTCGCTTCTTCCTTCTACAATAATCCCAAAGGACCACCTCCGCCAGAAACCATGGCGGGGGACGGGCTCGGTGAAGACACATGGGCATGGGCAGCTCTGAAAACGCTGCGTGCGTCAATGGTGAATGACAAACTCGTTCCGCCTGGAGAGGTTTTCGTGGTCGAAACGACGCGAGTGTTTGATCGACTGGACCCCAATGTGGCGCGCGAAGCGGTGTTTGGACCAGATGACACAAAGGACGACAGGACGGAAAAGTTGTACAGGGCTCTTGGGCGGCCTGCGACGAGGGTGCAGTTCAAACTTGTACGCGATGTCGAGACCAGGTTTGGAGAATTGAGGTTCGGACGAGATATGTTTGGCGACCATTCTCCAGGAAGGTATGAGGCGGCGCTGGCTGCGTTGGAGAAGGGAATTTGTGAAAATTGAGATAGGACTGCTTGATCTGTCCTCTGTATGCAAATTTGTCACAGGGTGAATGTGGTATGCACTTGAGCGCCCAAGAAACAGGTATTGAAGAAAGTCGCTACATGTTGGGAACGGTCAAGATCTAGTCTTGACACAAGTCACCAAGGAGAAACAAGTGCATGTCCAACATTTAGACCGAGGATGGCTGCTAAAAAGAGCTATGGATGTGGTTGGTGGAAGATTCAGCAGAAAAAGAGGGATCACTCAAGATCATGGAGCTAGAAGGCACAAGACCACGATGGCTGTTAAAGGTTTCATCAAGGTAATGAGTATTCACGACGTGACGGGCAACGAGAATAGAAATGAGAATGAAAAACGAGGACCCAACATGAGCATGATGAATCAGACAGTTTCTAACTTTGTCCATCGTTACGTTCGTGTTTGTTGCATGGCTTTCTTTCGTGTCGCTAGCTAAAACCACTAACTCGAGCCACAGGGAAAGCAACCGGAAAGGCAACGGGAAGGGGAACCACAGGTGTCTCTGATGGTAGAAAGAGAGCATCATACACGATCGTACTGGGAGTCAAGCAAACAGCGATGACTCCTACAGCGAGCTCGTCTAATTCGACGGTCTCGGCAATTGCAGAATTAGATAGAAGGAACCAGGCAGGGTGGAAGAAGACTCGAAGACCAGATACTTGGAAAGGCCAAAGTCGATTGGAGAGATGTGGTTTTGTATTTGTATCTGTGTCATGCCCAATGCAATTTCCAGTCTCATTTTCCCGTCGCCCGGGACGTTGTGTGGTCAACCACGATAAAGAGGAGAAGGGAAAGGCAGACCTGATGGAATCGGTCTGCGTAAACACCTCTACTGGTACCAGACTCCGTGTCTCCAGCCTGCATGAAATATTGGCCAGTCTCATGTGTCAATCTGAATTCCAGTCTTCCGCGGGTCCATCTTGAAAGTATGAGAGTCAATAAGAACGTTCGTCACATCATCGCTAAGTGCATCTCTGCTTCACCTTTGTCTCGACACCTCCATCTTTTTTTGGTGTTTTTTTCAGACGGGTGGAGTAGTGAAAAGAAACCGTACAACCAACTGTCCATAAACACCAACCAGATTATACAATGCAGCGGGACTCTTCACCGCTCATGTCTTCCTCCGCCTCATACTCCTGTTGCGCATTGAGCAAATTTCAGTTGGTCATGTCCCAGTCGAAAAGGTCGTCATCGTTGAACGCCTCGCTGAACATAGGATCATTGTCAAGAGTAGCAAAGGCCTCCGGGCCACCAGGGAAGAGGGTTGCACTGGCAGCAGCTGGGTTTGAGAAGGCGTTGCTGCCTTCACCGCCAAACAACGAGAAGTCTCCAGAAGGGAACTCCATGTCTTGACCCATCATGGAAGCCTTGTCGAAGGTGTGGCCGGAGGGACCGGCAATCATGGGAGAGTGCTCGGAAATGGAGGGATTGCGAGACTGTGGTTGTAGGAAGGAGCTTGGAGTGGGCAGGCCTTCGTTCCAGACAGTCGGGTTGGTGCAATCCATAGTGACATCCATTAAAGTGTCGTAAGGTGATGGCTCGGTGATATTGCTGTAGGCTGGTGTGATTGGGGTGCCCATCATATTGTGAGCGCTCATGGACGACGTGGTGATTGGAGACACGTATGCCTGAGCAGGTTGATAATTCTGATTGAACGGAATGGCGTTGAAATCAAAATCATCGGCCATTTGGTTGTACAACATGGCGGGCGTGGTTCTTGGGAAGATGGGGTTCGAGTAACTCACAGGAGCTGGGTTGAAAGAGTCGAAATTGCTGAGTGGCTGCTCGTAGGGTGTCAATGCAGCACTGCCTGCAATACTGCCTCCAATACTTCCTGCAATAGAGCTTGCATCGTCCCAGTTGCTGTGGTGGCTTGTGGAGATGGCAGGGCTAGCAGAGAAGTCGATGCTTGGAGTTTGAGGGGTTTGTGCTGGTGTCATTCTGGTTGAACCAGCAGGCGCCTTGTCTTTTCCCTTGGCACGTTCGTAGTGCCAGCCATGTTTCTTCTCCATGTGCTGCTTGCAATTGCTCTCACGCTTGGTGCGGAATTCACAGTAATCGCACTTGTAAAACTGGGGGTCTTTGGAGTGCTTGTCATTGAAGTGACGTTCGCGCTCCTTCTCTGTAGGCAGGCCAAGTTCATGATATTTGCAACCCTCCTCAGGACACTTGAACGGCCGAGAATGTGTTTTTTCGTGTTTGGCAAGGTCACATTTTCTGGTGAAGACCTTGTCGCATGATGGGTCAGAGCACTTCATCTCGACATATTCGGGAATGTAGCCCTTCTTTCTGCGGGCCATGGAGCGAGCGACATCCTCATCGAGAGCACCACTGCTCTGTCTCTTGATGCCTGGTGTAGGCTCGTACGGAAGGCCAGTCCGAAGAGAAAAGCCGTTGCCGTTCTTCCAGCGGACAAGCTCTGCCTGATTCCCAGTTTCACCGAGGCCACCTTCTAGGGTGACCTCGTCATCGATAGAGTAAGCCATCTCGTCGTCCTCTTCAGCAGTACCGGCCTGCTGAGCGCGACCAGAAGAACCAATGTGAGAAGCTAGCCGATGGACTTGTTGGACCAAGTCAAGGAAGTAGCCGTTGTCGTAAGGGCGATCAGCGGCACGTCGTTGTTCCGATTCGGAAAGATGTTGATAAGCGTCGACGACGAGCTGGATAGTAAACTCGCCGAAGGCGCGATACAGATGCCTCGAGATGGCAAATGTCTTGAGGAAGACGTCAGTCTCAGCTGGACCTTGAGCAATGAGTGTGCTTACCAAGGGCTGGAAGATGAGGCTTTGTTCAAGATCACGCAAGCATCTGATGCTCTTGTTGGTCTTGGAGTCAAGGGCGGTAACAAAAGGATGAAGGTTCTGAAATCGTGCCTCTTCGAGAATGGGCGAGATTATATATTCCTTGAGCTTGTTCCGTGCCGAGCGACTAAGAGGTGGATGACGAAGGGTAGGTCTGGAGGGTCGGGGAGCGATGCTTTCTGTGACGGCCGAGGGAGCAATAGTGCTTGACGACCTAGTTGAGGGGTGACTGGCTCGTTGCCTGAGGCGGCGAGATGTCAGGTCTGAAGAGTCAGCTTCTGCGGCAGTTCGGTTAACAACGTCTTCACACATCACAACACAGCGGGCAATCCAACCTTGAATCAAGTCTTGAACAAGACCGTCTTCTTCAGAGGTGTTTCCCACCACCACTCTTCCAACTGAGTCGCTCTTGATGGAAGACCCCAACGCACTATCCTTGTTCGACAACAAATCCAAAGCCCTATGAAACGACTGGGCCAAATTTTTGTCACTGGCGGGGCTGATGGAGGAGCCCAAGCCTTCGTCTGATGGTAGAGCGGCACGACGGACCCAGACTTGTTCGAAGTTCTGGGCAGAACGTCGTCTACCTGCGGTTCGTTTTCCACGTGCGCCAGAAAAGGTCTGCTCAAAGTCGGCGAGAGACTTGGCTACGTCCTCTTTCTCGGATAGCCAACTAGTCAACATGGACTGAGAGCATGTCGGAGAGCGACGAGTCAGATGAGGGATGCTCAAAACTGGGTCATCCTCCTTTGAAGGAGAAGATGAGCAGTGGAAGGTAGCGCCCTTGGACAGGGACATCTTACTAAGAACGCATGCTGATGACTCTGGCGATGCAGGCGGTGACGGAGGAAGATTCTTGGTGATGAGTCGATGGGTCCGGCGATGAGCAAAGGGAGTTGGAGGAGGTGGCATGGTCATGGAGGCCATGGTTGGTATATGAAGTCTCGAACCAGCCGGGGAAGATGCAGATGACACGCAAGGTGCTAGCTTGGAACTTAGCACGCGGTCTATTGGTTGACTCTGAGCAGTTCCCCGTGGCTTATGACTCACCCGTACCAATAGATATGAAACCGAAGATCTAAGGTCTATAAACCAGGTGTCGACTGTACTCACAAATGGGTCTTTGCGTCTCTTGGATCCGGTATAGAGCGGTCCGTTGGTAATGTAATGGTATGGCTTCCAGATTTCTTTCTCGCTCGCCCGAGCGCAGACGTGGAAGGGATGGTACCGATATGTTGAGGCAGGCTTGTAGGTCGGATCGATGGTGGCGGGATTAGACGGATGGCGAAGGGCTGTGCCGCGGGGTCGAGAGGCTATCCCTGGTGATGGCAGGAAGTGGGTAGGCCGACTGGCAGTGAAGGGCCAAGTACACAGGTGTTCGATAGATAACGAACAACGGTGCAACTCGTTCAACGGGGCGTTATAGTGGAAGGGTGAGGGTGAAGTGAGGTTGAGAAGTTGCGGCTGTGGATTGAGAGAAACACCTGAGGCCAGCGTGGCGACTATTCAGGTGTCTCTGCGAATCGAGCCGAGTTGGTCGGATTGAGATGTGGTGGAATTGAGAGAGGGAGTGAGGGAGTGAGTCGAAGAGGGAGGATTTGGGTGAGTTGGGTGAGTTGTCCTCCTGATGATCACTGATGGCACTTTGAGTATCTCGGTTGATGCCTGATTTTGCCAAGGCCCTAAGACGCGCTTCCGTCCTGTCCGTGGCTGTCACGCTTCCACTGCGGCGCAGTCACTCGGCCAGTCGGCCGTAATGTTTCTTTACTCCGTCCGCATCATCGTTGCTCAAAAGGACGCTCGTGTTCCTGGCGATTCCATCAAAGGTATTTCCTTCTCAACCTCAATTAGCCTCTCACATCGCCCTGAAAAATGTACGTCTATTGGTCCGAGGAGAGAGGCAGCAGCACAAGGTATCCCGCTTTGGTCGTCTTGCTGTACGATATACGGCAGGGTCTTTGGCATGGATATCATCAAAACCTCAGACTACTGCTTACCAAATGATACGAGACCCGCACCACTGTGCCCACGAGTTTGGTGGAACCACAAGCGGGAAGACAAATCAGCCGTACCAACAGCCTAGGACTTATTTGGCTTAGTGACTGCATAATCAACCGTCACGTGAGAGCGGACGCGGGCGAAATACACTCCGATAAGAGTTACTAGGTAACTTTGGATTTGAGGCGAGGATCATGATTCATACCTCGTCGAGTTTGCTACGAGTACTGGACGCACGAATGTGTATCACAGTATCCGTACACTGGAATGTACCGCTTCTGCTCACATCGGAGGTGCTAAATCAGCTGGGTTGATCAGCAAAATCAACCCTCCTGCATGGCGGCAACAACGATGATGGATGTTTTCGGACCCATCCGTCCAGCTTGTACACACTTGTACCGTGCGTCACGAGAAGCCTCTGGCACGCCTGAATGTTCCTGCAGTCGGATACCATCCAATCGTGGCCACTCTCTGAGTGTTTACCCGCGTCACCGGTCGCGAGCATGCATGGGATCTTCTACTAACTCGAAATCCCCGTGCATGCAGGCACTCCAAAAGAGGCCAGAGTGGCAAAACTACCAAAATACCATGTCCGACTTGAATCCTAATTGGCATTTTGAGGGGTGCCTGGATGAGGTCCACGTCGCAGGGTTACCGCCTCGCATATTGCGCTCTATCAGGAAAAGCCTCATACTCTTTCTTGGAGCTTGACTTGTGCACTGCCTCAGCCACTGTGTCGCTCCTGGCACTAGTGTATTGTGCGTGCACATTTCTTGACGAAGTTATGGCTTGCTGCATTGATGCCATTGACGGAGGATTAGTCAACCGCCAGTCGAGTCCTGATCTCGTGGACCAACTTGACCCGGCTGTTACGCTGCCCTTCGTTTGTGCGTGACTCACCGGTTGGACCTTCATCTCGGTAGGGCTCGTATTCGCAGCCAATCATGTCCACATTCTGTTCCGTGAATTGAGCACCCATTTGATGTGTCAAGGTGGAGCTATATTCTCTCCAAAATGTTTACTTGCACCTCCAGTCAATACGGTGAACCTTAGTTCTGGAAGCGACCTTACTCGATCAAACGCCAACCCAAGCATAATCTCACCACAGTCGTTGGAGACGATGAGACCATTGTTGCCGAGCGAGATTGACACAGACTACCTTTGTTATATACATCTGCTGCCCGACTGGGTCCCGACCAGCAATGTCTTCACTGTCGATCTACGGTAAGACACGTCTTAATCAAACCTATTGACTCCAGAGCAGTTTGCTTCACGATAGACGAGAGTAATGTTTTCATAATCAAGCGTAGGCCTGAATCTCTGTTGCCCCTGTTACCAGATTCTATCTTGGACAGAGCTTGTTACACGACCCTTATCAGTCTTGTCCCGAGAAAGGGAAGATGTGAGCAATGAACATCAATATGGCTCAATCAGGCTACAAGATCCTCTATTCCCCAGCAATGTCATTTACCAACATAACCGATTCTGTTAGTCCATGTGGTAGACTTGGAATTTGCCGCCAAATTTGCCACATTTGAACTGTTGAACTGTTAGAAAAACTTGAAGCCGATGTTATGGGCTGGGAAGAACCCCACCGTAAGGATTCCTGCTTTTTGGTCACTGCTTGATAATCATCTTCTGAAGGGTATTGCTCGAACACGAGGATTGTGCTCGATGTGTTGTCTTTCTGTGTGATTGGGTAGTAGGACAGGACATTGGCTTCTTGCCAGGAAGCTTTAGTTAGTTTGCGAATTTCGTCGACGAGTTTTTCCATGGAGGCATCGGGACTCGTGTACTCGGAGATGACCACAAACGCATCATCTTCGCCTTGCTTCTGACCTGATGCAGGTGTGCCCTTGTGAATGAACGCTTCGGGGACGATGGCCTTCATGAGCACGACTTCTGGCAAAACCTTGCCCCAGAGATTGTGTTCCGCTGACACCTTCCGCATCGTCTTATACTCTGGACTGCTCCTGTGCGTCTCCGCCAGTGCCGCCTCGTTGCCATACCTGCTCCGGTTTGTTTAGCATGACACTTGTTGTGGACTATGAAGATTGGTGTACGAACACTTCAAATCCACATATCCATTCCCCTTCAAGGCCAGAGTTCGGGCTTTTTGAATACCAGCTGTAGGCCTTGTTTTCTGGCTCATTAGCCCAGGTGATTCTAGCAACATCGGCCAACAGCTCGTGAAGCTTCAATCAATTTCAGCATGTCGTATCAACATTTGAGGCGTAGATCTGACCCTGGCGCCTTCTGTCTGGCTTGGTAGCTTGTGATATAGGCAGATTGCAATTGACATGATGATCCCAATAATCTCTTTACGTCTCTGTTTACAGTCCTCCTTATTGTCGACGACTGATATTATCACTGATATTGCTCGCTTGTTATCAGAGCTCACAGAGTAAGTGAAAGGATCGTTAAGCCCCAGGATCGTCGTGGCGGAGTTGATGTCTCCGTACGGAGGTGCCGAGTTTCCAGTCATGTCCGCAACCTGTAAGCAACCAACCCCTCAGTTGTATCGATCCCAATTGGTAAAGTCGAACATCTAATCAATAACTTGAATCTTGGTTCTGGATACCTGCTCGAAGTGATAAGTATAGGCGTATTCTGGCTGATTATTGCGGTAGACATGGCGTCCCCCCTGGATGGCAACTTCCTACGGGAACTAGCATCCGCGCATGACGGCAGTTCAGCCAAGGACCATGAGTTCAAGTGGTATATCACGGCCATTGTTGCGGTAGCGGGGATGAATTACTCTGAGCTGATCCCTGAGTTGTATAAGACGCTGCTGGCGGAGTACATTCCAGAGGATAAGCACTTCTCAGAAACTCGCAAATTGCGAGAAGCACTTACCAAAACTTGCGGCATTTGGGGAGCTGCAAAGGTTCGTCCTCGATCATATTTCTTTGCCGAGTATTGACAGGCCGGTCTCTTGGTGTTAAGCCTCTTGTTGACAGGTTGTTTCTCATTGACAGACCGGTACCTCCACGAGAGCCTTATGGAACGCGACTCCAAGTCATTTGCGAGACCAGACGTGTTATCGGTAAGTCCCTGCTCGAGGACAGCAATAGTAGTTTCCGAAAATCGGGATGCTTTTATTTATTTCTAACATTTCACTGTCGTTTAGTGCCAATGATGACCCAGAAGAAGCGGCCACGCGCGGCCAAAAACTAGTGGAGAGTATTTACTCCAGAATTCCTGGTTATAACAAAGACGTGGTTTACCAGGCTTCGCCTGACTATGGCTGGATTGTCAACAGTGAGCGGTTTCCCTCAAGCTAAAGGGTTTAGAAGCTGATACCTCCGGTGTCCTGAAGGGCTTTTCTACGGTCATATCTTCTCCTTTACCGAGATTCTCAACACATTAGAGACTGGCCAATGCATCGTGGCTGCCTTGCTCAGTATTGACTGTCAAGAGCAAGTACGCAATCATATGATGGGTATGCAATTCAACGGAGCAACGCGTGAGGATGTTCAAGGAATTCGCAAGGTGGTTGTTGCGATCGCGGACAGGCTCGGCGTTAAAGGGAAGGAGGGAAGACGGGCAATTGAGGTGCCTTCAATTGAGCCAAATTGAGCCAGTCTTAGACAAGACAACGAATTTATCACTAGACCATCGATCAGCCCATCCAGACCTCAATTCGGAGGCTAAATGTCGAAGAAAAGCCTTTTCTTGATGAAAAATGTACAATCCGGAACGGTGTCAGTCAACAAGAGGCAGACATGCTCTAGCTAATAGTGTATCTCTGGCAGAACCATCAAGTTCCAATAGTCCTCGAAGTTCAGGGTCTGAGTGTCTGCAACACTCTTCCCGAGCATCTCCCTCTTCGTGAACCCATTTCCCAGCCATGAAAAGCGACCGAATTTTCCATGAAGATCCACGTATTCGAGCTCATAGTCCTCCCATCTTGGGTCTCTCAGCGCTTCAGCAAAATGATAGCAACTGCCTGCATACACGGCGACGACCCGACCGTCCTTGGTTCCCCGTTTGTACCAACTGCGACATGGTGCTGCCCAGACAGCCTTGGACAGCCACTGTTGGGAATAATCATTGTACTCTCTGGTTACCTGCTTTGAGATCATCATTGATTTGATAGCATGACACTGTAACTTGGTGATGCATCTGTAGATGTAGACACCGGTCATTTGGATGGCTTGCACAAGGGACCCGTTTGATATAGGACTGTTTGGGCCAATGAACACTAAAAAAACGTTAGCGAAGAGCAGTCTGTATCAAGAAGACTGCCACTTACTGAAATAGTTCGGCATATCTGGTACTGCAATACTGAAGTACGCCTCCGGATCTTCTTTCGACCACCGTTCTGCCAAGTTCACGCCGCCTCTCCCAATTAGAGGGAACCGAGGTCTGAAAGTTGTGTCGAAGCCTGTGGCACAGAATATGGCGTCGACTTTGATATGGCTTCCCTCTTTCAACTGGATGCCGGTTTCCGTTATGCACTTAATAGCATCCCAATGACTATCTACATTATCCCGAATGAGAGCTTCGAGAAATCCAGGACCCGGCGTCAGTCGACGACAACCGACTGGGAAATCAGGTAGGAGCCACTTAGCAATAGCCTTGCCCTTCTCGCCAGACCCAAGCCGATCAAGCATGGTCTTCCTGAAAAGTTGGTCTGTTTCATTTTGAGCTTTGGAGCCCGACATAGAGAGTTTGAAGTTTTCAATACGCTTGTTCGCCAGGAACTTTCGATGCTGTTGTGAATAGATAGGATCAGAAGCAAAGTGCTCTAGTTCGTGGGGTGCATAGTTGTATTCTTCATCCACGTCAGGGTCCTCAGGCGTAGGTTCACTGATGCCTGGAGCCGGCGATATCCAAGTTGATGAACGCACAAAGAAGTCGACATGACCAGCGGCTGCATCCTGAATTTAAGCGACGAGATCAAACGTGGGAAGTAGGGAAACGTACTTTGAGCGACTTTGGGGACGATTTGTATACCTGACGAGCCGATACCAATTACAGCAACTCTCTTGCCTGCCCAGTCATAGGCTTCATCCCATTCTGCCGAGTGGAGGAGCTTTCCTTTGAACTTTTCTATACCGTCAATCTTTGGCCATGTCCAGTTACTAGAAGTAGATTTGTCAATGAGCATAGGACGTCGCATTGAAGAAGATGTATATAGACTTACTTCAGAACGCCGCCAGCATTAATGAGCACATCGCACGTGTCAGAGAAATCTTTGTCCTTGTTTTGTACTGTGAGTACCCACTTTGCCGATGGCTCACTCCAGACAGCGCTGGTGACTTTATGGCCGTAGGCAATGTATTTGTCACAGTCGTATTTGGTGGCAACATCTTTCATGTAGGTGTGGATTTGCTCTGAGGTGGCGTAGTAATTCGGCCAGGAAGGATTTGGGGCAAAACTGTAGGCATAATTGTGTGCTGGAATATCACACTGACAACCGGGGTATCTGTAGCTGTGTTGATACACAGTTCCTCCTTCTGGTGAGTGGGTACTTACCTGTTCACCAGCCATGTCCCACCCAGATCCTCATTCATTTCATAAACCTGAAAGTCTACGTTATGGTTTTTCATCTTCTGTTCGGCTATGATAGCCATCATGAGGCCTGAATATCCTGCTCCGATACAGACAACACGAATTGGGCGATGGTCCCCAATCGGCGATGTGCCCGGCCCGGCGAGGCCGTCGTCATCTTGCTTTGCGATCATGAAGTTTCAATACAGCGTACAATCTCGACTTCTTCCTCTTCGGTTTCTGGCGATGCAGTAAGTATCAAGCCGACGGAAGACCTGAGATAATAAGTCTTTGACGAGGCAGATTTTTATATGACCAAGTGACCAAATGCTATTCGCACCGCTCACGAGATGGCCTCCATCATGGCACCACGTTTGCCGGGGTTAGGCATTCTAGAATGGTGGCATTCGCAGGGCTTGACGGATATGTCAACTCCGTTTCACCGGCGATCACTTATTGGCACGCCACTCCAGTTCTGGCGGTCGTGCTCGAGCCTCGAGGACCCAAGGACCGTGGATTGAACACAGGCGCATAGCAGTGATACCCAATGCAGCAAGAGGATAGACGTTGGGACAGCAGGCGCCAACCAGTTCCTCACGCTTCACGCTTCACGCTTCCTAAAGAGAAACCGCTTACCATTGACAGAAAAGCTCTGGTACTCTGTGACTGCTTCATCCTTCTCGTCCCCACAGTGGATATGGAAGGAAAACACAGGCGATATGCAGTATGAGCAGAGCATGGTTCCATCGTGTTGTGGACGCCGCATGGAGGCGTTGCACAGTCGTGCCCTTTCTTGTCCCAACAAGTATCTTGAGGGGAAGATCGTGGGGAAATATCTTTAACTGGGTCGTGACCAACGCCCGGGCCTAATACTAAAAGCCTGAGAGCCTGAGTTAACGTAGAGGCTGCTCAATCGTGCCGAGCATCCCGAGATTTGACGCCAACCTTGTGGTCATCTCCAGCAAACCTTGAAGACCACGAGTCCATGGCACCCTATGGAATTGCGTGCCCAGGCCAGAGCCCACTAGTTGCATTTTGGTGCTGGCGTGCGCTAAGTACTCCGTCCTTGTGGTCATTTGTACCAAAGCTCCAACTTAATCAAGGATCGAAACCAAGTTCGACTGTCTTATATCGTGCTTACATGAACAAGTAGCAAAGTTGTGAGCAACTCAATGGACGTGAGCCGGTCGAACAGTTTGCCTATCGCCAACAAGGCTTGTCGGCGATGTCGGGCGCGTAAGGTAGGTGATGTCTCTCTTCTAGGCTTTCGGGCCGAATTTTGCTGACGAGGAAATGACGACGGCAGATCAAGTGCAACGGGCAAAGGCCAACTTGCGCGACATGTCAGAGCGCTCCCTCGCAGTGCCTGTACGACGTGGATCGTCGGCGTACATCCAGAACCAGTATGAAAGAGGGTTTTCAGCAAGTCGATAAGAAGATTGCACATTTAGAAAGGCAATTAGCGAGACTCCGGCAACCGGCTATGCAATGCGAAATAGACACACATCTGCAATCACACGCCATGTCGCCTCAAGTCCCCTCTCCAATCGACTCAAACCCTGCTGACCCATTGCCGTCAAATGAGACGGGTGAGAGCCAACGCGGAGTCGATATCTTGTCGACGCAATGTTCGCCTTCAGTTAGCGACGCTGTGTCCACTAACATTCACGCTTTGGTTCAGACTGAATCGGGTGCATCAGTCTATGGACCAGCGTCTGTGTTGCACGTACCACCATTGACAAACGCTGCATCAGGCAGGCCGCGTGCTGGAAGTGAAGTTTCGCGATCTTATTCGAAACAGCAACGCAATCCTACTGATCAATTTAGACAGCAGCTATTTGCGTACTCCGCACTGGAGTTTCAAAAAGAACACGCAAACATGCTAGAAAGGAAATACGACCTCGATGGCGTGGACTGGGAGACAGCAAATCACCTGCTTGATATCCACTGGAACCTTCACCACCTCGGATTTCTAATGACCTACCGTCCTGCCATTATGGACAGCTTGGCTACCGACGGCCCTCACTGTAACAAGCTCTTGTTGAATGCCATCTATTACTCCTCGGCACTACAAAGTGCTCGGCCGAATATGCAAGATGATCCAGCTTATCCTGACTGTTATGGGACAAAGTTTTTCGAAAGGTTCATGTCGCTCATGCCGATGTACCTCCATTCTTCATCGACGACTTCCATAGCTGCATTTGCGACTATGGGTTCGGCTTGTGTGTCACACGGAAGACAGGCTGTGGGTTGGCTTTTGGCCGGGATAGCATATCGAATGATAATCGACCTTGGCTTACATGTTGATCCGGAGAAGATTCAGATCTCCAGTCTCGTACCCGGCGAGCCTCAGATTTGCAAGACTGCGATAGAAATTGAAATTCAGCGTCGCTACGTTTGGGCGTGTTATATGCTGGATCGATTTCAGTCACTCTACTTCGGTAGGCCACCAGCACTCAGCATGCCAGATGGACTCGAACCGCCCGATGCGGTGCTCGACACCTACGAAGAGCTCGAGACTTGGAAACCCTACATTGATCCCGCGGTACCTCAGAAGATTCCCGCATTTATACCTCAACCAGCTCGTGCTACATCTACGAGACACGCCCTCCTCGGCATGGCAAAAATATCATCACAGATAACAGATCGCTTCTACGGTCCACAGGCTTGCAAGTTATCGGCAGGAGCAGCGCTTTCCGAGGTGCAACGCGTTCAACACTTGCTCGATCGCTGGAAAGATGATCTGCCCCAGAACTTACGATACACCGTTGGCGATTCTGTCGTGCCCCCACCCTTCAGATTCAATATGCAGTGAGTCTCTTTCTATTGCACCTTAACCGCTACTGACCTTGCATACAGTATGCTTTTCAGCTTACTCCATATCCTTCTTTATCGTCCATTCTTGCAAGACGGACACTTGGAGGCGCTCAATATCGACGAAGCCGACCATCGCAGCATCTGCGTGGATGCAGCACAACAAATTTATCTTCTAGCACGAACTTATCGCGACACCTTCACACTTCGCGGGGCAACGTATCTCTTTTCGTATGCTGTCTTCTCGGCAGCCACCATCATTCCTCTACATATGTCGCCTGGATCTCGGGACAACAGTCAGATGGACATAGTCGTTTTCTTCTGGAACGCCCTCAAAGAGCTACAGAATGGCGCCAACTTCGGTTTTCGTAAACCTATCATGATAATTAAAAGAATGTTTGAACGCTCAGGGATTGACTTCATGACCATGGCATCAACGCAGAGAGGGGACCACAGCCCCACGGGAAGGAGCAGTAATCAAGAACGCCAAGAGGAGAGTCTGCCTCTATTGCCAGACAGTGGCATGGACATTCAACTCGACGATCTCTACCACGATATACTTGATAATGTCGAATGGCCAGACTTCATGGAGGACGTGGAAACGACGGCAACCTCTGATCCACTCTTTGGGCTCTTTCGATCGAGCGGTGAGGGCGACCTTGTTGGGGAAAGGCTGTCACATCTTTCGAGGGGCACATCACCTCTTGCCAGCTTATTCTGAGTCAACCACAACCAACCATTCGGATCTCAAGCGCTCGTCATATCGTAGAGGTACACGTCCTGTTACGACAGCCTACGTGCCACTTATTGTGACCTTCGGCTCGTCGTCTACTTCTTCTGACTGGAGCCGCTCTGACCAATGAATGTGGCAGAGGTTCTCGGCGCTCTGAGCTCACTTGTAAACCATCTCATCCCTGCGTAGGAGAGAGATAGTTTGAGTCTAGACTGCTCTCGAAGTGTAAGATGGTGAGCATTGTGCCATAACACGTAACTATTTGGCCCAACCGCTGCCTAGTCTGCTCGATTAACTTGTTCCGGTCTATCAATATTGATTAAGTTTGCCTGTACGCGCATACCACCTCCATGCAGACCGGCCCAGTTTACACGATCTTGCTGTCACTATCAAGTGCACGTTATCCCTCCATGGGTTACAAGATCTGTCTCCACGAAACATACCGTTCTTTAGCTTACAGCACGAGGCTGGAGAGGCTCATCGCGCTGCAAGGGTCGACATCGTGTTTAAAATCATGTGGCCTTCCAAATGTACGATTTAATCAATCCATCAATCCTGAATTCAAGTGTTCCCGTTCTTCCCGGCCAAGGGTCTGTGCCGTCTAGGCTGCGGAATAGCAGCTGCAAATACGAACTGTCGTCTTTTCAGGAGAAACCCGCATCTCCGTACCCCATAGCATCTGGGGTTCGACGTTGCGGAGGTCGTGGGAGGCCCAACGCTTGTGGCTGCCCCTATTTCGGACATCACAAGCCCGTGGACTTGGGACAACCCCAAGACAACTTGCGAACAACGCGAGACCACCACAGATTAAAAGCCAGCTTCGGAAGCTCCTAACGAGAACAGAGCACCACCTCCTGTTTCTTTTCTCGCATCACACAGAAGGAAAATGGCGGAAGAAGTTTCCCACAAGACAGCTTTTAGCTGGTCCAATTTCCTCACATGCTTTCTGGTGTCCATTGGCTGCGTGGGATTTGGTTATCCTTCTGCGATGACCGCCCCTATGCTTGCCAAAGCTTCATTCCCCGAATTTACCGGGCTTGGAGACGTGGAAGGGATACACAAAGATAAATCAGCGCTGGCCGGGTCGATTGGTGGTATTTTTCAGGTGCGAGCTTCAGGTCCTCATAAATTCTCCGAGACTGACCATTGGACTAGGCGGGAGCAGTGTTTGGTGTTCTGCTGAGCACACAGATCACTGATAGGTATGGAAGGAAGGCGGGCATGATATATTGCGCCTTTTGGTCCATTCTGGGGGCCATTGGTATCACGGCTGCGCCAAATTTTGCGACGATTCTGGTTTTCAGGTTTTTCCAAGGAATGGGTAGCTGGGGATTCCTGTCCGTTGGTGAGTTGAGCACCAACTCAGAGAAGACGGCCAAAATGGCTAAAGCCTTCATCTCACAGCCCCTGCTTTTACTGCCGAACTCTCGCACCCTGCTTACCGTGGTCTCACCTCCGGTCTTTGCGGCGTCATGCTGGGCTTGGGCTATGCTACAGCCTCCTACTTCGGCCTCGCCTTTCGATACACTGACAACAAAGCTGCACAATGGCGTGGTCCTTCCGGTCTAGCCATGGTCTGGTCTGTGATTGTCCTCTGTGCCCTGCCCTTCATTCCAGAGTCTCCACGATTTCTTCTCATGCATGGCCGCAAGGATGAGGCCTGGAAAGTCGTTGCTCGCCTGCATGCATCAAAACGCGACCCTGAGCAGGTATTCGCGCGTGAGGAATTCTATCAAATGCAAGTCCAAGCAGAACAAGACCGATCCAAACCAGCCAGCTGGCGCGTCCTCCTCTCAAAAGCCCACAGAAAACGAGTCATGCTGGCTTGCGGCTTGACAGTGCTTGGACAGAGCACCGCTGTGCTTGTCATTCAGAATTATGTAAGGGAATCTCAACACCAGATAATCGTGACCCCCTACTGACGCACGATCCAGGCACCAATATTCTACAAAGCTCTAGGGTTTGACTCACACCAAACCCTCGAAATCCAGTCTGGCAGAGATTCTAGTGAGCCTACTTTCTTCTTTTCAACGGTTCAATCATTTCTGACTTGTCTATTTAGTCGCTTTCTTCGGCAACATTGTTGGCGCACTCCTTCTTGACCGTTTCGGTCGTCGGAGATTGCTTCTCATTGGCGTTTTTGCCTGTACGGTGTGCGTCAGCATCAATACAGCAATGGTGGCAGAGTTCACTGGGACCATGAACAGTGCCGGACTAGGAGTGGGCATTGCCGCGCTTTTCGTCTACTTGTGCTTCTACGCGTGCTGTGTTGATGCACCGATGTTCGTGTTCATTGCGGAGATATTTCCCAATCACCTCCGCGCCAAAGGAATCTCACTTTCAATCGCGGCGCTGGCGCTCAGTGACATTCTCTATCTACAAGTCGCACCTTACGCCTTTGCACACGTTGGATGGAAGTTCTTCCTGGTAAGTTATCTACAGCAGATAGCCATACTAGACCGAAGCTAACGATCAAAAGCTATTCATCATACTGTCCATCTTAGGCTGGATCTGGCTGTACCTCCTATTCCCGGAGACTAAAGGTGTTCCCTTGGAAGAGATGGCCGATATTCTTGGCGAGAAGACCGAAGTCGCTGTACACATGTCGGACCTGAAGTTTGATCGCGAGGCTGGGGTAACCGTGGTCCATGGCGAAGGTACTAAAGTCGACATCTTGCCCAAGCCAGGTAGCTTACCTCAACATGTGGAACAGATCGGAGTGAAATCCCAGGTCTAGGACGAGGGAGCTAAGGGCTTTGGGAATGGCGCAGCCCAAAGACGGATAATATGGCAAACTGTCCTTCTTGGAATATCTGCATTGATTGACAGGATTCATGGGGCTCGCCCTTAGGGAGGCACCAGATTTGATAAAGTATCCTCTGCAGATATAGTGTCTGCGTTAACAGCAAACGTCTTCTTTGACATTTCTTAATTGCCAGACAGCTGTCCTAGTCGTGCCGATTGCTTGAAAGAGCTTATCATGCTGACACCATGCCGGGGGCCTCTTCCTCATGGGGTTGACGAGCAATCTTCTCTTATATTTGGCTGGTAGCATTTACAGTATTGCCATTATGTTAGGGGGAGATGCTACCGCCCCCGTGTAGTTCAATGGTGAAGAGCTAACAAAGAACGACCATCGTCCCAAACGCTCACATTCCTTCGCCAACAATTCCAGGTCGAACAATTCTCCAATCGGTGTTCCCCAACCAGATAACAGGATAGGATGCAGCATACCAAACTCCGGGTCCGCAGGGGCTGGTAAGAAGTCATAGTAGTCAGCGGGATTACTCGATGCCTGCGGTGCGCGTTTCCGTTCAGACTTACGAGCAGACTCAAAGGCTACGTTATCTCCCGCGACTGCTGCGAATTGATGATTCCAGAGCCACTTTGCAGTCTTCCTTCCCGATGCCAGACCTGGAAAAGAGTGACTAGTGCTATATTTCTCTCTTTCGTCCTTGCTCAGCGCTGAGTATGCCTCAACAAAGCCTAGACGTGTTAGCACGTTGCCATTTCAGCGAATACCTCGGGGACTTACCAGTTCGCAGCATAAAGATGTCTCCTTTGCGCAGCTCGATTTCGTACTCTTTGGTGATCTGGTCTACCTCATCGACCGAGATACCATGACCACTCAGCGGGTCATAGGCGATGCCCTTCTTCTGAGCCCAGCCGTGGTAGTCAATAAGTACACCGCGACCAGCTATACCTCGAGCTGCCCACGCGTTTATACCGTTTACCTTGCTTTCAGGCTTGGAGTGGATGTCATCCTGGCTCACACTGTGCGTGTAATTGTCAGGTTTTGACGCAGCAAGCTCTGGCACACACTCACTTGTTGTAAAACTTGCCCTCCTTTTGATATGCAAAATGCCGGAAGCTGTCCCACTGACTACTACCTTGAGTATTGAAGGAAATCTATAGCACATTAGCGAGATTTGGCACTTGCTCTGATCAAGCAATAACCTACCACATCATCGTTGATTACTCGCGGGGCTTTATTGATCATCTTACGCTCGAAACCCGATCGGCCGAGGAATGGAGGGTCGATGAGGTCCAAGGGCAAGCTGGAACCGTCAGCTCGTTGTTCCTAAGTGTTGTTCAAACACCCACTTCAAGCCCACGCGCACTCCGTGCTGGATCTCCTCTTTCGCCGAACGGAGTACCAGCGCATCAATGAGATAGTTTAAGGCTCCCAGTTGGGGATTTTCCCATAGATCCCACGCCGAATATGGTGGACTACGCTTCTCGATCTCTTCGAATGTTGGGATTGTCTTGGAGTCAGACATGCCGGAAATGGTCCAAGAAAACTCAGCACTTCTTCGCAATCACTCTCCTAAATAATACTCAAGGCCTCGATTTTTAAGGATAGTAAAATGTTCTACAACTACTTAGTTGCACGACAACGCGGCCAATAATTGTTCGAAGTTGACTCATTTCCACTTTCGGGGATCAACAAAGAATATCCGCGCGGAGGTCACTTATCCAGTTCTCCGGATTGCATCGATCCTCATTATATGCTGGAGAATGGATATAAGACACCAATTATGACTGTACCAACCGTGGAAAATTGTTGCAACATTTATCTACTCCAGTACATCTAATCCAGAACGCCATGCCTCGTGCCAGTATTGTCTTATACTTCGAGCTCCAGCCTTCCGCCAGCCCGGCAGCTGTCAAAAAATGGATTCGATACCTTGAAAGCAACATACCAGGCTGCAACTCAGTGTGCAGGTTGGTCGCGAGTGACACGACAAGCGATGAAAAATCTTACGCCAAGGAGTTACTGATCGACGTGCAAGACGGAGATGCCATCACTGCAGAGCTGGTGGATTCGTGGCGAGCGGTTGGGGCAGACGTCCTCAAGTATTCGGATTGGATTATCTACCAAGAAATATCCCGCGACTACAGGAAAGGCCTATCAGCAGACCAGTATCCTCCTACGAACACGGAGTTGGTACAGGTCGGCATGGCGCCCAGTAAAGAATCCGTTGAAGACTATCATAAGTGGTTCAACGAAGAACATCTTGATATGCTCGCCGATGTTCCCGGTTGGCGCTCAGGGTCGAGGTTCCAGCTGCTGAAGAGATTCGGAGACAATCGAGAGCATGCATCGATTTTCATGTCTGCAAATGAATATGACGAGGAGAACGGGTTGGGTGGGCCGATTTGGAAGAAATCGATCGATACGCCGTGGACCAAGCGTGTGACAGAAAACCTCTATGAACCAAACCACAGAAGGACGTGGAAATACGTCCAGTTGGACGCTTGAATTCCTGAGAACATAGATTCCCGTTCGATCAAGCAGTGGTGGAGTGGCTGAGCGAACACCAACATTAGAATAATACGTAGCTCAATGATGAATAACCCCTTGGGGCCAACTTTCTGCCGAGGGTAGCACCAGAATCAATGGCCATTTCCCTTTGCATTGACGGCTTTGCGCAATGAATGAACCGAACGGAGATGGCAATGCTGGTATTGCAGGCGGAATCTGTCCGCACGGCCTCTGGTTCTCCGGACTTCCATGATCAGCTGAACAACGTCGTAGGATCCGTGGAGAAGAGCTGGCATAATTTGAAGAGTCGGGACAAAGATGCCCGCGCTTAGGAGACTCGTGAATATGAACTCCTAAATGTATGTTTCGCCGATGCAAACTGAGAGGCCACCTCTGGACCTTGCGTGAGTCGCCGAAAATGTCCTTTTTTTCGCTTACCTGATCCCAGGATCACACGAGCGACGAATGCTAGGGAAAATCTGCCACACTGTCCCACCAGTACCCGCGAGAAGGGACTAATGCTCGATCTTCTCAAAAGGGGGTTGATGCTGGTCCGGTCTCTGTGGGGAGTCGCATTGACTTCGAGGATGAGGATTTCTTCGCCTCAGGCACATCTGATATAGCGGCGGGAAGCTTTGCTTCAAGGGGGCGGTAGCCTCGCTTCAAAAGGAGCCCTGGCAATGTCTAATCATCATGACTTGACAGTGTCTTTGCTACGAGTACCAAATGGTCATTTCGACCGTTACACACACTGGCCGTCCGTCCCAAGCCAACCAGAAACCCCCAAAATGCCTCCGTCCTCACTGTGACGATCCATGCTCCATTTTTTAAGTGGGCCACATCCGAGATCTGTTCTGTACCCAGCTTCGAACATTTCCATGCCTGCCCAGGCAATCATCGCAGCGTTATCCGTGCAGAGTTCGACGGATGGGAAGACCAAGCTGACATTTCCGAAGGATCGCATATGGAGCATTTGACGCAAATAATAGCGCAAGAAGTCATTTGCGGCGACTCCGCCGCTCACGACGAGGGTAGATATCTCGACTCCCTGCTCTCGAAGCTTTTCCAATGCGATGATGGTTCGTGAGCCCAAATGCTCAAATGCTGTGCCTAGAGCAGCACGGGCTAAAAAGTTCCTCTCCTCTTCGCTCATGGAAGCACCATCCTCACTGCTAGTACGATCATGCATGATGCGACTGACCTGACTCGCGATGCCCGAAAAGGCGAACGCCAGATCCCTATTTTTGGCCATCGGGGTCTTAATATTCCAGCCAAACTTGTTCAAACACCTGAGGATCTCTTCCTGCCGGTTTTGAGGCACGTCCCAGGTGGTGAAATCTGCCGGAGTCTTGAAAGCGTATGCTGAGAGATACTTTCCAAAAGCAGTATCAGGTGTGGCTTGCTGGATGTCTTGGGGCAATATAATGCGTCCGCATTTGTCTAGCTCGTCTCCGACCGCGACATCACGTGTGGAAGCCAGAACCTCGTGCTCAACCAATCCTCTGGAGTACAGAAGCATCGTATGCCCACCACTGACTAATAACGTCAAGAATGGAAAGTCAGGCTTCACAGAGTTGTGACCGCTTCCTTCCATTGAGTTGACAAGTCTTGGTGTCAAAGCATGCGCTTGCATATGGTGCACTCCCACCAGTGGTATTTGCCATGCCGTAGCGAGTCCTTTCGCAGTATTTAGTCCAGTTGCGAGATTCTGGTTCATCCCAGGGCCGCGGGTGACAGACACAAAGTCGGGCTTCTCTTTGAGTCCTCCATTCTGCAACGAGAGTCTTTTTCTCTCTGGTAGAGCCTGGTCCCCCTCTGGGAGGAATGCTAGTGATCTTTCAACCAGTTTTGCAAGATTCGACTGGTGGCTGTTCAGAGCTTCTGGTGGCCATATCCCACCCTTTCCGGTATTATGGAGCGTGATCTTTTCGTTGAAATGTAGATGCGCTTTTGTGAAATTCGGCTCGGAGTAAATGGAACGTTTGGAGAGGATTGAGACGCAGGTGTCGTCGCAGGAGGATTCAATCGCCAGCGTTAGAAGGCTGCGTCGCCTCGCCCATGTCGACGTCGGCAGTGGGCGCCACACATGTACAAGTTTCGGACAACGAAGACCATGCAGCATCGACGGGATCGAGGGTGACGCTGCGGCACTGCCCAGGTCGCTAGGCGAAGGTAGAAAACCTGACCAGGATCGAATGAAAGAATTGCATGTGGATGGCAAAGGTGGGACCGTACTCCCTATGCTACTGCGAATCTCTGAACAACAAGAGCACTTCCGGCCTCCTCAAACGTGCACTCGACCTGTTCGACTTCTCTTGACATCTCAGCTTGTCACCGCCAACAGAGGCGGATTTTGCTGTTTCACGGAACATCTGATCCTTTCTTGGCTTCGTCATGACCGCCCTGCTGTGGTCTACGTCGAGACGAGACCGCTTGGCTTAAGACTACCTTCCACCTCATCACTCTGCGAGATGACTTACCGGATCAGCAGTTGTATATTCAAAACTCGACGGCCAGTCCACCGAATTTCTGACCTACCCCACGGACGCCACACGAGCAATGTCCCAGATGTCTTCGCAAGAAGTGATAGATGTCTCGCGCCACCACTTCGCATCCGAGTCGACGGCGCTCGATCTGGCATCTCCTGTTTTCCTGGATCGAGCTCATCTCCCTCGTGAAACTTGGATGTCTTTCGCCGTCCAGATGATCATAGAAGGGCCAGACTTTTGCCCTATTTCTTACAGGGTACGTAAGTCGGTTATCAAATTGATTCAGAGTCCAGATCCGGTCACTCCTTTTGCTTTCGGTAAGTGGTGCATACATCTGTTGATCATCCTGGCTTCATCAAATCATAATCTGCATCTTTCATCGCCAGATTGGGTATGCAGTCTAATCTAGAAGCTCATGACTGTTCTGGCTGCCGAGACATCGGTTTGGCCTACAACGTGAAATGCCAGAAATCGTGCGGTTGCTTGCTTGCTGGCTCCTCTCAAGATATAATATCATGATTGAGTCCATGTATCCTCCCCAATTCTGCGCACCTTCGAACATTCCTTCACGTCCTTGCTCTATTTGCGGTCGCTAGTGTCGACACCACGCTCGTTTGGCACTATGCATCTCACACTCGCTTGTGGTGTCCAGTCGCTCATTACTTTCCTGACCTGCCTTAACGTCATATTCATTAATCATGTCAGCGCTCTTGCCAGCACCGACACAATCACCTGGGGCGGCTCAAACGACAGAACTGGCTATCAAAACAATCACAACATGGACCCGACAATCGTCGGAAGCGCTCAATTTGGCCTACTCTACAAAACCCAATTGCCTGGAACTTATCTCATCAACGGACAAAATGTGCCCGAACAAATATTCTCTCAGCCTCTGGTCTACACCGGCTCTGATGGTGTTCAATTTGTCTACGTCGCAACAACTCAGAACAATGTGTACAAAATCAATGCAAAGACCGGCGTGATCGTGGCTTCTCGAAATTTGCATCGTCCGTTCCTGGTCAGTGACCTGAATGGATGTGTTGATATTAATCCTACTGTCGGCGTGACCGCCACTGGTGTGATTGACCCAGATACGGTACGAATTGATTTGGCTCTTCTGATCCAAGGCTTACGAATCATGAGGATACTTGGTATTTGACGTCAAAAACCTATACAGACCAAAGCCTCAACGGTCCGACTGGCCGTCCAAATGGTCGCTACTACATACATGCTATCAGCACCTTGGATCTTTCAGAGAAGCCCAATTTCCCCGTCAATTTGGAAGGCATGGCTGCCAGAAACAACCCTGTACGATCTTTCAATGGTGGTATCCATCACCAACGTCCTGGTTTACTTCATACTGGAGATTATGTCTACGCCGGTTTTGCTAGTCATTGGTGAGTACTCGTCCGAAATAATTGTTACCCACGGCATTGTCTCGTTGACTGGTTCCAATGGCTGGTATCACAATTTGCTAATATGAGTGTCTCGTCGCCAGTGTCCAATGGAACTTTACCGGCTGGATCGTGGGCTGGCACAAACAGACTGGTCAGCTAGTGGAAAGATTTGCGACAGAAGGGGGTAAGTTCGTATTCTATTGACGACAAGCCACCAAGACATTGACGTTTCTAGCCGGTGTTGGGTCCGATGTCCCGGGAGCTGGAGTGTGGATGTCCGGCGGCGGGCTGGCAAGTGATGGCAGAGGCTCGATGTTTTTCGCCACCGGCAACGGCTATGCTTCCCAACTCAATGGCGTACCGGTCAATGGACGACATCCGCCAACTTCCCTCGAAGAGGCAGCTGTTCACATGTCAATCAATGAAGATGGCTCTTTGACGGTGGTTGACTTCTTTATGCCCTGGGAAAAGACTCAGCTGGATGGCGCCGATAAAGGTAAGCGATCCGCTGACCAAGGAAAAGGTAACGCTAACTGGAGGAGACCTTGGGACATCACCTTTAGAACTTCTTCCCGCCCAATTCTCATGTGGCAACATCACAAGGATGGGCGTAGTGACCGGCAAAAGTGGCAAGACATACTGGCTGGATCTTGACAACCTCGGAGGTTATCAAAATGGACCTAACAAGCTTGACAATGTCATTCAGGTCTACCAGAACGAGAACTCAGTCTACGCTGGTGCAGGTGTCTACCCGTTGGAAGGAGGGTACATCTACATCAATGTTATCCAGTATCAGACTCATGTGTTCAAGTTCTCTTGCGACAACGGCGTTCCGTACTTCAACAAAGTGGCTGATTCCCCAGAAAAGAATGCTTACGTCCTCGGGGTCGGTCATGGCACGGTCACTTCTCTGAACGATCAGCCAGGTACTGGCTTGGTTTGGACATCAGATGTCGAAGGCTCCAATCTCCGAATTTACAATGCAGTGCCTGAGAATGGCCTGCTCAAGGAGATCAACTCTTTTGTCACGCCTGGGACCACAAAATTCACAAGACCTGTCTTCGGTGACGGCATCGTATATCAATGCACTACACTTGGATACCTTTATGCGTATGGAGCACCTGTCAATCTACCCCTTGTATGCAGCGGTCTTCAATTCGGCACAGCCAACCTCAATACCACGACATCCGCTATGGCCGTCCAATGTCAGGCCAAAACTGCTCTTACCGTCACTGCAGCAAGCCTTTCGGGCAATTCCAATTTCGCCTTCACTGGCCTTCCTGCCTTGCCATTTGCTGTAAACCAGGGGCAAAACTTCTCCTTTCAGGCAACTTTTACTCCTCAAACCGTTGGCCCGCTCTCCTCGTCGGTGATCCTGAACACTACCCAGCAAGCAGGTGGCTTCAGCATCAATACGCCTGTTAACCTCAAAGGTACTGGTCAGAGTCAGGCCCCACTCCTGATGATCACTCCAAACACCGTCAGCTGGAACGGAGTCATTACAGGACAAGAAGCTGGAGGAGTCAATCAATCGGTCATTATCAGCAACCTTGGCAACGGCCAGTTAAGCATCACCAGCGTCTCCTACTCGGTTATAGGAGAGACGGGTCCATGGACAACGCCTAATGGTACGCAAGCAGCAACTGTTGTATCCGCTTTCACGTTTTACAGCATGCCATCATCAGTAGCGCCGAACAGCGCTGTGACTGTTCCTATCAATTTCAATCCGACGTCGAGTGGAGAGTATGCTGTCTTCGTCAAGGTTGACAGCAATGGAGGATCAAAAGTGTATGATGTACTTGCCGCAGGTTCGGACCAACCTAAAGCTGTCCTCGAATTCCAGACTTCTGATGGCGGATGGGTCCAGTATCAGAACGGCAAATCCTTTAGCTTTGGAAATGTCACGGAAAACACGACTCGCTACCTCAAGTTACGGCTTACCAACAACGGCACTACAAACGCAGCCCCCATCTCGGTAACGGTCAGCAAACCTCCCTTCGGTATTTCTGGGAGTATTGTTGGTAGCAACAACAATGTCGATCTTGCCGAAGGCAGCCTTGTATATGCCGGACAAAATGCCACCGCTACGCTTTATTGTTCGGTTCCCAAGAGCCAAATCAACGTCGATCCCTACAATGGGACAGCTCAGTGGACCATGAATCTCAACGATCCTACATTCGGCAAGCAGTTGATTCAATTCTCCTGCAATGCGGTCTCTGAACAAGCAGCACCGCTGAACCCTGTCACTCAACAAGGAATCTACAGATATGCAGGCTGTTTCAAAGAAAACAACCCTGGTCGGCAGCTTCAAACTAACATATACAGCGGCCCGCTCAACACGAATGAGCAATGCGTCGCGAAGTGTTCGGCTGCTGGATATATTTTTGCTGGGACACAGTACACTCAAGGTGAGCACGATTGCCGGTCGTATGCTTCTAGCTAACCGGTAGAAGAATGCTGGTGTGGCTATAATCGCCCTATACTGGTCACTGACGATGCCAACTGCAACTTTGCTTGTACCGGAAACAACAATGAGATTTGCGGCGGCAACGGAATCAACGGGGATGGTTCCTTCATGTCTTTGTTTGGCGATATCACTCGCTGGAACGGCAACACTACAGATGCTCCAGGCCCGTACGTCAACCCTGGTGTTCTTGGCTTCAATAGCCTTGGCTGCTACACTGAAGGGTCTCAGACTCGTGCTTTGAATGTGCAGCCAACCTCCAACAATACTGTGGCCGGCTGTATTCAAGGTTGCCAGGGCTATTTGTATGCAGGAGTGGAGTATGGAGGTCAATGGTCAGTATTCTCCGTTCTTTGAACCATTCCCTGACAACAGACCAGCTTTTGTGGGAACTCCTTATCGGCTGGAGCGGTCAGCGCTACCGCAACAGACTGCAGCATGGCTTGTAATAACAATCAGACAGAGCTCTGCGGAGGTAAGGATCAATTTCGGGCACATGTTCCAAGACTAATCTTCCCTCAGGTCCAAGTCGTCTCAACATGTACATTTACGGCAACGGTACTCTCCTTACATCGACACCTACAGCTGGGACAGGAGGAGGCAATAATCCCGCCAAACCAACAGGTCTTGCTGTTCCGCCAGCCATCGGCAATTTCAGCTATGTGTCCTGCTATACCGAGGCAACTACTGGCCGAGCGCTTAGCGGCTTCACTCTGGCTGACAACAGCATCACTCTTCAAACCTGTGCAAGCAACTGTACCCAGTATCGATATTTTGGGGTCGAGTATGGCCGCGAATGCTACTGTGGAAACACCATCGCGGCAGGCAGTGCACCAGCCACTGATGGTCGCTGCAATATGGGCTGTGCAGGCAACTCGAGTGTTCTGTGTGGTGGACCCAGCGGTCTGACTCTGTACAACAACACACAGTGGACGTCAACACCCACTACTCCTGCTCGACCCACCGGGCCAACCAACGTTCCCAGTGTTGGTAATTACCAATATTCTGACTGTCACACTGAAGCCACAAATGGGCGTGCTCTTACGGGCTTCGCCATCGCCTCAAACGACATGACTGTGCAGTACTGCGCAGGAAATTGCACCGGCTTCACCTACTTTGGTGTTGAGTACGGTCGAGAGTGCTACTGTGGAAATAATATCGGCACAGGTTCGGTCACGGCTACGGATGGACGATGTTCCATGACTTGTGCCGGCAACTCGTCGACCATTTGTGGTGGACCAAATGGGTTGAGCTTCTACAAATTCATCGCGCCTTCAAATTCGAGCTCAAGCAGTTCTATGTCGAGCACGAGAAGTACCACATCAACACCGCTCCTTTCAATGTCGACGTCGAGTACATCTACGATAAATCGCTTCTCCAATTCTACCACGACATCAAGTCTCAGTCTTCCGTCCACATCGACTATCAGCGCAGTTGCGACGAGTCGCTCGTCAACTCTTACGACATTGGGTAGCATCGCAAGCAGACCTTCAACTCCAAGCAGTCCGATCAGCGTAATCTCGACGTTATCGTTGTACGCCAATTCGAGCACATCCATGACTACCCGACCTTCGACCTCGAACTCAATCCAAAGTTCAGTATCCAGCTTGAATGGTACTTCGACAACGACCTTCACAACCTCAGTCCGTTCCACTTCAAGTGTCATTGCCTATACTAGCACGGCTTCGACGGCTTTGTCGACTTCAACATCATTAGGCAGATCTTCATCACTTACGACCACGGCTTCGACATCTCGTCTTTCAAGCCTCAGCACCAGCCTTTTGTCCTCAAGCACCTCCCAGTCTGGGTCTTCAACTTTGACATCAAGCACGAACACGACTGCTGGCGCAAGCCGTAGCTCCGGCTCCACGGGCGCCACCGCCGCTGGGGCAAGCTCTACCTCAACTTCGCTCACGTTTACTGCATCCGGCTCTTTCTCATTGAGTAGTAGCACATCATCGACTTTGTCGAGGTCCACTACGATACTCAGCACAACGGTGAGCACCACCGGCAACCCCAGTTTTAGCACGAGCTTCGTTGTACGGACGTCCTTGAGCAGCACCGCAGCCTCCACCCTAAGCTCAGCATTGACTCCAGTGTCTACGCGCTCGAGCAGCTCAATTTCGATCTCTACCTCGTCATCATCCCTCTTTTCGAGGGTCTCATCCAGCACCCCGACAACTCCTCCCACCACAATCACCACAACCACCAGCGGGACCTCCTTTGCCACCAGGACTACTACTACTAGCTCGACCGCGAACGCCTTTTACCCAAACATATACATAGGCTGTGCCTCGGAACTTGCCAACTCGCGCCTGCTCTCCAGTCTCTCCACCACCAACTCTAGCATGACCATTGAAATGTGTCTCTCATTCTGCACATCGCAAAACTTTCCCCTCGCCGGCCTCGAGTACTCTCGCGAATGTTACTGCTCGTCGTCCTCGTCCCTACCACCCAACACGGCCCTCAACGCCACGGACTGCAACATGCCCTGCGCCGGCGACCCCAGCCAGACATGCGGCGGCCGCTCTCGCCTGAGCATATATAACAACACATCGCTGTCCCCGCCGTCCGCCAAGGCCTCGGTCTCGGGATACACATACCAGGGCTGCTTCACGGACCCGAGTAGCTCGCAACGCACGTTGTCGGGCTACAGCACGAGCAACGGCGCGATGACGCAGGAGTTATGCGTCTCTACGTGTGCGGGCCGTGGGTACAGATACGCGGGCGTCGAGTACGCACGTGAATGTTACTGCTCGAATGTGCTTGGGTTGGTGGCGGATGGCACGGGCAAAGGCGTGCAGACGGGAGAGGGCGATTGCAGCATGCTGTGCGCGGGGGACAAGGGAGAAGTTTGTGGTGCCGGGAATAGGATTGGGGTTTGGATGGCTCAGTAGTAGCTTTGATGAACCTTTTTGGGGGGACTGCTTCTACATTCTTTTCAGTGGTTGCCGAGTGAGTTGAAATGGGATGGTTGAAGGGGAGACAAGCTCACAACCGCGGAGTCGTTCTTTCTTGATGACGACGGATCTTGGTGGTCGTGCAGATGCTCGGCTTCGCGTGGGTTCAAGTCACTGGGAAGGAAGAACGAGGGGAGCATGTTGTTCGTTTCTTTGGGTTACTTCGTTCGCGTTGTATTTCTATTCACTTCAGACTCGTCAATTCTTCAAAACTACAGAGTACTGCATTTCGATATTCACCGCAACTACCATCTCCTTGCGCTCCCGCTCATTCCACAGGCCAGCTTTTGAACTTCCAATCTCGGCGTTCGACAGATAGGAGTCAGGCAACTTGAAAGTCCTGATGATTTGCTACAATTAATCGACGCGGTCAAGAGGTATTCTGCTTGATTCAAGTGACGATAATACCGTTGTGTAGCGATGCTCACCAGCTTCCCTGTCAATTGTGCTCGACTGATTTTCTACGTTACGGTTTACGACCGGCTTATTGTCCGTACAATACAAAGAGGCCCATTGGGGAACATTCATAAGAGCTTCACAATCCGTATATGATTTGGACAAGCCAACAACGTGTGGCCCGTCGTAGTTCGTTACGGTAGTTCATAGTTGGACAGCTGCGCCTCTGTACAATTGTCCGTCATCGGACTAAGCGTACCAGTCTCCCGTCTTCCTCTCCCTCGTTTCATGGTAATGATATGATGTGTAACCCGCAAAAAGCAGACAAAGCAGACCCTTGCAAACATGGAAGTTGGTATCTCAAAAAGCATTTAACGTCAACGTCAATCCCAAACACATCGATCTCGTACTCCAAAAGGTGAAAAACAGCAACAACATGACCACGTCTATCGGGTGCATGGCGACATGAGGTGCTTCTCATGTTGCAAGCACCTCAAGTCCCTCTTGTCCCGTTGGGACAATCATGTACCGCTGGACGGCATGCTCGATTACTGCGACCCTGCAAGCACGGCCATCTAGACCTTGATCACGGCCTTTTCATCAATAATAGAGAATGAATTGACCGCCTTTGCAATGGGCCTCTTCACTCGAAACACGGCATCTTGATCCGACATTCGCCGTCCCAGTGCTCTTTCGACCTTTGCACCCAGGCTCAACTTGCTCAGATCATCTGCTTTCTTTTGGCTGGGCACAAATCGTTGTTGTTGGAGGTGTTTATTCTCAAGTCTGTCGAGGCCTTGCGTGAGCTGGCGGATCTCGGCCATGCCCGTTTCCGGGCTGGCCACGTTTGCTGAGGCCAGGGTGGTGGAGTAGTTGGAAGTCGTGGTCGCAAAGCTGGGGGAGGCAGAGTATGTAGAATAGCGTTTGGAGGTACGTTTGGAAGTGACCTATGAACCCAAATATTAACGTTGTGTCAACCAGGAACGACAGAAAAATGAGACGCACGCTTGGGGCCATTATATGCCTTTCAGACTCGAGAGACCTGCGAGACATGGTTGTGGTGTCACTATTGATCGTTGCTATGTTTGCAAAGGTCAAATTATTCTCCGCTTGTGTCAATGCTTCTCTGCGACCGAACTATCGGTGAACCGTGCGCTGGTCGGCAAGGTGGTTCCAAATCTTTGCAGTACCGTTCGAGCGGTAAGTGACAAATAGGTGGCAAGAGAGACCGAGATATACAAGCTCTAGCAAGGTCAGAGGGAAGGTCGAGACGTAACGTGAGAGAGGCGGTGACGAAGGAGTTTCTGAGTGTTTGTAAGGCGCGGGTGGTGCTGCAAGGGAGATGTGCTGATGTATTTTCGTGCGAGAAAGGAGCTGACGGGTAGATCTCGACCAGTCAGTGAGTGAAGAGGATTGTTCGGAGGGTGTTTGAGTTTTGATAACGTGTCGGTGGACTGAGGCGAAGATGTGTCTAATAGTAGGTCAAGGGCGGTGGAAGAAGATCCGTATATCCTTACAGTAGTGGTCAAAAGTTGTTTGTTTGGCTTGCCGAGCGGAGTAGGAGTGCCTCGGGGACAAAGCAAACTCGTGGCTAGAGGTCAAAGCAGCCCTGGTCTCGTGTCAAAAGAGGAGCGGGCGGAGGAATAGGGGAGTAATTGGTGGAGATGGAATGATGAGAAGGGCGGAGGAGAATTGATGCAGCTGACAGCCGGATGGGCGCAGACAGGCAGACTCAGCGACAGATTCAGCAGACAAGGCACAATTACTAGGGACACCCAGACATAGTTGGTGATGGGATTTCTCATTACATAGTATTACAAGTACATTAATTTCCCCTTGTCTCCTTGTCAAACTAGGCTTCAGTGCTCCGTAAACCCATTTTCTCCCCTTCATCGAATCATCTCAACCACTGGTGGACTATGCAATATCTTTGCTTCTCCCACCCACAGCAGTGACAGTAATTAAGTGCCGGCCGCCTGCGTTTCTCTTATTTTCTTATCCACGTGGCCATCAGCTCCATCTCACACTATGGACCGCCACGAACGCCTTCTTTCTGTCAAACTTGGGCCAGAACGTGCTTGACACCTTCTGAACCCCTGCCGATTCCTGAATGCGGTAAGGCTTGAACTGGAGTTGGTGTTCTCTGTTCAGCCTTCGCCAGCATGCGGTTCCTTATTCCGCACCAGCAGCAACTCTTCTTCGGATGTCGTTGTTACAACCAAGGCTACCCTGGGTGCCTGGAGTCGACGCGGCCACACTTGCGAGCAATGACCGAACGACGACCCGTGATTTCGTTTCATGGCAAGGCCCTAAGCCGGCACTCGCATGTGAACCTTGCCTTGACCCTGCCAGCACCCCTGATCGGGCATCGACCGCGTGTTTGGCGTGTTTCACGGCATCAGGTGTGCCCCCAGAGCAAGCTAGAGTTTCCCTTCTTGAGCTCCTGATCCCTGATGGCGATGCTAGTCCAATCTGGACAAGCTTGTGTTTGTCCGACATCATTTTGGTATTTTTAGCATTGGTAGGGAGGAACCAGATCTAGAGATAACGAAGTCGGTAAGGTTAGAGTGTTGTATGGAGTATGGAGTAAAGGTCGCCTATCTAGCTGAGTACTCAGGCTGAGAGAAGCGGCATCGGGATATCCTACCACGGTCGTGTCCACCTATCGTCCGCAACCTGCTCTCTACATACATGGTTACGCCAGCTCGCCGTATGGACTGCGCATATGATGGCGTCGCTACCCTGCCTCGGTAGGTACGCCGGGTCCTTCCATCATAGTCCGTCATTTTTTCTTCCTCTCATCAATCATGCCCAAACAACGACATATGCCAGCATTGCGCCCACTCATTGATAGTAGCAGTCAATCCCCAAGACTTGACAACCCAGAACGCAATCCCTCCAACTACGCCGAAACTTCCCATTATCTGTAGAGCAATCCAGCCACGAGTCCGCATGCTGTCTTGCCATCGAAGCAGCCCCAGCGGGTCATGCATCTGATAGCTCGGAACTTCCCCGTAGCTCACGCTAGATTTGCCTCGCTTGTGAACCAACGCCTGCGGGGTTTCCAGTGGTAGGATATGTCCCTCACGGACTTCCTCACCAAGTCTGTCCACCAACCAAACAGCCCGGTCGCCTCGAGCTAATCTCTCATACCGCTCTCGTTCACGCTGAAGGCTGAGTTGCAGTTCGCTCGCCCATTTGGAAAGTCGGACTTGAGCCAGGCGCTCCTCGCGCTGCGTGTGGTCTGCAACCTTGGCCAGGGCCCAGCTGTTCGAAATGTTGAGAGACACTTCAGACCCAAGCGGTATGAGAACTCCAGAGTTGCTGAGTGATGTGGCCAAGGGAGATGCGAGCGTCGAGTTGTGCACGGATGGCAATGATGGTGATGGCATAGACGTCAACTTAGGATGATCAGCGTGCCAGGCCACCAATTTGCGCGCGGACGTGTGCCGTAGATATGCCACTGTCTCCGGCTCAAATATTTGTTCCACGAGGAGACTGAGCTCTGATGGCAGCAAAGGTTGAATATATTCAGGTGACATCAGCAAAGATGCGTCCATCGTGTCGAGATCAGGACCATTGATTGATGTTACGGTATAGGGAGCCGTTGCAGTCGCCTTGGGTTCGGGGTCGGACACTAAACTTGTCGGTAGGCGAGGGAGTGAGACGAGGCTAAGATCCGTGGATTGTTTGATTTGTTCCTGCTCATCCATGGTGAGCAGATCTGACTTTGCCACAAGCGGAATGACATTGCAAAGCTCCGATAGCTGCCGGATGCGGTCACAGTCATCCTGTATATGGTCTGCAAACAGTCAATCTCATGCTTGAGGGGAGTAACTCAAGACATACCTTTGGAGATGAGGTAGAGAATCACGTCGACCTGTGACGAGCCGCGCCCACTGAGTAGCGCCGATAACTCGTTTGCGAGCTGGTTGACGGAGGTCATTACGTTGATAAGCTGCTGTTCAGCATAGTGAATGATATTCTCCAGTTTCGCTGAGTCATTTGTGTCGACGAAGCAAATGTTCCGCTCAAGCACGGAATCACCCATGCTTTTCCTTCTCCTCAAAATCCGGCTTTCTTCGACGTTCGACCACCAAGCAGGATATGGTTTGGTGCTTGCGTAGACCTCGTTCACCACTTCCAGGGATCCAGATGAGCTTCGGGAAGATGCACGGTTCGGTGCCAACGGCACAGGGTCGACGTGGACTATATCTTCGCAAAGCTGCACAATCGATTTGATAAGAGATGTTTTGCCAGCACCTGCTGCAGTCAGCATTCCGGGGCCTGATCTGTGTGATTGACTCACCTTTTCTCCCCGCCACCATTATCTTGAATCTCCCAAGACGCTTCCCTCGCTGGGTAAACGGTCTTCGACTAGGCATCTTAATACTCGGCATGATGAGTTCCGGCTGACTGTCTTGGACGATTGCCGGCGTCTCCTCCTCGTCCTCTTCGCTAGATCCTATCGCCTGACTTCCAGCCTCCTCGCTGGTGAGTTCGTCCTCGGATCGAGGAAGAGATCTGGATGAGCCGGACTTTGGACTGCTAGGCAGGGAGATATCACAGGAAGGCAGAGGTGAGGGAGTGACACCACGGACATGGCGTGCGTGACTCGGTTCTGCATGGGCGATCGAGGAGCCTCTCCGCAAGCGTTCACCATGGGCAGGTCTTATAGTTGATCTCCTCCGACTACCGCTCCTCGTCTCGGGTGGCCGCGCTGCGCTGTACTTGCCAGATCTCTCCGCCTCTTGCATGGCATCCTGGAGGCTACTTACAGGCAGAGCCGCTGACGCTGTAGCGGGAGTCGTCTCCGACCGTGATATGGGAGCGTCAGGATCACGCGCGAGAAAGAAAGTAGTCGGAGGCCCGGTGCAGCGCTCACCAGCTAGGGGGGAGGGTTCGGCGACGGACGATTTGCGAGGACGTGGTTCCGGATTCTCCAAGCCGAGTGCGGGTCTCATCGTTGAGGCATGAAAACGAGTTGTTCAAAGGTTAGGAGAAAGAGGAGGATATGTTTCTAGGCAAATAACTTGAAGGAGGAAGGCTGACAGCAACCCTGGACTGGATAGATACGAGGTGATGATTGAATGCATCTGCAGGTGACCCCGCGGCCATTGCGGAGTATCATTCTTATCAGGCTCCAGCCGGTCCTTGCTTACATGAGGTTCAGGAATTCGGTATCACCCATGGCACCTCCAACCTCAGCTAAACAGGACATACTATGTACTCCGTAAAGGTCATTAACTGCAACAGTCATCATTACCCCAGGTATGTCTCATAATAATAAAGACTAATGTACAGCTTCAACCCCCACTCTCCAGGAGAATCCTAGAATTGGTGAAATAACCCGCAGACAAAAAGTATATGCCCTCGCTGAAAGACACGCTTGCCCCTGACCATGGCCCTGAGCTGCTGTGCATCACTGGAAAAAAATCGGTTGCAGATACATGCCATCAATCTCTGAAACAATGGGAATCTGGTCGTGCTATCAATCCGAAGTACGCTATGCCATGACAATGCATTGCCAGAAGACATAACGGGGGAAAACTTTTTCCGAGTACGCCGTTGCAGAAAGTATTGAAGGTCATCCCATCACTTTTGTACCGCTGTGTTAATCCATAAATGGCAGGAAAGGGGTCGGTGAGGATGTTCCTCGACCCGTCACAAAGAGTCGGGCTGATTTAAGCAGCTTGAGGTTGACCACGCCCTTTAGGAGTCACTGTACCGGACTTGCCGCCTCTCTGCGGAAAGCTACCGCGACCGGCATCCTTTGGAAAGTTGGTCTGGCTGCCAGAGCGGCCGCCTTGCATGCCACCACGACCGCGTCCAGCTTGGGCACCACCACCTCGAGTGTAGCTGGCGTTGCTACCTCCATAAGCATTCGGACGAGGGCGACGCTCTTCCACGTAGATCTGTTCGGACCCGATGTGGTGGGGATTGGCAGCAACAGCCGCATTATAGCCAGCAGGATCAGCAAATTCAACGAACGCACAGTTCTAAGGTTTGTTAGCACAAAATCCAAGTTTTGGTGGGCTACTTACTCTTGGTCGCGAGACATCGAAGTATTTGAGCTCGCCATGGCTTTCAAGGACTTCTCGAAGAATTCGAGCATCTACCTTGTCGTTTACATTCTTAATGTATGCGAGCACTGTGCCCTCTGGTGTAGCTTTGTTCTGTGGTTTTCCCTTCTTGCCGTGGTCAGCTGTCTGCCAGCCATTGCTCTGCGAAGTAGGAGTGCTCGCGGTGGTGTTTGCAGCTGGTGTAGTCTCGGCTGGGGCTTTGGATGTTTGAACAGGCTGCGAAGGGCGAGGCGCTTTTGGTTGAGTGGCAGGCGTGGTCACAGGAAGAGCAGGAATTGCTGGGGATTTGGAGCCACCGCCGAGCATACTTGCCCAAGTCTTTTTTGCCGGTGGTGCTTCGGCAGTTGGTGGGGTCGCAGTCTCAGCAGTGGTCTCGGGCTGGTTAGCTTCAGCAGCGGATGGTTCCTCTGGAGCTGGAGTAGCAGCTTTCACCGCCTCCAAGGCTTCTGCGGTAGTTTCCTCGCTCTCTGGTTTTTCGGCTGGCTCTTCCGCGGCATTAGGAACAAGTGCGCCATTGACCTCTGTCTCAGCAGCTGGAGCTGCTTCTTGCTCGACTTCCTCGAGCTTTTCGTCAACCTCTTCAGCAGCGGCTTCCGTGACAACTGTCTCTTCTTGGCTCGTCTGAGTGTCTGGAATACCTGTGGCAGGGGTGGAAGGTTCTTCAGCGGGCCGTTCGAGTTGTTGCTGCTCATCCTCGACGATCTCATCCTCATCATTGCTAAGGTAACGGAAGATGTCGTTCAAGACGAAGTATCCGTTGGGTTGCTCGGCGAGGATGAAGGTCTGGACGAACTTGTGATGAGGTTCGGATTTATTTGACATCTCACCAATGACCTGGACGACGATGTTGTTGAAGGAGGATTGAGAATCGACATTGAGGACACGGACTTTGCAGTCGTGGAATTCGAGCGCCTTGATCTTGTCGCTGATGGCCTGCATTGCATGTCAGCCACACTAATACTTTGACATTCACAGCTTCCAACATACCTTTGTGCCAACAGCAGGAACAACCTTCTCGGCCTCGACGCCAGTAACGAGCTGTGATTTCTTGGAGTAGAATAGGTGGATCTTTTCCGGGCTCTTTGATAGTGTTGTGTAGTATTGCTCGACGAAATACCATCCGATCTCTTGCGGATCGGCCTTTTGAGCGTTTGTAGAGGTGGTAGTACTTTGAGAGGCAGAGGAGGCATGAGTTGGCGCAGATGGGGCGGATGCAGCGAGCTCAACGGGCTGGGTATATTGATTTGTGCCATACAGGCCGTTGGTTCCAGTAGTTTCGGTCGCCATAATGGAGGATCAGCCTAGAGACGAGAAGAGAACTGGTGCGCAGAAGGGCAGATATGCGGAAGTCGTCGCGTGTATGAGCGTTCAATGAGCTGTAGACCTCCGGTGGTGCAAGGATGTCCCTCTTCTCTTGAGTGAATTATGAGAATGTCCGCCACGTACTGTTGTGCGTAAGAAGTGGATGGATGGATATCACCAATCGGTAATCTGTCACGCAGGCAGGCAGGACTTTGGATGCGAAAAGCTTCAAGAGGTACCACAAGGAGTGTGAGAGGAAACCGTATAGAATAGTGACAAGGGCGAAGGTGCCAGAAGCCGCGGATTTGGATCGCACGAGATGGACTTGAACGTAAGGGATTGATGGTAGAAAATATTGTAAATGCCTGCGGAGTATTTCAGGCTGCGTACGCTCATTGGTAGATGTCACTTTGCTTGGCTCCTGCTTCCCAGTCTGTTGACTCGGAGCATTCGTATATTTAATCAGTCATTGCGGCCTCACTAATGGCAATTTTGTCAGGACGTACTATACATCAGACTCGCAGACTAAAAGACTATGTTTCCCACGAGTATTTGCTGATGGTTGTTGACCAAAGCTAAGTCATCTACCAGGTAGGTATGTAGGAAGAGTCTATACGCTGACAAATAGACGCAAGGCTGGCACTGTGCTGGCGTCTTGTTTCAACCTCAACATTGGATGAAGAACATCATATAGTAGAATGGAGGCCTCCTGGCAGCTTTAAATGGACATCCCATATGTGAAATATGTGTTGCATGAACAACATGGGCAGTCACACGTGGACGTAGGTAGCTTGGACAGGGGGCTGCATCTTAGCTTCGCACCGGTAGACAGCTTAGGTGAACCTCATTTTGGTCGTGATTCCAGATAGCTGTGCATGCGTGCCATGTCCATGATGGCATTACAGCTTGAGAGCTCGTGACATGGCTCCTATATTGCTTGGACAGAGGCCTGGATAGACCCTTTCCCCGCTCTTTTCCAGGAGCCGTACCGCCTCACGGTCCGTGTGTCCCCGCAGAATCTGCCATCGAAAAGGCTTTGGCGGACGGACATGGGGAAGTGCAGACCAGCAAGAAAAGCTTCGGCGAGCGAGTCTGTCCTGCTCTCACAAAGGTAGTGCACACCTCCTCGAGAGCATATAAGGCGTAGATCGTCCATATCTCATCGTCCGGCATCATGATCAGGAGGTCATCACAGTCGCCCATCGTGCTGTTCGATTACCAATTCGCGCCGAATGCTCAAAGTGCCCGGAACTTGCTGTGGGCCTGCGACATTCCATATCAATCCTGTGAACAGCCGTTCAGGATGCCACGACCTGAAACTTGCAGATCTAGGGATCACGCATCGGCGCATCCCAGTGAACGCAATTGGAAGGGACATTTATGCCGACAATCGGGCGTTTCTCGAAGCGGTGTAGAATATCTTTCCAGAGAAGGCGTCCGTCCTTGCTAAAACCCCGGCGATCAAGCTTATGAAGCATTCGGACAAATAAACATTCTGGGCAACATTGCCATTGGTACCCGTGACGAGAATTGTAATCGAGCTGGAAAATGGCCTCTGAATGCATTTTCCGAGACTTTGATATATCTTGAAGAAAGACTGAGATGATTCTTTGCCGCAGACTCTGGTATCAAAACTTGAGGATTTGAGGGATGGCGCCTTTCAATTGCTGAAATCCCGGTGGTACCAAGGCAAAGTCATGTCTCCAGATTATGCCTTTTCTTGCCGAGCTTGTCCTTCAATAGAACCCAGGACGCGAGGGCGGGACAGGTGTTGTTGTTACAAGTGGCGCATCTGTCCCTTGTGCGGTATCCACTGAGCCGCTGACAGGATTTGCATCTCTTTCATCTGCTGCCAAACGTTCCTTCTCTTCGCGGCTCTTTCTTGCGTTGTTCTGCCATATCCGATCCTGTTCTTGCAATTCTCGTAGCGCTTCTTCCCATTCCCGCTCTTGTGCCTCGTCGCCAGTTCCAAGAACCTTTTCAACATCGACGTCCTCCCCCCTCTGGATTTTCTCCACGACTTCTCTCAACTGCGCGATCTTGAGGTCCGCTTGCCGCACAAACGTCGTAAAATCAGTCTTGAGTCCCATGATTCGAATAGCCTGGGAACCGATCAAGAGATAGATCCAGATGAAGTAGCTTGCAGGATTTGTTGGCTTTTTCCTCGTTTCTGAAGGTGCGTATTTACTACGGAGGCTCTTCGGAATGATTGAATGCCAGATCGAAGGCTGAGCGAGACGAGGAAGGTGACTCCCCTGCGACGCTGTGTGCTGGTAGCGTTGCGCGACGCGTGAGCGGGAAATTTGAACTGCATCGATCCGAAACGTGCGGTGATGTGTAAAGGTCCTTAAGACAGGGCATAAATGCGAGAGCTTCATGCTTCGTAGCTATTGTCGTTATAAATACCCTGAGATCTCTGTCGCCGAGGTACAGGCATCTCGCTCGACGTCCAGAATGGTTGCTTATAGTAGCGAATTCTGGGAAAGTCGAAGCAAGGCTTGGTCGGTACCGCCAAGCCGCATGCGTACGACATCGACACGAACCAACGGCACAACCGAGTGCAGCGCTTCTGATCTTCTCTTTAGTCAAACAAGTCCCCTACTCGTAAGCGTCCCGGATTCTACAGTCGGCGCTATTGCCAAGGAGAAGTGAAGCTACATGGCCAGAATCAACATCTTACGAGCACCAGATTTAGGTCTTGTCGTAGGTTTGTGGACCTACTCCCTAATTGCATCGCACCGAGCCGCATTGTCCATGATACTCTCCTGAAAGTCAAGTATCGCTATCACAAAGGCGTTGTCTAACGCAGTAGTACCTTCGGAGATCGAGTGAGCCTTGCTGATAGTGATGTTTGCATTTTGCGTCATAGTGGCCGCGAATCGAGAGATGAAAAGAGGTTATTCCAGACGGAGAGATCGAGTTCTGGTTCGCCTTGCATTGCATTGTCCCAAAACTCGTCGAAGGTTGGGGTCCCCAGAGCATCGCCTGAAATTTGTCCATCCACACCAAGCTGTACGGGCTGCCACCGATCGTCTCCAGGCGGATTAAAATCGTCCAGGATAGGAGCGGAGCTTTGAGCTGGATCATTCGACAAGGCAGAGTCACTTGACTCATTTGGGTGTATTCTATGCTTCCGGACAATCCCACACAAGGACTTCAAGAACCGGCCAAGGAGTGGAGAGACGTGTTTCGCATCCTCGAACTTTTGTAACGTTGCCTTGACTTCTGCCCTTATTTCTGCCTCGTCGGCTTGATCCTTGTTGAAGCACAAATCCATGATGAGGACCACCAGAGCAAGATGCACGAAGTGTACAGCTATTCCCATACGTGCCGCCACAATCCATGGCAGGCCATCGCCTCCGAGATCCTCATGGAACTGAATGACTGCGCGTGCTGATTCGAGGCATGCTCGTCTTGAGAAAGCATAACGGGGATCAGAGGACTGTCGGAGTAAAAATCTCTGGTGAAGCTTGCATCGCCTGCTGTGAGCCGCTCTGGTGATGCAATATCGCAGAAGGGGAATGTTCGGATACATGATCTCCAGCGGTTTGGTACGTTGACGACTCTCCGCATCCAGTCGGAAGAAGAATGGTAGGCTCGAAATGAGACCTACCAGCTTTTTGTCCAGGTTTATGATATGATCGTAAGGCACTTGCTCAAGTTTGGATGTCTCTAATGGCACGGTATCGACTATTTCGCGGCACAGATGTGCCAGGCGAATTCTTTCCAGCAAATATGTCATGCCAGTCGGCCGAGGTTCCGTTATCAGCTCAGGACGTTCTCCCAAGACAAGGTCGTCGTCGTTGCAGTCTATAGGAAGTTTGACATGTATATGATCTGGATGAATGAAATAAGTGCCTACTTGTGGACCGGAAACCGTGGACCACAGCCTGCCGAGACATTAGCACTCGAAGAGTCTCAACACATGCAAGAAAATACACAAACCAGTCAGTGGAAGTTATGAACCAGAATACTCTTCGTTTCACTTCGCGATCGATGAAGTCGCGAACGCTCTCGGTTTTCTGACCAAAGAACTCGTTTTCGGCATCCAAGCGATGCAGACCGAGGTCCCTAGCAATTGTAGTAGCGGACATCATCAGAAGACGACCCCTTGCTGAGAAGCCATCAAGGTAGAATGTCACGACCGTCATAATGATGTATGCTTGGACGTCTTCAAGGGTTCCAGAGGTATTCCGGCGTGAAAAGTCAAGCACATCCAGCGCCCCTTTGCAGAAGACTTTCGACAGATGAAGGTGATCCTGTGGGTTTGTCGCTACCTTAGAACTTTCAGAAGGCTCGTAGAAGAACGCGGCAAGTGCGAAGATGGAGAGCAGCAGCGCAGCTTGCCCGATATGAACAGTTTCGCCTTGGTTGAGTCGTAGGTAAAAGGGCTTGATGACAGATCGGACGGTTGGAAGATGTAGGATGCGAACGATATAGTCTACACTGGACTCGTAGCTCTGTAGAAGCAGAGCTGCCACTTTGAACTCTGGGAACATCACAATACTCTCGTTCCCTCGGTCATATTCCGAGACTGGCGCCGGATGCTTTTGAGAAGTCTGCATCCCAAGGATTTCGGGCGTGCTACTGATTCTGAAGGCTAAGCCATTCGATAACATGGAAAGCTGCGCACGAGTTAGAGCATTATGTAAGGCTATGAACACCTTCAAGAGTATCGAGACTTGGATGACCTACTACCGAGTCCTCCCTTGTTGCTACATTCTCAAGTGACTGTAAATCTTCGTCTCTGGTTTGATGGATGTCGGACGCCATGCCGGAACTTGTGAATGCCTGCCTTTTCATGGGGCGACTGTCATCTAGGCCATTTCTTATATGGAAATCCTGCCGTTGGATGATAGCCTCGAGCCTCTCAATGCGTTGCCGAAGTTCTGCATTGCTCTGTGCTGCCGGGCCTTCATCTGGCCGACTGTGTGGTGGAACAAGGAAATGGCAAGTGATGCCGCGCGAAGAACAATTTGAACATGGTTGACGACGCTCGCATTTCAGCTTCTTAACTCTGCAGGACTGGCATGCTATTGGCGCAGCCCGGCTCCGAGCTGTCTGCGTTCTTGACGACATGCTCCTATGGTCTCATAGGTAAATCGTGTAATTTGGCGCTAGGGTGTTATTTGCCGACAAACAACAGCGATGATAGTTTGTGTGGTAGGAGAGCCTCCTGATCAATTGGAGGCCCAACTGGGTTGGCGCTAGGGTGCCATTCGACGACAAACAGCAGCGAGGACAATTTGTGTGGTAGGAGGGCCTCCTGTTCAATGCAGTGCTAACTGCTGCTTCGACGATTCAAGCGGCAGCCGTTTTGCACACCCGGTTAAGCGAGTTCGTTACACTATTTACCCATGAGACCGTAGTGAATCGATCAGACTGACGACGAACCAAGTACGATATTTCAAGTCCGCGGGAGGCCGGAAACCCCATTAATTAGTCAGCTTCCTCAGGGAGACAGCAAACTGCACCGAGCGCGCCATGCTCCCCTAGCGCCCTCATGCCGGCATACTGCACTAGAATGCTTTCACTGTTCTGATTCCTGGATTCCAGAGGAGCCAGCCAAGACCCACGCATGCCTTCTCATTCGAACCTATAGGACCGACGACCAGTCTTCGCTCTTGAAATACTCTTCCATCGACGTAAGGGGAAGTTGGATCCCAAGCTATAAAACTGTTAGGGCGGGCTTCATGCGCAGGTTGTGTGACTTACTTGCTCGACTGTCACTAGGTCGGGGTCTCCACCAGTATAGCCAAATTCGTCGGCAAACGCAAAGGTCTCTGCGAGCTCATTCTTCAGTGGTTCGGGTACACCTCTGAAGAAGTCGTCTTCGGATATCTGCTTGAAAGTGGCCTTGACACCAAGTGTATCTCCCCAAAGCTTTGTCCAGTCTGGCCAGGTCATATGTTCCGACGCACCGAGAAGCTCCGTTTTCGGAGGCAAATCAGCCAGTGCCTTGACAAAGGCTCCTGTATCTTTGTGCGCGACCACAAATGGCACTTTCATTTCCGGAGAAAAGGTCCTTTGTATCACATAGCTGCCATCTGACTGCTTCTGAGGTGCCAAAGCTGGAAAGGCTTGCCAGTTTCTGACATAATGTCCGACCTGAAGAAGACTCATGAGTGCTGCGAGCTCCGGAAATCGAGTTTCAATTGCCCGGATGATCTCGATTTTGGCGTTATTGTGGTATACGTGAGTATATTTTCCATGACTCCATTTCCGGGCGTCACTCAATGAAGACAGCACAAAGCGCTCCAAGGTCTTCATTGTCGTGGGCCTAGCAGCTGCTTCCGCGATATTAATGCCTTGTTCGACCTCTCGATCAAAAGCATACTGGTTGGGCGTGCGACCTCCTAAGCTATCCTTCGGTGCTAATGCATAGAAGAGGTGGCCGAAGAAGTCGGTATTCGAGAAAATGATCGTAGCGCCTTCGAAAGCAAGGAACAGGGATTGCTTATCGTCCAAATCACCCGTGACGATTTCAGCTCCTTTAGCTGTAAGGGCTTGAGCAACAGGGCCTGAGGAATTCCGCGATACGCCCCGGACTTTCCATCCAGGAAGACGTAAGAAAGTGTCGGCCACGGACGATCCCTAAGCAAATTAGTATTATCTTCATATGGTTGCGCCCTTGCCTACCTGAATACCGGTGATCCCGATGATGACTATTGTCTTTGACATGATGATGAAAATCTGTTCGTGAAAGTACAGGAACACAATCTCAGGAGAGCGAGATGTCTCACTTATATACCATGCATCTTTTCGAATGGACTTGAGCTACCGGCAGATTTGCAACTTGTCATAATGCGTTCTTAGAACGGTCGAAACGACTTATCACGCGCCTGAATAGCACGGCACTAAGCGCTGCCGGTGCATTATCCTCTCTGTATTACAAATTGATGTCGGCTCTGGGTCCAATAGGCCGTGTTCTGAGGGATGGTGAATCCATGGAGGTGCCGGAGCCCCGAGGAACAGAGTCACTAGACTCGACACGAAGGGGATCTTCGTCTCAATCTCACAACCAGTTGCTGCTGTTACCTGGCGAGAACACTCAAGAATGTGTCAAATTAGGACTGATGCTGCAGCTTCATAACTCTTGCCACAAGCCGACAGTTTCTGCGCGGTCCAGACATATTGTGGTTAATGTCTGAGAATATGGGTGTTTTGAGGTGGAATAATTTGTGATGAAAGCAACTTCGGATCACGAGCTTCATGACCTCTGGCAATGAATCATAGATCCGCGGAGTTTGATACCGTCACCTTGACTGCGACAGTGTCGAGCTGTTTGAGTGGCCTTGAGTAAGATTTGCAGTCAAGTTCGGCTGTCACGTGACCCTCATCGTTGTTGCTCGTTGCCAATATCCTTGCAGAATGTAACAAAGGTAAGTAGCCTTTGTCCTCCAGGCTTCTCTGTACCTACCTCACTGTTTGATAAGTGGTTTTCCCCACGCTTGAGCACTCAACCCACCATGATTGCTCTCGGCACAGGACAGTCACAGGTATCACGATCTAACACAGAAGTACCAAGACTGTCGTCGAGAATGCAAACAGCTTCTGACGGCGTTGAACCACTGCGTCTGCGGCCGACTACAACCCATACGGCCGTACTTAGGACACGAACACGGGGACGACGCGCCACAATGGAAGAGCCTCGAGGCGATACAAGTATGCGCCTACTGTGGGATCATGCCACCCCTCGTCATGCTCAGTGAGATTGACTAGCCTTGTCTGTTCATGCCCAACGTCACGTGAAGACTTCAACCGCCGATGTGACCGCAGGAGCAAACCTCAATGAGGGCGCGATACCACGAACTTTGCGCACGTTCAGCCATGCTGATTGCCATGGGTTAGCGTTGGCCAGAGACGCCATGGTATACACGGTGTAGTCAACAATGACTCAGCATGCAGCTCTGCCATGGCGCCTGACGTGGACAGACCTGTGTGGGCATCATGAGACATTCAAATTCCAGGCGGAAGCCAAGATGCATACCTTCATCCGCATACGCCCGTTAACGGCGAAGCAAGAACATAGACCAAGGCTGAACACGGCTGGCAGACATATAATAACATGGCGAGCAGCCTTTGCCTGGCTCGACCTCTTTATGAGATCTGTTATCACTCACATGAGATCTATACAGCGCATTGCACTCCCTTCTACTGCCGCATGAAGTTGTAAAGGTGTCTGAGAAGTTATCAACATATGCAAAATTGAAGTCCGACCAATCTTTGACTCCGATCAATCCGGAACTATTCATTTCTTGAACCTGGATGCAGAAGATCATGGCTGAAGAATGGGACGCTATCGTCATTGGATCTGGCATCGGAGGCATGACTGCCGCGACACTGCTGGCCCAAGTAGGCAACATGAGGGTGTTAGTCCTCGAGAAGCACTCTGAACGCGGAGGCTTGACGCATACCTTCCGTCGCGATGGCGCAAGTTGGGATGTAGGAGTGCATTACATTGGAGATATGCAGCCAGGGTCGCATGTTCGCGGGTTGTTTGACTTTCTGTCTGGTAAAGCACTCACTTGGAACCCCATGCCGGCCGATTTCGAGCGATTCATCTACCCAGGACTCAAGTTGGCCCAGCCATCAAATCCAAAACAATATGAGGACCGTCTGATTAAACGCTTCCCAGACGAAGCTGCAGCGATTCGGCGCTATTTTGTGGACGTGATGGCGGCGGCCAACTGGCTTAGCAGTGGCACTTTTCAAGCTGTATTGCCGTGGCCGCTCAGCTTTCTGCTTTCACAATGGCGTCGCTTTGGCTCTCAGAAGGCAATGCAGACAACGGGTGAATACCTGAATCGCCAGTTCGTGTCGGCCGAGCTCAAAGCCGTGCTTGCCTCACAATGGGGTGATTATGGAGTGCCCCCGAATGAAAGTGCCTTTGCGCTACATGCAACTGTCGTTCGGCACTACCTCCATGGAGCTTGGTTCCCATGTGGAGGGGCGAGCCGCATCGCCAGGACCTTTGAAGTCGGCGTCGAAGCCCATGGCGGTGCCGTCAAGGTGTGCCAGGAGGTGACATGCGTTCTCATCGAGGGCAGTCGTGTCGTAGGCGTCAAGGCCCTGGACGGGCGTGGAGTGAAGCGCAGAGAAGTCGTCTACCATGCCCCTATAGTCATTTCAAACGCAGGCGCGGGCCCGACATATAACACCCTATTACCCACAACTGGTGAAATCGGTCGGCAGACGGCAGAAATCCGGCGTGTTATTGACCTCCTCTCTGATGGAATATCGGCTGTTGTTGTGTACCTTCGACTGGAAAAGCCGGTAACGACACTTGGTATCCATGGGGAGAACTACTGGATCAACACGACGTTCAATCACAATGACATTGACGCACAAACAGCTGCGATACTGGAGGGAAAGCCTCAACATGCTTACATGTCGTTTCCCTCCGCCAAGTCAGGAGACGAAAGATTCCATACCGCCGAAATCATCGCCTTGATCAAACCCGAAGTTTTTTCCAGTTGGCGTGGAACAATGCATGGCGCACGTGGGACGCAGTACATCCAACTCAAGCAACGCATCTCGCAAGGCCTGATAGATTTGGCTGAGACCTATGTGCCTGGTATCAAGGCATTGGTACACTATTTTGAGGTGTCGACGCCTCTCTCGGTCGAGGACTTTACTTCTCATACAACTGGCGCATTTTATGGGTTGAAAGGGACGCCGAAGAGATACTCTTCTTCGGTCCTTTCTGCACCTTCGCCCATTGCAGGCCTCTATCTCAGCGGGTGCGATGCATGCAATCTCGGGGTTACCGGCGCAATGATGGGTGGTGTTGTAGCAGCGAGCCGAATATTTGGACCCCTGGGCTTCTTCCGCGTTATGAGAGCTGTGCGCCGCGGAAAGTCCAGGATGGAGATACCAGTGACTGAAACTCTGTCCTCACATGAAAAGAAATGCGCAAGGCTTGTGTCCAAGAATGCATTGACAGAATTCATCTGGCGTCTTGAATTCGAACTTGACGAGTCGATTCATTGCGCGCCTGGACAATATGCTATGGTGTTAGTTGCGCCGTATGAGTGGCGGTATTATTCAATTGCTGGGATCGAAGGCAAACGCTTCACGCTACTCGTCAGCACCCGCACAGGCGGCGACGGTTCAATATTTGCGAGGGGGATTCAGCCGGGCCAAGAGACGAAGGTGGAGCTCCCGTATGGTTCTTTCCAGCTGCAGCGCAACACACACCGGAAAGTTTTTGTTGCGACTGGAACTGGCATTGCACCATTCCTGCCAATGTTTGAAGCATTAGCCTCATCGAGCGAACTCGAGTCGGCCGAGCTGCTCTTCGGCTGCTATCATGCAGAGGACGACATCACGCACAACTTCGAAACTCTGCCTCGGACTACGGTCTGTGTTGATGGCGATCCGTCCGCCAGGGGAGTATTTCACGGACGAGTCACAGATATCCTCACCGACCTGAAATTCGATCCAGCAACGACCGACTTCTATATTTGTGGAATTCCAGCTATGATGGACAGTTGTCGGACGATTCTTGCACATGCAGCCGCAACTCAGGTGTTGACTGAACCTTTCTAGCTGTTGGACCAGTTTGAGCCACCAGAAAAAGTGGAGTGGCGTCTTTCCCTGGGTGTAATATAATCTGGGATTCTCCTTGTAAACCCGCCGGATTTGGAGAAAGAGTCAAGCGGCTCTAGCTCTTGTATTATGACTGCTCGTTGGCTAGCAGCCGATAAACTCAGTAGTACGTAGAACGAAGGGCACCTGAGGAGTGAGAGAAAGAATCAGGCACAGTCCAAGGGAAGATTAATAATGTACGCTGGTGCCCTTCTTTTCATTTTACCGATTACTCCCAAAGCCAGAGGCACCATTTCCACCTTTGCGCCCTTGTTTAGTCTAGGGTCATCATCCTACACTAGCCAACATGGACGCGCATGGGGTGATGACTTTTGGAAGGGGTTGTCTGACGAGGCTGAACGAGCAAGGCTGCGAGAATGAGGGGAAATGCGGAAGCAATTTAGGCGTGTTTATTTGATCGCCCGATTTGGCGGACAACGCGCTCTTTTCGATGGACATAAAAAGGTCGATGAACAGCACCATTTTGGCCGGTACAGCAGCCTTAGAATTGAATATCGCATGATGCGCATTCCTATTACCAATTCCTCACGATGATAGCGACCTCCGATCCTTCTACAGTGCCCACCACGAACGCGCTCCGAGCCGAGCTCAACTTGCTTGCACCAACAGTCCATACTCTACGGTTCCTTCGTTCAATACTCGGACTGGAAGATCAAGACCCTGTTTCAACCACAAAATGCAAAACGAAGAGGGCCCCCACGGCGACCAGGCCTACCAAACATCAAGTCCCCACCAATGGCAAAACAAAAGCCTCCCGCAGAGCTGCTCCGGGCTTGCATATACATGAGGCAGTCAGCAAAGAGAGACCATTGTTGTCCCAGGTCGAACGACGCCAAATCGCCGCTGAGACTTTCAACGCTACCCTCAAACAGCTGAGCGATGCCGCTAAGGCCGAGAAAAGCGCAGCAAAGTCGCACGCAGCCGGCACCACACCTGCGAAGCCCTCTCCCGCCGCACAGCCGCTCCAGGAACGATCGCCAAATAAAGAGACGCGACAGAATGGTGTAGATCCCAAAGGAAAGTTCGTTCACACAGAAGAAGCAGACTGGGAGGTGGTGGTGGGGTGTGCCCAGTCTGCATTACAGTTTCTTCGCAAACGCCAGAATGCGGAAGAAAATGCAAATCAAGACTCGTTGGAAGATACTGAGGGCGCTGCGTTGTTGCTGCTAGACAGGACCATCACCTTGGGCCTCCTAAAACAGGCGGAACTCCAGCTGGCCGACATACATCGACAGTACTGGGGAGGTGCAAGCAAAGACTTGCCACCGGAGATGACCCTGGCAAGATCTCTACTGGGTCGGCCGAATGCAGCAAGTCAACTGTCCAGGTTTCGCTTCACGACCTCTATGCAAAGCCAGGGTCTGCGTCTCGCCATGTTGGCTGGCGCCAGGTGCATAAGTATGGACTTCCTCAAATCTCTGCAATTGAAGACGGTCGGAAGTCCAGCCTGGATTACTCTACAGGGCCTTAACGAAGGTCGACATAACTCTGAAGCTGCGGGTATGCAGCTGCGTACTATTTCCCTTGCCTTGTCGAAGCTGTATTCAACTGCGACCAAATCACCTACTGAGGCAACCTCTTCCATCTGCCTCTTCGAGCTCTTCTGTACCGCTCTGGAGATCAAATTTGAATCATGGAGACATCTATGCCACACGGTTGATCCAGGAGTAGAAGTCTGGCGCCTGTTTCAGGGTGCTGTAAAGAGGCTATTTTCAAGTGCAAAAGACGTCCATGCCTCTCTGGCACACGCCCTGCGGTATCTATGCTTGTTTCAGAAATGTCTGAAGAATACAAATATCGAGAGCTCTATTCCCTCTACAATAGTCGACATATTTTCACAAGTCACTCAAGAGACCGCAGCCAGCACAGAACTTCTCGCCCTGCTGGAAGAGCAACTGCTCACCGTGGACAAAGTCGATCGCCTTGTCTTGGACTGCCAGATAGCACAGTGGAAGTTGAAAGCATATTCCGGAGCAGTCAAAGCCGCAGTCGACTCCGCTCAAAGAGCGACTGATACATTCAAGAAGGCCCTCGACCTGTCCCAAGCGGACTTCGAACGGGTCTTACTGCACGCTGCTCATCTACGTAAAACAGCGGTCGGAGTGGTGATGGCCATTGAGAAAGCTGGCGCCCGAGATGGGAAGTCAGACCAGCTGCAGAATACTGTCCTAAACCTATTGTACACTTCGTGTTGGTTCTTCTGCAGTCAGATACAACCGAAGGGATCCGGAGTTACTGACGGGTCGGGATCATCGGGAATCGTTTCTACGCTACTCAAGAATGTCGAAGCAATCTTGACCGTGGAAAAGTGCGCTGCGGCATATACATCGACATTGGCGTTCGAGGCTCTGGAAAATTGTGCGACAATACTCGAATCTCTCGAGGCCGGCTCTTCTCCCATCACTGCCGATGTCTCACTGAGATCGACCGTGGACCACCTGCGTGTGCGTCTTTCTAATGCTTTCTGGTCAAGGTATCTAGAAGCAGTCAAACAGAAGAACCTCCATGAGCAAATACAGGCCCTGCAATTGTCTCTGCGCGGCCTGTCCGGATTATCACTCGCCCACCAAAAGGCAGCCTACCTTGCTCTAAAGAATGAGAGACTAGCAGCATGTTACGTGGAATCGAATGAGCTTGCACGGGCGAGATTGGCGTTACAAAACGCCCTCGACTTCAACATCAAAGAAGGTGCTCTCAGCGATACCGTGGAACTTGCTCTGGCAGGCTCTTTGGAACGAGCCTGGTCGGGTCCAGACACAAAGGCTCTAGCCAGAAATCTCACTGCCTATGTTCGACTCTCCCTTCAACTATCGGCTTGTGAAAATGACAGCCTTTTCTATGATCACCAATCACTTCCTGTTATTCATCGCGCAATCCTGCTGGAAAAACAGATATATGTAATGGTGGACAAAGACTTGGGCGAGCGTCAGTTCAGGTCTTGTGTCTTACAGATCAACCTCGTCCTGGAGCTCCTTCGCCGGGAGGAGTGCCAAGTTTACAGACTGAGACTCAGCAATAACCTTTTTCACTGTGCACTAAAGAGACAATTTCCACTGTCGAGGTGCTTGATAGATTCTGCGACTGTGGAGAAGCTTTTGCACAGTCACATAAATCCGAACGGAACCGTCTTTCTACGGGCATATGAGTCGGGGCTACGCTCTATGCTCAAAATGCAACACGGGTTCTTCACCAGCGAGATAAGCAGCGAAGACCTGGAACAATCCGTCCAGCATGTCTCCCAGATTGTTCGCCATTGCAAAACCATGGATGATGTGAGCAATGCGCTAGACAACCTAGAAGCGGTAATGATGTCTCTACGACTTTCAGTCGACCGTGCGGGCATCTTTGAGAATCATGGGCTTAGGCTTATGGCTCTAGAAACCTTGATCCATATGCTGGGACTTGGCAACCGAATCCAGGAGCCTTCTAAGACGAGCGTACTCCTTCAATTAGGAGAGCTCTATAACACCCTGCAGGATCTAGAAACTGCCGGAAAAACTTTCAGGCGAGTCGAGACAGCAATGTCATCTTGTACAGCTGACAGCCTGTTCGCTGCAGAATTTGCGTTGGCATATGCGCAGCACTACTTCGACTCTGGAGACGTTGAACAGTGCTTCCAATGCCTTGATCGTGCTCACATCGCGTGGGACGGCCGGCAAAGCTCGATGACTTCTGGTAGCATGCGTCTACGAGAACAAACGATCCTCTGTCGCGCAGCCATGGTCGCCTCCCGATTGGCACACAGTCGGGGACAGCTCTTGGAAGCCACAACAAACGGCAGGCAGGCAGTAAAGATTGCCGCAGCTATCTGGATGTCGATCGAAAAGTTGTGGGAAGCTCACGACACTGTACAAAGAGAGGACTCCAACGACTCACAACTGCACAACCTGACAGTCGATCTCTCCAAGCTCGACCTGTCTCTGCAGCACTCACCACAGCTGACTGTTCACGCAGCCCGACTCTGGCCACAAGTCATGTTGTACATTGATGCCTTCAGAAACTTGGCTTATCTTACCGCGCATAGTGGCCTTTACCAGGATGCTATTTATTTCTACGAGCAAGCCCTGAAAGTCGCCACGAAGACCATGCAATCCTCTCTTACTCGGCTGATCTCCAGCGAGCTTGCTCTGGTGCATGCTCGTGCCAGTCAACCTGACAAAGCATCAACGACAGTTGAGCATATGCTGCCGGTCTCAAATACCCACGACACTTCGGTGGTCCAAGCCCTCACTGCGATCAACCAGAGTGAGGCGCACTTACTTCTGGGAGACGTTTCCTTGTGCCGCCAATATTTCCTTGAGGCAACCCGACTCCTACCGACAAGAAAAACACCTCAGAAGCAGATCGAGGATCATCCGAAGGGCAAAGCTAAAGGTCTGAAAGCGCCTTCAAGGGCGTCTGTGACAAAGTCGTCGGCTCGACCGAAAGGGAGAAGTACTGTTGTGCTCGAGGCACCATCGCCAAACCCATTGTCAGCCTCGGCTCGTTCTCAGCTTGCCAAGGAGGCAGAAGAGCAGCTCTCTGCTTTACGAATCAAGTTGAATTTGGCGGAGGGTTCTTCAGACGTGACCCTCCATGATGAGGCCCCTGCAAGATCAGATGGCAAGGAATCTTTGCGCAATGCGACAATGAAGGCTCTGAGCTTGGTCCGGCAAGCGTTGAAGATGTTGTCCGAGGATGCAGGTACGAATGTGCTTGCAGAGACCGCGATGGCTCTGCCTGTAAGATATAAGTCTGCCAGGAGAAGTGGCAGGGTCTCGTTTGTACAAAGTGCTGCATCACCAAGCTTGGTCAAGAACACGATACGAAGTCCGAAAGGGGACAACAGCCGAACTGGGCAGCGACCTGTTCAAGATGGAAAGCAACTGCTTGTCGCTGCTTATGAGATTCTTCTGCGGTTGAAAGACTCCGCAAAGGCTGAATTGTCCTCCGATATGGTCCACACCACTCACAAGATTTGGACCCAGATAAGTCTGCTTTCGACAGTTCTGGACCACTCCTTCGTCAATTCATCACTGGACCTTGTTCTAGATACACTAAGTCCCATGGATGTGGTGAGAATGCGAGAGCGCACAGTCATGAGGAGCGAGATGTCGACCACAGAGAAGGCTTTTGTTCAAAGCTGGCCAAGATTGGGAACCTTTGATGGTTCCCATACCCTGACAGCCGTGCAAGACATCGTAGACTTTGACATGAGTCTACTTCCGGCTTCCTGGACCATTGTTTCACTGGGCTTAAGCGAAGACAGGACTGAGCTTCTGGTGTCACGAATCTACGCTGACCGGTCACCCTTTATGCTCAGGATTCCTCTAACAAGGCCCGACATGTCCGACGGAGATAACGAAGCGCTAGATTTCGACAGCGCAAAGGCAGAGATGCAACAGATAATCTCAAAGGCGAATTCTTCTGCTCATGACCCTCGTGGAAGCTCACCTGACAAGGCGATGAGGAAGGCTTGGTATGCTGAGCGACAAGAGCTTGACCGACAGCTGGCCACACTCCTGGACAATATCGAGAATGTGTGGTTTGGTGGATTCCGTGGATTGCTCTCGGCTTCTGACGTTGGCGAGAAGATGCTGTGCAAGTTCAGTCAGAGTTTCTCGCAGACACTGAGTCGACATCTCCCTTCCCGGCAAAAGCCGCCGAAGCAAGCAAAGGCGAGAGTTGTGCTTCACAGCCACGTGCTGGAGCTCTTTGTGACGCTGGGCAATCCACGAGAAGCAGACCTCGAAGATTCAATTACTGATTTGCTGTACTTCGTTGTTGACATTCTCCAGTTCAATGGGGAGAAGAATGCCTACGATGAAATCGACTTCGACGCAATGCTAGTGGAGGTCTTGGATGCGCTGCATGGGTACCATGATGAGAAGGCAGAACGAGCAGAGCAGCCCAGACACACGATTATGGTCCTGGACAAAGCACTACAACTGTTCCCGTGGGAATCAATGTCATGTCTGAAAAACTACGCAGTGTCGCGGATGCCATCACTTGGTACCATCTGGGAACAGCTTCGCAAGATGCATGCGACAGAGAATGAGCTCGATGGCTACTGCATTCCGAGTTCGGACGGCGCATACATTCTCAACCCTTCTTCTGATCTGTTATCGACACAGAATACCTTTGGTAAAATCTTCGTAGATCAACTCAAAGGTTTCGAGGCGATTGTCGACCGGCCTCCAAAAGAAAGCGAATTTGAGACCATCCTACGCGACAAGCCGTTATTGCTTTATTTTGGTCATGGTGGAGGCGCCCAGTATATCCGGGGCCGGACCATCCGCAAGTTGGATAAGTGCGCAGTGACCATGTTGATGGGCTGCAGCAGTGCTAAGATGACAGAATGCGGAGTATATGAGCCATATGGGATGCCTTGGAACTATATAAATGGAGGCAGCCCAGCCGTCGTGGGAACATTGTGGGATGTGACGGATCGTGACATCGACCGATTTGCCTTGGAAGTGATGGCGGATTGGGGCCTGATCGAGGCTGACGGAGTGCCCGACTCGAAGCCTAAGTCAGGCAAGAAAAAGGCAGACAAAGACAGCCGGCCACAAAAGGGTCGCTGTATCACGCAGCAACGGGGCCAAGTATCTTTGGACCAGGCGGTTGCACATGCTCGGGAAGCCTGCCTGTTGAAGTACTTGAACGGAGCAGCGCCTGTCATGTATGGGGTTCCGGTGTTCTTAGCATGAGTGATTTGGATGGATTCTTATTGATACCTCTTCACAGCGAAGGACAAGTGTTTGATTTTGCGTCTTAAGGTCCTTGGCCATGTCCTGGATCGAGGCTCACTGTACCGGTAGGCTGAGACTCTGATACTCCCAGTCCTCCTTCGGCCTCTCGGCCTGACAGTGGCCGGCTGTGTGACACTAATCCGCATTGGGCCACCAAGGGCGTCAATCGTCCTCGTACGTCAGCCTCACCGTGTTATTGGCTGACCATCTGCCCCCCTCAAGGCAGCCAGCATTCACAATTCACATTCACACTCACACCTCGAATCCCTCTCTCATCCTCTTTCTCTATATTTCAAAGCCCATATTCTCTCATTCCGTCTTTCCACTTCCATGCAACTCGACTCTCATCGTCGTCAATCGAGTTTCACCATGCCTTGCCCTTGGTCTCGGCGCTGCCGAGCAGCAGTCGACAATGTCCCAGACACCCTGCCCTCACCCACCTCAGCCCCAGACATGGAGGACTGGAAGAAGATCCGCAAATACCATCTCCGTAACATGAGAAAACAAGTCCGTCAAGTCGTCCTCTTAATGGCGTTGATGGAAGCTATTCGAGTCGGACCAATTCAACTTGTCTACGAGGGTAAACATGGCTACCCTGCGGCAGGGGCAGATGACTTTGGCGTATGCTTCGTCCTACATTCATGAGCGTGGAAATTAGACGGTTGCTGAAATCGTATGGTACAGATTGCACACGCGGTCGGATACTTCGTCAGCTGGCTCTACCTCTGCGCATTCACCATCGTCTTCGTCCCATTCTTCAGCGTAAGCAACCATTCCACCCTTCTCATTTGGCCCCCGTCTCCCAGACACCACAGTTAATACAAGGCTTGCAATAGTGGTGGCTGCCAGAAATGGGCTCCGGCGACCCAGACAAGCCCTCCACGGCCGACAAAGCCGTCAAGATCTTGACCAAACTCAACCTCGTCCTCCTCCCCATGTCCATTGGCATCGGCCTACTTACCTACGCTTACCACGCCATCTGTGCCTTCATCTATGTCGACTCCCGCCCCCGAGGCAGCAAGAGGTTGCCCAAGAATACCCGCAAGAACTGGCTCATCCGCCTCTGCATGGTCCTAGGCATTGCAATGTCGACTGCAGGCGGGTACGGCGCCTTTAACATTCTCGCTGCATGGGATCTGGCACATGTCAAGCCAATAGAGTACGCCATCATCGTGGTGCCCGTTCAGATCAACTTGGGTATGCTTTTTGGCACGATTGCTCAATTCAAGATGGAGAAGAGACTGGCCAGAAAAGAAGCTGTCAAGCTGGAGAGTGCCAAACACGAAGCAGCCTCTGCCGATGAGAAGGCTGGTCTCTTGCAAGAGGTGTAGAGTGCTGTCGTGGAGAAACAGTGGCCTGGTTTGCTGAATTCGAGCGCCCGTTTGCAAGGTGATCGAATCATGACATAGTGGATCGGCAGCGTTGGGGGCAGGAGATTTGTATCGAAATCCCTAGAGACTATGGAGAGGGCAGAAAGGTCAGCGAAGTGGCTGAAAGAAGGAGAAGGCCAGTGAGTTCGTCATCATCCACGCGAAACAATCGTATACAACGGAGATCCTGGTGGTGTGTAATTTGTTTTGGGCAGGACAATCGCTTGGATTACAGGTGGTCGTTTGCACGTGCAGTATGATGGCGAGCCTGGTCAATGGGAAGGCGTGCATGTGCGAGGCGATAAGTAGCGTTCACCCATCCTTGTTGAGACTGTTTTCATCTTCGCGTACCTCAGGGAAGGACACTTTCGTGAGAATTCTCGACATCCTTATGTCAAGAATCAAGCGCTTGACACGTGGACTCACTGCTCTAATAGTATGGAAGAGCCGAAGGACTTTTGTAATATCATTATAGCACAGATCTACAATGCTTGACACCGCTCGATTTCCCACCGATGATCTCTCTCCCACGGCCGGTTTTAGTGCGGATCACATATCGCTGTAGCTATCAGAGATGCAAACGGCCAATACTCGCATTGTCGATGGAGTCTCGCCATATATGGGCACCCACTCCTCCGCTGTGCACATCTGGAGACCACAGCGGAGCAAGGGCGAGCAAGGTATGAAAATAGATATATATGGGTGATTGGTAGAAAAGGCCTCTAGAGTAGTCATTAAACATGGAAATATATGTGTATGTAAATCGTATATACTCTTGTATACTTGTTGACGCTTGGGAGCTCGTGCCCGGCCGGAGTCACAGAGGCTGGATGGAATATTCACTTGTAGCGACATAACTTAGAGCACCCCTCTCGCTCATTTCTCGAGGCCCTTTCGGTCTCTCGCCTTGTCGCCTCTGCTGTTCCCTTTCTCGCAAGCGTTCATCTTCTCGCTCTCGCTCGCGGGCTTTTCGCCTCGTGCGCTCCCTTTCTCGGCGCGCATCTTCTCGTTTTGACTTCGTTGGCGAGAGCGAGAGCGAGAGCGAGAGACCACGACACCTGTCCATCGCTGTCGGGGAGGCAGCTAGAGCTTTCGGCCCGCCGAGGATCTCGTAGCTGTACGTGCTGCTTCCCGGGGAGGGCGGTGCGCCCCCGGGAGAAGATTGTGCGCTCCAAGGTGCGATCTTGCGGTAGGATTTGTCGCCGTCGTAGGAGGTGTTGCCGGCGGATCGGGAGGATGGATGGGCGGCAGGGGAGATGGGCGGTGCGGCTTGCAGGAGCAGCTGGGGAGACTTGCTTGGAGATTTTGGCGGAGATCTCGACTTGGGAGAGGCGAGACTCGGACTGGCCAAGCTCTCCCTTTGGGAATCAGCTTCGGGGATGCTGCCTAGTTGGAAGCGGAAGCGCCAACTCGAGGGGTCGCGGAGGTAGTAGCTGCGAGAGCGATGGATCTGAGGCCGAGAAGGAGCGTCGGGTCGAGGGCCGGAAGGGCGAGCGGTGGGAGCGGGAATTGATGGGAGTGGTGGCAGTGGAAGTGGTTTATTGTTGTCTTTATCGTCAGGGGTTTCGACGGCTGTGGCAATCGAGGGCCAAGAGGGTTCGAGTTCTAGGTTGGAGATGGGAGGGGAGGGCGTGTGCTGTGGAGTGACCGCTTCCTCGTCGGTCTGGTGCCACGTTGTTCGACTGTAACGCGAGGATCCGGCCTCGCTGGTTGAGGTACAGGGTCGCAAGTCGAAAGATTCGAGGGTCTTTTCGGTAGCGTGTGTCTCCTCCGTTAGAGTAATTGAGGTCCGAGGAGCTTGGGGCCCAGAGTTGAGACGTCGCTTGACGTCCAGGATCCTTGGCCAGAGCTGAGCCAAGGGGTGGCGGAAGGATGGTAGACAGGCACATATGATGCCGATGTTGACTTCGACTGTTGACCAAATCGCGATGGAGGGATCGTTTTGATGGTGAAACGTGGCAGAGTAGACCGCCGTGAGGCGGACGACGGAAGCTATGCAGACACTAAAGAGGATACTTAGCATATGAACCTGGGTCGAGGGGGAAAGACTGGGTACATACAAGGCTCCAAGGACGAAGATACTGGACAACAGGCCCATCTGGTGCTTGGGCAGCTGCAATGCCCTCAGCACTGGTACTGGTAAACAAAAGACGATGATATCCGTGGCAGAGTTGAAAGACGCGTTGAACAGCCAGAACGCCAGGAAATTGATGCACCTGCCGCTAGAAATGTGGTCGTCCCAACTAAATGCTATCGGTCGGCAAGAAAAAATCCCCACAAACAGAGCTGTAATTCCGTAGGCTGTAACGATGGCACCCAACGCCCAGCATGCGCGTCGGTAGCCTGTGTCGATTGAAAAGCGAAGATACTGCAACAGGAGGGAGTCTTTGAGAAGTAGGACGGCGAAGTCATAGGTGAAGTTGGACGCCCACAATTGCCTCAGCAGCGTTGTCATGCTGTTCTGCTCTGCTGTTGAGGAAGATGTTGAAGAGTCGTCGTGTCTCTCTGACCATATATTCAGCAGCGCTCCTTACATCCGTCGTTCAGTGCAACTTACGCTGATGAGTGACAATTGCAAGTGCCACGGCAGCCGCCCAGGCCAGAGCAATCAGGATATCATCTGGCCCGACATGCTTGACGAAAGCAAGGCGAGCCACAAACCGTACTAAAACAAAACAACCCGACAAGACCGCCAACGCCACCGCCGAGACGACCGCGGATTCGAACGAGGTCATCGTCCTGACATCTCTCTCGTTTCGCAAAACAACCTCGCAGAACGGACGCAAGTTCCTATATCAAGGACGGGGACTCCAACATACAACGAAATGGATCAGATGAAATCGAGAAGACATGGAGTCTGGACACAAGAAGACACGAGAAAGAAAAGGGCCCCAACATTTGCCGAAGACTACCTTCGCATGGGCTTGAGAGAAGTTTACTGACTTACATGGTCTTTGCGGCTGCTATAGCAATAAAACGTGTGCGGACGTGGCTGCGGGAAACCATAGTTACACGCACAGATCCCTTGGCTCGGTCGCGATTGATGACAGGCATGACAGCCGCGGAAAAGTGAGCATGTGAAGTCGGAGACGGAGAGAGTTCTAGACTCTGGAATCCCTGCGAGTCATCGACACGGCTGTAGATCCTGTGGAGGGAGACCCGTTCCCGCCTACCGACGGCACATCGAGAAACGGAATGTTGTATACCCAGGTACGAAAGAGAAGAGTACAATGGTGGAAAAGAAGGTAAGAAGAGTTGCGTTGCGGGCCGTCAAGATGGATCAATGTAAATCCGTTCCCGAATAAGGCTGAGCACAGGCCAATCACAACACAATGGGACTAGCCGGCCTATTTATTGAACAGAGTCCGGATGCAGAAGAATCGTAAAGCATGGAAGCCATGTGTTCTGTTCAGACTCTAGATGTCTCGTATGTGGTACTCTCGAAATCTCCGGCCATTCAGCTCTCGCAGATACAATCATCGGCTATTCCGATCTTCTCAAAGAGACTGGTGTCTCTGGTTCTTTACGAACTGAAAACAACCAAATGATGCCCGTGCGTAAGCCCTCAACTGCTAGACCCAAAAGCTCAGGACGACATCTGCCTCAACCGCACCCGCCAGCCGCTCGGCGGTGGCGTGGTATGGACCTTCGAGCCCAGCGAGTGTCAAACCCCGGAGAACGTGTGCAGGGAACGTGTTCCAGAAGACATCCCAACGCCCCCCACGCTTCCCACAGATAACCGCCACCGAGGTCATCACGGCTGACAATATTTCTTCTCCCCCATGCAGAGCACGAAGGGAAAGCTTTTAATTTGTCCATGACCAGGTTGAGTCGCTTTACCGGCGTCTCCGAATTCACCCTCAAACTTTTCCACGTTTTTGTCCATACTCCATGCCTGCTCCACTCGAACGTTGACGAAGCCGACCTCATTCATCAGCCTTTCCATAGCGATTATATTGGTCCCATGTCTTTCCACTCCTCCCATTTTGGACTTAGCGTGGAAACTCTTCGCTTCTGGACCGTAGTCTTCGAAATCGGTCAGGGCCACCCATCCGTTGCTTTTCAAGCACCCTAGCATGGTGGTCAAGACTTTCTTCAGGTCTGGAATATGATGTAACACCAGATGAGAGGTGACCAGGTCAAACTTTAGCCGGCGCCCATTTGGGTCATTCTCGTCGCCTGGGGGCAGACTTTTGTCTTCGGGATCCTCCAACAGTACTGCCACTGGCGTGATGTTTTGTGGCGCATCGGCATGCTGCAGTTTTGACTTGAGCACATCAATCATACCGGGAGCAGCGTCGACAGCCACTATCCGTTTGGCGTAAGGTGCCATAATAGTTGAGAGTAGGCCTGTGCCGCAGCCGATCTCTAGGACATTATACCCGTCTTCTTCTCCCGGCGGGCGTCTGAGCGCAGGAAATTTGGCTAAAATGGCTTTTAATGCTTCTTTGCTGGCCTCATGGACGAAGGGATTGCTGTCCCATTTGGCCGCTTCATCGTTGAAGCGCTCATTGCCTGACGCGGCCTGCAGAGAGGATGCAGCAGTAGCCATTGGAAGAGTCCCTTGCGCTTTGCCCAGCTGTGGCTACCGCGGAAGGCAATTTATATGCACAAATTCCCGCAACAATGACGCTATTAAGTATTTGAAGATTCCTGCTTGGAAGACATACATCACCACACGGGAAGGCGAGAAGGTTATATATACTTGCTCGTCTGACAGAATTCAGATGGGCTTTTCTCAGGGAGCACAGTGCGTAATAGGTGGGAATGACTTGCCAAATCAGTCGTCAGACCACTGGGAATTCTAGCCTGCGGAGAACACGCCAAAGCCACTCGACGTGACCCTCGGCATGAAATTCCCCCCTTCTACGGAGTACCGTAAGGTACATTCAGCCACTGCGATGTCATCGTCAGAATCGAGGCTCAAGTCGACATGACGCTGTCCAGCCGTGACGATGATGCAGGAGGCATCACAGACAAGCACGACAGGTCAATGACAGCACTTTAATCGTTGCTTGCTCGTCCAACAGAAAAGCTGAGTGCGGAAATGAGCCCAGAATTCTCCCTGCAGGCGCCTCGGTGTATCACGCATTTGATCCGCACTCATCTTAACATTTCGGTGCCCCTCTGTGCCCTCCTCGTCCCGCCCGGTAGGTCGAACATAAATGGGAAGATGTTCAAGTACAGTAGGTCGAATAATTAAAAGCACGCTCTCTGAAACTCAGGTCCACCCTTCAGAAGGATCGTGATGTTTTCGCCGTGCTTTGTGGACATGGCTGGGCGCAGAGACTGCCTGCTCGTCAAGGCAGGTACCTCATCGAAGAACTTTTGTGGTGGTGGGAGCCACGGTACATCACATTGATTTCTCTACTCGTAGCTTTCCATCCCCTGCTCGGACACCCTGTTGACAGCAGGCGCAGCAGGCGGGGCAGGCTGATATGAGCCATCTGTGGAATCCATGCAAACTCATTCAGTGTACTGGAAAGAGCGGATGATCAACAGACTCGACCGTCTGGTGGAGACAGTGATGCCTATGCATAAGGGGGATGTGGAAGAAAGTTGGGGAAACCTCTCAGGTATGAAGTCTTCTCAAGCGCTTGGAAACGTGATGTATGACAGCCCAATTCAATGCATCGGATTTCAATCGTTCTTGTAACAGATGATCCAATATAACCAGCCTATGGGCCAAGTATGACAGGCCTGGCCACTTTGGAACTTCCAGCCGCTCAATTGCTCGCTCGACACACGTTTTCGTAACAGATCTTGAACTTCATCTGGGGTCCTCGTCCTCAGACAGGAGATGTATCCATCATAGACCCATATGAAAGGGACAATAGGGACAAGGTAGGTGAAAAAGAGGTGCCAAGGAGAATGCCAGAAGTAGATCGGAGTGATGATCATAGCTAAAGGCCATAGAAGGCTAATGGTGATGAAGGAGGTGAAGTTGCGTGATTGCAACTCGAAGATGCTGCATTGAAACTTAGGGAGCTGTGGCCTGCGAGGTCGGGGGCGACTTACCAGAACGCGTCGGACGTCTCGACTGTATTCTCAAGGACCTTCGCAGCCAGATCATCGTCAAAGTGGTGGAATGCCAGACTGAACAGCCTCATAACCTTCTTGTTTTTGACACCGGGTACATTCTCGAGCAGGGTCTCTGCGCCGGGCGCATTTGTGGCATCCACACTTTGAGCAATGTAATTCACGTTCTCACTCTTTTTAGCAACGGCTTCCCAGGCGCTGACATGCGGGTTGATGTCTGTGAGCACAAATTTCACTGGTTCCTTGCCTTCCTTGCGCAGCTGCTCATTCAAGTGTTTCTCGATATAGGGCGTAGGTCCGCCAGCACCAGAAGCAAAATCGAAGTAGACGTAGTCGGAGACTCGAGAACCGAGGATTGTGGACAGGACTCGGGAGACAAGAGCAGCGGGAGACGTGGACTGGATAATAGGCAGCCTATTGATCCAACCAAGCGTCAAATAGTCTTGCACCTTTTCTCGAAGCGTTTGTGGAAACCTAGGGAGTCAGTTCGTCTCGACACGGAGCCATGCTGGGACAGTGTAGCGTACCAGGCTTGGTCATTGACTTCGAAATAATGCCTTCTGGGGAGCCAAGGTTGTGATGCCATCGTATGGATCGTTGCACCACCAGCCCCTTCTTTGGGAGAGGAAGTTCAGAATATACAGTGTGCGGTCCATGGTAGCGACTTTTCTGTAACAAAATTTGGGGAAGTAAGTGTTCCAGGTCCAGCCTCGAAGACGTCATCTTTAGGTGCTAGTTAAGCGGACTGGCGGAAAAGGCTAACCGACATAGGGGCCACTAACTTAGGGCTAGTGAGGCTCACCAGGCTTCATTGCAGGGCCGACATCAGCTCCATCAGTACCGTCAGCTCTGCTGCGTCTCTGAACGTGGCTCACTCTCAATAATCAGGTTGTGAATTTGAGACACCAGCTATAACATGCCCTCAAGTTCAAAACACAGTACGATGTCCCTTCGCATTCGCGTCACGGTGCTGGAAAAACCCAGAAGGGATAGAAAAACCAGCACCAAGGGACAGAGGGAAGAACTACATCTAACTGAATGGGTAGAACACAAATAGAGGTGGCAGGAAACACATTCCCTCCACCAACATATGCCGGGCTGGTTAGCTGACCCAGCTGTGAAGGCCGTCGCCCAGGTTCTGGAGTACCAAGGGCGATGAGTGCCATTCAATAGTCATCCCCACGACTGAAAACTTCTTTGTGCGTCTCACGCAGGAGAAGAGTCTGAGTCCATTGTAAGCCACGGTACCGTATAGTTTTGTAGTATGCAACTGGACTTACATGTTCAAACTGCGCCGAGTACGATCCCTCAATGTCCATCAGAGGTTCGTAAGGCTCCACGATCCCGTTCGAGACCAGACAGTTCATCTGCCGTGTGTCAGTATGGACGGACTTCCCCAGTGCCAGAATCGTGATACTCACGCCGGCCAGATACCTCTCCAAACCAAGTCGGTCAAGATAACGACGGCAAAACACCAACGTGCCAAAATTCTCTCTGATCTTCTTGTGCAGGCGCCTGGCAGACGCTAGGGGTAAAGATACCGCCAGTGGCGAATCGTGATTCAGCCCGTAGCCGTAGATGCCAACCTGGTGCGCAGTTAGCACGTCGTGTTTGCATTGGAGAAAGAGAGCCCACATCGTCGCGCAAGTAGCCCCGCCCCGTTGTGCCGAATGTCTCGATGGCGAAGACCTCACCCTCCTCCATCTTGGTTTGGTCTGAGTTCTTCACAAACGGTATGGACTTCCCGCCGTGTATGCGGTAGTGCTCGATATTATGCGCAGTGATATTCCGCACTGGCTTGACGGGAAAGGTCTTGCCACGGATTTCAACCTCGTAGCTCTCCATCGCTTCTTGAATGGTAGCGCTAACATCACACACACGCACGTCGATCCCAGCGGCCTATCACAGTCATTAGCCATTTCCGTAGCCCTGGGTATCATGTTGGAAGCTCCTCACCTTGACCCCTGTGTTAGTGGCATCCTTGACTGCAGCTAGAAGGTTGTCGTAGGTGGGGTCAAAAGCCATAGTGAACGCGCTGTCGACAATCCAGCCGTTGATATGGACACCAAAATCAACTTTCATCACGTCCTGTTGCTGCAGCACGACATCTTTCTGGCCTGGGTTGGGTGTGTAGTGTGCCACTTGATGATTGAGGCAGAGACCGGTGGGAAAGCCCATGCCAGCCTTGAGGCTATCTCCAGGCTCCAGTCCGGCATGACCCAGAAGCGCCCTCACACTATCCTCAATTCCTTCGGCGATATCCAAGAGAGTCTGGCCGGGCTTGACGGTTTCCTGTACCCATCGTCGAGCTTGGCGGTGCACCTCCGCCGCTTTGCGATAGTTTTGGAGGAATGCGTTGTCTTCAGAGCGCCGACGAGCGTCATAGCGTGCTTCGGCAGCTACTGTCCGTGCCCTAGTGTAACTTTGCACTTCTCCCTCGGGATAGTCGCCGGACGGGAAGAGGTCGCTCAACAAGATTCTTGGTGGCGACGATTGCTTTGCAGGCAGAGGCGCCGTTCTTTTCTTTCTCTTCCTGGGCTTCTTCCTCTTCTTCCGTGCATCTACAACCTCGGTTGATAAGGGAGCCTCTGGCGGTACCAGGCTCATGTTCCCATCATCGCCGTCACTCCCGTCATCGCCGCCCCCGTCTCCCAAACAGCCATCTCCGTCTCGAGACGTGTGCGAACCCCGAGGCTCGCCGCCCAGACGACAGGCCCCACCTGAGTTGGACGAGTCGCCTTGATGAAATCAGCATACGTATCTGGATTATGAAATTGAAGGTGAGTCACTTTACCATAATTTCTGCGTCCCTCGTGTTCCGGACTTCTAGATCCCATCCTGACATGGATAATTCAGGAATTTCGAAATTTGAAGCCGTATCGATGACTGACTACTGGGCTCTCAAAAAGTCTTCGGATCGAAGTGGTTGTACCATCACATCGGTAGAGGGCGGTGGTGGCCTCTCACGCCTTATGTAGTGAACACCCCACTCATCGGACTAGGCAAGTGTACCGAGTGTGCACCGACTTTACTCCTGGCATGTTCCTGGATATTCAACCGACCAACTCTCCCTTGACAGTGTTTGTTGTGCAGGCCACTTTTTCATCACACCTATTGTTTCCAGGTCCTTGATACCCGCCAACTGTAACTGGCGATCAGTCCTCGCCTTCTCTCGAGAAGGTAGCTCTACGTTAGCCCGCCGACAGGGATGGCCGAGTCACAAGGGTCTGATGATGTTGTATAATCTGGGCTTCCTTATCCATATCATCATCGAGATTCCGGCGTCTATAAACTTCTTCTGCTTTCCTAGTAGACAACTCGGCATACACACTCCTCAAGCCCATGCGGTCATTCGACAATATGCGGTGCTGTTGCTGGTCTCTGTCCTCCTGGCCACGGTGTTTGTTGCCCGACCTCTCGATAACACGGCTGGCAAAGTTGCAGGTGCTCTAGCATTGTACCATATCGCTCCCTTCGTACGATCAGCGGTCAGATTGCACCGACAAACACAAGCAAGGGCTCCAATCATCTACTCGGAGGCATTTCTCTATGTATTCGTGCATTCGATATGCTTTGCAGCACTCCTCCATCATTGCTGGACTGCTTTATACCAGAAGGATCGCCGGAATGCATCAGGCACCCTCCTCCAATAACCTCAATCGACATCTTCTGCAACGAGGGTCTCGGTTAGACTCTCCGCCGGGCTGACCGTTCCTGGATCGGGACGTGGCGCACTGCGCTTGAGTACCATCATCTCGACAGCTATGCCGGGACCGAACGCACACCCGACTATATGATCAGTGGTTTCACCCTTCAAAAGCCGATCCATAACACTGAATATGGTGGCACTTGAACTATTACCGTGAGTAATGTATGTCTCATAGCTCGCTCGAAGATGCTCCGGAGTCAAGTGCATGGCTCTCTCGACCCCAGTGATGACAGTCGAGCCACCCGGATGGAGTGCCCAGTCGTAGTCTGAGGCTTTAAACTTTCCTAGGTCTACCAGCTCGGGTACCGACCCCACCAAATCCTCGAACATGGAAGGTACGGCTGCCGACGCAAGCTTGGGCACTCGCTGGGTGAGGACGACCTTCCAACCTGTACCGATGTCAGTTCCAGTTGAGTACAGCTTAGTCACGACTTACCGAGTGGGTCGACGTCAAAACCGAGATCTTTTTCGGTGTCTTCGATAATTCTGTGGTCCCACCCCAAAAGCTCCAGTAACGGCTCTTCATCATAACGATCACTGAAACCGTTCCCAAGCACCACTGCCGATGCGCAATCACTGAACAGAGTGACGCCTATCCTGACCTCTTGATTCTTGTGGATCGAGTCCAGCTCGGATCGAACGAGGATACTAGAGATCTCGCAGGCAAAGACCAGAATGCGAGCAGGTTTTCGTCGGAAGCTGGAACCAAGAGCAATGTTGGCGGCGGTCCTCAGCGCTGCTAGTCCGCCGCTGCAACCCACACCGTGCAGCAGCACCTTTTCAATGCTCTGGTTGAGACCGAGTTGTTTAACAACATAGTGGTCGTAGCCCGGATTGGCAGAATTGGTGCAGGTGGTGGCAACAACATGTGTGATCTCGGACAGATCACCTCCCCATTGCTCCAAAGCCTTGCGGCATGCTTCGACGGACAGCTTTACGCCGTAGTCGAGGAACAGATCGCACAACTCGGCTATTGTTGGGGGTTCCGCTCCATTAGCGACAGGATGATCAATATTTCCAATGGCCGAACGAGCGTCGATGCCCGTGTACTCATTGATCGTCAGCACTTTGTCAAGTCTGGAGAGAGACGTCTGTTAGAAAAGTCTCGGTGAAATGCTGGTCAATGCTTACGCTGGAGAACTGGGATAGTGGCGCCTTGCGAGAGTGGCCAAATGTTCGGATTTGATTTCGTAAGGAGGGTATTCGACTCCAATGCCGTGAATATGTAGATTCGGTCTCTGGTATGGTGGAGTGACCTTGCTGTGGACTGCAGAGGGCGACATTGCTGTCGCTGGTTTGCGCCCAGAGACTTGGTTTCTTGCCCAACCAACACTCAACCGAGGCCCAACAATTTTAGCAAAGTGATGACGTTGAAACTTGGCTATCGCATTGCTTGAAACGCGACTGAAACCGAGGTGTAAGACAGCAACGAGAGTCTTCTGAAATGAGCGACAATAACGAAAGCTACCAGAAGTCTGGACCAAGCAGTTGAGGCACGCAAGGTTGACTTTGGCAAGATACGAGAGAAGGTGATGGTCGGAAGATGCATGGGATGAAAGATGCGAGTCTTGGAATGTCTGTCATTGATCGAATGTCATTGATCGCGTGCATTACGTTTCGCGGGTCATTTCAACTTCACTCCCGGAGAGCATGAAATTTCCGAGCCAATAGACTCGGACCGCTCAGAGGCCTCGGCGCAGTTGCTGTTTTTGGTAGTCACGTGACTTTTGAGGTCTGTCGTTGCAAGCAGTAGCTGAGAATGAACTTCTTCGCAACCTCCCGTGTATCTCGGACATTGATGTTTCTACTCATATACCTAGGCTGCGTTGTTATAGACCAAAGCAAAACCCTTCCAGCCTTCGAGCGTCTCCCCGCATTGTCTTTCGTACCTTTCAATCCCGCCAGGATGAGTCAAGATCTGAGCTTTCCGGCCCGGTAAGTTCGGTTTATTCCACCAACTGTTCGTGAAGGGATACAAGGTCGGCTTGTTCAGGTCCTCGATCAGGGTACTCCATTCCTCCTCCGCCTCCCTGGTTGGCTCGATTGAGCACACTCCCTCTTTCTCTAACTTCGCAATCGTCGAGACAACCCAGTCACTCTGTGCTTCGATCATGGTTGTGCCATTCGAGAGAGCTGTAGGGGCTATTACAGTTGTGTCAATCTTTTGGGCCGCAACGCAGGTCGAGTGAGGATGTCTTACCTTGAGGCGAATACACCATGAATGTGTTGGGAAATCCATGAAATGTCGTTCCCAAATATGTTCGGATACCGTCCTGCCATACGTGCCTGATATCTTGGCCGTCTCGGTTTCGAAGACCCATTTTGAATAACCTGGAAGGGAAGAATTGGACCAATCTGCTCCAAGATGCAAAATCGACAGACAGAACCCACGAGCCGGAAAATGAATCGAACCCCGTGGCCAGGACAACGGCGTCAACGTCCATCTGCGTATCTAGCAGGACTCCCATCTCATTGAAGGTTTTGATGGGTGTGTCGATGAAGTTGACAATGTCAACGCTATCCCGGTCCAGCATTTATAATAGTCCTGCTCTAGTGGGCATCGTTTTGTTCCAAAGTAATAAGGCGGATCCTTCGGGACCATCAATGCCCTTTTCCTGTCATTCTTAAGCCGTGGCGCCGTCTGTTTCACCCAGAAGTCATAGACAATCCTGTTCGATTCCTTGTTCACCATGATGTCGCTGTAGTTGAACATGTTGTAATTGAACGATCCTCGCCTCCAGAGATCCAGGAAGAATTCCTCCCTCTCGTCGGGTGGAACATCGATAGCTCGGTAGGGTGATTGACGACCAGGGAACCCGGTCGCGCTTCTCCTACCTTCGCAGAAGAGCGCGTCGAAGTATATTTTCCATCCGCTTTGTTCGACGTCGTCGAGTGGCCTTTGTCTCATGGGTAGACATATGCTTGGCCTTTGCATGAACACGGTCAAATGTTGGACTTCTTGGGCCAATTCCTGCACCACCTGAACGGCTGTTGCACCTGCTCCAATGACGGCGACCTTGTTCTCTTGCAGGTTGATCTGCTGAGGGTAGTCTGCTGTATGATAAAGTGCACCTTTGTAGCTCTGAAGGCCAGGGAAATCCGGCTTGAACGCACGATGAAGCCAGCCACTGCATAGAACAAGATACTTCGATCTGGCTTCGTGTCCTTGCCGTGTCTTCGTAGTCCAGCTGCCATCCCACTGAACATCCACAACATGGGCCTGGAAAGTAACGTCTTTCCGCAGGTTCAGCACATTGTCGACATGAGCGAAGTAACGGCGCAGTTCGGCAAATCCAGGAAACTTCTCACTCCATGTCCAATCTTTGTAGACTTCTAGAATATTCAACTGGTAGTATGGCCATTCTGAATCGACACGCGCCCCCGGATACTGACTCCAATGCCAGACTCCTCCGAAATCATCGCCAGACTCGAAGATTCTGACGCTCAACCCCAACTTGCGCAAGCGATAAAGCATGGCAATGCCGCTGAAGCCGGCTCCCACAATGACGACATCGTAAGTGGGTGGTGTGTCGGTGCCATTCATGGTGAATCGAAGTGTAAGCCTTACTACGAGGGAGTTTGTCGGAGTTGAACACTCACACTCCAGAGTAAAGCGATCTCAGTGCGGCGCAGTACTGGCAAAACAACACGGTCTTATCATCGTTGAGGCCTTACCCTCGAATTTTATACCCGATGTTAGCTACTAACAGCATGGCTCGAAACACATTTCCCATACTGCTGCGAGAGCTGTTCCTCCAAACGGGCCCCCCTTGACAAACCTTTCACGGAGCCACTGTTTTTTCTTCCAAAGCATCGACTCACTCGCAAATAATCACCCCAATGAGCAATATCTTGTAACGATATATGGAAAGCATTCATTGAAGGTTCGAGTGCGTACATAATGCCAAATGCAGACATGAGGTATCTGCTATGATAAGCGAACTGAAGTCTGAACGTGGACCTTGCCTGGCATATGACAGCTTCGTCTTCGGGGGAGACTCTCCGTAAGAGGTAATCGAACTCGAAACGGATTCTTCCCAGAAGCGACCACTTCCAACCTTCTGCCACTCCGGATACGCTTGGAGGATACTAAGGAAAAGCGTGAAAAAGTCTGTGAATTTATTGGCGATGAACCCAACAAGAATGCATCAGTGACGCAAAGGACTTACTCAAGGCAAGGTCTCTTGAATACTAGTTCTGAACTCTGGGTCTAATGGCCATTTTATGTACACTACACTAAGAAGCATTCAATCCACCCTGCGGCATTGCCAACCACTTCCTCGCTCCAAGAGCGTCAGACTCGCCCCAAGACACCAGCCAATCTCGTTGCCCCTAATCTGGCTGGCGATCTTAACACGTCGACTCATTGGCATCTCATAGCCCTTGTGGAGCAACGATTCCATGAAGGTCAAATCTAGACACCATTCCGGCATCTCTTTCAGACTCTGCAACGCCCCTTTAACATGCCCGAATGCAGACGCCCATGTCCTTTCACCAGCGCAGACTTTGGAAGCGAGCTCATGGAGCTCATTTAGCGTGAACGAATCCGGCATTCCTAGCTTGTGCGTGCGATCGTAAAAGTAGGAGAACAGATACACGTCTTCCGAGAGCGTTTCCTCAAGAGAAGGCTGATACACGCCGTTGATTGAGCATGGTGATATCGAACACGGCTTGTCTTTGTTGAGGATTGCTTCGGTTAATGTTCGACATTGTGCAGGATCAGCCTCGACGGGTCCTCGCATTATGACCTCGTGTTCGCCCATGAGAGGGTGGTCGGACGGCATCTCCACGGTGATTTTGACCCGATTACCAGGTGGTATACAGGGATTTTCCACGGGCCGTGACAACCACGATTTCAAGGAGGCATTCTGCTTATAGCTTCGGTCGAGCACTAGTCGATGTAGTGCTGCTCGTGCAGACATCAGGCCGTAGCCCAGATGAGAGTGCTGGTAGAGCTGAAATCTTTTGCCCTGAAAATTTAACTCATATGCGGAAGCGCTTCCTTTGTGACGAACTTCAAGTTCATCAAGTACTGGTTGGAAGGCAATCTTGTGTCGAGCCGCCACCTAAGTCGAAGATTGCAGCAGTAGGAGTCTCGTCCCCTCCGTCGATTTTCCCGAGGAGGTAGTTGGTGGTTATCCAAGCAAAGACACCTTCATCCTCGCCTTTCATGATTTCGACGCCCCAAACCTTTCGATTTAAATATCGTCAAGCCCGATGTCCTTTACCAAAAGGTTGTGGAGGTTGAGGAACGGGTAACTATCGAAAGTTACCGGCAGAGTCCTACGCTCGACGAGGACAATGTTAGGATCGCGGAGGCCGCCAACAGCGACTCTAGTCTTTTCCAAGGCATAAGTGGTCACATATTACGTGTTTTAAAGCCATTGAACACAGAGAGGCTTAGATCAGACTTACAAAACCTCTACGATGAAGGATTCCACAATATCTGTGTCTGTTTGGCTCATTCGTACACTTTCCAAGGTGAGTCTTTCTCAATCTTTCTTTTTGTCTGGATGACTGATCTTCTAGACCACGAGCTGGCGGTACAAAAGATCGCTGAGGAGATTGGCTTTTCGAGCATCACACTTTCCTGCCTTACGCTACCCATGATCAAGATGCTGTCGCGAGGAATGTCCGCTACTGCCGATGCTTACTTAACTCCCATCGTTCAAAAGTATATCCAAGGCTTTCAGAAGGGGTTCTCAGATCGCTTACAGTCCACCAATACGCACTGTGAGTTTATGCAAAGCCATGGTGGCTTAGTAGACGTCAGAAAGTGAGTCCCAGCTCTTTCTATCAAAGGCAAGTCATCTGACTCAATGCAGGTTCTCTGGTCTTCGTGCTGTCCTCTCGGGACCTGCTGGCGGTGTAGTCGGCTATGCTCGGACTGCTCACGACCCAGAGGACAAGACTCCTGTCATTGGCTTCGATATGGGCGGAACCAGCACGGATGTTTCCAGATTCGACGGCTCCTTCGAACATACCTTTGAGAACATGACTGCAGGTATCTCAATCATGGCACCGCAGCTGGACATCAACACCGTGGCGGCTGGTGGTGGTAGTAAGCTCTTCTGGAGGCATGGTCTCTTCGCGGTCGGTCCCGATTCAGCTGGCGCCCATCCTGGCCCAGCCTGCTATAGGAAAGGAGGCCCGCTCACAATTAGCGATGCCAACGCGTTCACTGGTAGCCTGTTGCCCGACTATTTCCCAAAAATCTTTGGGAAAGGTGAGGATGAGCCTCTCAACATCGAGGTCACCAAGGTTATGTTTACTGAGCTTGCTGAGCAAATCTCGCGAGAAACGGGACAAAGCAAGAGTCCTGAAGAAGTTGCGATTGGTTTCATCGACGTAGCCAATGAAAGCATGGCCAAACCAATTAGGGCTTTAACGGAAGCTCGAGGATTCGATACTGCTCAACACACCTTGGCCTGTTTTGGTGGTGCAGGAGGTCAGCACGCATGCGCTATTGCTGCGTCGCTTTCCATACGAAGGGTGATCATTCACCGATACTCATCGATCCTATCTGCCTATGGCATGGCACTCGCCGATGTCGTACATGAAGTGCAGAGACCGGCTTCCGGGGGTTTCACCACCGTGGCATCTATCCAGGCGATCATCGATGACATGAGGGCCGAAGTTGAGAAAGAACTGATCGTGGATGGTATCGCAAAGAACCGCATCCATTGTGAGGTCTATCTCAACCTCCGATACAAAGTCACAGACAACAGTCTCATGATCCTAGAGCCTGCAGACAAAGACTTCCTAGCCGAGTTCACTCGTCAGCATCAGAGAGAATATTCCTTCACTTTCCCCGAGAAAGACGTCCTGATGGATGACATCCGGGTCAGAGGCATTGGCTACTCGATGGAGCAAAACATCGAATCCCCATACCCAGAACTCCACTCACTTCAGAAATTCGATGCGACGCCCAGCGATTCCATCGCAAAATCGGATTTGTACTTTGCGCACCACGGGTGGGTTTCATCGCCGATTTATCTGCTCCAGAACCTGAAACCTGGTTGTATGGTCCAAGGACCGGCCACGATCATTGACAAGACGCAAACCCGCATCGTCGAGCCACTAGTCAGAGCAACCATTCTCGGCAGCCATGTCGTCCTGGACCTGCCGGCAAAGACCACGACCACGCTGTCCAAAACTACCATCGACCCCATCAAATTGTCCATCTCCGGACACCGCTTCATGTCGATCGCCGAGCAGATGGGTCGGACCTTCCAGAAAACAGCCGTGTCGACAAATATCAAGGAGCGTCTGGATTTTTCTTGCGCAATGTTCTCGCCTGATGGCTCTCTAGTAGCCAATGCTCCTCATGTGCCGGTGCACTTGGGTTCAATGGAGTAGGCAGTCAAGTTCCAGGCCGAGAAGCACCGAGGAACTCTCAAGCCTGGAGATGTACTCTGCAGCAACCATCCACTGGCTGGTGGCGTTCATCTTCCAGACATAACAATCATCACCCCAGTATTCGATGCAGAGGGACAGAACATCATATTCTGGGTTGCCTCCCGAGGACATCATTCTGATGTCGGCGGAATCAGTCCTGGTTCTATGCCGTCAAATAGCAAATTCCTGTATGAAGAAGGCGCCGCCATCATCAGCTTGAAAATTGTCAGTGGTGGTGTCTTCGACGAGGAGGGATGTCGTCGCTACTTGTACGACGAGCCTTCCCAGTTCAAAGGCTGCAGTGGATCGCGTAACTACAGAGACAACTTGTCGGACCTGAGGGCGGCAATCGCCGCAAACAAGAAGGGTGCCAATTTGATCGATGCTCTCGTTAGAGAGTTTTCCATCCCCATTGTCCACCTTTACATGGACGCCATTGGCGAGAATGCTGAAATTGCAGTCCGCTCCTTTTTCCGTCGCGTGGCCAAGGAGCGCAATGGAAAACCCTTGTCCTTCGAAGATTACATGGACGATGGCTCAGTCATCAGATTGGAGATCGGTATCGACTCGGAGAGTGGAAGTGCGGATTTCGATTTCACCGGAACCTCGCAGGAGACGATGAACTGCCTGAATGCGCCCAAAGCCATCACTTATTCTTGCGTCATCTACTCTCTTCGCTGTCTTATCAACCTGGACATTCCTTTGAACCAAGGGTGCTTGGCCCCCACGCAGATCATTATTCCTGAGCACACGATTCTGAACCCATCTAGACATGCCGCTGTGTGCGCAGGGAATAGTATCACCAGCCAGCGTATCACCGATGTGATTCTGGGAGCTTTCCATGCCATCGCGGCAGGCCAAGGCTGTGTGAATGTGTTTAGTTTTGGTTTCGGGGGCACCGACGACACTGGCAGGGAGGTCCCTGGCTTCGGCTACATCGAAACCATAGCCGGAGGCTCTGGGGCAGGACCCTCCTGGCATGGCACGTCCGGCGTCCACGTCAACTCCACGAACACACAATGCGCTGACCCTGAAGTGTACGAGCTTCGTTATCCTGTCATCCTGCGCCGATGGACACTTCGAGAAGGTTCGGCCGGTCAAGGCAAGTTTCGTGGAGGGCAAGGCTGTATCCGCGATGTCGAGTTCCGCATTCCCCTGCACGTTTCCATGCTCAGCGAGCGTCGAGTCATCCGCCCATACGGAATGGCCGGTGGTGGACCTGGCGGCGCCGAGGTTAATTTGTATGTGAAGAAAGAGACCAATGAGACTGAGAGAGTCATCAATATCGGTGGAAAGATGGAGTTGAACGTTTCTCCAGGAGAGCGTTTGATCATCAACACGTGAGTGTTCCCGCGCCCCTGGCCAATTTGACCAGGCTGTCTCCTTCCAGACTGTCTGCGACGCCTTCCCCACGTGAGAATGCTGCTAACAGATTTGTGAACAGACCTGGTGGTGGTGCATGGGGTGCTCTTGACCAAGACAACGTCAATGAGGCCATCAATGGCGTTTCATATACGACTTCGGCTAACGGGAACCACTTTGAACCTCGAGGAAGTGTGCACAACTGGAGATTGATTGCGGAGGGGGTATAGCCTCGGCCTTTGGCAGAGATAGGATGCCCAGAGCCTGGCAGTACATTCACAACTGCCGGTCTCCGGCGCGTGTTGGAAGACGGGAAATCCAAAGATGGACTCTGTAACAATGTACGCGACGTTAGAGATGACAGTGCAAACAATACCTAGGTAGGTATTATGCCCAAGACATGCAAGTACTCCGAGTAGTAGGATTGTAGGAAGCAGCAAGGCCGAGACGTCGAAGCAAGGCGCATGATGGCGCCCAGAAAGGCCAACCCTCCTGGATCTCATACCTACTTAGTAGGTAGGTTACCCGACAGTATCTCGTACATTCTTCGTACAACCCCTTCTTGGGCGTTTGGCCGCTTTACCAGTGTCCCACGCAAGACGGCAAGACGGAAACTATTGGATTAGTTACTGTAATGTAATTGGGCGCGATAAGATACGCGAGCCAGTCTCGTTCGTTAGTACCTAGAGATGACCATGGTCCGCACCCAGTCCGCAAGTACTACATACCTTAGCACTCTTAGGTACCTTTAGACTGCCATGGCTGGCTACCCTCGGTGCTTTGTCTAGGTACTGAGGTGCAGTCTCTCTTATCGCAGTTGTCGCATCGCCCGACCTCAGTCCGATTTGATGCATCTGTCACGTCTACACCACTAACCCCTGTCCAAAAGTGCTTCCAACTACATGGAGGCCGTTCTGTCGTAGAGTACAATGTCAAGGACGCCACAACGAAGGGCCAGTCCAGTGCCTCCCAACCCAACCGTCACGCGCCGCGCACTCGAAGCGGCTGCTGGACTTGCCGTGGCCGAAGTGTGAAATGTGATGGTACAGTGCCTCTGCCCCAGAAACCGATCCCCGAGCTGATATCGATGTTGTGCAAAAGAGACCCGCCCTGTCTGCCGCAAGTGTGTAAAGGCGGGCTACGACCGCCAGTATGGTATCCGTCTTCAGTGGCAGGACGAGTCAGAGTCGCGCGGTGTATGCCATGGGCGCCAAAAGCGCAAGCCCAAACTTGTTCCTGAGCCTGGGCAATGTCGACAAGCGGTCAACCCGAAGACTCGATGGGGATGTTCCAGCGTCGGTCGTTTTCAGACGTATTTCATCAATACGACGGTCAGAGATGTCGAAGTGTACTGGAAGAATCAAATTTCACATACCCAATCCCCCGGGGAACGGTGTCAGCCTGGTATCGAGAAGGCTTCCCTACTAGAAGAGGAGGACTTGGAATATCCGTGCACGGTGGGAGCGATGCTGACGATGATCTGGATGGTGTGGTCTCTTACGGAGCGCAACCGCACATCTCTGAATCGCCACTCCTGTCGATTGCGCCGTTCGGTACTATCGCGTCACTGGACCAGATCGATGGCTACATCCTGCGTTACTACGACCGCGTGGTCTGCTCCAATGCATCTTTGCTCGACGACCCGGCCAATAACCCGGCGCGCTATGTATTCCTACCGCTTGCATCTTCTTCTCCCACCATCCTTCGGGCCATCCTTGCTGTCGGTGTGGGAAAGCTGGCCCACCGGGAACCACGTTAGCGCTATAGGGCACTGGCACACCGTCTGCAAGTTCTCACGGACTTGAGGGAATCAATGCACAGAGTTTACTATGACCTCACAAGTTGCATCGAGGCAATGGTGTCGGTATTGATGCTGTGCTGGAACGATGTAAGCCCCTCATTCATCCAGAGTCCCTACCTTGCCGTTCGTCAGAGACAAGGTGCTAAAGCAGGCTTTGACAGATCAGCAGCTTGTGCCGCCCATCCTGGACACAACATCTTGCTGGACTTTCTGGACTTCTAGAAATATGCATCAAACAAGGGTACTGGTCGCGCTATGACGAAAAGCTTTTCAAATATTGCCGCCAATATCTCATCTACCATCTGGTCATGGCCAAGGCAACCTTCCCTACCGAGTACACTCTCCCTGACATCAAGTCTACTTTGACGAGACTATCAGATTGGGCTGGCGACGCTGGCAACACCGTACCATACCGGCCAGAAAAAGCCTTGAACGAAGATCTCGAAGCTATTGCATTGACCTCCGAGGCGCCAATATAAGACCAGGAGCTGCTACGTGGTAGGGATCCGACAACTTCGCTTGGGGAACAATATTGCGTAGAGACTCACCAGGGTTTCAGCAATGCACTGCTTTTCCTGATTAATGATATCTGCGACTTCAATTCTCGAGCTGGCTCCCCCGAGCGCAACGAGAAATTGCTGGTCGCCGAGATGGTCCGGATTGAACAAAGCCTGATTCAACTCAAACAACCGCCACCCCTTTCATTTGATCAAGCCATGGCTGCCACCAGCATTCCTGGCGTATCCGAGTTCCCCGACATTTCATCTTCAGAGCAACAACTGCTGCTGATCACGGCACATGCAGAGGCCAACAGATCAGCAGCTATTCTGCTGTTGCACGAAACCTGCCTTCTACGTCTTGCAAAGTTTCACCCTAAACTGCAATCCAGTCGATCGGAACTCGTGGAAGACATACTCTCGTTCGCGGAAATGATCTGCAGTATTGGCATCATCACAGCCGCGCTCCCTATCTGGGCTGTCTTTGTGGCTGGGTGTGTAGTGAATGAGGCCGATCAGAGACAACGCGTTCTGAAGATTTTGGATGATTTCCAGTCCTCCAAACGCTACGGTGTAAGTACTTTCTGTGCTTCATTTTATGTTATCCCTCTTATCTGATTCCTTCGCTGAACAATTCAGAGTATCCCTCCCGCCTGCGACATCTTGGAAGTGGTTTGGCGACAGAACGATGTCAAGGCCGACGAAAATCCACGAAAAGCGCGGCCAACCACTTCTATGCAACAGGCTCCAACGAGAAACCGCCGGTCCCATAACTTCGACATCCTTGAAGACGACCGACCTCTGGGAAAGAAGTCTTATGTCAACCTCAAGCAAATGCAATTTTCCTGGGAATCCGCAATGGCCATGGTTGAAGGGCTCAGGTTAAGCTTGACCTGAATTCAATATAAGTCGACACTATCAGAGAACTGCCAGGCGGACATGATCTGCACACACGGCTCACCTGATGGATCTCGGCTTGGACACCGACTCCGCATTACTACCATTAGTTGGTGAAGAGATCTCTAGATTGTTGCCGCGAGGGCGACAATTTAATACGGCAGCCTTGACTACGTGTTCTCCGATTGATTCTACGCAGAAAGACTACTGCTTATATGACTGGGGAAACAAGGAAATGAACAGATTCGACTCTTTTTCACAGCCTCGCGAGTTCCAAATTCCTTGCCGGGCGAAGAACTGCTAGTATGCCAAATGACCCACGTAAGATACTACACTAATCGAGATCTTCCGTACATCAGCCAAGACAGCTGCAAAGTAAAAGGTACCTAGGTAGATAAGTGATAATCTAGCTAGCCTGTGTGGAAATAATCGTAATGTTGGGCTCTTATTCAGTGGTGGTGCGATCCCAAATCTGAATGAACAAAATGTAGCCTCCATTTCGTTCCTTGACTAGAGCAAGGGACAGTGAAGCTCCACCAACCCACAAAAGCAGCCGGCAACAGGCCCTAGTCAAGTGCTGAAGAGCCTCACCAGCCCTGTGATCATTGCCTACCAGGTAGTGAGCCCCCAGCCCTGCCTTTAAGTTACCTTAGTCAGGAACAAATGCTCTCCTTGTGGCTCACGAGTCGCTTATGTCTTCACCTTTTTGCAACGGATTTTGAAACACTCTGTTTCAACGTCTTGATATTATTGCCTGGACGCATCGCGAAGGTTCAAATCGCCACCGGAAGAAGATAGGAACATCCATGCTACGTCAATCGGGCATGGCGGCTGAGAGAGGTCTTCAACTGTCGTCTTGATTCAAGTGTTTATTTTCGAAGTCAGGCCTTTAGGGGCCATAATGATCTGGACCAGCCTTGCTGTCCTAGTACTTTGTACAATCGGATTCCTCTACAGTCTCGCAAAGAGACCCAAGATCCATCGCAATGGCCATAAGTTGAGGTAAGACGACCTTGTCGTTCCAGGTCCCCAAGCCATCTATGTTAGATACCCGCTTTAACAATCTTCAGACACCCACCAGACACGCTCCCACTGCTAGGGAATGCCATCCACTTCCTGAAACCTCGTCATGTCCTGTTCGACTGGTTCGTTAAATGCCAACACATTTTTGGCAATGAAACCTTCGAGATCTCTGTGCCCACACTCCCGCCTGGCGTGGTCATCAACAGTCCTGAGAACCTGGAATTCGTATTGAAAAACGAGTCAGCCATCACCAAGGGCGAATTTTTTAAACAACGGTCATGGGATCTATTCGGTACTCAAAGCGATAATAGTAGTCGACCGGTATTGAGCTCCTGACTGACCCTCCGCACAGGACACGGCATCATCAATGCCACCGGTGACTTGTGGCGAGCCCAGCGCAAAGCCGGTCTGAAGTTCTTCAGCGGCGCCAACCTTGACACCCTAGTTGAGGAAGTCTTGCCAGAAGTCTACGAAGCCACAACGAAGAAGGACCTTCTCCAAGCAGCGCAGGATGGCTCTGTCATTGACCTTCAAAAGGTCTTCCTCGACTTGACTACCACAATCGTTGGACAGATGGCGTATGACGTGAGCCTCCCTTCTCTTCCCTTCTCTCCAGCCCTCTTAGTCCAATGGTGCCTACATACTGACACTCCTCTCGCTCCCTTCAGATGGAAATCTCTGCCTCGTCTCCCTTCAGCAAGGCATTCGACCACGCCTCCTCGCACGTGGGTCTGCGCTTCCAAAACCCACTCTACCGACTCACCGAGCTGTTCACGGGCGACGACTTTCGCTCCTCCCTGACCGAAGTCAAGCGCTTTGGCCGGCAAATCGTCGCCAATGCACGAAAACGCCGCTCCCGCGCCGCCTTCGAAAGCCTTATTAATGATGAGTCCCTCTCCGACGCATCCGCACCCGGCTATGGCACGTTAATCGACTCTCTCATCGAAGCCTTCGCAGACCCGCAAATCGTCGCGGACGCTGCGCTGAATTTCCTGTCCGCCGGCCGCGATACCACTGCGCAGTCGTTTACTTGGACATTCTACGCTCTCCTCCGGCATCCGGATGCACTCAACGACGTCAGAGACGAGATCAATGCGAACCTGAAGGATCTGGAGAGTCTTTACATCTCGCAGTTGCAACCGACAAGTCTCCCGCTCACGCTCGCAACGTTCTACGAGGCGTTGCGCCTCTATCCGCCTGTTCCGTTCGAGATCAAGCAGACTAACCAGCCTGTTACACTGCCGGATGGGACGTTTTTGCCCGCATCCGCGGTCGTGGTATGGTGCATTTACGCGTTCAATCGTTCGAGGGACATGTTTGGGGACGATGCGCATTTATTCAGACCGCGGCGATGGCTTGATGAAGGGGGGAAACTTGTGGGCAAGTCGCCATTCGAGTTTCCTGTATTTAATGGTGGGCCGAGGGCGTGTTTGGGCAAGAAGATGGCTGAGGTCATGGGCGTATGGGTTATGGTTAGATTTTGTAGCGAGTGGGAGTTCGAAGAAGTCACAGACGGCATGGTAAAAGTGAGCGAGGACGGTAGGAGCGTGATGGACGAGCGTGTAAGCGCGAACAGTCTTACGCTGCCGATGGAAGGGGGCTTGCCCTGTAGGGTCAAGGTGAGACATAGGAATGCCGTGTAGGCTGGCCTAAAATCAAGCAAGTCTGCAAAAACATACAAGTGTACAGGTGTTTCGATGTGATCTGAGCTTGTCTGCTCCTCAGGACTCCGTGTTGAGCTAGGCTTCTCAATGAAAATATGCACGCATTAACGCTAGTATGATATATAAGACTCAATTTCGGTGCAAGGATCATACCTCGTCATCATCAGTAGCGACGCTCGTATACGCCATTCCACCTGCTCCTCTCCTAAGCCTCAATGGTACTTCATACAGATGTGCATAATCCACGACTTCGCCGCCAAGATAGCCCTCGCCGTTCTTCCTCTTGCCGAACACAGGCGCCGGGTCACACCAGAAGTCCTTGCAATTCCCGATGATGCCGCGACTGAATGGGTTGGAATTGCGAGACTGCAACTTGCCATGCGATGCGTCTGATGCGGTGGCCAAGAACGCATCGAGACCTAGGAGTTTCTTCCACCTCGTAAGACAGCCATCTGGCCGTCGAGGCACGGGGTCAACGCGCGTTGACGCTGCTGCAGTGTCGTTCAATGAGGATGTAGCTGTGGACGCGCCCTGCGTAATTGATCGCGCATGCTGCGGCAGAAGAGGTCGGCTGTCGTGAGAATATTCGTGCCGCTTCATATTCTCGTAGGTTGTCTGGTTCTTCGAGATCTGTACAGTCTGCACGACGATCAACATCGTAACCCAAACGAGTTGGAGGACGGCCCAGAACGTTAGAGCGACAGTCCATGGGTCGCGCAGCACAAAGGTGCAGAGAGAGGGTCCCAGGATATGGCATTTCAAAATGGCGTCCTCAGACGGGGCGGGAAGGACAGACAGGTAGGAGAGGGCGAGGCGGACGTAGAGAATGATGCCGACTTCCAGGCAGAGAATGTAGATGTAAAAATGCCGGAGATTGTTATTCCCGACACAATTGTGTATCCAAGGGCAGTGGTGGTCTTGTTTGGCTACGCAGCGGTGGCAGCGGCGGCAATGTTTGGATCTCAGAGGTTTGCGCACCATACACTGCACGCAGAAATTTTCCTCGTCGAATTTCCAAAGCGAGAACAACTCCTGAATAACCGCCCGTTGTTGGTTTCGGGACGCCAGTTTAGGCACCCAGCCTGGATCCTGGAACATGGCGAGGAAGTAGAAGTAGCAAGTGCTGGCGTAGGAGATGGCAAACATGAGGTTTGAAAGGAGGTTAGAAGAGAAAGTGACAGGTAGAATAGTGGTTAGATAGTTGAAGCCGACCCAGAATAGTGTTCCTGCGAAGATGCCTGCTAAGTAAGGTGTTTTGTGAATGGTGTGATATTCCAGATGGGACTTCATTGCGATCCTTTGAGCAATGTACTGCATGCCCAAGCATACGACCAGGAAGACCGGCAGGCCAATGAATATGTCGAGGTGACTTATAATGTACAGACCAATCGGAATGATCACAAAAGGGTAGAGGAAGAAAAACTTGGACATTATCGAGCGGTCCCTGATCATAACATGCAGTCCAAAGGGAAGTGGCTTGATATTGCCGGAAGAATCGTATCCGTGATCGGCTAATGAGCGATAGTATGCTCGTTTCGTGTTCATCTCATCGGCACAGACGCTCGGTGTCTTGCCCTCGTTTGTCTTTGCGGATCTGTCGGCGCCGTATTCGAGCAGCTTGTCCAGACAGGCTTTCGAGCCTTTGACCAGAGCCCAGTGTAAGGGAGTATATCCATTGTCGTCCGTCGCATTGACATTAGCTCCCCATCGCAATAGGAGGTCGACGCAGGCTGGCCAACCTTTGTATCCTGCCCACATTAGACTGGTGTGGCCTTGAGGGTCCGGAATGTCCACAGGAATGTCCTGATGTAGCAGGAGGATCAGGAGAAGAGCATTTCCATCAATGGTAGCGAGATGGAGAATGTTGTACCCTTGACCGTCGGTCAATAGAGGATCGGCTCCGTTCTGCAGTAGGAGATTGACAATGTAGTAATGGCATCGTTGCGAAGCCCACATAACTGCAGTAGCATTGGATTCTCCTCCTTTCGCATTGACATCCGCGCCCTGCTCCAGCAGGTATTTGCACACGGCGTACTGGTTGTTGATAGCAGCCCAATGTAGAGGTGTGATGCCTTCTTCATCTTTATACTTGACATTGTATTTTCCGGACTGAATCATTTTCTGAATGTGTTCGAGGGCGCCAATGCGCGCGCATTGCATGATATCCTCCTCCAGAGGCAGGCTGGGTTCTGCCTGTCCATTCTGTACAGGCCCGAGTTCGACGTCTTCAGAGGTTACTTTGGGAGAGGCCGCGTTGGCTTTAGATGCCGGAGGATGGGATAGTTTCTGCGAAGCGGGAGATGACATTGCGAATGAATATTTGGTCTTATTGCCGCGCCTGTGGACATAGTGATCTCCTCATTATTCCGGGAAGAGGAAGCAATATACTCATGCAAGAAGGATGCTACTCCTCCTGAATCTTCGTGCCTGCTAACGCACAGCCACAGCCCCAGCCCCATCGTAAGCAGTTGACTGCGCTCTTGTTTTCTTAAGGTTTCACCGTAGTAGCGCTGCACACGTGACCACCCGATCGCTTGGCAGCTCGATTGAATTCCGAAGCCAGGAGAGCTTCTTCATCTTCGACCTCACAGCATCAATCTCCTCTCCTCTCTTTTCTGAGCCATCTCAATCCAACTCCTGCCACTCGGAAGTTCCTCATACCAAGCTTCACGAGCGAGCAAGATGATGTCGAGGAGCGTTCTGCGCCAATCCGGCCGCATTGCCGGTGCCATTACAGCATCTGGAAGAATAGCTGCGGTAAGCTCGAATTCTGCTCAATACGACTATCACAGCTCAGGAAGCATCTTCGCGAGTGTCTACTAGCTCGCGAAACTGTGGTGGAGCTTCATGATGCATATTGAGCTCGCCCGTGCGAAGTTGGAAGAATTGCAGGCTGATTAAAATCTTTACCAGTCTCGCGTCGTCACCCCTGCACCTTTCAATGCCACCTCAAAACAGGTCCGATCCTACGCCGCCGATGCCAAAGCTTCTCCCACCGAAGTTTCCTCCATCCTCGAGCAAAGAATACGTGGAGTCCAAGAGGAGGCAGGTCTTGCTGAGACTGGCCGTGTTTTGTCCGTCGGTGACGGTATCGCCCGTGTCCATGGCATGAGCAATGTCCAGGCCGAGGAGTTGGTCGAATTCGCTTCCGGCGTTAAGGGCATGTGCATGAACTTGGAAGCTGGTCAAGTCGGTGTCGTGCTTTTCGGTTCCGATCGTCTCGTCAAGGAAGGAGAAACTGTCAAGCGTACAGGCCAGATTGTGAGAGAACCTCAATCCTTCAGGAAGAACTTCAACTGACAACATCAGGTCGACGTTCCAGTTGGCGAGGCCATCCTTGGTCGTGTTGTCGATGCCCTTGGCAACCCCATTGATGGCAAGGGCCCTCTTAAGACCACTCAGAGACGCCGTGCCCAATTGAAGGCTCCCGGTATTCTGCCTCGACAGTCCGTCAACCAGCCAGTCCAGACTGGTCTCAAGTCCGTCGACGCCATGGTGCCTATCGGTCGTGGCCAGCGTGAGCTGATTATCGGTGACCGTCAAACCGGAAAGACTGCCGTCGCTCTGGATGCTATGTTGAACCAAAAGAGATGGAACAGCGGTAATGACGAGAAGAAGAAGCTCTACTGTGTCTACGTGGCTGTCGGCCAGAAACGATCCACTGTCGCCCAACTCGTCAAGACACTTGAGGAGAACGACGCCATGAAGTACTGTATCATCGTCGCCGCCACCGCTTCCGAAGCTGCTCCTCTGCAGTACATTGCTCCCTTCACCGGAACTGCGATGGGGGAGTATTTCCGTGACAATGGGAAGCACGCTCTGATCGTGTATGATGATCTTACCAAGCAAGCCGTTAGTATTCTCTTCCCAATTTGCTGCACCATTTGAGCAGGAGTCAGACGCCTTGTTCATGTCTTCAAGTTTCTGACTATTTGCAGGTGGCCTACCGGCAAATGTCGCTGTTGCTCCGGCGTCCTCCTGGGCGTGAAGCTTACCCCGGTGACGTCTTTTACCTCCACTCCCGACTTTTGGAGCGTGCCGCCAAGATGAACGACAAGCATGGTGGTGGTTCTTTGACTGCTCTTCCCATCATTGAAACCCAGGGTGGTGATGTGTCCGCCTACATTCCCACCAACGTCATTTCCATCACTGATGGCCAGATCTTCTTGGAAGGTGAATTGTTCTACAAAGGTGTTCGACCTGCCATCAACGTCGGTCTGTCTGTTTCCCGTGTCGGCTCAGCCGCTCAACTCAAGGCCATGAAGCAAGTCGCCGGTTCCCTGAAGCTTTTCTTGGCCCAATACCGAGAAGTCGCCGCTTTCGCCCAATTCGGTTCTGATCTTGATGCCGCCACCAAGCAGACTCTCAGCCGTGGTGAACGTTTGACCGAGCTTTTGAAGCAGAAGCAATACTCACCCATGGCTGTCAACGAAATGGTTCCTCTTATCTACGCTGGTGTCAACGGTCACTTGGACAGTGTCCCAGTCGGCAAGATCTTGCAATGGGAAGCTGACTTCCTCGCACACTTGAGGAGCGATCAATCCGATCTTCTGGCAACAATCGACAAGGAGGGTCAATTGAGCAAGGACCTGGAGCAGCAACTCAAGGAGGTTGTCGTTAACTTTACCAAGAGCTTTTCATAGGTACGTTGATTTCACTCCGAGACTATACTCTAAACAGGCACTTATCATTGCCCTGCAGACGTGAAGGGTCGAAAAAACGCTTGTACAATTTCCCTGGCTTGGTCGAAAACTAGGACACAACATGAACCAACCTGAAGCAGGAAAGGGTCAGAAGTGGATCAATATTGCGTCTGCTGACAAGAGAGAAAGTGTCACATTGTAACTAGATACATATCCAGTCCTCCAATCGATTCCGTTTGGTTTTGAATGTTACTACTGTCCCATTCTAGTGATTGTGAAGATGGTAATCAGACTTGCAACCCCCTGGCTTTTTCCCGGTTCTTGCTATCGACTACTCCCTATATGTCGGGGCAGAACGTTCTTGGCCACTGCCAACCCAGAGAAACACCAAATATGGCTCGTTATTAACATTATGAGCGGTGGCCTACACTTTCCAAAGAACCCGGCTGATGAATCTGACTCGGGACCAGCCATGATCAAGTTGCGATTCCTCCAGTACCTCATGATCACTGGGACAAGAGTTGAGTATATGGACGCCTGCTATCCGTGCGTTGGTTTTCAAGCTTCCGGTGCTCGAGCTAACAACTTACTGCCTATGGCCAGGTGCCGCCAATGAGGAAGCTGCAAGCTGCTGGAGGCAATATCGGTTACCTAGCATGCTTTGAGGCTGAGGCTGTACATTTCAGCGTCTCTCTGGGACCTCTCTTTTTACACTTGCTGACATCCATCAGGCTTTAAGCGGCTTCCGCGTCCCAACCGAGATCATCATCCATGACATTGTTCATCTTGCTCACACATCAAATGCCGGGACCCCTCTCTGGTGCGGATAATTGCTGGACCTAGGATACGACATGCCAGCACACAAGCATGTGAAGTCCAACGATCATTGGTCGATAATGAAACCGGTGAGAGCGCGTCGTCCTCGCTTAAAGCTGCAGAACCTGGTACAGAAAGTCAATACCTCCCGAAACATCAGGACATTGCTTATTATGTGATAGGAACTGCCGGATAGGCCTTTCAAGCTTGTTATTACACTCCCTAGCATCAGCAGGAGGCATCTTATGGAGATGTCAACCTCAGTTCGTCCCGACCGTCTCAAGTTCGAGATCGCGATTATATGTGCCTTGCCCCTGGAAGCCGAACCTCTACACAATGCCTTTAATGAGATTTGGGCGACCGAACCGAAAGAGGGGGACGGAAATGCATGTAGTTACGTTACCGGAGTGATTGAAAATCACAAAGTCGTGCTGGTACTACTTCCTAGCACCGGCATTGCCAGCGCGTCTGGTACAGCAGCCTCTGTCCGTTCCAGTTTTCCCAATATCAAATGGGCACTGGTAGTGGGAATATGTGGTGGTGTGCCTTATGATTCATCGACGCAGGAATTGATACGCCTTGGCGATATCATCATCAGCCACGTTTTAGTGCGGTACAGGTTTGGAAAGCAATATCCGGATAAGTTCGAAGAGAAGGCCGCAGCCGAAAATAGCCTGGAACGCCTCCCTTTGGAAGTCCGAAGTATGCTGGCAAATCTGAAGACGCGTCTCTTCCGCCAGAAAATGCAGCAAAAGATCTTTGAATATCTCCAAAGCACACGACAAACATCCGCAAAAGAAGATTACCCTGGCGTGGAGTACGACAAGCTATATGAGCCGGCGTACCTGCACAAACATCATGACATTGATCCACAAATTACAGACGATGAATGCATGTTGGGCGAGAAACGAATTTGTCGAGAGGCCCTGGAAACGACTTGCGAAGAGCTCGGATGCGAAGCGAACAGACTTGTCAACAACAGACTAATAACGAATGAGCAACAACCTTCGGTTCATTTTGGTGGTGTCGGATCTGGCGATACCGTGATGAAGTCCGGAAAGGATCGTGATGATCATTCGAAGGCACGTGACCTTGTCGCCTTTGAAATGGAAGCCGCTGGTGTATGGGATCACTTTCCAACCCTCTTGATCAGAGGGGTGAGTGACTATGCCGACAGCCACAAAAACAAGCGATGGCAGCATTACGCCGCAGCAACTGCGGCCGCTTGCTTGAAAGCGTTTCTCGGAGATCTGACAAATCAGGACGGACTTTCGGACAGGAGCCTGGTCAGTATCCCTATGGCGAGAAACATAAACTTTGTTGGGAGGGACCGGATCCTTCAAGACATCCACAGGGCAGTCACTGCTCACAGTTTCCAAGGATCCGACTGTATCAAATATATCGTCTATGGCATGGGGGGCATCGGAAAGACTCAAACGATTCTCGAGTACGCTTATAGGTATCGGAAACATTTCTCATCTGTTTTCTGGGTAAGAGCTAATAGTTATGAATCTGCGATGGAGAGCTATATCACTATCGCACAGAAAATTGAACGGGTAGACAAGTCTTACGCGGTAGACCGGAGCCTCGAAAAGAAAGACTTCGATAGAGCAGTAACCTTGGTTGTGAAAGAGTGGTGGACTGCCAGGGAAAACTGCAATTGGCTGTCGTTATTTGACGGTTGGGATGGTTTGGATGACGAGAGGATTGAGTCCTTAATCCCTCATGGAGGTTCTGGTGTGATCCTGATTACCAGCCGGAGGCAGGACTGGGCACGGGCTGGAGAAAGTCTCGATATTCCACTCATGCAGGAAGCAACCTCATTGTTACTTCTTGAAAAGAGCTCTTTGACCAAATACAGTAAGAGCAACCAGAAAGGTAAGATTTTGTACATTGAGACAGTCGATTTTATGTCTGACTTGGAATCAAGAATTGGACGCTGCGAAAGAGATCGTCAATATGTTGGGGCATTTGCCTTTAGCCATCGATCAAGCAGGAGCACATATCCACACTCTGAAGATACAGGCCGGAAAATACCTAGCACGCCTCAAAGAGAACGCGGAAACGTTGGACTGGAAACCACCAGCGAATGTTTGGGTATACGGCAAGACTGTGCTAAGATCTTGGGAGTTGACTTTTAAAGAGCTTGAAATATCTCACTCAGATGTTTTGAAGATATTCCAAGTTTGTGCGTTTCTTGCTGGCGAGAACATCAGTGAAAGCTTGCTCAGAGATGGCTTCAATTTTGGGCATATGGGTAAGTAACTCGTTATTTTCATGACACGATCGGCTAACGTACTGCAACGCAGATCCCCTGGCTCGGACGGTGGAAGATGGCATGGGAATTCTATTTTCCTTCTCTCTCGCAAAGCGCGAGGGAGCTGGCGATGGGTTTTCAATCCATCCAATACTTCAGACATGCATTCGCTACAGATTATGCCCACTCCAAAGGCAGAGGTTTCTGGCCCGCGCAATCTTGGTTGTTGCTGGCGCTGTATCCAGATTGGCACCAGAGCGAGAACAAGCTTGGTTTACTTACAGGCAACTGCTGTCGCACGTTAACAGTTGCGAGGGACATCTCGGCGACTGCTCGCCGCCTACGATACGTGTTGGCTCCGCAAAGGCGCCCAACCTCCATGAGGCAAAAGCGCGCTTCATCCTTGGAAGTTTCTGCGACCAGCTCGGACAACATGATCAGGCAATTCGTTGGTTCAAGAGAGGCCTCGACCCAGCATTGGACCCGTCCACGTTATCAACATTAGAATGCCGTGACGGCCTCTTTACAGCCATGCTCAATAAAGGCCACTTGCATGAGGCATTGGCCGAGTTCCAGACTCTCTATACCGAAGCAGTTACTCAACTCGGTGTGCGACATGTATTGACGAACAAAATCGCCAATACTCTCGGTATAAGTTACAAGAAGATCGGGTCATGGGACAAGGCCTTGGAATGGTACGGAAAGTCCCTCACACAGGTTAGGGAAATGTTCGGCGAAAATGATCAGAGAACACTCGCCGCTTTGAACAACATGGCGGTGATTTATAAAGAACAGAAAGAGTATGCGAAGGCAGAAACCGTCTTGCGGGATGTGTTAAGGAAAAAGGAGGAAGCATTGGGGGAGGAAAATCTTTCCACTCTTGAGACAGTCATGAATCTTGGCATCTTGCATGGACGTCGTGGGCGGTACGATGAGGCGCTCCATCTCCTACGACGAGCTCTCTGCGGAAAAGAGAAGCAACTGGGGAAAGATAATCCGAAAACCCTTGGGGTGAAAGGTAACATCGCCAACCAGTATCTCAGAAGCGGAAAGGTCGAAGATGCTATCAAGCTGCACAAGGAGACCTATGATGGTTACAAGAGGATTCACGGCCCTATACATCAGGATATATTTACCACGGCCGACCGGTTGGGAGAAGACTATTTCCAAAAAGGAATGTACCCTGAATCACTTCGTTGGTATTATGAGGCGCTGTTTGGTATGACACGTCTTCTCGGAAAGGGAAACGCAAAAACTCTGGAGACCGTCGCGAACATCGCCCAAGTCTTCCAAGTGCAAGGTCAATTCTATCAAGCAATAATTCGGTATAAATGGGCATTGGATCTTTTCAGAGGACGTTATGGCTTCGAACACCCTTGGGCGCGATCAGTAGAGAGTCAAGTTAGGGCTCTTCTCCTCTTGTGGCACCAAAGGTCAAGAGCCATGCAGTCCAGGTGACAAGCAACGTCCGTGTTTATACCTGGGTGGCTTGTCGAGGGGGTGAAAAGCCATAACCCGTCCAAAGTCCCTCTGCGGAAAGAAGCATTGGGGAGAGAAATCCAATGGCTAAATAAATTATGGCCTTGATGGCGATGAATGGTAGCATTAAAGTACTGTAATCTGCTGTGAGAATAATACCACCATCATTCACCGAACGTCTCAGACCGAGGAAGCATTTGCTCAGCGAGCATCAGTGTCTCTCATGGATGACAGGACTTTGGCGGATTTGAGTGGACTTCCTTGACAGCCAGCGTATTGATACGATGAGCTCAAATATGTTATCAGTAGTGCTAGCACCTCAAAGATGCGACATGGGACCAGGCTGGGCCGATAAACATTGGAGGTCTGTTGGGAAGACCAGACGGTTTGGAAGATCCAGGTGTTGTAGTCGTTGGTGCCGCTTGTATGTAACAGTGAATGCTCCTACCTCTGCCATTCTGGTCTATCTGCAACGCGCCTGACGATGCATTTTCCATCATATATGGCAGGATACAATACGGACATCTTCGCTTGGGTACGGAGAATTGAGTTCTGACCAACGTGTTGTATCATATAAGAAGATGATCTAGCTTGATGTGACAACCTTAGGCAACTTGAATCCGGAAGAGCCATCAGCCCCTCATCCTTCGCTCTCACACTTGCACTCTCACTCCACATCCATCGCCACCAGCAACACCATTTGCCGACATGCTCCGCGGCTCATCACGACATGGCGGACCTGCTGGACGTTTCTACACAATCGAACAGTCTATAAATTTGTAGGTGGCCCACCCTGAACCACATCACTCCACATTATACATATTCGTGCGTTATCCTGGTATTTCCTTAATATATTTCAACTTGCCAGCCAGTGTCCTTGTCAACATGAAGTCGGCTCACGTCTTTGTCAAATCCGGGACAGACCTGGAAGTCAAATTGCAGGACATTGCAATCCCGTCGCCGGAGCCGAACCAAGTCCTGATCAGAGTCGTCGTCGCCGGGACCAACCCCAAGGACTGGAAGGTACCGCTATGGATGAAAGATCAGTCCGGCACGAATACTGGCGATGACGTAGCCGGATACATTGAAGCTGTCGGCTCCAACGTTACCGAGTTCAAGGTCGGCGATAGGGTCGCAGCATTTCACGAGATGAGAAAGCCGCATGGCGCATTCGCCGAATATGCCATTGCATGGGAGAAGACGACCTTCCACCTGCCGAAGTCAACGTCCTTGGAGGAAGCCGCCACGATCCCTCTGGCCGGCATGACTGCCGCTGTGGGACTGTTCTGTCGCCTCGGCCTGCCTGAGCCTTGGGTTGGCAGTGTCTCTCAAGCACGCAAAGACGCACTGGGAGGTGGTGTGCTTATTTATGGCGCATCTTCAGCCGTCGGTGCCTTTGCAATCAAGCTCCTTGTTCGTGCCAAGATTCACCCCATCATCTGTGTCGCTGGCCGGGCAAGTTCTTTTGTCGAAGGCTTGATTGATAAGTCGAAAGGCGACACTGTCATTGACTACCGTGGTGGCGATGACAAGGTTGTCGCGGCAATCAAGGATGCTGTTCCAAGTGGTCATAAGTTGATGTACGCATTCGACGCAGTCAGCGAGAAGGGCAGTTATCAGCAGATCGTCAAGGTACTCGACCCGAAGGGACACATCACCTTGGTCCTTCCGGGACGGAAATTCGAGGAGATTCCTGATACGGTCCACCAGACATTGACAAGTGTTGGTTCCGTGCATGGCGTTCCTGACGACCTAAGCGATTTCGGATACGCTTGGTTCCGCCTGTTCAGCTTAGGTTTGAAGGAGGGTTGGTTCAGTGGCCATCCGTATGAGGTTATCCCAGGTGGCCTCAGTGGTGTACAACAAGGCTTGGAAAATTTGAGAGATGGAAAGGCCAGCGCAGTGAAGTACGTGTATCGTATTAACGAGACCGAGGGCGTGGACCGGAGTAAGATTTGAATCAAGATAGATGCCGTACCCATATGAGTGACCAGGTGCGAGGAGGCGCGATGCCAATGGTAGCTGGACGGAGTAAGTAGTCCCAACAGAAACAAGCTATACATAGCAAACGTGGTCATGATCGCCCGTCTTGTCCTCCGAACTCGTCGGTTGGTGTTTGATACCCGTCAAAAGACGACGAGATTTACGACCTGTTTGCCGACAACAGAGAGGCAAGAAAAGAGACTCTATGCCGGCCCAAAGCATCATCGTTTTCCTCAACGAAGTGACATGTTATGAGCGATCAAGTTACATTCTCCCAATCTGCCGAGGAGGAACTTCGACTCGACTCCCATTGAAGGGAGTACAGCCGTACACGTCTGGCAGCATGTGTCCATATGCTCACGGGGAACGACCGACCATGCTTCTTGTCATTAAGAGGGACATCCAACCAGGGAAGGGGGAACACTGCCTGACACAGTGCCGCGCGCCACATGAACGTCAATCCAGGTTGGGTAAAGCCGACTGCACATTTACATGGACAGAATGCACTGCAATGCTAGTAGCCGCTGAAAGCCTCGTGTTTCGAGCTCGTCAAGAGCTGTAGCCATGGATATTAGTCTTCGGGAGAAAGGAACCAAGGCTCACCTGCACTGCCGGACGTCGTGACCACCTCATGGCTGTTGATTCGGGCCTTTTACCTCAGGTTACCTCCACGGAAACAGCAATATAGCATAAATGTAACATGTATGTCGAGTTCGTTTCTCAAAGACAACAGGCTCATTAGCGTTTGTGCCTTTTCCGGGGCGCTCTCTGTGTAACTGGATGGATTGGAGCCACACAACCCAGTGTCAGTCCATACACTCATCCCCCCTCAATGTCAAGGCCGAACGGGGCCCTCCGAAGCTACGCGAACGCAAATGAGCAAATGGAACCAGAGGCTGCGGCAGAGGTTTGATAAGAGACCCGACTGATCTTCAGGGATGTTCTCCGATCGGATAGCCTTGGGTGAGTAATGGATTGAGCAAACGGCATTTCTACTGGATGTTCCCTGTGCGAATGACCAGTGTTTAGTAATGCACTTTTAGTTAGTGCCCTAGGTCGGCCACTGTTTGCAGAGTCGACAAGGATGCTTGGTGTCGAACTGTGTATTTGCAAATTCGACAGTGGGCTGAGTGCATGTTTCCATATCGTGATGGAAGATTTGCTATGTGTTGGCAGCCTCGAGCACATACACGCACGTATCCTGCACGCAGGCGCCCATGGGTTTGCACATGACTTCAGATTACTGGCAGCTTTCGACCCAAAGGAGTCAATCTCGAACGCGGTATTTTCCGAGCCCCAACGAAGACAAGATGGATAGGGAAACCGATATCCTCCGTTATCATGACAACGCAGCTTCGTTCTGTTTGATCGGTCATCATCGATGATGTGCTTATGCAAAAGGTCTGGCTTGTCATTCTCCGCATTCTGCAAAGGACCTTTTCAAAGGATAGCCGATACAAGCCGTTTCTGATGCCGTGCCCTCTCTGAGTTCGAAAGTACTGTGGTACTGCAAGCGCATTGCGAACGGAGATGTGCTTGGGTGAAAATCCCGTCCACTTTGCCGACCAGCCAAGTTGCAATCACTCGAGAAGGAAATGCCGGCGAGGGGCAGACCAAAAGGCTTGTAGATGATCGACAACTAGCGCAACTTTTCGGGTGGGTGTAACAAAGATCGGAGGAGCACATCATACGTGATCATGTTTGCATCAAAGGAGGAGGCCGCTATCGACATTGGAGCCTCTGTCACGGCTAGGCTTGTCTTCACTGCAGCCAGAGTGCATAAGCTGCAGCTAATGGGCAGCTCGCTGCCGAGGATGCCGCCTGTAGAAAGCTTCATTTGAAGCCAAAGAGCTCTGCACTCCGCCTGCTAGCACGACCTTTAGTTGCTTGGTCCTCCATCCTCCGCTCTCCACGTCGTCAGGCATTGAGCAGCAGTGGCCTCAAGAAAGGCGCTGATTTGCCCGAGCCGGACTAGCGGACAACCCTGGTTCGTGTTTCAGAATTTTTTATCTCTCTGACTACTCCGTACGAGTAGAGAAAACAACAATTCCACGCCTTGTTGCGCATTGACACTGAACCTTCACAGAGTAGCTGAGACCCATCCGATGCGGACATTGCGGTCGCAATAAAAAGGGGATGACATGTGACGGCGAGCACCGTCAGAAGTCGGACTCGTAGCATGGTCAGTGTGGTTGAACCAAGGATTGTCCTTGATAACAGCGGTCAGAACGGAGCATGGGTATGGGAGGACAGGATGCTGGCAAAGTTTGCACCTCAGGGATCTCGTATGATCGCTGGTGTGGGATGTTGTGCCATTGGATGTGTCAAGACTGGCTATGGAGATGAAAGAAAAACTGATGTCGAAGGCTCCACAGAATCATGTTTGCTGCAGTGAGTGGTCAAACTTGTCAGTGAGAGTGAGTTGCGCATCCAAAGGTCGTTGCCGCAGTCTCGAGGGGTGGATACGTAAGTCTGTCGCATGCCTTCTGTCTTGCTTAACACCAGTCTCCGATCTCCTTGCCCGGATTAAGTGAACCGGAAAATGCAATTACGTAGAGGCAGGATAATAGCTGGCGATGGAAGAGGGTGAAGGGGCACAGATAGTTTTAGGTACTAGTAGTAAGGCAAGATAGTTACGGAGTATTGAGGATGAGTAAGTCTATACGTACAGTAACTGAGATAGAGGGTTCCGGGCGGGCGTGCCAATCAAGAGCACTCCTTGGGCAAGGCAGGCCATTGCTCTAGGCCCTACGACTGTTTTCGTGCCTGGCTTGCGGCCTGCCCGCCCCCCAAATGCATTTTGCCTACCACTTGGCAATCTGCACGTTCGGGTTCACTTTCTTGGTAAAGCCACCACGTCTCATCTTTCCCTTTGGCCCCGTCCGCAAGTATAGCTTTTTCACATTTTAATTATTTCGCATCTCTATCGACGATCTTTCCCATCCGCTGCGACTGTTCAGGGATCGTGGACCTCCGGTGCCTCTACGAAATCCTCCACCTTCCGCCCTCATACCATCAAGCCGCACCGAACCCCAAAAAACCTCGTCCAGTTGGCTTAGTGACCTGAAAAGAGTCACAAGCTGACTGGTTCTGAGCCTGCGCTGCGACTCCCAGACCTTCATGCCGCGAAACCCTGCGGCGAAAAAGCATCAGCATAACAATCGCCATGAGAACGGCCTTGTAGGCCCTGGAAAGCGTGTCAGCAAGCAGAAATCGAATGGTCATCTCAATGGCGCCGCAAAGGGCCCTGTTCCCTCCGAGCCTGTTCCGCAACCAAATATCGCCGACCCGTCTATGACTGGGTCAACCGCCGGTTCATCCAGTAACTCCACGATCGACGCGAATACGGATCCCGCGTCCTCTCCTTCCAAGCCAGTGGATCACGAAGGCAGCGAAGGCAAAGACAGGGAACCTCAGAAAGAGTTGAATGGATCAGCGATGTTGCAGCAGAGACGAGGCGATATGGCTACGGGCAAGTCAAAGGCGATGCACGAGGTGAATGCTTTCCAGATCGCCTCGACCATCCTGCGATCTCGGCCTGCCTGGGACACCGTGTCTCTCCTGATTGTCCTCCTGGCTTTGCCATCCATGGTTCTGACAATGGTTCAAGCCTTTTTTGCGTCCTTGACAATCTGGCCTGGGGGTGGCCCGTCCTTTCGGTCCGCCGCAGACATGTTCTACGGGTCAGCTGGTGCGCCGAGTCCTACCACCAGGATCGTAGTGGATGTGATTTGTTTTGGGCTCTGGATGTGTCTCTGGCCATGGGCTCAAAATTTTGCACTGGATCTCGCCCAAATACAGATTGCCATGACACTAGGAAATGGAAGTTCTGGACGAAATAGCCGAGTTAATGTCTTCTGCGTTGCGGGCGTTCTTTTATTGCATTTGATTCGGAGTAAGGGCGTCCGCCGGTTTCTTTTCGCCAATCTGGTCCCTCTGGAACTGATCTCTCAACTCGGCCTTACGGAGTATCTGAGGTATCTGCCCTCCGACACTGATTTCGGCGAGAGCCCTCGACCGCCGTCACATATTCGAAGTTTATTCGCGATACACATTATCAGCCAGGCTGTGTTGGCAGTGATCAGGCGTTGGTTGCATAGCCTTCAGTCACCCGCACCTGCAAAATCCAAGCGGATAGACACCGAAGCCTCAGCGGGTTCCGTGTCAGACTTTTCGGCTCCTGACGGCTCTTCTTCCACCGCCATATCGTCGTCTGTCGATTATCAACTGCCCCCAACACCTGGCTTGCGGGAAGGCAAAGAGAAAGGCGTAAATGCGAAGAAGAGGCGACGCCAGGCGAACCATGTCAGAAGCAAACAGCCATTCTGGGCTGCACTCGCTAGCACCAAAGTCCAGATTGGAAGGGAGATCCAACATAACAAAGCGCTTCCTACAGTCGCAAACAATCAAGGAACACCATTTGAGACAGCACATCAAGATCTGGTATGGGTCACGAACGTAGATCCGTCATCCATCTCGTTCGAATCAAACTTCGTCGGGACATTGGAACCAGGACAAGAGGTTGGCGAGCACCGACCTTTCTACGTGCGCATCAACGGAGCGAAATGGCACTCGGTGTCTCTTGAGCCAGTAGAGGGTTCCTCCCAATCAGAAGGTTCAAGCGCTTGTTGGGCTGGGACAATTTCGGGCCTGGCTCCGAACTGCACCTACACCTGCACTTTTATTGCCACCGATGGAGATGAGGAGTATGCTTCAGTCATGGTCAAGACGCCGATGCTGGCGCTTGACAAAGACTTGCCTGGGTCTACGGCTCCTGTACCAGTCCGCCAGTCTACGAGGCCATCTTCGCCAACTACGACGCTCAAAAACTCGATTTCCACAGCTGAAGCTAAGCTAAATGAGGCTCGAAATCGCCTTACCAAGGTCCGACGTCAGCATCGAAGCACGCTTGCCAAGGTCGAAAGGGAGGTCGATAGCTACAATACGCGCCTCAAAACTGCGAGTGACGACACCAAGCAAAAGCAAAAACTCTTGCAAGCCGAGCGTAGCATCCGCCAAACCGAAGACGCCAACCTGGAGCTTGACGCTGCGCTGGAAGGTCTAGTTTCTACACCTGACGACGATATTGAGGATCATAGCGCTTCTCAGAAGGCCTTTGAGGAACAGTCCCGGCTTCTTGCCGACGCAAACGAGGCTTTGGAAAAAGCTAAGAACGCTGCAATGTCTGAGAAGTCTTGCGCTAAGAACGAATTCAATGCTGTCATTTCTCGTAAAGAGCGTCTTACCAGTCGCAACACCAAGCTGACCGAGCAGTACGACCGGATTACTCAAGCCAACGCGCAGGGCCTGAACGAGAGAGAAAGAAAGGCTGCAGACTCAACTGCGAAGGATGCTGATCAGCAGAGGCGCGAGAATGAGCTGTTGCAGCAGATTCAGTACGTGGAGAACGAGGTCAGAAATGCGAAGATGAGGTTGGATGCCAATCACCGAGAGATCAGGCTCCTCGAAGAGGAAGATGCCCGGCATATGATGCTCAACAACAGCGGGCCGTTGACTCCAGAGGGAGAGCTACCTGGCACTCGCCCAGCACCGCAACATGCTCGACCTTATGCATTTGGCAGCTTCCAAGCCTTCCCCAATAGCCCTGTCATTCCCGAGGTCCAGGGCTCCCCGTTCCTGGCTTACGCAAAGACTCTCCCCTCGACCGACCAACGCCGACCGAGATCTGATACCAACCGATCCGCGGGCGGAATCAGTAATTTCTCTGCCGACTTTGAGGATGCTGACCCGATTCCTCCCATCGAGTATGAGACAATTGGGCGAAAGGGCAGCGGTAGCAGCAGGGGTCAGAACAGTGGCAGTCCAGCAGCAGGGATCATTGGTGGCTCGTTGCGCAGCCCACAGCGAGGCAGTTATAGTCCAGGACATGTCCCAGGCTCTACAACTTGGTGATATACTGTTTGAAGGAGCCTGGTCGATGGTGCTTGTAGAGTCGACAGAAGTCCGATGGGTTGAAAGTCCATGGCTTAATAGCTTACTGATGGGATAGCCTCGAAAAGTGTTGCGCTCTTTGCCGTTGTAATTGCTCCTTCATATTGGCTACCCACGTCTCTCAATGGCAACCCCCTCATAAAACCTCTGCCTCAGCGGTAATGTATATACGGTACCCATCCCGGCCTCGATAGTACCTGATGCGTGCCTGACGAGGCTGAGTCAATGGCGTTCTTGGCGCCGCTTGGGCAGCTGGGGGCGTGCCTTATTCGTCATATCTGCGACTGCGAACCGTGACTCCAATTCTCAAGGCCCAGATTTATTTTTGTATTGCGGTACTCACAGTGCTGTACATCAGATCTGACTCACGCTCGCTCCTTTGCCCGCTGCACCTCGCATGCGACCATTCCTTCGACTCTGTGTGTGCTACAGCAAAAGTTTGCCCCTCAAGACACCCAGATTCGCATATCCCACCCTCGGAACCCAGACATTCCGACGAAACTGCTCAGCAATGGGGAAGGACAAGGACAAGAAGCAAGAGTTGATTAAGAACCCAAAGGGAACGAGGGACTGGTCTGGTGAAGATGTCGACCTGCTGGAAGATATCCTTGCCCAGATCTCTAGAGTCTTCCGCCGCCACGCTGGCAAGAAACTCGATACCCCAGTTTTTGAGCGAGAAGAGGTGCTCAAGGGTAAATATGGCGAAGACTCGAAGCTGATATACGACCTCAAGGATCAAGGCGGAGAGTTACTATCTCTGCGATATGACTTGACGGTCCCCTTTGCCCGGTGGCTGGCTATGAATGCAAACATCAAGAACTACAAGCGATTTGCGATTAGCAAAGTCTACCGAAGAGATCAACCTGCAGTTGCCAAGGGTCGTATGCGGGAGTTCTACCAATGTGACATCGATTTTGCAGGAGCGAGTGACCCAATGATGGCTGACAGCGAAGTCATCGCAATCATTGTGGAGGTGTTTGAGTCCCTCGAATGGACTGGTCGATACACCATCAAAATCAACGACAGGAGAATCCTCGACGGCCTATTTGAAGTGTGTGGTGTGCCGGCGGAGAAGATCAGAATGATTTCCAGCGCGGTTGACAAGCTCGATAAGTTGCCTTGGGATGAGGTCAAGAAAGAGATGGTCGAGACCAAAGGGCTTGATGAAGCAGTGGCAGACAAAATCAAGACTTATGTCACGAGGAAAGGTGGCAAAGATCTGCTAGAGGAATTGAAGAAGGATGAGGCCATGATGGCCAACGCCAAAGCGAAGCAAGGCATAGAAGAGATGGACGCCCTGATGGCCTATCTGGATGCATGGGGTGCGCTTGACAAGCTTTCCTTTGACCTGTCCTTGGCTCGTGGGCTCGATTACTACACCGGTGTGATATATGAGGTTGTGACTGAGGGGTCTGCGCCCGTGATTGCCGACGGTAGCGCCGTGGCTCAAGAAACTCAAAAGCAAGGCAAGAAGGAGAAGAAGGTGCTTGACGAGGATGAAGATCGCTCTAATGATCCATCTGTCGGTATCGGGTCCGTTGCTGCTGGTGGTCGGTATGACCATCTCGTCGAACGCTTTAGACCCAACGCAGACATCCCTTGTGTTGGCATCAGTTTCGGTGTTGACAGGATATTCAGCATAACCAAAGCGAGGATAGCTAAAGGTGAAAAATTCAGCTATGTCTCTTCCAACGCACCTGATGTGTATGTGATGGCGTTTGGTGGCGGCGGTTTCAGCGGCATGCCGAAGGAACGAATTCAGATCACCAAGCTCTTATTGGATGCTGGACTGAAGGTCGAGTTCACATACAAGAAGAAACCGAAGCCGCAAGTTCAATTCAAGAACGCCGAGACAGCAGGCGCCCCCTTCGCAGTGATTCTCGGTGAGGACGAGCAAGCGAAGGGAGAGGTGCGGGTCAAGGAGATGGGACTGCCTGATGGTCATCCGTAAGTGTCCTCACAGTTCATTTTCCCTTCGTCACGTAAGCTGACCTTACTCACAGTGAGAAGGAAGGAGTGCTCGTCAAAATATCAGACCTAGGGGCCGAAGTATCCAGGCGTGTGGATGCGAAGAAGATGCTTTCTAAGACTGGGAACTTGACCGTGAGCTAGGCCGAGGGATCTGGAAAGCGAACACTTCACGTGGCACCTGCAGGACATGCCGACTGTTTGACCTGTGGTCGGAAAGTGCAGGCACAGAGCTAAAAGAAATGACCAGCGTGTTATTGGAGGCCAAGAGATCTTACGTTGCAGAAGCATTTGAAAGGGCTTCCACGATGGCCGGTGCCGGTGTCGTTGGGAGTCCCTGATAAGGTCCGTCTCTGACACGGAACAACGTCTCCAGGAGGAAGACATGCTCTCCAGCAACCTCCCGGCTCGCGAAATAGGTCCAGGGCCGGGCAAACCAAATAGCCCATGTACTCCGTAGAACCGCGGGTAACAAGTGTCCCGATGGAGATGCCATGGTCTGGACAGATCTAATCTCCCTCCAAACAGACAAGAACGACGGATCCAAACTTCTCCAAGATACCATCCACACCATCGTACTATGGTAATAGTCACTATTCAGAATGTCTCTGTTGCGCTTGGGGCACAGCCTTAGCGAAGCCACAGGGGGCGTGAGGGGGTAACGCGAGCCTTGCTCGAGCCTTGGCGCCCATGCCGCCAAGACATGCCAATCCCTTTTCGTCCGCAAGGCTCTACTGAAGACACTCGTTCCACTCCTTCGCATTTTCTCTTCCTGGAAGTGACTTATATTACTCCGTAATGCCAAATAACAAACGGGTCCGTTGAGGCGAGATCTCTTCGCTTCAGCGTCCGGCACGAATCCTGATTGAGCTTCAGGGAGATTCTCCCTGATCCATCTTAGATCTTAGTCCGACGCGCCAGACTTTACCACAAGCGCCGACTATGAAACGTCTCGCGTGTCAGCAACCAATTCTGTCACGTTTGACCTCAACATGATACTCCCCAGCCACAGATGGGCAAGACTTCGAGACCATGATGAAGACCTCCGCGTCGCAGCTGATGTTTGAGATATGGGTTCCTCCAATCGCGACCCAAAGGTCAACGCCTGCAAACACTTCGGTTCTTCCCGCCGCTTATGCTCCCTGTCGACTCTCAGCACTCGCTGTCTGAAGCCGTTGCCCGGATGTGCCTGGCACCGAAGATAAGCAGCTCCCTTCAATCTGGATGGTTTTGATCGTCCCTTTTTCTCCATGTTGAAAACGTGCATTTAGAACCTCATCTTCTCGCGAGACACTCTCCAACTCGACCTTCCTTTTTTCATCCCCAAAGTCATTCGTTCGTTGTTGCAGGACATCACCCTAATTTCTTCACACCCCGTTTTCACTCCTTTTTTGTTCAAACCAAAAGAACACAGCTTCAATCAAGATGCCGGCAATCCGTTCCTTTTATACCCTTACTGTTTTGGCAGCTTGCCTGGCGCAAGTATGACTTGGAATTCCGCCGAGTGTTGGGAGGGAGAGGCTGACTTGCGCTACAGGCATACGCTGGTGATAGCTCGGGTGGTAATGGTGGCTCCTGGGGTGGCAGCGGTGGAAGCGGTGAAGGCTGCAGCGGCAGCAACTGCGGCGGTGACAGCAAGGGCAGCTTTGGTGGAGGCATGAACGGTGGTGGGAGCTGGAACGGTGGCAACCAGTACACTTCGGCCGCCTATACGCCGCCTGCCATGGCGCAATCCTGCCCGCCAGCCCCAAGCTGTCCAAGCTGCCCGCCACAGATGGCCCAGAGCTGCCCAGAGCAGAAGTGCCCACCACCTGCAACCATGACGATTACCGAGACGGTAAGTGTGGCGGTGCGCGATGGAATAGGACAGCGAACTGACGTTTGAAATTTAGTCGACCATTACAGCAGCATCGCCCTGCTCGTCAGTGGTCACGGCCTACGTGACTCAATGGATGAACGCGCCACCGGGCTGCTTCTGTGGCTCTGGAAGTCCTCCTCCATTCGTGTCGATGATGGAGGTGGGAGGAAATACCCCTCTTGGCAACGCCCCTGTCATCACAACAGCTGTCGGCGCTCTCAGCCCTGGTCTTTCATCTATTCCGGCGGCGGAAGCAGTGCAGACCGGAGTGACTGTGGCCGCAGCCGCGGCCGCACCTAAACCAACTGCTGCTGCTGTGTCTCCTGGTGGCTTCTTCGATACGTCGATGAGTGAGTAACCTTTCTGATGCATGAGACGGGGGAAAGAGACACCTGAAGCTGACTGGTGACGTCTAGGCATGCCTGTCGCGACAATCTCTGGTACGGAAACTTCTGGTTCTAGCAGCGTCCCTTCATCTAACATCTCCGAGGCTACTAAAACAGGGGAGGCTAAGCCAGAAGCCACGACGTCGACGACATCTAGTTCCACTTCGTCAGCATCTTCAGCCGCAACTACATCAATATCCAAAACAGGCGCAACTTTCAACACCGACAAAGCAGCAGCATCTTCACCAGCTTCATCTTCATCAACGACAACGACAGCAGCATCCTCCACTACGCCGGTCTCTACGGCAGCAGTGTCTTCTTCAGTTGCGGACGCGGGCGGAGTTGGTGCTGGTTCGTTCAGTACGCTCGACCCCGCGAGTCTGACTCTCAAGAATGCCTATACTCTAGGCATTGGGCGAAGGGATCCTGCACCAACATTATCATAACAGAAAAACCAAAATGAAAATCGAAATGGGATGACGAGAGAATACGCCCGCTTTTCAGGAGCCTGGGCCCATGGGATCGCGGAGTATCAGAAAAAGGGATATTGATCCAGACCCCTTTTTTTCTTTTTCAAATTTCTTGTACACAGGAAGCCAGACTAGACTAGCTTTTCTTCTTGGGCACTTTATTACTACTATCGGCGAGTGCCTCATGCTTGATAGGAAATTCAGATGTAGCAGTGGTATCCTGGGCAACATCTGTAGGATGAGTGTCGTCGGGCCCTGCTTTACCTTCCATCCTCGCCTTCTTTGCTCGTCTCTTCATTTCGCGCTTGGAAAGTGGTTTCTCTTCGGACGCATTATGGGTAGAGACCCCGCCACCAAGGGATGAGACCGAGGCTTTGCGCTTCGTGCCGTTCGATAAAACGACCTCATTTGCCTTCCCTCGTTCGGCGCCTTGGGTGGTCGCATCCTTCATGTTAGCTCGCTGCTTCTGCCCTTGCGCATCTCCTGCGTTCATAGGTCCTACAGTTGCAGTTGTGCCTCCTCCGTCGATGACATCCACGACACCGCGAAAACTCGTCCTCTTCATGCCCGCCAACCTGACAACTTTCCCGGCCTCTTCACACAGCGCTTCCTTCCCCCTCTCCTGGCCGAGTCCCCATACTTGCGCGAGGTTGATCACGTCGTGAGGGCCGCGCAACCCTAGGGCATTCCGAGCTTCGCTGCTCAGTATGATTCCACGTCCTCTCGTTGCGCGGATCAAGGCGGTCGCGCCGCTGATGAGATTGCGTCGGGCGTCCGAGTTGGACGAGGAAATGCCCGGCGCATAGCAAATCTCGAAGCGCACGCCTCGTTGGAGGGCCCCGGCGACGGTTTTGAATTTGATCGGGTAGGTCAGGCGTTGGGTGAAGTCTAGACTGATCAGGTCGCATTCGAGGCTGGAGCAGCAGAGTTGTAGGGCTTTTTCGCTGGTGGGCCGCAGCGCGAGGAGGTTGCAGGCCGGTGAGAAGGAGGAGAGTCGATGGTTTTGCGAGGCGTCGGATATCGTTATCGTAAGGCGTGTCAGAATCGTTAGGGATGGGGGAATGGACAGTGAAGAGATCGGGATGGACGGTGGTGTCGACGGGAGTTTGCCCGCGAGAGTGAGGGACAGGGCGACCGTTGTGTAGCCGAGTTCGGACGCGAAGAGGAGGGTATGGCTGAGAGCGGAGGGCGGCTGGGAGGAGCTGTAGGGGATGCTGAGGTCGTGGAAAGGCATGGCGGCATGTAGGTAGAATAGAACAGGGTCACCGGTGGGATTGATGTTGGGTGTGGACTTCGATCATGGAGCAGACGCGACAGGGCGTCCGAGATTCCGAGATTCGATGGAGTAGCATCGTGCGCACCTGAGTTTTAGAAGACAAAAATCAGGATGGACGTTCCACAGTCATATTAGTCGTCGTGGCCTTGTGTGAGTCCGAGGAAATCTGGGGAAGTACTCCGTACCGTATGTTTTTTTTTTATTTGCTGGAAATAACCAGTAACCATGACGGCAGATGTGGCCGCTTTTACAAGTCGAGGTCAACATGGTGCCGTAGCACGCGTAGCTCTCTAGGTGGGCTCCTGCTCCTTAAGGGGCACTGAGATTCGAAAACATCTCGTAGTCCTGAATTTAATCACCTCCTCTTTTCAAACCATGAGAACGGTATCGTTCCTACAATATCGTCACCAAGTAACCATGAATTTGTCAGATAATAGGTGTATAATGCACGACGAGGTAAATATCCCTGCTTCGAAACATGTGCCGAAAAGTGTCTCGAGTGCCGTGATAGGTAGGTTGGCGTTCATCAGGCAGCCGGAAGGCAGCCTCGTCCAGAGAACAACCGTCCTGATCGCGATTTTCCCCTCATCGAGCTTCAGAAGAAAGGAGCATCGATACTATCTCTGTGTAAGGGCTTGGTATTCGTTGCAAAGCGCTTCATTTGCTATGAGCTGTTGACAACAGGATCAAATCTCAGTACCGGCGGTTTCTTCCAGAAGCGCCTTCACATCAACAAGCAAGGCTGCCCACCAGAACCCTGATAGCATGATGTCGGGTCATCCATCATCAAGTGCCATGACGCCGAACGCTTCATTTCCGCAGAGCGGGTCATGGAACATGCTCGATATCGCGAAGATTCCTGTCAATCTGACTTTCGGCGCGCTTGCCAGGTACAGGTATGTCTTTTCGGGTCCGGGTCTTCCCAGTATCGTGCTCTGATGGTTCTACTGCAGTGCGGCACGCGTCAACCCATATGCCGCCATGGTCGGGGAAGGCTTGTACCAAAATTTTCAGCTGACGATGAAATCTCGAAAAGACATTGAAAGAGCCGTCAACGAGCTAAAAGTTGTTGGTACTCTGGGCGACACCCTGGAGATTGGTTTCGGCATCGAGGATGTGGTGCGGCTTATGGCCAAGTCAGAAAGGGGCTGTGTATGCCTTGCTCTCTGTGCCGCTCTCAAAGAGTGCTACTCAGATGGTACGTACCTTTTCACAAAGTTGTACAAATTCTTTTTAGCAAATTTATTCGGTGTGCTCTTGGGCCTGCGCTACCCAGGCCGAAAGGCAGGTGCTTGGATTCCTCTCTACGGCAACCACAGCACCTAGGCGGCTGATGTCTTGGGTAGACATGGCAGCAGAGATACTGCTGGAGATGGCGAGACTAGTCAACATCGATGGCCAGTACATGCCATCGAGTCAATCGTGGAAGGATCTGCTCAATGCGTGCGCCGGCACCTTGTCCACATCCAGATTTCCAAAATTGGCAGAGCATCTCATGCAGTCAGCAAACGATGATCACCGTTTAGGGGCCTACGGAGGTTATGATGCAAGCCCCACGCGATCACGAACCTGCTCCAGTCCAAAAAACATAGTTGCTGCTCTCTCGGAGCTATCTCAAGTGTCACGCAATGTTTTGAAATCAGTCACCATTGTAGGGGGCTCCGACGCTGCCTGGCTTGCGGCACTTGCTGAATTTCTACTGGGTCTTAGTGTCAGATTGACAACAACTGAAGGGACGCTTCTCTACCGAAATCGCGATGATGAGGATTTCCAAGTAGAGGTTGTTCTGGACATCTCTCCGGGCACTGAAGGCGACCCGATCCTGGCATTGACCGGCAGGACGGTAATCCTGGAAGATGTGACAAAACTTTTTGAAGAAGAGGGCAGAAGTCCTGACGCAGCCGTGGTGTCTGGTCGGGTGGAGTGGAAGGACGTCCTGAGCCGCTCCTTCTTGTCCGAATTCAACAATCTCTTGGAGATTGGCGCTACTGTCGGTGAGTGTATCGGGAGTGCGGCACGCCTTTTCAAAGGTCTTGCCAATGCTGAGGACATGTTTCGAGCTAAGTATCGCCTTGCTTGTACGAGCTACTGTGACAGCGCATATGGAATTGGATTTGTGGACAACACTATTCGCTGGTTTCCAGAGCTACGCAAACTGAGGCATCACATGCAAGCCGCTGCAAAAGCGCCCCTCACCGAGGCCAGGAATAAGTATGAACTCTGCATCAGTCTGGTCAGACAACACTGCAGTTGCCTCACATGCCAGTCTGTCGCACCAGGCCCGACAGAGCACTCCGAGCACGACATCGAGGATGACGAGATGGCAGACGAAGACACAAATGAAAGCAGCACAAATCTCGACACGGAAGGTGACTGGGATCCAGATCACTTTTGTGAAGTTGTGATCCTCGAAACCATAATGTTCCTTTCTCGGGCGCTCTCAAATGTAGTCCTTGAGAATGACTCACTTCTTCCGGGGCGCAGTGGTATGGAATATGCATACGGCAGACACTTGAATCAAAGACGCGCCGCAAATCTTGGACACACGGCGCTCGAGGAGATTGGGCCAATTGCCTTCTGTCTGGACTTTGACGACAATTTCTCTTTCGGTACCCTTCCAGGCAATGAAGAGGGAGTCGAAATCAGATTACAAACTATCCTTGAGATCTTCTCTGGAAGACTTGCTCTTCAACGAACTCCAATTTCTCTGCGCTTTGTGTCAATGGCATCTGCGCATTTCTGGGAGTTTTGAGAGAGCCAAACGCTGACAGCCGCTGTCTTGCTCGAGTCCATGTAATCTCGGGCCGTATCAACCATGAAGGCAAGATGTACACGAGGCTCATAGACCGTGTAATGCCTGAACGACCTATTGAGGGCTTCGGGCCTATTTTCAAGCTGGCCGACGTCGACGAGACGGAGCTGAACCGTTCTCTAAGTGTCAAGGAAAGCTCTACCGGACTGGAGTGTCTCCTCGAGCTGGGCATTGACCGCACGACGCCGTGGCGTGCTGGACCTTCGCGTCTCGCAGTCTTGCTTGCCAGCAGGCGCGGTTTGGTATCCTGCAAGCTGTCAAGGCAGCCTCGGCGAGCAAATACCAGTCAAAACTGTCGGCCCAGCACGCTTTTCTCGAGTGAGCAGATCGACAAAGCCCTTGGGGAGAAGGGAACATTGTGCATTAATGGGAAGTCAATTACCCTGCTTCAATGTCAGGACGGAGCTACTGCTGCTGTAGCAATAGCGTTCTTAGCCTCGCTTCCTCCCACTTTCTCGGTCTTCGTTGCCGAGAAGGAGTGCGCGGCGTGTTGTATAAAGGAAATATTGGCAGTTGACCGAGAGGAGAGGTCCGACTTCTGCGTTCTGTTTGTTCCAGTGTCATGACGATGTTCGAAGAAGACCGCCTCTCGATACATAAGCCGGCTGTACGTCGCCACAACTTCTCGTAAACAATCAACCTCAATCTGACAGTAGCTTAAGATTTGATCGGTAATCGTACTTTACGACCTCTTGGGATTTGATTCTCTCCTCTTTTCCCCCACTGTTTCTCATGGTCGAGGCTTATGTTTATTATTGTTCCTGTTATGGCAAATATACAAACAGTGGAGTATTCTCCCATTCGAATTGATAGTAATCATGTGCAAACTAGTGTGGCTTGCAGATATCGGAGTGTAGCACAATGTCCAGCAGGCAAGGCTGGAGGGTCAAGGAGTGAGGTTGTTCGCTGCCAAGCTTCGGGCACTTTATCGAATTGATCACGATTCCCTGCCAGCAATGGCGCAGGCTAGTGACCGCAGATCGAAAGGCTACCTCATAACCCGTACCACAATTACTTATACCTATTCAACTCTCCTTTGTTCCATTCAGCAGAGGCTGCGCCTGGAAGCCTCAGTTACCTCGCACGGCTGCGCTCACTCCAAGCGCACGCCGACACTGTGCTGCCTCGCGTTTTCTGCCTGACCACCACCGCATGAGAACACCCCACAATCACTTCATCGTCGCAGCCATGGCGCGCGTCTACGCCGATGTCAACGCTAACATGCCTCGGTCTTACTGGGATTACGACTCGGTATCTATCTCTTGGGGTATTCTGGAAAATTACGAAATTGTGAGGAAAATTGGTAGGCCGAAGCTGCGGACACATTTGGCACTAGTACGTGACTAACATGACTGTAAACAGGAAGAGGGAAATACTCGGAAGTCTTCGAAGGCATTAATGTTGCCAACTATCAGAAATGCGTCATCAAAGTGCTAAAGCCGGTCAAGAAGAAGAAGATAAAACGCGAGATCAAGATCCTACAGAACCTTTCCGGGGGCCCAAACATCGTCGCACTTCTGGACGTGGTGCGGGACAGTCAGAGCAAGACACCCAGCCTGATATTTGAAAATGTGGACAATACCGACTTCAGGACCCTCTATCCGCGATTTGTCGACTACGACGTGCGGTATTACATTTTTGAATTGCTCAAGGCGTTGGATTTCTGCCACAGCAAGGGTATCATGCATCGAGACGTCAAACCACACAATGTGATGATCGACCATGCAAAGAGAAAGGTGCGTAGCAGAAATGACGGAGCAGAGCGCAACGCTGACATTTCCCAGCTGAGACTGATTGATTGGGGTTTGGCTGAATTCTACCACCAAGGAACGGAGTACAATGTCAGGGTCGCATCACGATACTTCAAGGGTCCCGAATTGCTGGTTGACTTCCAGGAATACGATTACTCTCTCGACATGTGGTCATTAGGTGCCATGTTTGCCTCCATGATCTTTCGCAAAGAGCCCTTCTTCCACGGCAACAGCAATTCCGACCAACTGGTTAAAATCGCAAAAGTGCTCGGTACAGATGATCTCTTCGAATACCTTGACAAATACGACATTGAACTTGATGCGCAATACGACGACATCCTGAGCAGATTCCCTAAAAAGCCATGGCAGAGCTTTGTCAACGCTGACAATCAGCGGTTTGTCAGCCCAGAAGCCATCGACTTCCTTGACAAGCTACTCAGATACGATCATCAGGTGCGTGGTCTAATCTATGTTTTTAGACCAATATTGACCGCCTCTAGGAACGACTCACAGCTCAAGAAGCTATGGCGCATCCTTACTTTGCACCAGTACGGAATGCAGCAGCACAACAAAATTCACAGAACCACGTTTCTTGACGCAAGCAGGGATGAGCTATTGCAAATATTCCGTCCACGATCGTACAGACGATCACTATTCACACGGCCGGGTGTCTGTTAAGACCACGAGTAGGACGAAACGAGTGATGAGAGATGACATCGCAGTGGCCGTGACTATGAAGGTGGCAAGGCCCCCAAAGGGACCAAGGAGACACAGGTCGGGTAATTGAGAGAGACATGAGGGGACCGAATCGAGCATACAGACCAGGATAGAGTGTGTTGCAGGTACTCGACTCAATCGTGATGCTACTATTACTTTAATCAAACATAGATCCGCCTCAAACCTGTGCTGTTCCTTGTTGAGTCCTCCTATCGATGCTCATTGTCGAATACGCTGCTCTTATCGCCGTGATGTCAGTCTTGGCGTTGACTTTGAGGTTGCGGGTTTCGAGCCTCAACTTTGGGCACGCATAAGACTCATAATTTCCACCCCAGTTACTCATATACCCTTTGCGCTGCCCGAGATACACAACAGTGACTCATTTTGCTCTCCTTTTGTGTTATATGTACTAACTCGTCTCCCTGATCAATCAAAACTGGGTCAAGGGCAAAATCCAGCAAAATACTCTGCAGGCCTTTTCTTCTGCGCCCACCTCCAGCTTGGAGACGGCTACATCGTTTCAACATGGCTCTCAATGCTGCATCCCACAATGTCAGTAAGTATCGATGTTCGTCTCAGAGCTATTGTGCGCTGGCTGACGTTTGCGGCAGCTGGTGACCCAACAGGCTCTCCGTCAGGTCCTCCTCCTCCAGTCTCCTCCGAGATAGCTTCTGCAGCCCAAACCGCGGCCAAAAAGGATGCCCTGGGCAACAATGTGCCTGGCAAAGATCAACAAGATAATGACAGCGGGCAAACTGTGATGGGCGCCGCAGGAAAGCCGAAAACTGCCAAAGAAAGTATGAACGAAAACGCCGAAGGACCACATTGACATACACTGCCCTTCATTCGTATTCATGTTGCATTACAAGCAACGACTCATTTGAGGACGAGTACCGGGTCGCCAGAGTCTCATGGTGCATAACTGGGAAAGTGTTTATAGAGTCGAGCGCATGATGTAGTCAACCAACCACCCACAATAGACAAAGTCCCTACCACTTCCCACCATTCTGTGAATGAACTACAATCTGACAATTCTGCGTGTTATAGTTGAAAAGGAGCGTAAGAAGGCCGAAAAGCTCGCCAAATTCCAGGAGAAGCAATCCAAAAAGCAAGTTCCCGCAGCTGATACCGCATCGAAAGCCCCGAAGAAGGAGAAAGTCAAGAAAGCCGCTGCTGTTGACGCCTACGAACCACAGAAGATCGAAAGCGGCCGATACGAGTGGTGGGAGAGCAGGGGATTTTTCAAACCACAATTTACGAAAGATGGCAAGATCAAGCCAGAAGGCAAATTCGTCATTCCGATTCCTCCCCCAAATGTCACGGGCTCCTTACATATGGGCCATGCTCTTACCAATTCTCTGCAAGATACAATGATTCGGCATGCGAGAATGAAAGGGAAGACGACAGCGTGGATCCCTGGTTGTGACCATGCGGGTATTGCGACTCAAAGCGTTGTGGAAAGGATGGTCTACAAGACAGAGGGCAAAACACGACATGACCTAGGCCGGGACGTTTTGCTGGAGAAGATTTGGAGCTGGAAAGAGAAGTATCATAGCAACATTACCAACCAGTTGAAGCGTCTGGGAGGCTCAATGGATTGGAGTCGAGAGGCTTTCACCATGGATGAGAACCTCTCCCTTGCCGTACGCAAGACTTTCATCGACCTGTTCGACGAAGGTATTATCTACAGGGCGAACCGATTGGTGAACTGGTGTTCTGCATTGAGCACTTCACTTTCCAATCTCGAAGTGGACAACAAGGAACTGAAAGGGCGGACGAAGCTGAAAGTACCGGGCTACGACAAGATGATCGAGTTCGGTGTCCTGACATACTTCAAATATCCGATCAGCAAAGGGGACGACTCGCACAAAACGTCAACCTCCCCTACCAGATTCCAAGGCTATGAGTTCATCGAAATTGCAACAACACGTCCGGAGACCATGCTTGGTGATACGGGTATCGCCGTACATCCAAACGACAAAAGGTACCAGCATCTTGTGGGCAAGACCGCTATTCACCCCTTCATACCGGACCGAAATATCGTTATTTTTGCAGACGAGGAAGTAGAGATGGACTTCGGTACGGGTGCCGTGAAAATTACACCTGCACATGATACCAACGATTTCAACAAGGGCAAAAAGCACAATCTCGAATTTATCAACATCCTGAATGACGATGGCACACTCAATGCCAACGCCGGACCTTTCGCTGGACAGAAGCGTTTCGACGTCCGTTATGGAGTCATCAATGCTCTGAAAGAGCTTGATCTCTATACCAAGCAAGAAGACAATGCAATGACAATCCCCATGTGCCAGAGGAGCAAGGATGTAATTGAGCCAGTGTTGAAGCCGCAATGGTGGATGAGAATGGCCGACCTTGCTAAAGCTGCAGATGAAGCTGTGCTTGATGGAAGAATTGCCATCAAACCTGAAACGGAGTCTCGACGCTTCCATTTTTGGATGCAGAATATCCAAGATTGGTGCATCTCTCGACAGTTGTGGTGGGGCCACCGTGCACCTGCATATTTCATTGAGCTTGAGGGCGAAGCTAGTGACGAGGGCGACGATAAGTTCTGGGTGTGCGCTTACGATGAAGAGGAAGCCCGTGCGAAGGCAGAAAAGAAATTCCCAGGCAAAAAGTTCACCTTGAGGTGGGATGAGGATGTGCTGGACACCTGGTTCTCCTCAGGCCTCTGGCCCTTCTCGACCCTTGGTTGGCCCAAAGAGACGTCAGATATGCGGGAGTTATACCCGACCTCCATGCTGGAGACTGGTTGGGATATCCTCTTTTTCTGGGTTGCTCGAATGGTCATGCTCGGATTGAAATTGACTGGTGATGTTCCGTTCACGGAGGTCTACTGCCACTCCTTGATCCGAGATGCCGAAGGAAGAAAGATGTCGAAGTCGCTAGGAAACGTTGTCGATCCCCTGGACATCATCAGAGGTATCACGCTGGAAGACCTCCACAAGACACTCTACGCCGGCAATCTCGACCCCGTCGAAATTGAACGGGCCAAGGCATATCAGAAGTCGGCGTTTCCCAAGGGTATCGAGGAATGCGGCTCCGACGCTCTACGGTTCACATTGGTCAACTATACGACGGGCGGAGGTGATATTGCATTCGACATCAGAGAAATCGAAGCGAAGCGACGATTCTGCAACAAAATCTATCAGGCCACCAATTTTGCGTTGGGGAGGCTGGGTGAAGAATTCGTTCCCGATGCGAAGCTGACCGACAACGAGCCCGTATCGCTTTCTGAGAAGTGGATCCTCCACAGACTCAACACTGCCACCAAAGAGGTCAATGAAGCGATTGAAGGGCGCGAATTCTCCGTGGCTGCTGGTACCTTGTACCAGTACTGGTTCACTCAACTTTGCGACACTTTTATCGAGAATTCGAAATACATTTTGACTCCTGAAGCTCCGGAGGACCAGAGGAAGTCTGCCCAGCAGACATTGTACACAGCACTCGAAGGAGGTCTGCTGCTTATGCATCCGCTCATGCCATTCTTGACGGAGCACTTGTGGCAGAAACTGCCCCGGCGCAAGGGCGACACTACCGAGAGTATTATGATCGCCAAGTATCCGGAGTTCATCGAGAAGCTCAATAATCCCATGGAAGCTGAGAAGTACGAGTTTATCATGGCCATCGCTACTGGCATACGCAGCCTGCTTTCACAATACGGCTTCAAGGAGCCTGGAGATCTCATCATCCAGACGTACTCGGAAGCTGCTTTCAACACTGTTTCTGAAGAGCGCACGTCTCTCAAATCACTTGGCGGAAAGTATGCTGGTGAGATAGAGGTCCTTCCGCCTAGCGCAACCTCTCTCCCCCCTGCTGGATGTGCCCTTCAGAGCATCAATGCCGATGCGGCAGTGTACTTGAAGGTTGTTGGCAAGATTGACCTCGTCGAGGAGCTGAAGAAGCGAGAGAAGGGCGTCGAGGATGCGAAAGCACGTGTTGAGAAGAGCAAAAAGATCATGACTGCGGCTGGCTGGGAAAAGGCGAACCCGGAAACCAAGACCAAGGAACAAGAGAAGCTTGAGGACGCAGAAAGCGAAGTGAAGAGGCTTGAAGAAGCCATCAGAGATCTAGAGAGATTGAAGATGGAGGGCTAGAAGGCTTGCAATGAGGGTTTTCGGGCTCATGCGAGGCTTCAAAAATGTTTAAGTAGATAACTCATATACCGAGGGCTTGACACTTGTAGAACAGCTGATCTGAATTACCTAGGTATTCACCATTCTTTATTCTCTAGGATAAGGACATACTTACCTGGTACCTTAGGTATCCCCATAGCATATGACTGGCTTCCGGCGCCTCTCCGAGTCTCTCGGCAGGTACAAACGAGGATACCTAGGTACAGTACTCGCCAAGGTGGGAAGCGGCCCTGGGGACTCGGAGATGGTCTCGTGGTTGACGGTCCGCTAGAATATGGCGGATTCACCCGTGTCCAATCCTGTCGGAAACAAAAAAAAAAATAAGATCTAGGAATAAAATGTTCGTTACATTCATTGTAGCGGGTACATGTCTAGAGATATTACGTAGACTACGACGTGCCTCTGCGCAGCAGCTTCTGATTTCAGCATTCTTTCTCAGCTACAGCATGGGTTGAAGGACAACTTCTTTCAGACTTACGAATCCGCCTACGCGTTCGGTGGCCCGTTCCATTCTTTTCCCCTGCACCTCGAAGACCAGCCCCAAATGCCGCTGACGCAGTTTCTCCGCGTCGAAACGCGACACATGTCCCCTTGCCTAAGAGAGTATTTCGGACACAGCCAGACACGCTTAACAAGACATTGCAGGTCAGCGAGCAGCTTGTCTTCGAATAGATCCTCATTGGCGATCCTCACGTCTTCGAGAAATACACTCCCTAGACTCCTCTCCGCAGCCGCAAGCCGTCGAAGCCTCCCAATGACCGCAACACAGACAATGACCCAGTCGAGGAGTCATGCAGGACACTCTCATGGGCATGGGCATTCCCACGATACCGCCTACTTGACCTCCAAGAATAAGAATGATGCTGGTGTCAGAATAACCAGAATCGGGCTGTTTGTGAACCTGGCCATGGCCATCGGCAAGGGAATAGGAGGCTACGTCTTCCACTCTCAAGCATTGATCGCCGACGGGTTTCACGCCTTGACTGACCTGGTGTCCGACTTTATGACGTTGGCTACAATATCATGGTCTTTGAGGCCTGCAACATCTCGCTTTCCGAGCGGCTATGGCAAGATCGAAAGCTTGGGTGCTCTCGGCGTCAGTGGTCTACTACTGTTCGGTGGTGTCGGTATTGGGTTCAACGCCCTGGACGTTCTATATTCGCAGCTCTTTCTCGATGCAGCTGCACAGGCACATGAGCATGCAGAACACTCTCATGGACTATTTTCCTTCCTGGGCCACAGCCATGGCCCGGTCGTTCCTGACCTCAACGCTGCATGGCTTGCTGGAGGCTCGATCATTGTCAAAGAGTGGTTATACAGAGCTAGTAAGTTGTCGCCTCTCAGCTGTTCCATGCGAATACTAAGATCAGACAGCTATGAAGATTGCTCGGGAACGCAAATCGGCTGTCCTAGCCTCGAACGCCGTTCATCATCGAGTCGACTCCCTCACTAGCATCGTCGCACTTGCTACCATTGGAGGAGCACATGTATTCACCGATGCGTCTTGGCTAGACCCTGTCGGTGGGTTGCTCATTTCTGCCATGGTAATCAGAGCCGGCTGGGGCAATACTAAATCTGCCTTGCTCGAGCTGGCGGATGTCACCGTGGACAATGAGGTCAAGTCTTCGGTCCGTCGTGCTGCAACAAAAGCTTTGAAGGGTGACCCAGCGCAGGGCGTTGCCCCAGTGAAGTGTGGCGAGCAGGCCGAGATCAGAGATATCCAGGGAACAAAATCTGGTCAGAACTATCTCATCGATATTGAATTGGCTGTGCCCAGCGGCTTGACGCTACAAGAAATGGAGGACATTGAGAATGCAGTCCGAGAAAGGGCAGGTTCGAAAGTCCGTGGTGTCCGACGAGTCCGAGTCAAATTTGTTCCTGCTGAGGATACTCAATCTACTCTTGCTGGCGACTTTATTCCTGCGGACGTCAGCCCACGGAGCAGTCCCGAGCCAGAAGACGAACACGAGCATAACCATGACCATGACCATGAGAAGGCGCCTTCAAATGGCCACGCTCACCACCATTCCAACGGACAGGCGCAAACCACAAACAGGAGAAAGAAAGATGATTGATAAGTTATGGACACGTATGGAGTACTCATGTTGGGCCTTGTGGGCATCTTCGGCGTAAAACTCCGGCGGCCACGAGTCTATGATTTCAGGCTGATATCATCGTGCCAAGATGACCACCGGGAACCTCAAAAGGTTTCCAAGGTTGGCCGCGCATAACCCCGCGTTGTTCTATCACAGCCAAAACAATTCTCCAGGAACCCTTATTTCCTTCGGTTGAGCTCCAGAGAGAGACAGATTGGGACTCTATATATCCAAAGGTCACCACCTGCACGCAGCTTAAATATGACCTCCTCCGGTCCTTTATACTTGGGCTTCGACCTATCCACCCAGCAGCTAAAAGGACTGGTTGTCGATGATAGTCTCAAAAAGGTTCACGAGGCCAAGTTCGATTTCGATGCCGACTCCAAAGGATTCAACGTCAACAAAGGCGTCCTCGTCAATGAAGCCGAACATGAAGTCTTTGCCCCTGTTGCAATGTGGCTCCAAGCCATGGATACTCTACTTGCAAGACTAAAGGACGACGGTCTTGACTTTCAGCGCGTAAAAGGTATTAGTGGCTCAGGAATGCAGCATGGGAGTGTGTTCTGGAACGCAGATGCAGAGCAATTGCTAGCCCAGTTAGACCCTGAGAAGACGTTGCAGTCGCAGCTCGACCGTGCCTTTGCACATCCTTTCAGCCCCAACTGGCAAGACGCCAGCACCCAAAAGGAATGCGATGAATTCGACGCGATACTAGGGGACGAACATCAATTAGCCAATGTTACGGGAAGCAAAGCGCATCATCGCTTTACTGGCCCACAAATACTGCGATTCCAGCGAAAGTACCCCGACAAATACATCAAGACTCACAGGATCACACTGGTCTCGTCTTGGATAGCCACTATATTCCTAGGCAAGTTTGCACCATTCGATATTTCAGACGTATGTGGGATGAACCTCTGGGACATCAAGGCCGGAAATTGGAATGAGAAGCTACTCGAACTTGCAGCTGGACCATCAGGCGTGGAAGCATTGAAGCAGAAATTGGGCCATGTCCCTGAAGACGGCGGCATCCATCTGGGCAATATTTCGAAGTATTTCGTCCGTCGCCACGGCTTCAGCGAAGACTGCACGATCATCGCATCGACAGGAGACAATCCATCCACTATCCTCGCTCTCCCCCTTCGTTCCAACGATGCAATAGTCTCCCTGGGCACATCAACCACGTTCCTCATGTCGACTTCAGAGTACAGACCTGATCCGGCGACACATTTCTTCAACTCTCCTACCACGCCGGGCCTGTATATGTTTATGCTATGCTACAAAAACGGCGGCCTGGCCCGCGAGAAAGTCCGCAACGCCATCAATTCCAAAGCAAGTGTGTCAGATACGACTTCCTGGACCGAGTTCGACAAGTATCTTCTCTCGACACCGCCATTGGCACAGTATGACCGGTCGAAACCCATGCAGCTGGGACTGTACTTTCCTCGTCCCGAGATCATCCCGAACCTGCCCATTGGCGAGTGGCATTTCGAGTATGACCCCGAGTCCGGCAATCTTACGCCGACTGAGAAAGTCCCACAATCGCCTGAGCAAGACGCACGCATCATTGTCGAGTCACAATTCTTATCTTTGAGGTTGCGCTCGAGGGATCTGGTTTCCTCGCCAGCCCAAAATCTCCCGCCGCAGCCGCGACGCGTGTACATGGTCGGTGGAGGAAGTCGGAACAAGGCGATCGCCAAAGTCGCCGGCGAAGTTCTGGGCGGCTCGGAAGGCGTTTTCAAACTTGACGTTGGTGAGAATGCGTGCGCGCTAGGCGCGGCGTATAAGGCTGTCTGGGCGATGGAGCGGGCTGAAGGCGAGACCTTTGAGGAGTTGATTGGGAATAGGTGGCGTGAGGAGGAGTTTGTCGAGAAGATTGCCGATGGATATAACCCGGAAGTATGGGAGAAGTATGGACGGGCGCTAAAGGGGTTCGAGATGATGGAGTTGAGACTGTTGGAGGACAAGAAGCAGGGGAAGATGGACTGAGCCGTGAATGAGGCACGAGATTGGGATAAGCGGAGGGTTGGTGAGGGCTGCGTGTACGAATATCAAGCATAGTCAGAAAAGCATTGATATAGAAAGATAGACATGTAATTGTGCATTCGAGCTGAGGCGAGTGTAGGCGTCTCCGCCATATAACAAGGGCTACCTCTATATTCTCTGCTCTGATAGCCTTGCGACCTTTCACCTTCCTTCACGAACAACGCATGAGACAAAAGAACGGCGAAAGGCCTGTCTCCCCGTGTCGATTTTGCTTTTTTACCGCCGCGTAAACTGAAGCGGCGTCCAAGGCTCCCCCCACGATAACGCATGACTGCTTGAAAGCCCAACGACACCGGCCCTATACGCACGAGGGCCCTTGATGCTTCATCGGACTCGCGTTATACAAGTACGTTCCTAGGGAAGTTCAATGCTTGTTCTGTGGATTCGTTGAATAGCTGCTCTGAGTCGCACATATACTATACAAATGTCCGGAAGATTCCATCCTGAATTGGGTGTTCTTGAGAAAGTGCTGAGCGTTGAAGATGTTTATACAGAGGTTCCCCTGATACGGGAGTTCCACTTGGGGGCCTTTCATGCTTGTGGTATGCATAGGGTCTCGAGTCATCCCAATCAACAATTCCAGGGGCGCAGGAGGCAGCAGTGTAGCTCCGCGATGTCGTCGCGTGGACTCGAACAGGGTCGGCGAGTGTCCACACTGGGCTCGCAGCAAAGCACATATAATGCTGGGTCGCACTTTTGCTGATAGCACCCTCTTTACTTAAAAAATCGTCCCATCATATTCCCCGCCAGATTTCTCGCGATGCCTGAGCCCATGAAGGCCGAACCCGCGAAACTCGATGCTTGACTGAACTTGTCGCACCGGGAAAAGGCTACGGTGTTGGTTATTGTGAGGCCCAGTGCTATGGCTGTACCAATGTCAGTCTTCTAGGTCTTCCTCACGGCGGAGCTGGGGGGAGGAAGGAGGAAGAAGATGTACATACCGATTGTAACCAGCCAAATCAGATTCTGCAGCCTGACAATGGCTAGAATAGCCAGTCCTACCCATAGCGCCGGCACGACGTACATGCTCAGCCAGAAGAAGCGCTTGTCGGTCTTGTTTTCGGCGCGGCTTCCCTCGGGCGCGGACTCGAAGACCCAGTGGCTGTCGCCCGTCGCGGTGTTGACTTCGTTCCACCATCTTAACCCGACAAGCCGCCGGCCAGCGATGTTCTTGAGGTAGTAGAAGTCGATGGACAGGAGAAGCAGGGTCAGGATGAAGACTAGGACGAAGTTCCGGATGAAGAGGACGCCGAAGAGGTACATGAGAAGGCTGCCTGGGAGCAGTTGTTAGCTAGTCCAGGGCTGCACAAGGGCGCGGCATCCACGAGAGAAAGAGATAGAGGTCGGCAGTGGTGTAGAAAGTACCTACCTATTCGAAAGCCCAGGTATGTGAGGAGGGTGATGGGGTGCGCACTCAGGCGCCAATTGAGAGAGCCGGCTTCATCTGCCATGACGGATAGAAGTGGACGGGTATGGTAAGAGATACACTATAGCACTGCGACGATTGACATTCCGGGACTGAAGCAAAAGTGCACGAGAGGACACTGGCAATAGGAGTGAGTTTACCCACGGCGAGGCGCGTGTCGATTGATGGGAGAGAACACATGCGCAGAAACCTGACAGTCAGTCACGTGAGCGCTGGCTAACTTGAGTCGCTCAAAGAACCTTTGAGACTGGGTCCGAGATTCTCGAGTGGACAGAACACCTTCCTCGCTGCAGGCTATACAAATTGCCCATGGCGTTGTCATGATAGCCCGAGAATGCCACCACCTCCGAACCTACCGCGGCCGCCTACTAGACTTCCTCCTGCACCACGACATCCTCTACAGTCCGCCCAGAATGTCGCCAACCGCCCAACGGGCAGTCCCCGGTACAGGCCTCTGGTCTACGCCCTCGGCATCGCCGGTATAGCAGGCTCAGGAGCATTGATCGGGGCCATTCTTAAGATGAACGAGCAGGATCAGACGCAGAAGGTAGGATCAAAACCAATGGCTTACCTCCGCCAAAATTCCTCGGTGCCGGTGAACTAATACATCCTCATTGGACACAGCCCCAGATACGGTCACAGCAGCCTCGAGAGGTCGACTACAAACAGGCTATCCAGACTCTAGAGACGAAACGGGGCCATCTCATCACTCAGAAGATCCAACTCGAACGCAAAATTCAGGACCTTCGCCAGAGTCAGAAACTCCAAGCAGAGGAAGAGCAGAGCAAGAAGGAATTGGACTTGAAAAGATGAGGCATAATCCGCTAGGGATTTTCAATGAACTATACATGCATGAACATGTCCTCCGAGCAAGCCTTTCCGGAGGCGGAGACCCAGCTGCAATGGACCTTCATACCAGTCGGCAAAGGGAAGAGCAAGACACGATGGTGGCAAGTTGCAACCCGCAATTTGCAAAGAAATCTCACACCTCGCCGTGAATAAGAAGATCTAGGAGGGCACAGCAAGGCAAAGATCCTGTTCAAGCGGACAGACAGCACTCGAGAAACCTTTACGGGTGTGGCAGCACGCCATCGTGAAGAGGCGCATATGTAGCCGCTCGTTGACACATCGTTGTGTCTCTGCGGGGTTAATTGGTGGGAAGCTCTTGCGCATGAAATCATGAAGGGACCACTGTTGCGTTCGAAAAAGCTGACAGTCGTCGGCTGCCCTTTCAGAAGATTCGCATCGCAACCATCAGCAGCCATGGGAGGTACGCAGAAGAGAGGACCAAAAGATGTCGAACACCATTCGGCACTAAACCTTCCGCTGTCTTTTCATCGAGACGGAGGGAGCGACACTGCGAACTGCTCGATTCCACGTATTGCAACGAGGAAATCACAGCGTGAATGGCCATGGAACATAATATCTTCCGACGCCGTCACTACAATATCGAAGTCAAGGCAAAATCATTGCGCTGCTATAATCGGCTTGTTATCCCATGTCAATATTTGATCCAATTGACTCGCGGACAAGACGCATATCTCTACATACAAAGACACAACCGAAAAGACACCAACACACATTAGACTTCGTTCCAATGCCTCAGCGTACTTGTATAGCCGGCTGAACCACATGAAGCCCCTTCCCGCAGATTGCCATTTCCTCATAACGTCCTTTGCATTTCCAATACACTAGGTAGTCACTCTCAACGCAACGCCATTCCACGAGCCTTCGAAGATGCTGATACAAGATTCTTTGTGCCACGATAAAGAGACCAACGGCAAGGAAGAACAGAAAGGGGAAGAGACACACAGAGAGGAGTCGCTGAACTGTTGAATTGAATGGCCAAACTCCACTCCCAAGGAGTTTATCCCCAATGTGTCATGCAATCGCAACCCTCATCTGGCGTCTGGCGCCCCTTCTCCAGCACTCTGCATCGGTAAATTAAGTCCTCGTCATTTAGAATCGTGCGCCCACCCTTCGCCATGGCTGAATACCCGAACATGCTTGCCCTTGCCTTCAAGGGAACGCGTTGAACAATTGTGGTACCGGGTTCTTTAATCCGCTTGGACGTGGTCAGCTGGCCTCCGGGGCTTGTTGTTCGCGCCGCTGACGCCTGAATTTTCTTCCGAGTGTCGCTCTTCTACGTCAAATTCCCCATCCGGTTCTTTGCTCGTTCCAGTATTAGCATTGACGGATTCGTGGTCTGGTCGCTGCTGTTGGACCTCCGGTTTCTACTTCGCTTTGCTGGAGGGGCCAAAATCAGCCTCCACAGCCTTCTGCGCCGACCTCTGCTTCTCAACCTTGAATTCGGCCACGATCGCAATATGGTCGCTCGGAAAGTGGAAGTTGGGAAACCCAGGGACACGCTTCAGGTATTCAGGGTCGATAGCGCCCAGGAGGCCAACAACTCTGAGCGTATTACTCGAGTACCAGATGTAATCCAAGACGTCGACAAAGTTTGGAGTGTAGTTTGTGAAAGGCATCTCATCGTCAATGGCCGCATAGGAGGACTTCAGGGTGAATTGATGGGACATTCCGGCGCGAGAGAGGGTACCATAGTCTCTGCCGAGGAAATCGACATGCTCCGCAATCAATCCCTTCTTCGTGAACAGGTCATAGACAGCAGAGCCGGCCCCGGAGTTGAAGTCTCCACAGATTATCATGGGTATTTGTGGACCGGATTGGTATGATAATGATGGTCCTGGTTCAGGGAGTGGTTCATCCTCGGAGTCCGAAAATCTGAATGCTTGCTTGTTCGTTGCGGGTGGTATTTTGGCATACCTGTCTGCCAGTTTGGAAAGCTCCTCCATCAGCACAGCTGCTTGAATGAGCTTCACGTCTTTGTAGGCGGGATCCCAGTAGATGTGAGCGTTGACGACAATGACTCGTGATCCAGTGACACGGTTTTCCAGGAATACCACGGTCGCAATATCGTCCCGCTGCCAGACTCTGTTCAACATATCGGCAGAAGCTTTCGCGCCTGGTCGCTCCACCGCCTTTCGCCCGAGAACGAGATGTTGACTATCCAGCAGGACGTACTTCTTGTCCTTCCAGAATGTACCGCAGCCGTCAACGAACTTGGCGTTGTCCCCCAAGGTCTCCGCACGACTTTTCTGAGCGTAGTAGCCCTTGTACCCTGATCTTGAAAGTTCGGCTCGGAAGAATTCGTCATAACTGGTGCGATCCAACTCTTGCAGACATACTATATCGGCGTTCGTCTCGCGGATCTCTTCCAGAATCAACGTCTTGCGGTATCCCCAAGTCAAGACGCGCTCTGGGACGTAACCATACTGCGATTGCGTAGCATAGCGAGCGCACAGAATGTTGTAGTTCAATGCTTTTATCGTGTCAGCGTCATCTGAAACTTCTTCCAACTGGTGCCATTCTCTTTCTCGCGGAGGTGGAGGTTCTGCTTTCTTGTCAACATTTCTGCAAGTATGGATATCGCGAAAGGAGGGGCAAACCTGGCATGCTCTCTCGCAAATACTCGATTAGCTTCTTCGTACCGCCTTCGGTGATCTTGTCGCGCTGCCCTGGTTCCAGTGGGTTACCATACACACCAAGCACTTCCAGATTGAATAGAAAGCCGAGCTCATAACAGAGAGTCTGAATATGGTTGCTAAACAGTAGTAGTTTCTTCAGATTCGTCAGCATCCCTATTTCCTCCGGTAATTCGGTGAGTTGGTTGAAGGAGACGTCCAGATGCTCCAAGTTCTTCAGCTGGCCGATTTGTGGCGGGAGGGTCTCTAATTGGTTATATACAAGATCCAGTCGTTTCAAGAAATGGTAGGCAGGATTGAAAAGCACAGGAGATAGTGCACAGAGGCCTTGGCCGCCCAGATCGAGCTCGTCCCACGTCTGCTTGCTCGCAGTGGTCCCGCTCGAGGTGGTGATACTGCGTGTATTGTCTGTCTGAAGTTCCTCCGCTGCGGCCCCTAAAGGCACGAAGTTCACACCCTTGGATTGGTGCGCAACCGAACGCGCCCGGGAGTTAGGCCCGTTGAGCTCCTTGCTTTCTTCCCAAACTTCCTTTTGTTCTCGCCAATGGGGATTATCTGGGTCCTCCATATCATCATGAGGCAGTCCATTGCCGTTGCCGTTTTGCAGATGCTCGTGTGCGTATGTTTGAAGATGAGGTGTTGACGATTGGTAGCCACCGGAGGAGATATTATGCTGATGCCCTAAATGTCCCCCATGATGATGTTGCGCATGATGCTGATTCACGTTGTGATGGGTGTGATATGGCGGCTGATATTTTGGAATGTGTATATTTTGATGCCGTTGATGACTCTGTGCCCCGTTCATCAACCCATGCTGAGCTTGATAGCCATTTTGAGAGAACATGTTGAAATTATGGGCAAGACCAGGGTTCACAGGTGATCGCGACGGGGAGGGAGTGTCGTTGCTGAACGGTCGTCGTCCGGACGGCGAGGAGGCTCGATTCTGATTACGATGAGTGGTATGCTGGCTAGGATAAAACTGCCCGGCTCCAGGCTGATGGAACCGGAACCCACCATCTGCCATCTAACGTGGCAGCCTCGTTCGAGTCGTCTGTGATGAAGATTGTACGAGAGGGTCGCAGGGGAAGAGGATCGGAGGGGTCGGTAGGACTTTGTGGGTGTTTGAGGAGCGGGCGGAGGGTAGAGCAAGTCTTCGTGTCTTCCACATGAGACCCCTTGAAGAGCTCAATGTTGAATGGGGAGTGCTCTGAAGCTCTAGCTAGGTTGATCAGGCACCTTAGCGCTGTGTTGGGATGGTGGACGAGTTCTGAATTCGGGGTGACGGAGATGGAAGCTTGAAAACGGTTTGGCAAGCGGGAAAGGGGGGCAGTGACAGATCTGTCAAGGCACGTCGATTAGTTGGTGCGTGGCTGAATATTGATTTGATATACACAGAGATATCGATGGAGATGTAGTGAATGAGAGTGCGCGAGCGATTTGAAGAATGAGTTTGCTATGCGCAGTAGAAGGTCAGGGCGCAGACACTGCAAGTGGTGGGATGCAGTCACATCCGCAGCCTCACCAGCCGGTTTCTTGGCACGGCCGCATCCAGTCACCAGCCTCATCGTTTACAGCTCGACAATACCACTCTGTCATCTCTGCCATGTCAAGATTATCAAACCACTCAAGAACCGACGAAACCTGCCAGGGATTTTCTCTCTCTTACTTTTGGGCTTATGAGTTTATCCTATGGCGATCCAGAGAGCCGTGAGACTCAATCAGCTACAGGCTACATGCAACCTCCACAATGAGTTGGTACGCATTCGCGCTTCCGATGGCCACAGATCGGTCAATCTTCAAGCGCGCTGGTCTTGATCAATACCGAAGATTCCAATATTGTTAGGCAGTCGAGTTGCGGACATTGCCGTTGTTTGACTGATGTTCGACAACGGCTCTTGTTTGGCAACTCGTCCAACCTTCGAGTATCTGTCACCAAAGAGCCCAAGTTTCCTGCGACGTCCACTTCAGGGGCCAGAGAGCCCACCTCGGTCGCGGCAGAATACCAAGCACTGACATCGAGTGCCAAACTGTGCCGTAAGGACGATTGTGCTGGGCGCAACCACCTGGAATTTCGGGGACGGTCTCGCATTTTCAGCTCTGCTTCTTCTCGCCGGCATCGTGCACCACAATCCCCCGTTGCTAGTTGACTGATATCGTACAGGCATTGTTGGCTCTGCCGCGTCCATCTGGGTTGATACCAGGTCACGTGCGATTAATCCTGACCGGGGTGTCTGAGGATAGATACCTTCCTATTCTGCCGAATGGATAGCCACGTTGTCGGTGAGTGTTGCTCGGCATTGGAGCGTCCTTGGTGGAGAGACATTTTTTGTATATGTGGAAGCCGGGGTTCACGAGTAGCGACTTTTCATCGATCGATATTTCTTGAGAAAATATAAAGCCTCTATTTCCTTCTTGACGAACTCGGCTCGCTTGATACCCTGACGTATCTGCTCCTCGTCTGTCAAGCTCGCCTTCGACATAAATGCCTTATGCAGCCGTGATCGAAAATAGTCATAGCCTAAAGGATAATGTCTGCCCATCTCCAGGAGCTCTATTGACAGGTCAATATTCGCCGGTGAAGAATCAACACGTCTGTGTCTTACCTTTGTAGATATTGATGACTTGTCTTCGCAGTTCGGTGTTCATCTTGATTCGCCTAAGCTTGCGTACTCTCGAATATGAAGCTCTATCGCCATAACCTCCGAGCAATGATATATTACAGAAGCAATGGCCTGTCGAACCCATGACGTTGGTGATCGAGACTGCCAAGACCTCGGCAATGTCATTGGCAGTCACCACGTCGCGGCTCTCACCTTTCGACTTCCATCTCTCCTCCTTTCATGCGGCTATCTCGAGATTTCTCAATATCCAGGATGGCGGCTTAGAACCCGAGCGACCATGCAATTAACCTGTCGTTAATCCAGAAGAGGCACTGATCAGGCTAATAATGAAGCTCTTTGTTGACTCTATTGACAAACTCTCCACCGTGGTTCAGCACGGCGAGATTATGTTCGAAGATTGCAAGCACCCGACTCCAATGATTAGTCGATACCCAACTGATGTGAGGCGTTATCAAAAGGTTTGGAGCCTTCCACAAAGGATGATCTTTGGGCAGTGGCTCAGGATCAGTCACATCTACTGCAGCTCCCCGAATCATGCCTTTCTCCAATGCTTCGACCAAGTCGTCGGTGTTCACGTGTCCGCCTCGAGCGACATTACTCACGAACGTCTTCTTCTTCGCAAGAACCTCGAATTGCTGTCTGGAAATCATGTTTCGGTTGGAAGCTGTCAAGGGAAGGCAGATGACCAGGATGTCGAGATCCTGGTCTAGAAAGTTGTTAAGATCCTCCTTTGTCGTGCCGTGAAACCACCTCGACGGTAGTAACCCGTCTGGATCTCCAGTCCCTGGCACGCAATAACTGTCGTCCTTCCGAGATTCAGGTGTCAGCCTTTCACGAGCTGTGTACGCTATGACATCCATCCCGAGGGCTCTCGCAAGGTTGGCACACTGCCGTCCTATGGCCCCGTACCCCAAGATACCCCTGCCACCGGTCAGATAGATCACTTCACCTGAAATGACTTACATTCGAAGTCCCCAAGAATCCTGGAAACTGCTTTGGAAGAGGGGTTCCCAGTATCCTTGTTGCATGTAGCTGCTGTATTTCCGGAATTGATGTTGATGAGACAACCAACTTCCTATGACCCATTCGGCAATTTGGGGTCTACCACACCGACATCAGCCTTTACACCCTCAATTTGCCCGGGAGACACATACGGATGAGCACCGTTTGAGGTACAGAACAAGATATTAGGATCTTGGTAATGTCGGTTTTTGGCCCAATGATCCGCTCCGGCAGAGTTCAGTTGTACAAACCGAAGCTTTGGGAGAAACGCATCCTTGGGTATTTCAAACCCCCATACAATCGTGGCCGTATCCCAGATTTCCTGCGGTATATCGTCGACACTGAGTGGCGCTTTCACGCTTCTCCAATGTATCTTTACCCCAGGATAGTGCTTTTGGAGACTGCTGATGACTTCTTCTTTGGGTTCGTCAGGCACCAGGATGAGAATCGTGTCCTTACTTGGACATCTCGCCCTCTGTGTCGACTCCATCCTGCGTCAACACCTCCACAGGGATCTTTAGGCAATGTCCAGTTCACGAGCGAAGCCGTCTGTGCTCCTTCTACGAATACTTGGTCTCCTTGAGATTCTGCAACTGCTATTCTTGTTTGAGAAATGAGGATATTCCGACGGGAGATCTGCGAGAGCCAAGATACTACTTGCTAGGTATCATTGTCGGACATCCCCGCGCTAGCTCTGATGGGTATTCCATCTTGTTCACTGTTCAGAGTTGTCTCGCTCAGTATCAGATCCTTTTTCTTTTTCCTTAATACTATGATAGAGGCTGGGTTGAAAGAAGTATATCTTACAACCTCGACCATCATTCCCGCCTGCGTGGCATGCGATTGCTCCAAGATGCGCGCGAATCAAATTTTGACTGCGCCAGTTCTGCAACCAAGTTCTTCACCTGATCCTACGAGAAACCCGGCGGCTTAACTCATTTACACGTACCCACGGCGAACGCGGGATACGTTGATTGCAATTGGGAACGCAGCTGAGGATGCTGAAATCGTGTCCGGTTACCTTATATGGCACGGAACTAGTCGAGCCGTAGGGAAAGTGATTTCAAAGCCTGGAACAGAGAGCTGCGCCGTATCAGCCTGCTTGTTGTAACACTGGGAATAGCCTCGGCCATTCAAACAGGTGCACGGAATATAAGTCGTACTATCAGTCAATGTTAGGCTACCCAGCGGATTTTTGTCTACCGATCCTTCGTGGTGGATAATACAACGCCTTGATAAGAGCAGGCGAGCTCCACCGCATCAGGACGAGAAACGACAAGTTCTCGTGGGAAGCGAGAGGCAACGTCGGCATTTATCACCCCCTGCGCGTTGGTCCATTCGCCACTGGCAGCTCCGAATAATGTCAGGAGCAATTGAGAGCCGGGGCATTGCGTGCGATAGGTGAGTCATGCAAGACAAGGCATGCCTCAAAGCAATGGCGATACAAGAACTTCCTGCAATCTGAAAGGAGCAGGGTCATGGATCAATCAGAAGGCTTTGCAGACCTCCAGCAATAGTCGGGTGGTGCTATCGCGCAAGTTTCATTACGTTTCCAGGTAGGCGACAGCACCTGATATTCGTGACATCTCCAATGCATTGCGAAATCGAAGTTGGTTACATTATGCATGAGATAGGATCGGCCGGAAGCCGGTTAGGGTTCACTGTCCACACTAGCTTAGGCTTTGCTGGCAGAGCTAGGCTTGATTAAGGGCTCTTCAGGCTATCCGGCGAGTGGCTCTATACTCCGTTCTTCTTGTTAGAGGGGTGGAGGGGCTTCACGGGGGCTGATGGGGCGTTTGCTTGGTCAAAGCTTGACGAGGCTTGTGGTAACATCGGGGTTCAATTGGATGCCTGCCCAGCTATCTCTGTCCCCATCTACATCATCCCAGGGTTCAATTGGATGCCTGCCCAGCTATCTCTGTCCCCATCTACATCATCCCAGGGTTCAAGTGGTCACGGAGCTACCAAAGCTGTTTAAACCGAGCTCGGAACCCTCCATCACCAAAGCATGGTTACATCGATCGCCAGCAATGTCACATACTTGACAAACATCAGGCGCCCGAGGAATACTTACTTCGGTGGCCCTTCGCAGGTAATGTCGCTTAAAGAGTTGTATCCCCTCCTGCGTTCTAGTTCGAGAAATCCTGCTTCCACGTCGCTTCATACTGCATCTACTGCTCCGCCAGTGTCGACCATTCACCGGACACTCACATTTGTTATTGACGGATAAGGTGCGCAAGCATGTCTTTGGCAGATGCAGTCAACGGCCCGAAACCGAGCAACCCGGAGCGTCCGGAGACTTTCATCAGTCCTATGAACAGAAAGCTCTACGACAGTAATGTCACTTTCGAAGAGTATCTGCACTATGCCAAGCGCACAAGAGCTGACGAAGAGGCCGAGCAGCACATACCTCAAGCAGGTCTTTTGCAACAGGTTTTCAGGAGGTCGTCAACAGCTCCCGAGCCACCTGGGCCAACTCATCACAATGGTGCGAGTCCCGAGAATGGTGGTGTAGAAGAGAAGGCTGGGAAGGATGTTGCGGCGGCGCCAGATACAGACCAGGAGGGGACCCATCCCCGCCGCAGGAGCATTCTATCCCGACATTCTATCATCACAGACGATGAGTGGCGAAATGCTGCTCGCGCAATGCGGACTGCCAGCTGGGGTGCCGGTTTCTATCTGATCACGACGGATATTCTGGGACCTTATGGTGTCGGTTTCGCCCTGGGCACGCTAGGTTGGGGTCCTGGCATTGCGCTTTACACCGTGTTTGCTTTCATGGCCGGCTATTCTGGATACCTTCTCTGGCAAGTCTACCTTGGTCTTGATTCATACGAATTTCCGCTCCGCAACTATGGAGACCTTGCCTACCGTACAATGGGCAACGTCGCGCGATATGTCGTCAATATCCTTCAGTCGATCCAGCTGCTCCTCATCTGCGGTCAAGTCATCATCCAGAACGGACAGGGGATCTCGCAGACTTCCAGATTCCGACTTTGCTATGCCGTTTGCATCATTCTTTTCGTGATCGCAGGCTTTTTCATGGGACAAGTTCGCACTTTGCGAAACTTTGGTATATTCTCCATGATCGCTGTGGGCCTGAATCTCATGGTCATCTTTATATCAATGGGCGTTATGGCGCATTCGCCTCCCAACTATAGCATCAGCGTTCTCGGTTCTGCAGGTTCAGCCGTCGACCCCGACTCGATCACCCCAGATGCTCAGGGAAATTATCCCCCGATCATACACTACGGTGGCATGCCTCCATCCTCTTCTTTTGTCGGCGCCCTGAATGGATTGCTTTCGGGAGTGTTTGCGTATGGTGGAGCGCAAATCTTTGTAGAGATCATTTCCGAAATGCGTCGTCCGTGGGACTTTATCAAGGCCATGTGGCTGGCTCAGTTCTTCATTTACTCCGTCTACCTGATATATGGTTGCTATGTCTACCATTACCAAGGACAATATTCTTTCACCATCTCGTACATGGGACTGAGTGTCTATGGCTTTCAAGCCGCGTGCGACATGATGGTGGTTCTCTCGGGATTGATTGCAGCTGGCCTGTATGGAAACATTGGTATCAAGGTGCTCTACAACCAGGTGTTGCAAGAAATCTTCAACGCTCCACCACTGACCTCGAAGGCTGGAAAATACCTCTTTGGCTCCATTGTCCCCATCTATTGGAGCTTGGCCTTTGTCGTGGCCGCTGCAATTCCCGATTACTTCGGCTTCGTCTCGGTCATCGCTGCCTTTTGCATCATTCAATTCAGCTACTCCTTCCCTCCGATCCTCCACCTCGCGTATACAATGCAGAAGAACGCCATGCGAGGGGAGGATGGATTCGATGAGACCACTGGAGAGACCCGACGAAGCGATCATGGTATCAAACGGTTGATCAGGGGCTTCTTCGCCGATAAGTGGTATATCAATGTGTGGCACGTGATTCACGCTGGCGGTGCTTTGGCGACGGCAGGACTTGGTGCTTATGCGGCCATTGATGGCATGATCGAGGCTTTCAAGATTCCCCAGGTCAACGCTTTTACCTGCACGAGCCCCTTGAACCTGAACGCTTGAGCAGCATGGTTGCTTGCGGGGATCAAAAAGGGTTTGCCCTTGCGACCCCTTGTCGATAGCACGCATTATGTGGATGCTGGGTGCCAACTTGGATCTGGAACGCTACAATCACTCACCCCTGAGAGGAGCATTGTCTGTCCTTGGGCAAGTTTGCAATCTCCTAGAGAACACAGACGATATGGAGGAGCTTAGCCTTTAACAGGCACTGTTTGACTCATGCGAGGCCTGAATGATAACAAAAGTCCTTGACACTACTCTAGAGTCTAGTCAAAGCTTACAAGAGTGGCAATGGGGGTATTCCTTGCTTAATCCACGAATTCCCCTGTCACACCTTCCACCATATGCGTTGCCGCTCGATAACAATTCATAGGCCTCGAACGTACTCAAAGCGATTGTCCTTCCAGCTCTTTCTCGGTCCAGTCCCAAAGCCTCCTCGCCAGCTCCTTGTCCTTTCCCACGGCGCCTGCCTTGCCACTAATCCCAATTGGCTCGTAATATTCCCCACTCACCACGTCCTTTGCGGTGGCCGCCCATAGCTGATTCTTCGCGCCTTCTTCCACGCTGACGCCAACAATTGGAAGCAAAACCCTTCGAAGTATACTAACGACCAAGCCGCTACCAGGTCTTGAGAACAAATCTGTCTTGACATTGCCTGGATGGAGTGACACCGCAGTGATCTGGGGGTATCGCTTCGCTATTTCTTGGGGATACAGGAGATTTGCCAGCTTGCTCTGGCCGTATTTGGTCGTTGCACCCACGTTCGCGGCTTTGGATTTCAGGCTCTCGAAAATGATGCCGTTCGATGTACCGTACTTATGGCCGAGTGAGCTCACGAAGACCACGCGCGGCTCCACGCCGATGGGGCTTTTGGCGGTTTCGAGCATCTGTGGCAGGAGGAGTTTGAACAGCAATGCGTGTCCAACATGGTTGACTCCCATGTGTATCTCGTATCCCTCCTTAGTGACAGCGGCAGGACCACCAAGGATGCCGGCATCTGCAGGTCGTCAGAGATGTGCGCGATGTGAGACAGAAGAGATCCATGCTTTGATGGTGCACAGCCTTTTCCAGAGGATACTTACTGCACATCAAGATGTCAAGACGAGAGGCTGACGCTTGAAATGTTTTGACCGCTTGTTTGACAGAGTCGAAGGAAGCTAGGTCCATCTTGAGGAAACGCACCGACGCGCCTGGGGACGCGGCTTTGATCTCCTCAACGGCAGCATTCCCAGTCTCGCCATTGCGGCCACCGATCCACAGCTGTGATGGATTGTGTTTCGAGAGTTCGAGTGCACTTTGCTTTCCGATCCCAATATTTCCGCCTGTAATCAAGATGACTTTACCCTGAAGAGAAGGAATGTCCTTGGCTGGATCGAAAGGAATTCCGCCCATCTTGGATGCCAGCTTTCACATTTGAGCGAAGTCTGAGCATCAGCGGGAGGAAAGGAGTGGTATTTGGGCAAGATGAGAGCCAGCTCAGACTGGCGACTGGCGACTGAGGCTACTGACCTACCAGCAAGAAAGGGGATCTAGGCGAGTCGTTAGAGAATGGACCTGAACTCGACCAATCAGCCCACTGCGCAGGCGAGCATGCCAATGAACGATGAACGGACGACTTCGGAGCAAGCTAAGCGGGTATCCACGACCTCGCCATGAGCTCGACGAACACCAGTCATTGAGACCTGAAGTGCCACCTCATTTGCTAGCAGCTCTTATCTTCATGAGCTTTCCAGGAAATCCTCGAGGTGGCCTTCTCGCAAAAGCATAAGAGTCCGCTCTCAGAGCGGAGGCAACCTGGAGGGCCATGAGTCTCCGATCGCCTTTGCTCTTGATGAGGTCAGTGCTGCGTTGATGCTCGCTCAGAATCGCAAGGCCACTTAAGGACTCACTACCTTGGACAATGTGCAGTCGGCATGTCAGGTAGCGGGAATTAGCGCCAGTCGAATGGGAAATTGGTGAACTAAAATTGGAAGACGTAAAATAAATCACTGTTCCGGAAGTAATTGGTTTCTCAATGGTTGCATTACAGTTGAGGATCATTTGCAGACTGTCGTACATAATTATATTTTTATAGGCGGCACAAGGCGAGGGCACTGAGGTGTCACTTTTGTACTAAAAGATTTGCGCGAAGTTGGGTTTTAGTGTACCGTACAGATGCGCTACTAGGTACAGGGCGGAGTGTTTGGACTATTATGTCTCTCGTAGATTTTCGTGATTTTCCTGTTGGGTGTTCACCGATGTCTTTCCACCCTCTTATCAGTAGTGAGAAAGAAAGCCGAGACGAGCTTCCAAACGCCATCGAGCATCGTTTATCAGCGGACCCCGCGTTAATCTCTGCCTTTCTCTTCATGACGTGGGCTAGGAAGTGATGTGCTCAAATGGCTTCGACTGCTTATCGAGCTAAGTTGACCTTCTACATACGGGACCGACGGACGACGAGAATGGACCTTGTCCATAACGTTCGGGAGCCATCAAGACCTTGGTTCAGCATACTTACGCCGAGCTCGTAATCATCCTGTACCGCTCCTGCAGCCATGGCTGGAGATCAATTGTCCGTACCTGGTTTACGCAATCGGCCAACAGCAGAAGAGGGTGCTAGCAAGAATCTGAGCGTCGCTAGTCAAGGTTTGAAGCTCCTCCTCTAATCTGACCTCGAGACTGCAATCTTAATCATAATCGTTAGCTGACCAGCAGTCTCTCCTTGCAGACTGCCGTACCTGTAGACGGCGAAGGATCAAATGTGACAGAACTCTGCCTCTGTGTTGGAAATGCAGCACCAGAAGCCTGCAATGTCCAGGTTACATCCCGAGCTTGCAATGGGTACAGGTCGTGCCACCTGAAGACCGGTCGAAAACCGATTCTCGCCCACCTCTGTCGACCGAGAGCCCACTTGCGTCCGCTACCCCTCCTGTGAATTTGGGAAATGATTCAGTCTTCCACCGACTGCAACAAGGCCATGACACAACCGTTGACTACCATGTGCCCGAAAAGGACAAGTATCTGATTCGACAACCTCATCATTCTACGGGCATACTTCAAGATCCTTCTACACGTGAGCTACTGCATCACTATACCAATATTGTCGCCCCCCAAATGGTTTGGGTCGATGCAATCCAGAATCCTTTCCGCGAGATAGTCATTCCACTCGCCATCCAATCGCCGGCCCTCTTGATGTCGATTCTCTCAGTCGCTGCTGGAGACATGTGGTTCAGGTCAGGCCAGACCGTTGACTGCAGCTTCGACTCATCTCGGCTGTTGGATCGATACAGAGGGCAAACCCTGAGCCATCTGGTTGATCACTTGAGGATTGAGACCGGGTACGGGTCTAACACTCCTGCTGTACTTGCGGATAACGATCGTGCCAGCCCCATTCTCGCTGCCTTTCTCCTCGGCTCATTAGGCCTGAAGATGAACGATTTCCCCGCCTGGAGGTTGCATAATCGTGCGGCTTGGTCAATGCTTGATCATTGGACTACATCGACGCCCAATACAATCAATCCATTCTCAGGAATTAAGCAGTTCTTGCTGCAGGAGGTATATTTCTGCAAAGTCTGGGAATCTGTCACCACGTTCCAAGCATCAAGTGACATGTGCGGAGCTTCTTCTCTTCTTAACTCAGAGGGACCATTTATCCAGTACCTGCGAATCATTTCTACTCTTGCAGGACTCGAACGTTCCCATAACGACACTTGTGAGGCGCTCAATGTCGACCTTACCTTGCCAACTCTGGTAGCCCTATTGGCCGAGGCTCGCGAACGCACCGAGGATTATGCCAAAACGATCACTTTCCACCTTCCTGGGGCGCGCAGAGCATTTGAGCATCTCGTGGACTTGTTCCACCATGCGGGAATACTTTATGGCTGCCATGTACTCCCTGATCGCGAGGACTCGACAGACGTTGCCGACTCGTCCCGTGTGGCCCTTTTCCAACGCCTCTACAGAGTCACTGGCACAGAAATCATCGCTCAAGATCTCACATGGCCGGTATTTGTAGCTGGGACTGAATGCCAGGGCAAGCCGGAAAATCAACGCCTGATCCAGGAGAAAATGCAAGAGATCATGAAAATGAGTGGTGATCTGGAAAGACCGAGGTTGCTGGCTTTCCTTGCCGAGCTCTGGCTGTTGCAAAAGCAGGGCTCCAGCATGAATTGGATCAAGTTGGCGCGTGCATATGCTGATCGTGGAGAGCCTATCTTGATTGTTTAAGATTACAGACATGCTACTACGTTGCGATCACGCACCGGAGGTCTTTTTTCGGTCCCTGACCAAGCCGACTTCGGTGGAACCGTGGCATGGGGTGCAACAGGGGACTAAACTTGGAAGACTAGGGGATGCTATCGAGCTGTCGGTGGACAACATCACTATGATGCCCTCCCGAGGGACCTTTTTGCGCCTAGCAGGGATGTCGGGCAAACGACATGGTAACGGGTGCTCACAGATCTACCGTTTCCTCATCCTCCACGCCAAACAAGACTCTCATGGGATCTTGATACTGGTAGAATCCGTTTCCTGGTGGGCTAATCCCATAACCGAGCAATCTCTTCACCTGAGTGGAGAGTGGTCTGGCTGCTTCAGGTGGCACCATCAAGTATTGGTTCTCACTCTGTCGGTAAAAGCCTTTGGTGAAGAAAAGGCCGACATTCTCTCGGACTTCGTCCCTGAAAAGAACAAGAAGTCAGTTAAGGTTCATTGGAAGAGGACAGCCACGCATTTCTTACTTGGTTACGTTGGCACCACCTCCGTGGTAGGTGTTTCCCAAAAACAGGAGAGCGTCGCCGATTTCGAGTTCGGCCGGAATGGCTTCATGGACTTCCGGCGCTCTTTCAGGACCCCATACGTGAGACCCAGGGATCACTTGGGTGGCCCCGTTCTCGTGGGTGATTTTGGAAATGGCCACAATACAACCGAGCATCACGGGCCAGTCGCCCTCACGTGGGTGCAGGTCCCTGCATGTCAAGGTCAGCGATTTGCTATATTTGCCTGGCGCAAAGGGAAAGGGAAGGAGCGGATCGTCGACTCACGCATCATCCCGATGAAGTTCTTGAGCTCGACCTCCTGGATTAACTCTGAAGGCGGTGGTGGATGAGATTTGTGGCTTGGAGTGGACGGTCCTCACTTTTTTGCCGAGCCAGAAGGAATAAGTCGAGGATAGTAGCCCATTGACGACGTCGATGAGCAGTGGCTTCGTCAGGTATTTCACGCAGCCAGGGGAGATAGCAATCAGTCCGCTGGCTCTCTTTGTGGTTTCGGGGAAGAAGCCTGTTGGATCAATGCGGTCGCTATCGAAATGTGGTTTGAGCTCTTGTTTGATCTGCATGGCCAATTCATGGCTGATGAGATTCTGGACAATGACACCACCGTCGCGTCGGATGGTTTCGACGACAGCATCTGATTTTGTCTCAGGATTCTCGGCGTCAAAATGTACCAATTTTGGCGTCGTGAATTCCTGGCCGGCGACTGTCATGGTGACCGGATCGGCGACAGTCGTGTCAACAGTGGTGGCTGAAATGTTGGGCTCGCAGTGTGTTGAGTGCCTTCGTGGTTTGTTATTGATCGGGAGAGGTAAACCTTGAAGCAAGTTGGATGTGTTACCGGGACACCGATCGCCTTATATTCCCTTTTACACCAGCACCATGTGGCGTTCGAGGCAGAAAGTGGGAGGCGGGATCCAGGCGAAGGAAATGGTCAAGACTTCCATCCGGATCTCATCCCAATAACATATCGGGTGCTCGACACAACGAAACAGACAGTCTGCGGGTCAGATTGCGGCGATTCTCCTTCAGGCCGCCAATGCCATGTCTATGGACGCTTCATCTGGAGGATTAGACTTCCTGTCATGGTCTGCTATTCCCACGAAACACCATGCCGAGCAAATAGTGATATGCGGTTCTCTTTGACAAGAGATGTTGAGGTATGCACGGTATGGTACACTCCGTGACCCACATCCTGGGAATGAATGCACTAAAGCCACGAAGGGTTTAAATCTCTATCTCTGCCACTATTCGGGTTAGATCCAAAGACCCACGACCGGACGAACAACTAAAGTCAAAGCCGCCAAACGAGCACCAGACTCGTCGAACCCATCTTCGAACGATCCTGGAGTCTTTCGTCGAGGTGGCTTTTCACCTTCTCTCTTATCTCTGTCTTCAACCAATCGTCCCTGTTATTTGGTCAGCTCTGTCCCGCGATGGCTACAGACCTCGAGTGAAGCGCTGCTGGGACTGATAAGAACTTCGCGAAACGGTATATAAGGGCATACAGGGTCGACCCAGACACTTCGTCAATCTGGATTCACTCAAACGTGAATGCCAACATGGCTGCGCCTTCCGCTCCAGCTACCCGTCTCGTCGGGAAGCTGGTCCCAAGGAACTCCAAAGTATTGATCGTCCTCGTCATCATGTCCTGCCTTGTCAACTCCATGGTAAGTACAAAGCCGGCCTTCCATCTCCAGTGGAAATGCTAATGATGCACAGACAATGGGATATGATGGAAACATGATGTGAGCTCGCCGAACTATGCACCAAGCCTGTGTAGCTTGCTTATACCCCCCACAGGAACGGCCTCAACATTCTACCGTCCTTCTACAACACGATCAGTCTCAATACAGCCGGCCAGTCTGTCAATACGGGTATCATTGTAAGAAGCTCCCCTGGCCCTAGCCGCTCACAACACTTGAACATGGTCAAGTCCACAGACTGACGTTGATGTGCTCTTAGTGGGTTGGTGGTTGTGTTGCAGCCCTATTTTCGGGCCCCGTCATTGACAGATGGGGACGCAAGGCTGGCATGGCTATCGCTGCTCTCATAGCATTCATCGGCATTCCTCTTCAAGCAGCAGCTCAAAACCCTGCCATGTTCGTGGTATCACGGCTCATCGTTGGCGTCGGGGTCGGTCTAAGTTCTGTGGCTTGTCCGACATACTGCGCCGAAACTGCCCCACTTGAATGGCGAGCCTTTTGCTTAGGCTTGTACTATGCCTTTTGGTATGGCGGAGGATTACTGGCATCAGGTGTGACTTACGGCACGGCCAAGATCATGAGTTCATGGGCTTGGCGTCTTCCGTCGCTGATCCAGGTGGTGCCCGCATTGCTGTGTCTTCTGGTTTTGCCTTTCATCCCGGAAAGCCCAAGATGGCTCATGTATCATGGGCGCGAGGAGGAAGCACTTGAGGTTCTTGCCATCATGGCAGCAAATGGTGACAAAAGTCACCCTGTCGTGGTGACCCAGTACAAACAAGTCTATGACACTGTGACCTTTGAAAAAACCAACAAGGCGAGTCAGAACTGGTTGGACGCCTTCAGAACCCGCAACAGCCGCCGGAGGATGATGTTAGCATGTTCTTGTGCCATCATTGGGAATATGAGTGGAAGTGGCATCATCTCGTGAGTCCATAAAATACCGCGATTTTCACACGAAAGAGCTGACCGATTTGTCTCAGTTACTATCTCGGAACGATGCTCAGTCAGGCTGGTATCACGGACACAAACACACAACTACAAATCAACATCTATTTGTCCATCTGGTGCCTCTGCACGGCCACACTCGGTACTGTTTTAGCCGACAAAATAGGTCGAAAGAAGTTAGGAGCGGGTTCGATGGCTGCATCCTTGGTATGCCTCTACCTTGTCGGCGCATTGACCAAATGTGAGAGATACTTCCCTTCAAACCTCTAGCAGACCCGTATTGACCAGGAACTTTAGTGTACGGCTCTGGGGAGAATTATTCGGGAGTCTTGGGAACCGTGGCCTGCATATTCCTATACCAGGGTGAGTGCATCCATTTGCCGCCGACAATGGACGGTCAACTGACCCCGATCCAGGCATCTACTCATTCGGATGGACGACACTTCTAGTGATGTATCCTCCAGAAGTGCTCAACTTCAGTCTGAGAGCCAACGGAGTCAGCATTTACACGTTTTTCTCGAATGGGGCAGCGTAAGTCACCCCTTCCATTCACAGCCTTTGCCATAGCACGGCGCGGACGGAGCAGTTACTGACTCGCGGACCACAATAGCTGCATTGTGACATTCGCATTCCCATTCGCATTGGCCAAGATAGGATGGAAGACGTACATGATCAATGCGACCTGGGACGTTCTAGAAGTGGTGTTCATCATCTTCTTCTGGGTCGAGACCAGCAACAAGACCCTCGAAGAAATTGACGAGCTTCTCGATGGCGAAATGCATTCCGACGCACCAGTGCTCATAGCCGTCATGCACGGAGACGTCGAGGTGGACGCTTCGCTCAAAGTCCATCGCCATGTGGATGGCAAAGACGACACAAGCAAGCAGGCCACCGTGACGGTGAACTAGTCTGGCAGCAAAGATGAAGGATTCGAGCTGGTACTCGCCTTGTGAAGAAGGTGGCGAGGGTATCTGGGTGTTGCGAGACGACAGCGTACACGGGTTTTCACGCCGGGCAGCTGCAGGGGGAACATTCAACATTCAACACACCCTGTTCCGGGCACCACCACTATACTACCAGCGGTCCTGTAGATTTGGATTTTATCGACTGTGGCTGGTCAGTCAGGTTTGGGATGAATGGTTTGTCGGTGAATCGCTACGGCCCATGCAACTCATCGCCGACCGTTGCTCATTTCTTTTCAAACCGTTCAAATGACATTTGGCCGGCTGAAGCAGAGAGACCCACTGTACGTTGGTCCATGATGGCCCCATCCTCGCCATCATGGCCCCTTTTAGATCCAGCCGCACTTTGCTTTCGAGGGAACTCAATTTACTCATTAAACACACGCGCGCGATAGGCTCTGAAGACACAATTCTATGACATCGAACTGCCGAATTTCGCACTAGAAGCATCCTTTGGACTTCTGAGTCCCAAAAGGCGTTCAAGCAACCTTGGAACCACAAGTCTGGTCGGAATCTACATTGCAACGGCATTGGAGCAAATTGGACGTGAGATGGGCGACGGAGTGGAAAACCACCAAGGCGAGCCTGAAGACATACGACGCGCGCGATAGGACGCCAAGGACGCGCAGCATGCTGTGTTCATGAAGCAAGCTTGGCTCAGCGTGATTTGACTTTGTTGTTACTAGGAGGAAGTGATGGAACTGGGAGGCACAGGAGGCTGACGCCACTTCCCGAACATCAACCACTATATACGAGCAACTTCGGGCAGAATTGTCAGGCGGCAACGTACTCTCAGGAACGGGCGTCCATCCTTTCAGTTGGCCGAAACGTGTCCCGGGCATCTCATTGCTCAGACATTTCATCTTTCGACATGGCGATCATTCCTTGATTTGTTGCTTGTGGAAGACATCTGTACGATAACAGCAAGTCAGTCAACTGGCTCATAGTCAACGGCACATGACATGATAGGGTCAGACGTACTAGGAACCTCGGGCATCCAATTGTCCCGCTTGCTACAGAAGAATTCTCCCTTTGGCGGCAGATCCGTCGGCTTGTCCAGCGTCCCGTAGAAGATGTACGTGAAGTCTCCGGCATTAGCCTAGTATTAACTCGTCAGTCACCAGTGAACCCCATCCAACCAACGGCCTTGACGGGTCAAGACTCAGGGAGAAGGAAAAGCTCGAAAGGCTGCTACTCTACTTACACCACGCTCCAGGATCGGACTCCCGCACTCCTTGCAAAATTCCCGATGCAGCATCGTTCCGCTACCGTTATCTGCCTCGTGGACTGTGATGTACTCCTTGCCTTGTGTGACACTGAAGCTGCTCTCGGGGATTTTCGAGGTGATGCCGAATGGACCGCCGGTGAATTTCTGAGACAGAAGCTGCGTTAGCATCAGTAGTCAAAGCACTTGGAGTAACGACAAGGAAACTCTCAGGGACCGCCAGTCAGTAGACAACCAGCATGTCCACGGGCTCTGGCCACAAGTGGACAAACATATAGACAACTGGTCATCTCCCTGAGTCCGGGTCGAAAGGCAAGCTGTGGGATCAGAGTCGAGTTGTCAAGATATCTGGACGTACCTTGCAGTTCTTACAATGGCAAATACTTGTCCGGGCCTTGTCCGCATCCTCGAGATCGATCTCGTATCTAATCTTCTTGCAGTAACATCCGCCGGGGAATTTCATTTTTGCTGCAGTTGACGTCGATAAAGTCTTTGAAAGTCTCGCACCGGATGATACTCCCAAAGCTATTGGTCTCGATCGCGGAACTGCTGGAGCCTGAGAAGTGATCTGAGAAGCTACCGCGCTGGCTCGACGACGAGCCAAAGTCGAAGCTGAAGTCGAAGTCGTGATTGTTCGTACCGATGTAGTCAGAGGTCGAAGACTGGGCATATCCCGTCCTTGCTTGCTTCTGATGATGCTGGTGACTTTCGAAGAGATCTCGCGTTACTTGATCAGACGAAACACATCTCAATGACCAAGTTAGTTATTCCTGCGGTCGTCCAGATCCCGGGCACGACATTACATTGTCTGCGACGTCACTCAATCCTCCGCCCTCGTCCTTCGTCGTCATTGCATCCTGAATTGGCAGGTACAATCAGTTGTGATTGGCCGGTTCAACTACCGCCGGGCTGTGTTTCCGATCGGCCTATATCAGTCGCGCACTCTAAGGTACCTGGCTAGGTGCCTGGCACCTTATACGGAGTACCACAGTACGCTCTTGTATCTGCCTACCTACCCAAGCTAAGGTACTGAACCCATGTTTATCCTCGCTGCTTGTACCGAGTACCTTTGCAGTGGCCCATATGAGATTCATTCCGTCTATTGAATACATTTGATCAAGCCCTCTATGCTGTGCATTGGCCGGCCCAGATGGCTACAGCTAACCAGCTCCCAGTCGTGACATACAAAGCCCGCCATCACCGTTGATGTTGATGTTGATGTACACACAACCTACTCATGCCTCCCAACACCACATCACGCGACCGTCCCAGGTGCTACCACACCCAGGCTGTGACCCGCGATCTTCTGATCTTTCCAGGGTTCCAGCATCGTCCTAAGCCTTGTAGGTCCCCGTGCATCGAGCCATGCACTACACCCAGAGTCGAGTGATTCTTTTCTTGCGGCTCCATATTGATTGTTGGTCGAAGGGACACTACGCCTCGATACCCAGCAGCCAACATCTCACAGCTTGAACTTTTCCAAATATTCCCTGGCCGCCTCAACTGCCTCGTCCACCTTCGCCTGCTCTGTTCCTGTCCCGATCGCAACCGGCGCCTTCCCACCAGCTTTACCGCCCACTAATTGCGATACTTGCGCCGACCAGTCTGCAGACGTAATACCGGCCTTGACTCCTTCCTAAAGCCATGATTAGCACTCCTCCTACCACGCTTTGGTATCACATGGCTACACTTACCGGGCTCACAAAGCATCCGTGGAACACCTTCCCCTCGGGTTCCCCGTCATCCGCCACAATCACATACACACTCTTATCCTTCAACTTGGTCTGCACATGCTTGACCACATCCGGCACGATCTTGGGGTTTCCACCGACGGGGAGTCTCAGCACCGCCGCTTTCGCGTCCTTGTTCTTCTCAAAGTACTCGCTGATCGAATCGGTCGCCTTCTTCAACTCCTCCTTCTGCAACTTCTTCTGCTGATCGAGGATCTCCTTGCTGACCTTGGTCATTCGCTCCCGGAGCTGCGATTTCTTTACCGCCGATATCGACAAATTGTTCAGCTCAAGCTGAATTGCCTTGGCTTCTTGCTCTTTGCTCGGTCCAAACGGCATGTCCTCAAGACCCTTCAGTTTGTCTGAGAACATGTCCGCCACACGTTGCACTTCATGCGCGTCTTCGCCTGTGACTGCAATGATTCGTCGAATGCCCTTTGCGATACCACTCTCCTCGAGAATAACCAGGTCTTTGATATCAGCGGTGGCCTTTACATGTGTTCCACCGCAGAACTCAATGCTGACTGTCTTCCACCTCTCGTCCTTGACATTCTTCAAGATGTCATCGACTTCGACGCCAACAGACACAACCCGCACGGGATCCGGATACGTCTCGCCAAAGACGGCCCTGACGCCGGAGATCTCCCGCGCAATGACGAGAGGGACATCCTTCGCATAGACTGGGCAATTCTGTCGGATATACTCTGTCGAGATATCTTCAACCTTCTGTATATCAGCATCTGAGATACCAGCCTTGTGACTGAAATCGAATCGTAGTTTCTCTTGAGCGACCAGCGACCCTTTCTGCTCGATGCCGTCACCAAGGACTTCCCGCAGCGCAAAGTTGAGAATATGTGTTCCGGTATGGTTGTTCCGAATAGGCCACCTCCTCAACTCATCGTACTCACAGATCGCGGTGTGTCCGACGGCGAAATGGCCATACTTCATGTACCCGGTATGCAAGACATAGCCAGCATAAAGCTGTACGTTCTCAACCTCAAGCTCCGCTTGCCCATCAATGACAAGTCGTCCGGTATCGTACTCTTGACCACCCTGCTCAGCGTAGAAGCAAGTCCGGTCGAGGATGATACCAACCTGATCGCCTTCGGGAATTGCTTGTGTGTCGGGGTGAAACTCCTTCGCATGATAAATCGCCTGAATCGTGCCTGTGATGTTTCCCCTGCCATACTTCGCACTGTCGTCCGTCTTTGTGACGCCGGGCATCTTCTCGAGCTCGCCAAGGTCGTGAACATCAAGCTTCAACAGGTCACTCGCCGCCTTCTTTTCGCCCTTGCTAGCTTCTTTGGCCCGTAATCTCGCGGCCTCGAATTCATTGTCGTCAATCGACAGATTTCTCTCCTCAGCCATAAGTCTGGTTAGGTCGACAGGAAAGCCGAAAGTATCGTATAACCGCCACACATCGGCACCATGCAGACTCTTCAAGCCTTGAACCTGGCTCTTCTGAGCATAAACCTCGAATTGCCTCTCTCCTCGATCCAGAGTCTTTGCGAATGACAGCTCTTCTTCGTTCAGAATCTCCTTGACTTCATCCTCCTTTGCAACGATCTCCTTGAACATGCCACCCATCTGCTCGACCAAAGTCGGCACAATCTTCGCAAAGAAATCGCCAATCTCGACGTTGAAATATTTTCTGGCATACCGCGCTCCACGCCGTAACACTCGTCGCACGACATATCCTCGGCCTTCATTGTTGGGGATCCCTCCATCGCTAATCGCAAATGTCAACGTCCGTACATGGTCTGCAACAACTCGATATGCAGTGTCGATTCCATCCTTGTCCTCGTCACCAAAATTGCCAGAGTACGGTCTCGCCCCAGTAACCTCTTGGATCCGCGCAAAGATGGGCGTGAACACATCCGTATCGTAATTCGACATCTTATTTTGCAGCACACTGACCAGCCGTTCGAAGCCCATACCTGTATCGACATGCTTGTTCGGCAGCGGCCGCAGACTCTTGTCCGGTTCCCTGTTGTACTGGATGAAGACATTGTTCCAGATCTCCAACACATTCGGGTCGTCCTGGTTTACCAGATGCGCCGCATTCCGTCCACCGATTCGGTCGTAGTGAATCTCGGAGCAGGGACCGCAAGGACCTTGGTCGCCCATCTCCCAGAAATTGTCCTTCATATTGCCCGGCAGGATATGGTCTTCCGCAACGCCGACGCTCTTCCAGAGCTCTTTCGCCTCGATGTCCGGTTCCAGTCCGCCGGCCTCGTTGCCTTCGAAGTAGGTGACGTACAATCGATCCGGCTCCAGACCGAAGACTTTGGTCAGCAGTTCCCACGAGTATGTGATGGCCTCCGTCTTGAAGTAATCTCCGAACGACCAATTGCCCAGCATCTCGAAGAAAGTGTGGTGGTAGCTGTCTTTGCCGACGTCGTCGAGGTCATTGTGCTTGCCACCAGCACGTATACATTTCTGCGAGTTGACCGCGCGCTTGTACTGGCCTTCTTTGCTCGTCGGGTCGACAGTGCCGAGGAATATCGGTTTGAACTGGTTCATGCCAGCGTTGGTGAAGAGGAGGGTAGGATCGGATACAGGCACGACGGGCGAGGATTTTACTAGGGCGAGCGAGTCAGTACTGAGGAGGGAATCTGAGTGCGAGATAACTTACCAAACGTATGGCCCCGGTCCTCAAAGTACTTGAGAAAGGTATCTCTCACGACCGGAGCACTCCATTTGTGAGTGTCTCCTATATTTGTTGACGCCATTCTGACGGTCGTGTGCCGTTGCACCTGTGCTTTTGATGTGCGCAGTGCAGGTGAAAAGGCCCAGTTGTAGTTCCGTCGCTCGAGACTCCTGTGGGAAGAATAGTCCCGCTTATTGTCGCTCAGTGTCTCTCGCCGCCGAGTATTTTGTGAAGAGAGCGTGCGAAAAGAGCGAGCAGGTCGTGTATCGAAATTGTGAGTCAATCCACAAAGAAATCGAGGGGTACGCAGCGTGTGGTCAACTGCGGCCACAGCTCTCCAAATCGACATTCAACTTCTTCGAGCACCTTCCAGACCGCCAATCCTTTTATCTGTTTGACGAGCTGCCGGTCCTCTCTTTCTCTTGCTGTGAACACCAGTCAATGATGTACAGTTACGACCACGACCAACGACCAAGCTGTGTCCGACGCAGCAGAGAAAAGTAAGAGAAGAACAAAAAGGCCAGGGAGCACTTTGAGAGTTGGAGAAGAAACAGCAACAAGCCATCGCCTTCACTGCACCGCACCTCCAATCTATACATACAATTCGAGTCTCACACGACTCATGCCATGATGATGGCACCATATCCTACAGGTACAGCAACCGCACCTATACCTCCGGAATGGTATCCGGCAAACGAACACCGCAGCAATCTCGTCACCGCTCCCGGCAAGCGAAAAGCCGACGACGAACTCGAGTCGCAGTCGAACATCTCTTCGCAGTTCAAGAAACTCCGCCTGAACCATGCTATCCCGTCGCAAACATTCCCTCAATCAGCACCTCCTTCTTCCGCGGGCGTCTCATTCCGCCCTCTCATCGCCAACACCGACGCTCGACCTGCGATCCAGGCACCCGTTGAGGCCTCACATCTAGATACACACTCTCCAGCCTTCTTCTCCCAGGCCCGGGCCCAGGAAGACCAAAATGCTGTAATCACATCAGGGCTGCCCACTCTCCAAGACTCTGAATTCATGACCGTCGACGAGACACCACACAGAGTTATAATAACCAACCTCGCCCACGAGATCGCGCAAATCGAAGCCGACGAAGCCGCTGCCTCACAAACAGTCTTCCTGCCAGACATAGACAAGAAGGTCTCTGCTATACCACAGCGGTTCCTCCAAAGCCACCCTCCTCAAAATGCATCTCCGCCTTTGACCCTCAACACAAACACCGCACTAGTTCTCTACCGAGACCCGACCAGCATCACAGTCCCAGAGGAGGAGGATGCCGTGCGGAAAGCCATCATCGCAGCACGAACACGAGCGAGAGAAAAACAGGCCGCAGAACAGAGAGAAAGAGATAGAGAGGGGCAGGAACCACTACACGGAACTCGCCAGGGCCAAGGGCAGAACCAAGATATGGTATTCGACGACGCTATGACAGACCACTCATCATACAGAGACAGAGACGAAGATCTAGACGCGATGGATATTGAATAAGCGTTTTCGACGGTAGCATTACAGGCGTTTTGGGCCCAGTCTACCCACTTGGATGCTTGCGTAGATACCCGGTTTGCAATTTCCCAGTCTTTTTTTCCCGCGAGGATCTCCGCAACATGCATATTATTACATCCTTCAGACCATGGCCCAGACATTGTTTTGCTCTGAGAGTGCCTGCTCCGACATAGTCTAAACCCAAGGTCCTCGAAAACGCCGAGTAGTAAGCCATTTGCCCCACGAGAATGCCGTTACAAGATCACCCTCGAGCCCCCTCTCAATACTTCTCGAACACCGATGTCTTTTCGTGCCGGACAGCCGCATTTCCTTCCCGGAAGGCGATGTCTCTGACGTATGTTCAACGCCCATATGCTGCGCCGCTATGCCCTAGCTTGCCCAAGAGTCATCCGTAAAACATCTACTCGTTCTTGCACCGCTTTCGAATCGGACCCTATCTTCCCTGCAGGTTCGCCACTCGAGCAGGCTGACTAGGCTCACCTGGAGGTGGTCCGGCCGGCGGTGCGTACTGTCTGTTTTGGTCCGGATCAACCTTATTGGGTCCCTGGGGCGTATACGCAGGCACATAATCTGGTTCATGGTATGCTATTATTTGATCAGCCTCCCATTGTCTCACTGTTCGTCATTCTTGACTTACCTGGCGGCGGCGGTCCGTACGCTCCCATGTGATACGCCTGTCCTTGCGGGTATGGATGATACGTGGGTGTTGCTCTGTAATATCCAACTTGCTGCGCATATTGCGGGTATTGTTGTGCGAATGCCATTCGTTGTCTTCTCGGTACGAGCCAGCGGTGATACGCTAATGGAGGCTGGCCTTTGCGCATGCGTCGTCGGGCATGCAAATATCCTGCAACGAAGAAAACGAGGAAAGCGACCAGGATGGCGGCAATGATGGCCCATTTAATTGCATAAGCAGTCTATACACGGTCTGGTTAGTTGTGTCGCAGGCACAGGAGCAGCAAGACACGTACCGAGCTGTACCACCAATATCCATCATTGAAATCGCCGTCGTTGTTGCTAGTGACTTGCCGTCGGAAAGCCCTTGAGGAATCCATCTTGCCTTGGGTCTGTCGATGTAGGATTGAGGTGATAGCACTGAACGTTGGACGGTAGGCAAGGTGTTCAATATGAACAGGCGCCGCCTGCACCGGACAGTGATTGAGGATCGACGTCAGGAAGAGTGATGTCTCCGCACGGACGTGATGGTCTCTCGACTCGACGTTGAACGCCTGCAGAAAAGATTGGTGTGATGTGTCTGCACAGACGGAAGGGTCTTGGAGAAGTGCTCAGGCGGCCGCTTTTGAGGTGGTCGTTTAAATAGCGATTATCGACCTTCTTTTCGATCCTTTTCGGAACAATCGCAGAACAAGAGACAGGATATAGGGAAAGGTAGAAGTCGAAAAAGAAGTTAGGTAGCCGTTGCCAGAAAGCAGGTGCAGTTTGGTTGTACAGCACTAAGTTACGGACAAAGAGTTGCTGCAAGCCACCCACTTTCGTTAGCACTGTTAGCCGTACTTGAAGGGGGGTTGCGAGGTTGCCGTGGGTGGCGTAGCGAACGACAATTCACCCCAGCAAGGCTCTTGCGCGACAGTCACCTGTTTGAGAGCTTGTTTCAAAAACAACTGACTCGTCAGATGGCTGTGTCTCGGGAACGGATCACTGACAGCACTGCCGCATCATGCAGGGGCTCTTCCAAGTTTCGAAAGCTGCCACCCAATGGAGACCCTGTGGATAGCAGATGCGCGGCCGCCTTCTTCATGTGTGTACTATGTAATTGCCACAGTTCACGGTGTCACATGACGAATCACTTGTAGTCAAGAACGGCCATGGAAGCCTTGATCGGCAGTATGAGGAGAAGCAATCATGATGATTTTGATCCCTAGCAGAGTCTCGAGCACTTTCTGATGCTATGCAACACATTCACCCTCAATCCGGATCCTCAACCAAATCCTCCACAGAAGCTTGCCGATTCTTCCCTTCACCAGGCTGCGACGATGGTGACGACGGTGCACTAGTATTGCTGTCTTCATCGCGACTGCCATTTACCTGAGCGGCGTTGCTACTGCTTGAACGCTCGTTGTCAGTCGCAGTGTCAAAGCCCCACGAGGGCAACGGCCCGGATGGTGGGGATACTGGAATCTGCTGATGTCCATTAACTGCGCTAGTACTGGCAGCACCGGCGCCGCCATCGCTTGTAGAAGCACCTTCGCCAGGTCTGTGTCCGTTTGCCTGTGGCTGCTGCTGAACGAGTTGAGCAGCCAAATCTCCCCAGTTTGGGAGATCCAAGCCTGGCCCATTTTCGAAAGGAGGGAAACCCGTCCCTGAGGGATGCTGTGCCGGAGCCTCTGTGGGGGTATATTGTAGGATTCCGTTCTGCTGAGCTTGAGGTCTTTGCAGGTGCACTGCGGGATTGGCGCCAGAGCGATTGCCGAACGGCGGAGGAAAACCTGGCCGTATTTGATGTTGTGGCGGAGGTCCTCCTGGTGCTTGTGGCTGGGCTTGGGTACCATTCGGTTGCGGTGTACCTGCTTGATCATGGCCTGCCATGTTGGGTGGTGGCCGAGGGCCGAATGCCGGTGGAAACCCAAAGCCAGGGAAGTTCATGTGCGGGAATTGTCCTCCAAACGATGGATCAGGTACGAAACCTGTGAAGGGGAAAGGGATTGCAGGCATGCCTGCCAAACCAGCGTTGTTTGCCCCCAGAGGAGACTGCGTTACTGCCACTCCTTCCACTGGATGCAAAGGGGTCATTGACCAACCCTCTGGCAGCGTAAGACCTGGCGGTAATCTGTCGCTTCCTGCTTGGATAATATTCTGTTGATCACCTGCCTCAAACCTCGTTGTGCCTCGAGCCCCCGTTCGCGTATTGGTGAGCGGGCTCATGGTCTGAGTGACATTTGCAGACCCCGCTCCTGGTACCATACCCTGTGCTGCACTGTTCCTCTGTATCGGAGTGCCCCTAGTTGCACGCAATCTCTGCAATTCAGTTTGCATGGACTGGAGGACACTCAGCTCTGCGGAATTTCGAGCCAACTGTTCCGCCTCTCGCTGAATCTGCTGCTCCAACGCATCGATCCGGGTTTCGGTACTCCTGTGAGATTCCCCTGGTCGCCGTCGTCGACTCGCCGACCACCGAAATCCTACACCAAATTGTCTTGGAGCGTTTGGATCTGCATTCGCGTTCCCATTCCCATTCGCGTTTGCTGGAGGGCGAGGAATAGCTCCGGCATCGGCAAGTTGCTGTTGTAGCTCTTCAAACATGTTGTTCCCTCTCGCTGCGCCCACGCCTATCCGGAGCGGTCCGAATTGATACACCCGTGGACCTTGTCTCCCATTAGGTTGAGCTTGCCTCGCATCACCTTGAGCCGGTCCACCATGGCCAGCACCAGCAGCACCTCCTTGCGGCGGTCGCACGACGTTCGCTCTGCACGTGGGACATATCTGTTGTCTCTCAAGCCAACTTCTTAGGCAAGAAAAGTGCAAAATGTGTCCACACGGTAGCTTCTTAGGTCGCATCCTCTCCGCAACAGGATTCGGTCGCTGGCCGTCTTGCGCAGCTGGTGGCTGATAAGGTTGCATCTCCTCCCGGCATATTATGCATACGTCTTCTCGTCCGATATCCTCTGCGGTAGCATCGGGGTATCGAGCATTCATATCCCTCGTCGCCGCACGATATTTCATGAAATCCGAAATCCGTTTCAAGAATGACCGCATCGTCAAGAACACATCTCTCAAGATATGTATCGGCAGTCCATAAAATACAAGTAGAATGAAGAAAAACGCCAAATAAATCACCAGCTTGAAAAAGTCCGTAGCAAGGTTGAGGTAAAACATGTAGCGGCCTTTGTCCTCCCATCCTTCAACTTCGACCTCGTTCTCGTCAACAGGTTGGTCGAAGGCTTCCCGCCTCACTTGCTCAAGAGTCTGCAGGGTGGGGGTTGGTGTCGTCTCAGAGGCATCTGTCGGAGTGGCTTGTTGGGCCTGTGATTCTTGAAACTCGGTGACAGCAGCATGCACTCGTTCTCTCTTGATTTGCTCAATACGCTGCCGCTTCTGTTCTCGTACGATTCCAATCTCAAGTAAATTGACGGCGTACCGTAGGGCGGTACTCATGCTCATAATCGAGAGCACGGCGAATTCGAAACCAAACATGACCATCATATCCGGTCTGGCCATCCTCATGACTTGTTTCACCACGTATTCAAGCATTGTTAGATCGAAAGCGACACTCAAGCCCAGACTCAAAGCGAGACGTGTATGGAAAAGTCGTGGGTTCCTGGGCGGTTGCTGCTCTAGCACCTCTACACGACCTTCTCCTATCCAGCCCCAGACTTTTCCTGTAAGAAGAGCGAAGAACATTGCGAGGAATGGTAGACCCAGTTCGCCTCTGAATACTGTCATCGCAAGACACGTCTCGGTGACTGCGAACCATGCTTTCTCGTACAGCTGTTCAATCTCGATTGGCCGTAGATTTCCATAGAGTAGTTTCTGTAGTCCAAGCAAGAATGTGCACGCGACGACGAAGAGGAGGTTCGTCAGGATCATGAGGTTAGCGGAGGACTGCGAGAGGTAAACGGCGGCGGAGTAGAAGTTCGGTCGCTGTGCCAGAGCTTTGAGTATGACACCGGCAGCGAGGGCGGTCGAGGCCTGGACAAGCACCCGACTGTCAGCACTCATAGACAGGCTCATACAACAGAAGAAGCGCAGGCAGGATACATACCCCAGCGTAAGCGGTCCATCTCATCCTCATCCTCACGGGCATCTTGGTCGCTGGTCGCTGATCGCTGAGCAAGCGATCTCTCGTTCAAGGATAATTATCTAAGGGCGTTTGCTGATGCCATCATTCAGTCGCAGCTTCCACCGGCCTAGGTGCGCAACCGCAATATGAGATGAACAACAAATCCAACTAAAAGACATCCATCAGGATGGCGTATGAGTAATGGAACAGAGTATGGCTTTGTGGTCGTAGACGAAAGGTGTTCAATTTCCTGCTTTCTTTGATGTTCCTCCGCAGGCCACGACCGACCCCAATTCTTAGTGGCGTCACGCGAGTTCTTAACCAGAAAGTTCGCCCGACTCCGTGATTACCTGGTACATTAAGGTACCGTGGTTATCAATATCTCTCGCCATGAACACTATCAACACAAATATGTATCAGCATCACTCCTGGATTTGAATACTTCATCCTCGCCACCATACACATCGAGTCATTGCTATATCTCCCGGATGGCCCTATTTACGATTCATCGTTATCCCTATATCTCGTTTAATAACCAAAATGACAAACTCCGTCCCGAATGGCATTCCGAATATATGCCAACTGTTCATACCCTTTCAACACCATGTTGAATGCAACCTATCCTGCAAGACGTCCCTGCTCAATGCGAATGTGAAGCACAACACTTTTAGTAGCCATCGCCCTCCCTCCACGACCTCCCATCGCTCTCCGCTCTTATTCTCGCATCCACCCCTCTCTGCAGCGCTTCCAACCTTCTGTCCTCCAGGTCGGCTTCCCACTCGCTGATCATAGCAGCCAGCTCTTCATTCTTCCCATACTCGGGGACTTTCAGCGCACCCGCCTCAATCTCTTCTAGCTTTCCATCCTTTCTATACTGCTCGATCGCTTGAGCCTGATCTTCCCACTCCTTCAGCTCGGCCTCCGCTTTCTTCATATTATATCTGATCTCAAACCACTTGTCAAACGACTCCTCAGTCTCGAAGCACACACCAAACCCATCACAATAGCACGTCCGCTGATTGGGACAAAACGTGTTCTGGTCTGTGAAAATTACCTGCCAGAGGTACTCAAAGATCCTCCCACTCATCGTGTCTCGAAATTCCGAGCGTAGCAGCCAATCTCTGAAATGTGAGTACGTCTCCTGGGGCAACTCTCTAATCTTGTCCCGACTCAGGGCGAATTGCGAGCAGCAGGGCTGAGCAAGCACATTCGGGATCGATTTGCCCGGGAACAATTCAGCCCAGGCTTCCGCCATCAATGCCTGCTCGAGTTTCTCTTTGTCCGGCTCAATCTGACCCGGATGGATCCATTCCGGACACCCAGGCATCCAGTGGCATCGCATGTTCATGTATCCTTGTCGTTGTACCCTCTCATTGCTCAGCCGCTTGATCATCTCGCTAGCATCGAAGTTCAATAAATCATCATTATGCCATGCGAATCGGTGAGAGTGCATGAAGATGCTAACGTCCGGTAAATTGTCGTAGAAATCGATGATGTAGGTCAAGTAATTCATGACTTCGTGGCCCTTGTTCTTGGGCGGATGTAAGGGAGCTTTGGGGTCGTCGGCGACATAGATCATACGATTGATGTTCGGGCCCAAATCGACCTCATCGAGCCATGTCACGTTCTCCTGCTTGGTCCTGGCCATGACAAGATTGCGCGTGAAGCTCTTCATCCCAGGCGGGGTGCTTCCAAAAGTTATTGGCTCCGTTGACTCGGTCGGAGCTGCATCGTTGGCTGTATGGGATTGTTGATATTCCTGAGGTCGGGACCCCAAGTGGACTAGTTCCTGCTCTTCATAACCGTCAGACTCAAATAACTCTCCTAGCCCGATGACCTGTGGAACGGTGCTCCGTAATGACCTGGTCGTGATTAAAGAGCTGGTTGTTCGGTAATAAAGTAATAAAACAAGTATGGTAGCAACAGCCAGGCAGACCACAGCACGCCTCCCCTGGATCATGATCGAGATATCTGCAGAAAGGTAACGAATGTCGTTGTGGACTCATTCGAGAGCTCTGATTTCCGAATTGATCGATTCGCCTCCGAGAATGGTGATAACTTCGTTTCCTTCGAAGAAACGTGATGAAAGCGCCTTGGTAACGAGCGAGTGTGTATTTTCTTTCTCTTACTCATGCAAGGCCAGCTGATGTACTGTGCTCGCGAGGATTCATGGATTGATGCCGTGCCAGAAAGATCAAGGTGATGACGATTGAACAGGAGTCAAGGCAGGGAGATACTCTGCCTTACCTCGACTTCGCAGCTGAAGTAAGACTGCAAAGGCTCCCGGTTGCGACTCGCCTGAGGACTCGAGATCTTCAACCCCATTTTATTTCTGGTCTCACATCAAATGCGGCATCCCTGATAATTCGTAGATGAAAAGATCCACAGATCGTTGTTGATGAAACAAGCCAGCCGCTGTGCACTGGCCCGCAAGGATGACGAGTCCAGGCGTGCTGCGTCAGCCGAATCATCTGTGCTTCCCTGTAGTGCCTGTCGTAAGTGCCTGCCAGAGGCGCCGGAAAGGAGACCAGCCGCCAATGCTGTCAACAAATCAATAAGCCCATCATGGCCCCGAACAAGCCACAAAGCTTGACTGCCACGTCTTGCGAAGCATTTCTAGGGTACGTCCTCAGCCCGGCGAGCCAAACCCTTGGAACCAATATCCAGCTACAAGAGTTCTGCGCGGCTCACACAGCTCCATCTACAAGAACTATCCAGCTCATACTTCATCCATTGCATTCTTCTCAAATGTCCAAACCTCAAAAATCTACTATGCGACATCCAATACAGGTGGTGAATATTTCATCAATCCTCATCCAATTCTCAGACTTGTCACACTGCCACTGCCCATACTTCCGCCGCCATTGGCATCATAGTAGGGCCCGTTGATACCCCCGGGCCCAGTCGGTGTTGGGCTAAATAGCCTGTGCTCATTTACAGCATTGCGCTCTGTTGTTCTTTCAGGTGTTGCGACTGTGGGGGGAAGTCGACCCGCTCCAGGAGGCCATCTCTCGCTATTACTCTGCTCCTCGTCAACAATGACTATCATCCACACACCCACTTGGCCTTGGTGGCCAAGCAGAGGCGTGCAGTGAATCCACTTGTTCTTCCCTTGCTCATCTCCTCGACTGAGCCACCGTACTTTTGCTGTAACTCCTCGTCCATCGGCAAATGCCGCCGTGAGCTCCTCACGGACTCTGTTCGAACCGCCAATTTTGTTCAGGAAAGGAGATTGCAAGATGCCAGGTAACCTTTGTGAGGGGCTGGCGAAAAGGATGCGTAGAGATGGGTATGGTCGTACAAGTAGATACTTCAAATGGGTCAGCTTTTGGGAGCAGAGGACAAGCCTGGCTTTACTCACATTTTGATAGACACCACTTAGTCTTCCGTTGACGCCTCCAACTGGCGGAGTCATTGTCTCAGGGTCTTTCAACAAGAGTCGCGGTTGCTGCGAGCCAACGCTTTCGACATCCTCTTCCGCGACTTCACGGTGCATCTTCCCACCGTGCCGACGGATGATGTTTAGTTCTCCCTGGTTGAGCATTTCACTCAGTTCACGTAGCTCATCGTTCTTCTCCGGATTTGGCTTTTCGGGTACTGGGGGATCTTCGCCTCGGGCGCGCAAGTCCATCAGTTTTTGTAAGGATTCCATCTCTGCGCTATCCTTGACCAGTCCACTGACGTCGACTTGTGCACCGATGTGGTAGCGCACAACCCCCCGACTATCCGCAAGTGGCGCGATCATGAGCAGATTTACAAACGGCGAGCCATCCCGTCGACTGTGGTGGGTTAGCTCCTACTTTGCACAAACATTCAACGACCGCATCCACTTACTAATTCAAGAAGACCTCTTGGTGCTGCTTGCCGGTCTTGATCGCCTCCCGCAATCTGCGCACACTCTGTGGGTTTGTCATTGGTCCCTGTAGAAACCTGCAATTTCGACCCAAAACGTAAGACATCCCATATTGCGTCGTCCGATTGAACTCCTCTGAAGCAAAGACGATAGGGTTATCTGGCCGCGATGGATCGGTCAGGCAGAAGACCTCCGCCAGACCATCCGAAGCTTCTCTTAGATGGGAAGACAAAACCCCTGTAATTCTAGCTGTAATGCTGGCACTAACGATCTGAATGTACTGATGTGTGATAAACGCCGGCAATTCTTCCGTGACCAGCACATCAAAAGCCCTATGCGCTCTATCTTCCAGCGCAGTATTTATAGTAGGTTTGACCACCTTTTGTGTGAATTCGTACCCTTCCACGGGATCCAGCCCTTCGCAGATCGCGTTCGCATAGTGGATGGCTCGCAGGGATTTGAGGGAGTCGAGGTAGTGGACAAGGATAGGCACCGATTGCGGCCTGTGGGTGCCGAGGAAAGATGTGAATTTGAGGAGCAGGCCTGGATCTCCGAATATAACCTGTAGATGGCTCTTTGAGAACAGCGCCTGTGTTTGCTTTTCTAGGGAGAAACTCTCCGCTTGCTCTGCTGGTGGGGTAGATAGCAGACTGAAAGAAGACGGATCATCCTCGAGCACTGGTTCATATTGGTCGGCAGTGTCTATTTCTCCTATAGCTTGTAACCTTGGCAGCTCTTTTTCTCCGTGGTCAACACCGTTCAGTCGCAACTTGGAAGCTGGAGACATCGCGCCTTCGTCTTCTGGTTGTCGCAGGAGGGCATCGGTAGAGTACTTCACAGGAAGTTCGGTCGGTTCTGAGGACGGCCGCTGCGCCCGCGAACCCGGTCGTTCATTGGCATCATGACGGTGCAAGGAAAGATTGGGAGATTCAGTGCCGACTGAAGAGGTAGCGATCATGTCCGAGGTGGGTTATATAGGTCCTCCTCAAACTCCCTTAGTGGTGGCCGGGGCTTGATCGACAGACGTAGAAGACTGAGACAGATAGATTAGTGTTAGTCGCATCGAGTGGCCGGAGGCGTTAGATAGCAACGGGGAAGATGGAATAGGAACAAGCTAGATCGCCGAATCCATCAGCATAGTGCGATCCCGTTCGTTTGGGACTTCAGATACATGGGACAAGACGTTAAACATTTGGACGTCAGGACAGAAGTGGACAGAGAAGACGTCAAGACAGTTGCTGGAACAAATGAACGAGGGCGATATTCAGTTACTCGCAACTCCTCCGATGCAGGTACACGCTTCAAATGCTTGCCTAGTGTACACCTAGTGCATGGTAGCTCGCAAGCCCACCAAGCCTCGAAAGTCCTTGTGTACCGAAGAATCCACCAGATGCTCCCGATCTCAACAACCTCCCGTCAAGGCGAGAGTAGCCGTCATGATCGCCAGCACAAGGCTCGAATTGACAATCTCGGTCCTTCTGCAATCCAAAGCACCGTTTTGACGTCACCTGGCGACTTTTCTGTCAACGCGACACGCAACATCAACACCTGAGACTTGAATGTTGTAAGTTATCGAACGCTTAGTGCGACGGTAGGGGTTGCGAGCAAGGTGCTATGCTTTCCTATCAAGACTCTGTTAAAGTACATCCAGTGTCCCTCGATTCCATACACGCTCCCCCTTCGAAGGACAAGCTAGGAGCGCCGAACACGGCTCTATAACCCATGTCTCTTGACCTTGAGGCACAACGCCTCCAAAACCTCCAACAGAAGCAAAAGCTACTGGAAGAACTCAACCTCCAGTCTCGTTCTACAACATCTGCAAACTTGGATTCGGAAAACAAACAGCCCTTGAAGAAGCGCCGTCTCAATACCACAGCCCGATCTCTCCCATCCCGCTCCTCCGCCAGGATAGCAGCCAGCGGCCCTCGAGTCTCATACTTCGACGACAACCTTCCCTTACCCAAGAACGACAAGACCAGACGGCCTCCCAAGACCACCTCACGCCCTCAAGCTCAAGCTCAAGCTCAAGCTCTATCCATTGCACCCTCCCCGTCCCCTCCCCCTTCTGACTTGCCCGCCCTCCTAGCCAAATACAACTCGTATACTCCTACCGCCCCTCCACCCACCCAGTCCACGGACGGGACATACCACTTCCCCTCCCATCCGACTTTTACACCCAACAAATCTCCGCTCTCCATCCTCCTGGAAGGCGCCTTCGGCGGGTCCTACTTTTCCCCGTGGCACTCACGCACCCTACGCCTCACCCTTCGAGATGACCACCTCCACACGCTCCCGGACCACTGGCGTTCCCACCTCACCCCAGCGACGAAGTACCTCACTAGTCCCACCTATGACGCATCCCTGAACAAATACGCCGTCTCCTGCGGCCAGAGCCTCACGGAATGGGAAGCCGCAGGCTGGATCAACTTTTCACATGACCCGCGCGGCTGGTTCGAATGGTATATCCGCTTCTGGCTCGGTCGACGTCTGGACGACGGCGAGGACGAGCGACAAGTCGGCCGCTGGTCACGTTGTGTCGGGCCCAAAGGGCGATGGAAGCGCATGTTACTTAAAAAGTACATCCAAAGCGGCGTGAGGAGCATCTTCGACGACGACGACGCCGAAGAACGCGAAAAAGAAGCCAGTCCAGTGATGCATCAGACTTGCCACCACTGGGCGTATCAGGTCACGCAGGAGGATTTGGATGAGGCGTGGCGGGAACGAGGGCTATAACCTCGAAGACCACCCGGATCTGGCACTGCGGGGATAACGATTGGGATTAGGATGTGTGCCCGATGCGATACGAATGTACGGTTAGACCAGGAACTATCTCGCCAAGTATAGCAAGGGAAAGAGCTGGCTACCTAAGGTAGGACAGTCCCGGACCAGGCTTTTCAACCAGTACTACAAAACGCCCGCTTGCCTGATATTGCTATTTGATCGCTATTCCAAATGAGCGTAGTGCTTGAGTAGATCAGATGCAAAATCAAAGTCATCCCAGATTCCGTCCTTCATTCTCACGGCCATCCCTCTCTTTCGTTTCGTTTCATCGTCGCATTATATTCATCATTACAGTCTCCAAGACCCCCATGTTCAGGACCCCGACTCGTGAGCTTGTCATGCTTGGATTGTTATGGGATTCGCAGCAGACGCAGTGACCGGCACCAGCTGTTCAGCTAGGATCTTATCCCAAGTCAAAGTGTTGAAATGGACCGAAGGCATGGTCAGAGCGTCGTCGTCCTCGCCAATGTGATCGTTGTGGTCCATGATGGTGATTATGCTGGCCGAGCCTGGCGTTTGAGGTGTCGTTCCTTTCTGGATTGGCATCCCGTCCTCTCCGCGGTCGATCTGAGACCGCCGCAGTATCTCTTGGAGCGTGCAGACTGCATCACTGCTAGGTGTGGTGGGATCTAAGTCACTGTCTCCGCTCTTCTTGGACCAGTGGCTACTCGTAGAAGTAGTCGAAGACTCTCGAGACATTGCTGGAGTCGTCAATGCTGCCTCCTCGGACGAAGGAGGGCAAGTCAGCGCTTCATCACCACTAGCGTCGAGCTCGTGTACTTCGTGACCAACGAGCTCTTGTGGCGCGGGCGGTCCTCCTCGGATGCTTTCCTCAGCTGCTTCCGGTTCGGCAGTAAGCTCTGCTGCAGGGACGGCAATGACTTCTCGCTTGACCTCATTCAAGCCATTTCCGTAGCCTTGGATATAGATCTCGCAAAATGAGGGTCTTTTAGTTGGCAGTGGCTCGGTAGCGTACCTGTTTCGCCGCGACATCAATCTTTTCAAGGAAGACGCCCGCGAACCCGGCGGTGTCTTAGTCGACAGCGACGCAGTCAAGGCTCCAGGCAACTTGTCGGGAAGTGTGCGTCGGCGAGCTTTGAGTGATCTTCCTCTTGCTACTTGCTCGCCAATGGAACAAGTAGAGGCATTGGTATGGGAGTAGCTCTGGTCAGGCACCAACTGCAACTGGGAAGAACTCTGGACGCCGGTCCGAATGGCGGGAACTCGCGTACCTTGCCATGGCATCTTTTTCGGAGGACGGCAGCAGAGAGAATAAGTCAGATCGGTCACGTTGCGGACCTGCTTCGGGGGCTGCGACACCGAACGGAACACCTGGAGGATAGCATAGACTAGCATCCACCGAACTTTTCGACCTTCGGCAAGCGGCAGACCCTCGAGGTCATTGTCGACACTCTGTTCTTCGAATTCTGAAAACTTCCGGACCAAGTCGCAGTCCATGATCAGCAGATCTCTGTCCGAAGCAGTCATCAAAGCTTGCTTCTCACGCATCTTGTGGGCATCTTTATCCGCCTTCCGTTTCTGGATGGGATTCCACGACATCCTTCGCTGAGACTTCGTCCGCTGATTTGTGCCTGGCTCCAGGGCCGTTGGCATCAGAGGCAGAGGCTGCGCTAGTGGCTCATAGTTGTGCTTGAAGTCGAAAACCTGGATATTTTGTATAGTGCAGACGCCACCGGTCTTGTTGATGTCTGTCCCTTCCATGTTGGTGGAGGACTCTGGGTCCACCAGGTGTTGGTAGAGGTTCTGGAAGTCAGTGAGCATTTCGGCATACACCGCCTGTTGGATTGACTCCTCTTCAAAGCCCGGCGGTGGCCAGCACCCATATCGATCAACATACACCATTTTAAGGAAGGCACGGAATCTCTCCAAGTGAGCTCGAGCTGTTTGCGGTAGGCCGAGGAAGCTGCCTGAGACCTTGTCATCGAAGAAATTGACCACCGATTCATTCGTCCGGTTCAGGCGGTCATCCAGTTCGAGTTTTGCCCGGCTGATAAGGGTCTTGGACTTTGGACTAATCATCTAGAGGACTTGTCAGTTTCAATTGGGGCAACAGTAGCACCGGAAGCACTTACAACATACTCGACACTCGAACGAAGTCCGCGATGGCTCAACCCCACACAGTGAGCGAAGGCATCTACCCATAGATCTTCAATCTCGAGCTCCTCGGCCAGATAGAGTGCTGCCAGGGCATGATCGACGCACTCCCTGAAGTCCAGATACCTCTGATTTTCTGCGTAAGATACCACTTCCAGTGTGTTCTGGGAGCTGTAATCAGGGCGGTACACGTCCATCCTCCTTTTTACTTCCACTAAAGCTTTGCCCAATGTTCTCCCGGCCAATGGTCGATTATATAACCAGGCGAAGAAGTTCCTGGTGGTAATGTGGTGATTGAAGGTTTCCTCGAGGCCTATGCCGTAGGGAGCTGGAATGTACAGCTCCTGGAGCGACTGCTGTGGATCACAACCTGGACAGTTTGGGAGAACGCACTGCGCCCCGGCGTGAATTGAGTTTCTGACCACGCAACGGTCGACTAAGGTCTCGAATCCCCTGACTTTGAGGCAGTCAGTATGGATGCGAAAGGCCGGTCCTCGACTAGACTGGCCGGGCTCGCGCAGGTAGACTAGGCAGTCACCTGTGGGCCAGCACAGTTCGGGCTCCTAGCGAAGCATATCAGCATATTTGGACGTATTAGATGTACTTGCATCGTCCTTACGTGGAATACATTGATCCATTCGGTAGTTATTCTCGCTCGACCATTCCATCTTCTCAAGCCAGCAGATCGAATGTCATCGCGGGTCACGCGGCCCGAGATACGTCTCATGGCTGATGGCGAGATTGCTGAAGGACGATTGGAAGTAGAGACTATATTTTAGCTGTTCGAAAAGGATGTCTCATCCCTTTATGTGAGGACAGGAATGAGTGTAAAGTATGGAAGAAGGGTGAGAGTGGGAAACTCCTTCTTGTAGAGGAGCAGATGCCTTTTCTGTACACGACACGAATGTCAATCCAGACAGCGGTCAAGAGGGCGTCTCTCCCAGATTAAGAGAGATTCGCGCTGTGGGCTTGATAAAAGCCCCAGTGAAGGTTGAACAGCACCTGGCAACGGAGCGGAGGGATATCAAGCAAGGTGCTGCAGGCTGCAGCTAACTGGAACCAGCAGAACCGTTGGAGGGCACGCAGCCCCTTCCACAGCAGCTTGACGCTTCTGGACCAGCCTCAGCCAGAAGCCCATTGAAAGGGTCAAGCAAGCCATGACCTCGTATCAAGGCCGACAGTTGTGTACAGGTCTGTGATGGACGATGATGGAGGTGGAGCAGCCCGAGGTCCGGGTGGCAGCCAGTCAGAAGACGGTACCTGTAACTCAATGATGCTGGTGGGAAGCTCCTGACGTGAAGAAGGCCTGTGTGCCTGTAGATGGGCCTGTCAACATGCCCGAGATCGTCCCCGTAATTCAAAGTCCGGACGACGACGCGCAGATCCGCCGCTTGTTGCACGTCAAGAGTCCGACCACAGGGATGCTGAGCTGAGGACTCCAAGGACTCGAAGGACCAAGTCACCACCGGCACTACCATCCCGTGTCATTCTCACCCCAATGATGCCCCCGACGCCATCTGTACTAATTGGCGAAAACCCAGCAAACGATAGGCAGATCGTCTCTGGATGCTCCCTGCAACACGGCTCCAATATGCGCTACAACCCCGCCTATCTCAACCTTCTGGGCGCTACTCTTTACTGTGGTACTAGTAGCATCGCCGCTCGTTCGTCAAGGAGCAAGCCCCTCATAGCCTAACCCTTTCTCGACCACTCAAACCAGCCATCATTTCCTCTTTGAAAGCTCCGTCGCTACGCCCGCTTGCCATCTATCTACCTGGTAAGCTCTCAGTTGCGATCGGCGGCCATTTCTTACGAGACTTTCCAAGTTTTGTGGGCATCATGGGGTTACCGCCTCATGTGGCGTCTCAAAGCTCACACCATGCCACAGTGTCCAAATGCCTCGTGCGACCTAATTGCGAGCAGTCTCACGAAGTGTCGGAGTGTCGGTCTCAACGATAACGCATTATTTTTTATGTCAAGTCAAACGCGGCAAGCCGCGACTGGTTAAGAAGCGAAGGATCAGAAACATAAGTAAACAATTATAGCCTCGATGACAATTTGGGCAGGAGCAGGAGCTGGGAGGCATTTGGTGGCTTGCGTCGTGATCCAATTGCTACCCTTGCCCTACCCTCCATCTCTTGTCCTTTTTGGATAAGAGCCTGTCCCGGACTTGGAGGCGTATGATGGCGCCAGTCCTGCAACATCGAGCAAGGTATCCTTGACTTTTGACGATCGGACACCTGATCGCCCAAAGAACCAGATTTGCTTAATGTAGTGCATAGTACATTGGAGTTGACGTAGAGCTCTCCCTCGTCTCAATGACGAGGATGTGGCTCTCGAAATTCACGTCAATCGCTATCATCAGAAAAGGGTGGCTTCTGGCGGTGTTCTTTACGGAGCGGAAATGATAAGGTGATTGAGGCTAGCTTTCGACGCCGAGAGGCATTTTCGTGCGTTGGCATTTGTCAAAACGATCAGCTCAGGCTAATCTCCCGCATGAATCGAGGTATGAGGTAGTAGCTTCTCGGCAAGGCATGGCTGGGGAGCCGAGTATGGTTCCTCTTCTCAAGTGAGACGCTTTATCTGCCGCATGAAAAAGGATTTTAGAGCCAGGTTTGAGTTGAGCGACAATCTTGCAAGTCAGCAACCGTTTTCTGTCATGCTAACTCTGCAGGGCCGATTAGCTTCCGAAAACGTATCAAGGTTGATGCTTTACAATTAGCCAGTCGGGGACTTTCCCACGGCTGATCAACCACTGCCAAACCGATCAGCTCGACTTGCACACGGATCCGGGGTCGTAATCGTAGCAGAGGCTGAGAGCTCTCAGTTGCCTTACATACGCATCTTTCCTGCAAAGCATGGAGTGGCGTTACAAAACTGAGCTGGAACCCACAATTTTCTTCGTCGAAAGTCTTCCAACGGCTCAACGCTCGCTTCGAGCAGGTCGGGAAAAGAATCCTTCGATTCACATGAAATCGAATGACAAGCCAGTCACACCTCGACCAAGACCCTGACTTGGCCGTCCATCCAGTCGACAACACCGGCACTCAAGAGTGCGACCATCCATTCCCCATCTTCGACAACGGTTACGAGGCCATCGGTGAGCCATACCTTGACAAGTGGACCACCCTCCTTGCCCGGTATGGTATTGCCAGTAGCAGCCTTGTACCTTCGATTGACCTCAGCAACTAAACCTGACAAATTTGGAGCCGACTCGGGTGTTAACTCGAAGCGAGGTATGACGCGTCTCAGGGCACCGCCAGTATTCGACACGATGTTAACATAAAGAACGATAGACTGCTTGAATGATGTTCTCAGCCGAGACTCGTTTCTGGCCGATGTGTTCTGGTCCTTTTGCACTGCCAACGGAGACTTGGCTGCCTCCTGATCTGGGAAGGTAGGTTCAGTGGGATCATCATGAGATGGAATGGATTCGTCAACCCCCGCAGGTGACTGCTCACTCTGCGTGTCCTTGCTTGAGGGTTGCTTTCTTGTCGTCGCTGCATAGACTCTCTGCCGTTCATTTGCGACCATCTTCCGCATCAGGGGCATCATCAGCTTGATGATCGCCTGACTATCTTGGGGCCAGAACATCGTCCGCGGTGGCGCGTCTGGTACCCCTCCTCCAGCTCCAAGTCCGAAATATTTCTCACCATAACCGTGCAAGGAGAGGAATTCGTCAACGCAGTTCCATAGGTTCAGTTTTGCTACGTCTGATCCCCCAATGTTTTTCTTTTGTCCAACCACGTCCCTCCTCTCAGGATGAGCTTCATCGAGCATAAAGGCTTTGGCGGCGTTCTGCAGCCGGAGGAAATGTTCAGGAGCCAGCTCCAAGGACGCGAAGACCTTGCCTAGCGGCGGCCTGCTGTACTTTTTGCTCTTCGTGGAGGGTTCACGAAAAAGGACAGAGGCAGAGCTTGGGAAAATAGAGGGTTCTGCAGCAGGATCAGGTGCGTCACCCAATATATCTGGAGCTAACACAGAGTCATCGTCGGCGAAGGTGTCGTCACGCTTTCTTTTTCCTAGTGTCGAAGCATTGCTGGTCTGCTCCCCAGCCGCAGCAGTCGCTGCTTGAACTAGTCCAGCAAACTGGATGTCGTTAGGATAAGTCGCATCCGTCATGTTTTGCCCTTGGACGAGAAGTCCAGGCTGCTATGCCGAGGGCCAGCCCGGCACGCGGCACGATATGTAGAACGTATCGAAGGATGGGGACGCAGGCCGAGTCGACCCTTTTGATGAAATGTTTGTCGCGTTTGACAAGGTCCAGGTGGTAAATCAAACAAATTCGCCCAGAAGATCAAACACGAATCTGTAGTCTAGGCCCAAAATAGCTAGCGAGCTCATAAGTGCCAAGGCTCGGGAGAAGACGCCAAAGTCAATGACAACAGCACCATCCCGTCTGTTCAGCAGCATCCAGGCTCGGTCTCAATGTGTTCATTATGAATGCCTGAAGCTTGCACTCGACCCTGCTTCTGGTCAGGCCCTGGATTTCCATCGATGAGTCCGGCATAAGGTCCTCGCAACAACCCACTTCTCTAAAGTACTCTAAGCAGGATGTTTCGAGCGACAAAGCTGCAGGTAGCGACGTACCTGCTTGGAGTCTGTCCATTCTCCATCGCGTTCCTGGTCTTTTTGAACTCGTCAATCTCCTTTGTGATCACAGATCTGATCGGCACCAAAGATGGCCTGGGAAATGCTGCCGGGACCCTAGGATTTGCAGATGAATTGTTTGCCCTTGTGGCCTGTCCCTTGTGGGGCATACTTTCCGATCGCATTGGTTTGCGTTTTGTGAGACGTCCGACATCGTCTCTCACGAAGACATACCGCTGACCCTTCATAGGTCTGTGTTCTCGGATATCTGATCATTTGTCTGGCACTGGCTCTGTTTGTCCAGGCTCACAACGTTTACCCGCAGCTCCTTCTGGCAAGATTGCTCTTTAGCCTGGGCGGTGCCGCAGCTTCCACCATGGTGACGGCTATACTCCCCGCCGTCGCTGCATCCGGCTCGAAGCCTCAGGGTCAGCTAAGGCACTCCAGAGTGATCCAGATTTTCGGCCCCAATGGCCACGTTTCCAGTCCATCGGAGGCTTCGGAATCTACCATAACTCCGGAAAGATTCCTTGCCCGCGCATCACACGGCCAGAGCGCACCAAGGCCTACCGAATCCGACGCTCAGCTTGCTTCCTCCACAAGCAGAATTGCGGGCTTTGTTGGCATGTTCACAGGCTGCGGTGCCCTAATCGCTCTATCTCTGTTTCTTCCTCTGCCGGCCAAATTTCAATATGCCGGCATTGGAGAAAAGGCGGCTCTGAAGTACAGCTTTTATCTCGTCGCAGCTGTTGCATTTGTGTTGGCCATCTGGTGCTTGTTCGGCTTCCGCAACCTCCACGTACACAATAAAGATGGCCTATCGAAAGGGCCCGACTCTCGGCTAGAAAGGCCGAAGCTTTCGATTGTCAACACTCTCCGCCAGATGTTGGACAACTTCCAAGTAGCCGTCATGGCGGGCTTTGAGCGGTCAGAAATTGCCGCTGGTTACGTTGGCGGATTTGTCGCTCGCGCTTCTTCGGTTGCCATCTCCCTTTTCATACCGCTTCTGGTCAATGCGATGTTTCGTTCGTCGGGTTTATGCCCCGACAAAGGAACTGGAAATGATCCCACCGGCCTTCCGGATATCAAGAGACAATGTCCTCGCGCTTACATCGTGGCCGCAGAACTGACTGGCGTGTCACAGATGGTGGCATTGATATGTGCTCCGCTGTTCGGGTACTGGAGCGCAAAAGTCTCCAGAAAAGAGCTCCCTCTCCTGGTCGCCTCGATCTCAGGCATAATTGGGTACCCCCTTTTTGCAAATCAGTTCGATCCCGACGACTCGCATACGCGCTATCGCGTTGTCGCGTTCCTAGCTGTCTGCCTTATCGGTATCAGTCAGATCGGCGCTATCGTGTGCAGCTTGGGCACATTGAGCAAGGGCATTCTGTTGGAAATCCCAAAAACGCCAGAGCCAAGTATCCGATCAGATGCACACATTAACGAAACTGGGTCGGCCGAGCACCAACCTCTTCTGTCAAATGCCCAGCATCCGAGCAAGGAAGCTTCTCTATCGGCTTTGAAGGGGTCTGTCGCCGGCGTCTACTCCTTGTACGGTGGTCTTGCCATCCTGATCTTGACGAAAGTTGGAGGCTTGCTATTTGACAAAGTGTCTTTAGCAGCGCCGTTCTACATTATGGCTGTCTTTAACGCCATTCTGATGCTCGCTTGCGCTGCGTTGAGCCTTTGGAGGCCACAGTGAGAAAGCTTAGTGCTTTCGGAATAGCCGAGGAGGATCAGTCATAATCAACATGCTAATCACCTGGCGTTGTGACTACCGTCCTCGCAGAGGACCTCCAGCAGAAATGGCTCTTGCCAATGGGGAGTACATCATCTCAGCACAGCCCAAGGGAACCGGATCCGCAATCCCGAAATACAAGCTGCTCAACTGTGCAGGTTCTATGGCATGAAGTTTTCAGTTACAATGAAGTCAAAGCCTAAGGTTGCAGTTGAAGACCGCCCTAGGTCGAGCTTGCCCTTCTAATTCAATTTCGTTCAACACGGCGTACATCATAGCCACAAACTAGCGCACACGGCCTCAAGAGCTCTACGCGGAGAGACTGTGGCGTCCCATCTGGTTGTGAGCTTTTGATCTTGGTTTCTCAGAGGAAGGCGAAAACTGAGCTGGTGACCCTACCGGCTACGTGCCGATCGCAAGCAGACGGTGAAGGAGGCGCTTGAGCGCTGTCTTGGCATGCGTTCTGATGATGACCCCTGTCGCTACATATCTCAGAGGGCCGCCTCTTAGGGGAGACTGCAATTGGGAAGGAATGAGAACGTCTTAGCGTCATCTTGTGATGACCGTGACTGTCTCAGAATGTCAGAGGCCCCGTACCTTTCGCGAAAGAAGATAAAGTCCATTCTGTGGCACAGAAGCATCGGAAAACATAATGCCGGTCGTGCTATCCTGTTAGCCAGCAAAGGGCATGGGAACGCGCAAGACCGAACGGGCTTCTGCCTTACCCACCAACAATCGGCCTACAAAATGCACAGAACAAAAATCAAAGCAGCCAACTGTCGCAAAAGACAGGAAGTAGAGAGATCGTACAGGGCGAGGACGAGCCTGTCCGAGAAAGCCTTATCACCATCTCGAATAGCCGACTCAGAGTCAGGTAATCATGCCTGCAACTGGCGGCTTCCCGGCGCTCGAAGCGGTCGAGATATTTGAGTGCCTCAAGCTCCATGAGTCAGGGCGCGTAGCTACATGCATCCTATTTCGACGGCGCCTGAGAATGCTTCCAGATCACCTGCCTCTCTGATGTGCAGCTCACGAAGCATCCACCAACTTTGACTGATCAACATGAAACATGCCCAGGAGCGTATTTCTGCCTTGCTCGATACTCAGCCCGTCGACCCGTGCCTGGATATCTTTCTGACTCTTCCGTACCTCCTCAGCGATCTGTGACCATGGCATGGGGGTCTTATTCCCATTCACTGCTTTTCCTTCGACGCCATCGCCACTGACAGCCAGATCGACGAGTCTGCCATTTCTCTTCCTGATCTCCCCATTAATGATGACAGTGTCAATGTCCGCGGCTTCACTGAACCGAACGATCGCAGTGACAGGATCATACTCCACCGCCGAAAGCATGCCCACACTGTTCTTGGCATCAAATATGACGAGATCTGCGTTCTTACCTTTCGCAATACTTCCTACCTCGCCATCCAAGCCGAGACATCTGGCGCCACGGATTGTCATTAGGTTGAAGGCTTCCTCGGATGAACTCTTGACATTGGCCGCCGGAAACTGGTCATTGGCAAGGAGACGATTGTTGTGCTCCAAACGAGCAAGTTGTAGGAGAGCGCGAGCTTGGAGAGCAATGCTGGACGGATTGCTCGAGTGGCAGTCAACGCCGAGAGATATATTGGCCGACTTATGTCTCCTCATGGCGGGATGAAGAGATACGGACCAGCCCATGCCCATATGAGCCTCCGTATCAGGGGTGCTTGATATAGGGGTGCCAGTCGAGGCAAGAATGGAGAGATCTTTGTCCTGCAAGCCGGTACAGTGCGAAAGCAGGAGGAATGGCAGCTTGGCAGTGGTATCTGATGGCTCATAAGGATGCTGCAGGAGGTCGTAGGAAGAGAACAATTCCACAACGGAATCAAGGCCTAGAGATGAAGGGTCAATGGTGCTATCACACAAGAAGTGGCGTTTATGTATCAAATAGTGCAACCAAACTCACCCTGAAAAGCGTTTCTGCCCACATGTGTTGTGAGAACTCTAAGCGCTTTCGCTCTTAACCTTTCCAGCATGCCTAACACCATGTCCCTAGGAAGGAACCAGAGATCAAAGCCCATACCCACTTCGACCATTGCGCTTTTGTGATTGTACTGTTGCGTCCAGTTTCCTATCTGCGATAATGCCCAGTCGGGAAGAAGCTCCTGGTTCGGCACACAGCTGGTCTTGTCCCACTGGGTCATCCTGATGGGGACCGTGTAGGCGAAGATGGCGCGGATACCAGAGTCAATAGTAGCTGACAGTGCAGAGTTGGCTGAGACGGCGTCAGAGCCCGAGGAGTCACAAGCCGCACACAGTAGGACTTACCGTGCTCAGGTGTGTACACAATATGTGCATGATCCAGGACAAGAGTCGTTCCGCAATTGATGGCCTCGAGACAGCCTGACAGTTGACCCCAATATGCGTCCCGGGCCTCGTAGACATAGGACATCAGGTTTCCTGGTCACCGACGCATTAGCACCAAGCCTCGTGTGGACGAGACGAGGTACTTGCCTGATACCATGTACGCCGCCAGCCCTTCATCTGCGTGTCTGCCTTTCAATTGTGTCTGCCAGAGGTGATGGTGCGTATCGACGAAGCCTGGCGAGATGATTTTGCCGTGGCAGTCAATGACCTCCGTATCCGCCGACGAAACATGAATGCTTTTGCCCACTTCAGCAATGAGATTGCCAGTGACAAGAACGTCCGCGTTGTATAGTGGGACGACGTGCTCATCGGATGAATGAGTGAGGACGGTACCTCCTTGGAGAAGAATACTTTTATTCATGACGAAGCGCTGAGCATTCGACGTCAGGAGCAGCTGATGGTTCAGTATGCTGGAGGACCGACCCGCAGAACATGATCGATGACCCTTTATATATGTCGTCTTCATACACGGATGCGTAGAGCATAATGAGCTCCAGACGTGTATCGTGCTGTATGCTCATGTTGGCTAGCCAATCCCCATGGTCAGCGAGGCCCAAAAGTCTCCGTATGACCGGCACAATAGCTTCTCCGTCAAGGAGAAGGACACTTCCGCCTTGCGAGGCACTGATATCATAACTCGGAGAGTTGACATGAAGGTGCATCTGAGCGAGAAAACGGAAGCCACTAGTTTGGATGTCGGACCTGATGGATATCGGGAAGAGATCACGGCAAGTTGGCGTGGATGAGCAGAGTCGTCGAAGATATTACCAAATATAGCCGCTATTCAATGGTCTCTACCCTGAACCTACATAGGCTCATTCTGGAAATCCATCCGCAGTGATATGTCCAAGGCCATTCTACCTTTGAGGCAGGTCGCAGACTGGGATGCCTCTTGAGTCCACGGAATCGCCATTGAGCAGGCGGCAGCCAAATAAGTCATGCTTGCGCAAGTATATACGACACGGCATTTCCCACAATACCTTTCTTTGCAGCCGTCGGTCGACTCATGCCGGGCTGCAGCATCAGGAGAAGGTCGCAACAAGCAGGAAGCAGATCCAGGCTCGTGACTGTCATGATCAATCCGTATGAAGCTGCTCTAGCATCGAGGGTGTATGAGCTCATTATTGCGGAAGGTTGGCTCCATATGCGAGGCAGACCAGGCGTAAGAAACCTTGCTGTGCCGACTCCCACAACCCTGAGCAGTCTATTGCGCTGCAGCACTGGCCCTGTACGTGCCACCGGATATGCTGCGACGTGCAAGACATGATGTTGATTCGGAGCAGCGCAGAGGCAGAAGATGCATGCGAAAGAAATACGAAGTTCAAATTCGGAAAATGTTCTGCCTGCCAAGTCTTGCCTGGTGAACTCGAGTCGTCGACATGAAAGAGGTGATGAGGGCATCAAGATTTTGAGCCAGGGGCAGGAGCAGGAGCAGGAGCAGGAGGAGGCAGGTGGCTGGAGCATTATGGGAGCCATGGCGATTCCAGGCCACGTCTTCTTCGCATACTGTACTCTCTCCCATCGACTGCTTCCACATCTGATATTCTCGAGTCATCGCATGCTTTTCTCGACGGCGACATGGCATCACCCTTGACCACCCAGTACAGTCCACTTCATCTTCGTGCTTGCTGATAGCGCTTACTCTTGCATACCGGCCACTGCATCATCCAGGGGGAATCAGTCAATCAATACCTTGTCCAATGCCGACAGCACATCTGCGTCCGGCACCGGCTCCTGTACTTGGACTCCTCGGCCATCCATTGACCGACATGCCGACTCACCTCGATGCCCATCAACTTACCTGGCCCATGGCCACACTCCGCTCAAGTCTGTGGGCAGTGGGCACAATACACGCGCCAACCTGCAATGCAATGTGCAGCAATCGACTAAGCCTTACCTTCGATTTCCGGCCCCAACATCAACTTGATACCGCGGGAATCAATGACATTCTGGTCTCATTTCGGCCCCATCATGTCCCCATGCTCGCCAGGGTAAACGGACCAAGAACGAGACTGAGACTAGACTCACTTTCAGTGATATCTCAAGGGACCATGCGAACGATCCCCAAATCCGCGGAACCACTACTCGTACAGTACATCAAGATGCTCTGGTCGTAGCGCTCTCGATATAGCAACCAAAGAATCGCCCTCCGAGATCGATTTGCCTCTCCCCTCCTCACCGGGTCACATCTTCACAAAAGTCCCCAACAAGATTACTAACCTTAACCGACGTCGTATCGCTCCAACACCGCACTCACCTGCGGATCCCACCATTCGTTCCAATGAGTACAGGGTCGTCACGAGCTCACAAAAGAGCCGCCATAAGGCCTCCCGCATCTCCTCCCCCGGTACCCTTCGTGTCTTTGGTGCCCACAGAACTAAGCCCTACGGCATCGAATATCCCGATCGAGAAACCGTTCAAGAATCCAAAGTGAGAATCCCTGCATGATTTTCGGTCACTCCTTGGTCTTACCTAACCAACCATACCATGCAGACCCACATCATCGGCACCACTACGAGCACCACGAGTATCTCGAGCCAGTTTTGCTTGCCTGCTTGCCTGTTGACGCAGCATGCGTTGATCCACAGGGCATTCTCTGGCGCGCAATCTGCATCGCAGCGTCCGAACCGTAGTGTTCATACTTACCACAAGGAACATATCCCTCTCACATGCCACTCCAGCACCTGGACCAGGGTAGACTTGACTACCGAACTCTCATGGGTGGCCTACAAAACAGTCCTAGTACTAGTACTACTCTGCTTACGTAGACCTGTGCAAAACGCGGTGGAGGGTCAGGATCATTTCCCTCCACGACTAATTATCACTTGCCTATGCAGAAACCGCTTCCCCGGCGGGTGCGCGGTGAAGAGAAACGTGAAGGTGAATGCGACACGGTACCCAAACCGTAGACTCCATCAAGAGGTATCATGGATACAATACTTCTGAGTGCTACCACAGACCTGGTATCCCGGTAAGCTTCCAAAACTTGCAAAATGCGCTACTACTAGTAGTATGTACTTATGTACCTGGGTCGTCGGCATGGGAAAAGACAAGAAGCGAACACTGACAGTGAGCACGGCACGGCACAGTAACCGCCGAGGTAAGTGATTCCCAGAGTCAAGGTTCGATTGCCTAGCCCTAACTTAGTCCTAGTGTAGGTAGGTAGTCTGTGGTCACCCATACCATCACGAGCAGCACCATCCCAGATCGTCGGGCGGGCTAATGCACTGCCTTGTATACCTGTATCATTGATACTAGCGTCCCTTCGTTCCTTAGGGGCATTGTCGGATTCATTCACGTCCAACACTCGCGGTGTCGGGCAGCTGGCAGTACGCCGGTATCCTGCCTCAGTCAGGCCTTCCAACTCCACAGGCACAAGAAAGCATTCTCTGGCTGCCTATCCCTTTTATTGCCTTGATTCGGCTGGACGTCTGTGAATCAACTGTGCTTGCTCCTTGCTATGACCCATTGCGATGCCGTCGTTTCATTCTTCGCAATGGCCCCCAGTTGGTCGCTCCATGATCGGCATCAGTCATCATACATCAGAGCCAAACTTGACTTTAGTGTCTGTCGAGGAGGCAAATTGGCCTTGTTGAGCTCAGTCCGTATCGTTGAGCATGTAGTTTTCTGTCATCCGGGTCCTCTTTCTCGGCGAATTCTATCCGCCTCGCTGAGATCCTGGGCCCAGGGCGTCTCTGCCTCCAGGACCGACAAGACTCGAAGCATGGTTGCCATCGTCGTAGTTGACATCGGATTGGTCTGGATCCCAGTTCTTTTTCTTCGGCGGTGACTTGACCTCCAATCCGGCATTCAGGACTTGCATTCGGATAAGTTTCATTCTGGCTTCACGAATAAATCGCTCCACCGTGTCCAGGGCTGCCTGCTGTGCCTCGGCACGTGGATCATGTTGGACAGCATTCAGAGTGCCGTATTCCAGATCAACGCGAGCATCCAGCTTGCCGTCACGAATCAAAGCCTCAATCTCGTCCAGGAAGGTCGGTTTATCCGGGGGACTACCGAATGTCTTCTCCATACTGGCCAGGGTAACCTTGCTGAAAGGCACAAAATACTGAATGACGCTCTTGGTCCGGATCTTCTTGTAGATATCAGACACGAGAGGTTGCAGATAAATGTCCAGAAGGTAGTCTGCTCGGTATGATTCTAGAATTTCCAGACACTGACTGTACTTGGTGGCACAGAAGAAGTTAATGGCTCGGCGGATGTGTGGTTCAAGTTCTAGAAAGTTGCGGAAGCTGTTATTCTCCAAGACATTCGCCTGTAGTTCAGAGCGGTTCATGGAAGCCAAAGCACACAACCCGCCATAGACAGCCACGTCATTACTGCTTATGACATCGCTGTAGCTGTCTCCAATGCTGGGATCGACGTTCAGAAAACTCGTCGCCGCTTCACGATATTCGCCGATCGACATTTGCTGAAGACCCATAGCCGCTTGTGCCTTGGGCTGGTTCCTATTCATGTCGTCGGGCTTCATCTGTAGGTTGCGAATCTTGTGCACCTGAGACTGAACAGCCAGCCAATTCTTTTGTTCGATAGCAACCGCGACGATTCGGAAAGCGGTGGACGCAATATGTGTGGCGGTGGTACAGTAGTCGCGCATGCGGGAATAGGCCTTCACAGCGTTGTTGAGATCTCCGATCGTGTAGTAATGCGTCCCGAGGTCTTCATTGCCCATCTGCGTTCTGCGTCAGCGGTGGCTCATGGGAGGTGTAATCAATCTGAACCCACGCGGATGCTCTCTTTGATCAGGTTGTTCTTGTAACCCTTCAGCTCGTTTTCCAGGCGAGCAGTTTCAGCAGAGTTTTTCTTTTCCTGTTGTGCAGCCCAGACTGGGTCCAGTAAGTTTTCAACGTTCTTGCCCTTCGATGCTCGCTTCAACAATGCCACAGCCTCTTGGTAATTTCGAACGTCGGCGCCCTTCTTTGCCTCAACCACGGCCATTCGAGCTGCTTCTTCTGCTAATACAGTCGAGCATGATGCAATGAGATGGAGGCGGCGGAAGACAGTTCGGCCTGGGTGTTGTTGATCAGCACTGTGAAGTTGGCTTGCACGAGGATGCTCTCTTGCCTTTGTAGTTGGAGATGTAGGAGGGAAGATCGAAGTTTGGGGTTTCTGAGAGTGATTTGGTGAGTCTGGGCTTGTGAGATTGAGAGCAAGTTGATTTACCCTGTACAAGGATGTTGTAGTTCGGTTGATCTGAAGACTGCGCTTCAGTAGCCATCTTGATGTTGAAGGTGGCGCGCAGCCGCTGCAGACCTCGTTGTCGGGTGCAGCCTTGACATCCACTTCAGAGCACTGGCTAGACTATGGCGAGGCAGCAGGCCGATTCATCCAGGCGAGCGAAATCAGAGAGTGTGGCACGGTAAGTAGATTCAAGGTAATGTCACCAATCTACGAGTGAAGTGCCAGTGAGTGCCTCAACGACAGAGATGATGTCGTTTCTCCGCATCAAGTTAGTTATGTACCAGGTAACTCAGGCAGCCCCCAACAGATCTCTTGGCGTAGCTAAAGCCTGGAATCAAGGCTTCAGTTAAAGCAGTCCACGCCTGAAAGCCCATTTTCCTCTCTTACATCTCATCTGGTGTCAACACCAATTGATTGAGGAATGTGGTTTGAGCGATAAAATATCCTGCATTACATTTCGGCGCTCAGCGCTCTCATGTTGCCTATGACATCTGCCTCTTATCATACACGAGCTTTTCATCCATCAAGGAGAGCTTCAATGCGTGGTGTCTCGGCTGACATTGATCTCTCTTCCATTCCTACCAGCCTTTCACCCATGACTGACTTTTGTTCCCATTCATCAAATCCAAGAATGAGACTGTTCCCATATTCATCTCTGTGTGCTCGTCGAAAGCTGTCCCAATGTCCGAGATTAGAAGTCATAAACAACCAGAGGTCCATCTCGTAAGGCTCAAAGACGTATCCGAGCCAATTGAAGTCGTGCCAAAATTCCAAATCGCTAAAACGCACCATAGGTAATCCAAAGAAACAAATCCTCCTTCAAGCCATCAAAGCATTCAGGTCGAAACCTTGCCCATCAGCTTCAGTCGAAGGCAGCCAAGGACCTTTCTCCTCTTGAGTGGCATTGTGGAATGCCTCGGCTCTCTTTAAGGTCTCGACATCCAAGTCGGTCACGTAGTTCTTGCCATTAGGCAAAGTCATACGGACCTCAAACTCGTTGTGCAACATCATGTCATCCTTCCAGAGTCGACGTTCGCCATCATAAACACAAAGCACTCGCTTCTTCATGCACATCTTGTCGGCAGACATACCCCAGGAAGGTGGGTAGTGCTTTCTCTTCTTACGACCCTTGCCGACGAGAGAAACACCACCTTTGGACCAGGTCATTCCCTTTTTCGCGGGCCTGGTGGATTTGGAGATGCCACCACCGAGTATAGCTCGTCCTGATCCGGCATTCCTGGACTTGATGGCACCCTTTCCGGATCGGCTGTGGAAGGATGGGTCACCATCTTCATCATCTTCTTCGTCCTCTTCTTCCTCGTCTTCCTCGTCTTCGTCGTCATCGTAGCTGGTTGGGCCATCCTCCGACTTGAGCATGTGACGGTCCAATGTCTCTTGGACGCTGTCGTCATGGGTCATGCTGGCTAGATGTTGCGCATTGATGGCTTCACTAGGTTCCTCTTGTTGAACCACACGCAGCACACAATCATCGAGATGTTCATAAAAGTCCTGGGCATTGGTGAAGGTTGCTGAGCAGGTCGAGCACTTGCCAGTGGCATCTTGGCAGTAACTCGACAGCTTTCGGGTGTTGGAAGTCGGACTGCGCTTTCGGCTGTTGGGGGCGGTTTGTTCAACACCATGTACTGAGGTCAAGTGTCGTTTGAAGACATCTGCTCGATTAAAGCTCTTCTCCGCTGGGGAACCCGAGCCGGGGCAGAATCCGCACACCATGGTACCTTTGTAATGGGTCAAGGTGTGTCGGTTCTTGTCGTATTTGCGCGCAAATCCTTTGTGGTGATATTCGCAGGTGACGATGGGGCATTTCTCCGGTCGCTCGGCTTGGTGGGTCAGCATATGCGCTTTGAGATCCTTGAAGACCTTGCCACAGTCGGGATGTGGGCATCGACCTTTCTCGGCGCCCTCCTCACCAGGCTCTGACGTTGGACTTGAGTGGGAAACGCCAGATATGTAAGAGGCGAGCGACGGTCTTCGGCTAAGCATGTCGTGTTGCTGGTAGTAGTTGGAGTCCGTGAGAGGGTCGGAAAATTGAGTTGTGGGGAAGATGCCGTAAGGTTGAGGTGATGGGGCTGGGGAGCCGGTAGGAGATGTGCTGTTGAAAGAGTGCATGCTGGGCGGAAAGAGAGCTTGTTCAGGATATGTTGTTTCTCCATAAGACCGGGGCGCATGGATCAAAGATGGGTCTGCTCAAAGCATTGGTCAGTTAATCTTCACTTCTCTGGATGATGACATCGGCATGAGCGGCAACAGGAACGGAAAGGAAAAGAAAGGAAAGAGAGGCAAGGAAAGGACAATGGAAGACATGAAAGTACAGCGGAAGAGACGAACAAGATGATTCAAGCGGCGGCATGAAATTACCACTGCTTTGAGCAAAGAAATGAGACTGGAAGTGACTTGCAGATTTGTGGACTCGTGCTGCATTGGGATCATGAGATGTCATACGGGTTGGAAGTGTTTGACGAGGCGACGGTGAGAAAGATCTCGAATGGCTTGGAGAGACAAGGGTTGGGTGCTGTCTTGGATATGCTGAAGCTGGTGTTGTGGGTGACTTGAAGTTCGGTGTCGACCGATTGGCTTCGGTGGCAGGAGAAGGAAGGACAGAAGAGAAAACCGAACTTGAAGCTACCGGCGACACGGTGGATGTGGGCGGATCCAAAAAGGTATTGATGGACAGCAGTTGGGGAGACGAAGTAGAAGAAGATCGGTGACTTGACAAATGTTGCACGAATGGGGCATGGCGAGGTGGAACAGTCGACGCCTGGCGTTGAGAAGAGAAAAGATCGGCACACTCACCCACATAACTATCCGACAACTTCTCCAAGGACAGATCGGCTTCCATCGAGGCTCTCATCATCTCTTGGGAGAAAAAGTCGTGGTTGACAATGGTTGGCATAACGCCCAGACCGTATGGTGCTCCGTTGTGGTCAAACGCGTCCTGGCTGGAGATGGCGTGGGATGGCCCCGAGTATGGCGACCCAACGGTGGACGATGAGGCGCTTGGGATCGACGGGACCGAACCGGAAGAGATAAGGGCTGGCGGCATCTCGTGGAATTGGGGCATTTCTTGCTTGATGGACTGTGGTGCAGTCACAAACATGGACGCATTATCAAAATATGAGTATGGCAGGGTGTGAAAGTTGATCATGGTGTCAACGGAATCGTAGCTGTCCATGACCAGACCTGGAAATGGTGCCTGGATGGTTTGTTCGAGATCGAATATCTGATCCGCAAATTGTTGACGGCGTGAGTGCTCGAGGGCGAGCATGTTATGGAACGGAGCGCTCACAGCAGCAGCTGCATGAGCTTCGCAGGGCTGGAGGGAGGGGGGATGTTCTGATGAAATAGATCTTGGTCGGTACTGTCAGGCTTATGGGCCGACTAGGTGTGCACGTCGTTCGCTTGGGGGCGGAGGTGGTCGAGGAGTCGCTTGGAAGGGAGCGTTCTAGGTTCCTTGAGGCTCCGGAAAGGCTATCAATGAACACGAAGTCGAGACCCAAGAAGGAAGAGCTTGGGACCAGGAGGCTTGCTGAAAAGTGCCGATCAATACAGCGAATAGTATGGCAGGATGGGGCGGGAGAGGGAAGATGCCGAGACCAGTAGTGTGGTGTGCGTGACTCCGAGTGACAGGAGGAAGGGTTGTCGCCTTGTAGTTGCGTTAGGCAATGAACACTTGAAGGGTAGGAATCTGAGGACCAGTATCGACTGCTGGTGGTGTGCAGGTCGAGAAGTTTCAAAGGTCTGGTCTTAGGCTGAGGTGTTGGGGGGCGAAATCGTGAGATATAATAGTCGTTTGGATATCGCACAAGCGATGCCGAAAGCAGAGGCCCTGTCTTTTGAGATGAATCCACCTAGCCCTATATTTTCCCAGGGCCAGGATTAACAGCAGGGGTGATGTGCAGGGGAGCCGTGATTTTGGTGTGTGGCAGAGACGTGGCTGTGACGAAGTTTTACGGAGAATCCAACAACCAAAGTGACGGCTAATGCATGTGCTAGCAACCTAGCTCTCGGGGAGGCCTAATATCCATGCTGTCAGTCGGCTTGGGCTTCCAAACAAGTGGAAACACCAGCCCTAGCGCTTCGGCCGGTTCAATCTGGGAACCTGCGATCACAGATTGTTTTGGCTCTGCGGAGATAACAATCAATACTATAGTGTTTGACAGGAGGGGAAGTGCCTGATGGAATTGCAATCCGAATGCACAGCATGAGACCGGAGGATAGACAGACCTGATGGACGTTGATTCATTCACCATTCTCCGATGCTGTCTCATCAGGCCAACATGCATACCTTGTCGGTCAGATCTGCTATCCATGAGCTTCGCGAGGTAACAGTAGCAGTGCTGCACAGTGCTTGTCTGCAAGCGCCCGGTAGTAGTCGTGTCAGGAGATTCAGTCCAAGTTCCTTGCCGAGCAGACCAAGTCTCCAAGTTCCAACGGTGACAGCTTGTCCCTGTTTCCCGTCTCCATCTGAAGGCTCCTGGTACCATGACGATGGGTGGGAGGGATTAGGCTGGAGATGCTGCTTTGGGTCGAGTGGAGGGTGCGGTGACAGGGCTGTCGTCGATGGAGGGGACTTCCACCGACCAGTCAGAAGGTGCCTGGTGACTGGATTTGGGTTTCTCAGACTGCCATTCTGAGCGGGCGAGCATCTTCTGCGGGTTGGTCCTTTTGCCAGCAGTCAGAACACTTGCTCGACAGGGACTAGCCCATGGGTGCCCATGCAAACTAGCCGTAACACGGTCCTGGTATAGGCGAAGCCGATACGATTGGCGCCATCGTGCAGATGCGGTCAACCAGGAGTCCCTCCCTCAGAACGACAGGGCACAAAAACGTGGCCTACCCACCCTGACCGTCTTACGGATGCTGGGCATTGGATGCTGACCCTCGGCGTCGCCATCGTGGACCTGAAGTTGAGGCGCAATGGTGGACCCTTGCTCTGTCCCATTGGCTATCTCGTGCCTGAGCCACATTTCTGGGACTTTGGTTGTCTATTTTTTCACCGCTTCGTGGCTGAGGAGACCTTGGTGGCACTGTTAGTAAAGGAGCAATCCATACACCGTCACCGACTCTCCTCACTGACACTATGGTGAAGTCACGGTCGAAATTGGTCCTCCAGAGTCGTTTCATCCCCAGTTCCTCACCGTCTTCGCTAGTCGAGGTGGTATGACGACGAACGGGGTGGATTGAAGGGCAGGAAGTTTGGTTGACATGTGCACGTCTACCAAGACGCCATCATACGCTTTCCTCAAGTCATGTGGAGGAAGCCACCAGTGAGTCGGCGCACTGTGTCTTGAATAATCGCAAGCCGAATTGCTGCACCGTCCTTTCTTAGAATAGTGACTACCCTGCTTGCTCAAACTCAAAGGCTTCTTGCTTTCGGAAGGCACGATGAATTGATCCATCGATAGATCATGATCGCTTTCACTAAAGCCATCCAACTTCACACGTTTACTAGCATCTGCATCTGGTCAGGCTCGGATGCATATCAATGGTCAACCTGTGGCTGTTGTTTGGCTTGAAACTAAGCTGAGGCATGGCGCTCGAGACACCATCTCAGGCCTGGCGGCTTCAGATCCGGGCAAACACTTGCTGGGACCCCTTTCCCCTCGTAAACTCGGTCCGCAAAAGGACCATTCGTCTTGATTCGACACTCGGAAAGAACGATATCGTCTCTGTAGTGTTGGTGATCGGTAGTACCGCCCCCGCCGAAATTGGGTGATCGCTTGCTTACTGTACGTTTAGTCCTACGTCGATTGACTTGGGCGCACATTATTAGCATGCCGTTTTCTTAGGCGATTGCACCCCAAGGTGCATGCTGACCGTTACCTCGTCACCGCCCTCTCAAATCCCCTTGCTTCCATGCCAATCCCAGATGGGTTTCGGAGCTCTGGGTTCGTGACGGTACTAGGCTTTTGAGGGGTCCCCTACACGACCCACGTCGCATCTCATCAAGTCTACGCTGGCCCTTGATTGTAAGGCTGCAGCTTTAGTGTGAGGTCCATCACGGGCCTCGACAGTCCTATGGGCGACCGTGGGCGACATGCTCCTGACTGTGCTCAAAAACACCCAGTGGTTTTCCGACCGGCTACTAATAGCGCGGCAACCTTCGGAGGCATCTTTTTCCATAGGAGCAGACTGTTCTCCTTTCCCCACTCCCAGCCCATCTCCTGCACTTTTGACCCCCCAGCGAGCGCATCATGCACCCTGCACTCGTAAAGCTTTGTAGCTTTCCGGTCTAGGTGCATGCGGTAAATCACGAGTTCCCAAAGCTTTCGCCTTTTATGGACCGGATCACGTTGCGGTCAGTCATTGTCCACTCGAGCCAATCGTCCTATCTGCTTTTCTTCATCGCCGGGATCCTGAGCTTTTAATTGCTTGGATCCTCCGGTACACTGTTGCTCAGACCGCAAGAGGGTGAGTCTGCCTCGCCTAAAGACACACGTGCGAGCGCGGATAACCACACATGATTGACGCCAATAATGCCCTCACTCATGCCAACTTGTAGCCCTGGCGTGCCCTGGCGTGCCCTGCCATGCAAGTCCGTGCCCTTTCATTGCACAAGACAGCTCTCCGCACCATCGTCTGGAATTGCTCGGTTGGCTCAGAAATATTCCTTGTCTGTGGTGGATGCATCAATCCCTGGTGCCCAATATGCCCCGATACCCTGTAAAAGGCCATAAAAAGGTGAGCCTGAGTGTGTCTCATGCAACCGAAAATGGTTCCTGGAATATGCCGTTGAAAAGTGGCCGACCACGACCAGGCTTTGGCATCGTTTTGAGAGTCGGCAGCCCCCATGCATGGGTGGGCTGCCTGGCTCCCTGCAGATCCTCACCCCTCAAATGGTAAAGTTGCCCAACCGGGAAGATCGTATGAGGATAGAATGTTCAAAAAGGATGACAATGCATCTGCAGGCTTGACAGATGCAGAAGGAGGGGGTAACAGCAACATGCAGGTCGCTTGAAAATCATGTTGTGTATCTCGTATTCGACAAAGTCCAGTCCCCCTCGAGCATTTCCGAATCTCTGAGCTTGTCTGGCCTTTCTGGCCCCTTCCATCTGCAGCCCTACGGACCCCCCATTCTCTGATTGTTTCTCGCCTGCTTTTCCCCCATGCTGGTGCAGGGGTTCTGTTCGTGTCGCGGAACCGGTGACTTGGATTGAAGTGGCCTCTATTCCTCGCTTAACGATCCCTGCTCACGAGCACCGAGTGCTGGGAAATTCCAGACATGAGAAACAGTGGCTTGCGCTGGAAGCGAGAACTATCTGGTCTGGACTTCTTGCAAAATGCACTTAGTTACTGGTCCTCTTCGGATTCCTCCTCCCAAGGAAGAAGAACAGGACGCTTTCAGGTGTCCCCAATAACCGCTACTGCGTGAAAGATGCATCACCATTTAGCTTCTTTCTCGTTCGGCGAATAACTATTACTTGGATATCCTACCGCCGTAGTGCCTTGTCCAACGTCCCTTGGCCGACGCCAGCCACGACAATGATCCAGGATTGACCACGAGCCTGCTAAAGGGCTTTTCACCATTGTGAATGTCCCAACTAGGCTTTACTGGTTGCCGTGGCCTTGTTGTTACGAAATCTGCAGTTACGAGGATTGGCATCGCCGTCCTTGTCTCAAAATGGCCCCCTCCTCTTTTGACCCTTCAATTCTCTCCCTGCATTTTGTCACTTCAAAGTGGATGCCTCGTAGGATCTTCTGCAGATCGTCAATCTTCTTGACCATGGGGTCTTTTCATGGCTGGGGGAGAAGATCATGTATTGTCGCGGACCATGTCATACCACTGCTGTCGCAGTTCCCGTATTCAAGGCACTACCCGTCTAGCCCACGTATTCACTTACGAATGGTATTCAGCCTCGTGTCATTTGTGACTACAGCATAAGCAAGCTCTCGTCGATTTCTGGTAAGTTGACCGAATATGTGTCCAAAAATGCTGCTTGTGTTGGGCTCCTCGAGGTTCGGCGCTCGACCAGTACAGGAAACCCAAGATCTTGCTTGGCATCCCAACAGGAGAGGAAGCATTTGCCGGCGCACTGTTCGCGAACGCCCTTCCCTAGAGCATCATACCCATGTTGCTGGAGCATAACCCACTGAAGCCAGCATGTCGTCAAGCAGCAAAGGATTTTGGCGGAGTATATCCCAGTCTGATTCATGCTTTACCATCAATGTGCCAGCCAGGATGGTGCCGTTGAGGGCGACTGAACTCTCAGGACCTCCCCCGGGAACAGCCACTGCTTCAGTCCTCCTGGGACATATAGCCATTCTTTCCGTTGTCATTGCCAGATTGTAGCTGAAGGTAGTCTGGCCCTCTTTTTCAATCTCGATGCTGTCATTCAGAGGTTGGCCAGGACACTTCGCGGCAGATAGCGCCGCTTTTAGGAGCAACAGGTATTTCGAGTGCAAAATTTCTGGTGATGTCTCTTCTTCCAGGTGAGTGGAGAACCCGACAAGCGGAAAAGACGGATCGTGAAAGAGAGGGAGGTCCGGATGAGCTGGGACAGTCATCCGATCCACGACAAGGCTCCAGTCCGGAGAGCCTGTACTCGACATATCTTCCACCGGCAGAAACTGCAGATGGCGGTGCACCTGACTAGCGCCACTGTGCTCCCCTGAATTGAAGAAGGCAAATAATCGCGGCGAGCTCCTGCCGCTCTGATGACTCTGCCATGCACGCAGACATTCGTACGTCATGCTGAGGTCTCCCAACTCCAGTAGATCGGTCTGGGGTTTGTTCGCTACAGTTGCAATAATAAAGTGGTTGTGTATGACCGGAAACTTATTCAGGACCAAGATATGTGATGGGTGATCTCCTGGGATGCTTGCAACGAGCAGCTCGGCAGGGGGATCTGCGAATGGATCAAATTTTGGGGCATTTCTGTCCTTTTCCTCGTCTTTTTTGGCCTTCTTTGCTAATGCTGGACAGTAGCGCAGTTGAAACTGGGACACGTGAGAAATCGGACAACCACAAACATTCTCCTGGTTGACTTACCAAAGATTCATGTTTTGTACGGAGGACATCTAGCTTCGTGTCCGAAAACAGTAGATCTTTGTTTCGATACGCCTCGTGAAACTTCCTGGAAACAATCCTTTGAAGAGGCTCCAGGAGCCCAAGCATCGTGCCTGCTTCTGACATATCTCTTTCCTTCGTGATACGGCTAGAGCGCTGGCATATCAGCTGGCGAGAGGCTGGAGTCGATAGGCCATTGGTCCCTCATAAAAGTCTGGCGAAAGGCGAATGATTGACGTCAATGGAACTTGAGATCTTCACATCTACAATAGATATGACCAAGCTCGAAGCGATGTGAAGAGGATGTCGCATGCACTCGTAGGGAACCCTTGACTATAGTAGCGATTGACTCGACACGAGAAGGAGTAATAAAGAGGTGTGAGAAGCCCAGCTAAGTTACTCCCGCAGTGGCTCAGTGGGAGGAGGTTCATGTCCGGCAAAACAATGGCTATTCATTGGTCTTGGCATCATGCCCCTCAACACAACTTCATGAGACTGAAACCTCTGTGAACCTCTCTTCATCTTCACTTGAAGTGCACTGTCCAAAACATCACATCTCCTTCCTGACAATATAACAATATCGAATACTGAAGCCAGCTTGGCCCCCGGCATGATGTACGTGCCCAGTCCTGGAGTCGTTACATGCCAACATTACGACAACTGTCGGCGTCGACCGCGTTTGGACCAAGTGTTTCTTCTGCGGAAGCCCTTGAAATGTTGCCTCTGACAGTACGGGCATTCGGGACAGCGGCCCTAGGCGGTGTCGTTTGAGTAGAAGGATCAAACACACACCATGGTACCCGTCAGTCCCAGGACACGAGACCAACCTGTGAGGTTTGGGCAAAATTACGCCATCTGTGTTCTCTCATCTGATAGCAGCGCAGAGCACTGCCTCCGCGATCGAACATGCTACACGTCGCATGGTCGCCACGTTCCTAAGCCATGATTGAGGGGCCGTGGTGAGTGCTTTGGATACTGGCTAGCATGCCAAATGACAACCCGTCCTCGTCCCGCTGCGAGATCCCGAGAAACACGGCCCCCATTGTCATGGTTCTTTCACCGCAAGATATTCTCTAGAGGTGATTCTGGTGATAACACTCGATACTACGATCAAGATGCTTTTTTCGTTGACGTAATCATTTTAGTAGCGCCTCTCCAGGGATGAAGCCGTCTCGAGCTGAAGAACTGGATCGCGCAGAATCATCAAATCTTGGTGTTGATGGCCGATCGTTGGAGTTCGGAGTGCATGTCGTACAAACCCCCTGATGTTTGCTACCATGGTGCCAGGCTCACCGTTTGGTGGTGCCGTCGGATCAACGCCTGATCTTTTTCCGGTCATGAACCAGCAAGTTGAAGACCTTTTCTATCCCGAGAATTACTCCCATATCGTGCTTTCCAGGTACGGGGACAGTACCGCCATGGCACGATGAAAATGGTACCCAAAACCTATTGATGAATGGTATTGGTGACTCCACAATTTGCTCCGAAAATAGACTGCTGTTGGCGCCAGCTTCATCTACCAGCGCGTTGCTTTCCTTACCTACTACACACTGACAACATGACGAATACCTTGATGCTATGCAAAGATCCTTCCAAATGCTCATATTCTTGCTGAACGTCTCGAAGGCTGACGGCTCCATTTTGGGCTGTAAGGCAAAATGGCAAGAGAAGGACTGATTGGATCAGCAAACCGACTTGTTTGAGTTGGGTTTGTCGACCTCATGCGAACGGATTGAACGTCGTTGACAGCCTATAGTCTGCCGTATGCTTACGGCTAGTACTCGACCACTTATCGAGGAAGCACTGTGCTACAAATCAACAATTTGATGTTCCGCAGATTGCGGCATCGCCTTCCACCGTCTTGGTGCTTGAATTGAACCTTTGCATGCGCCATAGCCATGGGTTTGTTGCAGGACAAGTTAATGCTCACGGAGGTTGTGCTCGCAGCGAGGACTTTGGGCAATTCCAGTTCGTTACCGATGTTGTGGGTAAGAACGGGTTTGCAGAACGAACAACGAGACCTTCCTGCAATGGATGACGCAGCACAACACTGATTGTAGGTTGCAATGACTCGACATGAAAACGGAGGGTTTGTTCAAGCATCTGTAACCTAAACGGTTCAGTGATTCACAGCTCGCTTTCGAGATCTGCATTCAACTGTGCCTAGCGTTCTGGTGTGGAAGGCAATGTCCCAGGAACCTTACAGTCCTTTGTATCCGGTTATCTGCGCTGACGAGAATGCATCATTCGACGGATCAAGTCACCTTGTCGGTGGCTTCTCAAGTTTGGCCGTGTTGAAGCCATTCACTGGCAGCCGCATCACGGCGGCTCAGCGCTTTGTAGCGCCTCCATCTGACACACTCTGCCACTGTCACCGGGATGGATTGCCTTATACTTGCCTGCAGATATGCGCAGACCGTCATGCTTCTCATCAAGACGATTGCAGCATTCCCTTTGCGCCATTGCCAATCATGCCTCCAACTACTCCGCAAGCCTGCGATTTCCATCCGAATGATAGCATTGATCTGCCAAAATGGCTCCCATCCTACAGTCGTCAAAACAATTTCCTATGCTCGGACGGGGATCAAGATTTCTCGCCTCTGGCATGTCAGCTTGGGAGTGGAAACGCGGTGTTTGACCATGATGGGAGGTTCATGGAAGCATCACCCCCGAGCAACTATTTGACCAACGCCAACCAGACGACAGAGCACCATAATGCCCCATCACCAGCAAATGTCAGTGCCGGCCTCGGACGGGGAGCCGCTGCTACATCATGGTCTTCGGATCTGAGAGCACAGGTTGAGACCACCAGCATACCTCTACAATCAGCCACAGACAACCACACGAGTCTACAAAGTCTTTTCGTACATCCTATCCAAGAAGATGCGACGCTGCCGAGCCTCAACTATGAGCAAGAGGCAACATTTGCACCAAATTATACGGGGTTTGACACCCAGACAGTCTTGTTTGGCGATACAACCAGCGAAACCCCTTTTTTCCAGGAAGCAGTTATGCCGCGGTTCCATGTGCGATCCCCGGTCATGCCTGTTCCCTATGGCTCGGACGGCCAGGGCCCAGCATCGCTGCCTGGATATGAATTCCAGCCATCATCCTTGGGACCAGACTTTACCTCGTACCAGCCTGCAGTTGATTGCGTAGCGCCTCAGCAGGTCTACCCGGCTTTGGCAGCAACAGATCATGTTGACACGTCGGAATACCCGCCTTTGCCAGAGCTGGGCAACCTGTCATACCAGCCATTCCAAGACTCCGAAGACTTCTACCGCGAGCTTCAGGACGCCCACTACCCTGAGTGGTACATTGAGGAGCAAGCCCTGTCTTGCGCTCGCGAGGAGACGCCGACCTTTCAAGGCACCAACGTTCGGACCGGAGGACTTTCGATGACATCTCTGGCCCATTCACCAGCAAGTAATAGACAATTCGGACCAAGAAACGGTCAGCGAGACACTTCAAAAGATGAGTTCTTGGTGCGGTGCAAAGCACGAGGTATGTCATACAAGCAAATCAAAGAGCTTGGCAAGTTTGAGGAGGCTGAATCAACGTTGCGTGGGCGGTACCGCGCTCTCACGAAACCGAAAGAAGCGCGACTGAGAAAGCCAGAGTGGGGAGATCGAGAGGTGAGCTTGTTTTATGTGGTACAATGATTGAGGCTGATTGAAAAATGTTGTAGATCGTACTGCTTTTCGAAGCGGTGTCGCAGTGCTCCAAGACTGATCTACTTGCCTCCCCATCCGACCAAGGGCTCGACGCGATTTCCATGGGACAGTTGGTGAACAAGGTCCCTTGGAAACAAGTTGCAGAGTACATGGAAGGGAGAGGGACGTACAGATACGGGAATGCTACTGTCAAGAAGAAATATCTGGAAATACTGAAACTGCGAGGCGCCGCAGTTCAAAGACCACCAAGCAAGGCCTAAAGGTGCCACGCACGTGGACCAAGAGGACCGAGACAATGTGCTCCGAGTCAGTACTTATGCTGGCTGTCTCCTGATACCCAGCCCCTGAGGTCAGGACGACCTGCGTCTCTGAGGCCGTGAACCAATTCCCCGGTATTGTTCGACGGATCTAGAGCTCATTCTGGAGCATACAAGCTGGGCACCGACAGCTCGGAACTACCGAGGCTACAGACTATGTGCTGATATTATCTGGAAGGCAACATGGGCGAGTTGATAGGCTTGAGATACTCTGGACAGTGATCAGCATAGTACTTAATACCCGTTGTCGTCCTGCCCCTTGCTCCGCTTCTTTTCGTGCCCTGTCTCCGTTCGTTCTTGCTCCATCTTATCCAGCAGATAGGTCCAGGACCATTAAGAGCAAGAGTCTCCTTTGGTTCCAGAAGCCACGCTCAACGTGCACAGTTGTTGTCGTATTTGTCGTCGTGCACAACGGTCATTCGCAGGAAGGTTTTTCCGTATCCGGATACTGTACTCGACCCGTTCTAGTAATCGCTTATTCCAACACTGTGTTCACCTTCAGGCCTTCCACCAGCCCGTAAAGAGCGAAGGCGTTTCATCTCCTGATCTTTCGAACTCCCTTGCCCTGATCTACCCACCCACTCAAATTTACTCGCTATCGACGTTCCTCGTGACGACCCAAAGCATAGGTGTCTGGAGAATGTATGAACAGAGTGGTACTCATCTCGTGCTTGCATGGCCTCAGCTGGAGCACGTCCTCTCTTCCCAATAACTCCGAATCCAAGCCCGCCCATCAAGCTCGAGGACGCGCCATGTGCAGTTTGTCGTCGGCCGCGCTGCCAACTGAAGTCTCACAAAGCTTATCTGCTAGCCCGACGTCCACGAGCGTCTACGAGTACGAGTAGTAGTTCGACGAGCAATCCTACCACGAGTAGTAGACCACCGCAGCTGGCCTCCACCGACCAAGCAAACCATCTCCGCGATTTTGATCGACCAAAAGTCCTCGATCTCACCTATGCCAAATCCTATGCTTTCACGCGAGCGTTGCCGTCCACCGTCCCTCACTGTATCAGCTCAGGTCGACTGGATGGCTTCCACGAACTTCCCATCCCTGGCGGTGAGCAGCCAGAACTGCATCAAGCAGTCTACAGTTGTATGTAATCTCCTGAACCCGGCCTCCCCCAAAAGGCAGACTCGCCGCCCTGTCCTGCCCAAAAGCCCTGTCCGATACTGACTCTTCTTCGCGTTATAGTGCTCAATTTCAAAATCGGCGCCGCAACAGCATTTCCCCTGCCCGCCGGCCTAGCCGTCAACGACATCGGCGGTAGTATGATTGTCCCCGTCATGACAAACACCACACTATGCCTGAGCGTCATCGCCGCCTGGAAAGCCGTGCAAGTCTTGACATGCCAAACTTCCAACTACTCTTACCTCTCATACGAGGCGCAAGCGCTGCAATCCCTTCGCAAACAACTCCACGTGCGCGGCCACGAAGCGCTCACCGATGAAGCCATCATGGCTGCCTCTCTCCTCTGGGCAACCGCGACCATGTTTGCCCAGCCCGAAGCGCTACGACGACATGCAGCTGGCGTCCGCTCACTCGTGACTGCCCGCGGTGGTCTGGACAAGGTTGGCGGCGGCGGTGCGATCCAGCAATTGGTTCTGTGGGCGGACTTCCTGACTGCACAATTCCTGGGCGAAGACATCCAATTCAAGAACATCGACTCCGCAGTACCTCTACCGGCGTCGCTGCGCAAGATCTACGATTCCATTGTCATTCCTGAACCATTCTTCGATCGCTTACTCCCAGAAACTCTGGAAGCTGCCAAAGATCTACGGTTGCTGTTGATTTGCCACGACAAAGCCTCGCGCACCGGAAACATCACCATCGCCGAGTACAAGGCTTTGATGAGCCTGCTAAACCGAAGCACGATACGCAGGATCAGCATGGAGTATAAGCTCAAGGACTCCAAAACCATCGACGAGTGCGTTGTACTGGCCATGAACCTCATGCGGCTTACATCGTTGTTTCACGCCGGGCCACTGTACATCATTGTCATCAAGGTCATCGAGCGCTTACGGGTAGCACTCGTCCGCGCTGGTCTCCACCAGTGGCCTGAATGTCTCAACATCTACATTTGGGCCTGCATGGTGGGACTGGTCCATGAATTTCCCACAACAGAGAGGAGTCACTTCGCGGACATGTTAGCTGGTGCATTGAAATTCAAGTACAAAACAGCATGGCCTGAGACCTGGGAGGCGGACTGTCTGACAATGGTGCGCTCTTTCCTGTGGTCGGAAGCCAGACTGACCGACCTATACGGGGATGCCTCTGAAATGCTCAATTCGCGGCTCGGGCCCAGTCCAGCCGCTGAGAAAGTGTGATTTACCGGTGGACTACCGGTATCGTTTGAGGTAGCTCAGCTGAAGATGCCAGCTCGAGGACAACAGCTCTGGTGTTGACTTGTACGCTACATACCTCATTCCGGGGTCTGATAAGATAGAAGAAGGGAGACATATCCAGGACAGATGTGAAGTAAGGATGAAAGCACCGGCGTGGAATGATTGTGCCTCGCTTACTTCAGCTGTGCTAATGCGGCTTCCTTGCAACACACCTCAACCTGACAAATCCAAGCCACTGACTGCCATCTTCTCTGGTGACCACATCACGTAGTACGTCACATACCTCTTTCACCACAGAATCTCTCTTGGGCTCGGGAACCCTGTCCAACATGCCGGCACATATCAGTCTTAGCCAACCATCCAAGCCGCCACCTGGGCCTTGTTCCAGCTTCGTAGGACGATACTCCACCTCAAGTTTCTCAATATGAAAGCCAATCTGCGTCAACACAGTTTCCATCCATGTCTGTGAGGGAAAGAACCACGGGCTAGCATCTCGAGCCTCTTCTATGGAGGCGCCGGAATGCTTCAAAGCGCTCGTCATCGCAGCTGCTGCTTCAGCGACATTGCCAGCACCACCCATCTCGAAGACAAATGTTCCTCCGGGCCGCAAGGATTTGAAGCACGCTTCCAAAGTATGCATGCGCGTATTTGGATCACGCAGGATATACTGGAGCGCCGCATTCGACACCCTAAACGACCAGTGAGAATGAAGGTACATCTAGGAGAGACTGGTCCACTTACACCTTATCCCACCCTCCTTTCATTACGTGAGGATCCTGCTCAAGACGCCTGCAGTCCACGACTTTGAACATTGCTTTTGAGGAACCAAAATCATTCTGCGCGGCCTCGATAAATGAGGAGGACGCATCGATGCCATAAACGTAAGCGACTCTGTTCAGGAGATTGGCTGTGAATTTGCCATCACCACAGCCGACGTCGATGATTCTATCAGTTGGTTGCGGATCAAGGTATTGTACAAGCTTTTGTGTCAACTGAGGCACAAAAGCCGCGGCGGCAGAATATGTCTGTCAGTGTCAGCGAGTCCCACACGCGTATGGGTCGCGTACCCCTGTCGTCCATTGATCCTTTCTCGGATTGTATGGATTCGAGGTCATATTGGACTGAGGTAAGACATTGGCACATGATGAACGAAACATTGCAAGAGATAGAAGGCGGACATTAGCGCTGAACATGTTTGGACTGACGCTAAACCTTGGACGAGGGTGGAACCATAATTTTGGTTGTCATATCAACTTCAATGATGCTGGCATGTACCATGGTGACTCGGACCTGATAATAAGTGCATAGCGTAGTCCAGCAGAAGGGAGCACAATCTCGACCAATACTACAGCAACGGCCGCTGATTCAAATGCAACCAAGCCAAGCACCCTCAATACACCTTGACAATGTCGACGATGACGAGGAGCAGGAAAAATGACAGCAGACACTATGACATAGCGGTAAGCCAACACGAAAGGACATCTTCTTGCAAACCCACCAGCAGCACAACGGTCCCAACCAGATAGATTCCCCATAAGCGGAGCTTTGCAAGACCTGTAGTAACTTCTCGTTGATGTCGAAAGAAACGCCAAGCGCCAACGAACAGAATCAGAATCGCGGCCAGGTGACAAATACACGCTTGAGTTTTGCCCAGAGCATGATGATGTGTTGTGTACGTGCCTTCGGGTTCAAGAAATTGTTGAATTTTCGAGATTTGTGCGATGACGATGCCGAGGAGAGACATGCCATCGGCGACACTTAGCCAGGCGAGAAACGTTTGCTCATTTGCTGGCTTGGTCAGCAGCCACACTGTGAAAAGGATGGAAGTCTGTACAGAGATGGTCTCGGCGTGTAGCCAGTGGTGCGTCCAGTGATACGTAATGGGCCCAAAATCTCCTTGGAATCCAAATTGTCTTGCTCATGCTCATATCAGAACCCTTCTCTTGGTCTAGGCTTGCCGGCGGTGAGCCATATGCACTGATTGTGGCGGACTCTTGGAGAAGGTCATCGTTGTTAGGGAGAGGCATCAGTTGGACGGCGAGGTCGCTCACGGCGCAAGCGACGAGCTTCACGCGGTAAGTAGATCAATCAGTAGCAAATATCTGGAGAACTGTTTGGGATACTAGAAACACACGCAAGTTCTGGTATCATGGTCGCTGCACTCAAAGACTTAGGGAGTCATGAAGTTTGTCGGAGGATAGCGACTTCCTCAGCAAGCCATCCACCCACCCCATCATGGCAGGAAAGAGCGGTTGAGCATGACACAGATAGATTTTCCAAGCCAAGATGGAAGCTGTGGTTCGGGAAGACCGCTTGTGTGGCACTCACCTCGGACGCATTGTGCAAGTCTGGCTAGAGCTAGCGGCCATTTGCATTGACAAATGCCCTCAAACCAGCAGGCAAGCAATGGAAGCCACCGTTGTTGCCTGACTTTAAGTAGTTCAACCGTCTGAAACACGGTTAGATGTTTGCTGGCATTGTCCAGGTGCAAAGAGGCAGACGGCAGAATGAAGGGTGATGGTATTTGTGCAACCATCACCCGCTGAGCATTGGTGAGGGTGTTTGAAGGAGCAGTCAGTCATTCAGGCGAGGAAGGCATATTAAAGGCGGTGCCAAAGTATAGAATGATTTTTGCGAATTCTGAGGATACAGTGGCCGCAGTGGTCGCAGTAGGAAAAGATTTATGGGATTGTGATGTTCTGTTCAATGGCCGAATCATCAGCAAAAGTCAAGTCACATGACTGTCTTCTAGCAATGGTCTCGCCGGTTGAAGTTGCAGCAATTCGAGCGCCTTCTCCTCCTCCTTCGCCTACGCCTTCGTCATGTGCCTGTCGCCACCAGCACGAGAAGATTATTATCTCATCTTCGATTTCCCCCTCCCGACCCCCGTCGTCCCGGCGATCCAGGTCCTCAATCAGGTCCCCATCATCGACATCTTCAAATAGCCACACTTCTTGCACTCATTCTTCCTCTTCATCCCATCCGCCAGTCGAGCTCATCCAGAAGCCTGTACAGGCCTATTTCAGTCCACATCGAATCCCCGCCTCATATCCATCCTCACCTTTTACCGCATCCACCGCAACTGTCAACGAGTGCTGTGCACCTCGATTGGCGCAGCCGCCTCGGCCTCGGTCAATCATGGGTTTCACCAAGAGTCAGAGAATCGGTATCCTGCTGGGCATAGATGCTGTTTTCTTTCTGGTAGAACTTGTTGTTGGTGAGTGCAAACCACAAATCAAAGCGTACCGGGAACTGACGAGATGTTCCAGGCTATGCCGTCCATTCATTAGCCCTCGTGGCGGATTCCTTCCATATGTTAAACGATGTCTTGTCCCTATGCGTAGGGCTCTGGGCAGTTCGTGTTGCGAATACCGGAAGTTCAAAGATGTACACCTACGGATGGCAACGAGCAGAGACTCTGGGTGCTTTGGTCAATGGAGTCTTCTTGGTCGCGCTGTGTCTGTCGATTTTCCTTGAGGCCATCCAGCGTTTCGTCGAACCGCAAGTGGTTACGAACCCAAAACTCGTTCTCATCGTCGGTTGTATGGGCCTAGCATCGAATATTCTCGGTCTACTTCTCTTCCACGATCACGGGCACAGTCATGGTCATGAAGAGCAGGGAGATGCCATCAAGTCTGCCGAAGAGGGTCATGGACACGTTCATGATGATGAAGAGTCGGGTGCTATTGCGGACGAGAGTGGCAACATCGAAGATGTCCTTCCACAAGTAAGAGTGGCTGGCTACAAAGGTACAGACGCAAGACGTTTTACGACATCCGATGAAGAGAACACCACTATTTCTGCTCAATCGTCCAACACACAGCACCGCAAGTCACTTGCTAATAGCGAGATCCACAATCGGCACCGACGTAGGACGTCGGGATCCCTTGGCCGAGGGTTTGGTTCCGTGGACAATATTCACATACACCCTGCTTCTTTTCGGCAAGAAATCATACAAGCTGCACGTCTTGAAGAACAGTCGGAGGAGTCGTCAGAGGATGGCGAGGCATTGCTGGACGATACTGGGTCGCCAAATGAACACTCTCAGATTTTGCCGAACGGCCATTCCTCACCTTTGAAAGGCACCCAGGGCTATGGCAGCATTGGAAGACGCCGTAGTATGGATTACAACCATGCCGAACACACACACAACCAGCCCAAAGGAGAGTCCCACAAGGGACATAGCCATGGAGGCCACGGTCATTCTCACGGTGATCTAAATATGCGAGGTGTCTTCCTCCATGTTATGGGCGACGCCCTCGGCAACATCGGCGTGATAGCTTCCGCCTTGATCATCTGGCTCACTCATTTCCCCGGACGATACTACTTCGACCCTGGCATCTCACTTGTCATCACCATTATTATCCTCTACAGCGCTATCCCCCTCTGCAAAGCAGCCAGCCGGATTCTGCTGCAAGCAGTACCTGTTGGATTGTCGATTGACGAAATCACTGACGACATCGAATCTCTTCCACGCGTCCTCTCGGCTCACCATCTTCACGTCTGGCAACTCAGTGACACCAAACTCGTTGCCAGCTTGCACGTCAAGGTCGATTGTGAGGTTGAAGGAGCAGGTTCAGCTAGCTATATGCACCTTGCTCGTGAGATCCGGGGCTGCTTGCACGGGTATGGCATCCACAGCTCGACTATCCAGCCCGAGTTCACGACACCGCAGCCCGATTCTGGTGCAGCAGAGGCCGGCAATGGTCATTTGAACGCAGCACAGGCCGGGACCTCCAGCAAGGCTGCGAGCGTCAACAGTGAAGGACCGACATGTCTGCTTGAATGCGGCGATAAGTGCGCCGGAAGCAAGATGTGCTGTCCTACGGATGGAAAGAACGGCAGCCAAAACGGCAAGAAGTAATTATTATTTGGCCTTGCAAGGCGATAGATGTAATTTCGAGCGACAGTCCTTGTCTTGATAGCTTCTGGAGGTTTCCAGCTCCCAACCAGCGTTTCTCTGTGTCAGTTGTACTATTCCACTACAATTCTGCAATAAGTGGGCAAGCAGTAGTACACTCAATACCCTAACCCTTGCATATCAACCAGAAATAAACCAGTAGAACGGGCCATGCAACCTGCCACATAGACCTGGCGAAATACTCGAGTCGACTCCGGGGTATTTTAGGCCTTGAAGCCGCATATTTTGCCCGGAACATTCTCCAACGCTCATCGTCATCATCAGATTGCCGCGGCTTCGAGGGGGACGGCGTCCTTGAACTCGCCGGTATATTCCCGTAGCCACAGCCGCCCATCTTGCGCGTCGAAAGGTTCTCGTCATCCTTGCGCACGGACGAGCACGTTTGCGATGTGTTCGAATTGCCGTGTCCATTGTCGCGCTCGCGGGTGATAGGCAGCAACGGTTCTGATTTGTCGCGATGATACTCACTCATCGCTCCGGGCTTGTACCGAATGGCATGCACTGAAAGCGCGAGTATCGTAACACCAAGGACCTGCGCGTATCTAATGAACACGCTCAATTGATTGGGGAGCAGGCAGAGGTGGTTTTGGACCGTGTCTCTCGGTGTGGCTAGCGCAGCACCGTCGTCTGTGGGCCTATAGAGTCTGTCCAGGTCGACAGGATTCCACAGACTGGCGAGCTGCACGCCTGGCACTCTAATACCCATGGCCCAACTCATGCTCTTCACCGTGATTTCACGGATGCGGCCCGTGAACTCATTGTGTTCGATCTCGCAGTAGTCGTGGTCATCGCCGGAATAGACCATAGTGATCTCCTCAGCGGTCAGGTGCTTGACGATGTCTTGAGACACCATGGGCGTCAGCACGTTCTGGTACTGGTAACCTGCCTGGAGCGGAATGGAAGAGCCGCGTTCGCGATTAGGCCCGCATGAAGTCGTGCCGGAGCGGAAGAGGGGGACGTGTGACAGCAGGATTGTTGGAAATTGAGATGATGATACCTGAGAGCGTGGTTGAGGGGATGTGGATTGGTCGAAGTGGTCGGCAGGTTGCAGGTCTGGAGAGAATAGCGGCGAGTGGACGGACGGTTTGTGATTGAAGCGTGTCTCGCAGGTGTGTTGGATGGCTTTTGCTCTTGTTGTTTTCGCGTTCTGTAGGAATTCCTCGACAGGTTTCCAGATCTTGCTGGACGCTGTTGCCTCGGCGCTGCTGTCGCCCGCACCCGAACTGCCTGTCTCGGGGTCGACTTGATCCATGGCACTCAAGGAGACTGTGTCGAGATGGATGAATGAGTGATTGCCGATGATGTCGATGCGGTTGAGGGGCCCGAAATAGGCGTCAAACCTTTCCTTGACGGGCTGTTGGATGCCGGCGGCGAACCCTAGGTCATGGTTCCCTGGGAGCGAGGCGAGTATACGACGGCCCTCGGGTTCGGCCAGGCTCGCTGGCTGGCCCTTGTACCATGAGCGCAGGAAGATGTTGGAGAAACGAATGTATTCTTTCAGCCAGAACCCCGTGCCATATTTCTTGTACCGTTGCTCGGGCGAGGATGATTCCGTCGTTCCCCATTCTCGTCCGCCGTCGAAGAGGTCGCCTAGGAATAGGGTTGCGTCTGGTCTGAGCTGTTCTTGCAGGTAGCGGTAGGAGCGCCGAAGGTAGCGGTCGGTGTATGCGACGGTCAGGGTTGAGAGAGGCCACGGTCGGTCCGGATAGGTATGGGGATCGACAAGCTGAGGGTCAGCAATGAGGAGCACATGGTGTGGATGAGCATGAGCCGGCTATAGAGAAGGCTTAGTGAATTGGGAGCGCTTGGGTGCGGTTCGCACTTACCCAGGACTCCCACTCTTGCCAGAGACACTGTTTGACGCTTCTATCGAAGACAACTCGTTCTCCCCATACCAAGACCAGCACCCATATCAGTACCAGAGCACATGGGAGATTCCAGATGCGGCTTTTTATCCTGGCAAACGTGTTGTATGTTATGCCAGGATTGGTTTTCATTTCTCTAGGATTGAGGGCAGATTTCCGTCGCTCATTGTCGCAAGGAATAAAACACTGAGCATTAAACGGCTGCTCAGCTTTCAGACTAAGGGTCGTTTCGCGTCAAGGATACCACAACATCTTCTGATGCTGAGATGTTGTTTGCGTTATGGTACACGAAAGACGTTGTTCTCCAGACCGCTGGAATGCATTCGGTAAAAGCGGCCTGTGCGGAATGGCGGCATCAGCAGCAGGAAGATCAGGGGCCCGCAGGCGCAGGGGGATGATGGGGCCAGTCTTGCCCATGACCCTCTGAAGCAGGGGTCGGCGAAATCCTCCAGCACTGTTTCATCAGGCACCATCCGACTCTCCTAGGCAAAGGGTGGAATCACCCATTCCTTTCAGAGGCGCCGACTCTCACCACACGGCCACATTATAAATCATCTTATTACACTAGTTTCCCAGACGACATGTTCGCGCTACTCTCAATGTCTCCCATGATTTCTTTTCGATCATGGACGGTGTTTCCGTCGCCAGCGGTATTGCTGGGCTCATTTCATTGGCTCTACAGGTCAGCGGTACAATAGCAATATATGTCAACTCAATCAAGGAGCGGTCCAAAAATATACAGGAACTACACGATGAGCTACTGCTGCTGGGCGAAGTCCTCAGTGGCCTACGAGATTTCCTGGCAAGCGAACAGGCAAAGCGCAGATCATTCGACAATAACTCGGTCCTCCAGAAAGCGATCACGGATTGTCGAGACAGGATAGAACGGATAGGGAACAAGCTGAAACCTCCCGACAGTAGCAGCAGAGTGTCCCGAGCCATTGGCAAGCTACGATGGCCCTTCGACCAAAAAGAGGTCAATCAAATGACCGAGAATCTACGACGATACAGCGAGACATTCCATTTCGCCGTCACCATTGAAGGGTGCAACCTGCTGTCCAAGACATCTGAGGATGCTACCAAGGGCCTGCGGGAAATGCTTGATGTCTCCAAGAAAATCAGTGAGCTGTCGGCTCAAATGGGACTCTCCGCGGAAGAATCGTCGAAGCGCGCCTTTCAAATCCAACAAATCATGGCTCTTATCCCAGTGCTGGCAAAGACAGCCGTTGATGTGAATGAGCTCTCTCATGCGGCACGACTGGCGGAGGTCAGAGAGCAGGAGAGACGCATTACCGACATTTTAGACTGGCTGGCGCCCGTGTCATGGCTGCACAAACATCGTGACTTGCAAGTGAAGCGATCAAAGGGCACAGGGGAATGGTTTCTCCAGCATCAAGTCTTTAAGGACTGGGCAGAAGATGAGACTGCAGAACATGATCTCCTTTGCGTTGGTGGACCAGGTGCAGGAAAGTCTATCCTTTGCTCACTGGCGGTCGACCATCTACGCGCCCAATTCAAGGACAAGGAAGTCGCCGTGGCATACTACTATTACGACTATTCGGATCAGCAATCACAGAGCCCAGTCAATCTGGCCAGATCGCTGCTACGGCAACTATCCTCCAATGGACACCTTGTGCCTTCCGCAGTAACCGAGTTCTATCAGCGCACACGGAACGATACCAAAGATGAAACTTGGTTCCACGACCTACTAAATATCTTACGTCGAGTGGCGGCCACCTTTACTCGCTGCGTAATATTGCTTGATGCTCTTGATGAGGCTGGCATCCGAAGTCAACGTTCAGGGCTCTTCGAGGTCTTGGACGCATTGCGGAGCCCTTCCGGAACCAGAGTCCAAGTCCTGGCAACGACACGGTCCCACGCCCTCAGCGTTGCAACGGGATTCCATAAGGCCGTGACGATCGATGTCATAGCAGATCCTCGAGACCTCCGTCTATTTCTCAAGCAAGCAATCGAAGAGCATCCAGACTCGGTGGATATCCTGGATGGTGACTTGCGAGAGCAGGTCCTGAACACATTATGTGACAATGCCAATGGCATGTTTTTGCTTCCTGCACTCCAGATTCGAACCATACTCGATCAGATCACCAAGGCTGATGTCCGCCGAGCTTTGTCACGTCTATCCACCAACCTGAACGAAGTATTCCAGTCGACGATACAAAGGATCACAAATCTACCAGAGACCAGACGAGATCTTGCTCTAAAAGCACTTATGTGGATATCACATGCTAGGAGACCGTTGAGACCGTTGGAATTACAGCAAGCAATGGCATTGCGCCTAGATGACGCTGACCTCGACCGCGACAATTTCCCTCCTATTCGAACTATAATCGACTGCTGCTGCGGACTGGTCGAACTAGATCATGAAAGCTCGATCATACGTCTAGTGCATCATTCTCTTGAAGAGTACTTGCGCGACCAGGATCACGGCCTGTTTGAAGATGCCAACCTATACATCACGAGGATGTGTCTAAAATATTTGAAGCTCGAGTCGTTGAAAGAGTTGCCCTTGAAAAATCGCCACGACTTCGCACTAGCACTTGAAGACATGCCCTTCCTGGAATATGCTGCACTGGAATGGGGCCACCATGCTTACGGTGTATCGATCGGAAGATTCCGTGGGCTAGCTCTGTCGCTGCTCTCCGACAGCCTCGCGCTTATTACATGTGCTCGAGTGCGGGATCATCACAACGCCGACTTTCGCAGATGGAAAGGAAAGGCTTGGGCCTGGGCGTATTCCGGCGGTGCTGGAATCTCAATAGCAGCAGCGTTCGGGCTTACAGAGCTACTAAAGGTCCTCATCAACGAAAACAAAGACAACTTATGCTTAGATGCCCGTAATATGTACGGCAGCACGCCACTCCATGAGGCAGCTCTTCACGGTCATGAAAGCGCGGCAGAAGCATTGATTGAACATGGCGGAAATCTTGTTGACACGAACTATGGATCAGCTACGCCATTGTTTCTGGCCGTTACATACGGCAAATTGTCCATGGTCAGGCTCCTTCTCAAACATGGAGGCCCACAGCTCGAGATACCTGGCCCGCAGGGCTTGTCAACTCTACACAAAGCCGCAGAACAGGGTAATGAGGAACTGGTCACAACACTTCTTCAAGCCGGCGCGCTGGTCGCTTCTCGCGACATCCACGGAATGACGGCCCTCCATTTCGCCGCCCGTCGAGGCTATCTTGCTATCGCTCGCCTCCTAGTTCAGGCCGGTGCGTTCGTCCACGTGAAAGACAGTGATGGTCTGTGCCCTCTCGATTATGCCGCAACAGGGGGATACACTGATCTCGTTGCATACCTGCTTGAAACCGGCGGCAATATGTGGCACAAGGGCCGCGAAGCATGGACGCCGCTCCATCGAGCAGCACGAGGCGGTCATACACAAACCGTCTCATTCTTCCTCGACCGCGATGCAGACGTACTGGCCGCTGACTTCAAGGGCAACATCCCTCTCCATCTCGCGGTACGCTCTGGTAGTATGGCGACTGTCAGGGTCCTCTTCGAGCACAATCCGAACCAAAAACGCGAGCAACTCTTTACCCGAGACAAGAAAGGCTCAACACCTCGTGTTGTCGCCTTCTACACTGCCCATTACGACATCCACAAATATCTCCGTACAGCAGAATGGGCCGTGTCGGGTAGCGAACCAGGGGAAGCCAGCATTCTTACCACCGCCATTGAGCGAGGCGACTTGAACGCTGTTCGCGCACACCTCGACGTCCACCAGGACTGTCTGAATATGCTGGATGAAGATGGACAACCGCCTTTGCACGTTGCTGTTCAAGAGAATCGACCCGCCATCATCGACTTGCTCCTCGAGCGCGGCGCCTCCATTGAGTCTGTGGGCTACCACGGCTGGCGACCCTTACATATTGCCGCATCGCTGGGCAATCTGGACCTTGTAAACCTATGTCTCGCACATGGCGCCAGTGTCAAGAGTTTGACACTCACTAAACAGACGCCTCTGCATAAGGCCGCCTCCAGCCACTCGGCTGCCGTGGTCCGCAGGCTGATTGAAGCCGGCGCCAACCCTAATGACAGGAACGACCGAGGTATGACGACCCTGCATGTCGCGGCGCACCAGAACGATATCCAGATTGTCAGGATGCTAGTGCTTGAGTACGAAATGGATGTACTTACAAGAGATCGCCATAACCTAACGCCCGCCATGTGGGCGGAAAGGTCTGGACATTTGGAAGTGATGGCCTTCCTCAGGAGTGAAATGAAGAAAGCAAAAACCGCGAAGAAGGTCCGTGGAGACGACCAGGAGATTGGCATTGCCGATGAGCAGATGCAGGAGGTCGAAGACGCACTGAGTGATCTGGACGTCGATGATGATCCGAGCCCCTAACGAGTGTCTCCTCACGTCTCTGCTTGGAGACTCCGAGTCGACCACTGTGTAGGTAGGTAGAATGCCTGCTCTCCCATTCGCGACCAATCAGAGGTAGCCGACGGTGTGGAATTTACAGGGATAAAATATTGCCTAAAGCGGTAGCTAGCACTTCTTGATTAAGCAATCTTTTAAGTCTTCATCAACCAACAACAGTGATCCGTCAAAAAAGTGTCGGCGAATCCTGATTGGTTACGAAGGGGAGAGCAGCCTCCCTGCCTACACTGTAGTCATTTTCTGTATGCAGAACTACCTTGTAACTCCTGTAAAATTCTTCCAATACTCGATTGATTGATTCTGATTCTGAATATCTGCTCGGGGGTGTTTGGCCTTCGTAATCTCGAAGCCAAACTTGTCATATTCTATCGTTGTCGCTGGGTGTTTTACGACGGAGTAGTAATCATTCATTCATTCAATTGTCGTGTCCCCCTATGTTATCTCTCTCGTCATGCGAAAGGGCCATGCCTCGACTTGGTACTCGTACATACTTGATGAGCTTAACTATCCCCTTTTCGTTGTCTCCATTGCCCCAGTCTGACATTCACTTGTCACTTGTCACCTGTCTGCGCTGAATCGTACATCCATCAGCCCACGACGTACCTGAGAACAGTGTCTCGTCGCCATTTTTTGATAGTACATGACCTGTGCTGAGTCCTGTGTAGGTCATAGTCGTATCTCCATCAGAAGCTCATCATGGACGCATGCATGTGTGGGTGCGCAGCACCGTCTTCGTCACGATGTCCCGTCCCAAGTGCTTGTCATCTATCGTACCCCGAAAATCCCAAGACTGCCATTTTTGTTCATACAATCGTTCACTCATACGGCACACACCATGCCTTGTCGTATCTGTCAGCTTTCAAGGGGATAAAACCCCAGAGTCTGCAACTGCCGGCTCGCACCATTCTAGACCAGACTCCCAGCAGGGTGCCATGGCATCTTCTTCTTCACCAGAACCCTTGCTCCTTGATGGCGGCCAGACGGGCACTGGGCATCCTTGAGCCGGGTCCCATGGCCAATCCGCCAGCTTGACTGGCACTGTCATCCGGCATGACGGTCGAATTACCAAACTGTGGCTCATCGTCGACGACCGGGACTCTTGCACCGCCCATGCCCAAACGCCACTTCGACCCATCCGGATCCACGATGATAGGCGCGACCGTATCCGTTCTGATGCCGTGCACGGGTTCCTGCCAAACACGACTGTTGGCACCAGGTAATGACGACCCTCTCGCGCTGGGTTGATGGCCTCTCGCTGTTGTAGACGCACTCGGCATCATCGTCGATTGGCCCAGTATGGTTTTGCCCGCCGGACCCATTGTAGCGGTGATGTCTCGATGACGCTGGGCATCCAGGATTTCGAGTTGCATCAGCGTCCCAAGATTGTGCATGCCGATGAAGTCGATTTTACCGACCATGCGAGTTGCGACATCGAGCAAGGACCGAATGACTGGCTTCTTGAGAAGGTTCTTGCCTGTCATTTCTTCCGACGTGAGCTCCCCGATCTCCAATGTCTCGTTCTCAACAAGGGCATGGTTAATCTTTTTGTGCACTATCGAGAGCTCATAATGAACTCGTCCCTCCCGAGCCACGCCGGTATAATCTTCCGTCGCAGCTTCATAGCCCTGCCAGAGATTCATGTCCTGAGGGTGGTGCTTGAAGAAGAGACTCTTCGCCTCGACAACCTTGAGCTGGACGTCCTCACAGTCTGGGAGGTTGGAATCGTGGAAGCTAATACGTTTCACGATCAGATTCCTAATCTTGATTTCGTGATCGGTCGGCTGGCGGAAGACAATTCTCAATTTCTCCTTGTCCGGGACGATGTACAGCGAGTCCACGAATGCGGAGGCGCTGTTGGTCAGAGACTTTGGTGGGTCAGGCCAGTTTAGATGACCTGACAGGGTGGCAGAAGCATCCCATATGCACTCAGGTATATGAATGTTGATCATACCCACTGTAATGAGGCCCTTTCGTAGTTCATGCTTGCCGGATTGATCGACAATAATCAGAAAGTCCTCGTTAGACCGACTCTTACAAGAAAATTCATAGCTGACAGAATGCGGGCCTGGATGTCGACTCCAAAGGGTCGTGATCTCGGTCTCAGTGTTAGCTTTTAGATCCAGGACGCGATCGACATCCGCACCATTCGTCGTCAAAATCTTGGTAAATGTGGTTGAAGAAGGGAGAACCCCAATTTTCGAATCAAAGAGCGAATGCCAGCCAGACATATCGTAGGTCTTAATGTCTTGAAACCGAGGCCCAGGAGAGACTAATACTTGACCAAACGAGATCTCGAAGCTCAATCGACCATTGAAAGCCCGGCCTGCCTCGAAGACTGGCTGCAAAAAGCCAATAAGCTTGCTGGTTTGCTCATCCCGTGCCTTGTCCTCCATTATTCCAGGATGTGCTTCTGTTAGGGCTGAGTTCTTCTCTTTGGCGATCTGCTGCCGCTTCCACTTGCTCATCTGTCCGGGTTCCGGACTCGCCTTTGGCTTGGGCGCCTGTTTAACAGGGGCGGGTCCATATGCATCGAGTTTGGCCTTCTCCAGTCTTGCTTGTCTCTCAGCCTTGGTTTCCTGTGGTTGGACAGACTTCTTGCCAGGGTTCTTGCCTTGCTGATGCATCGTGGGATGAATTGGCGGCATCTTTTCCTCCGAGGCCTTCTTGTTCGGCGAATCCTGTTTCTGTTGATGTTGCTGACCTGCCTGCTTTCTACGAGTCTCGGCCTCGATCGCAGCCATAGCCTCGGCAATGCTGTTTTGTCTGATGCCAGCTCGATTAGGTGTTGGAAGGGATGTGACTCTGTAATCAGCGCCTTCCTCGCTCCATCGAAAACCTGATCTTCCGGAGGTGCGTGTAGCGACGCTGTGAAGTTCACTGGAGCTCATTGTATCCGCCATTCGGTCGATTGGCTCATCCATGATATTGGGCCTATCAGTATGAGCCCAGTCATCACTCCGTCGCGTAAGAGGCACATGAGACTCGAAGCCGGGGGGAACACGAGGTACGTTAGCATTAGTATCTAATGGCCCAAGTGCAACGTCGATAAGATCTTCCTGTCGCGGGCCTCCACGACCTCGACGACCTGTGGCTGGTCTGCTAGCTCGTGCAAATGCCCGCACATTGTCGCCTTGCTGGCGAGCACCACGTCGAAGACTTGATGGGAGCTGCACCGGTCCAGCTTCATGGCGATTATTGGAATCGGGACGGGCTGCGCCGCCTCGACTATTGTTGCCACCGCGAGAAGCAGTTCCACGACCACGGTTTACGCCGCGAGACGTGTTACCTCGGATATTGTTTCCCCCAGAAGAAGCTTTGCCTCGACGAGGATCACCACGTCCTTGACCGCGTGTGAGCTTTGGAGTCTGTCCATAAGCATTTGCATCGAACGTTGGCCGGGAGAGAGGTGGGCTCGCCGAGACGTGCGCGTGCGCGGGTGTCTGTCGAGGTGGCGGAGGTATGCTTATGCCCGGTGTTGTGAGCTGTTGCATAGAGGAAGCTGCTAGGGAAGAGGGTCTGCGCTGAGCAGGTGACGCTGGCCCGTCGAGCAGGGATTCAGGCAGTGGAGGAAAGCCGGTCGTCGTGCTTGTCTTCGATGGTGCGGCGGCAGCAGGCTCATCGTCGAGCTCCAACCCTGTTGAAGAACCCGCCAAGCGCTCTTCTGCCATGCTTTCGGTTTCGAACTCCAACTGTTCGGCAGGGTACGGCTGACTCCGGTTGACACAGCCTTGAGTGGGGACTGAGATCGCAGAGAGAATTGGGAACTTGTGGGCCATTAGCATTGTATTGCTCGATAGCACGGACTTCTCTTCATCTTCTATCAAGTCTTGTTCTGCATCGGGCTCTGCGATTGAGTTGTTCACGCCTGTGGTCCGCGACATGGAGGGAGATGCTGAAGAGACCAAGGAGACCAAAGTTGCCTGCTCCAATGCGTCACCCCTCGTCGACTTCGATGCGGCTGCAGCACCCGCAGGCGGCTCGTCATCCTCGTCGTCGGAATCAACCAGGACTCTCCGGCGAGTAGTCGGTTGTGTAGGTTCGACTGGTGCCTCAGGTGCAATTTCCGGATCTGCACCACTCACAACCTTGCTTGTCCAGGCCGCAATTCGTGCCTCGCTCGAGTCTTGGTTCATAGCAGTTTGATCACTGGTCGCCCTCGGACCCGGGTTTGAAGTGATGACCGGCTCCATGTTCTTCGCATCGCCGAAGCTTTCGAAAACATAGCCATCCCAAACTCTTGACGCATGTATCGTGCCTGTTGCGTTGACTCCATCAAGAGCAAATCTGCCAAGATATTCGAACGTCCCCATGTCGGCATTGTATGGACGGAGTTCTCCAATCACTTTCCTAAAGAGGGATTGCTCCGCTTTGTTGACGATAACGCGACGGTATGAGGGATGGGATTGGTGCATATTGACGTACTCGATTCGGGCATCTTTTTGGTTCGGAGGCCAGATGAGCAGGTTTGCAGTGGCCATGAGGGACTGCTCGGAATGTTGTTTCTTGAAGATTTCCTGAGATTGTCAGTCACATCCATAGACGGAGGTATTGAGGAGAAATCACATACCAGCAACGGCTCAAGTCTTAGGAGCTTGTCAAGAGCCAAACGAAAATCACCCTGAAACAGACGACATCTCTTCTCAGCCTCTTCAAAGAAGATGGTTGTTCCAGTCAGGAGTGTGATCTGCTCAGCATACAGAGGAGGTAAGATTTTAATGTCGCCATTTCGAGGAGTCCAGAAAGCCGTGAGATGCTGCAAGCTTTCAAGCGCGTCTTGCCCATCAGACTCGTCATCCGCCCAGAAATTCAGAGGGTCTGCCGCGGACGACTTATTGTCCTGTACAAAATCGTCCATATGAGTACCTTGCATGGGTCTCATGCGGGGTTCATCGTCAAATGCTGGTGGACGTGAGGCATTATAGTCCACATAGGCAGATAGCCCCCTCAACATCTCTTGAAGAGTGTCATCGTCAGCTGAATCAACCTCTGCGGAGAACGTCTTGAAGGCGCAGTCAGCAATGGTGTCTTCGGTGGTAGTTGTCATAGCAAAGGAAGACAAACCTGGCAGGTATTTTCGAAGGTGACGAAGGGAGCATTTTCAGGATCGTGGTAAGAGTCCCTATTTAGGTTTGTCAGTTCCTGAAAAACCAGGGGAGCGCATTCAGCAAAACTCAAGACTCACTTGAGGTTGCGGATGACCTCGTCCGACTATGACAACGTCAGTAAGAACGCCATGGCTTTTAAAAGAGATACTCGCCCCTAGCTGGGTGAATTCGAACACGGAGCCCACAAAAATCTTCTTCTTGTTGGTCGCCATGTTTGGCAAGCAGCACGCTTTCCAGCGCGTTTGCCAGACCTGGCGGCCGTGGGAGGAGAAGATGAAGAAAGCAAGGAAAGGATGAGCCTCCAGATGAATTCGGAGGACGAAATACCACTGATCAGATGGGTTGTCGAGAGGAAAGACAAATGGGAATAGAGTGGTGGAGAAGAGAGGATGAGAGTTTGTGGGGGCTCGGCACGGATTAATTTAACGCCGAGAGGGGCAACTCAGCCTCGCGAGCTGGGACGGAACTACTACTTGCTTCACAGGAGATTCCATTCACAATGAGACCGTGGTGCAACCCTTCATGCACGCATGTATCCTGGTCATGAATTGCCTTGATGTTATATGCAAGAGGCCTCGTCATGTTATACGACACTACCTTTGCTCTGAAGCAGGTAGCTACGCAATTACAATGGGTTCGGCCGCCCTGCCTATTCACAGTCCTCACCATATTACACCAGGGCGTGCGACCAGTGTGCAAAGATGGCAGATCAATGTCAAACATGCAGCCTGTATCCCAATCAATTTAGTATTATACTGTATCATCAGAAGCACTCTGTCAAAACCCTTGGGGTCGAGGAGATAGGAATATGCATTATGCGCCTAGGTCTATGCTCTAGGCTCAAGCCCGTTTCCATGCCCAGTATGTGTTCGTCACGTCGTATAGTCGTCGTCAATCCAGGTCGGGGGTTCAGTTAAGCTCGGTATCAACTCGCTAGTCACTCTCATTTTGACACCTTGATCGAGTCTTTCCGTCTGTGCTTGATCAGCTTGGTAGGACTCCTCCTGCCTGACTTTTCACTGCGCTGATCTGAAGTTTCAATGTGGCCATTGATTGAAGGCTGGCTCTGTTGAGGAACTTTAACATGCTGGCCATGATTCACAACATCCTCAATATTCATCACCCATCGCATTCGCCCTGTCACCTCGGTCATCTCATCCAGTTTCTTGTTGACCGACTCGTCATTCGTGCTCGCCTTCGCCTTTAGTTCCTTGATGGCGGTATCAATGTTTTCGCGATATGATTTGAAGTTCGTCGTCAGTTTCTTGGTGAGGTCGTCAAGAGCCGAAATTGTCTGCCGTTGCTGCTCTGCGATGATCGCCAGCTTCCTCTGCTTCTCCACATCGTCCTCGGTGCGTCGTAACAGGTTAATGAATTGAGCTCGGATTTTATCCAGCCCACTTTGCTGTCGATCGTAGTCCATCTTCCGGCAGGCTACAATGGTGTCGTATTCGGCTTCTCTTTGTGCAGCTAGAGCCTTCGCCTGACTGGCTTCTTTCCTCCATACCTCCTCATTCGCTGCTGCTGCGGCTGCCTGAGCTTGAGCTTGAGCTGTTTTGGCTTTCTCTTTGGCGAGCTCGTCGTGTAGATCTTTGACCTGTCTTTCCCTTCGTGCCAATTGTCGTTCGTTAGCCTCGTGAGATTGCTCATAGTTGCTGTTTCGATCTTCCAGCGACTGGTTCCGTGCCAGCAGTGTTTCTTTCGCCTTCTCTGCCTCCTCGTGACGCATCTTTAGCACTTGTTTCTCACGCCGCAATTTGTCAATGTCTCCTTGCAGTCGCTCGATCACTCTACCCGATTTGCCCGTACCTGCATGACCAATAGCCGAGGACCAAGGTGCGGCGTCGGAGGAAGTGGAGGAATTGTCTGAGTTGGACATGACTGTAGAGCTGTCAGTATCGTCTCCTGATAACAAGTTGGGATCGGGTGTACCTGAGTGCAGCATCGAGGCACTGACGACTCTGCCGGTGGTAGGACGAACCCCATCCTGGTGGTTCTGCTCCTTAAGCATCCCGTCAACTTCAGACATGGTGCCCTCGAGACGGACATTAGAATGTGGGATCAGTGAGGGTTCTAAAATTCAGTCGAGGTTAGCAGGTCCAGGTCTAGGACAGTCGCGAGGCCGAAAAATCTTGCGCATGGAGAGTGTGCCAGTAGGAAAGACGCACCGGAACGAGGGAATAACTCTTGAGCCGTGAGTGAGGGTAAAGGAGTTGGCGAATCTCTAGAAACACGAGATATCCTCCTCATGACACGCTCTGCCGGTGGTAAGAGGCGGAGATGACCCGATCCAGACTCGGCGGTGATTTCGAGTTGAAGGAGATGGATGCGGTGGTTGCGACACAGACAGAATTGATTGTGCAGGTGCCGGTGACAATTCGGGTTGTCTGGATCATTTCGCGTCAATGTGAGAATAATGAGGTTGTCGGATTCAGCGATGAAAATAAAAAGACAGTGAGGAGCGTGTCTCCTATCGCAGGCCGAAATGATGGCATTATTTGTTTGAATTGGGCGCGCCATGGTGGAGATCTGCAGGCGCACGGTAAGCAGGCAACGGCTGGGGGGCTAATGAGGCCAGCTGGGGTGGGTGAACGTGTGGACAATTGACAGCCGCGATCAAATCAATTAGATTCACCATACAACCCGGCGTGCCTTAAAAAGAAACCCACTTCCGGGCTGTTTGGGCTTCCAGTTGGTGGTCTCTGTCAACCTTTTTTGGTGTCCGAAGCCTTTGCCGGGCACCCGCTAGGCCGAAACCCGGGACCGAGAACGCTAATGCCAGGGAACACCCACAAGACGTGTCAAGATTTAAGCATGACGCACGTTCAATTTGGAGATCGGATTTCAGAGGCCTCTCGAGACATCTGATTTCCATTCACGAACCTCGCAAGAAGAACCAAAGAACAATTCTACTTGAGTACAGTCGCTTCTAGAGACACAGGAGCTTTGATTGTGTAGATTAATATAGCATTGTGGCTCGTCGATTGCCATTCGCCAATATGACCGACTTGAGCTGCGCTATGTGAATTAATGCTCAGTTTTCGAAATCCCGCCAAACTCCTCGCTTTCAATTTCCAGGGGAAATCGCCCAGGTGTCCCTTGTTCCTCTCTTTCACATTCAACTCAAGCATAACACGGCAGCAAAAATGCCCATGACCAATGCAGCCGAGCTACCGAGCTGAGCCACTCTAGCAGAATTCGAGTTGGGGGCACTTGTAGTCGCCGCAGCTGTGGGCGTTGGAGCAGCGGATGTCGAAGTCACGTCACCGAATGTGGCAGATTCAGATGAGGTTTCGGTGATCGTGGATGGCAGGCTTGTGGTGGTCCGGGACATGGTGGCAGAGCTATACATTTCATCAGCATCTCGACTGGCCTAATCAACTGCAATGCCAACCTGAATGTAGTGTTTCGTGGAATGGCAGACCCTGTTCCTAGTGAGGCAGTGCCAGTGGTGCTCGTGCTCGTGATTCCAGCAGTGGAATTATGTGATGCTGTTGCCGTGGTGGTCCCAGAGGCCGAAATTGTCGATGAGCCAGTTCCACCTGTGAGAGAGAATTGCCCGCTGTAGTTGATATCGTTCTGGCCTTGGGTAATTTGGAGCGCATAGTCACTGCGACAATTAGTAGAGACCGCCATCATATCGCCCTTCGACATACGAGGCAGTCTTGAGATCTTTCGAGACAGTCCATAGGAAGAAATTGTCGGAAACGCTGTCGGCCAGGGTATCAATCGTTTTCAGCTCATTTGGATCTCCTTCACGTAGCGTGATTGTCACTGATGTACCATCACCTCCTCCCCATGTAATGCTGGCCAAGTATCAGCTAAGATTCCCTCGTTTCCCAGAATCGACCACAGACTTGTATGACTCTCCCGCAACGACGACAGCAGGTACGTGGGTGAAAGCAATCTTTGTTTGTGCCAAAGCGCACGAGTAGAGCGACGCGCCCAGGATGAGGGCTTTTGAGAGGAACATTGAGGCTGCTTCCAATGATTGAAGTTCGGGTCTTTTTCGTGGTGGCAGATTGAGCAATACTAGTATCGTCAAGAGAGCGCAGTTTGTTTGCTCGCTAATTCAGGGTATGGCGGAAAGGTTGGGAAAGCAAGCACAGAGTAACGAACGACTAGCTGCACAGAAATAACTTTGCAAGCGACGCTTCACAGCATGGTAAAGATAGAAAATCGCCCGAAAGTCGCGAAGGACAGCACTGGAACTCCTCCAAGAACGGTTGGTTCTCCATTCCAGTTCCGACCCTTTCATATTTCCAGCCGAAGAGGATCCAGAATTTGTTGTCTCGGGTCGCAAAAGCGAGAAAGGAGGCTGAAGTGTTCGACCAATAGCGCGATGAGATAGAGACCAAAGCCACCTCAATCCGGTTAAAAGCTCGTTTCGAAGTAGCATCCAATTTCAGCCTCGTCGAGGTCCCAACACCTCAAAGATCGTTGATCAGCTCATTAATTTCTCCGGATCGCCGTTCCAATAGTCCACCATTACAGCCCAATCACAGACTTGTTCTTTTTCCCTCTCCAGAGGGTCGATCATAGCACTTCCACAGAGTTCATATCATGTTGTGGTTGTCAGTCTCTTCTCCGCCTTTGAAGCCTGGAAAATTATTCTTGTATCCCTGGTTGTGCCCTGCCGCCCGGCTTGCCTTCAGTCACAGATCCCTGCCATTGCACTGGCCCATAGATGGGAAATTGGTCGTTTGCGCTTCTTGGAGTCAAAGACCTGCTGTAGACAGATATGGACAGACCAGAGAGGGCAATGATTGGCACTTCTTCGCCCATAGCAGTTCGTGCCCGCCAATGCAGGGCCTGTTGCAACAACGGTACCACTGACTCTGGCGATAAATCCTTGAGAACGCCTCGCAGGGCCCCAGCAGCCAAAACGTGCGTCATGGAAATTTCACTGCTAACCTGGCCTTCAGGAGCTCCGTCTGGATGGATTGTCGAAACGTTGGCGGGGCCGAACTGTGCATATGTCCCAATGAGGTTCTTTGCTGTCGGCCAAGATGAGACGTCGTCGGGAGGACCACCCATGAAGAAATCGATACAATAGCTGGTCTCGAAAGCGAATCGGTCGACCAGCACAGTGATCGACCACTGTGTTTCCAGGTCATTGACATTCATACTTAGTGTCATGTCAAGATCGACGTGCCCAAATGAGTCGGCAATGTTGGCTGATCTCTGTTCAGTGCTTCTTCTCATACGGCTAACCGTCGCATTCGAAAGAGGACTATATTGTGCGTTAATCAGATTCCGGACGTTTGCTGCCAATTCAGGTTGGCTCATTTCCCAATCCGGCAGTTCGGCGTAACTGTAGCCAAATGTTTTGATGCTTCGGACGCCTTCGGTGGTGAACATGGTATTGCCCTCATCAGAGTGGAAGGGAGCCAAAGCTGCTGTAGGTCAATCTCCGAACTTGGTTTATTTGTGTAACAACTCACCGCTTGTTGCTGAATCGATGAAGCCTCTGGATTCGTAGTACGAGCCCCACGTATTGACGGTCGGCACGACATAGCTATCAGGGTTTAACACCTGCCACATGGCAACAATTCGATCGACATTGGCGTGATGTAACCAAAAGACGGGGTCAAACGCTGCAACATCTGGATATTGCATGTGTCCGTAACCCCCAACGCAGTTGTGGATGGTGTTGTGAATGTTTTCGATGTTGTTCACTATTCCCGGAGTACCACCAGGCGAAGTGCAAGAAAAGGTCGAATAGTCGAACACTGCCGTGAATAGCTGATACGTCAGAGAAAGAATCCTGGAGAAGATGTCTTAGCAATGCCTCGATGTTCCTACGCGCGCGCACTCACGTAGGGGCTTGTGTTCTTAAGGCCGCATTTGCTGCACTTTGATTGCCTCGTCCGGTGTTCGGGTTGTACCAGCGGACAGTTGTCCCCAAGTTCGCCAACTGCATCTTCGTTAGCACGAATATTTATCTTCGATTGGGGAAGCCTACAGGATAGGACGAGGGAAACCCGTTGCCTGTTGCATTGGACTGAAATTTGTAGCTATACAGCGGGTTATCCACGGTCTGCCAGCCTTCCGGTGTGTTGACTCTTATCAGAGACTGAGACGCTACGTCTGGCAAAGCCGGATACAATGCCCAATCCCAGTAAGGAAACCGTAAAGTAAAAGCTGCCTCTCGGTATTGAACCCGTTGGTCTTCAGGGAAATCGTTCGCAATGTCCTGTGCGTAGGTCCACACGATTTGCTGTTTGTGTATCAGCAGCATGCTCTAGAGTAGTCATCTTGAAACAATCACCTCGAACAACGCCATGTATGGTCGATGCCACACAGGGAAAGGGACAGCGCTGTGCATGCAGTATCCGGAATTCGGACCTGTCCCAAGTACTCCGTCCCAAGGAATTCGAGGAAAGCCATGGATGCCTGCGCAGGTATGAGCTTGTAATGATGTCAGTACTGACGGGATTGGAAACCTGATATCTGGAAATATGAGAGAGGATCAGACTGATTCGCAGCCTGAAAAGCCATCATCGAGAGAATCAACAAGTCGAACGGAGGACCAGATTTGGCAAAGTCGTGGATCTCATATCTTAATGGCCGCGCCCCGGTTGTCAAATTGACACCACCCGACACACCAGTCACTTTGAAGGCAGTCAAGCCCTTCAAAAAGAAGGGTAAGAGGAAGGTGAGAAGAATGGAGAGCTTCCGAAGGCCGCCTAGAGGCGACATGGCGTCAAGCTTCGTGCAAATAGCTTCTTCAGGATATGATGGTTCAGACGAAGGAACAGCTGAGGTAAGATGGCGTGTTTTGAGACACGGGATGAGTATTGAAATCAAGACACCCTTTCACGACATCATGACTTGAACTTGACCTGGTATTGTTTGTTATGCGTCTGCCAGTGCCCTGGACACTCACCGTTGCGCTGGAACTGGAGGGTCGGGCAACTGCGTCGGGTGCTGCGCATTTGTAATGGTAGTGCAAGGGAAATGAGCGCGTTATACTCATGAGTAGGGCAGCCTCAAAAACACGCCCTTCTTCGTCAGTGTTCATCCATCTGAGACTGTCTACGAATTCATTTAACACAGCAGCTGTGTCCCGTCATTCCAGCCGAGTGGGTGGACATCTGCATATCTGCACGTGTCGGATACAACGAGGAGCACTTACTATTTCCGTTCTCAGAGTCTGCATGAGGAGGCGGTCCACGGAAGCTGGCCGACGGCACATGTCCTGAACCTTGCTGTTGGACGAACATCGCCGGTAGTTACACAGGACCTGCTGCCCACGTCGAGCAAACAAAGGCTTGGTGAAGGAATGGGGACGTTAAGAACGAACCACAGCAAGGGAACCCCGTTAACACTAAGATCTTCTACAGCTTTGTGTGAGACGAAGCAATCAGAACTAAACCTGCAGTGCGAACCTGGTACGACGACAAGAGCACACCTGACAACACATCTCTAACACGGTGGGGATGTGAGAGAGAGTGTGATGGCTGTGCGGATTACTTATTATGGGAACGTGTATGGTACCATCATGTACGGATGCAGGTTGCAGCCTTTTCCTAGCGCCTTCCTTCGGCTGTGACGGAATGAGGACTTTTTATTTCTCCGGCGAGGCCGGACCAAACTCGCAAACCAGTCGTGCCAGTGTCCCCCAGTTAAAGCCAGAGCCAAAACATTCTCAGACTTCTCCTGCACTCTAGTCTTGCACTCTTCCCCAACCCAAGTCTGTGAACGAGAAGGTGTGAAAGCGTCGACAGCGATTAAACATCTTAATACGACCTTCGCTCATCCTGCGCCGTCATGGTCGAATATGTCGCTCCACCTGAGGACCTCTCTCGACTGAATCCCATCCAGAGATATATGCAAAAGGGCCAACTTGGTAGACAAGATTATGTCTGGCTCTTCATCGTTGTTCTCGCCTACTTCACGGCAAGACCATATATCCAGAAATTCTTCAAGTGGTGGATGGGTACCCAGGACCAGAAAGAGGGGGAACAAGTCATGGATGAATACTTCAAGTCCAAGGCAAAGGTCGGACCAAATGCTATTCGAGGCACCGAGCCGGAAGAACCAAACCCCATCCTAGAAAAGGCTGGCAATGCGAGCGCTTCAGGCAGCAACCTTGACAAGAAGGGTGGTCTGGTCAATCGAAAGGTGAAAGGCAAATCTGGAGAAGAACAACTATTAGACTGGGATGATGAACCGCTACGAAAACCTACCGAGGGTGATAAGTCAGACGTTGTTGCATGGCTCGACAAGTGGTCGAACGAGGCGGAACAGTGATACATGGCACGCGGACGAACGTTGAATTCACTTGGGCAGATGCTCGAGTGCATGCTGAAGATCACAAACTTGCTTCCACGAAGATTGACCTGCCTGATCTTTTCCGACTCTCATATGCTACGACCTTTGAAAACACAGCATTCACAGTGCTATGGGATCGTCCGGAACTACGACACGGCGCTGTCTGCGTAGAGCAGTCTGGACGTGGCCATGACCAATGACCAGCGTCGTGGACCTGTTGAGACTCACGGGCGAAATCAGATCAGACGAGGAATTCCGATCAAGGCGTGATGTAGCTACAAATGGAGCAGTGAAGGTCGACCCACGTCGGTGCGCTATTTCGGGTGCAGGACTGGTCTATCTGCGGCGTAGAAAGCGGCTCTGGGCGGCGCTTTTGCGCATCCACCGAGTCTCAAGGAGCTCACACACCAGATGACTCTCCGATCAAGGCAGTATCTCAATAGAGCACATCGCGTGGTCGACAAAGCGTAAAGTTCGAAGAACAATATCTTGTGTGACAGCCGTTCTTCCCATGATCTGCCCTTGCTCAAACGATCATTCCGAAATGTGCCGGTGCTGACAATTCAATTTGAATCTTTCGTTGACACTGGCTTCTGGAAATGTGAAGCAAGGCTGAAACACGAACAGCTGCAGCAACTGGCAAGGCTTAAGGGCGACTGCAGGGGTCTATCTTGGCACAGATGATTTGGAGACGTTGCGTAAACTTGAGCTGCGCATGCGGACTGTCACTACTTGACCATGAGCAATTGACCATACTCTTTGTCCCTCTACGCCTTGTTTTCGTTCTTTCTCTGGCCATCATGGCCGTTTCCACGCCCTTAGACCCTTTCCTTCGTGGAAACACGAGTAAAAATACTCGGGGTCTGCTTCGAATCATCATTCTGTGTACCATTGCGGCCGCGGCAGTGTCTGCTCGTCTCTTCAGTGTCATTCGTACGCACTGCCCTGACACCCTCATTGTAATGCGTTGAGCGCATTCGCTGACACCTGAACAGGATTCGAAAGTATAATCCACGAATGTTAGTCCTCCAAGCCATGCTTGCTTTGCAGTCCGCTGCCTCCTTGTTGCCAAATCAACTACCTCAGCAGAGTCGATTGTGTCCTGACCCTCTCATACAGTTGATCCCTGGTTCAATTTCCGAGCGACAAAATACCTCGTGGCAAATGGCTTCTACAAATTTTGGGATTGGTTTGATGACAGTAGGTCGTATGTATCACACTTAAAGAGCTGGAGGATTGACAGAACACAGGAACATGGCACCCTCTCGGTCGAGTCACAGGAGGAACACTCTATCCTGGACTCATGGTCACGTCCGGCGTCATCTACCATCTCCTTCGACTTCTTGCCGTCCCCGTCGACATCCGAAACATCTGTGTCCTCCTCGCTCCAGCTTTCTCCGGTCTTACCGCGCTGGCGATGTACCTCCTAACGTCCGAGATGTCCTCTTCTCCATCTGCTGGGCTTTTGGCAGCGGTATTCATGGGCATCAGCCCTGGTTACATCTCGAGATCCGTTGCAGGCAGCTACGACAACGAAGCTATTGCGATCTTCCTGCTGGTTTTCACCTTCTTCCTATGGATTAAAGCAGTCAAGAATGGTTCAATCATGTGGGGAGCACTCGCTGCCTTGTTCTACGGCTACATGGTGTCCGCGTGGGGCGGATACGTCTTCATCACGAACCTGATACCCCTACATGCCTTCACACTCGTTCTGATGGGTCGGTACACCTCGAGGCTCTACATCAGCTACACCACCTGGTATGCTCTGGGAACGTTAGCAAGCATGCAGGTTCCTTTTGTTGGCTTCTTGCCCATTAGAAGCAGCGACCACATGGCAGCCCTGGGCATCTTCGGCTTGCTGCAGCTGGTCGGCTTCTTCAACTTCCTCAGAGAACAGCTGCCAGGCAAGCAATTCCAGACACTGCTAGTTGCACTTGGTGGAGCAATCTTTGGGATTATGTTTTTCGGCCTGATCGCCCTTACCGTGTCAGGAACGATTGCACCTTGGAGCGGAAGATTCTACTCTCTTTGGGACACCGGTTACGCAAAGATACATATCCCTATCATTGCTTCGGTCTCGGAACATCAACCGACGGCTTGGCCAGCCTTCTTCTTTGATCTCAACATGCTCATCTGGCTCTTCCCCGCTGGTGTCTACATGTGCTTCCGGAATCTCAAGGACGAACATGTTTTTGTTGTTATTTATGCAGTCCTAGCCAGCTACTTCGCTGGTGTCATGGTTCGTCTAATGCTTACCTTGACTCCCGTTGTGTGTTGTGCTGCGGCTCTCGCAATCTCGCATATTCTCGACACCTATCTTTATCTCCCCAGTCCTGTCGACGAATCAAGCGAGTCAAGCAATGGATCTGTCAAGGCCAGCAAGATCAGCGCTAATCCTTCTCTTCGCTCCATCCGCAACCCTCTGGTTGGCATTTATTCGATGGCTTCCAAATCCTTGATCACTTCTATGTTCACTGGCTTCCTCCTTCTATTTGTCGCCCACTGCACCTGGGTTACGTCAAATGCCTACTCATCACCTTCTGTCGTGCTGGCTTCTAGATTGCCCGACGGTTCTCAGCACATCATTGACGACTACAGAGAGGCGTACTATTGGTTAAGACAGAATACACCGCGCGACGCGAAAATCATGTCGTGGTGGGACTATGGCTATCAGATTGGAGGTATGGCCGATCGCCCAACCTTAGTCGACAACAACACCTGGAACAATACGCATATCGCCACTGTCGGCAAAGCAATGAGTTCGAGAGAAGAAGTCAGCTATCCCATCCTTCGACAACACGACGTTGACTATGTCTTGGTCGTATTTGGTGGATTACTTGGCTACAGCGGAGACGATATCAACAAGTTCTTGTGGATGGTCAGAATCGCCGAGGGCATCTGGCCAGAAGAAGTGCGAGAGCGTGACTTTTTCACTGCGAGAGGCGAGTACAGGGTCGACGACGAGGCGACCCCAACCATGAAGAACTCGCTCATGTACGTTCTCCCCACCCTGCTTTCTGCAGATGGATATACTGACGTTGCCTCAGGTACAAGATGTCATACTACAACTACAATCAGCTCTTCCCGGCTGGTCAGGCTCAAGATCGAGTCAGAGGCTCGCCATTACCAGCTCAAGGTCCGGAGTTGAGCATTTTGGATGAAGCTTTCACCAGTGAGAACTGGATCATCCGTATTTACAAGGTCAAACCCTTGGACAACGTCGGGCGCCACCATCAGAGCGCCGTTGCTTTTGACAAAGGCCACAAGAAGAAGAGAAAAGCAGGGTCGAAGAAGGGTGTCAGAGTGTTGAGAGAGGAGTGAAAAGCTGAAATCCTTCTGCCATCTGTCAGGAAAGGTTCTGCAGCAGGACGCTGACAATAATGGCTTCTGTGCTATGTGACGACTACTAGACAAAAGGGAAAAATGAAAAGTTCAGGCGACTCTAGTGTATACGATATACCGATCTTTCTTGAGAGGAAGGCCACTATAAACAGTTGCCCAACTAGTACCTTGCGCTTGTTATTCTGGCTGTCACGATACGTGGCCTGGCCATCGGTTCCACCTGCTAGGAGTTTTGATTTGGTGCGCGCCGACAATAGCTTTTCTCCTGTGTTCGACCCTTCCACGACCGAAGCCAGGCCGTTTTGCGAGGGCATACTCCAGTCGACTCAACCAGGCACTGCGCTCGGATCTCCAGCCCCGAGTACCTCAGACGTGCTCGGCCACTCAACTCAGCTGTTGTCTCACCGTAGCAACGCGACGGATCGTGCGATCGACCGTACCTCCTTCGATTACTCCGCAACACCGTAGACGCGATGCACGAGGCGACGTGGGCGACCAGGGTGCCAGTCCGGACAGCTCTGAATGGCCTGCGAAATGGCTGAACTGCGCAGCCTCACCGCAGGCGCCAAAGTACAACATGATGAATTGACTACCTGCTCTGCTAGACCGGAAAACCACTCTGGTCCGGTGGGAACCCTGATTGCAGTCACCCTTTCGTCGTCGTCGCCACCTCGTTCCATTGACTGCTCCTTCACGTGCCTGGTCGTCTCCTTTCCGTGAGAGCATCTGGGCTTCCCAATGGAGCCCCAAACCCATGCAACTGATGACCAGCTCTTTCCCAGCGATGATCCAGTCCCCGAGGATGACATTGTGCTTCAAACCACGCGGCCAAACCCATGGAGAGGGCCACCGCCTGAGGTATTCAATGATGGCGTCACTGAACTGTGGGTACCCACCACCGAAGACATAGTTGCCGACCTCTGCTTTGTTCATGGGCTGAAAGGCCATCCAAGGAAAACTTGGCAATACAAGAAGGCGACTACGTCAGAAAAAAGGGAGAAGGAACAAAAGTGGAAAATATTCAGCCTCTCCATCGGAGCCGGTGCTGGGTCCAAGCATCAGTCTCCTGAAGGGAATGACCAGACAGGAGGCTGTTACTGGCCGCTCGACCTTGTACCAAAAGATTTCACCAATTTGCGAGTCCTCACGTATGGCTATGACTCCCATCCAACTCATTTCTGCGCAAGCCAAACCACCCAGATGACCATAAGTCAGCATGCCCAGCAACTCCTTCAACAAGTCACAAATGCTCGAGCCGATTGCCGTAGAAGACCAATCATTTTCGTTGCGCACAGCCTCGGGGGAGTACTCGTCAAGGACGCCATAATCCAGTCTGGCAAATATGCCGATCAGCCACATCTTCAAGATATCAGCACCTCATGTCACGCAATCTGCTTCTTCGGGACTCCACATAGGGGCTCTAATGCAGCCAGATATGGCGAAACATTGGCCAATCTAATCAGCATTGCGCCTGGCAGTCCCAGTGCATACAAGGAAGTTCTCAGAGGATTAAAGCTGGATAGTGAAAAATTGAACCAAGCCGAGGCCGACTTCGGCTCACTCCTGAACAAAAACATCCCATCCAGTTAAAAGATTCAGCTGTACAGCTTCCAAGAGGGCAAGGGAGTTACGGGCATTAAACCTTTTGGTAGCAAGGTAAGTCGCCACGCTATGTTCTTGGCCCATCCCTAACATCAAAGAGGTCGTTCCGGATTTCTCTTCGTGCTTTAATCGAAGAGATATTGAACAGACCTCATTCATCAACGCAAATCATATGGACATGGCGCGATTTGAGTCGGACAGCTCCCAAGGCTACCGAAACTTCCGATCTGCCTTAAAAACTTACCTTACAGAGTTACAAGCCAAAGAGGCACAAGAGCGGAGATTGGAAGACTCACGACAATTGGCCGAACGTTCAGGTTTGTCGCTTCCAACCTTACCGAGCCCAAGTAATTAATCGAGTTACAGTCGTGGTTCGAGCCCTTGACTTCAAAGAGAGACTCAGCCGGGAGCAACAATTGTCAAATGTCACAACACCGTCAGAGACATTCACATGGGTATGGTCTTCCCCATTTCTGGAATGGCTCCGCAGCGACAGCCGTCTTTTCTGGATATCTGGGAAGCCAGCGAGCGGAAAAAGTACCCTGATGCATTATCTTGCACAGTCAAAAGAGCTGAAGAACGTATTGCGTACCGCTGGCGGAAACGGTTGGGAAGTCATACATTTCTTCTTCGACTTTCGCGCAGGCAGAGGGATTGGTAATAACTTTGAGGGATTCGTTCGGTCTCTCTTAGTTCAACTTGCCCAAAAACTGACTGATTTCAACTCCTTGGTCCCAGAATTGAATCGGAACTTGAAATCATCGTCACTTGGATCTGAGATTCACTCAGGTCGGCAGATTACTCCCGGTCTGGCGCGACAGAGCGTTCTTCAGTGTCTCCGGGTCTGTCCACAATATCTCATGATCCTCATTGATGGTCTCGATGAATATGAGGGCCAGAAGGTCGAATTGACAAACTTCATCAAAGAACTCTGTTTCTCCAATGTGAAAGTCTGTGTTGCTAGCAGACCAGACCCACCGTTTCCGGACGCGTTTGCTGGAAGCCCATCGTTTAAGATGCAGGACCTCAACTATGGAGCCATTCGAGCATTTGTCCTCCATACTCTACATACCTTCTTTCCCTCGCGGCGGTATGAGGATACAGCTTTGCAGGCACTAGCAAAGGAGATCGCTCAGAGAGCTCTGGGTGTCTTTCTGTGGGCAAGGTTTGCCGCGTACGAGCTCATCGATGGACTAACCCGTGGAGAGGAGCTAGGGTCGCCACAACTAGAGACCAGGCTTGAGGCTGTCCCAGAGGAATTGCAAGAGATCTACTCGCGCATCTTAAGTCGTCTATCGCCGAATGACAAGAAGATCGCGGGCCATCTCCTTCTGTTCATAACGTCGAGTAAAGGAATTCTCACTGTGGAAATGTTGCAAGAGGCAATCGATCTCTTTGCGCAGCACACAGGGCTCTACGGCGAAAATGCGACCAATTATGGCGAATCTTCCAGCAACTTTCGCAAGCGGCTGTTTGCGACCAGCGGCGGCACCGTTGAAGCCTATCCGGCTAGGCTTGGATACATGGACCAGGAATTTCTGGGTAACGTCGTTCGCCTCATTCACCGGACAGTGAGAACATATCTAGAAAACGAGGGATGGCGGGAACTCCTTGGGGATTCCATCCACTCTGGTCTGGGAGACGAAATCTGGTTGAAAGTGTGTGGACTAAGAGTTACAGATTCATCAAACCTCGATGGTCAGTATCATGACTCGGTTTTTAAGGTTCACCACTATTATAACTTGAAATTGAGCCTTGACACCACTTCGAATGACAACGAGGCCAACCACGGAATCGGAGATATCTATTCTGCCTCAGCTGTGGATGATACAGATACCCTGGATACGCTCTTGCGCACGTATGCTGTCAACTATGCGCTTGGGCATGCTAAAAATTGGGAGGATGCGTGCAAAAGATCTTCAGCAGTCCTTCTGACGCCGCTCATGACGGCAGCCTACTTCAAAGCACACTGTGTTGTTTCTGCAAGGTGCCTGTGCCACGATGCGAGAACCTTCGAAGGGTATACGGATGTTGCAGCAGATCCCATTCACCTGGCATTGTGTCACGGACTAGAGTTCCGCATTAAAGAATATATCGAGGATCAGTGTGCACCCAAGACAGCCGATCACAAACAAGGCTTTCTTGACAAGCTAACCATGGCGCTGAATGGCTTTGGTAAGCCCCGTAACGCACCCAAGTTGCAAGTGCTCAAGGACCTGGCTCTTCATATCTGTTGCAGTGTCAGTGTCTATTCCTGGGACCTCATTCAGAATAGACACATACGAATCATTGCGATCTTGCTCAAGCATTACCTACTGTGAATGACACGGCCATACTCTCAATGGTGTGCAAAGCTCCTGCGAAAGCCCTGCAGCTGATACTAGACTGTCGAAGACCGGGGAAAATGAGACTGACGGGCGGGGAAAAGGTAAGAGGTGACCCTCTTCTACCACGGACTGATGTTTTCGAGCAACCTGAGAAGTACCGCCCGCTCGTGGCTCTTGGGCATCGGAAGACGAGAAACAACGAGGATACAAGGTTAATATTGGACATGTTTCTGGATCGCGGAGAAGATATCAATGACCAGTGCGGTCCGCTTGGAGGAGTCATCCATTACACCGTAGCTGTGCCACACGAATATACTCCTGATATCCTTGATTTGCTCATCCAGAAAGGAGCGGATATCAATCAGCCAGGGCCAGAGGGTGCCCCGTTGGAGTTTTTGTGGAAAGAGGCGAATACCAGATCACTCAACGATGACATGTATTTGGTATCAAGGTATCGTGACGTCCTTAGACATCTCATTGGTCTGGGTGCCGTCAACACTAGAAAGGATCCGAATGGGCTCGTCCCAAGTGTGAGGCAGATGCGATATTTTGGCTGCAATCGTACGGACCATGATGAATGTTTGCGGTATTATCGCGAAGGGCCATTCGACGGGGTCTCGATCTGGTCTAGGCCAGTGGTCCCAGGTCCTGGGGATGCCGATTTATACCTTGCCTTTCCATCCGACCAGTTTTCCTTTTCTGGGCAGGAGTCTGGGTCCGAATGTGAAGACGGAGAGAATGGCAGCGATCAAGATGATGATAACTACCATTCTACTGACGAGGTCATTCCCGCCTTGAATTCGGAATGTACCAGCAGTCAGCCTGATGTCGCAAGGGCAGACGAGGGCTACCGAAGGACAGGATCAACAGCTGTGAGCTAGGGATACACATCGAGCCTCTGAGGAAGGAAAAGTGATGAACCTGGAGGGAGTTTGAGCATTGATGTCTTTTCAAATAATCTTCTACCTTCTGGACCATATCTGAAGCGTAATGAATGGACTCTCTATTAGCGTGGATGTACCCGAGTCTTTCGTTCGAAGAGATACTCCTAAAAGTTCTATACCTTCCGTAAAGCGTCTTGGCTATCATATTGTCTAAAAGAAGCGTCGTCTGGATCAGGCCGTGTCATGTTTTCTGCTCTATGGGTTCGACACATAAGGTAGGCATCACCAAGCGTCATGAGAATTAATCAATCCACTCGCCTTGACCAGCCTAGCCTAGGTACTGAAGACATACTGGTTCGGACCCGCGGGGGTTGCTGGCTACCAAAGAATCCATACATGGGACTATGGCTAGCATCCTATCCCTCCTCTGACGCCAGGCAGATGGCACAGCACTGCCATTTCCAATCCCGCTCCGAATGTCACGATAATATCAGCAACATACACGTCCTGGCTTGCGGCGGCGGATCTAGGGCTTTCGTGCCCTGGTATCCCCCCGGTCGCTTAGCACTGATATGGACATTGAGTTCATTCCTCGTCGTGACCGGGAAATTCAACTTCTTCGAGTCCTCTCACAGAGAGGGCGTTGACACTTTACAGCCGCACCAAAACCCATACGCAAGCTGCTCCCTACATTGTTCTTTCAGTGCGACCTCCGAGATATCGTTCCGCGACACCTGCCAGTTGGAGCTCGAGACAACTTCTTTCTTCATTTTGAATGGTCCTCCTCCTCATTTCACAGCAAGAATACCAGTACCCTTCCTCGCACTGTCCACTGCAGCTCTGAGCTGTTGCTCTTCAGTGTCAGTCCACTTGACGCTCAGCTCGTCCCACTTCTTCACCTTGAACTCCTTGCGAAACTGCGTCTGAAGTTGCTGCAATCGCAGGAGAGGCCGCATGTCGCTGGTACCGCTGTATGTGATCAACAACGTGCGCGGTGGGAGGGCAGTGTACAGTCGCAACAGGTGAGCAAGCGTGCGCGAGGCGGTTTGATGAAGCTCGTCTGGTGACTCTTTACTGTCTGGGGCAGTTCCGTTCGTGGCGGTGGACTCGGATTCGGAATCGGGTGGAGCAGGTGGTATGTTCCACCCTCTCAGTGCTTCGAGATCGCGGAGACGACCCCAGATAAAGTCCACTCCTCCTGCTGGAATTCTGTCGTGTCGTCCCTGGCCATTGGACTCCGCCTCTTCCTCGTTATCTCCACTTTCGTTTTCAGTCCCAGGCGGTGGATCACCATTTGCCGCTCTGATGACGCCCTGGATAATCTCTTCATCGGTCGTACAGGCAATCTTGTACGTCGCCTCCTTGCCGAAGCCTCTTTCTGGCGTGCCGTACTCGACGATCGCGCTCTCTCTGGCCTTGCCCGAACCGTCGTTTCGCACACCTCTACTGATACTCTTGAAGATGCTCTCTCCATTGGCGTCGAGCGTGCCCCACTTCGGACCCTTCTCACATTTCAGCTTGACCAGGTCAAGCACAGCTCTGGCGTCTTCGACACTGTCATGTCCATCCGCGCCGCCCTTCTGGATCTCGCGCTTGAGATAGCGGTTCGCGAGGAACTTGAGCGAGCTGCGCAGCGGGAGGCCTCGTGGGTGTGGGTATATGATACTCGTGTCGACGATGAACGGGTGCGTGAGTTTTAGCGCGTTGAGGTCTGATTCGAGACTGTGGCCGAGGAGGATCGAGTCCGAACCTAGTATGGAAAGGAGGCTGGATTGGATGTCGGAGAGGCTGGTGGTGATGTTCTCGAGGTGCGAGGGCGTGATGCCGGAGTATTGGGTGAAGTAGTTTTTAATGGGAAGGGATGGTTTGACATAGGAGTCTAGCACTGTGGATCCGGACCAATCGACTAGCGAGATACGCGCGAGGGAGTATTTGTCGTCGCTGGTGAGAACCATTTCGCAGTCCAGGGCGAAGGGTCGGAGACCTTGGGTAAGAGGGTCGTGTGATCTAGACTTGGAGTGTGAACCTCGAGAATGCGTAGGGGATGAAAGTCCAGGGGGGGACGTAGGAGGGTAAGAGGAGGTGGCGGTTTGAGCGACAGGGACGGATACAGTAACTGTGGTGTCGACCCAGCCGTGACCAGACGATTGGAAGGTGGCGACACGTCGAGTCGCTTCGAGTTGGGCGTCGTGAGCGTTGGTGAAGGCTGCGGAATGGATGGGGTATTCTGCCTCACGTAATTCGTCGGCCGAGTGGACGAAGTGGGCGATGGATGTGCGGGTTGGTTGGAAGGATTTTTCGGCGGACTTTTTGTTCTTGGATGTGTCGGAGGAGGATAAGGGCGCGATCAGCATGCCTTGGAGGGGGGAGTGGACTCTGTTGGCATGAGAATCACCGGGGGCTTTGACTTCAATTATGCGAGAGAGGAGGCGCTGAACGAGGGTTTCTGAGTTTGAGGGCGCGTCTGCTGGCGAGTCTGAGATGTCTGGGTTTGGAGTGCTGGCGGATGAGACAATCGTGGCTGATGTGGTTGTTTGGTCTTGAGGTTCCGTGTCAGCATCCGCAACTTTCTCATCGGCGTCTTTACTGGCAGTCTGCTCGTAGATGGATACGGCACTTTTGAGGATCTCTGGATCTTCCAACGTTGCTCGATCGAGACCCGGTATCATCAAGACCACGACCTTGTCAATTTGTTTGGCGTTATTAACGGCCAACCAAGTTGGCGCGACGCCATCTGCCATAAGATAGAGAACCAGTTCCTGAAGCGCCTTCATTTGTACCCGGGCAGGTCTGGTGTCTAGGAAATTGATGCTCGGGTAGCCGTGGGGGTCTTCGCGAAGCTTGCGTCTCTTCTTCTTTCGGGACGATTTTGACTCCGCCACAGACCATGCCTCATCGCCTTGGGTTGCATTTTCGTTGGCTTTGCGAGCTTGCTGGTTTTCTTGGACCCGTTCCGAACTCATGTTTGGAGACTTTGATGCAGATAAAGGTTCATGGGACGGTGCTGGGCTTTTGATGTCTTGCAGAGTTTGTCCCAGACCAAAGTTTGACGATGTAAAGCCAGCATCTGTCGCGCTTCGTTTGCTACCGGCGACCATTTTGTTGGGGCTTAGCTGAGGCACTGAGCATGTCTAACACTTCGGGGGATTTCTCACAATGCAAGGTGAGCGAGCGGGTATCAAGGGAGAAGTCTAGAACATAGAGATGGCGAGAATGGGTCTGAGAGACTGCTAATTGGGGCGGAAAATCTTGGCTTGTCTCGAGGTCACGTGTGCGGTTCCGCTTCTGCCTCGCCTTCTCCGCTTCCTTCATGTGTAGATGCCAGGGGTTGAAGGTGCTAGGAGAGAGAACATACAGTTGGTCATTGGCTGACAGTATATTTGGATGCTACTCGCTGACTCTGTCCTTCGTCAATTGTCCAATCTTGGGACCTTTCATACACCGAATACCTGAGATAAAATGTTTGACGCATCTACTATGCATCTCGCTTGCGCTTCCCACCTGTGGCCTTGAATGCGGCTCCTCGACGGCTGCTTCGGTTGTCTGGTCGCTTTTTATTTTTCTTCTTCTTTGAGAGCGCAAATTTGTTAGCGCTGCTCGCTCGGTGTCCTTCAAAAACGAACGCTGCCTTCTTGAGACCATTCTCGAGGGCATTCTTCCTGCTGCCAAAAGCGCCGCTCCTTTTCCGTGTTAGACCTTTGTCGACCGGCCTACCCTTCGGTGGGCCTGACTGTTTCACCTTCTTTGCTCGCATTACTCGCAACTTCCTCGGCAGCATTGGCGGAAACTTCTTGTCGTTCATCAAAAGCGCAGCTTCAACGCTGTTTTCACTCTCGAATTGGACATAGGCAAAGCCCTTGCTGATCCGTGTTTCCTGATCTCTGACCACGCGAACACTTTCGACCTTTCCGATTTTTCCGAAAACTCGCCATAGCCCTTCTTCTGCGTCTGCAGGCTCCTTGGCCGTTGGTCGGCGTTGCTCTCCATCCTCGCCCTCAGGTTTTGTCTCCTTATTCACAAAGCTCAAATTTCCAATGAAGACACACCGCTTGTGATCGACCTTTGATGGTTGGCCTAGAGAGTCCGCTCTTAGATGGCGGTCAAGGACAACACTGCCATTCAATGTCTTGGCTACACGCTTCGCAGCCTCTTCCGTGCTAAAGACAGCGTAGGCATTGGTGCTGACAGTCGTTTCGTCCATCAATTCCTTCTTAGCGTAGGTAGCCTTCTTTGGTCCGGAACCACTTTCATAGGCAGTCGACCTGAACCGTATTGACTCTAGCTTTTCCGGTGTTTGGCCGTCAGGTGCTTCTTTCAACACTGACTGCAGGTGTTTCATCAGGGCTCTCTTCGCTTTGGTGGACTTGATTGCTGCCGTCGATACATTTCCCAGGAACACGGTCAGGTCGACCCGGGCTTCATTGCTTGATTTCTGTTCTTGCGTCTCATGTCGAGGGACATTTGGGGCGGCCAGTGCAGTTTCGTCTTCAGAGATGTCCTCAAGATCGGAGTGTAACGAGTCCACATCACCAGAGCTCTCCACCTCAATGCCAGTTTCTGCCTGCTTCTGTGCATGTTCCTTCTCTTCCTCACGCTCAAGACGCTGGAAGTATTGCTCTTCTAAATCATCCTTATTACTTTTGCGCCGCCGTTTTCGAGGTCGCTCCACCGTCTCTTCGTCAACCGGCGCAGCAGCCCCGTTCCCTTTTCCCGCTTTAGAAGGGATATCTGAGTCCTCGGCGTCGCTCCCAGAGGAGGTCTCGTCAGCGTTAATGGTCTGCACAGTGGAGGCCGCAGGCTTGACTGGCTGTGGTATCCTTGCAGGGACTGTGATAGGACCAGACTGGAGTGAAAGTCAGCGAGTATCCCTTAGCCATATACTGCAAGACTTACACTTGAAGCAAACAGCGAGGCAAGTGCAGGGTCGACCGAGGTGGATTTGGCTGCGAATGGGGTGGTTTGAGCAGGTTGTTGCTCCGCTTGGGGTTTCTTGGACTTCGCCATGATTATGCAAGCTCGACTAGTATTTAGGATAGCTCTCTCAGTCACCTCATTGCGTGTATTGTCTTCGTTGGTCGCAGTGACAACTTAAAAAATCCAGCGCTGAAGAATTTCCCTGGGGTTAAGGTTGAAGGCGCTAGTAGTTAAAGCCGGCGCTAAGCGTTGAACTGGCCAAGCGGAAAGATCAATGGGTTTTATGGGCTCCATGACGCTTTTTGCGCCTGGCTGCGATTTGGGAGTTGGGGGCTGCTGTTCTCCACGCCGCCAACACGCCTGCGCTTTTGCGACTGACTCTACACCTTCTTGCCTTCTTGCTACACTTTGACCTTTAACAAGTATTATTTCCGCAGTTGGATACTGGTCACGCTCTCAAGACTCGGTACCTTCGCTTAACCTCCAGTCTTTGACTTTCATCAGATCCCTCCCTGCGCCGCGACTCCTGCTCGGATACCACCTCCTCACCCACCTTCGCAAACGTTCGACCACGAGCCTCTGTGTGCAAGGTGACAGGCTTTCGTCGAGGCCACTGCTCATCTTGCCATTTGAGGTGGAGAACGGGAAAAACAGCACAAACCGAGCGGATTAGGGCCCTCTCGCGGTTGGTGCCTCCGCGCCCAAGCTGTATTTCTCAAAAGCAAGAAAGAAGAAACGTCAAAGCCATGCGGCTGTAGCTGAGTCATATTCACAATTGCAGTGGTAAGTTTCTCTTGAAACCGCGGACGCACTTATCCATTCGAGAAACTGTCCTTATTTCCCTTGTGGAATGCGACTGACACACCACCTCAGTCCACGCAACAAGCTCCTAGAGTCTCTCAATCGCAACCCTACTACCCTAGCGCGCAGTCACTCTTGATTTCCTCCCACGTCCACCATGGACTCGGCTGCCGATTCCCTCCTAGCTCTCTCGAACACAGCTGCAGCCATAGCCGCCCACGATGAGCCTCTCTCAGACGACGACCGCTCCAGCAGCCTCAGCGAACTGGATGAGAACCTTGACGATGCTGAAGATGAGGACATCGAACTACCAAGGCCTGCCGATGTTGACTCAGAAGCCGAGACTGAACGTCTTCAAGTCACTCCGGAAGGTCTAGTCAAGAAGAATCCTTTCCAGGTCAGTCCCAGCAAGCTGGCTCAAAGAGCAGATGTCGATATGAGACCGGAAATCGAGAGCTTAACAGAAAGCCCTGTGTCGTCCCCAATCTCCTCTCATGCCGATTCAGACATCGCTGGGGAGCTAAGTGATGCGCCAGACGCGGATGATGAGGTGGAGGTGGACCGAGACATTGTCACAGGCAATTCACCAAATAAACGAAAGAGAGAAGAAAGCGAGTCGGATGCTGAAGAGGCACCTAGATCACAGCGTCGGAGGACTGGGTCCTTGGATAGTCAAGATGACAAATCCGAGCCGGAGAGCGAACCTGAAGACAGCCGTCGGCAGAGTCGAGAACGCACCATCGAGCCTGGGGCTGAAATGCCAGGCCCAGAAGACGAAGAGGTCGAAGAAGAGCCAAAAGAGATCGCAAAGGTCGAGTCTAGCGAAGATTCCAAAGACAAAGCCAGAAGTCGACCACGCAGAAAAGCAAAGGGTGATGTCAGTGACGAAGCACAAGCCGACGAAGAAGACGAGGCCGAAGGTGCTGAAGAGAGTGAAGCTGTTGACGAAAACGACGCCGAGGCAGCTGCAAAGAGCGAAGAAGAACAAGCCAGGCGAATGGCTGCAATGGAAGCCTTGACATCTTTAGAGAAGCATTTTGCAGCGCTCAGGGATCGACTTTATGACGAAAGAATAGCGGCAATTAACCATGAGCTGGCGCTGTTACAGTCCTCCCGGCCATCTCATCCAGAACTGCTGCGCCAGCTAGAGGCGGTACAGAAACATCGAGACGAGAAGTTTGAGGTCGAACAAAAGCTCCTGGTCTACAAGGTGGGTGCACTCAAGAACAAAGCGGTTGCGGAGCGCAGTCAGATACACAGTCAATATTTTCAGACCGTCCGAGACATTCGAGAAAGATATCTGGAACGAATTAGCGAGCATTTCTACCGGATTCAGCGCGACAGATTCAAAGCCGATTCGTCGATACCGAGTTATATAATTCCCTTTCCAGAAAAGCGGTCTCAGCAAATCCTCCAGCAGACCGCTTACAACAAAGAAGTCTCAATTTTGTCGGGCGTGGCAAAATACGTCGGTTTTCCCGCCGCGCCGGAACTGGCATCTTCCAAGCAGAAGGATGTCGAGGACGATATGCACAAGATGGGCGTACGTATCAAACTAATCCTGACGATGAATACAAGTACTGAACTTCGCAGATTTCACTCGCACAGGTACGACCTACCAGACAGTCGCGACCGGTACAAAGTACAGCGGCCGCACAGCTATCAGCGCCTCAAGCAGAAGAACAATTTCTCGAACAGACACCCTGGGCTAATCCACAGCATCCTATTCACCGGCTGAGTCGGCAAAACTCCAATCGCTCTCCACTTAATGAATTTCTAACGCCAGCTAATCAGCAACGCACGACAGACGGACTGGCACCGGTGGGCTCAGCGTCCACGATCGCGGACTCCTCAGCGCAGATATCGTCGGCGATCAACACGCCGCATGATGGCCAGAGCAGTACGACAAAAATGGAAAACTTGGCTGGTTCCATGTTGGCGATGCGGAATGATCGAATGCATTCTTCACCGTTGGATACGCGCGACACGCAGGCCAAAGATACGACGCGAGATCTCGGGTCCTCGCCTCTCAATTCGAGAGCGCAATTAGCATCGCCTCGAGCGAGCTCTGCCAGGCCTGATATGACCAGGGTCTCGAGGCTGGGTAATGACTCGCCCTTCAGACCAAGAGATGCGGGCACGACGACTGCTATTACGGCGGGATCGGGCTTTGGGGGTACGGGGAGGTTCAGTATCCGATAGAGTTTGAAGACGAGAGTGAAGTGGTATATTGTGATTATACATTGGTCGTCGTGGTCATGATCATGAATGAAATAATGTCGGCTCTTTGTACAGGCACAGATATCCATCCAAATGCTATCAATCTGATGCCGCATCTGACCAGTCCGGACCGATCATTCTCGCGAGCTTGGTGACGAAACGTATACATGTAGTAGGGTTTGTAGTAGACAGCGTCCCACACCGATAAAGGGTGCACTTTCCGAACTCCATCTTCTCATTCCTGAAACGGTGCTACGCTCTCAACGCTGCAGCAGCCTATGCCCGATGCCGGCTGTTGGTCCTCTGCCTTCGCCATCAGGTCAATTCCTCCTTACTCGAATCCTCTTCGTCGTTGGTCGGTATTTTGTACAATATGATCCAGTATTTGCAGCCCGGCTCCGGCTTGATCCAACGTCCCCGCTGTGTTACAACTGTATTTCAGACCGGCCTGATCGTGAACGCCTATTCATCGTCATGCGCCGTTATTTGATGACTACACGGCGTGGTTCAGAGAGTGCTGGGCGATCATGACCGCATCCCATTAACCTGGGCCGTCCCCGGTTTCGGACTGGGCTGTGCTGGGGCATCGGGGACAATCACGTCTTCGAATCGATCTTGGCCGACGGCGCGGAGGGTGAAAGCGACTGTTTTGGGGCATATGTCAGTGGATAGTCGTAGACGGAGACGGAGAAGACGCTAGGAGTCGTGCTGGGTTGGGTTGAAGAAAAGAGGATTTGGCTGCATACAAACACCAATTGCGAAACTGAAGATTGCTACGCCGGTGACCATGTTCTTGAATAGATACGGTCGTCTCGCGCGGTTCAGGGCGGCACCGGTGCGGTAGTCTGGGTTGTAGTATGAGGATCTCTTCAGACTGTGCGGGTTTATTATATTAGTTCGATTTCTAGAAGGAAGGTACATGGGGATAGTATAGATGAGAGAATTCGACTTTGAAGGGCAGGGATGGCGTGGGATGGGTGGTGCGGGAGAGGGAAGCGAACGCAGGGAGATCGGAGAGCGGAAGACTTACATGCCCCTTCGGAGAGGGAGTGTGGAATGCATTGCGACCGGAAAGATTGTAGTGTGATTAGGAGATGAGGACAAAGTATGGAGGAGAGGAGGGATGTATCCCGGGCGTGTGAGCGGTTGATTTCAAAGAAGAGGTCCACGAGTTGTAGATTGATTGAGGTCAATGATTTCTTTGGATTTGGAGATGCAAATGGGAGTAGCATGATCGACTACTGCGGCTTGAGCCATTTGATTCACGGTAGCGTTTGATGGCAGACTTCGGGGGATCATAGATATCTATATTGCATGTTCAGACTCATTCTGACTTATTCTGACTTGATCTGATTTATTCTGACTTATCCAGACGTGTCCTCACCCTGTCGGTTTGCATCCCTCTGTGCGATTTTCTGGAGCGAGAAATTGGAGAAGTGAGGCTCAGACATGAGACTTCCGATATACAAAGAGGAGGATTTAGTCTCCGCAGCCATTCGAAGATAGCATCTTCAAGGTACATTCGCTTGCTAAATATGTTCTGGAAGGCGTCATGTCGACAACTTGATATATGATACAGCTTGAACACGATCGCTCACGAGTAAATCTCCTTCACGATTTCCACATCATCAATTGCTAATCCAGACATACGACGTCAGTCCATGCCGTCTCGACTCTCCAGAAATTGCTGGTAGCGGTGTCTCGTCCAACGTCGAGCCTTCTTACCCCAAACAATCATCGGCAAAGTCGTCATCAGAAACACAAACGCCAGAACACCAATGGCAATGAATGTGTTCTTAATACCGCTCGCCTCGAGCCAATCGGAAGCCGTGAAGGTGAAGATAAGTGCGATGGAGTTGTTGATCGTAGCAACGCCCACCATGCCTTCCAACACCATCTCCGGATACGCGTCCATTAGGTATGCCATGCTCAAATCGCCAGCACAGCCCCAGCCGAAACCGATAAACCCAAGTCCGACATAAGGAGCGGGCCAGGACCAGCCGTAAGCGGTACCAATACCAAAGATCCACAAGCCGACGGGGAAGATGCAAGCGGTGGGAAACAGGAGCCACAATCGATGCTCGGCTTCCATGATACCACCATTTCGCTTGGCCATCCATATCACGAATTTGTCGCTGCCCCAACCACCGTAAAAACAGCCGATGACCGCTCCGATCAAGCAAGGGATGTTCATATTGCCATCTGCAGCGTCACTGTAGTTCCATGGTGGTCCATACCAGGTGTCTTCCATGACAGTCAGATAGAACGTCAACCAGGCATCTTGGGCTCCCCACTGCAGACCCGAGTACCACACAGCAGGAAAACTGAAGACCTTAAGGATATGCCACAGTCGCTGAAAGTATTGCTTGAAGCCGGTTCCCTTTAAGTTTGGTGCTGGCGTGATTATGCGATGGCGCTCCCAGTAAGATTTGGGCCTCTCGTCTGCACCATTGGAGCGTTCCAAGCTGGATGGAGTCTGTTGAGCTTCGCCAGTGACCTTTTCTTTGTCTCCGGCTTTTGTATCATGATCTCCGGATTTCTCACTGTCAGCTCTGTTGACTCCATCAATGAGATATCGCTCGCCACCATTGATCAAGTACTTGGGACGCTGAAAGGCAGTCTCTTCCAGGCCGAACAGGAAGACAAGGAATGTTGCACCGGAGAAGATGGCTCCGAAATAGCCAATCCATCTCCAATCAAGGCTACTGTCGGCAATGTAGCTTGCAATCAAAGGACCCAAGTATGTTCCAATACTGGTGGCCAAAACGTAGATACCTAGGACTGAACCACGCTGATGCTGAAACCACAGGTCCATGAGCGACAATTGAACGGTCGCTTCAGCCACAGATTCAGATGCGCCAACAAATAGTTGGTTCCATACAGCGCTGCTGGTAGTCTGAGCTCTGGCGAACCAGATACCCCCAATCAGACCGAACAACATGCAGATGAGGTACAGAATGCGCCGGCCATACAAGTACACCATGGGAGAGGACAGAAGACACCAATAACCAATTCCGACGAACAAGACTCCGGCGCCAGTATTGAACGAGCCATAGCTGACACCTATTTCGAGGTTCTCGTTATACTGCGCTGCACCTGCATCATTGGAAGTTGCAGCTGTGAGTGCTGTGACAAAACAGACCAAAACACTGTGCCATATTTTGCGCGGCATAGACCAATGAAGAGGGTCATTCGGGGAGTCAGTCGGCTGAGGAACCAGCACTATGTCGCCATGTTTCTTCAAGCCGGTCCCTTCAGTGACGAGCGGATTTCCGTCTGCATCGAAGAGACGAAGGGTGCCGGGAATACTTTCCTCCATCTGACCGTTCTCGTGAGAGTTGAGGCGACGAGTAGGACAACGGGCAGAAGCAGAAGAATTGACTAGGTCAGAAGGGCAGGAAGCAATATATTAGAAGGATAAATGCAAAGGTCTTAGCCATTTTGTCTTGCGTAGCACTCGCACGATAAGGGTGCTACGGCAAGGATTGGGATGCAGCTTTGAGAGTGGACGAGTTTGGGCTCTGTCCATACAAAACCATGGTCAACACCCCGCAGGACGTCGGAAGCGGCCCTGAGTGGACATGAAATCTCGAGCTTATCAGTGGCGAGCGGAAAATAAGCGACAGGATGAATCCGCGTCGAGTGAGGTGCCTTTGCGCCTGCCAGAATAATCTCTGGGACTTGGGGCGATGATGGGCGGCTTGAGGAGACAGCTTTTAACCAGAAGCTAAGGAGATGGTCCCTCGGGAGGCCACCCAAGCATTGGGCAATGATGGGCCCGAATTGCTTAATCAGTGCTCAAAGTCCGGTGGCACGAGAGCTAAAGTACGAGAGCTAAAGTACCATCAGTACCGTTAAACCAACGCCAATCATACTTACCTAGTAGATGCCTAGTACAAGGAATTAGGGCGGATGGACTGATGATCTGGGTGTTGATAAGCCAGATTTGTGATGATCCTTACCACCCACGACCCCCCCACGCATCAAGCTTCCTGCTCCGTCCTAGTTCCCTTCCCATCTCCCATCCGCATCATTCACCCCCTTCCCTTCTTCTTCATCACCACCGACCTCCCTCGCCCTTCTCTCATCGTCTCAGAACCCCAGTCGACCACTTCGACATCCCGTCTGTACGGTCCGTGAGTTATCTTGGCCGCTCGCAACCTTCAAGCCTCAGTCTACCACGTAGGCCCCACTGATCTAGATCCCCTTGTCACTAGCGAATGTCGACTTGTCAGCTCAGAATGGCTCAACATTTCCACATCGCTCATCTTCCTTCCCACAAACCGAAGGAGACATCTAGTCCTTCGACCATCCTGCAACTCGCTAACCGGCTCCTGCCTGCAGCTGCATATGCCGGTCCCAAAGAGTTGGAGGGTGGTCGAAACCCGAAAGAACCTGTGGCCGTTGTGCCTCAGGCTGGTGTTGTGAGTCAAGAGAAATGGGAGGCAAATCTCCCGAACACAAAAAAAGTCATCGTAGTCGGTGCCGGCATTGCTGGCCTTCGTGCTGCATCCGTCTTGCGAACTCATGGTATCCAAGTCGTTGTGCTCGAAGCCCGCCCTGATCGCATCGGCGGACGTATTTATACGAGCAGGAAACCCGGACATGGTCCACGAGACATTGGTAAATATTGCCTCGAGCAATACTGACAATCGCCGTAGGCGTTTGAGATGAAGTCGCTAAGAGCGCTCATTGTTCGGCCACGACCATTGCGGATTGTTTTCCGTCATTGGCTACTTGACTCACATGGTTTTTAGGTGCCGCCTGGATGCACGAAACTGCAAACAACAAACTGGTTCGTCTCATTGGTCAGCTCAACATCGAACATTACTATGACGACGGAACTCCTCTGTATTTTACCAAAGACGGCCGGCTTGGTTCTCAGTTCAAAGCCAAAAAGGTGGCCGACGAATTTGCCGACTATTGTGCCTGGTACTACGAAGAGAATCCCGACGCCGAAGACAAACCTGCCTTGGACTTCATTAAGGAGTGGCTGGAGACGCATCCTTTGGTGACTGACGATGAACGCCTTTGGGCGCCTCAGGCTGCTCGTGAAGTTGAAGCTTGGATTGGGACCAGTCTTGAACAAGCCTCTTCGAAGCATCTCGCTTACTTTGCTACAGAGAGAAATCTGTACATGAAGGGTGGTTATGATACTATCATCACCTGGGCTGCCTCCAATCTTCGTGATCCTGGCACTATCCGCCTTGGTCATAAAGTTACCAAGATCCATTGGACTGACGACGAGAACAAGACCTGCGCGGTTGATGTTACCACAGCCGATGGCAAGTCTTTGACTTTCATTGCTGACGCCGTCATCTGTACGCTTCCTCTAGGTGTGCTCAAACACAACCTGGTCGAGTTCAGTCCTGGTTTTCCAAAAGAGCTTTCGCTCGGTGTTGACAAGCTAGGGTATGGTGCCCTCGGCAAGATCTTTGTCGAGTTCGAGTCTGTCTTCTGGCCGAAAGATAACGATCAATTCATCTACTACCCAGAACCCAATGAAGAAGTCGACGAGAATTCAATCTTTTCATACATGACCGTCACCAGCAACAATTGGATCATGAGTGGTACCAAAGAGCTATCTGTCCAAATCGTCGAACCACTCACACAGCGCATTGAAGCCATGAAATCCAACGAGGAAATCTACGCCTTTTTCGAACCTCTCTTCAAACTCCTCCGTACCGAACCCTACAAGAAGCTTCCCCCAGTTGTGAATCTGGAAACGACGCACTGGACTCAGGATCCTTTTGCCGGGTTTGGTACCTATACCGCCGACAAGACGGGCGACGACCCCGAAATTTGGTTCAACGCAATGGATAGCAATAAAGGAAGCAAGCTGCAATTCGCCGGAGAACACTGCGCGCGGACTGGAAATGGATGTGTGCATGGTGCTTTTGCTACTGGCGAAACGGCAGCCGTCAACTTACTGGCTTCTTTTGGAGTTCCCCACAACGGGGGGGATCTCTACAGTAGAAGGCCGTCGAGGAAGACACCACCCAGACACTAAACGGTTGACATGTGAGGGAGTCCTTATATGTCGTTGAGAATATCTGGGGAGGAGGACTTCCTTGAGTTGGCTGCTAGCTGACCTTGAAGTGCTAGACTGAAACATGTCGGGCACAGATTGTTATCCCTTTCGTTGTCTTTTCTTATTGCGCGAGTATCGTCTGTCTTTCGTTCTTACCACGCTCTCTTATTCTCGCTGAATGTTTGCTGGTTTCATCGCTGCTCTGAGACAATTTCGTTGAGGCATCGAGTCTCCGAGACTGCGTCTTTTGAGGTTTCAATCATGCTTCATAGTCTTTCGTAGCTTGCAATACTATCGTCATTGATCAAATTGCATTGGTTGGGTAATAGTCGGTTCGGAAAGGGTCAGTCACTGGGATACATATCTAGATGCTCCATGTCAGTGATATCCTTGACGTCGCCCAGAGGCATAAAATGGAACTCTGCCCCTTTACATCTCTCCTCGACCATCCTTTCGGCACGGCGAATGTTAGCCTCTGGAAAACCTTCGTCGCGCAGACTGCGGTAATACGCAGCGACCAGGTGCTTCCCGATGTCCTTGATCTCGTACGTCCGGCCTGGGTTGGGGGATTGTCGAATCACCCAGACCAGCGTCAATGGTGGGTCATCTCGTTCGAGGCCTGGCTGGACGTGGGCGCTGAGGATTTTGTTGTCGTGATGACGGCGGAGAACGAGAGCAACGCCGCCAGTGGACGTGTGGATTTTGGAGCGCTCGGCCGCGTAGGCGCGCGATATCGTGTCGTGGCCGTGGTCCGGTGGTTCGGTTTCGAAGAGCGTGAAGGGGACGGTTACACTGGTGATGGTGGTGGAGAGGGAGGGAGCCGGAGCCGCGGTGGAAGCGTAAGCGTCGGCAGCAGCTACGGCCAGAACGAATGTATGGAGGACTTCGGACATGTCTTGGCGTCTGGAGGATGGGCGGATGTAGATGTATTGCAAGTAGGGGACGGCGAAGCCCGAGACAGCGAGACTGAGAACGCTGAACTGTGCGGCACCGATGGCTTGGTCGTTCTTGTCGCGGATGCCGACGATGCGGTAGGGGGCGAGGCCGGTGCGTGTGCCGGCGGCTTGTGCGGCGAGGCGGGCTGTGATCAGGTCGGAACGTTCGCGCTCGGCGCGGCGTGGGAAGCTGGATTTGTAGAGGGCTTCGTAGAGCGTGGTGAAGGCTGTGGAGGAGACGAGTTCGATCAGGCCGATGTTGGGGAGGGCCGTGGCTTGGAGTCGAGCGAGTGCTGTGCGGGCGTGGGAGTCGATGTCGATTGGCACAGGGGAGGATGAGAGGTGGGATTGCAGGGATGGAGAGAGGTAAGGGGTGAATATTGAGGGGGGTTGAGTGGACATGGTGGTTGTGGTGGTGGTGGTTGTTTGGGAGGTCCCAGCCTTTGTCGAAGAAATATGTAGTGTTCTGAAGCCTGATGATGTCCCTTTTACTAGGTGTTTCGCTCTGACTTGGGACTGTCGGCTTCTGGCTCCTAGTGTGGCCGGCTACTTGCAGGAGGGACGGTCCTCTTCAGGTTGGAATAGACAATGACTGCATTGCCTTCAAAGCTGCGACTTTTAAGTCTGCAGCGTGCCCGATCGACATGGTAATCGGAGAGGAGAGGACATAGTACAAGTAGTGTTTTGTACTGGCAAGGCGGTGCTAGGGGTAGATGAATGGTGTCTAGCCATAACAGGAATGTGCTGGCGATGGTTGGCCCACTGGGGAGAGGTGTTTACTGGCAAGCAAGGTGAGGCCTCCTCTCAGTATGTTCGTCATTCTGTGGTGAATTTTGGTTCATGTCTTCAAAGCACATGGCCCTGGAACTAAAGGAACACGCCGTCGAAGTTACATTCTACGTTGGGGACGCAAGTTGGACTACCTCAGGCAGAATGAGAAGAAGCAACAACCCACGTTGGGACACTCGCCTAGCCAGTTACATGCAAGTCTTCCACTAGCACCGTCGTTGGCAAAGGGACTAGACAGCCCTGTGCCGGGACAACGGTCCGATGCTCTTCAACGAGGCTCATGCAGTTTGTGTGACCTCTTATATATCAAGTCACAAACCTTCTCGCTCTCCTTGTCCAAGAACTCGGGTGCTTTCCTGGGCACGGCGCCCTGAGTCTTGTAATTCGGTCCAATTTCAAAGCATTCGCCCGACGTTCCGTTCGTGCCAAGCAGCTTCTCGAATGTTTCGACTACTCCTTCGATCGGAGCCAGGAGACCTTCCTTCTCCGCGTTGTCGTAGAAATCCGAGGTCGAAATATTTGTCCGTATGACATTCGGACAAATGGCATTCATCGTGATCTTCTCCTCTGGGAGGTAATGGCCGTACGAGCGGGTGAGTCCTACTACGCCACTACGTTCAACTTAGCATGAAAAGGTCGATGGCGTCTGCAATAAGAGACCGGACTTACTGCTTCGCAGCTGTGTAAATCGGCACCGTAGGCACCGCGTAAAGGCCGCAGATACTCGCGACGCAACCAACTTAGACTGGGTTAACACCAAGACCTAGACTTCTGGGCAGATAGGTGACTTACTCTTGCCTCGGAACCCATTCTTGCCGGGCTCCTGCTTTCTGAACTGCTGCACTGCCAGAGAAACAGTATAAATCACACCAGTCAAGTCCACGTCAAGCACAGTCAGATCCGGCATCACAAAGCCACTTTGAGAAGGATCATTAATGATCGAGGGACGTTCCCCAACGCCGGCGATCGGGTAGACGTAGTCGATCCGGCCGGAGTCCGCAACTGCCTGGCTGAACGCTTTGGCTTGGGAATTCCAGTTGACGACGTCGACGTGCATGCATTTTGCAACCTGGCCATTCTTGTTCAATTCGTCGACGAGCTTCTGGGCCCCGTCGAGATCTCGGTCGGCGATGAATACTTTGATGCTAGATTCGGGTCAGCAGCACTTGTGCAGCATGCGGATGGCAGTTGTGGTTTACTTGTGCTTGACCAGCATCTGAGCTACGGCCCGACCGATGCCACTGGCGCCGCCGGTCAAATATGCATATTCCTGTGACATTGTGATGGAGTTGGAAGGATTCAATAGAGCAAAGCGACGCTCGGTACTGCAAGAATGGAGCTTGCTGACGAGTTTCTCTTTGATAGCTTACAGGTACCTTGTTTCGAAATGCTGAACTCTTTAACAGCGTCCTACTTACCTCGGGCTTTCATTTGCACAGTTGCGGTTATTCAGCTTGTGAGGGGTCAGCCGTTGGTCCAGTGTACAATTTGGCCGGACCTGGCGCAATGGGTCGTCATTCGGCTCGGTACTGTCTGGGCATCTTGTTGGCCACTCCGCAAAGAAGACATGCAACCGAGTCGTCAAGACACTCCCCGTGGACACTTGTTTGCAATGGGATGAACCATTATGCGGGGTGTCGGTAATGCGGTTGCTCTGATCGTTCCTGTGCGGAGAAATTTGAGGCTGTAGATCCCGTGAAGCCAATAGTGAAGAGCGAGAAATTACGCAGTAACAGGTGCATGCAACTTGCGGGTTGTCTTAGTTGGAAAGGGAGGATGTGGCCAGCGATAACTTGTGACTATCACCGAGAGCGACACTGGCGAGAACATCATAAGAGGTGCCATCCTCATCACACTCATGCGAACTGCAGGGCGAGTACATGCACTTTCGCTCAATACGCGTTTCTGGGAGATGGCCAACGCAGCACGAGGTGACCAGACGGACGCCTCAGGATGGCCCTGATCGTCGTTCCTTGGTGTCTTCTTCTGCGTGCGGGTAGCACAACGGTCGGTATTTCTTGCCACACTGCTGAACTGCGTGACTTCAGGAGTCAGGATCTTGCTAGGCTTTGGCACATTGCGGATGGCGAAGTTGCTGAAAGGATAAGGAACGATTCGGCGGTTGTGGACTTTTGTTTTACATTGTTGACGCGTTTTCCTTCTCAGGCCATCCCGGGCTGCACGAAAATCAATTCTGTCTGACATCGTTTAAACGGGAATTGACTGTAATTCATGCAAATGGCCTCGGCAAAGTCGATGTCTGACAGATGCACTTTTGGCCCGGGCAGCAATCAGCCAAACCACGTTCAAAATGATGGTGCTCGATGTGATCGCTAGTTCGACAAAATACTTCGATTATCGATGGAAGTGTCAAACATCATCAAAAAAGAGCCGTTGTTGAAGCTCAGTAGATTGTCCTATTCAAGGTCCTCCACACTGTCACAGGAATGCTTCCTCTGCAGATCCTCGGCATATCCCATGTGCCATTCTCATCAATTGCGGGCACGGGAAGCAATCCGTCGCTGACGTCGCCGTTCGCTTCCTTTCAAAAGAAACATTACTTGAGGCCTCACGGCCACCGTCTGACTCTTGAAGCCCATCCCAAGGTATGAATTAATACTACGAGTATTTGCTAGGGATCCTTGCTTATCACCGAATCGAACTCCCCCATTCCCACAATCATTCATCATCCCAGATTCGCAATATCACACGATAGCTGTACGGAGTAGGTAGTCGAGGGTAATTGCCTCTCCACCCGCCCGCAGACTCTCCGTGTATTCCCTTTTACAGTATCTCAAAACACTCTCGCACCCGCATACACACAGTCTTGCGTCGAATTGGAACTATGGCCGCGATCCACCGTCCTGCGCATCTGACACACCATGCCGCCAAAGTCGCCTCCGCAGCATGTATCGAGAAAGCCCAAGCCATCGGCGTGCCCATGAACATCGCCATCGTCGACGCCTCGCTCTACCTCCTGCATTTCGAGCGGATGCCCGGCGCTAAGCTGACATCCATCGACATCGCGCAGAACAAAGCCTTCACGGCCGCGGGCCACCGAGCGCCGACCTCAGTGTATAAAGAGACTGTCTGGCCCGGCGGCGCAGCGTTTGGACTGAACAATAGCAACAACGGCAGATTCATGTACGTCGCTGGTGGCATCCCGATCGTGGTGGACGGCGAAGTGGTAGGCGCAATCGGCTGCAGTACAGGAACACCCGCTCAAGACACGAAGGTGGCGCAGGCCGGTGTTGATGCTGTGATGGACTACGTCAAGAAGAACCAAGCGGGGAAGCCAAAGTTATAAAAAGCATACGCAGGAAGGCTTGATATATCGATGCTCGTACCAATATACTGCGTGGGAACACGTTTGATCCTGGACAGTACGCGAGTCACTCTGGTTCCATAACTATATGCATCAGTGGTCAGAAACACTACACGTTCGTTATGCCGTTGCTAGCCGAGCCATAGCATCACGGTCATGGATCGAAGGTCGCACATCTTCAGACACAGTGCAAGCTCTCAGAATGTGCAGGTGTCGAGCTACTTATGCTGATAATAGGAAGTCGTTGCTAGGAAATCCGCCTCCGGTTCAGGTTCCATTGCTTACTTGCACTCGCTGAGAATCTTCGTAAAGCGAATAGATTTCACCTCCACTCGACGCAGAGCTTGATACCCTTAGTTGGCTTTCCTCGGCCACGCTCGCACGTACATATCTGTCTGGATGACCACCGAGTTTGAGCGGACTTTTACTGGATTAAATGGATTGACGAGAGTAAAGTCGTAGCGGCGAAGAAGCTAGAATACAGCATATTGCATCAGTTATCACGACATAATAGCTTGGGGTTCCGACTGGACTCACCTCAAAAATGGCCTTTCTCAGTTCCATCAGAGCAATTCTTTTCCCCAAGCAGCTTGAGCGGCCTGCGCCAAAAACCAACTCGTTGATCCTTTCGTAGCCTTTGATGGTCTCTGGGTCGTTGTCAATCCATCTTTCCGGCCTGAAAGTGTCCGCGTCTGGTCCGTAAAAGTCGCGACGGTGGCCCATCGCATACGTAGCTATGCCAACTTCTGTGCCGGGAGGGATAAACACCCCATTCACAGTAGCCCCATCGGGGGACGGCGACACTCGGCCAGCGAGGCCTTGTAGGGGCATGAACATGCGCAACCCCTCTTGGATGCATGCTTCGAGGTACCGAAGGTTCTGGGCCTCGCTGTTCTTGATCACGGGATATGAGACATCGCCTGACTCAACAGCCGCCGCAATCTCCTCTCTGAGTCTGACGTACGCCGAGGGACTTGTCAGGATGAACAAGAACGTTGTGCGCAGGGCGGTCGCCGTCGAATCTGCGCCAGCGAGAATCTGCAACAGTGTCTCGACCTCACATTCCTGCTGCGTCAGGCCATGATTGACAAACGAACCCAACATGTCCTGCACCTTCTTTGGATCAGGACCAAACCGTTCAGCTACCGCCTTATGAGCAACTCCCACAATCGCCCCGAATCCGATCTTGTCTGTTGGTTTGGGTGCGGCACCCTGCATTATCCTGCTGCGAAGAATCGAGAGAATCATTGGGTGATTGGAACTGAGCTCCATGATGGGGTAGAACTGACTCGACGATTTGTGATAGTCATAGAGGTCCTCGTTCTTGATCAAAAAGCCTAGGGCCTGGCCAAATGCGATCTGCGTCAGTATGTCAAGGGTGAAATACCCTGCCAATACTGCAAAATCCATGGCTTCATTCTTATCCACATAAGCGCGTTGAATCAGATCCAATAACTCAACCACTCGAGCATCTATATCCCGCTCGAGAGTAGGGACCTCATTGCCAGTGTACTGTTCTCCAACATCAGCATTTACGGGATGTGCAAAAGAATCGGTGCATGAGGCCTGACGTACTCCTGGCATCAATTTTGCCCTCAGTTCGGCGTGAGCCTTCTCGTCGCTCATCGATAGCACATTATCCTTGCGGGTGTCAAACTTCATGCCTTTAAACCACCGTCCTCTCATGAATGGCGACCTTGGGGCAGCCATCTGTCTTTGAATAACTGGATCATCCGTCGCGATATAATCTGGACCGATTCGAACCGGAGAGCCTAGGTCGATTTATTACCGTGAGACTGCTTGGTGGACTGAGTGATAACCAGAGCTATCAATAGACCACATACCATATTTCTTGAGGGCATCTTCGACAGCCAAGTACAGAGTGCCACGGCAAGTATAGTAGAACATCCATAGCGGAGAGATCGAAGCTAGCCAGGGTCCTCTGATATGCCGTAGCTTTCGGTATGACAGAAATACGCTGAGTACCCAGTAAGCAAGGCTCAGGGAAGCAAGTCCACCCACGACAGTGATCCAACTGAGGCTCAGGCGCTCTGTAAAGCCCAGGCTAGTCATGTCGAAAGTGTGGACAATAAGAAAACCGAAGAAGGTGTGACCGTCAGCGCTTCGAAGAACAACGGCAAGAGGGACGCAAAGCAATCAACACGACGATGGAACCATTCATGCCTATCTGGAGCTCGAGTGAAAGAGGATGCAGCAGGACATCAACCGAGTGAAGCTTCGTACTGGCGACTGTCACTCAACACTGCAGATGCATATGCGGGCAACTGCGGGCTAGATACACATGGGCCATCGCCACGCAGTCGAGTCTGCACTAGCTGGACGATGCCTCAATAGGACTCTGGACTTTTGAAAGCGGAGGAAGAGACGCAGAATCGGATAAAATGCATTTATTGCCCGGCCTTCAGTCTCTCCCGCCTAGAAAGCCGCCCGATTGGTAGACGATACCACCCCCATGCACACCACGGCGCCGGCCTAGTGAGCCCTGGTCTTATCGTACTTGTACGGAGTATCTCAATCTTGTTGGTGTGAGGTCCTTGCCCATGTCCAACAACCACTCCAAATCGCCCACTTGCCAGCAAATCGAGGCGCCATGCGTAAACTGGTAAAGCCCCAGTGGTCACTGGTCGGCCATGTAATCCTTGAGACTCGCAGTGATTGGATTGTACTATGTTGTTCCAAGCCCACACCTCGCGAAGCATGCAATGGAAAATCCTTACTGAAACTGGATGGACCACGGATGGTTCCCGTGAAAGCCGTACTGTAGGTCACCGAAATCAGAGCCCAGCTCGCCTACGTATCCACGTCCACTTCCCAGTCCAGGCATAGGCATGTCTGCGCGAGACCGAATCGAGAAATGGGTGCATACAGCATTCCGTATGGCCTTAAGCATGGCTGTCCTTTGACCAGTGAAGCGCGATATTGGCGATGGCTGACAGACTACATCGTGCTCTTTCGTCTTCCCTTCTGCAATGACCGGGTACAATAGGATTCTAATGAAGGCCGTCCAAATTCTGGCCTTTTGTCCTGAACCCGAAGATGGCAGAGCCCCTCGCTGTGGGCGAGACTGGGAATATTGAAGCTCGCGAAGAGTCTTCGGTAAGCTGAGAATCGTCGATGCGTGCCTGAGCCCAGGACTCTACACTGACCTCTGGATGAACTCAAGTCGTTAAGCGACAACGACTCAGCATATTATGATGACGATACGTACGTTGCACAAACAATATCCCTTCACAGACCTCATTGTACATCTGGCTGAAATGGTGCCAAAGCGAGGCCTCAACCAGGTCCGTCACATCGAGCATTTACGACTACGAAACCTCTCACGGGAGGACATACCATGCGGTAAGATCACCATGAGCTGAAATCACCATATGCGATTGATTGACGTGTGTCCTTCCTTACAGTACCATGCCGGGAGTATGCCAACCCTTAATAAGCATCTTTGATTTTTGAACCAGATGATGGGCGGTGCTAATGTTTATTGAATGCAAAGAGTATATACTTCCCAACGACGAGGTGTGTGGACATCGCTCCAGGCCCTTGAGCACCAGAAGCGCTGATTGCTGACACATTGTTGCCGCACAGGATGAACAAGAGAGGTGCGGGATACCTCGCTCGGCTGGCAAACCCTCCGAAGTGCTTGCGCTTACGCTTCAAGCCTGTTCTCAGGTGCGACATCATGTACCACGCCGTAAGGCTTTCTGTGGGCAATAAGTTGTTCTTTGCCCCTCTGGTCACGGAACCAACTTGTGTCCTCGACATTGGGACAGGGACGGGTAAGTTTGACCTCTTCCAGCCTTGCTTGGATCCGCTCGCTGATGAGCAGGGTTGTGGGCCATTGAACTGGGTTAGTCCTTCTTTCCGGACGGGTTTAAGATGTCACGTTTCAGACGCTAAACATTGTCTCAGCGGACGCATATCCAGGCGCACAAGGTAAGAAATACGGCCAAGTGTGGCATCCTCCTACCTCACTCAATGCCTTGGAGTTTTGGCTAAGGATTCACATCAGTGATCGGCACAGATCTGAGTCCAATCCAACCAAGTTATGTGCCGCCCAATCTGCAGGTACGTATGCAGCACATGCTTGAGCAAGAGAAAGTGAGAGATGTTGATGATCCAGCTACATTCAGTTTGAAATCGCCGACGCCGACGAGGAGTGGACGTTTCGCCAAAGATTCGACCTCGTCCACTCACGCGTGATGAATGACACCTCTTTGAAAGACTGTAGGCCCTGCCATTCCTACCAAATGCAAGCCTTGTACTGTTGTCTCCTCCCATCGTCCTACGTCTCGACTCGAACACTACTAATCCGATACCTCTATTACCATAGGGCCTCATTTCTACCGAGAAGCGTATAAGTACTTCAACTCCCCCCTCTCTCATTGCCCGCTGGAGACTGACCAGCGCCGCGTACGATTTATTAGAGTACTCCAGCCCGGTGGCTGGGTCGAATCGCAAGAATTCAGCTACAAGCGGTACTCGGACGACGGGAGCCTGCCCGCCGACTCCCGCCTTACCTACTGGGAGGACTTGTGGACCGAAGGGATCAACAAGATGGGCCACACGGGCCACTGCGACCCCGAACTGGTGATGCAGCAAATGCGTGACGCTGGCTTTGTCAACGTCACAAGGCTGAACTTCAAGATGCCCATTGGGCCATGGCCTAAAGACAAGAGACTCCGCGAGGCAGGCTTGTTCGGCTACGCCAACTTGATGAACGGTCTTTTTGGCCTTAGTATCAAAGTCTTCTCGCAGCTGCTGGGTTGGCAGGTCGAGGAACTCGAGGTCTTGCTGGCAGAGTGTCGGCAAGAGTTACGAAGGAGGGACATCCACGGGTATTGGCCCATGTAAGTCTATTCCCTCTACTGGTATTCACCTTGCAGCATTACTTGGCATGTCACAAGGTGCACACTCAGCGTCAGTGTCTTCGTCCCTGTTGATGCACACGAAAAGATGCATCCGTACAGATCCTGACGCCGTCTTATCCCAGCTACATCATGTTTGGTCAGAAGCCCCCAGACCCCGGCGGTCCCGGTGATTGAACTGTGGTTGCGTTCTGCTATCCCGAACTGTTATCGAGTCTGTCAGCGAAATCCCAGTCAACTCGCATATGCTGGCTGAAATCTCGACATACGATATAGCAATCTCGACAAATGATTTAGTCCAACCCCCGCAAAACCGAGCGGGAATGCGTCAGAAGCCCATTTTCATCTGCGGTAAGTGATAGGGCAATTTTACGAGCTCGTTGGAAGGAGGGATTAATAACCTAAGAATAGAATGAGCAGGGGATATTGGAGACCCTCGTTAAGGGCATTCTTTGACGCTGGGTTTCAGTTTTGATCCACATGACTGTCGCTATCATGCGCATCTATCGGCTTGGGTTGAATCCGGTCGGTCTCTGAGGGAATGACAAGGGGATGAAGTAGAGGAATGATGCGGGTAAAAGTTGCAAATGAGTCTCTCCATTTGTTTACTTTCTTACTTTCATTTTACCAGAGCAGGCGAAGCAAAGTAATGTCACCTGGTCATGATCGCCGACTGCGCGTTTGGTATGTAACATGAGAAATGTGACTGGCCGTAGTAGTATCAGTTGTGCTTCTGTCAGGAGTTGAGTTCGGCTGCAAGAGTGGCCGCTTATGGACATCAGACGAAGCTGGCTAGAATACTTGTACAAGTACCAGAACGAATCTGATGGCACTGGCCTTGGACGGGGGCTTGGCATGTTTGACGCTGTTTTTGTTTACCTGCACATGCCCTAGGTCTCTTTGCAAATCAATGGCCATGGCAGACTCCGACTTCGAAAGCGACAAAAAATATCAACCGTGCCTTCCAGATCTCTTCGACATCGTGCCCAGAGTCTTCAGGTCTAGTAGCGTTACGACGCAGCATTTAACACGGTCATGACTACGCGAGCTTCCGCTTCACCTTCACCTCCGCCCGACACCCCAGTCGCGTCTGCACCGGGACCTCGGGCTACGGCTCTGCAGAAGGTATTTGCAGGCGCGTTGTCCTCCTCGATCAAAGCCAATTCCTATGCGAACTTCAGCTCATGCTTCTCTACCCCTGCGAAATACTGTCCCACGGCATTAGAGGGTGTATGGAAACAATTGAATACACGGCTCGAAGAGGAGTGCACACGCGACTTTGAGAAGATCCTGCAAGAACGACATGTCGTAGAGGGGCTGAATCAATGGGACACTATGATTGACGAAGCGAGAAGGAGGAAGAACCGTGCTGTAGAAGGCGAAATGCCTGCCAGACCGTGAGTTCGAATGGCCGCTTAGGGTCACCAAAGCTGACTAGAACAGTCTGCACACACTCTCGGCGGAAGAGCTGTACGATGCGCGCCTCACACCATACCTCCGACAAGCCCAGGTGGACATGAGCTCGAAGCTGCAGTCGACCCAACAAGACAATGCTGCTACTATGGCCAGAATCCAAGATCAACGCGCCGAGATTGAACGACTATTGAGCGGCTTGGAATGGATGGTCAAGGATATCGAAGGCAGTGTTGAAGCCATGTACACAAATGAGCAAAGTGGCTTCGATGAATTGAAAAGTGACGTGTGGCAAATGGAGCAAGAGGTGGCTGCTACAAGATAGTGCTGGTATTGAAATGGGTGTAACGAGGTTATGACTTGATTTTAGCATAGGTGTTGGTGGACTTTGGTTCTTTTGAGTATGGCACAATTTGGCTTGCAGGAATGACATGCTTGAAGCCATCCCGTGTCGTGGTTGCCATCCCTAAAGGCATCACGTCCAATAACAGCGTCTCACAGAAAGAGACCAGTTCGCCCATGATAGGCTTTCGAGAGTTGCATGACATTCGGTAGTCGTCCAGAAATAGAGAGCATGCCGTTCAGACTCCAGAGAGGTGGTCGACGAGCTTTCCACATCGCATAGGCTAAGTCTACCGCTCTGTTCGATCCGATGTTCAGCTGATGACAGACTCATCCGTCTGTCGGTTACTGGGAAGGCTGACCAATCACAGTTTGACTCATTGCCAAGGCGACCTCTTCTCTCACAGCTTGATCAATTTCACACTCCTCCATCATTCCAGCATCCGAAATCTGAAAAGGTCATCATCAGATTAGCTACACCCAAGAGAAGGTGCAGAAGGTCGTTGTGATCCATCGATCCACATCCTCGTGCGACCACAGGTACCGACCACCACCGTCCCGGTTGATCGATTGGCTCCAGAAAAGGTCAGTTAATCAGCAAGAAGAGAAGCTCTTTTTCCGGCTTCAGTTCCCACTGCTATTTCATCTGCGACTCTCTGCCAACGCCTCGAGTTGAAGAGTGCCGATGTGCGGTTGAGCGGGACACCGAACTTCAACTCCACGCGACTAATTGTTGGCTTACGGCTGGAGATTGATTATGGCCCGAGCAAACGCGGCAAATTCGATTTCCACCACATACAATTAAGGTTTGATAACGAGATTGCGAGGCCGCCACCAACAACCACAACATCAACATTATTCCCATCCTGGTAACCTCGCATCCTCACCTCCCGACAACCGATGCTTCGGCCTTCTCGCGACCCTCGCTTCTGCTATCAAGATCTTTCCAATCGCTTCTAATTGCCGTGTCACTGGGATCTTCTTTCGGCAGACTCCTCCGACAAACCTTGTATCGTGCCCATAACCAACTTCCCAGTGTTCCACGAACTTGACGCGCCAAAAATCTTTCCCCGGCTCATCGCTCGGAGCTAGGTCACTTTCGTGGGTTGCGCAATGTCGAGACGCGCTCAAGGCAAAAAAAAAAAGAATGTGGTGGTCTCTGAAACACTCGAGGCTCTGCCTGTCCAGCTCTACTCTGCTGTTGCAAGCAGAGAACGGTTACCATTATTTCATCACTGTCGTGTTTGCTGCTATTTGTTTACTTCCTCTTACCCCATCCTGCATGCATATACATATAAACAATTTCGGAATCTCCACAAACTCTGACATCTGCCCCTCCACCATTGGCTTCCTTGAGGAGTGTTTCGCCTTGAGCCCCTCCTGCTCACTACTATCCTTCAGCTGTGTCGTGCCACCAAGAGCAGCCTTGCCTGGTTCAGGTCGATTACAAGGGCTACCCCGACCAAAACTCGGGCTAGGGTTTTCAATCGCGTCAGAGGTCAAGAAGGTCAAGAGTCCATCCCGCACGTTTATTCATCTTGTCTCTCGACTCATACTCGAAGGTGGTTGAACTTCTCCTTCCTCAATACCCGCACGCTGAATATCACTGAGTCATCTGACTGAATGTCAACGTTCGGTCGTGAGTGTTCAGGGCTCTGGCAAACGTTCTCGCATTTGGAGTAAATTTCCATACCCTCTGTCAGGTCGACGTCATTCCTCCGCACCCACCGCCTGTTGTTGCACGGACCCATGGAGAGGCGTGTAAAGGTATGGACGACTGGCTCGCTTGCAGGCCTTTTCACCATCGCGAGTACCGTTTGGAACGTCGTCTTCGCCTCGAGCATCCACGATGTACGAGTCCTGGCGGCCCTACGAGTTCTTCTCTTCGTCGCTTCCGCCCTCAGCCTGATCGATGTGGCGGCTATTGTATACTTCTCGACCCTGCACGTCAAGAGCCTGAACAGCTATTCGCTGGGCGGGAAGAAAAGAGCATGGGGGATTTTCACATCGGGAACATTTGCGGCGGCAATCAGCATATGTGTCGCTGGTGTGACGTTGGTGTGGTTGGTTATCAAACGTAGCCAACTCCCCACCACGGTGCTGAGTACAGCGCCCACGGTGCTACTCGGGGTGTGGTTTGCATCATGGGGTGCTTCTGCTGCGTCGCAGATAGTTCTGTATTGCCTCTTAGGTGTATGGACGAAGGAGGTCTTGAAGACGCAGAGGGCCAGCAGACTAGACCTCGACTTCGGTATCAGAGTACCATCGATTATCATGGTCGGCAGACCAAGTACTCAGCATACGAACCGGTCTTTCGGTTCTCAGGATGCCACCCTCCGCTCTCCACCAAGGACTCCTGTCTCCCGGGGAGGCTCGATTACACGATCGTCGTCAACCAGAGTTGGTCCAGGCTCGTCAAGAACGAAACTCATCCCACATTCAAATCGCTCGTCGTTCGAGCCGGTGCCCTTCCCCGTCGGAGAAGCAATCACGGTCGACAGTGCATTCGACAACTGGGACACATCATCTGTCCATCACGAGATGCGTGCTGTCCTAGGTTCATCTCCCCCCGTCACTCGATCAGGCTTGGAGACGATACCAGGAAGTCGACCAGAGTCCCCAGCAGATGCGTTTGATGGCCCCTTTCCCCCACAGTCTCCTATCTCTAGCTCGCCGCCTCATGCGGCAACCTCAGACTCGGCCACTGTAGTGGGTTGGAGTTCATCACCACGACAGCTACCATCTTCACCACCTTCCAGTCCACCCAATTTCTCTCGACCTACTTCTTCCGGGCGTGATAAACCCCCGCCACCGAAATTCGAACCATTCGACACTTCTATGCATGAATTAATACATCCGCTATTCCGCCCAAACAGTCCTCACCCTCCTCCTATTGCCAGAGCGGGAACGATGGTGACTGCCTCACCACTGGCAGATCACCTAATCACTCCACGGACATTGGCTCGACTGCGCAGCAACACAGAGCCGTCAAGAGGTCACTGGAAAGCAATGCCGAGCATCGATCAATCCGAGACGCAAAGCGTGGGCACTTCGGTCCCCGGCAGTCCGACGCTCGGCAGTCCTGGGCCATCGATTGTGGACGAGGCTGAATTGCCTCCCATCTTGCCTGGATTTGTGCTCTCAGCAGGATCGCGGAGCAGCTTAGTAGGTTATGGGAAACGAAAAAGTGTCAAGAAGGAACGACGCAAGTCACAATTATCAATTGGAAGTCGCTTGAGTCAACTCATGGGATGAGACCGGGGTTTAAGTAGTATTTCTGTCGCGGCTACTGGTACCGTGTTTATTGTATTGTTTATGTGTTTTGCATAGGGTGGTAATGCTCTACATTTAGCAAGGAGTTGGCGGCACTTTGCGGAGGGTTATGCTGCGAAGAGCGAGTCAGCCGGGATACCACAGGCAAAAGATCAGAGAATAGAAATAATTTCTGTCCCTTTGACATTTCGATGGTGTTTTTGAAATGTGAATATCCAACTTGCCTCGGGTAATACTTGATTTGTGATTGGTTCGATGACGAAATCCGGGCCTTACCGCAGCTAACTTCTTTGGGACTAGAGGCAGTGAAAAAGCGGCAAGAGGCGGCGGTGCAAGGGCCGGGCTGGTCACTTCCAGAGATCCAAGCAAAATGCTTCACTTCCCGAAAAAGGTCAGCAGTAGGTATTCAGCACCTGGAAACCGCATCACACAACCTCACCCTTTGTTTTTCCCATTCACTCCCCATATCTCTTCAAAGATGGATTTCTGCCACACCACCCAGCCTCCAGAGCTGAATGGCATCAATAGACCTTATTCAGGCTATTGTTCTGCCAGGTTTGCTTCGGCTCCAGATAGCACTCCCCCCAAATGCTTGCAGCTCTTCCCTCACGCCTCACGAACACATCCTCACACCTGGATACCTCGCAAAGCTGCTCCTCTTTGGCTGCAATACCTTTCTCACATACTGCGCCAACCTGTGAAGCAATCGTCGAAATCGCGGGCATCGCCTTGTGCGGTTCTACGCATTCATCCTTCCTCTCATTTGTCAACCACTGTTGAACCGATTTTCTACGCTTCCGGTACCAAGAGAAAAGTCTCTTCTTACCGGGTTGCAAAAGTATCTCACCATCCTGACTCACGAAGGTAAGTTTGTTCCACCCGTCAATGCTTCGGAACTATCTCTACCCATGTATCATCATGCTCACTCAGCGCCCGGCTTTTGGGCCATCCACAATCAGCCGTGGTGTTAGGCATTCCCCAGTAGTGATCACATCACCAGTTCATTCTGCATACAAGACGTCTCGAGATTCTCTTGGGAAAATGTCCACTAATCTTATCCCTAGCATAATGTCTCGCCGACGATCACCTCGAGAGCCGTCAACCGTCTTCCATATGAAGACTCGAAGTCGTGCCCGGAAAGGGAGGCCGGGATCAAGCGATCCTTCTGGGGACATCTCATCCACAAGCTCCTTGTCCTCACCACCATCATCACCAACACCGCCAACGCCGCCAAGAAACCAAAAGCGGAAATTGTCTGAGACTGACTCAGACGGACCCGAAAATCTCCCCATTGCCAAACGGCTCTCACCCGACTCCAGAAGTGATAATGCGAAGCAGACGACCGATACCGTTGAGGTTGAGACGACCACGCTAGCTGGCTCGGAAGGTATCGTTGCAAACCCGATCCCTTGCAACAATGATGTCACCACGAGAAAACGTCCAGCATCAAACAGCGAAGATTCAGAAACTCGGTCTCCCAGGAGGTCCGCAAAGGGTGCTACTCGTGCCCGTAGAGGTGGCCAAGGGAATGGGGCCAACAGTCGGAAAGGAAAGCTAAAGGGAAAGAGAGGAAGGGGTGGCGATAGTCCCGAGCCACCGAATCGGAAGCGCCCGTTGACCCAGGATGAACGGGTTGAAATATCGATGCTCAAAGCACGACAACACGAATTGAAAAGATTCTTCTCTATTGTTGGAGCTCAACAAGTGGACATCCTCGAACAGCTGGCTTCTCGAGACCTTTCCAAACTGGCGCGAAAACCAAAAGCACATCAAAAAGTGCCTGAATACGACACCATCGTCGAGAGCCTTGATACAACCATGCAAGACATACAGGATATGATCAGAACACGGCATAGAGTGCAGCTTGAGCATGAAATGCAGCGAATGGAACAGGAGAAGGAAGTCATCGAGCAACAATTCAAGGTAAGATCGACATTCCTTCCTCCGTTACTGACTTGACTGACCAGGTGCAGACGCACGCTTTAGAAGCACGCAATGAACATCTCACAGGTGCTGAAGGAGATATCATTCTCTTCGAACGCGCTTATCGTGAAGCTCACGACGAGACCCATACCGAGACCGGTTCTGATCTTGATGGCTATCCCCAATACCACGAACTCCCGGAGCCTGACACTCAACCTCGGGGCTACGTTTCTCGAAAGATCATGGACGAGAAACCTTTCAAGCTGCAACTTTCAACGTATGACGAACAGGCCCGACAAGAAGTTCTCAACGAAGATTTCATTGCTCCTTTGCTTAGGGAGATGGAGCAACGAGATAGGGAATACCACGAGGAACAAGAGCGGAGGAAATCGCACAACCTCAGTGCTCTTACCAGCGAAGCCGTCAGAGAGCTCGAGACCATCAGAGAAAACGAGAGACCTCCACAGGTTGACGGTATGAATGATACTGCCGGCTCATACGCCTTGTCCACGCTTGCCGACGTATCGGACTGGATGTCACAATCACGTCCACAACACCGACTCAGCTATACGACTTCAGCCCCTGTCTCAGCACCCAGCGACCAGTTCCCAAGACGATATTCACCTCGCTTCGGTCCATTACAAGCTTTCAGTGGCCCAGTAACGAGAGAAGTAACGAGACATCCTTCGTTCCAGCATGTTCTGAGCGTAGACACCACAAGTGCTCCACCTGTTCAGACCCCATCATCAGCAACGGAGACAACTGACAGAAATTCATCCCATGTTGTCTCCAGTGGACCTGGCCAACCCCTCGCGCCGGCACCACCTAAGTCTGGTCCACGTTTCCAAGTGTTCCGTCACAGTAACGGACGTCCCGGGTTTGCAAGCCCTTCACCATTGGCGGGAGGTGGGCCTCAACAATTCATCTTCCAACCTCCACAACAACCTTTGCAATATCAACCAGCTCCTGGAAGAACGCCGCCTCCACAGTATGGTCCTGGTGGAACAGGTTCTCGTGTCGATCGAGGAGGAAAATCTTCAATGACATTCGTGAATCAAACGATTGCTAGTCGGGATGCAGCAGCTGGGAATCCCAATCCAAAGGGTGGACAGAGGATCTTGCTACCCAAGATGTGAAAATGGGGTCCAAATCAGCAGCAGGAATGAGATCGCATGTATATATGAGCATAGAGCAAGGCAAGCAATGTACCTCATGCGAGAACGACAGTGCCTAGTCCTCAAGTCTTGATATCGTGCCTCCGCCGTACGTTGCTCGCAATGACATCCAGATAGCTCGCACGACTCGCCTCCAGGGGCTCACTAGGCTAAGGCCTGACATCCGACACTACCGGTACCATTCTGTCAACCGGCCTGGGATGTTCTTACCTAAGTTAGGTACATTGAAGTATAGTATTTGGGAGTTACACTGTAGTAACCTAAGGTATGTACAGCGAATCCCGGTCGCACCCTGTTGGTATAACATGGTGGTGGAATTGCTATGGAGATAGCTACCCAGATTGGATTTTACTCTCTTCTACTTCGTATATACACGTCCACGTCCACGTCCATGGCATTTGATTACATTTTAGTTAGCGTTAGCGTTAGCAGCACTGCTTGCTCTGCTATCGGCCCTCTCCTTTTTGTCTCTTACAGATTTTGCGAGAAGACGCCTCCAAGATTCCCACACTTGCACTCACATGCGCTCCTTTTCTTTTTGCCAGACACACGTCCAATTCCTATACTTATACGCGCTCCTTTTCTTTTTCCTTTTCCAGACGAATACATTCAACCACGGCAGGCAAAACCTCCTCGGCCGGCAGACTGGCTCGCACAACGGCCCTTCGCAAGGCGGACAGTCGTCCACCATCATCATCATTGTAGCCGCCACCTTGATGGTGGTGATAATCTCCAAAGAAGGCCTCTTCCTTTCTCACACCGCCCATGTTCAAAATCCCAATGCCCATACCCCGTTCATGCGCACGCTTCACAAGCCGCCACGCCGAATACGTCGCGAGCGAACTGCCAACCACCAGAATCCTGGAGGCCGCGTCAATGGCCGCCTCGGCCGCAGCTTTCACGGGAGCAGGAATACTCTCGCCAAACATGATGACATTCGGCTTCAACACGCCTATACCGTGGGCGTTATTCGTGCTGGTGCTGGTGCGGTTCGACGAAGAAGGGATCCACGCGCCATCCTTGTCGACGTCCACGTGCCCTTTCGATCCGTCGCTCAGAATCGGTGGCCGTCTCAAACAGCTCGGGCACGCCGGGTATCTGAACGTCGTATACGGCGCATCAGGCACGTCCGCGTCGCCGTCCGGGTTCGTCCTGAACCCCTTCTTGCGCCGCTCCACGGGGTCTTCGGTGTCGAGCGCGCCTGACGCGAGCAAATCTTGCAGGAACGCGGCCCAGGCAGGGTTCAGCTCGGCCAGGCGGGCTTGGAAAGTATCTCTGTCCATCAACGTCTTGCAGCTCAGACAGATCAAACTCCGCAGAAAGCCGTGCAGCTCGACGGTATGTGGTAACTTTGGGTGCGCGAGCGGGTGGAACGAGTCGACGTTTTGTGTTATGACGGTGTCGACGCACCCCAGGCGTCCGAGGTCGCGGATCGCGTAGTGTGTGTCGTTGGGTTGAGAGCGGTGTAGACCGCGCCAGCCGAGGAATGACCTAGCCCAGTAGCGTTTGCGAGATTCGTGGGAGGCGACGAATTCGTGGTAGTATATGGGGCGGTAGGATTTGTTTTGGGTGTATGTGCCGTTGGGGCCCCGGTAGTCGGCGAGGCCGGAGGCGACGCTGATGCCTGCGCCGGTTAGGAGGACGGTTTTGTTAGTCTTCTTCTCTTCTCGTATGCCATGGTCATGGTCGTGGTCGTGGCGGAGGACAGGGGGAGAAGGAGTAGGAGTAGGAGTATTCCTATCGGGGTGTAGGAAACGAGTGAGCGAAGTGATGGCTCCTTGTCGAGTGGCTGCGGACGCTGGGATGATCAGTGGTGGCGGGAGAGGCTGCGTATAGGGGATACGCATAAGCGGTTTGGACATGTGCCCTGCATGGCTCTCGCGTCGAGGAGTGAGCGAGGGGAGAAATGTAGGAGGGGAGGGGAGGCGAGTGTTGTAGAAAAGCCGGACTCTACGTGGTAATCAAATCTTTCCTATTCACGAAAAGAAATGGAATTCAAAGGGACATCGATGTCATAGATAATTTGACAGCCGAAGAAATGCCGTGAGCAAGGCTGCAAAGCTGAACAGACAAGGCTGCGCGTATACTCCTCAGGTGATCTAGAGGTACAGATGTACACTCTGTACGGAGGGTACACATGATATACGCAGTATTGGACTGCAAGTTTACTCGCAACAGCCGACTCGAATCATATGGGGCTCCATCCTGATCATTTGCGCTTCACGGGGATGGCGGCGGACAACTTGAATGTTGGCATATCAAGTCAACACCAACAACAATACCTCGGCAATCCGAAGTTGATTCGTTGCTCTGTACAAGATTAAAAGGAAAACACATAGCACTTCTCCAAGTATACTTGGATTACTAATTAGGGGCCCTGAGAATTCGACCAGCCTTTACCAGGTACCTTGACTGCTGTAGAGTTGTGATGCGCCTGAGGCTTAGCCTAACCCGGGTTCGTGATCCCTCGGCACGGCGTTTTCGATACGAGAAAGATTCAGCCGCGGCTGGACTGGACTCGTGAACACAGGTGACAGTTCGTCCCAGAAAGGCAATTCAGCTGAGCTTGGAGGAAATTTGTTTGCAAGCCACGGCAAGCTTAACTCAGGAATACGAAGTAGCGAACATGGTGTAGCCTATCAACGAGTTTTCTGGTAGTCAGAGAAGGAGGTCGCGACATTGAAATTGTCCCAACCGCATTAGGATATGACAGCAACGACTACTAATAGGCCAAGATACCTTAGTTATCCAGCTGGACTCGTGCAGTGACAGTCTAGCTCCAGGTCGCCACCTATGTGAAGGTACTACTTGCGGAGTTCTATACCCTAGGTATTGGCTATATAACATGGCTTCCGCTCGAAACTACTAGTATCCTCTCAGGTGCTTCTCTTACTTGTCCCAAGGCATATCCCAGTGCCAACTTGACTGTACGTACGACATTCCTAAACTCTTGTAAACAAGACGTTCAAGCCTCCAAGAGAATAGAAAAATGGAAGAGCCTTCACTACCGCCACCAATCCGCCTCGTGTGCGTCGGCGCACACCGCACCCTAGCACTGCAACTCCTGGAACAGCTCAAGCCGCATTACACTTACTGCGCCATCCTGACCACGGTCGAGCCGACACGGACATATTCACCAGGGAATTTGAATTTGGTACTCGACGCACTGCACCCGGCTCCGGCGGGTGTCATTGTGGGAGGAGCGTTTAGCGACGAAGAAGGCGAGGAAATCGCCAAACTTGTAGCGACAAAGAAGACCGAGAGCGGAGCGCCGATGGAATTCATCAAGGTCCCCACTGGTACAATAGAGGGAGAGGGGCCTGCGGGTCTGCTAAGGAAAGTCAAGGAGTTATTGTACGAGAAATTTGGTCGCCAGTGCTGACAGCGGATGCTCGCATGATGTAGCCTCATATATTGCCAGAAATGGTAAGATGACGGAAGCAAAGGCTGCGATGAGGAGGCCTCGTCCAGGAAACACCTTCACTGTCATGCTTTTCTCGACCATCACCTTGTCCAACTTTATTCTCGTTATCACCTGAGGTTTTCAGGCTCGTTACGCCCACTTCCCAAGCACACTCATCACAACGAAACCCGCCACCAAACTGGCCAGACCCAGGCATATCTTTCCAAAGCCTGCATTCTCTGCCGTCATATCCCCACCGTCAATGATCCAGTCCCTCGCCCACATGTCTACAACACCAACCCAGACCAGAATGCCGGCAGAAACCGCATCCAATGTGCCAATGGTGATGATCGTAGACTGGTCGTTGCCATTCCATTGGTTCAAGACACCCACTCCAATGGCCATGCCGAGCGGCGTGATCAGGGCAAAAGCCAGGGCCATGGGGAATTTGGTACGCCAGAACGAAGCGGTCTCTTTCGGAAGCAATGCGATTCGCGCGCCAAGAGCAAGACCTTCGAAGAATTGATGAAATACAATGACGACGAGCAACGTCTTGTAAAAGGAATCTCCGGCAACAACCAGAGTCAAACCAATCAAGATGCTGTGGAAGATTATTCCTGCTTCCATAACGGACACTGACAACTTCGAATTTGGATTGGTAGGGTCAAACGGCGAGCCATGGTTGTGGCCCAGATTGGCCAAGCTATGCGAGGCTGTCGTAGCTGCAGAGTCCGGTGTTGGCCCCTCCGCTTTCGTGGTCAAATTAGTAGCGTTGGCGTATGCGCTTGAGCCAGTGTTGCGGCCTCGATTTCTGGCAACAATGATCCGGTGACCGATGTATTCAAACAGAAACGACATGAAGATTCCTGCCATAACGATTGCAGATGTTGTAGCCTCGTAATCAAGAACTCCCAGACATTCGTTGTTGAACATGAGAGACGCATGGGTATAGAGCTAGATATCGATTAGCTTTAATTCCAGGACCAGGCATTCTGCTGCTTACGTGAACGAAGGCCGTAGAGACAATCACTCCCGTTCCGAACTGCTTGACCGTCGTAAAGATAAAGGAGTTGACGTTTCGAGATGGTACTTTGGCAAGCAACATGGGCGCAAAAACGCCGATGGAGCTTGTAACTAGGACGACAAATAACGTCCCGACCCGAAGGCCCAGGTTATAGTCTCGGTCCTGAACCTCACAGGAAGCAGAGCTGGTGGTGCTCTCGGATCCGCCAACCGGTACGCAGTGTCTGCACGTGGTCAGCAAGGACGGACTTGAAGTGCAGAGGCGGGGGCCCTTCGAATGACTGACTCGACACCAGCATGGAAATGGCAGTCCATCTCTACTTCGTTTTCCGAATCATCGTGGTCATCATGATCATCATGGCTATCACTGGATACGGACACTCCCTCAGCCAGAACCAAGACTTCCTCTCCATTGGGCCCCAGACAGTACTGCTCAGCTTCGTGCGCGTGGCAGTCGGTGTATTGAGCTGGTGGTTCTCCGGTGGCAGTTGCTGTCGCAGAGATGAGGACTTCGTTCCCTGCACCGTCGATGCAGTATCTGCGGAAGTCAGAGAAGGCTCTTGGATCAAGTTCTATAGCTTACGTTTGGGTTTCATGAGTATGACAGCCAGTCACGGCCGTAGTCTGACCTGACGTTGTCGTTGCCGATGCTGTGACCGAGGCTGGAAGGGTCGTAGTGTCTGATGCTGTGACCGAGGCTGGGAGAGTCGCCGTCGAGAATGTTGTCAATGTGGACGCTAAGGCATATGTGGCCAGAGGCGTCTCCTCCCCATCAGGACCGTAGCAGTATCTTAAACAGTGTCAGCCAAGAGAGAACGGCCTGAAGGGGATTCCACGTACTCAACCGACGAGTGGTTGTGGCAACCTGTGTAGGTTATTTGTGCGGTAATAGCGGAAACCCAAAGAAATAAAAAGAGCGTGCTGGACAACATCGTGATTGATGTCAGGACAATGCAAGGGGCTTGATCGATATCTCAGGACTGGGACAAAGCGGTGGAATAGATATTCTTCATGAGTAGAGCAGAGCTGTCGTAAATTCTCTGTCTTGAGAATGGCACCAGACACGGTAATGGAGTTCAAATAATGGTCGCGAGCTCACCTCGGAGAAAGCAAACTTCTTGCTTTTCACTTTTCCGTTTCTTTGACTAAGTGGATCTCGACAACAGCGACGCCGGTGTGCCGGTAGCCACGAGGCCAAGATGCAGAAGGGAAAGAACTTCGGCGAAGACGCCGATAGCCAAGCAAGAGAGACAGCTCTCTCAGCGAGCCAAGACGACCGTGATGTGACTCGACCAGATATCCTGCCGTTGGACTGGTAGAAGCAGAGCAGTAGTGGAGTGATCCAGCATTCGCAGGTCGATAGACACATTAAGGTCCTCACTTTCTTCTCGGCATGGAAGCGGAGCGGATTTTGCTTGGCATCAAGGTAGGTGGAATCTCCGCCGTCCTGTGTCCTCGAATATCGGCACGTTGAAGATTTCTGGTGTGCTCTGTACCTTTGCAAGGACGAAGAAGGGAAGTAGAAGACGACATAGTTCTTGTTTCATGGGGCGAACCTGTGATACTACCTCGTTGTCCTCAACTTGGCATTTCTCGGCAATCATGCAAGATCTTCCTCGTGGACATCGGATTTCTCGGCTAGGACCTTCTTTGCAGAGGCATTCGGACTATATTCTTGCTGGACAAGGGTCCGGCGATTCAATAGTGTAAGAAAACTCTGTGAAAGTCGAGAGGACGAAGTGCGTCAATGATGGTGGACCTGTGTTAGCTTTGGATAGTTGAATGCGATGTAATCATGCATACGACCGACCGATTGAGCAAGTCAGCGTCGAACATCACGAGTATATAAACCTGCTTCCGAATCAGCATCCTGGAGTAGAATACGCACCACCTCAGCAATTCTCTTTCTGTTCCAGACACTTAGTCACCTGTTCCATCATAATGCCTGCTCTTCACAACGCCCTTCTACTTACCCTGGCAGCCGCTGCCAGTGCAGCTCCAGCACCTCTGATAGCACGTCAGCAAGCACCCATCAATACCACATCCGAAGCTTGGGATACTGGCGCCGTGACAGAATTCCCCATCCACTCAAGCTGCAACGCAACTCAGGCTCGCCAGATTGCAACCGGTCTCAACGAGACAATTGAACTGGCAGAGCATGCCAAAGACCATATTCTGCGATGGGGCAACGAGTCCGAAATCTATCAGAAATATTTCGGTGACCGCCCACCGTATGAGGCTATTGGCGCCTATGAGATCATCGTCAACGGAGACAAGAAGAAAATGCTCTTCCGCTGCGATAACCCCGATGGAAACTGCGCTTTGGAAGGTAAGGCCATGTAACTCCTTGTGGTTGAACGCTTGCTGAAAGACTTCAGGCTGGGGAGGTCACTGGCGCGGTGAAAACGCGACTGATGAGACCGTCATCTGCGACTTGAGTTATGAGACTCGTCGCTCGCTCACGCAGATGTGTGCTCTTGGATACAACGTAGCTGATTCGCCCACAAACACATTCTGGGCTTCGGATTTGATGCATCGCCTCTACCACATCCCAGCAATTGGAGGAGATTACATCGGCCACTTTGCCGACGATTACCATGAGGTCCTAGAACTTGCCGAGGGAAACAACACGGACTCGACCCATGACAGTGATACTTTGCAGTATTTTGCACTTGAGGCATATGCCTATGATATTGCTGTTCCCGGAGAAGGATGTCCAGGCGAGCACAGTGAGCATGACCACTCAAGCGATGCATCGGCAACTGCTTCTTCTGTCGGTACCAGCGCAACGGCTGCTCCGGCGCCAGCCTCAACGACAGGGTCGCCAACCGTGTCTCAAGCCCCTTCGACGGCCAGTCTGCCTGCGGTAAGTTGAATCAATGGTCTTTCAGAGAGCAACCGTGCTGATGATTTATGACAGAATTGCCACACTCACGAAGGTGGAGATGTTCACTGCACATAATTGTCAGCCAAAAACAACCCTCCGAAAAGAAGTCCGTCGAAAATAGTCCATAGACCTAGTTAGTCATAGTCGAGAGCAAGAGGTGCCTTGCTGCTACCCCGCCACAACGGCCAGTGCTGCCTTAATGCATCCCCATTCACACATATGATATTGGCAAGAACAAGAAGTCATTTCTGCCTGGCCGAAGCGCCTCTTTTATTCGCGATTGCCAAACAATGAGAGAGGTAGTACTAGACAAATCAAAGATAAATGTAGACCTAAGAAGGAGTCGTGATACTAGAGACTGTCGATGGTGTCGAAGGCTGACAGCGGAAGAAAAGTTGCACCATCGGCAGAGTTGCCTAACCGGGATATGCCATAGCATATGGTATGGAGAGGCAGTAGGTGGTTATCCGCTATCTCTTTGAGCCTCATCATGCCTCGATTGCATCTCTTTTCGTGACCTTGAAGGTTCTTGGCTTGTTAATACACCTGCTCCTACGCATCTCACCATGAGCGTCAGACTTCATCCGAGAGACGCTAACCTGGTAAATAAACGAATGCAAGTCTAAAGAACACGGCATCGTCACACCAATCTGAAAATCGCCCACCATTTATCAGCCCGAAACAGCCGCACATTTGCAGTACTAGTAAGAGTAACATTAAACATTGAATGTTCACAAGATCTCCTTTCTTCACAGCACCAAAACCCCGACACCAGCAGCGACCAAAAGTCCCTTGCCCACCGCAACCACGACAGCATCGCTTCCAGTATCCTGGCTCAAGACTGAATTACCTGTCGACGACGACCCACTAGCTGTCGTGGTAGCCGATGTCACCAGCCCTCCGAACCCACTCGTCGACGTTGCCAGCGAGAAATCCGATGTAGTCGTGTAGTCGGAGAAATCATACGTCGATGAGGAGAAGAGACCGCTTGAGCCAGAGCACGATGATGAGGTCGACCCCTAAGACCAAGATTAGCCGCCAGACCTTCATAAGACGGGCCTGTGAGATGACGTACAGGAGCGCAGCACTTCCCAACAGTGCTGGAGCATGTATATCCGGAGGTGCAATAATCTATCACTTGCGTCAGCACATGAACCACACCGGCTCAACGATCACCGAGATGCACTCACAGCCATCCTGGCAACAGACTTCGCCGTCTTCGGGGTTGTAGCATGAGTCAGTGCCGCAAGCAATATTCCCTGCACCATATGTGTCGGCACAGCTGCTGTTCGATGAGCCACTGCTACCACTACTCCCGCTGTCCGAGCTGCCAGTGGAGTCATCCGGACATGTATCATATTGTGGGTCGTCGGGATTGTAGCAGTGGTATCCGTCGGCGCATTCCAGGTATCCTGAGCCAAAACACGACGTGCATGTTGCGCCGGTCTGGGAGCAGATGTCGTCGTAGCCACTGCTGCTAGTTGAGGTTGATGTCGAAGCGTCCGCGCTCGTCGTATAGCTGCTGCCCGTATCTGAGCTGTCGGTCGAGCAGGACTCAATGCCGTAGAAGTCATCTCCGGGGAGGTAGCAGAAGATACTGCTCCCGGGGCAGAGGGTATATCCGCTTCCGAAGCATTCCTCACAGGATCCTGAGCAGCGCTTGTCCAAGGATCGCGTCATGAGTTTGCTCGTCGATATGGGAGTGCGCGTGCGACCAGAGGTCAGTCCTTTGACTATGGCATCCTCAGGCTCTTGCGCGGAGGTGAGGAGGATGAGTGAAGAAATGCAGAGAGCTGCTTTGGTGAACAACATCTTGAGGATGCAGAATTGAAAGTGGAAAGCGAGTGACTGTAACGAGCGACTGGTTGAACACGGAAAACAGAGTTGGAGGAAAGCAAAACCAACAATGAGGGAAAAGGGAAGTGCGGGTAGTCAATGAAATACCTTCTCGTATAAAGTATGTTCTGGGGTCAGCCTCACGGCGCCTTCGCCAGCCTTGAATACGGATACGCCGTCGTGAGATGAGTTCTCATTTCCTTGCCCTGGGTCATGAGCCGAGAGACTTATTGATGGCCGGCTATGCATCGTCGCGACCCAGACGCAGCTTATTGGTCACCACGATGCTAATATTTCTTTCTTTAGACTAGCTAGGCCTTGCACTCTAGCATTTCTTCCCGCTGGAAGTAAGAAAAAGGATTTCCAGCGTGGCTCTGGGAGGTCCTAGCCGGGTGCAACTGTGCCTCAGCCCAACCGGGTTACACAGGGCTGAATAGCGTGGTCGTGGTATTCGGCTGGCCACCAGCGCAGCCAACGAAAGCGAGCAGTAAAATTGAGTCGACGATCCTCGCTAATCTTTTCATGCTGGTCATGGGAGCCGGTGTCACAACAGCCTGACCGTGCCTGACCAAGAAGGGATTGTGGTTGACAAGCATAGCGAATGGAATGCGGAGGAGAGTCTCTCGACCCTTTTTTGCAGCCACAAAAGAGCGCCATCAAGGCCCAGGGGTAAAACTTCTTGGCCTGGTGCTTGGCGAGTTGGGGGCGGATCTTGGCAAAGCCTTTAGTTCAAGATCAGGCTGGAATATGCAATTTTTCTGCCTCGTAGGGTGCACCCTGCATTGTCAGCCGATGCCACATGAGAACAAGCAATCCCGAGACACCATGACAATTGACATTAACCTGCAAAGCTGTATCCACGTACGTCGACAAGGCTGTCATGAGCCCTGAAGAGTCAAGACCGGGTGACCGGTGGAGGTCCTCGAAAGTCCCCAATTGGCGGTTCCCCCGTTCAGTACACTAACTGCGGCTTGTCCATCTAGATAGCTGGCCCTAAGCTATAGCGTCTGGGACAGAGAGACTTTCAATTTTCGACCGGTGTGAGTAACAGAAACTTCTCTCTCCGAGCAGACGTCGGCGATCTCTGCCACAATAGGCACGTGGTTGCTAAAGCACGCCCTGGAACATCGGCACGAGTGATGGGTCTGGAGAAAGACTGCGGCTCTTGGGTTGATTGTCAGGTCATGGCGTGTTTCAACTGTGCCGGTGATATGGTCAGATCGAAGTATGTAGGACCGGATACGTGAGATCATGGCTTCACATGTAAAGCACTCTGAAGAACGTGAATCGGTGCGCCTTGTGGTTTGTTATTTTGGGTTGCATGCCTTTCACGACAGGTTGATTTGCAGATCTTTGAATTCTTTGGTCCTGTTGGTGATGGCAATCTCGACCGGTAATCTCTCCATGCTGCTGGCCCCGAAGAAACCATGGACCCCTTTTGTGCGACCAAGGACATAGCTGGCATCCTTCGGCTCAGCGATCGGTCCTCCATGGCAGAGAATAATGATGTTGTCGTTGATTTTGACTGCAGCATCTCGTATGTTCTGGATCAATTCAACACAGTCATCAAGTGACTTTCCAGTCCTCGCACCAATGCTCCCCGAAGTCGTCAGCCCCATGTGTGCCACCAAGCAATCTGCGCCAGCTTTGGCCATCTGCTCAGCCTCGTCGACATTGAAAACGTAGGGCGTGGTTAAGAGATCCAGCTTGTGTGCCTCGGCGATCATCGCCACCTCTTTGTCATATCCCATTCCTGTCTCTTCAAGGTTTGCTCTGAAAGTGCCGTCAATCAGGCCAACCGTCGGGAAGTTCTGCACTCCACAGAAGCCCATACTTTTCAACTGTTGGAGAAATTTTGGCATGATCCGGAAGGGATCGGTACCGCAGACTCCAGCAAGAACACCCGTCTTGCTGACGATGGGAAGCACCTCACTTGCCATGTCGACGACCACGGCATTGGCATCGCCATAGGGCATGAGACCGGCTAGAGAGCCTCGGCCTGCCATACGGAATCTCCCTGAGTTGTAGATGATAATCAGGTCGGCACCGCCTGCCTCGATGAATTTGGCCGAAAGGCCTGTGCCCGCTCCTGCTCCGACAATGGGCTTTCCATTTTTGATCAGCTGGCGAAGGTGAGATAGAACTTCTGATCTGGAGGCCGGTGGCGCCATATTCGCAGTCGTCCAAGCTGTACAAGCCGTACAAGCCGGGAAGTTCTTATTCCACCCTGGGTGTTGAGGAAAATAAAATGATTCACCGTGTCATCAACGATGCCGACGTCATTGTTTGATAGACACCTGCAATGAGTGACAGTATTGCGGGGGAAGGAGTAAATACGAGTCAAAGGAGGGGCAAGCACCACGAACCACCTACCAAATGCTCCTGGCTTCACACCTGCCCGTGTCCCATGCTGCAGATCCCTGCATTCGAGGGAAACAGAAAGTGATCTGGTTTTGTCTCATGTCATCAGTGAGTATCCTGCACCTCTTCCATCATATCTGAAAGTAGTCTCGGCAAACAACGTTCCCACCATGCCAAAGCCTACCATTCTCATCGTTGGCACCACTGACACGAAGCTCGATGAAATCCTCTATCTACGGCAAAAAATCCTAGCCCAGGATACCTGCCAGACCAAGATCCTCGATGTAAGTCATACACCGGGGAAATCACCAGCCTTGGAAGAGATCCCTCAAGACGAGATCATCGCGCCATTACGTGAACACAGCTCGTCCCTGAAATCCCTTTCACGTGGTGATTGCATATCCAAAACCATCGAACTATGTCTGCCAACAGTCAAGAACCTTGTCACCCAAGCCCAGATCCTAGGAATGGTTTCCGCGGCAGGCAGCAGTGGCTCATCGATTGCAACAGCCTTCATGCGTGAGGCTTGCCCGGTTGGCTTTCCTAAGCTCATGGTATCGACCATGGCCAGTGGAGATATCAAACACTACGTTGAAGAGACAGACATCACCATGATGTACAGCGTGGTTGACATTGCGGGCATCAATTCAATTCTCAAGCGGATCTTGTCCAACGCAGCCGCCGCGATCTCTGCAATGACGGTTTCATATGCAAAATCCATTGTCGACCCAACAGCAGCAGAAATGAAGGGCAAACGTATCGCTATCACCATGTTCGGAAATACAACACCTTGCGTCGATCAGATCCGGCGTATCCTCACGTCCACGCCGCATGATGTCTCAGAGTATGAGATCTATGTCTTCCATGCCACCGGGTCTGGTGGACGAGCCATGGAGCGACTTATTATGGAGCGACAAATTGACGCCGTCATTGATTTGACAACCACCGAGATCCCAGATGAGCTCTTCGGTGGAGTCCTTACTGCTGGCCCGAATCGACTTGAAGCAGCTGCAAAAATCGGGATCCCCACGATCGTTTCCGTTGGTGCCTGCGATATGGTCAACTTTGGTCCCAAGGACACCGTTCCCGAGAAGTACAAAGATCGAAAATTGGTGGTGCACAACCCAGCAGTCACGCTGATGCGTACTACCGTGGCAGAAAACAAGAAGATAGGTGAACATATTGCATCAAAGTTGGCTACTCATGCCACAAATCCCGAATCGATTCGAGTTCTCTTGCCGGAAGGAGGAATCAGTATGCTTGATGCGCCTGACAAGCCTTTTCATGATCCTGATGCCGATACCGCCTTGTTTGAAAGCCTTGAAGAGGGGCTGGAGGGTTCGCGAATTGAGGTCGAGAAGCACCAACTCCATATCAATGACGAGCTTTTCGCTGGTCACGTCGCTTCAGCCATCCTGGAGGTCATGCGCGTCACACCAAGACAATACAGGCTCAGCAACCTGAAGAGAAGAAAATGGTCCTTCGACCATGGTGCGAGTGTCATGCTAGCGAGAAGGAACAGTCAGATTGAAGTGCCTGATGCAGTTTGACCGACTCGGGTTGATGGCGGGTGAAGGAGGTTGGAGGGACCATTCTGTTTGGCATGTGAGCTTGTTTGTGTAACTCTATGCCTTCTTTTATCAATACCCACAGCGAAGGACACTAGTGCTACGCTTCCAGTTGAAATACAGGAGCTCGATCGCTAGAGATAAATTGCAGCGAAAGTGAGGTGAAGGTGGAAAGTGTACCCGAATGCCTTTGTGCAGCCCTCGAGCCCTGTAGCCTTGTTCCCGGAAGTGGAATAACTCATGCTCCGTCAAGGCTGCGCTAATGTAAATTATCACGTGACTGCTCTGCTCTGCTCTTGACCTTCAGCACTTTTCCTTGCGGCAACTTCCAACTCAGCACTCCTCGTTCAATCTCTGTAGAACTCGCTTCAAGATGCCTCACGCCGCACCCTCTCGCGTGCCTCCCACAGCGACCTCCGACCTAGAAGCCGGGGCGGTCCTCAAACTTGGCGAATTTCAAAATGAAGTCACCTTGAACCTCTCGGAAGCACGAATCATTCTACAAAAGACCCTCGCGACGAGAGCTGCACGAGGTGGTGGCTTCGAAGAGACCGAGACAACAGCGAAGACCCGCGACTATCTGGAGATCTTTGCCGTCTTCAAAGACCTCGCCGAGGCTCAACAAGTCGAAGGAATTATCAACTCGTACGGTGAAAATCTGGAACGTTTCGAAAAGAGTCAGCTGGGAAGTCTTGTGCCGACATGTTCCGACGAGGCGAAAGCCCTGATTCCAAGTCTGGAGAGAAAAGTTGAAGAAGGCATCGTCAATGAGGAAGAGCTGGAAGGCATTTGCAGAGAACTGCAAAGATTGAAGAGACAGGCACAACTATGAGACAATGATGACATTACGGGTTATGGGCTTTGAGCCACCTCTACGCCGTTCACATTACAATGATGAGAAGACATTCATGCGGGAAGTGGGTTGGGAATACCAACACCAATACCAATCGCGTCTCATAATGCGCAGGGTCGATAATCGACGTCAGCTCTAGCGACGATTCTTCCACCCTCCTGCGAAACAGCGGTCGGTCCGTATCTACGGCCTAAGCAAATGCACCTTGAGCTGCATGCGGCAGTTGCATCACCTTACAGGCAAGCTGGATCGTCCTGGATAGCATCTCCCGCCTGTCGCACTCGAGATATGGACCCCCTGATTAGGAGGCTGAAAACCAAAGCAGGCCTGTCTGGTTCAAAACTCACGAACTGCCACCGCCTGAGCTTGTTCTCACCTATGTCAGTATCAGACTAGTGTTCTGGCTTCGCACTTTGGATACTTCGTTCAAATTTCCTGGCGCATGGCATGATCAAGCACTACAACTCGAACTGCATTCGAGCGAGAATGAATGATGAACGAATGTTGAAGACAAATGTCTACCCGCTTTCACGATTATTTATGCTTGTGCTGTGCTACGAAGCCTGTGCATTTCTTGTTATCACTTTGCCCACTTTCACTGTTGGGATCTGATGGCGGCCGCGTATTTCCTTTGCGTTCTCACACTGTGTCGAGTCCACTGATCTCTAGATCTCACTGCTATGTTGATGTCTCGCAGTGATCACTCCTGTCCGTTTGCTCGAGGCATTATATCTTCCACCGCAAGTATCTCTGTCTTCCTAGCACACCTACCCCCATCCTTTTGCGTGTAAATGCCACGCAGAGAAGCGTTCTCTCACGCACCCAGCACGCGGTCACACGCACACACACACGCCCGAAATTTTTCTTTGGTTTGATCAGTTCTTCTTTCAGCTCACAACAACAAATCCTGCGGCTTGAAAACATGTCCTATCGCGATTACGGCACCTATGCAGAATGGCGCTACAGACTAGACTCGAGTTCCAGCCCGCTTCGCCCAACTTTTTCTCCATCTCCACCTCGTCGCCGTCGTTATGGTAGCCCGGATTGGATGGGCAGCAGTCTCTCTCCAAGCCGAACAACAATTCCACGATTCGGTGGGTCGTCTGGACTCGGCGACTACGATTACTCGTATGGGACCTCGCCGATCCGAGGAGGAACAAGACGACGCAGTCCCTCGCCATTATCTGAAGCACGCCGAAACCTCTATGGATCATCCCCGAGCCGGTCACGCAGTCGTCGCGCTCGGCCCCGCAGTCCATACAGCCGTCGTGGCTCTCCAAGTCCGTACTACGATCGTCACCCATACGTCAGTGCAGCATCACGAAGTAGGACCCCATCGCGTCCCAGAAGCAGAAATAGAAGCAGATCGAGTGGCCTCGGCATGATCTCTCGTGCTGCTCTTGGAGCAGGGGCGGGCTTCTTGTTGTACCGAGGCGCGGAATGGTATAGAAATCGAAGTCGTCGGCGACGATCATCGGGAAGCAGCCGCGCCCGCCAGCATAGGTCGGCTACCAGGAGTAACGAAGATGACAATAGCACGGCGCTTACACGATACCGACCTCGATCTCGATCTCTGAGCCCGGAATCGGACTTGGACTTCGATGACAGATACTATGGGTCCAGCGGCAGACGTGGAAGATCGAGATCGCGTAGCCGGAGCTACAGCAGGGACGGTTACCGAGGACGAAGTCCGGACTTCGGCAGGCACATGGACGACCAGTCAGGCTACTGGTCGCCCGACTAGTAAGCTGGTATGACGGACTGAGGGAAAGGTGGTACTTGCTGGGCGGATATCTGTTGGATACCAGTCGGCTGCAAGGCAGAGATCGGTTGGGGGAGACAAAGGCTGATTGTTTGTTTGATGCGAGCTGAGCTGGTGATGGCGGTGCGGTGCTGGCGAGTGGCTGGAACGGAGCCATGCTGCTTCCTGGCGAGTGTGCTCCTGGCAGTTGGTTGGATTCACTACTTTACAAAGTGATGTGGTCTGGTGACTACCACTGCCTGCCTCGGACCAGTGAATGCCCCAAGGAGCTTGGACAATGGTATGTTGTGGTGCGAAGCAGTTTGTTTGTACCAAATCATATCGAGCTTATCAGGTTTCAACTCTGGCGGAGGCGAACACTGTTGATAGGGCTGGAAATGTGCCGTGCGATGACCTGATAGCTGATACTAGTCCTACTGGGTACGCAGCTTCTCTCCACACAATAGCAGTGAATCCACTCATCGGCCAGAGTGAGAACTGGCTTGAACCGCAAACTCCTCCGATTGACAGCGTAGACAATGCCGGCTGGTGCTGGAAATGGAGCGGATGTAGATGTTCTGGGCCGTGCAAGCATGTGCGGCCAGTCGACTGTCACATGGTGTTGTTCTTTATTCCCGGTGACTGCCTGCTGTACCCAAGTGATAGAGTGACTTTGCCTTGCATTGCCGCCGCAACGCAGGTCGTCAAGACGCGGTAGAGTGATCCGTCAAGGTATAGGTGAAGTAACTAGGCAGCGGAGTTGACTGGCCGGGTCGACATGACGGGTGAAGCCTATGATATCCTTTCGCGACAGATATAAAATGTCGTCTGCGTTCTTTCATATAACCCTCCCATCGAGAAGAAACAAAGAAAGTGCGCGAAAAAATTAGTAAGCTTGAATTTTCGACTGGTTTCGCTTCGAAACAACAAACAAGGAAAGAATTGCAGGACAGCAGCTTCTGAGGGAAACAGAACCTCACGATTCGAGAAAAACACAGCTAGAAACATCATCGGCTATAGCCTATACCGCAACAAGCGCAGTGAGTTGTACATCTCCACCTGCGTCGTGTACCTAGCTAACCAGATCAAGATCAGACGCCATCATGTCGGATGATCCAGAGTCAGAGTCAAAAGGCGAAGGAGTCGCTCAGTCACAGTACAAGACGCCGAATACAATGACCGCCGTCACGAAGCCTGAGCCTGCAGTCGTCGCTTCTGCTGTCCGGAAAGATGAAGCTGAAGCACGTGTTGAAGAACGCGGAATCGCGGGAACGGATATAGAGGACTTGTACTTGTACAGTTCTTCGAGCGCCGGGAGAGGATCTGATAGATGGGAGGTTGACAGCTGGGATCCGAATTATACTGCTGGGGATTACACCGTCACATGTTGCAAATGTGCTGTGATGTGAACGGGGGTCATGAGCGGTCGGACTTGGAGCATGGTATAACCCACGAGATCGTTAGGTGAATTGACTGAATTGATACGGTGCCTGAATCTTGGAGTAGTTTTGATGCCTTTTCGACCTGGAACCCCAATGTGCATTGATCATGCAGGCGTGGTCTACCACAGAGTATTCTGACGTCCTCCAGTTGACTCTTGTCAGACATCGACGAACATGAGGAAGGAGTCTCCAGCGCTAGACTTGAGGCCGACCTCACATCCTGAAAAGAGGTCTCCTGCTCATATGAAAGCCCGCTTCAAGCAGGTCCATACTATTCGGTGAAGACGGAGCTCGCAAGCCTCGATCGTGACAAGCGTTTGGATCTGGCCGGTCATATCCCGGTGCGCAGCCCTTGCCGTGCTTGCGACAACAACGTCGTGTCTGGCCCCTGCGCTTCTGCTACCTGACGCGGCAACCACCTTCTGGATGTGCACATGCCATACTACGAGTCAGGCGATTCCGCAGGAGCCTATTGAAATTGCACCGCACACATGAGGACTCCGAACCCATCCACCTTGTGCACGTTCAAGTAGGCTCCTCGAACTCTTAGACATGCTGTGTTACGCAGCATCAATTATCAATCGTCGACGTTGATGAAGACAGGCCTCACATTGTCGGCCGGAGAGTCGACCAAGCTAGGGCGCACAAAATGCGACACTTGCTGGCAGTCGAAAGCTGGCACAGAACATCTTCTTCTTTGGTGCAACAAGTCGCACATACCGGATCTCCATTTCCAGTTTCGGGTCGCCCATTCTAACTTCAGTGCCAATGTGGTCGGAAATGCGTTCGCAGACCTCTTGGTGCTCCTGCTCGTCCGTGGGGTGTTTGGCTTGGAACAAATAGAGGTGGATGAACGGCAGCTTTTGTGGGGTGTGCGGTACGAACTCGAGCTCGCGGCCGTGATAGACGCCCTTGAAGGCGTCAAGGAATTCGATGGCGCTCGCAGGCAGGTTCATCACATAGTGAGAAAATGCACTTGGCTCTACCAGTGTTCTTTCGGACTTTTTAGCGGCTTCTTCGCGTGCTTTCTTCTCCTCCTCATTCGCATTTCTCGATACTTTGGGTTTGGGCTTGAGCAAGACTTTCCGTGGAGTGTGTGCCAACTCCAGCGTTGCTTTGCGGATGAAGTCTCTCCCGTCCTCACAGGATGCTGTTACAAACTCATTGACTTTGTTGCGCAAGATGGCATCTTGTAGACTTGCATAGGAATCGGGGTTGAGGTCGTTTGCTCTGACAAAGACCTTGCGCTTACCTGCAGGTATGGCAAAAGGTCCTACCCCGGCCATAATGTCACATACCGCTTCTCCCTCTTGGAATGTTTCGAAGAGCCGTGCATGCTCGGTTCCAAGGCGAGAGTTCCAGTAAACCTTGCCGAAGTTGAATCTGAACTCGCAGCCTGATTCGTGAACGACCACATCTAGATTGTCTGGTCCGGCAAGGACTTCATAGGGAAAGGTTCGGAAGACTGATTCGGCGCCAACATCGAAAGTTTTGTTGATGACAGTGCTAATGGTCGGGTTTTTGTCCAGTAGCACCTGTCCGATCAAGTATTTGTAGGGCAAATAAGGTGTGCGCAAGTTGACATGAGCTTCCCAGTGTCAGAGCGTGCTTGATATGGATGTGCTTGTCAAAACTCACCAACGTGGCCAACTTGCGCGAAGCCTGCCGGAGTTTCCTTCTCTTCATCTGGAATCTCGGGAAGTATGGCTTCAAGTATGTTGTCTGAGAAAATGTCAGACCATGGGTAAATCACTCGCCATGCTCTCGCAGACTCACGTACGCATCGTCCAATCGTCATATGTTATGGTCAAATCGTATGTTCTCAACTTGGCCAGTTTGATCTCCACTAATTTAGCGATAGTAGGCGACCATGTCTTTGGCTCTATCGACGTTCAGCAAGGAAGTGGAAAGGGGATCGGGATCGTTACCCACCGTGGGCATTGATCTGTGGCGCCAGGAGGAAACACTTCGCGCCTAGCTTGGTCTCGTCGTCTCGAAGAGGTTTGATGGGATGTATTTTGAGCATATCCCCCGATTTCTCGAGTTCTTTTCGCACATTTGTGATCTGCTTGAGATCCGACACACTTGCAGCAGCCAGAGGAACGACTTTGCGAAAGAATGACTTGTCCAGATTTTGCATAGACCGGTTGACTGGCGGCTGAAAAAGTTCAGGCAGGTCAGGAGAATTCATATTTATTTTCCTTGATGTCGTGTGAATTTTGCGGTGATTGAGTCGCGGAAAAAGCCAACGATGAAGGCCTGCCATGCAAAGCACTGTTCATAGAGAGCGACGAACAACAACGAATCAGCAACCAAAATGCACACAATCCATTCAATCCAAAAGCTCGAAAAAGAGGAATTTAGTTGTCATATCAAGCGACTGGCCGCTTTACACTGAGTCCAGAGCGCTAGTCCTGATTAGTGCCCAAACAGTTGCCAATTTTCCTCCTCCATGACTACTACCTAAATTACTCGAGAACGATACGTAGTGACTTAAAGATAAGTCTTGAAGTCAGGTCCTACCAAGTCCTAGGACTACTACGCATTCGTAGATCCTCGGCTCCCGTTACAATAACCTGAGTCCCAGTGCTTGTTGCGTGGAGACCAGAGTCCAACTCGGCAGGCTCTAAATCGGTAGATAACTTTCCAGATAGCAACGACGTAGAGGTCCTGCCAGAAACTGACATCTTGCTGCCCGTCAGCTCAGCTCGTTTGTCCAGTGCCATTTGCCTAGACTCGGCGAATCGGCCTTGCTGACGGCGACTTTCCCCTAGTTTGTCCAGAAGTCGTAGCGTTCGAAGATGATTGGGACCAAAGGCTTTCCAGGTTAGCTGCAGGAGATGCTCCTGGAGATCGGCTGCGTCGTTCACCCGACACTGCGACCACAAAATGTCGCACAGTGCGAGCCCAACTCTCTCTGTTCTTGGATGAGTAGGACCCAGTAATTTGGTGTTGAAGTCCATCACAGTTCTTAGAGAAGCTTCAGCTTCCCCAAAGTAAGCACATTCGGAGTACACAAGGGCAGCTTTCGCGAGAAAAATTGCTCGCCATGGGTTGAGTCGTGTTTAGAGAGGCGGCCAAGGTCTGTTGCGCCTATTTCTATTGTTCACGAACTCTCGTTCGACCTTGTGATGGAGATTGCACACAGCTACCACGTGGGGTAGCAGCTTCCTGGCCAATTTGCCTTGGGGATCGACTGTGTTACTCAGAGGTGGAAGAGAGATTGAACGCGAGAGTGTATGCAGAGCTGCTTCGCACCAAATTGCTTGATCGGCCAAGGTCATTTGGGGTCTCTCGCGCACCCACGTGTTTACTAATGGGTGCATTGAGTAGCTATCAGAATTCTCATCGTAGTTAATCAATGATGACTCAGTGAGGACATGTAAGGCTTCACGGAGTCGAACGTTGAAGTCCTCATATAGAGTAGAGATTTCCGCATCTCGGAGGAACGTCAGAAGAATTTGTGGACTTGATATCTCGAGCTGTCTCTTCAAAATTGTCTCTATCATGGCATAAATTTGTCTCGGCCATGATCTCGGCTGCCATGCGGTGGATTGAGACGACGACTCTTCTTTGCCGGCTTTGTTGCCTTGATCTGAACTTTGAGCATCAGTTTCTCATTGCAACCCTGGATTTCTGGCTGCGGCTATCAGAAATTCGAAAGGGATATGTTCATGGTGTAGGAACGAGAAAAGCTTGAGCAGTTGTACTGCGTCTCGATATTTTTGCAGCTTTATGGCTTCCAGACCGCGAAATACGATTCATAGCTTGCATAGACCTTCATGTAGTCAGCATCATCATCAGCTCCGCTGGTTGTGTGTTGACTTTGGCGGATCAATTGCCAACTACGCTCGTAGTAGGAAACATAGTTGCTCAAATCACAGATCTTTGCTTTAATCGCTTTGCCGGCGTGGACGAGTGCTAGAGGTAGGGCTCCCAGTGTTCTGGTGATCGCTGACGCTAATCGCAATATGGTGGGCGTTCGGGGTTCGCGATTGTCGGCTGCTCTTAGTAGTAGTTCGTTTGCTTCGTCATGATCTAGTCGATCAAAGTGATAGAACCGCTGACCGATCGTTCCGTGCATCTTGACAGAGGGATTCCGTGTCGTAATGAGCGTTAAGCCTTGTTCACCATCAGGGAAATACTTCTCAATTTCTAGGTTGGTATCATCCGCGTTGTCGATGAGAAGTAGCCAAGGTCGATCACTGCTCGATAACCAGCTCTTCGCTGCGCGTTCATTTGGATCTGTCCCGCAAGCTTTGGCAATTGTAACGAAGCTTTGCTGGGCATTTCCCGGAGAGCTGGCATCAACGGTGAATACGCCCCAGAAGCTAAGCTGATTAGCAAGGGATATACCCATCAAGCTCGTGGACATCACCGTTGTTTGTTTTCCCATGCAAACTTGCAACAGAATTGAGTCTTGCCAGAACCACCGAGACCAAATATGACAAACCGTTTGGGCAAATAACTGTCGTCGAAGGATGAATGGGAGGCGTCAAACGCTTGCTTGAGCCCATCCAGGTACGTTTTCCTACCCGTAAAAATACTCGAAACTGCCTTTGGTGTATCGAAATGTTTGTTCAGAGGAAGGCTCGAGGCAACTTTGTTTGCGGAAAAGGATTGGTGTAGCTATGCTCGTCAAGTTTGGGCGACTTCATGGGATATAATAGGGACACACCATGTCTGTATCATCCAAGAGAAGGCTTGACCGTAGGCATACAGTGTTTGAACAGTTTTGCAAAGTTCTGATCGTGTTTTGCCAGACTTCGATATCTTCTTGCGACAGCTCTGACTGCCCTGTGGTATAGATTTGAGTCTCGCCCCTGTGAAACTGTTCGATTGATTTGTTTATCGACTCCAGATCTTGAATCTCCGACAATAGCGATCCAATCTCCTCTCTGAATGTGGCAGCCACTTTATAGACGTCATGTAAGTACTTGCCAAGTTGGAATGTCAATTGGAGTAGTGACACGGTGCCGACTGAGATGGAGAATGGGTCCATGGCTGGATACAGTGAAACGTTTTCAACCTTTCATCGGAATTGTCGACGCAGATCACCAAGATTATCGTGGTAGTGATGTTCTGCGGGAGTCTGGCATGAGGGGAGAAAGGGCGTACCTGCGACTATAGGACAATGGAGTGGACAGCCTCGTCTAGGTGATCGTGACGCGGTATTCACGCAACGCTCTGCAAATTCATGTCGGATGCGCGGGACGGAGCGTGGCCCGGATCTCGTGCATCGGACACTGGGG